CAACATTTCATGCTGATCTGATTGACACTGTTGCTTTCTCTTCATTATATTTGAGTTTCTCTCCTTGAAGTATTTGACCATGGGAACCTCGTATATGATGCAAAAAAAGGGAGTGGAGATTGAGTCAGAAAGTGTATCGACGAACGCTAAATGAGAGAACAATGCGAAAACTGGTAATGGTTGACAGAAGGAGTGAGACAAATATCAGATAGTTTCTCTAAAGGAGCCATCTGAAAGTAGACCATAATGTAACAGTTTGTGAGGGCAAGTGTAACCATGTAACCATAACGAAATAAAGTAGCCAAAGTGTCAGTTCTCAAGACTGTTGCATTGAAGCCAAGGAGAAGTGAAGTTCGGTAGATGAAAGTCTCTAGACGAAAAGAAGGACAGGACCTTTTTGTTTTATTTTGGAAAGGAAACTTTTGCGCTCTATTAGGAGATTCTGATAGTTTTTCCTTTATTATATTTGGTACGTTTTCCCATGGACTGAAGGATCAAGTGGCCATAAAACTAAACAATAAGGAGGTTAAGGACCTATGATCTCAGGGGTGGAAATTCTTTACATTGTCCTTTCTTTAAATAAACGATATTACTTGAGATTAAATTCTATATCTTGACTGTCAACAAAGCAACGAATGAAGCTCAATATGAATCGACGCTACTGCAGAATGGCAAAATTGACTTAGGGCACGAATTTTGAGAAAGGGGGTAATCAGCAATTCCCATACTGCATGTATCCTACACAAGAGAAACCAATAAATCAGGGTTCGCAACTCTGAGTACATCCGAAAGCCGAAAGGAGAATTAATTCCAAGTCAACCAAAAGAAGTTTATTTGATACAAGGAAACAATGACTACGAATTATGTAAGGGAAGTATCGATAAGTTTATTTTCACTTCGATATTTGCATTTTGAGAAGAAATTATGTAGCAGAATAAGTCGTTTGCTTGTAATAACTATGCAAGATCGTTTTTGAAAGTACTTCACTAATGTCTCCACGTCACGAAAGTAGTTTATTGACCAATTACATTAGTCTGTTATTATATCTTTTTCCTTGCGATTGGGACTCCTTTGAAATTTAGGACGGTGAACATTATAATCCAAGCTAGACTTTACTACATTTATGCTAGTGTTTCTGCTAATTCGAAATGGTTCTTACCACGCCTCTCTTTGTCCGTTTCCTCCTGTTAAACACTTGCATTTATGATACTCAATTTGGTCACATGAAACCATCAATTTGCCCTATTATTCATTAATTTATGCTCAGTGGAAACGTTCTAGACTTTTGTATCAATGGAGACTTAGTCAACCGTTAGATGTGGAAGTTATGGCTGAAATTGCTTGCAACTATAGGAAGTACACCTGGATAACTTCAGCTACTACTTCAAGAAACTGGCGACTGAGTGTAGAAAAATAGTCTGTGAACTTGACATAGCCACTTGATCCTTATTCATTTAACAGCCACAACTTTAAAGGAAGTATAAGCTCAGGATGATCCACCTGTTGGGCCAGTTTTGTCCATTGCGTACTACGAAAGTATCCTAAAAACCCTAATTTCCAACTTCCGACAACCTAGTACGCTAAACTCTTGGATAATCTTCTGATTTTCTTATAGACGTCGATGGATTAGGAGTTGAGTAAGGAGATTACTCATGTTTATTTCTTCTTACTTTCACATGTGCTAGATTCTAAGCTCGAGAACAATGAAACCACAAAGTACCATATAATGGCACCAGTTTTGAGAGAGAATAGATTCAAAAGAAACTACCCTTGAAACACCCAAATAGCACTGAAATTTCTTTGCAGGATTGGATAAGAAACGAAAATGGAATAAAAGAGAACAACAGAAGTAGAATTTTGATTACTAATTTAACAATGTTTTTTTTATCTACTTCTAATAGGGGTGACCGATTTTTTTTCTTATAAATCCTACTTCTCTATGATTGTAGTTCGATATTTTCGTATTTCTGTGTGGTCAGCTAAGTCTCCGACTTAATCAACCTGTGTGATTATCTGAGATGAAAGTTATAGTTCTGGCAATTACCCAGTAAGTACGATCCTGAGCAAGAAGTGAAAACAGGTATCAGATCGGGGCGATGTCTGAATTCATCAGAAATCAATACTGAGAGCAGATTCTTACATTAGCAATGGTGATTAGGCTTAGAGGGATTTAAATGTAAAAGCTACTACGAACATCCAGCCCGAGGTCCCAATTGGACCACGAAATCAACGCAGCAAATGTGAGGTAGGAAGGCAACAGAGAAATAATTTTTCCCCTTTGATCGCGTGGGAATAGAAAATATTACAATCAAGTTGATCTTTCCCAAAATATACATTGTCGATTCTTTTGGGACAGTGTGACAACGTCGGGACAACCTAAGGGTAAACCATAGTTCTTTACCGCAAAGTTGGGAAGCTCACGAGGAAGCAATATCATGATAAATGAGACCTCTGAAAATTAGGCAATAATAATTGGTAATGAGAAGAGAACGCTAACTTAAGATTTTCAGTCGGACAGGTGATTTAGAAATCTGGTATTGATCTTCAGCTAATTCTCATGGTCGCTGATCTCTGGCCCTTATTTTGAATTCCAATTATACATGTAGTTATTTGATGTTAAAGGAAACAGTTTTCCTACTTCCTGCTAGAATGTTGTAAAGTGAGTCATCTGCGGATGTAAAACTATAAAGGACCTAGACCTACAATTCGGAAACAGACAAACGGACAATTTGTGACCAATGTGTCAAGTAAATCTGAAAAACGTAGGCTAAGAGCCAAGAACCATAAAAACAAAAGAAAAGCTGGCTAATTATGCTATTATTTTAAAAGTCAAAAGGGTATCTCCTCTACTATTTCGGAAATCCATCCACCACATTTGAATATGGGGATATCGGGGTAAGTACATGGAGAGTGAAGTGCTCAAGTCCCCTCCACATTTTGACTGGGCCAAGAAATTATTTTTTCAGCCTCTATATGGACAGACTTGTTCAGGACAGACACTACCAGCCAGCGTTCGATCGAGGAGGCTTAAACACGATGGTACCTACATATTCCATTATCGAAAGTTAAAAATCCAACATCCGCAGAAAACTACTTCAGAGGATTGAGAAATGCCTACAGAGAAGGGATAATATGAAAGTACATTTCTACCCAATTACTGCGATCGATAAGATTGACTCAATATGCCAGAGGAGCATTAGTTGTCACTTACAAGCACCTTGCTATGTGAAGGAACTAAGTCGTGCTCCCCATCTGGCAAGAGTCCCGACCCCGACATCCGGGGCAGAAGTGCAGAGCCGTGCGGCAGGAGTGTAGATTCAAAAGATATGCAAGGTGCCACGCCTCCCCAAGCCGAATCGGAGAACACACCTCACACTCCCCAGTCATTTCAAACATCAATGCCCAGCCATTTCAGATATCAACGAAACACAAACAAACGGGCTCTTTTGTAGACTGTCATCTTTTGTCATCTTCTTGAGGCTGACGTAGCTTTACTCCTTCAGCTGATTTCAGTTTCCTCTTCGTATTCGTCGAATCGAAAACCCGATGCGAAATGGGTATTCATTACGCCGGGTTTTGCGGGTTTAAGGCTATAGCGAAATCACCGAGGATCATGAATTATTGCATATTCTCATCAGGATGAATGAAAAGTTGATAGCTCATTGAAGCGACATTTTTTGGGACAATAGGAGATCTTGATCCTTATGAATGCGATTTTCAATAGCAATAAGCAACTTACCATGTGATCATCTAAATACTACTAATAAACTTGAATAGTCAATTACCCACCCACGAATTCCTTGTCATCGGAGATCTGCAAAGTTCCGCAAAATAAGTTGGACATTAGACCGGAACCTTAGTGCATACAGCCACAGGCGTCTCCAAAATATACAATTGGTAGTTGCCATCTTTTGAACGTGTCGTGGAGTAAACATAGAAGTGTTTACCCCAGTAAATGCTTTCAAAGCCCGGTTTGTGTATGAGCGTGTGTTTTTTAGCGAGTTACTAACAGCATTAGTCTTCCATGTGTTTGAAATTGATTTTGGAAACAATGAGCTTACAAGTGCAAAGAATGGCACTGCGGTCATACAGTGACAATTCTGAATAGGCCAACGGACTCTGAAGCCGCAGGACAAATTCTCGCTCCTATAGCGAAAACGCATGATTTTACACCGAATGCGTCCCTCATCATTGTGTAAAAAGAAGTCTTTTTTTTCCCACACTCAGGCGATCTTTCTGATTTGATGCAAGAAGTGCACTTAGTTCAAAAATATGTTCGCCAAGCTTCTCATAAGCCGAGTCGGAGACCTTACTTTCTATTCTGACAGATATATGCTTATCCGCGAAGAGAGAGGAGATGGAACCCAAAGTCGTCTTGGATATTAATGTGGAATTCCATCTACTTAATCAAAACCGTATCCTTTTTTGGATCTTTCCCCTTGAACTTAGATACTCGGCCAACCTGATGGAATTGATAACCGATTTGTCCGAAATTGAGTGCAGGGACATTAGGCAAATAGTAATAAACACGAAAACGCTACATAAAAGTTTGCATAAATACGATATGACCGAAATCTCCCCTTAACATTGAAACGCGTATGTTTTGAGTAACACAGATCATTTTGCACGAATTGTTTCCATTGATTTTCATTTAATTCAAGGACGACGAAAAGTTTAGGCTTAGTAGAGTGACTACAAGCAGAAAACGGATCTCAAATCTTCCTAAGTGAGTAGTTGTCAAAAGTCCCGAATAGCCGCATGACTTTTTTTTCCTCTGAGGCACAGTTACTGATCTACCTACGGAATTTTGATTTGCATTTTCATCAACATGCATCGTGAATATTGTCCCTATGTGTTCCGAATTCGGCACAATTCGTCAAAAAATTATTCACCCAGTCGTTTTTCATCAGTACAATTTAAAAGGGAGCAATAACCCTCCACCTTTTTGTAGTTCATCAGTTTTATACCCCAATACCCAACTTTGTCATTCGTTAATAGTCATGAGGTTGTCGTTTTTGAGTGCAGCATTTGCACTCATCTCAACAACATATGGTTTTACCATTGATGATGTCGACGGTGCTAAGCAGTTGAAGTCTGACTATGCCCCTGGTAGATACATTGTCCAATATGAGACTCCAGCCTCCCCTGAAGTGCAACTGTCTCGAATTTCTGCATTAGGTTATGATGTTTCTGTCCAACAGAACTACGAAACAAATATTTTCCATGGAATGTCGTTTGAAGTCCTTAATGATAACTCCACTACCTTAGAAGACCTTAGAAGCTTGGAAAACATCAAGAGTGTGTGGAGAGCCTCTATTGTTACTCTTGAATTTGACCCACTGACTGCCACTGCTCCAAAATGGAACCCCCACGCTGTCACTGGTGTGGACAAATTGCATGACTTAGGCTACACTGGTAAGGATGTTGTTATTGGTGTGGTTGATACTGGTGTTAACTATAACCATCCTGCCGTCGGAGGTGGACTTGGTGAAGGTTTCACCGTTATTGGTGGTTGGGACTTCATGGAAGACCCTAACAACCCCAAACCAGACCCTATGGACTGCGCTGGACATGGTACTTTCGTTTCCTCTGTCATTGTCGCCAACACTGCTACCATGTTGGGTGTTGCTCCAAATGCCAAAATCAGAATGTACAAAGTTTTCGGATGCTCCTCGTCTACAACTGACGATTACATCCTCGCTGGTTTATTGAAGGCTTACTCAGAGAAACCTAACGTGATCTCTTTGTCTTTGGGTTCCGACAGTGGTTACAACAGTGCCCCTCTCTCTCTTGTTGCTGACACTATCTCTGAGACAATTCCTATTGTTTATGCTGCAGGAAACTCTGGCCAGGTCGGAGTTATGCGTGCTTCTCCGGGCGCATCTGCCAAAGGTGCGATCGCTGTCGCAGCAACCGAGGCTAAAGAGCTTGTTGCATGGCCAGCAAAGATCACTTCTTCTGGTGGAGAAACCCTCGACTTCACTTATGTCTCTCAAAATGGTGCTGTTTTCCCTCTCGACAAGACTTTCGACGTTGACTACCAGCCAAATGCCTGTTTTGTGAGATCCGATCCATCTCACACCGGTAAGTTCTTGATGGCTCCAAAAGGTTCGTGTATTAGCAACTTCTTGCTTAACAACATGATTGGTGCTGGTTACACTGGTGCTGTTTTATTCACTTCAGACATCAGATATTTGAGACTTGACATTCTCCCTTCGTACACCTTCCAATACGCTGCAGCCACTGACACTGACGTGGGTGCCTGGGTTGCAGCTCAAATCAAAGCTGGAAACACCTTGAAGGTGACTTTTGATAGCAGTGCTGAAATTGAAACAAAGGAAAAGAAATACTTGGAGGCTGGTCAAATCAACTACTACACCTCGTGGGGTCCTACTTTCGAGAACAACTTTTACCCTACTGTCGCTGCTCCAGGTGGTGACGTGATCGGTGCTGACTCTGATGGAGGATACTACGTTGCTAGTGGTACTTCCTTTGCAACTCCATACATTTCCGGTGTTCTTGCACTTTACTTGGGTGCCTTCCCAGGTACCGATCCACAAGTGTTGAGAAACAAGGTCATTGCTGCCACCAACCTCTTGGACAAGTACGTTTTTGGAAACGTGAACAGTGACGACACCTCTACCATTGATCACAGCCAGTTTGCTCCACTTATTCAGCAAGGTGCTGGTCAGATTGATGCTGTGCGTTTGTTTGAAGGAAAGACCAGAGTGATTTCCAGCCCATACCTTGAGCTTAACGACACCCAATACAGAGTGAGCGAGCACACCATCACTTTCATCAACGAAGGTGACTCTCTGGTTACTTACGACATCACCCATTCTGGTATGAATGCTGTTGCCTTGAGAACTTCTTCTAACTTGTACCCTAATGTCTACTATCCACCAAGTTTGAATGCTCAGCCAGTGGCCACAATCTCAACTGATTCCATCACCCTTGGACCAGGAGAGTCAGGATCGTTCACTGTGGACATCAAGGCACCTGATGGAATTGACAACGGAGTTGCTCCCCTCTTGCAAGGTTACTTCACCATTAGTGGTTCCAACGGTGACGGCTTGAGAGTTCCATACATCGGTGTTGAGGCTAAGACAAACGACTGGACCCCATGGATAAACATGTCATCATATTCATCAGAAACAGTACCTGGAACCGAACTCCCTGTTTGATTGTAATCGGTGAGAGGGATTCCGTCTGTATTCGATGATGATCTCTGGTGAGCAGGCTCAGGCATCAATGGCCCTTTAGCATTTGGATTGGGGTGGAAGGTTCCACTGTTGTCATAATATCCCATATCATTGTCATTTGCTCTTTCGGAGTACGTTGGAACATAAGCGTTTGGCATATCAGGGTCTCTCCTGGTAGGTTGATTATACTGGTCTTGTGATTGCAAATAAGAAGGTGGTGTCATCCATCTGGTTCCATATAAGGGTTGAATGCCTTGTCTGCTTCTGGCTCTGTTGATTCTCAATGTTCCGATGATAACAATAATTATCAACACGATGAAAATGGCGAAAAATGCCCAACGAGCTCCTCCACCCCAATCATTACCATAGTAAAGATCTCTCTTTAATTCCTTTGAGATAATTTCGGGATGAACTGGCATTTAAGAAGCTGAAATTGTCGTTCAGAATCGAAAAAGGTGGCGTGGATATTCCAAGAAAGTATATGTCGGATAATGTGGAAGTCACTTGACTTCATGAAATGAACATAGAAAGCTATAAACTACGCAAGAGGTTGGATCAATACCTTTGGGATTTGCAAACAGTTTGCCTTCGCTGTTTTTACTATTCCTGCCTGATTTATTTTAAACTACTAAAAAGTCCCTTAAACTGATATTCTAGGTACTTAATGTAAATCAATTCCCAAAAAATCAATCGCTCCTTCCCACTAGATGAACTTGCAGTTGGCCAAGTCACCAAGAAACGCCCAGCAAAGTTTCAGGATAGCTCTTTTACATATATACGCCAGCCTTCAATGAGCAGTTCATCAAGGCGAAGGATTAGTGGGATTAGTGGGATTAGTGGGATTAGTGGGATTAGTGTGACCCCTGATCACCTGAATGTGTTGTTGCACTTACATAACAGCCTGGAGCCAAGCCTTCCTTATAACACAGACTCGTATCACTCAGCAATCAAATAATAAAACTCGGTTTCCTACTTGATGGCCTCTATGCGAGACTCCACTTGCATTGAAATACGACAGAGATGCTGACTTGTTCTACTACCTCGATTACAAGGAATTTACTTTCAAGCCTAGTGCATACGACTCGCCAGAGGTCTATTTCAACATCAGATACGGTACCAGAATGTACTCGTTTGATCTTGTGGACGCCGACTACGATCTCAAGGACTACGTGTTTCCGCCAGTATCCGGCGAAAACGGATACCACGGCCCAATTCAATCTACTCCTGATGTTACTGGTAGCACCATGACTTTCCCAATGGAGTACCCACCATGGTTCACTTCTGTCGGGTTCATTAGTTTCCAGGGATTTGCTGAAGGAAAGAAGTTCAAATCTGGACGTTACAGACTCTTGTACAGAACTATTCCAATGTTCGGAGATATCAATAAGCCAGAGGACTGGCAATTGTTCCTCTCTCACCCATTCATTGTGGATGAAGGCGAAGAATCATCATCTATCGAAGCTTCCCTGTCTGCATTGGAATCTCTGAGTGTCGAGGCTTCCTCTTCAGTCCCATCACTGAGTGCCGAGGCGTCATCCGAAGTCCCATCGCTGAGTGTTGAGGCATCATCTGCTATCCCCTCCCTGAGTGCATCCAGTTCCGTTCCTGAAGGTGCTCTCTTCACTGCCGCTCCACTCAAGAATGATGTTGTACCAACTGGTGGAAAGTACATTACCAATATTGTCATCAGGGATAGAATTACTGGTTCCAATAATGCTCGCAAAGAGGACAGATTCCAGATCGATGTTACTATTAAGAGCAAGGACCGGATTCCACTCGGTACTACTACCCAATTCACCATTCCAAGTGTCTTCTATGGTTTCGAGTCTGACTTTAAGGTGCTGACGGAAAATAGTGGACAAGGTGCACTGGTTCACGGAGACCCAGAGACTAACGTTTTCACAATTACTTTTAACAGTGTGTTCACGCTGCAGAGTGTGGACATTGAGGGAACCTTCAGCTTCTTTGTTGACTTGAGACACCTGGGTCCTGGTGCCCAAAAGAGGGATGAAAAGATTTTACAATTGACTTCACCTTTCGTGCAACCATTGGTGTTCACCACTCCAGATGACGAGTTCACTGCCGAACTTACTTTCGATAAATACCCAACCGACAAGGCATATATGGCTGCAAGATTGGTTGAGGGCAACGCAGAGTGGAATGTGTACATGCCTGGACCGTTCGATACAGTTTCTATCGCTTCGACGCCAGATTGGAATTACAACTTCGTTTGTCAGGGTGCTTCTGTTGTTGTGGGATCTGACCTTGACGCTTTTGGATTTTTGATTGGAGGAGATGAAGTTGAATTCACTGGATGCGGAGCTAACCACCTTGGTTCCACGATTTCACAATCTGTTCCTGAAGGCTCCATTCTCCGCTTGCAATTATCCGGAGCTCCATCCTTACCTGACTTCACTAACTTTGTCTCCACGTTCCAAGTTTCGGGCACACGTGGAGGATCTAACTTCAACTTCTACTTGCAAAACGGACTTTATTCGAGCGAGATCCCATCGCCTGACAATTATGTGCTCAGCGGTAGATGGTATGTTCCTCCAACCTCTAGTCTGGAGATAGTCGAGTCTCTGAGCGCTGTTGAAATTGTTAGCTCCTCTTCTGCAGAGGCTCCTTCAACATCTTCAGGTCCAGAACCTGCCCTCTTCACTGCAGAACCAATCAAGAACAGTGCTGTACCTACTGGTGGAAAGTACATTACCGATATTTCCATTAGAGATGCTGTTACCTATTCCAGTAGCGCTCGCAAGGAGGATAAATTCGAGATTCAAGTCACTGTGAAGAGCAAGGACCGGATTCCACTCGGTACCACCACTCAGTTTACCATTCCAAACATCTTCTACGACTTCCAGGAGGACTTCCCCATTCTGACATTAAACGGTGGAGCTGGAGCTCGTGTCACGGCAGACCCAGAGACGAACGTTTTCACCATCACTTTTGACAGTACATTCTCCCTGGAGAGTGTTGACATTGAGGGAACATTCATTATCTACGCAAAATTGAGATTCCTGGGTCCTGGAAATTCAAAGCGTGATGAAGAGACGTTGCAATTCACTTCTCCATTTGTGCAACCATTGGTATTCACCACTCCGGATGACGAGTTTACGGACGAACTTACTTTCGACAAATACCCAACTGATCAAGCATATGTTGCATCACGCATTGTTGACGGCGACGGAGTGTGGGACGTCTATGTGCCTGGACCATTCGAATCAGTTACTTTTGATACTTCGCCAGATTGGAATTACAACTTCGTCTGTCTGGGTGCTTCTGTTGTTGTGGGATCTGACCTTGACGCTTTTGGATTTTTGATTGGAGGAGATGAAGTTGAATTCACTGGATGCGGAGCTAACCACTTTTCTACTACCATTTCACAATCTATTCCAAAGGGTTCAGTTCTCCGGTTGCAATTGCAAGGTACTATGTCCTTACCAGACTTCGTTAACTTCGCCATCATCTTCCAAGTTTCGGGCTTACGTGATGGAGAGGAATTCTTTAACTACTTGCAAGACACAATTTATGCTGGAGCCGTTTCTCAACCTGACAATTATGTGCTCAGTGGTAGATGGTACGTTCCTCCAACCACTAGTCTGGAGGTTGTTGTTTCCCTGAGCGCCATTGATGTTGCCAGCTCTTCCGCAGAGTTTGAGAGCCTGATTGATGTTTCCTTGTCCTCTGCAGTTCCAAGTGCTGGTTCTTCAGACGTTTCAGTTTCCGAAATTTCCAGCATTTCACAGCCTTCTGAATTGAGCTCAGAATCGGTCTCTGTTACAGAATCCGAGGCAGTCCACGGATCTAGCAGCGAGCAAATCTCTGCTACCGGCGAACCTTTGTCGTCCGACTCAGCTCCATCTGGAGAATCATCTCAATTGAACTCCAGTGGTACCTCTTCCGCTGAGGTGACCGATTCCGCATCTGCAAGTGCTACCTCCAGCGATGGAAATGCTACATCTGCTGGTGTTACTTCTAGTGCTGAAAACGCACAGTCTTCTGGTGTTGCTTCTAGTGCCGAGAACGCACAATCTTCTGGTGTTGCTTCTAGTGCTGAAAACGCACAGTCCTCTGGTGTTGCTTCTAGTGCCGAGAACGCACAATCTTCTGGTGTTGCTTCTAGTGCTGAAAACGCACAGTCCTCTGGCGTTACCTCTAGTGCCGAGAACGCACAGTCTTCTGGTGTTACTTCTAGCGGTGCTCAATTGAGTTCTCAAGCCACTCCTGAGACTAGCTCTTCTGAATCTACATCCTTGTCTACCGCTGCCCCATTGGTCAATGCCGCTACCTTGACTGGCCTTGATATCATTTCCAATATTGCTGTTCATGACAACTCAACTGGTACTTTGGACGGCCACAAGGACCATCTCTTCACCGTCAATGTCACAGTTCTGAGTGTGAACTCTATTCCATCGGGATCCATTGCTCAGTTCACTGTTCCAGAAGTCTTCTACGGTAACTTGAATCCATTTGATGTTTACTCTCGCGACGGTGAATATGTGGGAACCGTCTCAAGTGACGACTCTAATGTGTTCACTATCCTCTTCGATGGTGATTTCGGTCTGACGAACACTAACATTGAAGGTTCTTTCACCTTCAATCTTAAGTTGAGATACACCACTGCACTCGCCAAGCGTGCAGAGTTGTCGTTGGATCTTAGCAGACCGGTTGTTCAGCCATTTGTTTTCAACACTGTTTCATCCGCTTTCACTGCCACTATCGTTTTCGCTGACGTTTCACTGGATGAGGTTGTTGGTGACGTGCTTGTTGGTGATGTCTATGTATTCGTTGGTGACGCTATCACGGGTGTGTCTAGTTCTGCTATTACCACCGGATACTCCGCACCATTCTCATACTCCAACAACACTGTTACTGCCACTGAGACTGGTACATCTCTCGTCACTGTCACTTCCTGTGCTAATGGTAACTGTCATGGAACTTCCAAGCTGACTTCGAAGGCTTCATCTGCTGTTGCACCAACTACGGTCTCGGTAACCAAGGATCTGACCGTGATTGTGACCATCACTTCTTGCTCTAATCACGTCTGTGTTCCAACCACGTCTAAGGCTTTGGCTTCCATTGCAACCACCACTGTCCATGGCGAGGTTGTCTTGTACACCACTTACTGTCCACTTAGCAGTGAGACCGGTGAGAAGGCTGCCCAGGAGACTTCTGGATCCGCCAACTCTGGATCCAACTCGGGCTCTAACGCTGGTTCTGCCAACGCTGGTTCCAACTCTGGCTCTAACTCTGGTTCCAACTCTGGTTCTAACTCTGGTTCTAACGCTGGTTCTGCCAACGCTGGTTCTAACTCTGGTTCTAACGCTGGTTCTGCCAACGCTGGTTCTAACTCTGGTTCTAACGCTGGCTCCAACGCTGGTTCTGGCTCTAACGCTGGTTCCGGACCTGTTGGCTCTGGACCATCTGGTGTTTACGCCTCTCAAGTACCTGGCGCTAAGTCTATTCACATAGATACCGGCTATTCGATCTTGCCAACCGTTACTAAGGCTGAGGCTCCAAAGTCAACTTCGTCTACTATCACTAATGCAGCTCCAACCGTATCTCTCAACGAGAACAGCGCTCTGGGAAGTTTCAACTCCAGATCTTTGACTGCCATTTTTGTTGGATTATTGTCTCTTGTTATGACTATTGTTTAGTCTGACTGGATTTTTATTTTCGATACTTTCTGATTTCTTTTAGCCATTCATAAAACTTTCAATAAACAGTGCTACAAGTGAACTCAACTTTCCTTCCTCAAAAATGGAACCACATCAAACAAAAGACATTCATATTTTTGAGTCGTTCTCGGAAAATAATTATACAGATTCGGAGAAGCTATCAGGTTTCCGACGAAAAGTTTTCCTTGCGAAGTACCTCGATGAACATAGCTATCTCGAAAAGACATTTTCTAGAGGACCAACTCAAATCCATTAGCTGACTAGACTTCTCCCCCTCTTGATACTATTTTTTACCTAAGAGTTTCCCTTCATTTGTTATTCTGTTTGTGACAGGAGATACCCCACAGTGTCCCACCTTGCAACCTGCACTCCTTACCCACCTTCCCTTTTCAGAAGTCCTACGCTTATCTGTTCAGTCTCAATTTCAAAAATATCAATGCCAGCCCATCTACTATCTTTCTTTATTGAATATGATGCAATTGGACGTTGAGCAGCTTTTGATAGACCTTACCCTTCTGGAGAAGATCTCACTTCTTGCGGGTTTGAACTCATGCCAAACTGTGAAGGTTGACAGATTAAACATTCCTGAAGTCCGTGTCTCGGATGGACCCAACGGAGTTCGTGGAACAAGGTTCTTTAACTCAATTCCATCCAATTGTTTCCCATGTGGAACTGGAATGGCTTCCACCTTCAACAAAGATTTGCTCTTGGAGGCCGGAAAGTTGATGTGCAAAGAAGCCAAGATGAAAAGCATCCACTGCATTCTTGGTCCCACTTGTAACATTGCACGTGGACCATTAGGAGGAAGAACATTTGAATCATACTCGGAGGATCCGGTGTTATCTGGTATTATGTCAGCGGCCATTATCAACGGAATCCAGCTGGGAAATGTGGTTGCCTGTTTGAAGCACTTTGTTTGTAATGACCAGGAAGAAGACAGAAACGGCGTTGACACTATTGTCACCGAGAGAGCTTTGCGTGAGGTGTACTTGAAACCTTTCCAGATTGCTGTGCGTGATGCTAACCCGGGAGCCATGATGATTGCCTTCAACAAGGTGAATGGAGAGCATGTTTCTCAAGACAAGAAGTTTCTTCAGGACGTCTTGAGAAAGGAATGGGAATGGGATGGCTTGACAATGTCAGACTGGTTTGGAACTTATACCACCAAACAAGCCCTCGAGGCTGGTTTGAACTTGGAGATGCCTGGGCCAACCAGAATGCGTCAAGAAGTCCAGACATCGCACATGGTGGTCTGTAATGAAATTCACAGAGATGTCATAGATGACAATGTTCGCCATGTTCTCAAGTTCATCAATAACTGTCTAATGGCAGAGATTCCTGATGATTTTGAAGAAACTGAGAATACCGACCCTGCTGCTTCAACTCTCTTGCGTCAAATTGCTGGCGAATCTCTTGTGTTGCTAAAGAACGAAGATAATATTTTGCCATTGAGCCCAGAAAATGAAGTAGGAAATGAACTTATTGCAGTGATTGGACCAAACGCAAGAGCCGAGAGAAATTCAGGAGGTGGCTCTGCTTCAATTCGTACGAGATACACTATCACTCCCTTCGAAGGAATCCTAAACAAAGTGAAAGAGCGTGCTGGTGATAATGCTGTTATTATCGAGCATTCACTTGGTGCTTACTTGGATAAGACAATGCCAGATATTGGAAACATTTTAACCCGTGAGAATGGTGAGAAAGGTTTTACAATTAAATTCTTTAGGGAACCTCGTGGATCTCCAAACAGAGGTGAGCCATTTGATGTTGTTTTATCCGACTCTACCAAGATGTTTTTAACCGACTACAGTTCCTCAAAGTTACCTGCTGGAACCCATTTATTCTACGCTGATATTGAAGGTTATTTTACACCTGAAGAAACCTCAGCCTACGAGTTTGGTTGCTCATGTTTGGGAACTGCTCAAATGTTTGTGGACGATGAACTTGTTGTTGATAATAAAACGCACCAGGTGAAGGGTGATGCCTTTTTTTTAGGATTGGGTACTCGTGAGGAGAAGGGCCAGATAGATTTGGAAAAAGGCAAAAAGTACAAATTGAGAGTGGAATTCGGAACTAGTCCTACCAGCAAGCTACTTGCTGGAGTTCACGACACTGGAGGAGTCTTCTTTGGAGCGCAGATCAAGACTACTGATGAGGTGGCTTTGGAGAAAGCTCTCGATCTCGCCAAAAGAGCAGACAAGGTAGTCTTGGTTGCTGGATTATGCAAGGATTGGGAATCTGAAGGTTACGATAGGAAAATTATGGAAGTTCCAGGCTGGACAGATAAATTGATTGCTGAAGTGTGCAAAGTGAACCAAAATGTTATTGTCGTAAATCAGTCTGGATCTCCAATTTCCATGCCGTGGATAAACAAGGTGAAGGCACTTGTCCACGCATGGTACGGAGGTAACGAACTAGGCAACGCAATCGCTGACGTGCTCTTTGGTGATGTCAACCCCAGTGGAAAATTGTCACTCACGTTCCCGGAAAAATTGGAGCATAATCCATCTTTTTTGAACTTCGGCTCTACCAACAGTCGTGTCTTGTATGGAGAGGATGTTTTTGTGGGCTACAAGTATTATGAGAAAGTAGACAGAAAGCCATTATTTCCTTTTGGTTTTGGACTTTCGTACACCACTTTCGCTTTCAACAATATCCAGACTGTCATCGATGGAGATCACATTGTTGCCAATTTGGATGTTTCCAACACTGGTGAAGTAGACGGTGCTGAGGTTGTACAATTGTATGTGAAGCCTCAGAATCCAAGTATCATCCGTCCCGTTAAGGAGCTCCGCGACTTTGGGAAGGTTTTCTTAAAGTCTGGTGAGACGAAAACGTTGACATTGAAGACTTCTCTCTTGGAGGCAACCTCATACTGGGATTCTTACCAGAAGAAATGGTTGTCTGAAAAGGATACTTACACCATTATTTTGGCAACTTCATCAGACAAAGTTGTTGGTCAGTCAGATATAACAACCGTGGCTGACAAGTTCTGGCTGGGATTGTAAGTTGTCTTGTCAAAAAGAAAAGTGAGTAACTACTGATATTTCTGAAATGTATAGCATCCAAAAACCTGACTGAATATGATTTGAAAGGAAGATAATGTTTGTTGGGATTGTACTGAGAATAAACAGCCTCCTCACTATCCAAAAGTAAATAGAATCACACTGGATTTAGCAACAAAATCAAGCTAATTGAATACAAAAAGAGCTGATAATTAGCATTGACAATATTATTCTCAGTACCCCATTAAGAAAAGAAATACTTGATCAGCAAAGCAACCTGATACCTCCGATGTCAAAGTGATATTTGACTGCAAGTTACAGAGATATCTCAATGCTGATTCTTAGGATTATCATAACATCCTACCGAATTCATAATAATGACTCATGATGATTACTGTTTCCAATCACACTACTGCATGTGGCGACTTCAACCCCATCTTCCATGCATACAGGGTACATATATAGTACATAGGATTAGCAACTGCTAAACCTCCTATGCCTAAAAAGTCCAGAAAAAACCAAACTAATGACAATGATGAGGACCAGATCGTGGCAACCTCACAAGTCTCAAGATTTCATAAGGAAACCTTGACGACCTTGTCGAAAGATATAGATTTGAAAACAGTGAATATCACCGCTGGACTTAAGGACTTGATTGTAGATTCTGATCTCAGGCTCTTCGAGGGAGTAAAGTACGGGGTAATTGGACCAAATGGCTGTGGGAAGACAACTTTGCTCAAGTGTATCGGCTACAAAAGGATTCCAGGAATTGCTTCTAATCTCAGAACGTTGTATGTGGAACAAATTGGCATTGAGGACGAGAACGTTTCCGTGCTAGAGACCGTGTTGCGTTCAGATAAGGCTAGAATAGACTTATTGAGGCAACAAGGTATTTTGGAGAATGCTCTAGAGTCTGAAGATAGCCTAACTATTCGCAAGGCAATACACTCGATTAATCTCATAGATCGCCAACACGAGTTGCGGGCTGCTCAGAAAATCGCAGCAGAAAGGTCTGGAGCTAGAGGTTTTAGGGCTAGAAAAGAACTTGTGGAGCAGGAAAAGTTGATGGAAGAAATGGAAACGTTGCGAATTGACGACTCATGCGTGGGAGAAGATGATGTCGAGCAAGCTCAGGAAATGTTAAATGAAATCACAGAGAGCTTAGCTGTATATGAGAGTGAAGAACTTCTCAAGGCTAATGCAATCAAAATTTTGACTGGTTTAGGGTTTTCGACTAGAATGCAGACTGAGCCCACTTCTATGCTTTCAGGAGGTTGGAAGATTCGGGCTTCATTAGCTTCTGCCTTACTTATCAAGCCAAACATCTTGCTTCTAGATGAGCCAACCAATCATTTGGATTTGCCTACCGTATTGTGGCTCCAGAACTACCTTTCACTGTTGGAAGGAGTTACTTTGGTTACGGTGTCACACAACCGTGCCTTTCTCAATGCTGTGGCTGAAGAGATGATAATCGTCAAAGATTGTCACCTTGAATACTTTGTGGGAAATTACGATGAGTATGTTGCAGACCATGCTGAGAAACAAGCTCATCTTGCCTCGAAAGCGGAAGCAGTGGAAAAGAAAAAGGAGGCTATAACTCTGAGTGTGGAGAAAGCATTGGCTAATGCAAAGAAAAGCGGTGATGACAAAAAAGTGCAGAGTATGGTTTCCAAAAAGAAGAAGCTCGATAGATTGGGAATGGATGTCAATGAAAAGGGCCACAGATTCAAATTGAATAGAGATCGTGCTGGCTACCATCTCGACATTCGAGACGATATTGTGGTGGAGAAAGAGCTAGTGCCTGACAATTGGAAGGTGGAGCAACCGTACAAATTGCGTTACTCCGGTGATATCTTGGTAATGAATAACGTGGGGTTCAGATATGATAAGAATGTCATTTTCGGCCGGGTCAACTTCAGTGTCGGTCAGCGAGCCAGAATTGCCATAGTTGGAGCTAATGGAACGGGTAAATCAACTTTCTGCAAACTCCTAACCAACGAAGCACTTCCTAGCGTTGGAACCATTGAGCGTCCTGGTAATCCCACAATTGGAAGTTTCGAGCAGTTCAATGTCGAGTCTTTCCTCAAGAAGTATGATGAAAGCGTTACTCCATTAGCAATTATGATGGAAATGTACCCTGACAGAAAAGAAGCACAATATAGAAATTGTTTAGGAAAGTTTGGAGTGCGAGGGAATACCGCCATCAAGCCGCTACGGATGCTTAGTGGAGGTGAAATGGCCCGAACCAAGTTGGCTCTCAACTTCTTTGAGCTGTCTCCACATTTGCTCATCTTAGATGAGCCTACTAATCATTTAGATATGCTTTCAATCGAATCTTTAGCTGAATTGATCGACAAATACGAAGGTGCTGTCATTGTTGCTTCTCACGATCAGTTCTTTGTCTCCAAGATTGCAAAAGAGATTTACACGTTCGATAAGAAACAATTGAAGAAGCTTGAGAGCATGGAGTCGTACGTTTCCAAGTTAGGTATGGCATGAAAAAAATTAATAATGAAGACAAAAGATTTAGTGTCATCAATTTACTTATTTATCATCTTATTAAGACCTAGATAATGCACCATATGAGGTAATAATTGTCCAATAACTGGACGTTGTGGTTTCTGCAGGAGAAATTGATAAGCCTCCACTTTCTCAACCCCCACCCCCACCAATTATCAGTATCTATAATAATTGTCAAGAATTAAGAAGCAAAGGAAAAATAAACAGAATTGATCTGTATTTTTGTTCTTATCAACCAATCTTCCGACCTTATGCATCCATCACTGTGTTTTGAAACGGCTGTCCCCCACACATGCATGCACGATTTCGGAGAATATCAGCCGGTTTAGTGATAAAATTCCGCGCCATATATATAGCCACAACCAGCCATGAATGGAAACCCAGATGGCCATATATACTGTTGCTGCGTTGCAGATCGGCGCTGCCAAAGAAGGATCCGCTAAAACGGTCGAGAAGATTTTGAGCTATGAGCAAGAGTTGATTGACAAAAAAGTCAAACTTGTGGTGCTTCCTGAGGCAACAATTGGTGGATATCCTAAGGGTAGCCAGTTTGGTACATACTTGGGCTATAGACTTCCAGAGGGCCGCAAGGATTTTGTTGAGTACTATAATCAGTCAATTTTAGTTCCAGGCCCCGAGATTGCTCAGTTGGAAGGTTTGAGTCGCAGAACTGGCACTATCATCGCTGTTGGAGTCATCGAGCGTGGAGGAAGCACCTTATATTGCACACTTGTCTACATTGACCCAACCAAGGGATATGTTGGAAAGCATAGAAAGTTGATGCCTACCGCCACCGAGAGATTGGTCTGGGGACAAGGTGACGGACTGACCCTCTACGTTGCAGAGTCCAAGGAATTGGGAAACATTGGAGGAGGTATATGCTGGGAGAACTACATGCCATTGTACCGTGCATCCATGTATGCTAAGAATGTCAGTGTGTACATTGCTCCCACAGTGGATGACAGAGAAATCTGGGCCTCTTTGGTTAAAACAATTGCTGTGGAGGGCCGTCTGTTCGCCATTAGCGCTGTGCCCTATTTGCCATGGGAGGCTTCCACCAAGGAGCTTCCTGGATACACAAGAGAACAGCCAATCAACGGAGGCTCGTTAATTGTCGATCCCTACGGAGAAGTTTTGGCCGGTCCATTCACTGGCGAAGAAGGTTTGCTCACTGCTGAAGTGGATATGGATCTTATCCAAGAGGCCAGATACGACCTTGATCCTGCTGGTCACTACACACGCCCAGACGTGTTCCAGTTGACTGTAGATGAGAGACCTAAGGGTACTGTTTTCCAGCAGTAGATTAACAATTAACAAGGTAATCTGGAGCATTACTTCTCATCATCTTTAGATTTTTCTGTATAAAGACATTATACAATCTGAAAGCAAAAACAACGTAAAGGAGTATTTGGACAGAGCGAACACCGACAAGTTGCTCTCTCCATATCAATTCTATCAAGATGTCAAATGCATTTTCACCTTGACTGGCCCGAGCATATATTAGCGATATTCATGATAAGGAATACTTGAAAAAGATTCGACCATAAATGCTAGTTAGATGATTTTTCGAATGTTACAAACACTCATTCAACAATTTTCTCCTACCATTTCGTATTTCTTACCCTTTGGGGTCTAATTGGTTGTCTACATGATGAAGTCTTTATATACAGGAGTGACAGGGTCTCAAGTACATTGAACGTCTTGTCAACAATCGCCATGTCAATATTCTAAAACATTGTGTTGTCACAAATTAATAGATTCTTGCGCCATATTGAGGTGCCAAATGACACTCTAACGTGTCTCACCATGCTCAGTAGTCCAGACATAGAACCTCTACTGCTGGCCTTACACCAATGGGGCTTCTTCTCTTACTATGGGTACTGGGGCATTCCTAACTTAACAATCTGGACATGGAGCACAGGAAGTGCGTTGGTAGATCTAGGGCTAAACGTGAAACATGCTATGGGCGCTATTACGTTGGCAAACCTACTCATATCTATGTACATTTGCTTGAATTCAGTGGCTGGAACTCGCTATCGAATAGGATTTTCTGTCTCACAGCGAATGGTTTTTGGAATCTACGGGTCGATATTCTCCATAATAGTCCGGTTCATGTTATCTTTGATTCTCTACGGTGCACAATCATGGCTAGGAGGTATTCTGTTGGTGGTTGCGTTGTCTGGATTCAGCAGGCTGTTTCTAAATATGAAAAACACCTTCAGCTTGGGTCTCAATATGACCACAAGGGATTTTTGTGGATTTTTGGTGTTTAATATCGTGCAGATGGCCTTTTTGCTTTCCAAACCACACAAAATTGATAGATTACTTGTCTATTCATGTGGGGCAACATTCGTGGCTTTTATCACGATTTTGGGATTGTGTATTTCGAACAACCATGGTCTTGGGCCATTATATCACCAACGTGTCAACATGCCATCTGAAAGAACATTTTGGGCGTGGCTATATGCGATTGCCACTTGGTACGGTGCTCTTTCGCCTGATATAATGAACCTGAACGATTTTTCCCGTTATGCCCGGTCTCCAGAACGTATGAATTGGGGCACAGTGGCCGCAATAATGACGACCGGAAGTTTTGTCCCCGTGGCTGGATTACTCTGTGCTTCTGCTACTGAGGGAACGTACGGTACTCCGCTATGGTTGCCTACAGACATTATTCTACGATGGCTTCAGGAGACCTACAGCACCAAAAACAGAGCCATCGCTGTCATTTTTGGACTCATCTTTTGCTCATCACAATTATCGTTCAATATAGTCGCTAATGGATTTGCAGGAGGCATGAGTATAGCTGGGATAATTCCAAAGTATGCCACAATAAGGAAAGGGGCATTTATTACCGCATTAGTTTCATGGGCAGCTCAGCCGTGGAACTTTTACAATAGCTCGTCCGTTTTCGTAAAGCTGATGAGTTCTATCGGTGTGATCACAACGCCAGTCATCGCATTGTCGATAGCAGATTTCATGGTCATTCGGAGGTCAGTTATACGAGTTCAGCACTTGTACTCTTCGTCTCCAGAAGACTCGTTTTATTTCTGGAAGGGTTTCAACTTGCGGTCAATTGCAGTATGGCTTGGGGGTGTGGCTATCGGATTACCTGGAATGATCTTCAACTTTTCATCGCACGTAAAACCTGACGTCGCATTGAAATTATTCTTCGGACATGCACTTTTCTCTTTCGTTGGAACTTTTATAGCTTATCTTGCTGTCTGCTACGTGTTCCCTCCGGTCGAGCAATGGGAAAACACCTTCCTGAGATTTGTTCGGGATGTGTTTAGCCAGGTTTCGAAACAGAAAGCAGTTGCGACGAACACAGACGAATGGTCAAATGAGGCACGAGAGATTCGATATGAAGCGGAGAGTGAATCATCACTGAGGAAACGAACTTAATGAAGGATATGAAATTACCCTGAAGGGGACACGTATTCCAATATTTCTTAGTGGAATTCTCGGGGAACTTCAGTGACATGCTGGAATCCGTTTTTTGTTCTTTTAACTGAGTGCTTTACCATCCACAAGTATCTCCACCATCTTGAACACTTCCAAAGAGACACATCTGAAAAAACAACGGACACTAAAAGATATATTTAATTACCCAATAATAAAATCCACTGCTTTTTGAGTCCGAACATTGAGGACTCTGATTTTACAAACACCCTACGTGTATTTAAGTAAATTTCCAGATTACAATGCTCCAAGATTGGTAATTTCATTGGTAAGCTTCCGAAATAGAGCGCCGTACCTTCTTCATTGCTTTTCCAACTTACAACTCTAGTTCATAAATTTCGAGGTTTTCCAATCATGTCAAATGTCTGTTTATAAGCTCTGTAGATCATTCGCACCATGCACACCTGACAACTGATACTAGGTGTGGTCTAAAGAGTCATATCAAGCCAGCTAATTGATAGCGTCGCTGCCCAAGCAAATTTCTGCCATGGTCTTGCATCCCAGTGAAGACAGCAGAGGTGTTGACACCATGACTGGAGATCCCACCAATGATGGCCACACAAGTAACCACCCATCTAAATCAAAGAGAATCAAGACACTCTCATGCCAAAGATGCCGGGCCAAGAAGTCCAAGTGTGACAATAGCCTGCCTTGTGCTTCATGTGTCAGAGAGGGAGTGGAGTGTGTTCGAATCACCAGTGATAAGCGGAAGGAACGATACAAGAACGACTACACTGAAAAGCTCCAGAGTAGGGTGGATACTTTGGAGAAGACTCTTGCTTCCGTTCGCCATATCATCGACGGAGCAAGAACGCCGTCCATTTCCACTTTTGGGTCGCCTGTAGACTCTCTCACGACCGATGATCTGGCCTTGAACATGCGTGGAGTCTCTCACAATTCAACCAACAATGAGAGCCCTCGAAATTCCCAGAACATGTCCGTGTACGGACCCACCAGTGTGTTTGAGCACCATTTGGTCGATGGAGTGCGTAACGAGACCCATATTGAGGAGATTTTAAGACTCCAGAAAGACCCTCATGTCGTTCAGTCAATTAAGCTTTTCTTTCGGTGGCAGTACCCAGACCTTTACTCTTTTGTAGTTCGGGAAGCATTCCTTATTGAGTTTTTCACACCAATTGCTCGGCCCGTCTACTGCTCTACGGAATTGGTGTTGGCAATTTGTGCGTTGGGGTCGAGAATGTCTACGGACCCGCTTCTATCTGAGAAATCCATGCAATATTATTCGGAAGCAAAAGCATTAGTGCTTAGGAGAATGGACAAGGCTGAAATTTCGACCATGCAAGCATTTTTGTTACTTGCATTCTTCGACATAAGTAATGGCAATAACACTTCAGGCTGGATGCTCTCTGGCTGCGGCATGCGAATGGGGTTTGATTTAGGATTCCAACTTGATCCTAAAATATGGTTCTTGAAGTCGAGCGGCACTCTCAGCGAATTGAGCAAGAGTATTCGCTCCAGAATATATTGGGGTTGTTATTTTGCCGACCACTTCATCAGTTTGGTGCTCGGCCGTCCTTCTATTCTAAAGCTTGCTGATTCTACTGTCCCAGAGACCCAGACATTACCTGATTACGATTGGATTACAGAGTATACATACTTGAGTCCTGGAGCAGACCCCAAAGATAAGAGGAATATCATAGACATATCTGCTCCTCTCAGACAACTAGTCCGGCTTCTCAATCTTTGTTCAGATATCCTCAACGATATTTTCACTAAAGGAGGAGACGAGACGTTCAATTTATCGGAGAAAGTCAAAAAGGTTCAACATTATAACCAGACCATCATATTGTGGAGGAAAAATCTACCCGAGGACCTACAATGGAGCAGGATCTCCTTGAGCATTCATGGTGATAATCCCACCAAGATGTTCATTCGTTATTTCTACTATATCTTCCTACTTTGCTTGAACCGGCCTTTTTTAGATGCTGCCAGTGGTGGAGCTGCGTCCGAGATGGAATCTCCATCACTAGCAATTTGTATGGAGGTGATCGATGATATCCAAGTTGGAGTATCTCGCTTCCAGTCAGTGCATGGGCTTGGCCGACTGTCAATTCTTCTCGTTTACTGTTGCATTCTTTCAGTGTCGGTGCTACTCATTGCGAACGTTAACAAGCCTGTCGATGTCGATTGTAAGAAAAGGCTTGAGTTCCACTTAACAGCGTTGCATCAATGCTCCAGCATTTGGTTATTAGCACAGAAGGCTTTAGGGCTCGTGCGCAATCAACTTGAACAATTGTTCCATGTCCAATCAGAGATTGTCGGTGATGTCGTTGAATTGCACGTTCCCGAAAGTCCATCAAACTCCTATGCTCCAGTGGAAGGAAATGCAACTCCAATGAAGCAGGAAGATCAGGCGCAAGGATTTTCGGGTGACTTGACACCATTTGATAATTTCGATGTATTCGGAGGTCCACCGCTATTGATGAATGCAGACATGATCAACCAAGAGTACGGAACATTATTTTCTGACTTCTTAATTAAAATTGATCTGCAAACGCAGGCCCATCCATGAATTATCATATAACACATTTATAGACTATGTATACGCCAGCCAGCAGAAGTAAAATTAATCAGTCCCTGATTTCATAAACTTCTTACCGCGACTCAAGAACTTCCGACCTAAGTTCGACGCAAAATGACCCGTTTCCATTTTATCCTTGACCAACGAAACCTTGCTACGAATCGAGGTGTGCCTTCTGATATCGCTATGTTGAGCATTCTGATAAGCTTGAGTGGCAATCTTACCAATTTGAATGTTTGGAGACGTCTCCGACGTCTTAAGGATCTCTTGAAGCCAATAGTTTAATCCAGTCTCATAGTTCATCTCATCTTCCTGAGCCTTTCTCAACATGTTGATACGGTCCACTGGCTGTGATACACTCATTATCTTTTTCCAGTTGAAGACTGGGTATATCAGTGATGATGGAGCCCTAGAGGTCGAAGCAATGGAAGTTTCACTAACTTTGCGAAGTTCACTAGGCGAATGCGCACCAGAAGAAAGCCTAGTTTCAGATTTAGTCAACTCGTTGGAAGGGAGATGATCAAGGGAAACGCCGGGGGTATTCGTTTCCTTGAACAAAGGAGATTCATAGGTATGATCATTGAGCACCGAAGCACCATTTGTTGCCACGGTATGAATATCCAGTTTTGATTGTATTTCGATGTCTTCATCTTGACCATCTTCGTCGATAACTGGTAGTGGGGCATCAATAGTTTCGGGGACAGACACCATACTCGAATTGGAGAACGATTCAGCGTAACCAGAAGGAGGACGCATTCCGGTGAACTTGTTATAATTAGAATCATCACCATTGTATATGCTCACATTCATCTGTGATTCATCGTCATTCAGAGTGACAAACTGATCGCGATACATATTTGTATTCGGCGTCCAGGAACCGAAGTTCATGGTTTGCGCCGATGCAGTTGATATCCTTCTATCCAAACCCTTGTGATCGGGGACAGGAGGAGGTGCCATAGGTAATGGTGCCTCAAAGGCAGAATTTCCAGTGGACAAAGATCCAGAAGAAATGACGGGCTCTAATTTGGATTCCGAGTCAAATTTAGAACTTGCAACCAGTTTCACCAGCTTGAGATCACTGTCAACAGCCTTAGGATCTTGTTCTTCCTGGACTTTGAGAGCTGTTGGAGGTGCCTTCCTCACAGAGGGAGAACGGCTCAGGACATTAGACAAAAAGTGTTCGTGCTTCTTCTGGAAATCCTGTGGCAATATATTTTTCTCTAAAGGAGTTGGCGCATCGGTGGCCGGGCCGTTCTCGAAGTCTGGCAACGAGAGATCGTGAATTGAGCTCAAAGAAGGCAATTCTTCTGGAACGAAATTGGCATCAAACTCTTGATCCTGATTTGGTGGAACGGTCTGTGATCTTGCATCAGCAACCTTACTAACCTCAGTTTGAGACAGATAGAGTGTGGACAGGCGTTCCATTTGCAGCAAGTCATTGATTAACGAGTCTAATGCATCAGTTTTGATAGGATGTCTCGACGTCGAATCACTCGATGTAACCCTTTCGGTCGGTCTCAACTCTCCCACCAAGTCCTCATTACTAGAGTGCTGACTGTTATATCCCCAGTCATCATCTTCATCAGAAGAGTCGACAATTCTAGCCTTGGCATGTTCAGCATCCACAATCTCCTCATAAGTTGGACCATTAGGGTTCTTGGAGTCGGCCAAAAATTCGTGGTCATGTCTGTATGACTCCTCATCAATACTAGCATCGTCATCAGAAGAATTGAGGTTCATATGGTCAACGGAGAACACCAAAGTTTCTGGAACATTGTCGGTTGCGGATGGGGCGGTGTTTCCATTTGGCAGCTCCTCTCTGATCTCATTCAAGCCACCATAAGCCAAGTTCAAGTTCTCCGGCTCTCTTTGGATGGAATCAGTATCCGAGATGTAGCTTCGATCTGATTGCGGAGTTTCAGGAGTAAAAGGCTGCTGCTGGGGCTTTAGAGAGAAGGTAGGAGTAGGGGGAAAGAAATCTGAGTCATCTTTTAAGCCTTGGGTGGAAATGGGAGCGAGATTGTTGGGAGGAGACTTCTTGGAAGACTGCCCAGCGTTATCTATTGTCTGCCCCGTACCACGTTCCTCGTCTCTGAATTCGTGAGTGCTTATATCATCTGCGTAGTGGTTGTGTTTTATATCATCCGCGTAGTGATGTGCGTAGTCACTGTTGGAGGCATTGCTTGCTGGCTCTCCATATGATTTTGGGTGGCTTTTATCAGCATACATCTCGTTGTAATCATTATAGTCATTCAGGTATTGCTGCTGGTAACTTTCCTGATAACTTCCATGAGATTCTTCTCCATAGCTTACCTGATGCTCGGCTTGATGTATATCTTGATGGTGATCTTCTTCCTGATTATCCGGCTGATTTTCCTGGTGGATCTCCTGGTGGATCTCCTGGTGGGGCTTCAAGTAGGTTTCCTGACTTTCTTGCTGGAATGATTTGTGGCTTACACCCTCGTCACCCGTTTTTTGCTCAGAATGCTGGCCGGTTCCATCGTCCGTTTCGTCATCCAGGCTATTGACAGATTGATTTATCTTGTCGATGGTGAGTACCAAGGGCGACGAGGCCGAAGTTGTAGATGAGATGTGGGAATTGGTAGAATTGACAGTCATAGGCACTGCCTTGGCCGTGACAGGTGGCTCTGGAGCCTCTTCGTCTACCTCGTTCAATGCTTCATCATAGTCGTATCCGTAGTCATCGTACTGATCGCCCCACGAGTCATAGGTCTGCGATTTAGATTTCACCCACCGCGTGGACGGTTGACGTGAAAATTCTTCTGGCATTTTTTGCAAGTAAGAAAGGATTATAGACAAAGATCAGAAAGAATGATGGGGTTGTTTTTGTAAGACCTGTGTAGAGAGAAGCTGGGGTTCAAGGATGACCAGAGAGAAAAAGTAGGCGGAGGCTCCTTTATTTTGACTTAATGAGAAAGTGCATAAGAGAAGAGACAGTTTTGTGTGAAATTTGAAGCTTTTATTAAAAATTGGATATTTTTTGAGTTTCATGAAATCCGAGTTCATTTTTAGGTTGCGTGTCATGATGAAACAACAATGCGAACGGGTAGAGGAAGATACTAAGTAGGGAAAAGAAACCGTGATTGATAAAGATAAGTTTAAGAAGAATAAATTAATAGGTGGATTCGCCAGAATTTTGAAGTATGTACATTTTACAATCTTTTGCTTGATAATAAAAGTTCGGGTCCATTACGTCATTTTTTATGTCTATTTTGGTCGTCTTTTGGCTACTTGAACATAGTATCGTTGACTATATTATCGTCTCCTGATTCTTTTGAGATATTCTCATATACTTCAACACGATCTGGTATTCTGCCTGGTGCTTTGTAGCTTCTACACTTTCACCCTTGATTCATTATTCATTCTAAATAGTAAAACTCAAGTTCATATCCTGGGGATGTGAAGCACTCAACTGTGGTTTCTGCGAATACTTCATCCGAAGCTCATTACGCATCTCATTCAAAAGCGACAAATAGGACTGATTGGAGTTTCTAGCCAACACATTGATGAACGCCCAACTCATGGCTCCCGTGTTCTGACCTGCCTCAACGGCATCTGCAGACGTCTGGTCGTCCTTACATCCCGAGATCGAAATTACATCTGCAGCAGACATCTTTGACTGGACAATGGCATCTCTGTTGTTCGTGTTGCGGTTTGATACCTTCTTGTAGAGTCCAGAGAGAGACGAGAGTGCACCGGAAAGGTTTCCGGACTCGTAGTTGAGGAACGCCTGCAAGGCACCGCTTCCAGCATCCTTCCACAAATTGGGCTCCTTCACCACTCCCTTGGTCGAATACACAAATGGCAAATCCAACGCAGTACCAGAATGGCAACAGTCAAACAACGCTGTCAATCTACATCCTGGGGGCAATGGCTTGACCATGACATCATGCATGAGATCATCAATGATGGGGCCACTGCGTTCAAAGTCGAGTGGATAAATACACGAATCGAAGCCTTCCTCCTCATCGCCGTCCTGGTCTGGAACCAAGCCTCCATGGCCAGACATATGGAAGAAGTACGAGTCATTAGGTCTGGCATCTTGGACTAACCACTGCATGGCACGAATAATGTTGTCTCTGGTGGGGAGACGAGCATTTTCGTTCTGATCGTCGGTCAAAATTACCATGTCGTTGTAGGAGTACCCGTACTTCTGCAGCAAGAATTTACTCATGGCCTTAACATCATTGATGCATCCTCGCAATTGGTTCTTGGTGCCAATGTAGTTGATACCGATCAACAATGCCTTTTTGCGGCCCGTACAGTTAGAATACTGGAACGTCATGTGGCTGTTATTACCAAAAGACTGTGGAGCATTGGGAGGAGGTCCCAGAGGTCTCTGTCCCTGATTTGCTCTGTAGTGACCAGACGAGTCATAGGACGAGTTTGGTGGTGGGGCAGAAGGCCTCTGATACTGAGACAGCGATTGTTGCTCGAAAAGTTGGTTCTGAGCATGCTGTAAACGTTGTTGCTGTTGCTGGAACTGCGGAGAGTTCAAATCTCCACCTGGAGGTCCCCAATTTCCGGAGGGTGGGGGTCCCGGTGGAGGTCCCCATTGGTTTTGGTAACCCTGGTTAGGGCCTTGATTCTGGTAACCCTGGTTAGGACCTTGGTTGTAACCTTGGTTTGGGTAGCCTTGATTATAGCCTTGGTTCTGGTTGTAGCCCTGGTTTGGGTTGTATCCTTGACCATAACCTTGACCATAGCCTTGATTGGATGATTGTCCGCCGTAAGTTCTTCCTCCGCTTCCTGGAAACATGATTGAAGAAGATGAAGATGTATGAGTGTCCACTTATGGATCTGCACCGAGGCAGAGTGCATGGCGTAGACGGGTTTCGGATCGGGTCACCGATGTACAGGAATGACGACATGGAACAAAGTATGGAAGATGGTGAATAAAAGGATGAATCTAGCGACGAGGGCAGATGGGAAAAGTAAAATGAGGAGTAAAAGTAAGGACCGGATAGTCTGTATATATATGGGTGAAATTTTCAGAAAGGTTTGAGGATTTAGCGAAAAACAGTCGGTCGTTTCATTAAAGAGAATCAGATTCGAAGATTTGAAAATGGAGAAGCGAGAGTAAAATTTGGATTCTTCAAATATCCCCAATAGCCTTTATAGTAACAAAATCCGGGAACAAAAATGAATGAAGTAGCCAGAATGTAAATTTCTCAAGTAAAAGATCACTTATTCATATAAACTGGCAGAAGACAGAGATTACCGACGATGAAAGTATCACTAATAATGTCAAAGCGAGTACAAATTCGTTCTGATATCCATAAACCTATTATAGCCTTGAAATTTGCCCGAGATCAATGTCTTTTTGAAACAACTTGTATCAAAAGCTCTTGATTGAAAATCTCATCCTTTGGTCACCACGAGAACACATCACTTTTACAACAATTCAGCAGACAATCTCTATTCCTAATTACAACTTAGCATTCTCGTCACTGTTCTGGCTCACCACAACTTGCGGATACAAGTCCCCAAGCATACCTCCAATATGCCAATAACCTCCGTCCACAACCTGAACCGTTCCCGTCACGTAACTGGCAGCAGGCGAGAACAAGTAAATCGTAGCCTCGGCAATATCCTGGGTGGTTCCCCAACGACCTAAAGGAACTTTCTTGACGGCATTCTCAGGATCCGGCATCAATCTGGACATTCCCTCAGTACCATCGATTCCTCCTGGGGCAATACAGTTTGACCTGATACCGAGAGGTCCAAGCTCAACAGCCAATGCGTTCGACAACGCATCCACTCCAGCTTTAGCTGCACCTACGTGAAGCTGCATTGGCACACCGTAGTAGTGTAAGGTGGCCGAGACAAAGAGAATAGCACCTTTGTTCTTTCTGAGCTGTGGAAGCACGGCCTTAGCGGTATTGAACGAACCCAACAAGTCAATGGACACAACTGACTTGAATGCATTCAGCGACATGTGATTGAAGTCTGATAAGAAGTTACCAGCAGCTCCAGCAATCACATAGTCAATACGGCCCAATTCTGCTACGGTGGTATCCACAGCCTTGACAATTGACTGCACGTCACGCACGTCCACTGACCCCAAACCGATCACCTTGGCACCTGGACGCAACAGCTCGATCTCCTTAGCGGCCTTAGTGGTTTTCTCTGGGTTTCTGCCCAAAATGGCAGCGTTGGCCCCAAGAAGCACCATGGCTTCAGTTTGCACCCGGCAAATGGTGCCTGCACCGCCAGTGACGAAGACGACCTTACCTTTGAAAAGATCTGGTTTCCAGGAGCTGTTAGTTACAAAAGATTGGTCCAACATAGTATAAAATTTAATAATAAATGTTGTTCATGTTGGCAGTGGATGGTACTTATAGCTATTTTGCGGGGTTGTCAGACCGAGGAAGAGCACTACCTGCAGGATAAAGACCGTTGGCACAATAATTAAAGGTGTGAAATAGATCGGGTGCTGCGTTGGTGATAAGGTTTAGCAGGTTAGAGAGGTTGAGGATCGACCAAGCTATTTTATAGTTTGAAACACGAGTGTTTGAGGATCATGGAAGTTAATTGGAGGCTAGTGCGAAGCGTGTGAAAGTCGCCAAAATCTGGGGAATGCGAATGGAGGAGTATGCGATGAGATTTGGTGTGAAAATGGTGATTGTGATTTCGAATCTCGGATTTGGAATTCGGAGATAATTTGGATAATGTATTTGATGGCATTTGAAAAGCAAACTGAGGTTAATCTTGAGACAATAATGAAGAGTATAAAAGTGACCTATTGTGTTGGTTCTGAAATGGAAAGTTCAGTGGATCCATAGTGACAGAGTTCATGGGAATGGAAGGCAAACTGGAGAAGGCACAGAATTTGAGAACATGAATTACTTGAACGCTAACAATTCGCAGTTATGGTTCAGAAAACGCAAGTGAATAACACCATCATTCTTGACTTCCTTGTGATTATAGCTCGATACGATCTTGCATGACAGTTATAATAATTTGGATGCGACAAATCGACGCTGTAGTATGGGGAAACACATAATAGACTTGGGATGACAGTGAAGAGCAATATAATATCATGGAATGGTTACGGATGGGCCGTTTGAACACACATTACAGCTATAAACAACAATGGAGACACCGGATATGTAGTTATAACGACAAGGGAGAAGTAATACTGCAAGGGTGAAATCCAAACTATAAAGAAACAAATATAACAATTCCAGACGATTGGTGTACTCTAGTAATTCAGTCACAATGAATCCTCCAGTACCAGTGAGATTAAGACTCCTTTTCTTTGACTACCTCCTTCGCCAACCTACCTCTACGCACCAATCTACATTTCACATCTGTCCATGATTAAATTTTATAAGCAGCCAGGTGTCCCCAATATTATACATGCTCTAAAGAATACCCAAGTCACGCAACACCTGGCAGTTGGGCATGGGCATCTCCTCTGCTTCACGTAACTTCCGCTGGTCGGTATAGAACCAGCCCTGTGCCTCCTCCATAAGATCGTTCTTCCGCACTTGCTCACGGCTACACCGGGCTCTCTTGTCTTGAACATACAAGCTCTCCACCTTCGCATCGAAGTTCCTCAACTTCAGCGCCGACTTTTCCTCTGCAAACTTGTCACCGACATAGAACGGAATTTTGAATTGCGGCGTTTTTCTTCTCACGCTGTATTTCGGAGTCTTAGTGAACAGATACTCAGGAGTCGACTCGCCAGAAAAGAAACTCGAGATAAGCGTGGCAAGCAAAATCACAAGAATGGGCGCGAGCTGCTTGACTGTATCCCACAACGAAGGCTCGACGTCCTGCTGTCTTGCCTGGGCTCTTTGTCTTTGTCTTTGTTGTTGCTGAGCAAACCGGCCAGTAAACGGATCAAAACCGTCTCCACCAAATGAATGGAAAGTAAAGCCATTATTGCCGAAAGCGAAGGTCGGGCCACCTGCGCGCTGTGTTCCACCGAAGAACATATTAAAAATATCATCTTGGAATGCTCCGTCGAAGTTCTGGCGGGCGTAGCCACTCGAAGTGGCCGTAGAACCACTATTGGAGAATCCCAGGAACCGGGAGTCGGGGTCGGATCCGGTCTGATCGAAAATGCGTTTCTTGCTCTCATCTCCGAGTACACCCCATGCCTTGTTAATCAATTTGAACGCCTCACTGGCCCGAGGATGAGGATTTTTATCTGGGTGGAGTTTGATGGCCAATTTCCTATAGGACTTTTTGATCTCGCCATCAGAAGCTGACTTCTCTACCGCTAGGATCTCATAGTACTGGTGCGGTTTGTATGACAACACCTTCAACACGATTTTTTCCTGCTCGCTTGTATAAGACATGGTAGAGAGGAGAATATGGGGTGTTGGCAAGAAATTTGCTGAGAGTGGACGTGTGCAGGTTGTGGATAAGAGAAGGTGGAGGAAGGAACAGGAAAAAATGAGGGACTAGGGAATGGATGAAATGGATGGGATTAAACGGGATAAGTGGGGGAGAAATCAAGCAAGGAATGATGAGATAAAGCGAGTCAATAAAAAATGGCCAATTGGAGAAACTAAAGTAATTTTGGGTTTTTTTTATTGTTGATGGAATTCAGAGTTGAATTGAAATATTGTCCGCCATACCAATACGATAAGAGTGCGACTTAACAATTCGGGGGTTATATTCAGGACTGCCACTCTGCCACTCTACCACTCTGACAGTGGTAAGTAACTAAACAGCTGCAAGGATTTTGCTGGCAAATGAGCACAAGTAGACATAACCAGGAATTGGGAACAGCGTTTGATTTGATAGAGAGAATTATGGGTATTCTTTTTTGTTTTTCAGATTTTTTTTGAGCTGGTGGTTTGTTTTCGGAATTGTATCCTTTTGCATGAAAATTTCAAAATCAAATATTATCTGGCATTAGTAGAAAACACATCGAAACTACTAAACTACTAACCACTTAACTGCTAAGCATCTAAGGCATCTAAGCATCTAAACATCTCAGCATCTAAGCATCTAAGCATCTAAGCATCTAAGCATCTAAGCATCTACAATATTGTCATCTGAATATCTTTCCACTAAAACAGAACAATCATGTACGACGTACGACTGGCAAACATAATGTAATCTAGCTTATCCATCCAAGTACCCAGGCTTCTATACATCGAAGAATGTGCTTCCGAATCAGCCGCTCTGCCCTCACAACCATACGTCTAGAATCATATGTTCGATCCAATCGCTCCAACCAATCCACCCTTTCAATCCAATCAGTCTTCCTACTCTCTATGCCTGTCAAGCCCTGGAACCTCGTGTACATGACCTTGGCTGCAGCTGCACCTTACTAATGGACCCATGCACTCCAGGCCAAGCAACCCTACCAGGCCCTCGGGTCTCAGCCCCAACCCACTTCAGGCATGTCAACACATCTAACCAACTCCTATCTACCCATAGTCAATTCACCTCTCCATCTATCTTTCTTATTCATCGGGTAAGTGTTCCATGCGACACCACCACGCAATACCTGCAGACACTCAGTCGTATTTTCATCGCTCATCAATTTGTTGACCGCAGCAATTTGGCAGCAAATTGCAATGACGGCCCCCTCATTCCAGACATCCCCAAACACTCAAAAGCTGTCAAATGTTCACCAAAGGCTTCCTCAGGTCCTTTGGTGAGCAACCCTCCATCACCTCCTGCTCGGGCCGACTTGGCTATCCGTCATACCTCTTCTCCTCTGTCTGCATGGAACCGTTCATCGTACTTGCTTGGCTTGCGACCACATGTCGATCCGAAAGAGCGTTGGCGCAGTACCTGCCGCAGCGCAAAAAAGTTCACGCATTCATAAGCAGGGCGTTTCCCTCCATTGCTCCCTCCATATTCCATGCTTCCTCCATCCTTGGCTACATGGACTACGTGGGCAGCCTGCTGTGTGGCAGCGCTCGCTTCCTCCACGCCGAACACACCGAACACGCCAGAACACCTTGCCCGTCCAAGAAGATCTGAAGCTAAACCTGTCAAACTCGACTTCACCGTGCTTCGTGGGTCATCCAAGAATGATGCCCGCCCCAATAGACAAGCTAGACTCGTAAAGCGTGCCACAAACGATGGCTCTGCGCTCATGGAGTTAGAAAACCAACAGAGTTACTATTCCTGTGATTTGTACATCGGCTCCAATGGCCAAAAGTCCACCGTGTTAGTCGACACCGGCTCCTCCGACTTGTGGATCATGGACACCGACATGACGTGTTATGCGCAGCTGCAGTCTTCGAAGAGAGACTTCAGCACATTCTACCGTGTGTTGGACTTCCCAGCATTGAACAATCTCAAAATTGACAAAGAGTCGAACGACAAGGACAGCTCCAAGAGAGCAGACTCGTGTGAGGGCTTCGCCTGTTTGTCAAGTCTCCTTAACAGCTTGGGTGGCGGCACTGCAACTCGGTACGGGACTCAAACTGCCACGGCTACTGCCGCCGCTGGTGCTAACTCATGCACTAAGATGGGTTCATTCGAGACTAGAGACTCTGACTCTTTCAAGGTGAACAACTCAGCTCCTGCGTTTTCCATCCAGTATGCTGACGGAACCTCTGCACAAGGTTTCTGGGGTCATGACCAAGTTGGATTCAACGGACACAACGTGTCGAGTCTTAGTTTTGCTACCGTCAACGAGACTGACTCCACATTTGGAGTGCTCGGAATTGGCCTTGCAGGCTTGGAAACTACATACTCAAGCAATTATGGTGACAGACCCTACACGTATGAAAACTTGCCTATCCGGATGAGGCGCGAGGGAATCATCGACAAGATTGCGTACTCCTTATACTTGAACAAACAAGACGCAAGTTCGGGCTCGTTGCTTTTCGGTGCAGTTGACCATGCCAAATACACTGGCACTCTTCAAACGATTCCTGTTGTCAATATCTATCTGTCCTACTATAGTCTGCCTATACGTCTTGATGTGGTGTTGGACTCCATCATTTTCGAGAGCAGCTCGCAAAACATCACAGTGACATCGGTGGCCATCCCAGCGTTGTTGGATTCGGGAACCACGTTGACGTATTTGCCAACGTCGGTTCTCTCTCGTTTCACCAGTACCTTAGGTGCCTCCTACTCTAGTGCTTCACAGATGTATCAGGTTAATTGCAAATACAACTCCGACAGTTTATTTGCTATTTTCAACTTCTCGGGAATCGAAATAAAGGTTCCTTTATCTGACATGATTCTCAAAAGCGGATCGCAATGTTACCTAGGAGTCCTCGAGCAGTCTCTGAGTGGGTATAAATACGCCATTTTGGGTGACAACTTCCTCAGAAACGCATATATTGTTTACAACTTGGAAGATCTCGAGATCCTGATGGCCCAGGTCAACTATACTGATGAAGAGAATATCGAAATTGTTAGTCTGGCTGTTCCACTGGCTGTGAAGGCTCCAGGTTACTCGTCCTCCTCAATTGACTCTTCTGAAACAGACTCGGGCACTACCTCCCTGTTCAAAGCAAGTGGAGCTGACAAACCACAAGTGTGCAGTCTTGCCATGTTGGGTCTTGTGGGTTTGTCGTTATTTGCAATGATGTAATTGAATGAATTGATACAGAAACCCCGTTTGTTATATGTTAGAAGGGTCGTAGTTCGTAATTGACTTTCCTTCGTCAATAAAGTCTGTTTCCAACTGGTATTGGTTGACTTTCTCCACATTCAGCTAGCCAAGAAATCTCAGTCGGTGCTCCAAACAGCGTCAGTATAGTTTGGGAAACGTTATTGACAGAACGAATAATTACGAGACGGCCAAAAAAATTCTATATGATCCCACTCGGTGACACAAACGTCGTATTAGAGTTAAAAGCTGGTACTTAGTATGTACTTTGAAAGCGCAATTCTCACAATAACTAGCACACATTTCCACTCAGGGTCTTTTACGGTTGTATCCAATATACGAACATTCTATGTTAACATTTTTCTTGGTCTACTTTACGACGGGGTACATCACTAACTATACACGAATTACTGGCCCCTGACTATTTAATAGATTGGGGACCAGGAAGCTCAATTGTCCTCTAGTAATAAGAATGATGATACTAGCGATAACAATTTCCTTGATATTGGCATGTGTCTTGGGGTCAGAAGCCCAAACCCCGAAAGGATCTATGAAGATTAATTTCACTGTCAAGAAACCCAAGAACGATCTTGCCAACAATATACTTCTTGGCCGAGACGACAAATATGCTTCAATAGACGTGAACGAGAAAACTTATTACATGTGTGAAGTTCATGTGGGGTCAAACAGACAACCTGTCACCCTTAAGTTGGAGACTGATACATCTTTCTTCTGGGTGATGGCGCCAGATGTAAAGTGCTATTCATACCCCAAGCGGGACTTTTCTTTGTTCAAAAGAGAAGTTTCTGACAAGACTGCCAATAGAGTTAGGTCTAATAAATTGGCTAAAAGAGATGAAATCCAGTACACCTCTTTTCAAACTATTCCTTGGAGCGTCACGACTCTTCCTGAATCTTGGACTACTTACCTTTATGGAACGTCGTGGAGTTTGAGCTACAGTTATTGGAGTTATTTGTCATACAGTGCCTCTTGGACCACTAGAACCTCTTGGAGAACTTCGTCTTGGAGAACCACCTATTTAGGAGCATCTACCAGATATGGTACCCAATATTCTACCATATATAGTACCACCAGATATGGTACTACCAGATATGGTACCCAATATGCTACCGATTATACCACCCGCACTAAACCTACTGCTACATACGGACCAATTGTAAGTAGTTGTACCCAATATGGCACTTTTGCAACTGGTCAGTCGGATACGTGGTGGAAAAACGAATCAAGTTATTACTTCCTCTCGTCACCGGATGGAGATTTCGTTTATGGAGTAGAGGGAACAGACAGAGTGGAGTTCAATGGATATAATTTGACTGACGTTGGCATGGGAGTTGTCAACTCCACTAACTATCACCAAGGCACTCTAGGATTAGGACTATCTGAAGGGCAATATAACGACCAGGAGACTGTTCTCATGCGTTTGAAGTCCCAGGGCATTATAAACAAACAGATCTACTCGTTGTACATGAATGAGAAGGGATCTACTGGCTCGGTACTTTTTGGAGCAGTAGACCATGCTAAGTATGATGGCTCGCTTCAAACTATTCCACTTATTAACTTGAAGCCTTCGTACTTCGATAAACCTGGTCATTTCCATGTTGTATTGAGCGCCATATCTCAGGAAGGTGCAAATTCCAATCAGACTATTACAGATGTACATTATCCAGCACTACTTCGGTCTGGGTCCCCTCGTTCGTACTTTCCATCAACAGTTCTATACAAAATAGCAACAATGCTTGGCGGTGAGTACAGAGCACCATGGTACGAGGTGAGTTGTCAGTACAGCACCCGAGATTTGAATCTTATCTTCGAATTCTCAGGTGCCAAAATTAAGGTTCCCATGTCTGAGTTTATCCTTGAATATGCTGGATCATGCTTCATTGATGCGCTTGAGGCTGATTATATTGATTATATGATCCTTGGGGAGAACTTTCTTCGCAGTGCTTATGTTGTGTATGACTTGGAAAGTTACGAGATTCTGTTGGCACAAGCAGCATATTCGGATGAAGAGAACATCGAAGTTGTAAGTCTGAGTGTCCCCCTGGCAGTAAAAGCTCCATCCTACTCTGAACTGACTTACGACGATCAAGGCAATCCTACAGGTTTGGTTACTCAAGTGCCAATTTCTGGTTTGCTGGTGGATTCGTCAGCCTGGACAATGGATATTTATACTTCAGATTTCTGGAGTCCAGACGGCGTTCTGCTGTATCTGTATCTGTATCTGTATCTGTATCTAACTTTCCCTAGTTATGACACTACTCGCAGCATAACGTGGCCCACTGACTCTACAACTTCTACTCGGCAGATCGCTTCGCCGGTTTTGTCTACTTCGTCTGCTTCGACAACAGAGTTCAATAATGGGCCCCCTCTGGGTGATGGAATGAAATCAATGAATTTACAAAATCCATTCGTCTTCATTCTTGGCCTTTTGGGGCTCATCTTCATTGCTTAGAGATCGATAACTTCTCGCTTATCTGATATGCTGACACACTTCAATCAACCGAAACACGGGTTATATTTGCAGATTTGTATAAATAAGCAAATGGTTTTAACTAGTTTTGGATGTCACCACAGGAAATTTTCGCACTTGTAGTTATCGACTGTCAGTTATAAGCATTATAAAGTTTCGGGTGAAGAAAATCAAAATTAAAATCAACATTCAAAATTGCAAAATTTGGTATTGATCCGTAAACTCTCGGGATTTCCAGGGGGCTGAAATACTAGTGATGGTCGGCAGTAGTCATTCGAGGACCCCTTTGCCCCACCTATGGTGATTTGCATATAAGCATTTGAAGTGCCCCATCCTTCTATATAGAAGTACCTGCATGGGCGTAGAATCGTCATAGATAGTGAATTTATTAGAGTATGAAGACTACATCTGAGAGTCATGACGCATGATCCCCCCGATAAATTGGATCGATTAAATGTCTTGGGAACTCACAATGAGGCTCTCAAATATCAATAAAAGGAGATCCACTACAGGATGTCATCTCTGCGTGCCCTTTTCGTCTATTCTAATACAATTTTCAGGAAGCATTCATGACTACTTACTACACTCCAATTTGACCATGACCCCACAATACCTGCAGAATATCATCAATACGAACATACACAAAACTTCGAAAAGTCCACGTACATGATTACATGATTAGCGAACTAAAAATAGAACTCAGCCACGCCGAAATTATGCACCGGCTCTTTTGAACTCTTGTATATCACTTTAATGTGCTTGAAAGTGCTGACCCTGTGTCTTGGCGAGAATAAGTACTTATAGTCAGCGTTCACGGTTGTAGAAGGCCAATCATTATCGAATTCAATGAATGTCTCAACTTGTATCAGCATCTTGAGTCTAATTCAGGCAATTACTGCCATTTACACACAAGGATATTCAGGCAAACACACTACCAACCCTGGTTCATTAAAGTTAGATTTTAAAGTCGACCGTGAATCGTCCAGGAGGAGCATTATAGAGCAATATGGGAAAAGAGAGGAAGAAGTGCTCGTGCAGTTGTACAAAGAAGAACTGTACTACAGTTTAGATATTTATGTCGGGTCAAATAGAGATAAGTGTAACGTAATGTTGGACACCGGCTCATCTGACTTATGGGTGATGTCTCCAGATGTGTATTGTGCATACTCTTCATCATCTTACAATAAGAGAGCAATCGGAAAGGATGATTCTCTGCCAGCAATCCATAGACCCGACCTTCCTCCACATCGGCGCGCATTCACAGAGAAGAAAGCACAAGATAAGAGAGCAGGGGCAACAACATGCACCAAACTAGGGAGTTTCGCAACAAGTAAGTCCGACTCGTTCAAGCTCAACAAGACAGACTCCTTCAGTATCAGTTATTTAGACGGGACATATGCCTTTGGCGAATGGGGTCATGACCAGGTTCTGTTTGGCAATCATACGCTTTCCAGCCTAAGTCTTGCAGTGGTCAACCTGACAGACAGCTATTTCGGAGTTTTAGGTGTTGGCCCAGCTGGCTCTCAAACTAGCACCCGAGATGGCAAGTCTTATGAGTATGAAAACTTTCCCATGCGCTTGAAGAGTGAAGGTGTCATCAATAAGAATGCGTACTCCTTGTTTTTGAACTCAGTGGAGGAAAAAACCGGTTCAGTTCTATTTGGAGCGGTAGATCATTCCAAATACTCCGGAACTCTTCAAAAGGTTCCAATTATCAATTCCTACCCAGAGTATTTTGACGAGCCAGCTTATGTGAATATTGTATTGAACGATATTAAAGTGGAAAACTCGAATGTTGCCACAAGTTTAGGAAAGGTTTCCGTCTCTTGCTTGATGGACTCCGGATTCACTAATACATACTTGCCAGCTTTGCTTCTTGAACCATTAATGGAGCAGATAGGTGCAACTTATTCATATACAGCTGAGGCATATTACGTTCACTGTGACGAGTTTGACGATATAAGTCTCACTTTCGATTTCTCTGGGGTGGAAATCAGAGCTCCACTATCTGATTTCATCTTCAAATACAAGGGACAATGTTATGTGCTCTTGTTCGAGATGCAAGATACCTATGAAAGTGATGCGTACGCAGTGATGGGAGATACATTTCTCAGAAACGCTTATGTGGTTTACGATTTGGACGACCTTGAAATTCTGTTGGCACAAGCTAATTACTCCAAGAATGAGGACATTGAGGTTATCCAAGATTCTGTACCTCTGGCAGTTCAAGCAGCGGGCTACTCACAGACCTCTATTCACACAACAATTGGACTGCCCTCTACAACCACTCTTCTGGGTTCCAGGACACTACAACAGACATCACAACGGAGTGCCAATTCACAAAGCGATTCTGCCCAGAGCGCAACTACGGCTGCACTGACTGGAAGTCCAAGTCCACATAAAGGCAGCTCGGCATCTAAAACTGGTATTCCAATGACAGCAGTATGTCTCGTTGTATTTAGTTTGCTCACGTTGATGTAATTTTTTAACAGAGCATTCAAGAATAAATTGAAAATGTAACTACAATTCTCACGCTGACCTATCGTTTAAGAGTTGGCTTATAATTCAAGAGTTGGCCGATTATGGCATGCTTTGAGATTCATACCTGCCCATTCTTCGTAACGATACGATCTGCATATCCTACCCCAATTCCGCTTCTACAGACTGAGCAAGATTAAGGCCAATCAGGTTCATTTCAGCATGATCCAAGCTTCGTAACCTCCTCATTCCTTAAACATAGCCTCTTGGATATACTTGCTATATTTCCTCCTATCGTGGTATTCTATGCATGATTTTGACAGCAACATGTAAGCGAAATGCATCTACCAGCCATTACAATTCCAACTTCGACCACTCCGAATTATGAAATTAAATATGCAGAGATAGATTAAAATTGTCTCAATTTGTCAGGTTCCACACCAATTGTGGGTTTTGGGGCGTGTATTGTTGACCGAGAGTGTCAGCTGTTGGCCGATCGGTTGTGCGGCTTAGGCAATCACTTATAATAGATCGACCTGTCATATTCTTGTCGCATTCCGCCCATGTTGCAGTCTGTTTTCTTGCTCATTATAACATTCTTGGCTGTTTTTACTGAAGCCATTGCCCATAAGAGGGCCTACGAAGGTGCCCTTCAGGTCGATTTCAACGTTCTTCGTGGATCTTCTAGAGCGGATTTGGCTCCAAATCGCCAAGGCGGACTCATCAGACGAGCAGACAGTCAGGACGAGGGAAGCGGTCTTTTGGTATTAACCAACGAACAGACATTTTACACTTGTGACTTGTATTTCGGGTCCAATGGACAGAAGGTTACCGTCCAGGTGGACACTGGGTCTTCAGATTTATGGGTCATTGAGAATGACGTTGTATGTCTTGCAAGCCCTGACATGAGTGGAACTGAATCACTGGCACTGGATCAGGCTGCTCTTTGCACCAGTTTGGGTACCTTTCAAACAGGCGAGTCTGACACTTTCAAATCCAACGATACTGAAGCCTTTTTCGCATACGGAGATACAACGACAGCAGAAGGAATTTGGGGAACAGACCAAATTGGTTTCGACGGATTCAATATTACAGATTTCAGTTTTGCTGTTGTCTCAGAGACCAATACAACATGCGGAATCTTGGGAATTGGCCTCCCAGCTTGGGAAGCTACCAATACCACATATGAGAACTTCCCTATGCGTTTGAAGAGCGATGGACTTATCCACAAAAACGTATACTCTTTGTATTTGAACGACGACAACTCTTTGAAGGGCTCATTGTTATTTGGAGCTGTGGACCATGCCAAATATTCCGGTACTCTCCAGACAGTTCCAATCATCAACAATGATCCAGAAAATTACGATGTTGCAGGTGGGTTCTATATTGTGTTGGACAAAATCACGTTAGAAGGTGACAGTTCTAACGAAACAGTCACCAATGTTGCGGTACCAGCGTTGTTAGATTCTGGAACCACATTCTCCTATTTTCCTCAAAGTGTTCTAGACCGTTTCACCAAAATGGTTGGTGCTGTTTTCTCCGAGTCAGAAGGATTCTACAGTGTAAGTTGCAAGTATAACAATTCTGAAGTCAATGCCATTTTTGACTTTTCTGGTGCTACGATCAAGGTACCCATGTCAGACTTGATTTTAACTGACGAAGATACCTGTTATCTTGGATTATTGGACATCTCCGAAATGCAAGGAGATACAGAGGCTTTGTTGGGAGACAATTTTCTCAGAAGCGCTTACTTGGTTTACGATTCAGATGACCTTGAAATTCTGTTGGCTCAGGCCAACTATACAGATGATCAGGACATAGAGGTTGTTACACTGACTATTCCACTGGCTGTGAAGGCCCAGGGATACTCTTCAACGTCCATCAATCCTAATGCCAGTGATACTGGGTCTGCGCTGGAGTTGAAAGCTACTGCAACGCAGTCTTCATCTAGCTCATCGAGTGCACTGGGATCATCGTCACCCAAGAACAGTGCTGCCCACAAGGAATCTGTGGGATTGACTATTCCTATTCTTGTTCTTGGATGTATGACAGCATTCTTATGGATGTAAAAGAAACGAAGGGTCGATTTGACCCGTTGAATTAGTTGTTTGAATACTTGGAGGGAGCACTCCAGGTGCTTCCTCCACTTCCTGTAAAGACACTAGTTAGGCACTAATCCTAGATTACACGTGCATTGTTTTCAACGCGGAGATTAGAGCCAAAATCTAACAATCTTCGAATCATAAGCTGTATTCGAGATTTCCAATACTAAGAAATGGTTCTTGGGAATTTCCTCATTTCCTCTTCGTAAGACGATGGTCTAAGAGACATAAAGCGTCACAGTAGTCAATATGATTCAGATACGAGTGATTACAAGCAATTCCATCAACTCACTTGAGTTACCATTGTTTTCCTTTCTAGCGCCTAGCAAACCTCTCCTAGATTATCCGTTCCTTCATGCTAGCCATATCAAACCCCCTACGAAATAATCAGGGCTACTACATCAGCTTAGTGATATCGTTATTAAGAAGGCATGAAATGTAATTAGAAACCATAACAGCAATCACAAGCATTTCCACTATAATCTGCAAAGTGCAGAACTACCTGACGATCAAGTACTGAAGCGTCGGTTGCATGTACAGGGTGTCACCAGGTTCTCGAGAGTGGGGCCAAATTCTCATTCCAGATCTGAGGCAAATACGTGATTCGCTCCCCATGTTTTCGAGATACATTTCGTAAGGATACATTAGACAATAGTTATCTCCATATGATTGGTTGTGATCTTTCCAACATCCTTGCCATTGATCTCCCCTACCGGGTTAACCTTTTGCTATCTTACAATTGTCAAAATTTTTTCTTAGCTTCTTTTTTTAGGCTCATATATCAGTACTCTATCGCAAATTACTTGAGTCAGTCTCGTTTGTATTGGTTAGGATGCGGCGCAGTTATCGTCAACGCCTGCATCGCTGGAGTCTGCACGTGCGCAATGCCGATCCCAACGAGGATTTTATTTGTTCCTCCCGCCCCTTGAATTCCAACTCCCTAGAAATGTTCCCAAAAAAAAAAAAAAAACACGACCAGAAATTGTCACTACATATCACTCGAACCACCTGATTTTTGCCCGCTTCCTCCCCGTATCTCTCGTCGCGTTCTGTCGTCCCCCCACCTATTGGTACATGGACGTCCGCTTGACGTCAGTCAAGTTAAACAAAAATAGCACCCCCTGCAGACGACAACTCTTTATTTGTCTTCTACTGTCCATCAATACAATCCTCTTTTAAAACTCCTATCAGTCCGAAGAACCCTATCCCGAAGTAGGTGTCATTTTACTCTTAAGTGTCCTGACTAGATCTTACCATTATTTCCGTTTGTGTTCGCGACTCACCTAGGACTTACACTGCTTCATTGACTTGCTTGTGAGATCACAATTGTCCCACAAACTAATCCTGCTCCTTTATTGCCCACCCACTGAAGGTTGCGCCCCATACTGACCTCATATATCAACGTCACGTTGCTGTCTTCACCTTCAACCCCCAACAAGAGACCGCGCTTGGATCTAAACATGGATTCTGCTCGGTTATTAGCCATTCTTGATGATCCGAATGTGTTTGCGGAGAAGGCGCCGCTACTACAACAAGACATTGTCCTGGTGATCAGGGCACAACAAAAGCAAATTGAAGAGCTTACAGTGCAACATCAAACCGCCTGCGATGCCAACATCGCTTTCAAACTGGCACTTTCCGAGATTGGTACGGTGGTGATTTCTGTTGCCATGGGTGACTTGCTGAAGAAGGTTGAAATCCACTCGGTAGAGCTGGACCCGGAAATTCTCAAGGTCAAAATTACCATTAACACCATGATGGACCAGTTGCAAACATTTGCCAATGAAGTCACCAAAGTAGCCACTGAAGTCGCCAACGGAGAATTGGGAGGCCAGGCCAAGAACGAGGGCTCAGTTGGAATTTGGCGCTCCTTAACCGACAATGTCAACATCATGGCTCTTAACTTAACCAACCAGGTTCGTGAAATTGCCGATGTTACTCGTGCGGTAGCTCAGGGTGACTTGTCTAGAAAGATTAACGTGCATGCCCAGGGTGAGATTTTACAATTGCAGATGACTATCAATACCATGGTGGATCAGCTTCGAACTTTTGCGTTTGAAGTGTCCAAAGTGGCTAGGGATGTCGGAGTTTTGGGAATCTTGGGTGGTCAGGCCTTCATTGAAAACGTCGAAGGTATCTGGAAGGAACTCACGGATAATGTAAATGCTATGGCCTTGAATTTGACTACCCAAGTGAGAAATATTGCTAATGTTACCACTGCAGTTGCTCAAGGTGATCTATCCAAGAAAGTTACGGCTGACTGTAAGGGTGAGATTCTAGACTTGAAGCTCACCATTAACCAGATGGTGGATCGATTGCAGACCTTTGCCTTAGAAGTGACTACCTTGTCGCGAGAAGTCGGAACTTACGGAATTTTGGGTGGCCAGGCCAATGTGCGAGACGTGGAAGGCGCTTGGAAGGCTGTCACAGAAAATGTCAATTTGATGGCCACCAATTTGACCAATCAGGTGAGATCCATTGCTACAGTGACGACTGCGGTGGCCCACGGAGATTTGTCCCAGAAGATTGATGTTCATGCACAAGGAGAAATTTTGCAATTGAAGAATACTATCAACAAAATGGTGGATTCGTTGCAACTTTTCGCCTCGGAAGTGTCCAAGGTGGCTCGTGATGTCGGTATCAACGGTAAGTTGGGTATCCAAGCTCAAGTGAGCGATGTTGATGGTTTATGGAAGGAGATTACATCCAATGTCAATACAATGGCCTCCAATTTGACGTCGCAAGTGAGAGCTTTCGCACAGATTACCGCCGCTGCCACTGACGGTGATTTTACAAGATTCATTACAGTTGAAGCCATGGGTGAAATGGATGCTTTGAAAACAAAGATTAATCAGATGGTGTTCAATTTGAGAGAATCCATTCAGAGAAATACTGCTGCTAGAGAAGCTGCCGAGTTGGCAAACAGCGCAAAGTCAGAGTTTTTGGCTAACATGTCTCATGAGATCAGAACGCCTTTGAACGGTATTATTGGTATGACACAATTGTCACTAGACACCGAATTGACTCAATACCAGAGAGAAATGCTCAGCATTGTGCATAATTTGGCTAATTCATTACTCACGATTATTGATGACATTCTTGATATTTCCAAGATTGAAGCCAATAGGATGACTGTGGAACAAATTGACTTTTCGTTGCGTGGTAATGTGTTTGGTGCTTTGAAAACTTTGGCAGTTAAAGCTATCGAGAAAAACTTAGATTTGACATACAGATGTGACTCGTCCTTCCCAGACAACTTGATTGGTGACTCGTTCAGATTAAGACAAGTTATTCTCAATTTGGCAGGTAATGCTATCAAATTTACCAAGAAGGGTAAAGTCAGTGTGAGCGTGCGGAAGTCTACTGCCATTCCGGATAACCCAGACAAATTGTTGCTTGAGTTCTGTGTGAGCGATACTGGTATTGGTATCGAGAAGGATAAGTTGGGATTGATCTTCGATACTTTCTGCCAAGCAGATGGTTCTACCACGAGAAAGTTCGGTGGTACTGGTTTGGGTTTGTCTATTTCCAAGCAATTGATTCACTTGATGGGTGGTGAGATCTGGGTCACCTCCGACTACGGAAGAGGCTCCAACTTTTCTTTCACAGTTAGTGTTTCTCCTTCGCATGTTGTGTACTCCAGTCATAGTGAGCAACTTCTTCATTTCAGAAACCACCACATATTGTTTGTCTCCACAGAGCATAGCGATGAAGCTCTTGGAGAAATCAGAGATGGTCTCTCTGAGCTCGGTTTGAAGCCTGTGATTGTCAGAGATATTCTTGAGGCTAACTTGTCCGAGCCTATTAAGTATGATATTATCATGATCGATTCCATCAAGACAGCCAAGGACTTACGTTTGCTCTCAGAAGTCAAATACATCCCTCTTGTCTTATTCCACCATTCTCTTCCTGAATTGAACATGAGGGTTTGCATTGACTTGGGCATTTCCTCGTACGGAAACACTCCTTGCACCATTTCTGACTTGGCCAGTGCGATCATTCCAGCGTTGGAATCGAGATCCATCACCCAGAATACTGACGATTCTGTTTCATACAAGATTCTTCTTGCTGAAGACAATTTGGTCAATCAAAAGCTTGCGGTCAAGATTCTTGAGAAGCAGGGCCACCAGGTTGAAGTTGTGGAGAATGGTTTGGAGGCGTTCGAAGCTGTTCAAAGAAACAAGTATGATGTTGTTCTCATGGATGTTCAGATGCCTGTTATGGGTGGATTTGAGGCTACGGAGAACATTAGACAATGGGAAAAGAAGACTAACCCAATTGATTCGCTAAGCTTCCGTACGCCTATTATTGCGTTGACTGCTCACGCGATGTTGGGAGACCGTGAAAAGTCCCTTGCAAAAGGAATGGATGATTATGTGTCCAAGCCATTGAAACCCAAGTTGTTGATGCAGACCATTGCAAAGTGTATTCACAACATTAAACAACTCAAAGAGTTATCGAAACAGAATAATAGCAACAGAACTTCTGATTTTGCAAAAAACTTGAAGAAAATTAAGATCTCCGAGCATCCGGAGAAGGATGAAACTAGCTCCAACGGAAGCGAGTCCGATACTAAGAATGGCGGCCGTCTCACTCCTCTCACAGAGAAGCTGGTCTTAAAATCACGCAATTCGGAAGAGCTTTTGACTTCTAAGTCTAGACCTGGAGCACTCACCATTAATAACAGATCATACACCGAGAGTTCACTCTCAATGGTTGATAAGGAATAGTCAATGAATCGTTAATTATGTTTCGTATGTACCTAAGCAAATCACCACACTGTTTCATCCCACTTTTTCATCTCTTGAACCTGTTGGAAAACATCTTTCTGTGCTTTCTTTCTCATGTAAAAGATCGGACAATCATTGTTGGAACATAACACTTCTTGGTGCAAAGAACCCTGACATCTTTGGCATTCTGTCCACAATCTCGAGAATTTGTTTTCCAAATAGTTCATTTGGGCCAAAGCGTCTCCATATAATTCTGGAGCCTTTTCAATGCAGTTTTCACAGAGGGCACCTTTATTGTTGGCCTTCAATGGTGACTTACAATTCTTGCAAAGTTCAGCCTTCTTTGCAAATCTCATCAACCCACCACTCTTTGGTGCGCTCATCTTAACAGTTCTTGTGTGAGCACCTGTTAACAATTCTTTGGCTCTCTTTTCCCCTAGAATAGGATCGAAAATTCTCAACAAGGGTTTAGTGAGTTGGTTTTCCAAGTAGTATTTGACGTCAATAGGAAGGGAGTTCTCTAATGCATACAATGGATCCTCAGACTTCTCGTAATTTTTCGTACTAGAAGAGCTGATAATCACATAAGGAATTCTATCACCCAAAACCGGAGCAGAACCAGGATCTCTCTTTTTCATTCTTTTGGCAAGCTCAATATGCACCTGTTTGCCGTCATATTCTTGCTTAGAGTAGGCTTTAGTGATGACTAACTGCGAGAGATCGACTCTGTTTTGTAAGAGGTCGGCAATTGTCTGCTTGACAAAACGTTCAGCCTTCTCCACATCACGTTCCTCCAAAATGAACTCTAAAACCTTGGTGATGACATTTTGCACCAAACGACAGTTATCTCGTCTAACAGTTTCAATACCTTTGGTATCCATCTTATCGAATTTTTCGGGCCTGGTCCAGTAAAGACCGGCGTATCTCTTCTTGTTAATCAACAAATATGGAAAGTACACCTTCTCAAACTCCAACTTGATTGGGTTTTTGAACTTGGTCGACACAAAATCAGCGGCTTCTTCTCCCAATTTCATGCATGTTTCTAGATCCTGGTGTCCAAATTTGACCATCACAGAATCTGTGTCTCCATAGATCACCTGTGCATCGTATGTATAGCCATTCTTAGTTGAATACTTTTCCTGAACCTCATTCTTAGTTTTTTCAATCATCTCTCTACCGAATGCAGTGACAGATGACGAAATAGCTAAACACGGCAACTTTCCGATCGTCGCACCCGTGAAACCGTAGACAGAGTTGGCTGAAATCTTCAATGCCAATTGTCTACCATTGAGCACATCCTTCTTAAATGGATCTGTTTCTTTCTTCAAGTCGGCTTTGGCTTTCTTTCTGGCTGTCAACAACTCATGCAAGATAGTGGGTAATATACCTTTTCTCTTGTTGTCCTTAACAAAGTAGTCGCCATTGGGCGTATGCGTATAATCATCCTCTGTTAATTTGAATGCCTGGATCGACTGTTTGTTAAGAAGTGTAGTATAGCATAAGTTGTGAGCCATCATGATGGATGGATACAAAGAGCTGAAATCCAATGTAGCGATCGGAACATCGTAGTAGCCTCTAACAGGTTCGATGACGGTGGCACCCTCGTATTCTTCATTACTACCTTCACTCTTCATGTTAGGAACCACAATATCTTCCTGTAAACACTTTCTGAATAGCTGCGAAATGACCTTAATTTGTTGACCTCTAGCCAAAAGATAAGAGAAAGGAACACCAGTAACACGCGCCATTTCAGTATAGTTGACCAAACACATCAACTTCTCTAGCAATCGAAGAGGCAAGTAAGCGTCCTTCAAACAGTAAACAGCCAAACGTCTTCTTGTCTCGGCGGTACCGTTTTGAAGGTCAGTAATGATGGAATGCTGGACATCTTCCTTTTGTTCACCTAAGAAGTGGGCCGAAACAGAGTTTAAAGTGTAAGATCTTAACTTGTACTCTCTCTGAATAAATTGCAACAAGTCCAACTGCATTCTTCCATCAATGTTAACAACCTTGTTCTCTCTAGTTCCATAAGCCCTGGAACTGAACACAGAGTCCTTGGCTTCCTGCCTGATATTGACCATACGACCAAAATAAGGAAATTTTGGCAAGCCAAGGGCTTTAGCACGATCTAAAAGATAAGGTAAATCGAAGTTGGCAGTGTTATATCCGATAATCACGTCAGCATCAGACTTCACCACAAAGTCTCTCCATGCAATCAACATATCTCTCTCATCCATGTGAGAGAAGATTTCTGAACCAATGATAGGAGAACAGGTATTAACCGTGAACACATTACGGATGAAGGGCCGTTGGTCACCGTATTTCAGCACCACATTAGCGATCTGAATGACAGGATCATGTTGAGCCTCTGGGAAGATACCCTTTCTTCCCGCACACTCGATGTCAAAGGACAAAATACGCAAAGGAGCCATTTTCAACCATTCACCTTCCGACGGATGCGAAATCAAGTCCCTATAATCCACCGAACATTCCACCTGACAGGTGGAAACCTTCAAGGATGGGTCTACGAGTGTGTACTTGCCCTTTGGTAAGGTAATCCACGACATTCCTGTGATTTTGCAGTCAATCATCATACGGAGAAGGTAGTTGATGTTGTCGTATGTGACGCTTGTGGGTGGAAAGAAGTTTTCGAAACGGATTTCACCTCTTTCGAATGCACCTCTTATCTTGGTGATGTCCTTCGCATTGGAGACAACCACCTTGAAAAATGGCGTTTTCATGTTGTTGTTGAACCCCCAGATGGACTCTTTCAATACGATGTGTACGTCGTGGATGCCCAAGTAGTTCGATTTCAAGTAGTTGACAAATTGAGCCAAATGCTGGTCCCTTAAGAAACCACGAGGTACGGGAGCATAGAAATAGTGCAAGAAGCCGGTCACATTACAGAGTACCGAATTTCCTTCGGCTGTGATACCAAAGAACCTTACCGATGTCTCGTCTCCAGCGTAAGCTTCCTCAGCATCCAATTGTTGGAAAGTCACATCCTTTTCTGCAAAATCTGACTCAAGTGGCGGTCTGGACCAGCTCTGGCGTTCTTCAGCGAATTCGGCTGCATGCTGAGTCATGTCGAGCAACTCTTTTTCGAAAACCAGCGGCTCTTCTGTCGAGTTGGGACGTTTGACTTTCTTGAGAAGCTGCTGCTGAGATTGTGAGAGCTCCACCTGGGAATTTATAGACTGGGTACCTATTGGGAGCGAGTGGGCCCCTTCCTGGGAAGGGATCCATGGTCTCTTGAGCGACGCCGAATCTTCTTCCATGATGAGTAATGGTAAGATCTAACAGGAGGACGCGTAGTGTGCAGACGTGTAGATGAGCAAGAGTGTAGGCAGTCGTGATAATGGAGACAGGAAGGGCTGGAGTCAAAAATGGAAAGTTGGGGGAGAAAAGAAAAGGGAGACTTGGACATGAGAAATTGGAGATGAGAGAATTGGAGATAATTAAGAAAGATAATGACGTTTTGATTTGTGACGATGGTGTTTGGGCACGTAATTTGGTAGGTTAACTTAGTGAGCATGATGAGTATTAGCACCATCAATATTTGAAGTGCATAGTTAACAAAGAAGATACAATGTAGTGAAAATGGTGGTAAAATGTTGTAGAATTGTTTTTATGATATGGATCTTGAGACCATCTTGGAAAAAATGTTGAAACTTATTGGCTTTGAATGCTGCACTGAACTTCCCACTCAATCGCCTTTCATTTAGTGAACTTGAATAAATAGCCACAATCCACAGTACAAGTCTAAATAATGTGGAGTCAATTTCACCCTTGATGAGAGGTGGATAATTAAATGTTGGGGTCAAAAAGAATTCCCTAACGATTTACTTTTGACAATATTATCTAGGGCATGATGTCCTTATATCTGCCAACACTGATGTTCGGATCCTTAGACCCAATTATCCATATATTCAAATATACCAACGTCAATGTCATTCAACAATGTTAGTTAGTATCCAGAGCTAATAAATCATTTTTCATCAAGACTTTCCTATGATGGTATCAACTCTAACTTTTCGAATGCTACTTACTAAATGCATGGTGAAACTCCTGTCATTAGATAGTATGCTAAAAGGAAGCCTACTGGTAGAGCTAGCCTAGATCAATTTGTGCTCCGTTGGTTAGTTATATCGCTTACTCGTATCTTTCATTTATTTATCTCCATAATTCTGGCAATCATCAAATACCTTATCAAAAACTTTCGAGCGATATGGATCCTCGCAAACTCATCACAAACTCATCTAAGTTCATGCAAGAATTCATTGAAATTGAAAAAAAAAGCATATGACACTCAGCAAAAAATTCTCGGAATCTTGGTCTGTTCGATGGACTATCTCTGACCATACGAAAAATTCCGTATATACGCTTATCCCAAAAAGGAAGTTCGGAGTTGAGGCTTATCTTCCATCCACCAATTGGCCATTCACATTCTTATCAATGTCCTACATGTCATACTATGAAAATCATTAATTAATTATACAACTTAAGAAAGGAAATTAAGCACGGTGGAGTTGGGTGGGATTGCACAAATGCTTACCCTTGTTAGCTTCTGATCACGATCTAACCAAGTTTAGCGTCAATGGTCTCACTTTGCATCGATACGGCTTCCTCTGCATCAATAGCAGACAAGTTCGACTTGGGGCCGTGGTAGTGCTTGTAGCCATAAGCAAAAAAGTAGATGAGGGATAACAACCACACACCACCATTAATAGCACAAGTGTAGTTCATGGTGTCCTTGCTCACAGCCTTGTTGTCTGGGAACATACACATGACCATCACATAGGAAAGCCAAACACACGAGATCACGTTGATCGGGTAGAAGAATTTCAGCGAGTAGAATGGACCTGGAACAAATCTCTTGGCAGACGCAGTGGGCAAGATCACCAAGAGAATAGGGACTCCCCAGGCAAGCAAGTTACCAGCCACAGCCATAGAGAAAAGAGCATTGGCAGCGGTGGCATCGATCAAAATCAACAAGGCCAAAATGCAAGCGAAAATACCAGAGAAAATGGTGGCACGGAGAGGAACCTTGATTTTAGGGTTGATCACCTTGACGTAGTTGTAGACGAATGGCAAGCCGTGGTCTCTGGCGAAAGAGAATACTTGTCTAGACAATGCAATAAGAAGAGACATACCCATCAAGTACTGAGCAATTGCAATCAACGACATGAAGGCAATGGCCCATTTAGATCCCAATGAGTCCTGGATAATCTGTGCAACCACCATACCGGTGTCACTACCCAAGACAGCCTCAACATCTCCGTCTTTCATGCAAGCACACATGACGATGACGATGAACCATCCAACAATCCAACAAACAGAGATTGAGCCAATAATACCGATAGGAACCTTTCTGGTAGGATCCTTACATTCTTCGGACATATGAATGCACGAGTCAAAGGCACCAATGGTCCAAATAGCAGGCATCCAAGAAAGCATGAATGACCAACCGGGGGACCAGTCTCTGAAGTTCTGCAACTCACCAAAAATAAAGTGTGCATCATTGAATCTCTTCAAGTTAACCTTAGTACCGATGGGTACAGCGATCAAGAACAAAATGATAATGAAAACGTTCATGTAAATGGAGATGGACTGAACGGTAGCGGTCATCTTGGTGGTGACAGAACACACAACAAGCTGTGTAAGAACAATGGCGACGAAAACCCCATATACCTGATACTTGGTGGATTCGAAACCGGTGCCGAGGTAAACTGCAGCAAACAATTCGGAGACGCAACCGTAGTTGATGGAACATAAACCACTACATAAGGCCAAGGTGTTGGAGCAGCCAATAAGGAAAGACAAAGGCACTCTCACATTCTCACCCGAGTAGTAATTAGCGTAGTAGAACAAACCTCCAGAGGTTGGAATGGACGAACCCAAAAAACTCATTGAAATACCAACGAAAAGAATGAAGAGTCCACTCACAAACCAGCCCCACACAAGACCAACAGGACCGGCCTCCAAGCCCACGGCGGCAGTCGTAGTGATGGAAGGCAACAAACCCATAATCGAGAAGGCAATTCCAAACACCTGGAAGGTTGAGAATTCTCTTCTCATCTCTTGTTTGTAACCAATCTGGTGCAAAAGATCAGTATCGTCAGCGGCATGTTGGTTGTCAATAGAACGAATTTCTTCACGATTGGAGAGAACTGTGTCCAAGTGATGGGCCATACGTTCCGTGGTGTTGGAACGAATTGCCTGGATAGGCGAACGATGAGACTTTACTTGTTCCATGGCGACAAATTCAAGTAGCGAGGATAACTAGGGAGACTAGGTATTCAAGTAGCGAGGAATTGAAGCTAATGGCAGTGACAAACTCAGAAATTGAAACTGAATTTTTGGTGAGGTATCAATTATGTCCTGGATGTCTGCTCATTAAATTGACGAGGTGTAACAGAACCGGTATGTAGATTGTGTCACTATTTTGCACATAAGCCGCGATAACTTCAAAATGAACCCATTGGTATCGATAAGCTCGCATAATAGCGGAATTCCCAAATTGGGACTCGCGCTATCTTTCGTGCACACACAGAAAACGGCATTAATGGCCATGGCCTCCCCAAATAAAATAAAAAAAGTAAGAACAACGGACGGTGAAACGAGTCCAAATTGTACGTAGACAGCTTTATGTCCCCACATAAAGTTTTGAAAGTATACAAAAGTGCTTCAATGCCTGAAAGCTTCATTAAACCACAATACCATAAAGCAATCAATAAACTTTGACATCCTTCACATTTGCTAACCGCTATCTGTGGACAACTGTTGGAGACTTCCGTTATCTCCTGTGTGCATGTTCGAGCTCTTGCGCTAATTTCAACTTGGCAATACCGGTGATCCGATTCTTGCCGCCACCTCCTCTGCCAATGAGCATCTGCTCAATGCACGTGTATTTACCGTCTGCGCCTTTAAGAGTTTTGTAGACAGTGTCAACTGCTGGAAGGCTATGCTGTTTCTTGGTGAAGGGTGCGGATGCATGCAGGCCGTTATCTCCAAAAAGATCATCTCCAGCATCGTTGAATAAGTCGTCCATTTCGAAATCGCCCATCAAATTGTCTTTAGGCGGCTTCTCTGACTCAGGCACAAACCCTGCAACCTCATTAAATATCGACGAGTAGTGGTTATCGATGGTGAGTGAAAACTTGTCAGAAACTGTAGCGGATTCACGGTGGCCCATGTCGATCTCATTGCCCGTACCTGTAGACGAAGACTCTTCCTTTACTCCACTTGTAGCCACCACCAAGAATACTAAGAAATCCAAAAAAACCTTGCTCTCCTCTACGTCAACATGATTGTGCAGCACCAGGCATTGATGTAACTCTTGCAAAAACGCATCAAAGGTCTGCGGGCCGGACAATTTGCTCCACCACCAACGAATATTTGCCCAAGTGGTCAGCACAGAGTAGTTTCCCGGCTCGCGGACATAGTGAATAAGGCATTGTTTGATGGTTTGGACAAGATCGAACGAGCCGACTTGCAGAATATTCGCATTTTGTGGCGTCAAATGGTCATGACCAAGTTCTCGCTTAAGGATTGAAACACTTCTGGCCGCAGCCTCAAAGTTCCGCCAGTTCTTGAGGGTTTGCAATTTCTCAAGTGCCCGTGGCCCAACTATACAGAGTAGAACTCGGAAAGTATAATTAGGGTCCGAGGTGGTGCCGGAGTTGCCGAGGTTAATCTCCATGATGCGGAGAAATATCGAAACCATTGCTTCGCTATTTGGTTGCAACGGTCCAATTCCACTGAGAATCCACTCCATAATTTCCAATGAACATGGTGCCAAAAAGTTCTGACTCAAGTAGTCTAACCCATTATTCAATCCGCTGGTACTCAAGGTGCCCAAAATATTAGCTGTGATGGCCTGCTGAAAAATGATGGTAATGAGCTTATACGTCTGTTTGACATTAATGGACTTAATCAAATCGTCAGATAAACCCTCGTTGTTTACATCGAACAACGCATTAACCCAATCTTGCAAAAGCGTGTTGTAGTTGGCCACAATGGTGGAGTCATCTTCGTCTGATCCAACTACTTTGGCAGTAAGGTCTTCACAGTGTCTATAAAAGAACCTGGTAATGAAATTGATAGTGTACGAGTCCTTTACCTCAGCCAGCTTAAAGTCAATGTTGAAATGAACGACTATAGCAATTATTCCCGAAAGTATCACACCAAAATACGCATAAGTGTCTTGAAAATTGCTGTCGTCTTCGTCCACACGGAAGCTTTCTTGATCCAAATATAAAATCAACTTGTTTAAGAGTCCCCACGGTCCGAGCGGGTCTTGAAAGAAGATTATATTCGAAACGGTTGGTGTGTTGGCCATGGCAATCAATAATCGCCCTAGTTTCTCACTACTTTTGTCTTTGACGAGAGCGTCCACGGCTTTGTGAGCAAGCTTGTTCAATTGCTTCTGCTTTTTTTCCAGAAAGAGAATGTTAGTCTTGGGAAGTGACTGGAAATACTCAATGAGTCTGCTTTCTTCCAAAGAAGTGAATTCAGTATTGACCTCCAATAACTTGTTGTTCAATTCACTTGTCAAGCTGTCAAGGTGGCTCAATTGCTCGGTTTCATGAATAATAAGCGACAGAGATAGCGCGTCCGCCTCTTCAGGAAACAATTTGGTGAACTCTTCTAAAGTAATGATCTTTTGGTAGATACAATTACGCAAAAAATGTTTGCGCAAGTCATAAGGTTTATCTCCTACCGCCATTTGTGTTATGGCAGTATCCTTTCTTTTCACAACAGCATCACACAAGAGCTCCCCGAGATTCTCAGATGATATGGCTGAGTGTATATGTCTCGAATTCTTGAGAAAGATTGGTAATGTGCTTACAATAAAGTTACGCCAGTTGAAAATCACATATGGCATTTCTTTCAGCAGTATAGCAATAGTGATACCCCCAAAAAAAGCTGATACAATCTCATCGACTAGTTCACTCAACTTATGAGTTGAAATGCCGAAAAATTGCAAGTAGTCATCCACCAAGTTATGGATCTGCCATTGCTCGAATTGTGTGTTCAACCACATAAACTTTTTGATAATAAGATAAGTAGCAGCCTTCTTAGAGTGCCAGTTTACAGAAAATGATTTCTGTACCATAGACATGGTCAATTTTTCGTTGTTTTCTGCTCCTAGTGGAACCAATGGTACACCCGGTTGCAACTCTTTATTCAAATCAGCAGTAGTCATTAGTACATTTGCTTTCTTGGTGAAATAGCCGGACAAACTGTCGTAGCCAAACTTCACTAAATTGCTCATTACCGAAATGGCCATTTCCTTGAATGGACCCGAAGGAATCATCTCTGAATGGTTATCTATGATATCTCCCCATAAGAAAAGAATATGAGTCAAAGTGCTTTTTTGAATACTATCCAATTCCACAACTTCAGCAAGATTACTCATAAATCTAACAGTATACGGGATATATCCAGACTGAATGAATTCCTTCAAGGCATTCAGCCTGAATACCCGAGAATAGCTATTCTTGAAGAACACTACGTATGTTCGTTGAGATTCTACAGAGGCTTGCACAAGAAGCGACATGAACCTCTGGAGATCTGAGATACTGCCACAGGCAAATTCCACTGCATAATCCACGAGATATTTCTGCTGGACCGGATCTGAACCTTTTGGAATCTCAATCAAAGACTCCACCATTTCATTGTCTGATACTTCGGTGGTGCTGAGCAATTGCTTTAGAAGGCTGCCAAAGACTTTCGGAGAAGTCTTCTTGGAAGCCAGGACCTTAACCAATTTGTGTAAAGAAATCGTGGGACTCATGATTATGATTGAAGATTCATGGATCTTGGTAGATGTAGCGGTAAAGTGGTGATGGTGTACGGGTGTATTTTTGTACTGTGACAAGGCGATGGAGAGTTAAAGGATAAGAGATGTCACTACAATTGTGAAACTTAGTGGCGGCATTTATTAGATACATGGACCACACAATAGTCCAGTTGGAGATGGAAAGAATTAATTGCATAGGTAGTGACGATCCTTCTGATCTATAACGTGATCCGATATCACGTGTGCTTGTTCTTTCCTTATCGACGCCGACATTGACTCTTGCCAACCGAAAATCAATTAATTCTTACACAAATCTGTTAGGCTGCGCGGTCCCAGTTGCTCTTACTTGCTGTATTCTGTGGTGCCATCCAAATAGACAGCCTTGATACACCCCATGGCGAAGACAGGAATGCCTGCAGAGCACTGGATCCATAGCTGTCTACGGATCCATTGAGGCCAGAGAGGAACATTATTGGTGGGGAGTTGCGTGAAGACTCTGATTGCGCCATGAATGAAGCAAAGCCTGGAGAATGAGTGGAGGCAGACTCTGTTCTCCAGATGTTCGGAGAAGGCCCAACGTCACTGGGAGGATTAGCGGCAGTACTAAATTGTTTAGCCGACGTTGTTCCAGCATCGGTTCCATCCAGACCCAAGTCCGTTGCAATCTCCGAGCCGATATTTCCAAAATCAACATCAATAGGACTGGCACCCATTTGGAAGTCTGATAACCCACTGAATCTCGATGTAGCCAGCCGAGACAGCACAAGAGGCACAGATTGCCCCATATTACCCATCTGTTCCAGGTATGCTCTCATCATAGGCAGTCCTGTCACTCCAGTCGACTTCATCAATGCCCTCTTGCCAGTCTTAATGGTATCCTTATTCACTTCATTATTCGTATCCAGTTTTGCGAACTGAAGATCAGCCATGTCTTTAGAAACATTTATGTTCCTTTTTCTTTCAAAACCACCCTTATCGTCTCCTGACCCCGGCGTTTCGCCTGATTTATATCCAATTCCATTACTTCCCATTTCATTTCCCAATTTGTCATATCTCATCCGGGATCCATCACCCCAAATTTGAGGAACGTACCCAACACATCCTCCCGGACTTCGTGTAAGCTGTTGGAGCCTATAAGTGTCGGACCTTTCCTGCCTTTTCGTGTAAGTTCTTCTTATCTGGTCTACTTGCTCGATTTGACCAACAAAGGCCACCGATTCAAGAGGCCGATTCGGGTACATTGCAAAGAGTAGCAAAAAATTCGTACTCTTCCAGAATAAGTGAAGTTTACCAGAAAAAGTGGTGACGTGGGGGAGAATGGTGCAGTCACCAGAAACGGCTACACCATCTGATCACCATGATGCGACTCTATACACGAAGGCAGAGGCTTCTGTGCTAAGACTGACAATTATGGAGAATGGGCTAATGCAAAATATTCGGTTTTCATTCTAGAAAGAAGTACGAAAGCACTTGAAAATTGAAAGATAGGTTTAAAATCAGTATTGGGGAGATTCAGAAGAAAAGGATCCAACTTTCAGATTTTGAAGACCAGGGTTCGTGGGTAATATGGCGAGTTGGACTGATATCCTTATTGTATCACGTATTAGATCTTTTGTGAGGTCTATGAAGACCAAGTAACTTCAACACTTACATGGATATCTGCTTTCATCATGTATTAGTTTGCTAGGGGTCGAATCGTCTTCGTTCAACGAAATCCATCGCCTACTTGGAGGCATTCAACTGCCATGCGGGAACGCCCACATTCTCAATGGACTTCTCCACGATCTCGTCATCTTTCTTCATCTGTTGCTGCCAAAGGGGAATTCCGCTTTGACTCTGCACTTGGGTAGGAGGCCACTCTCCCTCGGACTCGCTCACATCCACTTGTGCATTTGCCTTCTCTTGCTGCTCCTTCAACTCCCTCTCTTCCTCGGCCTGCTTATGCTTGAGTTGCCAGTCGGGAATTCCAGCTGCAAAGATCTCACCTTTTGGGCTAGCTACAGAGGTATTGATGGTAGATGGTTGCGAAGTAGGTTCTCTTGCTGCATCCACTGATTTCCTCTCGGAACTGTTAGCCCCATTTGCATTACTGGTAGCCTGGTTGCTCTTGGCTCTCTTCAAGATCTCAGATGCAGATGGAATTGAAGACACTGGGGCCACTTTCCTCTCAGAGGTGGAAGCAGCCTCGCCACGAGCCTTGATCAAGTTGCGGAGCGAAGTGAGCTCTTCCGAAATGTTGCTAAGCTCATCCGAAATGCTCTCTTTGGTTAATCGCATGTTCTTTTCGACAGCATTCAGCAAATTATCCACTTCGAGTTTCATCAACCGCAAGTCGTCATCGAACTTCAACTTGTCTTTGTTATATTTGGCCAAAAAGTCGTTGACATTGTCGATAACTACATCAATTTCCTTCAACTTGGCCTCGTTGGAGTCTTTGATCTCCTTCTGCTCAATTGCCATCTGTTCAAGCACTTTATCAATCTTAACAAACTCCTCGTCAATCTTCTCCTTGTCTTCATCCACACGGGACTGCCCCGGCGGGATGATGCTGGGAATAAGATATCGTGATACCACCTGATACAATCCATATGTGACACCTGCTGTAGCGGTGGCCATAATGAAGTAATCTTTCCAGCTTCGTTCCGGCACCTGTGGGGGCACCGAATAATAGTCCAACGGAGCTGGGGCATTATATGATTGTTGCGACGAATACGTCGAGGTAGCCACCTGCGGAGAGTTTGACGCCGAGCTGCCGGAGCCCGAATCGTTGGCTCTTCTTAACGCTTCTTCGATTTGTTGTTCATTCAATCCTTTCGACTGAAGGAACTCGATTTTCTTGTTGATAGGCGACGACGCCACGTTAGGGTCTCTAAGGAAAGAGACGGCGCTGGTGATTAGATCGTCGTTCATCAAGAAAAGAGGAAGTGGTTGGGTTTTTTCTGATCGTTACCCCAGTTTCTGGTCCGAGGTAAGATTGAGACATCCGTACACCAAGGTGGGGGGTGGGGCCAATGACATATGAAGAATATGGATTTTAAGTAATCAGAGTAATGAGAGAAAAATTGGATATCGAAAATATAAATTGCAGGTTGCATGAATATTTCGGGTAGTTCATTGACACTTCATCGGCATGTTGTATATTCTATCCTTACTCTATACCCTGCCGTTTCCTATTTACAAGAACTTGAGCAACTCTTCGTACATGCACCAACTGATACCAGCACTAAGACCCTTTCTGCCCAACCGCAACGAAAGCCCACTGAACAAATTTTTTACTCCTCCAGGTTCCTGCAACAACTTCTGTGCCACAGACACTAATGTAGGTGCTCTTGTAGTGGCTGAATTGAGCTGTAACCTAGTCTTGATGGCATCAAAAGGTGCTGTAATGGTGGTAGAGACTGAAGCAGCCAAAACTGCCGAAGTGGAGTTGTTCAACGACGCAAAGTAAGCTTCACTTTGCAAGGGTGCAAAAACAATTGGAAATAAGTCGTTTTTGAACGCCTCATAAAAAAGAACGTAGAGCCCAGCATAGGGACAATCTCTAGCCAAGGTAGCAAACGTTCCCTTGAAGAAGTGGCGGAAAGAGCCGTTCGGGCTGCCGTCGCGGTAGATACCGTCAAAACTTTCATAGAGTGAGTTGTACGAGTAAATGCTGGACTCAAAGCGAGTTTTCACCACCGTAATGGGCATGGTAATCACTCCCACTGCCGCACGAACGAAGAAACCAGTGGCCAAGTTTTCTGCATGAGAAAGCTTTGGTAAGATACTCAGTGTCAGCTCTCCTCTGTTTTTCTTCAAGGTGGCCAAGTACGTTCTGGTCTGCGAAAGCATGGTAAAGTAAAGACCGGCACCAACAGATGTTCTGAGAGTAGAGGGAAGAACACCACGCCACAAATCCTTAACGTTGGTGAGCTTTTTGAGTTCCTTCCCAATTGACGTCCGGTAGCCCGCCACCTCCAGCTGCTGTTGTTGCAATCTGGTTTTCAAGAGGTCGAGAGGTTGCAAAGTAAAAGCAGACACGAGACCAGCAGTGGCTCCCGAAATCAAGTGAACCCTGGTCGTGGGGATCTTGCGGGCCGGAGTACCCGCAGGTGGTGGTCCATTATCCATGAATGTGGTGGTATTCGTAGCAATTGACTGGTGAAAATCGACCGTTGATCAGGTGCAGTTGGCATGATGTGCAGGTGAATGTGGGGTGACCAATGGTGACAAGAGAGTTCTTAGAGACATAGTATGGGTAATTTGGGAACTCAGTACCGGTATTTGCTCATCATCTTGTGATTGCAAAGAATGTTTTTGTGCATGTGTTCAGAGTTTGGTCATGGTTCATTTTACCACTTGCGAATTGGTCAGGTATGAGTAGAGAGAACTGAAAATGTATGTGAAAAATGTTCTCGAAGAAAGGAAGAGAAATCAATAGTTTGATCAGCGTAGTCGCTTTTCCGTAGTAGTTGACGCCCCAGACTCCCAGATTTCAGTAGAGCGTCTGTGTTGTATTCTATAGGTTTTCAGAGTGTCCTTGCGTTTTTTGTTGACTCTTAAGTGTCCTCCTCATCAGAGTCCCTTCAAATTTCAGTTATTGCTTCAGGGTCTTCCAATCTTATCTTGTGTTGATAGCCTCCCACTCTAAATGGCCATCATTTTCGCCACTTCTCGAGCTCTTTATCTATAGTGAGTCTTATCGAGACGAATCAGAACTCTTCGAGTATCATCGAACGATTTTCACCTTTGTACTCCTCCAGAAAATCTCTCTCTGTTGTCCTTCCTTTGTATCCCCTACTGCCACATAGCATCCATAAACTCTCGCAGCTTCTTCGTAATTACCAACTCCGTGTCGATTTCTTGCAAGGTCTCCATTCCATCAAACTCCAATCCAGAAGCTTTCAAAAGCGAAACACTAGCAAGCCCAAGAAACGAATGGAATGGATCGGGCATGCTTTCCGTATCTTTGCCGAAACCTCCCATCAATTTATGTTGTGTACCTTCAAGGAGGTAAGTGAGGGCCCTTTCTCCGTCGATGAGCTTCAATCCTCCTTCTCCTAACATTTCTAACAGCGACATCACCCACCACGAGTAACAGGTATCCGCAAACTTATTTTCTCGTCCGTTGAACCCTCCGATGTCCCTTTCCTCATAATATTCGTAATCTGGCTCTTCCCCGTATAGTTCAACCGGGTAGTCAACTTGTCGGTGGACCAACCAGTTCTGTGTGAGCGCCACAAAGTCATTTTTGGTGTCCAAATCAAAGCCTGTTAGTTTCAACGCAGCCAACCCGCAGAAGGTGAGGCCACTATGAGATTCTGTGAATGAAGTAGAGGCAATTCCACCGTTGAAATTGAACTTATCGAGAATGAACTGCGTCATGGTATCCACATCAATGTCCGAAACCCTTTCACTCTCAGTTAACCTGTCGTATCCAACCATTTTGCGTATGGAAGCGGCTATATAACATAGCCGCAAGTCAGACTCGCCCCATGGCTCTCCGTTCACGTCCAAAACAGGAACAAACGAGCCTTTTAATGGACCTGATTTCACCTGGCACCGCGCCACGAACGCCATGATCTTGTGACGGTCGAGTCGCTGCGAATAGTCGTCTTTCAAGATCAAAAGAGATGCCAATGCAAAGAGCGTCGCAGAAAGGTTGGGGAGATCGTAATCGTTATGCTCATCTTGAAGTTTGAATGTCTGACTTGACCTGAACGCCTGAATGTTCGTATCTTTTGTGTTGATCAAATGAGAGTAAATATAGTCAATGTGTAGTTTGGAATCTGGCGAGACATGGATCTGGTCTAGCAAGCCTAGGCCGTGGAGAACAAAGTATACAATGGCAAGCTTGTTTGCATCTTCGCCTTGAGCCCTAGCAGGAAGCGAATGGAGACACAATCGGAAGTTTTTGACGTGTTTCTCGATCAAGAGACTCATGACGATGTAGTATGTTCTGGATGTAGGAAGTGAGGATGGGGAAGATACAAAGATGGAGATTTGAGTGAGATGGCGAGGTACAAAAACGATTAATTCTGAAATAATTAGGAGATTATTAATGTTTATTTAAAGGAATTTTTCTGGTAAGAATGACAGTCGGGGTGAAAGAATCTCGAATACGTTCTTTCGCATAGAGTGGATCATCCCTTTCACCATAATGTAGGTAGGTGGCTAATGAGCAGAGAGATGAATACCGATGTAACGAATAAGAGTGCTATATTCATGTATGTTGTAGTAGAATGGTGTTTACTTTATGTGCCTTATGTCTATATATGCTACTCTACCTTCTCATCCATTATTTCATCCATTATATCACCAAGTATCGTTTGGTCTCCACTCATCTTGTCCCATTGACCAAATCTGTATCCACAAGTCCTTCTACAAGTCTGCCCATATCAAAATGGAAGTTCTTGCTCTTTTTGATGTTGTCATGAGGGCTTATCACCGTCACGATCACAGGAAGCTTGTCTTCAGCACGTAGAACTGCTGACGAGCAATACACCTTGTAATGATGATGGTTGAAGTTCGTTCTGAATTCGTTAGCAAGCTCAGAATACTCCACTTCTATGCCCTCGAGCCATTTAACATTGTAACCAGTTACCAATCCTTTTTCTGACGGAATAGAACCTCTTAACTCCAACTTCTCGTCTGTGAGATGGAAACTGATCTTTGCAAGGTCCACGTTCAAACCACACCCAATGAACTTCGTGAAAGCTTCCTTGAGAGTCCAGAAATGGTTGAAAGCGACATATCTTTCCTCTATGTTGTCAATTTCCATCAATTGGTTTTGTTCATGGGAAGTAAAGATCCCTTGGAATTGGTCCATGAAGTCAGTAGCAGAAATGGAATCCTGAGTCTCATGAGAAAGGTCTATGCCGACAGAACTTGATGAATTTATCAGCACAACTATGGAGATAATATCGTTGGAACTGCTTGAGTTGTACTGGAAATTTAGAATGTTCTGGTTCTTTAGCTGCGGCTTCCCGTACTTGTTGTATTCCATGGGTAGCTCTGCCCACGGATCGAAACTTGGGCTTCCACCTTGGATATATACTATGTAATTTAGCACGTATTTGGAAAAGAGCCGCAGACCCAATTCCTTGATTCTGTTATGTTGAGAGTTTCTCACTTTAAGCTGATCTTTGAGTGAGAGTTTCCTCATACAAATCTCGAAATTGAAGTCATCCGAAAGAAACTGTACTAATTCTGCATTCGCTGTGGAGGTAGTGAAGAGTATAATTTGGTGTCCATCTATGGATTGAAGATGGTGGAGCATGAGATCATGAGTCAGCTCCGACATACAGCGATAGGGAAGAATGGGTTCTTGATGTTGGATGAGGATGGAGGAAGAGAATCTGAAACCGTGAAGCCTTCGGAATGTAATAAGGGAAGTCACCAACGTGCATTTTTAAATCATATTTTTTTGATGAATAACGCATTTTTGAATTATGGTACAGAGTTTTGTGATTTGAGACGATTCTACACTTGCGAACTGCGTTTTGAAAAAAATCAACTACGAATGGAAAATGGAAAAGATGAAATTGGAAATTTGAAAAATGGGAAAAATAAAAGAAAATGGGGTTGAAGTAGAAAGACTTGGTAATATATGACAGAGTTATGTTTCCATCATTCAAGAACACTAGGAAGATCCGTCAGTCAAAGGAGTCGAAACAACTGAAAGTGATGTATGGTAGTCAATGAAATGAGAAGTATCAAAGAAAATAAACGAATTTGAAATGAAGGAATATTCTGAAAACATGAATTAGGGGAGACTATTGTGACCTTCATGTTTCTTAGAGCAAGCACGCCCCATACGCACCATATTACAAGGTCATTCAAAACGTCCCCACTGGATTGAAACAAAGAGGTGGAGCTGGGTAACGCACAATCAGCCGATGTGGATGCCCCTCCCAAACTTACAAGCTAATTCGAGTTGAAGAGCAGCTGTTGGGTGCTAAAAGATGGAGAACTGGCATATACTGTACCTGGAAAGCAATAAGATTTCTCCCATAATAAATGAAAAATTAATTGTGGAATAAAGGCGACGGTATTTTCAAGTCGAATTTTCAAATTATTAATTGGATTATACCTTTCATCAAGGCAAAAAGCCATTTTCCGGAAAATTCATTGATTGTTTGAGTTACTCAATCTTCCTAGTTGAGCTTACTTGAAGGAATAATACCCATGTTCTCCTCTGCTTGACGATACCCCACCCGCACCGCTTTTTTTTTGCTGCACGAGCGACCACTTTCCTTGCAATGATTGTGATTTTATGGAGTCGTACGGGGTCGTACGGGGTCGCACGTCTAGTGTTGACCAGTCGTTTACTTTGTCGTATAGAGGCAGCAGATCTGCAGAGGTGTATATGCTGCAGTAGTACAGACAGTCCAGAATATCAAAAAACTTCAAAGACACAGAACAGACTTACAAGCCATAAGAATGTCATAGAGGTTTGAGACAAGAAATGAAAGATTTTTGAGAAAGAATGACGAATCATCAATCATTCCGAGATTGGCTGCGAAAGTATTCCCATTGAACTACTTGCTTATGAGCCCTGACTTCCTCGCTGGATGCGGAGATATTGCGCTGTCGTAAAGGCGCCATGAGCAAAATAAACCTGGAGGCATACATGACGTAAGAGAAGAATAGCAAAACCACTTAATGATGAGCAATTCTGAATAGCAAACAATGGCAGAAAGAGAGAAAAAAATGAGAGAAAAAAATGACAGCATGAGCATGTAAAAAAAAAAATGCAATAGAGGAACACGGGCAAAAGAAGCGAGGTGGTGTGAGGTTGTTCAAATTTTGAGAAAAAAACCTTCTGCGGAGCCACAACCTCCATTGATTATAAATAAGCTCGGAACTTGAGGTGGAATTAGCTTCCAGTGGAGATAATCGCCAATCAGGGAAGCATAAACTCAGCCTTGTATGCGAAACTTCCTCCATATCACATGCCGAACGGTCCGGAGACCCTGCAGTCTAGGCCGTTGCCACACGGAGTGAGGAGTTAAGAGGAAGTTTACGGAGGAGGGTGCATCGAGGTTCTGAATATGAGAACCATTACTATTGTGACGAGAGGAGGAGTACAAAGGACACAAAAGATCCAAGGAAGAAGAATATGGAGTTTAAAATTGGAGGTTACAGTGAAAATGAAGAGAAATTAAATTGTTTGAAATCTCTATTCGCAAAGAAAGTCATAATGTGTCAAAAAATGATCCGACTTGGAGAGATCTCCAGACAAATTTGATGGGTAATATATCCATGGAACCAATGATAAGATATTCCAGACCATATCATTGTCTCTATATTCTCCATTTCTCTATATTTATATCAGAAAAAAAAATTGAAGAAGTGAATACAGTTTCATCCCACTTAATGTCTCAAGGATATTTTTCATGATTTTCAGTATCCTTCTCTTTCATCTATTCACACAAAGCTCTCCTCTCTACTTTTGTATTTCGCCCACACTCTCTTTATTCCGTGTTCCGCGATGTTCCGAACGCTTCACGCAGATCTATAACGCTATATCCACGCCAACAACAAACATATCTCTAGTACATAAAGTAATCCGCCACCCAACCTTGCACTCTACTTACTCCCTAGCGATCGAATATTTTACTTCTAAACTTCTACGCTTTCTCATTGGCTCGAGCCCCTCCTCATGATGACGAATTGTTCCGTAATGGGATATCGGAAATAACAATTCGCACGGCTTGTGCACGGCTTGCGCATCACTTTTCTGCACTTTCAAAATTCCCCCACGCCAAAATCTCTCCAAAGCTTGAAAAGACTGATATATTCATCTAACCTTACGTATTCATGGAAATCCAATCGTCTTCTCCGTCTTCCCCGTCTTTCCCGTTTGTCTCATTTGGGTCTTTTTATTCTTATTTTTTTTTTTTGTATTTATTTGCGCCTTTCACAATGCCCAGCCTCATTCGACTATTCCCCTAACCCTGCGGTGTTTACTATGCTCTTTGTTTCCGAATAGGCTAACTCCGCATGCATACATAACGGAACTTAGCCAGCTTCCGACATTATTCCATATATTGCTGGACTATGCTCCGTATATTCAAACCTCAGCTTTTTCTTTAATTGGTCTCTAGATTCTAGTTGCTGCAGCCGTCCAGTTTGCCCTATTTGTCTTGCTTACTCTGCTGCTTCATTAGCTCTGTTGGTCACTTGCTTGCATCTGCCGCACCTGCCTCGTCAATTCTCCAGACCTTCTAGCCTTAGATGTCTCAGGAGAAATTCACCTTTGTAGGTGACCAGGCCTTTGACGGGCCCGAAACTCAAAATGCTGCCGCAGAAGTTGCCACCGGACCAGTTGGCGGCAACCTTGGCCGTACCTCTTCCTACAGCTCTGCCAACTCTGATCTCGATTCTGTCAACGAGTACAGAGGCTTCAATGCCCACCAGGACGAGATCAGAGAATTGGCCAGAACTTTGTCCCACGGCTCGCACTCGTCCTTGAAAACCAGAGACTCTGCCGCCGAGTTGAAGAAGTACTTAACCCACATGTCCAATGTGCCTGGTGTAGTTCCATTCAATGAGAGCGATGAAATCTTGAACCCAGACTCCGACAGTTTTGACGCCAAGTTCTGGGTCAAGAACATGCGTAAATTGTTGGACTCCGATCCTGAATACTATAAGCCCTCCAAATTGGGGCTTGCTTACCGTAATTTGCGTGCTTATGGTGTTGCTACTGACTCCGATTATCAGCCTACTGTGACCAATGCATTGTTCAAATTGGCTGTTGATGGTTTCCGCCTGCTTAGAAAAGATGACGAAAGTCGTTACTTTGACATCTTGAAGACTATGGATGGTATTTTCAAGCCCGGTGAGCTCACCGTCGTCTTGGGTCGTCCTGGTTCTGGTTGTTCCACCTTACTTAAAACCATTGCGTGTAACACCTACGGTTTCCACATTGGTGCCGAGTCTCACATAACATACGATGGAATTTCGCCCGCCGAAATCGCTAAACACCACCGTGGTGACGTTGTATACTCTGCAGAGACTGACGTTCACTTTCCCCACTTGTCTGTGGGTGACACCTTGGAATTCGTGGCCAAAATGAAGACTCCGCAAAACAGAGGACCTGTCTCGAGAGAGGAATGGGTCAAGCACATGGCCTCAGTTTACATGGCCACCTACGGTTTGTCGCACACCCGTAATACCCCCGTGGGTAATGATTTCGTCCGTGGTGTTTCTGGAGGTGAAAGAAAGCGTGTCTCCATTGCAGAGGTATCCTTATGTGGTGCCAACGTACAATGTTGGGATAACGCCACCAGAGGTTTAGATGCTGCCACCGCCTTAGAATTCATTCGTGCTTTGAAGACTTCTGCTGCTATCTTGGACGCCACGCCCTTGATTGCCATCTATCAGTGTTCGCAGGATGCTTACAACTTGTTTGACAACGTCATTGTCCTTTACGAAGGTTATCAGATCTTTTTCGGAAGAGCTGATAAGGCCAAGGAGTTTTTCGTAGAGATGGGTTACAAGTGTCCTTCTCGTCAAACTACCGCTGACTATTTGACTTCATTGACCAACCCAGCCGAAAGAGTGGTCATTCCTGGTTTCGAGAACAAGGTTCCTAGAACCGCTAAGGAGTTCTCGGATTACTGGCGTGCTTCTCCAGAGTACACCGCCTTGACCACCAAGATCGATGCTTACTTCAAAAAGGTTGAGACTGGTGAGACTCGTGATGCCTACAAAGAATCGCATGTTGCCAAACAGTCCCAGCATATTGCTCCTACCTCCCCATTCACTGTATCCTTCACCATGCAAGTCAAGTATCTCATTGGTCGTAACTTTTTGAGAGTGAAGGGTGATCCGTCCATCACAATCTTCTCGATTTTCGGTCAAGGTGCGATGGGTTTGATTTTATCGTCTGTGTTTTATAATTTGAGTCAAACCACAGGCTCTTTCTACTACCGTGGTGCATCCATGTTTTTTGCTGTCTTGTTCAATGCCTTTGCTTCTTTGTTAGAAATCATGTCTTTGTTTGAGGCCCGCCCAATTGTCGAGAAGCATAAGAAATACGCATTATATCGGCCCTCTGCGGATGCTCTTGCGTCCATCATCTCAGAACTTCCTACAAAGCTTGTCATGTCTATCGCTTTCAATTTTGCGTTCTATTTCATGGTCAACTTCAGACGTAACGCAGGAAGATTCTTCTTTTACTGGCTCTTCTGTATTCTATGCACATTGTGTATGTCACATATGTTCAGATCTTTGGGTGCTGTTTCCACCTCTCTTGCTGGTGCCATGACCCCTGCAACTGTCATTTTGTTGGCCATGGTTATTTTTACTGGTTTCGTCATTCCAAAGCCAAGTATGCTAGGATGGTCAAAGTGGATTCAATACATTAACCCTGTGTCTTACGTTTTCGAGTCCTTAATGGTGAATGAATTCCACGACCGTGAGTTCAAGTGTGCTAGTTACGTTCCTGCTGGTCCCTCTTATCAAAACTTTGCTGATAGTCTGCGTGTTTGTTCTGTTGTTGGAGCTGTTCCAGGTAATGATTTCGTGAATGGTACTGACTACTTGGCCCTTTCATTCGAATATTTCAACAAGCACAAGTGGAGAAATATTGGTATCATCATTGCTTACATCGTTGTCTTCTTGTTCGTTTACATTGGTTTGACTGAAAGTAACAAGGGTGCTATGCAGAAGGGTGAAATTGTTTTGTACTTGAGAGGTTCATTGAAGAAGCTCAGAAAAACAACTGACAACAAGAAAGCCGTGACTAATGACCCAGAAAACAATCTTCCCAACGAGAAAATCCCATTCAAAGACTCTGCTGAAAGCTCTGGTGACAACTCATCCAAGACTTCCGTCTCCAACAGTGCTAACAAGCAGATTTTCCATTGGAGAGATTTGACTTACTCTGTGAAGATCAAGTCTGAGGACAGAGTTATTTTGAACCATGTGGATGGCTGGGTGAAACCTGGCCAAGTTACTGCATTGATGGGTGCTTCGGGTGCCGGTAAAACTACTTTGTTGAATTGTTTGTCTGAACGTCTTACAAGTGGTACTATTACTGACGGAGTCAGAATGGTTAACGGTCACTCTTTGGACTCCTCTTTCCAAAGATCTATTGGTTACGTCCAACAGCAAGACATTCATTTGCCTACCTCTACTGTTCGTGAAGCTTTGACTTTCTCTGCTTACTTGAGACAGCCTAACCACGTTTCTAAGGCTGACAAGGATGCTTACGTTGACTATGTTATTGATTTGTTGGAAATGACCAACTATGCTGATGCATTGGTGGGTGTCGCTGGTGAAGGTTTGAACGTCGAACAGCGTAAGAGATTGACTATTGGTGTTGAGTTGGTGGCCAAACCTAAGTTATTGTTATTCTTGGATGAGCCAACTTCTGGTTTGGATTCTCAGACTGCTTGGTCTATTTGTAAGTTGATGAGAAAATTGGCTAACCATGGACAGGCCATTTTGTGTACTATCCATCAGCCTTCCGCTATTTTGTTGAAAGAGTTTGACCGTTTATTATTTTTGCAAAAGGGTGGTCAGACAGTGTACTTCGGTGACTTGGGTGAGAACTGTCTGACTTTGATCGACTACTTCGAGAAGTATGGTGCTCACCAATGTCCTCCTGAAGCTAACCCCGCAGAGTGGATGTTAGAAGTTGTTGGTGCTGCTCCGGGTTCTAAAGCCAACCAGGACTATTTCGAAGTCTGGAGAAACTCTACAGAGTTCAATGAGATGCAAAATGAATTGGATACTATGGAAACAGAATTGGTTAAGTTACCAAAGGATGAGAGTCCTGACTCTCACAAGACTTATGCAGCTCCATTGTGGAAGCAATACTTGATTGTGACTTGGAGAACCCTTCAACAAGATTGGAGAACCCCAGGGTACATCTACGCAAAGATCTTTTTGGTTGTTTCGTCTTCTCTATTCAATGGTTTCGCTTTCTTCAAGGCTGGTACTTCTTTGCAAGGTTTGCAGAATCAGATGTTTTCCATTTTCATGTTCTTTATTCCTTTCAACACTTTGGTCCAACAGATGTTGCCATTCTACGTCAAGCAGAGAGAAATCTACGAGGTCAGAGAGGCTCCATCGAGAACCTTCAGTTGGGCAGCATTTATTTCTGCTCAAATTACCTCCGAAGTTCCTTTCCAGATTGCCATCGGTACTTTGGCGTTCTTCTGTTGGTACTACCCTGTTGGTTTGTATGTCAACGCTGAGCCAACAGGTGAAGTTCATCTGCGTGGTGGATTGATGTATTTACTCATCATTTCGTTCTTTGTCTACACGTCTACAATGGGACAAATGTGTGTGGCCTTTAACGAATTGGCTGATAATGCCGCCAACTTGGCTAACTTGTTGTTCATGATGTGTTTGAACTTCTGTGGTGTCTTGGCCGGGCCATCCGTCTTGCCAGGTTTCTGGATTTTCATGTACAGAGCAAACCCATTCACATACTTGGTGCAAGCTATGTTGAGTACAGGTCTTGCAAATACTAATGTCGTTTGTCGTGATCATGAGTTCCTTAAGATTGTACCACCACTGGGACAATCCTGTGAGAGCTACATGTCAACATACATCAGTACAGCTGGAGGATACTTGGGAGCCAACACTAACACCACCATGTGCTACTTCTGTCCGATTTCTCTGACAAACACCTATTTAGCAAGTGTGAACTCGTACTTCTCTGAAAGATGGAGAAACTACGGTATTTTCGCCGCTTTCATTGTCATCAACGTGATCCTCACGATATTTTTCTACTGGTTAGCTAGAGTGCCAAAGGGTAACAGAGAGAAAAAGAGAAAGTAAATTTAATATCCTGTTTATATTCGATAAATGCAATTTCAGTATAGAAAATCGAGCTAGACTTACAAAATTCCTAACAGTAATGTATTAACAGTAATATGTATATGCAAATTTTCTAAAGAGGCTCCACGTTGTAGCGCATCTTGATACCCATGGCAGCCAATTCCGAGTCCAAGTACTTCAAGACAAATGGAATGGCCACAGTGGTAGTGTTATCTCCTCCCACAAACTTAACTCCATGACCGTCTTCCCAAATGTCTGCCTCATTGACATACTTGCCCTTCTTAATGAATTTCTCCAATTTGTCGGCACATCCACGACAACGAATCGAAGACATGGAACCAATACGTGGCACCGATCTTTGTGTGTTGAGCAACGATCCACACGACCGACAAATAGGCGTCTGGGCATAGTCAGAAGAGTTCAACAATCTGTCTTGAAGTAAGTAGGCAGTACCATGACCGATCAATGCATCCCTCTCCATCTCTCCCACACGAATACCTCCGTGTCTCTTACGACCCTTGACAGGCTGCATGGTCAACGAGTTGACCGGACCAGTGCTTCTGACCTGGAACTTATCGTTCACCATGTGTCTCAATCTCTGATAGTAGACAACACCAATGTAAATGTCGGCTCTGAGCTCTTCACCGGTGACACCAGAGTACATTGGCTCATTTCCATGATAGTTATAACCAGCCTTTCTCAATTGTTCACCGAAGAAATCAGCTGGAGTATCGTCCTCAGAGAACTTCCATGGAGTGGAATCTTGAGCAATTCCGTGCAATGCACCAGCCTTACCAGCCAACGACTCAACAAACATACCAATGGTCATACGAGATGGGAAAGCGTGGGGATTAATGATGACATCTGGTTGCATTCCCGATTCAGAGAATGGCATATCGATAGTTGGCCACTTTCTCGAACAAACACCCTTCTGTCCGTGACGAGAAGAGAACTTATCACCGATCAATGGTGCTCTGGTGACTCTGTACTTGATGGTAAGTTGTTGGCATTCGGAATCGCCCGAGTCGTCACCCAAAAGCTTAACTTCTTCGATGTAAGCAGGCTCACTGGAGTGATAGGTCTTCACCTTAGTCTTTCCGAGAGTTTCGTCAAAGTATGCAACGATAGGGTCACCTTCTTCGACCTTAACACCAATAAGAGGCAATCCGTCCTCGTCCAACTTCTCCTTCCAAGTCTCAGGGTATTCATCAGCACCAAAACCGAAATGTTGTGTGATAGGGTCTCCTCTTCTTCTCAGCTGAGCAAGGTCCACTTTCTCCACCTTGTAAACGGTACCGTAACCAAAACCTCTCTCGTCAGCGGACTTATTGATAATCATGGCATCATCCATATCGTAACCCGTGTATGAGATGACGGCGACAACAGCGTTCATACCGTTAGGGAAGTTGTCCATTCCGTAGTCGTCGTACAAATTAGCCTTGACAATAGGAGTCTGACCTGTTTGCAATCTGTAGAGTTTGTTGTCGGATCTGTGAGCCAATGCAACACCTGGTGTACCCATGGTCTGCTTACCCATCTGACACTGGTACATGTTTCTTGGGGACTGGTTGAAATCGGAGAATGGAGTCAAGTTGGCCAAAATCGATAAGATATTCGTAGGAGCGAACTCGACGTGTGTGTGGACGGAAGGCTGGATTTCAGCAGGAGTAACAGCGATATTCATGTAAACCTGCTCGAAAGGACCCAAAATGTCTTCCTTGTCCAAAGGCAAGTACTTAGTTGGTCTCATCATTCTGGAGTGACCTCCAAAAATGTACAAACCTGGGTATTGACCCTTGGTGGAAGGAGGAACGTAACCGATTTCCAAGTCCAAAGGTAAGCCATGGCCACCCTCCACTTTCCAGAGTCTCAATGCATCGGCAACAATCTTACCTTGTTCGTGAGAAGTCCAACCAACAATACGACCGTCCAATTGCACACAGCACAATCCAGGACCAGCAGCGAAGGTGTGGGCAGGGGAGACACCCAAAGCAGCCAAAGCAGCAGGAACTTGAGAAACGTCAGAGGCAGTAGTAGCAATCTTACACTTGTGAGCCAAATGGTTCAACAAACCACATGGAGAACCATCAGGAGTATGGACTGGACACAAGAAGCCCCAGGATTCTGGAAGCAACTTTCTGACTGTAGTGGTTTTCAACTCAGCGAAGAAAGAACCTCTGTGGACCATTCTAAAGTGTGAAATGAAACGATAGAAGTTAATTTTCTCAGCAACAACAGTGTAACCAGAGACCTGCTGCAAATCCAAACCGGACTGGGACACCAAGTTACCGGTGGATAAGAAGTACTGCAATTTCTGACCAATGTTCTCATTGACCCTCATGAAAACTCTGGACATGTATTTTCTGTCGTTAAAGTTGACTCTCACGCCACGGTTGATATCCGACGAAATCTGCAACTTGATATTCTGCAAGTACTCGTCGATCTTCTCCTTAATGATCATACCGTACAAGAAACCTCCCAACAACACCTCCTGGTGCTGGGTAGCATCTGGATTGTCAGGAGCACAGTCACCAGCGACCAACGAATACAATTTTCTGATCATGAACAACAACATGCGGAACTTATCAGTGTTATCTGGCAAGTGAACAAGCACAATACGCTGCAAAACTTCACGGCCCACATCAATATCGGAGACGTCAGCAGCGGCACCGAAAACAACACGGAACTTGTCACCCAAGTACGCCAAGGTCTCCTTCTTCAGGTGGAGGTTGTACTGCTTGTATGTACGCAAGAGTAATTCCAAACGGTCGGTCAAAAACGAGTTGGAGGTGTCAGAACCAACGATACCATCGAAAATCTCACGATCGTTGGTCTCAATCAATGCCTTTAAAATCATCACGACTGGCACCAAGTACTCGTTCTTACGCCACGAAAAACGGAAGGTGACATTACCATCCTTCAAGTAGTGCAACACATTGGTCTGCGATGTCTGGTCTGGGCGGACACAACGGATCTGAACACCGTACTTAGTGTAAGAAGCACCACGGTTTCCGAAAGACGGACGGATCAAAGCCATAGGATGATTTCTTCTCTGCACAATCAACATACGGATCAACTTCTCGATACCGTTGACAATGAAGTAGCCACCCAACTCGTCACTCTCTTCCTTCTGGTCCACCAACTCGTTAGGAGACAACTTCTCTAAATGACACCGGTTACTCTTCAACATGATGGGCACCTGGCCGGCATCTCTGACCTCAGATACCTCTTCACCATCATTGACCTTCCATGCCACTTTGAGCATGAGCTTGCCTCTATACGTGGACATTCTCTCTCTACACTCTGATGGATAGGTTTTTCTGTTCACCGAGAGTTTGTCGGTGGGAGGCACACTGGGCTTGGCCAACTGCACGGAATCCACACGAATGCTCAACTTGTTTCCCAATCTGTCCTGGTCGGCCGAATCGAAAATAGTTCTGGTGCCAATATCTTTGACTCCCAAATTCAAAAGTCCACCATCAGGGCCATCAGTTAAGGCATTGAAGGAGCCCACATGGGGTGCCACGGCGTCAGCCAAAAGCGGATAGGCGCTTTTATCTTTAGGGGGGTTCTGGAACCTCTGCTCACGCTCTAGAGTTCTGAACTGGGCACTCATAATGAGATGAGATGGGGTTTGAGACTTTTTTTTTTTCTTACTGGGAAGATTTAGTTGGTGATGCGCACACGTGATATATGATCACGTGTGAGCATTTTTCCGATGGGATTAGACTTTCAATTATGGAGTCTAACATTATACATCTGGGTATAAAACGAAGCATTTCTAGCATTATAATTTCATCTGTTACATCTGAATAATGGCTAACTCGCGGTTCGAGTATGTTAAGCAGTTCGAACGAGAAAACTTTCTTCTTCCTCAAACCCATATAGTCATTCGAGTAGATGGGAAAGGTTTCCATAAGTTCAGTGAACACTACCATTTTGACAAGCCCAACGATGTCCGGGCACTCAATGTCATGAACACTGCTGCTCGTGCCATGGTGTTACAGTTTCCTGACGTTCTTTTGGCTTACGGTGACTCCGATGAGTACCTGTTTCTTCTACGAAGATCATGCGACCTTTTTGAGCGGAGGGAGATGAAGCTTGTATCAACATTTGCGTCATTTATGTCTGTTCACTATGTCATGGCCTGGAATGCTGAGTTCCCCGAGAAACCCGTGGAAAGTTCCCGGCTCCCGACGTTTGATGCCCGAGCAGTGGTTTATCCAAATTCTCAGACTGTGAGAGACTATTTCAGCTGGAGACAGGTGGATTGTCACATTAACAACTTGTATAACACGTCATTCTGGAATTTGATATTGAAAGCGGGCATGACGGGCCAACAGGCAGAGCAGGCACTCATGGGCACGTTGGCTAGCGACAAGAACGAGATATTGTTCAAGCAATGTGGAGTCAACTACAATAACGAGCCAGATATGTTTAAGAAGGGCACTGTAATTGTGCGGGAATATGAAGCGTGGACTGGTGAGGGAGAAGAACGGGAACTCACAACTAGACAGAAACAGCGGGCTGAAAAGGCACGAAGAAAGGCCAAGGTATCGATTTATCATGCTGATATCATCAAGGATGAATTTTGGAATGTTCGGCCATGGCTCTTGGAGTAATCAAAATCATTTGATAGTATATAGATGTATGAGTTTATTATGCACTCGGGATTACGAGTAGATAATTGTAACTACAGTGGTTGAGTAATGATGGAAAGCTCTGTTTTCAATATTGATGACAACAAGCGTAAAACACTCATTAGTATCATCCAGTACTGTTGTTATTCCGATACTTTGAATCTCGAGCCACTTTTGTTTCAGTCCTATTACTATCTTACATATCCGCTCTTTCTAAAATCATACTTATATTCATAATCATATAATCAGAGACGGTAAACGAAGTGTGGACTCTTATCACCCATCCGTCTGAAATCTTCGTCAGTGAAGGAGTCGTACTTACCAGCAGCCAAATCCTTCCTTCTTTTTGCATTGCAGTAACTGTATCCACACAAACAAATGATCACAAAGAGCAACCCAACTAAGATGAATCCAAGCTCCAAAGAGTGACCCAAAGTGAATTGAGGGAAATCTTTCTCCCTGTAGAAGTTGGATGCGTATACAGTTGCAAGCTGACCAAAACTGATCTGGAAGGCCATACCCACCGCTCTCTTGTAAGCACCAGACAAGTTATTGGAAAACCAAATCACTACCACGGGGAATGCAGGGTATGCACCGAGAGAAATGACAAATAATGCTGCGTAAACTGCGCTTGTGTGTGTTCTGACATCAAAGGCAATGCAAATGGTGTATCCAATTGCCATGCAAATGAAGTTGAATATCAAGAAAGGAGATCTTAATCCCACCCTGCTGCAGGCGAACGACTGAAGGATACCAAAGATAGTACCCACAATAAACACTGGAACAGCCATAAGCTGCGTCTTTGTATTTGAGTGACCAAATCCGCTGATGATGATAGGTGTGAAGATAGACATACCAGCGACGGGAGCACAGACACCATAATAGATCATAAGCATACACCAAGACTGCCAGTCTTTGAACACAGCCCATACATAGTGTCTAGAATTAGAGTCATCCTCGCCCATGTCGGCACGTACCATCTGACTTTCGTCATTGTCCAGTTTCTTTCCCATTTTCTGTCCGTCAGTGTTGGACGAGTACTTGACCTTGTGAAGAACGTATTCACGCTCTCTAGGGGTCAAGAACGAGCACTTTTCTGGGTGCATAGGGAAAACAAAGAAGGCAAAGAATGCCACCACAAATGTGGCCAAGCCCTCCAAGATAAAAATCCATCTCCAGCCTTCATAACCACCCAAGCCATCCATCTGAGAAATTCCAGCTGCCAATAAACCACTGAAAGCACCTGCCATGGATGCAGCAGAGAAAAAAAGAGTTTGACGAATCAAAACTTCACTCTTTGAGTAGTACATGGACAACATGAACGACATTCCTGGAAAAAGAGAAGCCTCGAAAACACCAAGAAGTGCTCTGGTCACCATCAACTGGGCATAGTTGCGAACGGTACCCATGAGAGTCATAACTATGGACCAAAGCACCATTGTTGCAGGAAGAAAGATACGTGGATTGACTCTTCTCAAGATCATATTACTGGGGATCTCGAACAAGGTGTATGTTACACCGAAGATCAACAAAACCATATTGAACTGGTTTCCAACAAGGTTCAAATCCTGAGCTATGCCCTCAACCTTGGCGTTTCCAATGTTTGTTCTATCTATGAACGATAAAAGATACAAAAGGGAAAATAATGGGAGGATACCGATATCGACCTTGCGCAATACCTTCTTCTTGTCCACATCGGAGAAATCATCAACATCACTGGATGAGCTGACGGCCTCCAGAACCTCAAAATGAGGCTTCTCTTTGCTTAAAGTAGGATCCATGATTGTGCAAGTGTGATGCTAGTCTAGATTGTATTTTCAATATGAATGAGCTAGGTATTTATATTTTGCAACCATTTTGGTGGAGGCCTGCGCAGGGACAAGTCCTGAACAGGACGGAATGTTCAAATGTGGGGGAAGAGGAGAAGATGACATGTCAGGGAGCAAGAATCATCAATCGAGAAATTGGAGGGGATCGGGTTATCTACCGAGAGTATAGGAATTGGTGGGGAGGTGGAAGTTTGCTTGGATTCTTATTACTTTAGAAGTTGGTCCATAATTTTGCACTTTGGATGAGTAGTCTAAGATGCATCCTGATTTAAAAATAAATAATTATATGTAAAATTATATAGTTAAAGAAGTATTACAGATATCATTGGTATATTTTGTTAGAATTGAATAACGATGTGATACCATGGATGAATGGAAGGTGTAATCATTGTAGAAAGTTGAGGCGTGTTCAGCATCCTACAGTACGAGCAGGACAGCCAAGAATGTAGGAGTAGGCTGTAGAAGTGGTAGAATGCCCCGCATGTTTAAGTTGATATCTGATTGCGAGAATTATGTAGTCATTGAAAGCGTTAGAAAAAGAAAATTGCATTGAAATGTAGAGTCGTATAATGTAAAGTGAGATTCACTGATATTCGAGCGATGGAGATCAATGAGTACGATCTAATGCCATAGGCTTGAGAGGTTATGAGAAAGATGAAGATGATAATAAGAAAAACATATGTAAGATACAGAATCGAATGGAATTGTAGGCAACGAAATTAGTAAAAAAAAGTGTACATGAGCTTAGACAAAGTAGTGGTGACACAGGTGGAATATCCAAAGGAAGTGACATACGAATACCCCGATGATCCAAGTAATGCCGGAACATGCACAAGCCGCCCAATTGTGCAACTGTAGCCGTGTCCTCCATACCATGCAAGTAGTGCCGGGGTGTAAGATATGTTTTTAGAGTCATGTATGTAATAGATCTGTATAACAAGTATTGGTCCAATTCCATTGACATTCGCACTAAGATGTTTGTTCGCGGAAATGAATAGTGCTCCGTATATTCAATGTCTTCCAAAATAAATTTCCAGGATTTTTTAGAATTTCTTGTAAAATTCAATCCATCTTGTTAAACCATTCATCTCAGCCAACATTCAGCCGTTTGTCTTGGTTCCATTCCTTTCGGCCATTCGTCTCCTCTTTTCAGACACTTCCCCAATCTCGGTCCGCGAAATGTGAGGGGGGAGCTTGAAATTGAAATTTGCGATACTACCACGAGTTCATGAGCAAATTGAATAAAATAACAGAGAAAAAAAGCAAAAGAGATTAAACCAGAAACTTCCCAGGAATTCTCGATAGATGAAGAAAAAACCCACAATCTGTAGAATGATCATACCATACTTCAACCTCGGCTTTTTGATGTTCGGTATGGTTAGCACTTTACCGAAGGATCTTGGCACGGACAAACACTCAAGGTGGGGTTCGGCTTTGTTCATATTGATAGCGATGCGGAGCAAGGCGATGTGAGGATGCCTTTGGAGGGGAATTGATGGTGAGGTCATTATAGTGAAGTAGATGTTCCTCGGCTTGAAATGGGCAGATTTGTTCGAAGTGCTGGCCCCGGGAATATCATAGCTATCGATGAATTGAAAGTGGAGCTGAATGCTGTCTCTTATCGGAGTGAATTAATGGGCTGAAATTTAGATTGATTAGTCTGGAAAGCAATTATAGTTTAGTTGGTAAGGTTTCAATGAACTTTTTATAGAAATTGAAATGGTTGATAAGGAGAATAATCTGGGAGAGTAGGAGATTATTCTGAGGTTCGTCAGGGAGAACATCGCAAAGTGTGGTTGGTATGGGCCTGTCGAAATTTTCCAGAGGTATTCCATTTGGTTGTCAAAATATCAGAAAATGTATCTATCTGGTTGTTCATGTTTGAAAAGATTTATGATCAATTCTTCTTCACAGCTCTCTCGAATTGACCACTCCCCACATATTTCTGAGTGATTATTCTTTGTCTCTACTATGTCATTGCATTAAGTATATCTTCAAATGTTTCTTCTGCTTGATTTCGACTCTCTCTTGACTCTCTCCCTAATAAGTCACTCCGCTCAAGTTTGCTACACTTCGATAATCTCTTGTGTTACATTGAATTCAAATTGAACATGTCAAATTAAACATGAAGTGTTTGCAACTTTCAATTCCTTCTTAATCGATAAATAAAAACGTATGGGGAATCTTCTGTCATTCTAATTTTTTGGTATCACTTTCGAAGTCCAGTGCACTATCCTAATGCTCTTTCAACTTCCTAGTTCCAATCCTATTTTTTATCTTCTCTCCCACATTTTCCCTCCTTTCTTACTCCTGCTACTTGTCTTACTTCTTAAAGCCATTGACTGGTCGCAATGACAAACATAATGGACTCATAACTCCCTCAAATTTTTACCACTAGAAAGAAAATGCCCGTATCCTCGTACATTCAAGAAATTATACGCCTAATGTTACCTATTTACGATGACCAAACTGAAATGCCAGAAATTAGTGACGTAGTCCAATAAAAATTGCTTAAATTCAAGTATTTGAACTATTTCACCATGCTCTCTTTACGAAACGAATCAGAATGACAAAAACTTCAACATCTCTGAAGTCAAGATTTCCCGTAAAGGTCGCTCATAGTTCAGTTTGTCTATTTTCTTGTCAAAATGTTTGTTCTCTTACATTGCTGTGTCTTCCTGTGTGTAGCATATATCCAGAGTTATCAAGCCTGTAATGAAAACGAAGAAGAACGACAAAAAAAAGACATTGAGGATATCCTCATATTGGCTCAACTTCCACAAGCAGATATCCCTTTCTTTCAAAAAGAGATCTACATTACCTTCATCTTTATCCCCATCAATCTCATCACCTCTCACACCCGTACATCCAAAGTAGGTTCCATATCGCCATTTTGCAATCACAATCTAATGCCAAATTAATTACTCTTGAGACTCCCACGATATGCCACCCAAAAAGCAACGTTCAGGAGTCCGTGGTCCCAACTCCGCTCTTACTGAGTTCCTTCGTGTTGAAGGTATTACAGACGCGTTCAGAGAACGACGCCAGAGGCAAGAAGAATCACCTTCCTCGACCACTCCAGCGCCAGAAAGCGTACGATCCAGCTCCGAAGATGCATCTCCGGTGGCTCAGACGCGTGTCAGAGGAGTTGTTGATGATGAAGAGGAAGAAATTCGAGCAGCAGGACGGAAGAAACGCAGAATTGCCAGGTCTAGAGGCGCAAATGGTTCACCCGGCGATGATGGATCAGATAGTGGGTCAGATAGCGATTTCAAGGCCTCGGATGTTGATAATGACGATGATCTGGATGAAGCTTTCAAGAAATTTGGCGAGGAGGATATTTGTGTAGAGTGTGGCAATCCGTTTACCTTGACAGTTTATTCGAGATATTTAGATGATCTGAAAGGTTATTTGTGTGAGGATTGCAACGAGATACTTAAGAAGAAGGAACGAAACGCTCGCAGGAACCAGTTAAATGCTCGTAAGAAGCGGAAGAAGCTAGCGCAGGCGCTTTTGGATAAAAAAACCGTCAGGTTGCCCACTTTACAGGATGTGTGTATCAAAGCCATCACGCAGAATATTGGAGACGTAGAGGCACTAGGAGAAATTGGTCAGTTGAACATCAACAAGATTCTGCGGATTTTGTCGAAGAACAGGTCGCTTAATGACTCCACAGTGTCTCTATTCTTGAATCCTGAAGTTAAGTCGCTCGAATTCTGGGATTGTTCCAATGTTAGCAGCGATTCTTTCAATCAGATCGCTGCCTACTGCTCCAAACTTGAGTCGCTTACCATTTTCATGTGTGGCCAGTTTCATAACGATAATTTGGCCTATTACAAAGATAAGCTTCCACAATTGACTAAGCTATCGTTCAATGGACCATTTTTGATCAGTAACCAGTTTTGGCAGGACTTCTTCGACCAGGCCAAGTGTAACTTGCAAGAGTTTGAAGTCAGAAATACCCACAGATTCGGCAACCAGGCACTTATCTCCTTATTGGAGAACAGAGGAGCAGGTTTGACATCCTTGAAGCTCTCTAGATTAGACGGGTTGGATTCTGCTTCTGTGTACGAGCTAATTCCACAGTACCTCACTCCTTCGCTTTTGACAAGCTTGGAGATTTCATACCCTTACAAAGAGGAGTTAATTTCGGATGATTTGTTGATCCACATTCTAGCCATTACTGGCGAATCACTTCGTTACCTCAACGTCGATGGATGCACGAATTTGACAGATGCTTTTCTAACTGAAGGCATAGCCAAGTTTTGTCCCAATCTTGAAGTCTTGTCTATGAGGAACCTTGACTTGGTCACGGACGATGGTTTTGTTGAAGCATTTACTGAGTTTGCGGTGATAAACACTGGTGGTCTAACGACTGTGGACTTTACAAAGTGTGTAGGATTGGGAGACAAAGCTGTGAATGCTCTCTTTGATCATTCAGGTGAAACACTAGTGGAGGCATCGCTTAATTCGCTTGATAGGCTCTCTAAGTCATTTCTTTTGCAAATCTTGACCGAAGATACCGCCCAGTGGAAGAAGGATTTGCAAAACTCCATAAGAGATGGTATTAACGATTCTATCCAAACCGAAGAAGAGAAAAAATACTTCTACAGTAAAGTTTCGCTTCCTCTCTTGACAAAGTTAGACATTGGGTTTGTCAGAAGTTTTGACGACGAAGTGACAGAAATCTTCAGTGAAATGTGTCCTAAACTTACCTACTTGGAGGTTTATGGTGACAATAGATGTACAAGTAAAGCTAAGGTGAGGTCTGACTTGCTTGTCATTGGCCGCCAGGGTGATGCTATTTAAGTGCTGTGGAGTCCAGATCATTCATCTGGATAGTTAATGGGCGCACTAGCCTTATCAACAAACCGGGCATTTGGAAGAGGAGGTATTGTTGGCTTGTCGTCAAGAAGCGACGTCCAACTACTGTCAATAATCCTGTTGGTGATCTCTGGCTTCGTATCCACGAAAATCCCGGGATGACCAAGTTGCCTCAGTCTCATGCTCATTAAGAGATCTTGCTTTCCGTTGGGCAGATGAAAGCCACCCTTGGACAGCTCTTCGTATTCTTGTATCATGTGATTGTTGTTTGCCAATCTCTGACGAGCCGATCGATTCACCTTCAAGTTTTCTGATTTTTCGTTGTCTCTGGTGATCAAAATATCAAGATAGTCGTCATTTTGTCTCAAAGCCGTTGCCATGGCAAGATTGGCACATGTTATCTCATAATAAATATCAATGAAATAGTCCACTGCTCTTTTAGGTAGTGATGTAGCTGACTTGATATGGTTGACCACCGCTCTCAAGTTGACTAAATTCTTATGGGTGTATCCTTCATATTCAACAAAGAACTTCCAGAACTGGACTGAGTGTGAAAAGGCGCTGTTCCTATAGAACTTGTTGTAAAAAGTTCTTATTTTGGTGGCAGATTTGGTATCTTTGGCAAGTGTCTGAAGGTATGCAACTGCAACAATACAGACACCATCTGCATTCAAAGACTTGGACAATGCTGTACTGAATGAAGCCTTGAAAGCGTACTTTGACTCATCAACTTTAGTCTCTGTTTCACTAGCGGCAGGCTTTTTGTACCTGTCGATTCTATCGAAGTATCCGTCCACCAATGGTTCTAGGATATCTGCCAAGTGGGATTCCAGCAAGCTCTCATTCCACAATCGAAGAAGTTCTCTGACCGAGTGTGTGTATGCATTCTTCACGTAAGCTCCAGACGACCCAGAGTACAATTTGATCAAACTCAAGAGAAACTCATTGGCTTTGTCAAATTTCTCGTTCCTCATAAGATACTGGACATACTTTTCACGAATATCAGTTTCCTTTAAAGGAACAAATTGCAAGATAGCTCTCTCATAGACAGATTGCACATCTGGAATGATCTGGTCAGCCTTGAAGTTTGTAGCTGGGTGCTTTTCGAGAAAATCGGCGTATCTCTGCCATATGGAGGCATCAAAACAGTTGGGTACCAATGCTCGTTCGAAGACACTCACCACTAATGCGTACTGCTCAGGATCTTCTTTGCTGGAGTCCAATATTCCACACTCGTAGTCGAGGTATTGTTTCCAGTTTTCAGTCTGGGCCAGAATGGCATCTAAATCTGTAGGGGAAAACTCAGGAAAGGTAAGCGCCGATTCGTAACTCCACTTCTCGTTGACTTTCTTCTGGGTGTTGCTGAATACATTGTACACGTACGTATCAATTATCTGATGCTGTTCCACGGTGGAAAGTTCGTCGGCCAGAGCCTTTTGAAATTGGTCTAGATATCCTTTGAGAGCTTCTGCTGGAAGTATGTCGACAACGCTGAAACTCTTACTGATCTCGGAAAATTGATTGTAATACCGGGCATATTGGTACAATGGAATGGATATGAGCCTCAAGTATAGGTTGAGAAGGCGTTTATCGTCGGGACTGGCATACTTGGTTTCAAAGTCGATATACAAGTTCCAGAATGTATCCGAGTTGAAGTTCAATCCTATTGCTTTAGAAGCCAGCACGAATATTTGCCTGAGGTCATCGAGTTTCTTTTTATCGGAAGAGTCATCATCTTTGGCTGTTTCTTTGGCTGTTGAACCCTCTTTCTCTTGCTCATAAACTGCCAATGATGCATTCAAGTAGTCCACCCACAACGATACAGACTGTGGATACTTTTCGACGGCGGTCTCAAGCACCTTGAGCGACTCATTGATTCCACTGACCTTATATTGAAGAATCAGATATCTTTTCCAATAATCAGACATATACGGAAACCGATGAAGAAGAAGACTAAATGAGTGGGCCACTGCAGGCTCTATTTCACTCTTGGAATCTTTGGACTGTTCATATTTCTCTTCTAGAGCTTTGAACAAGCTGTTCCATTTCTCCAAATTATTTTGATCTTCGAAAGCTGCCGCTTTAGCAGACTCCCACTTCTCTCTTTTTGGAGGCTTAGAAGGCAATTTCATTCCACGAGCATGTTTCTGTTCTGCTTCAGTGAATCTACTCACATCCAGCGGTAGAAAGCCGTCCATGATTTGGTTAATTCACAAGCATGGAATTATATCACCTTGTTAAGAGAAGTATACACCCGTACCTCCGAAAGATAATAAAAGAGTGGATTAACACGATTGATTGCTTATGGTTTTAAAATGTTAAGATCGTAATATTATTCAATTCATAATAATATATAATCCTACCTAGTTGTTTGAGTCAATTCAATAGCGCTTTCATTTCAAACATAAATATGTGGTGTACTGCATATATCCTCACCACATCTCTATAAACCTACAAGTATCTATCTCCAATTTCATAATTGCATATGGATTCCATAAAAGAGGTTAGCCCGTTCACGGTGAGTACTAGGAACAACCTATCTGTGCTTTCTACTCTACGAGGGTACAAAACGCACCAGAAAAGCGACACAATCAATACACTTCTCATCCCAGTGATTGAAGATCAAGATGTCGAGGAGATTCTCAACCAGAACAACCGCAAGAAAGTTGGAAATGCCAGTAAAGTGTCTCAAAATGGTATCAATGTGGATGTGTCGCAAGAATCCGTGGAAGATATTCCACAAGATGCTGATCCAAAGAGCTTCGTGGAACTTGCGGAACTTGAACCGAAAAATCGACAGCATCAGACCGCAACAGTGCTATTCGAGAACTTTCCGGCCCTCCGAAAGAGCCTTGTAGACCATGTGCTACATTTAGTGACGAATGTTGCACCTAGTACTCTTACAAAGACATTCCAATGGTCGATTTTGGAGCCTGGATCTACTGGCAGTCACAGCGACGTCACCAATGTATTTGTGAGATTTTCGTCAACTGAAATGGCCAAATGGGTTCATGGGAACATTCAGCAGATTCAAGATATTCTACAAGGAGTCATTATTGTTTTTGACCAGGATCTCGCCTGTGGAGAATCCACCATCTCCTTCGAAAATGTTAAAAAGGTGGGAGATGAAGTTTCAAGAATCTTTTCCAACAAAAAAAATGTAAGCATTGACCTGAAAAAGACAGGTACAGAGGATCTTGATGAAGTGATGCAATACTACCGAACGTACAAAGTGGAAAACTCGGAATTGGTCGAGGTACCGAAAGATCTAAAAGAGACTATTGTCAAGGATATCATCAAATTTCGGGCAAAAGTGTTGTCAATTGAGAGAGATCGACGTAAAAAGGAAATCGAGCGAGAAAGACGCAAGGCCAAATTGCGGTTGACACAGATAGTGGAGGGAATTCGATCAACAGCTGAGGTCAAAGATCTAGGTGAGGTCAATGCTGAAGTGGACGTAGAAGTTGAAGAAAAAATCAATCCCTTAGACTCCCTCAACGAGGACGAGTACGAGGCATTCTTGGCTGATGAGGAAAAGAAGGCATTCGATGATTCGTTTCAAACCAAATTGTCTGAGATGGAGAAGTTAGAATCTTCAGAGAAAGCCAAACTACTCACTCAGCTCGACCTGGCTGCTAATTACGAGTCCAACCTCATAGATAACAAGTTGGCACTCATTGACGAAATCAAAGCTTTCCAGGATGCCGAATCAGCGAGGTCCAGTAAAGGCTCCAAGCTCCGGCTATATTATACCGACCACTCGGAGTATGTTAGGATCAGAAATATCGAGAGATCACAGGAAGAGAAATTGGATGCATTGGATGCACAGGAGACAAAAGAGGTTTCTGTCACGGACACCCCCAAGCCTGTGGCAGCTGCCTCTGCAGAATCTGCTCCTGCGATTGAGGAAGATGCCATGGATTTGGAAATTGTCGTCTCCAACTTCTCAACGAAAGTTTTGCTGGATATTCAGACCAAGATTGGGGACTTGATTGAGGAGTTTTTGGGTATCAAAGAGGAAGTATTGGTGGATTATATTTTCGAGTTTGTCAAGGAGCACAATTTGGCACAGAAGGAAGAGTTGATATCCGAACTTCTGGAGACTTTGGACGAAGATTCCATTGTGGTGGTGCAACAGCTACATGATTACATCAGATCGATCGCACGCGGTTGATTGATACGAAGAGGTACATAGCGAAATAGAAAGGTAGGTATCATGAGAGGTATTAACTATTTTATAAAAAGTGGGCAGGTGTTTTCAAAGATCGAACTGCTCCATGCAAACATTCGGACGACTATCGAGTCCATCCAAGCGAATTGAAAGTATTCACAGGATCAGAGATCCGTGGTCTTCCGTTGCTGTCGAGAGAAGGCGATGGAGGTTCCCCTTGAGCGCCTGCAACTTCAAAATGGAAGTTGCTCTCAGAATCTGAAGGAGGAAGTTCAATGTTCTTCTTCTGTCTGAATCTTCTGAACAACAACACCATGACACCCATATAGAGCACAGTACCAATTGCAGCACCCGTAGCAACTCCTGCCACAGTTCCCTTACGGGAAATTGGGGTGTTGGAAGAATCCATGGATCCATAGTTCAGCGCGGTCGTGGAACCAGAATTACTTGACGTGTCTAAGCCTTGAAGAGGGATTCTGTTATCGATCAACGATGCCAACTTTGCTTGTGTTTGATCTGGGTTTCCGTATAACTTGGAATCAGACAGTTCAACTAGCTGTTGTAAAGCAGTGACAGAGCTTGTTGGGAAGTAAACTTCTGCGACGGTGATGACATAATTGATTCCAGTGGCGGTGTAGGGAACCAATCTTTTAACTGTAACATTCTCATAGACTGAAGAATCCGTGAATGGGTAGGTCAAAACCTGAGGCAAGTAGTCGAAAATCTGAGCAGAAGACAAAGAATGCTCAACGACGAATGGGTAGTTCAAAGCTTCTTTGAAACCAATGGTAATAACCACGAAACCTTCACCAGGCGATGCTGTTGTTGCAGGAGTAATGGCTTTTGGTAAGCCTGATGTCTGAGCTACGCCGGTATTTGTAGCAGTCACAAGCGACGAAGTGGTCGACTCAGCAATGATTTCAGTAGGCAACCAGTTCTTGGTAGTGCTACTAGAAGTTTGAGCTGGAGCAGGAACCGGAGAAGCAGTCGTCGGACTCCGGGTGGCACTCGTAGTGTTCGCATCCCCAGCCAGTGGAAGTGGGGTTGAAGCGGCAGCGGTTTCCGTTCCAGGAGTAGACTGAGACACATCGGAAGTTACTGCTGCTTCAGAAGCTACAGCAGTAGATGTTGCTGCCGAGTTAGCTGCAGATTCGGAAGCAGCCACAGCAGACTTCGAAGAGGCCAACTCAGAAGTAGAAACGGCAGACTTGGAAATAGCGGATTCAGAAGCAACAACAGAACCAGACGCATTAAGATCGGAAGCAGTTACTGCTGACTCGGATGCAGCTGACTCAGATAGAGTAGATTGAGAGGAAGTTACAGCTGCATCAGAAGTAGTGACAGCCGATTCAGAAGCCAAAGCCGTATCAGAAGCTGTAACAGCGGATTCGGATGTTAAAGCCGTATCAGAAGTAGTGACAGCCGATTCAGAAGCCAAAGCCGTATCGGAAGCTGTAACAGCGGATTCGGAAGTTAAGGCCGTATCAGAAGTAGTGACAGCCGATTCAGAACTTAAAACTGCATCAGAAGCAGTAACAGCGGATTCGGAAGTTAAAGCCGTATCAGAAGTAGTGACAGACGATTCAGAAGTTAAAACAGCATCTGATGTGACAGGTTCAGACTCGGAAGCAGTAGTGACATCGGAATTAGTATCCGGTGCAACTTCCAGAGATGATGTACTAAGTATTGCAGTATCAACACTTGATGTCGCATCACTTTGATCAGCACTGGTTAAACTGGAATCGTCCGTCAGTTGGGTCTCAATGGATGATTCAGCCAGAGGTACTGCAACTGAGGTCTCCAACGAGGAACTATCGGTAGCAGCTGAATTGTCAGATGTTGGTGCAACGGATGAGTCGGTGGCAACCGAAGAAGTTACAGCACTGTCTGTGTTTGTCACAATCAGTGAGTCGCTACTGTCGGATGTTGGCACAACAGATGAATCGATTGCAGAACTTGAGACATCGCTCGAATCGGCAGAAGAGGTATCGACTGCGATGTCAGATGAAGTTGGAGTCAATGTAGAAATTGAGGAACTGTCATCGGAAATCTCGATAGAAGTTGGAGTGACTGTGGGAATAGACGAAGTATCATCTGCCGAGCTTACTTGCGCATCCGAAGAGACCAAATTTTGAGATGAAGCAGGATCACTTGAGGTCAAATCAGCCACGGATGGGGATAAAGTACTAATACTTGACGAAGTATCGTCTGCAGTTGCAGAGGTCGTGTCAGTCGTGTCAGTTGGAAGAGGTGCTGAGGAGGTGGCAACGTTCGAAGTTTCAGCCAAAGAAAAGGTGGATGCAGTTGGTGAGAGTGTGCTCAGCGGCGACGTGTCGGTTGAGGAAGTTCCATCAGTAGGAGTGGTAGTACTAGTAGTACCATCAGCAGACTCAGTCGTTGTCAACCCATCACTCGAGGTAGGGTCTAAGACTACAGTGCTAGGAGTTGACGTCGTAGTGGGGTCCGTTGGGGTAGTTCCATCAGTAGTAGTGTTACCATCAGCTGTAGTGGTATCATCTGTTGATGTGTTACCATCGGTTGTAGTGGTATCGTCTGTTGATGTGTTAACATCAGCTGTAGTGGTATCATCTGTTGATGTGTTAACATCAGCTGTAGTGGTATCATCTGTTGATGTGTTACCATCGGTTGTAGTGGTATCGTCTGTTGATGTGTTAACATCAGCTGCAGTGGTATCATCTGTTGGTGTGGTTCCACCAGTCGAAGTAGTTCTATCAGTCGAAGTAGTTCCATCAGTCGATGTAGTTCCATCAGTCGAAGTAGTTCCGTCGGCAGGGGTAGTACCATCGGTAGTAGTATCATCTGAAGTATCAGTAGTTCTCAAAAGAGAATTAATCGCACTTTGGAAAAAGTTTGGTGTGGTGGTTTCATCCGAAGAAGTGGTGAGATCACCATTGGTGTCTGTGGTTCTATCGTTTGTGGGGGTTGTTCCGTCATCCCTAGAGGTTGGGGCATCGGTGGAGGGTGTGTCTGGACCCGTTGAAGTCGTAGCATCATTCCTGGAGGTTGGGGCATCGGCGGAGGATGTGTCTGGACTCGTAGAGGTTGTGGCAGCATCCCTGGATGTTGGAGCATCGGCAGCTGATGTGAATGGATCTGTAGTAGTCGTCCCGGCGTCGGTGGATGGAGTCGAAGTCGTATCATCAGATGTGGTATTTGGAACACTGACGACAGTAGGAGTGGTCGAGGTAGGCACAACTGGTGACGTGGTGTCATCTTCAGGAAGAGTTTCCGCACTCACAACATTTGGAGTGCTTGGAGAGGCAACCGCAGGCGTTGTAGTAGCCTGAGCGGTCGACGTAGGCGAATTAGAATCTAAAACACTTTGCATGAACTGCTGAAAGAAGTTCAAAGACACACTATCAGACGACACAGGAGCCGCATCTGCTGATACGGCGGATACAAGCACAATGGCCATGGCCTGGAGCACGGCGAACCTCATTCTGGAAAGAATATTTGTTCAAAGAGGGACTGGAGTTAGAATGGAAAAAAAGAGATGAAGTGGTACTCTTTGAAGGACTTAGATATTCAAACCGGCTGTAAAAGACGCTTGGAATAATCAGACAGGCAGCCAGCGAAAGTAAACGAATGTCAGCGAAAGGGAAGTCGCTAGCCGAGCTGTGAAGCACAAGTTGTGGTAGTAGTTGAAAACTTGAAGAAGTGAAATGTGGTCAGCCGCAGCTGCAGAGGCGACGGTGAATCAAATGGAACTGGCAGGCAAAAGCACTCTTAGGCAGTAACACTAGGAGATCAGTTGCCAGTGGGAAAACGAAACAAAAAAAAAACGTAGTATCTGTAGACGGTTTTGTTACTCTTCTTAATTTTTCCTTGCCTCAGGCACCCTCAAATCACGTCGTGTTGTGGTGTGCATATAGAGAATTAGCCGGGAATTCCTCAATTGTTCATGCCAAAAATGAACCCAAATTCCAATTTCAAACAGAAACGAGATCTCATTTGGCGTTTCGGCTGCATTACTCGGGATTATTCTAGACGAATTGCGTGGCATTCAAGACGTTGTTGCCAACATATCCCTTGTGATTTTCGTTTTTTCACAGGGTTTAGGGCAATTCTTGGGTCCTGAAGATCCACACCAGGTTTAAATTTTTGTCGCAAGGTACTGATGGGTAGGTAAACCCCACCCCAAAAAAAAAAAAAAAGACATGCATTTAGATGATTGGGCTAATTTGTGCCATGTGAGCGAACACTGTGGTCTGCGAATCGGGGTAAATCGTCCACAAATGAGGAGATTGAGACGACTTGGCGGGTAAACAGTGGAGGTCTAGACCTGAGTTTTTAGGGTACCTTGCATGGGACTGCGGCGGATACCGGAGTTTTATTTTTCTTTTTGCCCTGAGAGTGGATATAGCTCCACTTTGAGCCTAAGAGTTGAGAAAATACTTGACATGACATCCGTACCTCCTCATAGTTTACAATGATTTTTGTTGCTACCCTCGCTTAGGGTGCACCCGTACACCCAGGGGCAAAAAGTCAAATCATGAAACCCAAGCGGCTAAAATCAAGATCTTTCAATAATGAATTGTAAACAAAGAGAAGTAAGGAATAGCAAATGACTGAGTATATCTACGAGAGTGCGGAGCTAAAAATAGCGTTTTGGCGGTGATGGGGGCCATCAATTGTGTTTATGTTCGTGTAAGTAAGTTGTAGTTGCGATCAGATAAAATAGGCGAGAGAGACGAACGGCTCACATGTAAAGTCGTGTGTGGAACAATTTTCTTCGTGCAGACATGAATCTTCTATTGTGATGTTTTGTTCCTATCATTGTTTTTATCTATGTGTTTATTGTCTCGGGTATGTTGATAAATATGCGGTAACTTGAAAATCTTCTCTTGACCATCACCTCATAAGGATGAATTTTGTTCTTCCTACGCCTCCTTTTTCTACACTATCGTCTTTCTCTACGTCATTGCTCGTTACTCTAAGCACCTTAACCTCTACACGCTAGGTTTCTAGTGCCATCCTAAACCTCGGTCTCTAATACTCTTAAGTGATTTAAGCTGTTAAGTTCTGGTTCCCCTATCCGTTTGTATAGACAGGCAAACTCGGAGATTCTGTTTGTCTCTAATCTGAGGATCCATTCTCTTCCGAGGCATGCAGTGCTGGCATGTAGTGAGGAAGGATCCAAGCGGGATTGGCGTTGACGTGCAGCTTCTGGACGGTAGTCAGGAATGTAGAATAGAAAGAGGTGCTGGTCGTAAAGTACTGGTAACCACGAGGTGGGCGGAAGATTGCAAAGTCGAAGTGGTAGAGCCCGCCATTTGTTATAGGTGTGATTCTATTGAGGTGGTTATTGATGTAGTTTTAGCGTGATCAAGGCAAATACAAATCTGCTACTTCAGAACTTCGTTATTAAATTATTAAAGGCATTGTGGATCTTACGGGTAGGTTGATGGAGATGTTGAGATGTGAAACCTAAGTTTCAGACAAAGACTCTCTTCATTCAAGGAAGAATTTCTTGGAGTGATTTATCTCATCAGACTCTGGCCCGCTCACTATTGTCTCGCTATCGCCTAAACCCCATTATATGGAACTCTAGTCGCGTTTCCACTTTGCAACCACATGACCTCTTTGTCATGTTCTTGTGGGGATCTACTTTATTGTGACATTCAATCTATTTTGCTTTTAAGCCAAGGGCTTGCTTGTATCAATTAGCAGACATCGACTCAGTGTTTCGGTTTTTGATTTTTGATTCCATTGTCCCATTCTCTGAAAAGAGGCGGAGAGCATGCTTTTAATTTAGGTCCGCTTTCAAACCATGAACCCGATTACCGTTTACTAAAATCTGAGAGAAGCTAGTAAATAGTAAATCAAACTGATTAAGAGACCCTAGTAATTCAAACTGGTCAAGAGACCCCAATTTGAATGATCCCCAATCGTTTCAAAAAGATCACCATTGTTCTCAGAGGTTCGTTCGTCATGTACTCGTGACCCATCAATAACCAGAAATAAGCCCAACTCTAGAAACTTCCCAAATCTACAATTCTTAAATGGAGAAACTGAAATGTATCCTATTTAAATGAAATGTGACTGTGACATATCATGGACTACGTCAATAAAACCAACGACCATGGAACCTCTATATTTTCGTGCACCTACCATAACTTCACCAAAGACTAAACCACATCTATCCTCTCCATCTTCATGAGACACAGAAAAGTGGACAGAGCCATCCTCGAGCAAAATGAGCCGCTCGATTCAGATGACCAGGATCTAGTCATATCGCTGTTAACTGCTGAAAATGATCTTAGTCTCAAACTCTACAAGAAGATATTAGCACTTTCTATATTGGTGGAGATCCCACCTCTAGTACTTTTAGCCCGTGGAGTGAGTCAAGCGCCACTGCTGAAAGTGGCAATGGCAAGTTTGATCGTTTTACTGAACTTTTTGACTCTTGTAAATACAATTTTCGAGGTGGAATCGGCTTCCAGGTTGTTTCCTCCGCTCGTGAGAAAGTACTTGGGGAAATTGATGCATTTCCGTGGCTTATGTGGTCTCAATGTCGTGTTACTTGTTCAGATGATATATGTTGCATTTTGGAGAGAGCAATTGGGGTGGATGGGTGTCTTCACCGTTGTTCCCATTGGTAATTTGGTGACTCTGGTGCTTTTGAAGAACTAGCACCAAGGCGTCGAACAGGAAGTGGCGGGGTTACATGCGCTTAAGTATAAGTATAAGAATGTTTGATCATTCAAATTGTTCCAGACGCTTTGATGTTTAGCAATTCTGGAATTTTGGGTTTCTAGTTGTAAAAGTAATGGTGGTTTGAGCATCGTGGCTTTCCGATCATGACTTTCGATCATGGCTGCTAACAACGACAATTTTGGGCTCCTAGGGTCATAAACTCTGGTAAATACTTGAGTAAACCAAGCATTGAAGTTCTCAACGAGTTTTGAAGTCGCCTGAAGGTATAACTCTTCACATCTGTGATGGTTCCATGAAGCTATTGGACTAAGTATTGAGCCATATTCATTGGCCTCAATAGAAGTGACCTGAAATTTACCCTTGAGTTGCTGAGATTGTTCTCTGTCACACTATAATTGAAGTACAGTCGTCGGTCTGATCGGACCACTTCGTTGTCCATCTAGAATTGTCGAAATAATTCGATTTACGTCCACTGGGGCCAAAAGCATTGTTCAACAAGGATATATTATACTTTCTAGACTTCATCAATTTGCCTGGATGGTCCTGTCAGATTGGCTTGCAGCCGATCGAGACCAATATCTATCCTGTCCCCAAAAGCTTCTAGAAGAACAAACTCGGGATCTTTCTTCAGCCGATCCGCCTGCCCCTTTCCATTCATGTTGGCTAATTCTCAGGTTCTCCCTCGGAAGTCTTTATGGTGCCGTTTCTTTTCCACTTTAGTCAGGAGTCCGGGCAGGCCAGTCTCAAGACGGAACTCTCGGAAGAGCGTTACAACACCACATGGTAAAGGGTCTAGAATGAGATAGCAAACATAACACATCCAATGGCGAAGTGATTGGGAAATACTGGATCTTGAATCGGCCACACCATTTACTTAGTCCGAGTATTGTCAGGCCCTCCGCTCATCCTCCCCACCAACATTGCCGAGTTACATTGTAGTGCAGACTTTGTGGGGGGAACGCTGCCGAGAAGGGTAATGAGACCGGGAACGAATGCGATTACAAGGGCAAAGACTGCCGAGTGGCTAGGGGGCCAAGTGACCTTGAGGTATGTGATCGTTGGGTAAGAGAGACATTGGAGACGACAAGTTTGTACAATTGAGATTTTAAAGGCAGTGGGAGAAGTTGGTAACGAAAATCCGCCCATAGGCAGCGATATGTGTTAAAAGAGACGAAGCTTGACGCACGGAGCCAAATCAATCGTTAACCGAATAGGCAAAACGTATCACATCAAGAATGTTGGGGTTGCTAGTCAAGTTATCAAAAGAATCAGTGATAATCCTGCAGCCACAAGTTACTTGTCTGGCAATTTCTACCTTGCAACCCAAATCCTAGTAGACAAAGAGAATAGAGAAAATCTGGAAGAGAGCAGCAATCGAAACCCTTTGTAAATATGGAAGAGTTGGAATTTTAGAGAGATGCAATGGTCGTGAAATGTTTCAGCTGCAGCAGGCTTGACACCATAGAAAAAATGTTCTATGTTACTAAAAAAAAATCAAAAACGCAATAAGCAGGCAAAAATCGATGGAAAAAAAAAATTCCGTGAGGCGGCGCAAAAGACGAAGGTACTCCTAATAGAACATTATGGAACAAAACAAATCAATTAAAAAAAAAAGACCGTGGCACCAATCCTAAAACCCGTCTATCCGAATTATGATTCAACAAATGAACCTCACATCCACAGAACCGTTTAGGAGAGGTTTAGGACCGATGGGGGTGTGTCATACAGAATCTCTTTTCCGTGTCAGGTTATCCAGTGAGGAGAAAAAGCGAAATGTGGAGGTGCCCTGATGCGGTAAATGGATGCCACGAGTATTTACGAGGGTAGAAAAAAACTTTACAAGTTCCGGTGCGATACTTAGCGGAAAACGCATGACTTTGGGGCTATTCTTTTTGTATTGAGCACGTTTGCCGTAATGCATATGCCCTCGGATTTGCCCTCGAAACATTCATCATTTTTGATGGAACGAATACTTTGCTAATAATGTTGCTCATATAGCTTACCAACTTCATTGTCTCCAAGGGATCAAAAATTGTGGATTAAAAGAGCTGAATGAGCCACAAGAATCACGAGGTTTTGTTTATTTCCTCACCCGGGAAATATTTCACGCTTTTTGTATCTCCCTATTGGTAGTGAGGGGAATCCCCAGATTCTGGCCCAGCAACCTAGGAGGGGAGCACGTTGACATGCATGCACGTGTGGTGATAGGTGTGGAGAACCGGAACGGCCGGAATATTCAATGAAGCACCCTCGGAAGTGGTGAGATTGTCTCGCATCGGCCACCTTTGCCTGCCAAAACCACCCAGTGGACCCACTTACCGACCCCGGACGGTGCCAAGACAACCGCGACTGTGGACTGATTCCCGAGGGTAAACCCTGGCCAACGTTGCCCTGGGCCGGCCACCCACGCCGACCCTCGGAAGTGCCAATTTCTGCCACAATTTCTCATCTAGACTCCTTTCCATATTATATATATATATGTTACCACTTCCCGCTGCAAGTTTTTTTTTCCGCCAACGAGTTTTTCTTTTTCCCAGATCATTTTCGTCTGCTACAAAAATCTCCTTCCGTCTGCGGTCGGTACTATCGAAGTCACCCATTAGTTGCAATCCAGTTGAGTTTCTCGCTTGATCATCTGACTGAATCATCCATTCCACTAGCAACTACTTCATCATCTCAAATGGAAATGTCCGACGCCTTCAATAACTATTGCATCACCTGCGACCAGTTGTGCCTGCCATATGCCGTGTACTGCTCCAACCAGTGCAAGGAAAAAGATGAACACCAACTGGCCACGTTGTTGCAATCTTGTAATCATGATATTGTTTCACCTTTGCTTACTCCATCGTTGTACCAGCCACAACAGATCTCCCACGAGCTCGGTGACTCGCCCTTGTTGCTACCTTCCAGCATGAGCAACACGGACGTGCAAGAGTTCTCGTTGAACTACCTGGTTTCACAGGCGCCAAGTCGGGTTCCTGCCACTTCCACGCTGCAAAATTATCGCTTGTGGTTGACTGGCGTCATGTAATGAGAAAAGAAAAGGAAAAAAAAAAAGCAGCTAGCTGCATGCATTGGGAAAGGGTAAATAGGTAATAGAAAGATATTTAAGAAGATTATTCAGTAGAGAAGTAGAAGTTTTGGGTATTTTATTCAGGTTGAAAGTTTAATCTATATCGACTGAGGCATCTTAGAAGCCGAAGTATCAATATTGGTTAGTGAAAACTACTGGAAAGAAGTAGGATGTTGCATTCTGATAGCAATAGATTGAGCAGATACAAATGTGTCAAATCTGCTGGCTAAAGAAAAAATATCCCATGTGTCTGGTGCGCGCCGCAGTAAGATGGAGCCATGGGTGCGGAAAATGGAGCCATAAAAAGATTGTAGCCATAGAACGATAAATTCATGAAAAGATGAAGCCATAGTTGCAGAGGACCTGAGAACAATGTGTGAAGCGCTTTGGAACAAAAGTAAAAAAAAAAAAAGAAGAGAGACTGCAATGTGGAACTCCACATTAACGATATTCTGGTATATTTCAGATCCACCAATGCGTTTGTTGCTACCTCGTAATTCGCGATCTCATCTCGGTTCCGCTCTTCCCCTCGCTTATTTTTCCCCAAAATACCTCAAATTGTAGTCGACATTTCAAATCCACTGGCAGTCTCGTCACGTTCTGCTCATCTCTTCTTCGGTTGCTGATGCCTGTTACTGGGTTACCGCGTTGCCTGGGCCACCGTCTAAAACATGCCTAGGTAATCCGGTTGACCTGGAACATTCCATACATGAAAACTTTTCACGCACAATTTCGCCACAGCCTACCGTCTCCGATGCCTCCCTCATTTGAAGCGCATGTACACTCTTTAAATCCCGATAGAGTGCCTGTAAAATTCCATAATTTAAATGAATTCTTACCTACTGGCACGACAGTCTTACTCGCTGACACGATAGCATTTGGTTTCTTTTCATAATTCACGGGGAAGTTGCCCCGCATGAAGTGATTTATTGGGTCGGGATTTGACTCCCGAGCAATCGCAGCAGAAACAAACATTATGTTAGATTCGGTCGCGGCTGTGCATGAGTTCCGGCCGTCGTAACCGCGCTTACGTCAGTATAGTGCCATACCCACAGCAACTGAGACAATTCGCCACATGAACTAGCCACGCCCACCACGTGAAGCAATGCGAATCGTAATTTCGCCACGTGTAATTTCCCACGTGTGTGCGATCACGTGGATGTTAGAACATCAAGTGGTTTTCGGTCAGCGTAGTCTGGCTCGTTTTGAGTGGTGCACGATTCTCACAGAAGGCAGAAAAAAATTCAACCACTAAACATACTAGCCAATGTTCGGACCATTCAAATCGTCGCTCGTCGCTTACGGCGGCTACCTCTGGAAGAAGGCCCCAAGATTGTCTCCTCCACAAAAGCAGAGATTGAGAAACCGTATGAAGCTTGTGGATAGAAACATTGAGATTCTTTACCAATCGTTGAAACCTAAAGACAGCATCTCCACTGGATACAAGAAGATCGACTACCTCAAGTTTGATTTCCCTAAGGAGAGTGAGATGATTCCCAGAGACAAATACACCACTTTTGACAAGAAGGTGAAGGACTACCGTAAGTCCGTGCACTTGGTTCCTAAATGGACGAAGAAGTCGTTCAGAGAGAATCCAAAGTATTTCTAATGCATCCTGTAAATAGCAAATTCATGAGTTGGGACTTGATGTAGCTTGCGTAACGTGAAGTTGAATGATCATCACTGAACGATTTGTCTCAAAATGACTTAAAAAGACTCAATAATGGCTTCCCTTATACTCTTCAATTTAATAATCCAACCAAGGCTGATCTCCTCTATAATCGACCTACAATCCACTATAATCCGTACAGCCAATTACCGTAACATGTTAACGCGATTCTCACGTCCCGATCTTCTCCCAAATGTAATTACTGATGAAATAATCCAGATACTTCTCATCAACCTGAAGAACACTGGTCAGGTTCTTGGAAGGCCCAAAAACAACGATCTTGTCGTTCATATTGTCCAGTTCCTCAATATGAACGCCCAAGCTCTTGTAGAGACTGATGCGCATGCTGTTAGAATTGAAGTTGGTAGCGATATTAGTTGCCAACGCCTGCTCCTTCTGATTGCTCACCTCTTCGCTGTGTCGCGCCAAATTCACCTTGACCATGTCCATCTGGTTGATAGTGCTTTCCAAATCGGTGAGTCGCTTTGCCAACGACACCTTGAGGTTGTCCAACTCGATGGATTTGGCATTCATCACCTTAAAGATGGATTCGTCCTCTTTTAGAACTGGAGCGGTGCCGTATTCCGCCAATCGCTCAAGAATCGAGGCATCAGGCTGTACCATGGCTTTGATCTCGCTAGAGAGTGCGTCCACCTCGGCCTGGAGCGTGTCTACTTCTTTCTGTAGGCGGTCTATCTTTGCTTCTCGGAGTTCATTCGTTTTCTTGAGCGATTCAGCGATGCGCGCTAGGCTGGAGATATCAGGTTGGGTCTCAAAGCCCTCGATTGTGGAATCGATGAGAGTATCGAGTGCAACGTCAAGCATGGATGATAAGGAGTGGTAGAGGCAGATGGTGTTGATGTTTTTATTTGATGTGTGGTCACGTGATCTCGGAATTAACTATAATGTTTTGGGGATTAAGAGAGGCTTTGGGGGTTAAACGGTGGTTTCTCTACATTTGGAGGCTCTTATATGAGATTGTTGGTTTAATTATGTTCTTCGAGGTCAAGATGGTGGTTGATAAAGAGGTATGTTTTCGTTGTGAATATTATTTATCTGCAGGATGGTTGCAACATGATAGGCAAGAAAGGCTAGAATGTATTGAATGTCAATTTTCCGGAAATTCAGGGGAAGTTTTAAGGGCCATTTGGAATTTAACTATGCGACGATAATATTTTCAAGGATTAAAATGGTCGATAAGACACGCACGATAATTAATGTGAATCGTTGCAAATGTAATGGTAAGAATAAGCGATTGACAACGTTAGCAACCACTAAATGTATAATTGTACCAAACAAGAAGGAAGTAATTGAAGGGTAACATTTACGTAGATTAGTGTACAACCCGGCGTTCACTATGGTGTACGAAAATTGTAGTTCATTAAGGTGAGGGAAATGTTCGGATAAGAAGAGAAAGAATTGCTAGGTTTTAGTGGGATCAGAGCAGAAAAGCAGATGTATTTAGGATGAATGCTCTAAATGTGTGTATAGTATGGACCATCTATGGGTGGAGGAGTATATTTGGTGATTGAAATTCTATATGAAAGTGTATATGTTAATCATACAATGGTGAGGAGGTTAATATGATGTGTACTCTAAGTTTACAAAAAAAGTAATTTAAATTATCATTTTTTGTATTGCATTTCTGAGACAATGTACCTCAGACATCGAAGAGTTGAAGAAGCATATAGAGAGAAAGAACAAAACAAAAGGTAGAATCAGAAGTAGTGAATAGGATACATAATCGAAGGAAGAGTATGTCGTAACACTTTCTATCCTCTTGGGATCTTAATCAAAATTTCTCCAGATCCCATGGACATTTTTTATTGATAAATTAATGTTCCCTCGAATCAACCAATCTCATAAACTGAATCTTCCATACTCAAGGCGACCACATCCAGAACGACCACAAAAACCACAAAATAAATTTGCACTGTCGATATTTATAAATTTGCAGAACAAAAATATCTTTCCATTTCCTAACCAATACTTATTATTATCTCCATATATCTTGACTTATCTATAGTCTCGAAATCACCTGTTGCCTCCACCTACACCTTCACCTGCACACCACAATTTCTCTTTCCACTACATCATGAGTTACCAAAAAAAAGGATTCGAGGGCGTGGAACTCCCCACTAACCCCAACATGCCCGCTTGGGTGTTGACTCCCAAGGAGGAGCAAGTCATTTTTGAGCGGTGGCGCAAAAAGGCGTTTGCAAGATGTGATCATCTCATCAAGGCATATGTGGAGTGTTCCAACAGTTACGAAAACCCTCTTGACGCCATGAAGAAGTGTGAAGCGGCCAACAAGCGCTCGCTTGACTGTGTGGCAAGCTACCAGAAGTTGGAGTATCTTGATGAGGAGCGGGACATTTTGATTCAGGAGAAGCGGATCAAGCAAAAGTATCTTCGTCAGAAGATGAGAGAGTCCCAGGCGGCAGCGGCAGAATCGAAGTAACTTGTAAATATAGAACTACAGAAATTTATGATATGTAATGAGGGGCTTTGTATCACGGGGGCATGAATAGGTGGTAGTGGAGTAGAGTGAACTGAACTCTTTGATGCTGCCAAAAGTTTGATGTATAGTTTTTGTATTGAGTTCATATACTTGGACGTCTATTCGCCTATTCTTTTGTCAATTTCTACCGATTTGTATATCTTTTGCTTTTTTCCTTTATGTGTTTTCTGCCTTCTTTCTATATACTGTAATTTTGCAAACCTGAATCGCTTACGAAGATTGTATCCCTTAAAAATCCTGGTCATATCATGAATCCAAGTCTCTTTTTCGTTGAGATTTGAATCGTATTGAATAAATACAAGCTTACAGATGCTTTCACTTTCTAACCAGCTTCTCATCTAATATAGTCACCTAGAAACCACCTTTATGTGCTCTTAATTATCAACGACTTGTCAGTCTCTATTTCATCCTAACTGTCATACCATGTCCATTCGACGTGTGTACGACCTTCGGTGTCTGACATGCTCCCGAATACACGTCCGTTCTTTTTGACATCGACCCTGCCCACTTGTATCCATTTGTTATCCTAATCTCTACTCACTTTCTTTTCTTATTCCACGTCTCAGCCATATCTACACGCCTCTGTTATTATATTTTATTCCTATCTAACCTATCCAAATCATTGCTTTTCACCTTTATCATTGTAACTATCTCCAAACACCGTATGACTGGCCATAAACAACGATCCATGCATTACTCCCAATTTCTGAATGGTATTAAACTGAACCGATGTATCCTTGATGAGCCCATCAAACTTACTCAAATTATTATGGAGAATTGCCACCTGCTCATTGAGCTGTGCCAACTGCTCGGCTTTTCTCTCCCTGGTAGTCATCAGTGTTGTTTTGGTGCCTAGGTATGGTAGTGTAGTGTATGTCAGTGGTAGACTGCATACATATACACAAATCTTAACTTCCTCCATATTTTCAATACTTGTCAATGAAAACTCCGCTTTCAACCTCCAATTTAGGATATGTTTCCGTTAACACCAATCCTAATCTTCCAATATCCTCAAATTTATCATCCTATCGAAGTTGTGTCTTTCTCTAGTCATTCCTTTTTCTCACTCATCTCCCTTTCCCCGGAAACTTCCTAGTGATTATTGTTTGTGTGCAGGATATCCTCACCCATAATCTCCCGGTCCCGAGATCTGCCATCTAGTACCTAAACTCCATTAAGTGTTTTTTCTCCACAACTTCTTTTTATCCACAAGAACAATCTTTTCCTGGAAATTTCCCCGTCCGTTGAAATCACAGGAGGTACGGGTTCATTTCTAGTATCCTTCCCGTCTTCCCCCGGTATCTGATTTTGATCCTTGTTCATCCATCACGAGTCATCTACGAGTCATTTGGCTCCACCACTTCGATTTCCTGAGAATAGCCGCTTGTGTTTAGCTACCTACGCCAGCGTTACACATTTGAAGAGCGCTTACAGTTTGCCACCCTTCAGAAGGTACTTTCCGCGTGTCATTCTGCGTCTCAACCGCTGACTTTCAAACTCCGATACTACCCGCTGAATCAAAGGGTTTGTAGTACAAACTCGTTTAACCTTTCCATACACCTTCCTTGACATCGTTTGCCAACAAAAATGCCACTGATGTCCTCGCCCGCGACGCCCACGGCCGAGCCCATGGGATCATCTGTAAGTCTCCGGGCTTCAACTTCAATGGCTGCCAACACCTCGATGGGAAGTGCCCACCATGGGAATCCCGTCGCTTCAGCAGCTACAGGGGGTTCCATGGCGAAGTATGCTAAGATCCAACCAGCCATCGCCATCAAACCGAAGCCCTCGGTACAAGTTCCTGTTCAGAAATCCACGTTCAATCCTAGGTACGACCCGCTGTCTTCCACGTCGACACTCCTAAACGATGAGGCACTCGGAAACATCAATACACTGCGCAAGTGGGTGTTACCGCCACGTCCCCGTCCCGGTCGAAAACCAACGACTGCAGCAGCATCTCCGGCTCCTGTTGTTGCTGATAAGTCGCTTTACAAGAAAAAGCTTAAGATGCTGAAACGGGAGGATCCTAAGGCATCTGTCCCTGCAACTCCCGTGGCTGGACCCGGTGCTGGAACGCCAAGCTCCTCGTCAAGTGGTGCTTCTCCAGGTGCCATTGGAATTGGACTCTCTCCAGCTTCTCGAATTGGAGGCTCACTGCCAAAACTGCTCCTCAAAGGTAATAATCTCGCCCTGAGCTCGTCAAGCGGCACTCGTCCTAGCATATTTACCTCTGGTACATCTTTTGATGCTCCTGGTGCATCAGGGATCCCTACCACTGCATCTGGTGCATCCTCTGCAACAATAGGGCCAGCCTCAATTTCTGGCTCTTTTACATCCACAGAGTCTGCCGCAAAGATCTCATACGCACGAGATGCCTCGGATTCTTCCGTTCGGCCCTTGCAGCCAGCGCAGAAACAGGTTTCAGACCTCCAGTCCATGTACCTTGCGCGTCTTAAGGAACAAGAGCTAATACGTAACTACATTGAGGTGCTTACCAACCAAATTAAAGAGCTCAAATTTGTCCAAAGTGGCGTCATTACATTTGATGCGCTCAATTCAGATGGATCCAACAAACCGAAATTGACACTGCCTCAACCTTCGGAGCAGCTCGATACGATCAATAATGTCAATGACTTGGACAAGTTCCTCGCTCATTTAACGACGCAATCCAATGTCATTCACTCAGTGACTAAGAAGTTCTTGGGCAATTCGCTGAACCAAGAATCTCATTTGCAGCTGCAGATTGGTTACTATTTGGACCTTCGAGCCAGAAGCAATAGCCCCACAGCCAACCCGAAATTTGAAGGGTCCAAGCAACCGCTTGCTCTGCCTGCATTCCCAAAGAGCATATCGTCTTTCACGCCTAGTTTGCTTCGTCCATTGAAAATGAATCTTTTCGATGCTGAGGAAGAAGTTATTGATGTTGATATTCTTAACGAGGGTGACTCGTTACTTCCCACTTCCGGATTTTCAGACCGTCTCAAGCTTGAAGAGGCACAATTAGGAGGTTCCGATCCTGATTATTTAAATTTAAGTGGCTCTCCAGAACAAAAGGTTGCACAAGTTCCGCAAAAGAAGTTCAAAAAGATAGGATGTGGGTTCTGCAACAACGAAACTCCTTGTGTTTGTTTTGACGCTGACAACATCTTCGGAGAGCCAAAATAGAGGTGATCTCTTCCATGGTTACGATTAATGTGTAAATGGGCTATTATTACAAGGATATATATATATCGTCTTCACCGCCTGTAGTAGGGTTCATACTTTACAAACGCTAGTTCCACACTCAGAAACTCCGTGAAAATATTTATGACAGGCTATTCAAGACTATGGAAGATCCACTGTTTCTCCACCCAAAATGCATTTAGAAGAAAGCCAAGTAGGAACCGAGCACGGCAGTACCAGCCAACACAATGTATCCGGTTCTGTAGACGCCGGGGATGGTCAACTCCTTACCGAAGTCCCAAACCAAGTGTCTGAGGCCGTTGAGGGAGTGGAAGGCGAATGGGAAAGCCATGGCAGCCTTAGCAAGGACTTTAGCAGCCACTGGCAATGCAGCAAATGCAGACACGATAGCAGCAGAGTCAAATGGAATAGACAAGAGAGAGGTGGCAGCGTAACCACAAGTCAAGGCGTAGAATGCACCAGCCATGGCCACACCGGTGACTCTGTGGACACCAGACAAGTACCAAGTAAGTTGTGGCTGGTAAATGGTCAAGTGTGGGGAAACAGGACGGTTTCTTCTTTGAGCGATAAGAAGCTCATTCTCCTCCTCGTGGGAGACCTTAACGGTAGAAGTAGAAGTAAATCTGACAGCAAGAGGGGCGCATCTAGCCAATGGGGCAGCTCTGGCAAGGGCTGAGGTTAGTATTGAATATCATATGAAGTGGGGTAGTGGCGATCTTGTGCTTGACTTTGTGGGATAAACCTCGTAGACAAAAATCTGGACTTTGAAAATAATTGTGGACTACTGAATAGGACCTAGAATTCAACTAGGCATTCATTTTGATGGCTCTCGTTTCTCCCCAACTTTCTGTACCTATTTCCGAATCACTCATGGAAATGAAGATTTTGGAAACCAGTAACTGGTCTGGAAGACCCAAATAAAAATCGTTTCACCTATTTGGCCGGTTCCTCGCTTGTTTATTACCCTTGGATAGACTCAGGAGGCTCGAGGCGGCTAAACAAGCGGAAATAGGCAGAAATGGTGGAAAAGAGTCCAGAAAATGCAGGTCACTCAAACCACAAACACGGAGTAAAAATGCAAAAACATACGTCTCAAACCAACACGGGAAAGCATAGTAAATGTGAGTAGAAGCTAAAGAAAAGAGGTAGGTGGGAAGTTGGAGTTAGCTTTTTCCGGGGGAGGAGGGAGCCAATAGAAAAAAAGCGAATTACCTCCGGGATAGTCATGTGATTGTGGTCACGTGGATGATCTCCGTCCGAGCCTCGCTCCGACTTGAGTGACTAGATATGGGTAGGGTCTTAAAGAAAAAAGAAAACTCGTAATTGTACTCTTGGTTTATGATTTAAATTCCGACTTAATGGTGGTAATTATTTCTGGAACTAGGGTTTTTCTTGTTGTTGTTGCTTTTTTTTTTCTTCCTACTTTATTTTCGATAATGTTTATGCTGTCTCAGTCAATCCTTGTCACCACCAAAATATGCAGTGGAGGAAGTTCCTCGTGAATACTTGTGATCAGTATTTATAGCTCTAGACTAACCTCTATCGCCGTTTATAGTGAATTCATTGGCCAGATTCTTGATTGATGCATAGTATGAGAGAATTGACATCACCAGATGATGGTCAATTTATATCTAATTAGGTCCTGCAAATAGACCACTATCTGGAACTGCTGTCTACTTAAGCCAATAGGACCACTAGCCTCCTTTCCTCAAAACAAAACTCGAATGAGAACTTATCTAAAAGCACATATTTAATAATCACGTACTATCTGCGTAAAACTTGCGTTCCAACCGCCATTAATCACTCGTGTGCTGGTTATCCTAATTTGTGGTGTACGGAAGTTGTCTCCAGAATCCAGTCACCTACCAGTTTCATATCTCCAGCGCATCTGCAGGACAGTGTAGTCACTGAGAAACCAACCAAGTCTCTAATTCTTACTAATCAGCCAACCGTTTCTCCAGAGAGATTGCTTGGTCGACACAAATTGGCCTCACATTTTAAGGAAACGACCTCAAGTCCCTATATCCTGCCATTTTTTGTGCCATTTTCCTTTTCAAATATACACCTACAAGTCACAAGCTTCGGACTTCCTTTAAATGCTCCCACCAGAGGAATCTGTGGCAGCATCCCCCAGTGGATATGCCCAGCAGGCCCGAGGATCCATTCTGCGAGCCTCTGCAGTAGGTGATCTTGGCACACAACAAGATAGTCAACGCCGTTCGTCGCCCATATCGCCAGAAGCTCTTAATCAGGACAATGTGGACAGAACGGGGTTAGACAGTGTGCCCAATGCAAACAGTGACAACAACGATGGTGTGGAAACAGAAATTACAGATATCGATGCACAGGAGTTGTCGCCGCGGGCTTCATCACCCACGGACGACGAGAAGTTGGAATCATCCACCGACCTTCAATTTAAGAAAAAGGACTTCCGGAAGTCTCGGGCGCAGCTGTTCCAGCTGGTTCTTCTGACCGCCTCGCTAAAGTCTTTGAAGCAGCAGTCCATACAGGGTAATCCTCCGCAGCTTCTGCGGAACCACAGCTCGGTGTCTAATATCGGCACTGCCAACAGCAAGAACTTCCAACTGTTCATCCAGGCACCCGTTCTTTCGTCCGTGACGAACTTGCGACTGGCAGATGAGGTGGAGATTGGCCAACAACTTCCGTTTGACCATCGTACCGAGCCTGGCTCCATGTTTCCGGACTTGGCGAAGATTTCCAACACTGACGATGTTTCTCCCCAGAACGAGGACGATGATGAAGACGATATTTACAAGGAGGAAACCACGCTTCAACAGCAGCGTCTCACCATCAATGCACTTAAGAAGCTTTCGCTCTCGTTAGCCCCTATCATTCGTCTGGATGAAGATGATATAGACCTACAGCCACGCCAGCTCACCACCAAACTGCTCAACGGAAGTGTTGTTCCGGATCTGCGTATGAAGCTGAAGCCATATCAGCCGGCGCAGGTGGATCTCTCTTCTTTTTCGAGTTTGACCAGGCAAAGCAAGTTTTTGGAGGGTGATAGAGCCAAGCAAGAGCAGGGCCATTCTCAGGCTCCGACATGGGCTGATGCTCAGAGACAACACCAGACCCAGACAGCTCTGCGAGCTCCTTTGAGCCAGGGCTTGAGCGTGAGCACTAATCATTTATTGCATGGCAAGTCATCAGCCCTGACCCAAAGCCAAGGATTGACCCAACCAAACTCGGCATTGGAGAACGGACTGAGTTTGCTGAATCAGAATAAAATGAATGCAGTTCGGAGCAATCAGAACTTTAACCTGAACTCCAATCTGAATTCTAGCCTGAACTCCCATCCAAACGCAAATCAAAATGCCAAACTGGACTCCATCTCCAAGATGGAAGATAACATGCAAGATCGTGGCCGGTGGGACAAACAAGACCCTAGATCCACGCAAGTGCAAGTGCAGAATATCACGAAGGGTCCTGCTGTTTCAATTAATGGGTTCAAGCCCTTCGGAAACATCGAACACACCATAGGAGGGCGCAATACCCCAGGCTACCCTGTGGTTCCTCCTCACAATATGAACATCCGGAACCGGAAAGTTTCACTTCAGCATGAGCCTCAGCCACCAACCGCAAAGCACCCGTTGCCAGACAAGAAGCTCCAGCAAATCAAGGGCTTTAGAAGTCCCGGATATGTACCTGCGGTTCTTCGGAGAACTGCTGGAGACGACCGAGACGTCGTTGGTCCTATCAGCTCCAATGGCCTGGATCCAGAACAAACCGAAAACGTATCCTCTCTCCCAAACACGGCACTGCCTGCCAAAGACACGGGATCATCGGCAGACTCCGTGCGGTCGTTCGATCTGGCCTACTCCAGTGAGTCCATACAGCCTGGACTGCTGAAGACTGGTCCATACACCTTGAACAAAAGGCAGTACGAACATATTCTCAAGGCTGCTCCAACAAGAAAGCACTGGCTCAAGGATGAGTCCGTGGCCGAATGTGGACTTAGTACATGCCACAAGCACTTCAACTTCTTCGAAAGAAGGCATCATTGTCGAAAATGTGGAGGAATCTTCTGTAAAGATCACACATCACACTACTTGTATATCAACCACTTGGCGCAGTTTACCACAGGTGGACGCGGAACGCTCTCCCGTGTATGTGACAATTGCATTGAGGAGTATAACGAGTTTATGAAGACGGAGTTTGGTGTGGGTTACCAGACGCCAAGATCACGGCAATCTCCACCAAGTAATTCGGAAACCAACGATTATCGCAAGGAAATCTTCAAGCCCAAGACGAAGGCAACTGCACAGCCGGTGCTGCTGCCAATTTCGCCAGTCACTAAGCTGGATATGAACGAGCAACTTGTGGGGAGTGTGCCAGCAAATTGGAGTTGGCTGTCATTTTAGGTGACTCTCTTAGAGCACCGCAGTACATAAATACAGCAGTACATGAGTACTCTGTATTACTAATTTATACATGATGTCAATGGCATTAATGTCTCAGAGTAGAGTACCTTGTAGGTGAACACTATATGAATGGGGTTGCTGTGGGTTCCCTGAGGCAATTTCTCAGACTCAGTGAGGTTACATGTAAGTTGTAAAGTTCTTTGAAAAGTAGTCGTCCATTTCAGTTAGGAATTGTATTTTATAGATTGACGAATAAAAGGTTTTCAATTCCTTAATTTTGGTATGTTTCAATTCAAATTCGATTTTTGGTTTCGTTTTACACTTTTACAGAGTGGAAAGCATGGACGAATTTTACTTGCATAATGTCAACATTTCGCAGCCATTGAAGGGAAATGGAAATGGAGCAAATCTTCAACTGATGAATCTAAAAATGGAATTCCTTCTATAAACGGAGCTCATGTAACCATATAAGAGATGAAGATAGAATCAATGAAAAGATACAGAAATAGAGCGCATGAATAATTGGATCAGGCTTGGAAATTGAGAGTGGGGGTTGGGTCAATGTTCGCAAGAACGAACCCACATGGATTATCGTTGCAAGCTACCATACAACATGATCGGACGATCCCTGATTATTAATATAATTTATTCAGCCCACATCTGTAAAACTTTTTGTTAAAACTGATATTCTGCTAGCTTTTAGCAAGCTTCAACACGCATACAGCGGTCGGGGTCGAAGGTAATTAAAAATCACAACCAAAGACAATATATACATGTACCATAGCACAATATTGATGAACTTCTTTACTCAATCTTAATCATACATAATGCAATAACCACCGTAATTACCTATCGTTACTATATTCTCTAAGTACAAGATCTTGTCGTAACACCCTTTTATGATAATCTCGACTAGTTTTTCACCACCTGGTGTTCAAATTGTGCCTGTACCTACACCAACACGTATCAACAGACCAACACGTATCAGCATACCTGAACAAAAACACCTTCCGCTGACCCCCAAAATATCCTGAATCTACTCAGATGGAATTTTCTTGTTTACTTACAAAGCTTCAACGAATCCCTACCATAAATTACCCGTAACCTCATTCCAATTTACTAAAGAACATCCTGCAGACAATTTCCACCAACCTCAGTCTCAATTTTTAACACCTGGCACTGTGATTACCCAGAACAGAACACCAAGAACCCCTCATGAGTGCTCAATTGAAGGTTCTCGGCATCAAAGTCGACACTTTGAGGTTGCTTCTCCGCGTGATCATCCTCATTTCCATCGCCGGCGCTGCCATCTCCTCCCGTCTTTTCTCGGTCATTAGATTCGAGTCCATTATCCATGAGTTCGACCCATGGTTCAATTTCAGAGCAACAAAGTACTTGGTGTCTCACTCTTTCTACGAATTTTTGAATTGGTTCGATGACCGCACCTGGTATCCCTTGGGTAGAGTGACTGGAGGGACATTGTACCCTGGTTTAATGGTGTCCTCAGGTATTGTCTGGCACGTCTTGAAAGATTGGTTGAAGATGCCTGTGGATATCCGTAATGTTTGTGTATTATTTGCTCCGGCCTTCTCGGGCGTCACCGCCATCTTCACTTACTTGCTTACCAAGGAAATGAAGGATTCCAATGCTGGATTGTTATCTGCCATTTTCATGGGTATTGCTCCAGGCTACATCTCCAGATCGGTGGCCGGCTCCTACGATAACGAGGCCATTGCCATCACCTTGCTCATGGCAACTTTCTACTTGTGGATCAAGGCCATGAAAGTTGGATCTATTTTCTACGGAACCTTGACTGCTCTCTCTTACTTCTACATGGTTTCTGCCTGGGGTGGTTACGTCTTCATCACCAACTTGATTCCTTTGCATGTTTTTGTGTTGATCTTGATGGGCCGTTACTCCAGCAGATTGTACATCGCCTACACCACCTGGTACTCGTTGGGAACGTTAGCATCCATGCAGATTCCATTCGTGGGTTTCCTTCCAATTCGTTCCAATGATCATATGGCAGCTTTGGGTGTGTTTGGCTTGTTGCAACTCGTGGCCTTGGGTGCCTACGTGCGTTCTAACGTGCCAACAGGCCAGTTCAAGGTGTTTTTGACCGTGTCCATGATTGCGGTGACTATCTTGGGTGTGTTTGGCTTGACCGCCTTGACTGCTGCCGGCTGGATCGCTCCATGGACTGGACGTTTCTACTCCTTGTGGGACACCAACTATGCCAAGATTCACATCCCAATTATCGCGTCTGTGTCTGAACATCAGCCTACTGCATGGCCTGCGTTCTTTTTTGACACCGGAATGTTGGTGTGGTTGCTTCCTGCTGGTGTGTACTTCTGCTTCCAGGAATTGCGTGATGAGCACGTTTTCGTGATCATCTACAGTGTTTTGGGTGCTTACTTTGCTGGCGTTATGGTCAGATTGATGTTGACCTTGACCCCAGTGATCTGTGTCGCCGCAGCAATTGCCTTGTCTAAGTTGTTCGACACATACATGAATGTTGTTGAGCTCTTCAAGACATCAGACGATGACGTGGAAGAAGTTGTCGAAAAGAAGACCGACAAGAAGCAAAAGAAGACCACCAAATCGTTCCCATTGTTCCAGTTGTTGAGTAAGGCCGTGGTTCTCCTCAGTTTTACTTACTATTTGGTTATCTTTGTCCAGCACTGTACTTGGGTCACATCGAACGCCTACTCGTCTCCATCGGTGGTGTTGGCCTCCAGAAATCCTGACGGTTCTCCTGCCGTCATTGATGACTACAGAGAAGCATACTATTGGTTGAGAATGAACACTCCAGAGGACGCCAAGGTCATGGCTTGGTGGGATTATGGATATCAAATTGGAGGTATGGCCGACAGAACCACATTGGTCGACAACAATACCTGGAACAACACTCATATTGCTACCGTAGGTAAGGCCATGTCTTCGAGGGAGGAAGTTTCCTACGAGATCTTGAGACAGCACGATGTTGACTACGTTTTGGTGATCTTCGGAGGTGTCATTGGTTACAGTGGTGACGATATCAACAAGTTCTTGTGGATGGTTAGAATTGCTGAGGGTATTTGGCCCGACGAGGTCAAGGAGAGAGATTTCTTCAACAGTAGAGGTGAATATAGAGTGGACCATGAGGCTACAGAAACCATGAAGAACTCGTTGATGTACAAGATGTCGTACTATCGTTTTGCAGAGTTGTACGGAGGCAAGGATGCCCCAGACCGTGTCCGGAACCAAAACATTCCTGCTGACAGGAAAATCACTTTGGATACTTTGGAGGAGGCTTTCACATCGCAGAACTGGATTGTGAGAATCTACAAGGTCAAGGACTTGGACAACCTTGGACGAGAGATGCACTTGGCTGCTGACTTTGACCGTAGTGCAAACTCCACGCTGACGAAAAGATCTAGAGCGATCAGAAAGCCACTGTCCGACTTGAGGGTGTAACGTATAGAAAATAAATCCAAATGACGTGACTATTTGTGGACCTATGAAAAACAGAGTAACTCAATTCGTATGAGATATAATTTGTAATCCGAAGCGTCAATTGATTAGCCGGAGATATTTAATAAGACCTGTATCAATCTCCACGCTCTTCTTTCTTCGGACTCAAACCAAGGATTTCCACTTGGTACATCTTCGCATTAGCAGCCTAGAGTCAGTTACCTCCGTAGTTTCATAATGAATTGGACCACTCAACCTAACTCTGTCATATTTGCAGAAGAATATTGTATTGAGAATTCTAAACAACTGCTCATTAGAATACGACAGTTATTCTGTCTCGATATATGGCATGTTGGCAGGGTGTGGATCCTGTCCCCGCAATTTGAACCGAGTATAAATCCACTACTCCCGATAGGTTACCGAAAAACCACCAGCATCTAATACCATAATGACAAATTTACTCGACATCAACGAGCATCTAGTATTTTATCGCAAATACCACTTCAACCATAAGAATGTGGCCATCCATTTGTTATGTATACCACTCATCCTCTTGTCTTTAATTTCGTTCTCAAGCACTAAGGCCGTCAGTGAGAGTTTTCCTCACATCACTATTGGATCAATTGTGGCGTGGACATATGGCCTTTATTATATTGCTTTGGACTGGCAATTGGGAATTCCAACCTTTGCTTTCCTCACAACTTATGCCCATGTTGTGAGAAATGTGTATCTTCACTTGAGTGACACCACACCCATTTCGAAAACCAAATTCGTGCAATTGGCTGTTGGTGTTCATGTTGTGTGTTGGTTGGCTCAATTCTATGGTCATGCCGTGCACGAGAAAAGAGCACCTGCTCTATTCGACAACCTTTTGCAGGCTTTAGTGCTTGCGCCCTTCTTCGTGGTTTATGAAATCGCCTTCTGGTTAGGATTCAAGTTAGATACGAAGAAAAACATGGACAACAAGGCTGGAAAACTTGTCTTGGAGATGAATAAAGCTGCCAAACAGAAAGCCAACTAGATTTCTACTTCTTTGCCTTGAACTTGTTGAACTTATCCAAGACTTCCTTCTCGTGCAAAGACACACCGGTGACCTGATTTCCAATAGCTATGTGTTAGTAATGCAATTGTTATGATTTGAAGTTTCCACTGTACTTACTGAACCATCCTGGGCGGATGTTGTGATCTCGGCCAAAGATCTCTAATTTCCGAGAGTGTCGACCTACCATGCGTTCAACCATCCCGTAGAGCTCATCAGGTTTCCTCAGTGTTTCTCTAGTACCACTTACAATGATATCCAAGTCAATCTTCCGATTGAGCCACACGGGATCCCCTTTAATTCCCAAAAGTAAGTGCTCTTTTGAGTGGTTGAGCCAGTGGCCCGTTCTTCCCGTGACAATGGTACGTCTCAACTGGTTCAACTTGATCCAAATTACTTCATCAGATACAGTGTACCCCCACTGCGCCAATGCCTTGCGGCCAATTTCAATTGACCTTCCTGTTACCCAAAGTAGCAAGATACCCTCATCTTGCAACTCTCCCATTGGCAACGACAATAGCTCACTATCCTTGCAGGTTCCATATGGAAGTGACATATGGATATCCCATGCGGGGTCTGAGATGATAGCCGAGAATTTTCCAAGAATATTAAATGGAAGCGTTCGAACATCACAGTTGATCCATTGTGGAGGCAGAATTGGTTTCAGGATGGCATCAAAACACTCTCCAATGGTGTATTCGATAGCCAAAAAACTATTGAGATCTGTTTCAGATGCTTTCCGCTCGACTTTCTTGCTGTCGTTTTTGCCTTCACCCTTCCCTTCGTTCTTAGGAGGAGGATTAAGTGTATAGAAGTGCAAGTATCGGCAACTCTTCAACTTGTGGCAGGTATCCAAGTAAGAGCAATTACCCAAATACATATCAGTGGAGCTAGTAACTAATGGCAAGTAGTGAATCTTATTTTTAACGCAAGTAAGCACATCTTTGCCTATGAGGGACTTGCATGACTGGATCACCTTATGAGTTTTGGCATTCGAAGGTAAATCTTGAACACTCAGGCCAATTGCTTTGGGATTCAAGCAGAGTTTGGAGAGTGTCTGGTTGTGAGAGGCCACTTCACAGACCTCGTAAAACGGCTTCCTCTCCGTCAACAATTTGGCCCGCTCCATTCCCAAAACGGTCATGGCCGTGGGCTTTCCCAACATGGCACGAAACTTATCTATGTCACCATCAAAGCCTGGCGAACTAGTGTCAGAATTGACCGTATAAAGTGGCTGAGATAAGATTTCAAGTAATTGGCTGTTGACAGAAACATTGCCCATTCTACTGTTGGCATCAGAGCTCCCTGGGCTATTCATTTGGGCTACCTTGTTGGATTTAACCAATTCCCCATTCTTGTCTCTCGGTGACTCCGTCATTTCCAATTTGGACTTTAAAATTTCGATATTGACATGGTTGACCCAAACTAAAGCGTCTCTGCCATAAATCAGAGAACCGAAGCGCAAGGAATCAGCAGAAACGCCATTAAATTCGTCCAAGAAGAGATGAAAAGCAGTAACATCCTCAAAATCACATGGACACATATGAGTACAGCCACTACATAACTGGACATACAAACCCATTACTAGATTCAAGTCACCTTTAATGGGGGAATCCAAGAGCAAGGGGTTGGAGAGAAAGAAGTTGATAGCGCAGGAAAAACGGGAGGTAACGTAGGAGAAACACATAACAAAAAGAAAATAGTCGTCGATTCTTTAAAAATTTTTTTTAAAAGAGGTTGAGTGGCGGTGGCCGGTATTGCAGCAAAATGCACATTGCAACACTCATGTATCAAATCATTGCGAAATGGATGCGAAACATAAAACAAGGTCATGGTTGGGAAAAAATGCTTTCTAGAATCCAAATGGATTGTCTGCAGTGGCAGCCTGCAAGTTTGCTCTCCTTCCTGTTTGTTGGGATTGCAATTGAGGAGCGTTTCCGAATCCCTGGCCCGTTGGCTGCGACTGCAAGGGTTGGGTTCCAAAGCCTTCAAATTGAGGCTGTTGGCCAAAACTTGTAGTAGGCATTTGTCCAAAAGAAGTCAGCGGTTGCTGGCCAAAGGAATTTGGTGGCTGCTGGCCAAATTGTGGCTGTCCGAATTGGCCAAAAGTAGTAGGTTGCTGGCCAAACGTAGGCTGCTGACCAAACGTAGGCTGCTGACCAAACGTAGGCTGCTGACCAAACGTAGGCTGCTGGCCAAATGAAGCTGTAGGCTGCTGACCAAATGACTGTTGGAAACCATTAGACTGTGGCTGATATGCCCCACCTACAGAGGTGTTCTGAAACATACTGGTCATTTGGTCCATACTCTGGGTATTATAACCACCTGTGGCCTGATTGCCAAATGAGGTTTGCGGCATCATTCCTCCAGTAGCCTGTTGTGAAAATGAGGTCGGCGGCATTGCTCCTCCAGTAATTTGACTTCCAAAAGAGGTTGGTGGCATTGCTCCACCGGTAAATTGGCTGCCAAAAGAAGTTGGTGGCATTCCACCAGTAGCTTGGTTACCGAAACTTGGCTGCGGCATAAACCCACCAGTGATTTGTTTGCCAAATGTGGATTGCGGCACAAACGTATTGGCAAGTCCACCAGTGGCCTGGCCCGAGATTGGAGGATAAGCTCCACCCATTACCTGGTCGCCACCAATAGGCTGGTTGAAAGTAGTCTGTGGCATGGTGACATTACCTGTTTGCAAGGGGACAAATGACTGCGTTGGTTGCATAGGCATTTGGCCAAATGTCGTTGGTGGGACGGTCTGAGGGCCTGTCTTCTGGGCAGTGAAAGTCAGTGTGCCAGTCTGCAATGGCACAATACCAAACGTCAACTGAGGAAGAATTCCCCCAGTAGCTTGGATTGGAACAAAGCCTGTGGGCTGAGCAGTGATAGGAATAAATCCAGTTGGTTGAACTGGAATGAGTCCACCGGTCTGAACAGGAATTAAACCACCAGTACGAACTGGAATGAGCCCTCCTGTACTTGATGCCACCAATGGCTGAGTGCTCGACCCCGTCTTTTGCACTGAGAACTGCTGATTGGGTTGGATCAATGTTCCAGTCTTCACTGGGGTCATTGCAGGAGCAGAAGGTGTTGAGGCAACTTGAGCCGGTCTAAGATGTGCGTCCTTCTCTGGAGTCTGCGGAGGCTTGTTGGCTTCCAAAGGCTTGATGTCCACGAGATCCTGCAAGGAGCCAGTGTACTGTGGCCGCGAGGTAGTTCTGGTGAGATCTTCGTTAGAACGGGCAGCTGGCTTAACAGCCCATGCATCATCTTCGAACTTAGAAGCGGTACCGGATCCAATAGGATCTTGTACCTCCTTTCTAGGAGAAGGATCTGGAAGCGCACTTGCGGTGATCTTGGACACCTCTGTTGTGCTGTTGTTCTTTAATGCACCAGTTGGTTCAGTGAATAAGCTACCTGAAGGAGCCTCACTCTCAACAGGTTTCTTACGATCGAACTTCGCGTCCAAGTGTTTCATAACCCGCAAAATGTCACCTTCACGCAAACCGAGTGATCTCAAAAGTGAAGGTGTAATATCTTCAAGAATAGACTCATCCATCTGCTCCTTACTAAAGTTAATCAGGTAACGCTGACAATTGCCGATATCCACACCACACTGAAGAAAGAATTCGAACCAATCGTAGTCTGGCTCTCCAACAGTCATCGCAGTTGACTTTGATCTGTCTGGCTTTGGAGGGGGAACATCATTGATTGCCGCAGTAGCCAGCCTTGGTCTGTTTGGAGTCTCTTTAGGCTCAACAGCAGGAACAGAAGTGGGTTTGGATTCGCCTTCATGGCGAGCACCAGACAGCTTCTTCTTTGCCGTTTGACGCAAGACTTCGTCTTTGTACAGTTGTAGAGAAGTTCCAGTGACTTTCTCCACATACTCCAAGTCCTCGATGGACAATTTGGTGGCAGCAACAGCAATTTTGACTCCATTGGTCTTGTGCAAGTGAATTTTACCTTCCACACAACCCAAAAACTCTGCCTCAACCTTAAAAGAGCCCGAGCTGTCGATCCATGTCCGCACACGGTGAAAGTTGGGCATGTTTTTATCATCTGCAGCGGTTCTATCCGCACGGTCACGTTTGGCCCTGTCGCTTTCTCTAATTTTGTCTCTCTCATCTCTTGAGTACCGATGATGTTTCTTTTTGGATGAGCCCAGGTCGACAACGCGACCCTTGGTAGATCCAGCCCGCTCGGACTTTCTCCTCTGAACTCCATCAGTCAACTTGTCTAGGTTAGTAGTTCCCACAATCTCAATGTAACTCGAAGGAACGACACCTTGCTTTCCATCAGAGGTTCTCTCACACATCCACCACTCTTTGGATTTACTCAGATCAACAATGTACACTTCGTCACCTTCTTTACAGCTCAATTCATCGTGGCTCTGAGCCTTGAACGTATAGAGCAAGCGACCCACTCTTCTGTTTTTAGCGTCCGTCTTCGTCAGAGACGCTCTTGCAACCTCCTTCAAGCCTTTGGCTTGTTCGGCGCCCTTCAAATCTCCAAGAACAGCCACAATGGCCTCAGCCACATCTTTGGAACCAGCATGCAACTCCAACGATGCACTAGGGTTCTTGAACTCTAAAAATACATGTTTCTTCTCATGATTGTACTCCACCATATCACGGATTCGCCAGTTATTGTCGAGTGACGATGCAGACCGCATCCGCAGCTTCTTGGGGTTTGGTTTCAAAATGATTAAGCCATTGCCAACAGAAAGGACCACTGCACGCTTCTTGCGGCCGTCCAATTCGTCAATGTACCATCTGAAATACTCACCATCGAAACTGTGTTCCTGTTTATCTACGTCTTCCTCCTGCTCGTAGTTGCCGGTCTGATGAGTCTCCACTGGTCTTGGCACATTTCTCACTACTTCATCTCCATTGCCAGACTCCGCTTGTGGCCCTGTGTTTGTAGGTCTCAGAGGCATAGGAGGTGGAGCCTCATCTTCTTCCTCCTCGTCGTAGGCCACATCAACGCGCTCCACTGATTCCTCCACGTTTTGCGTTCCTTGAATACGATCCTGACGCTGTGGAGGCGGAGCAAAGTTGGAAATTGGCACAGGGGCCTGATAGCCCGCCACTGAAGCTCCAGTAGCTGCTGGAGCCGCCTGAGCAGCTACTGGCGCAGCTGAACCCTCACCAATCTCAACGTAATTGGCTGGAATGAATCCAAATGCCTGTCGGGCACTGTCTCCCACAAGCAACCAGTCTGGATCGTTCAAATCGTAAACATTGAAGGATTCACCCTCCTTAAACGAAAGCTCTTCTTCGGTCTGCTTGTCATAGTCATACAATGCTGTACATTTCTTGACAACAGGAGCCTAATGTGTTAGTAACAGATTGATATTGCAAAGGCAGGAGCCAGCGGCACTATCGGCCTAGTTCCACGGTGAAAGGACATACCTCCTCTATGTAATTCAGCGGAATCAAACCCACAGGCTCGTCCACCTCCTCGTCGCCCACTGGCAACACTCGTTTCTTGACTTTCCACCAGTCGTCCACATCGGATTGCTCCAACAAGTACAACAAGTCGTCAGCGTGAATGGACAACTCCTCATCGGCACGCGCATCGTAGTCGTAGATGGCGCGGTAGACGCCGAGATATAGCGACGCCATGAGTGTAGTTATTGGTGAATGTATTGCTGGGGAAGATAGTGGATCTGAGAGACTGGTGGGTCCAAATAGGTACACACACGACCCGAGAATAGTAGAGTTTTGTGGGGCGATTCGGGTTGTTCTGGAGGAATTTGGGATCGATCTGGGGAGATTTGGGGGTTAGAAGTTGCTGAGTATAATTATTATCTTTTAAAAATTAAATGGTGGTGCAAATTGATTGGAGTTGTGCTTCGGAAACCGTTGGTCTGTGTAGAGACCTAAATAAGGTGATAGGTGACATAATGAAAGGAATAACTAAATAATTTTTGTTTTTAATTTTTGATGTATATTTTCGTTCAATCTGGATTTTGGCCTCATTTGCAAAGGTATTTTTTTTCTTTTGGATGGAGGGATTGGAGTCATTGTGACGTTAAAGGGTGAGCAACAGACCCAAATGCGAGATTAGGCCAAGGCGTTGTTGAATTGAGAATCAGGAGGTGCATCTCACTAGGATTGATAACTTTTGCATTTTCACTGTACAATTTTTATGTACTTGTTTCTTTTTTTTGAATCATTTCTAATACTGATTAGTACTTTTGAACTGTCATTTGTTCGTATGCTGTAAGGTTTTGATTGAATAGCTGGTATGAGGAATTTGATGATGCTATTGTGTTAGTCGGTTTAATCTCATATTAATTGTGCTAATAGTAAAAAATTGCTAAAAGTAATTATTTCACGGTGAATTCAATTGGCTACACTCAAATGCTTAATTAATAAATTCTAGAAACATTAAGGTAAGTGACGCCAGAATAATCACTCTTGAAAAGATTGTCTACTGAGATAGTGAACTTTATTGATTTCGAGTACCACATTTTAATTGTACCGATAATTCCAACACAGATCAGCCTACTTGATCTACCCCACTTCGATTGGATTTCAACTATATAAAGATGCCGTAACTACCCTCCTTATAAGTCTCGACCAATAAAATGAGTAATGAAAGAACGAATTGCTCTCTGATTCCTACAACCGAAACATCGCCAACCAACATCTATTTATAAGATCAGACACTCATCTTCTACCAACCTCATTCTATAAAACAATTTTTCTTGCCTAATTGACGGGAGTCAACCCACGGCCTCCATCCAATAACACGTTCTCGATGTTCTTCATGGCACTCACCGCAGTAAAGTCAAAGTTCTCCACGGTCGAGGCCCCCACATGTGGTGTCAAAATCACGTCCTGGCGACCATACAATTTGGGATGCACGGTTGGTTCGTTTTCGAAAACATCAAGACCAGCAAACACAACCTTTCCCAGCTCCAAGCCGTCCACCAAAGCATTCTCGTCAATCACAGGTCCACGACCGATGTTGATAATACGGATTGGTTTTGCAAATTGCTCGATGGTGTCTGCATTGATCAAGTGGAAGGTCTCTGGAGTTCCAGGACATGCAATCACCACCAAGTCAGCCACATCGGCTGCGTCACCAACGGATGGATGGTATGTAACTGGGAAACCCAAGTCTTTCTCCTCGGCAGCAGAAAGAGGCGACCTCTTAACATAGTGGATGTGCATTCCCACCGCAGACAACCGTCTAGCAATGGTCACTCCAATGTTGCCGAAACCTACAATCACCACATGGTGGTTTTTGGGGTTAAGACATGGCCGTCCGGCCACGTACTCACCAAAAGCATAGCCTTCGGTGCTGGCCAATACCGGTTTTCCCGAGGCCGAGTCGAATTTGCCAGAGTCAAGGGTCTTTCTCACACCTACCGTGTGGTTAATATCTGCCACGAAGTTTTCCGAAGAAATCTTAAAGTTTCGGAAGGCAGCCAAAGTGTTGAACAATACTAAGTCGGCTACGGGCTCAGCAGCACCGTCCAGTGGAACATTGGTCAAGATGATACCACGGTCAGCCATGGCTTTTCCATCATAGTGGTCGTGGCCGACAGAACAGATGGATACCACTTTCAACGACAGTGGAGCGGCAGCCAAAATGTCATCCTTGAAACCTCCAAGCAACACAAAACCGAGCCAGGCACCGTAGATGGCGCTGATGTCGGAGTAGGTAGTTTTCAAGTCTTGAATCAATTGGGATTTGGAGAGTGGAACTTCGTAGCGGATGCACTCGAACTTGGAGGTAAACTCCTTATATTCGGGCAATTCTGTGTTCAAATCGCCAATTACAAGCACCTTTTGTTTCATTGAAGTAGTTGGTAAAGAGAAAAACGACGATGGAAGACAATGAAATTTACACCATAGTGGTAGTTTATGTAGGCAAGAGCGAGCGAGCAAGGTGGGGCAGAACTGAGTAGACTAAAGAGAAGTTTAGTGTGTGAAATTGATGGAAAAAAGGTAAAAAAAAAAAGATTGCCGGAAAAGAATGAATTGGATTATATTGGGAAGATTGGAAAGGATTATGTAGATGGGAAGTCAAAAAGTTTGGCAATTTGTAGATTTTGAGTATGAGGCATTCTGATAAATGTGGAAAATGTGGAGAGGAATTGGGTGCGAGGTACGGAATATGGACCCTAAGATATACAAAATGCCATACATGGACGAAATTGAAGTTATTGCGTGAGTGATTGATAAGTGGAGTAGGGATCACTTGGATGTGTAATGGTGTGAAATTATATCGGAGAAATACTGAGCATAGATCGAAATTGGAATGGATGGAAGTACTGGAGCTAGTTATTACTGGAATGCTTGGAAGAATCAAACAGGCATTGCATTACGAGAAAGATATATGGTAAGAGAATATTGGAGAGATAATTAGGGAAAAGGTAATCAGTCTGAGAAAGTTTGTGAAGGAAGTTTACAAGAAATTCGGTAGAGAAAATGTAATGTACCATTAGAGTCATGGTAAAGTCATGAGAAAACCGTACTGATCGATAGCGTCATGGTATGGTAATTATGATTGACTATTGATAGAGTGATATAATGAAGGAACAATAGAGGGGTAATGGAATGATAGAGTACACATAAAATATAAAGTGATTCAGTGGTAACACTAGAATCCACACGACAATAGGATTACTCTCTGTCGAGCTACCTCACTCCAAAAGTACAGCAATACCTCCTACAATCTCTAAATTTATCTTTTAATGCAGCTACACAGCCGGACTTCGAATATGCTTCAAATGACGTTCGTCTAGTGGTGGTGGTGACCTGGCTCACCCAAGTACTTGGCAGTGTACACAGTACCACATTGCCAGCATCTGGAAGCCTTGTCCTCCTCAACCTTCATCCAGTAGGCCTTGTGGTCTTCGTTACCCTTACCTCTGCAGCCGACGTAACGGTATCCAATGTAAGTTGGCACCAAGTATGGGTCCTTAAGAGATCCAGAACCTTCGAAGATTGGCTTCTCCATGTCGAAGACGTCAACACCTTCCAACTTACCCAAGTACTCCAATCTCTCCAAACCAGTAGCCTGGTCAAATTCGGTTGGGATGGTACCTGGCTTTGCACCTGGACCAACCAAGGAGTCTGGGCCAGTAACATCAGCCAAAGAGGCTGAGATCTTGGTCTCAACCTTGGCCTGGGCCAACATTCTAGTGGTGGTCAACAATCTGGACTGTCTGACAGTGCGAGCAAGTGTGCGGGAGAGCCTGAATAGTTAGTATGAGTTGGTGATAGTGAAAGAATGCGTAGGGATGTTGGATATGGATAACAACGGAGAAATTGAGCGAAATTGGTTGGTGTTGGACATGAATAACAAGTTTTTCGCTAAAGCAACCGAATGCTAATGATGGAACGTTCTTAGGTGGGCCCATGAAGCGATTCTTCCCACTTAATAGCCGCTCCTCAGTATTGGGCTGCAGTCACCTATTAAAGACCATTAAGACGACAACGAACAGGGGGAAAAAGACCTTCAGTGAATAAGTAGGCTATAATGACTGATTGCTCTACTTTCCTAGGCGTCGACGATGGGAATTTGGACTTGGATGACATTGATATAGAGTGATATTCCGTAACAGGAATTCAACAACACTAATGGGGAACAATTGGATTGGACAAGACAGAAACGACAGGAATACGCTAGAACGCACACAAAGACAACGGATAAACATACATTTTGATGATAGAGTACCGATGAGATAGGTGAACAACAGTCAACTATATAACCCGATGGTATAAAAAAATCAGCTAACTGGTGAGAATCTGAGAGTGTTCATTGGCCAGGAGTATATCACGTGTACACAATCACGTGTGAACTAGAGATAGAAACTGGTTGTAAAAATCCAGAGCAAAAGATAAAATACGATCGAAAGTGAGGCCGATAGTGATTCGGAAAGGAAACTTTCGGATGTAACGGTTTATTATCATTCTTGGTGGTTGTTCTTGGTTGTGGACTGTGAGGCTGTTGAATGGGCCAATTCGCGTTGTGGTATATAGATAAGCGAGAGTGAGATTGGAGGGAAAGGTGAAGACAGGGAAAGGGAGGTGAAAGAGAATTTTAGCCTTCTAATGATGTGGATTCTTCAAATTAATACCAATTCAAGAAAGAGAAAAAAGAATTGAACAGAACACGAATGAAATGAAGACAATTGATGTAATTGGAGACATGATTATTAGGGACATCAACTCTTTGAACTGAGTACTGGAGTGAATATAATAACTAAACTGATAATGGCGTGGATATGGAGTGGACAAAGTGAACATCAAGTAAATGGAGATTGGTTCAAAGAAATGGATCAAAAAAACACAAAAAATAGAATTTGAAAGACAGATGTAATTTTCCCATAAATCATTAAAATTTGGTATGAGGCGATGATTGCTAGGTACTATATAATGAATTCTTGACCTTAACTAGTGGATGGACGTGTTCAATGGACATTTGGTGCATTGGTGCATTATCAATCCCAGGATCAAGTAGTCACTAACACATTTAAGTTGTTAACAGTCTCAATTATTACAACATTTCCATTGACATTAATCTGGGAATTCAAGAATCCAATTGTCAGTTCTTTTCTCAATTTTCTCATTGTCTGTCACTCAATAGTCTCACTATCTGTCAATCTCACTAGTCTCTCTCTACTATATAACCCTCATTAACTTCACCACACATATCAACACATAACACGCTCAATCACATCACTACCCTTCTCAAACACCAAAATCATATTCAAATACCCACATTTACTTTATCACGTCCTCCTATACTCATCCACTACGATCCACCTCACTCTAGGGCTAGAGCCCTCGTCACATGACCGTAGGAGCACATTACAGCTTGTCCCCTGTGCACACTCCGCACTCTCTCACCTCCCCAAATAAATTTTTTCATCGCTTCTCTTTACAATTCTTCTCTACAACAAACGGTATGTCCATTTTCGCCGCAAACTGTCCATATCCTCGGCTCCACACTAGAATCGTTCCACCTTCATCTTCGTTGTCAAACCTCCATCTCCATCCTCAAAAGTCCTCCAAAACCAGAATCTAGTTAACCAAGTGACAAGTTTCATCAAGTCGTCAAATAGTCAACCTTTACTAACCCGCCAGCAAATATGCCAAAGAAGAGAGCTTCCAACGGTAGAAACAAGAAGGGTAGAGGCCACGTCAAGCCAGTCAGATGTTTGAACTGTGCTAGATGTGTGCCAAAGGACAAGGCCATCAAGAGAGTCACCATCAGAAACATGGTCGAGGCTGCTGCTGTGAGAGACTTGTCTGAGGCCTCTGTGTACCCTGAGTATGCTTTGCCAAAGTTGTACAACAAGTTGCACTACTGTGTTTCTTGTGCCATCCACGCCAGAATTGTCAGAGTCAGATCCAGAGAGGACAGAAGAATCAGAACTCCTCCACAGAGAAAGAGATTCTCTCAGGACAGAAAGGTTTCTCCTCAGGACGCTGCCAAGAAGGCTGCTTAAGCTTGCAAATAGGCCGCGAGGCTGTAATATAAAAAATTATCAGTAAGGTAGAGTAGGGGTTCTGATTGTGAAGTGGAATTGTGTTGGTTGTATTCTACCATTGTCAGGGCTGTTTTGATATCAATTATTCTAATTCCAATTTATTTCAAACGTTTATTTCACTGTCTTTTCCCGTGAATTTCCACGTTTTTTCGTTATTTTTACGTTGTTCGACCTTTTTCATCTTTTCACCTTTTTCGTCCATTTCTCTTCATTTTCCCGATTCCGCTGTTCTGGCATGCACATAGTCATTCGACTCAGATTCATCCAAGCAACTTTGGCCATAGTTATTCATTAGGAATGGATAATAGCTTTCTACCAAGAAACATTTCAATTTTTTCTCACTCGGATCTGTACCCAATCACCTTTTGCCTCTCAATTTCCCCTGTTTATACCTTGATCTCTTCATTCTCAGTTTCCTCATTCCCTCACTCTCTCGCTCTTCTCACTCGCCCTATCCTCAAAATCCTCACTTAGCTCCACTTAATTACTAACTATAGGGTCCATTCAAACCCAAATACTCCTTAATTAAAAAACGCAAGCATCCTTTAATTCTTAGCGCCATCCACTAGGAATCTGTCATTTTTCCTTGTTTCCTTCCACCTTTCCCCCCACTATCCTTCTTCTATTCCCACTCTCCGGAACCTCTCTCCCCAAGTGGTGTACGGGTGTTCTCTCCAAGGTTTGCGAACGTCATTTTCGAACTTCACTCCCTATTCAATCTACCATCTCATCAGGAATTAACCCCTTCACCTCTAGTTTTTTGACCCATATTGAGTCTTTTGCCAATTGCCTCCAACGCCAATCAGCAGATCCGTACCTCCAGCCGCTAAGCAAAAGGCTAGCAAACCTCCACCACACACACTCGTCCTTTTACACCCCGTTCACCTATCCGTCCCGCCATGACGATGGATCACAACTGGAAATTCTCCCAATGTTTCGGAGATAAAGGCGACATTGAAAACATCACCGAGGCAGATATTATCAGCACGGTGGAATTCGACAACTCAGGCACGTTTTTGGCCACCGGCGATAAAGGTGGTAGGGTGGTTTTGTTTGAACGCAATACTTCCAAGAAAAACTCTTGTGAGTACAAGTTTTTCACCGAGTTCCAGAGTCATGATGCCGAATTTGACTACTTAAAGTCGTTAGAAGTGGAGGAAAAGATCAACAAGATCAAATGGTTGCGTTCGTCGAACAATTCCTTGTACCTCTTGTCCACCAACGACAAGACCATCAAGTTGTGGAAGATCATGGAAAGACAAGTGAAGCTCGTCAGTGAAAACAACCTAAATGGAAGCGACCACTTGCCTTCGTCGGGATTCTCCGTGTCCGACTTGAAGTTGCCCAAGATGACCTTCCATGATAAGTTGATTCTGGCCCAGCCCAAGAAGGTCTACCTGAATGCCCACGCCTACCACATCAACTCCATCTCGGTCAATTCCGACCAGGAGACGTACCTCTCGCTGGACGATTTGCGCATCAACTTGTGGAACTTGGACATTGCAGACGAGCTGTTCAATATTGTGGACATTAAGCCCACCAACATGGAGGAGTTGACCGAAGTTATCACCTCTGCGGAGTTTCACCCTTCGCACTGTAACTTGTTCATGTACTCACTGTCAAAGGGAACCATCAAGTTGCTGGACATGCGCTCCAACTCGTTGTGCGACACTCACGCCAAAGTGTTCGAAGAGTACTTGGACCCGGCGCTGCACAACTTCTTCACCGAAATCACCTCGTCAATCTCCGACGTGAAGTTCTCCCCCGATGGACGCTACATCGTCTCTAGAGATTATATGACCGTAAAGATCTGGGATTTGGCCATGGAGCTGAAGCCCATCAAAACAATCAATGTGCACGAGCACTTACGAGACCGCTTGTGTGACACCTATGAGAACGACGCCATTTTTGACAAGTTCGAGGTTCAATTCAGTGGTGACAACCGTTCGGTGATGACCGGCTCCTACAACAATAACTTCATGATCTACCCCAATGCGGTGTCGGGCTCTCCCGCCAGAACGCTGGTTGCTGAACCCAAGGATATCCAGCTGTTCAGTTTCAAGTCGCTGCACAAGAAGAAGGTCTTGGACGACGATGACGATGAACTGGATGACGAGAACGACGTTGACTCGCCTCCAGTGCTGGGTAATTATCCTCAATCGCCTAACTCACAGCTTGACACCGATGACGACCAAGAGGAGATCATCTTGCAAGCAGACAAGTCTGCGTTTAAGCTGAAGAAGTTAGCACTGGGAGACCTGTCGAGCAGAAGACGTTTGATGAGTGGAGTCGGTCTGGGCGACCACAATGACTACATTGACTTCAAGAAGAGCATTTTGCATTTGTCGTGGCACCCACAGGAGAACTCTGTGGCTATTGCTGCCACCAACAACCTCTATATCTTCTCTACGTTGTAACGAATGGATGACGAGTGAACTATCATGATGGGCCACTTGGGGCACGCACTGAGTAACCCTCTACATCGACTACTCTTTTATATCAATACATAGTTAGAAACATGTCGTTTAGTGAATATTCAATGCATGACACCAGAGATTAGTTCTCCACGTGTCTGTTGACGTCAGAGTTCCAGAACAAGGTCTTGTCTCCATCGCCCCAGAAGAACTTCTTCAGTCTAATGTTCTGGTATTCGTACTGAGTGGGCCACTCCTCGTCGCTGAGGTGTCTCTGGTGCTCTCTGTGGTGGGCGTGGTCAAGCTCCACCTTAGTGATAGGGATGGCAGTCAATGCCACCACTGGGAAGGCAACAAAGAGAGTGATCTTCTTCCACAAAGCGGTAACACTCTGAGAGTGGTGGGCGGTCTCCTCCATCTTCTGCTTGAAGGCCTCACCAGCCTGCTTGTTGTACTTTCCCTTGAAAGCGTCCTCCTTGATGAGCTTGGACACGTGGCCGTGACCGTGGGAGTTGAATCTCTGGAACGAGCGCTGGGCAGTTCTTCTGAACATTTTTAATCGATGTAGTTTGAGGAGGAAGAATTGAGGAAGTAGATGGTGTGAGAATAGGTTAGCGCGGGTTTGATTGGTTGTAGATCACGTGATTACAGGAGACTACAAGAATGGCCCCATATTGGGGATGGGAGGAAGTTAAAGAGGTATGGGAAGGTTCAAATAGAGGTTGATGGGAAGGTATGTGGAATTGGGAAGCAATTGAATTTATTTTCGTAATTATATTCGAATTTTTAGTGGTGGGAATGTCATGGATGGGGTTTGGCTGAATTGAATGAGACAAAACGAATATAAACGAGATATGTAAGAGTGAAAAGAGGGAATGGGAGTGTGAATGTGAAGAAAAGGAAGGGAACATGGTAAAGAAGATAAAATATATGAAAATAGGAAGTATGATTTAGCAATTATTTGAGTAATTATTATCAAATTGATATGAGATTGCTATAAATGGGTATGGGTGTCGTAGAAGTATATCCTAGTCACACCTTGAGATTCCGAAGCAGCAGTAATGGAATTCCTAAAGCACATACTGAAATTCTGTAATACAAACTTAATCTCAATGGGATGCTTGATGAGATGCTTAATGTGGTGTTCAATTAGACAGCTTGCAGCTACAACCTTTACTTAGATGGAATTGACCGAATCTAATTCTAGCCGATTAAAGATGTGTGATCCATGTGGAGATAAATTGCATTTTTGAACCTAACTGAACAACGAAACAGCAGAAGTCTCATGCAAATTAATTAGAACATATACATTCGAGAGCCAACTGAATTATTATTTCGCGTATGTTGTTTCGCAGCCAAGCTTACGAGGTGGATCTCAAGACGTATATTTACAAAATACTTGCCACTTTCCCGTTTCATCTTTTATTAAATAGATGTGTTGAGTTATATTCTTACCTTTAGTATTCGCATATGCTTTATTTATACCTGCATTAATCTACTTAATAGGTGCAAAAATAACCAATTAATCTATACCCTATACGTTCTGAGCTGCTCACAAGTAACAAATCTAGTAAACCACCAAGAAGTCACTGGAAACAAGGTAAAAAAGAAGACTTGATGATATGCTGATACTGCGAAATGCTTAAACATCGACAGCAAACGAGCATATCCAAAGAATAGGTTTACAATTAAAAGTGCCCTTATCTCTATCACCACGCTCCTCTTGTAATTTCGTCAGTGTCATTATTTACATGATATCTCACATTGGCCCAAAATTCCATCTGGAATTGCGGCATATGAATTCACATCCTTCAAGTTCAACTTGCCGGCTTCAGTTCAGCAATTCTTGTCGCCAAACTTGCAACCTCTTTGTCGAAATCGTACTCGTCTTTGAAATGCTGGAAATTTGTCAAATCATGGCGCAATGCTTTGAATTCATGCTTAAGATGCCCATCCTGCGCAAATAGAAGATCCTTGGTAGATTGTCCATCAAGTAAGAGATTCATTTCCTGCTGGTGGAGACTAGTCAAATCTCTTGTGACAACATATTCAGTGAGAAGTGATGATTCTTTTGAAAGTAATGAAAGGTAATCTTTATCAGTAAAGGTGAATAACAACAACTTCTCTTGAATTTCAGCAGCCTCGCCGTTATCATTACCCATATCAAATTCTGGTCTTTCTTTAATACTCTTGATATACTCTCGAATCACCCTCAGGTTCTGCCACAACCTCAACCGAGGGGCAAAAGCATACGTGCGAAATTTCTGGCTGCTCATCGATTGGTTTCCATATTCGTTCCGGAGAATATCGACAAAATTGTGGGGAATGTATGCTGGTACTCCCTCCATGTACGTCAATTTGAGAGGAGTAATCTCGGGAAGCGACACGAAATGATTATTCCGGCAATTGAAGAGATGCAATAAAGTATTTCTCTCCACCTCCTTTTCGTCTGGCGAGTTCTGAGGCACAAATTTCGGATGCTTTGTGATGCCAGGCGGATTATTATAGTATTTAGGTCTTTCCAATTCCTTTGGTAGCAACTTGTCGTAACGTGGCGGAGCCATGGTGTTCGATATAGCAAGGCCTGTAACATCAATATAGAGCCCCAGATCAAGATCAATGAATCGTGCATCTATGAAGTTGAGACCATTCTCTGTTTGACGATGTGAGATCCACGTTCCACAATCAAGGAAATACCGTCCGTACCTCACCTCATTCTGAACATCGGGTCCGAAATCCACAACCACAGTCTGATTGAAATATTTGGCTAGTCTGTGGAGATCAACAACAGGCATTTGGACGTCGATATCTGCATCCCATGGAAAGACCATGCCGTTCCAGTACCATGACAAAAGCGATCCATGGGCAACCCATGTTGTCAAGTTGTTGGCACTAGTAAATCTGAGCCATGCCAGCAAAAGACCATGAAGGATAGGCAATTGTTTATCTGATGAATTGACGAGTTTTTTGAAGAATCTCCAGTCGTAGTGACCACCCAAGCTCCAATTTCTGGTAGTCTTGACCAACCTGGCCTCGTTGAAATATTTAGGTACTCTTTCCGTCGATATTGATGCCGAAAGACTCTTGAAATAATTTTTTTCATGTGGAGTCATATCGTAGTGATTGGAGAGCTCTTTGAATACTCTTTCCAGAGGGTCATAGAAATCCTCAGCTGAGAGGTCCCTGGTTGGAGAGAAGGCAGTCTGGACCTCGTTTTTGAGAAGCTCTACCATCTTCTTAACCTCTACTCCTATCAGAACGGAATCTTGGACCTGAGCGACTCCAGAAGCGATGGGTGTGTCCACCAACCTCACACGGCCCAATACATCTTGATTAACGGGCACATTGATTGACATAAACTTTTGAGACTCCGTTGGGATAAGAAACAACACCGAAAGTGGAGGAGGCATGAAGTCGTTGAGGAAAGAGGCACCACTCAATGCCATGTTCTTGCTGGAGGATCTTCCTGGATGATTATAGACATGAAATCCCGGCCGAAGCGGGTCACGAAGAATATGCTCGAGGTGCAGTTTAAACAGCTCGCTATTGGAAGGGTCTTTGGCCCTCTCTGCAATTTCCTCGTCGTTGATACAATAAGTGGCAGAATCCTTGATATCATTTGGCAGGGTCTTGCCAATTTCCGTAGTGGCCAACTGTGGACAACGATACCTGTCTTGGCCCGACGAAAGCGCATGCATGTAAATTTCTGAAAGATCCGTCCAATCGCCCCAATGGAAGTGATCGATCGCAAGCTTCTCCAGGTTTCCATCGGATTGTTGGAGTTTCTGATTGATATGACTGAGGAAGATTCCAAGAGTGAACCTGGGATCAAATGGCGCAAGATGAGGATTCTCACCCTCTCCCTTCAAGTATTTCGGGAGATTTACGGTATCTGTGACCCATTTGTTGGCCGGTTCCACGGCAAATTTGGACATTTTGATTTCGTCTGGATTGGACACCGCAACCAAGTTGTCGAGCAACTTGTCTGTCCACTTGTTGAAGGAGTACGAGTCCTTGGGTTTAAAAAGAAACCCCATTCTGGCGAAATCAAAGTTAAGCAGCTCGAGCTTTTTCAAGAGCAAACTGGAGTTTCGATCGGCACTATTTCGGAGAATGGAAAGTATCACAAGATAGAGGGCCACTATCACCACCAAGAGCGAAGCACATCTTGATCTGCGAAACCTCATTGGGCCAGAAAATCTGGAAGAAGAATAGGTGGTGGGAGGACACAAAAGTATACCCTTGTTTTACGAATGGGTGGAGAATCAATGGTTAGTTACCTGACGTTAACGAACCAGTTCTCATCGGAAACCTCATGAACCTGCGTTATCCGGACACGTATGCTGCAGGAAATGCGTGCCATAGTGCATGTTCCTGCTTTCTGTTACCCTTAACAAAGTTGGAAATGGTGAATAATGGGTCTATTTCAGGTGTTTTGATTACAGAAAACTCGCGCCTTGTAGAGGAGCGTTACGTTAGGTGGGGATGACAAACACAGAATTGCCAATGTGGGTATTTTTGTGTTCAAATAACATAGGAGAAAATATTCCCTCATGCATACGAGGTACGGTACAAGAATAGTAGGGAAATGGTCACAGCAGTGGGGTTGTCGAGGAACAACTTGTTGCACGAAAACGAAGTTTAATTGGCCTAGGTAGAAGATGACACTACATTCATCTCTTCAATAGATGCTCATAGCAACTACTTTTTAAGTGAAACTAGTTCGTCCAATCAATTTCGGCAACAGTGCATCCAAAAAGTCATGTTATCAAAATTGACATGAAATAGCGCCCCCGTTGTAACAATTGCAAGGCTTAGTTTGACAGGACAAAGGCGACAGGACAAGGCGAGATGAAAACTAAAAAGGACCAACGGATGTTTCAGTTAATCAAGCCCAAGCTCGCTTGCCTTTGAGTGATTTCGACAAAGATCTCTTTTCAAGCACGAAATATCGCATAAGACATATGGCATTCCATTTAGCGGAAGAAAAGATTATGTAACTCTCGAAATCAAAAATGCATCCAAGGAGATATCCCGTTAGCACGGGTGGAGCAACAATCCGCATCTCAAATAGGAAGGTGTCAAACTCTGTCGTATCTCCCGCAGTGTTCGTTTGCAGGTCAATTGTTACGGGTTCGGAGGTTTCGGCATTTGCGGGGTTGTTTCACGACTTCTACTTTTCTGATTCTGGTTGACGTTGCCCATTTCCGGGGTTCGCCGATGTCACTAATTATCTGATTTTTGTGCATGAGCAAACCTGGTGGGATATGCAATCACATGCTTGGCTATGCGCAGTTACGACGAGCACACGACCTAATTCCACTAAATGTTAAGCTTTGACGTTATTCACATAGCTCATAACAAGACCATGGAATGGGAAGTCTTGACAGTAAAAATGTAGCCAGAGACATCTACTCGAATGCAGTCTAGTAAAAACATGCATCACTACAGGTGGTCGACACATCAACATTTGGTCAACTACAGTCACTGACCCGCTGCATGGAAGATCCATACAGAGAATCAAGTAACTTGTCAGACAGCCACTCGCACCCACCCAAAACTAAGTCTCCCGAGAGAGCGTTTAGAAAAGGGTCAAGATCATCGCTCCTTTCGAGACCAGTGCACGAGGCAAAAGTACTAATGAAAGGCAAACAAATTGTAGATGACCAGACCGCAAAGGATCATGGACAAGCTAAATTGGTTCTCACTTTGAGGGCGCAAGGGTATCTTACTCATCAACCAAGTTGGATTCGATGGCTCTTTAGAAGAGTCAAAGTGGGACGTGAACTATAGAAATGATCCTATGAAGTACGTCGACAAAGAAAAAAAAAAAAACTTGTTACGGTTCGGGGATGATCCTTCTTATATACTCCGATGCGATATCCGGGTAACCCTCTTTAATACCTATGCACAAGTAGGTTTTGATCAGGGAAAGGAGGAAGAAACAGAATGAAACGTAAAAAAAAAAAAAAAAAAGCAAAAATAGAACAGAAAAGCAAAGAAAAGAAAAGAAAAGAAAAGTGGTGTTATTCTTTCGATTATCAAGAGGCAAAAATGACTTAAAAAGAATATAGAAGGGATATTTAGATCTAAACCGTATCGTCATTGATGTACTATGATAGCATCCCGAAGAACATCCAACCCGAATAACCTTAGCATGTCCAAATATGAACATTGGAAACGTGCATCTAAATTCTTGAGCTTGATTTCCTTAACACGACCGAATTTCGTAAGAACTGTAACTGGTGAATGCGGTCCAACCTCACCAGCTTCAACCCAATTTAGTAAGGTCGCCATTGGTACGGCCCCCGGAAGAACATTTGGGAGCAGGGGAGTTGGAAGTTTATACCGATCTATAAGTGTATTGCTGTGAGTTACAGCATCTTTGTAGATCTCGCTATTTCCGTACATTTGTTGGGTCACATTAACAACTGGAAAGTCCCATCTGATTGGATCTCTTTCAAGTTTGAGTTCTGGCTCCTTAATAGCACTTATTGAATCTTTGGGAGCAGCAGTAAAGAAACGACCGTCAGCCATGAAATCTTTCACGCTGGCGAGAGGAATAAACGCCTCGTTGCACACATCCAAAATCTCTCCTCCAAAATTTCCCTTGTACTTCATCTTGATGCAATCCTCTATGTAGTAGCCAAGGTAGTAGTCACCAAGACCAAGCTCATTGCACATCAAGATCTCCCTTAGTCCCAGAAGCGTTCCCAAAGAAAGATGTGCGTAGTCAGGATCCCAGATGAAATAGACAGACGAAAGGCCACAGGGGAGAAAGTCGAGAACTGAAATAGCGATAAGTTTCCCGTCCAAATAATAGCACTCGTGCGTTGGCCCCACCCTTCCGTGCTTCTTTCGTTCGCTCGGTTGTAGATGGATCCAGTTATTAAGAACTCTCCATTGTTCTGGAGTACCTTCAATTTCTTCGTCCAGAAACGGTGTGTCGCATAAGAAAGATTTGAATTGGCCCTCAGAAACCTCGTCCGGATCGTCGTTGTGAACTTTCACCTGGTACTTTTTGTATAGTTCAAACTTCTCTCTGGTGAATCCAGACAGTTCGAATCTGGTGTAAAATTTACCACCACAATTAGCTTCGATTTCGATTAGATCTCTCAACTTTAAACCCACATGACCCTTGGAAGTGTCCGTAGTGATACCGTTTAATTCCCGATTAAACCTGTTAAGAATTTTGCGGTGACTCTTGGTAAACTTGAGATAGTCGATATTAGTACGTATAGTGTACATGCGGCAACATCCGCGAAGCATATCCCCTTTGTATAGGAACCGTCCCAGTCTTCTAAATCCTCGATTGACAAATTTGCTGTAATCATAGGTGCCCATCTGGTGGGCAAATGTACCTATAGTTATATGTGTGCATGATTTTGGGGGATTGGCTTCTTGAGGAAGTGTAGGAATCCCTAGGTAATTTTCTTTCTGATCATGACAGTATCCACAGTCCCCAGATTCAATGTAGTGAGGCGTAGATAGCAACAATACCGTCGACATTATTGACTTCGTATCAGCAAGTTGAATTTAATCAAGAATGCTGTAATGTGGGGTGTGCAGGTAGAGTCGGAGCCCATAAAACAAAGGACGAGAAGAATAGTAAAAAAAACAACCATTCAAAGATTATTATCAATTAAAACCGCTCAATTGGTACAAAATAAAACATTTAATTTGAAAATTTCTCTTAAATTGCCAACCAAAACAGAAATAAATCAAGGATGTAGAAGCCAGAATCTCACACCTGTACACCGCGGAATCCCATCAAGTGCTAAACTCTCCGAAACCTATTTTCAAGACTTCAGGGTCTTTACATCGAATTGCACTTCCAACCTCAAATTGCCACGATGAGTACTAAAAGCCCTCTCAAAAAAATCATCAAGGAGACGACAACTGGAGTTCCAAGTGGAAATTCCCCCGCGGGGCTGGGAGCAAATCTGCAACAGAACCAACCTAAGCAAGAAGAAGATGATGGCGTGTCTCTCCTCTCGGATCCAGAAGACTACTTGGACGAAAATGAATCGCTTGACATGAATTTGGCACGCGGAAACCAGAAGGTGTGGTTCGTCAAGTTGCCTCGGTATTTGGCAGAGAAGTGGACTAACCCAGATAACTTAAATGGCCAACAACTTGGCCAGGTCAAGATCAGACAGAACACAGGGGGCAACGGCAAGAGGAAGTTGGAAGTCAAACTTGTATTGAACGATACACCGGACTCAGAAACGATTCCTCACGAATATGACCTATCGATTCTCAACACCCAGGTGCATAACTCGTATGTATTCAGCGAAGAGAACTTGAAGAGGTTCAAGCAGGAGGTCACAGAGATCGCAGACATGCCCGATGCACCGGAGCTCCCCGATCTTAACCAGGATGAGTCCCTCGACAGGCGGCCCAATAAGTTCTTCCGTGTGCAAAAGAACGGAGAGGAAGAGAAGGTGATTCCGTTTGTTAAAACCATCCCCAAGAAGACCAATCTCGTTGGAAAGATCGTGCATGACTGCCAAATAGTTCCTCTGAAGTCAGACCGTAGATATGCACAGATGTTGGCCAAAAGACAGAACATGCCACTCACCAAGGCTAGACCAAAGGTTACATTTCTCAATGAGATTCCCGGAGTGGTGCAATCGCAAGCAGGACCATCGATCACAGGAAGGAGCACGTCGTTGTTTCTCAAGTCGTCCAATGCTGCCAAGAACAAGGCCGATGGCCGTGCCATTAGAATGCCCAAGAAAGATCTCTTGGATTTGCTTTTCCGTCTTTTTGAGGAGTACGAGTATTGGTCCATGAAAGGCTTGAAGGAGCGCACAAGACAACCAGAGACGTACTTGAAGGAGTCGTTGGAGCTGATTGCCAATCTCATAAAGAAGGGCCCTTATACATCCAAGTACAATCTTAAACCAGAGTATAAGAGATTGAGAGATGCCGAGAGGGCAGCACGACTTGGTCAAGCTGCAGGTGAAGATAACGACAACGATAAGGATGAAGATGATGACATTGAGATGGAGGATATCATCTAGAGGTAATGAATAAATAGAAAATTAAAATACGAATCATTTAGGCCAGATAACTAAATTTTAACTGAGGGACAAGTTTCCCAGTAGCGACTTGGTATGGACGTAGGCTTAGGTTATCAAATAGACGAAGTAGCGTGTTCTTCTATGATAATAATTATTCACAACATGAACTCAATACAATGCTCTCCAGAAGTTCGTATATTAAGGGATGTGTAACTTACAAGGTCTTGATTTCCAAAGAAGGAGGCAAGGACTGCTGCAACTTCTTGGCCTTGGAGACGTCGTTGACAACCAAGGTGTACTGGTATCTGGAACCTCTGACCTTGAACTTGGTCTGCTTGAATGGCTTACCGTTAGCGTTGATCTTCTTGTTGACCTTGACAACGGCAGACTTGATGTCAGCTCTTCTAGCCAATTCGACGAATTCCTTGATGTCCTTGATTTCTTTCTGTGGGTGTTAGTACATGAATTGTTTGCAAATATGAAGATATGGAGATTCTTGGACATTTGGACTATGACATAGATATCACGGATTTAGACTGTAATATGACAAGAATTTTTTCTCGAAATAAACATGGTTTCATTCGCATATCCATAACAATGTGCCTGGTGGTGTTTCCCCTCTATTTTTTGTACATACAGCCATCTTGTTCAGTAGTATCGATACTCTAAAAGAATAGATGCGATGAAAGTTCTTCACTGGGGGAATTTTTTTCGCGAGAAACATCCGTGCACCAATACGTCCCTGTAAATAGGGCATGTGCCCTATGTGGTATCACGTGATGTGTGTAGCTTATGAGAAGACTCCCACCAACTAATCAACCGTTTGATGGCAATAATCCATCGCCGGGTGTGTTCGTTCTGCATGATATTGGCTAATGTTTCCTTATTGTCTCCAGTGATTTTTTGGTCCGCACTACGGGCATGTATACCCACATCTCGCACACCAATTGGCCATGCGACATTGCCTATGGAGAGTTTCATGTAGCTTTCATTAGCTTTTGTGAATTGCTCCATCTGGATGTCGTGAACTATTGTAGAAAGAGTGATCACCATATTGGGCTGGAGTTTGCCGCTTCGGAGTTTGTATAAGAGCTTGACCAAGTCTTTCTTGGATTCCTGTAGTACAGACTGAGGAAACTGGTCACTGATATTGCTTTGCCAGCCATTTAGAGACACTTTTAGAAACTTTCGGATCTGTAAACATAGGCGTCTGTACACTTTTGGATCGGAGATACGTGCTGCATCGGCAGGGTCAATTGAGTCTGGGACCACATTCTCTTCGTTTAGAAACTCCAGATATTGCGCCTCTTTCCGCTCTTGTTTGACCAAAATCTCGAGAGTTTGGAGCTTTTCTACTTTCAGAGTGTTGTCATCAAACTCTTTGTCGAGTGTTTGAAGAGATTGCTGCAACTTTTCATCATTTATTTCCAGTAAAGCGTCGGTATCTGTTTCCTGTGGCTGTGGTGGGGCATCAGGAACCGCAGAAGTCTCTGTGATAGACTTTTGACGCTTCAGCAGCTTCTTCGTCTTAGCTTTCTTCCGTTTCCGGTCGATTTCCTTGGATAAAAGACCGCCAAAATCCATAAGATGCTTATCTTAGGCGAAATCTGTTCGATGATGCGATATCTGGGGTAAACACCAGTACACCGGAATAAATTGATTTCTGATGCCATCTTCCAAGGGACAAGAACAGACTTAATTTTAATAATCTTAGATACCGCCTTGAGTATCCTTCAATATGTGTCACTTCTGTTTTTTTTTTTTGAATTGCAATTGTCTGCTGGTGTCAACTTTCACATGCATGGACTCATTACATGTTGGACGAGCCGAACCCCTCGGTCGGATGGGTTATCTTTCCATCACAAAGTCTAATTGCTGTCATCTTCGACATAATCCTACTCTACCTCCATTTAAATAGAACGGAACTCAATTCCCTCCGCAAGGGTAAATCTCAAGGTCTATAATTTCATTGATACTTTCAGGTATATATTGCAACCAACATTCCCAAATTCCCAAAATTCCTACCAAGACTTATCCAGAATCATTTCATAACATTTTGCTTTAAGTTTATTTCCTATTCGGTTCTTCTCTTCTATCATTGGACGACTTTATGTCATTTCCCCAGATGTTTCATTTGAACACCCGTACACCATGGGGTTTCTCGCCTACCACAGTCCCTTAAAACCTTAAAACCATCATAATTGCTTACAACTCCCAGGCTCTTTTCACCTAATCTAATTCGCTTTTTTCCTCCTTGCTCTAGAACGTGATCTGGACTCTGACCATTAAATCATGGCCGACTCCAAACCTGATCCCGTGACTAAGCACGATGAAACTCCCCAAACTAGTGGTACATCTACTCAAGGTGACCTACGGGCACAATTCTCGCAGGAAGTAGTCCCTAGTGCTGTGAATAAGAAGGTTTTGCCCCAAACATCACCACTCCTCTCGTCAACGCCACCCACCGTGGCCAAGGCGTTGATTAAGGCATATCCTTACTTGCTCATTGTCAATAAATGGTTGCTGATTGCTACTTGGACCAACGACGACTACTGGATCAACGTGGTGATCATGTGCGTATACTCATTTGCTGTTCTCTACTTCGAGATCTTGGTGACGTGGCTGGGCCACTTGATCATGGCCCTGGTTGTCATTTTGTATGCGGTGCTCAACCTGAGAATTGTTGAAGAAACAAACTTGCGTCCAACCTTGGACGACGTGGTACAGGCATTGACTGCTACATGCATCAAGGCCGACCTCTTGTTGAGTCCAGTCACTTCGTTGGCACTCACGGCCTACGACATCAAACGTCTCTTGTTCACAACGGTGTTCCTCACTCCCATCTACTTGATCTTGACCTTTTTGTTGATCACACCCCGCAAGATCCTCTTATTCACAGGCTTGTACCTTCTACTGTACCACCTGACATATCTGCGGGTTACACGTAAGCTTGTGTGGAAGTTGAAGATCACCCGGGTGTTTTTCTTCTACTTGACTGGACTCGACTTCTCGCAGGCAAGAAACAACTCGCTTTTTGCTGCTGCATTTGCAAAGGTCCAGAAATCCGGATCGTCACCCGTGGTAGCAGGTGCAGACTTGCTGAAACCAGTCCGTTTTACTTACGTGATCTATGAAAACCAGCGTCGCTGGCTCGGCATTGGCTGGACTTCCAATTTGCTCACCTACGAGCGTGCACCATGGACAGATGAGTTTCTCAACGAGTCGTCTTCCATTGACTCCTTCGAGTTGCCCAACGCAGACTCGTCATTTTCTCAGCTGCATCAACAGTACGTACAGCAACACCCTTCTATCAGTGGTGCGAGATGGAGATGGGTCGATAAGACGTGGAGATTGGATTTGACCAATGACGGTGCCATAACCCTTCCTAGTGGAAAACGCTCGAAGACCACTGCTAATCCAACATCTGACGAGGGCTACCTCTATAGTGACAATGTGTGGAAAAAGCCTACCACTGACGATTCGTACTCCAAGTACACACGTAGAAGGAGATGGATCAGAACTGCCGAGCTTGTTTACGACTCCTCCACTCCTAATGTGGGCGAATCCAAGCCATACACTCTGTCTTTGGCTGATTCTTCGACTCAGGAAACCGTGAAGAAGAGAAAGAGCTTGAGGTTTGCCGAGGATGATACAACAGAAGCTCCTACTCCAGTCGAAGAAGTAGAAGCTGCTGAACCTGTTGAAACCCAGGCAACCGATTAACTATGACCTTGGCATTCATACATAATATATATTACATGGCCGAAACCATGGATGTTCCGTCCTGAAATCTCGTCCGGAATACCCTGTTGGCATTCGTAAACATACCCTCTTTCAACGATACCACAATAAATTGTGATCCCTTGAACCGAGTCTTTATCAAGTGGCCAATGTTCTGCGTGTGTGACAAGTCCAAAGCGGCATCAACTTCATCCAAAATGTACATTGGTGCTGGTTTGAACTGGAGCAAAGCCATAATCAACGACAACGCAATTAACGAACGCTGACCTCCTGACAATTCCACCAAACTCTCCTTCCACACGGGCCCAAGTTTCACCTTGACTTCCAAACCCTTAGTAACATCCATGAGGTTCAAAGGAACCAACTTTGCGAACGAGCCGGGAAGGAGGTCAGCAAAAATGTTACCGAAATCATCCGAGACTTTTTGGTAAGTGGTGTTCAAGGTGTCTCTCTTATAGCCATTTAACTTGTCAACTGTATTCTCGATTTTTGATTTATCCTTTTCGATAGTACGCATCATGTGTTTCAAAGCCGCTTCTTTCTTCTCCACGTTGTCAATCATGCTCATGATGTTGGGATTGACTTTCCGCTTCATATTCTGGAATCTCTCTCCCAAAATGGAAGCCTGGCTCTCGTATTCTTCAATGTTTATATCAGGATACTGACTGAGAATACTGCTTGTGATATTTTCATCAGTTAGCCATTCATTTTCATTGATCAACTCGTCAAGTTTCGTTCTCAAGGACTTCGTAATTCCATTCGCTTTCTCCAAGTCGTGGTTTAACTTCTGGATTGAGAGCTTGGCTTGATTTTGCTCTTCCGACTTTGACGACAAAAGATTGGTCAATTCATTGATTTCCTCGTTGAAACCCATCATTTTTGCCCTCTCATCATCCAATTCGGCCCTCACTCTCAACAACTCGCCATGTAGTTCCCCGATCTTCAACTCTGAAGATTTGATTGATTGTTGGAAATCAGATAATCCACTTTCTGTCGAACCAATCGATTCATTTAAAGCGGCAATTTCAGTCTTTTGTTGGTCCATTTCAATCTGAATACCCTGATACTGTTCGTCGTGCTTTCTTACGGCAGTCTCTTGCTTGGATAATACCAACTTGAGACTCTTCAATTCTTTCTCAAGCTCCTTAAGTTTTGATCCCTTGTCTTGAGAGAATTCCTTTATATCCTTCTCAATAGAGTCGATGTTTGTTTCAAGTTCTGAGCATTTTCTAGTTTCAGTCTCAATCTGCTCATTGAGACTTTCTATTTCTTTCTGATTTCTCTCGTTCTCACGAATGATCATAGACGCTGGATTGTTATCCAATTTCCGTTGCAATAAGGATAACTCGTGCCTGCTTAGATTGAGCTCATTCTGCAAGGATTTTGTTTGTTGGCCCAATTGTTCAAGTCGGTTAAGCTCATGGTGTATTGACTGAAGCTTTGGCTCAAGCTGCTTTACCTTCGACGATATAGAGTTGAATTTTTGCATGGTCAAAAGAATAGAGTTTGTATTTCTCCGCGAGCCTCCGGAAAGATTTCCTTCAGGATCATATACATCTCCGTCTAAAGTGATTGAGCGTGCTCTGATTTTTGGGTCAAACGTGATTGCCTTTGCTGTGTTGGGGTCTACACAGATGAAAGTCGAACCGAAAATATAAGTCATAGCTTTCACCAATTGATCTTCAAAATTAAGAAGATCCAAGGCCAATTCCACCCTGCCGGGGCACTTTTCTTGGGCATATGATACCACACTAGAAGGCACCGAACGGGCAGAAATCTTATCGAGTGGAATGATCGTCACACGTCTCTTTAATTGACCTTTTTCCAACAATGCCGAAGCAGTGTTGGCATCATCGACCACAACATTATACAACCTGCCACCAGCACAAACCTGAAGTGCCAATGCCTTGTCTGAATGTTGGTCCTTAAGACCTAATAACTGCACAACCACTCCTTTCACTGCTGAGTCGTTGAAGTCTGGATATGGTCTCGTGTAGTTGAAGTCGATATTGCCTGCTTCGCGCTTTATGTGGTTGAGTTCATTGTGATACTGCTCAATTTGTTTCCTTATCATACTTTCCTGGTCCCTTAAATCTCCGTACGTTTTTGGATCAAATCCAAATTCACGGAACTTGGACTCCTTGATTGCGATTTCATTCTTATAGTCCTCCATATCCTTCAATAAGCTCTTATTTTCCTCCTTTGCCTGATTGAGGCGAGCAGTATCGTCTCGAATTTTGTCTGTCAAATGGTTCACTTTTAACGTAGACTGTTTGATCAATGTTCGGCTCTTGCTTAGATCCTCTTTGGCCCTTTTTAATTGTGCCATGTAGCCACCACTAGTACCACCCTGTGCGGAAACACCGGTGGAGAGAGTGGAAAGAAGCTCTTCTTTGGTGTTATATGCCTCTTTAAGCTCGGCAAGTCGAGCTTTACTGTCAGTGTGCTCCTTCTCAGCACGAGAATAGTATTCCAGATTGTTGGCCACCAGTGCTTCCAACTGTGCGAGCTGCTCCTTGAGAGAGGCGAGTTTTGAAGTTTCCTCCTTGAGATTGTCTAATGTCAAGTCTCTGGAGGTTGTTCTACGAGTAATTTCGTCCAGAAGCTCCGATTCTAACTTCTCGAGAGACTCCACGCGACCTCCCTTGACAAGTTCGCTCTCTTTCTGCTTTTTGACTTGTTCTAGGTCCGCAGTTAAGTTTGCAATTTCGTTGGTCAAGCGCTCGGTCTGAGCATTCAAGTTGGTCATTATGGATTCGTGTTCTGAGCGAATTGTTGAGTACCGATCGAACTTCTGGGAGTATGTGACGTAGTTATGGCTTGCAATAACACGCGAGAGCTTCTCCAAGTCTGTTTGAACGGTCTGGAATTCCAAAAATGTACGCTTCTCCGAGCGAAGTCGCTCCAATTTGGGTTCGATTTCCTCGTGAAGTAAATTGCGGATTTCCACCAACTTGGCCTCCTTTTTAGCCATGGTCTTCTGTGCCTTATCCTTACGGTCTTCGAATGTCCTCGTTCCCGCAGCCTCCTCGATGAGCGCCAAGATCTCTGCTGGCTTCATATTCAAGACCTTGGTGATCTTACCTTGCATGATCAAGAAGTTGGGGTTGTTGATGTTGAGTTGCACGGACTGAAACAAATTAAGCACTGTCTGCTGCTGTGCCTTGTGGCCGTTGACCAAATATTTGGAGGTTCCTCCTAAGATGATCTGACGAGTCACACTGATCTTGGGCAGGTTTTCAAAGCCAATTGGCGACTTGTCCTTCTGAGAATTGTCGAAAACAATGGTGACACTGGCCTTGGTAACACCGGCCTGTCCACGTTTATAGATCAAGTCTTGCAAGTTGGCAGCACGCACTGTGGACATGGAGGCGATGCCTAGTACGAAACATATGGCATCGAGAATATTCGATTTCCCAGATCCATTAAGCCCTGTGATTGCATTGAACTGTTGATCCCATCCGCCAATGACCGTACGAGAGGCGTACGACTTGAAGCCGTCGATGATGAGCTCTTCGACTTTCATGGTGTGGTGGAAGTAAACAAACACGAGGTGTAGGAACGTGATGAGAAAACCCATGGGGAAGGAAATATGGAAATTCGGAGAATGAGAGGAAGCGAAGGATTTGGAGATAGAAACCGATAAGAGATTTGGGGATAGAGCTAGAAAAATTTGGAAATTTGGACTACAAGATTAAATACGTAATTTTTGATACGATATGGATGTGATAGTAAGTGTCCTTAATGAGTAATAATACAGAACTGATAGTTGAGAGGGAAACTTACAGGAGGGATGAGATTCAATTGTCGATGGAAAATGGTAGATGAATGATAATGTGAATAATTTTGAAGTTATGAAAATAAATAAAGAAAAGTAGATGTTTATCATTGTATTTATTTATAGTATCACAGGTTTTGTTTATTGTTCTTTTTTCTAATTCCCATCACTTTATGTCAATATACAAGTTTGACAGGATACATCATTAATTGGGAAAAAATCGAAAAACCACTCCAAAATTCACCAAGTCACGAAATCAAAGAAAAATTATTAGCGTCAGTTGTATAATTGCTTTGTTTTTATTATTTATCGACATCGACTATTTTCTTTTCGGTGATTGTGACTTTCCGATCGTCTGTCGAATTCTCAAAGCATTCTCACTAACAGGATCTACTCAACATTTTATCATTTGAGCAATCAAGCAAAACTCATTATTCAAAGTTCAAAGCTAAAGCACCTAAGTTAGATATAATTTAACTGGATCAGGAAAAGTCTCACTATAGAAATCCGCAAAGAATCGAATAGTGTCTAATGTACAAAATCTTCCCCTTTCCAGATCTGCCATCAGATCTTCAACTCTTCTCATGGCTTTCTTGCAGATTCCTCTCAATTTTTATCTGAAATCCACCTCCAATTGACCATATTCAATTCTGATTTCTCTTTCTATTAACCAATCTAACTATTCAGATCTACATCCGTCGTGAAGGTGCCGAACTACGGCCTCTAAGCCCCTATACCTATCTTCGTGCATTCACTTCAACAATGTAGCTGATCAACAAGTTAGAGCCCACACCATGCACTAAAAGTGTCTATAAACCATCAAAATCAAAAAAAAGAACATCAACTTAACATCAACTGAACCCATATAATTACAAAACAAGCCCTTATCTCCAAATTCCATGGCCCTTGATTCCTGATGGGTGCCTTCCTTCATACAAACCCAACTCATTCATTTTTTATCTTCACTACCGTCGTGACAAACACATTCTCCATCACCGTACCCGAATAGACACCCCCATCCCCAAAAAGGCCCATCATTAACATCATGGCACAGATCATTCTGATGACGCCCTACGACTACGGCGACAAGGGATCACCCTCGGACATACCCTCTAACTGGAAGACTACCTTCCGGCGAATAGACGTGTCCGGGACGTTTGTCAAGCACAAGATCAAGATCGCTGTTGTTTCCGCTGTTTTGTTACTTCTAACCTTCTTGGAACTCATTATAGTTTCGAAAAGTTCACTTTACGTGCCCAACTTTTCCAACACACCCTCAGTTCACTACTTTGACTTGAAGAACTACGACGGAGCCCCCGATGGCTGGCAAAAAGAGGACAGAGTATTGTTCTGTGTGCCTCTCAGAGACGCTGCAGCCCACTTACCCATGTTTTTTGGTCACATGAAGAACTTGACATACCCACATCGTCTCATCGACTTGGCCTTTTTGGTCAGTGACCTGAGCGACGACACTATGGGCGAGTTGAAGCGCCACTTGCGCGAGATCCAGACCCACCCCAACGAAGAAATGCACTTTGGCGAGATCGAGATCTTCGAGAAAGACTTCGGCCAAATCATTGGCCAATCTTTCAGTGACAGACATGGCTTTGCTGCCCAGGGCCCTAGACGGAAATTGATGGCCAGAGCAAGAAACTGGCTCTGGACCGTGGCCTTGAAGCCCTACCACCTGTATGTGTACTGGAGAGATGCCGACGTAGAGACGGTTCCACCTACCATTTTGGAGGACTTAATGCACCACGACAAGGACGTAATTGTGCCCAACGTGTGGAGACCGTTACCAGACTGGCTAGGAAACCAGCAGCCTTACGACTTGAACTCGTGGCAGGAGTCTGATGGTGGCTTGCAGTTGGCACAGACCCTCGGCGAGGATGCATGCATTGTTGAAGGTTATGTTGAGTACCAGACGTGGAGACCTCATTTGGCCTACCTTAGAGATCCGTATGGAGACCCGGAGGTTGAGATGGACTTGGACGGAATTGGAGGAGTGTCTATTTTGACTAAAGCTAAGGTGTTCCGAACTGGGTCTCATTTCCCTGCGTTTTCATTCGAAAAACACGCTGAGACTGAGGCTTTTGGCAAGATGAGCAAGCGCATGGGATACTCGGTGGTGGGATTGCCACACTACGTGATTTGGCACATCTACGAGCCATCTCTGGATGACTTGAAGCACATGGAGTGGATGGCATTAGAGGAGGTACGGAAGAAGGAGCAGGATAAGATCATGGCTGTGTATGATAAGGTCTGGGACAAGGGCTTTGCAGACCGTCTGCTGGTTTGGGAGAAGGAGAGAAATTTCATCTTAAAGAATACGGACACAAACAGAAACATTTTCGTGGATTGGTCTGGTCAGGACGAATTGTACATCGAAGAAGATGAAAAGAAGCTTGCAGATTTCCAGCCATGAGCACAATTGGATTCCGGCTTTTTGAAGCAGTATTATCACTGAGAGTCCTGAAGTGTGATTCTCAATCCCATACTTTTCTAAAGGTGCGATTTCCACACTTGTTCCTAAAATATCTATCCAAACTCCACCTTCTCCACCAAAGAGCCGACCTACTGATGCTAGTCGTCTCACAACCTCCATAATTCGCCATGTCAAAATTAATGGCTTACTTCGCCGGAGTTTCTCCCTTCCACTCGTTTACAAATCCCCGTTTGCTCTGCGGTGTACCTTCTGTTTTTTATTTGAGCTCATAGGTGAGGCTTTACGAACAATGCCCCCAGAGGAAATCTAACAAGGGCGCGCGTTCGCAATGGCCAATCGGTCCATGCATACTCACACCAAACTGGTGACATCAATCTACACTTTTTCACAATGACAACTTCACCCCATAAGTAATCAAAGACCCTGTCAATGAAGGTTTTCTCGAGTATTTTCGAGCCAAATCCCCCGAGATGAGGCCCGTATATATCAATTTAAACTACATCACTGTCAATTTCAACTTTACCATCTTTTCATTTAAATTCCACTCCACATACAACTTCTCCTTCGGTAGCCCTATTGTCCTGTCAGTCGCACTCTAAATCTCAACTCTTTCCTCATTCGTAAAAAATGTCGCAGCTATATACAAGACGTTTCGCGCAGCCCCAAAGAAAACCTTCTACTATTCAAGTTTCATAATAGAATCCATTCCCATTCTTGACAAAAATTCGCACCCGTTGCTACCTAACGGGCGTCCCTGCCGCTAATCATTATTTCCCCTAGTACTGCACGTACTTCCACGTCCCCAATTTCTCTAATAGGAATCACTTCACTAACTCCAACACGTCACTTATCTTCTTCTACAACTTGGTCCCCTTTGCAGGCACCCCGCTCCAATTTCCTCTCCTCCATCGCTTTCCTACCAACTCCTCTAAATAACTGGCCCACTATGGCCGCCGTCACAAGAGTTTGCAAGAAGTGCAACAACACAATTTTAGAGGCTCATGCTTACGAGCTTGGAGACGACCGCTGGCATACCAACTGCTTCAAATGTCTGGAGTGCGACCTGCTGCTTGGATGCAACTCCAACTTTTTAGTTTTGGGGGATGGCAACTTGATCTGCTCTAATTGCACCTACAATTGCAAGCAATGTGGAAAGAAAATCGACGACTTGGCCATTTTGACGGGTGACCAGGCATACTGTTCCAACTGCTTCAAATGCCGCGTTTGCAAGCTGAAGATCGAAGACTTGCGTTACGCTAGAACACTGAAGGGTTTGTTTTGTATGTCATGCCACGAGAAGCTCGTAGCCAAAAAGAAGAAGTTCGACATGAAACGCCGTCAGATGGCCCAACTTGAACTGCTGCTGCGACCCACCCCGGACCCCGATTTCAAGGGCCAAAATGGACATAATGGCAATGTATCTGCCAACACATCTGCCGTCAATACCAGTGGTATCAGCACTAGCACTGCCAGCCCCGGCTTTAATGGCTCAGCTCTGAGCCCCATGGCCTCTGTCTCGCTGCTTCCTTCGGATATGTACCTGGTGACCAACATTAGTCTGGCCTCATTGTTGAACAAGCAATTGCCTCCACAGCCTGTTTCTCTGGGCATGGTACAAGTTGCCAGCATGGATACGCCTATCATCGGCTCCAACGCGTCAATCTTATCGAGCCATCTGACCTCCAAAGCATCTGTCTTCGACGAAGGTTACTTATCTCCACTGACGCCGGCACAGAACACAGTGCCAGGAGCATTCCCTTCGTCGGCACAGGCTTCAGCCTACTCGGTTCCTTCTATACATACCGCCCACTCAACTCAGTCTGTCACTCCTTCTATGCTGTCCTCCACACATGACTCCACGACAAACGCATCCGCGGCAGACATTGAGGAGGTGAACGACTCTGATGACGAACTCAATCTCCGTCGCATGCGCGAGAAGTTGGAACGTCGTTTTGACCGCGTTGCCAACAAGGACCCCAAAGACTCGAAAGACTCCAAGGACGATGGTGCCATATTGGATCTCATTGATTCATTTAGTGGACCTAACACCCCGAATACAATCTACACGGCTACTGATCCAGTGGACTCGTCTCTGGCTTTTTCGGTGAGAGTGGATTCAGAGCCTGCCAAGAAGCCAATTTCACTCAAGGAGTCCGAGTCCGACAAAACTAAGCTCAATGCTACCTCCTCCCTTGATCCAGGCTCGCCTCAAAAGAATATCCTCCTTTTATCCCCCAACCAATTCCATGATCGAGAATTCCACAAGGCCAATTCTGTTGCGTCTGAGATTCATTCACAATCCCTTTCTGCTGAAGATGTCAACCGTCCACGTTCCGCGGCTTCCTCTCCAATGGCCAAGGCCAATCGCCAGGCCAGAGTTATGGAGATGAATGACGAGATCCCCACTAGTGAGATTTCAACAGACAGTATTGCAGAGACAAATCCTTCGTTCAAAACTTACACAGAAACCTCTGCTTCATTAGAGAATGGTGCCTCGAACACATTTTCACAAGCTACTCCCAACGGAATTGCTCAGTCTCCATTGTATGATAAACAAGGGGACACCTTCCAACCACTCAGCACTCCCAAGAAGTCATCAGGTGTGGTTCATCAGATCTCGTCGCCTCCTCCACGTCTTGCCTTACCTGAGGTACCATCTACGCCGCAACTGAAGGTTTCACGCGACACTTTCGAACCAAAGGGTCTTGGTCTTGAAGGTGTGGAGCTTCTGCGTCCAAGTCGAAACATCCCATCGACCCCAGCTGTCACAAACTTGGAGGACACCATTGATGAGGATTTCCATGATGAAGATGCTCAAACTTTAGGTCGGAAACTGACAACCTCTAGAAGAAAGATTCTGTTAAAGCATAAGCGTTCCACGTCCGGAGGCCTGAGCTTCAGCGGGAAGTTTGGCTTTTTCAAGACCAAGGAGGATGACTCCAAGGGCCATGTGCGTCGTGTGCTGGATGGCTCAGTCCAAGGTCTGGCATTTACTACTCCACCATTGCCATTTAGCTCCCCGCTCCGTCAAGGTACTTTCCGCGATAATCATGCTAGATCCACCTCTGATACACAATTCATTACTCACCCTGATACTGAGGTCTATAAGAATGAGTTGGAATTGAGATCTTTGAGAACTGAAATTTACCAGCTTGAGAACCGCAGACAAAACTTGTTGGCAGATAATATGAAATACAGTTCTGACAAGAATAGGATCCAAGAAGCCATTAAAGCACTTCAAAAGAGACTCCAGTCGGATACACAAACTCACGAGGAGTTGTCACAGAAGCTCAAGGAATTGGACGGCACAAGGAAATCCCTCATTGAGGAGAATGAGCGCCTTGTTGAACAGAATGAGCGCCTCACCGAACAGAATAACCAGCTCAAACAACAGATATCCGCATCTCATTACAACAATGCTCGCGTTTCTAATGCTGCCAATAGGCCAGACAAGGATGTTCACCAGCGGACAGATTCTTGGGGCGACACCTTAGACACCGAGATTCTGGAGGAGAACATGGAAGCCCAGAAGGCCACCAGACTTAAATTCTGGCGTAGACCCAAAGCTACCTTGGCTCCTCACTTGGTTAATACACACGCAGTATCAAGTCCTCAGCTGCTGGCAGCCCACGGATATGGAGGAAATTCTAGTGCTGGAGCTAACGGATCTCAGAATTCTGGAGCCAATAAGTTGAGTCAATCGTACTCTTCCAATGCACTTCAAATCCCGAACGCACAAAATGATGAAGGTGGTACTCGAAAGGCTTTGAATTCCTTCATGAGCAAGTCCAGATCTACAACCATCTTGGACTCGTTTACTAATGGCTCATCCAACGGGCTGGACGTTCCCTTGTTCTCGTCTACCATCCAAAGAAGAGCGAATTTTGAGAATGAGAGAGTTCCGCTAATAGTTACAAAGTGCATTGAAGAAGTCGAAAAGCGTGGATTGGATATGGAAGGTATTTACAGGTTATCAGGAGGCAGCTCAGCTGTTACTGCTATCGAGAATGCATTTGCGTCGCTCTCTGGAAATCCATCGCAAGACAAGAAGCAGATGAATAAGTTGAACGAGGTGATGACAGGGGATATCAATGCAGTGACCAGCGCATTAAAGCGATATTTCAGAAAGCTACCAGATCCATTGATTCCATATGCGTTGTATGAGAACTTCATCAAAGTGGGCCAGAACACCAATTCTAGTGTTGCAGAAAGGTGTGACGAGCTCATCAACAGAGTGCTCATCCGGTTACCACCGGCAAACCGTCATGCCTTGTACTTACTTGGAAAGCACCTTGAGGGTGTCAACAAGTATAATAACGTGAACAGAATGAATTTCAAAAACCTCTCGGTGGTGTTTGCACCAACGCTTGCCCGAGATGCTTCCGGAGACCGTGAGATGACTGACATGGGAGCACGTAATGAGGCCACCGAATTCCTCTTGTCCAACTTTGCAACAGTACTGGCAGGCTACGAGGGCTAATCAGCATTTCCAAAAAGACACCGAGATATTATCTTCTCGAAGGATCATAGTTTATACATTAATGAATGTCCTTAATTGCAGGACTCAGGTACATTTCGTAGCGACGATGCCCCACTCGAAGCAAATGTTCAATGACAGAGAACGATTTTTTTGGGAGCTTCCGGTGCTTGCCAAATTCTTCTCTCACATACTGGCGCCAATGTTCTTGATTTTCCACCGGTTTTGTCTTGACCGTCCTCATGCAGGCTCGATATAGCTTAAGAACTTCTCTTTGTAACCCAGAAAGTCTCGCCATTGTGGTTTAGAAAGAAAAGTAGAACTATCTGGAGAAACTTAAAGAAATGTGAAGGTGCACGGGTGCGATTTTGTGATAGCTCCGGGACAAAAGCACGTGACAAAGACCAGGTGATCTTGAAAGAAATCAATAAGAGAGTTGAAGTGTTCCTTGGCTTATCTTTCCGATCTACAGACCTACACATCTTAAGTCCCCAAATTATTATTATTATTAATAAAAACCTCTATATTCCCAAAAGTTAGCAATTAAGTAATTACAAAGTACCAGTGAAGTCAGTCTCTCCATCTCTAACAGCACACTTCTGGTCGTTGATACCACATGTGCACTTGCCCTTAGCTCTCTTACCACAGGCACAAGCAGAACCCAGCTTTGGCACAGCATTCTCAACTGCAGCTCTTTCACAAGTGCACTTCAAGGCAGCCTTCTTTCCACAAGAACAGGTAGACTTCTTGGCACAGATACATTCAGCAGCAGAACAGGTCATGATGGTATAGCAAAGTAGTAGAAATAATTGATACTAAGCAGACTCCTGGGAATGTCAAGACTTTATATGCGACTTCAGTTTGCAACCAGGTCAGGCAATTACTTCGGTCCTGCAGATTCGCATGGAAGGTGACTAATGAGGTACGGGTGTCGCAATCGAATTGGCCAATCATAAGCGCGCTGATTGTCAGCAAAGTCAGCCCAGTTAGGATTCTGTCGGCCCACTGTAGCAGTTTCTTATCGACAGAATTAACGAATTGGTACCATGACCAAGCCTTTTTCCCATTGGATGTGAAACATAAACACAACCTAAATTCTTGATCAGGGCTGGTTATGGTTCACTTATTTAGTAATTTGACAATATTTTGGCCGATCCTTGGCCTATCTGATGATCACAGGAAGTCTGGATCAAGTAGGAAGCCTTCTTCGGAATCTGCATCTAAAAAGACTTCGTGGGTTGTTGCGTTGACACTTCCCATCATGGTATTCAAAAACATTTCATTGTCCAAGAATTGGTCATTGAAATCCATGACTAATTTCAGCTCCAATGTTTCTGGCATGTCGTAATGGTCTCTGCTTCCATAATTCTTATCGCTGCTGTAACCCTTATCTTCGTGTGTTTTCTCATCCGTACTCATGAACATGCTAACAGTTCGCTGGGGAAGAGGAGCAACGAACGTAGCTGGAGTTATGTTGCTACCTCCAACACTACTGAAGATGTTGGATGAGATGTTGTTCTTTGGCGGAGCGTATCGATTCTTGTTTCTCTCCCGGGCACATTGCTCAAGAACCTGCGCACTATGAGCTTTGAATTTGTTGGTGTATTCCTTAGCTGGTTCGTAGCAGATCTTACATAGCTCATTAAACACCAAGATCACTCCATCACAATCATTCTTGAGGTCATCCAAATCCACCTGCGCCCGAATGCGGTCACATTGCGTGATCAGTGACAAATGTGCTGTTGCACCCATGTATAGATTGTTGATGGCAACCCAGGAGAAGTTGATCATTTTTTGCTCCACAAGCTTTACGTAAGTCTGGATTATCTCGCGGCCTGAATCGTAGAGAATCTGTTGGTGATGTTCGTCAGTTATGATGGGCGTGACCGCGCTCAATCCATAGAGCTGAATCAATGTTTGACTCAAATTGAGCTTGCAGATCATCTGGTTAAATTCGAAGCGTTCCAGATTCGAAGAAGGAGCACTGTTGAACCAGTCAAATAATGCAGAATGCTTCTGAGATTTCCATTCGTCGATTTGTCTGACTTTTGCTTCATAATTAGAATCCACAAACCCTCTAAATTTGGGTTTCTGAATTCGGTGGGAAACATCGTTGATGAAATCGTATATATCTCCTTGTAAAACACGAAGATTGATGAAATGAATAGACATAAACTTTGTTTGTGGCTCGTGAGCTAGCCAGGCACTAACATTGTAGTTGCTTGAAGCCCCATAACTGATCACCAGATCGTCTCTAGTCGATGGCAATGGGCAGTCGATTTGTCGGCTATCAATGCCAAACTGACGTCCAAAATAGATGGAAATCTGTCGATCGAGCGAGTAGCAACACCAAAAGAGGCGTCGTTTCATATCGACAATGTAATAGTCATCGCTATGCAAATAAATAGTTTCGTTGTGAAGTCCCAAATCCTGGCACAACCTCACGCAAGTACCAATCAAGTACCATGCTCCAGGAGTACATGGGCGCATGAGGGAATACTGTGTTAGCAAAAGTAGGGACTGAAGCATTTCAAGTTTGCTTAATTCGTCATCGCTTCCTTCCGCAGCATTCCAGACATAGTCAATGTAGTTGAAAGCTTGTTTCTTGTAGTGATTTGAAATCATCAACGGATACTTCTGTTGATGTTGCGATGTCAGAATAGCAATAATGATATAAAGAAAAAAAAGGCACTTTCCTTTGTGCATCTTGTCAAGTTTCTCGTCCAAAAAATGCTTTTCATCGCATTGGGAGGCGATAAATTCTTCACCAAAGATATTCAGCCATAAATCAGTTCCGATAATTCCGTAAAGAGGCTTGAAGTACTTAAATAGATAGAAATCACGATGTAGAATGGGGATTTGAATGTTGGTCAGGTTGAAATAGGAATGGAGACAATTTTCCACAAACTTTCGAGTTGGAATCTCCACTACTGCTGTATTGTTGGTGTAGGCCTCTTGGATTTCTGAGTCCTTCATAAGCAATACTTTACCAAACTTGAATTGATTGATGTGTTGGCTCAGCTCAAATTCCTCTCTCTCTTTCCTTAGTCTATTTAATTCGTCAGTCATTTCCTTCAACTGGGTCTCCATCGTGTGGATTGTCATTCTTTTCACAGTCTCACCTGTGCGAGGGTCCCATAGGACACAATCAGCCCCAATCTTGTCACATGTGGTACATTGAGGCAACTTGCGGTCACATTTGATTTTCTTCTTGCGGCATCTCATACATGCTGTGACCAAGCGGACCATACGGTCATTTGAAGCTGGTGCTGAATCAGAAGCTGGGGCTGAATCAATTTTTCTAGTCACTGGCCTGGGCAGGGATGATCCATCCTTAGACCTCTTAGCGCTGGAGGGCTTAGTCACTTTATTTGAAGCTTTAAGGTCTACCGTCACAGACTTTTTCGATTTCTGAGAGATCATCACAGCTTGATACCATAAGGAAAAGTACGTGTAAGGTGGTTTAGCGATGGGAATCGCTGTTATGTTTGGTGCGATCAGGTTTATGCCTCTAGCATTGTGCATAGCATTCCGTGCAGACCGGGCTACCGATCAGACAGGTCAATTTTTCCTCAAAGAACGAGAAAGCGACTTCCACCGTTGGTCCAAAAACGACCCCAAATCAGAACTGTTACTGTAATCTATCGACTGTGAGAGATTCTGCGAATCATTCTGCGATTCGTTGTGTGTATTGACACCAGCATTGGGTAAAATTTCCGTTGAAGGCGGAATTAATTCATCCCGTGATACCTGAGGCTGGCTGTCACTCCCGCTTGCAGGAAGATCGGCGCGCCGATTCTCGTCACCTTTTTCACCATCATTGGTTCGTAGATTAGTATGGGTTTCGAATTGGAAGTTTGATTGCTGATTCTTATTTTCGTTTTCGTTATCGCTCTCAATGCTATGCTGCAATACCTCTTCGAAAATTTGTGACATAGACCGTGACCGCGTCTCGTGCTCTTCTACTACTGAATGGTAGACAGTTGAGTTATTGCGAGTTGGGTTCTGATCTAAGAAAACGTTGTCTGCATCGTCATTAACAGAAGCCTCCTTCGTAGAAGGGTCGTCACTGGACAATTTCCTTCGCTTTGAAAGATCTGGCACATTGACAAGTTCACGTTTTTTACCGGTGACATGAATAGTCTGTAGTTCAGGAAGAGGCAACTCGTCGCTCTCATCGAGTTCAACAGCTGTAGTGCGCTTGGGTACTGGTAGATCAGAGTCATCACCAAAGTCGCCTAAGGGCACTGGCATTCGTCTGACAGGTGACACATGAGAGTCTTTTCTACCAGAACCAAATGTTGGAGTATGTGGGAATCTCTGACCAGAGGAGAGCGCTGAGTGGATCAGGTCCCTGTTTCGAGAATCCCTACGCGGCGAAAGCGAAACCGTGGGGAAGAGAATAGGCAGAAGTGCGCCGAGGTTGCGATCATCGCTGTCACTCGACAAATCCGCAGCGTCACGGCCACTAGTAGGGCGATTCACGCTGGAGCTACTGGCAAACGCCATACGTCCGACCTCACTGAGTAACACAGGCGGTTCAGGGAGTGTAGGAGATGAATTGAGAAAATTTTGAAGCACAGACAGGCGTTTTGTCGAGCCTGAATCCGCTCTTGTGGGTGTGCGTTTAGGTGTAACTTTTGGAGTGCGCTTTCGTGGTGAAACAGTGACCTTCAGGTATCCTGTGGACGCTTTCCGCATGGTAACCACCTGTGGCGAGAGTTCTGAATGCGACGAGAGTAACAGCGGCCGTGAACGGAGCTGTGGAGTAGAAGCCTCGATCTGAGGATCCGAGCTGGAACTCGATACATTTTTAGGTCTCGGTGGGGTAGCTGTAGTTGCTGACTTGGAAAGAGAGCCTCCCATTGTTGGGTTCAAGGTGTTGGAACCCCCTGTGGCGGCTCCTGCCACGATTGCAGAGCCTGAACCCTTTGGAGGGTCAAGTAGATCATCAGCTGTAGAAATTTCCACATCTGCTGCTTCTTCTAAGAAGTGCTTCCAGAAACCAACATTAGTCCACACCTGGTGAGTAGCGGACGCGTACTTGCGCAAAATGGGGATCATTCTGTCGTTGATGACGGCGTTGGCATGGCTAAGATTATGGTCGATTTCTTGAAGAACCAATGTTGTTTCTTGCTCCAAGCGTTCGAGTTCAAGGGCTGGGGATTCTTCCAGCTGAGCCCGTCGAGGTACGCTGACCGTGGATTTGCGTCGAGTCGACATGAGTGTTTTGGAAGTTGTGTTTTGGTTGTAGGTGGATGTGATGTTATTGTGAGAGTGTTGTGTGGAGGACATGGATGTGGAGACGAAGGAATGAACCAGGTGGATGATAGAAAGAGGAGTGAATAGAAGGAAGAGACAAGCAAATAAAAGGATGTCGTTCCTTTTTTCTCTTTTTCTATTTTCTAGAGTGGAAGTATGTCAATGACTGAGACCAGTATGGTCGTTAACTATGGCAGACTATGAGATAGATATTCAGTGAATCAATTATAGATACGTTTCACTGTTGACGTGGAATTCCAAGGAGATTTTATAGTTTTTTGAATTGTGTTGTTTTCTCTGTTCTAGAAAACCTCTTTCGTTGAAGGCTTCAAGGGTCTCCGATGAGCTTCAATTATAGTGGATTGGACGTAGTCTCACACTAGTGACTATTATTCATCTAATGTTGCCATTTTCGACTCTGTCCTATCGATTTACTATCGCCATAATAACATGGTTATACCATATTTGCTGACCACGACATACATGTACTCAGAACTTAACTCCATGATGACCTTTAATGGCTGCGAATTTGCTTATTCACCATATTAAACCACCAACTTACCTCTCTTATCCCCATATCTCGCTATCATCCATCTGGTTGAATCTTCCACATTCATTTCCTTCTCTCTTTTTATTTCTCTTAGTCGTTTATTGTCTTCTTCCAGTTCCTCTATGTTCCCTGTCTTTCATTTCCGCTCTAACCTCCTCCTCCATATACTCGCACTTATTCTGCCAAACACTACTTTCTTTTCATCATGGGAAACGCCATGTCTGCGTCTTTTGCTCCAGAGTGTACCGACGCTAAAACAAAGTACGACGATTGCTTCAATCAATGGTATACAGAAAAGTTCTTGAAAGGTAAGTCTCTCAACAACGAGTGCACCGAACTCTGGGATTCCTACATCACCTGTGTGAACACAGCATTGGCCACTCATAAGATCAAGCCAATGTTGGATAAGGCCCGCGAGGACCAACCATTCGATGAGAATGTGGCCAAAGGAAAGTAATGCCCGCCAGGTGTAACGTTAAGCGTTTTCTTCTCTGGTGTACTGTAAATAGTCTATGTACAATTATCATGCTGTCATGTATGCCTCTGGCCTACCAGAATATCACCATAACACTAAGGCCTACCATATTCTGCGTGGTTGCTTCGTATACTGAGGACTATATGTCCAGCGTATCCGCCGTTTTTGCTCATCCATCATGTGGGTCCTCAGATACTTGTCACTTACGGCCATGGTGTCGGCTCTTCCAATCGATAGCTATACCAACAACTCCATTAACACAACAAATGTTACCATGACACAGCTCGCCAAGTCCCAAGGCTCTAGTGATTTTTTCGAGTTGAAAAAGTACGCCAACTTGGCTTCTGTAGCCTATTGTCTCAATAAGGGTCTCCGAGAATCGATGAAAATCGGCGACCAAGAAAAGACCTGTCCGTCTCTTGCATGTTCTCACGAGGGAATCAGCCACTACAAAGTGTTGAAAACATTTCGCTTTGACGGTTGGTTTGACGTGGGATCGTCGTTCATCTCAGTCGACCATCACGAACGCACATTATACCTCACCTTCAGAGGCACATCGTCAACCCAGGATTGGCTCAACAACTTCGATGCTTTTCTCGTTGACTACACCCCGCTTGTATTTACCAATGGCATGTCAGCCAAAGAACTTCGATGTGAAGAGTGTAAGATCCACAGAGGGTTCAATTCGTTCGTAACACAAAACGGTGTGAAAGTTGTCAAGGAAATGACAAAAATGAAGAAAAAGTATCCAAACTACCAGATTGTCGTGTCAGGTCACTCCTTGGGTGGTGCGATGGCACTCTTAGCGGGTATCGAACTTCGTATTTTGGGGTACGATACCTTAGTGGTGACACTTGCTGGTCCTATGGTGGGCAATCAAGCATTCGCTGACTTCACCAATAAACTTCTTCAGACCGATAAGGTCGTGACATACATCAGCAAGAAAAGGTCGTTTGAATTTCTCGATGTCGGCTATGTGAGAATGATCCATAAGCACGATATAGTGCCGTTGCTTCCCCCATCCAAAATCTATCAACATGCTGGGTACGAGTACTACTTGAGCAACCGAGGTGTCCTCCAGACACCCGAATCAGTGATTCGTCGAGGAACAAACTATGTTGAAGATGTGGAGATGTCGTATCAAGACATGATTCCCTCTGGGTTCTCTCGAGATGACCATGTCAATTACTTCTTTCTGGTTACTTCATGCGTGCCTCCAGAGGATGCTTGATTGTAATGTCGTTTTCTCATAGCTGTGCACACTTGACCATATCTCCAACATCCGCAAATTTGTTTCTCGTTTTGTTCATCTCCTTTCCTTTAGCAATCTCTGCATCGTTGATCTTCTTCCAGCCAGCCCAATCCACAAATGTTTCTGGCAATTCCTTTACAATGTCATCTTCAGTTTGGGACTCGTTGTGAATGCCATTGCTGAGATCCTCCAACACCTTGTCTGCTGTATCGAATGACTCCATCATGGTGGTAGCAATGACTCCTTGTGGACCCTTTTTGATCCACCCCGATGTGTACCATCCGCGAATATATTCAAAGTTGTGGTCGGGATCTGTGCTTTCATTGTTGAGAAGCCGGCCCTCTCTGTTGGCCAAACAGTTTTTCTTTGTGTTGAAGGTAATGCCCACGCTGTCGAAATCTTTCAATTCCACCCCTTTGTACCCAATAGACGTTATCACCAATTCATTTTTAATGCTTGTGTACTTTCCTGTAGGCTTGACGCTGACTCGTTGCGTGAGTTTGTCTTCCACCAATTCGTTCTCTTCAAATACTGTACTGGCAAGAAGTTGTGGGTCATTTGGGTTCACAACAAACTCCTTAGGACTCTTGAGGAATTCAAGAGCCCATATTTTAGAGTCAATATCAAAGTCTTGGACCTCTGCAGAAGCCTTTTCCAATATTGTAAACTTTCTCTTATCGACTCTCCCTAGAGATTTGGCAGTGGGCTTAATAGGGTCAAGAATGTCGGCAGAAATAGGAATAAAATGCACTTTCAGCTCTTTCGAGAGTTGTAGAAGCTCACGTATCTCTTTGTTGGTGAATGCCGACTGGAGAAGTCCTCTACGAGCGACGATATTCACTCTTTTCACTTTACTTTTTTCAAGTAACTTAACAGCAGCCGTAGAAATGTCTGTAGTAGCCCAGTGTTTAGTTGGATCTGCTAGAAGCACTCTGGCAACATCGATAGCCACATTACCGTTTCCAATGATAGTGACGTTCTTGATTTTCTCTAAGGGAGGAGGAATGTTCTTGGGCCCAGAAAGGGAATCCGGATGAGAATTGTACCAATTGACGAATTGGCGAGCCAGAATCACACCTGGCAAATCCTCACCTGGAACAAGTAACTTATTATCTGATCCCGTGCATCCGTAAGCCAAAACAATGGAATCATAATGATGTTTCAACTGCTTCAAGGACAAATCGTTGCCTATATTGACATTTCCAAAGAACCTGACCTGTTTCGGGAAATCTTCCATCAAATTGTCCATGTAATCTTCGCAATTCTTTACCTCGGGATGGTCTGGAGCCACTCCATACCTACTAAGACCATATGGAGCTGGAAGTCTGTCGAAGAAATCGACAGAGATGTCGAGACCATTCGCCTTATGGAGAAGATGATGTGCGGTGTAAAAGCCAGCGGGGCCAGATCCAACAATTGCCACCTTATAATTGAGCAAGTTTGAAACCGACAATGTCCGGCAGAATACTCGAGAGACGGACATGGTGGTGTAGTAATAAGTTGTCCTGGACTTTAGTAGTGCATGTCCGAGATGAGAAGTAAGATGAGTGTACTTTGATGGAATTCGAAAATGAGTGAGCAACAAAGATATTTTCAGAAACAGAATTCGAATTGTAAATGAAAAACATTTTAAAACCCGAGAAAAACTCCAGAGAGCTTTCGATATTAATGTCATATTCGACAAATAGTTTTCCGTCTTTCGAATTGACTCCGTGGCCAAGCTGGCTAAGGCGTAAGACTGTTAATCTTGAGATCGTGAGTTCGATCCTCACCGGGGTCGTTCATTCTTTTTTTCTCCTCTATTCATTCCTTTTTTTTTGCTGATCTCTACCTCAATATTAACCTTTCAAGCCTGGTTCATATCCAGCCAATGGGTCCACTGTCCATTACTAGTAATGACGCATGCCCCGCACTTTGAAAGCTCCACATCTTCTGTTCGGATGAATTTACATAGTACAACGGGAAAAGAAATCCACAAACCAAAAAATGTGACTAAATGATGCACCAAAATTATAAACTAAAATATTTTACCGCTTTTCCATGGTAAACATGGCGGCCAACCGGGATTTAAAAAGAATTACACCTTAAAGCACGATGATTCGCTCTAAGGCTATGGACTGCAGGATACATAAGACCATAAAATGATCATTAACGAAACAAGACAGTTTCGAAGAAGCTTTAGTGATTTCGTCTCTTTGATTCACTTTTCAACCCTTTCTGCACCATGTAGCCGAATTTCGTGGAAAATAAGACCGTGTAGTTGCCTCTTTACCGTGGCTTATATGTATGTAACTTCCCATTTAGGCTACGATATCCTGTGTTCAGTGACCCATTTTTTTCCAGTCATATAAAGCTGGAGTAAAGGCATTAGACTCAGTGAGAGGAAAATTTTTTGGAGCCCAAAAACCACAAAAAAAGAACCCCGGAACCCCAGGCCAAAAATACCTTCCAAAATCTATCACTATGGAATCGCTCACCCGTGCTTCTCTTAAGGTCTGTCCCTTTGTCAGATCGAAAACCACTCAAGCTCTTCGTCACTTGAGTGAAACCTCCAGCTTGACCCAGCATGCCAGAGCATGTCCTTTTGCAGGCGCTGCTTTGAGTGCTAGAGAGTACTCCATGTCGTCTAAGCCAGCACAGGCTTCTAGCGCCCCTGCTACCTCGACTCCAAGGGTCGCATCCACTTACTCTTTTGGAGATGCAGACTTGGTAGCCAACAAAATCAACCTCCTGGACAGATCCACCAACGAGCAGGCATTTGACTATGACGGATACCTTGAGGATGCATTGGACAAGAAACGTCAGGACAAGTCTTACCGTTTTTTTAACAACATCAACAGATTGGCTGAAGAGTTTCCTAGAGCACATTTGACTGAGGAAGCTGAGAAGGTTACAGTATGGTGTGCCAACGACTACTTAGGAATGGGAACCAACGCTAAGACTATTGCTGCTATGAAGGAGACTTTGGATAAGTACGGAGGAGGTGCTGGAGGAACCAGAAACATTGCTGGTCATAACCAGCATGCTATCAAATTGGAGGCAGAGATTGCTGCGTTACACAAGCATGAGGCTGCGTTGGTGTTCAGCTCATGCTTTGTGGCTAATGACGCGGTGTTGTCGCTTTTGGGCCAGAGATTGAAGGACCTCGTGATCTTCTCCGATGAGTTGAACCATGCGTCCATGATCCAAGGTATTCGTAACTCCAGAGCCAAGAAGGAGATCTTCAAGCACAACGACTTGGCTGATTTGGAGAAAAAATTGGCCAGCTACCCCAAGTCGACTCCAAAGTTGATTGCATTTGAGTCTGTCTATTCCATGTGTGGATCCATTGCTCCAATTGAGGCCATTTGTGATTTGGCAGACAAGTACGGAGCCTTGACCTTCTTGGATGAGGTCCATGCTGTGGGTATGTACGGACCCCATGGAGCCGGTGTGGCCGAGCACTTGAACTTCGAAGATCACTTGCGTGCTGGTTTAGACAAGATCCAGCAAGACTCAGTCATGAACAGAATCGACATGGTGACCGGAACTTTGGGAAAGGCATATGGAGTGGTTGGTGGTTACGTGACTGGTAAGCGTAACATGATTGATTGGTTCAGATCATTTGCTCCGGGCTTCATTTTCACTACTTCGTTGCCTCCAGCCGTTATGGCAGGAGCCACTGCTTCGATTAGACACCAGAGATCTACTTTGAAGGACAGAATTGCTCAGCAGAAAAACACTCGTTACGTCAAGAACAACTTGGGTAGCATTGGCGTTCCTGTTATTCCTAACCCTTCGCATATTGTGCCAGTGTTAGTTGGAAATGCAGCCAGTGCTAAGAAGGCATCTGACTTGTTGTTGCAGAAGCACAATATCTACGTTCAGGCTATCAACTTCCCCACCGTGCCTGTTGGCCACGAGAGATTGAGAATCACCCCTACGCCTGGCCATGGACCAGAGCTTGCCAACCAATTGATTGAGGCTGTGGATTCTGTGTTTAACGAATTGGGCTTGAGTAGAACTTCTGATTGGGAGAAGGTCGGAGGCTTGTGCGGAGTTGGAGAGCCAGACAGCAAGCCAGTGGAACACATTTGGACAGATGCTCAATTGCAGTTGGTTGACAGCGACTTGAATGTCAATGTGATGGAACCAAACATTGCACCAAACGAGGTAAGTTCTGGTGTTAAGAAGTGAAGGTATAGTACTTAGTGATGGGATTGTCGTTTTTTCCAGGCTCGTCTTTTTTTTAGATGGTTCTGTCGCAATAAATACTATGAGTATGAGTATGAGTATGAGTATAATGTCAGGAACTTAGTGTTAAGTGTGTCAATCTTTGATGATCTGTGCTAGTGAAATCCTTTCTGTCTATTGTATGGTAAGAACTTCCTTGACGTAAGTAGTTGCCAAGACTGTTTGTAAAATCGATTGCTATTCTTGAGCTTCAACTATTTAATGAAAATTTTACTGATATAAACTTCAGTCGATAATTATGCGCCACCTTTATCTTCGTTGCATTGAATACCTTTAATGAGTTCTTTCATATAAGATGTGCTCTTCCTCCATCTCTTCTCCACATATACACACCAAAGACGCGGTCAAAACATCAACACCAACTACACCTACTCCACGATGCCTCTAGACAGGACCCTGTTCATCAAGGTCTACTTGAATCGATTGGTCAACTCTCTCGTACCGTCAGACTTTGGCGCCGAGTATAGCAACAGTCTTGTCAACGACCTCATGCTTCAACTTCTGCAGACTTCTCCAGATCCGAATTTGAACATCTACCAGACACTTGACGAGATCAAGACGGTGTTATTGACGCAGAATAGAAGTAGTGACTGGCTCAGATTGCGTGAAATCGTCGATCTTATTGCTAAAGAAAAGTCTATGGACAGAGTATGTGCATACTTAGTGTTTCTCTGTGAGTTTGCACAAGATACCAAGTCTAAGCGGTCAGGATTTGCAGCTTCAGAATCTTTAAACCGGGCTTCCGGTCCATTCAGTCAATCTGCTGGCACATTCAACCAATCTGCAAGTGCGTTCGATCAGTCCCCTGGCCCATTTAATAAAACAATGAGCTCTCCATCTCAACTGTTCCTCCCGACCCAAACTTCTCCAGATGTTACCAGACATAACCAGCCAATGTCTAGACTCATCGATCCATACTCTCACTCTCTTCTGGAGGCGCAAATCATTGCAAGTCTCGAACACTCGTTGCTCGGCCACGATACGAAGTTTCTTGCGTACCTGAAGACAGAGGAGGCCATTGATATTCCACCGACTATTGACAATTCCGATGCGCGCATACTTTGCAATATTCTAGAACCCGGCTTGATCTTTCGCCTGCTCTCCAAGTTTTCTGATGAGTCTAAAGGTGCTACTGCTTCTCCCATTAAAGTGTCCTTTTATCGATGTGTTGAGTCCGTGCTCAATAACTACGTTGCATTTATCACTCAACTTTTCCAGTCGAAGCCGACCTCTCTCATTGCCATATACAACAGTCTCGCAGACCAGACACAGATACTCCGACTCGTGCGTTTTTTTCTGAACCAGTGCTCGAGTCTAGATGGTTATGATTTTTTAGTGAAGGTTCACAAGGTTTCCAAGTTCGGCGACCCGCGTGTCCAGAAGCTAGCCTCCGATATCTTCAACACCATTGTTGCTCCATATTATGAGTACATCGAGCAGTGGATTATTCGTGGTGAACTTATCGATGAACATAGCGACTTCTTCGTCTCGTTCAACGCCGAGGAGAACCACATCAATGACATTGTAAAGTATAATGCAAGAAAACTTCCTAATTTCTTGAAAGCAGAACCTGCCATGTTTGTCAAGGTGCTCCAGATCGGCAAGACCTTAATATTCCTTTCAAAGTTCTGTAAAGAACTCGATTGGGTCAACAGCTACTCTGTCCGCTATTCGCAGCACATTTTTCAGGCCAATCGTGGCCTTGTATTAATGTCTCCGGATAAAATTCACAATCTCATAAACGCTCAGTACCATGAGGTATTGAACTACTTCGTTGTGGTGATACAAGGGAAATACCTGCTCTTTCTGCATCTTCTCAACTTGAAGAGCATCATGTTGATGAGCAATGGTGATTTTGTTGAGGTCATCAATAGCAAAGGTGCGGAGATTTTTGGTGAGCCTGCCATGTACTTGACATCAGGACGTCTTTCGGATTTACTAACTCTGTCTATTGAAGCGTCCACCATCAGAACGTACCCCTCCAACTATTTGAATCGCATCGATGCCAGGATTCTCGACCTCAGCCACGGTTCAATCGGCTGGGATGTATTCACCCTCGAGTACAAGCTTCTGGAGCTTCCGCTCGAAATTCTAATGAACTACAACAACGCATCCACACAATATTTGCGTCTCTTCCATTTTTTGTGGAGCTTGCGCCATTACCAGTACCTTCTTAACGACAACTTTCTAGAATTTCAGAGCTTGCAGAAAAACGACATGAAGGCATTGGCAGTCAGATCGTCAGAAAGAAGAGGAACGCGAACGCAACAGGAGAAGACTAATCTATGGTTTGTGAAAGCCGTGAGGACCATCAATTTGGTTCGTAGTCGGTTACAAGCCGTTATCAGAGTGCTTTTGAAGTACCTCTCGTTCGACTTGATTGAGGAGATGTTCCACGAGAAAGTGGTCAAGTCGTTGTTCCGAGCAAAATCGCTTTTGGGTGCAAATTTCACCTCCTCGGACAGGGCTACACCACTCCCAATTCTCAACAGTAGCCTTGCAGAGAAGTTACAAAACAAGTCATTTCTTCCTGAGCCCTTGGCTGTGCACAACATGAACGAATGCACCATAGACGATATTACCAATATTCATGGCAACTACCTAGAGAGCATTTCTCGATGCAAGCTACTTAACGAGGAAGTTAAGGGTCGGGTATCCGGCGAAAGTTTCATCGACCAGATATTCGAGATTCTCGAGTTGGTCTTTGCATTTGTTAAAAGCAGCGGAGAATTTTGTGCTTCCATGATCAACTACATGAACATTGTCAATATCAATGGTGCACACCTGGATGCACAAGAGCAATTCGATGGAGATTTGGCACAATTGCACCAGCGTCTCCGGGCGCTCGTGAAAATTATCTACTCAGATATCTACACTGGGAAGTTTGTGCCCAGCATGGACGTTTTCGTCAAGGATTTACGCAGTGACTTGCAATTGAAGGAGTTGAGCAAACTTTTTTAGCAGGTCATCATTGATTTCTGGCACACAGCTCGGCCCCACATGTCGCACCCACACATGAAAGTCCGCCCCACTCCACCACCAGTCAACCATTTTAAGCGAAAAGCAAGAAAAAAATAACAGCAGGGCCGCGAAAATTACATCAGCCTATCTTTCGTGTGGGGGTGATTGGCCAATGATGGAGTATGAGGAGGTAACGAAAGATGGAGTATTTTCACACAACTCTGACATTCGACCTAAAAAAAAAAATCCTCATCCTCTGTCGAAATAAGGGCACTATTAATGAATGAACAGCCTCCGGTCCGAGGAGAAGTGTCAGATATGCTTAACTAAATCACAGCACCTATTCGTGTGCACCACAATAGTGACTTCCCTTGGACCGCGGATCTACCAGGGTATTTATATGAACACCTAGATTCCCCAGATTTTGAAAAGTCAACGAAAAGTGCCAGCACTTGTCATCAATTCTTTTCTTTTCTACACTTTCCTTCTAAATCTCTCACAATGGACGAAACTGACAGTGTTTTGGTCGACAACATCAAGTCTTTCGCCGCCGGTGGCTTTGGTGGTATCTGTGCGGTGTTGACGGGGCATCCGTTCGACTTGGTCAAGGTCCGTTTGCAAACTGGTGTCTACAATACCACTGCTGAGTGTATCAAGGGTACATTGAAGGATGGACCTCTTGGTTTCTACCGTGGTGTCATGCCTCCATTGTTGGGTGTCACGCCAATGTTTGCTGTGTCGTTCTGGGGTTATGACATGGGTAAGAAGCTTGTGTCTGGCTACACAGGCGTCAAGCCCGAGAACTTCAGTGTAGGACAGATTTCTACAGCTGGTTTTATCTCGGCCGTCCCGACCACATTGGTTGCTGCTCCCTTCGAAAGAGTTAAGGTGATGATGCAGATTCTGAGTGGAAAGTCGTCTATGGGCGGTGTCATCGCTGAGATGTACCGTACTGGAGGTATCAGATCGATTTTCAAGGGTTCTGTGGCCACCTTGGCTAGAGACGGTCCAGGTTCTGCGCTTTACTTCGCTACATACGAGGTTGTCAAAGAGAAGTTATCTACCCCAGGTCAGGACTTGTCGTTGTTTGCGGTGTCCATGGCTGGTGGATGTGCTGGTGTTGCCATGTGGCTCGGTGTTTTCCCAATTGACACCATCAAGTCCACGCAACAATCTTCCAATACCAACATCTCCATTTCCACTGCAACCAAGAACATCTATGCCAAGGGAGGAATCAAGGCCTTTTTCCCTGGTGTTGGGCCAGCATTGGCTAGATCTTTCCCAGCAAACGCAGCTACATTCGTCGGAGTGGAGCTTGCTAAGAACTTCCTTAACAGTGTTTAGGCATGGGGCATATTTATTAAATCTAACAGATAATGATCATTGAAGCAGTAGCATTAAGAATTTCCAGATTTTTAAGTCGAAACGATCAATACGCTTGTGATGTATCTTTCGAGTTCCGTCGTGCTATCAGGTACATACAATTAATTTGAAGAATGACATAAGCATATGATTTGTGGTAGGAACTAGTGATCTGCACAAGATCAGATATGTGTAGGAGAGACTGGGGAAACCAATAATCGTGCAGTTATTGACAGAAAGATACAATCTCAGATGACCAGCCAATAAGATCTTAGTTTCAACACTTATTTCAAAGGAATGATTGATAGTCGCCAAAATAAAAGCAAAAAAAAGATGTGATGCTCGGCCATGAATTTCTAGGATTCCATTATTTGGATATTTCTAGCTTTGATCCTAGAAATTAGTGATATCGCTGAAAACTACTAATTGTCGAATGCAAAGGAGTGGCAATCTAAATATAAGTCCATTTTGTTGTGTTCGTATCTGCTGAGCATAACAGCGTAAAAGGAAAACAATACAGCTTTCACCCGAGTGACTATTCTATGATGAATGCGAATATTGTAAAGTTCATATACGAAATAAATACCAATCTGAAGATGTGGAGTATCTTCTTTGCCTACCACTGATGGCACAAGGTTAGTTGTGTTGACAAGTCAATAGTAATTCCGACAGAATCGTCTTGCTGATGATTTCCTCAGACATTGCCGATGTCTGACCTTTTCAAGTGCTGTTAGGGGACAAGTAATCCTTGACTGTGACTCTCCGTGGTTCTGATAGCAGAGTCAAGAGGTAAATATTAGTTGTTTTGGGCTCACTCAAAGAATATCTCAGACTTCATTCAACAAAAGACGGCGATCATCTGTCTTCCAAAGATGAAGATCTATAACCTTGAATAGTCAATCGACAGTTGGCACTGTTTGGATGAGTGTCCATTTGATTCGACCTTATCACAGCATTTCCTGCCGAAATTCAAGGACCAGATTTACAATGAGATTTAGTTCTAATAAATGGGATATGACTATCGAACAAGGTAAAAGCTCAAGATAGTCGAAATACTCCAACATTCTGGTAAATCAGCTAAAATATATAACAACGAGGAAGCAAATGTAATAAAGCTATCCCCAAGTGATGCTATAGTAGTCTTCATCATCTCAGCTACACATTTCACGTTGCTTCGTTTATCAATATAAATATCCTACGGACTCGACACCAATCCAAAAAGAGACCACTAAGAATTTGCACAATCCACTAGTTGTATACATCGTTCTCCTTTTTATCTTTCCTTTATATCCTTATCAATTATTGTCTTTATTTGTCCATGAGCCAGTTCCAAGGAAGAAGCTTTCGGAACCCCCAACTTGCATGCTTGGAAGAAATGTCCCCGTGGCTCTCAATAACTTCTCGCAAAATATCTTGCAGGCGTTTCAGAATCTCCAATACTTCTATAGCAAGTTCGAGACCCACTAGACTTATGAATTGGTGGTAAGCGTCGTTGTCGTAAGCATAAATAATCATCCTCTTGTCGTGCTCATAGTCGTCCGAATCCCAGAGATGGCATGTGGTGTTGCCGTAGGCACCGATCTCGGGATCATAATCGAATGGTTTACAAGCAGAGGCAACCAAGTTGCACGAGAAAAGGAATGCTAGGACGACCTTTAAAAGAAACATGGGGGTTTGTAAATTCAAATTAGTGAATCCTAGAACCTATTTAAGATCGTGGCTCTGCATATAATATTGCTCATGCATTTAAGGATCCTGAAATTACAAGATCCTCTGGGGACAAAGCAAAAAAAGAAATTTTTTAAGGGTTACCAAAAGGTTTCATTATCAGTGAAGGAAGTTTTGGCTATTAGACTAAACTTTCATGGAAATTAGTGGCTGCCATTTCCATGGAAGCCAAAATGTTAGAATGCCAGGTGCGGGCAAAATGTAGGCGGGTCACACCATCTGTATATGTGCAGAACTTATAGAAGGAATACTGCCGATTGGCGGTATAGAACAATTCGTTTTTAGTGTTCTCTGCACGCAGGGTTACTACCTCTGGACTGTTGAATTATAACGTGTACGTGACAACATAAGGATTCTTTTGAGAAATAGCCCCAATTATAGGGTGCACTTTGGGCAGATGATCGAGCAATAATATCGTGGACCAAGAGAGGCAATTGATATGCTCGATATCCGAATGTTCATATCCACCTCAACTTTTCCTTCCTTCGAAGTGTATAGTACGAAACTTTAAACTATTGCCTAGAGATTGCCAGCATTAGGCTCGCTAATCCCAAAAGTGTAGCAAAAAGCGGTAAATTACAACTTATTCAAGTCAGGAGATTTGAAACTTAATGTGGTGTTTGAGGAGATATTGCCCGCATGCTCTGGTGTTGTTTGATCTTGCTTTTCTTGATCAGTTTTTTTCTCACGACATGCGTAACTCTTTTGTCTTGTGATAGTCTTTACCTCAATATGAGCACTATGATAGCCACACATCTATTCGTGGATTGTGCAATCTATTCTCTTCCGAGTTAACCCTATTCAAAAACTATCAACATCATTGCATATCGGCGTTCCATCCTCATCTCCCTTGTGAGACTACTATTGGTACCGTAGCGGTCACCAACCACTCGTAGTGTTTCAAAGTACCTCAGGATTGTCAGGTTACTAAATCGATTACTAGTATGATCAATCTGGATCCAACCAGAGCTCCTGAGAACTATGAACTCACAGTTACTCGGGTGTATTTGAATATCCTCCAGTTATATAACCTTTTCCTTTTTCTGGAGTACTTGTGTCCGAAGGTATATCGAGGTGGGTTGACACTTGGTATTTGTTACAAGATGGGCGATTATGGCTATCGCCGCTGTGTTATCTTCGAGATTCGGATGCCTAAGCCATTGGGGAAGCCTTAACTGTCGCGTTGAGACTGTCGATGATTTGATCCATTTTATTCGACTTTTAGTTCTTTTTCACTCTATTTCATCGAACAAAGCAAATTTCTGGACATTTAACATCAACGACAAGTAAAATATACTCCTATACTTGGTTTCCTCTCTCAGAGCCAAGATGAGTAAGTTTATATCGGGACTTTAGAAACGACTGCTTCCTATTCTTATTTCTTAAAACCACATGCTGTAAGTATTCTTAGGGTCAGTATTATGGCCCTTACTTTATAATGTTTTCTCACTAGGTAGACTCATTCGCAATACTACTACAGTAGATGATGACTGATACCAAATTCATACCCAACTTATTACAAGTGATTCATAATTAATTCCAACCTAATTTGTTTTTTTCTTGCTTATCGAATTCACCTAACTCTCTAAATACAATCATTATATATTTATAAACGATCGTCTGCTTCGAAAAGTTGGAACCAGGTTAATACCCCAATTAGCCACCGCACGACGCCGTGGAAACCAATACTCACCCTCATGTCGAGAAGATAAGCCACTCATTCAATTCATCCACACCCATCCTTCACCATGTCGTTGACCGATGACCAAGTATGTATATATATGCTATGTCTTTGATATTAGCTATACCACTGCCACGTTCCTGTTACTAACTTCCAGGTTAATGCCGAGCTCCGCAAGATGAAAGCCTTCATCGAGAAGGAGGCTCAAGAGAAGGCCAAGGAGATCAGATTGAAGGCTGACGAGGAGTACGAAATCGAGAAGGCATCCATTGTTAGATCGGAGACTGCCGCCATCGACTCCGCATACGAACAGAAGTTGAAGAAGGCTGCATTGGCCCAGCAAATTACCAAGTCTACCATCGGCAACAAAACCAGATTGAGAGTGTTGTCAGAGAAGGAGAAGGTCTTGAATGAGCTTTTCGAGGAGGCCGAGAAGGGTTTGGTGAAATTGACCGCTAACAAGGGCGAGTACAAGCCAATTTTGGAAGGTTTGATTGAGGAGGCCTTGTATGCTCTTTTGGAGGACGAGGTCACTCTCAAGGTCAGAGAGTCCGATGTTTCGTTGGCCAAGGAGGCTGCCGAGACTGCCGCCAAGAAGTTCGAGGAGAAGGCTAAGTTCGCCGTCAAAGTCTCCGTCAGTGACCTGGACTACTTGAGCTCGGAACTTGCCGGTGGAGTGGTCGCCGTCAACAAGACCGGCAAGATCGAGGTCAACAACACCTTGGAGGAGAGATTGAAGATTTTGTCTCAGGAGGCCTTGCCTGGTGTGAGATTGGAGTTGTTTGGTCCTTCTCCATCCAGAAAGTTCTTTGATTAAGCTATGTTCATTATATACTAGACTGTATGCGTTTGTAGAAAGTAGTGGACGATAATGAATTCTATTTATATCAAGGCATACTCCGGTTTCAAAATGTTCTTCCGCTGCTGTTGTCTCTTTTATTTGTTTTATTGTTTTGTTTAACCTCCATATTTTGGCGATCTTAATACCTTCTTGACATCGTGGAGTGCATGTACCTTGGTAGCTGAAGCCTCCAACCAACATATCTCTGCCATCTCATGCTAAGATTGGTTTCTCGGGCTCTCCTGCCTCGTTGGGGCCTCCCGAAATGTCAGATATTGCATCTAAATTTCCCTATGTCTCCAATACTGACCACTCTGATGTTGTCGCTCCGATTTCGGCCAGTTCATTCAATGTGCTCTTCTCGACCCAATACCACCGATTCAAAGCCAGAGGAGGACTTGAATCGCAGTATGGTTAGTCATTTGCCTCCCAGTGATACCTATGTCTCATGTACAACGTTCGATCAAGCTGGAAATGTCATCGCCGTTTCACAACGGTATCCCAGAGCCGCATTTCTCAAAGAGAACAACCTCTTTCCTCGAGATCTCAGGAAAGTCGACTCTTCCTCCATTGAAGTGGTGCCTTCGATCATGGTGCGTCGAGATACAGCCATTGTGGTCAATTTACTATATATCAAGGCCATCATTCAGCGAGATAATGTCAAGGTATTCGACACCTCAGATCCATCCGCAGCAACAAAGTTGGGTCTGTTCATGTACGACTTAGAGATGAAGCTTAAATCGCCCAGCTCGGTCCCCTACGAGTTCAAAGTGCTTGAAAGCATCCTCATCAGCATTCTCAGCTACCTTGAGGCAGAATTGCATGGACATGTCTCAAGTTGTGGTAACATCTTATCTGAGTTGGAAGACCGCATCAGCCGAGAAAGTCTTCAGCAGTTGCTTATCAAGCTGAAGAAATTGACGAGTTTCTACCAGCGGGCCACGTTGATCCGTGATGTTCTTGAGGAATTGCTTGATAACGATGAGGATTTGAACGATATGTACTTGACTACTCTCAAGCTGTACAACCCCTCCAACAACGTCACAGACTACTCAGACATCGAAATGATTTTGGAATCATACTACAAGCATTGTGATGAGGTAGTACAGCAGGCAGGCTCTTTGATCAGCGATATCAAGGCCACAGAGGAGATCGTCAACATTATACTCGATGCTAATAGAAACTCTTTGATGTTGTTTGAGTTGAAGGTCACTATTTATACATTGGGTTTCACAGTGGCCACGTTAATCCCGGCATTCTACGGAATGAACTTGAAAAATTACATTGAAGAGTCCTACTACGGGTTTGGGGCCGTCACTGTATTCTCCATCATACAAGGTATTCTCATCACGTTGTGGAACTTCAAGAAATTGCACCGTGTGCAAAATTTGACCATGATGGCCAATACTTCGCTGCTGTACTCCAGCCGGTCTCGCCAGTTTGCCTATCGCTTGTTTAAGAGGCGGTGGTGGGCCAAACTTCTTTTTGGTGACCAGACACGATACCATAGACCCACCAGCAAAGAACGAGACGTCATTTGGCGCATGATAAACGACGACAAGCCGTATCGCTAGCATATAGAATAATTTGGGAGGATAAGTAAGTAAGTCTTTGGTAATAAACTTGTATTATACAACTTATTTCATGCGTGGGTTGGTATGTATCTAATCCGAGCTGTCATCCGAATCCGAGCTCAATGCGTTCTCACCATCTTTCTCGTAAGTGGGAAGGACATCATCGGTTGGCTCGGCAATCTCAGTGACTTCGCTGGGCTCGTCATCAAACTTCATGTGCTTGTTGGCCACTGGAGACATGGCAGTTGACGTCCGACGTTCCTGGAAAACAGGCTGTGCATCGAGCTCACTTTCTGGGGACACCAAGGAACCCTCCACCGAGAGCATACGTCCAGTAGAGTGGATAGCTCTGACAGTAAAGGTGATCTTTCCCTCGACTTTTGTACCGGATCCATCTGCCCAGTAGCCGTATGATCTGAACTTGCTTGACTTCGCATCGGTCAGCTCCTCGGACTCGCCAAACTCATCTGCCTGGCTTGGTACAAATTCCCAATCCTGAGGGATGTTTCTGAATTTGATAGATGCGTTGAAAGTGTCGTGAACCAACAATCCGATGTGCGATGCTGTTTGCATGTAAATGTAACCCTCCAAGGTGTCACCAATCTGAGGATGCCATATGAGCAAGTCTACAGTGATCCACATAAACGAAAATGGTGTGGAATCGCCCACTTTGGTAATGGTGATGGGCTGGTCATCAGTGTCCAAAGAGTGATGCTCCTTGCTCACAACAATGTTGGAGTAAGACAACACAACACCCTGACCCTTGGCAAAGTATGTCATGATCAACGGATCCAAATGCTGTGCTTTTATACCATTAATGGGATTGGCGATGTGACATGGGGCTACTGAGACGTATAGGGAAGTTCTCACCACCTGAAAGCACTCCAGGAGGCCGTCCAGATTGACTGGGTTGGTGCTCTTGATTGGGACTCTTCTCTTGGAGACTGGGGCGTCCAATTCGGCCTCAAAAGATGTTCTGACCTCTGCCGGCATTTTGTGTAGATTTAAAATGCCAAAGATATCCGGAATCGATTTTCATGATGAGCCAAAAAAAAAAATGAGATTCGGTCCTGCACAAAACATAATTGGTCTTCTCCATCCATTTTGCACCCGATTATCTAAATCCTGATAACCTTTGAGGTGGAGGGACCGGGACATAGGAACCAGATTGTTGAACCGGTGCCTGGATTGTGTTACTACCAGGATGGAGTTGCTGCTTGAACAAAATGCTTTCTTCTTTCTTGAACAACTCATCTTTCTTTTTGAAAGCAGCCCGTGCTCCTCTATTGATCAAAGGCATCTTGAAAGCGGCAAAATTCTTCAAGATTCGGCTGGAATGTGTACTGGGTGCATCCTCTGCTGGCGTATACTGGGGCACACCAGTAAACCGGACCTTCTTGCAGATAGAATTTTCATCTCCTGTTGTTGACGAAACGCCTGTTGGGGTAGACCGGCTGGACCCATCAGACAACTCTGACGAGAAAGACTCGCCACTAGCACGGCGCAGAGTAGAAGCACCTGGCATATGTAGAAGTACGCTGTTTCTCTGCGTATTGAGCTTCGTAACTTGTGCAACTGTGGGCCTCAGATTGTGAGCCTTCTTCAAAGAAGCACGCGCAGCCGATTCAACTACTTCCTGGGGATTAATACGAGGTTTCTCTTCCACTACTGGGGCAGCCTGTGGCTTCGGAGGATCCACATAGCGCTTCAACTTGAGCGCTGAAGGGTTGTTGGGATCGAAAAGCACGTTAGTGAACGTCTCTTTCTCCTGAGTATTAAGAGCTCCCGAACGAGATGCCTCTCTCAAATGTTGCTGAAACTTCTGGTTGGCTGTGAGCTTGACTGTGGGAGGTTCAAATTCGGTCTCATTTACCACATTGAGCTGACTGGTTTTGGCTGCCAACGGGGACTGAGGCAAAGAGTTGGTGGGTTTCATACCAATCGAGGGTGTTCTCCTAATGCTTCCGGATGGAGATCTCAAGCCAGAGTCTTTGGCTGCAGCTGCCTGTTTGAGGGCAGTAGCTGAAGCATTAAACGAAAGTGGTTGCGAATTAGATCTTCGGCGGCCCCCAGCTGTCGTGTTAACAATCTTGTTCTTATCAATTGGGCTGGTTGATTGTGTCTGGAGGGACGTGATAGAGCTGGCCGAGGAGTTAGAGTTGAGGAAGATCATGCTCTGTGGTCTGCGTGGGCCAGTAAAGGAGGTTTCTGTGCTAGGAGATGCCAGGTTTTTGGTTGCTGCTCCTTTACTGGGTGAAGAAATCCTCGGGCTGCTTGGATTCGAATCATTTGAACTGCTCACAGATGATGACCGAGATGTTCTCGTCACCACAAGTTTCGACAACGAAGGGGGAGGATTGACCTTATCGCCAGCCTTGGGTGGGATAGTTGGCAACTTTATTGGCGCTGGAATAGGAGCTGGAGATGTGGATTGAGACACTAAGGGAGAGCCGACGTTGGAACTGGATAAAGAACTTTGGGGAGAAGTTACGCCGGCAGAAGAAGTTGCAGGGGATGGTTTCGAGGGTCTGGCGACCGGCTTGGTGATATGCTTTGCCTTGCCTCTCTCGCTTTTAAGAGCAGCTTCCCTCTTCAATCGCAAGTCCCTCGAAACTTCGTCCTGTAACATGGAGTTGAGCTTGCCGAGGTTACTAATGGGCAAGTCGTGCATTCTTCGGAATGAGAGCTCGCCAGCAATCCAATTGAGTCCGAATTCCTGAAATTTTTTGTTCAAAGCCTCAATATAGGTAAATCCTTGCTGTATGAAACCAACAAACTCAAGCACATTCGGAGCCTTTATATCATACTTGGAGTTCATGCGAATGAAACGTGTGATGGTTGCTATGAGGATACCGTTCTTCTTGGAAGTGTTGAAGTACTCGTCGATATCCTTCAAAATGCTATTCTTGAAAAATGCACCGTTTGGCATTTGCGAGAGAAACTTAGCATCTTGCAAGTGCTCCAAGTTTCCTAGGAAGATCTGGCGGCCGAACCGACGGATAATCGAGTACAAGTCGTTCAAGCGCAAAGCCCAGAAGAGAATACGATGTAGCGAATACTCGTATTGCGGAATTGCCTTGAAAGACGCATCTTGCAAATTTCTTTGCGTCAGTTTCAAGTCACGATACTTTGCAATCTGAGGTTTGATCCTAGCGAGCATACGTGACATCTGCAAGGTCAATGTGAAAAGGCCATAGAGGTCCATGTCGATCAACGAGGCTTCGTCGAAGTCCGGATCAGTCACCACATCCTTAGATTCCAAAGGTAACATGAACGAGGGCGATATCTTTGAGCAACGGAGTGTCAAGTCGATATCAAGCTCGCGATCGAAGAACAGCGAGTTGAAGAGCGCATCCAAGTCGCCCATATACGCAGAGTTCTGGATTTCCCTCAGGGCATTAGCATACCGTTTCTGATATCCATCCAAGCAATTGAGACACGATGCTCGAAAGCTTTTCAAGCAGTTTGCCGCAACCAGCGGTGAGGGTAGAGTTTCAAGCGGAATAATGGGGTGGTCCTTCATGTCGTAGGCCACATGGGTAACCACCTGGCTGATAGTGATGTTGGAAGGTTTCAAGGCCCTGAATGCCTCCAACGAAGCCAATCTTTGGCCAAAGCCGCTCTCGTTGATTGCAAAGACCGTAGCGGAGAGATATATGATGTACTGCACCAACACAAGGTTGTTGGTCGACCCGGAGGTTCTGTCGAGGATTCCATCAATGGAGTTGATAAGTCGTTGAAGCTTAACGATAGCATACTTGTATTGCACGACTCGTGCATCCAAGGAGTCAAAATTTTGAGGTACATGGTGAAGTACCACGGAGTCTCCGAATTCAGACGAAGCCATTTGGGAGTTTTTCCACTTGAGATTCGCCGTTTCTTGGAGGTGATCTATTGGATCCGCAGTGTTGGAGGTTCACGGTACTTGGAGCTTCCACACAGGTCATGAAGCCATGGATATAGAAAGTGGTTATTTTGGAGTTTTTTGTGGACTCTTAAAGTGGAACATGGTTTATCAGGAGGCTTTAAATGATTGCGAAATTTTGGTTCTTTTTTTTTTTGGAAGACGTTCAGGTCCATTGGTCTGGTCCTATCTCATTCTGAGGCCTGTGATTTGGGAAGATGAATTGTGCCGAGGAACCACAACACGGAAAAAGTTTTGCAAACTTTGACAGTATATTCATTCACATTCATCATTGACAATGAGGCCAACTTGAGTCACCTGAGAACTGTGGTGATCCAAAAGAAAGCCTATCAGTATAGGATATTTGGATCACGTGATCCATCACCATCTACTGGGTGAGAAGTTGAAAGTCCGAAAACAAACAAATCATTCCCATCATGAACTCGGCCGACTACAGAGTCACGTCGCTACTAACCGAACATCTTGGGTTTGCACCACTCACACTCATTGACGAGGTTATCAATGACGTCAACCAGATCATGTATAACTGTACCGATGCCTTGGAGCGGTTTCTCATGAAACGCCGAGCAGCACAACTTCAACAGTTGGGTAAACCCACCGACAACGATGGCGATGGCGATGTGTTGATGGATGGCACCACGCAGCCGGAAGCAGCGGGGGTTTTTCCAGCTGAGGAGATCCGCCTGGGCGCTGCAGAACTTGAAACGCTCCTCGTGTCACATGTCGACAAGAACTTTGACAAATTCGAGCTATATACTCTTCGAAATATCTTCACTATGCCGCGGGATTTGGTGGAGGGCGGCTGGATCCGGCTCAAGCACCAGGAAAATGTCACGGCCGACTCCGTAGGTAAAGGGTCTGGCGATGTGGACGAGGTCATTAAACCATTGGTTGATAGCATCAACTTGGAGCTCCAACTACGCAAGATGCTTCTACTCCACAAGGTTAAAGCTGGGAAAATCGTAGAGCTTCTCCGTCACTACAAGCGGTGTGTTATTGCGATTACGCAGGCAGGAGCGGAGCTGAAGTTACTGCCAGAGGCAGCAACGATTCTCAAAGATCTCCAACCTATGAATGAGAATGTCTATTATCTTTTAGGGCAGGTAGACGAGCTCCTTAAGCAGGTGCTTCGACTCAACGACAAGTTCATGAAGGACGAACAGGTCAATGGCTTACGAAACATGAAGTTCGGTGCTAGTCTGCGGGATCGTTACATTCGGGACAAGTCGCTCAAGATTTTGGATGAGATTGGAGTGTTGGGCAGTGATGTTGGAGGGAAGGTTTTGTACTCTGCGTACGCGCAGTGATTGGGAAGGATAACTATACTAGGTAATGGACAAATTAATTTGCCTTTCGTAACCACTACTTGATTTTGATTTCCGTTTATTATATTCTTTCCTTTATTATTTCTCTTCCTTTCGTCAATTCTTATTTTATTTTTCTCTTTCTCTCGCTTCACTCTTTTTTTGACATCTACATTGAATCTACTTCCCAATATTTTAGGCTTCGCACGCCCTTAGAACCAATTAGCGAGCATGTAAAGAAATCTTAGACCACATCTTCATCATGGCTCACACCCTCAAACCAGATCCAGCCTTCCAGAGGTTCAACACCGCCAAGGAGAAGTTAGGCCACTACTTCCGCTTCAGACCACAATCTGTTGCATTCAACGTGTTTGCCATGGGTATCGTACCTGTTGCTTTGGCATACTACGCATACGGTGCTGAGGGACTTTCCTTCTCCAGATCCTTTAGAAAGGATGTTGTGTTGGAGGAGGAGTACGTTCCAAGAAAGAAGGACTTGTAGATGGTTGGCTTTATATTAATAGACAAGCAGTTTTCGAATGGTGTAGTGTAGAAGTGAAAGAATGAAACCCTTGGGTGGAGAGAAGGGAGAAAATGTAGTTTGACAGATGAAAGAGAAATACTAGATGTAATGATACATTGACTATATTATTCAGGTGGTGCGTTTTTCAAGTTGAGTTGAAACGACATTAGTCCCGACTCCATGTTCTTCAACACCTTGGGTGAGCTCCGGAACGCAGTCTGCAGACACAAGTTGGTGGTGGTTTTCAGCTTACGAAGAACCGGTCTAGTAAGCGCTTTGGGCAACTTAGACGAAGACTTGCGCTTGGAGAGCGTTGACGGAAGCGCAGGCCCAAGTTGCATGTTGAGACGGGCCGTCTCGTCCTGGAACGCATAGTTTCCTTCCGCAATGTGGAACTCATTCAGACACTCCTCCAAGGAGAACGCTGGGCCCGCCAACGTTCCCTGATTGAGTCCATTACTGAACGACTTCAGTTTGCGAATTTGTTTATTGGTGCTGCTCATGAGCATCTTGGCCTGGGAGAACTTCCCCTTTGCCTTGACTGAAGGCGATCTTGATGAGCGAGACTTAACTACGGTCTCTGTAGGTTGCGCTTCTGGTACAACGGGTGACGACTGAATATCGTTGAAGTCCAAGTACCTTGAAATATCTTCCTCTCTATCACCCTTGGTATCCTCCTCTATTGGGTCAGTAGTATTGGTGATTTCAGAAAAGGGGTCTTCATTCAATAGGTCCTCAATAGTGAGCTCAGAATCGCCCGAAGACGGCCCCCGTTTGAAGGAGACAAAGTATTCCATAGAGTTTGGTGACTCCTGCGTCACAGTGTCGCTGTCGTCGGTGTGAGCGAGCATGTCTGTAGGCTTTTGCAGTCTATTGACCACGTTGGCAAGTGGATTGACGTCGACGGTCAGGTCAGGGCGAATAGCGCTCTGTTTGGATTGCGGACCTCCCACTTGGTCCATGAACGTGAGCTGCAAGCCCTCGTTGAATGCTACAACACTTGCTGGCACACCAGAGTCCGAGTGGTAGGCAGCAGGACCAGTGATGAATTCTGGCGAGGAGTGGAACTTCTCCTGAGCCACGGTCGGTGTCACCATGGTCATAGAATTAGGAGTATGTAAGAGGGGGCCCTGGACGAACGTGGGGCTCAGGTGGAACGCCGGTGTGTCAGGCATACCCGGAGTCTGTAAGTAAAAGTTGTTGAGCTTGGAGGCCAAGGTTGTTGGGATGGACTCGTCGCTATGCATGAGATTCTCAGTGAAAGCCCGAGCCGGGGGGAACTCGGAGATTGTGTTATGTGGCGACATCATTAGCGGCGCTTCGTGGAAGGTGGCAGGTTGCTGAAAACCCGCCATGTCTGGATATGATAGATTAGCATCTGTGGATGGTGGACGCTCCACAGGGTGCATATGCGACTGGTTCATGAGGACAGCGGCTGATATTTCTGGGTTGTGTAGTGAGTTTCTTGTGGAGCGCTTGGACGCTTTTGAATCTTGGACTATAGGTACTGGAGCCGGCGATTATTGGACCGTCCGGACGTCAAAAATCAGTAACAGTTGGAGCGAGCGAATGGAAGTGCGCCGGGCGCAAAACAGCAGTGGGAAGAATATTGGACTAACGGAGAGTCAGGGCCGGGATAAGAGTGGAAAACGGATTTTGTTGGAGGATGAATGGTGTTGGATAATTAGAGGGGAGCACCTCAAGCAATTTGGAGCCAAACCCGTACACCAGGAAAAATTGGCCAATTTCTGGCTGACCGACGAAATTGGGATTGGACCAGCAAAGGTAGAGTAAAAAAGAGAAGAAGTGAGTGGAGAAAGGAAGCGATGGGTGGATGAAACTATAGGGGTTGGGTTAAAATTGTTTTGAAGCGGAATTCGATTTTTGCAGTAGGAATAATGTATTTATAGAATGGGAGTGGGTTCGTAATTATGTTGGAGAATGGTTATTCGCAGTGAGAATAGAGGAACAATCAGAAATTGGGAATAATGAAATAGGGGTGAGATTTCGAAATAGTAGAAGCCGAAGAGGAGGTAGAAGGAGAACAGAAAAGGGCATACTTGAAAATAGAAAATACAGATGGTGATGACTGATAATTGTGATGATTGAGATGAAGTGAGATAACGAGAATGAAGGTGAAGATAATAGATATTGAGAAGAAATGATTTCAGTAAGGAAATTGTAAAGAAAGTAGAATGACACCAAGAAACGTGTTCGAAGCTGAAATCGTAAGGAAGTTTAGAAATTTGTTTTCGCTTCTATCTATCGTAGATGGTCTAAGTGGTCACTAGGATGAAGAAACAAGCAAATAAGAGTGGAAGAGGAGAACTTCGAAAGTGAATGCTTGAAAGGATACTGATTGATCAAGTGTGCACTCAGTTGGACTAGTTCCCATATTTTTGTTTCATTTAGTTATACACTAAGAAGTTATCAGTGAAATGTCGAAGTCATTAGAGTGATTGAAGTAAAGATGAAAACATCGGGTGTATTCCAGAGAAAGTTGAAAAGTATCATAGAGACTTAGAAACTGTATAAGCATTCCACTAAATGTTGCAACTAATTTTGAGATAAAGTGCTCAAATAATAAAGTAAATAATTAGAATGAGTTAATAGTTTCAATAGTTGGAAGTTATCGATTCCTGAGAGTTATCAACCTTGGAGACTCATTCGGTTCAACAACATCCAGTTAAGAGTCTTCAAGTCGAAGGTAAAGGAACCCCTCTACTCAAACTAATGACGAGATCTATTCTACACCTTGCCGTTTCTCTAATTTCCATTACTATACGGTGGTTCATATCCATTCCATCCGCCGTCCTCTATATTCCCGGACCAGACCAAATTAAAACAATAAAACTAAAACCTGAAGTGAAATGTGCCGTCCATGGCACCCCATGTGCTTAATAAATACTAGATGTGTCCCGTGAAATGGCTATCATTCAACCATCCCACCTTCTCAAATGCTGCAAAGAGCCGACTGGCCTTGTTCACATCTATTCTGCATGCCTTCTGGGCATCTGTTCTTCTGAAGGGCATCCCACTGCGCATCCTATTCACTTTCTCATAAAACAATCTTCTCTTGGAATCCAAGTATACGTTACATGGCAACCGAAGTGTAGACGCCAACAACACCTCTGCTGGGTGCAATTTATCCAAGTTGGGGTCGTTCTTCAAGTCCATGGGCTGACCCTTCCACTCAATCTTAAGACATCTGTTATTGCCCTTAGGAAGAGTGGTGGCTGGATCTGGTGAGTAATTTGGGATCGATTCATCAATCAATGCTGCTTGCTGCACCGCCAATGGAGACCCAGCATATGGAGATTCCTTCCGCACCTTACGCTTCTTAGGAGAGGGCAGTGCTGGCACCGACAGCTCAATATCTATTTCCGATAATGGAGCCAGGTTCTCCTTCACCACACGCCGGGTGCGAATGCGCTCTACGGCATCAGTGTCAGAATCGTCGCTGCTACTACGGATGGTTCTCTTTCTGGAAGTGGAAGCAGAGGCAGCTTGGGCTGCACGACGTTCTGCCAATCTGAGCAGGTGCAGATACAGATGCTCTTTGGAGGAAATGGCCGAGTACTGATCCAAGAAGCGCAACTGGCGCTGCTTGTAGTTGGTGGACAAGTTTGTCCATGGCACCACCGTCAACAGGTAGCTCTTAAAGTCTTCAAGCTTGAAAGGCAGACCAGTTTGCATGTATGCCTTAGATGCGAGACCGTTGAGGGTTGGTGCGTGACTGTGTACACCATCCGCGTCATGCGAACATGTCTTCTGATAAGGCGATAAAGGAGGAGACAAGATCTCGTGTGAGTCGGAAAAGGTGGATTTAGGCACAAATGAAGTTGATGATGTTTGGTGTGATGGGTGCGCGGTTCGTTTGGAGGTGTCGTCATGATGGTTGTTGGGGGTGAGACATCCGTCCCGCTGGCCAAATGTTCTTGACAAAGGCTGGTATAATAAAGTCATGTTTGTTTGGAAAGAAAAAGATCAAAGGAGGAACAGTTGTGCTGGGGCGGGCATATATCTTATATAAAAACATATGACATGGCCTAAAAGAAAAAAAAAAAAAGGAAAAAAAGGAAAATTTGCAGACCATTTTTTCTTTTTCTTACTAAATACTGTATATGGATGCATCAAATTTCTTTTTACCTGCATGCCCCGGACACTCCCCGAAGTCGCCTGGTGCTTCTTACTGAGCCCAAGGGCACCTGCTCACATGTCTATAGTGTAGACCCGGTCCAATTGTATGGCTGTTTCGCACAATTCCGTAAACTTAAATCTCAACGCTCTAGAATGGCTGTTTCATGTTTGCAATAAGTCATCTCCACCTGCATGAGTTCACCTTGCCGACGGCATATACCTCCCCGATCGATGCGCGCCCTGCAGTTCCATGCCGGAATCTCCATGTTTACCTTTGGAACCTTCTGTCAACATCCATGTTGACCCCATAGTATTAATAGCCAAGCATGAGATATTTGCCATCAGTGACCAGTTGGGATCTACTAATGCTTTCATTTTTGTGTCCATTGCCCCTCTGTACGTTGTATTGTCTCGTGAGCAGTCACCCTCATGACCATCGATAAAGCATGTCTATCTGCACTCTGCGCGACCAAAAGAAATCTGGTCCCGACATTTTTTTCTTGTTTTAACGGCTGATGAGAACTGTTTGTGCAATTGGGTTTGAAGCTAGCGCGATTGTAGTCAATTGCCGGAGTAGGCAAGTTATCTGATGATTCGCTATAACCTCATATCAAGTTTCTTGAAAATATCCTTCTGAATGTACGTTTTCTCTGAGCTTCTATGTCATTTTCCTCCTCATCTTATCATGACCACATCACGTGACTCTCGCGCACTCTGACCTTCATGTCTACGCTGACTGGCTACATTATCTTGCTTCTTACCCCATAAGTGAAAGCAATTATGTCACGGATGCCCTGTGCCAATTACGGGAGTCAATTATGTCACAGCAAATTTCCTCATTAGGTGAGTCATGCAGTTATCGGGGAATCTTCTGGAAGCAACCAGGATCATGCGTTGGATTCCTCGGACTTGGGAGTGATGACCGATTCACGTGAGAAATCATTATCAGCACGTGATGATGGGTATGGTGATCACCCTTTTAACTTTCCTACCTTGAACCCTCTGTAGATCATGTGACTTCACAACACACACCCTTTAAACACGTGATTATAAACACATGACCATTATGCACGTGACTACTCATCACCTTCAGAACTATGAAGCTCACCCAAACCTCTTCTCCATGTTCTTCAAGTTCTGGTCCAAAAAAATGCCGGAATACGCAGGAAAATTATGTCTAGCTCCAATGGTTCGAAGCGGCGAGCTTCCCATGAGGCTCATGGCGCTCAAATACGGCGCAGACTTGGTTTGGTCTCCGGAGATCATCGACCGCAAAATTAGAACTTGTACAAGAATCGATAACACTGAGTTGGGAACCGTTGATTTTGTTGAAACAGGAAAAACAGGCCAGAAAAATTCCTTAATTTTCCGTACGAACCGTGAAATTGAGAAGGGAAAGTTGATTTTCCAGCTTGGATCGTCAGACCCTCAAATAGCAGTCGAAGGTGCTCTAAAAGTGGTGAATGATGTCGATGGAATTGATCTCAATTGCGGATGTCCAAAACCTTTTTCTACCCATTCAGGAATGGGCGCAGCTTTGCTTTCCAAACCCGAGCTTCTCACTCTGATTCTATCCAATTTGGTTGAGAATGTTGGAAAACCCTATGACAAACCCATCAGTTGTAAGATCCGGTTGTTAGACCCCTCTGACCCGAAGCCAACGCTTGATTTGGTAGAGAAAATCTGTGCTACTGGTGTTGCCAACTTAACAGTCCATTGTCGGACTCGAGACATGAGAAATAGACAGCAACCCATTCGTGAATTTGTTCAGAAGATTTTCGATATTACCAGCAAGCACGGGGTCTCGTTGGTGGTTAATGGCGGTTTCTTGTGCAAAAAGGAGATTGTCGAGTTCCAGAAGACGATGGGCAACGATAAAATTGGAGGAATGATGGCAGAGGCTGCCGAGCTGAACCCCACCGTATTCAGTGACTCTCCTCTACCCTGGAAAGACGTTCTTCCTGAGTTCATCCGTACATCCATTTCAGTTCAAAATCATCCCAGTAATACCAAATACATTTTGCTCAACCAGGTGCCGGGAAAGTCGAAATTTTATCAGATGTTCTGCAAAGTCAAGACCAACGAAGAATTTCTTGAGATTGCCAACCAAATCGGAGATGAAGGCAAAAACATATTTATTCGGATCATGCAGAAGGACAAACAGTATTCACAGGAGGAACTCGAGGGCCTTTTCAGCAAAAAAAGACCTGTGGAAGAGAAAACCACAACAGACAAGAAACAACGGGTAGAATATACCGAACAAAGTCGGTCACTACAAAAAGGAACGGATACATTGGTACACGCGGGGGCCGCAAGCATTCAACAGACGTCGTAATAACTATTTACAAACATTAATAGACAAAACCCAGATAGCCATGCAATTATTGAAGCAAGTGCTTCAAGCCACACCATGCACCAGCAGCAGCGGTCATCAAGCAGGTGGAAATGGCCATGGGTCTGGCACCAGCGGAACTCTTGAACAAAGCTCCAGTCAAGGCACCAGCAGCCAACGAGTTGTAGTCATCGTGCTTGCCTCTAAAGTAGTCGATTGACGAATCGACAAGGTTGTAGGTCATGGCGAGAACACCAGCCGAGTTACCCAAATATGGACCTCTCTTGGTGATGTGGTTCAAAACGGTGTTCAACTTCAATCTGGACGTGGAGTTGGGTGGTAAGTTGTTCAAACCTTCCTGGAGTCCGTATGCTCCTCCAAGTCCCAAGCCAATCAAGTAAACGGAACCGGTTCCGTAACACAAGTCGTCAGACCATGATCTGGATGCTAACAAACCCTGTGCACCTTCCATCTCCGACAATTTGTCGTCCTCCAAGTCCATGTATTCGATACCTTTGTCCAAACCAGCCAAAGGGTGCAATTTCTGCGAGCTCAATACTCCTGGGGCGCTGATGATGGCGGACACATCGGCCACCTGGGCAGGATCGAAGCCCAACGTCTGCTTGAGGTTATCCTGTTGTTTTTCTTCTTGAGACTTTCCTCCGAACAACCACGACATGATGATGAGTTTTGAACTTCAGTGAGTGCAATTTTTGAAGATTTTTTTGCTGTCGTGCGAGTGCCATAATAGCTGAGGAACATATATCATGGGGAAGTTAATAGTTGAAGACTATCTATAACTGGGGACAATATTAATTTATATTCATAAAAATGCTCTAAAGAGTTTTGGGTCAATTATGGATGTTTAAATTGATTAGCAGGGAGTTTTGGGCCTTTCTGGCTTCGTTGTCTGCTTTGTACTTGATGATAAGAAGCTTCCAGAGTGTGCAGTAGTGGCAAGAGTCATAAAGGAACAAGAGATAGAAATGTATATGAAGACAAGGTGGGCAAACAAGCTTCGAGTCGACAATGTCAATTGTGTTGTACATTATAATTCTTAAAATTTACATTGTAAATGTCAGGAGCATCATTTCCTCATCAAGATTTGAGTTGAGAAACTCAAGGTCTTGTGAACCTCAAAAGAGTCTTGTGACTAATAAAGTTATGGTAATTTGGGTTGACTTTATTATATGATCACTTGTAAATGTCAGAGTCGAATTGATACTTTTGTTTCTCTTTTTTTCTTTTTTGGGTCTCGATGTACCTGATGTGCTATCTGATCGCCACTAACAGTAGGAATTACAGAAATCTCTATTAACTGGTATTCGTACCCTGTTACCTCCATATATCTATACACCACTAACATAGCCCTGTTGAATTTATTCGTCGATATCATCCATCTTCATGTTGCATAGCTTTAAAGGAAGAAGGTCGAAGTTATAGCATACAATTTGTTGAAACACTCCTTTATTCAACTTACCCATTTGCATCTTAGCCAATACTGGCGTTCTACCTTACTTCTAGTATCATATCGGACACTCACTTTAATGATGCAATTCATTTAATCATATTTATGTAATGTGACTTCTAACAATCTTGCAAATGCCTAAGATTCTTCACTCCATGCTGAAAGTAGACAGGTTCTCCAAGATAGCATCCTCATAATGCTCAGATGTAGGCTTGTACTTACTCACATCTCCGACAAGTCCAGAATGTGCAAATGGCATTTCTCTGGCAATTTTGACCGACTTCCATGGCTGCCATTCTGGTGTTTTGGCGAAAATCAAATCCATCTCCTCCAATGTCCGACCCTTGGTCTCTGGATACAAGAAGAAGAACACAGGAATCATCAAGAAGTTAATGCCAGCAAAGATAAGATAAGTGTGATGCTTAATTCTTTCAAAGCAGACAGGAGTGATCATCACCACCATGAAATTGAAACCCCAATTACAGGCGGTGGAAATAGCAGTGGTAGGTGCTCTGACTTCTAAAGATGAGATCTCAGGTGGATACAACCATGTAAGGGATAAAAGTGATACACCAAAGAAGGTGTTAAAGATGAATAGCAACACCGCCGCACCCACAGCAGCACCCTTATGTCCCTTTTCTGCCATTTCCATGGAAACAAAAAGGAAAAGCATGGTTAAGAATTGACCAGTGGTGCCAAAGAGGAAAAGAGGTCTTCTGCCAACCTTTTCAATAATGAAAATGGGAATGAGAGACGCCAAAAAGTACTCCGTACCATTGCAAGCAGCCAAAACTCGAGAATTGAACGGAGACATTCCTATGTTAGTCTCGTATATAGTTCCAGCGTAGTATGTGATTAGATTTATTCCACAGATCTGCTGCATCACCTGCGACCAGCCGGCCAAGTTGACTCTTTGAAAATTCTTCTTTTCTCCTTGCTTGAGTAACGCTTTGACACTGAATTTGTTTGCCCCAGCACGTTCTTCTATTGCTAAGGACTCTTGAATTTCCATCACCTGTTCTTCAACAACAGGATGGTTCACTGGAAGGTCATAAAGTGCGGCGAACACCACCCTTGCCTCTTCAACTCTTCCTTTACCCATCAACCATCTGGGGGATTCAGGCAATTTGAAAATAAAACCAATGATAGACAAAGGGAAAACACACTGAAAAGCGACAGGAAATCTCCATGATACTTCACCATACTTTTCAGTAAAGTAGAAGGCAAAATCAACCCAGTAAGAAATGCAGATACCTAAGGTAATCAATGAGCCATGGATACATAACAAACGACCTCTGCTATGAGCCTTGGAGCACTCAGCAGCGTACAATGGCACAGTGGAGGTAAGGAGACCATTTCCTAAACCAGAAAAAATTCTGGCAATCACCAAAAAGGTAACATTCGTAGAACCAGCCTGCAAAGCACCGCCAATTATCATTATCAAACAGCCCGTGAAGATAAGCTTCAATCTTCCAAAGTGGTCTCCCAAATACATGGTGGACAATGCAGAAATTAAGCAACCCACCTCGTATAAGGCAATCACTGCACCTTGCAATGTGGAGTTCTCTGGATGAAGCTGGGTATTGATCTTAGGGAAAGTTCCTCTAAATGAATCCAAGGTCAAAAGCGACCCCATGACACCTTGATCATAACCAAATAAAAGGAAGCCCACACCACACATAACGGTGACGGCAGCATTTAAATGATTACCTTTGAAGCCCAAGAAGGTGGGCACTTCATCGTTATATTCTTCTTCGCTGTATTTTTCTTCGCTGGACATTGGGTGCGAAAAGTTTAATTGAGGATGCAATGAAATAAAACTGTGAAACAAGGGCATTATGCTAGACATTTATAGTCGAATCCAGAAGATTCTCCCCCACATTTCAAACCTGGAGAACACGGTTCTCATGTCGCAAAGTAACAGAAAAGGTTATGAGGTGCCGTTTAGCAATTGACATGTGGGGCAACATATTACGTCATGAGACATATGGCCGTGGAGGATCGACGTTGCATTGGAACCGATTGACATGGGTGAATGCTGTCAAGTGAAATTGGAAATTATAGAGTAAGTGGAAAGTGTCAGAAGAGAAAGGGGAAGCGTAAGAATGGTGGGAATGGGACAGTGGGAAGTTTTAGACAGATGGAGAGGTTTGGAAAGAAATAGGCGAAGTTGACAGATAGTTACTTCACGAGGAAAATAAACCTCGGAGTTATAACTGGGAAAAATAAAAAAATTAGTCTCATGTTTACATGGAGCTGGGTTTTCCACATTGGTTAATTGATTTGAGCACTGGATAGCAATACGGAATAGTTTTAAAAAGGTCCGAGTAGGATGAAGGTGCAGGAGTAAAGCAAGTAGCAGAGGAAGACAGGAAATAGTGGAAGCAGAGACAGGAAGTAGAGACAGGAAGTAGAGACAGGAAGTAGAGGGAGGTGCCAAAATATAAGTAGATATAAAGAAAAACACCCGTACCCTGTCGGTGTAGATGATACTGGACAATCTACTTTAGGGAGTGGAATTGAGACAGTTGATATTGGTGTTGATTATGTTAATGCTAAAAAAGTGATGCTGAACGTTTTATGTTAAATGAGTGGTTTTTGGGAAGTTGATTTCAGAAAGTTGAAGATGATCTCAGGAAGTATAGTTGATTTTATAGTTGATTGTTAGATATTGCTGGTAAAAATCCGATGATAAATAATTTGACGTTTAATGAGTTGTTTATAAATAAACTGATGCCAAATCTGTTGACTTAAACGTTGATTTAAATTGTTGGATGTTCAGGTTTAGGTAATAAGGGTGACGTTGATAAAGATGATGCTTATACAGTGATGAAACCAGAAAATAGAATGTTGGCAAGTTTTCTCTCTTGTTTAATTGGCTCTCAATTATCACGTGATGAATGGTCACGTGATAAAATATTTATAAAAACCCAATCGCCGAAACTAACCTAACCACAACTAAGCGCTTGGGCTTTTCTACTGATAAGAGCCATTTAAAAAAAAGGGAAGGGGTCTAGATTGTGTATATTGAGATGATCCCGAATTAGCCCGGTTTATCAAGAAAATCAAGTTTCAAGATATCCACCTAACGCAATGCGCGAAAACATCGACTAATTTTGAAGCCAAAAAGTCCGCGTAGTCCGAAAACCTTTAAAGTCCTCACCGTGTTGACGTCGAAGAAAAGGACAAAAAAATTAAATTACAAATTGGAAAATGTAGACAGTAAACCCGTGCACCATGTATCCCAAAAGCACTTAGTATCATCCAACCAACCCCAAACCCTTCGTGGTTGTCAGTTACGTCAAGAATGGTGCAGAGATTTTGGTATGCACACGCCTCTATTTTGGGCCAACTTTTTCAATGTTGGGGCCCATTTTCCTAGTGGACAGTGCGAATCGACCCAAGTGCCTGTGTACAGCAGTGGCCCTAAGCTGCGAAAATGCCCGTTTATAAGGTTTCCAACTTCCGGTAAATTGATAGATAGAGAAACCAGAGCAGTTCAACAACAACAACAACAACAACAATATCTGCCTCTGTGTGTCGTTTGGTGCCTTATAAGTATGTGAATCGAGATTTAGATAGAGAAGGTGGAGAAAATCATGGAAATGACAATAGATATGGAGATACATGGAGAGATCATTTACTATGGGGATATTAAGAGGATGAGATGAGTGAGAAAACCCACAAGAGAGAAACAGACAAAGCAAGACCCAAACAATAAAGAGTGGAGATAAAGAAGGATGGAAATTACAGAATTCGACAGATTGATACCATGGGATTTGAATTGAATTGAATTGAATTGGAAAAGTGAATTCTGGAGCGAATTGAGAATTTCTCCCATTGAAGTATTTGGATAGTTTTGAAGAGACTTGAGGTATCTCAATGAGAGCCTTATCAACACCTTCATTGATGAATTCTCCCATACACAATGAAATCGAAACTCAGATATCCACAATGAAATCAAATCAATTGTCAACCCAACACCTCCATTTGTCTTTTTTTCCAACTTGTCCATTCTCACCCTCGGATTATAACCCCCGGATATCTTCTCACCTCCAACATTTTCTCCATCACCACCTATGCGTGCTTGGAGCACCTTTACTAACCACAGACCCCTACGACCGTTCTTTGTACATACCCCCTATTTATCGAGGTTTCACAGCTTCCACACTAAAACCCCGCTACACCTGTCGTTTTCGCTCCGCCGAATCTACAACAACGTCAAGTCATTTCTAATGTCCGACACAAACTATCAGTCGCTCCATCAGAACTTGGCGGACCACTTTAAGGGCTTGAATTCCGTAAGTGAAGCCGAGCCCGGCCCCGTCTCTGACTTTGTCAGAAACCACCAAGGTCACACCGTCATTTCCAAGGTGTTGATCGCCAACAACGGTATTGCCGCAGTCAAGGAAATCAGATCCGTGAGAAAATGGGCTTATGAAACCTTTGGCGACGAGAGAGCGGTTCAATTCACCGTTATGGCCACCCCTGAGGATATGGCTGCCAACGCCGAGTACATTCGTATGGCCGACCAGTGCGTGGAGGTTCCTGGTGGAACCAACAACAACAACTACGCCAACGTCGAGTTAATTGTCGAGATCGCTGAGAGAACTGATGTACACGCTGTGTGGGCCGGTTGGGGTCACGCCTCCGAGAACCCAATGTTGCCTGAGATGTTGGCAGCTTCTCCCAAAAAGATCGTCTTCATCGGTCCTCCAGGCTCGGCCATGAGATCATTGGGTGACAAAATTTCTTCTACCATCGTCGCACAGCACGCAGAAGTGCCATGTATCCCATGGTCTGGAACTGGTGTCGACGAGGTCCAAGTGGATCCTTCCACCAACTTGGTGTCTGTCTCTGAGGAAGTTTACGCCAAGGGATGCTGTACCAGTCCTGAAGACGGTTTGGAGAAGGCCAGACAAATTGGTTTCCCTGTCATGATCAAGGCCTCCGAAGGTGGAGGTGGTAAGGGTATCAGAAAGGTCGATGACGAGAAAGACTTTGTTACCTTATACAACCAGGCTGCTAACGAGATTCCAGGTTCTCCAATCTTTATCATGAAGTTGGCTGGCAGTGCCAGACATTTGGAGGTGCAATTGTTGGCTGACCAGTACGGTACTAATATCTCTTTGTTCGGTAGAGACTGTTCTGTCCAGAGAAGACATCAGAAGATCATCGAGGAGGCTCCTGTTACCATTGCTAACAAGGAAACTTTCCGCTCCATGGAGAATGCCGCCGTGAGATTAGGTAAGTTGGTCGGTTACGTTTCCGCTGGTACCGTGGAGTACTTGTACTCTCACGCCGAGGACAAGTTCTACTTCTTGGAGTTGAACCCCCGGTTGCAGGTTGAGCATCCTACCACCGAGATGGTCACCGGTGTCAACTTGCCTGCTGCTCAGTTGCAGATTGCCATGGGTATTCCTATGCACAGAATCAGAGACATCAGAACTTTGTACGGTGTGGACCCTCATACCTCCACAGAAATTGACTTTGAGTTCAAAAACGAGAACTCTTTGACTACCCAGCGTCGCCCTGCTCCAAAGGGCCACTGTACCGCTTGTCGTATCACCTCTGAGGACCCTGGAGAAGGTTTCAAGCCCTCTGGTGGTAACTTGCACGAGTTGAACTTCAGATCTTCGTCCAACGTGTGGGGTTACTTCTCGGTCAGTAACCAATCGTCAATCCACTCATTCTCCGACTCTCAGTTTGGTCATATTTTTGCTTTCGGCGAGAACCGTCAAGCCTCCAGAAAGCACATGGTGGTTGCTTTGAAGGAGTTGTCCATCAGAGGTGATTTCAGAACCACCGTGGAGTACTTGATCAAGTTGTTGGAGACCCCTGACTTCGAGGATAACACAATCACAACCGGATGGTTGGATGAGTTGATCTCTAAGAAGTTGACTGCGGAAAGACCTGACCCTATCCTCGCTGTTTTGTGCGGTGCTGCCACCAAGGCTTACATCGCCTCTCAAGAAGATAAGCTGGAATACACCAACTCCTTGGAGAGAGGTCAAGTTCCAAACAAATCCTTGTTGAGAACTATTTTCCCAATTGAGTTCATCTACGAGGGCCACAAGTACAAGTTTACCGCCACTATGTCTTCTGAGGAGACATACACTTTGTTCTTGAACGGAACCAGAGCCATTGTTGGTATTCGTTCTTTGTCCGATGGTGGTTTGTTGTGTGCCATTGACGGTAAGTCACACGCCATCTACTGGAAGGAGGAGCCATCTGCTACCAGATTGTCCGTTGATGGTAAGACTTGCTTGTTGGAGATCGAGAACGATCCTACCCAGTTGAGAACTCCATCTCCAGGTAAGTTGGTGAAGTACTTGGTTGAGAGTGGTGAGCATGTCGTTGCCGGTCAGGCCTATGCTGAGGTCGAGGTCATGAAGATGTGCATGCCATTGATCGCTCAAGAGAATGGTGTCGTCCAGACTATCAAACAGCCTGGATCTACTGTCAATGCCGGTGACATCTTGGCCATTTTGGCTTTGGATGACCCATCGAAGGTCAAGCACGCTTTGCCATTCGAGGGTACTTTGCCTGACTTAGGTGAGCCATCTATTGGTGGCTCCAAGCCAATTCACAAGTTCAACAAGTACGCTTCCATCTTGCAAAACATTTTGGCTGGTTACGATAACCAAGTCATTATGAACTCCACTTTGAAGAACTTGATTGAGTCCTTGAGAGAGAAGGAATTACCATATTCTGAGTGGGCTTTGCATGCTTCTGCTTTGCACTCCAGATTGCCAGCTAAGTTGGACGAGGCCTTGACAGCCACAATCGAGAGAACTCAGAGTAGAGGCGGCGACTTCCCTGCCAAGCAACTTCTCAAGCTCATTCACAAGGCCCAGAAGGAGTCCGATGACTCTTTGTTTGGCGCAGTTGTGGCTCCTTTGCTCGATGTTGCTAACAAGTACTCCAACGGTTTGGTTGAGCACGAGTTTAATTTCATTGCCAGCTTGCTCAACCAGTACTACGATGTTGAAAAATTGTTCTCTGGCTCAAACAACCGTGAGGAGGATGTCATTTTGAAGCAAAGAGACGAGTACAAGACTGAGTTGAGCAAGGTTCTTCAAATTGCCTTGTCTCACTCCAAGGTCAGCTCTAAGAACAACTTGGTGTTGGCTATCATTGAGGCCTACCAGCCAATCTTGCAGGAATCTGCCACTATTGCATCTTCAATCAGAGATGCTTTGAGAAACATCGTTGATTTGGAGTCTAGAGGTACTGCTAAGGTTTCCTTGAAGGCCAGAGAAGTCTTAATCCAGTGCTCCTTGCCATCTATTAAGGAGAGGTCCGACCAGTTGGAGCACATCTTGAGATCCTCAGTGTTGCAGACTTCTTACGGTGAGGTTTACGCCAAGTACAGAAGCCCCAACTTCGACATCATTCGTGAGGTTGTCGACTCCAAGCACACTGTGTACGATGTTTTGCTTCAGTTTTTGGTGAACCAAGATGAGTGGGTTGCCATGGCAGCTGCCGAGGTTTACGTGCGTCGTTCTTACAGAGCTTACTCTTTGGGCCCAATCACCTATGATTTCCATGAGCAGGAGAAGTTGCCAATCATCAAGTGGCAGTTCCAGTTGCCTCTGCTCTCTTCTCACTCTGTTCAGAACCTCAGAAGAGATGACTCCACTTCTATGAACAGAGCTGCGTCCGTCTCTGACTTGTCTTTCACTGTCGACAGCAAGTCCACCCAGAAAGCTAGATCCGGTATCTTGGTTCCAGCTAAGCACATTGACGATGTTGATGAAATGCTTCTCGCTGGTCTCGAAAGACTTAACCCATCTGACGCCATTACCTTCAAGGCCGGTGCTGAACCAGAATGCATCAATGTTGTCAACGTTGTCGTCACCAGTATTGAGGGCTATGATACCGAAGAAGTAGCTTTGGAGAAAATCGCCGAGATTATTGAGGACAATAGAGAGGAGTTGAGGGCCGCTGGTGTCCGTCGTATTACCTTTGTGTTTGGTAATACTGTTGGATCTTATCCTAAGTACTACACTTACACAGCACCTGATTACTTGGAGAACAATGTTATTAGACACATTGAGCCAGCTTTGGCCTTCCAATTGGAGTTGAGAAGATTGGAGAACTTTGACATCAAGCCAATTTTCACCGACAACAGAAACATTCACGTCTACGAAGCTGTCGGTAAGAACTCCCCATCTGACAAGAGATTCTTTACTAGAGGTATTATTAGAACCGGTGTCATTAACGAAGAGATCAGTATCAGTGAGTACTTGATCTCTGAGTCCAACCGTTTGATGACCGATATTTTGGATGCTTTGGAAGTTATTGACACTTCGAACTCCGACTTGAACCACATCTTTATCAACTTCTCTGCCGTTTTCAACGTCTTGCCTCTGGAGGTCGAAGCTGCCTTCGGCTCCTTCTTGGAGAGATTCGGTAGAAGATTGTGGAGATTGAGAGTTACTGGTGCCGAGATTCGTATCTCTTGTATCGACCCTCAATCTGGTCAACCTTTCCCATTGCGTGCTATCATCACCAACGTGTCGGGTTACGTCGTCAAGTCCGAGTTGTACATGGAGATCAAGAACACCAAGGGTGACTGGGTTTTCAAGTCGATTGGTGCTCCAGGATCCATGCACTTGAGACTGATTTCGACCCCTTACGCTGCCAAGGAGTCCTTGCAGCCTAAGCGTTACAAGGCCCACAACATGGGAACCACCTACGTGTACGATTTCCCAGAGTTGTTCCGCCAAGCCACTATTGCGCAATGGAAGAAGCATGGTGACGGCAAGGTTCCAAAGGATTTCTTCGCTTCGTTGGAGTTGATCCAAGATGAGAATGGAGGATTGACTGCTGTGGAGAGAGAGCCAGGATCGAACAAAATTGGTATGGTCGGTTTCAAGGTGACTGTTAAGACCCCAGAGTACCCACGTGGTCGTCTGTTCATTATTGTCGCCAACGATATCACTCATAAGATCGGTTCCTTCGGTCCTGAGGAAGATGAGTTCTTCAACAGATGTACGGAAATGGCCAGAAGCTTGGGTATCCCAAGAGTCTACCTTTCTGCTAACTCTGGTGCCAGAATTGGTATTGCTGAGGAGTTGCTTCCATACTTTAAGGTCGCCTGGAACGAAGAGGGTATACCTGAGAAGGGATTCAAGTACTTGTACTTAACTTCGGAGGACAAGGCAACCATTGACGAGGCTGGCAACGGTAAGACTCTTGTCACTGAGAGAGTTGTCGAGAATGGTAAGGAGCGTCACATCATCACTTCCATTGTTGGTGCTGAGGATGGATTGGGTGTTGAGTGTCTTAAGGGCTCCGGATTGATTGCTGGTGCAACCTCTAGAGCTTACAAGGACATCTTCACAATCACCTTGGTGACTTGTAGATCGGTGGGTATTGGTGCCTACTTGGTCAGATTGGGTCAGAGAGCAATTCAGATCGAGGGCCAGCCAATTATTTTGACTGGTGCTCCTGCCATCAACAAGTTGTTGGGTAGAGAAGTTTACTCCTCTAACTTGCAATTGGGTGGTACTCAGATCATGTACAAGAATGGTGTTTCTCACTTAACGGCCAGCGACGATTTGGCTGGTGTTGAGAAGATCATGGACTGGATGTCTTACATCCCAGCTGTGCGTGACACCCCTGTGCCAATTTTGAAGAGCGAAGACCCATGGGACAGAGACATCGAGTACTTCCCACCAAAGAGCGAGCCATACGATGTCAGATGGATGATTTCTGGTCGTGAATTGGAATCTGGTGGATTTGAGTCTGGTCTCTTCGACAAGGACTCTTTCCAGGAAACCTTGTCTGGCTGGGCCAGGGGTGTTGTTGTCGGTAGAGCCCGTCTTGGTGGTATTCCAATCGGTGTTATCGGTGTTGAGACTAGAACTGTTGACAACTTGGTTCCAGCTGACCCAGCTAACCCAGACTCCACTGAGATGTTGAATCAGGAAGCTGGTCAAGTTTGGTACCCTAACTCTGCTTTCAAGACTGCTCAGGCTATCAATGACTTCAACCACGGTGAGCAATTGCCATTGATCATTTTGGCCAACTGGAGAGGTTTCTCCGGTGGTCAGCGTGATATGTTCAATGAGGTTCTTAAGTACGGTTCTTTTATTGTTGACGCATTGGTTGATTTTAAGCAACCAATCTTCACTTACATTCCTCCACACGGTGAATTGAGAGGTGGTTCTTGGGTTGTTGTTGACCCAACCATCAACCCTGACATGATGGAGATGTACGCTGACGTTAATTCCAGAGCCGGTGTTTTGGAGCCAGAAGGTATGGTTGGTATCAAGTACAGACGTGACAAGTTGTTAGCCACCATGGAAAGATTGGACCCAACCTACGCCGAGTTGAAGAAGAAATTGAATGAGAAGTTGGACCAGGAAGAATATTCGCAAGTGAGTGCCAAGTTGGTTGCTCGTGAGAGACTCTTGATGCCAATCTACGCTCAAGTGTCCGTCCAATTTGCTGACTTGCACGACAGATCTGGTCGTATGTTAGCTAAGGGTGTCATCAGAAAGGAAATTGACTGGCCAAGTGCTAGACGCTTCTTCTTCTGGCGTTTACGTCGTCGTTTGAACGAGGAGTACTTGTTGAAGATGATTGGCGAAGTCATTAACACCAACTCTAAGTTGGAGAAGGTCGCTAGATTGAAGAGTTGGATGCCTACTGTCGACTATGACGATGACGAAGCCGTCAGCTCGTATATCGAGAGTAATCACTCCAAGTTGCAAGAGAGGATTGAAGAATTGAAGGTTGAGAAGAGCCGTAACGACTTGTACGCTCTCTTGAAGGAAGATTCCTCATCTGCTGCTGCTGCTATCAAAGAGTACATCTCCTCTTTGCCCGAAGAGGAGAAGAACAAGCTCGTTCAGAACTTGTAAGTTTTGAACGATTCTTAATGTCCATTTAATGAACTGTTTCTACATTTATTTTGGTTAATACTGACAGTCAGTTGGATTATATCGTTGCTTTTGTTGTTGTTGGTGATTATATATATTTAATTGATTTATCTAAGGCGCATCTGTAAACCTCTTAAACAACTATGCTCACTCTCCAAGTTTTCACCTATCTCCTCTGTATCGCTAACTTTGTGTTAGCGAATCACTTAGTTGTCTTAGAGCCCCACGAAACTGTCGGATCTTTCTTAAAATACGACTTGAAGTTCCCGGTGGCACAAAGGGTGCGGGACTATATCACCAGGTCGTTCCGTATTGGGAACTTTGTTGGATTCTCCGGAAACTTCAGCAAAGCGACCATCGAAAGACTCAAGAAATGTCCAATGGTAGCAGAAGTCACTCCTGATATTGTTTTCAGGGCGTTGGAGATTAAAGAGCAGAAGAACAGCCCTGTGCACTTAGCTAGGCTTTCGCAGACCAGCTACTACTCAAAGAGAACATCATACTATTACGATAGCAAAGCAAGTGGGAAAGATGTCAATGTTTACATTATCGACTCTGGAATCAAGTTAGACCATCCGGAGTTTGAAAGGAGAGCGTTCGAGGGCAAAGACTTTACTGGAGAAGGCAGTGGAGACACAAATGGCCATGGCACTCATGTAGCAGGCATCGTGGGCTCCAAAACTTACGGAGTCGCCAAAGACGCCAATCTCTACGAGGTAAAAACCTTGGACAGGTCTGGACAAGGGTCACTCAGCATCATTTTGGGAGCGATAGAGTTTGCTGTGAATCATAGAAAGAAGACGAAATTACCTGGAGTTGCCAACATGAGCTTGGGTGCAATCAAGAATGCCGTCTTAAACCGAGTCATTGATGCTGCGTGTGACACAGGACTTGTCGTTGTTGTCGCTGCTGGAAATCTGAACGTAGATGCTTGTTATACACTGCCTGCTAGTTCGCAGAAGGCGATTACTGTTGGAGCCATTGATGATTCAACTTTGGGGATCGCAGAGTTCTCCAATTGGGGTCTGTGTGTTGATATTTTCGCAAGCGGAGTGGCAATTGCCAGTGTGAACATCGAAAACATTGATTCTCCGGAGTATCTCTCGGGGACCTCCATGTCTTCCCCAATCATCGCTGGGTTGGTTGCAAATATGTTGAGCGAGAGAGTTTCTCCTTTTGAAGTGAAGGAGAAGCTCCTAGAGATGGGGACGGAGAACATGATGTCGTGGAGATCATTGCGTGGGAAGAAGCATACTACGAATTTGGTAGCTTATAACGGTTTAGACCCATTTGCAGAAGATTCGGATTCAGACTCTGACAACGACTAAAGGTGTTAGACAAACAAGAGAGAGAATAGATTAGTTTGTAGGATAAAGTTAAAGGCGACTTCAGTTAGTTTTTAGTATCGCTGAATTATGTTGATTTAATTGTCTTGCTTAAATAATTCTTTATTTCTTTCGAGTACAATTATTTAATTAAGGGTAAACCTCTTCTTTTGAAACAACTGAATACTAGATACTAAAACACATTTGGGAGGTAAAGGTTTCTTTTGAACATATAGTCATATAATACAGGGTCCACTTCTGCAAACAACAAGCCTGGTTAGCTCAATCGGTAGAGCATTTGACTCTTAAACTTCATAAGGTCAATCAAAAGGTTGCGGGTTCGAGCCCCGCATCGGGCTTTGTTTCGTTCGCCTGGTTAGCTCAATCGGTAGAGCATTTGACTCTTAAACTTCATAAGGTCAATCAAAAGGTTGCGGGTTCGAGCCCCGCATCGGGCTTACTTTTTTATGTATCTTTTTGGTTAATTTGTCTCAGAATGGCTTCTGTCGCAATTGAATATTGTCAATGGGAACATTCCCAGATAAGGCATGTTGGTCTTGGCATAAATGACCTGAATCCAGCAATGTGCATGACCTGCCATAATAATAGTGGAACACCTTGCATACAGTTAGCCAAGCTCCATGGATCAACTGACAGGTTAATTGGCCTTGGCTCCCAGATGTCAAGTTTCTGTCCACTTGAAACTTCTAGATCGATTAGCTTGAACTGATGGAATTTTCTATTTTCATGGCGAAGTAGTAACTTTGCTCTTATCACTATAAATACATTGTACTAGAAGCGTTTTCCTGGAATATATACGCAAAGTTAAGCCTCTGATTGAGGTAAGCCTCTCTGCTTGAGGTAAGCCACTCTGCTTGAGGTAAGCCTCTCTGATTTATTCGTTTACCCATTTACAATTTGTCTTGAAGGCAAAAGATGTACCAGAAAGTCTCGAGAGACCCTTTTAGCCGCTAGTTGATAGAATAAATGTCTTCAGAGTTCATTCAGGTTGCTCTTTCTCTACATTCTCTGGAATTATCACCAGGGCTCAATATGCATTGCGTAATATACAAGAGTCCCCACCAGCCTCCATTCGTATAAATCCGTAGAAAGTTCTATGTAAATAATACATCACAATGAATATTGTTACTCTTCTTGCTTGCTTGGCGGCAGTCGATGCGTATATCAAGTTAGATCAATCCAAACTCGAAAAGAGAGATTCAATTGAGGATGACGGTGACTTCAAGTACAATGGCTTCTATGTTGATGCAGCTTTTGGAACTCCGGCGCAGAAAGTGAAGCTCACAGTAGACTTCTCAAGTTCAGACGTCTATACCAACCAAGGAAAATGTGCTCGAATGAACAAAAACCAGAATGCGGATGAAGTATTCATAGGCAATACCACATGTCCATTTCTGAGCTACAATTATTCTTTATCCAGCACTGCCAATAGCACATTTATGTCCAAAGCGAATTTTCAAACAGAGCTTCTGGATGGGAGTTTATTAAGTGATGTAATGCAAATTGGTGACGTCAAACTTGAAGATTTCTATTTTGGTCTAGAGGATGAGACCGGTGAATATTTTCCTCAAGGAGTACTTGGGTTATCAACATCCAAATTCTATTCAATGGTTACTGCTCTGACAGATTTGAATTTACAATGGGACTTTTTTATGGATAGACTAGTTAAAGACAAACAAATTACTCGGGCAGCTGCGTCAGTCTATTTTGGTGACGACAATGGAGACGATGGCAGTGTACTTCTTGGAGCAGTAGACCATGCAAAGTACTCAGGTGAGCTCCAGTGGTTCTCCACATATGATTATCCCGGTATTATCAGTGTGACTGGTTTTGGTGACCAAGATAGCAATTTTTTTGGCAACCTTGACGTTCGCATTGGGCCCTTCATTAACGAAACTTGGGTCAATCCATACTCAGCTCCGCAGCTTGCAGATATGATTCTTTATCATTTTGGTCTTGACGCGTCGTTGAGATATCCCTATGTTGATTGTTTAATGAAGGAATCCCCAGTGGAGATCAGCTTCTACACAAACGAAGGAAATTTGACATGTCCCCTCCTGCAATTGATTTCTAAGGACGAACTGTCTGAAGAGTGCCGGCTTGAAGTGGTAGTTGATACATTTTCATCTGATGTCCAGCTTGGATACAACTTTTTGAAACATATGTACATTGTTGGAGATAACTTGAATAGCTCAGATTCCAAAATAGGATTTGCACCCAAAGTGGTTAGTGACAAATCTGATATCGACGAAAGCGGAGATTGGGGCGAGCCCCAATCAAAGTATTCGAAGGGCTTCTTTGATAGTTTTGAGACGCTTGATAGCGACTATCTGTTGACTTACAACTTTAACAGTCTTGACAACATAGTCGAAACTGGCACATTTGAGGATTCAATTACAGCCAGTGGCTCCACCACATCTGGCTCAAAAACAAGTCATGACTCTACACAGACTACTGCAGCCGATACTTCAGCCAATTCTTCCACTCAAGCAGGGCAAACAAGCACTCATGAAAGTGGTGGTAGTGCAACTAGCACGGGTGGGACTAGCTCATCTTCATCTTCAGGAATTGGATCAGATTCACATGCTGTACACTGGCTTGGTATGTTTGCTGGTGCCTTGATGATATTTGTTTGAGGATAGAACTCTAAAGTCGATTATGATAGTTCAAGGCAGACTCAAGAACTCGAAGTGTAAAGTGAGTTCAGATCTGTATTATTCTTGTTGAGACTGTGATTTGTTCCTTATTTTTTTTGGCTATTTTAGTTTTTCAAATGCACAGTAAGATTGGCTTTCACAATGCAAAGTGTTTTCATTTAGATAATCACAATGTACAAGTACGCGAATCATATATTTGGCTGCGAAAATGAATGAAAACTCACTTTTTGACTGCGAAATTTTTGTGACCCTCAACTACTTTCTATTTCCAGAAATACAAGACACAACATGAAAAACCACCCAGAAGAGCCCCTGGACTTTCCAAAAAGCCCAAGAAGCTGTAAAAGTACGACGCTCCAAAAGACAAATTCTAACCTGTAAAAGATTGTTCTTACTAATCGCCAGAATCCTATTTCAGTAGTCACGTAGCGCCTACGGTCGTTACAGGAGTCGAACCCCTAAGCGGCTTCAAAACCCCATACTTGAACTCAAGTCGATGGTCCGAATTTCAGGGAACTGACTGGAGTGGGTACGACTCGGAAATAGAACACAGTGGTGAAAGCAACGACGCAAACAATTGGGACGCCATTTATCCTGATTGGGGGCCCCACGACGATGTTCCTATTTCTGTTAAGGAAATCAAGCTTATCTTAGAAAGGCTAGGAGTTATCTTTGGCTTTCAAAAAGATAATGTGCGTAATATCTTTGACTATTTGATGAAGATGTTGGACTCCCGTTCGTCACGGTCAACACCCACGCTTGCTTTGAAATCGGTTCATGGTGACTATATCGGCGGACGAAACGCCAATTTCAAAAAGTGGTACTTTGCCACTGAGATGGATTCGGAGGACTCAGAAGAGCCCCCGAGCCCGCGATCACTGTCCTGGCAGGCTTACAAGAAGGCAGAAGAGGGATGGTACAAAAGCTTCCACAGGTTGGCTGCCAGAGACTACATCACACAGGTGGGTCTCTACTTACTTTGTTGGGGAGAAGCAAATAATGTCAGGTTCATGCCCGAGTGCATGTGCTTTATATTCAAGTGCTGCAATGATTACTATTATTCTCTCCAAGGATCCTGGGAGTGTGGGCAATCGGGCGTAATTTTCTTAGACCATGTTATCACACCCATTTACGAGGCAATCAAGGGCCAGCGGTACTTCCAAGACGAGTTGGGAGGCTTGCAGTTTATTGATAAAGATCATAAATCTGTGGTCGGATATGATGACATGAACCAGCTCTTTTGGTACCGCCATGGACTTCAAAGGATTATGTTGAAGAACAAAACCAAATTATTATCCATTCCACGGGAGCAAAGGTTTCTTGCATTCAATGATATTTGGTGGGAAAAATCATTTTTCAAAACATTCAAGGAGACACGTTCTTGGATGCATGTGTTTCTTAACTTTAGCAGAGTGATTAATATCCATTTGGCTATCTTTTGGTGCTATACTGTGCTCAACTCATCACCAATCTACACAAAAAACTACCAAGTTCTCAAAGATACAAAACCCGAGGTTGCAATTAAGCTATCGGTATTGTCGCTTGTTGCTGGTATTATTTCTTTCACAAATTTGACTTCATTGTTTGTCGAGATATTTACTATCTCGAGGAGATGGAAGGGATCACTTCCCTTATTCAAGCGGTTTTGCGGCCTCACAAGTCTATTACTAATTACCACTGTGCCAGCTGTGTGTTTCTATTATGATTATCTCTCCCCGAGTGAAACTTCCAGTGTTGTGTTAGCGAGTGCTCAATTTTGTGTAGCCATCATTTCCGTTGTTTACATGATCTTTGCCAAACCTTCCACCTTGTTTGGAACGAATATGCCTGGACGTTCAGGATTAGCAACGCAAAGCTTTACCTCAAATTTCTATCACCTTCAAGGAACTGACTTGTTGGCCTCATATGGTCTCTGGATTGGCGTTTTCACGTCAAAGTGTATCGAGTCTTACTTCTTCCTCGCTTTGTCAACTCGAGATCCCATACGCGAGTTGAGTATTATGAGATCTAATTGTGTGGGGGATAGGCTTTTAGGATCTCACATCTGCCGAATTCAACCGCTCATTGTTTTATCCATTGTTCTTTTATTGGAACTCATTCTATTTTTCCTTGATACGTATTTATGGTATGTGATTTGGAATACCCTGTTTTCAGTCTTAAGGTCTTTCTACATTGGAGCTTCCATCTGGACGCCATGGAGAAATATCTTCTCAAGACTTCCAAAACGGATTTACTCCAAGTTGATCATCACTTCCAAAAACCGCAAAGCGGCTCACAAAGCTCAAGTGTCCAAAATTTGGAATTCTATCATAATTTCCATGTATCGAGAACATTTCTTATCGATTGAGCAAGTTCAGAAGCTTCTTTACCAGCAGGTCCTGGACAATGAAACCGATTTGAATTTGAAGGAACCAACATTTTTCATTTCGCAAGAAGATGACTCTTTAAAGTCAGGGTTATTCTATACGAATTCAGAAGCTCAAAGAAGAATCACATTCTTTGCTCAATCTTTATCCACACCAATGCCTGATATTCGTGAGATCAAGAGTATGCCAGCATTTACAGTATTCATTCCCCACTATGGGGAGAAGATTATCTTATCTTTAAGGGAAATCATCAGAGTTGAAGGTAAGTATTCTCATGTTACCATGCTAGAGTATTTGAAACAATTATATCCATCAGAATGGCGTAACTTTGTTCGTGATTCCAAGATGATGACAGAGGAGCTTGAATCAGCTGCTTCTGATGAAGAGCTTTCAAAGGAAGAGTTTTCTGACATTCCATTTCATTCAGTTGGTTTCAAGATTGCAAAACCTGAGTACATCATGCGTACCCGAATCTGGGCTTCCCTACGATCTCAGACCCTTTATCGAACAGTTTCTGGGTTCATGAATTACTCCAGGGCAATCAAATTGTTACAAGATATCGAAACTTCAAAAGATGATGAGGAATTTTACGATGATCGAAAGTTGAGAAGCATTCACTCCATGGCGTTGAGGAAATTTCGGATGATTCTATCCATGCAAAGATATCAGCACTTTTCAGATGAAGAAAAGGAGAGCACCGAATATTTATTAAGGGCATATCCGGAACTTCAGATTGCTTACATCGAAGAAGAGTATGACTTCAAGTCAGTATCGTGCACCTACTACTCATGTTTGATTGATGGCTCTTGCACTGTATTGGCAAATGGAGACAGAAAACCAAAATTCAGAATCAAGCTCTCTGGGAACCCACTTTTGGGAGATGGTAAGTCAGATAACCAGAATCATGCTATTATATTTACTAGAGGAGAGTATATTCAGCTTGTGGATGCGAATCAAGATAATTACTTAGAGGAATGTCTCAAGATCAGAAATATTCTCGCTGAATTTGATGAGATGAATGTGACGGACCCTTACGAAGAGAACACCAAGAATGCGCTTACAGACCACCCTGTTGCAATTATTGGAACCAGAGAGTATATATTCTCAGAGAATATCGGTATTCTAGGAGACATAGCAGCAGGCAAAGAACAAACCTTTGGAACTCTTTATGCGCGTACGCTAGCTCAGGTGGGAGGAAAACTCCATTACGGCCACCCTGATTTTTTGAATTCCATTTTCATGAGTACAAGGGGAGGTGTTTCAAAGGCTCAAAGGGGACTTCATTTGAACGAAGATATCTATGCTGGTATGAATGCATTAATGCGTGGAGGAAGAATAAAACATAGTGAGTACATGCAATGTGGGAAAGGTCGTGATTTGGGATTCACTTCTATTCTGAATTTCATTACCAAAATTGGAGCTGGTATGGGTGAGCAGATTATTTCAAGAGAGTATTACTTCTTAGGCACTCAACTTCCTCTAGATCGATTCTTGTCATTTTACTATGCTCATGCTGGCTTTCATTTGAACAACGTTTTCATTATCTTGTCGATTCAGCTATTCTTATTGGTGGGAATTAATTTAGCGGCTTTGACTAAAGAATCAGTGTTGTGCAAGTATGACAGGGACATTCCTTTTACTGATAGAAGGGAACCTGTAAACTGCTTAAACTTAATTCCTGTGATCAGATGGCTCGAAAGATGTATTTTCTCCATTTTTGTGGTGTTTCTCATTTCATTTGTTCCATTGGGAGTCCAAGAGCTAACCGAGCGAGGGGTTTACAAATCTCTTGTCCGCTTAAGCAAACATGTTCTTTCCATGTCCTCAATGTTCGAAATTTTTGTTTGCAAAGTTTATTCTCACGCCTTAATAACGGATCTCAAAGTTGGTGGAGCGCAATACATTTCTACTGGAAGAGGGTTTGCAACAAAAAGGGAGAAATTTACCGACATCTTTTCACGATTGGGTTACGTCTCATTGAAAACAGGCGTCTTCAATATTTTATTGATTACATTTATTTCCATACATTTATGGAGTCCAGCTTTTGTCTATTTCTGGATAACAATTCTTGGTCTTGTTATGAGTCCGTTCCTTTACAACCCCAATCAGCTTCAATTTGATGCCTTCTTCATCGATTACTTAAACTTTTTGAGGTGGATGTTTGTTGGAAGCAAGAACAAGGCATTTTCATGGGCAACATTAACAAGAAGAGAGCGAACCCAATACACTGGGATGAAGAAAAAGAGAAGTCATGCAACGGCGCTCAGCACACAAGAAAGAGTCAGACCATCAAGACGAAACTTGATTGCATCAAGTCTTTTACCAAAATTGTTTGTTACTGCTGCGATTACTACAACTTATCTATTCCTCAACGCTCAAAGTGGGTTAAGTAATCGTTACCCTACCTTGGCATTCCAGAGAATAATCATAGTAGCACTTATTCCACTTGCTTTCAACGCCATCATCTTGGTCACTTTTTTCGTCATTTCAGCTATAACGGGACCGATCATCACTCTTGCCTTCAAAGACTATGGATCATTTGTTGCCTTCTTTGCTCATGGCTTTGCAGTGATGATGTATATTGTCAGCTTCGAGTTTCTTTGGTACTTCCAGAATTTTGATGTCAGTCAAACTATAATTGGAGTTGCACTGGCCATTCTGTTTCAAAGCTGCGTGATCGAGATGGTAACTATAATGTTGTCAAGAGAATTTCGAAACGAAGCAGCAGATCATGCTTGGTGGTCTGGTAATTGGATTAAAGCAGGATTCAGATGGAGAATCCTAAGTCAGCCGCTCAGAGAGGGTGTCTGCAAGTTTATTGAGATGGAGCATTTTGTGGCCGATTTGTTTGTGGGCCATGTCATCTTCTATCTTCAGATTCCGATCCTCCTTATCCCACTTTCAAACACATGGCACACGATGATGCTCTTTTGGATGAAACCAGGTGACTTGTTGAGGCAGAGAGTGCCATCAAAAAGAAACCACAGGAAACAAAACATCAAAGTGATATTCTCTATTGTTCTCTTCATAGTTGGACTTAGCATGATCATGTCGTTGATAATGGTACCCAAGATACTCATTGAAGGAGAGATCGTGGACATTAGAAGCTATGTACCGCTGTACATTGATCAACTAAAGCAGCCGATTCATCTTGATTCCAGGAAGAAAGGCTTGCACAAAGATCTTTATTACAAACGCTCATGATAGGATATTTGTGAAGCTTTGTAATAAGTGAGGCAGTTGGTCCTCTACAGTATTGAGCAAACCAGAAATCTTTTGGCTCGAACACATTTGCAAGGAGATTTTATACCTAGCAAGAGACAGAACTGCTTCAAGCCTTTCAAGCAACTGAGTTGGTTTAACCAAGTTACTTAGCAAACCATAGGTTCCCGAGTCAATGAAGAGTTCTAGAAATTCAGGTTCAATGTCACCAAGCTCTAATATGTCCAGTTTGCTCAACTCTAAGATTGGCTTGAATGCTCGTGCTCTAACATCTGGCAGAAGGTGGTCCAAGACCCTCAACTTCAGCATGGCTGGCCTCTCCACAAACGTAATATTTGTGGACAGCTTCGACAGCTGTTTAGCCGGCCTATCCAGAAAAAGCTCTTCTGACATCTTTTCGACCAAGATCAGGTTTGCTGGCTGTCTGACTTTGGGCACAGTAGGAGGATCCACAATCGTGGCATACTTCTCTGGCAACGAATCCACCACTTCTATGGGGATCTGGCTCCCATTTAATGAAGACTTCAATTTTTTTGAGGCCTGCAACTGCGAATGATCAAGTAGTGAATTGACCTCTGCCAACTGTGTTCTGGCAACTTGATTTGAAGATGAGATTCTCAACACCTCACCTAGACAAGTTGCAGCTAACGTGATCTGACCCAATGCTCTGGCTGCTAATGCCTTCCGATATAACAACTTCTCCTCTATATTTGATGTTGGACTCCGTTCTAATCCTTCCGTGCAATCTTCCAATGCTTTCTTCCAATTTTTCAAGTTGATGTAACATTGAGCACGATTTGAGAACAAAACGGCATCCGTAGGATCCTGAGCAATTGCATGACCATACAATTCGGCAGCTTTCCCGTAATCCTTCTCAAGAAATGCAGCTTTTCCTTTTTCCTTCAGGTCATTCATCATCTCAGTAGTGTCTGATTCCTCAGCACTTGCCAGTAGTCTGGAGTAGTCGCACTTCAATTCTTTAATCAATAATCGTGCACTTCTAAAAAGATACCCATGTCCCAAGAATTACAAGAAGAGATAGATGCAATCGAAGCCATTTATCCTGAGAGTGTCCAATCGTTAGCTTCTGAGATCTTCAACTTTACCATTCCCAACCATGAAGAGGTAAGTATCCAAGTAAGTTTTCCAGCAAAGTATCCAGATGAAAAACCCAATTTGATCCAGGTCTTCACCCGCAATACGATTTTATACCCAGATAACAAGTACATTGAGGAGCATGTTTTACAAATAATGGATCAGATATATAATGAAGGTGAAGTTCTAGTGTTTGAACTTCTCGGAGAGGTTGATCAGTTCTTGGAGCAGTACGAACTGGAACATGCGGAGGAAATTCAGAAATTGAATGAGAAGATCGAACAACTTCATGTTCAAGAAGCGCAGATGAGAGAAAAACAGAAGAGAGAAGCTAAGAAAGCTCCAGCTCCAGTTAGTGAAGCAAGGGAGATAGACTATACAAAAGGGTGGATTCAATCTGATCCAATAGTGGACAGAGGCTCAACATTCATAGCGTATGCACGAGAAGTTGAGTCGGTCGAAGAAGCCAGACATTATTTCGATCTTTTGACTTTGGATCGGAAAATCTCAAGGTCAGCACACAACATGAATACGTGGAGAATCAAAGGCGCCAAAGGTGTGTCGTACCAGGACTGCGACGACGACGGGGAAACGGCAGCAGGTCTGAGAATGCTACATCTTCTTACGGTATGTTTCATTATGCTTTGTTGACAACAGTCAACCCTCCATGCTATACTAACTATGCAGATTATGGATGTGTGGAATGTCATGGTCGTGGTCAGCAGATGGTTTGGAGGAACGCATCTCGGCCCCGACCGATTCAAGCACATAAATGCCGCCACTCGAGACGTGCTCATTAAAGGAGGCTTCTATGATGACAGCTCAAAGAAGAAGAAGTAAGAAGAGGACGTCATCAAGACGACTTTTTCTTCTTTTTCTTACTACCCTCATCGTCACTCTTTCGCTTTTTATCCTTGCGCTTCTTGTCCTTATTGCTTTTGCTCATTATACTGTCGAGAAACTTGCTAGCTTCTTGTTTTACATCCTAGTGGTTAGTGGTGAAATGGGTGAGAAGGAAACTGGAAATACATACTTTAGAGACTTCTGGTTTAGGCAGCTCTTCCTTTTCGGTTTCAGAATCATCCTGTGGTGCCGTCATTGACGCTATACTACCGTATCCAACAGACTGAACTTTGATAGCACTCTTAACATTTCTTTGCACAGCAGCCCGATTGGGAAGAACCCACTCTGAAGAGTCCTTAACTTTTTTAATTTCCACTTCTTGGGCCCTCTTTTGATCTCTTTCCTGTGCTTTCTGCATGAACTTCATGTTCATGACATTGCTAGAGAGTCCGGCCATACTGGATTTGGAAGTAGTAGTTAATTATCATATCAGTGGAATCTAGTGATATTGGCTAGCTAAACACCCGTACCTCTTTATAGGTAGGAAGATTCGAGAGGCAGTGAAGAGAATGCCTTTGAACAGACAATAGGAAGTGATTAAAAACTCTGACGCTTTTATTTCTCTGAAATATCTCCCTCAGTTTTGCTCTTCCCCTCTTAGTCATTACTCTATACATTTTTTTTTTGGATGGGAATCAATCCTGTCATATAAACGCACTGCACACAACCACACTCATCGCATCTCCATCACTGAAAAATCACCATAGTTAATTTCTTCTCACTCAGTATACGCCATGAAATCCGACTTCAAACTTTCCAACTTGATCGGAACGGTATATCGAGAAGGTAACCTAGTGTTTACACGCGATGGTACCCAGCTCCTAAGTCCAGTGGGAAACAGAGTTTCCTGCTTCGACTTGATCAATAATAAGTCATTCACCTTCAACTACCAGCACCGCAAGAACATCGCCAGAATTGCATTGAACAAACAGGCTACTATGATGCTCACAGTCGACGTTGACGGCAGAGCCATTTTGGTGAACTTCATGTCTCGTGTGGTACTTCATCACTTCAATTTAAAGGGAGTGGTTCATGATCTTCAATTCAGTCCAGACGGCCACTACTTTGCTGTGGCAGTTGATAGATACGTGCAAATATGGAAGACACCTGACCAGACCGAGGATAGGCAGTTTGCCCCCTTCGTGCGTTACAAAAACTACGCTGGCCACTACAATGATGTGATTTCGCTCACATGGTCTGCGGATTCGAGATTTGTCATTTCAACATCAAAGGATCTCACGGCGAGAATCTACTCATTGCATTCGGAAGATAAGGATGCTGCAGTAACGCTCACAGGTCACAGAGACTATGTGATGCGTGCATTTTTCAACGAATCCCAAGAAATCATTTACACTCTCAGTAAAGACGGAGCATTGTTTGAATGGCAGTATATTCTGCAAGACAGTGATAGTGAAGATGAGCAGGAAGATTCTGATGAGGAAATGAGTAATGACGATGAGGACGAAGACGGGAAAAGCAATGTTGAAAAAATCGATAAGTCGAAGTGGACCATCACCTCGAAGAACTATTTCCACATGGAAGGTAACAGAGTTAAGTGCGCCGACTTTCATTCCACCAGCAACATCATGGTTGTGGGATTCACCAACGGTGAGTTCAGATTGTACGAGCTTCCCGATTTCAACTTGATTCAGTCGCTCAGCATGGGCCAGAATGCCGTGGATACTGTGACCATCAACAAGTCCGGAGAATGGTTTGCATTTGGATCTTCAAAGGCTGGACAGTTGCTTGTGTATGAATGGCAGTCTGAATCGTATATTTTGAAGCAACAAGGCCACTTTGACCGCATGAACGCCTTGTGTTACTCTCCAGACGGATCCAGAGTGGTGACGGCATCAGATGACGGAAAAATCAAGGTTTGGGACATCAACTCCGGGTTCTGTCTCATGACATTCACCGAACATACATCTTCCGTGACAGCGGTCGCATTTGCAAAGAAGGGCCAAGTGATGTTCTCGTCGTCCATGGATGGAACGGTGAGAGCTTGGGATTTGATCAGATTCAGAAACTTCCGTACATTCACAGCTCCCGAGAGAGTGCAATTCAACAGTTTGGCTGTGGATCCTAGCGGAGAAGTTGTTGTGGCCGGATCGCAGGATGAGTTCGACATCTACGTTTGGTCTGTGCAAACAGGAGCCTTGTTAGATACTTTGGGGGGCCACGAAGGTCCGATTTCATGTTTGGCATTTGGAACTGAAAACTCTGTTTTGGCGTCCAGCTCTTGGGACAAAACCATCAGAATATGGAACATTTTCAGCCGTAGTCAGCAGGTGGAGCCTATTGAGGTTGAACACGATGTTTTGGCATTAACAATGCGTCCCGACTCGAAGGAGATCGCAATCAGTACATTGAACGGCTACCTTTTGTTCTTCGATACCGAAGAGGCAAAGCAGACTCACACGCTAGATATCAGAAAGGATGTTTTTGCTGGTAGACACTTGGAGGACCGTTTCGCAGCCAAAAACTCTGCCAGATCCAAAAACTTTACCACAATCGCCTACTCATTTGATGGACAAGCACTCATTGCCGGAGGTAACAACAACAGCATTTGTCTTTACGACATCGCCGACGAGGTTTTGTTGAAGAGATTTGTGGTTTCAGAAAACATGACATTAGATGGAACCTTGACCATGTTAAACAGTAGTAAAATTACCGATGCCGGAATTTCTCTGGACTTGTTGGATAGACAAGGTGAAAACAGTGATCGTGAAGATCGTGTGGACCTGAGCTTACCAGGATCTCACCGAGGTGACCCCAGCGTTCGGAATCTTCGACCACAGATCCGTGTGACCTCATTAGAGTTTTCTCCATCATCGTCTGCATTCGCAGCCGCATCTACAGAGGGACTTTTGATCTATTCTACAGACAACACGGTAGTGTTTGATCCTTTCGACTTGGATATTGACGTTACCCCTGCGGGTGTTCATGAATGTTTGCACGAAAAGCAATATACTCATGCATTGGTGATGGCCTTCAGATTGAACGAACAATACTTGTTGGACAAAGTCGTGGAGAGGATCCCACCTAAAGATATTCAGCTTGTAGTTGGAGATTTACCGGAGATTTACGTGAACAGACTTCTCAAGTATTTGGGAGAGAAATTGAACCGGGCAGACGGAAGTCATCACATTGAATTCAGTTTGATTTGGGTGAAGGAGACCTTCAACAGACATGGCCGGTACATTAACAGCCACAAATTTGAGATGCAACCTAATGTTAGACTTATTCAGAGATTTTTGGCTAGAGTGGCTAAAGATGTTGTACAGGTTAGCAAAAAGTCTGGATATCTCCATAGTTATTTGGTTGCAGATCATGAGGTGGAGGAAGAAGAAAAAGATAGAGAAGAAGAAGCAAATGGAGTTAATGGACATGAAGTGTACGAAGACAGTGACATTGAGGCTGAAGACGATACCCACAAAAGTGACACTGAGGAATACGAGGAGTGGCACGGTATGGACGAAACAGATATGACATCCGACAGCAGAAAAATCACCCACGATCAATTTGCCGAGTCGGACAGTGACATGGAAGACTAGCATATAGGAACCCCCCAACTTTTTCGCAACATTGTAGCTGTATTTTTCCGGACCTCCCCGCCCCATTGGCATTTGCCCCACCACTCACGCTGCCTGCATAAACCGGTCCATGCATGTTGCATGATGCACTCGAAGAGTGGTGAGACTCACCAATTTGTGTGGAGGAAGGGGAATTTATACGAGCGGGGTGGGATATTCCGAATATCACCCCCACGGCGACGGGACCAGTCACGGAAAAAATATGGGGTAAACCGTCACCACAAAACCCCATTGGACACTAGCCACTATTGACAAACAAAATAAGATTCGAAATGTCTGGATGCAGCGAAGGTCCTGTTCCTAAAATGGAGATTGCAAAAAAATGCAGGAATCATTGACGACAGGAGAGTTTAAATGCCCACAAAGTGCAAAGCCTACCATAGCCAGCCTCACCCCACTAAGGACAACATATATTGACAATATTTGCGCTACAGATTGTTGTTCTGGCAACTTCCACAGAACAATGGCTCATTCTGCAATCGAGGGTTAAAATAGCAATAGCCTGACCTAAATTATTATTTAGTTTTGCAAATATACAAATGTTCGCTGGCTATTAGTACTAGTCATGCATAGACATGTGAAGTGCAGGGGAACACACCACCAGGATAAATTGGCACGGAAAAAAATCGAGAGAACTTACCAATCCAGAGTTGAGAGCTTAGAGCACCACATTGTACACCGTTTTATTCTGGCATAAATGCACCACATGGTTAAACCAATTCATACAAGAATCCTGTACTTTTAAGTTGACCTTATTTAGTCCATACCCCCACCCCCCAAAAACCAAACGTAGCTCTCTTATCTGTGGTGTACGGGTGTTCTTTCCCCATTTAACCCCGACTTTCCAGCATGACTGGGGTTCCACCATATAATTATCCACTGTCCCCCCTTTTTTTTCTCTCAAACCTCCCCCACAAAAAGTTTCTGAAATGACCAGAGACATCCAAAACCACTTGCTTTTCGAGGTGGCGACCGAGGTCGCCCACAAGGTCGGCGGTATCTACTCGGTGCTTAAGCTGAAGGCCCCAATCACTGTTGCTGAGTACAGAGAACGCTACACCTTGATTGGTCCATTGAACTACGAGTCCGCCCAAATAGAGGTGGAGGAAATCCCCTTGGCAGACCCCAAAATCAAGGCGGCGTTGGATAGCATGAGCGAGCGGGGAATCCGCTGGTTGTATGGGCGTTGGTTGATTGAGGGTGCCCCTCGGGTGTTGCTCTTCGACATCTACTCAGCCAATGGCATGCTCAACGAATGGAAATCTGATTTGTGGAACATTGCTGGTATCCCTACTCCTGACCATGACTCGGAGACCAATGATGCCATTTTGTTGGGTTACTTGGTTGCGTGGTTTTTGGGCGAGTTGGTTTACCACGACAGGGAAAGAGCCGTCATTTGTCACTGTCATGAGTGGCTTGCTGGTGTTGCATTGCCGCTTTGCAGAAAGAGAAGAATCGATGTTACCACCATTTTCACCACCCATGCCACTTTGCTTGGTCGGTACTTGTGTGCTGGTTCCAGCGATTTCTACAACAATTTGAAGAACTACGATGTGGATGCAGAGGCCGGAAAGAGAGGTATTTACCACCGTTACTGTATTGAGCGGTCAGCCACCCATTCCGCCGATGTGTTTACCACGGTTTCTCACATCACCGCTTATGAATCCGAGCATTTGTTAAAGAGAAAACCCGATGGAGTTTTGCCCAACGGTTTGAATGTGGTCAAATTCTCGGCCGTGCACGAGTTCCAAAACTTGCACGCCATCAAAAAGGAGAAAATCAACGAATTCATCAAGGGCCACTTCTACGGAAACTACGACTTCGACTTGGATAACACATTATACTTTTTCATTGCAGGCCGTTACGAGTTCCGGAACAAGGGTGCCGACTTCTTCATCGAGTCCTTGGCTCGTTTGAACTACCGTTTGAAGCAGGCAGGCTCCAAGATGACTGTGGTGGCTTTCATCATCATGCCCGGCAAAATCAACTCTTACACTGTGGAAACCTTGAAGGGTCAAGCCGTGGTCAAGCAATTGGAGAGCACCATCGCTGAGGTGCAGAAGAAGATCGGTGAGCGTTTGTTCGAGCACTGTGCTAGATTCCCTAATGAGAACAACGTCAACCTGTCTCACGGCAAGGAAGTTCCTCTGATCGACGAATTGATCAGACCAGCAGACAGAGTCTTGTTGAAGAGAAGAATTTTCGCATTGAAGAGGGACGGTTTGCCTCCAATTGTTACCCACAACATGACCGACGATGCTACCGACCCAATCTTGAACCACATTAGAAGAGTGGAGTTATTCAACAAGCCTGAGGATAGAGTGAAGATCATCTTCCACCCTGAGTTCCTTAATGCAAACAATCCTATTTTGTCATTGGACTACGAGGAGTTTGTTAGAGGTTGTCACTTGGGTGTTTTCCCATCTTACTACGAGCCATGGGGCTACACACCAGCCGAGTGTACTGTGATGGGTGTTCCTTCCATCACCACCAACTTGTCCGGATTTGGATGCTACATGGAAGACTTGATCGAGAACACCAGCGACTACGGTATCTACATCGTCGACAGAAGGCAGAAGTCTGTAGATGAGTCTATCAACCAATTGGTGGACTACATGTTCGACTTCACTGAGAAGACAAGAAGACAAAGAATCAACCAAAGAAATAGAACGGAGAGACTCTCAGACTTGTTGGACTGGAAGAGAATGGGACTTGAGTACATTAAGGCCAGACAGTTGTCTTTAAAGAGAGCTTACCCAGACAAATTCAAGAACGGCAGCAACCCATTCCTGAACTCGCTGAACTTGAAGTTGACCAGGCCATTGTCGGTGCCAGGATCCCCACGTGGAAAGGTTGGCTTGATGACTCCAGGCGACTTGGGCTCGTTGCAGGAGGCTGCTCAATCCTTGGAGACTGATGATTACATCGGTTTCAAGTTGGGTGACAACGAGGATGGCGATGACGAAGAGACACCTTACCCATTGACATTGAGAGGGACCTCTGCCCCACCACAGGACAACTAGGCCTGTGCACTACACCTTCATTAAACTTTATATTTGTTCTTAATTCACTTTTTTATACAAAAAAGCAGACGGTAATTTACATAGACGATAAGTGAGAAAGCCACCGAAACAAATCCACTCTCCTGTATCACATTTCCAACCAACTAGTCCAACAAAGTCGTGTACCCACCAAATGATTGGGTTTTCAACTTCTCAACACTTTCCTACTACCACAAATCAGATCCTTAAAATGGTATGTCCAGCCTCCAGTTTGTTCAATTTAGTCATTACTAACTCCCCTAGTTGCCCTTATTTATGCTAACCAGCATCAAAAACCAAGAAATCCTTGTTGAATTGAAGAACGGCGAGACAGTGTACGGAAAATTGACCAACTGTGACTCGTGGATGAATTTGACCTTGAGTGATGTCGTCTTCAACTACAACAACGGAGACAAGTTCACCAAAATGCAAGAAACCTATATCCGTGGTATCCACATAAAATCGCTTCGGTTGCCTGATCTGGTATGTGTTATATTCTATTCGTCCAAATTTAAGTATGTATACTAACAAAAACAGGTGATGGATCATGCTAAGGAGCAGAACATGTTGAACATGGAGCAGAGAAACAGAAACCAAAAGAGAAGAGGAGGTTTCCAGAGAAGAGATGGAGGCCGTGACCAGCGCAACAACGGAAACTTCAGAGGAAATGGAAGAAGAAACTACAATGGTAACTAGGCCATAATGTGGTGATTGGCATTGATTGCATGGGGATCAGATACTGACATTACGATGAAGTCAGAATTTTTCATTTTTTTTTTAGAGCTTTTTGCATCATGATGTAATATACGGAATAAGCTGGGACTGCGATTTGTACCTTAAACATACTCATATTCCTCAGTTAGTTAGAAGTGCATTAGCTTCAATAAGTTTCGCTTGAATTGCTTCTAATTTCAATCGCTTTATCTTTAATTGATCATAACTCTAAACAGCTGTTTGCTTTGATTACGTTTCCTAGTAATTAAACTCCCAATTGCTTGTCAATTTCTCAGTCTTCACCTCATCAATCTTCTAACATTTACGAAGCACCCTATGGCTCCCAGCAGATATACTTCGATTGAAAATGTTCCTGCCATTTTCCCTGTTATAAAGTACGGCAAGTACAAAGGTAAGTCAGACACCCGAGCTCAACGATGTTTGCACACCTCATGTAACGAACGAAGATTTCCGTGTCGATACTGCAAAAGCCTACCGTACGAGCTGTCCAAATTGAAAACAGAACGCAAGCCTGAAGAGCTGGCCCGTCTCGACAACAAGTTGGGATTTATTCTAGACCTTCTGGTCAAGTCTCCAGAAATGGACAAATATGAAGCCCAAGTGCGGCCGTATATAACAATCCGGTCACTGTCACTCGTAAGAGCACGAGAGCAGATGAATCGATTGGCTAGCATGTTCAGGACTGGACAGTTCACGTCCACACAGATGTACCTTCGTGAACCTCGAAGTCAACTCCGACTATAACCATACCACCCAGAACGCAATCTTCCTGAGCAACACGCCTACAGTGAATATGGTCCCCATACGTCCAATTGACTTTCCGTTGGTTCGTTTCAGTGGACTATTACGCCCACGACACTGTCCAGCTCTTCAAATTGTCTCTGTACTTGATCTCGTTGATGAGCCCATTTGTATCCTTGTACTCTTCGGAATCCATGCGGTGATCCACATTCTCAATGTCTTTCTCCATCTCTGTTCGGCACGTCTGTCCGTTGGACTTGAAGATGTCATCCACGATCTTTTCTGGCGAATACTTAAGCAACGAATGTAACTCCGGGTCCCATGTGCTTTCCAACACACGTCTGTAAAGTCTGCTGATGGTGGGATCCACAATAACGTTGTCAAAGGTCCCCGTGCCAAAGTTGGCATCGTCAGGTTTACCCAGGGCCGATTTCTGTCGGTCTGAATTTGCTACTGACTCTTCGTCACTAGAGTTCCCCTGTTTCGTCCGAGGCTGGTTCTTCTGCATGACACCCTCTAGTCCTCCAAACACCGCTTGCCGTTGGAACTGCGGCACGTTGAATGAGCGAGTGTTGGAATCCGTGGTTTTCGAAATTTTCAGCAGGGAACCACTCACAGTGGTTTGACCACTAGTCTTGGAGTCGTCAATGCGCAATTGCGTGTGGAACTCGTAGTCAGAGGGCAACTCGTCAAGGCCCAATGTCAAGCTCAAGAGCGAGTTGATTTTGGAGTTCTGAAGCAAATGCTTGGTGGTGACCGGCTCATCAAAGTTCAAGTACTCGGACAAATTCAACTTCACCGTACCCAACTCCACCAGGTTGTGGGAGGATTTGGTCTTATCTACCACATAATACACACGCAAGTTCAAGAACTTGGGTCCAATCATGTCCTCCCGTTTCTTGACAGCAAACTTGAGGTTGCACGATAATTTATAGTTGAAAGAACACTTGAAGTTGTGAATTTTGCGTCGTGAAGTGCGGACATGAATGTTACCTGAACTGGACGAAACCAGACTGCTTGAAGAGTCTGTAGAAGCCGTGGATGACGCTGTTCTAGTCTTGGAAGCTTCATCGGAGGCTCCGGAACCTGTTGACTTGGTTACTGGCTTCAACGAACTAATGGCAGCACGAAATCCGCTCTGATGGCCATCTCCGATAAGAACGTCCACATAGCAGTAGCCGGATGTGTGAGGAATATTGGAGAGGTCGTTGATGGCGAAATCAAATCTGAATTTTGGTTTTTTGCTAACCATGGGGAAGTGTATGAGTGAGTGTATTTTGTATTGAGAAGATTGCGGGTATACAGAAGTATTGTGTATGTATTGTATGGAAGCAAGTAATCATTAATTTAATAAAGGAAGTTAATTTTGGAGAATACTTTACTTCTTTTCCATTTTTTCGAACAATTACGAAGTGTAGGTTTTGATTTGTGTGTTGCTAATTGGTTTGGTATGTGATTCCACCTGGGTATAAATTAAGGTTGAAACTGCTGGCTCTTCGTGTTTCAAGGTATAGCGGGTAAGAAGTGTGTTTATTGCGGGCCGAGAGTTGGCGATTTTTAAGAATTAGTCTTGAATAGTTTAGTTGTTGAGGTGGTGAAGTAGAAATAATGATGCAGTCAAGATCATTGGCACTCGAGCGTTGGCAATAGATCAGCATTGATTAAGCATTGGGATGACAGGCATTACCACATGGATGATTTCACAGCAATGTTTGAAGTAAGAGGATCTTAGAAATTGATAATCCTTTGTCATTTCTTGCTATCTTTTGACAAATGCATTAACAGCTGGTCACATTGAAAAGTTCGACTATTTAAAACAAGAAGGAAATGATCAGCAAATTCAGCGTCTGTCTTATCTACTTGCTCAAAATCAGAAACTTATAGGCCAGTGAGCCATAGCGATTCCTTACACTTTCATTAGAGTTGTGCTCGAATTCCTCTCTAATGCAGCTAGTACATTTCTATCGAATCATGGCCAGTGTCACTTTCACCAGTTCTCACTTCATCCATTGCTAACTCAGTCCATCAAGCTCTCAGGTCATCAACCTTCAAAAGGTATATTCCAGTCCCGTAGACTTTATTTCGTTACTCTATGGTGTCATAAATCCAGCACTTCTCTCATTTCTGTTATTCATTTCTGTTTCTCATCTCACCCTCAGAGGTTGTTTCATAATGCTATCTAGTAGGAAATTGAAATTCTAAGGTCAGTATAGTTGTGATTAAACATAGACAAAATGAATACCGATGTGCCTTTGATTCATAGTAATTGGACGCCACTTAGATTCGTTAATGGAAATCAATGCGTGGAAAACTTTCAGTTTCATCCATTCTCTCTCTTCTTGCCTAAATTAATGCACAATTCTTCAGTAATTGACATCTCTTCTAACATTTCATATTCTCATAGTACATTACGGAGTTTGTATTTCCCAAAAATTGGCCCATATTCCACCTTCGCATACTTTACCGGATTTTACTTCAGCTCATAACTTTCTAGTCTTTCCTCATATCCATAGTTCTTAAAGCTACTCTAATTCCAATTTATGCTTCCTCACCTTTTCTTCTGAGTCAGCGAATGAATAGTGGCTTACGCGTAACCCTAGACGCAGTAGCTAGGCACCAGGCACTAGCGAGGAAATACGCCAAAGTTGGCCGATTGCGGAGGAATTCATGGAATGCGTGTTTATGAAACCACCACAGGCTCAATCAAACAATTGTTTATTACACCATACTCAGTTTATCTCATAACACGCATGAAAGTAAAGTCAAGTTACATAACCAATATAGAAAAACAAGTTTGTAGAGCTCAAAAACTATAACTAATCTTCTTTAAAGTATATGATCTAGATCTGCAATAGCCGGACTATATCTTCTCTATATCTCCTTGTTTATTTCCTCAGTTTCTGCCATAGATCCTCTAAATTTCTTTCAAAAATATCCAAAATATCTTTGAATCATCCTAATGATTCACTAATTATCTTCCAAATACCAAACAAGACCCAACTAATCTACTACACATCTTCCTGTTAAATCCACCGTTTGCATATATACCTTCTCTCGCAGCCAGTTTCACTGGCCTATCTGCCACATGTACGTGCCCGCCTTGAACACCGATGTCACCTTCACATTCCATCAACTTAATTTACCTGCAATTCCAACAACTTTTCTTTCTTGTAATGGATTTCTACATCTCATACTCATTCTCTACCTATCACGTTATTTTACATTCTCCTTCCTTTCCACCTTTCACTTATTGCCTGATATGTTTCTCCAATATTGTATTGTTCCTTCGTTAGCCCTGCAGGCACTAGACGGTCAACAATAGGCTAAAACTAACGGACTATTTGAGATCCCATGCGACACGTCTCCTAGTGGCAAAATTCCTGAGTGTCCGCCATTTGTTTCTGGTCAATTCATCAATTTCCAATTTTTTTCAGCTCAAAATAGCCCAAAATCGCCAACTATCTGCCATCCTCCTCCTCATATTCAAAATGTCTGACATGCAAGGCTGTGACGTATACAGTCTATGCAGTAGAAACACGAAATTCCACATGAAGCTAAACTTTCTCCATACTCCACCGTCATCAACAGCCTACCACGAATAGACTCCCAAATATTGTTCATTTAGCGTGGCATTATCTATTTTTTTCGGCTCATTTGCTACCTACTACCCCACTACCTCAAGTTATTGTCTCCACTTATTCCTGGAGCAGTTAGTCATTGCTGGAAGTTACTCTCAGCGACATATCCCGTGAAAGTTGTGTTTACATCCCCTTAGCCACAGCTAAGGCTCCACCCTGCTACAAATGGCCGCTGCGTACCCGCTGGCCGGCGGTTCCACCCGAGACATCCAGCCCCTGGATCCGGACTCGCTCAATCTAGACGATTTCAAATCCCTCCATGTGTCAACACCCATCGAGTCCACAAAATTCGCCTTCATCAGCATGCTTTTATCCCGAGTGTTGAACCTCAAGTCTGATACGCTTCTACTAGAATGTTCCACCACAGAGCCACCCGCGCTGCTCAGAAACAAGCCGTCGCCAGAGCTTCTTCCTCAAATAGCGATGCCTCCTGACCTATGGCTAATTCCCGAGCTCGTCATCCGAAATGCCGTGCTCAAGGCTGCAATCTTGCGTGAAGTTAACACCCTTCTTCTGCTGTATATCGAGTCGCTTCAGACCAACGAGCTTTTCCTTCTTGACGATGCGTTGATCGCCAGCTTGGAGAAACGCATTGCTGACAGTAATCTCGCAGTCTTTGCCTACAAGCATGAGCCAGAGCCGCTCTTTGACTCACTCCACGAGGTCGAGGAGTTTGAGGAGAATGACACCACCGAGGAGTACTCAGTTTTTCTGCGGCGCTCTGTCAGTGGAAACCACGAGCTGATGATGTCCAAAGCCAGCTCCAGACCCATGAGCACAACCAGCAGTAAAAACCTCCATCGTCTCTCCAGCTTCTCGCGAGAGTTTGTGGCCAACAAACGTAAATTCTCGTCGTTTTTGGGCCAGCATACGCTCTCTGAAGAGGACAGACTGACACTGCTGCCCACAACCCCGCTCCAAAACCTGCCGGTGTTGAATCCTCTGCCACAGCTACCGACTCCGACACCACACAAGGATGGTTCAGGGACGCAGGCACTCGCAAATGGACTCTTTAAGTCTCGTATTTATTCCAAGATTAAGAAAAGACGCGAACTGGCCAACTCGGTGGTCTCCACCACTACCAGTCTCAGCAGCATCAACAGCAGCCCGTCACTCAGACGCAAGTCCAACGCAGGCAACGCATTTGAGGCTGATTTTACTACTCCAGGGAAGGCCTCACCTCCACTCAACGAAATGCAAAGAATAGAGAACCAACGTCGGAAACATGAGTATTACCTCCAGACCAAGATGTTTGGGGAGCTCTCCAATGTGCTCACAGGATTTCTCGGCAAGTCGGGGCTGCGGGCCAACTTGATGCGGCTAATGGACTTTATAAAGAATTCGGTGTTTCGATTTATTCTTGTTGACATTTGTCAGATGATCGTGGATTATGGCCACTTCAAGCTTCTCTATGGGTCATGGCGAGACGCTAAGTAGTGACCAGCCATTTGGTGCAACTGATGTTGCCCACTCTAATATCGATGGACCCCTGTGGGTCTGATCTACGAATCCTAATGTTCTATGGCTGGTCCTCTGTACGATTAATTGTATTATGATAAACATGGTATTATCAGCACTCATTATATTGTCAGTACTTGATAATTCCATTCGAATCAACTTCCAGATTCCACTATGTAATTCAGAATTCTTCATTTCCGCTTCTTCAGCGTCTCTCCATCTCTCATATCTTTGATCTCTCAGATTCTATCTACTAACTCACTTGCAAGTGCTCAACATTTGCAGAATTACCGTAAGTAGCTGGTCGTTCTCACAAGCAGCAGCAACTCTCTCTTTGTCGTTCAACTGCTTGTTGACCTGGTTCTCCGACTGGTGGGTACCTTCTTTAATTAAAATACGAATACGGAATCTCGGAGGTAACGATCTCTCGAGGCGTACACGGATCCCAAGTCCAATCAACGTGGCCAACGAGCAGTGAGTAATGGTGGGCGTGATTTTGATCAATACCTCCGACATGTCGGTGGTCTTATTTGCTCCATGAGTGACGGTGATGTCTGGTAGGTTAACCACTGCCAACTGAGCCAATGTCAAGGGATGCTCAGGGTCTGAAATGCTAGCAATAAGGTCGAAGATCTCCTGAGCATCTATAGCGTCTTCCTCCTCTTCTTCAAGTTCGTCTTCCGTGGCATCTGTGTCATTATCAGATACTAATTCTGGAAGCTTGGACGAGGTAGATGTTGGTCTATGACGGAGCGAGAGCAGAGTGATTTTCTCCACAAGTTCCTGCTTGGCATCTTTCTGTTTGTATGTGTCTTCAAGTCGAGTGGGAAGATCCGACACATCAATGATGGTGGGGTTTGCGTTGATGGGATCCGACATTGCAAGATGAAGTGAGATTAGAAATCATTGATAATATGGAGGAGAAGAAGTAGGAAACAACTGGAGAAAAAGTAGGATTGCGAACGATAATCCAATACGATGTTTTGTTTTTTTTTGTCTTTTTTTTGACAGTAATCAGAATATGATGAAGTGGATTGAACTTGCAGAAACTCTTATAACTATGAAAATTGTGTGTTTACATCTGAGGTTTATAAATGGTTTACTTTATGAGTGAGCAAAATCAGGCCCATTAGTATTAGGGTGTGAAAGGATTGGGAATAAGAAAAAGAAATTATTAAAAGGACATCAATGATAATGAAATCAAATAATTTTCTCTACAAGTACCTCACATTTTACTAATCTAAACATTTATTCAAATTCAATTCGTCTAGCCTCTGTATCTCTGACCACTTACTACTCTATCAACCTGCACTCCACACCTTCAATCTACTACCACCATGGAATTCTATCCTTCATGCCAGACCCAGCAATTGGCCCCGGTCATTGCTCTATGTCTTGGCTCCGGTGATCATGTTGTCACCCTTAGGAAACACTTTGATGTAGCCAACATCGACGCTCGCATCTGGGACTCCAGCATGCTAAAGAACAGACTTCTGAACAACAAGTATATTCTCCGATACCACGAGTCCGAGCCCGAAATTGAGTCCACAATCTCGAGCTACAAAGCAAAGGTCCCTGGATCGCACTCGCTCATGTCACCTTTCAATAAGGCCTCCGATATCTTCCCCAATGGGATTCTCTCTCAGAAGTGGTTCTCCAAGTACACTCTGAAATTACCATTCGTGGTCATCTGCGTTTATACATTAGAAGATAAAGATGCCGACCAGCTGCTTGGAGAAGCCCTTCTCAATGCCCGGACAAAATATTTCGACATGGGCGTGCGATTTGTTGCGGTAATAGTTTCATCCAGCAAAGAGGTGGATGCAGATGCTGAGAGAACAGCAAATTTGCGCCAAATCTCTGGCCTTGCTCGTCTCTCGGGCCTTTTCTACTTGAATACTGCTCCGGAGACCCTCGATAGAGACTGTGGTGTGTTAACAAGCACACTCTTACACAACTTGAAAACCTCTGCGACAGACTTCTACTCAGCCATAGAGCACAAGGTTAGACAGCGCTACAGAAAGTACTACTCGTTCCCTGAGGCTGAGATTGATACGAAAATTTCATTGGATCCAAAATTTTTAGAAATCCGCAATTTAATCAAACAGGCCATGTTGACTCAGCTCATTCATCCCCACAACGTGGAGTCCAGTCTTTCCACATTGGAACAGGCTTACGAGCATTTGATAGACTTGATGCGAGAGCTCATGCCTAACTTTGCTGAACCATCGGTGTCACAACACGATGCTGCATTGTATAAGCAATTTCGTAATTTGCTAGATGTTCTAGCTATTCATCTCATACGTGGTTACATTTCCATCGAGGAGCCCGTAGCCGCATTAAGAAAGCATGATGCACATATTGCAAACGTCTTGGATGCCGTTTCGCTCTCTGAAGTTGATCAATCCATGTGGTTATCTATTCAGTATCATTGGCTAGCAGAACTTATGGTACAGGTTCCTGCCTCTGTTTTGTCCGACTTACACAAGATTGCAAAGGGAAAGAATAAGAATAATCAGAAGAGTATCGCCTACTATGGCGGTATATCGTTCCATGGTCAGTTCTTTTCCAGGGTGGTAACTGAGCCTTCTTTGTTATTCCTCAAGGCAGCGAAAAACTTGGATTCCGTGCAACTTTCTACCTCTTCTCTCACTTACTTGCAAGTGTACCCTGATCAAGCTGGCGTCTGCGAGTATAAGATTCGGCTTTTAGAGGCTGCCAAACTGAATGTTCAAGGGCCTTCTACAGGCAAAGATAAGGACCATATTTCATTTCAGGGATTGGTTAGTCTCCTCGAATGGCTTATTGGATGCGAGTATGAGAAGCTTGGCGACTATACGAGAGCCATTGAACACTTTCATGGAAGTGTTGAGGGCCAGAACACTCCTTGGGACATCGTAACGGGATCTGTCACCAGCAAAATTGTGGCAGCCGTGGCTCAAATTGATGACTCGCAAGAGTATTTGAGACAACTTGCAAAGCTTTCGCTATTGAAGTCCACTTCAAAACTCTCTCTTCCCCAGATGCAATTTCCGGAGTCTGAATATGAGGTGACAGTACTTGGAGGTAAGTTTTTGACTGTCGACCTCTTTGTCTTTGATCAAAACTTGAAAGGCGAAGCGCATGCTTTCGACACCGTGACTTCGCAATTCATTTTCAACTCCAATTTCGACACTTCCCTCTTGAAGAATATGTTTTCAGACAGTGAAGTCAAGATACTCATTGAGAAGTTGGAGGTACATCTCGGGGAAAGAGGTGTGGTGACTTTGACAAGTAGTGAATCTAGCAAAGAGGACCTTGAGATTTTGAGAATCGAACTGAGCGAACATTCGTTAACACTTGGGGATTTAACAAAGCAACGTATACTTCAATTACAAGATGTTGTTACGGACTCAGGCTGGTACACTGTTAATAACATCGATGTTCAAATGAAAGTGGTGTTGAAATCTCCAACAAAATCTATTAATTTCCTCCATTCTGAGTCGCATGAGTTTGACGATCAAGAAATCATCCATTCTAAAAAGATTTTCAGCAAGAACGAAAAGTTAGAGTCTCGCCTAGTCCGTGTGGATTCTCGAGGTGCGAACCGAACAATGATCTTACCTTATCGACCAGATATTGGCATGAAGATGTCATTTCCATTCGCAACGATAATTGTTGGAGAGGTTCTTGAGATTCTGTTTGAAATCTCGCATAAAAAGACTCAAGTACAATCCATGAATTTCTCATCAGTATCCTTGCAAGCACAGACCAAGGTAGTGGAAAATGAATTTGAAAAAGATGATTTGCCAGTTCAGACAAACTGGGAGCAATTAAAAGATGATGAGCCATTGCCAATTTTGCAGGAGATAAACTCAGATCAAGTATCCTTCAGCAGATCGTTACGCATGTCAATAAGAAAGCCACCAGGCGCACTGTCAACGCAGGGTAACTTACGTGTTGTTTTGGAGGTTCAGATGTTGGTCACAGAATCTACTGGTGTAGTTTCTATCTATGAACTTGAAACGTATCTGTTGCCTATCGTTGTGGAGCCATTTGGCAGTCTGCTTTCAGTGAGTCCTAATTGCAATGCTAAAGGTGAATTAGAAATGCCTAACCCATTTATTCTTGGCATAGACTCTGGAAACCCCAGCAAAGATTATTCGATGCCTCTGCCTTCTAGAACGTGGCGTGCTGATATTGCTATTGATGATAAGTTGAAATTAATTGAGGCGGGGGATATGGAGCTTCTCAAAGCACACCTCAACTTGAAGAGCAACAACGCTGAGATCGTCGTTGAACCAGTTGAGGAAACGGTTACTACCAAAGACTTGGTGAGCCAGCTTTTTGTTACGAAAAGTAAGCACAGGTTCACGGACCGAAACGTCACGGTGGTGGCTCAAGCAAATTTTGAATGGAAGAGAAAGGGTACTGATTTGGTGAATGTGTACGAAACAGATGAATGGGAACTCCTGCTTCCGTTGCAAGATCCTCGGATTTTGCTTCAAGTGACGGATATTGATGCTCAGAACATGCGATTAGCCTACACGATTGAAAATCCTACTCCTCGAATTCTCACTTTTACAACAACATTGGCAGTGGACGGAGCTGCTTTGCAGGGTACCAATTGGCTGTTCGAAGCGTCTCGGAACCTTTTGCCTACTAAGCAATCTGCATTCCCAGTATTACCCTTCAGCCAATACCAAATGGTTTACTTGGGCCAGTACCAATTAGATGAAAAGGAGCAAGACATCCAATTGCCGCATCTACATGTCTATGACGTCAACTACAAGGTGAGTTTGCCCACGCTTCCACTTGATGACAAGGTGATTTCCGATAAACTGGCATTGTACATTAAAGGTACATAATCAGGCACATATTGGGGTCCACAATGCTTAGTTAACACCCAACAACTCAACATCAAACACCAAGGTGGCGTTTGGAGGAATCAAACCTGGGAAACCTCTTGGACCGTAAGCCTCGTGGCCTGGGATGGTCAACTTGGCCTGAGAACCCACGGATAACTTTGGAATACCAGTGTCCCAACCCTTAATCACCTGACCAACACCAATGGTGCACTGGAATGGCTTACCTCTGTCACGGGAAGAGTCGAACTTCTTGCCGTTCTCCAAAGTTCCAGTGTAGTGGATGGTGACGGTGTCACCGATCTTTGGGAAGGTCTTTCCGTCACCTTCCTGCACGATTTCGATCTGAGTAGTTTGTGGAGCGGACATTCTGAAGGTCGAAGAGAGTGGTCTGTTGAAATTGCAAAACTTGAACGATTGATTGACAAGACGAGTTCTGCAAGCAAGCATTTGTGGGCGGAAAATACTTCGGCGATATTTATAAGGACGGTTCGTTGGTATTGTGCAGGACTAATGACTTGCCAAGATGGGGCTAATGAATGCTAAAATCAAGACGTCAATTGAAGATTCAATTTTTTTTATTTCTTTCAACGCCTTCGTTAGATAGTGGTATTGTTTGTAATTGCGAAAATCTTCTATTTTTCATTTTCATTTTCTCCACATTAGTTACCAGGTCGTCTCCACCATCTTGTCACATGACCTCTATCTCAGAAGGTTGATATACCATTTGTCAAATTATGCTTCCTATTGTCAAGATATAAGACTTCAATTTGAGTCTCTATTTTAACGCTCTCCTGAGTCTGTGGGTTCTAGCAAATTTGTTTTCCAGGTACTGTGCCCACACTCATCAATGATGCAGAGTCACAGCCTCTTCAAGTGCAGTCTGCCTGATAGCAAGACTCACTAAGTCCGTGCACCCACAAGAAACTGGAACTCAAATGGGTTGTGACGTCCAAGTTGAAATCGACAAGTCCAGCACAAGCGGAACATTTACGAATTATGATCTTATCTCTGGTGTGGTTAAGCTCACCACAACAAGCTCCATCTCGTTAGCTTACATCCAGGTGAAACTCGAAGGTATCTCTACAACGGAATTGACAGTACCCAAGGGTCGTCAGGGTAGAGAAAAGAACAGGGAGAAAAAGGATAAGTTGCTACAGGATGTACACAAAGTGCTCTACGATTCGCTTATTGTTTTTCCTCCAGAGAACATCAGGCTGGTGTCCACTTCAAAAGAGTTTACCTTGACTCCAGGTAACTATACATATCCATTCGAGTTCAAGATCCCGTTGAACAATGCATGTTCCAAGGTATCGGGAGTCACCAACAAGATCCTGATTAACAAGAAATTCGACGTGGTTATCAACAATGGTAACTTCAACTCTGCCGTGCTCAAAAATGCTGCCAACAACTATCTCCAGGGTTATACCAACCCTAATGCTCAAAATAGCAGACAGCAGAGTAAACAGCAGTCAATGAACCAGCAGAACTACCACATTCAGTCACAGCTTCCTCCTTCGCTTGGGAATACCGGCGATCCCGCTTCCGTTCGTTATTTTGTCAAGGTCACTTGTAAGAGGTCATCTTTTCTCAAGATGAACCTCCGTGCTTTCGATCCGTTCAAGTTCTTACCATTGGATCTAGATGCTCATAACCAACCTCTTGTTGAAGGTAGGCTGTATGAGGAGTATAGGGAGATGTTCTATCGAAAGGATATGGTGTTCAAGGATCGGTTGCCAGAGATCGTGGGAGTGAAACCAGAACCGATCAAGGCCCTTCCAAAGCTTCCTTCGGCGATACCACCAAAGAGAGGCTTCATTCTGTCACTCTTTGGAACTCCATCACCTCCTCCTGCTCGAAATACTTCTACACAAAGAGGTGCATCGAGTGGCGTCGAGGTCAACACAACGTCCGTGCCTTTTTCTTTTGAGGTTCGGTTCCGTTACCCTGCATCTGTGACGCCGTTGCATCCTCCCCTGTTTCAGCTCTTCTTTGTCACAGACGTAAATCCATCCAAGTACTCGTTGGCACAATATGGAAAGCCAGACGAGTCCAATGGACTTGGAGTCATCTACTTGCAGCGACTCACGATCGAGCTTAGATCTACTACACACATTTCAGTTTTAGAGACTGATGGTGCAACTAGTGATATCCACCAGGCAAAATCTGAGCAGACATTTCAACTCTGCAACAACACATACCATAACCTACAGTTTGACTTGAAAAATGCTAAGCGTCTGAAATCTTCATCTGCGAGCAGCACAGGATTTGTCTCTGCCGGTGCTTACGAACTTGAAATCCCACGTAAGTACTTTGACAACTGGGACATACCACCTCATCTTGCGCCGACATTTGCGACTTGCAACATCAACAGAACATACAGCCTCAGCATTGTTGCCGGAGTGTCGAGCGAGCAAATTGTAGACATGAACAACCGCACGGAGGTTGAGCGCAAGGTTAGGTATGTGGACTTGTTCTGTCCAGAAGTGAAGGTGATGAGTGGACTCAAACTCACCAGCACGCTACATTCTAATGCGTCTGGAACCAGTCTTGGACGGAGTGATAGAAAGGGATCAGTGGGGCCAGAATGGCAGCCTATGCTTCCAAAGAGGCCCTCGGTACATTCGGTTCCAAGCGAAAAGGGTTCTGCCAGTTCTGCGGAGGATGTTTCACAGCTTCCACCAACTTATGACGACGTTGTACGAGAAAGCACCTTCCAGGACAACAGCGAGCATTATCGGGCGCGTCGTAGGTATGGAGGATGAACCAAGCGTAAACGAATGATACAATTGTCGGAGCCAGTGCCTTAAGATTTTTGCAATCGCTATTATTGCTTCAAGTGGTTTAAATGCTTTACATGCTATTAATGTTTTGAGTACTATAGATGAATAAATGATTGATATAACAATTTCAAATGTCAATTATAAATGTCGTCAATCCAATAATTCAAACAATTTAAACTCACATGTATGAATCTATGAAACGATAAAGCGAACCTTCTATGCTCACCTCTTACGCAACCTTATATGAATCTGGAAATTGCTACAGGCAACCTACAAATGGTCACGACCTGCATGAAATACAGTACCCCAGTCAGTTAAACCTCCATTAAAACCACCATCAAACATCCCAAAACAACCCAAAATCTTCCAAATTTTCTTCTTTTCGCCCCCAAAAACCCCCAATCTTATTAAACTTCCACCAATCCCTTCAATACCCACGGTAACTCCACCGGTTCAGTTTTGTGTCACGTTTTGCCATTCTCGCAGTGAAAAAAACAGGAAAAATCAACCACTTGCCTTAAAGTTAGCTCGCTTGCCAGTAAAATCACAGAATACTCCAGCAACGTTTCAATGTCTGAATCGAGCTTTTTCGCCCGCAACAAAACGGCAATTGCTGTCACCGTCTTGGCTGGTGCCTCGGCCGTCGGTGCCTACTACTACTATTCGCAACAGGCCAATCAGAGTGCCTCTGACGAATCGAGTCCTAGCAAGAAGAAGAAGTCCAAGTCGAAAAAGAAGAAGGCAACCAAGGATGACGAAAAGTCTGCTGAAGACGTTGTGGCTCATGATGATGAGAAAGTGCCATACCCAGTCAATGCACAGGGCTTGCCAGATATAACCGAAGAGGCGGTGGCTCAATTGTCCGACAGCGACAAGGAGGAATGGGCGCTTGCATTGAAGAAGGTTGGAAACGACAAATACAAGCAGGAAAAGTTTGAAGAGGCCATCACATTCTACACGGCCGCTTTGCAGGTGAAGGAGGACCCAGTGTTCTACCTGAACCGTTCTGCGTGCTATGCTGCTTTGAACAAGCACGAGGAGGTTATTGCCGATGCAACCGCCGCCATCAACATTAAGAGAGATTACGTCAAGTGTATTTTGCGTCGTGCCAACTCGTACGAGGCTTTGGAGAAGTATCCGGATGCTATGTTTGACTTGACTGCTTTGACCATTTACGGTGGCTTTAACTCGAGATCTGTCGAGGAGGCTTTGGAGAAGGTGTTGCAGAAGCACTCCATCAAGATCGTCGAGGAGAACTTGAAGAACAGAGTACCTGAATTACCTTCCGCCTCCACCATGGGTTCGTTCTTCGGTGCTTACGTCACCGAGACTGCTCCTGAAGGTATCTCTGAGGAGTCCACGGGTGCAGACAAGTACTTGTTTGATGCATTGGCTGCTGTCAATGCCAACACCGTCGACAAGTATGAGGACGCCGACTCGCTTTTCAACCAAGCCGTTGCTGCCTACGACATTGAGAACTTGACCAGTGAATCTGAAAACGCATCCAAGGCCTCCATTGCTTTGGAGTATGCTGCTGCCATGCAATTCTTGAAGAATATCCCCAATGAAGCCAGCGAGCTTATCGAAAAGGCCATGAAGTTGAAGCCTAGAGCCAGAACCTACGTCATGAGAGCCTTGATCAACGCTGACAAGTCCTCGTTCGCTGAAGCTCTTGCTGATTTCGACACCGCACAGAAGATGGACCCAGAAAACGGTGATGTGTATTACCACTTGGGCCAGTTGTACTACCTCACTACCCAGTTTGATAAGGCTAAAGAGTACTTCACTAAGGCCGCAGAGTGCAACCCTAACAACGTGTACGCCTACATCCAGTTGGCATGTATTATTTACAAGAACGGCAACTTTGAGGAGGCTGATGACGCTTTCAATGAGGCCAGATTGAAGTTCCCAACTTCCCCAGAGGTGTTGAACTACTACGGAGAGATCTTGGCAGACCACAACAACATTCCAAGCGCCATCAAGCAGTATGAAGTTGCCGCTAGATTGCAGGAGGGTTTGCCAAACTTCAGTGTGGGTGCCGTTCCATTGATCAACAAGGCCTCTTTGATCTCCAGAGAGGGCTTGCAGAAGTTGCCAGAGGCCGAGGAGTTGCTCACAAAGGCTTGTGAGTTGGATCCTAAGTCTGAAATTGCCAGAATCTCGCTTGCCCAAGTCAAGTTGCAATCTGACAAGCCAGCCGAGGCAATTGCCTTGTTCGAGGAGGGCTCTAGATTGGCCAGAACTTTCGAGGAGAAGGTCCAGGCCACCTCATTCGCTGAGGCCACCAAGATGCAATTGAGAATTAAGGCTGACGAGGTGTTGAGTGCCAAGATCAGTGAGTACATGAACAGAAACCTCTAAGCAATCTGAGAACAGGATTAGAATGCACCTTAACGGTGTTGTTCTGAGAAATTTATGATATTGAGTTAAAATTGGTGGATATGCTTGGTGTCAAACGGAAGCAGAAGTCCAGATACGCAACTCGTGCCATATTTCTTTGTATATATTGTTGTTTATCCAATCTTCTCAAAAAATATTTTATTATTCACAAACATGTATTGCGTGGCATGCGACGTCGCTCCGTTTTGCAACCACTACTTATGTATCCACAAAACCTCCTAAGAGCCATCGTCACCATTCCAAAACAGACTTATAGTGATGCAAATCACTTGCTTGACCTATCGTATATTTCTCCAAGAATAATTGTCGCCGCAGGTCCATCCGATGATGCGTTTGTGAATCTCTTCAGATCACCAATTAACAAGGTGGTGGATTACCTCAATAAAAACTATGTATTTGAAGGCGATGTGCATTGGCACATTTGGAACCTCCGAGGTGAAGGGGTGGGGTATAACGACAAAGTTGTGGATGGAAATTGGAGCCACCACCCATTTCCAGACCACATGCCTCCAACTATCGAATTGATAGATCGAATTGTCAAGGAAATCTACCAGTTTCTTTCTTCAAGCTCCAAAAATGTAGCACTTATCCATTGCAAAGAAGGCAAGGGCCGATCTGGTACTATATGCTGCTCGTACTTGATGTATGAGGCTAAATTGAAAGGCATCTATCTCAGTCCAGAAGAGGCTGTAGATATGTTTACCAAACACCGAATGAGACGGTATTTCGGTGAAGGAATTTCTATTAAAAGCCAACTCCGGTTTCTTCACTACTGGAAACGATACCTTCAGTTTGCCAAAGAAATGCAGATTAACTTCGATGTGTACAATCTGGGATCCTCAGTTCCGTATAGTGAACAGAATTCGGTAGTAACCAAAATCACCATTTTTCGTCCTTCTCTGTTGCTTGTTTTGAGCAAATTGCAATTATCGTCTTATGTAGAAACTGCAAATGGCCTCCAGGTGGTTCCCATCATCGATCGCAAGCTCAAGTTTCCAAGCATTCAAAGCTCAACATGCTACTATGAGGTTGCCTTAAATATCCCCATTAGCAAGAATTTGAAAAACATCATGGTCAGCTTTAAAAAGCAGATTTGTTTCTCATACTTGTGGTTTAATGTCTATTTTGAGACATTGGGATCAGTAAATCGGCCACTTCCCACTATTGAATGCGATTCCATCATTCCTTGTCGAAGAATCTTCAATTGGAGCGACTTTGATGGTTACAAGGGCACACAAAACAAGAAAATGCCCCGTTTATTTGATAGATTAGAAGTGCAGTGGATATTCCACTATCGTAGTCATTACTGAATCTGATTGAATTACTACAGACCAAAATGTTACTGACATATATATTGTCATCTATAAGTTAGCCAATTAGCCCCCACGTTTGGCGTTGTCCACTTCCAACCAAATCTCTCGCAATGCAGATCGCACCTCGTCCATATGTTTCGATGCCTGTGATTTTTTGAAGTTGCTAATTTTATTCAAGGCATAGGGTCTGGAGATGACAATCTCCTTGAATGCGAGAATGCTCTCGTTCCCGTGCCACTGGATGTTTTCCTTGCCGAATTTCTGCGACATCTTGTCGAAGATCTTGGCCGCCAAAGGGCTTGTTTCATTCTTCTTGGTCGTTTGAAGCTCCACTTTGTGATTTCGATGCTGGCTGATGGCCTTATTCAAGTCTGCCTCAAGCTTTGAAATATCCACCTTTGCTAGCCTCTGGTTGAACCCCGTGTAAGGTTTCTGGCCCTTTTTGGGAAACGGAGGCATCACTTGAAGTGACTTGATGAATGCAGTGTTGATGATCTTGTATTGCTCCAGTTTGGAAGAGCCTGGCCCATTTCTCGCACCGCCACTCGGTGACACTTTCAACACAAGCACTTCCTGGCCCGGGTTGAACGCATAGATGGTGGCGACGATGGATTCGTCCAACAAGTTGGTGATCTTGACCTTAAGGTTGATCACCTGATCCAAGTTGTTCATGAGGATGAAGAGAGAAGAACGTCGGCGGAAATCCAAGGAATTCGGAAGATGTGGCGATACACGCAGCTATCGAGCCAATATGGATGGTTTACAGGCCGGTTTTGGTGGTGAAGAGTAGACCAGGAGATCAGTATATTTGGCTAAATTTATGCCGGACTTGGTGTACGCAGACCTGATGCACCTACGACTATCAGGTTCGGGGTGATGCAAATAAAGAGTAGAGAGAAAATCTAGATGAAGAAAATTAATTAAAGAAGGTAAATTATTCGACTTGAGTTGAGTTTTAGTTTTGCTTATCAAACTCTAATACGTTTCACTGTATTGGCTCCCGGTCTCAGATGGCATGCACTTCTCAATTTTGACAGAGATTTGGCATGAAGGAGGAAAGAAGAATGCTACAATGAGAAAGAAAAAATTGAAAAAACATAGGAAAATAAAAAATTACATAATTAGAGAAAATAAGAGACCCCATTGAAGTTAATCCAAAATTATCCTTCGTCACAGAGAATGCACCTTTAATTTACCCCCACGCCCCACATGCCCCTCCATTCAAGTGCCTTAGCAACCAGGATCTTATTCGATGTCCCGCACGTGAAGCCTTCAACACCCAACACGTGAATTGCTATCAACAGCCAACAACCACTTAACCCACCAACCAACACCAACCAAAAAAACTAAATTCTCCTTGCAATGGGTCTATACATCCCCACCAACAAGCTCGAGAATTTGAAGCTTTACAAGTATTCCTCCGAGGACCACTCGCTCATCTCTCGTTACATCTTGAAGAGATGGTGGAATTACTTTGTTAAGATCTTCCCATTGGACATGGCTCCCAATGTGATTACATTACTTGGCTTGTTTTTCATCATTGCCAATCTCCTCTGTGTGTTCTACTACGATCCATGGTTGGACTCTCCTTCGCCCCGTTGGTGTTATTTCTTTTATGCTTTTGGTTTCTTCATGTACCAAACTTTTGATGGGTGTGATGGCTGCCACGCCAGAAGAACCCAGCAGAGCGGCCCATTGGGCGAGTTGTTTGACCATTCCATTGATGCCATCAACACAACCTTGGGCACGATTGTTGTTGCATCCACTTTCCAACTGGGTTATGGATGGATGCTCTTACTAGGTATCTTTGCTTCCACATGCAATTTCTACACTTCAACCTGGGAGGAGTACCATACTCATACTTTATACTTATCGCAGTTCAGTGGACCTGTGGAGGGAATCTTGATCATCTGCTTGGTTTTCATCGTAACTGGCTTGTTTGGTCCAGACATCTGGCAATGGACCTTATTTGACTTGGACTTAACGTCCTTGGGCCACGGCTTTGGTGTGGTAAGCATCTCTACCGGTAACGCAAGTACCCTTGCGGGTGTGGCACAGTTGTATTTCAATGTGGCCTCGGCCGTGGGCAATGTGGCCAAGAAGTACAAGTCTGATAAGAAATTGCTGTCTCTTGCCGTGAAGACCGAGATCCGGGACGCCAAGAAGGGTTTGATTCCATTTTTTGCTTACTTTGCTTCTGTCTTTGCCTTTGTTCTCATCTACCCTCAAGCCTTGTACAAGTATGCCTTTCCACTTGTTATCTCCGTGGGTATGACCATTGCCTTCTGCGTGGGCAGAATCATTTTGGCTCATTTGACGTTGCAGGAATTCCCATTCGTACAGCCTCCAGCATTCTTGCCATTGCTCCAGATTACCCTTGCCAAGTTCTTGATTACTCTTTATGGCTATGACGAGGCCTCAACTCTTTGCGGAATCTTGTGGACTGGAGCAGGTTTGACCATTGGCATCCACGCTTCATTTGTGGTTGATATCATCTCGGATATCACCCAGTTTTTGGATATCTACGCCTTGTCCATCAAGCATAAGAAGGTTTAAAGACAATCTAGAATTTTGATTGAGACTTTAGAAACCAAAGGTCTGCTTGCAGAATTAGTAATCTTAACAGACTTTTGAATTGAAAGAAACACTTACTGTTTCATCATATCCTTCTAAAAACTAGATAATACGTGTGTTCATTTGATCCTTATATATACAAGTCAATCGTGACATTTAGACATTCTGAAAGACTTAGGCAGTCTTCTCGGCGTAAGCTCCCTCGGAGCCTGGAGCCAACACCTCTTGGGCAGAATGCTGCAAAGACATCTCCTTTTCCATCTCTTGCAACTGGGTCTCAGCCAAAATGGCCAAAGCCAATGGAACACCCAACAACAACACGGAGGAGGTCACACCCCACAACAAAGCACCTCCCTTGTTCAATGCACAAGTGGTGTAGCTCTTGACGGTGGAAACGGTGTCGTAAATCTGACTTCTCTGGTTTGGAGGAACAATGTCTTTCAAGGCGACGATTCTGTCATATATGGTTTCATTTTCGATGTCAAAGTCGTCCTCGAACTCGGAGTCGGACTCAAAATCGGACTTGTTGAAAGCTTCTGGAGCAGCGGTTTTCTCGAACTGAGTGGCGGTCTCGTCGTCAACCTGTGTCAATTTAACCATGATGTATGGGGTAGTGGAAGGTTTACGTGGTGCTCACTATATGAGCAACTACTCGAAAATTTTATCGACATGCGCACGACTCGGTATTGATATAGCGGAGAGGTAAAAACTTAAAGTTTTACAAGTAAGCATGATTTAATTTTTTTTATTGAATTGAATTGAATGAATAAAATGCTAGCTATAAAGTGACTCGTCATATTCCACTTGTGGGATGTTATCGAAGGCAAGCGAATATCCCAAGTACAGCATCTGACTGGGGTACTTGCGCATGTTGTAGAACTGTAGAAGTGACCGCAATGCGATTTCCTGGTCAAATGAGTTATTAAAGTCACACTCAAGATCCTTGCCGCTTAACCAGTCGTCTTTGAGCGAAAGCTTCAAGTGAAGGTAAATGAGCGAGATCACGTCCATGTTGATGGCTCTCCACTTGCGACCTTGGTATGGAATGAGCTTCTTGAAGATCTTGAGGATTGGAATACGGAACTCATCATTAATGTAGTTGAGCAACACCACCTTAAGCAAATCCGTACACTTAGTCTCGTTGAAGACGAAGATCCGCTGCGATATGTTCTTGAGCATGATCTTATTAGTCACATTCAAGAGGTTGGTCAAGATGAAGCAGAAGTTCTCATTAAACTTCGTAATATGTACAAAATTCTGGTTGTTTTCGTCAGTTGTATGTGGAAGCTTCCCAATCGGCGTCTTGTTAATTAATTCAATGGGCCCCACGGATGGGACCTTTCCATTGCAATTATTGAAAAATTCAAACTGTGGGATGTTGATAGCAGGATTCATAAGCTTGTTCTGTGAAGTGAGAATATCGTATGGCGCTGTGCCCTTATTGAACTCCTCAGAATCCTGCAATTCTGTGTTGTTGAAGCTGCATCCTAAGAGGTCGACGAAAACACTGAAGTACTGCTGATCAAAGAGCAATGAGGTGAAATATTGATACTTAATAACATGACTGATCTTGAACCACTTCATCAACAAGTTAAGAATTGCCGAACTCGCTTTGAGTGCTATTTCTTTCAGCAGTACCAATTCAAGCTGATAGAGAATAGCGAGTTGGACCTTATTTGTCAGAGTGCCTGATCCTCCAAATCTGTTGGAAAAGGCCGTATCGGGATCAAACTCCTGCTCTGCGTTCTTGAGATTAAAGTCAAATTTATTGCTCTTTATCACTCCAAGTAATACCTCCACCAACCCATGCAAATGTGTGAGTGTAGCCGCATAAAACTTTTCAATGCGGCGAAGAGTATGAGTCTCCGATTCATGCTGTGGATCTTCTGCGTTTAAAATTTCTTCCTCGATGTTGGTCGGTTTTTCGACTTCAGAATATTGGTCGACGTTTCCTCTTTCCTGTGCCATGAACCGACGCCTCTCCTCCCACGAACGCTTTATAGAGTAACTCTCGTAGACTGCGTTCTCCAATAGGTCTGACGCCTCAAGAATTGCTTCGGGAATTTCTTGGTTGTCCCCCGATGGATACACAAATGGCATTCCTTGATTGACGTGGTACAGTTTTCTAATTTTCTCGCCGCCAGACATGAAGTCCGAAGGAGTGCTTGGAGGAGAGGGCACTGGAGTGGCGATGTGGACGGTTTGAATAGGTAACTGACCGAGAACAGTATGTGATTTGTTCGTCCTGGGCATCTCAAGGAGATTTGACAAAGAGTTAGAATAAGTACTCACGGCCATGAAGTTCGCCTCTCTATCTGACGTGGATGAATGTAGTTCCTGAGGTCTATTTGCCAATTTATCTGAGTACAATGGGTACTTGTCCATGAGGTTCTCTCTAAATGTGAAGTAATCGAGGTGAGAACATGTGAGCTTGTTATTGGACAAATCTTTCCTATCTTTGTTCTTGATATCGTGCTTTTCAGCCACAAATTTGTCAACCTCTTCCATGTGGGCATGGTCACCGAATTCTAGGAGGATTAACTTCCATGTAATTAAGAGCACATTTCTTATTCGTGACACCGGACTGGGATACTGGTTCCACTTGTCGATAAACTCGACTGTCGCTTGTAGGAGGTCAGACTTTTCTATGTGGTCCACAAAGTCTGGCGACACGTTTGATGTCAACGACACGTTGGTCAAGAAATACACGACAGTTAGAAGCTTGAAGTAATTGGAAGCAAAGCTACCAGACAACATGGACACGGAGCCAGACTCCAAGGCCACGTTGCATTGATGAAAACAACTTTTCAAGAGGTCTGTGGCGGTGTGATGCAAGCCACTGGAGATGACATGGCGGCAGTTTTCCGAGATGTTGACGAGTTGATCTTGAGCAGACGAAGTAGAACCGTAAGACCCTAAAACAGCGTAAGTCAAGGCATCAAGTTCCTCAGAGGGAGTTGTTAAGTCAAATTCTCGTAGTGAATCAGGCAACAGTGTGCACTTAGTTGCTAGATCACGAAGGCCGATAATGCTATAGTCAGACGACGTGAACCATTCAGAGAGTTCTTGGTGTAGTGGTGCCAAATCCGAGTACAGGTAATCCAATATTGGCTTAGTGACTAAGAACTGGAGGTATGCGCCGGTGTTGTCGTCACCGGAGCCCCATTTGTTGCCGGACAAGAGTTGGTTGGCTCTTTCGTTTAGTTTCTTCTGGAATGTTTCATCGTATGACGACTCTTTTAATTGTTGTCTGGTGGATGCATCTGGATGGTCAATGAGCTGATCCTCCAATTGGTCGATCAGAATGTTCTGTTCTTGCATGAGATTGGAGGTGAACGAGTTATTATGGAGGTTTAGGTGTAGGGCTGTTTAGTATGAGTAGTTAGATGTAGTACTTAATTAGATGTAGTACGTAGGTAGAAGCAGTTGATAAACATGGAGAGGTAGAGAGGCATGGAAGTAACATGAGGAAATCCCCTAAGGAATTCATTTCATAGCCAACAAGCATTGAAAAATGAATAAAGATTCTTTGTAGCAAATTAAATTATAGTATCCACTCGTGGTCCTAGTGATTCTTAACTTCTCATATATTACACCACCAGCCCAGATGTCTATTCTCTTTAATTATAGAATCTCGAACCATGTCTTTATTAACAATTTGATCCTTGTCTTAATCGCTCAATTAACGCCTAGTAATCTAAAATTCTGTTCAAAGGAGTACTTTGAATGCATTTACTACTTGAGAATACCACATAATAGGAAAAAAAGCACCAGGATGTTAGTAAATGGTCAGAACCTTCAAAAACATAGATAAAACAAAAAAAGAAAATCTTCTAATTGGTAGATATTCAATATAGTGTTTATCGACACCAGTACCCAGAGGTTAGTGACTTAGATGTAGTCCTGTCTTAACTGTGGTCCTGTCTTGACTGTGTCTTGGATGTAGTGCTAAGTTTTTGGATGTGGAGCGAACACCCTCAAATGTAGTACTCGTTGCCTTGAATGTCTCAGTGTTCAAACCCCCTAAAATTATAGTTTGTAGTCTTCCAAGCCCCTTTGAATCCGACAAACCAATGGGTCTAAAAAATACAAGAAGTCAACAACCCGGCCCAGTAAGACTTACACCAAAAAATATTTCTTCGTCTGACACTTCCGGTTTCACTGCGACATTTGCATGGAAAAACGTCCCTGATTCGCACTGTCTCACCTCCATGAAACCCACCAGCCACCAAGCCCTCCAAACGTGGGGCCCTCGGGGCTTGGGAATCATGGGAACCTTGGAAATCCTGAACAAAATCGTTCGTCCTGGATGGCAATCTTAGTGGCTCGTACATTAGTTCCGGAAATATTGAGGGTGATTACGTCATCGATGGGACGAAAGGGTTCCATAGAGATTTTCGTCATTAGGTGCGGGTCAAATCAGACTCGAGTAGATAAAGAAATGGGATCAGTAACGATAAGACGACATTTACTCATTAAAAGATTCCAACCACTATAATAACTTTCTATTACCTAGCTCCACTGACCAATACCAGATCATATCAATCCCATGAAAAAAAAAAAATCTCTCATGTCGGAAAATTCAAAGCAACTGTGCCTATTTTGGTCCTATTGATGTCCTATTGTTGCTACGTCATGAGGACATTTCCTGTTCGCACACTTAGCGAAGGTGGAGTCAATGTCCATGACTTCCACCACACCTCCACCACTACTCAACGAACAAAAATTTGCCAAAAATTTGCCAAAAATTCCTTTGCAAAACTCCAACCCATTTATGTGTTCACATTCATTCTCCTCATCTCCTCATCTCGCAGAAAGTGCTAAATTCGCTGGTTAGCAACCTCGTCATTGCTACTGCACTTTTTCCCTGCAGGCAATTGCCCCACTGTAATATGACGGATCTCTAGTCTATGTTCCATATATATAATCTGCCCGGCCCCAAGTGGGTGGAGTAGTCCTGTAAATATTTTGCAACATAACCACAATGTCCAATACTGAGAAATCTTCAACATCAGCCGTGGCCGACTCTCCCAAGTTCCAGTCTTACCTCAATAATGACGGTATCGACGACTTGACTCCAGCCACAAGAAAGCACCGTGTGTCATCTTTGTCGTTATCGGACTTGAACCAGTGGCAGAATGGCTTGACGAAGTTGCTGTCGTCTACATCCCTTAGTAAGCAGGGAAGTCATGCCAACTTGAAAAAGGTGGACTCGTTAGCTAAGTTGCTGAGAAACTCCTCTATCATTCGCAGAAAGAAGAAGACTGTCATTGACCACGAGCGTGTGGCCAGTTATGCTTTCTGCTTCGATATCGATGGAGTCATTTTGCGTGGTCCAAACACCATTCCTGAGGCTGTGGAGGCTATCCGCATGTTGAATGGTGACAACAAGTACAACATTAAGGTTCCATCTATCTACGTGACCAACGGAGGTGGAAAGCCCGAGCTGCAGAGAGCAGAGGATTTGTCTAAACGGTTGAAGACGAACATTCGTATTGACCAGATCATCCAGGGCCACACCCCAATGAGAGATTTGGTGCCATTGTTCAAGAATGTGTTGGTTGTAGGTGGTGTTGGCAATGTGTGTAGAAACGTTGCCGAGTCCTACGGCTTCAAGAATGTCTATACGCCTTTGGATATCTTGAAATGGAATCCAGCCGTGTCACCTTACCACGACTTGACTGAGGAAGAGCTTGTGTGCTGTAAGTCTGATGTGGACTTTTCCAAGGTATCAATCGATGCCATCTTGGTGTTTGCCGATTCCAGAAACTGGGCTGCTGACCAGCAAATTATTTTGGAGTTGCTTTTATCCAAGAACGGTGTCATGGGTACCGAGTCCAAGGCGCAGGGTGAGGGCCCTGAGATCTACTTCGCCCACTCTGACTTCATCTGGGCAACAAACTACAAATTGTCCAGATATGGAATGGGTGCATTGCAGGTTTCTATCGCTGCTTTGTACAAGGAGCACACCGGCCATGAGTTGAAAGTGCATAGATTTGGCAAGCCACAGGCTGGTACCTTCAAGTTTGCCAACAAGGTGTTGAGTAAATGGAGACAGGGTATGTTGGATGAGCACTTGAAGAAGTTGAGTGTCAACGACCCTAACGCCAGTCAGGCCGACATCTTGGTCAACGAAGACGGTGAGGAGTTTATCAACCAGGCCAAGTTGGAGTCTGGTAACTATTCTGACGATGAAGAAGAAGACAGTGATGGTCAGGCCATTGGCAAATTGGGCGAGTTGTCTTTGCAGGACAAGATCACATTGCAGATGCCTCCCGCCTCCACCGTATATTTCGTTGGAGATACGCCGGAATCGGACATCAGATTCGCCAACTCTCACGATGACTCTTGGTTCTCCATTCTAGTCAAGACCGGAGTGTACCAAGATGGCACTGTTCCAAAATACAAGCCCAAACACCTTTGTGACAATGTGTTGGAAGCCGTGAAGTTTGCCATTGAGCGTGAGCACGCAAAGGAGTTGGCAGAGTGGAATGAGACTGCCACCGAAGATGAGAACATCAGCAAGGTTTCTTCCAAGATCAACTTCAACGACTTCATTATGACGCCTAGCGAGAAGAAGGCCCAGGAAGAGAAGGAGAAGGTCAAGAACACAAAGAATGTTGATGAGCACGAGGCAGTTGCCGTGCCCGATGTGCTTAGTGCACAACTTGATAAGCTCAAGAATGTGGGAGCATAAGACCGTTCATTTCAAGAAAACTTCAAATATTAATAAATACCAAGAGATAGGATTAGGAGTAAGTATAAAGTAGATATATCTAATTTGAATATTAATCTATTTGTATATCCAAATGAGTCTTCTTACTAAACGAAACTAATAATCATTAATCCTTAATAAGACACACATTAGCATATTAGTAAAACAACAATATTTTCAAGACCAGCGACACAAGACAGTTTGACTATTTAGTCTAAGTATGAATTTGTTACACTGATGTGTCTCCACAGTTCATTAACTAATTTCCCAAAACTCATCTCTACCTACACATACCGCGACTCACAACAACATCATGGATTCGTACCAGGCCAGGATTGAAGACCTAAATAGCGACATTCTGCTTTCACAAGCAGAGAATATCTTCAGAACAACCATCGACTCGTCGTCGTCCAATCTCAGCGACCCCCGTGGCATTGGCGAGGAATTAGCCTATCTCAAAGAGTTCTGCTCCAAGCTTAAGTTCCAATACTTGGAACAGGAGACCAGAGACAAGTTTCTTCGGCTTCTTCTAATTGAGGACAACCATAACGTCTCCGATGAGGAATTGGACCGTATAGTTAAGGAAAACGTGGAGTTGAAGCAGGCACTCAAGCAACTCAAGTCAGAAATGGAGAATGTACTCGAGAGTAGTGAATCTACGGCCGAGGACGTAGTCAAACTCTCTCAGGCGTATCAATCTAGGCGCATAGAGGTAGATCAGGCACTTGCAGACGTTGAGAATCTCCAGAACGAGTTGGATTCGTTATTGAAAGTGCCCGAAAACGAGAATCATGTAACCCTCTTCAATGTCAAGCGATTGATTGATACCGAGGATATTGGACTTGACCAGGCGATTGAAATAGCAGAAAATGAGGTTGTGCTGGAAAAGAGGGCATTGTCAGACTTGACCGGTGCTATTGAAAGGGCGCAAGATGAGGTTTCTACGAAAGATACGTTTATAGCTAATCTCCTGGAGAGTTTGGCTCGATTACAGACGTTGGTGGAGCAGGAGGAGCAGAAACCTAAGCAGAAGATTGAGCCCAAACAGGCTTATGCTCAATGGCTTCGAGACCTCAATTCCATGGTTGAAAAATTTGTTCCTATTGAGATCAAGATCGAGATAGAGAAGGAAGGTGGAAGTGGTGGAGCAACAACAAGCACCACCATCAGCATCGCAAATACCAAGTTGAAGATAGACCGACAGATGAATATTTTACAATGCACCAATTCAAAGGTCACTTCTCGGCTCATAGCAGAAGTGAATTGTGCCGAAGAGGATCGGAAGTTCTGGCGACTTTCGCAGCTACTCAGCGAGATTATCTTTGAGCAGTGAGGGAGGATTATATGGATTCTAATAGGAAACTTTTTGTTGTCATTTAAGATTCTATTCAAATTTTTCCGATTCTTTTCTGTCTATTGTCTATCTCCAGTACTTTCATTTTCCTCGCCATTTCCTTCCGATTTAATCGCTCTATCGGTCCTTGCTCTATCTTCCTGTCCAAACCACATGCCGCGGATATCATCGCCTGTATCCTCCAACATATAGTGGGGAAAATATCCACTCTATTACACCATGGCTCTAGGATCAGTAATCGCCGATTCTGCCCCTCCATTCGCTGCTTCGCCGTTTGAAAATAGAACATCCGCCGTGGATAATCTCCTCAACTTTATTGAGAGTGAGTATAAAAAGGGCAACCAAACAGTCACCAAGGAAAAGTACAGGGCCCTCTTGGAGATCCAGAAAAAGCAGAAGTTGCTTGTGGCCAAAACAAACAACAAAGATAGCACAAATAGCCTGAAACACGGTCTCGCGTCACCGCCACTACCCAAACCGTTGTATCCGCCGCTTTTCTCCAAGTTTAAGCTTCCGAATCCTCCAGTGAAGCCAATAGAACGCCACCATCGTCGCAAACAGAAGAAACTCACGTTCAAATATATCGAGTCGGTAGTGATTGCCATTTTGGAGACTCTCGCTAACATCTTGGACAACCTTCATCTCTTTTCCAAGTTTCCCATGTTTCCCAAGGTTTTGACCAATGTGTTGCAACACACCAACCGATTGTGGGTACTCATATTGGTGTTTTTGATCCGTAAAACCGTATCGCAGCTCCTCAATGTGATTCGGAAGGAGAAGAAGGTTAACACGGAGTTGAACATCTTGAAATCTAACACTAACTCCAAGCTTTTGGAGGAAGAATCAGAAGACAACGATTCCAACATCTTGCGCAAGTACGAAAAGGTGATCAGAGACTTGAAGTTCGACAAAATGATGCTCAAGATAGAGCTCATAGGAAACTTTTTGGACTTGTCATTTAACATCATCGAGCTCTACGACTTCCCGGTGCCTACTTGGTTTATGAACACGTTGAACTTTGCCAGCATGGCCATGACCATCTACAGAATGAACAAGGACGACGAATATGTGGATGATGATATCACAGAAGACTTGATCTAGTGCGAGTGTTGCTGGCCAAATAGAATGTGTAGTCAAGTTTTTGCTACTTTCTCTGTATACTGTATGCGGACTGATCTCTACAAACCCACCACTAAGACCTCCACTAAAGCCAATAAAATAATGTCAATTGCTGCCCAGTTGGCTGAAAATGATGCCAGATTACGAGATGCAAGTGTCCGTCTCCTGAATATGTGTACGCATGCTTCAGCGTCCGATATCCTCGATGATATTGAGTACAAGAAACCAGATTTAGAATCGTCCAAGAAATCTGAGTTTGCTGGTCTTTCACTATTCCAGTTGAATGCTCAACTTCAGGATACAGATGCTGCCATTAGCCAGCTTAACGATATTTGGCTCACCAAGTCTCTTATCCAAGAAATCCGTATGCTGTTCAATCCTGTTGGAGATGATCACTACTTATGCGATAAAAACGAACTCTACAGCATTTTACTTGGTATAAAGAAACTCAAAGAGCGTGTGGGTGCATTAGCCACGAAGAATTTAGCTATCAGCCCCGCTTTGCAGGCTTGCGCCCATGATTTGACTCGAGACTTCTCGCTCCAATTAAAAGCATTGCTTCAGGTGTTTCTTCCTAGTGGAAATAGCACCAATTTCACTATAAGGAACCAAATTGACGTCAATGGCTCTACGTTTCTGTTTCCAGACTATATAAAACTTGCTTCGGAGTACGAGGCATTTGCGTCAACAAACGATATCACTGAAGAATTGAACAAGAACAAAGCTCATTGGGACCTGGCCATTTTGGACCGGTTGATCCAGAAAAGAAACTACCTCGACACGGAAGCCACAGAACACACATCCACCATTTTTCTCACAGATGCGTTGCCGCCTCGACGCTTTCTCTCTAGGAACTACTTCCAGTCAATGCGCAATTTCGTAGCTTTCATAAATGGGCTTCACAACCAGACATTCAAGAACTACTACTCCACCAAGATTTCCAACAATTTGGTGGAGGTTGTGTCAGAAAACATCAAGACATTCATGGACAACAAGCAGCAGCTCACTGAAGAATTGGTGGAGACTTTGGATTTTTTCTCCAAGAACGGGTGGAACATGCCTATTCGCAATACCTTCAACTCGCTAGACAAGATCCTGGAAGGCTTACAGAGCTTATATGTTGGGTGGGTAACTGACAAATACATCAACGAGGTTCGGGAGGTGTTCAATGGGCCAAGTTACGATACCAACCTCAGTCTGTTGAAAGATGTGGCCGACGAGGTTCAGCCCGTGCAAGCACAGGGTACAGACAACTGGAGCCAGGCAAGTGATGACTGGAATGAGGAGGGAAATGACTGGGACGATTCCTGGGGCTCGGAAGACGAGAAGAATGATTCTGAATTGGAAGGCGACAAAGCCGAGCCCAATGCGGAAGAAATGTCAGAACCCGAGGGCGACGACTGGGATGAGAATTGGGATGATGGCTGGGATGATGATACAGCAGCTAACCCCGTAAAACCAAGCAAACTTTCCAAAATTAAGAAGGTAAAACCTTCGACGACTAAGCCATCGCCCTCCAAGCAGATCAGTATCAAGTACAGTCAGTTGCCATTCAAATTCAGTGTCATCCTCTCCAAATTTGCCAAGGAGTCTAACAACGCAGACCCTCGTGATATCTTGGACACTATTGGAGCATTGAGTGTGGTGTCCTATCCTCCACTCGACGAGCTGTTCTTGCTCTTGAATGACTTGCAGAGAGTCAAGACAGGGTCAACTCATTTGAATGAAATTGCCGAAGAGGCGTGGGACCATGTCAAGCAGCACTTGTTCGACGAGATCACTAATATCATTACCAACATCGATTTCTCCAATAGGGACTCAACCCCCGATTACGGCAACGACAACTCGCCCATGAACCGTGGATCACAGACTCTCAAAAGATTGGTCGGTAAGCAGTTTGACAAGCAGCTTGCGGCTACCAACACAGAATTGTTCAAGGTTTTCATCATGGAACTCTTAAACTATATCAACAACCTTGTGCTTGAGATTATTGTCAGCAGTGACGAGATATCAGAGTATCAATCGGAGAAGTACACCAATTTCATCGAGAGCTTACATCAGTGGGAGGCCGAATATTTGGCTAGGGTCGACGAAGAGACTGTCAATCTTGCTACATACAACAAGACCAAGCAAGCATTGACGTTGATCAACAGTCACTTGAAAGACATCATGGAGTATTTCTATCAGGGTGAGCTCTACGATTTCACTACAGAGGAATTGATCAAGGTCATCAAGAGTGTATTTGTTCCCAGTGACTTAAGAGAGAACTGTATCGGAGACATCATCGAGATCCGGAACAGTTAAGAAAACCCCTATTTCGATAGTCCCGGTGGCCCCGGCTGGCCAGAAACTTAGTTTACCACCAGACCTCCGTTGATCTTCTTTCCTGTCTTGGAAATAGTGTTGTACACTGTGTCGTAGTCGACAGTATCAATGGTGGTGACATCAACTGTCTGGGTGTCCAAGTTCGTTTTGGTGTCTAGCACGCCGTCCAATCTTCCCAATGCTCTGGAAACGGCATTGGAACATCCGGAACATGACATGGTGACGTCGAAGTGGTATTGGTGAGGCATTTTTGGGGAGAGAAGCAAGACTATCAATGGACCTTTAAGTATTTGTCCGAAATACGCACAAATATCTCATCTACTGCACACTAACTGTGGATCCAGAGGTGACAATTGGGAGTTAATTCGGCAAAATGGCCTTGTTATCTGCTGATCAAGTGGGTGGTCATGGTGGCGTGTGTTCTAGAAGGTCTAGTTTCCATTTTTGACACTTTTCCAATTTGGCCACTTGGGGTGCCCAATTGAGATGTGCGGAGACTATATGGAAGCATGACTGAATATGAGGTCAATTAGCCATGAAAAAAGTAACGGAAAAGGAAAGGAAAGACAATAACGTTTACTTTGAAAGACATATCCAAAGGTGTGAATATTTTATTGTCACAAAAGAAAAAAGAATACATCTGTCTCTCGATCGTCTTATCAATGGCATTACCTCATTTCTCACCTGAAACCTAAATTACTAAGTGCCTGACCACATTTTGACCTCGATTTCCTAAATGTCTAGAAGTTACCACGTCAACTCGCCGCATCTACTTGCTACGTTACACCAGGAAAATTGACACCTCTGCAAAAATTTCCCCACCCCGGAACTACTAAGGGTCTGTTCCACGTTTTTGATTTTTTGCCTCCTGGTCACTAACCTTGGAACTGGTCAACGCACGACCCCCCTCTCTATATCTTATCAGCATCTGCTAAGGATGTGCATATCTATCACTAACTTTAATATTCCATATGTTCGGGCCATTTTCCTTGTTGAAGTATGTACCTGTGGCATTGACATTCTGACAGGCTGTTCAGATGCTTCTGAGTCGTCTAAGACGTTTTTTGCGGATTGCATCACGCTACCTCAATTCTGTTATCCTGTCTGTCCTCTCATCTAATACTAACTATCAGCTGGGCCGTTTCAACAGTCTACCCTATTTTTGCTTCTTACAGAGCATATGACGGCTATGCCACACTCGCAGGGAAATCTGCTGCTTCTACAGTCAATATTGGCGGTGTCAGCATCCCGTTAGGAACTATGTTGAAGAGAGCCACCACCTCCGAGTCCTCTATCGAGGAAGACACGCTTAACGCCCGCCTAGTGACTGTACAAATGTGGATGATCTATTGGATAGTCAATGGTTTTGTCCGTGCTGTGGAATCGGTGTTGTTTCTCCAATATTTGCCCTTGTATTCTGTGGCAAGACTCTGCTTCTCAATTTGGTTAATTGCCCCTATAGTCTTGACACGAACACGTCAGCAGAAACAGCTGTTCGTCAGCTTCAATGAGATACAAACTGAGTGGGTGTCGTTCTCGCAGCAGGGCTGTGGGTTGGTATATTTCCGCTACGTGAAACCACTCATGGAGGGTCAGCTCTCGTTCCTCTATGATTTGAAGGTAGATGAGATCTTGGGTTACGCCAGTAAGGCTCTTACAATCCCTTTTCTTAAGCTCGCCATGGCCACCAGGGGCACAACTACTGGACTGGACAGTGCTGGTAATACTGGCCCTAGTACAGGAGTTCCATCTTCTGGAAATGGGGGTGCAACCAGTGGATCTGGTTTCTCGTCTTTTGGAGTCGGCGAAGGCGCGAATTACGCCCAGGCTTTTTCCACGTTTTCCACGTTCTCCAAAAGCTACTTCCCAAGCCGAGGGGTGGACAGTCGAGAGGTGGAGGGAAATTCGGCAACGGATGATTTTGACGAGTACGAACAGGTAGATGCACCTTCTTTGAATTCTTCAGTGGCTGGATTGAAGAACAGAAGCGCTTCTGGACAAACAGAGCAGCCTGAGCAGGGTAAGGGTCGCTGGTTCTGGTAACTGGCTATAGAATGGGCAGGGACGAGTCCCCTTGATTTGGATATCTAGTTGAAGGTACTATATGTTATTCTTGAAAAGTGTAGAAGCTTTTTGATGTTCTGGTGTTCTTGATTTATCTATGTACATGCCTACAACTCCAAGTAGCTGGAAACTAACTTCCTGTCTCCAATCGCCTCCTCTTGAGCCCGAAGACGCTCAAGTCTTTCCCCGTGAGACTTCTTGTTCTTGCTGGAAACAAAGATGTCTGCCAAAACAGGCTTCTTGTAGATTCCGTCAAAGGATTCATTAGGCTTATGCTTGTCGGATCCTTGTGCCGTAACCATCTGCATAGCGCTGGTCTGGTCTCTTCTGAACTTACGGGCATTGTCCACCACATGCTGAGGCAACTCGGGCCACACAAATGGCTCGGCCATGTCAATGGTCATCTTCTTATATTGAGGACCTCTGAACCTGGCGTGGTCATCCATGCCTCGAGTGAAGCTGGCATGCAATAACTGCACGGTTACGTTCAAAGCTCTCAAGCCATACACGTGCCACAAGTAATCTCTCAAGTCCATTTTGTTGAAGTTTCTAGGGACCAAGAACTTGGCCTGATATGGGGTATGTTTGGCGTTGGGTCTCAACAAACACACACGAGCTTTGGGGAAATACACTTTCTTATCTCCCACCTTGAAATGCGGAAGACCCTGGGCCAATTCATCCTGGAACTTCTCATAGTTTCTTCTGGAGATTTCATCACTCTTGGTCTTAAACTTGATAGGCACTGGCTTGCCGTGTTCAATGTACTTTCTTCTGATCTCGGCAGCAGGAAACATGGTGTCCGTGACCTCCAGAGAAAGCAACGGCTTTCTCTCCTTTCTAAAGCCGTATCTGGGTTTCTCCAACTGGACATCATCAATGTTAACCTTGGGGTAATTCTTATGGTTAGCCTTGTAATGCACGAACCTCGAGGCGACCGCTAGTCCCGCCACCGATGATCTTGCCCAAGCATTTGGCGATAATGCCAGATATCCTAAAGCTTGGACTCCCAAACTGTTCATCGCAAGCATGGATTATTTATCTTTTTAGTTGGTGGTTAACTATGAGAAAATTTTTGGTGCTACTTTTGTCGCGGTCGTGTGTGCACCAGCGTATCCACTAAACGCTTTTTCCAACCAACAAAAATATCTCCAACCTCAACCACCCAGCCCACAATCATGTCTGCAGACCATCACGTGGACGATCCGTACGCGTACGATGACGAAGACTCGTCGGCCATTACGCCCGAGGACTGCTGGACCGTCATCCTGTCGTTTTTTCAGGAGAAGGGTTTGGTTTCTCAGCAGTTGGACTCATTTGACGAATTCATCGAGTCCACCATCCAGGAGCTTGTCTGGGAGGATTCTCACTTGATTTTGGATCAGCCTGCACAGCATACGTCCGAAGATCAGTATGAGAACAAGCGGTTTGAGATCACCTTCGGAAAGATTTACATCTCCAAGCCTACTCAAACCGAAGGCGACGGTACAACTCACCCGATGTTCCCACAGGAGGCTCGTTTGCGTAACTTGACGTACTCGTCCCCGTTGTATGTCGATATGACCAAGAAGAAATTCTTGTCGGATGACCGTGTGCGTAAAGGAAATGAGCTTGAATGGGTTGAGGAAAAGATGGAGCATGAAGATGCCCAGACAAAGGTGTTTTTGGGTAAGGTGCCTATCATGTTGAGATCGAAGTTCTGTATGTTGCGTGACTTGGGCGAACACGAGTTCTACGAGTTGAAGGAGTGTCCTTACGATATGGGAGGTTACTTTGTCATCAACGGTTCCGAGAAAGTTTTGATTGCCCAGGAGAGAAGTGCCGCCAACATCGTGCAGGTGTTTAAAAAGGCTGCTCCTTCGCCTATCTCGCATGTAGCTGAAATCAGATCCGCTCTCGAAAAGGGCTCCCGGTTGATCTCCTCCATGCAAATTAAGTTGTATGGTAGAGACGACAAGGGCACCACAGGCAGAACCATCAAGGCCACTTTGCCATACATCAAGGAAGACATCCCAATTGTCATTGTGTTCAGAGCTCTTGGTGTCGTCCCGGACGGTGATATTTTGGAGCACATCTGTTACGACGCCAATGATTGGCAGATGTTGGAGATGTTGAAGCCGTGTGTTGAAGAAGGTTTCGTGATTCAGGAGCGTGAAGTGGCACTCGATTTCATCGGTAGAAGAGGTGTTTTGGGTATAAGGAGAGAGAAACGTATCCAATATGCCAAGGATATCTTGCAGAAGGAGTTGTTGCCTAACATCACCCAGGAGGCCGGATTCGAATCCAGAAAGGCCTTTTTCTTGGGTTACATGGCCAACAGATTGTTGTTGTGTGCCTTGGAGAGAAAGGAACCTGACGATAGAGACCACTTCGGTAAGAAGAGATTGGACTTGGCCGGTCCTTTATTGGCCAGTTTGTTCAGAATCTTGTTCAAGAAGTTGACAAGAGACATTTACAACTACATGCAGAGATGTGTCGAGAACGACAAGGAGTTCAACCTTACATTGGCTGTCAAGTCCCAGACCATCACTGACGGTTTGCGTTATTCCTTGGCTACTGGTAACTGGGGTGAGCAAAAGAAGGCCATGAGTGCCCGTGCCGGTGTGTCCCAGGTGTTGAACCGTTACACATACTCCTCGACATTGTCGCATTTGAGAAGAACTAACACTCCAATCGGTCGTGACGGTAAGATCGCCAAGCCTAGACAGTTGCACAACACTCATTGGGGTCTTGTTTGTCCCGCAGAGACTCCCGAAGGTCAAGCGTGTGGTTTGGTCAAGAACTTGTCCTTGATGACTTGTATCTCTGTCGGTACTGCCTCGGAACCAATCTTGTACTTCTTGGAAGAATGGGGTATGGAGCCATTGGAGGATTACGTTCCTTCCAATTCGCCTGACTGCACCAGAGTGTTTGTCAATGGTGTTTGGGTCGGTACTCACAGAGACCCAGCTCAGTTAGTTGATACCATGAGAAGATTGAGAAGAAAGGGTGACATTTCTCCTGAGGTTTCCATCATCAGAGACATCAGAGAGATGGAATTCAAGATTTTCACCGATGCTGGTCGTGTTTACCGTCCATTATTCATTGTCGACGACGATCCAGATTCCGAAACCAAGGGTGACTTAGTATTGCTGAAAGATCACATCCACCAGTTGTTGAACTCTGAATATGATGAGTTCGAAGAAAACACTGGTTACTCTTGGTCTTCTTTGGTCAGTGACGGTGTGGTCGAGTATGTCGATGCGGAAGAAGAGGAAACAATTATGATTGCTATGACCCCTGAAGACTTGGAGGCCTCAAAGAGCACCTTGTCGGAAACCCAACAGAAGAGTTTGCAATTGGAAGAGCAGGAGCTTGACCCAGCAAAGAGAATCAAGCCAACATACACTTCGTCTACTCATACCTTCACACATTGTGAAATTCACCCATCTATGATCTTGGGTGTTGCTGCATCCATTATTCCATTCCCTGACCACAACCAGTCTCCTCGTAACACTTATCAGTCTGCTATGGGTAAGCAAGCTATGGGAGTTTTCTTGACCAACTATGCTGTGAGAATGGACACCATGGCCAACATTTTGTACTATCCTCAGAAGCCTTTGGCTACCACCAGATCAATGGAGTACTTGAAGTTCCGTGAGTTACCTGCTGGTCAAAACGCTGTTGTTGCTATTGCCTGTTACTCTGGTTATAACCAGGAAGATTCTATGATTATGAATCAGTCGTCAATTGATAGAGGTTTGTTCAGATCATTGTTCTTTAGATCTTATATGGACTTGGAGAAGAGACAAGGTATGAAGGCATTGGAGACCTTTGAGAAGCCTTCCAGATCCGACACTTTGAGATTGAAACATGGTACCTACGAGAAGTTGGATGACGATGGATTGATCGCTCCAGGTGTGAGAGTGAGTGGTGAAGACATCATCATTGGTAAGACTACCCCTATTCCTCCAGATACTGAGGAATTGGGTCAAAGAACTCAGTACCATACCAAGAGAGATGCTTCTACTCCATTGAGAAGTACTGAATCTGGTATTGTGGATCAAGTGTTATTGACAACGAACGGTGATGGAGCCAAGTTCGTCAAGGTGAGAATGAGAACCACGAAGATTCCTCAGATTGGTGACAAGTTTGCATCTAGACACGGACAGAAGGGTACTATTGGTGTCACTTACAGACATGAGGATATGCCATTCAGTGCACAGGGTATTGTCCCAGACTTAATCATCAACCCCCACGCTATTCCATCTCGTATGACAGTCGCCCATTTAATCGAGTGTTTGTTGTCTAAGGTTTCTTCGTTATCGGGATTGGAAGGTGATGCATCTCCATTCACGGATGTCACTGCCGAGGCTGTTTCCAGGTTGTTGAGAGAGCATGGCTATCAATCTAGAGGTTTTGAAGTCATGTACAATGGACACACTGGTAAGAAGTTGATGGCACAAGTTTTCTTCGGTCCAACATACTACCAAAGATTAAGACACATGGTGGATGACAAAATTCACGCCAGAGCTAGAGGACCAGTGCAAGTGTTGACGAGACAACCTGTTGAAGGTAGATCCAGAGATGGTGGATTGCGTTTCGGAGAGATGGAGAGAGATTGTATGATTGCTCACGGAGCCGCTGGATTCTTGAAGGAGAGATTGATGGAGGCTTCGGATGCGTTCCGTGTGCATGTCTGCGGTATTTGTGGTTTGATGTCGGTGATTGCCAACTTGAAGAAGAACCAGTTCGAGTGCCGTTCGTGTAAGAACAAAACAAACATTTACCAGATTCACATTCCATATGCAGCCAAGTTGTTGTTCCAGGAATTGATGGCCATGAACATTTCTCCAAGATTGTACACGGAAAGATCAGGCATTAGTGTGCGTGTTTAGGTGGGAGATTGTATTATAAAAAAAAAAATAGGATTATAAACGATACATGTTAAACAATGAGGATAGAGTCAATGACATTAAGAAAATGACAAGATTGAGGAAAGGATTAAAAGAAGAGAAAAGCTAAGTATATCAGAATCAGCAGAACTAGAGGGAGCCTTTGAAACGAGAAAGAATTTGAGGTATTTTGGTTGATGATCAATATTCTGACTCCCTCCTCATCTCTTGCAACGAAGAGACATTGCCATCTTCATGGCTTCATCTTCATTTCGGTTTATCATAAATTACTTTCTCCCAGTTTATATCCATCAGTTTTATTCGTCTATGTACATGTTTACTGCTGCAAGTATTTGGAACGGAGCTCGGCCATATGTTCTTCCTTAGCCTGCAACTGTGCAATCTTCTCCTTCAACTCGGTGGTCTCGTCAGCAAATCCAATCAAATTTTCCTTGTATGGATGCACGTCACCGTCAAAAACCTTCAAGCGGTCCATTCTGGCAAGTCTAAGCTTGTTCTTGGGAATCATACCCTTGACTGCTCTCTTCAAAATCTCTCCATAACCTTTGTTGGCGATCATTCTCTCCATAGGCACCAACTTCAAGGAGCCCGGTCTAGTGGTATGAGACCAGTATGTCTTATCTTGCATCTTATTACCTGTAACTTTCAAATGAGCACAGTTGGTCACCACCACGTAATCTCCATGGTCTCTATTTGGAGAAAATGTAGGCTTGTGCTTTCCTTGTAATGTGAGTGCTATGCTTGCGGCCAAACGTCCTAACGTACGGGCATCTGAAGCCACGTCAACGTGGTGCCATACCCGAGTCAAAGCCGTGGTAGCATTTCCGATTCTCTGAGACATGGTGGAAACTCAACTACTATGGAGTTTTTAACTAAGTAGGAAGCTTGAGAAAATTTCGTGAGGGTGGTGCAGGAAACTGGTGAAAATGTCGACAAAGTCAACCTACTACTGACTTTAGCTGAAAGTCTGTATAAGCCTCGAGAATTCTCACACTACATCGGTGTTGCATCGCCAATTATCCAATCAGGTTCATTTTCTGGCTCTCTCTGGCTCTCCAGCTCCTCCATTCTATTTTTTTCTTTTGCTTGTGGTGCATCAGTGTCGCACTCTCCATAATCATTCCAGGTCTCATCTTTACAGTTAACACTTGATTAATATGTTCTTCTTGAAGGATTTGTCGTTGAACTTGACTCTTCACCCGTCATACTTCGGCCCGCAGATGGACCAATACTTGCGAGACAAACTCTTGAGCGATGTGGAGGGCACTTGTACTGGCCAGTTTGGCTACATTGTATGTGTGTTGGATTGCATGAATATCGACGTTGGCAGAGGACGAATTATTCCCACTACCGGCATGGCAGAGTTTGAGGTCAAGTATAGAGCGGTGGTGTGGAAACCATTCAAAGGTGAGGTGGTGGATGGTGTAGTTACCACCGTCAACAAAATGGGATTCTTCGCGGATGTTGGCCCATTGTCAGTGTTTGTCAGTACCCATTTGATTTCCTCGGATATGAAGTTTAATCCATCGGCAAATCCGCCAGCATATGTGAGTCCTGACGAGACCATCGAGAAGGGATCGCGGGTCAGATTGAAGATCGTTGGTACCAGAACAGATGTGAACGAAATCTATGCCATTGGAAGCATCAAAGAGGACTACTTGGGCCCCAGTCCGATGTAATCACCTATGCTGGGCCCATGTACTATACGAGGATCACGAAAATATCACAACCTACACTTTTATACATTGTACAATACCTCCGATTTTTAATGTAGCCATTAGTCGTCATCCAATTCTATAAGGTTGGACAGGTTGATTTCGCTTGGATTGAATTTCTTGCTCAACTTCTTGTTCCATGTGCGTTCAGGAAGCTCCAGGCTCACTCGTCTTGTTGGAACGACGGGTGTCTTATCAGAATTGCCGTTTTCAACTTGCTCATTTGCCTTGTATGGCACACTTGTTGCAATTGGCACACCTGCGTTGTATGGTTGGGAAGAGTTAGCGATTCCACCTGCCAATGGCTCTGCGGTTGGAAGGGTTAAACCACGATTTGAGGCGTTATCAACATCACCCAACCTACTTCCTGGCAATTCCAGTGATGTTCTTGTTCCGATGCTAGTCAACAAGTCCAGTTGCACTTCGATTCCCAAAAGGCCCTTGACACTTTCTGTAGTTTCCTGATGCAACTGGTCAAACGGTGATTTCGAATATCGGACGGTCACTTGGTTGGCCAAAGAACTGCCGTCGGAAGTTGCACTTCTGTGCAACTCGGGAGGAGCGGAGCGAGTATTCAAGTTCAGGCTATTATTGTTTTTCTCGAGTGTTGCAGGGGTTCGAACATCTTCAACTGATTTGCTCTGCACTGGTATTGTCGACTCTTCCGACGTTTTGCCCTGCGTCAGTATATTGTTGGCCTGGTACACACGAGACGATGCATCATTCACCAGTACTGACCGCACAGCTTGAGTGTGTTGATTAGTCGCGTGCCCGTTGTGTTGGCCAAGAATTGCTCCGTTTGGTGCTGCTTGAACTCCATTTAATTGGCTCATTTGACCATTAGGATAGCTGCCTGACTGAATAAGTCTTGGAAGAGGTTGCGGTGATCCTTGCGTTGATGCAGAGCCTGTTGGAGGCTGCATAGTTTGCAATCTGTCATTCGAATGGCTGTTTCTCTGGTCAGATTGCATCTCCTTAAATTGGTTGATGAGCGCAGAAGAGTTCAGGACAAGTTGGCGAAACTGACTTGCTCCACTTCCAGAGCCCTGATTTCTAGTTTCCATCGTCTGAGACAGCTGACTCGAACGTCTCTCTTCAGATGGTCTGGACTGAACCGAAGCTGAAAGTGTGGCAAACATTGGACTGGGATTTACCGAAGGAACCTGTTGAATTTGGTTTGGAAAATATCCCCTGCCCTCTTGATATTGCGTATTCTGTGGTTGTACAATCGTCTGGCGCAGAGCAAACACCAGATACCGTTGGCGCTCCAATTCTTGCTGTCTAAGCGCTTCCTTCTCAAGCTGATGCCTTCTCAACTCCGCATTGTGCAACTCTTGTAGTCTTCGTAACTCCTGCTGTTGCGTTTGCCACTCATGTTGCCTTTGCTGCAAAGTTTCTACTGAAATTTGCGTGGCCCGTTGACTGTCGCTGGAAATCAGTGATATTGAAGGCAAAGGGCGCACGCTTGAATTTTGACCTCCATTCTCATGTAATCTTGGAACTGACAGAGAACCATTGAACAACTGCAATGGTTGGGTGAGTGAAGTATTTGAGTCTTGATTACCAGAAGTTTGGCTAAATTGCTGACCAATTCCCACAGGTTGTGTCCAGGCATTCGATGCTTGTTCCGCTTCCGGTTGAAGATTCACTCCCATCAGTTGCAAAGAAGACCCATTGTTCGGTTTCTGGAAACTTTGAGGATCGTCATCCTTGTGGAACACACCAACGCCAGTTTTTGCATTGGAAGTATCAGCATTTGAAGCCGGAGTTGTGGGCTGTGAAGAGAGATTTTGATTCGCATTATCAGTAGATGCTGGTCTGGAAATAGTCTGGACAATATTTTCGATTATCGAGTAGTTAGGATCTGTAGGAATTTTCAACCTCTTGGCTCTTGGGGTATCAAGTGCATCTGATGGTGGAGATTTGGTCGAGGTATCTCTTCGGCCTGGAGTGGTTTCAGACGCTCCAACGGGAACAGTCGACACATTGGTTGCCGAGTCTTCCTCCGAAGTTAGCGCGGCCAAATTTCCTATTTCTACGACACCTTTAGTTGTGTGTAGACTTGGCAAATTTCTTTGGATGCTCGTGCTGGAAACATTGTGTGCAACAGAATTTGACAAGGTATTATGATTAGGAATGCTTATTTCAGTCGCAGACTTGTTTGGAAGATGAGCAGACGCTGAAGATGCAGCTGCTGGGTTGGTCTGATGAATTGAAGTTCTAGGAACTGGGGCCATCGCTGTAGCGCTCGATGGTGGTTGCGTCAGATTACGTTCACCCACAAATCTTCCGAAGGTTTCAGAATTGGCCGAATGGAACAAAGGTGCAGTAATGTCAGTTGGTGGAGAATTATACTGTGTAGTTGTCCTTGCCTCCACAGAGGGGATACTTGTGTTATCTTTGGTGGTTGCATTAGAATCTTCGGCGACCCCACCTTCATCCATCTCTTCGTCTTCAACATCAATGATTCGAGACTTGCGGTTGTACGACTGAATGGGTCTATCATCTGACGATACAGAATCTTGACGATCGGAGTTTACTTTTGCTGTAGAATCAGCCACCATACTGCTGAAAGCGGACGTACTAGAGGCCGTAGCCTCCATATTTTGATTCAACGCGGATTCAATCTCGGTCAAGGTCGCATCATCAATTGATTCGTCCTGATTATTTCTTTCTTCGGCACCCAAATTTCTCTGTTCAACTTCTCCTTGCACTGGTTGTGGTGTTGATCTTTCTGGTGAATGGGCCCGCGTATCAGTGACGCTTCTCATAGTCACATCCGGTTGCTCATCCTCACTGTCACTATCCAATGAAATAATCTCAATGGATTCGTCAACTTTAGGAGCCGAAGAAACCTCTCTCGATTGATTTGCTGGATTCATGGTTTCGTCATGATCATCATCTTTTGTGCCTTCCTCGTCCAAAGGTTCCCAGGTGCCATCGGTGTTAATGTTCACGGTGTCGATCTCATCAGAAGTCGTCGCTATGATGCTTTGCAAATAATCCGAAACGGCTAGATGGCCAGGATTAATCTTTTTCGAGCAAACAGGACAGATCCACGAAGGAATACGCTCTTGCATGGTCAAGAAAGAGAGAGCATCAAAACACTGAATATGGTCACACTCTATACTTCTAATTGGAGTGGAGAGTCTCGCATAGGTAAGAGGGCATCGTAGAGTCAACGATGACGTAGCCATAACGATGTCGTCATCCTGATTTTGGTCGTATTCGCTCTTGATAGCAGCTTTGGTTGTCTCCTCAGAAATGTGATCTTTGCACTTTATATATTCCACTAAAGCATCCGGTGTTCTTGCGTCCACAATGTACAAGTACAAGACATATTCTTCGGCAGCGTCTGAGTAGACTATATTGATGGTGAAGGTCTTCGTTGGATTCACAAAGTCAGTCAAGTCAGCTGGTCTACATGTTCCACGCTTACCTTTGAGACCTTTCACATACTGCTTGGTATTGATTCCTTCCACGTGAATCTCAATGGGAGGAAACTGAATATCAGCAAACGACGGGTTGGGGTCGGACGGTAGGCCGCCAAACAAGTAAAGTCGCTTGCCTTTGTCTACTTGAAGTAGCGAGATTTCCGTAGGATGTAGGCGCACCGTAATGTTGCAGAGGTTACGTCCCTTGCTGGCAGGGATGACAAACGGAAACCTATGCACCAAAAGCTGCTGCTGGTAAAATAGCGAGCTCGGAAACCTGAGTGTTGGCCCTTTGTACTGCGGACTATATGGATGGTAAGCCTGAACTTCAGAGGCACTTCGGGCAGACATGTGGGCCATCCCAGGCTGGGTATTTACAGCAGACAGCCGCGGTTTGCCCTTAATTTTATTGGCCAGGTTCTGGAGGCGAGCGAGTTGATCACTCATCAGCTGTTGGTCGATTACTCCAGATTGAAGAGCGTTATAGAGATTGTCGAAATTCGGGATCGGATCATTAGTCATCATCTTCAACACTATGGTTCGTAGAGCAAGAAGTCTCACATTCTGACCTGTCACCTGGCAGTGCCGTATGTGCTGTTCAAGTCTGTCAATAAGGTCCTGACGTTTTCCTCCCACTTGCAAGTGCAAAGGCTTTATGAGTTCCTTCAACTGGGCCACGTAAAGGCGTCGTATGTGGTGAAGCGTATTCTCTATCTCTTCAGGTGTCAACATCTGCCGCTGCTGGAGGGCATGGCTGCTCAACAGGCTCATGGCTTTGTAGACTTCAAGACTTGTAAGATTATGTATTTTGAAAACTGGTGCTGGGTGCAGGTTGTATTGAGATGTGGACTGTTGGATCTGGGGATGGGAAGTCTCTGAGAGGCTGGGGGTTATGGGAAATTTCTATTCAAATGAAATCAATATGTATCTATTTCGAATTGAAGTCTTCGACGGTCGTTCTTTTTTTTTGAAATTTTTGACGTTTTTGACGTCATTGGCATATCATCATCTTTGGTCTGATTCTCTGTCATCTGGCCTATATGCACATCCATCGCCATTGTCTATCGTGACTATAACTTCTATATCGTACACTTCTTGACTTGTTTCCAACTGTATATATTTTTTTTCTTTTCTACTGTTCTCCCTCTAATTAGTCTACATTCTCTCCACCGGAGTCAATCCCAACAACACCATACCGTTGTACAACACTTGCTTGGCTGATGCATACAATGCCAATCTAGCAGTAGCCAACTCCTCCTCCTGGCCAGCAACCCACAAAGTATCGTAGCACAGCGAAACAATATGCGTCAAGTTAAAGAGGTAGGTCACAACTGTTGATGGCTCACCGGTCTTCAAGGCTCTCTTGATGACATCTGGGTACTGAGCCAACGTTCTGATCAAGCTAGCAGCACTCTCCTCAGTCAAGAGGTCAAAGTTGGCACTCTTCAACTTATCGTCAGCAATGCCCGCCTTTCTTTGCACGGAACTCAAGCGCGAGTGGGCGTATTGCAAGTATGGACCAGTGTCACCTTCGAACGAGAGCATTCTGTCCCACTTGAACTCGTAGTTGTTGATACGCTTGGACTGCATGTCCTGGATCATCACGGCAGAAATACCAACCAAGTCGGCGATCTTCTCGGGGTCCTCAATCTGTGCGTACTTGGCCTCGTTTCTCTTCATCACCTCGTGCATCTTGTCCTTGGTCTCCTCCAAGATGTTGTCCAAGAACACAACGGTACCCTTTCTGGTAGACATGCCCTGCACCATACCGAAGTTGACGTGCTCCAAGTTCTTGGACCAGGCGAAGCCCATTTGCTTCAAGATCTCAAAGAACTGAGCAACATGCAAATCCTGCTGGGAAGCAATCACGTAGATCATCTTATCAAAATGGTAGTTGTCATAACGCTTCATGGCCTCTCCGACGTCTCTGGTCAAGTACAATGAAGTACCATCAGACTTCTGCACAAGACACTTGCCCAACTTCTTGTTGAACTTGGTCAAGTCAATCAACTTGGCACCTCTGTCCTCATGCACCAAACCTTTCTGGTTAAACAACTCAATGACATTGTCCATCACTTCCTTGGACACCTGCGACTCTCCCGAGTAGACATCGTACTTAATGTTAAGACGGGCATAAGTGTCGACGTATCTCTCAATGGATAAGGCTCTGAACTTCTTCCAGATAGCCAAAGCAGACTCGTCTCCATCTTCCATTCTCTTGAAGTACTCTCTGGCCTTGTCATTAGTACCTCCCACAACATCACCTTCGTCGGTGATGTCCTTGTTGACCTTCACGTAGACCTCAAACAAGTGGTTGATAGGGTCACTGGCCAACTTGGCCTCATCTCCGTACTTCTCAAAACCCACAGCCAACAAACCAAACTGTTTACCCCAGTCTCCCAAATAGTTGAATCTGGTCACGTCCCAGCCGGCCTTCTCGTACAAGTTGGACAAGAAACCTCCAATGATGGTGGATCTCAAGTGGCCGGCATGGAAAGGTTTGGCGATATTTGGAGAAGAGAACTCCACAATCACCTTCTTTCCCACACCCAAGGGCAAGTAACCGTAGTCAGTAGTTCTGGTCAAAGAATCCTTGATGACGAGATTGTAAAGGGTCTTTGTGTTGAAGAAAAACTGCAAGAACTGGCCCTCAGCCTTGACATCAGCCAAGAAGCCACCTTTGTTGAAAGCACCAGCGATCTCCGTGGCCTTGGACTTGAAATCCGTACCCTTTGGAAGTCTCAATCTTGGGAGAGGCACGAGAAGGTCACCCTTGTCCAACGTGGAAGGCGAGTCCAAAGCAGGGAAAATAATATCCTTAGAGATGCCAGTGATGGAGTTCAATTCATTGGTGATGTAGTTTCTCATGACATCGACAACATTGTAATCTGGGTAAGATGCGTCAATGGAGGCTTCATTTTTGAGGCCCAATGAGGCCAACGACTCTGTGATGGTGGTGACAGACATTGCAATTCTCCGGATGGGTAGTCTTAGTGCAGACCGAAGGTACATACGGTTAAATTTTTTCTGGCTGGGATGAGAAAATTGGTCATTTGCACAAGACACGACGCGATGGGAGATAAGAGCGGGGGCATTTTTGGTGAAGTTTTGGAAGGTTTAAAAGGTTTATGGGAGAATATTGGACAATTTGAAGGCTTTATGATGTCTTTGGTGTTTTTCAGGTAGTTTTTCGATGAAGTTTGACAAAGTTTAAGTTTTTGGAACATATGTATTGTTAACAGTGCGATAAAGATAAGGTGATGCTGACTCACAAAATATATATAACAATTTGATACTATGTAAGTTAGTGATTAGAACCGAAGTAAAACTTTGGAAATATTTTGTTTATTGAAGGAATTTTGGATGGGGATATCGAGTTATGTGTTAAGGAAGTACAGAGTACTTGGAGGTCTTGACTCATAGTTGTTGTGCAGAGGAACAGGGCACTAACCATATGGAAAGTATAAGAAAAAGATTAGGATCATGAGTCAATGAAGGGGTTAGTTAAAGAATTTAATGGACTGTTCGTGAATAATTTAAAAATTAATATTCGTTCAGTAGATTTATGAATATCCAATGATAGTTCATGGACAACTGGACGATTGAGGACGGTGACCTTTACGGTCCATTCATATTCAAATGCTACTGGAGTCACCAAAATGAAACTAGAATGAGCAATAGCACATATATTCAATTGAAGTCGATAATTTCTTCTCAAAGTGCTATAATTTTATGAATATTAGCCTTGAGATGGAAGTAGGTTGTTGGCTATCACCCAGTTTAGGCCAATCCATTGCCCTAGTCTATTATTCACTTCTCCAATATAGTCATTCCCATTATTTCAGTCCTACCTTCCCAATCCTTAACATGCTATACTTCTGAAATTATATCTATCCATGTCATTCTATACAAACGTTGTTCCGGATACCATGAACGCTTGTTTTATTATATGGTTAAAGTGTGATCTTTTGAATTCAGCATGTATTTTTCTCCTTGAGAATTCAATCCATTATTCCTATATCCCTTAGATGTCTCTCCTATGTACTATCCATGTCATTCCAGTATCCAACCAGTGCCAACCTAATACACAATCTCTCCATATAACCCTGATACTTTTAAGCTCGCCAGTCCATTGGATAATATTATTTCAAATTTTTAATTCCTAAATTCTCACTTTCATCGTCTTATTATTTTCAATATCGTCATTCGCAACCCTTCCCGTCCCATCTCTATACCCCATACCTCACCTAACCTGTACATCATTAATTCATCTACACCATGGATAATCAGATCCAAACCCTCGTGGAGATGGGTTTCTCTCGGGACCAAGCCGTGGATGCTCTTGAAAGCTCCAATAATGACCTCACAAAAGCAATCGCTTACCTTTTTGGCGAGGTGGACGACACTGGCGCTGGCACCAATGCTTCACCATACGTCGTAGAGTCTGCGCCTATTGACTGTTACGACTCTGTCAATGTCAGCAATCCCCAGGACTTGCCTGAATTCCTAGCTCAGTACGCTTCGCCAGAGGCTATGGAGGCGCCTGCATTGCCTGGCCGCTACAATGAAGGCTATTACACAAATGAAGTGAGCCATGGCGGCAATAGTATCGATAACGCCACCAGCAACGCTGTCCATGGGGACAACAACGCTGTGCATGTCGACCACGACGATATGGACGATCTGGGTGATATTGATGACGAAGATATGGATGTTGTGGTTGAAATCGACGAAAACTACGATCATGGGCCCAATGTCAAGACTGAGGGCCATTTGTTTCCAGTGGTGCTTTGTGGGTCGACCAAGTATAGGTATTGGGCTAGCATGGTGGCGATTTTGGCGCAGTTCTCACCATTTTCCGAGCCGCTCTTGAGCAGTGATGCTACCACTGACTTTGTCTCGGAGCTTCAACGCATAGTGTACTTTCTCCGTAACTTCCGCAAGTCGAATCGATGGTACATAAGCGCCGATCCTCTAGTTGCACAATTGGTAGACACAAGCGACAGCGATGTTGCTGCCGCGTACACTGATGAGGAGGCTGTTCTCAATGCCTACGAATTCATGATGCAACAACACCAACTGTTGCGAACAGTGTTGGAGTCGCTCGTGGAGAGCGTGGAGGAGAATATCTCCAAGGAACTTACTGTTCTCGAAATTGACTCGGACACCCGGCGTAACAACCTTTACAATACGCTCAACGAGCTATTCTGGCAGCGAGGCTTCGTGAAGCTTGGCCAGATCAAGTACAAGCAGGTTGCACCAGTGGTGACATACCAGCTTATAGGAGAGTCAACTAATTATTCCGGACCTTTTGAGCTCCAAGAGACGGTTTATCCCGAGATATACAGTGACATCGCTGAGAAGGCGGTCGAAAGAGAGGTGAAGCAAATGCGAGAGGCGGAGGTGTCTCTCCAGGCTGTCACACGGAAACTCATGGAGCTCAATTTCTTTGAGGGCAAGAAGATTCTGAGTTTGTTGAGGCAAGCTGTGGGGGCATTGGGTGGAGTAAATGGCCACAACAATAAGGCTCTAGGAGATGAGAGTCATGGAAAGTGCAATGGCAATATCCAAGGAAATGAAATGGTCGGAAATGAGGGACTCGAAAACGACGTGAATGACAATATAGTTAGCAGGGCCAAAGAAGTTAGTGAAAGTGCTGTCAATGGCTGCGAAAAAGGTGCTAGAGAACTCAGTGCTTTGGGCCATCAGATCGAGGGCGCTCGCCTAGCACAGATCGAAAAGCAGAATGCTCTTCGCAAGCAAGCATTGGGCGAGCAATTGGGCCAGTACGATCAGATCCCTGCCGAGTGCAACTTGATACCGTATGATCTTTTGGGAGTCATTTGCGGCGATGACCACTACTACGTGCGGCAAGATTTGGACACCTATTTACGGATGGACGAGAGAACGTTAGTGGATTTTGAGGACATTCAGGTGGATGTAGCACACCTCACTCGGCGGGGGTCTCATTTGATCACGTTGGTCTACGGGCAGCGAGAGGGATGTGCTACCTTGGATGATGACGAGTGCGAAGAGGAGAGTAAGAATTCAAAGGATGATGATGACCAGGAATACGAAAAGAAAGAAAACAAAGAGGAAGATAAGAACAATGATTCGAAATTGGAAGCGAGCAAGAATCTGAAGGAAACGCAAGATAGTCAAGGAAATCGCGAAAGCATTATCTCTTCAACATCTGAGAATAGTTTACCAAACCAAACGCCCATAGAGGCCAATTACGAATCAAGCGGCTCACATACTGATGGTCATGAACGCATACCACATCTTGGTACTTCGCAAAGCCAGGGCCACTGTGAGGTTGAGTCTGCTTCCCTCGCAGCCGTTTCTACACCCTCTACAGATTCTACCACATTCAAGAATGCATCTACGAACTCCGGCACAAATTCTAATTTGACCTCCAATCCGTCCTCCATTACCATTTCTAATGCCTCCTCAAATCCGCCGTCAAATCCGAACTCCCCATACACGTCTAAAGTGTCTGACGTGTCCAAAAACTTGCCTGTTTCGTCTAACAAAGTGCACTCCGGCAGTCCAGGTGCAGATCCTCTGGCTGCGACAATCAAGCCTGTCGTAGCACAACTGATAGTTGATCAGTTCCGTGCCGACGAAGACTCGGCTCCTATTCGCCTTGATTAAATAAATACAAACGGATTCTATTGTGGTCTACAACCTTATGAAGCTCAAATGAATTCGTCACTCATTTCTTCTCTTTTATCAATTTTATCAATCTCGCTCTTTGGTCGCATTTGCTCATTTTTGTTCTTGTTCGGGTTTGGTCAACCACGCTCTGCAGGCTTGGCACGGGCTTAACTTTATGCCTCCCGCCTTGAATCTAGTGTGCGCGTGTTCGAGACCTAAAACTGCACTAAGCCTCAGGTTTGTTTTTTCCTCACCATCAATCCCCCACACCAAAAGGAACCTCTCAATACCACCCTCCATCATGGTCAAGTCCTACTTGAATTTGTTGGTGCGTAACAGGAAAATCCACTTACTAGTCTTCGTGGTGTTTCTCCTCTCCGCAGCTTTCCATACTATGGTCCGCCAGGGGGTCGCCTTGGACTACTCCACTTACGATCCCCATTCCAGCGAGCTCACTTACCAATCAATTTCCGAAACTATTCACAGCACGCTTTTAGTGACGGACGTCCGCATCCAGCGCTGTGTGAGAGGTTTCTCGTGCTCTGCTCCTGCGAACACCGAGCCAGGATTCTGGGTCAAGGTTCCTACCAAGCTTAATCTCTACCCAACTTCCATCCATCTTTTCAATTACTACTTGTATGTTGAGAAAACAAAGGGTGCAGAGGCCAAGAGGTATGTGGTGAATATTCAGTTCACTAGCAAGAACGAACCACCATCAAGTAAGGTGGAGTTGAAGTGGTTGTCGCACAAGGTCGGCTCCCAAAGCTTTATTTGGATCGGCTACATGGAGACATTAGACTTTGAGGCGCCCTTGATTCGTGACGTAAATGTTCTTTATGGAAAGCACGACATGAGTGACGCTCGTGATCACTGGAAGTTCTCTCCAACTCCGATCCAACTTCCTTTCCAACAGTCCATCCACCCCATGCTCTCTACTTTGATTGTCGCTGTCAATGAAGAATTAGCAATTTTCACTGCTGACCAGGAATTTGACAATTACCTCAAGAAGAATGAGGTGTTTGTAAACGTGGACCCTGGTTTCAAGATTATTCAAATCAGTGATATGCATATTGGCCAGGACTCTGCGCTCTGCGAAGCCGAGGATGGGAAGACTGGTCCGACTGGTCGGAACTGTAAATTTGATATCAATACCTTGAGATTCCTTGAAGACGTGCTTAAAAACGAGGAGGATATCAAGTTAGTCATTTTCACTGGTGATATAATCGACTATTCCAGAGTGAAACATTTCGAATCGGCAATTTTGAAGGCTCTTGCACCTGTCTTGAGGGCAAAAATTCCCTTTATCTTCACCTTTGGAGACTCGGATCATGAATGGAGCAAACCACAGTCTAAGATCAATATCTTGAACTTCATCTCCAGTTTGCCACGCTGTTACAACAAGAGACCGGGTGATTTGAATCACAGGTTACACGGATTGACCAATGGTAATCTCAATGTCTACCAAGTTCCACCACTTGGAGGCCAAGAAACCTTTGACTACAAAACCATGAAACTTGACCAACCATCAGCGGTAATTACCTACCTTGATTCGGAGGAGATGTATGTTGACGAGACTCAGAGTACGTACATCTACAGGCTTTCACAGACTATGAAGGATGTGAACTTCAAGTTGCTTTTCATCCACAACCCACTTCCGAACTTCCGTCCTTCAGGTCGTGTCAAGTTGATTGGAGGTTACAACGAGAAGCATAGAATCCACACAAAAACTAGTTCACAATTTCTTTCAGATGTTAAGGATTGCGGTTACCGTGCTGTTTGCGTTGGTCATGAGCATGAAAATGATAATTGTCTCTGGGATGATAAAGATGGTAAAGAGATTTTGCTTTGCTATTCCAGTGTTGCAGGTGAGTCTGCCAACACTCGTATTGATCCCAATTTTGAGCGTCGTTTGCGTGTTTTTGACATCCGCTTTGATGCACAAGAAATTTATAGTTGGAAGAGAAAGAAGGGAGCTGATCAGAAGTCACTGACTTTTGACAGTCAGCTGATCTTTAAGGTTGAGTCACCAGGTTCGTCATTTGTCGAGGATAACCAGGACGAAAAGCAGGAAGAAAAGCAGGAAAAACTAAAGGATAAGAAACCTAAGCTAAAGGCAAGTGACCATGCACCTATTGGTGACTCAAAGGCTCCTGCAAAGGATCTGAACGAGAAGGTGTCTTCAAACCCACCTAAGAAGACCGTCAAGCCGTCCAAGGATGTGACCAAGGGGGTAGCAAACAAGGATTCAGCAGATGAGCCAACGAAGGAAGTTCCAGACGAAGGTGAGAAGGAAGTTGAACCTGTTAAAGAGGCTGTCAAACCCAAAGTAAACAAAGTCAAGGCTGAAGAAGACACGACACCTGAAGAACCTGTGGCTAATGCCGTTGACGAAGAGGAGGCTATTGCTGAAGAAGAAAAGGCCGCGGCTGAGCAGGAGGCTGCAGTTGAGAAAGAGGCTTCTGTTGACGATGCTGTCGATGAACCAGTGGTTGACGAAAAGGCAGCACAGTAAACTCTCCAGACACTAACATCACACCTACTCTACATGAGCTTACCTCATTCAGAGGTATAATATTGCAAATACGACTCCAAATGTAAAATATTACTATTATTTTGTAATTCAAATCAGTCTGGTTGTGCAGCATTACTGTCAGACGAAGGATGTACGGGTGTGCAGACATCATGTACCATTTTCACGATGAGATGACTTAACCAAACATCTACTACCACAAGATACCATGGGAAAGGCCAAGAAAACGAGGAAGTTTTCGCTTATGAAAAGAGCCATCACAGATAAAGATGCGCGTCTCAATAAAGACAAAACCTCTCAAAAGGATAAGAAAAAGGATGACCCAGAACTCACGAGGTCAGTACCTCAAGTATCCAGTGCATTATTTTTCCAGTTCAACCAGGCCATCAAGCCTCCATACCAGGTACTCATAGATACTAACTTTTTCAACTTTTCTATCCAGAAAAAGATCGATATTGTGCGTGGACTCATGGACTGCTTGTATGCTAAGTGTATTCCAATGGTCACTGACTGTGTGATGGCGGAGTTGGAGAAGCTTGGACCCAAATATCGAATTGCCTTAAAGCTAGCAAAGGATCCAAGAATCCAGAGAGTCAAGTGTTCGCATGGAGGTACCTATGCGGATGACTGTTTGGTCAACAGAGTCATTCAGCATAAGTGTTATATTGTAGCCACCAATGATGCAGATTTGAAAAGAAGAATTCGAAAGGTGCCGGGAATCCCGCTTATGAGTGTGGGAGCACATAGTTATGTTATCGAGAGGTTGCCGGATGTGTTTTAGGCGTTATATAGGGAAAAGAAAAAGAACAGAGCAGAACAGAACGAGTAGATGGAAAGGATGAGATATGTTGCTTTGTTAGTGAATATTAATTGGAATGTTCAATGGAAGCTCAATGTTTTAACACAGAATCTTGAACAAATGAATTATCAACTGTTCATTATCTTCACATATACTCAACTTAGTCATCTTAGTTTCTATCCAACACTGTCGTCTTTTCACTTCAGAACAACAGCAAGACGTGTTTGTTCTTTCTTCGCCTTCAATATTCGTTTCCTACTTTCTACATCTCTTTCAACAAAACTAACAATGGTATATTTGTTCTAATACATTACTATCAGCCAGGATAGATAAAAATTAGCAGCTGAGTATTAAACACTAAAAAGTTTACAACAACAAAGCAACGGCACCAGCAGCAGCCAAACCAGCACCAACAACACCCTGGCTAACACCGAGGGCAGCAGCAGCACCTGGAGAGGAGGAGGAAGAAGTACCGTTGGTAGCGTTAGCAGCCTGAACAGAGGCAATAGCAGTAGCAGCGAGAACAATGTGGGAGAATTGCATTTTCGGTTGTGATTGATGAGAAGGAAAAAAAAAGATGGAACTTGTGGCCGGATTTTCTAAATTTATATAGCTCCCACTTTTCATACCCAGCCGAGCTGAATATAGCACTAATGGAATGCATGGAAGTTAAACGCCATGGTTAGTTTATTCTATCTGCAGACGGCGTGTATGGAGTGCAGGTGATGCAAAGATTGCCATTGACCCATGCAACCTCCAGGCATCCGCGAAGCAATAATAGCCATCGTAGGGGGGCTTTTCTGCCATAATATCGACAACACATGCCAAGTATAAATGCAGCGTAGTCAAATCTTTCCATAAGTTCTTTTTCGAAGGATTTTGAGTTTGGAGGTCCAAATAAAAATAGATATATACCAGGAACATGGAATGAGAGGCGCGGTTTTTACGAATTTTGCAAGGCGTCCCCCATAGTTCGCCAGACCATTTGTGGGACGGTTGTAGAAGCCCTGCACAGACATGTGGTTCACAGCCTCTCTGAGAATCTACCTGTGACGCTCCCATTGGACAGCTTCGTGCTGTCAATCGCCACAGAGTTGCTTCCGAGTCCAGACTTCGGCCCGGGGACCCTGACGTTTCTTTTTCTGCATTTGTGGTCAGAGATAAGCATCGCTAAGTTGGTCACTTCTGCAACCGTTTTCGTCAGGTTTGCGTCATAAAGCATTTTGGAGGTTGCTCTGCTCATGCCAATGTGATGTTGCTTTTGTATATTCTTTGTGTCCGGCCTTCTATGGTTGATCCGAATTTTTTTTTCATTTTTCTTCTCTTTTCTCCGTGTTCTTCTATAGTTCCCTATGCATCCCGAAGAGTGTATTCTGGTTACATTCCCCCTCTTGGCTAACACGTGTTGTTGGGTTTTAAAGAAACCGTGCATTGCTTATCACGTGTAGTATTGTGATGAACCCTTGTTTGTTTAGGTGTACTGGACGTGTCAGAGGATATGGTTAGCGATAGACGACACTAATCGCTTCAACATATTCGTGTCGAATTCCGGAATTTGGCTACCCCACATTTGTCCCGTCTCTTTGAATCTCTGCAAGTAACTGTCTAACAAAATTGAGGTTTTCTGAAGGGTCTTTAGCACAACATTCTCTCGTGTTTTTCTTTTCTTGTTTTAACTGCCTTAATCTATTGTTTCCTTTCACTTTTGGTGATCTTTTGAAGGTTCCAGAAAGTTTCGGTTACTATCTGTTAAGTTTTGACTATAACTAGCTCAGGTTTTGATAATGTTTATGTTGTCTTGACGAATGTATATCTTTTGAACATCCCAGTCATTAGCCGCTGGACTCTAACAAAGATATCGGCCTCGCCTAAACGTAAACAAAGATTATTATTTGCATTCTGAGATTTAGTCCACCCTACCCGTCTTGTCGGTTATATTTTGATTTAGTTCCACCAAGCTGAGAGAAGGTAGTCGACTGGGTTTGTTTAAAACCAACGCGGCTGCGAAACAGAGAATGTGAACCCTGAATGTGTCAAGTTTTGGTGCGTCAAATTGATCTACCTTCCCTCCCATAACTCTCACAGTGCAGGTAGCAGGATGGACAGCTCATGACTTGTATATGTTAGTAAGAATATTTTTCCCATTCTGCTAACAAATCAGGCGATTTATTTTTTACCCTAGGGTCGGTTAGTGTATAGGCTGCCTGGATATAGGATTAGCAGCCTAGATATAATTTGTGGACAGTGCCAGACAAGCCGCAGAACGCAAGAAGATAGGTCGGTTAGTCTTCGTTTCTCGGTAAAACTGCAAATCCCCCTGTTGAGTCATTCTGAACTCAATGTATCGCTATCGCTAGTGAATTGCACCCTATTCGCCGTGGTGGTATACTCCACTGGGTTGAACAATGAGGTCAGTGAGTGTATGTAGATGTGGAGCTTACTGTATTTGTTCCCATTAATTCAGGCGTTGTCATTTGTAGCCAAGCTGATGGCATTGGATTTCAATTTCAGAGATTTGGACCATTACCTCAATGAACTAAAGTGAAAAAAAACGATGATGGGAGAATGCAATAAGCCAGGGGATCAACTGGATAGCCCTAAATGGCCGAACATCATCGAAAAATTAAAAAAAAAAAAAAAAAACTTACTGTCTTACTACTTGTCTTGGCCTCGTTAGTCATTTACTCTTCACTTTGTATTTGATATTTTGAGCAGGTGTTCTACGATGTGAGAATTCTTAAAGAAGTCCAGATTCCATTCGTTGAGAAAGACCCCATAGTGTATCTTTTTTCCGTATCTTTATTTGCTGATTCGATTATCTTCAGTCTGCTGCTTGCAAAGTGGTTGAGTTTTGACAGTTGATCTGGTCTATACTTGATGACCTTCAGAGAGCTAGAACTCTTCTTTTGGGAGGTCAATAGTTTGATTCAAACTTTGCGTTCCTTAAACTTCAAGAAGTTGCTCAGAATAACTGATTTCTCTCGCAGTTTCAAAGATATTCCGATAGACTAGCGATTTAATGGCCAGTTGGGAAACAATATTCCGGTTGAGTGATTTGCAATCTTCACTTTTTACCTTGGATCACCTGGGGGTGTTCCAGAGAATGTGCCCTCAGATACTAAACGTCCTATTATTCTATTGTTATTCCAATTCCTTGATCTATACTTGTTAAGGATTAACCAGTTCAAAGTTCAGATAACTTCTATGATCGACTTTACAAATTCGTGTTGATCAAGTTCACATCCCTTGAGTGGCTTCACACTACTTTTTTCTTCATTGTTGACTGAGTCTGTGCGGGCAATATCGTTCTGGCTGCAAATCACAATGTAAGATTACTCGTTAGTCGCAACATTTTGAATTTTATTTTCTTACCGCTATTCTTCTTGTACACATCAGATCAAGGCATTCTTCATAAATTCTTTATTCACGCCCCTCACTCGACCACAACTTTCTATCAGAGCTTCCTCTTTTGGTTTAACTCATCAACTCTCTACTTTTCTCAACTTGTCATCTCATGTCAACTTGGAAATCCCTTAAAAAGTCCCTCTCATGGGCCCTCCCCACCCCACAAGACATCACAAGCATGGAGGTTCGAACTCCCTCTGCACGGATCATCAAATTGAAGTCCTCTTCCACTCTGCTTAACGTCGACTTGACAAACTGCAATGCATACATCACTAACGCCAAACCCCCTGCTCCTCCTTCGGCTATAGCCTACGAAAAAATACTGACTCTTTCACAGAATTCGACAGTTTCGTCAGCATTGACGTCCAATACTTTGCCGTCAACAATGTCAACAGCCCACTACGTATCGGCCGCCACTTCTGTATCCACGCTTTTGGTAGATCAACCCGATAACACACATGCGGCAAATTGTTCGCTGATTGTGCAGCCTCCTGATCCTGTGCCTAGCACTGATAACGATTCCTTCCAGATGGCCGGCAAAAAATACCGAAGATCCCTCTATCGGAGCATGGGTGATTACTGTAGAAATGTGCGATCCCTGGTTGCCCGTATTTCGTTACAGCCAAGAACTGCGAAAGACGGTGGCTCCATTAACTCCCGCAACAGCCACGATTCATCAGATAGTATCGACACACTTGCACGAGAATACCTGGAGTTTTTGGCGGCATCCAACGAGTTTTTGGACTACGATATTTCATTTGGTGCCTTTTTTTACATGTGGGAAACTCCATCTTCAACAAGTTTCAATGCTGGAGAAAAAACACCCACATGCTATCGTCAGAGCCCGAAACTGTGTACCGTACCCAACTCAAAAATGCCTGCATCTAATCCGAAGAAGGTGAATGCCTTCGGAAAGATGCGTTCAAGTCACGTGCATAGAAAGCTTGCCAGGCGTTTTAGCTTGGCTACCAAGGAGGTTCGATTTTGAGTGGTCACATCCACAAATTTTTTCTTGATTTCATCAGCACTTGCAATCAAACATAGTCCTGGTTAGGTCTGATAAAGTTCGACTTCGTGCATACATAAACAGATAGCGTGCTGAATTTTCCATCTTTTTACTATTTACACTTGCCCCACACTTTTACATGATCTCAACTGGACGAGGAGGAGCTGGCAACATGGTTCTGCCCAGCGATATTCCCAAGAAAGCATCTCCACCTGCCGAGCATAAACATGATCACAAGAAAATCTACTATTCCACTGGAAGAGGAGGTGCTGGTAACATCAAATCATCAGACGAAATCCCCTCACCGAAATTGGTACCCCAAGGTTCCAACACTCCTGCCTTAACCACTCTGAAGTTCACAACTGGAAGAGGAGGCTATGGAAATATGGTCAGCAACGATGATCCTGAACTTGCCCGCAAGTTGCAGGATGTTGATGGTAACAAGCCTAGTGAAAGTGAGTTGCAAGCAGTCACCTCCAACAAGTCTTTTTCTGTTGGAAGAGGAGGTTTTGGCAACGTGATCTCCAACACCCGTTCGCATGGTAGCAGTACCGGATCTGGCTCCAACAACTTGTACGCCGTTGTGAGTCACGGAGAAAAGAAGAAGAAGCAAAGCGATAAGAAGGGGTTGATCAACAAAGTGAAGTCGATCTTCTCCTGAGACTAATAATATAACCCCGAATATGTGGAATCCGCTAGTGGAGAGCAGCCAATGTTCAACGGTACTCCGCAGCTTAGAAATTAGATGCCCCAAATGCAAGTATGTTTGAAAGTGATTAAGCGGTTTATTGTCTAATTACTGAGCAAAAACTCTTTGACCTTCTCTAATGCTCTGGAACGATGAGAAATTGTGTTTTTGAGCGACTTGTCCATCTCTGCATAAGTTTCGTTGAAACCAGTTGGCTCGAAAATGGAATCCCAGCCAAAATTCTGATGACCCCTACTTTGCACAATCAGACCGTGAGTGATGCCCTGAAACAACTTAACCTCACTATCTGGACCCTCACAGTAGCCAAAGGTGCACACAGCTTTAGCTCCCTTGTCGTCGAACTTGTAAAGCATATCCACCAAACCTTGGAGTCCCACGCCTTTCACGAACCATTTAATGTAAGGACCCGGCAAGTCGTTAAAAGCGTTGAAAGCCAAGCATGTGTCTTCCACGAGAACAGGGCCACCAAGCAATTTGGCAGCACTGCGGGCTTTTTGAATGGTCACCTCGTCGATGGTCCCTTGAACTTCTTCAATGTCTAGCGACTTGTTGGTGATGACGTAGTTGCCCACCTTATTTCCTTCTTCGGATTCGGTGCCTCCGAGGATGTAGACAACCTCCTTTAGTTTGTTTTGGTTACCAGTGACAAAAGTAATTGTCTGAGTCATTGATGGTTGAAGATGAGATTTTGGTACTCCATAGAACAAATGAGATGGAGTGAGGGACTTGGGGTTACATGAACTAAATAATCTGGAGCATTGAAAAAATGTCAAAGAAGCGAAGAGACGAATGTCTTGAAGTCGACTGTTTGTCATGGCAATCACTGATTTGAACAATATGTTTTGGACCTATGAGTAATGGAGGGCCTAACGAGAATGTATATCCAAATGTTCAGCTCTATCAATTTAGAGACCCATTAAATTGGATTATGGCCAATTATTCATCGCTGTTCATTTTATATCACTCCCATTCACTCCATGTAGTTTCAATGAGGATTATTTCCACTAATATTTACCATGAAACATCAGTTTACAGAAGTACAAGACTAGGGACCATTGACATCCACAGATAATTCACCTCTACATCCACTTTCAAATGATTCATTGATGATATATACAGAGGTCCTAAGGACCATATGCCACGTAACGTTGGGTAGCCAACTAGATCTTACCTAATCTCTTCTTCAACGCTCTCTGATTTCTTCTTCTCTTTCTCAACTTGTGCTTCTTCATCTTTAGTCTTCTCTTTCTCAACACCGAATCCATGTAAACTGTGTTGTCTTCGGCGGCATCTGCTTCTGCAGCATCTACTTCTGGAGCTTCTGCCATCTTTGGCTGGGTCCAAGACTGAGGGAACTGAATGGTCTGCAATCTCGAGAGAGTTTGAGTAATAGCCACCAGACGAGGCTGGATGTGAAAGAGTGGAGTGGAGGTCCTGGCCACTCCCGAGAAGGCTCTGAGGCCCACGGAGAGTCTGGCAAGACTTGATCTGAACATGGTGATGGTAGATTTTTTTCATTTTTTGTGGTGCGCACATTTACAGGAAAAGGCCAATTGGTGGTACTATGATAATTAACTTAATAGCATTGGCATAAATTCCATGACATTGGAAAAAGTATCCCAATTTATTTTATTGTTCTATTGATATAATTGTAATTTCTAATATTATTCTATAGCGCAATAATTCTAGTCAGATCCAAACAAATAAATGCAACTATCTAATTCACTCTCGTGCCAGCGAAATCTCGACATTCATGATAATATCTTCAGTGGAGTCCACTATAAATCCAGAGGTTCCAACTATGCCATTGCTGGACAGAACATTGCCTCCAACATACGATGGCCAGTTCTCCACGTCATATAACAAGCCTTTTGTATTTAAGGTCACCAGGCCCCTAAACGGCAATAAACCACATTTGGGCACCGCATCCTCACTAAACCCATTCCGGTGCCTATACCTTACGTAGGTAATGCCCTTGGGCACCAAAAACACCACGTCCGACCCACTGACAAAGAAAATATGCAAATGCGAGTACTCGCAATGCAAGCTGTAGAGCTGGTTGATCAGCTGGAACGTCTGGTCGAATCGACCATCCATTCCTCCTGCTACTAGTATAGAGCATGGGTGCAACGTAGAGACTTGTGAGAGAACGGCGGAGAGACCGTCGACGATCTCTATTGGCACGTTCAATTTCTCACAGAGGTCACTGTGGTGGATCATGGCCACCTTGACGGCCTTGGTGAAGTCCGATGAGTATTGGGATTGTTGCTCAATAACCACTGAGCCAACTTGTTGATAGTAGGTGCGAACATCAGGCCGCAACGAGTCCAAATCTCCAACTATATAGTCCGGAGCATACTTAGGGCGTTCTTCATCATCGAAATAGTCGAATAGCCGATTGGCTCCGCCGTCTGCACAGATATGGAGGTGAGATCTTGACCAGAGTTGGCGAATGTCGATCCCTTCCATGGATGTGTTGAGAATGAGGAGTGAAAGACTCGAAGGGTCATTGGACGAGTCAAAAACATCAAACGGACGCAACTCGTGATGTGGAAATTCCGGAGCTTCCACATCTAGATCATTGGGTCGCTCAATCACTCGACTTGTCATTTTGTCCGGTTGGTTCGGTGTAGAACGAGTGAGGTGAATGTCAAGATACTCAAGATACCGATACACACTACATCATCTGACGCTATCTACATCGTCTAATACACCGGTCTGTTGAGATATTGAATATCTAAATTTGAACCTGGGCTTGTTTATACCTGTATTTTGCTCACTGACATTTGATTGTACGAGTGTGAATTGCCATTCGATAGCCACGACTCCCCCCATCATGTCCAATCCAAATCCAACCACCACTACGGAACCTGCGGTGGTTCCCAGAGATGTGCGCCTTTTGCACCTTATATTCGCCACCCAGGGCATTCAGAACTACCAGGACCATGTTCCCTTGCAGCTCATGGACTTTGCACATCGCTACACTACTTCGGTGTTGAAAGATGCCGTCACCTACAACGACCATGCCAAAAACATCTCAGGCGCCAACTCCACGGGCCAAGTCAATACTGATGATATCCGTCTTGCCATTGCTGCCAAAACAAACTACCAGTTCAAGCCTACGCCGCCCAAGGAGCTTATGTTGGAGTTGGCCCATGAAAGAAACTCAAAGAGTCTTCCGCCGGTGATTCCTAAGTGGGGGCTCAACTTGCCTCCAGAGAAGTATTGTCTTAGTGCACGAGACTGGGACAGTATTGACGAAGAGCAGGCGGATCTTGAGGGAAATAAGAGAAGGCAGAGGTGAAGAAGGCGAGTTCATCAAGAGAGAAGAGAAAGAGAGAACTAGAACTGACTACAAGATGGGATATCCGAGGCCTCGGTGGAGAAATCCATCATATCAGTAGTATTTTAGCTTAAACAGAGATTCGTTATCTGTAACACTTTTTTCTTTGTTCTACTAGTACTACTATTCAAATAACCTGTATCTCTGGTCATGTATTCAGCTCTCTGCGCCCGGCCTAGCCCACCATCTCTCAAATGTATAATCTACATGGAAAAACAAGTAAAAAAAAGTCTAAGGAGGATAAATCTCGAGATCGAAACCCATTTAAAAGTATGTCCATCATCAAATCAGAGAAACAAAATTCCCCACCCTCTCCTTTAAACTTCACAAACTACCTCCACCTTGTCGGACTGCACCCACTGTCTCACCCACGTCCATCGACACCTGCTACCCTATCTTCTACCAGACTCTGTACTATGCTTGCAAAGTCTTTAGGATCAATTCCTGAGTATGTGTGCACATTTTACCCTTCAGTCTTTTCTCCCTACTAACGCCTTCCAGAGCTAGAGAGGAATACATTGGATCCTCGGTCATTGAGCGAACTAGCCGTCTCCATACCTTCAACGATGTTGGCCCTGCCGATTTGTGCAATATCCACAAGCAAAGCGCTACGTCTAAGACAGAACTCGGTACGTTTTTGTACTACACCGGCGTGGACACATCCAACTCGGCGTCCATTGCTGCTCACTTGCAAGGTTTGGCCACGTTGATCACATCTAAGTCTCAGTACTGGTTTGGCGAGAAAAAGCACTGGAAAGTGCCTGAATTGACCTACTGCTCTTACAATGCATTCTCTAAGGTGGACATGCGGGTCACCGTACACATTCCTGGAAAGTTTGAGAGCACAGTTGTGGGCAGTGACGGAAAGTTGATCCACGAGAAGCTTTCCGATTCGGATTTGGACAGAATGTGGTTCGAAACGTTTGTGTGCTCCATTGTCCGGTGCTTGCTTGACTCTGACGAGGATGACGCCAACCGTGTTGGTGGATTGGTGGAGATTCGCAGAGAGAACCCTTTCAACAACGGTAAAGTATCAAAGGAATTGTTAGCCAACTTTGTTGCAGGATTCGAGAAATTGTTCTGGGAGGGGCCTAAATTGGGCTGTGGAGTAGAAGTTCCACAACCAAGTCTTATCTCCAACTATCTTGTGGATGGCTTCCTCAAGTGTGTTGAATTGACGCAAAGCTTCGACATGGCGTTGGACGTGTTGCGCAGGCTAGAACAGAGGGAGCCGGAGGTGGCGACGTTAATTGCTCGTGTTTTGCTTTTGAAGGATGAGGAGATCCAGGCAGTTCAGGTGATGGCGGATGGGATTGCTAATGATAAGCGCGATTCAGAACTATTGTTGTTACAGACTCAGTTCTTGATGGATAAGAAGAGATATGACTTGGCGTTATACTCGGCGAAACAGGCAGTTAAGTCCTCGCCCTCTGACTTCAAGACTTGGTCCGTGTTGGTCAAAGTTTACACGAAGTTGAATGACTTTGAAAATGCCTTATTGACGTTGAACTCGTGTCCCATGAACTCACACAAGGAGAAGTTTATGTTAAAGCGGATAATCCCCTTGAGAGGAGGTGCCGAAGATTTGCACTTGCCGTCGCCCGTGGATGTGACCTTAGATGAGGTTTCCAACTTGCAGAGCTCCTCTATAGCCATCGAGCAAAAGAGTCTTGATCCACAACTTGCCAACTTGCCAGCAGCCAACTTGAAGTCCACATTTGCCAATGCCTATGACTTGCTTACTGAAATTGTCATCAAGACGGGCTGGGAGGCCTTGTTGAAGCACCGTGCGAAGGTTTTCGTTATGGAGGAAGAATACCGTAAGGATAAGGGTAATCACACTAGAAACAACTCTGTTGTGTCGCAGGAAGCGATTGACACAAACGGGTCGATAGCTACAACGGATAACTCTTCCACACTTGCGGTGAAGTCGCCAAAGAAGGAAGGCAATGGAAATGCTGAAGAAAGTATTGAAGATGATTTCAAGAAAAAGAGATTGTGTGAGAGGTGGTTGGACAACTTGTTCATGTTGTTATACGAGGATTTGAGAGCTTACACCATGTGGCAGGCCGAGTATGTACATTTCCAAGCTCAGCAAATGGAATACAAGAAGACCACTTTGGAGTGGGAGATCTTGGGTCTGATAGCTTTCAGACTCAAGCACTTCAAAGAGGGCTCCATAGCGTTTACAAATGCTTTGAGTGGCAGATTCTCAGCTAAGGCTCAGAGAGAAGTTTTGAAGTACTACCAGATGGAACGTACCAAGATCTTGTCCAAGTCTGCTACTGGGGAAGCATCTGCTGCTGTCGCACACAACTACGCAAAAGCCGTCAACCAGCTCAACGAAAAGGTGTTGGAAAGCTGTATCAAGTTGTTAGTGTGGAACCACAGGTGGTACAACGACTTCTCTCCGAAGTTGATCAAAATCTTGAGTGACTTGGTCGCCAAAGAAGGGTTGATTAAGATCCAGTCGCTTGTTCAGGCTGTGTACTCCAACAACATTAATCATTCGGAAGGTATGGCCAATCACGGTATCACGGACATGATGGAGGACTTGTACACTTTCTTCAGGGAGTACAAGCTCAACGGAACTGAAAACTAAATGGAATGGACGAGTATACTTTTTCGCAGCCATAGTCCGAACTTCATTAGTATTTTTGACGTAGGTCACGTGTCATTGCCGAATTTTCGAACTTAGATAGCGATGCAACCCATTTAAAGATAGCCCATCTCATCGATTTTATTGGTATTTTTCCATATACGGACCCTTATCTTTCCCCAGCATTCCCGTTTACATTTAGCTGCTGCCATGTCTATTCCCAGAGATCGGTTGAGAATGCTCCAGAGCCACATCCGTTATGTGGAGCACCATGAATACCAGCCGGAGTTTCCAATGATGCACCGTATGGCCAGGGATTCGTTTCTAAAGAGTCGAATGGTCCCCAATGTTCACATTCACCCTGCAAAGAAGCTACAATAGCTCATTTCAATTCAGCATTCTATACACAAAGCAACGGGAATATCAACTATGTACAAGATGTTTGATCTGTAAGACCACAAGCTTCACTCACTTCTTCTCCTCTGGATCTTGGCTGGGCCGGTCTCTCTCCTGCTGGAAACCCTCCAGGGCCACCTTCATCAACTCCTTCTTGGATTCTTCCAAACGTTTCTTTCTGCTTTGAATAAGCTGGTCTCTTCTCTCCAACTCCTCGATCCACAACTGTTCCCTCAACTTGGCTTTCTCTCTCAACTTATCCTCACGTGTCTGCTTCTGTTCGGCAGATTCCTGTTGGTAGTAGAGTCCTCCAATCACCAACGCAATGAGAGTGAAAGTCTGGAATCCCACTCTGTAACGGAAGTACCGCTGGGTGTCCTTCTTTCTGCCTTGCTTTAGCGACTTGGCGGCAAGAACCACTGCGGCTGAAGTCAAGAACGTGCCGAGGGGAACAAGTGGCTGTTGCTTGCTTCTATAGAAGATTTTCTGGAGGGTGTTCATGTCATTGACATCGATTTCGCTAGAAGTTAGTAAGGTTATAAACCACTCATGATTGCTACGTACTCGTCGGTGGATACACCATCGAAAGATGATGGAATTTTGGCAGACATTGGGGAAGATGTAAAAGTTTAAGTGGTACGTTCTGTAACTTGAGTCTGGAGACAGGATTGGATGTGACACCAGTGAGTTGGCTGATAAGATGGAGTTTAGGGCAGATTGCGGTGATTCTCCAGTTTGAAAGATACTTAAGGCAACTTGTGATATCGTTTATATATCTAGGTATCATTTTGTTAAGAAATACGTGGTTTTTATATTTTTTTAGTGTAGTTGAAGTTTGTAGGTAATTAGCTAAATTGCTCACATTATGCGAAAAGTGATAATGTATGATAGAAGTTGGAGAATTGAGTAAAAACATTCTCTGCAAAGAAACCGAGGTAAAAGTTCAATAAATAAAACAATGAACGAAAATCCATCGGTACAATTCAATAGAGAAGTTCAATACAGAATTCACTAGAAAACGATAGAGATTAATTTGGTACCAGTATTACGACAGAAGGTGTGCTGCTCTACTTTAGTCATCCAGTACCAAAAATTTCAAAGGAAATTGTAATCTTCATTAATTGGTAATATGTGTTCCATTCCAGTTAGCTCCATTTCCTTGTTTATTTAATCTAATTGCTTTCTGCTCTGTGTATTTTAAACGTTTATCTCAATATCGTCATCACCCTCATACTGTTACTGATACTCCACACTACTCAGTTGCGATCTCTCCACCCACTATAACTTCTCTTCCCCATGAATTCAGTTGTCAGCACCATCTTCCTGGCTTTGCAATATGTGGTTCTCATGCCAATCACCCATTTCATACTACCGATTTTCTTCTTCGTCAAGGCGGTCATTACCCACACATTGTTGATTCCATGCTTGCTCACATTGCGTCTAGCCATCTTTGGACTAGTATACTTGCCGTTGACTCCAGTCCTCAACTTGGCCAAAGTGAACTATGACTCGGATGTACCTGTTGAGGTGTTCATGTTCCGGTTATTAAGGGACCTCTACCCCCACTTCCGCTTCTTCTTGATCAACTTGCTCCATTATCTGATGGTCAGTATCTTTTTGGGAACATTTGTGGGGATTATTGCTGGCCTCAACATGTCGTTGGTCAGTCATATTCTTTCGCTTCCGGAGGGCAAGCCTATGGCTGTCAAAAATACTCAAACCACTCCGTACTTGAATGCTCTTGAGCGCAGAAGTGCCCAGATAAAGAAAGAGTTTGGGGACTTCAACATCAGCCCTGTTAAATTGGAGCCAAAAGAAGAGAATAATGCATTGAGTTTGCAGGACCCAGAGGTCAAAAAGGAACCAGAGGGCAAAGAAAGAGAAGATGGACCAATCTTAAGCAACTCACCTGTAGTGAAGTTGGAAGAAGTGCTGACTGTACATTTGAAACCGTTTGTCAGGTCTAGCGATGCAGAAATGTATGAGGATGACGATGGTTATAGTTACATGACGTTTGATATCGAGGAAGAGCCTGACGCTCCGATCTTTCCCCAGATTGAGAAGGTGGAGACAATCACTGAGGAATCTGATTCCGAGATTGCTTCTGAATCAGAAACGTACATGGATTCGGTAGCCCCGGTAGTGTCGACAGTCTCCACCTTGACATCTACATCAACTAAACATTCTGCACCAGAGGAAGTATCAGAGATAGACACCCCAAGAGTGAAACCAAAGTGAAACCAAAGTGAAACCAAAGTGAAACCAAAGTGAAACCAAAGCGAAATTGTGCAAAGCCTATGGCAGTCTTCTACCTTTCAATATTCAGACGAGTTACAATTGGGAAATCTTGATTCTTATTAGGTCACAATTGCTTCAGATTTGTTACACAATCTTTCATATATATTAACCCTTCCCCAATTTTCCACTCCATGCGCACCGAAATCATCAACGCTAAAGGCTCAATTTGCAAGAAAGTCGTCTATGAATTAAACGACCCAGCCAATCTTCCTTGGATGCGGGACATCCGCGTGATAGAATGGGAAAACGAATACTTGGAAGTGGAACCTCCATGTTTACCCATTGTACGGCTAGGCCGAAGCGTCCTTCACCAACTCCGAAATTGTGGGGTGCTCGATGGATACGACAGCGACAGACATGCACTTACACACCTAGTGAGTTATGTATGTAAACTTGAAATGTACTTGGACGATGGAGGCCAATCTTATGTCATTTTGTTGGAGTTAAGCTACAGACTCAGAACACCTTCTATAACATGTGTCAGAGGACTAAGCCAAACAGACATGGTGAATTACTTGTACGACCGGATCGTGGCAGGTGGACACAGTTATGCGTCGGCTGAAATGAAAATGAAGTACTTGTTGGTGCTTCACAAGGTAGCGTGTTCTATTAATGGACTTCAGGTGCCTATATGATACCGAATTATTGTGTATGCAAGTATGTAAAATGTCCCGAATAAATGTTAAAGCGCAGACGCCCTTCAGTGGTTGCTGGTAGAAATAAAGGCTCTTGCAACGCACGACGTCGGCAGCAGGTCGTAACTTTGGAGCACCCTTCACCAAAATATGGATTAGCCTTACTTGGATCTTTTGTGCTTCTTGAGGTAATCTGAGTAGTAGTCTCCAAACACACTCCAGTGAAACTTGACAAGCGTAGAGATTCTGGTGGAAATATTAGTCATCTCCAGGTCAATCTTCTTGAATCTGGCTCCTCCAACAGGCTTGGAGTCGCCAGACATCGACTGGATTGTGATGGAACCGTCAAAGGTGGTGTTGTTGAGAATCTCTTCCAACAACTCCTTGAAGATTCGCACCTCCATTAAGCCATAAACGTCAGAACAAGGTTGGATTTGTTTCATCAACCAGTTGTAACTGAAGTCAATAAGTGGCTGCGGCAAGTTAGGTACGGTTTGCTCTCCTGTGGTTGGGTTGGTCACAACGTTTTTCACCAATTGTAATGCAATGGCTTGGACATTTCTTGTCCACTTGACATTTCCGTTGTCATCGGTCACAATTGCAAGGATCTCCTCCTGAACTTTCGTGAGAATTTCTGGCTTGGACCCGGCAACTCTGTAACTGGCGGCGGGTTGGTAGTTAACAAGCAACTGCTTGTATAACACCACACACAACTGAACACATACCAATTGCCTGACATCTGCTCTCAATAAAACAAGTCTAGTGTGATCAAATGCCAAGGTGGAGGGAAATTCAGATGCCATATTACGGCAAGAAAGCAAATCAATTATGGATGAGACAATGATGGGCTTCATGGAGTCAACATCTTTCAACTCCGCGTCCTTGGAAGCGTCAGTTTTCTTGTAGTAGTTTCTGTAGAACCACTTCAAAGAGTCGGAAATGTCGATCTTGCAGTGGTTGATGAGCTGGTTGAAGTAGTCTCTTTCGAAGTCAACAGCAGTTTCGATCAAAACAGGTCTCAAAATCCTGATCTGGTGGTTTGCAACATCTAACTTCATGGCTTCCAAGATTGAGAAAATCGTTCTCAAGCCTTGTACGAGTTTGTCCACGGAGTTGTCTTCGTATGCACCTTGAAACTTGGAAATCATGTCAGAGACCCACTGGTCTCTCATAGGAGCACAGTGGGACTTGAAAACTTCTCCAAGCCACTTGGCCATTCCCACAAAGTCGAAAGAGCCGTGTGACAATTGCTGAACCAACAAGTCAATATCCATGATTTCGTTGACTGGCAATCTGTCCTTGACTGGCAAGAGCGAGAGCAAGATGTCACGCAATGTACTGAACAAAACTGGCAATCTCGTAATCTTTGGAGATTGTGACGTAGAAGGGGATGCAGCCATAGCGAAAAATTGCTTACATTCATTCTCAACCTCGCTCCAGTACTTCTCGATAATGCCCTTCTTTCTGCGGCCTCTCTCACCATCCAAGTTTGGTCTGAACTGTAATTGTGGGTCGAAAAGAATATCATGCCTCAACTGAGGGTTCTTGAGGATTTCATGCAAGTCGATTTCCTTCAAAGATTGAAGGTTGATAGGGGGAAGGGATGGGATGGTCGTGGCGGCATGATGGTTGTGATGATGTTGTTGGGAAGCCAGAGGCACTTGCAAGGCGTATGAGTTGCTTGCGGAGGTGCCGATGGATGAGCCCTGGAACTGGGACGAAGTCATCCTCAGAGGGAGCATGTGGTGCTGGAAAAGTTGCAGTCTGCTGGTATAATTGATGATCGGCAAGGATCTCGAGCGGAAGCGTCTGAAGTACTTCGGAGCTCTGCTAGAAGAACCTGCTGTCGACAAGGGAGCTGCAATGGGCATTCGGGCGGCCTTCTTAAGAGAGGGCGCCCTGTTGGCGGCAGCTTTGAGGCCCAGGGCGTCCTGGGAAGAAGAGACTCCCGTTACATCAGACTGGGCGGCAGCCTGAGCAGCAGCAGCGGCAGCAGAGGTATTGGAAGTTGACAGAGACAAAGGAGTCGAACATTCTGGGCCTGAGGGAGCAGGTGACAGACCGCTGAGAAGTTGATGCTGAAGGATGATGTGACGGTGGTGAATATGCAGAGTACGACGATTGATGGCAATGAGCGCTGGCAGCGACGAGTCCAGTGAGGCCGATGAGGCCGCAGAGGGCAGTGGCTGGGAGGAGGCTGCAGAGGGCGACATCTGGGGGTCATCGTCAGTGTCTTTTGGAGCAATGACCGAGGCGTCCAACCGGACTCGTTTGGACGAGTCGTTGGAAGCTGCGGTTGAGTTGCGTTTGGACGACAGGTCGAAGAATACTGGGCGGAAGGTGTCAGTCTCCTGCAAAACCTGGTCCTGGTTGTCGTTGGTGTTGTCTAGCTGGGAATTCATTGTGAGTAATCGAATAAGCTAGAGGGGGAAACTAGGGCGGTGCGGAACGACGGAGAACCCTAGAATGGACGATGCGAGACGAAAGGGCTGGATTAGTTTGCAGTGGCGAGGCAGGTTAAATAAAGGATGAAGGAAGTTCTGCCAGAGCCAGGGATAAACGGTGGGGAGGGAAAAAAAAAAAAGTGGTTTAGCAGACGAGAAAAACCAGTGAGGGTGAAGGAAGGAGTGAGGGTATTCGCAGATGAAAAGTGCGACTTTTTCTGCGACGGAGACAAAAAAAGAAAGCAACGGCGTATTATGTCAGGGGGATGACGGTGATAGAAGACCCCAAAAATAACAAAACATTAATAATAATTTTTCTTCCCAAACTTCCCGCTACACATGTGGTCACGAACATCGGCGGAAGTTCCGGCGCTAACAACATAAAGGAGGGCTTAAGTAGTAATAGTGGGTCGGCGATTGGTTCGAATTGCTAGATTGGGCAAGTGTATGGGCTGCGAAAGAAGACCTGACTAACCGCAAGTGATTAATAATGAACAGAGAGAGGTTGAAGTGAGAGAGAAAAGTGAAGAAGAAAAAAGATGATGACAGATGGAAGTAGTAGTATTGAAGATACAATTTGAGTTGAATAATGTGGCGAAAGAGTGTTTTTTTTTCTCTGGTTGGATCATTTTTACTTGCACGGTGGTTGGTTAGTATTGCTAGGCTGCAACTTTTCTTTTTAGCCGGTGGATGCGCCTAAGTGGCCGGTGACGGCGAAAAAGGAATCACTTGGAAACGATCTGGGATAGGTGCAGGAGAGCTTGGTGATGACCACGGGGAAAGATGCCGGACCATTTGAGTTGCTACTAACCATGGATATACGGGATGAATTGTGTAGTGTAGATAACCAGAAAAAGAAAACAGATGGAGAAATCCAAATAACAAAAAAAAAAAAAAAAAAGGAGTGGAGCCGTTTGTGATTATACAAATTTACCATGAGTTACGATGTTTGAATTTGGCACTTTAGTTCCACTTTAAATTTTCGGACTTCTCTCTCAGATCTTCTCAGTTTCACCGTTAATTTTTTGTTATTTTTTCTCTATTTCATTCAGTCATCCTCCTTACTCTGAATTTCAGAGTTGCTCAATCTTTCAACAGGAGCTTATTGTATTCTCAACCAAAGTCTTTTATCCATCTTGTTGACTTTTCTCTTTTCTTTATTTTTTTTATTTTTTTTTTTTCGTTTCCTCCTTTTTCTCACATTCCCTCACGTTCGCCAACCTTCCCTAAACCTATCTAACATTCGCCAACCTTCCCTAGCACTCTAGTTTCGCTTTCACCTTCCCAGCATTGATCACGTAACCCTCCATGCTTTATCCTTTAAGCATTCACCATCGTACTTCCTTTTCACCCGCCATGCCGCCTTATTTGTCTCCCTTTTCGTCCAATCTCCCAAATGGCTTTATTTCCGGCCCAACTCTGTTTCACTCAATCACCGCACCATTCCACTTATGCTTAATGTGCGAATCCTGTCGATCTCGCCGATCTTCCACTCAGGCTATATTATCGATATGTTTCCAACGATATGCAACTCTCCTCAGCCACTACAAGACTCCTATCACTCCTTTTCTTCCTGTCTCATTCGGACGCTCTCTTACTTAATGTCCTTCTCCCTAAGTAGTAACGATCTATGCATGCTGTCTTCAACTGCACCCTTATACACACAGCCACCTGTGACTTTTCTTTGACGACGTCCAACTTCGCATTCATCGCCTTCGCATTCATCGCCTTTGCGTCCATCACTTCACATCAATCACCTTATTTGCTGCGTGGTCCCTTGTGACTGCATCGTCTTTGTCGATCTGATCATGACAGTTGGAAATCCACTGTTCATCCAATGCATCATGCTACATTATTTTCATTCCCACCGTAGTTTTGCCTCGTTATTCTCGTTTGCCTCTTGTCCTCCTGGCCTGGGGCCACTATCATGGTGCCAGTGCTGGCTTGCCTCCTGTGTCCAGTGTCCGCATCTTCCCTCCCCATCCACCGTTGAAGACTACGTGCACGTTTGAAACCCCGGTATCTTTTTCACCGCTCCGCATTTACTGGGCGCCCACACACTGGTATACGGTGATTTATTCCATCTTGATCGTTGGCGGCCCGCTAGACGGCATGGAGATGCTCGGTGTTCTCGCACCGACATTGACCAGGTGTTTTTTCTCTGCGTAAGGTCTGGTTGTATTTTTTCGCTTCGGCTGTGCGGCCGCGTGAGGTATTTTGTCCGTCTGCCACCCACAGTGAGCCCGGTTTTCGCCCGTTGTCTTTTTTTTTTCTCTTTATTTTTTTCTTTTCGCCGGCCTGGTCAGTATTCGTCGTCACCAGTTTGGCTGCACTTCCACTAATGTATCTCTTACTAAATTGAAATCTGGTGGTGGCACCGTATGCATGCACCATCGCCTTTGTTGCGTGCCACCTCCAGCCATTTTGCTCCCTTCCCCGAGGATTTTTCAACTGACGATTACATTGTTGTTTCCGGTGTCGTTTGTTCCTGCAAGATGGCCATTCGGATGCAGATCACGTTTGCTATTGCATAGAATGAAACTGCACTCCATCGATGCCAAATTCCCACCGTGCTATTGTTCCAGCCCAAGTATCTCTTGTAAAATTCAACAACCAACAATCAACTTGTGTTTTCTGTTCTAGCACTTGTCATTAACTTCATCATCATATTATCTCCACATGAGCTGACGTCAGGTGCTTGGGCTTCTTTCATGATTTGGGGCCATTCCCCATGGTTCCTCATGACATGTCGTGGGACGGAATTGGGGTTCAAAGTACTGCGACTAACCTGTGTCCGTCCGATAACCCTGCCGATTCATGCAAATTGTCCCCAGCTTCGTACAAGAATGCTGCCAGTTTGCCTGTAGTATTGAAGTTTACGGCGCTTTCTGCACTCGTCCATCTCTGCACTTGTCCACCTCTTGCTGCTTAAGCATTGCTCTTATGCTCTCTTTTAACCATTGTAACGTCTCTTCCTTCACATTAAGCGGCTTTTCGATAATTTTCTCATTACTTTAGTTTGCCCATGGCTCTTTAATTTACCCATTAGGCCCGTTGCCTTCCCTTCATGTCGGCTTTCCAACTTCTCTCCTTTCTGTTTGCCATTTTTATCCCTCGTTTTCCTTTGTCCTTCATTTCCTCTCATTCCTCACCGGTATATCAATCCCCAGTCCTGCGCCTTTCAATGTCTTTTAACGTTCGCATTTATCCTCTATAATACGACCTACAATTTCACGTTTTTCTATCCACCATTTTCTGCTGCTCACAACTCCTGGTCCCCTCAGATCTCAGGCCCCTCCTACCCTCCACATCCGCCTCCAGTCATTCTATCCACCATCGCCAAAACGCCATTAGTTGTTTGTTCTCCAGTCATGACGCCCATCCACAAAAGCCCAGTGGTGGGGTCCTTCCCTGATGCTGCTCCTTCCAAATCGGCAACTCCCGTCTCAGAACATGAACGCAGCAACCCGGGAACTCCTCGTGCTGCATCCGTGGAGGCCTCGCAGGCCCGTCTGGTGGCTCATCTTCCTTTGACAAAAGCTGCCGCCAGTCCCAGCCAACCTTCTGCGCCTATTCCTTCGTCTCACGGCACTCTGCCGAATTCCTCGCTTGGAAAGACCCAGACTGTGTTCATCCATAAACTCTACGATATGTTGGAGGACCAGCTTCTAAGTCACCTTATCTGGTGGTCTCCAACAAACGATAGCTTCTGCCTTTACCCCGGAGAGGAGTTCTCCAACGTTCTTGCACAATACTTCAAACATACCAATATTGCGTCGTTTATCCGCCAGTTGAACATGTACGGCTTCCACAAGGTTAACGACAGCTTTCAGAATGATGAGAAGCCGCAGTCGCCATCAGCTTCGGGACAGAGCTCCACCAGATGGGAGTTCCGTCATTCGGCCAACCAATTCCGCAAAGGGGATGTCCAGTCGTTGAGTTTGATCAAGCGCAAGTCGTCTAAGGTCATCAATTCTCACAAGGAAATAGTCAGCTTGAAGTCTCTTCCACCAACTTCCAATATGGGCGACGAGAAGCCTCCGCAATACCCAGAACAAGCCCAGCAACTGTACCATCGCTCTGTGTACCAGCAGCTGTGGGATCAAATGACAGATACAGGCTCCACCCACTCGGCGCTGCCTGAATTGTCTACTCCCACCCCGCTCAATGCCCACCCTCCAGTGGTCGCCTATCACACCTATCCAGTGTATCCGCATCTGGTGGCTACATCCAACGTGCCTAACTCGCCAGGTCTGCCTCCCTATCCAGACCATGGCGTAGCGTCGCCTCCCTACATCGGCCAGCCGCAACTGCAGCCTCATCTGCGCCAACCATCGGTGCAGACCCCAGCAATCCCCGTGGACCAATCTATCAACCTCAAGTTGATCGAGATGAACAATTCCATCGCAAACCTCAAAGCAGGTTACCTGGAACTACTCTCACGCTACGAGAACTTGAGTGTCTTATATCTGCGTGGCCAGTCGGAGCTTTACCAACTCACTGAAATCGTAGAAAAGTTACTTTCAAGAAACACCCCCGAGACTGAATCGAAACGCGAGCCTGACCAAATTGACAGGAGCAAGACAAGGACGCCGATCGACAGAATCATCACACCAAACCAGGACACTAGCACCTCTCCCATGAGCGTTAAGCCCAGTGGAAAGAACACTGAATTGGACTTGTTCAAACAGCAGCTTCTCCTGAAGATGAGCCAGCCAATTACTGCAGATTCCCTGGGCCAGAAGAGTCATCAACATAACTACCACTTGGACGATGTCTCGCTGACTTTGTCGAAAGGAGCCAGTTCCAACTACAATATCGTGCCCCAACATTATCCTCTCAATCCAAATTATTCGCTTTACACCAATTCGGATGCGGCTTTCAGGCATTTTAAGATGAGCAACGAAGAAATTCAGCAGCGTCAGAAGGGGCCCCATCCCAGCAGAAACGTGTCCGTGTTCATGGATCCACTTCAACCTGTCCCCAGCCGCACTCCTGTGGCCAACCCCACGTCCTTGGGCCCCGATGGCAAGGAAAAGAGGCCCTCTGACTCCGCAGTTCATCCTTATGTACAACAGTACCAGCCACTCAACATGCACCAACCCCCAGTTCATGCCATTTACCAATATATTAGGCAGGATATTCGGCAGGAGCCTCTACAACAGCGCACACTTTCTTTGCCAGTGATCGAGAAAACTTTGCCGCCGAATTTGATGACACAGCAACGCCATTCATCAACGACCACGTTACGTCAGCCTCAACCACAGACTGAACGTCACAACCTGATTGCAAGAGCCCAATCTCCAAGGTCACACATTCCGGGCCAACAAAGACCCACTACTCCTCAGGGCTCTCTTGGACAACCACCTCATGGAGCTCTTCAACATCCACAGCATCCACAGCATGGACATATTCAACATGTCCAACATGTGCAACCAGGGCCACAGATTCCACCAATCCAAAGACCAGAGCGCATGCAACTGCCCCATGCTCCGCCCATGAAGGTTGAGCTGGTCCCTGGTAGGGTGCAAACTCCTCCTCGGGACTTGAAGCTGCCTTTGAGGAATCAACTACCATCAGTTTCAGAGCTAGATAAGTCCATTAAGAGTAGTGGTTCATCAGGCAGAGTGTATGATATACTTCTGGACTCAGGGGAGGACAGAAACAAGAAAAGAAAGGTTGAAACGTAGTGGCATCTAAGGTTGATACTGGGCTACTTGCTACTATTCGGACGTTATTCCGCCATATGTATGATTACTTGTAATATAAACTATCTGACTCAATGATTGTTGACATGGCGTGTATACAAACTGCGTACAACATCTTCAAGTATTTGGATACTGTTTGTAGGGACACCAGAAAAGCCCAGCGAACATGGCCAAGAAGTATAAGGTGACAAAAACCTACCCGCAAAGTAGCTTCAGAAAGGTTATCAAGGCAAAAACGAACCTCCCCATAGCCAAAGACAACTCAGACATGTTGGTGTATCTAATCTACATTGAGTATCTCCATCAACTCATGAATGGGGCGGCAGAGAAGGGCATGTCTGAACGGTCGATTGAAGACGTACACAGTGAGCTCATGAAGCGCTTTCAAGGATGAATATATGTATTCTATGTACAGAAGACCTTCCGAATGGCCCAGTATTTATAAAACGAGGTCTCAGAAGGAACTATTAGGATGTTTCAAAGTGTCGATCATGGCCAAAGCGGCACGAGGGTCGTTTTTATTGAAAACAAACAAACCTTGAAGCTGCGCAGTGCTGACTTTTCCGAGCAAGCCAAGCTCACTGAACTTTTGGGCAAATTGGTCGCAGAGTTTTTCCTCATCTTGGTAGAATCTGGTGAACATTCTACGCACCTGATCTTCCGAGGCATTGTTGACCAAGACCTTGTAGTCAACTCTTCCAGGACGCAAAAGTGCCGGATCAAGACGCTCTGGATGGTTGGATGTCATGAATGTGATACACTCCTCGGCACTGGCGACTCCATCCAACGCATTCAAAAGTCCTGAGAATGTCACTCCGGATTGGAAACCTTGTTCATTTGTCTGCTCACGACTGTTGAAGGCTGCGTCAATGTCTTCAAGAAGAAGAATTGATCTCTGTGGAATGTGGTTCATCAAGTGGTTGAGACGGTCGTCCGTGAGGTTGTTCTCACTAAGATTCAAAATGCAGATATTATAGTCTAACTCTCCAGCCAATGCCTGGATGTACGAGGTTTTACCACTTCCTGGGGGACCATACAAGAGATATCCTCTTCTATAAGGGATTCCTCTTTGGTGGTACCACTCGCCGCTCTTTAAGAAGTCCTTGACATCGTTCAAAATGTCTTGTGCGATACCTTTGTCCAAGATCACCGACCCCAACATTCTCTTCTTACGAGGGTTTCCAAACGGCCGCCATTCAGGTCCCCACGACGTGTACAACACTGTCTTGCCCTCTTGGGCTTTAAGGGCCATTCTCTTCGCTTCTCCAAGCAAATCCCTGAAGAGGTGTCTGTCACTATACAAGGTGGTGAGTGTAACAGTCTCGAACGGCGTACCGCTTGTCATGTCGAGAAGCTTGCCGGATCTCTCACGGTTTACCAACATATATGCGCCCTTGTACTTGATGAGGTGCTTTCCCGGTCCCGGAACCAATGAAAACTTGGTGGTGACTGCTCCATTATCGTGCTGGATGTAATTCGTCTCGACAGATAAATGACGCGAGCTTCTGTTCTTGTATTGCGACATCCACTCCAAAAACCAGAGGTACAGTTTGTCCTTGGATGGAATCTCCAAGTCGACGAGCATTTGGCGGTACAAGAAGCCAGAGGTCTTGACAACACCTTGCCTTGTCAATGCTAAAGCAGTTCCTAGAAGCATTAAACCTCCACCGGCCGCAAAATATGGGTTATTGCCAATGATTTCCTGGAAGGCTGTGCCTGCCATTCCTTTGAGCGTGCCATCGGACTCGCTTTTTATTTTCTCAAAGTCTATGGATGGAGATTGGGACATTGGAGAGAATGGGTTTAGAACATTAAAAAGTTACTATAGTGAAGGTCTTGGTGTACGGGTTTGACCGCAACCTCTGATTCACTGGTGACATAGGGGGGAGGATGAAAGAATGACTGACTACGGAAGAAATGGATTTATTATTCTGTGGCAATCAGAGCTATTGGTAGACATCAGGTTTGTTTTCGATTACTATAACGTTTCCATGTTCGTCCAGAGTTTCGATAGTTCCCCTTCCTTTTGTGGTTTCAGCCGTACAAGGACAAGCAAAAATGCCAAATCAACGGAGTGAAATGAGTATAAATTTCACAGCGTTAAGTAAAGTAGTCCAACATGATAATAGCAACTTTAGAACATACTTACATCCTTTTAATTGAGCCCAAAATACCTAAGCAATAACCAAGACCTTGACTGTGTACAGGTCACACCATCTACCTCAACTCCGCCAATTATTCCATAGAATCCCATCCCTATGGCTTCTGAGCAATTTAAAGATACCGAGCCGCTGCGTGACTCACAATCGTCAGATTCGGTCTCGACGCCTTCATCCGGACACTCCGTGGAGCCTGTCAAGTACAAGTCCAATAATCCATTTGGAAATCAAGATTACCCCAAGAATCCATGGCCACCACAATCCCAAACGGAAATTACCACTCAATTGGAGACTGAGGTAGTCCTGCCTCCTTATCAGGCAACAACTATTTCCCGTAGCCACTTGGTTCGGTTTCCTTTCAAGACCTCCAACAGAATTTTGGATGATCTCAAGTTCTCACCTGCTCTCTTCAGATTCAATGGCCGCCAAGCCGCATCAACCGAGGTATCATCGCTTCTAAATTCAAGGCCGGTGCAATATAGCAAGATATTGTCATCTGTGTTGTCACATTCTGGGCTGCAGACTCTAGTGTTGAACAATGCCGTAAATTACATTCCAGCAGTGACCAAGGTCGACTTCGACAGCAAAAACGTCACCGTCACCACTATCCGAGGATTGGTGGTTAGCAGAGACATGAAAGAAATTAGCCACTTCAAAGTGGTGGTCCTAGAAAGAACATCTCGGTCTCCTTTCCCACTGGTTGATAAGCAGGAATACCATGTAGTGCCCAAAGACTTGGTTTCACAGGATGATCTTAACATAATGTCCGACAAGTCCACACAGGCACTGAATCTTTTGGACGATGCCTTTTTCGTGAGTCTCAATAGTCCATTGAATCACATAATGAGAGTCCTGGTGTATGACACTGAGTTTAGTGCTGATGACTTGAAACCTTTGATAGACGATGATGTCATCAGAGAGCGCTATTTGAAAGGAGTTGAAGGAAACCCAGATTCGAACCTCGAAACTGATCAGATTCCTAGTCCAGTACACTGTTTTCAGACCCTTCTCAAAGTTCTCAAGGGTCCTATCTTGCTCCCGGCAGAAGATCCTATTCACACCATCAGTAAGCTGAAAACTTCCTTGGATGCCAAAATATGCTTGAACTTACTCTTTGACAAGCTAGATTTCAAATTGGGCGAAGATGGAGACAACTTAATACCTCCTAATCTCTCGGCAAATCTTCCCTTGAAGGAAAGCTACATCAGAAAAGCATACGAGCTAGTGTTCATCGGAAAGAACCTTAAATCAAAGAAATTGAACGATTTCGATGTTACTTACTCTTTTAGTGACAATTTGTCTCAAGTTCACTCGGCATTAGCCGAAGTTGACAAGCATTCGGCATTGACTATGGGTAGAACGGATGGCTGCAATAAGTTCCCCTTCTTCATCAACTTGAGTTGCTCCACTTTCTACCAGGATGAATTGATCATACGATGTTACGAAAATACTGTTAGTTCTGATCCCAAGAATAAGATCCATTACGTTGATTCGTTTAAGAACATTATGAATTACAGGTCCTCGAACAAATCCTCGCGATTACTGTCATACTATAACAACCAGTATATGAAGGGACGTATGTATGGATTTTCTGATTTCAAGGCGCTGCTCCGAGCACTCAAGGTTGAAGGAGTAGAAGCGGACATGGTGGTTGATCCAGAGGTGATCATTGAAATGTACAAAACCTCGTGTAAGTCTGATCCAAAGAACTACACTTACTATAATAAGCAACTTCGAATTATTGCTGGCATCATTAATTCATCGACTTTGTTCGACTATATTGGTAACGAATTAATTCCGACGCAAATTGCCTTGGATGAAATGCGCATTGAAGAGGTCACAGAGGATGAAGTTGTTGTCACTGCTTTCGAGTTTAGGTTGGATGAAGTCATGCAATCAGTGAACTTCGACAAAAGCAACCCAGATGTTACCTTCTTGCAAAAGTGTTTGCTTTCAATCGCCGTGGGTAGGAAGAGTTACATTTTAATGAACTACATCGAGACCAAGCTTCCAGAGATGATACGTGACTACCAACTAACTTATTGTGATGCTCTCAAAGTTTTGGAAGTCCTGCAAGATACTAATGAGTTCGAAATCATCTCTAATTTCCAAGGGAAATTGTCCGAGTCGAAGTTCGGTGACAACGTTGACATTCGAGCATTGAGAGAGGCCTTCCAAAAGATCGCTGAACAAAAGAAGTCAGAAATTATGCTTAGCTTCTTGAAGCAGGGCAAAATTGATTCTTCTTTGCTTCCCCCCGAGAATTGGCCAACAGGACTTGACAACATTGGAAACACTTGCTACTTGAATTCCTTACTTCAGTATTATTTCTGCATTAAGCCTTTGAGGGAAACAGTCATTGGGTATGACAAAAATGTACTTTCTAAGAATCATGAGCGACGTAAGGTTGGTGGCCGTTTCGTTGAAGAATCAGAATTCGACAGATCATTGCAATTCATTTACAGGCTTCGAGCTCTTTTTGAAGAAATGATAACTACAAGGAAAAGATGCGTACAGCCCAGTAAGGAGTTGGCATATCTTTCATTCTTACCACTTTCGCAACCAGTTTCTTTCAAACCAAATGATCAAGAAGTTATTATCATTGATGAGGACATGGATTCGGATAAGGAGAACGGGGCAATCGTACTCCGCTCTAAGTCTCCTGAATCTATTGATATGCAACTGGATGAGCAAGTGGATGACTTGATAGAAATGGTCGATGACCAACAAGAAAACAACAGGGCCTTGAAACTTGAATCAACTGAAAACTTGATTGATATTGATGAGCTTGCGCATGTTGAGAACGCTGAGTTAGAGGGTACGAAAATTTTGAGTATCAGCCAAGACCAAATCGATAGCACTATTGAAGTGGGCAGACAGCAGGACGTCACTGAATGTATTGAGAACGTTACTTTCCAAATCGAGACTGGTCTTGAGCCAGAGAGATTAGAAGATGATGGTGAACTGTACGATCTTATCAAGAGGCTTTTCAGTGGTAAAACTAAGCAAACTATCACGCCTCTCGATGAAAGCAAGAATCAGAAAGCAAGGAGCTCGTTTGAAAGGTTTTTCAGTCTAATCATAAACGTTGGTGATCATCCCAAGGATATATATGATGCGTTGGATAATTATTTTAACGAGGATGTGGTGAATCTCGAGGAAGGTGAAGTCAAGAAATCGCAAACCATCTCCGAATTGCCGGAGATTCTCCAGTTCCACATTCAGCGAGTGTTATTTGATCGTGAGAGACTAGTCCCTTATAAGTCGTTAGAAGTTATTCCATTTGGAGAGAACATTTATCTTGACAGATACCTCGAGACTGAAGATGAAGAAATCAAAGCAAAGAGGCAAGAAGTGTTTGAATGGAAATCGCAGCGAAGGGATCTTTATTCTGAAAAAGAAGCTATCTTACGAGTGGATCCGGAAACTAAGCTATCGGTTGTGGATGCGCTCAAGGCCACCTTGAAGTATCTTGAGACCAAAGTTACACCGAATGATGAATTTGAAATCAGTCAAGATACAATTGAAGTGATTAGACAGCAAATCGAGCAATTAAAGAGTCGACTCCAAAAGGTGAACTCCAAAATAATTGAGCTAGAGGATAAAATCTCGTCTCAGTTCAGCTCATACCAGAATGTTGGTTACTCTCTCTTTGCTATCTTCATACACAGAGGAGAAGCGTCGTACGGGCACTACTGGGTGTACATCAAAGATCCACACAAGAATGTCTACAGGAAGTACAATGATGATAATGTGACTGAGGTTCCAGCTTCGGAAGTTCTCAATTTCACTGAGACTAACACTGCTACGCCATACTATGTTGTGTACGTGAAGGATAACTTGGAAAAGGATTACATTGAGCCACTTAAAAGGGAAATTGTCTGATTGACGCATGGGCTACGATATAGTTTAACGAGGTGAAATCGAGAAGTTTCAAGCTCTTGTGAAAACTGGGTGTATCTGGAATTCCGGGTGCTTCTTCCTCCAGTTGCAAGATGTTCCAAACTGCCACTGGTATGAGATTGGTGTGGCAACTGTGGTCTTTACTTATCATTACCTCTCACCAATCATGAATAAATTTTGAAATCTAACATCAATTATAGTTTATATCAACTAGAGGTATTAGCCACTCTCTCATGTCAACGTTCTCCTAAATATTTCGTTCTTCCCATTAAATTGGGTCCGGTACATTAGCCAGCCACTTTATCTTATCACCTTCGCATACCAATTGACTAGTAACTACGCCACCAATTTCATCACAAAGTCACCGTCCAAACTGTTGACTTTGTTCCTCCAATTCATAGCTTTAAGATAATGAAATTGGCGGTGTTATTTTCGGCTGCGATAGCCATTGCTGGTGGTGCTGCTGCTGATTATTTGCATGAGAGCAAGGTTGGGCTCACCTTCGACAAGATCAAGAGAAATGCTGTAATCAATGATGTTTTTGACGCTTCAGCTTTCACAAAGCCTTCAGATGACGAAGATGACAAATGTCCGCCGTGCTTCAATTGCAATTTGCCAAACTTTGAGTGCACTCAATTCTCCCAATGTAACACTTTCACCGGAATGTGTGAGTGCCGTGACGGTTACGGAGGCATGGACTGTTCGGAGCCATTGTGTGGATCCCTTTCCGATGGCAACAAGAATCGTCCAGTTCGTGGAAATGACACTTGTGCATGTAAAGATGGCTGGTCAGGTATTAACTGTAACATGTGCACTGATGATAGTTCATGTGACGCATTCATGCCTGAAGGCTTGAAGGGAACATGTTACAAGAGCGGAATCATTGTTAACAAATTCCACCAGATGTGTGATGTGACCAATCCTAAGATCATCTCCATTCTCAATGGGTTAAAACCCCAGGCAACATTTTCTTGTAACAAGACGGCTGCAACTTGTGACTTTCAATTCTGGATCGAACAGGAAGAGTCCTTTTACTGTGACTTGTCCAAGTGTGACTATCAGTACGATTTGTCGTCCAACAACACTCATTACCGGTGTGAGCAAATGGCATGTAAGTGTTTGCCAGAGAAGATGTTATGTGGCAAAGCTGGGTCCATTGACATTTCTGACTTCTTGACCGAGACCATTCGTGGTCCTGGAGACTTTAGTTGTGATATTGAATCCAAAAACTGCCGCTTTTCGGAGCCTAGTATGAACGACTTGATCTCCTCCGTGTTTGGTGATCCTTATATCACTTTGCATTGTAAGTCCGGTGAATGTGTTCATAAGAGTGAGATTCCCGGCTACGATATTCCAGACCACAACAAATTTAGCTTAATGAATCTCCTCACCATAGCTGCTGTGGGTGTGGTGTGTGTTGTTGGTATTGCTTCTGCAGTCTATAACATTGGCAAGAGTCCGTTGTTCGCAACATCTGGCTACTCGGAGTACGAAGCGGTTTCTGATGAACATAACCCACTCAATGAGAATTTCACCCCAACAACATTGTCTTTTAGCGGGATCTCATACACTCTTTCTCTGGGCAACAAAGTACTTAACAATGTCTATGGATTGGTGAGTCCTGGCCAGTGCTTGGCCATCATGGGAGGCTCTGGTGCTGGAAAGACAACGTTATTGGATATTTTGGCTGCAAAGAACAAAAGTGGTACCATAGAAGGAAACATCTACGTGAACGGCCTGAACTTGAAGAAGAGCGACTATAAGAAAATTGTTGGGTTCGTTGACCAGGAAGATCACCTAATTCCAACATTGACTGTCTACGAGACTGTCTTGAACAGTGCGTTATTGCGATTGCCCAGAACAATGACCTTCACTGCTAAAGTGGCCAGAGTGATTGAGGTCTTGAACGAATTGAGAATTTTAAGTATCAAGGACAGAGTCATTGGTTCGGACTTCAACAGAGGTATTTCTGGAGGTGAGAAGAGAAGAGTTTCTATTGCCTGTGAACTTGTCACTTCCCCTTCAATTTTGTTCTTGGATGAGCCAACTTCTGGTTTGGACGCTTACAATGCCAGAAATGTAGTGGACAGTTTGGTAAAGTTGGCTAAGGATTTTAACAGAACCATCGTCTTCACCATCCATCAGCCAAGAAGTAACATTGTTTCCTTGTTTGACAAATTAGTTCTCCTCAGCGAGGGAGACTTGATTTATTCAGGAGATATGATCAAGTGTAATGAATTCTTCGGTAAACATGGCTATCAATGTCCTCTTGGATACAATATTGCAGATTACTTGATTGACATCACAGTTGATCATAAGAGAATCATCAGAGTGCCTGGAGAAGGCACAGATGCCCATGCGGCGTTCGTTTCTAACCCAACCAATAGTGATATTGATATAACTCGGGAGTGGGAACATTATGCTGTTCATCGTGATGAGTATAATTACCAGCCAGTTGGAACGTCGAAGGATAATGGAGATTCTTTAGTGCAAATCAGCAACAAGTTGCCTCAGATGTTTGATGAATCGGTTGCTGCTATTGAGCTTAGACAGGAAATTGAAGAGCTCCAGAACAATGCTTCTGATTTGGATTTGCTGCACCACTTGTTAAAGAAAGCGAGCTTCTTCACTCAGTTGTGGATTTTGTGTTCGAGAACTTTCAAGAATTTGTACAGAAACCCCAAGCTTCTTTTGACCAACTATGCCTTGTCTTTGCTAGTTGGTCTTTTTTGTGGCGTTTTATACTACAATGTCACCAATGATATCAGCGGATTTCAGAACAGACTTGGTTTGTTCTTCTTTATTTTGGCCTTATTTGGATTCTCCTCTTTGACTGGGTTACATTCTTTTGCCCAAGAAAGGATTATCTTCATTCGTGAAAGAGCAAACAACTACTACCACCCGTCCAGTTACTACATCAGCAAAATGGTTTGCGACTTACTCCCATTGAGAGTATTACCACCAATTATCATGCTTAGTATTTTGTATCCATTGGTGGGATTGACAATGGATCACAATGGTTTCTTGAAGGCTCTCGCTGTATTGGTCCTTTTCAATGTTGCGGTGGCAATTGAAGTGTTGATCGTGGGTATTTTGATAAAAGACTCGGGAACCTCTACTATTGTTGCAGTGTTGATCCTTCTCTTCTCGCTTTTGTTTGCCGGGTTGTTCATCAATAGCGATGACTTGAAAGTTGAGACTAAGTGGTTGCAATGGATTTCCCTTTTCCACTATGCTTATGAGGCGTTGGCCATCAACGAAGTCAAGGATTTGATTTTGAAGGAGAAAAAGTACGGTCTCAGTATTGAGGTTCCAGGAGCGGTCATTCTCAGTACATTTGGATTCAACGTTTCTGCTTTCTGGAATGATGTTTCCTACCTTCTTGGATGGGCATTGGTGTTTTTGGCGCTTGGTTACGTCTTCTTACACTTCTTCACCGTTGAAAGGAGATAACTGATGGCTAATTCAATCTCTATTAGAAATACTCGAGGCTAGCTCATAAGGCCACACCGAATGCTAAAAAAACAAAAACAAAATACACGTACATGAATCATTTCTGTATTAATGAACGGGCTTAAGCATCTAAACAAAAATCAAATATTAGTATAGGCCGCAGAGACGAATAGAAGAATTAGGCGGCTAGTCATAATCAACCCGAGGGAAAACCAATGCAGATGTCATGCAGACGTGTCGAAGAGCTTACTCTGAAATAAAAGTGGCCTCGTTGAAAGCGATACCCTCTTCAGAAACTCCATTATACTCAATGGTCAAGGTGTTGCAGAACTGGTAGATGTAAGGCTTAGCTCCAGCCACACCGCTGACAATATTCTTGACAAACTGTGGGATCTCGGCCATGACATCAACACGTTCCACGAGCTGAGGCAATTCTCCTCCAACCTTTGCCACCACGGCATCGTCAGTACCCGAGGTAAAGTTGAAGGTAATGGCCTTTGGCACAGGCCATCCCACCTCATCTACCTCAGAGTTCAAGTGCTCCACGTTGTTATTGATGGAGGTGGCAATGATCTTGTCTTTAGAGGCCAAGATGGCGACATTGACCTTAGTGGTGGCATAAGAACGAGGCGTAGTGAACTCCATCTGCACCGCACTGAAGTTTTCAGACTGGAAGTTCAAGAAGTTCCATGACTTGGCGGCGTGGTGGGGTTTCATGCCTTGCATTGCCATGACAAACATTGTGTAGCCATCAATGGTGACAGTGGAGTTCTTCAACTTGATAGTTCCCTTGGAGCTACATCTGGGCCAGAATACGTGTCTCATGGAGCCCCAGGGGTTCTCAATGTCGTCTCCATAGAGGGTGGTGCCGTCCTTTCCAAAGATCACTCCAGGAGTCAATCTGGTCACCACGAGTTCCACCTCGGACTCTGGGTTCACCTTCGACGTAAGAGTATAGGTTTCGTTGTTGTCACCAGAGCTGATAATTGACAAGTCCTTAGCGTAGAAATTGGAGCCCTCAATACGGAAATCCTCCAAAGCAGTGGATGTCCAAGTAGCGTTAGGGTCGGTGGCGCCGGTATTGTTATTGAACAAGCGGAAGGTAAATTGCGCGGTGGTTTTGATGCCCATAACATTCGAGTGGATTACCTGAGCAAATCCGGCGTAACCCGAAGCCAAGTCGGTGAAGTAGAAGGTTTGGGTCTCCACGTTGGTGGAGGAAGGCTGGATCCAGGCAAAATCCTCAATGACGGTATCTCTAGAAACGGCGATACCATTATTGATGGAGTCGGTCACGGTGTGAATAGCCTCGGGGCCGTATTCGGGCTCGGCAGTGCCAGCCACAACAGATAATCCAGATTGTACCCACTTCAACATAGTTAGGGAAAGAGCAAGGAGCAATGAGCGGATTAGTATGTGGTGGTGTATGCACGCACAGGTCGAGGGTAAGGTGATGGACCAAACCGTCAAAGCATTATGATGGTAAAGGGATAGTATAGAGGAATTGACGATGTAAACTGATGGAGAAAGGGGTGAGATTGTGAATATAGAATGTAGATTTGTGGATACAGTTGTATTTTGTGGTGTCGAGGGATTATTCGTTACTTTAAAGTTTAGACACTGTTCATAGTTGTATGGTGCGAATACCCACATAAGATTGTGGAAATGAGTAAACTTTGGGAATGGAGAGCATTAAGAGATTCTGAACAAAACGCTGGTAAAAATCGGAAAAATCAAAATATCGATTTTAATTCTGTGAATTGAAAAGAATTTCAACCGGTCAACCAATCAACCAATTTAATCAACCAAATACCATAAATGGAAGGTCACAATGTACCCTGGTCAAGTCCTGGCATCACTATTGTCACCAGATGCGTGCACACAGGCATGGTTTCTTTTTGACTGGGCAACCTGGAATCCACACCTAGAAGGACATGGCCAGTTAAAACGAAGCAATGGAAATGCTTGGATGGCAAGAGTTAGAAAAGAAGAGCAAAATTGGAGAGAAAAAACAACTTTAATTATATGAAAACTCTTGAAAAAAAAATTCAACATAGACTCAACTAAATATCTCACATAGAATGTTCGCCTATTTGGGCTCAAGAATAATAAGGTCTGGTGCCATGTTAGGGCAACGGTTCCAGTGCGCATCAATTTCCCCTTCACTGATTTTTAAGGCCATACGAAGTTGAAAGCATGAAAATGTTCATATCTACTGCCTTCCATCACAGTGCATTAAAATTTTATCTCCAATTCATTTCATTCCCCAAATACCTCAATCGATGCCTAGATTCCTACCATCATTCTCCTCTTGTCCTCCTCTCAACCCAATAATAACTTACTAACCTCCTCACTGGTCCCCGCACCCGTGCCTCTCACAAATCTCGGTTACTGCCCAGACCTGCCTATCACTCCTGTATTAATACCTCCTTCCGCATACTATGGGTCATATCGACCTCCACCAAAAGTCGTATTTTTTCCTTCCAACAACTTTTTTCTTTCCAACGGTTTCCTTCTAGCCACTCACGCAGATTCTGCTCCCCATCTCCCCATCTCATCTGCTCGGACCTGTACTCCCGATGGTGCCGTCCGTGTCGACTTTGCACCCGAGTGCTAGTCTGCCTAGCGCACTAGCCCTCAAGCTTAACCCAGAGGTGATGCACCACTTACGTCTGCTCCTGAAGCAAAACAAGACGGCTAAGTTGGTGGTAAAGAATGGCCAATTCGTATGTATTGCTCAAGGATCCAATTTTTTTTTTTTTTTCTTCTTTCGGTTCCTCTCCATGTTTCGTTGTACTTCCGCCTCATGTTACTAACCCAACTAGCTGATCAAGGTATCTGACGATCTCGTCTTTCCCTGCTCGTCAAGCTCCGAGACTCTCCGCTTCGATGTGTATTCGCAGACAAAGTCTTACCAAAACGATGCGTACAACTTCCTCGGGACCGTCACGAACCGTCTCAATGTGCTTAGTGATCCTAAGCAGATCAAGGAACACATGAAGAACACATCCCACACGGCAGCTATACACATATCCACCAAACCGGCCCTTCACACAGCGCTGCCGGCTGCTGCTACCCCTGAGAGACTGGCCCGCATTTCACTGTCGCCGCAGAAATCTTCATTACATTCTGCTCTGAATCCATATGGCGTGGTGCTGTCCGATTCGAAGCAAGACATTGCCGCCAAGTTCTTGGCCTTGGTGGCCTTGGGCCCCATCACAAAACCAGACGTAGAATCCAAATTGAATCTGCGTCACTTGGTTCCCGCTTCAGAAATGGCCGACCTCTTCTCATCTCACACCCAGCAGTATCTGCAAAACGATACCTTCACCGAGGACGACGTCTACCCGCTGCTTGCACTGGGTACATGCGTGGTAGATCCGGATGTGACTTACATCATCGTCAAAGACAAGGCTTACAAAGACATGCGCCCATGGAATTTTTCAGCATATACCGATTTTGAACGGTCCCTCATCATTGACAACGCAAACAACGCTTTGTCACGGCTAGGATACCTGGAGACGCACCCATTGCGCCGCCGGATCGTCGAGAAATCGGCACCTTCCGCTCCTCTGTCCCATAAGAAGACCTCTTCGTTGGGTGGTGGTATTTTGATCAGTGGTCGCCGCCCAAACTCCGCCAACTCCGTCAACAACTCTGCACAGACACTGAATGCGTCACCATCACCGCTGTTGGTGCCGAGTTCATTGAAGAACGCAAGCCTGGAGTCGCCCAAGTTAGGGCCATCTCGGAGAGCAGACTCCAAGAAATCCGACCCTTCGCCTTTGAAAGAACCCACAAAGCGCAAGTACGTTGCATTACTGTCACTGTCAGGTTCGTCCTCCGAGGATGAAAAACAGTCCAAAAGAGCCAAGAAAGAAGGCAAGCGCTCCGATAGCAGCGGAAGCCATAATAGCATTAACAGCACGGGTACCTCCTACACCCTGCCTTCATCGGTCAACGACGAGACTCACGCCGAAGAGGATCATAGTGAAGAAGACGTCAAGTTGCTGGTCATTCACAAAACCGTGTCTTCTCTTCCATCGCGTCCTCAGAGTTCCGCATCCAATGCTGAAAAGAAGCAACAGTATTACAATCAGTTAGCAGCCAAGTTTAAAGGCAAGTACCAGGAGTACGAGAATCTACACAAGGTATTGAGCAAAGATCATCGCCGCGGAAATACAGCAGAGAAAAAGAAACAGTTATTGAAGTTGTTTGAGATGCATACCACCCTAGCAGAATGGAAGCGCAAGCTCTGGGACTATCACAACGAGAATAATATGACCGAAGGAATCATGAACCTCTCTCGGCATCGCAAACAGAACAGTGGTTCCAATCTCAAGGTGCCCGTATCTGCTCCGGGATCGTCGCAGGTTCTGAGTAATGACAGGTTCTACCGGTTTAATACTGCTAGTCCTTCTGTGCAAACAGCCGACAGGTTCCAGGCAACTGCACTGGGCCGGAGGCAGCCTGCTGCAGAAACGCGGACTTTCCTCAAGCATAAAGTGGCACTCGACTACTGATAAAGTTGTGGCTAAGACCAGCTTTCAATATCACTAATATGCATTAATTCATCCAGGTGAAGCTTCCAGCCACCTCCGACTTACCACCCTACCCACATCGCTGGCGTTACCAGACTAATATCGGTTCGCCACTACATTATAGTTTATAAGTTATTTAACGTTTTTTTTCTCGCCAATTGTAGCACTATCACCAATCTCGGTATACCTCAATCTCACTTACGTGCACATCTGCACACTCGCACATTGACCACAAGATTTCCAATCTTTCAACACCAGCAATGTCCGCCACCCCCGTGTTCAAGGAGGAAGAAGACGACCATTCTATATTGGCGTCATCGCCTCCAGCCACGCCATTGCCGGAGGAATCAACTACCCCTGAGAAGAACAAACCAGAACCTGAAAGCACAGTTGAAGGTGACAAGAAACGTCGGAAGGCACCAGCCAAAGGAGGCGGACCGAAAAAACCTTCAGAAGAGGTGCTTCAGAGACGTCGAGAGGGACGAATCAAGGCAGCAGCCACCATCGCACAGAACTTGAAGAAGACAGGAATTGGCCGGTTTGAAGACCAGAACGGATTCACACTTACTAGCGTGAGAACTGTACCATTGATCAACCAGAAGAACTACTTTGCAGACTACTTGAAGAAGGACGAGCAAGTTACGTTGATACGTAACTGGAGAAACGAGAAGGTCAACCAGGTTTCCACCAAAGACGCTACTAAAAGCGGAGATAAAAAGCCGTTAGAAGACGACGACGATGACGAAGATGATGACGAGGACAACGACAATGAGGAAGGCGCGCTGGAGAAGGCCCGCATGGGTGATGACACCATCGTCTTTCATCCGGGATCGCAGGTGTTGAGAATTGGAAGGGCTACGGCGGGTTCTCCTACTCCGATTCCCATGGTAATTGCCGTACCCAACCGGAACAAGAAGTCCGGAGATTATGCCGTTGTGCCTGAAAGAGGGGTCGACGAAGACGGAAGCGTTGAGTTTAGCGAGTCGTTCGACGCAGTTAAGTCCGTTGTGACCAAAGACTTTAAAGCCCGAATGCGCTACTACAAGAGGAGGATGATGCCCAATTCACGGGAGAGTGCAGCCAATTTCAATAAAAAGCAAGAAGGAGAGGATGTTCCTGATGGATACGATCCAAACAAGATGGATTGGATCGAAAAGGACGATGAACTCTTGGAAGGTGACTATATCTGCGGGAAGGATGCATTGAGGCTCCCCATCAACGAGTCGTTCCAGGATTGGCGACTCAAATTTCCTATAGTCAACGGGGGCTTCAATCAGTCGCCGGAAGACTATCTGTCTCCGCAGGAATTGTTGGGCGACTTGCACCGTATAGTGGTGGATGCCTTAAAGTCCATCGACATTAACACAAAGGAAGAGACAGCCAACTTGAAGTGCTTGTTTGTGATCCCCGACTTGTACGACAAGATCTATGTGGAAACTTGGGTTGACTTGCTCTTCAACGCCGTGGGTTTTGGCCGTGTTGGAATCATCCAAGAGGCTGTTGCGGCCACTTTTGGTGCTGGAGTGTCCTGTGCTTGCGTAGTAGATGTTGGAGCAGAAAAAACTTCCATTTCTTGCGTGGACGAAGGCATGGTGATCAATGACTCGCGAGTGAAGCTCGACTACGGAGGCGTGAATATTACCGAGGCTTTTACCAAATTGCTCTTACAGCAGGACTTCCCTTACAAAGACATTAACCTCGCCAACTATAACGATGATTGGCAATTGGCCGATAACCTCAAGAAAGAATTCGGCACGTTTGATGATGCAGATATTGCCGTACAATTGTACAATTTCTACAAGCGCAAGCCTGGGGAACGAACACAGAAGTTCAACTTCAAGGTCTACGACGAGGTGATGTTGGCGCCGTTGGGATTGTTCTACCCGGACCTCTTTGAAATCTCCAAAGAAACGCGACCCCGTTACTTGTTTCCTGAGTCCATTGATCAATATACTGGCGAGCCCAACGACCCATACTCCAAGGCTCACGAGAATTTGGTGACCAACTCCAGCTTTTCGGACACTGCCGACGAGACCTTGTTGATAAAATTGGTGGAAGACAAGCTGATTTTCAAGCAAGCCAACGTGTATGCCAAACCCAGGGCACCACGGTCACTCACGGCGGAAGAGGTTCAGATTCCTGTCACTACACCATTGGACAAGGCCATCATTGAGTCCATCACTAACGCTGGAATTGCCACCGATTTCAGCAAGGCACAGAAGCTCTACGACAATCTCCTTGTTGTTGGCGGAGGTTTGGCAAAGTTTCCGGGATTCGATCTACTTTTGAACGACCGGATCAGTATTTGGAGACCCAAGTACTTGTCTTCCACCTCTCTCGACGAGATTTTGAACCATGTGGGCAAAGAAAAAGAAAAAGTAGACACAAAGCGCAAGGCACTCATTACAGAGGCCAAAGAGAAAAAAATTAAAGGAGAGCAAACATTGGACGAGGTGGAACTCACTGAGGAAGAATTGGCAGCCATTAACAAAGAAACTCAATTAACTCTCGATTTGGCGCGCACAGATGGTATTTCCGACCAGGGCTCACTAGTTCCAATTAATGTTCTTCCAGCCCCCAACGAGTTTGACCCTCAGGAGGTTAGCTGGAAAGGTGGGAGTGTGTACTCTCGGTTGAAGGTAGTCAACGAAATGTGGATCGGCCAGTCAGATTGGAATCTCCTCCATTCCCGGTGTCTTTACTACAAAAGCTTGTTCAACTATTAGGCCCGGGTTGAGGGGATGTCTGGGTTTACAGCCTGTGGGTGGTTGTAAATCTGCATGTTGCATGTCAGTGAGCCCTGGCGAACATTGAGGTTCCAAAACTTGACAGTGGACGATGGAAGGAAATTCACCTTAGGGCCCTAAAATATTGGCAATGAAAATGGCAATGGTATTTTTGCAATTACTGAATTTCATTGTCTAAGGTCCACTCTACAACAACTTGATACCCATTTGAGGATCCCCGGTGATCCCCACAAAAATCTATTTCAAGTGTTCCAAAACGCTTACCCTGAAGGCTTTGTACCCCACCGGCCCGGCCCTCTACGGAAAAAGGCCACACGAAAACCTCGGCCTTGCGCAGAGGATGGGTAAATGCCCGAGCCATCTACCGCGCATATGGGGAAAAAACAGTGTGAATTTCTCGGGTCTGGTGCACGGATGTATTGGCGGAGGCTATACGCCCGATGGAAGTCTATGCCAGGCATTGAAGACACCTTAGCGTTTTTTTTTTCCAAAACTCGTTTCCACCACCAATCAGTATGTTGTCCAAGCAGTTTGCCCGTGGATTCGCTTCCACCTCTATTGCAAAGAACTATGCATCCACCATTCCAAACTTGAAGGTGACTAAAGACACCAAGGTGATTTACCAGGGTTTCACAGGTAAACAGGCTACCTTCCACGCCGAGCAGGCCATTGCCTACGGTACCCAGGTTGTCGGTGGTACCAACCCAAGAAAGGCTGGAACTGAGCACTTGGGCTTGCCAGTTTTCGCCAACGTCAAGGACGCCATCAAGGAGACTGGAGCCACTGCTACTGGTATCTTCGTTCCACCTCCAATTGCTGCCGCTGCTATCGAGGAGGCCATCGAGGCCGAGATCGGCTTGGCTGTTGCCATCACCGAGGGTATTCCTCAGCACGACATGGTGAGAATTGCTCAGATCTTGAAGACTCAGTCGAAGACTAGATTGGTTGGTCCAAACTGTCCAGGTTTGATCGCTCCAGACCAGTGTAAGATCGGTATTATGCCATCTCACATCCACAAGAGAGGTAGAGTCGGTATCATCTCTAGATCTGGTACTTTGACCTACGAGGCTGTTGCTCAGACCACCAAGGTTGGCTTGGGTCAGTCTTTGGTTATTGGTATGGGTGGTGACCCATTCCCAGGTACCAACTTCATCGATGCCTTGACCTTGTACTTGAACGACCCAGAGACCGAGGGTATCATTTTGATTGGTGAGATCGGTGGTACTGCTGAGGAGGAGGCTTCTGAGTTCTTGAAGCAGCACAACTTGACCAGACCAGAGGGTCCAAAGCCAGTTGTTTCTTTCATCGCTGGTGTCTCTGCTCCTCCAGGTAGAAGAATGGGTCACGCTGGTGCCATTGTTGCTGGTGGTAAGGGTGATGCTAAGTCTAAGATTGCTGCTTTGGAGTCTGCCGGTGTTGTTGTTGAGAAGTCTCCAGCTAGATTGGGTAACTCCTTGTTGGCTGAGTTCAAGAACAAGGGCTTGTTGTAAGTTACTAGATAAAAACACGAAGAATATCTACTATTAGGGTATAGAAGTACTGTAGTGGCTACTGAACTTTGGATCCAAAAGAAAGCCGATGAGACTAATTTCCTGGTTTACCATATACTTTTTGGTCTCCACACGACCCATAGAAAAATTTAATACTACACCAAAGTCAAATCTTAACTCAGACGCCATGTTTGGATTGACTCAGCTCAAAAACATAGGACGCACGGGGCTTGGCCTCAGGCTAGCTACTATGAGCAGACCATTTTCACAATCGTTTGTAGCATGCAAAGTCAACACTTCCACCAGAACCAAGGAAAATGTTCATGATTTGGAGACATTCTTCAAGTTGATTGGAAGAAAGACTGTGGACCACTTGGGGCTGTTCGAGGGAGACTTGGACAAGTTTTTGGGTACCACCTCCAAGCAGATGAAAAATATGGGCATAGATGTGTCAACCAGGCGATACATGTTAAGATGGAAGCACAAGTTTGTAAATGACTTGGAGCCCTTGAGAGAGCACAAGAGAGGCAAGAAGAAGAACGGAGGAGAGAGAAAGGCCAAGACAGTGTTGGCAAAGAGACAGGCATTGAAGAAGTTGGAGGAGAAAGAGCGGTTCGCCAATGAGGAGTTGGAGGCTGAACAGAAGGGTGAGAGACAATTCTAGTGTATATAGTCAAGGAACGAAGATCAGAACTTTGGGATTTTTTTGTAGTGGAGTTTCAAAGATTAATTATTTTAAAGTTTAAATAACTTTTAGCAGTGAATTTTTCGAAAGCTTTATGTTGGCCCGCAGCGAGGTTTTAAACGTCACAGATAATTTGTTAGATCGTTTGAGCAGTTCTGAGATTCGAAAAATTATTCCATGAATCCTAAGCCTCTGGAAATTATGTTGTTTTGAACGAATTATTGCCGTACTTCATCAATGAAAATATCACTTGTAGATCAGATCGTAGAATTAGAAATTGTACCAGTACAGGCTCATTTCTTCGATCCCATACAAAGAAAAATCAATTCTTTTTTGGAAAACATTGAAAAGTTGAAAACTCACAACTCATTTGCAAGTTACCAGATTATTCTCCAATATTTCCTTATTTCTCCTCCAGTCTTCAATACTCCACACCGCTTGTGCCTCCAATCTCCAGACTGCATACTCCCCAACTAGTCTTCAACGCACTAGACACTCTGGCAATCTCTACTACAATTCATGATGAAGTATTTCTCAATCCTTGCCATTGTCGCATCTTTGTTCGTGTTCTTCAAGTTCACTGCCGCCGCAGACTTGCCTGAGAACCCTCCTTTCACCCACAAGGTCTACTTTGACATTGAGGAGGAAGGCAAATCCATTGGTAGAATCACCATTGGATTGTTTGGCACAGTGGTGCCCAAGACCGTGGAGAACTTCCGTCAATTGGCTATTTCTGAAGACCCCAAGTTTGGTTACAAGGGCTCTATCTTCCACAGAATCATCCCTAAATTCATGCTTCAGGGTGGAGACTACGAGACCGGAAAAGGGTACGGTGGAAAGTCTATCTACGGAGGCAAGTTTGACGACGAGAACTTCACTTTGAAGCACGACAGACCTTACAGATTGTCCATGGCTAATGCTGGAAAGAACACTAATGGTTCGCAGTTTTTCATCACCACCGTGGTGACTTCGTGGTTGAACGGTGGCCACGTTGTTTTCGGTGAAGTTGTTGATGGCTTCGACGTGGTTGACTACATGGAGAATGTCAAGACCAGCTACGGTGACAAGCCTGTCAAGGAGCTCAAAATTGCTGATGCTGGTGAGTTGCCAGTTGAGCAGGTCAACACTAAGGACGAGCTCTAGATGTGTTGATGAGCGTTTCAGTTTGATTGAGTTTCCAGTATTTACTTATTAGTATGTAGATATTAAATCACTCAATAGTTGATAGATAAATGTAATTGAATTAATACTCACTGCGATCCAATTAGGACACTTCACAACATTCAGTTTATAGTGGAGATGTGACCAGTGTACCAGTAAATTGCCATTTCTCATCACATTCTAAAACTAGTTGGACATACCCGATATGAGTTTACTCCCTTTGTATGTGATGTTCCAAGATCATATAAAATGGTTATTCCTCTTAATTATACACTAGAATTTTCATGGATCCACTCGTTTTTTATTATGAAATAGAGCATTATTCCAGTTTCTGTTCTTGGGACAGGTTCAAAAAATGCCAGCTCAACTCTATTGGCACTTATTTAACCGAGTCATTCCAATTACTACCTCGCCCCCACTCGATTCTCAACCTAATTGTCGTCTGTATCTAGGTTCAACTTAAGTCCCAACTGCTCCACGGTACTGCCCTTTCCATAGAGCGGAATATCGTCAAGATATATACTCTTGTCGTTAGTGCTCGAGACTATCACCGACGATAGTACATTGTCGAATGCTGATGCCAGAATCTCACTATTCACATTAGACACATTGCTCATGATAGTCAGATTGGAGTCACCATTATCCACGGTCTGCGCCACAGTGCCCGGATTAGACATTGGCGTGTTGACATAACCTGCAGTGGTGACGTTGTTGTGAAGTGGTCTAGAACTGGCCTGAGTAGCTCCACTGGTAGCAGATGGCTCATCTGCACTGGGATAAGTGTGGCCTCCCTCGCTGATGGAAAACGTACTCATTTTGTTCATCAAGTCTATAGACTTCTTCATCAGAAGTGTAATGGAAAGCATGCGTGCCGACAAAATGTCGTAGATCTTCGGGCTCTGGTACACGTTGGCTCCGATGATGTAGTAATCCTGTTCAGTTAATGTGGAATTTGGGTCTAAGCGACGTTGTTTCCGGATAATCCAGAAGTCAGGCTCACGAACATGGGCTAACACGAACTCAATACCTACCATCTCCGTGAGTTTGCTCTGGAGATAGCGTTGTGGGTGGATATTGGGAGGAATCTGCTGAAACTGGAACTGCATGCGTAGAACCTGGTTGTTGGAAGTTCTATCGTAGAATGGTGATTCTGCAAAGTAGTCGAGGACATTGCCAGTATGGAGCCCGAACTGCTGGATCCATTCGGGTGATTTCCATTGGATTTCGTCCAACGGCTCTGAAGACATGGTGGTTGAGAACAGTGCAGGATGCGGAGTTGGTGAGGACGATAAAATCTAGGAATTGAAGAGTGCAAGGATAGAACAAGTATTTCAAACAATGATAATTGGTATTTTAACAAAGTTTTAAAGTCCTACTCCCATTAATATTTATTCTATAAAACTCATTTTATATCTTAAAATCATTTAGTGCTATCAAATTTACGTGATATTATCAACCTTTCCCACCAAGAGTTTACACTACTTAATACACAGTCTATTATTGGGTTTATGTTCAGTTAATTGATACCTAATACACCAACTTTAACACCCCTTCAATTTATATATGTCTAGTCTCCTCGTTTCTAATAGCTCTAAACTCTCTAATTCTTCTCGTTCACATACTTAGCCAACTCTTCCTTTAACCACGCAGCCTCTTTGGCCATCTCTTCGCTAGTTCTAGGATACCTTTGGTCATCTGGAGTAGACGTCCATTTCAGCGATTGCTGAAACTTCTCCTTCCTTGCAAAGAAATCTGCGTATTCCGCCGCTAAATCCTTCAGTTCCAATTGCGTGTGGATGCTGTCGTCGTACTTATCGGTCTTATACCTTGGAATCAAGTGAGTATGGAGATGCGGCACAGATTGGCCAGATTCAGGTCCATCTTGAATGGCAATATTGAGAGAATCGGCCTTATAAACCTTGGAAATGAGACCCTGGATGAGTTGCAACGACGTCATATAATCCATTGACTCTTGCGGTGTCAAGTCACCAAAGCGAATGGCTCCAGTTCTTAAAGGCACAACGAGGACATGGCCCGGCACCAATGGCTTAAGATTGACAAGTGCATATGTGTACTTGGACTTGAAGAACACCTGAGAGTCTACTGCAAACTGGTAGAAGAAAATGGCTTCCTTAGACATGGGTGGAAAACGATAGAATAGGTACTGTATGAGTATAGCATCTGGCCCATCAGAAGATACTGAATCCATGAATACTGAATGGAGGGCCTAAACGGGTACTGGGTCAAATAACATTGTTACAGGACATTGAACATATTTTACTCGTCATCATTCTATAAGACCAGTCTCTTTATATTCTATACTCTATTTACTGGTTAACCTTTCCAAAGTACTCCTTGGACTGAGCAACATCAGGCTTGATGGTCTCAGAACCCTCCTGCCAGTTGGCTGGGCAAACCTCACCGTACTTCTCAGTGAACTGGAAGGCATCAAGCAATCTCAAGGACTCATCCACGGATCTACCGACTGGCAAGTCGTTGATGGTGATCTGTCTCAAAGTACCCTTAGGGTCAATCAAGAAGATACCTCTCAAGGCAATACCCTCCTCCTCAATCAAGACACCGTAGTCTCTAGACAAGCTGTGGTTGGTGTCGGCAATCAATGGGATGTCCACTGGGCCCAAACCACCATCCTTTCTGGCCACGTTAGTCCAGGCCAACAAAGAGTACTCAGAGTCAGTGGAGGCAAACAACACCTGGGCGTCCTTACCAGCGAACTTCTTGACGGCATCGGAGTAGGCAATGATCTCAGTTGGGCAGACAAAGGTGAAAGCCAATGGAATGAAAGCCAACAACACCCACTTACCCTTGTATTGTTCCAAGGAAACCTCCTCGAAAACACCGTCAATGACGGCGGTCTTGGTGAAAGAAGGAGCAGGCTTTTGAATAGTAGCAACCATTATGTATTAAAATTAGTATGTGGAAAATAGGAAGGGGACACCCGGGAAGTAGCCAGCCTTTATATATTTGGTGCGCGCCAAAAAGTTACTAAGCGGAACAATTCTAGATTGTCCGCTTTATTACTCAGTTGGGTATGGGAATCCGGTCACATACAGGTGAGGGCTTGGAGAGACTTAAGGGCTATACAAGGTGGGATGATGCTTGGTGCAGTGTGATTGGCTGAATTTGGGTCCGAAGATCGCATTTAAAACAGAAGAAACTGGTGGGAACATAGTAGCGTTTCTTTTCAAGTTAGTAAGAGCTTGTGACATTTCCATCCTGATCGGGGAGCCTCGGGCCACTTCACACGCGCGCCACACCGTGGAACCGAAGCGACCACCACTGTGGCGCGATCTGATGGGGAGATAAGACCGAGGGGGGAAGGTGCAGGTCCGGCCAGAAGGATTAATAGGGCCACCGTTTGTCATAATTCATTAGGTCTAATTAGTTTATAGGCTAGACATTATTAGATTATTAATTATTTTTGTATAGGTTATTTTGCGATTTTTTTTATGACACTACTATGACAATTTTATGACATTTCTTTGATTTTTTTTTTTTCTTTTAAGAATGAAGCTACTTTGATTACAGTTCATAATCCCCTTCGATGACCTCCATGGTTGATTTTATCTGAGGGTTTCACTCTTGTGCATAAATCTTAATATGGTCTAATTGGATTTCATTCTCATGTATGTGAAAATCATAGATACAGAAAGAAAAGGTAAACTTTATGGATTTCATTGTATTGGTTTTCTTGAATGTCAATTGGCCTAGACCTCTGACAATAAAAATAAGGTTGGATTAATAAATAATATATGTGACACCATATCAATGGACTTGTTCGCGAACTGATTACATCCGGACACTGGAGAGTTCAGACTATAAGCCACATCGCCACAATTATTAGTCAGTTGTATACTTATTGGTCAATACGTGTCATTGTCCTAGTCTCCATCGGACTCCTCCAGGTCGGAGCCCATGGCACTTCCTTCAAACATGGACGTTGCATCGGAATCAGCCTTATCTTCAGCTTCAGAGAAATAAATCAATTTAAAAGGCTCCAACTGGAGCTGAGCGTACTGCGTCACCGTTTCCAGGATCCAATATTTGATCTCTTCATTGCCATCATCCGTATACCAATCGACATCCTCAGAATCTGAAAGGCAGGAGGAGCTGGATTCTTGAAGATCAACTGAACTAATTGATTCACACTCATTAGTCGCGTTATTAATATTGTCCATTCTTTCTTTGTCATTCTCCTCACTTTCAGCCAACTCATAATTGTCTTCCCTCTTATCTACCTCATGATTTTCTTTCTCTTCCCGCAACTCGGTGAGTTTGTCGATGATATGATTGAGCTCATCACAATCCTGTTGCGTGATAGCTCTTCTCCAATTCTCGTAGTATGGCATCAATCTTCCCCTAAATGCCATGAACCGAACAACCCTACGCTGATAAGGGAGAGTCTCGATCACCTCGTTCAACTCGTCTGCCTCATAGTCAGTGATTGGACTTGAGATGGCAAAATAGGGTAATTTCTTTCCTCGAAACTCCGAAAAATGAACAGTCTTTTGCTCTTGCGACAACATACCGTGGCCATAGTGCTTTGGTGTCGTTTAAATACCCTGAAAGGCATACCAGAAAAGACAAAGACTACAAACGTGAATTACACTTCCAACTGAGAATGTGATAGCTACTAGTGACTGTATTTGATTTATCGACGATATACGGTAATACTACCTACTGTTCGAATCTCCAGTCTCATTTTCTTTAAGTGACATTCTGTGGTTCATCAGACACAAGTCATAAAAAACTACTGACCCACTAAATCTTAAGGACATTTCTATCCTAACTAAAATATTTAAGAAAAAAAACCACAATCAATAAAATCCATATGTGCTTCGGCATATCTGTGATTTGTTCCCAAAAATCATCGGCTTCCTTAATCATCTCTGTATTGTCGTCAATCTCTCCCTCTTCATCCCGATGAACTTGAAAAAATATATACAGAGCTGTTCTTTTGCTCAGATCCTTCAACACCGAACACCCGTTGACTCTACTGAACAACTCATCGAGTTCCTCAGTTTCTTCCACCGTCATGGGCCGATTGATATCGTAATAGGGCATCAAAACGCTTGAATTTCCATGCAATCTGTACTTAATAACGGGAATCATTGCTGGGTAAAAGGAAGGGGTTCCGAGTATTTATATAGTCTACTGGTTGCATGGTATATCTATCTGATCAGCATACTATATCTGGTCCGACATACCGAAAAATGATACTCCACCGGATGATGTGCAATGATGCTCATTGAGAACACGTATTTGGTCTCTTATTAAGACCCTAAAACAGGTTGATCAAGCATGTAGAAGGCATTCATGAAGTTGTTGCAGGAGTTCGAAGTAGTATCCCCTCAGTAATAGATAATGACTTTATCCAGGTCAACTTGTTCAATCATATTACAAGACTTCTAGTGAAATTTCTCCTTATTACGATTCAAAAGAGTTGAGAAAAAAATGATTCACTTCTAGTCCTGAATAACTCCATTCTATTCAAATTCACCACCTTATCTTCCTACCACCTTCTTCTCCTTCGCAGCAAAGCAACCAACAATCGAAAGGCCAGAATTTCATAATAAGAATCCAAATCAACTACAGTTTCCAATCGATTATACCCCAAGAAGATCAACCTCATTTCTTACTCAGAAGATTGTTGCAAACAGTACAACAATTATTCCCCATAGCCCCAATACCAAAAAACCCCCACGTGATCTCAATCACCTGCCTCTATACCCAAGTCTTGCCAACACCAAATGCCTCCACTACCATCCCTACTACACAACACAATGGAGAAATTCGGGTTTCACAAAGTGACAAATAACCCGGGCCCGGGAAACCCTGTGATTACCCACAATCAGCCTGTCCGTGAACAGGCGCCAGTTCCACATTTCAAGAAGCAACTTCGCGTCGAAGGCGTGTCCTCTAACCTGGTGGCTCTCTCTAATTTGGTAGGTGTCAATCCCCAGGACTTCCCGGAAATTGCTGAAAAGACGCCTGTTTCCATTGACGGCAGCTTTGTATTTTCCATCACCAAGGACCCTGCGCAAAAGCCAGGAACTATTGGATTATTTGGAGTGATTCGTCAATGGGTGAAAGCTTCCTTGGGTCAACCAGTGGTGGTTGAACCATACAACATTTTTGACAAAAGCTCAGACAACACCCATTACTTGGGTGAGGTGGATCTCATGATCGACTTTAGACAGGCTTCCAAGGCCCACGCGTCGACTTTGGACGAGGAAGATTTGATTAACGTCTTCATTTCCAACTTCGAGAACCAGATCTTGCAGCCCACACAGCCAATTGTCATGGATTACAAGGGTGTAGTGTATTCGATCTACGTGTACGCGTGCCAGGTGATCAACTTGAACCAGTTGGGGCAACCTAATCGTCAGATGTCCCAAGATTTCGAAACCAAAGGAATTTTGATGAAGGGCGGAACACAGATCAACTTCTTCCCTGTGGATGGTTCACCTTTGCAGATCGCAAAGAAGAAGGGTGGACGCTCTTCGGCCATGATCAACAAGCCTAGAGCAAACCCTATCATCAACCCAGACTTCAAATTGGAGAATATGGGAATTGGTGGTTTGGATGCAGAGTTTCAGCAAATTTTCCGTAGAGCATTCGCCTCACGTATCGTGTCGCCGGATTTAGTTGATAAGTTAGGCTTACGTCACGTTAAGGGTCTTTTATTATATGGTCCTCCAGGTACTGGTAAGACGTTGATTGCTCGTCAGATTGGAAAAATGTTGAACGTGAAGGAGCCAAAGATCGTCAATGGTCCGGAAATGCTCTCCAAGTATGTGGGTTCGTCCGAAGAAAACATTAGGAATTTGTTTAAGGAAGCTGAGGCTGAGTACAAGGCTAAAGGAGAAAGCTCGCAGTTGCACATCATCATCTTTGATGAGTTGGACTCGGTGTTCAAGCAGAGAGGTGGCGCAAGAAGCGATGGAACCGGTGTAGGTGACAATGTTGTCAACCAGCTCTTGGCCAAGATGGATGGTGTGGAGCAGTTGAACAACATTTTGATCATTGGTATGACCAACAGATTGGACTTGATCGATAACGCTTTATTGCGTCCTGGTCGTTTCGAGATCCAGATTGAAATCTCCTTGCCAGATGAGAAGGGTCGTAAAGAGATTCTTTACATTCATACAAAGAAGATGAAGGACAATGATCTTTTGAGCGACGACATTGACTTTGACGAGTTGGCTAGTTTGACCAAGAACTTTACAGGAGCAGAACTTGAAGGATTATGTAACTCCGCATCGTCATTTGCCATAAACCAGTATACTAAGGGAGACAATATTGCCAAGGTTGATCAAAACATCGAGAACATGAAATTGACAAGAAACGATTTCTTGTTGGCGCTCAATGAGGTCAAGCCCGCATTTGGTGTCAATGAGGAAGACTTGAACTTGAATTTCCCCTACGGCATCATCGAGTACAACCCTAGAGTGCACTCAGTATTCGAAAAATTGAAGTCGTATGTGGAAGAAGTCAAGAACTCCGACACTGAGAGGCTCATTAGTGTTTTGTTGCATGGTGAACCTGGAGTGGGTAAGACAGCCATCGCCTCCATGCTCGCCTTGAAGTCGGAGTTTCCTTTCATCAAAATGCTTAGTGCAGAGAGCTTGGTGGGCATGTCGGAGGGAATGAAGATTAATGCCATCGACAACATCTTTAGGGATGTTTACAAGTCGCCATTGAATGTTCTTGTTATTGATAAGATCGAGACTTTAATCAATTACGTGCCTATTGGTCCAAGATTTTCCAATGATATTTTGCAGATGCTCATTGTCAATCTCAACAAGAAGCCACCTGGAGGCAGACGTTTGCTCATCATTGGAACTACGTCGCAGTATTCTGTTTTGAAGCACATGAGCTTGGTGGAGAACTTTACTAAGACTATCGAACTTAAGAAGATCAAGAATCTTGAAGAGGTCAAGGTTGTATTCGAGGAGTTGGAGTTCATGCTGGGTAAAGAACGTCAAGCCGTCCTTCAACAGTTGGCCACATTCAGTGATGGTGCTGTTGATATCAGTATCAAGAAGTTGATCCAAGTTATGATGAACTGTAAGTATCTCAAGGCGGACGTTGATCTTGCGGTTGAGAACATCATGGAAGCACAAGTGGCATAATCGGCCAGTTGTAACAATGGATGCTACTATTAGGGTGACATTTGGCCATATTGGCCGTATTTTCTGGTTTAGTTGGTTATATGTTCCCGTGCGCGCCATGTCTACATATCCATATCCACATTCCTGGTGCTCAAACCACACCTGCACTAAAGGTAGATCTCTCCACCCTGAAATATCCCAGGAAGGGGGATGAAGGGCGATAAGGAGGAAGACGTGGCATATAAAGAAGACGAAGGCTTAAGGAGGACAGAACGGCGTGGATGTTTACGTGTTGCAGTGCAATATTCGCCCCGCTAGAAATAAAGTACGTTTCCTTTCATCCAGAATACGAGTCGCTTAAGTTCGAGGAAGCTCGCTAAGGATCGATGCAAGATTTGCGCGGCGTGCTTAAGCACACAACACCCCGTAGGAATACGGGGCACGAGGGGAATAGATAGCCACCGAATTAATTCCCTCAAAATTTATATAAGTGACAACAGCCTTTAGATTTCAGTTATTCTCAAACCACTTTTTTTCTTTTCTTCCATCTTGATTGCCAACATGGTCGAAGGTTGCAAAATGAAAGCAAACACAATGATGTGCCCCTCTGAACTTTTAGCGCTAGCTTATCCTAGAATTAACCCCACAAATGTTTGTTCAACTCCTCGGAGTACGCCATCCACGTCTCCATGGAATTATTCCTCTTTAACAATTGTGCCTAGTCAGATATCTAGTCAAAAACAGACTCAGCATACTTCGCCAGAGCTTATAGTGATTTCAGATGATGAGTCGGAGAAGCATAGTATTTCTGTTGATTATGTAGTATTATCAGAGAGTGATTCGGATCTAACTAGTGATCTGGTTCAGGTCATCGGTGATAGGGCTGATACGGAAGTCTATGACATAGAAACAACTGGAATGGAATCATTTGACGATGGTTATGATGGTCTAAGTGAATGTGTCGTTAATGAAAGTGCAAGTCTAGAAGGAGACACACGGACAAAATTCGATTCAGAGCTCATCAAAGGGTTGACAACTGGTGGGTGTTTGACTGACGGGAACAAAACACAGGAAATTAGTGTAGGAGAGAGCTTTGGCAATAGGACAGATAGCACAGATAGAACAGAGGACTTGGAAAACACCACTGACAGTAATACGTCAGAATTCCTCCCTATTTTTCATATGCTACAATCAATCCTCAGTCCTCAAATTGCTCCTGACTCTACAAATTTTGAAGAATATATACAACAGTACCCATACGAGCTGGCCGCCAAACATCGTACTCGTCCAGTGTTCCCGTTTCGCAAGGATCCGAGACTTGTTTTCAAGTCAAGCACTCGGACTAGCTTTGGACGACCAACCAAGAGATATCAAACTAGTGAAAAGCAGCACCTCGTTACTTTGAGACTTGTGGAGAACAAGGAGTATGCCGAAATTATTGTTCTAAGCGGGCCCGATAAGGAATTCAAGCTCCCTGTTTTTTCGACCCTCAAGCCATTGCGCAAATTGGTTGAAATTCCAGAATACCAGTCAACGCATAAACTAACAGATAATGATATTGAGGTCATGGAAAACTCCGCAGTGACTATCAAGCGATACGACTGCAGAATCACGCTTGCTCAGATGGCCATCGTGTTGGGGTTGCAAGACTATAGGGTTTCTTTGATGAAGTACATTGATGAAGCCATATTTCAGATGCTCGACCAATTGTGTGGATTCCGAGTGGGGGTTCAGAAATGGAGCCGAGGTACTCCACTGAAAGAGCGGAAAGATATGATCATCAAGGTGACAAGGTTTCTGAGGGTCTATTTTCCCATGCTTACGCCCGAATTGGTGGAGCTTATAATCAAGCGCGGATTTTATTGTCGAATGCAACAGCATTTGAAGAGAAAGAGGCTTGGAAAATCGTCAAAATATAATCAGGGGATATGAGAATAAATAATGAAAAAGGTGTAAAAACAAAAAAATATGAGTGGTACGGGAATCGAACCCATGTCTCCTGCTTGGAAGGCAGAAATGCTAACCATTACACCAACCACCCGGTTGTTGTAAGAAACTGATTTTTAGATTATATGAAGAAAACTTTTCATGATATCTGGAAATTTAGAAAATTCTTGGTTTTACAGGATAAACAACTTTATTTAATAACGAAAATTAAGTTCTGTAAACAAAATATAAGTTGTGTGTATGGTTATTGTGCGAAACTGAGTGCTTAACTTCAGTGCCTGTAAATACTATAGAAAAGAATACAAAGAGGTGCGGGCAAACTATGAGTAATACAAATTTTGATCAAGGTAGATGATACTTCTAGTTGGATGTCGATGAATGTGAGTATGAAATTTGTGTCTGAGAGGTTTAATTGTGAACGGCTGGGTAGCCTTATTTCTGAACGATAGTGCAGAATAATGGATTCTGGTCGGAGAAAATAGAAGAATAGCGATTACAAGAGATTCTTAAAAGAAGATCCCATTCAATGTTATACATTCTTTCTTGATGATAGGCGGCCAGAATCTGAACTTGAGGAGATAGTCTGGACATGATGGTACCCAGTGTGTCAAATACCACCTTGAACTAGTATACTCTACACTTATTAGAGTTTACTTTCCAATCCTTCAATTAGGATGTAAATAAAAATTAAAGAAAAAATACTGTGAGTCACATGTCATAAAACTAATCCAAACAAGAATCTTATCAACATTTTCATGAATACCAAGAATACAAATTTGCAAATAAAACAAAACAAAAAATAAATAGATGTAAATTAGGAATTTCAACCTTTCACGAACCTTCTACCAGTTATTTATCTGTACCTACATACGCTAATCTTCCTGTCCCAAATTACGCTCAAAGTTACTCCTAATCCGAGCACCTTATCGCACTGCAGAAACCCCCACTAAAGAGCCACAGTGCCACACTAAGCCAATAAGCTATGGCGGACATGGAATGAGTATTATTGTGGAAACAAACTCAATTTAAGGTGGGTCTGATGCCGTGGCTTTTTGTCGTTCTCAACCTGTGCCACGTTATCTCGCTCGGTTTTGTCCCCCATTTGTTCCGTCACCTCTATATAAGTATCAGTATCTGACTAAGCGTTCACCTATCAATTCTTTTTTGAAATAATGACCCAATCGTCCGTGCAACCAGTAGAGCTCAGTGGCACCAAACTCACCACCAAATCGGGAAACGAGGTCCGTCTTGGTACGGGAACTGGTACCAAATGGCAAAAGATTAAGAAGGGCAGACCAGAATCTGAGAAGGGCGAGTTGGTGCAAGAATTGGTGGATTACTTGAAGGAATCCGTAGCCAACGGCTTCAGACACATTGACACTGCCGAAATCTATACCACCCACCCAGAAGTGGCTCAGGCTCTCGCTGAGGTCGATGTTCCAAGAGAGGACTTATTTATCACCACCAAATACAATCCAGGTGTGGCCTCGTACCCATCTCCTCACAAGTCTGGAAAGGAGTCCGTGGATGCAGCATTGAAGGAGCTCGGTGTGGACTACATTGACTTGTTTTTAATCCACTTTCCATTGTTCAATCCAGAGTACTCGCATGGTCAGACTTTGGAGAAGGTTTGGAGTGATTTGGTGGATGCCAAGAAGGCTGGTAAGGTGCGTTACATTGGAGCTTCTAATTTCGATGTTAAGAACTTGGAGATTGTTTTCAAGGTTGCTGGTGACCCTGAATACTATCCTGTGGTGAACCAGATTGAGTTTCACCCATACTTGCAAAACCAGAGTCGTGGAATCATCGACTTCAGCAAGAAACACAACATCTTGATTGAAGCATACGGTCCATTGTCTCCGCTTTTCAGAATCGAAAAGGATGGCAAGACGGTGGAGGATCATCCATTGGTGACGGTTTTGCCAAAGTTGGCTGAGAAGTACGGTAAGACTGACTCCCAGATCTTGTTGCGTTATACTTTGCAGAAGGGACATTTGCCAATTACAACTTCATCGAAGCCAGAGAGACAAAGGGAGGCGTTGGCAGTGTACAATTTCAAGTTGGATGATGAGGATGTCAAGTTGATTGATGAAGAGGGAGCCAGCTTTGACTTCCGCGGTTTTTTCATTGGATTCTTTGATTAGGCAGTAAAGAAGAATATAAGAATAGAATGATAGAAGAAAAGTGAAAAGAGAATATTGAAGATTTCTCTTGGACATAGATAGTAGAATTTCCTTACTCAATCGCACTACTAAACCTACTCCACATTTCGCAACCTTCACACTGTGCATCTACTTTTCTTATCTCAAAATGTGTGGAAGATATGCCTTGGGACATGTATGTAATCGCCATTTTCTCCGGCAATTCCAATTCTAACAACAGCCTATCGAGGATATGCCTAAACGACTCAACGAAGCGGTACTAAACCCAGACGAACCAGACTCGTCGCTCACAGAGTCTGACCCAAGCAACTTCGACACTACCACCTCCATCAACGGTAAGGAGAACACAGTGCACGTGTTTGTCAACACATTGCACTACTATCCCTCGTATAACATTCCTCCCACAAGCGGTGGTGTGATCATTTATTTGAAAAAGGACTCGCTAGCAGACTTTGAGTATGTGATCGAACCTCTGAAGTTCGGAATGCTTCCAGTGTGGATGAAGCCACACGATCCTCAGGCTGTGAAGCGAGGAACGGGTTACGGCCCACAGTATTCGAGAGAAGTGCAACAGAACCAGGCTAAGTACTTCAACTGTAGAAAAGAGACCATCTCGCAACCTAAAACGATGTGGAACTCAGCAAAGAACACTCGATGTGTAGTGCCAGCACAAGGATACTTTGAATGGAAAACAGACAAGAAGGATAAAACACCGTACTTTGTACATCTGAAGTCCAGTCCCCTTATGTTCTTTGCAGGTCTATACTCACACAATTACCATTATAATGACACTGAGATGGTGCCTGAAGACCTCGAGTATTTCTCGTCGTTTGCGATCTTGACTGGCCCAGGAAAAGGAAAGGGTTCCAACGATCTTCTGTGGCTTCACTCCAGAAAACCCATTGTGTTGCAGCCAAACAGTCCGGAGTGGTTTGACTGGTTGGATCCCAACAGAGAATTCGACAATAGACTCTTGGAAAGTGCGTTGAACACCGACACTAATCCGGGTTATGATGACGTCGGCAGCTATGTAGTGGCCAAATCGATTGGAAACACCCAAAATAAGGGGCCGGAGGTACTTAAGGAGGAAAAGGTAAAGCAGAAGTCGATTGGCCTGTTCTTTCTGCTGCCTAAGAAAGTGAAGGAAGAGGTGAAGCCTGAGAAGCATGAGGATAGAGACATTAAAAAAGAGGTTGTGGAGGGCAGACAAATAAAGAAAGAGGAAGAGACGAACGATGAAGGTGAATTGAAAAATCTGAAAGACCAAAAAATCAAGCAGGATCATGAGTGGCCTCGCAAGAGAAAGGCAGAGCCTGAGTCCAAAGTCAACGGGCCTGAGTCTATTGCGAAAAGAGTGAGACAGGAACATCAAGGCTCGGAGTACACTATGGGATACCGAAGAAACGAAAGTGAGGACGATAATGATTCTGAGGACGATTAGGGCCAAAAACAAGGGGAAAAAATCATATCTTCTTTGGTCATTTTCCTTTCCACTCCCATTTGCGTTCTCCATATCTTTCCTCATTCTCACCAAACCTGTGTGTCGCACTCAGAAATTTTTGCTCGAACCTGCTCACCTCCAACTACTCACCTTCAAACCAGCCATGTTGACCCGCCAAGCCACCAGGATCTCAAGCATACGAGCCGTCGGTGCTGGATCTGTACGTTACAATTCCACGGATCAACCCCTTTACTTAAATCCTCACAAGTGGGCTGGACTCCCAGCAGACAGGGTGTTTGAGTTGCACGAGTTGAGAAAGACAGCCTTGGGAGAGAAATACACGCCTAACGATGCCGAGAGAAATGCCATCTTGGCCACCTTCGAGTCTTTGAAGGTGCCCAAGCCAACTTTGGCCTACGGTTACGAGATTGATAACTTCAAGGAAAGAGTCATGAACAACACTCCTTCCAAATTGAGAGGCCTCCCTCCCAAGTTGAGTAACGTTAGAGTGTTTGACAAAGGTACTACACCACACGAGCAGAGAAAAATCGATCAGATAAACCGTGTCAGTGCCTACGAAATGCCATTGTTGGCCAAGTTCCGTCAAGAGTACAAGCCAGAGTCCTCAGCTGAGTCTCCCATCCAGTTGACGTTCAACACCGACTTTTCTGATCAGCAGAATGCTCACAACAGAAAGGTATCCCTCTCTGTCAAGCTCGACGACTTGAATCTTAACGATAAACAGGCCAAGAAATTCAAGTTATTGGCTGGTAACAAGTTCAATCACAACAAGCAGATTCTCGGCTTTTCTACGGACAGATATGCTGACTCTACTCAAAATGCTCGCTGGTTGGTAGAGACCCTCGACAAGTTGTTGAAAGAGTCTAAAGATCTCAGCAAGAACACTTTCGATGAGGTTCCTGTTGACATCCGTCACTCTAAGCCTTTGAAGGCTGCGCCAGTATTCCCAGAGGAATGGAAGAGACCAGAGGATGCTCCTGTGAAGAAGCATAGAGTGGTGAGAAGATTGGTGGATGCTGTCAAAGAACAGAAAGACCAGGCATACATCAAGAAGCTCTCTCCATGAGCTTTGTGAAATTTTCATCGAAAATTTCTTCTTGAAGGACGGATGTAAGCACAAAGCTATTTATAGCCAAACTTGTACATATAGCAAATTGCTTGTAGTATAATAATTGCGGGGATATTGCCATTTGGTAACGGTAGTACGGTTACCTGTAGACCCGTGCATCCCGATATAGAAGTTGATATTTTCGTTTCTTGACTACTGATTCAGATAGTTCATACTAAACAGTTACCACGAGAAGGTCAATTCATCTATTTGATCAAGCATCCGGTATTTTCCTTTTTTTTTTTTCCTTTGTTTTCCATTCGAAGCTTCCATTCGCGTACTTTCATTTTATCAGAAGCAGAACTCTTGCAATCTACATATCAACACCATGGCAAGACTCTTAGCCACGACCACTTTGGATGATATAATTGATGAATTAAGACTCAAATACGACTCTTCCGTTGGATTATTGGATGGAAATGCCATTCGAGAAATTCCAAGTCTCAACACCTTGCAAAATTTGACCAAACTATTGACCAAGTTATCTAGAAACTTGGATGAAATCGAACAGGGCGACAAGGAGCTTCTAGTGCAGGTAGATAAATACTTGGAGCCTCTTGAAGATAAACAAGACGAAGATAAGGAAATTATTGATGGAGATGAAGAACAGAGCGAATCTGGAACGAAGAGAGATTTGGAGGGTGCAGATTTGGAGGAGGAAAGCATTCCTCTTGCTAAGAGAAGAAAACAATCTTCCAAAGCAGACCCGGAGGATCCCGAGGACCTTGAAGATGTGGAGTTGGCTCAGGCGCCCAATGAAAACAACGAAGATGATGATGTGGCCAACGAGGCAGAAGAAGGTGGTGATACGAATATGACTGAAAGTGTTACGGCTGAAACTGACGACACACTGAAAGTGAATTCGAAAGATGACCCTGTTCCACCTGTTCAGTCTGGTTCTTTCACCCAGGATAACGATACGCGGTTGAAGAATCCAAAATCGGAATTCGTTGCATCACAGACACTTTCGGCCAGTGCTATTGCAGAACTTGGGCTCTTCTCCGAAGACAACAACGGTTTAGAAACGCAAGGCAAAGATTATCTTAAAAGAAAGTATGGTGTTGCATCATATCCAGAAAATGATCTCAAAGACTTGCTACCGGGAGAAATTCCAGATGTTGATTTCTCGAAGACCAAGGCTCCATCTAATCAGGTGCAATTCACCACCTACCAGTCATACATTGAGTCGTTTTTTAGGCCGTTCTCGAATGAGGACATAAACTTTGCTAATGAAAAGTTCGTCATTCCTCCAGAGTTGGAACACCTGTCATATGATCCATTGGTGAGTCCCTATCTCATACCGAAGTTGGGAGTATTCTACGCTGATGTTTGGGCCGAGGAAGATGCGGCATTGAGATCCAAGTTGTCTTCTCCAGGCGTTCAGAAGCCTCCTCTTGAGTCGTATAAGCCCAAAGGTGATGGCGAAGGCTTAGTGGACGAGAAGATGCTCACCGAAGATGTATCTTGTGGACCATTATCGAACAGATTATTGTCTGCTATTCTCAGTGTCCATGAGGCAAACAGAACCGATGATATGGACAAGGAGAATGGTGTTGGGGAGTCAGACATCAAGAAAGAGGACTCAATTATGGACGATAATTTATTTTCAGACGATGTGGCTACCCAACTAGATTCCGGTGATGCATACAAAGTTACTTCTGACGTGAATGATTTCTACTCCATGGAAGAGAGACTCAAGAGAGAATTGAAGTACATTGGAATCTTCATGAATCTACCTTCGATGGATGATGACAAGCCCAAACGGCCAGGAAATATTATAGATTCAGATGATTGGATTATAGAAAAGGAGGATGACGAGATTTGTTCTGAGATTCGTGCCTTGCAAGAGGAACTCAAAGGGTCCGTTATCCGGAACAGGCAGAGGAAGAAATACCTCATTCCGATCTTAGAAGATCAATTGGCATACCAGGAGTATTGTACTATCTTGGACGACTTGGATAAGCAGGTCGACCAGGCATATATCAAGAGACTTAAAGCGAAGAGCAAAAAGAAGAAGACCCAAGAAGTCACCAATACTGCGCAGCAGCAAGCTGCCAATAGTGGCTTACGGGCACTTTTGGATAAGAGGAGGCGGTGGATTGATAGTATTGGTAAACTCTTTCCTCCGGCAGAGACCATGAAAAGGATTCCACGCGATTCCATCTTCAAAAACGAGGTGCAATCAGATGATGAAGAGGGCGATGCTGTTGTTGATGTTGTCAACGAAGAGACTGCGTAAGTATTTACATGCATTTTATATGTATAATATAGTTTCCATCCCAATCTACCATGACATGCCCTTCACCAAATCCTTGTATGCTGGAATTGTCTTACAGTTTCCCAACGCACAAATGGCGATTGGCTTATCCTTGAGTCTGTAGTTTGCCCAGTTGATCACATCTTGTCTGGTTATACTCTCCACTCTTTGGAAAACATCCTCCGGAGAAAGACGGTAGCCAGTGTTGACCAATTGCCTACCAATATCCTCTGCAATGGCAGTGGAGTCGTCTAGTGCCAAAACCAACGAAGCCTTAAGTTGGGCTTTGGATCTTTCAACTTCTTCCTCGGTGATATTTCCAGACTTTAATCTGGCCCACTCCTTCATCACAGCATTGACAAAGAGTGACATATTCGTGTCACTATCAGCAGTGAAATACACACCCATCAAGCCAGTATCAGCATACGACGTAGTGTATGCCATGTAAGAGTTTGCAATTGGCTGGTTGCCTGGGCCACCCATGGCTGCTGTAACGGTCAAAGGAGATGGAGAATCTGAACCGATACCGATGGATCTGTCCCAGGATCCAATTATTCCGTTTGCAACTGAGGAGGTGAAAAAGTCTGGTGCTGACCAGCTGACTCCTTCTACGGCCATGGCCACATGAGTAATTGGTAAGGAGTCATCCTGGATACGTCTTTCTGAACCATAGAAAATAGGCATATCGTCGCCGTGCTGCTTGAAAGGAACAGGGCTGGCAGTGATATGGCCAAAATATTTTTCTGCGTTCTTGACCAACTCGTCGTGGTTGACACATCCCACTCCAATAAGAGCCATTCTGTCTCCCTTATAGTTAGTCTTGATGTAATTGACCAAGTCGTCTCTGTCGATGGTTCTGATCTTCTCTCTGGGTCCTAAAATGGTTCTTCCCAAGTCCTGGCCCTTGAAGGTAATCTCGTGGAGGTGGTCAAACACAACCTCATCAAACATCTTGTCCACCTCATCACTCTCTTGCAAGATGACGGCTCTTTCTTTCTCGATGGCCGAGGGTTCGAGCTTAGATTTGGTCAACAAGTCACTCAAGATATCCACGTTCTGCTCCAAGTCGTGTGCCAAGCACTTGGTGTAGTAGACAGTATTCTCTCTGGAGGTGTAGGCATTGATCTGGGAGCCCAAATCCTCAATCTCAAGCTCTAGACTGTACTGGCTTCTCTTGGAAGTCCCTTTGAAAGCCAAATGCTCCAAAAAGTGAGCAGTGCCGCTGCTTGCTGGGTTGTCGGCTCTAGAGCCAGCGTTAATCCACATTCCAACTGTGGCAGTTTTGGTTCCGGGCATGAACTCACTGGCCACCGTCAATCCGTTTGGAAGAATGGTTGTTTTGTAGGCTGGAGCAGCCGCAGAAGAGGATGCCAACCATCTTTTGGCAACAGACTGGAGCTTCAGAATCTTTGCTGATCTCAACATGGTGTAGGAAATGTAGATGAGTGGGTTCGAGTTGACATCTAATGATGAAGTGTGGTGTACGGGTGCCTTGCATTGTTAATAAGCAGAAGAGTCTAGAGATAAAAGGGAAGATAGAGAAGTCCATAGAACAAAAGAAAGAAAAAAAAAAAAGAGAATTGGCATAATTACATTATAGTTCATGTTCTTATTTAACGTTTGTTTATTCTTTTCTATATATCAACTGCTCCTCCAGACCGTCCATGATTTTTGACTATTTTTCTCATTCTTCTACTCAACTATAGATAGTAACATGTAAAACTGATCACCAAAATCCGAAACTGTTACAAAAACATCCATACATCTACAACATACTTTTCCAGTCACTAGCAACCGAGACCTACTCCTTACTAGTTCCTCTACACTACCACAGGTCAGGGGCTCTGTGATCTATGCTCCATGACTCAATGAGCCAGGATCCTGCAGAAAACACCTGGACCATCCAGTAGTCAGCAACTAACCATCAATAGGTAACTCTACGATATTTACAGAGAATTGGGCATTACCAAAAATAAAAATTCATGACATCATCCTCTGACTTCTAGATCCTGTTTATGGTCATGTTGCTCGAGTTTGCCTTCGTTTCCATACATTTCTCCCGGAGTTTCCATTAATGACTGGGATTCCGAGTCATTCCGTAAAGGTCGCATGGCGTTTCTTTTCACAGGCCCTGCGGATCTTTAAAAAAAAGGAAAAAAAAAAAAAAATTAGTTATAATACATACTTCCTCCTTACCCCGGACAAATTATTCCATAACACAATGAAGTTGTTTGAAAGTCAGCATCACTTCAATTACAGTTGGGAACAAGTCACTGCTGCCAACTGGCAAAAATACCCAAACGAGTTAGCCACACATGTGGTTAGTGTGGATATCTTGAACAGAGAGATCGATGCCACTAAGAACACATTGAAGACAGAAAGATTGATCGCATGTAAACAGCCCATTCCCAAATGGTTGCGTGCTCTTGTTGGAGGCGACGAGTACTCGTTTGTACGCGAGATTAGCGTGGTGGATTTGAACAAGCGGACATTGGTGATGAAATCTGCCAATATGACCATGAGCCATCTTCTCTTGGTCAATGAGACGGTAACGTACCAACCAGACACAGAGCTTCCCAATTCACGCACTATATTTAAACAGGAGGCCGAGATCACAGCATTTTCATCGTGGTCTGGCATCTGCAATAAGCTTGAAGAGTGGTCGGTGGAGAGATTTGGTCAGAATGCCAAGATTGGTAAGCGTGGCTTCGAGACGGTGTTGAAAGCATTGACAGAGAAGTGGACCGAGTCCAACAACGCCGTAATGGAGGTTGGATCCACCATCTTGAGAGAAATTGACGAGGTCAACGACAAGACCCAGGAGGTTCTCCACGACGTCAGTGAGATTACACATGAGGTTATCAGCGACGTAAGTGTGAAGACCAACAGTGTTTTGAGTCAGGTTCGTAGATTGGGAAATGTTTGGAGCAGAAACTAAAGATAGAGAAAGAGAGAAAGAGAGAGACATAACATTATAGGATATATGGGTATCCAAGAGGTTCGAGCTAGAAGAACCAGGACAGGCAGTCCATTGGCATCAGCATTCAATTCTGCATCGGCATTTTCGTATTTATTTTGCATGTGTACATAGTAATGTGAGTATTCTGTGTGAAAACCGTAGTCTATTATTTTGACTATGTAGGAGCGATGGGTCGCAGGCATTTTTTTGCTCATCTCCAGGTTCACCACTTTGCCCCATCACCACCGCCTCCTAGCCCTATGCATTCAGATGAGCCAACCAAGAAAAGAATCAAGGTCGAGCTGCAAGACTCTGATTTTGACCATTTCATAAAGCAAATCAAACAAGACAGCTCGGATGCGTTGAACACGCAGATCGATGACATCTTTGACGAATTCCACGACATCCTCGCCAAAAGCGAGCTCAACAATCCCACTAGTGCATCCGACACCAGTCCAAAGGACTTGTCGCCGTTCGAGTTGAACGAAACCCCCCATTCTAGCATCACTTCCTCCGATGAAGTGCCTCACACCAAACCTACACCAAGTGATACCACTGTCAACAGCGACACGGTGTTGTGCATGAAGAAAGCCATGGCCGACTCGTCGCGGCTCATTGGCACTTTTACGACCCTCAAGGCTACGTACTTGAAGCTCTGCAAGGAGTTCAACTATCTTTTGAGCAAATTCAATGAGAATGAGAAGATCAAGATCGAATTGATTCACGAGAACAACCAGTTACGAAAGCTCTTGGTTGATACCATCAAGGAAAAGGAGTTAGACCGTAAGAAGTACCGTGCGGAGCTCGACCTGATGAGAACGTAGCGATTATAGCATATTTATAGACTAATGGCATCTCAATTATCATGCAGATAACTAGACAACGACTAACAAGAGAACATAGGTGAAAGACAGAGGATAAAGCGAACCTAGGAGTTGAAAAAAAAAGAAAAACATTAAGTACCCAATAGAAATACTTATTGAGATAATTCGAGTATACGGAACAGAATCTTGTGATCAATTGGTGAGTCCAACTTTAAGACTTTATACACCATCTTCTATACTACACTAAATCATGTCGGACCCGGAGAAGCTCTCGCCAGGCCAGGAAGCAGTACTCATGGAATTAGAGATGATCCTCACCACTGTCAAGCAGATCGACTCCAACTTGCAGAAGTCCATAGCACTTCTAGATGATAAGTCTATTGACTACACGGAGATCGTCCATACCAACACCAAGCGAATCGTTGAGATCCTCGAATTGTTCGGAGCTACACAACAATGAAGATGTCAAAGTGTTTCTATGCATCATATTACTCTTCGATCTTTTCTATTTTTTTTTTTCTATACCTTTCTATATTCTATTCCCTCCACAGTTAGTTGTGTCCAAGACGCGCATACTACCATTTCATCTTCAATGGACGCTACCACCGCCTCCATAGTAGAGAAGTATCAGGAGTCTCAGCTCAAAAATGTGAATGGACTCTCTGACAGCGATGATGACAACTTGCTGGAGATTCTCGAGGGCTTGGACGATGAGGACGATGTGATGCACCAGTTACGAGAGCAGAGGCTCGAGCAACTCAAAAAGGAGTTCCGGAGCATCGACAGAGCCACCGACACGTTGGGCAGTGATGCTGGAAAGGTCCAATTCTTCTCAGACGAGAAAGAGCTCATGAATCTTGTCACACGTACAGAAATGGCTGTGGTGCACTTCTTCCAGCCTTCTTTCCCCAAATGTAAAGCCATGAACGATGCTTTGAACCAGGTGGCCGAGAAACACTTGTCGTTGAGCGTTCTAGCTATCCAGGCCGACAAGGCGCCATTTCTTGTGGCCAAATTGAAGGTTAAGGTGCTTCCTTTTGTGGTGGTTTACACCAAAGGACGAGAGTTAACTAGATTGGTGGGATTCGACGGCATTGCCACTGGAAATGACGTGAATGTGGAACTTTTGGAGCGCAAATTGCTTGAATGTGGCGCCATTAACCGTCGTACAACAAACTATAAGACCATTCGAGGCAAGAAACCCATAGAGGAGTCAGATGATGACTGGGAGTAGCTGTAAACGCTCCCATAATAATCGGCTCTGGTAGCTCGTCATTGAATGTGGGGACACTGACCAATCGAGATCATTTGCAATTTAATTGACATCACCGATATATGCCAACATCAGTTTGCTATGTTCCTCGACACATTAGCCAATCAATTATCTTCTGCCAGAAACCCTCGTGGTGTATCCTGAACGCAGAAGAGACACGTTTTAGTCTTCGAAGATCGAAATCTCGTTTGGTTTTGTGGAGCTCTGGGTCATGGTATAGCTTATCTCGATTCTTGAGCACTTTATCCCCGAGCCGACCCATAATGACTGCTACGTTGTGGAATTGCTACACTTTGTGAAGTTGGTGGTTCTACTTGCTGGGTGTCCCAGATAGGAAGGTGTGCCCGCAATGAGGTTGGGTGACAAGAATTCGAATCTTTCTCGATGGACCAGAGATGATGTTTGGACTGTTTGTAGTTGAATGAATTGTCTCTACAAGCCATTATGGGCAATCATTTCGTTCCTGACTAAATGTTGGTATTGAAGTTTAGTGTTATCATCGATGAGGCTCATAACAGGTGATGATCGCGAAAGTCGACCGAGCGCCGAGGGCACGAGCCCTAAATGAAATGAATCAAATTTTCCGCAGTCTCGCTGGAGGTTTTCGTGCGCCTATCAAATTCTCATGGTGGTGCGCTGCGCAGGCAAATTTTCATTTGTCATACAAAACCTTCTTCTTCTCCACCGGTAAGAAAGAAGCACTTTTTGCAGACAAGCCAGTATGCAAATTTTCGTTAAGACCTTGACGGGTAAGACCATTACCTTGGAAGTCGAGTCCTCCGACACCATTGACAATGTTAAGTCCAAGATCCAGGACAAGGAGGGAATCCCACCTGACCAGCAGAGATTGATCTTCGCTGGTAAGCAGTTGGAGGATGGCAGAACCTTGTCTGACTACAACATCCAGAAGGAGTCCACTCTTCACTTGGTTCTTAGATTGAGAGGTGGTGGTAAGAAGAGAAAGAAGAAGGTCTACACCACCCCAAAGAAGATCAAGCACAAGCACAGAAAGCACAAGTTGGCTGTCTTGACCTACTACAAGGTTGACAACGACGGAAAGGTCGAGAGATTGAGAAGAGAGTGCCCAACCTGTGGTGCTGGTATCTTCATGGCCAACCACCCAGACAGACAGTACTGTGGTAAGTGTCACACCACCTTCAAGCTTAACGCTTAAATATGTTAGAACTGCCGTGCGCGGATAGTAATATAATAGTGTTAATTTTGAAACTGAACGTAGATTGCAACCCTAGTAAAGATCAATTAGACTAAGTAGCTTCTTGGGAACTCATGGAGTTGAAGCTGAGAGGTACTGGTGTACTCGTGGATATTCTGTATGTTCAGATACCAAAAACAACCGGACCAACTCCTCCATGAGTTTTTCGATTTATGACCTCGAAGAGGACATTCGGAAACTACTTAATATCGACAATTTCCTAAATGGCCTCACCACCAATGAATTCATCGAGGAATTGAGCAAAGACCACATTCTTAAAGGTGCAGAGGTCAACAAATTGGAATACTTGGATCCGAAACCATACATTCGAACATTCGAGTCGACATTGCGCCACTTAAAAAACTTGTCTAAGGAGGCAGCGACTATGAAATTACGAGCAGAAAATGATGTGGATGAGTTTGAGTTGGCCCACAGCAAGTCGGTGCTTAAGCTTTCGTCCAAAGTAGAACTGACGGTATCTAAGTTTGACCACTTGGACACAGAGATCACCAGCATATCGAACAAAATCGATCCATTGAATCAGGCTCTCAACAAGATCACAAACTCGCGAGATCGATCCACGGAAACCATCTTTTTAGTGAGAGCATACCATGGTTTTTATACCAAAGAGAAGTACGAGCCGTTGGAGAAGCTCAGAACGTCCAAGGACAAGGAATCGAAGACCAAATGCGCCAAGACTGTTAATAACTTGCTCACGTTGGCGAAGAAGATCGAGACTCTCACAGGGACGTTGCCTAAAGTGACCAAGTGCGTGACTACCATCGAAAAGTACAGCGAGATGATGGAGCAAGCATTGATTGACAGATTTGAGATGGCGTCAGAAGAAGCAGATTTCGAGGAGATGAGCGATATCTCCAAAATCTTGTTCCAGTTCAACGGAGGAAGTAACGTTGTGCTGGCTTTCATGAACAAGAGTGAATTGTTCCTCGATACTGAGAGATCTGAGGATGATGAGAACTCATACTCCATTGTCGATGATGCAGCCATCTGGGAAAAGCTTTCGGATCCCAACTATCGTATGAATGAACCGCTAAAAGGCGAAAACACCGAGATTCTCTTGGATCGCCTCAAGTTTGTCATCAAGGGCCAGGCACGCATTGTCCAACAAGTCTTCGAAGAGCCCATCCATGTCATCAAAGCAATGCTTCAGCGTGTGTATGCGCAAATGATTCAGAACAGGGTGTCGACGTTGCTATCGTTTTCGCAGCAATCAGGTGCACTTGCCCACGTTCGTATTTTGCATGCGCTCTATGTGCTTCTTGGAGATTTCACCAAAGAAATGAAGGAGTTCTTTGTTACCAACGAGTTTGATGAAAATAATGAGATTGGCGCCACTCTCGAGCAATGTTATTATGATCTTTTCATCGAGTACCTCACTGGCAACTCATATTTCAATTTGGAGAAGGAGATGTTGGAGAGTACCATCTATGGGATTGCAGAAAAATTCACCACGTTAAATGAAAGGTCATTGGCTAAGAAAGCATTGGAAACGAAATTGCAGGAATACGAGAACGATTCAGGAGCAGACCCTTCAAATCTCGCCTCGCTTCAGCATGCTGGTCATAGCGAGAAGCTTTTGTTTCGTTTTTTAGAGAAGAAGAGAATCAGCAAATTCAAGGATTTCATGAAAACACACATATCAGAAAGAATTCCGGGCAGAGATTCTGTGGACTTGCATGTGTCCCCATCAGATTATAAGGAGAACGGAACACTCAACTCAGCTACTGTTCAGATTGTGCTCAAATTGGCTATTGAAGCAGTGGCTCGTGTTCTTGAGTTGGAGGCTAATAAATCTCCAGAGTACTCATTGGATATTCTTGAGATCCTTCTTCTTGATTTCGGAAGTCTCTACATCTTTGGAGGACTTGAGGTTGCATACGATAAGGCTCAAACTGAGCTTCAGAATGTATCTCAGCCACAAGAGATTAACTTGCAGTACCTTCAGATCATCAATGACATCAGTGAAGTGTTGCTTTTAGTGTCCACTTGTGTCAAAAAGATCATCTTGCCTTGTGCGGTCAACGACCTTAATATCAGGAACAGAATGGTGAGCTTGACTAATAATTATGTTTCAAGATGTGAGACGTCCTTAAACATCATCTTGAGCTGCACAGTCGAGATTGTCACAGAGCGAATCAACGTATTTTTGCTAAGACAGAAGAAGAAAGATTACGTCTGTGATACAATTGATAGCAATCAGGATTACACTGAGGTGTGCGAGCTGATTTCGGATCTTCTCATTCATGTGCATGGATTCTTTCAAAGATATCTCAATGAGAAGAATCTCAATAATCTTCTAACGAAAGTGGGAATGATCACGTTGAACCTCTTGTTGGACCACTTCAAGAAGTTCGCAGTGAACTCTACTGGTGGTATTGTTCTCACTCAAGATGTGATCCGATATCAATCAGTCATTGATTCCTGGGACCTTCCAGAATTGAGTGAGAGCTTCCAGATCTTGAGAGAGATCAGCAATTTATTCACAGTGCAACCCAACTTGATCAACTCATTGATTAGCGAGGGCCATTTGGCCAGCTTGAAGATTTATACTGTCAGACAGTACATCTCCAAGCGTACCGATTTTACACCGAGCTACATGGAAAGGTTCTTTGGTCGTAAGTAGATAGGCTATTCATCATCACATGCGATTGTAGAGAGAAAGCAAAACCAAAATGCAAGTCAAGAGAGCGCCACAATGCACCAGGCAATTGATTTTTCTCGTTCTTAAGTCCAGGCCCTCATCTGGAGGAACCAAGGATTGGAGAGTCTGCGGAAGAATCTGCGGCTTCGCTTTCCCGATCCAGCGTTCCACCTTTTCCGGGTGGATAATGCAAGCATACAAAATGGCAAACAGTAGCAAAAGACAAAACCCATAGACTTTCACTCCGCGGTATGGGTTAGGAAGGTAGCACATCATGGTCTCGTATGTTTTTTCGTTGTTGGGATCGACGAGCCCAGTCTTTGGCTTCGGATCGTATGGATTGTTAAGTGAAAGTAAATGGTAAGCAGGATACTTGATTCCATTAGTCATGGATGGTGTTTTACACGAGATTTCTCTCGCAAGCTTCTTGGTGTTATCCGAGTAGTCCACATGTACAATGTCACAGTAGTCATGGTCATCTCCACTAAAAACGAGCGTGGGATTCACTCTATCCAATACGTCCTTGGTGATAAAATAATCAATCACAGTCTGATACTGGAAACCTCTTTGCAAGGGAAACTTTCTCTTGGACTCTCTTCCTGGTCCACACACTTCAACTCCAGGATCACGGTATAATGGTACGTGACTAAGCAAGATACGAGGCAACAGGGGGTTTATGAAAGAGTCAAACGAGTCGAGAAAAGCGAAAGAGTCCCGGTTGATCTGTTCATCCTCGTGTGACATTGAAATGGTGTCCAACTGAACAAAAGTATGATTTCCGAGCTCAAATGCATCGTTCAGCTCACCAAAAAAAGAGGAAAACCGCCTCAAGTTGTGGTAGCTGATGTTTTGGAAGCCGATATCATGATTTCCGGGTAGCGAGCGGAAGGTCCTTCTGTTGGGTTTCCGAGGAAATATGGCATTGAATCTCTTATACTCTTCGATCCATACATCATCATCCCATTCTCTTCCACCATCAAACAAGTCACCCACAAAGATAGTGGTATCCGGATCAAGATACGCCTCCATATACTTGTTATTGATGTAGAGGTAATTGTCGCTCATTTTTCGGATAAGATAATTGGCGAGTCTCGGAAGCTTGGGGTAAGTGTGATCATCCACCAATTGAGGATCCGCAAGTAAGACAACTCGGTGTGGTCTTACATCAGCCTTGCTGCCGGTCCAATTCTCCCAGTTTTCCCACTGACACGCATTCACCGCGTTCTTCACCCGGATCCGTTCAAAGTAGTGGATGAGTAGCATCCATAACGTGAGAAGTACCACCAATAACTTGAAGGATGAACCTGATGTCGCCAATTTTCGTTTTGGCCGCAATTTGGGCTCTCCCGAATCGAGTGAAATCTGCTGTAGCAGAGCAGTGTCTTCATGCCTCTTATCCCTACGGCGAAAGCTTGAAAGCATGGTAATAAGAAGTGTTGGTAGTCAGAAAAAATCGCGACTCCAGGTTTCGTGAGGTAAACCACCAGCGAGACCCAGAGGGAATGTCTCGGGAACCTTCTGCGGAGAAAAAGAGAGCGTTACGGCTGACCGACAATCCTAAATCGAAGACATCGAAACTTCTTGATTTTGATTCCGCCAATCCGCTCTTATACAAGGACCAGTCCATCTCTATCGATGGGAAGTCTTCATTCTCCACTCAGAACCTATATGTGTATCATGGGCTAACGTGCAAGAAGCCGGCCATTGTCTCCAAGAAAACAGATCTCAAATATAAGGTGAAGCTACTTCCGCGCCGTCAGAGGACTAGAACTGATCCGTTGGATGATGAGGTGTATGTGGGGTTCCATCGCAGAATGACTAAGGAAGAGAAGTCAATGACAGGTTCGGACCGCACGAGGATGTTGTTGGAGATTGAAAACTTGAAGGAGCAACTTAGACTTATTCAACAACATGACTGGGCTCGCCACTTACCACGAATTGTGATGATTCAAGACAGGAAAGATAGCGATGAGATGGCACGCAAAAGAAAGCTCATGGTTCAAGAGTTAAGAAGACTTTTGGGGAAGTTTGCCGATTGGGATGAACGCAATGCTCGTTTGCTACGAGATGCAAAGAAGTTCGAGCGTGGTACCAATGCAAACATTCGCTCTAACGGGCTTCATGCCAGTGACGATGAGTACGAAGATTCAAGTGATGATAGTGACGATGCCGATGAAAACATTCTTGCAGCATCTCTAGAGAAGCTCAGAGAGAAACGAGAACTCAACAGGAGAACAAGAGGAGGCCATTCTGTTCGGATCTTCCTCCGAAATGGTTACGACATTCTTCAGGTGGGAGACCATGTTCCACGCATAGTCGAATCCAATATGTACATTAATTAATACCAAAAACTATGTCGTGAAGTTTTTCATGCTCAGCACCAACTTTGTAAACACCTTACCAAACGGTCCGGGCTGGGCCAAACTGGTGCCCATCTCCAATTCCGAAATGGGGTAGTCAATAATCAACACCGAGCGAGGAAGTTGGCGCAACTCCAAATCAGGCTTACTGGGCCGGAATACATCCATGATGTTCGGTCCAATTCCATAGCTGGCTGCAAGTTGTTGCCTTAGATAAATCATGGCCAATACCGTCTGTCCATGAATAAACATAAACTGTAAATTCTCCATAGACATTCCGGTTCCAGACTTAGACTCTACCGTGCTTGTTATCTTTTCAGCAAGATCGATACCCTCCATGGTTATCGATCTATCCAAATGGTACAACAAATGGCATACTTCCTCTAGTGAGGTGTAATGAACAACCAGTAGATTGATCGCGAGTAAGACAATCATGTCTCTCTGCGAAATGCTCCCTGGAAGTGATGAAAGTGACAAGTCCAAAGTGAAGAGCTTGGAAAGTGAAAGAATAAATTTCTTCTTGGCCAGGTAACTGCGGTTTACGACAGAGTAAACGGAACGTAGAAAGGATATTTCTTTCCAAAACTCATCCTTTCTTGATCGCTTAACATAATCTGTGGCAAGTTTGAAAGCTTCTGCGTAATTCCGATCACTGAGGGACTCATGTCTATCAAAAAGATCCAAATGAAGTTCCGTTGCAATCTTCTTGACTAGTTTGTTCGATGAGGCCTTGAGTGCAATGATAGTTGAGATGCAGACTTTTGGATTGGCAAACCCAAGCTTGACCACTAGTCGAAGAAATTGCACAGGAATAATCGAGGCGACAGAAGAGTCCATGAGGCATAATTGAAGGACTGCTTGCAAATACCTCTGTATGACACTGGCAGATATTCCCTCATTCATACTCTGCGGAACTGTTCCATGAAAGTCTCCCAAATCAAGCTTTACAGTTTTGGATGAGGTCAAAGTATGGACATTTTTAGCCAGGGCCTTATCTTCTTTGAGAAGGTATTCATTTAGCTCCTCCACAGCAGTCAATTTAGCAACCAAAGAACCGCCCTCAAAAACTTCATCCAAAACTTTCAATATCGATTCAGACATGAATATCTTTGGATGATGCGCACATACCCCAATAGTATTCTTGATAGCAGCTATCTTTACAGGTTCAGGATATTTTGACTTTGTGAAGTGTAGTAGGTACTTCACGGCAAGACTCACCACAGTTTCGTTGGGCAAGAGGCCAACTTCACCCATCTCAATAACAGCTCTAGCAGCTTCCAAATCACAGTAGGCTCCCACACAACCCAACAAATGAAGAAGTTTGCAGCACTTATAAGTTTGGTTGTCACTTTGATAAGCAACATTATCACTTAGGATTCTTCTCATGAACCTCAAAGTAGATAATATCGCATTGGATATGCTGGTGTTATCCTTCATCAAGTCGGCTATCAGCTGAAGTATTGGAATAGCTTCATGTAATTCTAGTACCTCAAGCCTAGTCAACTTCTTGAAGATTTCATCTCGTAAGCGGATCAACTCTTCCTTGTTGATTGACCTGTTATCGCGTAAAATGTACTTCAAGATTCTTAGAATGATAAGACAGATCTCGTTCTTCGAATCGTGATCACTAAAGAGATATGGTTGTAGGAGAAGAAAATCGTCAAAGCTAATTAACTTCTTGTCCCAGCTGACAATCGTTGACAACAAACTCAACTTGAGTGTAGCTTGCGACCTCTTGACACCGTCTATTTCTTCGACAATCATCTCGAGAATTTGACCTGTAATGACCTTCAATTCCTGCCTCATCTTTCGATGCTCTAAATCTGAGTCGACCAAAGTGAAAAATTGTAATAGCTGCTCTTGGGCACTCGGTCCTGAACTAATTAACCACGCCATTACCTCGCAAGTCGCAGTTTTTGAAATTTGAGATTTAAACCATGCCTCAACCAAATTACTTCTTGCAACTTCTCGAACAATCTTATCGGAATCACTAGAATGTTTGAGAAACTGGATTGAGATATAGCCGCGAACGTCAGTTTCCTCACACTGAAAGTACAATTCTTTCATAAGCTTCATGACTCTTCTACGGACCAGAATACTATTATCAGCAGCTCTTTCACAAATAGCTTTGTAGTACTTTTGAATTAATTCTGAGCTCTCAGAAATGTACTTTCCCAACAAATCTATCACCGCATCCCTTGAAAGTGGTGAAGTACCACTCAAAAGCTGAGAGATGCATTTGTTCACTTTCAGCATAAGTAATAGCCTTGTATCAAATTCAATAAGTGAAGATAGCAACTTGATAGCCTTTGTTGCAACCTTTGCCTTTGAGGAATTCAAGGAGGTAATTAAAATAGAGAAATAACTTTCATACATTTCCTCAAAACTTTCTCCAAGTATCAAATTTCGATACATTTTGCCTGAGGAATCTGCTTTATCGACAATCTGATTACTTGAAGTACGAAAGTTTAAGCCCACCATGGCCAACAACTCATCTAAATGCCCGTTAATGACCCTTATCTCTTCCAGGACACTTTGATTGGTAGATTGCGAATTGATGTCAAAGATGTGATATTCTCCATCTTTGTCGTCTGCTTGTTCTTGTAGCATTTCAAACTGTCTCAAGAATTTGAGCAACAAGTACTGAAAATTCTGATCTTGCAGACCAAGTTTTGAAGCATTACGACTCTCTGATAGTAGTCTGACTTGATAACGGGCCAACATTTTAATACTTTCTTTGTCAGTTGCATCAAAGGAACAACAGGGTTCAGTTTTCTGTTTCTGCTTATAAATCTCCAAGCCAATTTTACCGACAATCTCAAGTACAAATGGCTCACTTTGGCCAGAAAAGCTGTTAGCCTCAAACTCTCTAGTGAATACTCTCATTATGGATTCCACCATAGTAGCTGCACCAGGCCAATCTGAAAATGCCATCAATTTAACGATATCATCCACAAATACAATAAAAACTCGCCTAAAAGACGATTCTGAGGATGTAATAGCTTTCAAGAAATATTCGGAGATGAGATTTGCTACTTTGACAGAATCTTGGTAAATTGCCTGGATATTCTTCATGATCGTGATTCTTTTCAAATTGGTTGCACTAGTTCGCACATTACTCTTTGGAAGACCCGCAAATGCCTTTACATCCTTGCTGATGGAGAGAGCATCAAAACTCTGCACGAGCCGCAAAAGAAAAGCTGTGAAGAACAGAACGCTGACACCACTCCTGAGTCGAAGCTGCTGAGCAGATACTGTCAGCAACAGGAGACTTTTCGAGTTTAGAAGCATCTCGTTCACGATGAAGTTTCGCTGCCCGGGATATGATTTGAACATTCGTACCATTAGGTTAATCATTGAGTGACGAACGCCTTCAAAACCAATGGCAGTTGTCTCCGTAAATATGGCGCGAATGCAAATGTACTCCAACTGAGTAAGAGTCAGTTCCTCAACGTTGATATGGGATATACAGAGGGATACTGAATCCACAAGACGACCAACGGAGTTAACGAAAGTAGACCCACTGCTCATGGGGGATTCAAGGGCAGCCTTGACAAGAATATCGATGCAATCTACAACCCTGTTGATGTTGGAACTGATATGTAAGCGACGATCGTCAATGCCGGCATTCATGATTATTAAGATGGATTCCGAGGCCATCAATAAGTCGTGGGCTAAGAAGTTCAGAACTTGGACATTACCTTGATTTTCGTGGATGCTGGATGCAAGAAATAGAGAGCAAATTCCTTGGATTCTCTGAAGATACTCCACATTTAGAGTTATAAACTTATTTGCTTCAGCCAAAGCAGATAATAAGCTAGATACCTTGCGGAAAAAGGTAGATGAAGGATTAGTGACACCAGTAATAGTGGAAGTAATCGCCTTAGAAGTAGAGTCAGAGGAAGATTCTGTAAGCTTCGAATTGAGCGAGAGCTCTGTATCCCACAGATCGATCAACACATACAATTCAGCTTCACGATGGTCCAGAAGCTTATGGTACTCGATTCGTGCTCGTTTCAAAGGCCCTGACTTCTCCGCTACCAGAGATCGCTTCAACAGACGTTTCTGCTGCAATTTCTCAAGCATACTAGTGTAATGTCGAATATGATTCGCTACGGCTGTGTGATCTGACCAATTATCCACCAATTGAACAACATCATCAACTCCAGCCACATCTTCTAGTGTTGGTTCCACTTCTAGAAGATCCAGATCCTCGACCCGAGTCTGCGATTCGAAAATAGAACCGTAGAACTGTCCTAAAACAGGAGACTCTGGAGCTCTATTACTTTGACCCAGTATAACCGGTAGTTTGAACTTGAGATTATGGAGGGCAGGGTCGTCGAATTTCTCAAACATCCTTGTGAATAGGGAAATAGCCTGACCTGAATCATCACTATTCAAATGCTGTTCGGCCTTTTCAGCCAAAGCAGCGGACGCGTTGGATAGGTAAGATGTGGCGCTGATCAGACATGGATCTAGACGAGAAAACGAGAGAAGAGGCGCCAATTCCTGCTTCGGGAGTAGTTGATACATGGGCATGGCACCTAGTGCCTCTATGAGGTCCTTAGGGGCCGCCATGTGAGGATGTAGGGAATTGTAAAAGGAGATTTGAGACTTGGATCACTGATGGAGATGAGTGCGTACAGTTTGCACCCAAAGAGAGTAAGATGGAGGAACAAGTAGCCTAAATCTCTAATGATCAATTTCGTATTATCGTTCAAAAAAATGTTCCAAGTTTACATTTCAAATTATTTAATGACTAAATTAACTTTATTTGATCAATCGTTTCTTCGGTCGCTCATTAATTATTACATATTACGCATGGGTAAACCCTGCTAGAGGAGGTACAGGCTCAAGAGTGATGTCTCCTTCCACATATTGTTGTTTTGGATTAACCAACGAAAGTCCCTGAGGTGTAGCAATCCAGTTAAGCCAAAGGTTTCGCCAGATTGATTTCGTGTCGAAAACATTGACGTAGGGCGAAGCTCCATGGCTTGCTGGACGCACATAGTTAAGGTACTCTCGGGTAGTACAGTTGTAGGCAGTCAAGTAGACATGTAAACCGAGGAGTAGAAACGGGTAGACAAAGCCAAGTATGGCTATAATCGCTAGTAGAAGCGCAACAGGATAACGTGATGCCGACTGGGAGAACGTAGAGAGGCTAGAGTAATGCGTTCTATAGTGGAAAAGATGAACGAAGCAAAGTACGGCCTGACATACGCACGCCAACACAGAAACAAGCAAGAACCACAAGAAATGGCGGTAGTTGCGCAGCCCCACGCAATTGCTGAGAAATTTGCAATGATGGTCATGATTGCTTACACATACATTACAAATACCACAATGACTCATGCGAGGAAGTCGCCATATGTGACAAGTGGGACAGTATTTCACCGATACGCCGAAAGTGGTATTCGAAGTATATGGGAGCGACACCACATTGAAATATTCGTCTGGAGGCTTGTAGGTGCCCATTTGGTCCATATTGTAGGGTAGATGCAAGTTACGGGGTACGATTCCCGGGTCGCTACATGCTGCCTTGACGAAAAACAGAAATGAAAGAAGCCACAAATATGTGTAGATAATGACGGGCGATGCGTTGATATGATGCCAGAGCCAGCTGGCTTCGAAGATCCAGAAAAGCACTCCACTGGCCACGATGACCATAATTACACCAACGCTAATTGGAGGCAGTTTGACAAAGCGAAGTCTTCCACCGAGGAAGAACACTGTATGGCTATGCCCATCGTTCTGGACCTGGTAATTGTGGAGCTTCTTGGACGAAACAATGTAGCTTGGGTCAGTGATGAGCCAGTTGGCAACTAGCACATGGATCCAAGGCACGGATGGCAGCGAGGCGACGCCAAGAGGTGACGCAGACCTTATATTGGCCGTAGAAGACCGAGCACCGGTCATCTTCGTCTTTTTTTGTTGATAAACCACCGAGAAAGGTGTAGGATTGAAAGTTTCCTTGACAGGTCTGCCTGCACCAATGCAGATCGAGAAGTAGCTTGTGGTAAACCATAAAGTACCATTCTTGTGGGGAGAAAAACAACACAAGAGATAGTAGGATGTTTCGCTCAAGAGCTTTCCGACCTCTTTACCGCCAGCGTTACGCTCGTCACTTCTCCATCAGCCCAAAATACATGGGTGCCGTAAGAGGCTGGGGAACTATCGCAAATATCGCAGCCGGAGCATATATTGGTGGCCTTTTGGTTTGCTGTGGCTCGTTGTATTTCATGTATAAAGATGCAGATGAAAGACAACACATACCGTTTGAAATTCTGTTCAGTAACCAAATCACTGCTGTCAAAGGGATAAGCAAGGACGATGTGTTGAAGAGTCCTCGGTATGCCGTGAAGCACTACCGGCGACTTTTAATCGACTTAGCCAAGCAAGAAGACGGTGGATTGGAGTACAATGAGACGCTAGCAGATGGTATGCGTAACTATAATGTGCCCCTTCTTGATGCAGAGACGTTGGTGTACCACAAGTCTGCGGACTTCTCCAACTTCTACATCGATATAGTGTTGCGATACGCCAAAGCGCTTTTAGCCAAAGGAAAGCTCGAGGAGTCCGTCTCAATCTTGAAACGTATTGTTGATGACAACGAAATCTTCTACAAGTTGGGAGATGCTGAGAGGATGTCGCAATGTTGCCGTGTTTTGAGTAGAGTCACCCCAGTGCCAGAGGACCGCGTGACCTACTTGAAGAGGTCCATAGACATGTTGAGAACGACCTTTCTGCGTATCCACATCGATGCCAACTATCTTCTCCAAGAGGATCTGCGTGTAACGGACGAGCTATTCTTGTCACTCGATGCGTTGGCTGCCAGTTACGCTCGCCAGTCGAAAGAGACCAAGGGTAAGGCTCGGCAACAAGCCTTGACATCCGCACTCAACATCTACTTGGCCAATCTCAAGTGTGTGTCGCATATTCGTGAAGTAATCGAGACGCAAGAACTCACTCAGGCGCTGTTTCCACTCTTCAATTGTGATTTGGACAACTTAGACATTCTATGCGCAGAGACAAAGGCACATATCAGCGAGGTAATGTGGGCTAAGGGATACAAGAAAAATGCTGTGGCATGGGGAGAGGAAGTGATCGAGGAAATTTACTTTGAGAACGCACATAATGCTCGGGCGTCTCCGATCTTGATCAATGTCTTGGACAATTTGGTGGAGATGTATTCGCAGCTAAAAGATGCTCGTCTGAAGCAGAGATGTGAAGATCTCAAACAGAATCTCCAAGTATTCGAGGGTGAGCCAATGTCGTGGTATGATAGTGTGATTCATCGGTTTTCTAAGATTATTTATCACAAGGGACCATTGGGAATTTTGGAAAAGGCATTGAAAGAAAGATTCGGAAGACCCGAACGAATTCCTGATATTGAAGAGTATGAGGACGAGGATGAGGAGGTGTAAATGTATATAGAATAATTCATAATGAGTTCGAATACTGAAGATCGTGGGAGCTCAGATCAGAGATTTGGAGAAGCCAGAGATGATTAAGGCGCAAGATGGAAGTAGAGGATACCAAGGCATGTAGAAAATACTGTCATCGCTAGTCCTCAACGAATGTAAATTTCACTGGGACATTCCTTACATGACTTTCTGGCCCAACTTATCATTCCTTGTCATGGACTAGCAGACCCAGTCTATGAATCCACAGCATGCTCTGTAATGGAAACAAATCATAATCTTTCTCCACTTTTACCAACATATTGTCTCCTACAGAACAATCTCAAGAAAACTTTCATATAAGTTCCAACTAAGCCGATGAAACAACGTAACAAATCACTGGTATTTTGAGAACAGTTATTCTTAATAGACCATCACCTCCACTGATAAATCAATTCTTCAGTGATTACACATTCCCTACAGACTCTTACATTTCCATCATCATCATCGTCCATGTCTATGATTCCAAAACTTAATCCATACTTCTGTAGAATTATTTTACCCTTTTATGCATCGATCTACCCATTTAGCATTCATCCGCACTCATGAATCCGAACTCATTAATCCGCACCTTACGAATCTACCATGAATCGGTACAGTCTATGACTTTAACTGCCTTCAACAATTCTCAACAATTATCCCTACAAATCCCTACTTCCAAATATAATTACAGTTTCCCTATTGATTTCCCATTTATTACCTTCTCAAATTTAACCTTCAAGACCCAATTCCATCCCCCGATTACCTCTTTTCCCCAAACCTCTCCTCAGATATCAGACCTGCGCACTCGGGAATCGCGACCAATCATAGCACACTCATGTGTAAGAAAAGTCCGGGGTTCTCGGTACTACATACGCACCAGGGAAAAAAGACTAACTAACCACTTTTCTTTATGTTGTCGCTCACCCGTGTTGGCTTGCCAAAGCAGTTCTTGAGACCTTCCATGGTCCGTGGCATCAAGACCATTCCTCAACCTCCTGGTCACATTGTTGGCACCGTCAACGACGCATATGTGCCTCCTAAGGCTGACAAGAAGCACGGCTCCTACCACTGGACCTCCGAGAAGGTGGTCACCATTGGTATGTTGCCCTTGATCGCCACCTCGTTTGCTTCCACTCCAGGTGTCATGGTTGACACTGCCATGTCTGCATTCATCTTGTACCACTCGTACACGGGATTCCAGTCTTGTATCATCGACTACATTCCAAAGAGAGTGTACGGTCCTTACCACAACTTCGCCATGTACTTGTTGACTTTCGGCACTGGTGTTGCAGGCTACGGTATCTACTCCATGGAGCAGAAGGAGGAAGGCGGATTGGCTCGTATCCTCTCCAAGATTTGGAACGCCTAGGTGTTACTTTTGATGCATATCTGTGGGGGTATTGTTTCCATAGACGTAAAACATGACTATTAACTTGAATGCTGTAGCTGCTCTCTTGTAGGAGCAATATACTCGTCCACCCATTGCTGAAGAATGGCTTTGGCTCTAGTGACTGACCGTTTGTTGACGTCCTCTTCTGTTAATACTCGTAGTTTATACGTTGACGAGTTGTAGGCGTCACGTTGGACGTAAGAAGCTTGGAATGTTACACTCCGCTGCTTCTCATCCACAAGTGCACTGATCAATTTGGTGTCCACCATAGACATTATTAGCTGCTCGAGTGTTTCTTGGTGTACCTCCAACTCTTCGATATGAAGAGCCAGTAGGAGCTCGTCAATCGGCACAAATGTGCCCTCGTACTCGTTGCAAAACGACACTAGCGTAAGTTTCATAAGCTTCTCCACACCTTGCTGCGGAAGCTCCACGTAGTGTTGCTTGTACTTGATGTAATGTGCCAAATTGCCAAATGCAAAGAGCTCCACGGTGTTGATGATCAACGGCACCTGTGTGTTTTCCGTCGAATTCCCAGAGGACACCTCCTGCAAGAAGTGGCGGAAATTGTAGTTTGACTCGTCAAAAAGATACTCGAGGGCCTCCTCGCTGGATATCATGATGATGATAAGAGTAGTCTGGAGTCTATCGCCTACTCACAGTTCCTGCAGAATACTCAGGTTCGACCACTAGCTCCGGGTACACGGCCAGAATTATTGAGTCGAAAAGCCTTATGATTAAGAGCTTGTTTAGCTTGCTTGTTGGCGAATATGGACCCCGGTGGTCTTTGCTGTCTGTGTCAAAAATGGCGAAAAACTGCTCTAGCGACTTTTTGACATCTTGCTCGCTTTCTCCACTATAAGTTACCCACCGTAGAGATCCTGGAAGTAGGTCACCTTGTAAAAGCGAGAGCCAAACAGTAGCCAAACCTTCGATGGTATCGTCATTCTTGTCCTCTGGCTGAATATCGTCGTGAGTCCGAGAAAACACGATATCGGTGAGCTTTTGTACAATGCCAGCAAGAAACTTGTCTCTCAACAATGGAGACATCCTAATGGATCCCACTAGATAAGCCCTGGAAATGGTATCGAACTTTCGACTAAGGGAATGGCTCGAAAGGAGCACTGAGCGGCCGATTTTCGCCAAATAAGCTAAGATTGGCTTTCGCTGAGTGATATTGGTGATGGAGTCTACAAGCGAAAAGATCGGTGAATAGAGTAGCGAAGTGCTCGAGTCTGGTGATGTTTCACGTTGTTTTCCGAATGCAAGTGTGATGTTGGTGATGCTAATGTATGCCTTCTGGAGCACAGACGAGATCTTGTGGTGGAACGGAGTGGTGTTTACGGGCTTCTTAGTCTTGACGAGAGCGCCAGCTATATTGCCAATGACGGTCTGCAAGATAAACTGCGGAGACGATAGTTTGGAGATGATCTTTTCAAACACCAAGTCTCCAACCACAATCACCAAGAGATTGGTGGCGATCGCCGAGGAGGTGGGGCCCTGTCCCACAAATGACGTTTCTTCAGTCTGGCTGAATGTTGCTGCGAGGATGTTGCGAGTCGTCACACGCAAGTAGTTCAAAAACGAGTCGCTTGTGTCATCCGAATTGCTGCGTTGATCATAGTTGAAAACAGAAGGGTTGGTTTCCAAATTCGGCAACCCTCCATCTTGTGAATTATCGTCTTGACTGAAGATCACATGGCTGTCTTGCAAGAAACGGTCTGTGATGCTTTCTACAGACAAGTCGTACTCTGAACGAACACAATCACGGCTTTTCTCCAAGTAGTCCCCCACAAAACACGATACGCCGTTCTGGATCTGCACCAGCCTGATATGATTATCTAGAATGTGAGCCCAATCCTCCACCATATCTAGAAGCTCAGGCAGCTCCACAATGGCCAGCACTCTGCGAGCAAAATCCTTAACAAAGTCACAAAGGATGCCATAAACATCCTCCAAGAAGTCGAAGTTGTCGGTATTCAACTTGGTCAAATACCACGACGAGATGTAGGTTGTAACTATCGAACTGAGAAATATGTGGAGCTCAAAGTTGAGTTCGGGAACCGTCTCGTTGACAATCACGGGAAGATAGTTGGAAAGCTGTTTGCGCAGCACTTTATTGTTCTTGATGAGTAATTTGGCGGGGACATAGAGTCTAACTAACAACTGGAACTCTGGAGATTCCACTGTGACGTGAGTATCTTCGTCTTTCTTTGGCTTCTGCGGTCTAGACTTGGGCTCGCTGACGGTAACCTTGTTTCCTTTTAGCCGACCCGAGCTGCCGATAAAGTACCGGCGAGCCTTCCGCTCGGAAACCTCTGTGTTCATGGAGTAGTGGGTGCGAAGATGTGTAGATAGTGGTTGAAGTAGTTATTAATTGAGTATACAGAGACATAGATAAAACAGTGGGAAAAAAGTACAGTGGATACAGTCGGGAACTCGAGGTGACCCAGCAAGGTTTTTCGGAATTAATTTGCCGTGATATTTGAACGTAGTATAATTCAAGTACTCCATATTTTCCCAATTCTCTCCCATTATAATAGTACTGCACCGATTTCTTCAACTCTTCATCATGTCCCAAATCGTTGCCAGAAGATGGCTGTCGGCATGTACGAAGTTCTCGCCAATACATGAGAACTACAAAACGCTCCGCCACATCCATTTCCGTGGTATTACACCGTTCGCAAAGGGCCAGGCTATCCAGAACGCCATGGTCAGTGCAAACCTAGACTTCAAAAAGATGGAATCCAAGATCCGCAAGCAGCAGAAGGACATGGACGCCCAGGGCTATGTACTCCAGGAATACGAGCAGGAGTTCATCAAGAAAGTGCTCCTGATGAAGCCGTTCCCCACGCTTCTCACCTTTGAGTTCGATAATGTGTACACTGGAGGCAAGCAGATGAAGCAGGATCCAGAGCTTGCGGCTAAAATCAAGACCTACGAAGACATGGGCTGCACGTATCACCAGCTTGAACGTGGCGGCCAGGTGACATGGCATGGAAAGGGCCAATTGACGGCATACACCATTTTGGACTTGAAGCAGTTCACCAACTTGACAGTGAGATGTTTTGTAGACAGTGTGCTTCTCAAGGCTGTGCAAAATATGTTGAAAAAGAACTATCAGCTCGACAGTTTCGTCAACGAGAACCCTGGTGTGTGGATCGAGCCACATGATAAGAAAATTGCCTCTGTTGGGTGCAATATCCAGCGTGCTATCACCTCATATGGTATTGGGTTGAACGTCGATCCAGAATTGAAGTATTTGAACACCCACACCATGTGTGGCTTACCTGGAACGACTGCCACTTCTATTGCGCAGTTGAGACCCCTGGCAAAGACAGACATCAAGCAGGCAGCAGAGCAGTATGCGAAAGAGCTAGCCAAAGTATTGAATATCACCACTGTTGAGCACATGGACGGGCTGGCGTTGTTGGCTGAACAGGAAGCGGGACTTGAAACTGAGGAGGAGTAGACCAGTGATAGATCACCGATGTTACATAGCAAAATCAATTGAGTTCCCATATCATCTCACATCTAGTAATTTAGTTAATGACCAATACTGGATGCATAATTCGGGAGCCATGGCTTCATAAGTGTCAAAAGTATCTCTCAATCGTAAAAGGTTGGTTCATAATGTTCGTGTGTTTCCAACTTTAACCTATCTAATACCAGTAAAAATACCAATATTAATCTCAATGCGAAGGACCGTCATTAAATTCTTGTATGTCACTCCACTAAACCTGAGGTGGTAGTGAAGGAATCACACTAAGCCGAGCACGAGTATTTTGAAGATTCATTCGAGACAAACTGTACTTCAAACGTTCTTTTTTGTTCTGAAGAAGCTTTAAGCGGGCCATCTTCTGCGGATCCACGTTCTTCGGTCCACGGCCACGAAGCGAGTCTCTGGCATTGTTTTCAGCCGATTGAAGACGAACGTGTTGAAGCTCGAGTTTGCTCTCTAACCCGATCTTCTTGCGCTTCAAACGCGCCACTTCCTTTTCAATTTTATCCACCAAATAAGAGATCTGTGGATGTGTCTCTGTTTCGAAGTTTCTTTTGGCGCTTTCCAAGTCCAGCTCTGGCACTAGACCAAACACTTTCTGGGTGTGGAGAATCTTCTTAAGCCGGGGAACATTGCGAGTGGCCGAGTCAAGAGACCTGAGTGACGAGTCAAGAAGATCGAGAGACGATTCTAGGATCTTAGAGCTTGTGTAGAGCGGCGAGGCCATGGTGTTTACAAGAGGTGTTTTGTTTAGAAGAGTGTTTTGGTAGTGCAGGAAGTAGTAGTTGAAGATAGTCCATGATCTGAGGTAGAATTAATTTCAGCATTTCCACGATTCTCTCGGATTTTTTTTTTTTTTTTTTCTTTTCTTAATCTTATTTCTTTATACTAATTTCATTATCAATGTATAGATTATATACGTATACATCGTTTCTTTATATAATCCGACTAGGCAACCTTAACTATTAAATCTCACTCAATCACCTGCACCAAAATGCTTAAACTACAACGATAGATTTACGAATAGATACGAACATAGACAAAAACGGAAAGACAACGATCTGATTACGAAAATCAAAAAGAGGGAAAAGAAATCACCCATCATGGATCAAAAAAATTCACCTCCACCATCCACCGAATCCCATTTACTTCGCACTTCAACCTTCACATCTCATATACCATCTCCATCACTTAGCTATATGTAACGCGACTCTATGGCTTATGAACTCTCCACAACCGCCGCCTTAACCTCTTAAACTGTGCAAAATCACAATTTTCCTACTTCACCATTTAAGTAATCGTAGTTATAAATATTTCTCCCATGGCTGACCTCCATTTCTCTCAACCTAATATCTCCCAGCCTAGATCCTCGACACATGCAGGGTGCGAGGACACCAGAAACATTTCATCAACCATCTATTCCCCATGAGCAAGTCAGACACCTCGGTACTCAATGTGTCGGAGCTCTTTCTGAGCGACACGCCGGTACCAAAACAGGAAGTTCACGCCACCAGACGCAGATCAAACTCACAATCTCAGGTGGTTGCTCCTCCAGTTTTCATTCAACCCAGAGGATCCACTCTGGCAACTGGCCGAAACGGCCTCCACCTTGCCAACAGAGATCACAAACCACCACGCCGACAACAGGCCGAGTACTATGTGACGCTTGTACCGTTGAACGATACCTTTGTCAAAAAACATATCCATGTTCCTTACTTCCCAGAAACATGTCGTCTAGGCAGACCAACCGGTACAAAGATCAAACCGCACGTCACCAACGGCTACTTCGACTCGCGGGTTCTCAGTAGAAACCATGCATGTATGTTCATTGAACCTAAAACGGGCCAGCTCATGATCCAAGACATGGGGTCGTCCAATGGAACATTTGTCAACTCCGATAAAATCGGCGCTGAGCCCGTCCCAGTGACTGTGGGCGACATCATTAACTTGGGCTTCAACATCCAGCTGGAGACCAGTCACAAGCAAATCAGTGCCAAAATCGAAAACATCAACGTGGTGTCGAACAATCCGAAGGGCTCAGTGTTGAGTGGTCTTCCACTGCTTACCAAAGACGTAATCAACGGATTCAGTGCATCAGAGATGCAACATTTGGACTTCATCCAGAGTGTGTTTGCGCTGCTTCTGCCTAATAAGGATGAGCCCGATGAGGCGGAAAGCGATCCCACGGCCCAGGCCCAGAAAGCATTCGAAAATGCCATGTTTGCGGATGTAGTACCATCCCTAGACGACTCGTTGGCTGCGTCGTCCGAGTCGTATGTCAACGCAGGCATCTTTAACAACTCCCACATCGTCAACTCCAATGACTTGGAGTCCACGCTTGAGTTGCTTATGGTTAACTTGGTGAGGGTTAAACAGCAAAACTCGACATTGAAGTCTCTTGAAAATTTTCTCGCCAATTACTCTTCTAAAGTTGACTCGCTCAACTCTAACTATGTGAAGAGTGAAGTGCAAAAGGCTGAGGCCAAGTTTGACGAGTCGTTGCGGGCTGAGAAAGAGAAAATGAGGAAGTTACAGGTAGAGTCTGAACAGAAGAACGAAGAGCACCGCAGTGTGGTGGGACTTCTTGAGAACGAAATGTTTAAATTACGCACAGAACACGAGAATGCCTTGAAGAGACTCAGGTCTCAGGAAGAGCAGATTATCACAAGTGACAACGAACTCAGCTTCTCCAACTCTGGCGAAGCTGCTCACACCATCGACTCTTACGCCTACGACAGCTACAACAGCAGAGATGCACGTCACCTGGCTGACATCTCGTCGTTCGACTTTGGTGCCAGCAAGTCTTTAAAGGAAATTTCGCCCGAGGCATCCGAGGAGATCGAGGAAATCTCAAATAGCTCCGACCTTGAGAGTGAAGAACACCAGGAGGTGGTGGAGGCTACAAAGGAGAAACATGACGAGCGCAAGGCCTACTTCAATCAGTTCACCAATCAGTTTTCCCATTATAAGAACCAAGGAGTGATGCTAGGATTTTTCGTTGTGATTGCTGGATATCTCTACCAGTCAGGCAAATAATTGGGTGCGAAAGTTACTGTGGGCCAGGTTTGTATGAGAAAGGCAACGGTGAGAACTAAAGGGCAAGACAACGAGTCTAATTGTCACTACATGCACTCCACATAATACCCAAGTGGAGCCAGTGGAACAGTGGTGTCAGGATGTATGGATGTTTTACCATCGTCGCACTTGTGCTATACGAAGCCACTTCATCTCTGTTCATCTTTGCTTCTTCAACAATGCTCGTACGTTCACTGGTGGCACGTTCTGCATTACAAGTGACACAGAAACGTGGCTTGATCTTCTCGGCGTTGGCTACGGCGCTTGGCTCCTTGGCTTTCAATGAGAACAATCGTCTCGCATCCAAAATGGAACGTGGAGAACTTCACTACCACGACGTCAATGAGGATATGAACAGACAGAAAATCAAACCTGGTGAAAACAAGTACTTCAAGAGAAGGGAACCCGAATATCCGGGTCACATTCCACTTTATGGCATAGAGAAGTTGATGATGTTCTTGGGTTCCGGAATTGGATCGTACTTCCATCCAGAAAAGAACATGAATATCGTGGCACTTGGAGAATCGACGGCCATCACCCCAGTCTTGCGTAGGCTCCAAAAGCAGATGTTATCCGACCCGGTTGGACGGCAGATTTTGCGTGAGCGCCCAAGAATCACCAGCACCTCATTGAACTTGGAGCATTTGAGGTCGCTTCCTAAGAATTCGGTTGGCCGTACCTACGTAGAATGGCTCGACCGTGAAGGCGTTTCACCCGACACAAGAGTACCTGTGCGTTACATTGACAACGAGGAGTTAGCATACATTTACCAGAGATACAGAGAGTGCCACGACTTCTACCATGCAATTACTGGGTTGCCCATCATTATTGAGGGTGAGATTGCTGTTAAGGTGTTGGAGTTTATGAACATGGGCATTATAATGCCAGGACTCGGGGCACTTTTGGCACCCTTGCGCTTAAAGCCTTCGCAAAGAGAACGGTTGTACAATATCTACTATCCATGGGCATTTAGAAGCGGGCTCAACTCCAAGCCATTAATTAACGTCTACTGGGAAAATATTCTCGAGCAGGATGTGGACGCGGTCCGTAAGACGGTGGGGATCGAGCAGCCTCCAGACTTGAGGAACTTGCGCAAGGAATATTTTGCCAAGTTGAAAAAACTCAAGAAGGTGTAGGCGACGTAGGAGGTTGCAAGAGTGATGATTTATGACATACAAATATAATTCCATTTCATCTGCATATGGATTTATTCATTGCGCACAGCCATCCCAAGGTCTATGCATGACGAGCCAGCCGTATCATTGCTAGCTTTCAAACCCGTCACAACAACATAAAAACTCTAGCAAAAAAGAGCAACCCTTCATTCCTAAATCTTTTCTCCAATGTCCCAGCTCTTATACAAATACTTCTTGAAGAAGGTATGTTCGCCCACAGTTTCTCCAACCAATTCTCCGACCTCTACTAACCTAAGACAAACTTGGATAGCCTTGTTGCTATGGGTCCCACGTCGGATCCATACTTTGAAGAAATTCCAGAAAATGACTTGCACTTTTACCAAAGGAAAGGCGCCAAGCGGAGAAGAAAGCTTCCAGGATTCATCCCGAAACACGACTTGAAAGTGTTGGAATCCGTGAAGAGAAAGGCATATAGATTGGACTTGCAATTGAGTCTCTGTGGCTTGCGGATTGGCTGGGCAGGTATCATTGGCTTAATTCCGTGGATTGGAGACTTCATTGCTATGATGTTTGCGATGCAATTGTTGAGGAAAGCTGACCAGATTGAAGGTGGTCTTCCTCCACTGTTGCGTAGGAAAATGCAAAGCAATATCGTCATGGATTTTGGAATTGGCTTGATTCCTTTGGTTGGAGATTTCATCAATGTATTGTACAAGTGTAATCTGCGAAACTTTGTGTTGTTGGAGCAGCATTTGGTACATAAGTACGAAAAGCTAGCGGCGGTCACCACCAAACCTCTGACGAAACATGACGCGAGGCCGGAAGTGATGGTGTGACAAGAACTTTGTACCTTAATTGAAAGAAATAAATTTCAGATATATTGATCTCTAAAGTAGACCAAATTCTTGCTCTATAGTAGACTAAACTCTTGTTCTAAGGTAGCCACTCGCTGCTTAAAGTCTCCCACAAACATATACAACTGATCGAGCTTCATAAATAGCGTTTCAAGTTCTTTACACTCGTCAATTAGGCGGTCGGCATCAGCCAATTGCTCGTCCAAATGTAGCTGCTGGTCAAAGTACTCCTCGTCGATCAATTTACGCTTATTGGAGACAGATTGGTGGGTGATGTCTGCCAAATTGGCTATATGGTCATTGATTTTGTAGATTAGATAGTCATACTTTACAGCCAAATCTTTAATTTCGAGCGGATCATCGTCCACACCTTCTTTCATGGTTTAGATCGGTAATCTTTAGGATTGAGGCAGGAAAAGGCGGCTCTACACCCGTACATCCTGGGACAAGTTAAATACTAAAGCTAGATAAGAAACATCATAATACCAAACAAACAGCAAGAATATCTTCTCATTTTCCAATTCTTCGTAGCATAGTTTGATCATCTAATTTTATTTAAACACTCAAGCAGGCCCCTTCATCGTAATTGGTGAACTATCTCAAGAGAAAACCCGTACACCAGGCGAATGTCACCAAGAGGGTAAATTACCACATCCGCCCCTAAGCAACAATATTATCACCAATTGAACCATGTCGTCGAGCTCGTCGGGGTCTTACTCGCTTTCCAATATAAACCCCAAGCTCTTGCGCCGAATCTGTATGTAATGCCGAAATTTCTCCTTTCATACGAATCTTGCTAACCTCCAGATCGGGCTTGTCGTCCAACTTTGCTGGAACCTAACTTGGCATTGAACTTGGAGATCTGTGACTATGTCAACGCCAAACAGGGCTCTGTGCCACGTGAAGCGGCCATTTGTGTGGCCAAATTGATCAATCAGCGGGACCCTCAGACAGCCAAGTTGGCTCTCCATTTATTGGACAATTTAGTCAAGAACTGTGGGTACCCATTCCACTTGCAGATCTCAAGAAAGGAATTTCTTAATGAATTGGTTAAGAAGTTTCCAGAGAGACCCACCTTGCGTTATAACAGTGTTCAGAGGATGGTTTTGGCGCAGATCGAGGAATGGTACCAGACCATCTGTAAGACCTCTAAGTATAAGGAGGACTTCGGCTATATTAGAGACATGCACCGTTTGCTCTTGAACAAGGGCTACATCTTCCCTGAGGTCAAGGTGGAAGATGCTGCGGTATTAAATCCTTCCGACAACTTGAAGTCATTGGAGGACATTCAGAAGGAAGAGGCAATCGTGCACTCGGCCAAATTGCAAGAATTGATTCGTAGAGGAAAGCCTCAAGACTTACAAGAAGCAAACAAGTTGATGAAGATCATGGCTGGATTTAAGGACACTTCGCAGGAAAACAAGAAGCAAGTGACTGATGATGTGGCCAGATTGAAGAGAAAGACCGAGATCTTTGCCGAGATGTTGAACACCATCCAGGGGAATGGTCAGACTATTGATGAGTCTAACGAGACACTCTTCGAGTTATACGGCTCCATCAAGAGCTCCCAGCCAATCGTCACCAAGATCATCGAAGAGGAGAACGACAACGAAGAGTATGTTCAGGACTTGTTGGCTTTGAACGACACCATCAACCAATTGGTTGAGAAATTCCAACTCTTGAAGAATGGCGATGTAGACCAGGCTGCTAACATCAAGGTTAGCGGTGGTACTCAGGGAGCATCTGCTGCCAAGGAGCTCAATTTGATTGATTTTGACGACGAGCCTTTGGGCTCCTCTGACCCTACGGGTAAGGACCAGCAGGGTTATGACGACTTGCTTAGTGACTTATCGAATCTAGCGTTCACGAACGGTGCATCTGGCAGCACTAATAATAAAGTGAACCCTCTAGACTTTTTCGGGGCCGGAGGATCTATTGCGCTCGGAGGCTCTACTACGCCGCAGCTGGGCGCCTCTATTCAACAGCCAACACCTTCCACCCAAAGAGCACCAGCCACGGCCAGCAATTTCGACTTCTTGTCTGACTTAAACTCGCCTTCGCCACAGCTCCAGTCTAACACTACTCAGAGCACCCAAAGCTTGCAAAACTCGCAGAACTCGCTGTTAGATCCATTTGGCTTCAACTTCCCTTCGTCTACTCCTTCTCAGGTGCAACTGTCGTCTAATGCTTCCGTCAAGGTGCTCAACGAATCTGGAGTCACCAAGTTGGAAGTGGAGTTGCGGTCACAGGCTTCTTCATCGCAGGGTAAGTTCTATGTCAGCAACACACAGAGCGCTACATTGAGTGGAGTTAAGTTCTTGGTGGCTGTTCCTAAGAGTTGCAAGTTGGACTTGAAGCCTCAGAGTGGCGATGTCATTTACGGGTTTGCCAACAGAGGCTTCAGCCAGGAGTTTTCCATCGAGAATCCCAACAACAAGGCATTGAAAGTCAAGTGGAAGATAGAGTACACACTCAACGGACAAGGCAAAGAAGAGACCGGTGTCAGTGTGTTGAGTGACTAACCATACTACATCTACACGAAATCCAAATACAATTCAATTCCAAAACCAAAGAAGTAAACAAAAGCCCTATGCCTCAGGCAAAGACAACACATCCTCAACGACAAACACAATTCCGTTGTCAGCCAGGCTCACCGATGTTACCTCAATCCACTTACCATCCACTTTCAACAGATAAGTGCCGGTGGTTGGATCGTTCTTGACAACGATTTCTCTTCCATCAAGTAAAACAGACTTGAGCTCATTATCTGTCTCTACCTTTCCGATCACCGTCAGTATATGTGCCTTCAAAAAGTGGTTGATATTGTATGCTACAACCTTGTCGTCGGTCTCATCGTCCATAACCTTCTTAGGGAACTCCCAAGGCTTGACACCGTTTAACTTGGTGGCGATCGCATTATCCGATGGTGCTACCAAAATTGTGAACGACTTCGTATTCTCCATTTCCTGGAGCAACTCCTGGTCATCTCTCAAGTAACCAGCAAAGATGGACACCGAGGAAATCTGAGGAAGCAAGTTCTGGAGGAGTGGCGCACCGACCTTCACCACATCCTGACTTCTCTTTCCAAGTTTATTGAAGAACTTTTTGGCTTCGTTTTTGGAATCTTGCTGTTCCTGCTTGTCAATAGCAGCTTTCAAGTCATCCAAGGAAACCACGTTTTTGGCTTCTCTCTTTGAATTTCCAGAGTGGTCCGAATCGGAATCTAATGCTGCACGCAAGTCATCCAAGAAGACGACGTTTTTAGCAAGCACAGCTCCTGCGAATAAAATGGCGGCGAAGTTTGCAAATCTCATGATAGTTGACTTCAGTGACTTTGGGTGAGATTTGGTTTTATGGGTCGTTCGGAGTGCATATAAAGGGGCTGTGAAGCAAAATGTATGAGCATGTTCTGCTTATTTGGGGAAATAATTGACTTGGCCCCATATCTTGATTTCCAATAAGAACGACCTCTACAAAATTGATTTTTATTTTTAGTTTAAGTAATGTCTGATTGAGCACAGCTATATACGACGTATTTCGAAGTTAAACAAGACGGAAGAAAGAATAAAAAATTGTGATTTTAAATATTAGTAGAACATGTCGTAATAATGCACAGGACTTTTGGTGATACAGGATGATCCCCTTAATAGACCACAGCTCCCAAACCAACAAAAGCAAGCAAAACGGAGAAAGCCTTAACACCGGAGGCTGGGGCATCACCGCTGGATTTGGTGGAAGAGGAGGAAGAAGAGGATGAGGATTCAGAGCCGGAGGAGCTCTCAGAAGAGGAACCGTTGACGTTTCCAGCCTTGGAAGAGGAGGAGGACACAGTAGAAGAAGCACCCTCACAGTAGAATTGGTCACCCTTGATGACGCTCTTGTCGTTCAAGGAAACGAAAGCAGCACAAGATAATTCTCCAGTAGAGGTCAAGTTGAAACCACCATCAACTCTGGTCAACTTAGGGAAGGTTCCGTTGTTGAAGTCACCATCAAGGTTGACGGAACCACCAATAGTGGCCAACTGAGGGAAGCCAGAGAAAGAGGTCAACTTGCTGTTTTCCTCGACGTTCAAAGCACCACCAATCTTAGTCAACTGTGGGAATTCGAACTCGGTCAAGTCATCGTTCTGTCTGATAGAGAGCGAGTTGCTGATGTTCTTCAAGTTCTCGAAAGTGAAGGAGTCGAAACTGCTCGAGTCCAAGGAGAGAGAACCGGTGATGGAGGTCAAGTTAGCCAAAGAGAGAGAAGCAATTTGCTGCAACTCAACGTTCTTGGCCAGGGTCAACTGGTCCAACACAACATCGACTTCATCGGAGTTGTAGTTGATAGACAAGGTGTCGGTGACGGACTTCAAGCCGGAGTCGATCAATTTAATGGCCTCGTTGTTGTTGACGTCGAAGACCTTCAACTCAAAGACATCGATACCCTCTAAGGAGGTCAATCCGGTGTTGGCAATGGTGATGCTGTCGGCGGAAGTGATACCAGAGGTCAAACCAGCTTGTTCCAAACCAGGCAAAGCGTTGAAAACAAGAGAACCGACGGTAGTCAATTGAGCCAAGTTGACATTTTCCAAGATGGTGGCATCGGAGAGTCTAAGCTCACCAGAGACCAATTGCAAGTCTGGAGCAACAAAGTCGGTGACCTTCTGGGTACCGTTGACTCTGACGTTACCGAACACCTGCTTGACACCGGTCAAGTCGATGGCAGCAAGAGCATCACCGGAGAAGTTAATGTCACCGACGGCGGTAGGGCAAGCGGCGACCTGAGCAACCTGGGTAGCAGCAGTGACGGTGAAGTCGCTGAAGGTACATGCCTTGGTAACCGAAGGAGTAGCGGTAGTCAAGGTAGAGTCTGGAGTTAGTATGAGAATGACAGGGGTAAAAATCGAGAGTGAAGTTGGAAGTGAACATTGATTACGGGAAAGATAATGGTAGGAAGTAAAACAAGGACCTAGAATTCAAGATATTGATTGTTCAATATAGGCAATTCAAAAACCTCATGTTCAAACCAGTTCTCAAACTTCGTACCAAAATCTTCGACTTCTCACTTCAAAATTCCCACTGGCGAAATCTCATCGTCAGATCTTCATTGTAACGGTCTATACATACTGTTAGCGAAAGCCACACCGGCAACGGCGGCAAGAGCAACCACGGACTTGAATTGCATAGCGAGAGAGAAAATACAAGCGAAGGCGGAAATCGAAAGAACAAAAAAAAATTAGAGGTCTCGGGAAAAGGGGCCTCATTTATACTAATGATCCGGAGAATAGGCGCCGGAAAAGGCTGCAGTTGATTTGACTGAAAAAAACCATAAACCGGCCGGTTCCGAGGCTCAAACACTGCGCCATCCCCAGCCATTTACGGATGCAACAGGAATTAACAATCGAAGTCGGGGGCATTAGACACAGCACTCCGGGGGTAGCCGAGGGTTTTAGTTCTCACTGGCCGAGGGTAATTAAGTCCAAACAGGACTCACCGTTGGGCGTCCACCAGAGCCAAAAAATGGCAAAATTGGTGCGAAATTAGTGTAGTGTGGTGCCCCCAACTGGCGCCATTCAGTGCAGGTTGTTTGGGCACCACCGGGGATAAATGGTGCGGTGGCCGGGGGAATCGCCGAGGGTAGGAGTAGGGTACTTTAGAGGTGGGGCGGCATCATTTTTCCGCCAGAATGGGTAGAGAAGCCAGCCACTTGTTTATGTGGTGGAGGCTTACCCCAAGATTTCATACGATTCTTGGTTGCCAAGTGCCGTTGATTACGGCTGAAGGGGACAGGGGGAGGTGCGGAGAGCAATAGAAGCAAAGTGGTAAAAATTGAGAAGCTGAGAAGCAAGGGGAATTGATTTTTACGGGAGGAGGTTTGCCAATGATTTTTTTTCCCTCGACTGAGGTTACTTTTTTCTTTCTGTTATCAGTTTTTTTTTTCTCTGTTTCCTTTTTTTTTTTTGTTATTTTTATATCACTTAGTTTGTTCTTTTCTATCTGTTCAATTTTTCATGTCTTTCCTTTTCGTATTCTCTTGCCTCCTTTTCATTTTTTCTTCACTGATACCCACTCCTTTCTCGATATTTTTTTTCCTGTCTCACTTTGACACAACCACTAACATGTCCCGATCTGGCAACTAGTGGACGTTCCGAGGGCACCGTATATTTACCTGCAGGCCGCAGCTTCCAAATCTCGGTGGGTGGCCCTATTTTCCACAGTGACTTCTAGATTGATTCTTTATCTATCCCCTAATCATCCGGACTCTATTGATCATAAAACATGTGATGGTAAATATTGAAGTAATGGAACCCCGGAGCACAACCATTACGAACACTGGCTAATGTCAATAAAGTTTCCGGAGTAATCATGTGAGCAAGTGTGAAGACGCCATTACCTTGCATATGTTGTGTATGTTGTCATATTTAGCCATCCTTGCTAGCCCTATCTAATGTTGAATTGTTGGTCGGATTATAATTTATTTTTGTTTATCTATGTTATCTGTCTCATCTCATCCTCTTGAGCTTATTAGTCACAAAACTCTTTATTTGTTTCTTCGATTCTCTGACTTTCTTTGGTCTTGTTTCCTCGTTTTTGTCTCTTTCTCGTGGCACTCTCTCTTTTCTTCTTTTTCTATCGCCCTACACACCATTTCTTCCTACATTTCTTCTTCCTGTAGCTAAAATTATACATTATCCTAAATACACTAAACCTTCTCAGCCAACTCCTCCAACAACTTAAAGTTACGCTGCTCAATCGATCCATTGCCTGGCAATCTAGTAGATCCCATCAAGTAGCTGTCAACCTCTCTGGCACACTGTCTACCTTCTTGAATACCCCACACAACCAACGACTGTCCTCTTCTACAGTCTCCGGCTGCGAACAAGTTATCGTTAGCAGACACTCTGTAACCAGATGGGTCCGAAGTAGTGATAGTACCTCTCTTGGTCTTGCTGACCTCAAGCTTGTCGGCATCAGGGCCAACGAAACCCATAGACAACAAAACGACTTCGGCTGGGAAGAACTCCTCAGAGCCTGGAACTTCGGCCATTTGCCATGCTCCAGAATCGGAACGCTTCCATTCCACTCTCACGGTCTTGATACCCTTAACATTGCCCTCTTCATCGCCCACGAACTCCTTGGACAAGATAGAGTACTCTCTAGGGTCCTTACCGTAGTGAGCTGCAACTTCAGTGTGACCGTAGTCAACTCTGAACACTCTTGGCCATTGTGGCCATGGGTTGTCCTTTGGTCTAGCGTTTGGTGGGGTTGGCAACAACTCAAAGTTCGTCACCGACTTGGCACCGTGTCTGGTGGAAGTACCCAAACAATCGTTACCAGTGTCACCACCTCCAATAACAACAACGTTCTTTCCAACAAGAGTCTTTCTGATTTCCTCCAACTGGTCATCCAACAAAGCCTTGGTGTTGGAGTGCAACAACTTCATGGCAAAGTCAATGTTGTTCAAGTCACGACCTGGAATCTTCAAGTCTCTTGGAATAGTGGAACCGACAGCGAACACAACGGCGTCGTTGCTTGCCTTCAACTCCTCAACAGTGATATCGTCACCAACAGAAGTGTTGCAGACAAAGTTGATGCCCTCGGCTGCCAACAAGTCGGTTCTTCTCTTGACAATACGCTTGTCCAACTTCATGTTTGGAATACCGTACATCATCAATCCACCTGGTCTGTCAGCTCTCTCGTAGACAGTGACAGAGTGGCCAGCCTTGTTCAACTGGTCGGCAGCAGCCAAACCAGCAGGACCGGAACCAATGATGGCAACAGTCTTACCAGTTCTGTGCTGTGGTGGGTTGGCCTTAATCCAACCCTGCTCGAAACCATGATCAATGATGGCACACTCAACCGACTTGATGTTGACTGGGTCCTCGTTGATACCCAAAACACAAGCTCCATTACATGGAGCTGGACAAATTCTACCTGTGAATTCAGGGAAGTTGTTGGTCATCATCAATCTTTGCAAAGCATCGTACCATCTGTCCTTGAACACCAACTCGTTCCACTTTGGAATGATGTTGGAGATTGGACAACCAGTGTCAGAGGTACAGAATGGAACACCACAGTCCATGCATCTGGCAGTCTCAACTGCCAATTCCTCCTTGGTTAATCTGGAAGTCATCTCATTCCAGTCCTTGGTTCTCTCCTTAGCTGGTCTGTACTTCTCGTTTCTTCTCTTGTACTTCATGAAACCAAAAGTCTTGTCCAACTTGGCGACGGCCTTCTTCTCAACTTCCTTGTCCTTGATGGTATCTTCAACATCCAAGACCTTAGGCTCGTGAGCTCCGTTCTTGGCTGCGACGTGGGAGTGGACGTGACCTCTCTTAATCTTAGAAGCTTCACCGTTCGTAGCATCGCTCTCTGGGTCCTCCTTGATAGACTTCAAGAAGTTGTTCAATTCATTCTTCTTGGCCTCCAACTTCTTCTGGGCCTCCTTTTCAAGAACCTTCTTGTAATCATGAGGCAAAACCTTCACGAATCTTGGCAAGATTCTGTTGAAGTCGTTCAAGATGTTGTCAGCAACCTCAGAACCAGTGTAGTGACGGTGGTCCTCGATCAATCCTCTCAAGAAAGCAATTTCAGTTGGCTCGGTAACAGCAGACAATCCAATAGTACCAATGTTGACTCTAGTGGAGAAGTCCTGAGCCATGTCCAAAACGTAAGCAATACCACCGCACATACCAGCGGCGAAGTTACGACCAGTAGGACCCAAGACAACAACTCTACCTCCAGACATGTACTCACATCCGTGGTCACCAGTTCCTTCAACAACAATGTTGGCACCGGAGTTTCTAACAGCAAATCTCTCTGCGGCGATACCTCTGATGAAGGCAGTACCGGAAGTAGCACCGAAAAAGGCGGTGTTACCGGCGATAATCTGGTCCTCGGCCTTGAACTTAGATTGTCTTGGTGGGTACACAATGACTCTACCACCAGACAAACCCTTTCCAATATAATCGTTGGCATCACCCTCCAATTCCAAAGTAATACCAGAAGCCAAGAAGGCACCAAAAGATTGACCTGCAGAACCCTTAGCGTTAACGTGAATGGTGTCATGCGGCAAACCTTGCTCACCAAAGGTCTTAGAAACTCTGTAGGCCAAAGTGGTACCAACAGAACGGTCAGTGTTAACAACCTCACAGTCGATGGTGACTGGCAAACCCTTCGACAAGGTCAACTCCGACTCGTCAATCAACTTGTTGTCAACTCTGATGTGCAACTTGTGGTCCTGCTTTCTGACACAGTGAGTAGCAACACCAGGTCTGATGGTGTGGGCAGGAGTCAAAATTGGAGACAAGTCAATGTTGGCGTTCTTGGTGTTTCTCAAGTCATCTCTGACTCTCAACACCTCAGTCTTACCCACCATCTCGTTAATGGTACGGAAACCCAACTGGGCCATCAATTGTCTCAACTCGTTAGCAACGTAGTAGAAGAAGTTGATGACGTGCTCTGGGGTACCCTTGAACTTCTTTCTAAGTTCTGGGTCCTGAGTGGCAATACCGACTGGACAAGCGTTGGTGTGACACTTCTTCATCATGATACATCCCATGGCGATCAATGGAGTAGTGGCGAAACCCCACTCCTCAGCACCAAGCAAACAAGCGATGGCAATATCACGTCCAGTACGGATCTGACCGTCAGTCTGCAAAATGACTCTTCCTCTCAAGTCGTTCAAAACCAAGGTCTGGTGGGACTCAGCGAGACCCAACTCCCATGGCAATCCAGCATACTTGATGGAGGTCCACTTAGCGGCACCAGTTCCACCGTCACCACCAGAAACCAAAATGTTCTCAGAACCAGCCTTGGCAACACCGGCAGCAACGATACCGACACCAACCTCGGACACCAACTTAACAGAAGTTCTAGCTCTTGGGTTAGAACACTTCAAGTCGTACAACAACTGCTTCAAATCCTCAATGGAGTAGATATCGTGATGAGGAGGTGGGGAAATCAAACCAACACCTGCGGTGGAGTGTCTCGTCTTGGCAATAGACTCCGAGACCTTGTCACCAGGCAACTCACCACCTTCACCAGGCTTAGCACCCTGAGCCATTTTGATCTGCAACTCATCGGCATCAGCCAAGTAGTAGGAGGTCACACCGAATCTACCAGAAGCAATCTGCTTAATGGAAGATCTCATAGTGTCACCATTTTCGGCAACCTGAGATCTGGCGGAGTCTTCACCACCCTCACCAGTGTTGGACTTACCACCCAATCTGTTCATAGCAACAGCGATGGTGGAGTGAGCTTCCATGGAGATGGAACCATAAGACATAGCACCAGTGAAGAATCTTCTGACAATTTCAGTCCATGGCTCAACCTGGTCGATTGGAACAGGAGTAGCAGACTCAAAGTCGAAGTCCAACAAACCTCTCAAGGTACAGTTCTTGATAGCATCGTACTCCTTCTTAGAGTAAATCTCGTATGCCTTCTCGTTCTTGTTCTTGACAGCATCTTGCATGGCAGCAATGGCAGCAGGGTCGTTGACGTGCTTCTCTCCACCATCTCTCCAGTGGTACTCACCAGTTTCAGGCAAAGCAACTGGCTTGATGGTCTCTCTGGATGGGTAACCTCTCTCGTGCAACGAGAAGGCATCCTGAGCAATATACTCAAAGGTGATACCCTTGATTCTGGAGGCAGTACCAGCAAAACATCTGTCAATGACAGAGTTGTCAATACCCAAGGCCTCGAAAATCTGAGCACCCTTGTAAGAAGCCAAAGTGGAGATACCCATCTTGGACATAACCTTCAAGATACCGGCATCAACAGCGGATCTGTAGTTCTTCACAATCTTCTCGTCTGGGATGTTAACCTTCAACAAGTTCTGGTCTCTCATGTTGCACAAGGTCTCAATTGCCAAGTATGGGTTGATACCATCGGCACCGTAACCAACCAAACAACAAGCGTGGTGCACCTCTCTGGCCTCGGCGGTCTCAAGAAGAATGGCAACCTTAGAACGTTGCTTCTGTCTGACTAAGTGGTGATGAACTGCACCAGTGGCAATCAAGGCAGAGATTGGGAGTCTGTCAAAACTAACAGCACGGTCAGACAAGATGATAACTTGCTTGTTATCGGCAATGGCCTGAGAAGCCTCCTGGCAAACCTCCTCGATCTTATTGATGTATCCCTGGATACCCTCAGATCTTTCGAAGGTCATGTCAATGTTGGCCACAGACCACTTGGGGTAAACCTGCTCCATGTTTCTGATGGCAATTAACTCTTTGCTGGAAATGATTGGCGACTTCAACAACAATCTGTTACATTGGTCTGGCTTCATCTCCAACAAGTTACCCTGAGGACCGACGTAACAATCCAACGACATGACAATTTCCTCTCTAATTGGGTCGATAGGAGGGTTGGTCACCTGGGCGAACAACTGACGGAAGTACTCGTACAACAACTTTGGTTGTTCAGAAATACATGCCAATGCAACGTCGTTACCCATGGAACCTAAAGCTTCCTTGGCTTCAGCCATAGGAGCCAAAATGGTGTTCATCTGCTCATGCGTGTATCCAAAGGCAATCAATCTTGGATCAGTCTGGACGGAGTTGCCCTTGCTGGCAGCCAAGGACTTGTCAGAAAAGTCTACGTCTCTGGCAGTCAACTTGGCGAACAAGTCGTCAAGAGTGATCATGTTGGCAGTGACCCAAGACTTGAAGTCGAATCTGGAGGCCACAGAGCTCTTCAACTCACGGTCATCGACGATTCTACCTTCTTTGGTGTCGACCAACAACATTCTTCCGGGTTGCAATCTGCCTTTCTGCAAAACCTTCTCTGGCTCCACATCAATGACACCAACTTCAGATGCACAGATGATTCTCTCGTCGTCGGTCACGTAGTAACGACATGGTCTCAAACCGTTTCTGTCCAAGTTGGCACCACAGTATCTATCGTCAGCGAATGTGAACAAGGCAGGACCATCCCATGGCTCCATCAAACATGCGGCCCACTCGTAGAAAGCCTTCTTTCTCATGTCGATGTGCTTGTCATTTTGCCAGGCTTCTGGAATCATGGTCATGACAGCTTCAGGCAATGACAAAACGCCATTGATGACCAACAACTCCAAAACATTGTCAAAAGCAGCGGAGTCGGAACCACCTTCTTCAATGATTGGGTACAATTTCTCCAACTCGTCACCGAACAAAGCAGAGGACATGACACCCTCCTTAGCACGCATCCAGTTCTTGTTACCTCTCAAAGTGTTGATTTCACCGTTGTGAGCGGCGATTCTCAATGGTTGTGCTCTGTCCCAAGATGGGAAAGTGTTGGTGGAGAAACGTGAGTGCACGAGAGCAAAATGAGCTTCGTAGTCGGCGTTGACCAAATCGTAGTAGTATGCATACACCTGGTTGGGGGCCAATTGACCCTTATAGACAATGGTTTTAGAGGACAAGGAACAGATGTAGAACCAGTTGTGCAAGCCGATTGTGTGAGACGATTGCTTTCTTAAGATGAACAACTTCTTCTCAAAGTCCTTCTTGTAGGACTTCTCAAACTCTTCAGCAGAGATATCCTGACCGTAAGTCTCCGAGTACACCACTGCAGGTTGCAAGATCAATGGTTCTCTGGACAACGAGGCAGGACCCAAGATGGAAGAGTCGTGGGGAACCTTTCTCCAGCCCAAGACCTTCAAGCCCAAGGAAGAGGCAATGGATTCGAAGGTCAGCTTCAGCTTTTCGAACACGGCGTCGTCCTTTTTGAAAAAGACATTACCGGTACCATATTGGCCCAAGGCAGGCAAGTCCACGTCGCAGTGGTACTTGAATTCACGAACCAAGAACTTATGGGGCAAAGAAGACAACAATCCGGCACCGTCACCGTCTTTGGGGTTCAACTCTCCACCTCTGTGGGTCATGTTGCAAAGGAGGCTCTTGGCGTCCAGGACAATTTTGTGGGAGGTGACACCTTTGAGGTGACAGGTGAAACCCACACCACAGGCATCTTTTTCGTTTTCGGGGTTGTACAAGCCTTGTGCAACAGGCAAGGTCAGAGCCCACGACTTATTTTCTGGAACCTCATCATAATCGTAAACATTCGTTTTGAATTCTTCGTGAGGCAAGTAAGAGGCCATGGCTATATGGGGCGGCGGTTATGAAATCTAGTCAATTTAGTCAAAACTTGGTCAAATCTGTCTATTCAAGTCAAGAGCAACAGAGAAGAGGGGTCTGTAGATTCAAGACTGCAATTGGGGGTCAAGACAATAGTGGTCTAGACAGAAATGGGAGCCACGAAGGAACGAAAAAAAGATTCTTCAGGAAGTTGAAAAGAGAAAAAAAAAAAAGAGGAGAATGAAAGATTTAAAAATTTTTTTCTTCGAGTTAAGACACTAGGTGGGACAGTGGGACAGATTTTTGACACCTGCACAGTGATGGCCGTGACCTGCATATTCACATGATTTCGCAGGCGCACCAGCCAATCACAGCACCATGGATAGTCATAAATTGGTGTTATCTACGGCCCGTGAAGCCTGGATCGGCGAGGATGTTCGGAGGTGACCGGTGCGGGGTGCACATGTGACTCATAGTCAGACTAAGATATTCCGAATTAAAGGAAGAGAAGGTAATGAGAGGTACTGATTGGTTGAAACAAATAAGAATTTAAAGGGATATAGGATAAAATGATGAATGAATGTGATTGGATATACATTAAGTGGGGAATGGAACGGTTTGCCTGATTTGGGATGGGGGATTGTCGAAATGGAAGTTATGTAGCATGTTCCAATGATTTGGATCTTGTCTGCAGGAGCGCGGAATGGGGAACGTGCTGTGATTCGGCCGATTGTTTCGGTGATAGATGAATGATAAAAGTTCTAGGGAGATTAGAGAGAGGAGACATGGACATATGGAAAGATGAGAAATGTGAAGGGTCATGCACAGGATATGAAATAGGAGGTTGATGGTTGGTGTTAGAATAGTTTTTAGAATTTCGAATTTTTTATATTTTTTTTCGCTTTATTTAGTTTTGAGGATAAGTTTTGGTTTTTCGTTGATTAGGGCTTGGTTTTCGGTTTTTATGCTAATTTTTCCTCCTTCAGGTTATATTTTCCCAGTTCGAATTTAAAAAAAATGTAGAATTTGTAGATAATTACGAATTTGGCCTGTCCTGGCGTAAATTTCCTAAATACCGATTCTCTAAACATCCGTTTTACGTCAATGAATTAGTTGATTAATCACGAACTGGGGGATTTGGAGCAGGACCTGCCAGTGTGCTTATGTCCATATTCTCCTTTAACCTGCAGTTTATATGAGTTTTAAGATAGAAGATTATCTCGCAATAAGGTCACTGGTCTCAATACATTAGGGAGTAGAGAGGTTGTACAAGTCATGAAATAGTGCTCATATAGTTGAGTTAACACATAGTTGCAATTAGTGGTTCTATTACTAATGCTAGTACTATAATTACTACCCCAATACTACTACTACTATTACCGACCCACTTCTTACTATCGACAGAAGTTTCATAATTCTAATAATATTATTGCGAAAACTTATATAGGAAACCTATATGTTCAAATAACCATTACTGGTTCTTCCTACTCTCAAATCTCATCCAATGAATTCCTCTCGCCTACAAGATTCACTTCCATTATCATACTAGCAATTTCATGTGAAATTCTAACATATACATTTGTTTGTTTATCTTCAAAAAAAAAAACATATTCATTTTCATGTTCGATTGCATTTTAATTTCGTCAATATTTGACTTACATTTCACGTTTCATCTCCTTTTCTAGTGTTGTGGTCATTGATCATATTATATGTGTGTACTCTCAAATTCTCACCACTCACTTTCTAATACTCACTTGCCATGCTCAATCAACTATTTCAATAAAATCAACGTCAGCGCCATAAAATCAAATATTTCAATATTCAACGCTCAATGTATCCTTTTTTTTTTCGTCTTTTTTGTTTTCTTTCACCCAACTCTCGTCTACCATATCACTCACTCCTTCATTTTATTCATGCCTCATCTCACACGTGACTTATCTCTTCACAACCTCTTCTTCTTATCCATGGCTGAATCTACACATCTGGCGGTATTCCCGCCCGAAGTATTGGCTCGAATCGCCCCTGATGTCTCGCTCCAGCGCCACTTGGCACTTGGGCTCCGTCCCTGCTTGCGTGCGTTCGACGAATTCAGACCTCTTCACACCGCTGCTGGAAGCATGAACAACCTCGGTGAAAACACCGTGGTGGGCCTGGCAACGGTCAAGAACGGTCAGACTCATGTTTTTTGCGGTATTACCATCGCCATCAGCGAGCTCAACCAGTCTGATGAGCTTTTGTCTGGTGAAAATGACAAGGCCGCCTACCTGTCTGTTTATCCGGTGGTGGAGATCGCCAGAGGACGCAATGGTGCCCCCAGCGACGAGGAGATGATTCTCTCACAAAAACTATATAATTATGTACTTCATCTGCGTGTTCTTTCGGAAAAGGCTCTCGAGTTTGTCCCTGGTTATCAAATTTTCGATGAAGAATCTGGCATTTCCTCAATTGCATACCTCGACGATGATTCGTCGCCGCTGGCCGACTTGCTAGGCCTCAGTACCGTCAATATCACCAAGAAAAGATTCAAGTTCGTCTTATCCGCACATATCAAGGTATTTTCCCGCTCGGGACCTTTGTATGATGTTGTACACCAGGCACTCATGGCTGCGTTGCAAGATGTCAGTCTTCCCCGGATTTATTTGGCTGACTCGGGCATTGATGCTAACGTTCGTATTCCCGTGCGTTCGAGAGGCAATTTCGGCCATTTAAATCAGCAGTCTGATTCCTTTTGCATCGATCCTAACCCTGATGTGATTACAAAACTTGCATTGAACGAGCCAGAGGTTGCAGTTTCCACCAGTTTTGGACTCGTCGACTGGCAATCTGAATCTACCGACAGTGCTACCGTGTTGTTGGCAGACTTAGAAGGTGAAGCCGAAGAGATTTGCGCAGAATCCAAACTCACAGTGGTTTCCACAGGCGAAAAGCTTAAACACGTCAGTATCGTGGGTGGCGGAGCTAATGTTACTTTAGAGTCTCTCCAGCAGGCGGTGAAAATCGCAAATGCCAGGGCAGTTTCTATTAAAAGCTCTTGATTCATGTACATTAATATACAAAGAAAATCTACACTCATTCATCACCCTCTCCATCTGAAGAGCCATTAGGCGAAGCTAGGTTCGACACTGATGATGAATAGCCAAGATTGATATTCACCGAACGGGGCAGATCGATATCCTTGGAGATCAATCTCTGCTTCCGCTGGTTTTCGAATTCAAATTCCATAGCTTGTTCGGCCATGGGAGAACGTGACTTCTTGGTTGCCTTGGATTGAGGAATCTCTGATGTTGATATATTGCTCTCGGCTTTGGATTCGGAATCTCCGTATAAGTCATCATCATCGCTGTTTGAGCTTTCCTCTTTCTTCTTGGAAGCTTCGGCAATTTCTGCTTGCTGTTTATTGTACTCGTCGATTTCACCCCTCACTTGGAGCAGCAGGTCCTTGAGACTCGTCAACTTAGCCTCAAATGCTGCGCGACCTTGGTTCAACAACTCTCTAACCGAGTCACCACCAGCGAACCGTGTCGAGCTTCTCTTTTTGTAGAAAAGCAAGTAAGCAGCTCCTGTAATGCACTCCTTCGGATCATCTATAGGCGTAACTCTTCCATCATTAAAGTAATACCACTTGTTATCTCTGAAGTTCATTGCTGAGGCCGTGTAATGGCCACCTCCCAATCCTCCATAATGATTGTCTACCGCAACCAAGTCATAAATGAGGTCCTGATTATTGGCTTCACTCGACATGACAAACTCACTCATGTCCAAACCCTCAATTGGAAAGTCAACAACCATACTGATCTTGTCACTGAATGATCTGGCGCTTTGGAATCGCTTCAAGTGAATAGTCAAAAGATCCCCGGTTGACCAAATTTGGATAGTTTTGGTGGCCCTTCTATGCTCTTTGCATCTAGGACAATACCATAAATCTTGGTCTCCCAAAACCTCTGGAGTGCTGAAATTTCTAAAACAATCATACAAAGATACCGTGGACTTTTGCTGCAAAGCAAGTTGTCTCTTGTTCTCGGCCAATTCCGGATTGGGGATGCTATTAAGATTTTCCCACGCTTGATGTTCCAAGTCTTTGAAGAAGCTGTTAAAAATTTCTGGATCCCAGTCAAGAATAAGAGTTGTTTTAGAGTTGATTAACTCGACATGATTGTCAGATTTCTCCGCCGACGCTTCTTGTGGACTTGGTGCATCGCTATTGACCTCGCGGTCAGAGTCATTTACTGGAGGACCGACCGAGCTCAACTGATCCACAGAGGCAAATAAGGTATTGACATTATCCCAGTTGGAATCACTGTCTGTATCCACATCAGGCAGAGAATGATTGACAGAATTAGTGTCATCAGGAGTTATCTCATTGGCTCTATCCACAAGAACATATTCATTCTCGTCAGATACCCCTTCATCTTCAGTTTCTTTCTCTTTCAATTTCAAGTTTGCAACATAATCAGGATAATGATAGTAGTCTCGTTTGAGCTTCGGAAGCTTACTTGCTAACGAAGGCAAGCTATCAAATTGAGGTCTACTATGAGGAATATTGACAAAACTCGATTGACCGGCAGGAGTCGAGTTATGGGCAAATCTGCTTCCCATGCCTCTGAATTGACTGTGCTTCGTAAAAGTTTCCTCGTAATATTTGATTTCAAAGCCAAAAGAAGCGCCCAAATGTGGTTGGGCCAATGAAATATCCGAATCATACCCGTCATCAGAGGATTCAGACACTGATGTGGCAGCAATGCCAGGAGAATCTGTTGAATCGCCAACCATGACAGTATCTTCCAGTTCTGGCTTATTGAGAAGTGGGAAGTCTTTTGCAGAGTAATATCTCTGATTTGGCTCACCCTTGATTTCAGAATACTTGGACTCCAAGTCCACTCTAGAGAGAATTTTGACTGCTTGTTCAACTTTCTGCCTTACTGTTCCGAAACTGTTACTCTCGGTTTCTTTGTCCAAAACCACAAATAGGGGAATGCCGAATGCTTCACGAATATTGTAAGATTTATCTTCATCCTGAGTCACATTTATGACAGGAACAACAATATCTGCCTCGGGATTGTGAGGAATGATGTACACCAACACAGTGTCACCATCAGTGATCAATTCGGTGATAGGTAAGAACTTGGAGTTACTGCGGATATCCTGGAAGTTCTTGTAGAAGAAGTTACGGAATATCTCGAACAAAAATAATTCTTCCTTAGGTGCTTTTAAGAACGAACTCAAATATGCCAACAAATCATCGAAGTTCGAAGACTTGGTGAGCTCCACTTCCAACTTCAGAATTGGTAAGTCGGTGTATTTTCCAGACAAGTCCACTATGGTAAATTCATGGTACCACTTTTTATTTACGGGTAGTGGCAAGGTTAAGTCATTGAACGGATCAAAGGTGATGGATTTCTTGTCACATGTTGGACACACCAAAGTCGACTGGTAAAGGCCGGTGAAAAGATCAACAATGATTGAGTCATTTCTGAGCTTATGCTGCTGCCAGCACTGGTTGGCTAAGTCAACCACAGCCTGTGGATTGTTGACGTCTTCATCTTTCAATTCAGGCTTCTCGCAGTAAGGCTTGTTCTGGATACGATTGAGGTCTTCATGAAGAGCGTCTAGAAGCCAGCTGAGAAACTCTTGTGAATCCTGTTGTTGATATCCATGAAACATAGACGAATAGCGACCAATGGTGTACTTGAACTCGCGTGGTGTCACGTATGAGGTTGAAATTCCAACGTCAAATAGCTTATGAAGCAAGTTCGAAAAGGCAACAGCCACCTCTCCCTTGTTGCCCAATGGATTCGATCTGTTAAGTTCCTTCTCGTAGAGATCAAAGAAAAAATAGTAGTTGATCTCTGGAAGATGCACAAGACACTGTAGCGCCGAATTCATGTAACAAGTATTTCCAAGATTGGACAAGCCCAAGTTTCCACCTGTGGTTGTAACACTCTTCAAGTCTAGCAGGTCAAGATCAGTGGTTGCAAGAGCCACATCCACTGGATATCTTTTTGTGGTTTTGTCCATGACCTCAACCACCAAATGAAGCCTCGATGAACGAATGCCCTGGCTCTGCAACGACAAGTCCATGACCTTAGGAACCACTAACTTCTTGTATTGTACTTTGTTGATGAACACGGATGTTGGAATAATCGAGGGCAAGTCCTCCACGTTTTCTGTAGTGATGAACCACACTCGGATAGTTGAAGGTCTATTCTTAAACAAGTGCGCCTGAATAACCTCCATCAACTCACGGAAAGTCTTCGTTTGAGAGAGCAGAAATGCTGTTTTGCTGTGAAGGTTCCCTCTGGAAGCCACTGAGCCTTTGCTAAGGGTGTGGATTATGAAATACGGAGCATATCTTTCCAAAACCAACGATCCATCTTGATCTGCCACCATCACACGCATCACAGGCTCTCCCACGACACCAAGCAGTTTCGCCAACTCATTATAGAGCTCTGGAACAACATATGTGGTCGGAACCAATTCGCTTCCTTCGGGAAAAAGATTCCCATTCTGATCTACGATCGCCGTGTTGTCTACCTTCCCGATTTCACCAGCAAGCTCAGCGACCGACGTCACGGGGGCGGCAAACGCACCATCAACAACAGCCACCGCCATCACAGCCACCAAGTCGCCTGCCTGGAGCGGTTGGGCCAAGAGCTGGCGCCAGACATTCCTGGCATTGTCCAAATCATTCTTCGTCAATAGATCAGCATCAGGTACCGATTGAGAAGCCACCAACTCACCTACATCAGCTTGTTGCGAGGCATCATTTAAGGGCATCGTGCTGATGTTTGCGTCCGACACGATGTCCTCGTCGCTCATGGTGCTATGGAAGTAGTTTTAGATGAGCTTACATATTGGGGACTTTCTATGTAGGGTGGGTATACGCAATGAAGGGTTGGACGAAAGACGAAATCGAGAGAATTTAGGGTTACTTGAAAGACAAAAATAGGGGTAATTTGTGATATAGAATTGAAATAAATCATCCAATTATTTATTTAGTTGGACTATCATCCCTATTATTTACGCTTTTTGTTTTGTTACACCTCCATAAACCCCACCTGCGCACGTGACGACAAGACCTATCAACCCCAGTAAATACGAGAGAATCATTATCGACACCCAAATTACGATATCCTGCTTTTATAAATTAGTACCGCATCTCCCTTTCCACTACCTGTTCCCATCATTCCTCAGATGCTGGTTCTGAAATCCGCAGACACTCAACAGTCTGCTCGAACAGACGACGCCAATGAACATCCAGACTTACAAATCTTAGACAAGTTGTGTGGCCAGGCATTGGAGCATTTCTCCATCAATACCGATTTACTTACTAGCTGGCAACTGGAACTTAGCGATAGTGCATGTCATAATGAGCTCTTGGCTAGCGTCATCTACCAGGAGGTGATATTACAGTTTCCCCAGACTCCACTATACTTCGAGCGAACACACCGGGATGGACTTGTTTCGTGCTTAAAAGACCTCAATTCGCTTGATGTCAATGTCTACTTTGATTTCCACATGATAGTGTACGAATTGATCTACCAGGCGGTTACTACACCTTACTCGGCGAAGATCCAACTCCAGCGCCTTCGGATTGTCCCGGCTCTCGTGGATGACTTAATCTCCTACTTGGAGAAGCTAACAGGGAAAATTACCTTCCATGAAGGTAAGGTTGCTCGCTCTAAAATCAAATTGCTCAAATCTTTTCTTGAATTGGGTTGCGAGGTGAAACAGATGAAGAGGCTTGTGAATCCGTTGTTCAGCAAGGCGTCGAGGGTTCCTGAACCTGTGAAGCTGCTCTATCTTGACTTGTTGATCTCATCTCTCGAGCTTTATCTGTCGCATTTCACGTTCTTGGTCTTCAACAGTTTCATTGGCAAAACATTAGCTATTCCTTTCTCCAACGACTTTGCGTTGCTGAAATGCCTTACGTTAACCAGCTGGTTCAAGATTAATAGCGTGTCGCAGGCCACAAATGATGACGACGACATCTCGGTGGTATCATTGTTTCTGCTTGCAAATGCGTCCAATAGTGACTCTACAGTTCTCAAGCTCCAGGTGATCAATTTCAACCAGTTTATGGTAGAAATTCACAACAAGTCGACCGGCTCGAGAATTCAGTTCACATTCAACCAGATTCTCCAGAAAACTGCAACAAACCAGGGGTATACGCATGTTTCCTTGACTTACGACACATACCAAAACCTCAATCTATATATCGATGGAGAATATAGCGAGTCCATTCCATGTCCACAGCTTTCCAAAAGTTTCAGCTCATGGAACAAAATCTACATTGGCCAGCCACTTGATGAAGAGTTCACACCCCATGCTTTCAATAGGGTGGAATTACTTATCAAGGACCTCAACGTACTCAGTGTTGCTTTGCCATACGAATGGGTCAACTTGCTATATTTGCTTGGAATTGGGTTTGATTGGAGTCATAAGGAGTTCTCGGATGAAAATATTGCCAACTTTGTGTCGAGTTTAAGTCCAAAGAAACTTGTAAAGTTTGGCTTTTGCTGCAAGGAGATTCTCGATGTTAAAAAGCAATCTCGAACAACTGGCTCGAAACACAGACTTCATACCCATCTCTCGAGTATCCGGAGTCTGTCAACATCTAAGGCTGATATTGCTGACAAGAAAACAATGGTCGCTTTGCTTCGCAAGACCAAAATCTCAAAGACAAGTTTTCTTTTTGAAAGCAACGAGCCGGGATTTGTTGGACACATCGAGAGACCCCAAAATTACGATATCATAGTTCACGAGTCCAACCCAATGCACGGCTCGATCTTTTGTTTGGGGGGAGCCAAATTGCTCTTAACCTTGATAGAAGTGGTGACGAAAGATCAATACGAGGACGAAACAAGTCGTGACAGACTTTTCATCAGAAGCATAGAGCTCTTATTACAATGTTTGCTTAACAGCTGGAGGATTAACAAGGAATTTGATAATATAGACGGGTATTGCATTCTTGCTCTCTTGATTAAATTCTACAAAGACAATTACAATCCAACTCTTACTTTTGACAGTGACAGCCTGTGGAGCTCACTGTTGTCAAGCAGCGCAGATACCTCTGTTACTAGTTTCACAGGTCAGAAGAGCCTTCTCAATCTCTTCTTGGACTTTGCAGGTTGTCCTCCAGCAAACATTTATAACTCAGCGATTCACAACTCGCATGCTTATAGATACTTGGTGTTGAACTTTGACATAAACTCTGGCACTCCAGATTTTGCAGTACAACAAAAACAGTTACAGCTGATCATGAAGGAAGGTCGATACCATGCATACAACGTCAAAGAGCTAACCAAAATGAAGCTTTTAAAACGTTTGATCCAGTTCATCAAGTTCCAATTTCTTGATGACCAATTTCTTGATGGCACCCTGGAAGAGAAAGATTTCGCTGAGGTTTGTTCAACTTTAACATCATGGGTTCGGGCGGATATCTCTGTGGATACGATCAGAACTGTTTCTCACTTCATAATTTTTGCATTGTATGGATCTCCGAATAATGTTCTTGCTACACGTGTCGGCTTAGAAGCTCTCCAGTCATTGACAGACGAGCTCTGCGATCCAAATTCATCCATGAAATCGCTAAAAAAATTCTCTCGATCCATAACTATTCACTGGATTTTATTGCTCTTAAGCTATCGCTCCAAAAATGAAGTTGAAGCCAAACGTGTGGTTTGTTACGGAATCATGCTTTTGGTTAAGCTCTTAAGAGTTTTGGGATCTCATATCATCAAGAGATTTTTCAGAGCCAACAAGGGTCTTGATGTACTTACGAGTTTCATGCAACATTGGTGGAATATTGACGAAATGAACAGCCTACTTTTCCTTGCCTCTTTTGGAGCCGAGATATCAACTTCAGAAATAGGAGAGTACTCCTTGCCAAAGTTGGTAAGAGACAAGAAGATTACACAAAGTGTCAACAAACTTCCAATGCCCGACTTCATACTCTTGTTAAACAACATGGCTCTCACGGGTATGTATAAGTTGAGTCTGAAACACGGCAGAATTTTAAGCGTTCCAAGCTCTCCAGTAAGACCAAGGGATGGAAAGCTGCCAGAAGACGAAATATTCGAGATATCTTTTGATGTGCTCCATTTGATTAACCAATACTCTGATGTTATAGAAATTGGATATGCAGATTCGCAGGCACTTCAGCAAGTTTTCACAAGCAAGGAATGGCTAGAGGGCTCAGTTGAGCTATTAGGATATTTGAAGTTGTCATTGACTTGGTCGAGCTCGCAGTTTATCAAAAACTTCGAAAAGTGTTCAGAGAAATACGTTTCCGTATTGAGTGCGGTTTTCATTTCCAAATTGATGAATATCAAGCATCTTTTTTCGATTCTTGATTCTTTGAATGAGATCACCACCCGAATAGTGTTGGATTCGATATTCCCCAGTATTTTCAGACATATCAACCAGTTTGTTGAAAGTTCCAACTTCATCTTCAAAGAGAAAGAATTTCTTAATGGCACAATTGAATTGCTCAACTATTATAATAGAGAGTTCCTATTGCAAAACTACTATGTGAATGCAGATGACTTGAACTCCTTCATCACCTGCATTGTCTTTGCTATGGAGACATGTATTTCTAGTTCCAATAACAAAAAGGGAGTGCTGGAACTTTCCAATGTGTTAGGAAATGCAATCGTGCTCAAACTTTCAAGCATAACTTACCCCAATGGTCAAGATGCTGATTATGATCCTCTTCTGGACGCTGAATTTGCCGGAGAACTTGATGAAAACGTCAAGTTTCTCATGTACAAGCAAGCTGTGATTTTGCAAAGTGAGCTGTTGTCAGACATGTATTTGAGGCAAATTATTGAACTACTCATGGGCAATTTCTTGAAATTGAGTATTGATAACCAGTTGGAAATTGCTGAACATCTTCTCAACTTCTTAAGAACAGCATATATGATGCGCCAAAAGTCGTTTGCGAGTATCGTTGAGATGTTGACAACTCTTTCAGATTACCAAAACTCCGGCGACATTTTGTTCAGTTTCTTTGAGAATTTAACAACGCACAACGACGAGGAAACAATCAAGCAGTTGCAGAAATTCCCTACCATCAGACACATTTTCCTTAAGAACTATCACTTCAGGATAAGCAAATTGAAGGATGTGGGAACTGTCAAGGCTATGGATATGATTTCTGTCATGTTAAATAACGGGGGTAGCCTTGGGTATATGGATAACATATACATCAAGAGTTTTGAGAAGGACTGCCATCGCCTCAGAATTTCAACTGTCAATGCCGAATTGACCAAGTACAACCGCGAGCTACAAGATGAACAGGAAAGCTATGCTTTCTTTCTTAATGCCTTTGACTCATTGAGAATGGAAATCATCAGAATCTGGACAGATTCTTCTACTCAACAGAGTGATTACATTTTGGACTACATTGAGGGCGTTGACAGAATGAGAAAGCTATTAGTGGTTGAGGACCAGTTGGCAGAATCTGAACGTTTGTCATACAACGTCAAAGTTCCTATTAAGCAGGTTGAAGGCATGCAATCGACCACCTCCGATTTCGAAGACTACAGCTTTGCATTTGCATATTCCGGCATCAACACATTGAGTTTGTCCGAAAACCCCTTATTAGGGTCAGAAGTTGAGGACTATGAGGAAATTGACGAGAATTTAGAAGGAGAAAACGAAAGTTCTGGTGGTGCAGTTGAAGACAGAAATCGAAAGGTTCTTCGAAGCTTGTATATGGGAGATCAGATACAAACGTTATGGAATGTGTCAAGGATCAATGGCCTTGATGCCGTGGAGAGTCTCATGATATTGGGATTCAGTCACCTCTACTTGACTGAAAATTTCTTTCTCTGCCCAGATGGCAATGTGGTGGAGGTGCACGAGGCTCCAATCGAATCTAGAGATCCATATTTGCAATTGATCAAGTCACAGTCCCCTCGCTCTGCAGTACTGAAGACACATCGTACTAAGAGCTGGAGTTTGGACACTTTGAGCTCCATCTCAAAACGAAAGTTCTTGTTGAGAGACTGTGCCGTCGAGATGTTTTTCAGTAATGGTGCAAGCATACTTATCACTTGCTTATCAACAAAGCAGAGAGATGTGGTATACACCAAACTTTCTCCCTATGCAAAGGGGAAAGGGTTGGATAAGGATCTTGCTTTGACGCTTGAAATGTCGTCTAATACTCTGCAACATCAAAATAGTTCGACTACATCCTCTTTTTTCGGAACACGGATTGCCTCTGCATTTTCAAGCAGTTTTAACTCATCACCAGCTTTTCTTGCTGCTACCAAGAAGTGGAGAATAGGCGAAATGTCGAATTTCTACTATTTGATGACGTTGAACACTTTAGCAGGAAGGACATTCAATGATCTCACACAGTATCCTGTTTTCCCGTGGGTTATCGCTGATTATGACAGTGAGACGCTTGATCTTTCAGATCCTGCAACATTCCGAGATCTTTCCAAGCCTATGGGAGCTCAGACGCCTAACAGGGCCCGCCAATTTGAAGAACGATACGATGCCTTGGAAAGTCTAGGCGATGAAAATGCCCCGCCATTTCACTATGGAACCCACTACTCGTCTGCAATGATTGTGGCCTCATACTTGATCCGCTTGAAGCCATATGTCCAGTCATATCTTTTATTGCAAGGTGGAAAGTTTGACCATGCTGACCGGTTGTTTAATTCCGTTGGGAAAGCATGGCTGTCATCATCAAGAGACAACACTACTGATATTCGAGAATTGATTCCCGAATTCTTCTACCTCCCTGAGTTTTTGGTTAACCTGAACAATTTCGAGTTCGGTAAGCTTCAAAGCGGAGAGTCAACGAACGATGTTGATCTTCCCAAATGGGCCAAGGGCGACCCAAAAATTTTTATCGCAAAGAACAGAGAAGCATTGGAGAGTCCTTATGTGTCAGCAAACTTGCACAAGTGGATCGACTTGATCTTCGGATATAAACAGAGTGGTCCCGAGGCAGTTAAGGCACTCAATGTCTTCCACCACCTGTCATACGAAGGTGCCATTAATCTCGACAATATAAAAGATGATGTGGAGAAGCGTGCGGTGATTGGAATGATCAATAATTTTGGACAGACTCCAATGCGATTGTTCAGCAAGTCTCATCCTTCACGGGAGATATTGAATCTTCCTGGCAACTATATGGCAATGTTCGATGTGCAGAAGCACCCACCTCAGCAGACATTTGAATCCAAATTAAATCTTCCTATCGAAAAACTTGAGATCAGTTCTAAGTCTAAGAACAGGATAGGTCGCCCCGCATGTGCATCTTCAGAAGACGAACTTTTGATCCGCAAACCATCCCATTATCAGTCAAAGATCAGGTGTGGGTCACTAGTGATCAACACGACGCTCTTCATGAACTTGCACTCAGCAGACATCACCAGTTTGCTACAAATTGGCAATAAACAACTCGTTACAGGTTCATCTGAGGGTGTGATTCATGTTTGGCAATGTATCATGAAACCTGTGTTGATGGTATCCAACCAGCATATTCTACGTGGGCACTTTGCTGAGATCAAATCTTTTGCCTACTGTAAGACCTTCAAGGTGTGTTTGAGTGTGGATACGGATGGGGTAATAATCCTCTGGGACTTCACTCGCTTCAGTTTCGTGCGCAAGATTGCTCAGCCCAATGCCACCGAAAGGGCCAAGGTGTTGGTGACTATTTCAAATGACACAGGAAACATCTACACGGTCTACAGCACCAAATATGCGAACACTGTTCGGGTTTTCACGATCAACGGGGAGAAAATCCTCGAGTCAAAGCTCGCACCAGGACAAATTTCTGCCATTGCCGTTTCTTGCTTGAACGATACACTTGTGGAATCGCCCAACAACAATTTTATCCATTCATATTGGGCAAATGAAATCTTGGTGGTAAGTACTAGTGCTCCACACAGGAGCCTCCACATCTACCAACTTAGTGCAAGTGAACAATGGGAGCTACAGCTTTTACAAACAGTAAAACTCGACATAGAGGGTCAAGTCACATGCATGCAATCATCCAAGCACATTGTGGTGGACCACGACGAAAAGCTTGCACGCGGCCATCTCAGTGTTGTTTTCGGCAATTCCGACGGAAAGGTGTACGCACTCTAATACTGATTAGCACTTTCATGTACATGGGGATTCTTCCTGTAGAGAGAACTCCAAAGCGGGCCACCTCATACCACCAAGCCGAAAATCCAAACAGCTACTAAGCAATTGCGGGAGTTGCTTCAACCACTCGGAGAAAGCACCCCGAGTCCATTCGCATATCATTCGCAAACCTTTGCATTCATTTAGCTTACCGTTTGGCCTATGTCTGTCTTACCTCCAATATCTCTACGCACATTATTGCTATGTCTAGCATGGTATCTGGTGCTGTCATTCACTTCCCAGATCACAAAGGTTATCTTGGACAAGTTTACTTATCCATTTTTCCTCTCACAGGCGCAATTCTTCATTGGAACCTTGCTATCCTATGCATTTATCACGTTAGTGCAACAGTACCCAGATATTCGAGACAGCTTCTCGCCAGGTGTTGTACCTAAGGATGCCAACAAAAGCATCTTCAATAGAAATGTCCTTTTCAAAGTCATGCCATTGGGAATCATGCAATTCATTGGTAAATACTTCTCGCTCAGCGCCACGCTGATTGTTCCGGTAGCAACCGTGGCGAGCGTCAAGTCACTCTCACCGTTATTGATTGTGGGGGGCTACCGTGTGTTCTACAGAGTTCGGTTCCCTGTAGTGACGTATTTGCTGTTGACGCCGTTGCTCGCCGGCGTGATCTTGATGATCATGGTGGATGCCGAGGTCAAACTGCCTGATCTGACTAATCCACTTTTCCTCCCGAAGCTTGACGAAGAGCATGTTCGTGGTCTCACATATTGCATTGTGAGCGCCATAATCATGGCATGCCAGCACATCTATGGTAAGGAATTGCTCACTTGGAACAAGCAGGTCATTAATAATCCTGCCTCACTTGTTTTGAATACTGATCCTTCCAGACCTCCAACACCAGGGCCAGGAAAGGGGACCAGCCCTCATTTCGCACCTTCCACGAATACTTCTACGCGAGGATTACTGCCTCTCTCTATTGCAAAACACTTCACTCAGCGGCGAGATTCGGTCAGGTTGCCTTATTCCGTACTGGACTTGCGTCTCGACGAGTTGCACAAGCATCAACATCCACAATATCAGCACCTGCCTCTGCCACAGCCTGTGGCAGTACCACAGTCGTTTCCGCTGCCCCACCTCCTGCCATATCCGCAGGCGACTCAACAATACTTCAAGGAGGTGCAAGAGGCCAAATCAGTCACTAATCCGCTCGTTCAATTTGCTCCCTCGCATGGCACCACTAAGCCGGAAAAGTTCACGGTGATCTTCTTTATTTCTTTCATTGGTTTTTGTTTCTCGTTCCTCGGCTTCTTGTTCAAAGAGGCTGGCGGTCTACTCGCCAGTATTCAAGACCCTACCTTGTTTCATGGCTCCATTCGCGACAAGAAGGATGTTTTCTTGGTTGCGCTTCTAATTCTTATGGACGCATTGTCTCACTTTGTGCAAACAGTGCTTGCGTTCATTCTCCTTGGCTCTATTCCGGCGCTTTCCTATTCCATTGCCTCGATGCTCAAACGTATAGTTATCATTTTGGTGAGTATTCTCTTAGTGGTGGACACATCAGCCAGCTTAGAGGGAAACTCCGACAAGTGGTTTGGCCGCATTTCATCACAGCAGATAAAAGGATTGGGGTTGATTGCCGTAGGGCTCTACTGTTACGATAGGTGGGGATCCCGAAGTTTGAAAGAGAATCGAACATGATTACTATGATCAAGGCCACAATTCTCTTGCAAAACAACTCTTTATAAACAATAAACTGTTTGGAAAGGCTAGAATGCCCAGTCGAAATGTAGCACAAGAAGCTCCAGTTGTAACGAGTCACAACTTTCACTTCAAGCACTTTAGCAACTGCGCCCGCAAATTCCGTGACTACCCGCAGCTGAAGCCGTGACTAGTCCACTCTAGAATGTGTTGTAGAGAGCTGCAACCGTGGGATGAAGCGAACTTCCGAATTGTAGCCCTACAATAATACACATTCAGTACAATAGAGAAGAAATAATTTTTCGTGGATGTGCGCTGGTTATATACTCGCGAAAGTGTGTCCGGGTAACCGCACCAAGTTATGATATTATAAGAATAAGTAGATTAACTTCAATCCATATCATATTCTACACGAAATGGTGAAATTGGCTATATGTGTACTTAGTTACTTTACTGCTGTTGTTTATGGTGTGGGATTTACTGGAAAATTCGTAGGGATTCCCGAAGACGCTGTGGCAACCCAAAACTCCCACTCTGATTCTCCTATAATCAATGGCGTAAATTACCAGTCCAGAATCGATGTTACACTTACCCCGATCGTCACATCGGGTATTTCAGACCCTAAGTCATTGGCTGTAAAGAGATCATTCGATTTCGAAGTGCCAGACTTACACAATGGCGAGTACCAACTCACACTCAATAGTTATGATTTTCAGTTGCAGAATAGTCGCTATAAAGTGGTTGTGGATGAGGAAAACATTAGCGTATATGAAGATTCGTTGGGTTCCAAGGCATTAAACCAGTCTTCATTGCAGAAGGTTGGCCCAAAACGTCCGCTTCTTGTGGATGTTGTGGGGTATAAAGAGTATTATGAGAGTCCCCAGGGAAAAATTACAGAAATGGTCATGAACAGTCCCCTCGGGTTCATCTTCAAGAATAGCTTGTATACGGCTTTGTTTGTTGCATCGATGGTTATCATGGTGGCGCCTTACGTTCTTACGTTGATCTCGCCAGAATTGGCTGAACAAGTCAATGAAATGCAGAATGTAGCCCCAGTTGAGAAACAGCAAATTGTGCAACCACCAGCACAAGAAGTGCCCAAGGCATCTTCTGGAAGAGCCAAGGGTGTGAAACAGAGAAAGATTTAGGTTCTGAATGTCGATGTGTATTAAACTCTCGAGTTGAACAGAAGTCCAACAATTTGGTAACGACTGATCGCCCAACATAAGGTGCCCACCAAAGAGAAAACACCGCAGAAAAGCGCAAATTTGGAGTAGTCAGATACGCTGCCTTCTCCAATGATTGCCGCACCCACTGGAAGTCCAAAGAGGATACCCACACTAGAAAATGTGTACATGAGGCCATATCTCTGGCCAAACTGATCCACAGGGGTGATGGAGCCAAGACAGAGCGGGGTAAGACTCAAAATTGAAGAGCTGAAGAAGCCACAGAGCACTGAGAAAACGTACAAACCAGCAACTTTGTTTCCGAATGGTAGCCAACATGCGAACACAGAAATAGAGAAACCAGTTAACATCAACACCATCACGTTGAAGGTTCCGTAGATGTCAGCGAAGTGGCCCGGAATGTATCTGCCGAGAATTCCCGTGGCATTGAGCACCGTCAATAGCGTCAAGGAATCTTTTTCCGAGAAGCCGTGAGCAATGGCATATGTAGCAAGGTAAGTGAGAATACTCATTAGCGAGATCTCTGTGAAAAACACCCCGAGCACCAAGAACGAGAAGCGGGGATCCTTGAATGCGGTCAAGTCGAAGAAGTACTTTGTCTGCTGCATGAGTTTCTTCGACTTCGCTAAATGCTCTGAGTCCTCAGGTCCAATTGATCTGCGGAACCTAGATTTCACCAACACCACTGAAGCCACCAGTCCAGCCAAACAGATAAACCCCACAATTCTGATACCCCAGCCAAAACCCACAGTAGAGTACAATCTCTGGAGAATAAGCGGCCAGATTGTTCCGCCCACTGAGCCTCCCAACGATGCCATTCCAATGGCTTTTCCTCTGTTGAGTAAGAACCAATGGCTCACCAGCGAAATCAACGGAGTGATGGCCAATGCATGCGCCGTGCCCATACATAATGAGAGAGAGAAGATGAATGCGACGATTGACTTGGAGAAACTCACAGCTATAAAGCCGCCAAAAAGCAATACTGTTGAAAGAATCAAAAGCACTGTACCACCTTTCGAGTCGAAGATGGGACCTACAAACGCACCAAGAAAGAATGGCAAGCACATGTAGATGGAAAATACCCACGAGACAGTGGAAACCTTCTCGCCTGCCAATTGGTGACTGGATACATACGCCTGAACAGCACCCACGGCGTTGAGAATACCAAAGTTGACAATAAGACCAATGTGCGAGCCAATCACCACACTGATGGCCTTCCAGCCACCATCAGGGAATTGATCCGGAGAATCTTCTGTGTTGTCTTGTTGCTGTGTATCCACTGGAGATTCGACAGGTGAAAAAGAAGTCACTGGGTTCAAATTTGGCTCGGGGATCTCAGATGGGCCAGATCGCATCGACAACTCAGGCATTGGCTGGGTCCTTACGTGGAGGTCATCGAGCTCGATAGTCTTGGACATTGTGGAAGAAATTAGAAATTAGTCGTAATTGAATTATGTATGTAAGTAGAACGAATCTAGGGGGAATTGACCAGGAACAAACTGAAGACCACTGGACTTTATGGTGATGAGTCAGCTGGGTTCAGATAAGGTTTGCACAGTGTGGGGAAAGTCAGATTGGAATAATTTGGAAGCAAAGGTTGGTGATTATTGATTGGTTTTCAATTGCGAATCGAAATGATGAGTGGTAAGATTTCTGGCTTTTGTTGGATGTTTTAGGTGCCTGGTGCTTGTCATGGTAAGGGTATGTCGTCTTTCGCAGTCAATGAGTCACTGAGAAAACTCACTTGAGTTAAAAGTAGATTGGTTGGAATTTAAAGATATAAGCCATTTTAATATTGAGTTAAATGAAAATCAAATTGTTTTCTTTTTTTTTTTTAGGTTGTGGGCCTATTTGCTGGGTGTGGATGTATGATTAATCTTGGAGCGCAAGCATGTATCTGGAGAGCAATAATGTATCATTTGTATGTAAGAGTAGAGAGTTTGAAAATTCAAATTTACGTAAGTGGTAAGTATTTCTAATGCTCAATGGTTATTAATTGTATTCAAATCATCTTGCTCGTCTCTGGTCTTCAAATGTGTAGATACGCATAGTGGCTTACTCGAATAATGAATCATTGAAAATGTTCTGAACTTGGTACTACGTTCACAATCACAAATCAACTTCTGGTTGCAACCACATAAATATAATAGCATAGCACTCTGCATTGATTTTATCTATCTAGGCTGCATATTTTTTGGTTGCGGTTCGGTTTCTTTCTCTTTTACATCCTAAGGCTCCATTGCTTCAACGGCCACGATAGCCCCCTATGGCCAAAACTTGCCTACTTTGCCAATTTTGCCTACATTATCTCATCACTCTCAAACACATCCAGTGTGCTTACTCGTTTCCAAACTTCTCCTCGCTATTTACCAGCTCTCTGTAATCAGGCTTCTTCTCAAATGCTGGATTCGACCAACCATTGACATAATCAAAGTCTGTCTTGGCCCAATGTGCAAATGGATAGGTGGGCAACGTCTTCAAAGGTGTATCGTCCAGAATGATCCCCAAATCTTTCTGTCTCTGAATTAATTCATCCAAGTATCCAGATACATGGTCGCGAATGAACTCAAAATTCTTGTACTTGATGATCTTCTCGGGACCCTCGTAGATGATCTTCTTCAAGAGCGAAGGCACATTAGGCTCATCCTTCATCTCATCAATGGAGTAGAAGATCGGATGGTTGGTAAAGATAATGGCCTTGGACCGAGGCAACCTACGCAATGTCTGTCTCTCGACTCTCACATTGAATTGGCGTGGGTCTGCCGACTTCATCTTAGCCTCCAAGTTAGGAACAAACTTGGGCAACTGATAGATGTTGTTGACTTTTAACTTGTGGTCCCAAGTCATGTACCACGAAGCTCTCTCCACGGGGTTTGAAGCATCCAATCTCTCAAACCATCTCTCCATGGATTTCTTCAACTTCTCCTGGTAGTAAGGAACCTCATCGTGAATGACATCCAAGTGTTTGCCGATTTTCTTATCAATACCAAATGAGCCACCAGGAAATGGGACAGCAGCAGCAACCAAATAATGCATGTTGTCTTCTGGGTTCTTCAACACTATATAGAAGTCTTCTTTGGCCATCTTCGTAACATAAAGCAATGGGTGGTCTTTAAGTGGGTACGTCATGTCTAAGATCTCCTTCGTCAACTCGTTTCTCACGACCTTTCCTTTTTCCTTCTTATCCACCAACACAGTGAAAAGCAATGGGTAACGTTCAATCATGTGGTCAGCAACGGTCTGCATCAACTCCAAGCATGCATCTTCAGATTCGGGAAGCCAGTCGATGTTCTCACGTCCATAAGAGTGCCAGATTCTCTGTTTCTCCTGGATATAATGCCAGTAGTACTTGTCCATGTCCAACCAGTGGTTGATGTCGAGCTTGAAGATCGACATAGTCTGGTGATATGGCCATCTGAATGGTCTCCAAGGTCTATCATCGTAGTTTTTCACCTGCTCAGGAGTAATCATGAGAGGCGTAGGCTTTGGAAGCTCACCCGAGGATCCGTATGATGTGGATGAATTCTTTCTGCTGCTAGCTGGTGTAGGTGCTCTAGAGGTGCTTACATAAGTATTGTACACCTTCGAGACGTACTCACGAACAGGCTTAGAGCATGATAGAAGAAGCGCCACGATTGTGGCCAAAATAGATGTGATGATCACGTCAGCCATTGTTGGTTATTAGGTAAGGGAAATTGAAAGCAAATGACCCATATTTATCTGATTTGGAGGTAGTGGATATGGCCAGAGATAAGGGTTTCTTGACTGAAAATAGCTGCGAAATACTGTAGATAGTGGGAGGTCGCAATCAGGATACCTTTACCTGATTTGGCAACGAAGGTAGACAGATAGTGTTCAGGACGACATGGCTAGATTGGGAGAAAAGTGGCGGTGAAGAATGGGATGATATAGCAGTAGAATATGGGAAGAAAGTGGTGAGGTTGGAGTATCGAATCCCGGAGGATCTGAGATGAGTGACTGGATGAAATGGATAAGATGACAAAGTCATCTGAATTCACTATAGTAGATTTGTATAGCTGGTATAATTTCGCTTGAATGGATTCCCTTTTGAGAATGATAATCTCGTTCTCAATGTCGAGAACAAGAAGAGGAATAAGCGCGATAGATATTTACGAGTTTCGACATTCAACTTGCCGATTTAGATTGGAGTTCATCTAGAGATATATATTTTTGTCCAGGACTGCCCAGTTTGTTTCCGATCATTTTCGACTTTAAGATCCTTTACTCTGTATCTACTTTCTGACTTCTACTAGAATTCTAATTCATTTTATTACTGATATCACTGATCATTGAAGACACAAAGAATTTACTCATACGTGTCCAAAAAACTATTTCACTTCAATATGACTATTTATTTATGTTCGGGCATTAATCAACATCTCACATACTCAGTTTGTGGTACTCTTCCTCTTCACTTTGTGACTTCATTTGGGTGATTAGAGGTGTTCTTTGTTGGAGCGTTTTCGACCAGTAGATTCGATAATCCAGCCAGAACGACTAGAATTTACCTCATGTGTGCGCCATTCATAGACATTAAGAGTTGGCTAAAAGTGAAGGCAATTCAACTTCCCCCGATTTGGAATGCTGAATAGTCTAATTTGGACAGATACAAATGTCTAGCTACCATGCAAGTGAGCCTTCTCTTCCATTGAAAGGTATGATATGACATTACCTGGGATCTTGAAGAGCATGGCGGCAGGATATAGGATATGGCACACCAGTATAGGTCTTGATATAAAGGATTGTAGGACATCAACGTTCCCTCAGAATCGTGACTTCAGATATCAACCTAGACACATATTTAACTTACGGAAGTATTCAGGGAGGAAGTATGTAACTCAAGGAACTATTCAGAAATGGAAGAATTTAACTCTGAAACTCAACCATCTTGGAGTGGTTAGTTGATCGAACTCTTTTCATCTTTCATAACCCAAGATAACTAAAGTTTACATGAGAGTGTGAAATCGGACACTTCCAGTCTGCGAGGAATGACTCGGGTATCAATTTTGGTGTATCATAGTGGAATACCTTCAAGTTTGGACTATCTTTGACAAATTTTCTGATTCCGTACATAAAATGAAAGCAATTACACTTTTGAGCCATTTACACGGCTCAAAAAGCCAAAAATCTTACTCGACGAAACTAATTTGTTCATAGGCGTACTCTTTTCATTTAATCCCATTCAACAGCATGATGATTATCTGTGTTAAGTGTCAAGATTCAAGTCGAATAAAATTCTGTCTAGATTTACTTCCAATTTGTAGACTGAAATAAATATTGTACTCCAAGCTCTCTTCCTTATGTGAATTCTGAATAATAAATATTTATAACATGACCTCCTCTTTCTCTACAGCTTCTTCATGAAATGTACATTTTTATATGACAAATAGAGCTCTCACCCTATAAGTTGGAAGGAACCTCCCCCTCCGTTGACAATCGGGCCTCACCCACACCATCTAATTAAACATTATAAAAAAGTAAAGAAGATATCGAAGACCAAAGAATGCAGCCGCACTCTTACAATCTTCTACCTCTTCTACCACCCTTTCTTCTGGTGGAGTCAGATGGAACTGGAGTGACATCCTCGATTCTGCCGATTCTCAAACCAGATCTGGCCAAGGCTCTCAAAGCAGACTGACCACCTGGACCTGGGGTCTTGGTCTTGGTACCACCAGTAGCTCTGATCTTGATGTGGACAGCAGTGATGCCAACCTCCTTACACTTGGCAGCGACGTCCTGAGCAGCCAACATGGCAGCGTATGGAGAGGACTCGTCTCTGTCAGCCTTGACCTTCATACCACCAGTAACTCTGGCGATGGTCTCCTTACCGGAGAGATCAGTGACGTGAACGAAAGTATCGTTGAAAGAGGCGAAGATACGAGCAACACCGAAGACTTGGGAACGGTCTGAATGTTAGTATGGATGTTTTCTTATGGTGCGATGTCCATTTTTTGCCCTCTTGGACTTTTGAAAGTCAATCTTGTATAGGTCTTCGAGTTGGAGGTGGAACTTGATGGGGATTTCACGTCTTGAAAGGGTTTGACGGCGTGGATTCGGATGGATGGTTCAGATGGCAAATTTTGGACTCGATTGCTTTGACATTAAAGGGGTGCACATACCAGCAGACATTATTACCTATAGTGTAGTATGAAAAAGTGTGAAGAAAGTTTGAGAGAAATTTTCGTGGGATGTGAAGGTGGTGTGCATAGAGTCGAGAAAGAAGCGAGTGGGTGGTGCATAAAATGAATCACGTGAGTGCATCGCAGAATAGGGCATGAGCCCTAGAGTCTAAAGATCTCCATTTATGATTGTGTTTTATAAATTGAATTGGTGATTGTGTTGAATATTTTGGTTAGTTTGAAGAGGCTTCTAAGGTTAGAATTTTGGAGAGGGTGAATATTCTGATCGATAAAATGTAATTGAGGAGTTTGAGATACGTTAAAAGGTAGTACTTCAGGGTATCGGAGTGAATATGGAATGTGATTGTAGATTGTAGATATAGATGATTCGAAGGTAGTAATTGTGGATATTGGCCTTGACATACTCAAGACATCTAGAGATTTTTAGTTTAGATTTAGAAAGGCTGCCAATGACAATCTGGTTGATATTCCACAGCACACTAATTAGCCACTTTCAATCTCCGGTTCTAGCGTTCTGTGCCTCTAGAAGGCTCTAACTTCGAAATTCTATTGACAGCACTAAAGTATCTCTAATTCCAATATTTTAGCCATTCAAATGAATCCCACTATGACAATAATTGTATTCCAGGCATACTAATCTCACCAAAATGATGAAAACACACTCCTCCAGACCCTTCAATGTTATATGAGAAGAAACAATCGAATAATCAGAAGATATTACTTCTATATACAATGTAGCGGTACAACCAAAACTCAATGCGATTTCACAGCCAACTTAAATTATTAAACAGTTCTCATCTCCTACACCTTTGTTCAAATGTATGTATTAATCTACTAGTACAGCCGCTTAGTAAACGAAACCCAAGATCTTACCAGAAACGTGCTTTCTTCTGGCCTCCTCGTGGTCCATGATACCAGCAGAAGTGGTCAAGATAACGTAACCGAACTGTCTGGCTGGCAACAAGTTGTCAGTCCATCTCTCAATGTCTCCGATCTTGACGTTGAATCTTGGAGAAATGACACCACACTTGTTCAATCTACCGTTCAACTGAACGACGATCTTTCCGGATCTGTGGTCGTCGATGTACTCGAACTCACCAATGTAACCGTGCTTCTGCATAACCTGCAAGAACTTGATGATGACCTTAGAGGAAGGTCTGATCAAGACCTGACGCTTACCGGTCTTCTCGGCGTTGTTGATAGCGTTCAAGGCGTCAGCAAGGACAGAGGTTCTGGTCATTGTGCTTTTTAATGTAGATGAAAAATTCTATGGAGATTTTTTTTTTTTTGTCTAGGTGCGACTCTGGATTGAAAACCCGTGCATCCTAAAGTTCAAAAAGTTCTATTTGTGAGTGGAAAAAAATTGAAAAAGACAGTCACACCCATAGTTAAGCATTGAGGGTATCTGATCTATGTGCAGGTAAAGGTCGAGGTGTGTCGTGCTCTCTGCACTCCCTCCTACTGGCAGTGTCTGCGGAAAAAAAACTTTTTACTCTCATACTTTTATCGTCATTGAACAGTTAAGATGCCTGTATGTACAAAGCCATATTGAAGTGGGAGAGAGTCCCAGAAACCACAAATATGTGAATGGACGTGTCTAAGAATGTGAATATGAGTTTCCCAAGAGTTTCTGGCGAGTTTCTGACAACTGGGTGAAGATTGAAATGGAAGTTTTCATAATGTTAGAAGCCATACCATGAAGACTATAATGATTCCAGACCAATCCGTTCCAGAACTCTGAGTGAAGGTCTCATAATACCCGCCATTGATTCTTCATTATCCAAGTTCCAATCTCGACGTGTCCATCATGAATTTTCAACTTTGAATTCCAAACTGTAATACTAACATCCAGGCTAACAAATCTTTCAGAACCAAGCAGAAGTTGGCTAAAGCTTCCAAGCAAAACAGACCATTGCCTCAGTGGATCAGATTGAAGACTGACAACAAGATCAGATACAACGCTAAGAGAAGACACTGGAGAAGAACTAAGTTGAACATCTAAGTGTTTGTTCTTCTGTCATGTCTCATAATGTATAGGAATACACCATTAGCTAATAGAATGAGTAGATATGGTAGAGTACCGTGAATTAGTGTGTGAGTATGCGAGGTTTAGTGGGGACCTTCGAGTGATTTTCATCCATGATCACTGAGAAGATTTGTTCTAGGAAGACTTGCCTTGTGAAGAGAACAAGTGTGATTTCACTCATGTATTAAAAGGAAGATAGTTTCTTTATGTTCGTTTGCTCTCATTGTTCATGCTGGATTCGTTAGATTTTCATTTCTTAGTGGTGTATTATGTCACTCACAAGTAATACCTTGCATCACATATGAAAGTTAAACTAATCTAATCTTATCTCACACACTTCCTTATCTCTCCGCTTCTCATACACTTGCTCAACATCTAAAAACTCCTGCCCTACTGCTTCCACTGCTACTGCTACTGCTCGTATTTGATCCAGAATCATTCTCTTTTGGTATCTATTCTATAATTACACCTCCTCCTCGAAAACAGTCTCGATGGGCTTTTCCATGAACGATGCATGTGACAACACAGACACGGCAGAAGATCCAATCAACCACATCATGGTCGAGATGGGACTAGCCAAGAACCCTAAAGGAACGGCAACAATCAACAAACCAGTGTACAACTGCGAGGTGTTGAATCTGCCCACAGGCAAAACCAAATCTTGGCCGTCCAACTTGGAGATTCCGAACACACCACCAGCAACAACCAAAATGACAAACAACAACAACAAGTTGGTCACCAAAGCGTACACACTCAACAAGGAAACAACGGCGATGTAATTACCCTGGAAGTAGCCCAAATTGTAACCCACTCTAGACTGGATCTCGCCAAAGTTAGCGGGCTTGGAGAGTCTTCTGAAGTCGAAAAACTCTTGTGGAGGTCTGATCTTGGAGATGGTAGACTGGAGAGAAGACACGTCGTTACGGATTCTCTCCATGCTGAACCTGTCAGTGAACTGCGAAAACTGGCGCGTTAGTATGTGGAAAAGGCAGAAATACCAAGAGAATCATATAATGGAGGTTACCGTATAGGAAAAACACGGTTTTTACATACTGGAATGGACGAAAGGGAAAGAGACATGGCGGTGAAGTGTTGTTAGTTAACAGTCATGAAGAAAATGAGATAGGTGGCTGCACCCGTACACCAGGCTGAGCTAGGAACACTAAACAATGTGATGGGAAGCTATGATGATAAACGAATTTTAAAAATAATTCTCTATCATTCTAAAACAAATTACTCGAAATTTCCTGCTCATTAAATAATTTTTATAAGTTTATGTTGCATTATAGGTTTTACAGTAGATGGTTCATGTTTCGAAGGCAACGGTATCTGCAGGGTCTGATAAGAATATGAAATGGGACCACAACAAAGTGACTCGGGTAATCTGAGTATTGTATATGATTATTGGATGCTTTTGTTATGGATCAGGTTTATCTGGGGATTTGGAGACATTTGGGGGTTTTTTATTGGACATTATGAGTTGGGTGGATTTGTGGTATGTGAAGGATAAGTATAAATAGTTGCAAAAAGTAAGGGAAGTAGAAACAAAGGTAGTAGAAAAACTAAAACGATACATAACTTTCGCTTTTAGTTTCACATTGGGTTTGATGAAATTACAGTAATCTAGTTTAGTTCTCGGTAGTAAGAAGAATCCATTTTTGATATACATGTAATCAATAGTAGCCATGCGTCAAACAGTTCTGTCGAGTCTTTTAACGATAAAGTGGTGAACATAACGGAATGATCAATTAAATTTCTTTTTCTTCGTCTTCTTATTTCTGTACCAATTTTGTTTGCATGTACTAATTATTAATCCAAATATCAGCTACTCTACATTAACCTACTCCAATCCCAAATCCTTCTTCACCATAGCCTTGCAGATCGGATGGTACGTCGACTCAAACTTCTTGAAGTACTCAATGGCAAGATCGTGATCGACTCTGTTCAAAAGAACATATCCTGGTCTCACGAACTTCATACGGCCCACGGTTCCAAGCCATTCTCCAAGCAACTTGTAGAATGCTTCGTTGTGACCACCAACTTGCACCACGTACCATCTGAAAAGAACCTCGGCATTAGACGAGTTGGAGTATGCAGAGTAGATCTCGCTCAAGGCTTTCAATGCGTCGGGGTGATTCTTCCACTTGAAATCGTCCAACTTGTTGAATGAGGAAAGCGTGTCCAAGAACACAACAGACTGGTTGGCAGTGAAGCCCTCGATGTCAGAAGCTTTGAACTCTTGGTTGAAGTCAACATTAGCATTGCTACTCACAGAGTTGAACCACTTGTCTGCTAAACTGTAACACTGATCAACTAAAGTGGTGTCGAAGTTTGGCTTGACTGGGGGCATTCCTGGCTCGTATAACCACGAGTTCCAGTCAATTGCATCCAACTTGTCCTTCTGATCGGCAAAGTACTCGTACAACGTGTCCATGAACTGGTAGGTGTCCAAAGACTTGTATCTGAAGGTGGAGAAGTAGTGAGGGATGAAACCGTCAAACACATCCTTTCCTCCCACAGCCTGCTCGATATGGAAGAGCAAATTAAAACCCTTTTCATACGGAACCGTCGAGAACGCATCATCGGGATCACTGCGGTCCTTCAAGTCTTGCACCAACGTAGAGTATCTTGATGCGCTGTCTCCCATGGCCTTGATGGAGTTCTCCAAGTCCGACCAGCCAATGATGGCGGAGAAATGACGCGTAGACTCGCCATGGATCAAACCTTGGATCCTTCTTTCCAAGTAAACTGTCCATCCTTCATTCAACCAGAAATGCTCCCACGAGCAGTTGGTCACCAAGTTTCCAGACCAAGAATGGGCGAGTTCGTGTGCAATCACGTCCACATTTTCCCTGTCTCCACTGATCAAAGTAGGTGTGACAAAGGTGGCATTAGGGTTCTCCATACCTCCGTATGGGAAGCTCAGAGGCAACACAAGGGCATCGTACTGATCCCACTCGTACTTGTACACCAACTTCTCTGCGGCTTGGAGGAAGTTCTCCATATCATTCTCGAACTCGTGCTGACAAGCAGCGACATTGGAGGGCTCACAGTAAACGTGGGATCTGGGACCAATAGGCAACTTGGTGATATCTCCAGAAGCCAACGCAACCAAGTACGAAGGAATAGGGATTGGTTGGTCGAAGCTGTAGATGTCACCATCAACTCCAGCAGGTCTTCCACTCATTAAGGTGGGGAGTGGCGACTTGGCCAGCATTTTGTATGGGGTTTTGACAGCTGGAGTATCGAAACATGGGAACAAACTTCTGGCATGGATGGCCTGGCACTGCGAGAACAAGTAGGGTGACACCTTACCATCTGTGGCCTCCTTATCCAAAAACTGCAACGCAGTACACTGATCGGTGGTCTGGAAGTCGATGGCCACTTTGATGGTGGTTTCTTTGGCACTTCCAAGGTCTACCGTTAATGGACGACCTAATGGGCCGTTCTGTTCACCAATAGTGAAAGCAGCATTCGAACCATTGACTTTGGCTCCTAGAATGGTCAATTGGGCAGTGTCCAACACCACCTCCGAAACTCCAGTCAAGTTGTCCAAGGTGTAAGTGACAGAACCAGACACGGTTTGAGAGTTGAAATCAACATCGAAAGTTAAAACAGTAGGGTGAAAGGAAAAGTTCGTATAGTTGGAGAGCGTGGAAGGATCCACCTCAGGCGATACCTTAGGGCGATGGCTAGCGATGACGTCCATTGGTGAAGAATTATGTAAAGTAATTGGGATGAACTTGTGTGGAGATATACGGGTGAACCTCCATACACCATGGTATTTCTGCACACTCAGTCAACTACTCCGATCCAATGGAATTGCCAATGAAAGGGCATTATGACTGCTTTCTGGTAGCGTAGGGCAAAAATGCCGTGTGATGGAGGTGCCAGGCATTAAATGGCCATTTGTCACGGCATTAGAAAGACGTTGCCATATAATGGGACGGCACTGTTATCAGGCATACAGCAACCTATTAACTCTGGAGGTTGCGCGGAACTCAAAGACAATAAAATGCCACTAACCTTCAAAAAAGTAACCATCCCAAGTACACCAGAAGAGGGATCGAATAAGCGAGACTGGTTTTGTTGTTGTTATTTTCTTATGATTCCTTTCTCTTTTAGTATATCACGTAATGCGGCTCAGCTACCTGCTTGTGCATTTCGTCTGCTGTCAATTTCCTTTATTCTCGCGTGGTTGCATAAAAGTCGTGGTGTCACTCGCGTATTTAGCCAATGAAAACTGACAATACATATGTTATCTGCCGGCGTTTGATCCCCATGCACAAGTCGCTAATGCGCGGCATGGCCATGCAAGATCCTCTGCTTGACAGGTAATTGCAGACTCACCACGCACATGGGATATGCCTCGTCGCCGTTATCGACCTCACGTGGGATCTTATCTTGATACATGTCAACTTTCGCAGCCATAGTACACTCATCTCTTTTGCTATGTGTGGTGTGTATGCCTAGTCGTGTGTATTCCATATGGGGAGCGGCGAACTTCTGAAAGCCATTCTCAACCAAGCAATTGGACGCGATTCCCGAGTCTTGCGACGCTAAAACATGCAGCGACTTTGGCACCATTGCTTGTATTGTCTCGATTTCCTCTACTATCCTCTCGTAACCTTCCCTTACCATCTCTCTGACCTGCTACTGTACCGTCCAACAACACATCACTATATCATCATCTCAATTTCCTCAATGCCCAGCCAAATGACTCCTATCTGAGATCTCAAAGTAAACACACTCGCTTACCACATTCGCTTACTACACTCGCTTACGGGTACACTTGGAGATGCTACACGTCAGTTGTCCCATCTGACATCCACTTTTACGACGAGAAATCCTTCTCGCTCGACATCATTTCCTCTTAAAACACAATTCTAATTTCCAACATCAAACCCTTCTCGAGGCACGTGACCATCCTCCCAACCTAAGCTATTACAGTCACGCCCATTCAAATCTCCATCAATTGACGGCTATCTCGACTCGACATCGCCGCCGTGTCCATTGCACTTGGGCCACCTCCTTATTGTGACTGCCCTGTTCGTGTCCCGATTACCCAAATTTCACCTCTAGCCGTGCTCAACTGCCGGCGTTGTTTGATCCACCCCACCTTTCCACCATCTCAAGAAACCCAATCACCATGGCTTCCGGCGGGAAGCTCCCCGATACGGTGAAGTCTCCGTTGCATCGATTACAATCGGCGATTGTCAAGGACATGTCGTTTGGCGCCTCGCGGGATACTGACCACTCCACAACCCCATCGAGATCCCGAATAGTTGACCATCCTAACTTCGATTCAGAAAGCGTATATTCGTTCGACTCAGTGTCGACCAGCGGACGTCTACTTGACCGCCTCGACTTGGACTCCGAAGACTATTACGATGACGACGATTTCTCCAGAAGAAGAGAGTCGTTTGCTTCTATTCAGTCGACTGGAAGACTCTTAGACCGGTTGGGACTAGATGAGAATTCTGATGAGCTGACTGGGGTAATGTCGCCCTCTGATCGCTACAAGCCCATTTTGGCCAACTCTTCGAGCAATTTGGAGCGTATGAAGTCGTCCAGCAGCCTCCCCTCTCGCACACCCTCGGGAAGAATGCCTTTAAAATCTGCCTCACACAAGGTTGTGCAGCAGAAGGGCAATTTCTCTGTGGACTCGCTTCAAGGAGACGTTGCGTCCTTATCCCACAGTTCTGCAACATCAATTCCACTGCTGGATAGTAGTTCGGGGTCTTCGACAACCGTGCCGCATACTCCCATGCGTATCAACTCCAAATCTAAGTCATTTCCCAGCGAAACATCCATTCCTGAAACAGGTTCGGACTCTTCTGGCGATAGAGGAACTTCAGCACTGTCGCTGCCTACCATTTATGGCCACAATCTGCGGAATGTGACTCCCAAGTTGATTCAGGGCCAGTTTGGTCTGCCTGGAGGTCAGTATGGTCTGCCTGGAGGTCAGTATGGTCTGCCAAGTGGCCAGTTTGGACTGCCCAGTGACCATAAATCCATTCAAAAGAGCAACAGTTATATCCAGCATATGACCCAGAACCAAAATCAGCATAATTACCAGGTTCAGGGCCTGAGCAAGGGCCACAGGCCGGCATATCATCAACACCAAAATCTGGGTCTGAGCTTGAATTCCTATCATCAAAACCAAAACCAAAACCATAGTCATCATTTCGCTGTGCGTCAGAACCTGCCAAATTATCATCAAACCCAGCAAAGTTATCAACAGACCTTGCAACATCACCAGCAAAACCTGCCAAATTATCATCTGAGTCTGCAAAGTCATCAACAGACCCTGCATTACCATCAGCAGATTCTGCTGCCTTACACCCACCACAACTCGCCAGATAAAAGAAACATATCGGGCTCTTCTAACACGTCTAATACTTCACTTGAGAATGGCATACCCATGTTTAACCCGAGCTCTCGGTTTGATCCTTCACTTGAAGCTTCCACTAAGAAAGCCATACAACTGCGGATGCTTGGAAATCATCGCGAAGCGTCGTACCAGCTCCAAATTAGTGCTTCCCCACCATACAATTATCCAAAGGCTATGTATCTCTATGCTCAGGCACTAAAGCTTGGGCAAGGGGTCAAACTTAATGAGGCGCTGGCTGTGAAATGGCTCTGCCGATGCGTATTGGTATCATACATCATAGAAACCACAGCATTGGATGAGCCCAGCTTGTCAAAATACGTCTCTCGTCTCAACGAACTTCCTCCTGGTGAACTATTGAAACTCGTCAAGCAGAATATAGATTCAGACAACCTTGACCCATTCGTCATCTTCGACGAGTTTCTGAGTTACCCATCCTCTACCGTCACTAGAATAGTCACTAGCAATCTGAAGGATGGAAATACGGTGGGCGGAGCATACTATCAACTAGGAAAGAGCTTGATCCAAGGTTCTGGTGTACCTAAAGACGAGGTGGGTGCAAGGCTTGTATTTGCCAAATCGGCCTCTTTAGGGTATGGAGATGCAATGGTTGCCCTAGGAGAGCTCTGGAGCTCCAAGTCTAAGCATTTTAAAAAAGACTTGACAGTAGCTGCACTGTGGTTGCGAATCGGAGAGATGTTTGGTAAGAAAGACTTGGGGAACAGCTGGATCTACAAGGAAAAGTACATGGAGCGGCCAAGGGTGAAGAAATGAAGCCAAGTCTAAGAAATGTTGAGCATTAATATATATCAGTTCCTTTTGGACCCACATTGGAAGTTGTACCTGACTCCTCCGTTGATTTCGGATCCAAAAACTTCTGAAAAACCTCGTAAGCATCCGTAAAGATATGCGCAGCCTTCTCGAAGGTCCGAATACGGGCCAAGCGGAAGAAAGTATTTGTCTGTAGCCGGATTCATGGGTTCTTCCGACACTCTAGGAATGTTTCCGCTTCGATTCGCCCAACTCTTGGGGAAAATCGTAGCTGGAGCTGGACGATTACCAAAAAATGATTGTGACTCGGCGTAACGGTCTTCCATTTGGCGATAATTTGCAATGATCTGCTTCTGCAAATCAACCACCTTGCTTTTAGCCTCAGATGTCTGGTCTTTCGCCAACAAGGCATCAATAGACGATTGTAGTACCGCATTGATTCGTTTGAGCACTAACGCCTTAACCACCGCCAATATTCCCACAAGAAAAGAGAGAAACGACTTTTGCTTGTCGGACACGTCGTTGGCTTTTATATACTTTTCTATGCGGCCAATGAACGGAGAGATCTCTTTGTACAAGCTGTGCCAATTACGGTCTGAGGAATTACGACCGGATACACGAGATCTATCCTCGCAGTCATGGGAAATGCAGAGCACCAAGATCCAGTCGAATTGGACAACCACAGAGAGAAGCGGCTCGGAGTTCTGTATCTTCTCGCTGTACTCTTGGGTTTCCTTGGCGATGCTCAGCCAGTATTGTCTATCTTCCATGTCGGGGTTCTTTTTGGGTTCAATTCCCAAACCATGCAATTTAACAGGTGACCTTGGGCGAAAGATGCTCTTGTATTTTGTGAGCAGCAGCTTGAAGGTCAAACGCAATAAGAACCGAGGTTTCTCGGTGTTGCTGGCACGATTGACCCAACGCACCTTGCTGCTCCGAGAGTTTGCACCTGCTAGCACTGAAGATACTGTAGTGGGAGGTTTTTTGGGTAGCGGATGGGCCAAAGGAGTACGAGCCTTATCTTTGGCATCTTTCGGTTCCTTAACATCTTTTGTCTCCTTGACATCTTTTGTCTCTTTAACGTCCTTTGATTCTTTTCCATCTTTTCCATCTTTTCCATCTTTTCCATCTTTTCCACCTTTTCCATCCCTACCACCCTCCCTCTCCAATTCCTCTTTGTCATCCCTCAGATCTTTAACATGCTTCAAATCTCTGTCTTTGTCCTTCGTATCCTTATGGTCTCTGTCCTTCAAATCCTTCTCCTTGACAGGCCTATCTCTCTCTTTCAAATCCTTATCTCTCTCCTTCTCTCTATCTTTCGTCTCCCTTTGCCGATTCCCCTCTCGGCCGTCGAAGATATGCGGTAGTGTCGGCAGAAGCAACGACATGGGCAAGTTATCAATGTCACTCTCGATGCTATCATCGTCGTGCTCGGAGTCATCAGCTGGGCGTTTCTGTGCGTACTGTGGAGGTAATGTGGGTGAAAGTGGCGTGGGCAAAGCGCCAGAGGCCGTGTAGCTCGAGAGCATCTCGTCCAAGTTCCAGTTGAGTCCATTGGGACCAGCAGGCGAGGCCTTGAGCGGGCTATGTGACCTGGGTCTTTTTCTGCGGGTCAAAACTCGAGCTCCACGAGGCTCTGTTGGCCGCTTCTGTTCCTGGAAAATGGCCGACTTCATGGGAGTGGAAGTAGTGGGTGTTGCAACTGGAAGTTATCCGTGAACAAGGTGTGCAGGTTGTGGGGCACCATAGGTGATTTGGAAGATATTGACGGGATGAAGGTGAATGTTTTGATGCAGATACTAATTGGCTCTTAACGATGATTTGGAATTGGAATGTTGATGTTAGAATTTGAAGATTGGCTTTATGGATTTTTAAAGGGAAATTGTGGATATTGTGACGGGTTTATGGATGTGGAGAGAAAGTGAGGGAAACGAAGATCGGACGATACTACAAAAGTAACTTGTGACATGTTTGAATTGTTCTTGATTTAAGGTATTTTTGTTAAATTTATTGGAATTTTATGGTTTGAAATTTCTAATGATCAATGTTAATTTTAACATTTGAAAATTTCTATATCTGTTCTTGCTCAAATGGTACGTAAGTTTGAAATCTAGTATGATAAATTAAGTAGTGAACCATGACCAGCGAGATTACTACAAAAGCTCTTCATTGTACCCTAAACATTTAGGAAATAAATCCCGATTTTATCATTATGACTTTGACCTTTCTCTCCATTTTATTTTTCCTTCTTAGTCTCCTTTTATAGAACTATCATTAAACTCTACATCACCACCTACTACACCCATATTCACACCCGTGCACCTGACCTTCCTTCGACTACTCTTCATGGCAGGTAAGTACAATGAGGTCACGCCGAAGGCGTTCGCTAATAGGAAAGCCAAAAAGCAGTTCTCGCCGCCAAACACTCAGTCAAATCTGGCTTCGTGGCCGCCGTCGCTCCAAGATTTTGTCAACTCACTGTTTCAGAGATCTGAATCTCTCGATGACTTGCAAAAGGCAGCATTTGGCTCCCAAATACAATCCCTCATGCAACTAGCTATAGCCCAGAACAAGGTATGGACTAACCAATGGCATTTGCAGCAGCTCCCAGTGTTCAATCCCAGTGTTCCGTTGGATTTGTATGAGAACATTCACGCTCAGGAGATCATGGAAAGACCCAAACGTCTCCGGGGCAAATATGACTCTGATGAGCGCAAGAAAAAGCGTCTGGCTCGCTTTGCTGGTGCGGAGTCCACTAGGGTCATGTCGCCGAGCCCAGGACCTTCATCTGGGCCCATCGTGGGATACCTGGACGCTTTAGAGAAACGATACCTTCGACTCACATCTGAGCCGGATCCAGCAGTCGTCAGGCCACAGCATGTCCTCGAGAAGAGCTTAGAGTTCGTCATGAACAAGTACATGGCGTCCAATGCTGGCTATCTGTACATCAATGACCAACTAAAGGCAATTAGGCAAGATTTGACCGTGCAACACATAAAAAACGACATCACCGTCAAGGTTTACAAGACACATGGACGGTTGGCCATTCTCAACAACGATTTGGGTGAGTTTAACCAGTGTTCTTCGCAGCTCAAGCAGCTATATCAGAAAAGTGATGCTCTCTTCCATGATACCTACGAGTTTACTTGTTACAGAATTCTCTATTTGCTTCTTACTGGAAATTATTCGGAGGTCAACGTGATTAGGCTCACACTCTTGAAGTCGGATACGGGCAGTAAGATTTTGGCCCCCGAATACGTGACGTTTAGAAATGCCGTGTACCTAGCTCTCGAACTACTATCTAGCATCACATTGGGTGATTACCATATATTTTTCAAAACTTACCAGAAGTTCCGCGAGACTGAGCAGTTGACCTATGCATTCCACATGATGAAGCACTCCATGGTTACCAAGCAGAGGCTCTTAGCAATCAACATTATGTGTAAGGCGTTCAAAAAGTTGCCGGTAGAATATTTGGAACGAGAACTTGCATTTGACAACTCTGAGCCTATTGGCGAGTTTCTAGCAGGCCATTCGCTTGCACAATTCCAAAAAGATACCGATTTTGACTGCTCAGCTGCCCGTCCCACCGTCCAGGCCATGGTAGATAAGGGAGATTTCCGCAAGATCGACATCAAGGGCCAAGTATAAACTACATTCATGGCTTGGTCATCATCTACAATGATGGAGCTACCGCCATCAATGCAAAGTTGTTCCTCTGGCTCTCATCTGTGTTGTCCATGTAAAACTGGATCTTTTCGACAAGCTTGCTGTCGTTAAGAATGTGTGGATCTGACGAAGGGCCCAAGTCCACGGGCCCAGTTCTGCGTCCGTCAAGCTCGTAAAGATGGCCATCCGCACCTCTGACATACGTAATGAAATGGTATTCAGTATTGTCTGCAGCCGCAGGTGCCTCCGTCTGGCCCTGCGAGCCATAGTTGGAGTCGAGCTGGATGTTTTGCTCTAGCAACTCCACCAACTTGGAAACTTCCTCCACCAGCATATCTGGTGAGAGCTGCAGGAGTAAATTCTTGTTGAGCATCAGATTGGTCACGATGAAATCCCGGGGCAAGTTGGCCAATATGTGGAGAAGAGCATAAAGTCCGCACCCATTGCCAATGGTTTGCTTGAACCAAATGGCCCCATCCGAATCATTAGATGTCGTTTCATCCTGCTGTTTCCGGTATGCTTCGTATGACTCAGTTATTGGGAACAACATGATGAGTGCCATCACTGGCTGGGGCAAGAATGCTACCAAGTCTGGGTCGGTGATGGAGTAGACATCCTGGAAGGAGAGAACAGGTGAAAGACCCAATTGCTGGGCCAATGCATTAAAAATATCCGGGTTGGACTCAAGAGGAATGACTCGCTTTGTGTCTGGCATTTTGATCTTTTGTTCCCAGTTAGTAATCCAGAAACACTATCAGAGTTCTAGAAGGTTGAACATTTGATGTATGACAGGACCAACCGCACTTGTCCTGTACGCAAGTGAAGCACTTTTATAGTATGCGCATCCAGACTATAAGTAACCAGGGATGGCCACATTTTTTATTTTGCCAAAGCATCCCTTTTTTCCTCATTGAATATCGTTTATAATAGCTGTTTTCCCCTCTATTTTGCATCCCCTGTTCTTCCTCCACCCTTTATACCCCTACCACACACCCCTGCACCCCCTGTTATTGTTCCCGTCAGTTTAGGAATTATTGTAATCCTGCACCAATTCTGCTTACTTTTGGGCTGACGTTTTCTGGATAATTATCTTTCTCCACTTGATCTACCACCACACCATCCGCCCTTACCCCTGAATCTTTTCTCTATCAGGGCCTATGCGTTCCGCTTCTTACGCCTTGGTGGCGTGCCCGCTACTACTGGCACTTTTTGTGCTGCTTTGCTGGTCTCTGCGCTATCTACATGTGTCATCCCACGATGACTGGGCTCATTATGTCCGTATCGCCTTTGTGGCTCAGATGCTTCTTGTATTCTTCTGGCTATTCCGCTGGGTTCGTGCCGTGGTGGCCTACAACCCGCGCCGCCGCCTCAGCTATGTTGAGCATGCACCAATGGGCATAGACAAGTTTGGTGTGCCCCTCATGGAGGAAGCAGTGAAGCTCTTCTCCATGGTGCTTTTTGTGTTCTTGGGAAGCCTGGCTCACCAGAGCCGCGTATCGTATGTATGTGTGGTGGCTTCTGTCTATGCTTTCAACTTTTTGGTGGCTAGCTTGGTGGAATTCTGTCCCATCAACGGCAAAACTCGTTTCAAGAAATTTCTCGCCACATATGACATCTACGAGTCTCAGATGCTAGGATCTATGAAGAAAAGACCTTCATTTGCATCCGCTGAGCTGAATTCCTCCACGTTGGCTCCCGTAAACCCGGCTCCAACACCCGTTTTCAACTTGAACTCCTTTGGTTCTAAAGCCCTTGCCCATTCCGTACTGATGCCTATCATGAATCAGCAGATCATGGACTGCAACGATGATATGATCGAGCGCTTGTACTCTGTGTCACCTAAGAATACCTTGCATTTTCTGCTTGGTGACTACGGATCAGATATCCCCGGTCCCACACTTGCGGCACGGCTAGTACAAGAAGATGCTACATCATTGCATACTACAGATACTCATTTTGGAGGTGGTGGAGGTGGAAACTTCAAGTATAAAATGCCTGATGGGTCTAAACTCGAATTTGGAGGAGGCGCTGGTTTTGATTACAAGCACGGCTCCAACACCGACTCTGACGAGACTTCCAACCGCTCTAAACACTCTGACAAACAGTCCACTCACAGTGTTAATTCGCTTGATGAGTCAAATTCTAGAAGTAAGAGCTTGAGTGGATCTCTCGAATCTTCCACAAGTTGCAACTCAACACTCTCCACCACACCATGTAATCCCTACGCATGGAACGTGCAACCCACCAAACATGAGCGTACATGCGAGATGAGGCGCCTCATTCAGTGGTTTCGCTGGTTAATCCCAAATGTTCCAACGGAGGACGAGCTTAAAAATGTCTCTCCGCGGGCATTACGATTCTCTATTAGGAAGAAATTGTCCACATACACCTTGAGCAGCGAGACAACCTCGTTGAAGTCCGGACCTGGGCGTCTATATGGTACTTTCGACCTCGAGAGTCAGCTTGCACCTCGTCAATGCAAGTCATTCCGCTGCAAGACAGAGAATGTCCATGCATATTATGAGTTTGCTAAATTTGGCAACCGATTTTTTGATGTATGGGCACCTCGCCTCGTCGAATTTTATAATGGCGTTGACCCAGCCTTCTACCGTTTTGGAACATTGCTCTCGCGTCTTCCGACCTTTTATTACATCATTTACGGTGCCAGTATATGTATGTGGCAATTTTCTTCCACATTAATTCTTGCATATCCATTTGTTGCCCCGACTCCATCTATTGTTACCTTCATGTTGCTTGTGACAGCAGTTTGCGTGTCCAAGCTCTTCTGCATTAACTATTTGCATAACCAAGCAACTTGCTCCTACAGAGTGTCTCTTGTAGTTGAGTTTGTCATCAACTTGGTTCTACTTACGCTGGCATATTTATACTATCTTGGTCTCTGACCGCCTTGCATTAATACAAATAAATAATATCTATAATATCCCTAGTTCCCCTTTTGTGCGTAAACGCTGACTAAGTAGCTCTCATTAGTGAAGGTGAAGCCGTTAACATGTAAAATATCGTCCTTGCGGCTTTCGATGTCGGTAGCTCCAATGGGAGGAGTAAACGGCATGCTGGTGAACTCCTCGTCGAAGTTTTCCGCCAAAATAGGATCAGTAATGACAGGAAGAATTGGGGGAAGTGACGTGCTTTGCCCCAGAATTATTTCATCCCAGTTTAGGTAACGGAAAAACCGATGTTGCTTTAATTGCTCAAAGTTATTATCGATATCCATCCTCTTTTCTGGGTTGCTCTGCAAAAGCTTCCGAAGAAGATCTTTGGCATCAAGCGATAGGTAAAAGGGAAATTTCAAGTACTTCTTTGAATGTACAACCTTGTCCATGATCTTCTCGTTGGTGTGACCGGTGAATGGTGGCCCACCAGTGAGCATATCGTATGCAACACATCCCAAGGACCACCAGTCAACCGCGTAGTCGTAATCTTCTCCTTTGATGACTTCCGGAGCCATATATTGCGCAGTTCCAATCATGGAGTGTCTCGACTCGTCCTTGGAAGACACTTTGGAGAGGCCGAAATCTGTAAGCACCAAGTTTCCCTCTGAATTAAGCATACAGTTTTCTGGTTTCAAGTCCCTATATATGACCTTGAGGTTCAAATGGAGGTAACGCAACGCCACAATGATCTGAGCTATGTAGAAGGACGCGTTCTTCTCACTCATATATTTCTGCTCAGCTAGATGGTGAAACAATTCTCCACCATCCAAGTACTCCAAAATCAAGTACACTTTATTGTGGTCCTGAAACGCATAGTATAGCTTGACTATATTGGCATGGTTGACCTGCTCGAGAATGTTTTTCTCGTTCAATGTGCGTTCATAGTTCTTCTTGTGCACCTCGTTGGTCTCATTGATTACAAGCGACGCTTTCTTAAGTTGTTTCTGCGCAAAGAGTCTCCCCGTGACCTTCTCACGCACCAAAAGCACCTTACCGTATGAACCTTGCCCTAACACTTTGATGGGCTCGAAATCATCTAATTTGGGCGTGTATGATTGGCTGGTTCCACGAAGTTGTGATGAAACAAACGCCTCGTTGATGTCAACCTCGTACGATGAAGAATACTTTGAGACACTTGAGCGACGGCGTGTTTTCATAGGGATTGGCCTTGCCAAAAGATCAGCCACGGTATCTGAATCCGATGATTCGTCTGCAAAATCTTGTGGTATTCTGTAGGTGATTGCAACCGTGGGTGAATTTGGAGGCTCTTCATCCACGAGCCTGTAGTTGAGCAGTGTGATACCTGCTGACAACTCCGACTCGTAGTCGTCCATAGCGAATATGCCTGTCATTGGAGGTTTGTAGTTATTGACGTATGTAGCTTGACATGAGAACCAAGCAATATATTAGCTAAGGTTTGCATATGACGAATCACGTGGCCTTGTGCAGGGCCCTTTTGGGGAAGTATAGAGGAAATAACCCAAGTTAATGCAGTAGAGAAAACAGGAAAAACGAGAATAGTAAAAAATTCGGCAAAAGGAAGTTGTGGAGAAGATAATAAACAATAACAATTAAAAAAAATAAAACTAAAAATAAATATAAAGTCGACTGAATGACAGTGTTCTGATGTTTATTTACTCAGCGAACAGTTAACCTTATAGGAGACGCTCAAGGCAATATCAGAATCTGAAGCTGATGTTTGCTACAAGAAAGTTGAAACACATCACTCCCAGTGAAAATTACTCGTAAAAAATTTCCAGTAAATATACATTATTATACATTATTATACATATGGTAGGCCCGCTACTTAAGGCTTGCTGAAATCAAGATCTTGCTCTTCGATTGGATATAATCCATACAAATGTCCTCATACATTGATGCAAAAGGGTTGCTTCCTCCACAAAGCATCACCGGTTGAAGCTGAGAATCTGCAAACTTGAGTGAAAGTTTGAGATCTCTCACGGCAAAATTATGTCTTTGAAGCAACTTATACTTGGTAACGTCTGCCAATTCCTTGATGCCACTAAGCAGATCTTTACGGAGCTTCACTGCAAGCACCTCATCCTGGAAGAATATTTTCACCTTCAAAACGTTCTTCTGTTTAATCTGAGCCAACGTCATCTCTCTGCTTTGCATCAGTGCATGCTTTCGAGTTGCCTGAGCTGTGGCAGGTGGAATTCTCTGCTGGGCAGACATAGTGGAGAAGGCGGTGGGGTTCGATGTGGAGCTGATAATATTTCTTGGGCTCTTATCGGTCTTGACTGTCAACTTTGGGTTCAAAACATGTTCCTTCAATTCCTCGGACCGATAATTAGTAGTCTGGTGAAGTTGAGAAGGCTGGTGCAATTTTGAAACCTGGTGCAGTCGAGAAGTCGAGATGTGAGGAATTGGTTGATGGTGGAAAACTTTCAAATTAATTGGCTTCAGATGACTCAGTCTTCTTGTTGGCAGATGTTCAGTAACTCCAATGGTGGTTGACTTGAGATTGAAATCGTCAAACTGTTCATGAATTCCGGATTCTGGGCTGTCTGGAGATGAGTCGAAAATAGACTCTATTTCCGAGAGGTTCGGGTCATCGAGTTCGAGGGGACTGGAAAGCATGTTTTCCAGGAAGAAGTGTTGTTGGAATTGGTCGATGACCATATCAGGGTAACAACAGTTGCTAATAAACTTTTTTTTTTTTGACTTTGAATGGGGTACATATTTTCTCAATTTTTTCCGCAGGGATCGACACTACTTGTTTCTTTCCGGCATATTGATGCTGCCGAAATTCCTAATGAAACTGGCATGAAATCACAAAGTAAAAGCACAATTTCCTTTCTTTTTTCTTTATCGCTCAGGCATTTGGACATGATTTAGTGGTCCAATTGCATTGCGTGATAAATCTTGAGAACAGCCACGTATACGATTGATATGACACTCGGCTCACAATTTACCCCCTTGTGCGTTTTTACGGAAGTGCATGGGGCTAAATCTAAGATGGTTATTCTGTGAAACTGAAATGCTCTGAGATCGGCAGCGCATAGATTAAATCCGTAGTACTGCTGTGAAGTTTCCAACAAGAGAAGTAAGTTAGCGCAATCTTGCTCCTCTGCAGCAAATACAGAGTGCACATCCATATTGTTTTGTGGTCTCATGCACGGAGACGTTATATCCATGATCTCGCAGCCTGCACCTTACCTGACCTTATCTGTCAATTGAGTGTTTTGGGCGATTCACCAGCCACTTTCTGTCTGCGACCCTCCAAATTGAGGCATGCATCCAGACGTAAACACAAACTCGCAAAATTAATATCATGGTCTTGACAAGCCTGTCGATGTTTTAATTTCAGAAATTTCACACCCCCAGTGACAAGGTTTTGAAAGTAAACAAAGAGTGTGTGCCGTAACCATCGTTGAAATATTTTTAAGGTTCCAAGCAATGTATTGTTGTTCTCTTCAATTTCATTTGATTTTACTGTAAAACGAATTCATAATTATTATATTCCTTTCCCTTATATGTTATTCGCCTGTCTTGCTGGGTTCTTAGGCAAGATCTCCCATCTATTGTGAGTTCCATCACTGTGCATATTGTCCCCGACAGGGTACTCGTAGTGCTTGGTAGTCCAGGCCACCATTTCTTTATGCATTTTGGGCTCAAGTGGCCGAAAGTAATCAGGCTCCTCCCCGTATTCATTGTCTGTAATACCATCTACCGGACCGAAACAGTTCAAGTTCATTGTGGGCGTGCGAGGTTCTGACCCCGCTCCCTTAACGTACGAACCATTCGACAGCATCGAATCTGTGCTGTTACTGAAATGGTGCGTCGTGGACATCACCAGGTCGAAGCTTCCTTCTGTGTTGGAACTTTCAGTACTCCGAAAGAATACGTCATGTCTTCTTTGGGGCGATGTGGCCGCCCCAGGTCCAGCCCGGCTCGGAGACAAAGACGCATCCTCTTCTGTAGAAATGTCGTAACTAGCAAACAATGATGTGAAACTGCTGAGTGTCTGGCAACTCTTAGACTCAGTTATGTTGCATTTCCCAGTAGGTGTTTTGGTTGGAGACGTCATGGTGGACTCCAAAGGAAGGGTGGGGGACGTGGGCTGGCTGACCGATTGGTTCAAGTACGACAGGTACTTTGTATTGGAGTAGTTGATGAGTTTCATGGTAGATGTACTCTTAGGCAAACTGGTAGCTGGCATCTGCACTGGAGGCAATGGAGCCGTTGGTGAGAACGAAAGCTTGCGCTGTGGGTTAAGAATTGAAATGATGTTTTGTGAGTGTGGGTATAAGTTGTTGTTGATGGTGTCTTCAGAAGGTTGGTTTTTCTTTTTTGGCACTTCGTAGCACTTGTTTGTGTGGCCATTGACGAAATCAAGCAACGTGTCGCACTGTAGAAGGTCTTGAATCTTCAAGAGCAGGTTCATGTACTTGTCGAGCTCTTCACATTGAGTTACCAAGTCCTTCATGTGGCTTTTATCGGATGGGTTGACCCAAGTGGCTGGAACGGCTTTTCCTGGCGTCCGCAACGGCTTGGGAAGCGATGGAAGCTTCACAGACTTGTAAAATTCTTCAAGAAGACACACATGCAACAGATAAAAATCCTGGTAATATTTGGCAACATACTTAACGGAGCCGGAGCACATACGGATATCTAATCTGTACCATGCATGGCTACCAGCATCTAGTAACACCGAAGAAACCTTAATGGACTTGATTTCGTCCAAAATAGCAGATCTAGGGGTCTTCACTTGAGTGAGCCACTCCACGGAAACAGGTGTTTTGGCGTCATTCACGGCAATTTCAACATACAGAGCAGGAATAAGTCCGGTTTCGTTTCGGTCGATGCATTGCACCATCAACCATCCATTGCCAGGTCTATCCAAAAGCTTGAAGTAATCGTTTGCGCGAATGGAAACCTCTGTGGCGTTCTGGGCGCAAAAGTTGTATTTGGATCTCAACACAACAACTGGAACTGAGGATGGTCGAAAGCTTGAAACTTGCGGTGTAGTTGGAGAGTTCAGTGGAGACAGAAGCAATGGAGAAGAGATCAGAAGCTTCTTCAAATTGCGGGAAGATTTGTGATGCTTGGAATTGAACACACTGGAAGACATGGCAAGCAATAGGCTGAGATATCAACAAGTTTAAACGAAATAATTAACAGATGATGTGACAGAAAACGAAGGAAACCACAACGAAAAAAAAAAAATCTTGCACCACGATATTGTTTCTCCAGAGAAAACAATCACAGGAGAGCGAACAGGTGGACGAATATGAGTAGTATAAGACCCTTATGGGTGAAAGCCAGCAATTTTTTAAATGTAAAATTTGACGACGGTGTACATTTCACACCATTTATGGGAGCGGTTCTTTCAACAGTCCGTACAGCTGCCCTGATGCACAATTTCCATATGTGCGTATGCATATGCATGCTGCAAACGCATAGCACTATTTTGGGCGGAATTAGAGTTGTCCTGTGAGCAGCGCACAAGAGCCCCCAATTCGGCAAGTTGCGCGACGTGAGCCATACTTACCTTAGGCATGCCAGGGCTCACATTATCTCGTTTGTTTTGTACTATTACGCTTTCAAAAAGCAACACAGATGGACAATATCAAAGATAAGAGGGGACCAAAACAACCACTGAAAGGTGAAAATCTCTCCTGCAGTTAAGGTGACAAGCTGCTTGAACGTTCCCAATGCTTTGAAAAATATTTGGAATCGAAAGATTTGCCATGGACAACAATCATGTTGGCTTGTAAGTATGGGCTGAAATCATTACACGGAAACGAAGAACACAATAGACGCACGAGTAGGGTGGAGAACAATAAGCGGGATACATGAAAACATAGACATAAAGGGGGCCGAGTTCCATTAGTAACAAAGAGTATACCCACTAACAACCGTCGAAAGACTGCTAAATTAAAAGGAAAGAAATAGAAGATAAAATTTGATACTGATGTGTCGTAAGGTAATTTAGATTTCTTTAACGGCTTCGTTTAATCAAAAAATGCTTAATTGTGAAATTATTAATTTCAAATGAAACGTCTCACACATCAAACTGCAACATTGCACAAGAGACGTTGTATGTGATCGGGCCCACCATAGCCGACCAGTTACAACAAGGGAGATTCTTAGGGCCTTAAATCCGGCTTCATTAGGTCAAGACATCTAAAATGGTGATAATGATACCACGCAAGATTTTTAATTCCAAATAACATTTAAACTTGGTAATCTAGTAACCAGAAGTATTGATTATTCCATAATCCTCTGGTCGTTTTGTTTTGATAAGTCTCCATTCCGATGTTTGATCATTGTTCGGAAAAAGAAAGTACTAAGTCTGGGCTGATTTCGTATAATTTACTTCCTCTGACTACTTTTTTTCGATAATTCCCGGTAGCCGATATCCTGTAGCAGGCTTTCTTTGCTGATTTTCCGTAGTTTTTATTGTTCATTTGATGCTTATTCTTTCATGCTGGCTCATTTTGTTCACTTGTTGTGATCCATCAGAGAAGGAGTGCCATACTCAGAGGATGGCAGGAAATCATGATTGATATCAACACCCGGACTTTCACTTCTACAACCCACTAACCTCACTTACATCTAATCCTACTTACATTATGAAACCTACGTAGGGTCTTTGTTGACCTGAGATCTTCGTTGCAACACATTCTCATGGCACTATGCGTACTTCGTCCGTATCCTCATGTTCCTTAATTTTGTCGATCCCCCAGATTTCACGGTTTGCATGGCCGCCAGTCGAGTGTGCTTCTGGCGTGCCATTGTGAAACCAAGGTTTTCGCTTATCGTCTATTCGTCACAGTTGATTTAGTTTGCGGAGCTTCATTACTGCGGGCCCCAGACTCCAAGCAAATGAAAGTGAACCTCAAATCGTGCATCTTGGCGGTCAAGTCTTTAGCTTGTTTATTTCGATGCTTCCAGCAGTCAATCTACAATAATGTATTGTAAGCGATATTTGCATTTGTTTACAGAATTAGAGTTTCGCTCGTCTAACGAAGTCTGGAGTTGATCTGCCTCATGCAGGTAGAATCAACACCTACAATCGACTTCAATAACGGCCATTCATCACATCATCCTAGTTTAGTCGGCTCCGATCATCCTATCTGCTTCAATTATCCTATTTTGACTTCTAGGGCAAACATGATTCTCCCTTTTTTTAGTTATTCGATTAGCCATTTATTATATAAAACATTTAAAGAAGTGAATTGTCAGTATTCGTGTCACAAGTTCATGTCACAAGAAGAAGAACCCGGTCAGACTGGTGCAAGAACAGCATGGCATTGATTTCAGGAGAATCAATTTCTTGGAAAGAGTCTGAATTTGGAAGCTTGATGAAAAGATTGTTGAACGCAACCTTTCTGTAAATCTCGTTCTTAAACTCATCAAGCGACGTAATCAGTTTCTTTTGGACCATTACAACAAGAATATCGCTTGTCTGCGTCTTGATCTTGCACTTGATCTGAGGTACAACATCTCGTGTGGTCTGAGGGCTCTGCAGACCTACCAGTCCAATCAGAGGAGATGACTTGGCCATGCTGTGCTCCATCGAAGGGAGCTGTGGAGTGTTCACGAATTGCGGCTTCACCTCCATTGACTGGCCTGCAGTAACAGCTGTGATGGTTCGAGAACGTCCAACACTTGGGTTGGGTACGTTCTTTTTCTGGCTTATGGACCGCAACGGTTCACGAGTTGATGCTGACCTAGCCACCGGTTCTCGCGTTGTCTTCGACCTTCCCAATGGCGGATATTGACCAAAGTTGGCTGCCTGATGGTAATGGTTGTAGATGTTCTTCGTTTTCGATCTCTGCAAGCCGGAACCAGCAGGAAGGACAAATTTCAGCGGTGAATCGTCATGTTTCTTGGTTTCTGGCGATTCCACCTTCACCAATTTCGACTCAGACGCGAGCGTTACCGAGCCAGGTAAAATGCGCTGACTGATTCCCTCATTAGTATCATTAAGTGCATCATCCACTACAAATCCAGGTCTCTGGCAGTAACTCTTGTCCAACCACTCCACAATTGCAGGTGAAACCTGGTAGTTTTTGTTCAGAATTAGCTCATTCATGTAGGTGCTCAATTCTCTGCATCTGTTAGAAAATATCTCCCTCATTTCAACCAGATTCCGCTTATTGCTCGGAACAGGCTCAGGTAGTTTTGGCGGTTTCTTTAACTCAAGCAAGTCCTTGTTGCCTGCAGCATTATACATGTCTAGTAACAACGCGTGTAAGTCGTAGAAGTCCTGGTAATACCTGCAAAGGTAACCTTGTTGACCAGTGCTATAAATAACATCAACACGATACCAAAAGCGGTCATCGTATGTCAAATAATGAGATACCAATACAGTAAGCGGATACGGGGTATTATTGATGGTGAGCGGCACATTATCGGCCAATAAAGACTTGACCTGAGCATCCACAAATGATTTTGATTCATCTGATCCGTTCTGGTGCAACCACCCAAGCGTTATGGGGTTCATGGTGTCGTTGACAGCGATATCAACATATAAGCATGGAACCAATCCGGGAGGATGCATCTTGTCGATAAACTTAACCAAAACCCATCCGTTTGACAAGCGGTCAAGTAGTTTCAACACGTCACCTTTTGAAACTGATAGCTCCTCCTTTGTTTCAGCCGTGAAGTCAAACTTGGCCACCAAGATCACATTACACTTCAACGATGACTTGACTTGGCCCAAGACACTGGGGTGAGAGATTTTCAAGTCTTTAATATTCAGTAGTAGTGTTTTGGCCATGGCTGTGCAAAAGAAGTTACGAACTAAAGAAATCCATCGGGCGCGTTTCAGGCGTAAACACGGCTGAAGCACACCAGGGCCATCCGCACGTGACGTTTGATCCTGAAACTTCCCAACTAGCCCAATTGGGATTAATTCCTCCTCATCGACACCATCTTTTAGCCAGTAGTGTAACCAGCACCAATAAGTCGAAAAATATTGGCAATGGACATGGTCGAATTGTTGATGTCCAACATTTATTTATTATTGTTTATCCACATTTATCATCAGAATGCCTCGAATGTGTCTCGAGTCGCGAACATTTCAGTATTTTGTAGCTTTATTTCTTAGCGACATTTACCCACGCTGCGTGTCGAAACAGTGGGTGTCCGCCTGGTGATTCCCTGCACAATTTACCGATGGACGTTCAGGAAGGCTTTGCGTTCAGTGGGATGGTATTAACAGCGGCTGGCGCTTCCTTGCAGATACCGAGGAAGCATCAGAAGCCCAATGGGAATCGGGCGATAGGCAGTCTGGCTGGAAAGAGCAGTAGGCAGTCTGCGGGATGGGTGTAGGGACAGACAACAAGAGATGTGGAATTTCAGTAGGCAGACAAGGCACGAATGCGAAAGGCCAAAGGAGTGTAGGATTTAATGTGAGAATTGGGTGTAGATCTATCAATTGGACCCAGGGGACTGGGAATAAAACGGAGAGCAAGTTGAAATGAAATTCGAATGTTTGGGATTGATGGCAGATCAGACACTGATCCTTACAGAAGAGTTGTTAACAATGAATACAATGAAAAAAAATACCATCAAAGCCTACTCATATATAGTTGTCTCCAGCACGCGAACCAACCCAACAACAAGTGCTGGGCCGGATTATTAAATGCTGGGCGGTTTGTTCTGCATCCGGCCATTTGTGCTCAACCAAATGGAGGTAAGTTGGTGTTGCTGGTAATCCAGATGGGTAGTAATATGTATGGAGCAGAAAAAAATTTCGCCGAAAAAACATTTAAGTACCGTCGTGCGCGTACCACATCATCTTGCCTCCACTGCCCAAATCGATTATCCCGTACCTTGTTTCCCCAACAACTTAAACTGTCTAATTTCACCTTCTTTTGTAATATTCCTCACCCATGTGAATACTCTATGTCAATAAGTGTGCTGTCTTTTTGGAAATCGGCATTATTTCACTTGATCAATTGCCTAATCTTCCATATTTTCTACCGTTTCTAGATTTCGCTTTTTTAACCAATTATCTTCATTCATATGGAGAACGTACCACTTCCTCTTGCTTTTCAGCGTCCTGGACCTTCCTTTTCTGTTCCCCTGGCTCCACCTGTTATTCCCTCCTTGGAACTGCACCTCTTCTTGTGCACCTCTCTATTTTCTGCACCTCCCCATCTTTCTGTACCTCTTCTTCTTCGTTCCTACGTCACCAGTGTCACCTGCCACCCACCGCCTCTCTAAAGCTGGTGATTGTCACATGGATTGGTTGATATCCTCAGTGCCCATACTGTCCCTGCACCATCCACGAGCCTCTGCAACTTTCATACAAGGCAAGCAATCTCGCATGCGCAGGCGACGCCATGCGCCGTTCTTAACGGGGCCACATTCTGCCTCCACCTGATTAATTTTAACCCTCATTACACTACCCACAACCTGCTAAGTAGGAATCCTGAGCTGTCCTGGTGATGATGGAAATGGCCCTTGCGTACGTGCCTGAAAGGCAAGCTTTGTTCATGTACGACAACGCCCATGGAAGTTCTATGCTTTATTGTCAACGCGCATTTGAGCGATACTATGTGCTCAACTAACTAGGGATTTTCCACTTGGCTTCCGCCTTGGTAAGTCTCACATCTTCAACGTAAATTTTCATCCATTCTTAACCACCCCAGTCGTTTCATCTGGTGGCATGTCCACAGCGGGCCAGACTCCCAGCCCTACTGAACTTGCTCCGATCTTTAACGGTCTCGTCAGGCATCCGATCGACAGTCCTTGTCCCGCCTTGAGGTAGTGCTGCTCCACTTAGTAATTTCTCGCTCACTTCTCTCTTCCTGCAGCCTTCAGTAACCAACTTAATTGTTCCTGATTGTCGTGGCATTGCACAGACTAGTGAAAGCAATGGCACTACGTACTGGACTTGTGAATCTCTTTACCATTGAACGGTGCCAAGCAGCTTCAATTCCACTTTTCGTCTTGCTTGTTCCTTTTACCCATTCATTACAATTTCACAACTTCATTTACTCTTCTTTTATTGTAGGATTTGCTGTTTTTCGTATTTTCCTTTTTTTCTCTTCGACCATTCTTTTTTAACTTTTTTCATGGATTATTTTTCATGTAAACTATAATTTTCCCCTCTAAGTAATTCCTCCTATTCTTCCTATAAACGTCCCCGATCTCCTAATCTGACATTGTCAGTTTCTACATCGTTCTTTCGTTTCTCCAGGATGTTTTTTTGTCTTGCTTATCTTCATTGGCTGCCGGCTTTCGCGTATTCTCAATGCATGGTTTCCATATCGAGCGACTAGGTAACGCCATATGGTGCCACTAAGCGGCATGAAGCAATTATTTTGTAGTACCAATCATTTGCTTCAAAACGCACCGTTGTCATCATTTCCGTTGTCAAAAAGCTGGGGAGGAACAATTGGTTGGTGGAACTGAACAAACTGCGATTCTCGGGAAACTGGAACCAAATGCGGTGAGAATGAGAAAAATAGGATCCGTCATTTGAATGAAAAAAAAAAAAAAAAAACATTCAGCTTACCTTTTCCAGCCTTCAAATTTATTTCTTGCTCACACTTTCGGGTCGAATGGAAAATCCGTTTCATGCAAATTGCACGTTAACGATCCGCCCTATTCCTCTTCCCTCGCCCTCCCTCGTTGTGATGTTTGTGTTCCTTGCTCCGGTACTTGTCAACTCCATCTATTCCTACGCTTCGCTTCCCTCGCCTAAAGGTTGCCCCCACGGACTCACCACATTTGGTACCTTTTTTTTCGAGGGGGGGGTTAGCGGCTCGGAGTTTGATGATATACGATAGCAAGCTACTGCCGCTAAAAATTACTCAAAAAATTTTCGGTTGCTTCAGCCTATCATAAGTAAACCCCGAGGGATTTTTTATTAAAAAAAAAAAAAAACCTGCAAAAGTGGCATGGCTGTCTCACCTACCCAATGCACTGGATTGCGCTTCTGATTTGAACGATCGTAGTGTAATTTCGGTCGTTTTACCTCGACGTTTCAGATGGAAGAATGCATCACATAATGGCAATGTTTTTTTTTTTTTTATGGCCGCAATGGCGCAACACAACTTAAATGACAGACTATCCTGTAAATCTATCCTGTAAATTCCGCAGCCAAATGAGGAGGCAATGCTCGGAACCAGTTGTATTATGGATGCACGTCAAGTGCTACGCAAACCGTTCGTCGCGTGCAGGTACTGGAATGCAGATTAGGGAAAGGTCTAAATTAGTGTATTTTTCATCTACGATCCCCCTATTGTGACCAGTTAGGAAATTTAAAAAGCTGCGGCACAAGTAAATGGTATTATCCCAATAATCTTGCCACATCGACGCGTATTACTCCACTGGTGCATTGGGGGCCGGTGTAGTCCTTTAATACCGGAAGCTTATCCTGCTCTTCGTCCCACTTCTTTTTTTTTCTCCTTGCTTCTGTGTTTCCAACGTTCAAGTCGAAAAGCCCTTTGTGGAGTTTGGAACCGTCCGTCCATTGCGACCTTTGTGTCTCTGTTGAATCTTCCCTCCAGAAGGAATTTTTCACCCTCACTTCCAGACAGAGTTCTGCCACTCTCTGTGTCCCTTCATTTACTTTACATTCCTTCCTCCTGACACCTTTCGATTAACTTCGTTTGGCTGTTGATTCTTTTTTGAACTCCAAGACTTCTTGACTCTCGACTTTGTCTGACCAGTCTAGTCTTCACTGTTTCGAGGGTCATTTTTTCCATCCTTAGTACGAAGTCATCCACCTAATCGTACAGGCTACACTTTTATTAGTGAAGAATACTCAGAATTTCCGAATTTGCTAACTACGAATTCTTCACTTGCGAGTTTCTTTCAATTCCAAGAAACACCGCCTATTCCCTCGGGCATATTCACCCTGAATTCCTTTCCCGAACCCCACCCAAGACTCTTCCTGTGTCTCTCCGCTAGTGTTATCATTGGCTTCTGGAACTAGGTATTCGGTTCGGCATACAACTTCAGTGCTTCCAGAGCTTATTTAGCACCATCCGCATTAATTGAATTGTTTCGGGTCTCCTGCAACTTCGCTTAATTCAACTTCTTCCACAGCTCACATGGCGGAGTCCGTAATCAATTCTCCTAACTCGGCCACTACCAACGCGCTTGGCTTGGGACTAACCATGGACTCGCTCATCAGCGACCTGGCAATCCCTTTCGATGTATCACCGTACGGCATGTACAACTTCGACTCGGTTGCAAAATCCTACCCATTCCAATTGAACCAATTCCAAAGCACACCAGCGCTCTACGAGCCTACTTATCTGCTGGATGACATCCACAAGTTTCAGGTGCAATTGTACCAAGAACTACGATACCAGGTGGCCAGACAGGACCTCCAAAAGGACATGCTGTTTGCCTCCACCTACCACGACTTGGAATCCATGAGCGGTGCCTCCACCATCGACACTCCCAACCTTAATACTTCCGTCATGTCGATTCCGGACACTGTGGTCACGGCAGATTACCATTTGCCAGAAATGCCTGACATGGACCATCCTGTTCCTGACTTGGTGGACCCTCCCACCCCCAAAAAGCGTAGGGTGGAGAGCCCGCTCCCCCCTCCTCCTCCAGTGACTGCTCGTGAGCCTCTGGTGAAGAAACACACCCGTAAGCATATCATGGCGCGGTCGCGCAGCGGATGCTGGATCTGTCGAATCAAGCACTTGAAGTGCGACGAGTGTAAGCCCGTTTGCAACAACTGTACCAGGTTTGGCATCCAATGTGACTACTCGGTGGATCGACCAGCCTACGTTTCGAACAAAGAGTTGCGTCGTCAGAAGTTGGATGCCATCACTACCAAGAAGAGAAAACCACGTTCTGAGCGGTGAGTCTTTTTGCTTCCACTAATGTGTAATGTGCTGCTGCCACAGTCCCATGCTGGAATGCTAAAGCTTGGACTGCGCTATGCCTGCGGAAGTCACTGGAATCAGGCACCAAAATGCGACCTCAACTACGCAATATTGTCGCCCACTACTGCCACCAAAATTACATCTCATCATCATTTATTTTCTCCTAGTCTCGATTTATTTCTTGTTTCCATGTGAAGTGCTATCTCGCTTTCCCAATGTTTTTTATAGTGTTATACGTTGCTACTGTTCAGTAGCATTTCGGAATTATCATCGTATTTCCATGTAGCGAACAATGCCCACAGAACTTTGCGCACAGAACTTTGCGCGCTTGCACACTGTATAGAAGTCGGAAGCTTGTGGTGGATGCTTGCATGCTTTGTTTATGACTCTTCCATCGGGTAAAAAGAAGCAAAAAATAAAAAATTTACCAAGAAGCACAGAAAGCACTTGAAATTTTCTGCAATCTCTGCAATATTCTGCATTTTCTGGAATTTCTGCAACATCTGCAATTCGGGCTCTAGGGTTTTAAATAGATACGAAAAGAAACTCACAGTAAATTCTATTCTAGGTTTTGGTGCATCCACTGATAGTGGTGCATAGCATTTATTTCATCCGACCTTATATTTTCACCATCAATGCAACTATTTCTATTATTCCCATTCGGGGACTTGAATGCGCTTGCGGAGTATGAATTCCCCATTATGAGAGTGTGAAATCACAGAAGTGTCTCCATTTTCCAACTCAGCTGCATTCACCTCTCGTTCATTGCTGTCCTCGCGGTACTCAACCATTGTTATGAAGTCACCCTCGAATCCAATCCACGGGCCAAATAACGGGTCAACCAAATTAGGATATGTGTAATCGGTAAATTGCTCTCTTTCTTCATCCACGGTTGAAACCTTACGTCGGTGCCTATTAATTCCGCCGTGATAGACTGTGGAGAAGTCGCCATCTAAAAGAATAGAACTTTCTGTGGGTACATCATTTCTTTCTTCTGTGTCACTGCTGATCTCATTATTGTTATCTTCTTGACGCTCTTCCAAAATAGGTCTCGATTTAACATGCAGCAATAAGGACTCGCCACTAGCATTCACAGAATCGTTGCCCGCAATCGGAGATGTCACCAGCAGCAGGTCATCATTGAATTCTTTGTCATAATCAAAAGGATTTTGAATGGCTCGAAGGGCAATGAAATTGTGGAGTGGAAGATAATACTTCTCAAAATTCCACGCAACAATCAAGGTCACCACAAACAATGGAGTACAAAGCACCGATAATAAGATCGCCCCCTCAAGTGCCAATGTTCCACACATGAAGAGTTGGAAGATAATGAGTCCGAAAATGAGGCGTCTGAAAATCATTGGCCAAACCTTACCCGTGGAATGTGGTGGGTGCACAAAGCTGTAGATGAGTTGATACTTGTAAACGAAGTACCCCAAAATGAAATAAACTAGTCCGCTAGTGACAATCTTAGTGGAAACAACCAGGTAAATGAGGATAATGATAAAGATTAAAATATGCTGGGGGAGGTTGATTCCAAAATCGAACACAGGGGGTGTGTAATAGAAGAATCTGTAATCTCTTGGAGTTTTCAAAAAAATGTTCTTCAAGAGGAAAAGTTTCCCAATCACATTCAAGATTACGAAGTCTCCGATTTGAAGCAACTTCACTGGAAACATTGCCAAGCCCTGCAACAAGATTAAATCCACATAAAACAAAGAGAGCTTCTTGAGTGAGCTGGCCAATTGGGATGCAAATTTTGTGGTGTCTCCTATAGAAGTGAAGTAATCCCACAAGGTACCGGTGATGGTGAAGACCAAAAACAATATGAAAAAAATGAAGAAGAAATTCTTCAGGAGTGTTGACAATTCGATCTCGCTGGACAGTGCATATCCTTGCATGAGGGTAAGATACTTGTACAAGTAGGGGAACAGTACGTTCATCAAGGAAAACAATAATGGTGGCAAGATACCCGTAACGAAGGTACTCAACCACTTGTTTTGTGCAATGAGGTGACCTAAAGCAGGCCACACCTTGGTAATGGTCTTAATGTCAAGCAAAGTAGATAACGTGGTGACTAGAAAGAAAATTACCGAGTAACTCAACACAATGAAAAAGGTGATCATGTAGGACTTGGAGAGCTTTTCGTAATAGGAAAGCTTAAGATTTTTCCAGTTGATATCCTTCGCTGCTGGAGCAAGCGAAACCATAAGCTTATAAACACGGGGGTCAAGCACTGTCTGCGCCGCCATTTGAGCCGAGGCAACCGAGTCCATGGTGATGAAAGCAGACGGAAGGAGCTTGAACTCGGAATCTTTACCGGTGGGAATGGTCGACAGCGACAAATCAAATTTCTTTTGGACAGTACGGATCTTCCGGTCAAGCTTCGTGAGGTCGCCAGCTAATGCATCAATACGCAAGTGGATCCTGGCCTTTGCGGGAGTCTCGGGTGGGTTATCGGGATTTGCTTTCGGCAAAACACGAGGTAGTTTGTGTTTGTTGTACAAGTCAATTTTCAAGCCGTAATATCGAGAGTAGAGCTTTTCCAACTTCAGAATAAGAAGGCTGCGCTCGTCAAACAACTCCTGTAGGGGCAGCCAATCGTAGATAAGCTTGACGTCGACCACTCTGCCAATCCCCAAGTCCTCAATGAAGCGTTTGAGAAGAAGCGGGTCGTTTTTACGAATAAGTCTTTTCGGAATTCCATCAACCTTGATGGTTCTGTCAGTAATGGAGTTCTGTGACGCCAAGTACTTCTGGCGGGTCCTTATCACCAACGAGGTGTAGGTAAAGAGCGACCAGTAGACGATTCCCGAGAAAAAGTAGGTGAACACCGGGTAGACCCACAAATAGCGAGGAAACTCCTCATCCAAAGGAGGTTTGCCACCGGATGAGAAGCTGAGGACCACCAGCCACGCAATGTTATCCTTGTCGTAGTTGCCGGTGAAGTAGTAACGAATCGGACTCAATATAAGCACCCCCGCTAGAGAGAGCAACAGGAAGGTGAGAATGCCCATCTTAAAGAACGCCAACACCACAAACGCGTCCAAGCCCGAGTATTCCAACACCTCTTCATCAGTGATGGCCAAAACGGCACCCACCCATTTGAACAAGTCATTGGGTAACAGTTTCTGGAGGATCAGGTTCTTGCGGAGAGTTCTGACGGCGTACATGTGAGGCCACCTTCGGCGAAGCACGCAGAAAAGAAGAAATGTGGATATTCCGATTGCCAACGAGAGCACAAGTTGGGTCCGGAAGACACGCAGCTGGCTGGGGCCGTAGATTCGATTGTCGTCTTCCAACATGTGGAGTAGTAGTTAGAGAGCGATCGCGTTGTGCAGGTGAGTTCCAAGTTGGTTGATGGGGAGAAGTCTTGAAAAGGAGGTAATTAGAATTGAGAGACTTGAAGTTTTTTTTTTAACTTGAACGTTTGAATTTCTTCTATATATTTGATTTGGTCATTCGGGTGTTTCTGGCTGGGTTTGGGTTTGGTGTTGCCATTTTGACTTGGGCCTGTCAAACCAAATGACAGCAAGCAAACGAAGAATGTATCTAAATGGGAAGAGATCGTATAGGTTGTCGAGGTTGTTGTTGTTGTTGTTGTTTTCTAATTGTGTCCATTGATTCCTTTTGGTTTCATGGTTGCTCTTTCTGTTATCTCTGTTATTTCTTGTTATTTTTGAATCGCTTTATTCAGATAGTTATATCATGTCAGTAATGTGGGTAGCCTACGTGCTTTGCAATTAGGTGCAACCAGTTGTAAGAAGTCAAAATTGAGTGATGGAATTCATATTCACTCTGAGTCATTATCATAAGCAGTGATAACTTGAGACCAAGTTAGCTACTTTTATTCTCGATCCTTTATCAGAAATTGTGACCTAAGTGAGACCATTTTCTCCATTTCGGCAAGGAAAGGAAATTTCCATAACAATAAAGTATCGACCCGTCCAATCACCCAACAGATCAAAAGTTCACGACTATCTGCTCATTTCCAACTTTCTCTTTTAACCATCAATCACCACGAAACGCCTCCGAACCACCATTAATAATTCCTGAAACTAAACTCCAAGAAGATTCAAGTTAAATCATACATAAAATCTTCATGATCTTCACTGAACCCTCATAAGAACTTCAAATTCTTTACATTCTTCATGAAACCTTCGAAAACTTCAATATCTCACCTCATAAGCCTCCCTCCAACTTCCTCCATACAAGTTTCCCCATATCCTCCCAATCATAACCACTCCAAATCAGTATAATCTCCACTCAACTCCTAAATTTCGACCTCTTCCAAATTAAAACTTATTTCTAACCTTTCTTTGAAAATTCTCCAGTTACTCAATTTATTCCCTTTCACCATATCTCCCCTCCTTCCAAATGGCACACCTTTCGCTCCTCCAGATCTCCATGCCCTGCACACCACCGAGAAAAAAATCACTATCGACAAAATTCACCTACTACTCTATATTTCTGCAATGTCCGACGTCTACGTGGTTGTCCATCTCGCAACCACATGCGACGACTCCGCCGTCTATGTGCCTCGCGATTCTTGCGAGTTGTTGGAAATCTCCTGGTGTGTGGTGGATGTCAAGTCTCTCCAAATCCTGCCGAGGGAATCAGTGTTAGTCAAACCTGCCAACACTCCTATCACACCTGCGTGCCAGCAAAAATATAAGCTTTCATGGGATTCTGTCAAGTCTGGCTCCTCCTTCAAGGATGCCGTGGCCCAGTTCGACAAGAAGCTCTCGCTGGCTGTTGCTGGAAGAGACTTTACCTTTGTCACTGTCGACATCCATACTCTCCGCGTTCTGCTTCCTCGCGAGGCCAGAGACAAGAGCGTAGTTTTACCGGTGTATTTGCAGCATCCACGTGTGTTTGACTTGTTTAACGAGTATCTGAAGTGGCAATCGACCCACCCAGAGGCCATGAGCTACCCAAACTCGTGTTTGGCTAATATCATCACCGCCTTGTCTGTGGACGTGCCTGAAGGATGGACTGAGGACTCCGCAGATGATGCTCGCCTGACTGTTGACGTTTACGCCAATATTTTAGTGCAGTTGGTGAAAAAGTCGATGCCTCTTGAAGCTCATCCACTGGTTTTAGTCAAGCCATACGACACAGCTCACGACGCAAAGATCTTCTTGGCCGAGCGCTCGAAGATCTTGTACCTTTCAAACTTGCCTCCTGATACTACCCAGTCTGAGCTTGAGTCATGGTTCACCCAATTCGGAGGTCGTCCTATAGCTTTTTGGACCCTCAAGAACGTCGACGCCGATCAGAAAAACCAGCAAAACAACGTCGATAAAGCTAAGGGCATAGCAGGCTTTGCTGTTTTCTCCAAGCATGAAGAAGCCGCTGAGTCTTTATACATGAACGGAAGAGTGTTGAATGACCGAGTTGTCGAAGTCCAAGCTTCCTCTACTAGGGTGCTTGACCGTGCCTCAGAGTTGTTGACTCCGTTCCCTCCACTGAAAAACAGACCTCGTCCAGGTGATTGGACGTGTCCTTCGTGTGGTTTCTCTAATTTCCAGAGAAGAATCGCTTGTTTCCGCTGTTCTTTCCCTGCCACCAGTGCTGTGGCTATCCAGGAGCAGATGTACACCGGTACTGGCAACAATTCTACCCAGGACAGTTCTTCCAATAACATGAGACGCCACAAGGGTGACGAAAAGCAGTCGTCACCTGCTTACGGTGGTTACCAGGACCACTACCAAAACTCGCATCATGTTCTCAAGAATGGAAACAACTACAACAACGGCTACAATCATGGGTATAATCACAACCACAATGGTGGAAACGGGCAGCGTGTTCACTATGGCAACTCGGTACCTTTCCGGGCGGGTGACTGGAAATGTGCTAACGAAACTTGCCAATACCACAATTTTGCTAAGAATTTGTGCTGCTTGAAGTGTGGAAGTGCTAAGCCCACCTCGATGGCCCATAGTAACTCCAACGGCCCATCGAACCATTCTAATAACGCAGCTGCTGCCGCTGCTGCTGCTGTTGCTGCTGGTTCAATGCATTCTGTCAACTCCACTGCTGCCACCATCGCTGCAGCCACCGCCAGTGGACAGGCGTTGAACCTCAACAACAACTTCCTCAAGTTGCAGCAGCCTCAACCACACCTGTCCAGACATGAGCGTGGATCGCAGTCGACGTCTTCTTCGCCCATGGGCAACGGCCTCTATTCGAACGTTCCCATGATGCAGCAGTACCAATACCAGGGCAAGCAGCAGGGTACATCCCACTTGCCACAGCATTTGGCCTTGTTGCAGGGTCAATCACAATCGCAGGTAGCACAACAGTCTCGGGGTCATAAAAACTCGCAGTCTTCAAGCAGCTCTCCCGGATTGTATGTTCAAAACCTGGGTTACCAGTACAAGCATAATTCCGACGGGTTGCACGGAGGAAATGGCATTAATTTGCTCAGCAATCAGATTAATTCCTTGTCGTTGAACAATACAAGTACGAATTAAGCACGAACTAATAGCATGAAGGGCGTCCAGCCTTTAATTATAATTGAAACTTCGGGGGACCGGTGGAGTATAAAGGGTTTCAGTGGGAGTATGAAATGAGATTTATGAGTATGGAGTATGGAGTATGGAGAATGGAGAATGGAGAATGGAGAATGGAGAATGGAGAATGGAGAATGGAGAATGGAGAATGGAGAATGGAGAATGGAGTTTGGAGTTTGGAGTTTGGAGGCTCTCGCGGTGAGAACACCTACAAACGAAAGGTCAAAAGAGAAAAAAAAAAAAGATTACGTGTGTTACATTTGGATGCACTTGTGGTGCATTGGTGGTGGGGCTGGTGTGTTGGTACCTAAAAGACAATTCATTTCATAACAATTGTAGAATATAGAGAAAGATCGATATGGACTTTACAAGCGTGCAACCTCACTGTATGGAGGACTTAGTAACCTGACACGTACCATACAAAACCAAACATTAATTACCACAATTTAAACACCAACAAAACCAAAATGAGTGACAAGTATTCAATTATCTTGCCCACATACAACGAGAGAAAGAACTTGCCTATTCTTGTGTACCTCTTGGACAAGACGTTCAAGCAGGAGAAATTGGACTGGGAAGTGATCATCGTTGACGACAACTCGCCAGATGGAACACAGGAGGTTGCTAAGAAGTTGATCGATATTTTCGGCCCAGAGCACATCCAGTTGAGACCAAGAGCCGGAAAGTTGGGCTTGGGTACCGCATACGTCCATGGCTTGCAATTTGTCACTGGAAACTACGTGATTATCATGGACGCAGACTTCTCTCACCACCCAGAGGCCATTCCTCAGTTCATTGCAAAGCAAAAGGCTGGAAATTTCGACATTGTTACCGGTACTCGTTACGCAGGCAATGGAGGAGTGTTTGGTTGGGATTTGAAGAGAAAGTTGGTTTCTAGAGGAGCTAACTTCTTGGCCTCCACTGTGTTGAGGCCTCACGTGTCTGACTTGACTGGCTCATTCCGTTTGTACAAGAAGGATGTTTTGGCCAAGGTTATCAGTGAGACAAAGTCGAAAGGTTACGTTTTCCAGATGGAGATGATGGTGAGAGCCAAGGCCTTGGGTTTCACCGTGGGAGAGGTTCCTATTAACTTCGTGGACAGATTGTATGGAGAGTCGAAGTTGGGAGGTGATGAGATTGTTCAGTACTTGAAGGGAGTGTGGACTTTGTTCACCAGTGTCTAAGGATTTCGCAGGTTGAGCAGAAGTTTGAAGTAGTGAAATGAGTTAAGATTTGGAGGATTGTGGAACGGGGATCTTTCCACGAAATGTAGGATCATTAAGAGAAGGTTTAATAGGTGGAGATTCATTCTTCGAATTCCAAGGTTGACTTTAATTGGAAAACCTTCTATGGAAGCAGGTTAAAACTTTCGAATACAAACTTTCATTTAAAATCAATAGTATTTGCTCTCCGCCCCCTCCGTATACTTCCTCTTCGCCTCCTCAAACAGTAACACTGTAGGCTCATTGCCCTTAAAGCCCTTGTCGAACAATGTAGGTCTCAACAATGCCTTTCCTGGCATGATTCCCACTGTTGTCTGGATAGTACATCCACAGCGTCCACAGAAATATTTAATTTTGGGCTGTCCACTGTCTGTGTCCTTGATGACGTACTGCTTCATGACATTCTCTGGATCTTCAATTTCTACCTTGTCATCGTCGTACACTGCGACAATCTGGCCCACATGACCAGCATTCTTACGGCAGTGAGTACAATAGCAAAGAATGGACACAGATGGGTCACTGGAAGTGTTGAAGTGGATAGCACCACAAATGCATGAGCCTGAACGTTCGGACATTATACTTACAAATTTTGAAATGGAGAGAACATTTTGTAGAGAAGCTAGCCATTAAATATTCATCGGGGTGCAGGGTTCCTAATGCGGAAGGTCGTTGTATCGCCGAGGTGGGGAGTTGAATCATGCTACAATCCCGACAAGAAACTGAATTATTGGTCAATCGGGGTAGGCGGAGAAATTCTGATTTCAGTCATTCATTTTTTTTTTTTTTAAATTCCGTGTCATGTTGTGGGGTTTACTGTAGGATTTTCCATGGGCTCCCATCATCAACGGTACCAAGAAGTTCGCAATGTTCTCGTATATTTACATTTTTTGCGACATAGTGAACACTTGGAAGAGTCACAAAGTAGTTCATTAAAAATCGAAATCTCGCTCTCGGAGTGTCAAATTTTGCGTAGATGTATATAGTCGATTAGACTTCCAATGCGGCCTTTCATGGCCCATAAAAGCATTAGAATGTGTTAGATTTCCCTCTCCTTCCCATTTGCTTTGGGATATACACCCGTACACCGCAGATATATATGTAATATTATTACACTACATCTCTTATGCCAAACCATGGCAAAAGACACATACTTGAAGAAGGTTTTAGGCGCCGAAAGATATGCTGCAATCCGTGCATCCAAGGTGCTAATGGTTGGTGCTGGTGGTATTGGCTGTGAGCTTCTAAAGGATTTGGTGCTTTCGGGATTTGGGGAGATTCACATCGTCGACTTGGATACCATCACTTTATCTAATCTCAACAGACAATTTCTCTTTAGATTGAAAGACATTGACGAGCTGAAATCGCTCACGGTGGCAAAGGCTGTACAGAGCTTCAATTACTTTGGTGCTCAACTAATACCGCACCACGGAAACGTCATGAATCTGACTCAATTTCCTATCGAATGGTGGGGACAATTTGACTACATTTACAACGCCCTAGACAATCTAGAGGCCCGTAGGTACGTGAATCGTATGGCATTGTTTCTTCGCAAACCGCTTATGGAGTCAGGAACCACTGGTTTCGATGGCCAAATCCAACCTATTGCACCATACGAAACTGAGTGTTTCGAATGTCAGGTGAAGGCCACTCCACAGACGTTTCCAGTTTGTACAATCCGGTCCACGCCATCACAACCTGTGCATTGTATTGTATGGGCCAAGGAGTACTTATTCAACCAATTGTTTGGCGAGACAGCAGATGCTGGAGTCAACCAAGCTGAGTTGAACAAGGAAACCGACGACGAAGAAGAGATTCAGCGTATTCTCTCGGAGGCTAATGAGCTTGCGGCTCTTAAAAACTCGATCGGCTCGAAAGATTTTGCTTTTGAACTCGTTAGAAAGATATACATGAATGATGTGGAGAAATCTTTACGCCTTGAGTCCTTATGGAAAACAAGACAAAAGCCCGATCCTTTGAACTTCGAAGAAGAATATGCAGAGGATGTGTTGGGTTTGTTAGCAAACGATGCCAATAATGTGTTGTTGACCAGCGACACTAAAGAATGGTCAACGTTGGAGAACTTGTATGTGCTCATTCAGTCAACTTACGCGTTGCAAAAGAGACTAAAAGCGGGGGAGACTATAATATCGTTCGATAAGGACGATGAGGATACATTGAACTTTGTTGCATCGGCAGCAAACTTGAGATCACATGTGTTCCATATCCAGAACAAAACTAAGTTCGACATTAAGCAAATTGCAGGAAACATCATTCCTGCCATTGCTACTACCAACGCAATCATAAGTGGATTTTCCAATTTGGGATCGTTGCAATTCTTCGGTAAGACTAAACGTGCTGATCAATCCAAGACGGTTTTCATAAGTATTAAGCCTAACAAGAGAGCTACTTCAGCATTGGTTGAAGGTCCCAACCCCAAGTGTGCCAGTTGTGGCATCACTACCAAGGCCATAGTCAAAGTCAGTGAAAGCGCGTTGGACATGACGTTGAGACAGTTTATTGACAGCCTTGTAGATAAATACGGGTACGGCGGAGATGTATCTGTCATATTAGGCAGCTCCAAATTGATCTACGACTTTGATTTTGAAGACAATGCGGAGAAGAAGCTTAGAGATATCAATGGATTCGTGGACAACGAAGTGCTCCTTATCCAAGATGACGATGACGAACTACAAAACTTGGAGTTGTTGATCCACTTTCATGAGGGAGGAGAATTGGAATTGCCGGAGGTGACACTTCGTGAGAAGGTGAAAGTAGACGAAAAAGAGGATCAGTCAGATGAAGAAAATGATTACACCGGTGCAGATGCTATTGTCATTGACGAAGATCAACCACCATCGAAGAAGCGCAAAATTGACGATAGTTTTGTTGAGATAGAAATACTTTGAGAATATAGGAGAGGATAAAAGGGGATCATAAGAATTGATCATAAGTACGATGGAACGACATGGAACTGACTAATTGACTCCAGTTGAAAGCAGATCGGCTTAGTCTATTGTTCGGTATATGATCATCTAAACAGAGTATAGAGAAATCGAAAGCGATACAGACACGGAAGAATTGAAAATTAGTAATAAAAACTCACATAGATCACTCAAACAGGAGGCAAAATTCCTTGAAGATCGTCCTAAGAAAATTTTTCATCGTCAACGTCGACCCACTCAAGTAGCCGATAGGCACATTCACTTCGGTGACCCTCTCCTGCAGACAGCGGCAAAAAGGCACAGAAAACCCGGACATCCAAATCAGTCTGGTGTCCTTGACCTCAACGCTATTAGCATATTAGACCTCCACCATCATGTCTTGGAACCAATACACCGAAGGAATCGTCGCTACCGGCAAGCTCGACAAAGCCGCCATCTACTCTGCTGCTGGTGACTCATTGTGGGCTGAAACCGGCGGTTTCCAGATTGCCCAGCAAGAAATCACTACCATTGCTGGTGGATACGCTGATCCATCTCAATTGCAGGCCCACGGTTTGCACGTTGAGGGCAAGAAGTACTTCTTGTTGAGAGCCGACGATAGATCTATCTATGCCAAGCAAGACGATCAGGGAATTGTGGCAGTTAAGACCAAGCAGGCCATCATCATTGCTCACTACCCTTCGGGCGTCCAGGCACAGGAGGCCACGGCGGTGGTTGAGAAGTGGGCCGACTACTTGATCGGCGTGGGATATTAGTATAGTAATTGACTATTTTGAGTGAGTTTGTAGAAGCAGGGCCGAGAAGAGCATGGAAGAATTTGGAGGGTGTGGAAAGGAGTAGAAGGCGGAACAGAAGGAGATTGGACGAGTTAAAACTGAGCTCATTAAGAACTGAGGAGGTGGAAACTGAGTCAGAAAGCTGCTGATTCTGTTGGAATGTAAACAGGAGAGATTTCACTGACTTCTAACTTATCATAATCAATCTGATTCTTTTCTACATGACAGTTAGATCCATAAGTGTTCCTGTGCCAAAACTACCGATACGACAGCATCCAGAGGTTGAAGTATAATTTAAGGCTGCCATCGTTTGCGTAAATGGTTTGTATCGATTGGAGGATGCTTGGACAGTGGAAAGCTGGAGCTCAACAGTGCAGTGGAGTCGATCACTGGAGCAGTTGATCCCTGGTGTAAGCTGGTGGATCAGTATAAAGTTACTGGACTAGATAAGTGAGAAAGAGAGGGTGAAATAGTATCAAACTGTCGAGACGAGCTTCTCTTACAAAGTAGTTACTAATACTACACCCCTGGATATCAAATATGCTTCTGAACGCATCAAGTCTGTGGGAATGCTGTCGAACCGAACCTCAATTTCGAGTTCAGATCCTTCAATTAACGATCGAAACTAGGTGGATTCGAATCAGGTAACTTTTAATGTCCAAGACAAAAATAGTGGAATGTATGCTCTTGTGGATTAGTGACGTTTGTATATTTCACACAACCTGAAATGTCCAATTGAGTCATCAGGGCAGTTAAATAGTCCGAAAAAAAAGAGGAATTCTCAACGAAATTTTGAAAAGAATGGACAATTCCTATTCATACTGACTAAGTTTTCTAGTACAAAGTTGCAACCACATTCACATTCACTACACCCGTACACCTATTCAAAAACCCATACACCAATTTGCAGCACCCGTACATCCTCATACTTAAGACTACAATTTCTAATAGTCGAACTAATACAACAGTGCAAATGAATTAGTTTTCATCCCACAATCATCAAATTCTATATCAGTAACAGAATTTCAATATGTTTTCGTAATCCCACGTTTTTTTGGATTATTCGCCATCTCAAGCAGATCCTCCTTGACTTTCTGTTTTGGACACCCACATCTTGAACTCCGCACACCGCGTACAAACAAGTCACCGCTCATTGGCTAACCCCGGCGTGCCCTCCCCAATCCTCATCTATAAGCCCAGAGTTATTCATTCATCCAATTACTACCCCAAGCAATGTTCAGAGCAGCCAGTCGTACGTCGAAAGCGACGCTTAGAAGATTCTACTCGGCCGACCACCACCACGCACCTGCCCCAACCCAAAATGAAATCGATGTCACCAAAGTTTTTGGTGTTGCCTTGTTGGCTGGCGTTTCCTTATACTTTTACAGAAGCTCCAAGGAGCCCGTGGTTAAGACTCCATTATACAACCAACAGGACGACCGTGTCCAGTTGAGAAATGAGGCGTACTTGAAGAGATACAAGACGTCGTTCATCAAGACTTTCATCAGAGATAAAGGAGGAGTTGGCCAGAGACAGTACAGAAGAGAGATCCAGGGTGCTGTGCCTACTACTTTGATTCACGCTGCCTCTCCATATGGCGATCAGTTTGGTGCCAGCATCAAGACCGATGCTTTGGGACCAAGAAAGGAGAGAGTTAAGTACTTTGCTCCATTGAACTAAGAGAGTCAACTTATTTTGGTCTATTGAACTTGGCGAGATTAGACTTTAGGGACGCTCACGGGAGGAGAGACATGGGGTTCCGAAATGCTCTGGGATGCTGGAGCATGCATTTGCATTCATCATGGCAGTCACGGACTGCGCTTTTTGGTTATTCATAATAAACAGATTGAAGAGTGATTGTAAAGATTCGCAGCTTGAGTCAATTTTTTTTTATTCTTTCTTGTTCGTTTTTTTGTTTCTATTTGTTCTACTGGACGGTCAATTCCGTATTCGTTATGCTTAGTGCTCTGTATCTATTCTATTGTTTGTGCCATTTTTTCCGTCTTTCGGTTGTCTTGTCCTTCATTATTACAATGTCTTTAGAGCTCAATGTCGGACAAGACTCGACAATAGGATGCATACACATTGTGAGAGAGGAAAAAGAAAAGTTAGAAGATGAATTCAGCAAAGTCATCACGGGGAGCGGAGCCGTGGAAAACCTACGTACGGGTTTGTTGGAACACTATGTGAAGTTGGAGTTTTTCCTCATGATGCACGTTGAGATGCACTTTGAGTGTTGGGAGCAGATTGAAAATCCCCAAAAATAGCAATTTTTAGACGAAGCAGATAATTGAGACTCTCAAAAGAACAATTAAGCTTTGGAAGGGGAAATGAAACGTCTCAAACGGGTATTTTGATCCATCTTTAAAATTAAAAGAATGATCATATAATAGCGAAAAATATATCTTACAACAAGCGGTTCTATAGTGTAGTGGTTATCACTTTCGGTTCTGATCCGAACAACCCCGGTTCGAATCCGGGTAGGACCTTCTTTTTTTCGCAACATTGTCAGTCTACATTTTTTTTAATCCCTGTCGTTACTTGGTCGCATTCCTGCACTCATACGAAACCTACCTGTTAGTCAACTACTTTTCATCATGGCTAAGATCGAATGGAACGTGATTGTTTATGACAAGCCCGGAACTGACAGAAGTCAGGTGCGTCCTCAACACGTGGCTGCTATTCCGGAAGCCGTCAACAGTGGCATTGTCACGTCTGTGGGAGCCATCTACCACGATGTGGAGAAGACCAAGTTTGCTGGAAGTACCTTCCATTTGATGGCTGAGAGTAAAGAGGAAATTTTGGATTTTTTGAAGAAGGATGTGTACTATGCTAGCGGGATCTGGGATCTTGACTCGGTGGTGGCTCATCCGGTGGGAATTGCCTGTAGACTTGGTAAGGAGATGCCGGGAGTGACCAAGATATAGACCAATATACATGTTTGGAGATAATGAAATGTGTAGGAAAGAAAGAAGAAGAGGAGAAATGAAGGAAGAGGCAATGGAGAAAAGAAAAGAGACAAAAAGGAAAAGAAACAATAGAAGAAGAAAAAAGATATAGACAAAAGAAAGTTCTGGACTCTGTGACATGATTAGTGATCAATGGAACTTGTCACAATCAATTGCTTCCACAGTCAACTGTCTGGTAATCATGTACTGTATGACGGAAGATTGAGTGCTCTGATTCCCACGAAGTTTTTTTGACACACCAAGACTGTGGTTATCTTCGTGATTTTATAGAGAAGAGTGATGCAAAATTATTCCATTTATTCTAACTTCATACATTTAACCTTATCAGTTTAAATTCATCTACCTAACTTCATCTATTTAGCCCTACATTTCTCTCGCCGTACGCTTCATAGCCGTGCACAACACGTTATTTCACTTTGTTCATTTCTTCCATCGTAGCCTCACCCTTCTTCTCCCTATTATACCTTCGCGGAGCTTCGGCACCATTGTCAGACATTGTGGGGCTCCAACAAAAGAACAAAGACTACATCTCCGCATCATGTGCGTGATGTTCCTGTTATACATTTTCCTCGCTACCTACAGGCCTGTTGCAATATCACTAAACCCGGCAAGTACGGCGCTAGCATCGGGCCCTAGGTAACCTCCGTCATCTCCACCTAAAAGATCCGTCAACTTCCGGAGCCATAGCCCCTTTCGTGTCCATTGAAGCCGTCTGCAGTTGCTTCTTCCTAACATGAAGTATTCTTTCTTTATTGGTGTGCGTAGATTGTCTTCGGCTCGGAACACTTCACATTGTGGTGTATTCCGACCCGAACCAGTGAGCAGACTCTCGGATAATCTCTGTCGAATCGTCCCGGAATCCTTTTTGGCAAACATTGTATCACAATGTGTCATGTTATAAATATCCAGGCAATTATCGTTCATCTATTTTTCCTTGTATAAGTTTTATTTTTACATTTATTCTAACTAAGGTCTTGCTGCTTAGAGAGTGATTTTTTTCGCAGCCATGTCCACCTCAGATAGTCTTAATTATGATGCTGAGAAGGCTGAACGCCTGTCACAGTTTTCATCAAGTGAATCTACCCAGGAATATCAGGGTTTTACACCCGAGGTTGCTGGAAACATTAGGGAGTTGGCCAGGTCCATCACCAACCGTTCTGCTGCATCCAATCCTTCCCATGACAACCTTGCACTCGCCAGGACCTTGACTAGCATGTCGATGGTACCTGGTGTCAACCCCATGGCTGAAGATATCGACCCCAGATTGGACCCAAATTCCGACTCGTTTGAGTCCAGATTCTGGATCAAAAACATGCGCAAGTTGACCTACAGCGACACCGACTACTACAAGCCATCATCTCTTGGCTTCATGTATAAGGATTTAAGAGCATATGGCCAGGCCAATGACTCCGATTTCCAATCAAACTTCGGAAATGTCATCCCCAAGTCCATCAGCCAGTTTGCTAAGAAGTTCGACAAAAAGTACCAGGAAGCCAACCAATTTGACATCTTGAAGCCCATGGATGGTATCATTCCAGCCGGTAAGGTCACCGTTGTGTTGGGCCGTCCTGGAGCTGGTTGTTCCACCTTTTTGAAGACAGTGGCCTCCCAGACTTACGGGTTTCATATTGACCCTAACTCTGTTTTGAGTTACGATGGCTTGACTCCGCTGGAGATCAAGAAACACTTTCGTGGTGACGTGGTTTACTGCGCTGAAACTGAAAACCATTTTCCCCATTTGAGTGTGGGTGATACTCTTGCCTTTGCAGCCAAGATGAGAACCCCAAACAATAGACCCGAGGGTGTCACTAGAGAGGCTTACGCTGAGCATATGGCTGATGTAGCCATGGCAACCTTCGGTTTGTCTCATACAAGAAACACCAAGGTCGGAAATGACTACATTCGTGGTGTCTCTGGAGGTGAGAGAAAGAGAGTCTCTATCGCTGAAGTGTACTTGTCACAGGCTAGCTTGCAATGTTGGGATAACTCCACTCGTGGTTTGGATTCTGCCACGGCCTTGGAATTCATTAGAGCATTGAAGGCCAATGCAAACATTTCCAACTCCACCCCATTGGTTGCAATTTACCAATGTTCTCAGGATGCCTACGATTTGTTTGATCACGTTGTGTTGTTGTATGAGGGTTACCAGATCTTCTCTGGTGACGCTAAAACAGCTAAGGATTACTTTGTCAGAATGGGCTACACCTGTCCTCAACGTCAGACCACTGCAGATTTCTTAACTTCCTTGACAAACCCCAAGGAGCGTGAGGTAACTCCGGGTTTCGAGGAGAAGGTCCCAAGAACTCCAGAAGAATTCTACAACTACTGGCAAAACTCTCCTGAGCGTCATGCTGTAGTCAAGAAAATCGACGATGCCTTGAGTGTCGCCGGACAAAACGATAAGAAGGCAGAGTTTGAGGAATACCATCATGCTCGTCAAGCCAAGAAGTCTAGACCACAATCATCTTTCACGGTGTCGTTTGGTATGCAAGTGAAGTATTTGATGGGCCGTAACTGGTTGAGAACCAAGGGTGATCCTTCCATCACTTTGTTCTCCATTTTTGGTAATGTTGTTATGGCCGTTTGTATTGCTACCATGTTCTTGAATATGAAGAACACTACCGGCGAATTCTATTCCAGAACTGCCGTGTTGTTTTTCGCTGTTTTGTTTAATGCCTTCTCTTCTTTGTTGGAGATCTTTTCCTTGTATGAGGCCCGTCCTATTGTCGAAAAGCATAAGACTTTTGCTTTGTATCATCCTTCTGCAGATGCCTGTGCTTCCATCATGACAGAATTGCCTCCAAAGATCATCACTTCCATTGCTTTCAACCTTGTGTTGTACTTTATGGTCAATTTGAGACGCTCTGCTGGTCACTTCTTCTATTATATGTTGATGAACTTCACTGCAACCTTGTCGATGTCTCATTTATTCAGAAGTATTGGTGCCGCTACAAAGTCCTTGTCTCAAGCTATGACTCCTGCTTCTGTTTTGTTGTTGGCTTTGACTATTTTCACTGGTTTTATTATTCCTCCAAGTAAGATGCTTGGCTGGTGCAGATGGATCAACTACATCGATCCTATCGCTTACTGTTTCGAGGCCTTGATCGCGAACGAATTCCACGGTAGAGACTTTGAGTGTACTTCTTTCGTCCCTGGCGGCCCAGGCTATGAAGATGCTACCGGAATCAACAGAATTTGCTCAGTTGTTGGAAGTGTCGCCGGAAGCAATACTGTCAATGGTGATACCTACATTGCACTCTCGTTCGACTACTACAACAAGAACAAATGGAGAAACTGGGGAATTGTTCTCGCATATGTCATTTTCTTCTTGGGTGTCTACATGGTTTTGGTTGAATACAACAAGGGTGCAATGCAAAAGGGTGAGATCTTGGTTTTCCAAAGATCTGCTTTAAGAAAGCAGAAGAGAAGAGCCAAGGATGTTGAAGCTCGCGGTGGTGATGTTTCTGGTTCAGAGAAGAGAGTCGATGATGAGGGTTTGCCGGAATCCACGAGTATTTTCCATTGGAGAAACTTACGTTACCAGGTCAAGATTAAATCTGAAGACAGAGTAATTTTGGATGGAATTGACGGATGGGTCAAGCCGGGCCAGGTGACAGCGTTAATGGGTGCCTCTGGAGCTGGTAAGACCACCTTGTTGAATGCCTTATCGGAGAGATTGACTTCCGGAAAAATCACTGACGGTACAAGAATGGTGAACGGTAAGGCTTTAGATTCTTCTTTCCAGAGATCAATTGGTTACGTCCAGCAACAGGATTTGCACTTGCAAACCTCTACTGTTCGTGAAGCTTTGCGCTTCTCTGCTTATTTGAGACAGCCAGCCAGTGTTTCTAAACTGGACAAGGATGCCTATGTTGAGTACATTATTGACTTGTTGGAAATGTCCAAGTATGCCGAAGCCGTTGTTGGTGTCTCTGGTGAGGGATTGAACGTTGAGCAGAGAAAGAGATTGACAATTGGTGTTGAATTGGTTGCTAAGCCCAAGTTGTTGGTGTTCTTGGATGAGCCTACTTCTGGTTTGGACTCGCAGACTGCTTGGTCTATTTGTAAGTTGATCAGAAAATTGGCCGACCACGGACAAGCGATCTTGTGTACTATCCATCAACCTTCTGCCATTTTGATGAAAGAATTCGACCGTTTATTATTCTTGCAAAAGGGAGGTAAGACTATTTACTTCGGTGACCTTGGTGATAATTCTGCTACTTTGATTGACTATTTCGAAAAATACGGTGCTCCAAAGTGCCCTCCTGAGGCAAATCCTGCTGAATGGATGTTGGAGGTCATTGGTGCTGCTCCAGGATCCCACGCTAATCAGGACTACCACCAGGTTTGGTTGAACTCCACTGAATATAAGGCTGTGAATGCTGAGTTGGATAGAATGGAAACTGAATTAGCCAGGATCCCAGAAATTGAAGACCCAGAGAGATCTAAATCTTACGCTGCCAACTTCTTTACCCAATTATGGCTTGTCCTTAAGAGAGTTTGTGAACAGAACTGGAGAACTCCTTCTTACACTTACTCGAAGTTCCTCTTGACAGTTGCTTCATGTTTGTTCAACGGTTTTGCATTCTTCAAAGCTAAGAGAACTATGATGGGCTTGCAAAATCAAATGTTCTCTGTTTTCATGTTCCTTGTGGTGTTCAACACCTTGATTCAACAGTATCTTCCTCACTATGTTGCTCAAAGATCTTTGTACGAAGTCAGAGAGAGACCATCTAAGACATTCTCATGGATCTCTTTCATCATTGCCCAGATCCTATCGGAAATTCCATGGAACATCTTTTGCGGAACTGTTGGCTTCTTCTGTTGGTACTATCCGATTGGATTGTACAACAATGCTTCACCAACCGATACTGTTACGGAAAGAGGAGCTCATATGTGGTTCCTTATTGTGCTTTTCTACATTTACACCTCCACATTCGGCCAAATGTGTATCTCCTTCATTGAGTTGGCAGACAATGCAGCCAACTTGGCGTCGTTGTTGTTCACTTTTTGCTTGAACTTCTGCGGTGTTTTGATCACCTATAACAACTTCCCAAGGTTCTGGGTCTTCATGTACAGATGTAACCCGTTCACATATATTGTTGGTGCGATCATGGCTGTTGCATTGGCGGGAAGCGATGTGGTGTGTTCTTCGACCGAGTTGTTGGACATTGTGCCAACAGATTCCAATGTCAGATGTGGAGAGTACATGAGCAAATACATCAGCAACTTTGGAGGATACGTTGTTAACGAGAATGCCACCGGAAATTGTCAGTTTTGTCCTATGGCCAGCACTGATGTATACTTGAGTCAGGTTAACATCAAGTACTCAGCAAGATGGGCTAACACCGGGTACTTCATAATCTTCCTTGTTTTCAACATCTTTGCTACGATTTTCTTTTACTGGTTGGCCAGAGTGCCAAAGAAAAATCGCAAGAACTAATTACACAATCGATTGATTTTACACATATTTATACCGCGTTCTACAAGTTATTTAAAGAAAATAGACTAACTAATATGATTATAATTTGGAAGAAAAACTAAACAAAAAGAAAAAAAGACAAATAATTAGGAACCTACATCCTTTATATTCTGATATACATTTAGTTAACTTACCTGAGTTAATCCTTGAACTATGTGAACTTTTCAGTTTGACTGTTAAATGAGACCATTTAGCATGACATTAAAGCTTGAATTTTCATCTCGTCATTTCAGTCTGAATTAAGAAAATCCTATGTCACCTGTTAATATAAAGTAACATAATATGGCCTCCTTTATTACTAATCTTGCGTTCTCTCACTTCTCTCACTGTCATTTGTCTCTCACATCAACTTGTCTCATCTTGACATGTCTCACCTTCAGTCACCGTTCATTAATCGAAGACTATCCATATTCGTAGTCCCTACTATCCCACATATGATAGATAAATTCCTTTGTTCCTTGTGCCGTTTCGTGGTCTTCCCCTATTTCTCTTTAGGATACAGACGTAAGTTGGTGTTATAATATTTGTTCCCATACAAATGATTCATAACAACGGATTTTCGTTTTGCAGATGACCCGAGCGATGCAGACGCCTTGGATGACGACCTCGAAGCTATGAAATCTGTGGCAACTAGGAAAAAGGGACCAAGGACGAAAATTGTTCCACTAGGAAAAAGTCTCATGATTGGATATGCAAATGCTATGGGGGTATTGGAAGGGTATGCTGGTGCTGGGCACTGGAAATACACTGAAATCACAAATAAATCGAAGATAAAACAGACTATAAATAGAGAGCGGGTCAGGCTCCAATAAATACTTTGTTGCTGTTGCTATTAGCTGATGAGATCTCATTTCTTTTCACCTCCGCATTTTTATTGCACAGCTGCTAAATTACCTACAGGAGTGTCGCAATTGCCGACCCGGCCCACACTATTGACTGATTGGCATTGAAATTATGAAACTCGGCTCATACATATCATCACTAGGCTTAGCTATACAAGTCATCCTCCTCGGCCTCCTCGGCAAAGGCAGCCTGACCAGCGTTCTCCTCGGATCCCTCGGAGAATCTAAAGTTGGTGAACTGACCTCTGGAAGCTTGTAGCTGCTGGGCGTAGGCCTCGTAACGACGCAACTCAGCATCAGAAACAGACCGCTTGGCGGTCTTCATAGCCTCCTCAAAGTGAGCTCTGGTGATGAATGGAACTGGGTCCTCTTCCTCCTCTTCCTCTTCCTCTTCGGTCTTGGACTTATCAGTCATCTCCACGTCGTCAGAACCCTCTTGCTTGACAGCCTCCTCGCTCTCCTTGGCCTTTGCAAGCTTGATTTGTGCCTCAATAGAATCCTTGATGGCAAACTTGGCCGATCTTTGGACAATGTACGACAAATCGGCACCTGAGAACCCGCTTGTGATCTTGACAATCTCGTTCAAGTCCAAACCTGGCTCCAATGGAGTGTTTCTCAACTGGGCCTGCAAGATAGACAATCTGGCGGCCTCATCTGGCAATGGAACGTAAATCAATTGGTCCAATCTTCCTGGTCTCAACAAGGCTGGATCTATTTGGTCTGGTCTATTAGTGGCACCGATAACGAAAACGTTCTTCTTTGCGTTCATACCATCCATCTCCGTCAACAACTGGTTGACGACTCTATCAGAAGCTCCTCCGGCATCACCATGAGATCCACCTCTTGCTTTGGCAATGGAGTCCAATTCGTCCAAGAAAACAACGGTTGGAGCAGCAGCTCTGGCTTTATCGAAAATATCACGGATATTAGATTCGGACTCACCGTACCACATACTCAACAACTCAGGACCCTTAACAGAGATGAAGTTGGCAGACACCTCAGTGGCAACAGCCTTGGCCAACAATGTCTTACCAGTACCTGGGGGACCGTAGAACAAAACACCCTTGGATGGGGCCAAACCAAACTTCTGGTATTGATCTGGGTGCAACACTGGGTATTCGACAGTCTCCTTCAACTCGTTCTTGATGTCGTCCAAACCTCCAATGTCGTCCCAAGTAACATTGACATTCTCAACAACGGTCTCACGCAAGGCCGATGGGTTGGAGTTACCCAAGGCAAATCTGAAGTTCTCCATAGTGACTCCCAAAGAATCTAACACTTCGGCGTCGATGGTCTCCTCCTCCAAGTCGATAAGATCCATCTTCTCACGAATTTGCTGCATGGCAGCCTCGGAACACAAGGAAGCCACATCAGCACCCACGAAACCGTGAGTCTCAGAGGCAATGGCCTCCAAATCCACGTCATCAGCCAATTTCATGTTCTTGGTGTGAATTCTCAAAATTTCCAACCGGCCCGCAGCGTCAGGAACACCAATGTCGACCTCTCTGTCGAATCTACCGAATCTTCTCAAGGCAGGGTCAATGGAGTTAGGTCTGTTGGTGGCAGCAATCACCACCACGTTGGATCTGGCCTTCATACCATCCATCAAGGTCAACAATTGCGACACAACTCTTCTCTCCACCTCACCGTTGGTTTTGTCTCTCTTTGGTGCAATGGAGTCGATCTCGTCGATAAAGATGATAGATGGAGAGTTTTTCTCGGCCTCTTCGAAAGCCTTTCTCAAGTTGGACTCGGACTCACCAGCCATCTTGGACATGATCTCAGGACCATTGATCAAGAAGAAGAACGCACCAGTCTCGTTAGCAACGGCTCTGGCCATGATAGTCTTACCAGTACCGGGAGGACCATACATCAAGATACCCTTTGGAGGCTTGATACCGATGGACTTGAACAATTGTGGGTGTCTCAATGGCAACTCGACCAATTCTCTAATCTGGGCCATCTGCTTCTTGCATCCTCCGATATCATCATAACCAACTTCATTGAGATTGTTCTCCTCGTCCTCACGATTGATTGGCTCACCCTCGCAGTGAATGATAGTGTCCTGGGCCACAATGGCGAAATCCTCAGGGTCCACGTCCACCACCTTGAACTCCACTTGTCTCATACCACCTCGCACCGTAAACAAGTCACCCTTGCGCACGGGTCTGTAGGCCTCAACGAAGTAAGGTTTCAAGTATACATCAAACAATGAGCCAGTGATACCTTCCACAGTGTCAGCAATTGGCAACACAGAGATTCTGCTAGCGTACTTGATGTCTGGGCATGGGTGCACGGTGATAATATCACCCAATCTAACACGCAAGTTGTTTCTGACACAACGGTTGACTCTGGCCACACCACTCTCCATCTCGTCATCAGCCAACACAATCAACACAGTATCCTTTCTCTTCTTGCCCTTGACCAAGACTGTGTCACCACGGAACAATTCCAAGAGTTCCATGGTAGCAGACGACATGGTGATGACGGAGTTGTCGTCGTTGGTGGCGTCGTCGACAATCAAAGCGTTGTCCTTCTTCTTTCTTCTCAAAATGGCGGTGGCCGTCTTATCTTCCTTGGTGTCGGCACCGGAGCCGTCCAACAACGGTTTCTTATGTTCAGTCATGATGTTGAAGAACAATTGATGAGATAAGAAGAAAGTAGTTGCCACTTGTGAGTTTGGCAGGTGGCGGGCGGTATCGAGGTTGCGTGGTGTACGGGTGTGTGGGATCGAAGATGATGGAAGAATGGGAGGATGGAATTTTAACACGAAGAGAACGGAGGAGGCAAAAAGTGGAGGGCGATGGATTAGTAAGATTTGGTAGAGGAGTTGGGATTTTGAGATTTGAGGTGTATTTTATAGATTTTTTGGGGGTTCCAACTTCTGGTGTATTTATTATTAAGTTGACCATGTGAGTGCGAGATACGGTGTGATAAGTAGTGACAAGTGGATGGTATGTAAAAGTTTGTAATGTAGAAGATTTAATGAGTGAGATATCTTGTGGAAGAATTAGCGAGACTTAGTTGTTATCCTGAGCACTGACAAATTGAGTTTTAGTGTTGGAATTGAATTTACTAAGTAGATAGAACTGGAAGCATATGTGGTGGAAAGTGTAGGAAACGTGAGAGTATCTGAGACAATAAGATAACGAGACAAGGAGATTAATAATACAGATTCAGAAAATCTTAAACACAGGTAGTGAATGTATGCTATCGGAAGGATCTCAAATGGTATCCATTCCTCAACTTATCTAGGTTTCTAAATTTTAATTCTCTTGGCTGAAATTGTAAGATCCTATGATTTAGGGTGCGAAGGACGAGAACGAAACTGGACAAGAATAGCAATTTGCAAACAAAGAAAATTGTTAAAAAAATTAGTTTTAGGGAAATGACCCAGAAATATGTATATCTCAATTCCATCATTATTCAAATCCTATGGACAAAATCCCAACAACTTCTCCATACATTCTTACTTTCCTCCTCCTTCCTTTCTTCCTTTCTTCCTTTCTTCCTTCTATCCTCCCTCGATCCCCACACCCGTACACCTCTCTCCACACTATTCAATAGGTCAATTCACCTCTTCCTCTAAATCATCACCATGGCATCCAACGCTTCGTGCATTTTCTGCAAAATCATTAAGGGCGAAATCCCCTCGTTTAAGCTTCTTGAGACTAAACACACCTTCTCGTTTTTGGACATCCAACCCACCGCTGAAGCTCACTGTCTCATCATTCCAAAGGCTCATGGTGCTAAGTTGCACAACATTCCCGATGAGTACCTTGCTGACTTGTTGCCTGTGGTCAAGAAGTTGACTAAAGTGTTGGACCTCGATGAGAACAACACCCCTGAGGGCGAGGGCTACAATGTGTTGCAGAACAATGGTAGAATTGCTCACCAGGAAGTTGACCATGTTCACTTCCACTTGATTCCCAAGAAGGATACCGAAACCGGTTTGATTGTGGGATGGCCAGCACAGGCCACGGACTTTGACAAGTTGGGCAAGCTCCATGAATCGTTGAAGGCCAAATTGGAGGAAGCTGAGAAGTTGTGAATGAGTGAATGAATGAATGAGTTTAATATGAAGATGTAGGAATTAGGCTAACCCGAGTAGGATTTTCTTTGCTGGGGACTCATGGTTGCCAGAAGTGTCTTTTTCAATGAATGAGAAATCCTTCTTATTATTAACCATACATAGATCTGAAGTACCATAAAGCTGTCTACTAGAGAGAGTTAATCGATATTGCTTTTGCTGAAACATACTTATGTCTTTCCCTTTGTGTGATATGGCTACTATGATCTGACTTCAATTGAGATTTATCTATTGGTTAAATAAAATTCAATTCATGCGGCTGGATATGAGTCTATATCTATAGATCGTTGTCACCATTTTAAAAACTTGTTCTAGATTATGTCGTGTCGGTAGTTCATCACACATCTCTTTGTAGTGAATCAAGAGACAGATTAACAGCTAATTCACTGCTAGTCGTAACTTACAATATAAGTATCCGATCGCAATGATATTGCAAGCCAATTAGTGTGACACTGAGCTTTTGCAACAACTCCACATTCCTGAAGAATTCCATCCACCTCAACAAAAAGAATAAAAGTATACAATCATTTGGTAAATATCTCCTTTTTCAACGCCTTACCAATTACAAACCTTATTTCCGAATGTATTTTCGTCACCTCTATCCACCACCTAAACTTCTATTATGTCCTACTATGGCCACACCCGTACACCTTCACCATATCACTTGCCTCTGATCACCATTATCTCCAACCAACATGTCCCAGCCAGAATCAGACTTCAGAGCCCAGTTTGGCAACTGGGCAAACAGAAATAACACATCTTCCCGTCCTGCCATACCTGCATTGTCGGATTGGTCCGATTACGTCCGTTCGGGGGCAAACAACCTCTACGACTCGTTGCCATCTTATAATACCAGCACAAGCTCCACCCAGGAGCCTCAATGGTTCCAAATGAGCCGATTTGAACGAGTGGTTGGCTTTGGGTGTTGTCTTGGAGCGTCATTACTCTGCTTCTTCATGAGTTTCTTCCTATTTCCGGTGCTAGCACTCAAGCCTACTAAGTTTGCCTTTCTTTGGCTGATGGGATCGCTCTTATTCGTCGTTTCCTTTGGTCTTCTACAAGGGCCCAATGCCTACGTCAAGCATCTTACTAGCAAAGATCGAATTTTGTTCACAAGCGTGTTTTTCGCCTCGGTGTTGACCACCATGTACTGTGCGGCCATTCTCAAAAGCACCATCTTGACAATATTGGCCAGTGTGGTGGAGTTATTTGCCATTTTGTACTATATTTTCAGTTACTTTCCGTTTGGAGCCACTACAGTGACGTGGTTCACGAGCTACATCGTTGGATACGTGGGAGGTTTCTTCACCAGCATGCTCTAATTTTAATACATGATAGGAATGGGAATTTTTGCAGAGGAAGTTAGAAATTGATGTAGAAACAGCAACACTTACAGATGAAAGTGACAGTCATCACGAGTACCGCCATTAAAGAAATGGACAATACGAATACACTGACAATTCGTGACATTAAATGCTATATAATCTAAATATAAATCTGAACCTCAAAGTCCTCTTCGAGTTCTGTGTCTCCCACTTTCCCATCCAAGTCTAGTGGCTCGTCATCAAATATTAGTTTTGCCTTTCCGACATCGACTTTCTCCAATCCCTTCACCTTCAAATAATGCGCAAGTAGATCTCGGATCTTCGTCTGAGGCCCAACCTCACACTCAATCCGCTTATTGTCTTTACCTTTGAGTCCAATCACAAAATACTCCGACGAATGCTGTGGACTTGGAGAATCCTTGGGACTAGTGATTTCGTCTACCAAAACCACCAGATCATCCACTACATCTTCAATATCCACTGAATTGTCCATAACCTCAAAATGCACTGTAGTGCCAGAGTCCTTGTTGCCATATTGGTCATAAAAACGTTCCAAATCTCCAAGTTGAAATTTGGCAATATGTAGCACCGTCACTCTGCTGGGTGCTCCATACGCAGATGGTGGTATTCGAAGCGTGCTGGGCTTGAAGAATGGCTTGAGCTCTGATCGACCCTCCACCCACATCAATAAGCAATTTTCTGGTAGTTGCATGTTATAACCTCGTCTTAGTAGCACCTCTCGCATTATGCTGTCGAAATTGAAGTCTCCACTAACCTCGACCTCATCTTCACACTCAAAAACCTTGGAAATCACTCTCACTAGGTAGATTCTGGAGAGGTCTTCTTTCTGAGACGAAATCCCCTTGAAGAAAGTACTCAATGCAGAGTCGGGGTCATCTTCTACATCATCAACCACTTGTATGTGATTTTTCTGAGAGTCTTTCTCATGTTCTTCTTTAGATTCTTTCAAATGCTCGACATCTTGTAGAATTTCAGTATCCTTCTGTATTTGACTGTTAGGACCCTTCAGTGCTTCCAAATCAGGAACCTCAACACCTTCATCACCGGAGAAAGTATCACGGGCTGAATGAAACGACTGCACCAAATCGTCTGAGAGAATATTGTCGCTGGATGCTCCACTGCTGACCCCATTAACGTTTTCAGTAGGTTTCTTGGGCAGAGTCGGTTTTAGCGCAGGTGATTTTGTCTTTCTATTCTTCTTGAGCACGAAGAAGTCATCGTCCTCGAAAAAAGACCGCTTTTTCTTCTTTTTTAACGGCAGCGTACTAGGTTGGCCCATCTATCAGATTGTTTAATATGATTTCGCAACACAGATGTAGGAAGAGGTGGAGGTCGAAGTTAATACGATAGCCAAAGAGAAAAGCAAGGAAGAATTAAGGAGAATTGTATATTGTTGATGAACTTTCGGTCCCTATAAGTCAAAATTTTTTTCCCTTACTTTTCGCCCAATTTATTGGAGTACCCCTCCACATCATCTTCATCTCCATGATGTTTAGGTCATCATATACACAGGCCAGAATCTAACATTAACAACAACTGGTCCCATGGCTACAGATAGCAGCAAAATCGTGCTAAAGGCCAATTTGCCTCGGACACGGGATCTCAGTTTTGTCGGAAGATTCCACCATAATTTTGGTTTCGAAAACGGCTTATTTGAGTATCTTTTGACCCAGAAGGACTTATGGGGAGATAAACTCTTCTATTTCAAGGAATCGGACTTAGAAAGATGGGCCAATGCGGGCCAACAAAAAGTTCGTGAGATTACTATATGTGATGTTGAATCGAACTTTCCCGATATCGAGGGCGAACAGCTTCTGGAGCTGGACTTTCTTGTTGATTTTGGGCTGATCAAACCAATCAACTTAAAAGTGGCCAAGAATGGCGCTTTCTCAGAGCGAGAATTGGCCCTTGGTGATCAGATCCTGTTAAGGAATACAATTGGACGAAACGGAATAGCTCTCAACGTGGGAGGTGCCGTGACGGCCATGAAATGGCTTCCATACGGGAACTCTCCAATTTTGGCAGTAGCTGTCATAAACAATAGTGAAGGACTCCCCGCCATGATTTCTGACCCATATCTAGGCGTGTATCCTCATGAGAAGTTAGATGGAAAGACAAAATCGGCTCTTCAGATATGGAAATTCCATGCGGGATCAATGCTGATGGAACTCTTCCAAGTCTATGAAACATCTGCATTCGGAGCTACTGCCACCATCAATTGGGTTCCCCTGAAACTGCAAAATGAAGACGTTTTTGGAGTTTTGGCTGCAAGCTTCTCTGACGGCAAGTTACACATGTTCAAGGTCAAGAACCATGTATCTGAGTCGGCTGTGTATACCAAGGTCTCCGAGCCTTCATGGACGGTCAGCATGAAGGATGAGCGGGTCGGAAATTCAGGCCAGATGCTTCCAATCACCTGCTATGATTTCGTCGACGATAAGAGGGTGTTGGTTGGAACATTGGATGGTGCAATCGCAGAATACGTTCTTCCAAATACTTCGACTGAGGAGTTGAAGGAGCCATCGTTTTTGGAGTATGTCGCTGACTCATGCATCACTTCGGTAAGTATTGGCGAGTCAAACAACTCCAAAATCGTGCTCGTCAACACAGCGTCCACCCAGGCATTTGCTCTTCAATATGAGAATATTCGTCAGAGTCGGGTGGATACTAACTACACCATATCACCATTGATGCCTCTTTATCACCGCGGATTCCGTATTTTCGTATATCCAGACAGTGCCGAGAGTATCGGATACACTTTTGTCAGACATCCACATCAAAAGCACAGTTTGCTTTTGAAATCAGAGATGGTATCGAGTTTCCATGTGAGTGAATATCTCAACCACCCATTGGCGATTGTGAGCAGTATCTTGGGCGATGTATATGTATTGAACATTGGGCGGAAGATCTTCGGAGTGCCAAAAGCTCACAATAAACTTGTGGTTCCGCTCAAGTTGTGGTCTTTGAGTATTATTGACAACCAATTGACTTTGTGCGGAGATTACGTGGAGGTAAAGATGGATAGAACAGACATTAAGTGGAGTTTCACGCCTCCGGAGGTGGTGGTCTCGGCTTCAGCATGGAATGAAACATTTGAGGGCAGTTCCACGTATACGTTCGGTACCTACACTGGGCTATTGGTTCTTGAGCGTCTTGACCCTTCTCTTACTTAGATGAGTCAAGGAGATACTCTTGGTGTTGTAAATGAGATATTCCGCTTCTGTTTAGTCCAATTGGTCTGTCTTATTCATGACTATTTGAGACTAGTAAATAGGCATCGTGGGATCGACATCGGTGCTCCATTTGTTCAATCCACCCTTGATATCCTTCACGTGCTTGAAACCAAACTGATCAATAAGTTTCCTTGTCGCGAGTTGTGAATCATTACCATATCGACAGACCACATACACATGGTCAACATCCTTGTCGAACGTGGCAGGAAGGTATTTGTCGATGGAATCCATATTGGCAAGATTATACTCCCATGCAATGTTGATAGAGTTGGGGAGTTTTGTGATGCCAAATTGCTCCTTGGGCCGAACGTCGACGACAACTACGTTCTGCTGGTCGAATATCTTCTGGAAGTCTCGAGGAGAAACTCTCAAGTCTTCGGTCAACACATTGGAGTTGACACTTCCACAGAATGCAGCATAGTTGATAGCGTTAGACTCAATACTGGCTCTAGAGATGACGGGACTGTCTCCACAGGACGCACAATTCGGCTGTCTGTTTCTCATTTTGAATACTCGCATGGCCTGCTGAGGATATGCGGTATACATGGAAAGGAAGGGCTTGAATGCGCCATCATAGTACCCTGTGAGAACCTTTATGGTTTCTACAGCGAGTGCCACACCTGTGAGCCCAATAGCAGGCCCTAGAACGCCGGCATCGCCGCATGTCGAGACAGATTCTGGTTTTGGAGGTTTGGGATAAAAACAACGGTAGCAGGGCCCTTCATTGTTGAAGTTTAGCACGGTGATTTGACCATCAGACTTCACTCCAGAACCACTGACTATGGTCTTTCCGCAGAGAACACTAACATCGTTAATCAAGTACCTTGTTGCTGGAGTATCAGTACAATCCACCACCAAATCATATTGAGAAATGATGGCAAAGGCATTTTCGTTCGTGAGACGTTCTGGGTGAGTGATGACATTGACATGTGGATTTAGAAGGCTCAAATACATCCTGGCAGACTCGCATTTGAGCATACCAACGCGATCTGTGGTGTGTAGCACCTGACGATGGAGATTGCTTACATCCACTACATCGTTATCTAAAATACCGATCGTTCCCACACCAGCACCACATAAATAGAGGAGGGCAGGACATCCAAGGCCACCGGCACCTATTACTAGGATTTTTGATTCTTTGAGCTTTAGCTGGCCGGCCAACGATCCGAAGTCCGGAACGATCATCTGTCTTCCATATCTTCTGTACTCTTCGAGAGATAGAGTGGAGGTAGACAGAGAAGTCAAGGAGATTTCATCGGAGGAGTTTTGATGACTTAGTAAGGCGATCTCCTCTTTGAGCTGGGCATTTTCTTGCTCGAGACGTTGTATACGTAGAAGAGACTCTTCAGACATGATGAGAATGAGATGGATCCTACACAATGTGATTGATGGCATTGACTGATGGTTTTATACTTTGTAAACTTTACAAGTATTTTTGCTAATTTACCGGTTTCCATAGTTGGTCACGATGAACTACGATTGATTTCAGATGTCGTCCGTCAAAATTTGGCTTCAATTAATCAAGCATGGCCATGTATTGAATTGTATTGTGTGAAATGTATGTGAATTCATAAGTCATAATTCAGCGAGTCCATAAACCCAGAATAGACGTTTCATTCTGCACGATTATCACCGATCAACCTTAAAAAGCTATGAGCCCGCTTGCCACAAGGATCACCACCACCGTGACTATCCACGAGTTCTTGCTGTCCAATTCAAATCTCTCTTTTGGATCGAACTGAAAATCTAGATCCAGACCATGTGTATCTACAATTTCTCGTGTCCAGAAATGCCACGCAGCAAGTAGAACCGTCAATAACACAACCACTCGAGTTATTTTACCCATGATGGATTAATGATAGTTGGAGGTGGTGGAGGATAGATTAGGCGTCGTGCGACACCCAAAGATAACCTGCTTCACAGACGATTATATGTGAAAAATTATATAATTTCTGGCTCAAAAAATGGAATATTCTGCTCATTTTACTCTGTGATGACTTTCTCATCAATCCAAGTGCATGTGGCACTGGCATGGTAACGGTTTGTCCGAAGTCCGGGGTAATCGCGACTCACCCAGATTAGAAAATACATCAACTATTATAAATCACAGACAAACCATGGAAAGGCCCACTAAAAGGCAGAAAACACAAACTGCCCTACAAGATCTACCGCAAGATCTTCTCCAGATCGTGGCGTCATATCTTCAGCCCCACGACATGGTCAACCTCTCCATGGTGAGTCACAGCATGAGACATCGCCTACTTCCCATCATCTTTTCGAAGGCTCAGGCAACATGGATGCAGATCATGTCCCTCCATGAGAAAAATGAAGTGTGTTTCTTCAATAAACATCATGTTCGCAGTCTCCGCATCACCGATGCTGTCTCGTTCAATGAGTATAAGCAGAATACCTTCGGACAACTACTATCACCAGAGGTATTCCCCAACTTGATCGAGGTTTCTGTCAATCTGATCAACCTGTCATACTGGCTCAGATACAACAAATGTACTCATGTACGTGCGTTGACGCTTTACTCAAATAATGTGTTTCGTGGAGTGAAAATCTTTGAACTCTCCCACGTAGACAACTTTGCCAGTTTGCGGCTGCTCTGTCTTCACAACTACCACTTCAACTGGGATAATAGCGACTCTCGTCCGAAAATTGGCCTTGACAATCTCTCGTTGCATGATTGCACCTGGGAATACCCCTTTGACCTTGCTCTTTTCAATCCAGACGATACTTTGAGGCATCTCACCATCACCTACTCGAACAACAACTCGTTCATGCTTCTGGAGCGATTTATTAGTTTTCTCAAGGATCCTTTTGTCGACCATTCAGAGTCTCTTCGCACGGTGGCCATCGAGTTTGTCGATATTACCGAGAATAAGAAGTTACTCACGCCTACCATCCTCCATACGTTTCTCACGGCATTTTCTGGCATCGAGAGGCTCTATCTTGCGGGATGGACGGCAAACATTAATTATTTGCGAGGAGTTTTGGCTAATCATACTTTCAATTTTCCAGTGTTGCTCACGTTGAATGTGGAGAGCTTGGATGATTTCGATGTGAGCCATTTGAAAGTGACCAACCTCAAGTTTCATGTAAGATCAACAGGACCAGGATCCAAAAAGGACCACTGAAGTTGAATGAGGTTGATCTCTTACAGTTTGGAGTCCGATGGAGAGCCGAGGTTTATCAAGCCAATCAAGCACTCGGACTAATGACGAACTCGGATTTATAAAGAACTGGGACTATGAAGAGCTCCGACTGATGGAGAATCGAGACTAATAGAGGCTCCTGTGATCTTAGATAATATGTGCATAGATTTTGTATTAATACTATATAATTGTATATTGGTTGACTTCCTTTTGCTCTTTTCCTTTTGTTTTTTTGAGCATTCAAAGTATGTAAAATTGCCCTCTACTCAATCAGAATCTACACTTAAGTGAACTTCAATCACCACTTCAAATTAGTGTTAGTCATAATATTCAGAAGCCTACTCATGGCCATTATTCTACAAATTCTTCACCAAGATCCCATTCCCTAATCTTAATTCCCTTTATTCTTTCGAAACTGTTGATGCTCTTCATACCTCATCTTCTCTTCCTTCGTGTAGTAGTCTTCGGCTGCGAAATAAACACCCTCTCTCTTTCCATGATCTCCAGGTATTTACTCATCCTCTACCTGGTCCTTGCCGTGTCAGCAAATACAGAGACATTCCTGTTTCTGGTGCCCAATTACTATGACATCCCGCTGCATCCTCAGCCCTACACTCACCAACGACTTACTACCGTCAATACGTCCACTCTGGTGATGGTGGACTACCCGATCCTCGACGTGTATAACTACGATTTGGCTAAAACATCTGTGAGTATACCGTATCAGTTCACTGAGAAGCCTCAGAATCAGCTTCTCGTCAAGCTCAACAACTATGGCGATGCGACATTTGATGCCAACGACGTCATCAACGTCAAACTCTGCTGGCCAGCCACCATTCCTGTAAATTTCGACCTTAGCCATCGTTTTATCCGTGCACATGACTTGGGGCTTGCACCAGAGCGTCTGGGAGGCGATACTTTGGATATTTACGTGGTGTTGGAGTACCAGGCAGACTTCTACAGTGTGAGGGACGATTTGGCGTCGTCAATGGAGTTTAATTTGGTAATTGCGAAACTTCCGAACAGCTTACCCGTGCCTATAGAGCTCTACGACTTCATAGTGTATTTGGTGGATATGTGCATTTTGTTTGCAGCGATGTATGAGTATGTGATGGAGGGAATAAAAAGGGCGTTTTTTTCTTGAAACGGAAACAAAGAAAAGGTGAAATAGAGAGGAGTCGAGTTATTTGCAAAACGAAATTGGATAAAACGAGAAAATTCACTTGGTTTATGTTTGTTTCATCGTTTCTCCATTACCTAAATCAAAAATCTTTCAGTTGAAACGGACAAGAACTGGAAGATGTGACAGAGATTACTTATGAGAAACAAGAGACAAAATACAGAGAAAACACGGTGGTAACTCAGAAACTGGAGCCAGAATGACGGAAACAACGAAATTGGAATATTGAAAAAAAGTCAGATACGAAACTGTGGTGTCTTAGTTATTGCACTGATCAAAGTGCTACCACACTCAATCTCACTACCAACATCATCATAAGCACAATTCCACTAACAAAAATTTCAAATTGACAGAAATTCACTCCAAAATATTTAAAGTCCATTGGAATTTCATCCATCTTTCATCAATGTATCCAAATGGGTAGCCAACCCAGGACTGCACACAGGACCACGATATCATGCCAGCCTATTTGCCCAGGTTCGCCTCCTCATACACCTACATCATGTCATCCGACGACGATCCATTGTCCCAGCCTAAGAACGAGCAGGGCCTCGACTTGTCCAAGTTGTCGCCCCAGGAGATGCGCATCTACAAGATGTACGGCAAGCTCCCTACAACACAGCAGATTCTCTCGTCCAAATTCCAAGATAAGAAGTACTTTGACAGTGGCGACTATGCCATGCAGAAACAGCTTGGCGGACCCAAGTCGGGCATCAGCGGAGTGTCAATGAAACACCCCAACGCTGAAAAGGTCAAGGAGATTTACAACCGGAACTCCATAAGTGCAGGGAACTCGGGGATTTTGTTCAATGGAAAGCTGAACTTGTTGAGCGAGTCCACGTTGGACGAGGAGCCTACAAAGGAGTAGCTTGTGGTTGAAGGAGATTCTGGCGGCTATGACTGCCAGGAACTTGACGATGCGATGATTTGTTTACGGCGACGCTTTGAGCGTGCAAATATACTTTCTTTTGATTATCGATATAGTGGTCTATTGTAGATTGGGGTGATGCTTCCAGAAATCAGCATAGGTCCGTAAAAACGTGTCAAAATGGCTGTAAATTGATCCCTAATTGGTTAAGTGATTTGGAAATCTTGCCATTGACGAATTCCTGGCATTTTCCACTGAAAAATTATACCTTTCCATCATCTTCTTGTCCCTCACTATGCATGACCTCAGATAAAGACTTATCACCAGAATTGAAAACCACGAATTTCGCCAAGAAGCGACCAATAGGAAACAAGGATTAATGGTGAATGCTTACAATTTCTGATTTCAACGACATTTTAGTTGCATTCAATACGATATTGGTCAATCACATAAACTTTTCGGTTCTTCACAACTATGTCCGAAATAGCAACCTAGGCAAATACATATTTCTCAGTTTGGGACATGGAGACGAAACATGGGATTTGACGGTCTGCTACGATGCATTTTATCAAGTTCCGGTACTTTTCTTTTTAGTAAATGGCCAATTGGATGCTAGAGAAAACAGTATGGTGGAAATACATCCTATACTCCAAACTCCATACCAGATGGTTCATCCATGCGAAACAAGCGACATAATGAACAGTCTTGGCAAGCTGGGATTGGAATATCTTATCAGTTGGTTTGGAATTCATATAGGTGCTGTTCTGGATGAAATTGAACTTCGAGTGAATAGTATAGATAATATTAATGAATAGCGACTTCTCACCCACCTACATCTTTTCTTTTCTTTCTGTATTCATGCTAATTACGCCTTCTCACCCTTGAAAATACGACATGGGTACTCATCTGTGTACATACCGTGCTGAGGCTCCTCCAAAATGGACCACTTGAATTTGTTCAAAGATGGTGCAACAATAGGCTCGCCAGCCTGGCCCAAAACTTCGCCCTTGACGACCTCAGGGTCAAGAGAAGTCAAGGTGGTAGCCAAACTGACCGTCTGGCCTGCGCCAAATGCTGCCAACTCCTTATTACCCTTGTCTCCAATAGAAACTCTAGGGTTCTGCGCAGAACCTAACGTCAACAACCCAGAAACCTTGGTCTGGTCGTATGCATGCACTTGTGGGTAGTTTCTTCTGTAATCACGCTTGCTGTATGAATTGCCCTTGATATCACCAGCTGGCAAAGTCACTGGATCCTTATAGTTTTTGGCTTCCTGGATTCTGGCACCAGGAGGAATCACTCTGAAGTAGTTAACGAGTGGGTTACCGGAAGATCTGTTTGGGACAAGCACCAAAAGCTGTCTGACCTTCTCCCAGATACCTCTGGGTCTCGAAGTGTATTTTTTCCAGACTGGAACAGCACCTCCGGACATGATTAGGTAGGTTATAGTTAGTGAGATTTTTTGTTTAATTTGACGAGGTTTTCATTGGTTGTGTTCTATACAGGAATGTACATTAAGCAGTTAGTATAGTTTGGTGGAGTATTCTATGGTCAAATATAATATGGGAATTTAAAAATTTGAAAAAGAAAACTTGATTTTGGAAGATTTGAGTTTTTTGTTATATATTTGATTCTTTTTTTTAAGGTTTGGATACATCTCATTGTTTTCATTATATAGAATCTGTGATCGTAATTGTAGTGCTCATGGGGTTCTTAGAGATAAAGTGAAGAGCTGATGATAATGGACAGTACCAAAGAAATTATGATAATGACCAAACATATTCATATTGCTGTCGTGAAACGTCCTTTGAATTATGATTAATCAATATTACCCACTTTTAAACATATAATACTGCTACCTTCAATATGATGTAGTTTAGAGAGTTTTAATACCTTCGATTGTTTTCTTATAATAATCCTCAAATGTTGTTGAATTTGGTACTTTTCTTTTGTCTCGCTTCAATTATTTATGTAAAATTTTGTACCAATCAACTTGTACATTCGTAAGTATCCTTTCATCACAGTATCTGGACATTGTTTTTCCATTAGAGTTAGTTATTTAGAGCACTTTCATATGTATTATTTCCCTAATGGGAATTATATTACATGTGTGTGAACTTACTTCACTAGGACCTTTGTATCCCAAAATTAGAACCCAACTTTGGAACCCTACTCTGGGACCATTCCTTGGGACCACCACACTACACTAGGACCCTTTGTTGCACTATCTCCTCCCTTAACGATGCCACTGCCGAGCCCACACGCCTCTAATACTACTGTATTCACTGTATAGTCATATTGTCTTATGCCAATCGAGTTCATGCCTTCTTTCCAAACAAAATACGGCCCAACTTGCCAAAAATCGTCACGCCACAAAAGAAGAAGCTCGCAACAAACAAAAAGATCGAGAGCATAGTGTCATGGTCTTCAAACTTGGAGCCATTACTCAAGTAAACCAATCCAGTCCCCACAAATGCTGCTCCAGCGGAAGCAACAAACCCATTGACTGTGCCATCCATCAACAACCACAACGCAGGATTTATAAGCGACCATGCCATGGCCATCTGGAGCGACGACTTCCACTCAATGTGTCTGATGGCGTAGGAAATGCCCAAGAAGGCAATCGTAGATCTCACAACGTCATTTGCCAAGTTAGAACGGTGGTACGGGTTGGGGCTCGACGACAAAAGTCTCTTGGTCCATGCAGAAGGCATAATGTTGTCCAAAACGGGGAGAATCATGCTCAAAAGCAAGCCTTCCAGTACCAAGGCCAGGATCTTGTCAGCAGACTCATACCCAGCAGAAACCCGCTGGAATGGCTTCCAGCCATCAATGAATTGCATTAAGTACGCATTGATCCGTGCGCCATGACCATCTGAGTGGATAGCATGGATGTGCTTGGTAACTTCGTTGTATACGAACGCAGCAGCTCCAACAGCCACCAAACGACCAATCAAGAGCACGGCCGATTGCAATGGCGACGACTTGGTGCGCGGCGTGGTCACCACTGGTTGTTTGACAGAACCCTTGTGCAATTCCTTGGCGTTGATCCTCAATTCTGTCCCATCAATGTACTCCTCTACTTCTTCGTTCTCCTTGTTCAAGCTCGTTGATGACGTGTTGAAAATACCATACAAAGATGGCTGCGTCAAGTTCAAAACAGAATCCGTTTTTTCCATAGTGGGTGTGTTGGTGCCAGACCCTACCGGCGTGTTTTTATATCTTGATTTTAAGTATGCCATGATTTTGTAGGAGAAAGAGTTATGGTCTTTTGGTATGTTGAGGGTTGACTATGACCACGCACGTGACCATACTTGAGCAATACGACCACATGAAGGTTAATGTCAGTAAAGTATCGGAAGCCAAGGAAGGGAAACACGGGAATGATTCTACCACTTCGAATTGTGCAACGGGTAAATTGCAACTTGTCATTTCATTTCTTTTTTTTTCGTTTTTGGCGGGGGGTTCAAAATTGATAGTGTTTTCTGTGCAGCCGAAATGTCTCATATGGAAGGTGCGAGCTTCTCGGATATGCCATAAAACATAAAGTATCTTAGGAATGGCAAACAATATTGGTAAAATTTGGAATTCAAGAGATTGCTGTGTTTAAACTATCCGTTGGATTTCGATTCTGAATTCTTGATAGTGGAGGCCAAATGAATAACTCTATAACTGGAACATGTTATGGCTAATCATTGAACAGACAAGGCCCCTCGGACAGATGCAACGATTGTTAACTCATTAATTATCGGCAACTTGAGCATTGCATTTGCTATAAGGCGGTGGTTTCAGATTATGCACTCAAAGATGCACAGCTCATCCATGGAAGTAAAAGAGCGATAAAAAAGCCATCCTATTCACAAAAGGTCCTTAGTTAATATCCACTACGTAGTGCCCTCGAGTGAGGCTCGGCTTCTACCAAATAGCAGATTCAATGGTGTAACCACTTCTGCTCCTGACGACATTGTGCCCAGTGCTGGGGCGGAAGATATGGAAGCAAATAATTCAGAAGAAATGTAAGTCTATTACTTTGCTTCAAAAGTCTTTCAAGTATCACCAGAAGAATTCTAGTCTCTTCAAGTAAGATGCTACGATTTTCATTCATCCTGAACCTTGAAGAAGCTCCTCAAATGATATAGCACGAACCTCTTTCGTTCGTTGTGCCAGCTCGGATTCTACCTGAGACTTAGACTTCGCTTTCGATTTCGATTTCGACTTTTTTTTCTTCTGAGTGGGTGCTTTATCTCCGGTCTTGTGTGATCTCTTCACCAGAGAGTCTGAAGATTCGGTTGGAAATGAATTAGAAGCGGGGAGGCCTGGTTCGCTCCCAATTGAAGCATCAACGGGCGCAGAACTTTCAATCTTCGCATTAGCACCCACGCTGACTTCTCCAACTTCCAGTTTCTTCTTACTACCTCCAGATTTCTTCTTATTCTTTACCTTTTCTTTCTTGTCCTTCTTCTCACCTGCAGTCGATTCTACCTCTGTCGAAGGCAGAACGGACTTGGTTTTACCAATCAAATTACATTGAATGATATGATCAAAGTCCATATCCGCCACCATCTTTCGACGTGGATACTGTAGCTCATCGCCAATGAAGGTTTTACCAGGCGAACTCGACACCCGGTAAATAACTGGCGACAGATCACTCCCACCACTTCCAAAGCTGCTGTTCAAGCCAAACCCACTGTCCAAACGAAAATTTCCCAGCCCGAAATGTCCAGTCCCAAAACTTGGATCGTCTGCCAACGATGGTTGCAACTTATCCCATGGATTCTGCTCACAGGCATCAACATCGATTACATCCACATGTTCGTCTTTATCGCCCTCCTTGGGCTCCTCCTCCGTCAAGTCAATCACCTCCTTGAACTGCTGCATCTTCGACTTCTGTACAACATTTCCACCTTCCACCCTCTCTTTCAATTTAGGTCCAGCAGTTAGCTCTTCGACGTTTATGATACCCTCACCCAGTGGGCACCATTTCGAGTCCTTAATACGTTGTTCTGCCGCTCTTAACATCGCTTCTCTCATCTGACCAGGCAGAACTTTCGCTCCTCCCAACTTCCGCAGCTCTGCCTTGTACTTACCTTTGGAGAGTGCCTCGAGTCGTTTTTGTCGAATACTGCTCGTACTTTGACCGAGACCATATCCTCTTCCGAGAGTGTTTTCCTCACACACGTAGTTGCTAGCATCAAAGTCTCTAGCCTCATATTTACTGGTTAACTCGTCCAAAAGCGCATAAAACTTCGCATCATGAGGTCCATGAACATTGTGCGCAAGCTCATGAAGCATGGTGCCTATGAGATCAGACATTGGATAGAAAGAGTGCTCTGCGTAAGGCGGCCGGAGACGAAGCAAAATCTTCTGTCCATGGTTAACATTCAACCCCAATAACTGGGGGTTCTTAGGATACATTTCACAGAGCATTCCAAGCTTAAAGTTGAAGTGGTGCATCAACGGACCCACAGCCTTAGCGACATCGTGGAGTAGTTCAAGGGCGTAGTCTCTGTTGTCGAAACGTTTCAAAGAGGCGATCTTGGCTATGCTTGCAACTGGCGATGGCCGATTAGGTCCGTTTGGTCCTGGTTTGGGACCTGGTGCTGCTTGTATCACCATAATTTGCACTTATATAGTAGCGAAGTGGCAGATTTCGGTAAAGTTATGTTTTAATTATTTTAGGCTTGTTCAGGTTGTTCTTGGAGGGCGTCAGAACGTGTGGTTGAAGGCTATTACTAAGTTAATTAAGACGTGCGTGACCCGATTTGATAAGAGATACGGAGATGGCGGAGAATACTGGAGATACGGGGTTTAGAGGAAGGAAGAGAATGGATAATGGCGGATGAGGTTTGTTTTAAGGGATAAATTAGTAGAAATGATAGTTAGGAGATTTTGGGTAAGTTTTTAGCCGCTGTTCAAAACATTATGGGTTTGAAATCTTGCGCTTCTCCACAGTATTTACTTTATTTGATAGAGATATACGAAAGTGGAAAGTGGCAACTAATCTTGATAGATAATGAAAGAATCAGTAAAAAATGAAATATGGGTGTCCTGGACGATTTTTTATATCTACCATAAAAGAGACTGGTAAATTAAATCATAACACGTGGAGTCTGAACACATTCATTTAATAAGTGAAATCATCTTTAAACCTAACAACTTGACGTATTGGAAAGAAACTGATGAGTCAATACCCATCGGTTTGAAAATTCAAATTATAGAGGTCAGAAATTTATATACTCAGCATAATTCAGAGCTACAGAGAATGGGAGGTACTTTCCTCAGACCTTACAAAGTCCTGACCCAATGACATCATTTTCAAATATTCATCTATATCAATACGAATTTTAATTAACCTTTTTCGACTCTCTGGCTAGCTCATCGAGAAAACGCACCATAAACGTACCTGGACCCTCGACATCTTTCGCAGCCACCTTACCTGCTTGATTATACATTGTAACAGCACTCACTACTGCCTTTCCAATGTCAAGCTTCTGTTTACGGGCAACAGCAACGTATGCAGCAATAGTGCTCCCAAGAGAACATCCAGTTCCAGTCACCAGTCCCATATATTCGCTTCCTCCTTTGACCTTCAGCACCTCTCCCAGTGGTTGTGTTCCATCGTAAATATAATTGATCTCTCCCGTCACCACCACCACCGAGCGGTATTCGGTGGCCACCTTTTTACAAAGTGCTTCAGTTGCATCATCAGATGACTTAATTAACGAATCCACGCCTTGCATGAGCGTCTCTGAATCGTTTGATCCATCACTTCCCAATTGGGCCAAAGCAGTGATTTCTCCGAGATTGCCCTTGATGACAGAAAAGTATCCAGCATTTAGCAAAACACGACAGGCTTCACGACGTGCGCAAGATGCTCCAGCAGCAACAGGATCGAATATCACCGGACTGCCATGTGCATTGTACGTTCTGAGTCCCAGCAAGAATACCTCCATGAGTTGAGTCGAGGGTGTTCCCAAATTGATCAACAAGGCAACAGATGGCAAGCATGCAAATTCTCCAAATTCCTCCGGTAGTTCGGACATAATGGGTGAGGCACCAATTGCCAAGGTGACGTTGGCACTGAAATTCTTCACTACATTGTTTGTAATGTGATGCACCAAAGGCTTCTGGTCAACGAGTCCTAAGGCAAATGGTACCGAACTTTCCGAAGTCCACTTCCAGGCTACTGGAGAACGAATAGAAGCCAAAAGTTCTCGTGTAGCTTTACCAGCATCTGTAGCTGCCATGATACAAGATACCACAGCTACTCCATCTATTTCGTAACCTGGAACCAGGCATTGGAAGAGGACCTTGGCCGCGTTAGAGTGCTTAATGCCACCGATAGCAACAGAGTTGATCAATTTGCCTTCTTTTTTATACTTGCTTAACACTTCAAGAGAGCGACGAATACCAATTGGTCCAACAACTGCCTTTACCTTCTTGGTTTGAGTAGGATACACAGTTCCGAGCCCTACATAGTCTGCAACACCCTCTTCACAGACTTGAGTGGTCTCAGCGACGTTTCCACACGAGACTCCCAAAATCTTGTTTTTGCCAATAAGTTTTCTCACCGTGGCAGCAGGCATATCGTCCTGGCCAACATGGACACCATCAGCATCAACAGCAAGTGCCACGTCCACACGGTCGTTGATTATGAGGGGAATCCCTTTCGGCCTGGTGATTTCAAGCACTTTTTGTGCCCTCTCGATGAAATCCAATGTCAGAATCGATTTTTCTCTGAGCTGGATGATGGTAGCTCCGTTCTCCACAGCCAATCTCACCTGGTCGAGAAACGTCGAGGTTTCTGGGACCATAGTGGAGTCTGTGACAAAATATAGAGTATAATCTGGGGTGATTTTGGACATGTTGTTAGCTAGAAACTTGAAGAAGAGCTCGCCAAGGAAACCAATGAGTACTTATACTTCTATTCGATTATCTCTCAAAGGAAAGCCATTTAAGCGCATATGCTCTTAGAAAGATCAGCTAGTGGAGGAAAAAAAGAGATAAATAAAGAGAGAGAATAGAGTCGACATGGGAAGGGAATGCAGATGCAAATGATTCAGCGGACATAAAGATTCTGAATTCCTATAGCAAGACTTTCAAAATACATGAATAGTTCGACATTTAAGTAAATCACTTGTTCCTCACATTGGATCAGTTAGTGAGCCACTAACAAAAACCACCATTGACAAAGAAAAAACAGAAAAATTATTTACATTAAACATTAAACATTAAACTTTCACATTTTTCTTTCATTAATGGCAAGCAGAGTATCTATTTCGTAATGAGTCATGGAGGTCTCCGCTTATCAGCCCAATCGGGAAGAATGCGCTATCTCATTTATAAGCCATGTATCTACCCTATGAAAAACACCAAGATTCACTCATGACCCTTCCAAACCACAGACGGAAAGCTGCATTTGATGAAAGCTATTTTATCTGCCGAAACGTCGAGAAATACTACTCTAACTTCAATGTGGTGGGCCAATATAACAAACACTTCTCGAAAGCGACCTTGTCGAATGCTCTTAAGTCTATGATTGCCAAAAATCCATGGCTTACTTACAATTTTTTCCATATTTCAGACAAAGAACCTGTTGACTACCACACGGACTACGAATTGAGGTGTGTTGACAGTATCACCTTTGACAAGGTGGTGGAATATCGCCAGATAGACAAGTTTGATGAAAGGACGTTTGAGACAATCAACGAATTCTCAAACAAAATCAACTGCACGGACGCTCCATTGTGGCAATTGTGTGTGTTTGAGACAGACGAGTCTCAATATGTATGTGGCTACTTTTGCCATACACTTCATGATGGAGGCACCGCATTACAGTTTCAGAAAGATTTAGTAAGGGAACTCGAGGCCTTTGAACACGAGAGCCAGGTGGTTGAAAATTTGTTCGACTACGAGAAGGCTAAGTATGAACTCCCAGATATTCTTCCTGCTCGGGAGTTGATGACCGACTTGTACATTCCAGGAATCTTCCAGAGAGTTAAGTTATGGATGAACGTGAAGTTTCCCATCATAGTTGGTTGGTTCCGGCGATCAATAGACTACTTAAAAAGTTTCATGGGCATTTCTGAAGAGAAAAGCCCCGTTTTTGCTTCATTTGCTGTCACCAAAGATCTTTCATCCAAGTTCAAGATCGTGAACTTCTCTCCACAACAAGTCAGGTCCATGACCCAATACTGCCGAGCAAACAACATCACACTCACACCATTGTTTAACGTGGTGGCTCAGGATTGTATCGAGAAGCTCATATTCCCTCATTACTCACGCCCAGACGGATTTTACGAGTACGCTAGCTCACACTTTATTGCAATCAATGGCAGAAGGTTCTTCCCTCAATTTTCCAATCCATTTCTTTACGGGGTGTTTGTTGCTGGTGCCCCAACTACTTTTGACTATATGAACATTCAGTCCAAAGACGAATTTCTTCCCCACATAAAGAGATTCCATAGTATGATTTATGATGAGCTCAAATCTCGAAGAAGCTTTAAGTTGATGTGGACGTGGGCCGTGGCAGATATCTCCAAGGCACTTCAAACCAAGATTGGGAAGTCGGAGCGGTATACTACTATGATATCCAATTTGGGTATGGTGAAAGATGACCCACAGTCATCATGGAAAATAGTCAATGCTTGGTTTGGACTGAATACCTCCATCGGGTACCATTTCATATTGAACATGACCACCACCGAGACGGGAGGCTTGAACTTAGTGATTCCGTATTTTCCAGCGTACGGGGACCTTGAAATGGAGGTAAATGGCGAGAAAGTTCCGGTGATGGATCAATTCGTAACTCAATTTAGAAGATCCTGTCAAGAGATCATAGAGGCAGTCTAATCACAGAAAGATTTAAAGAATATATATTCAAGCATTCAGCTCGTATGTACAACGACTGATTTAGTCCTTTGGACCAATCATAGTCTCTGGTCTGACCCACTGGTCGAACTCCTCCTCAGTCAAAACACCCAACTCCAAGGTGGACTCCTTCAAGGTCAAGCCCTTCTTGTGAGCGTTCTTGGCGACCTTGGAGGCGGCATCGTAACCAATCTTAGGGTTCAAGGCAGTGACCAACATCAAGGACTCGTGCAACACCTTCTCGATCTTGTCGGTGTTGGCAACAATACCCTCCACACAGTTGACTCTGAAAGAGTTAGAACCATCAGCAATCAATCTGATAGAGCTCAACAAGTTGGAGATCATCACAGGCTTGAAAACGTTCAACTCGAACTGACCAGAGGCACCGGCGAAAGTAATGGCAGTGTTGTTACCCATAACTTGAGCAGCGACCATGGTCAAGGCCTCGTTCTGGGTAGGGTTAACCTTACCAGGCATAATGGACGAGCCTGGCTCGTTCTCTGGCAAGGACAACTCACCGTAACCACATCTTGGACCGGAACCCAAGTATCTGATGTCGTTAGCGATCTTGAACAAAGAAACAGCCACGGTGTTCAAGGCACCGGAGGTCTCGACGATAGCATCGTGAGCAGCCAAAGCCTCAAACTTGTTTGGAGCAGTAGTGAACTTCAAACCAGTCAAGTTGGACACCTCCTCGGCAATTCTGACGTCCCAACCCTTTCTGGTGTTCAAACCAGTACCGACAGCAGTACCACCCTGAGCCAAGTTCGACAAACGTGGCAAGGTGCTCTGAACTCTCTCAATACCGTAAGTGAGCTGCTGGACGTAACCAGAGAACTCCTGACCCAAAGTCAATGGAGTAGCATCCTGCAAGTGGGTTCTACCAATCTTGATGATGTCCTTGAACTCCTTAGCCTTAGCATCCAAAGCGTCACGCAAAGCAGTCAACTCTGGAATCAACTCCCTCTCGATCTCGGTGACGGCAGCAATGTGCATCACAGTAGGGAAGGTGTCGTTGGAAGATTGAGACATGTTACAGTGGTCATTTGGGTGCACAGGCTTCTTGGAACCCAACTCACCGCCCAAAATCTCAATGGCTCTGTTAGAGATGACCTCGTTGGCGTTCATGTTGGACTGAGTACCGGAACCGGTCTGGTACACCACCAATGGGAAGTGGTCGTCCAACTTACCCTCAGCAACCTCAGTAGCAGCCTGCTTGATAGCACCAGCGATTTTTGGGTCCAAGGCACCGTAACTCTCGTTAACAATGGCAGCAGCCTTCTTCAAAATACCAAATGCTCTAACAACTGGGATAGGCATACGGGCGGCAGGTCCACCGATCTTAAAGTTCATCTTGGATCTGGCAGTCTGAGCACCGTAGTACTTGGACGAGTCGACCTCGATTTCACCAAAGGCGTCGCTCTCAATTCTGGTTCCACTCATGTTGGAAGAAATGCTTCTTGTGAGAGAGATTCTAGAGGCAGGGGTCTTAGCGAGTCTCAACATTTTGGTAGGAATTGATGGATAGAAAAAATCCTCGGGACCATGGAGGATTTATATGGCGGACCCGGCGCTTTTCGGAACTTTATTGGTTCCCCAGATATTGTCTGGAGTCATTGAGTATGTGCAGGACAGTCCGGCGTGGACTCCGATTCGGTATTAGTGTTTAGCCGGACAATAAGTGACAGGGAATTTGTGGAGACGTTTGAAAATCTAAGTACAGTAAAGAAATTAGAAATAATAGAAGATATGGACTTGAATCATTAAGTTGATTGTTTTTGAATGAATTCTATATGATTCTTTGCTCAAATCTGTGGTTGATTCAGAGGATGTTTCACCTACTCGTACATTCTTGGGAAACATCAAAATAGCTGATTTGAAGTCATTTGGCGGTGAGATATAGCCACATATGACGATAAGGAAGAGACACCTTCATCATTATTTTGAACGTTAAATTCACCAAATATATGATGCTCTTTATGTTTTGGGATTTGCTCAGTTAGTTAGTAGCTAGTATTTGTTGGGTGATGTGGTTGATACGATAGTGCCACTGGGATCTTTAGAATATTCAAGAGATGTTCTCACCATAAATGGTGAGTTCATACCATGGCATGTTGATTAGCCTGTCTAGGTGTAATTAAACATGGCTCTTTTCAACCAAATCGGACTGACCTTCTTGAATGCTTTCTTGGTCCTTGGCTGAGATCTATTATCCAGATAAAGAATCCGAATCATCTTTTGTAGTTAACGATTCAGAGACTTAATATCATCTACAGATCCCACTATAATTCACAAGAAGTCACTAAGTGAAGTCAATCTAGCCTTGGATGCATGGTATACGAGAAGGTTCCAAGTGCATTGTTTTGTCTACATAAGGACTAGAATCTGAAATTGATAATACCCAATAATCGAGAAAAGACAAACACTCAAGTCTTCTACAAATCTTCCTAAGTCTCCTGAGCTCATAATGTGGTTTGAAATCTTAGAATGGATATTCTTGATCCATGTGTGTTTGTTTCCACCTCTTGCAATATTCCTAACTGACCCTTTCAATTAGAAATTTCTGTGTTGAACTTGCTGATGCATTTGAAATGTATGATGGTAACTGTTAGTATGATAATACTGTTATTGTGTTAGCTCAACAATGTATCACACCCTTAAGCTGTTAATACAGAGTAGTCCATCAATTCTACTTCGATGCCTCCGGTGCTCTACAGTTTTTTCTTCCACCTGCTTTCTTTTATTTTATGTTCCATTGGATCTACATAGTTCAAATGAAATCACTTTCCAACTGGCACTGCCAATTCTATTTACTTTCTATAAATTCCTGGAACTCCTCCAATGTGGGCCATGGCCATTTCTGCATAGTCTCCTTGACTGGTACAGATCTGGCATGCTTGATGTGCCTTTCAGCAAACGCCCTGGGTAATGCTTTTAAAAGTGCCATCAATGTGCTCTTAGAAGGAACAAATTGTACTTGCTCCCACCATCGTATCACCTCCGCCAATTCTGCAAGGTAATCTGATGTGCTGAGCACCTGAATGTACAATCTCCAGAGTTTGTTAGACGCTATTATTCCACCTGTACTAGCAGGCATCAATTTCTTCGCAACATGCGTCTTAAACTCATGAACTGCTACCTGAGGAGCATAGAGCTGACCCCACATCATCACCTGGCCCTGAGGACGTATGTCACACGCTCTCAAAAGCGCCACAAGACAATTCTCGTCCGCCAATTTTCCCTGAAGTTCTTCTATGTACATGTTGTAAATTTCTTGTGGCTGGTGCACAACTTCTCCGTTGAGCATCACTCCGATAGTGGACGTGGTTTTTCGATCAATACTAGCGTACAAGTACCGGGCACAGTCAATGTTGGTGGTACTGTGGACATATCGATCGAGATACGGTTTGCGGACATTCTTTTCTGTGCTAAAACGGTAGAGTAATGTCAAGTATTTTGTGACTACTCCGCTTTTGAACATCTGAAGCAAGTCCCCATCCTCGAGAGTCTTGATGAACCTTTCGATGCCGTTGATAGTGTCAACAGGTTGTAGGAGTGTCAATATGATATCCTTTGAAAGAATGAGACTATCTTTTCTGGTTACAATTTCAGTTAACAATTTCTGGGCTCTGGCTTCAGTTAAAAGCTCAAGCGACTGGAGTCTCTTCACAAAAACCAACCACAACGACGCAGAATTGGGAAATTGCGCTATTGCACTATTGAAACTATGCAACAACTGTTCGGGAGTTGTCGAAAGATGAATGTTTCCAATGTGAAAGAACGTGGACATTTCATGGAAGTGGGACTGGCATATTTTGAAAAGCTTTACTGCCTTTTCGTCAGAAACCTCTCGAATGGCAAGAACAATGCCAATGAAGCCTTCCTGAGACAAGTTAGAGTGTCCAATGCCCTTAACCAAATGCTCCTGAGATCTGATCACTGCCATGGCTGCTGGACCCGCACGATGTGAGCTTCGAATATAGTAATATGCGAGGGAATAGACTAGATGGTTGACAAACGAGTAGTCGATCAACTTATGTTTGAATCCAGACTTGGTCGAGGTGAAGTATTGCAATGTTTGCAGAATGAGATCCGGAAGAGCTTGCGGATCAAACTGGATGCTATAGTATGCTAGGTTGTGGATAATGCTAGAGGTATGCGAAGTTTTCTCATGGTATGCCTGTCCAATCGAGCCCATGAACGTAGTCCAGAGATCTATCTGGAGGTAGAGCTCATCCTTGGACATGGGTGTACGGAGAAGAATGTCTGAGGTCACAAATGCTGGGATGTTGGATAGCGTAGCTAACTGCTGACAGGCTTGGGAGACGCCGGCTGAGGTGAGCGAACGGATCCATGCTACTACATTGGAAGAGGTAGCAGAAGTGTCGCAAGAGAGACATGATAGTGCGGATGAGAGGGCCTGTTGTTTGGCTCCATGTCCATCTTTGATACCAAGCTGCGAGAGAATGGTCGAGAGCTCAAGATAATGCCTCTTTCTGAACTTTTTGTTGGAGTCCAATCTGGCCCTCAACGCATCGAGATGCTCATTCAGTTTGACGAACCATGCTTCATCATCGGTATATATTCCAGTAAGAAAATGAAACATGGCAATCTCCAGAACAGCCGAAACCTTCAATGGTGAAGGAATCACGGGGTTTCCGAGTTTGGCATTGAGAATGATCTCGTGTTGAGAGTTTCTAGTTGTTCTATCCAGCAACTCTCCACTTCTCGTAACATGGAGCCAAACTAGAAAGTTGCGAATAGACGGACGAAGCGTGATATCGCCTCTACTGCACCCTTTCTTGAATTTGCGGGCTTCTGTCTCCAAGCTCCGGAAATGGCTTCGATGCTCTTTGTCTGCCAAACGATGCAAGACAGAATCGTGATATTTGGCGGTGGAATACCCCCGAAAATGCCACTGAGAGTTTTTTAGTCGTAGTCGTATTCGACATATGGGCACACGAAGCATTCTGTTGCTTCGACAGCGATTCAGTGGATTATGGCACTTACAACTTAATGTAGATTTTTGATTGTCTATGCACAACGGCAGTGAAGAGGTGTAGAAAATATCTGGAGGTTGATGGTAAAAATGAGCAGGGGAATCGAAAAAAGTAATTCTGCAAAATGATTCAAATTTCGATCAAAGTCCAATATTGTCTGTCGTGAGACCAAAACCCTCTAGTTTATCAAATATTTCCAAGTTCATATACAGCTGACCACTGTCATACCCTAAACCACATTACTCTACACTGTTGCACACTCTCCCAATTATATACATTACTGGCTATCTCCAGCGTCCTCGTTCCCATGGCTAAACTCCCGCTGTCGCCGAAGGGCCTTCAGCTTTGCGTTCTCGAGCTTTTCTCGGATCTTCTGTCGCCTCTTGGCCTCTTTCTGCATCTTCTTATCATACCATTTCATCGTATGCACAGGTTTGACCCCAAAAAACGCCTCGTATTGACAGAACAAACAGCATGACTCGTCCACGCCTTCGGAGCTAACCGTGGCCTTCTTTTTCTTCTTCTTATTGCTCTTCTTCTTCTTCCCTGTCTGTCCGGTTTCCTCCCCCTGTGACTGTAGGCACATGAGACGGAGTTTCTCCTCGATGTTGTTGTCTGTTGGAACCAAAGTGCCGTTGCGGTCGTACTCAAACGTGAACTCACAAGACGGTTCATCGGGATCCACCGGCTCCGAGCTGGCTGGTCCATTATTAACTTCCACCTCTATATGGTGAGGTCCGTAGTCGTACAGAAACTTTTCTGCATCCTCCAACTCATCTAGGTCATAGTCGTCCTGCTCGTCTTCGTCGTAGTCGTCGGCATTGCCGTCATGGAGTCCTTCCTCGTCGTTGGTTCCATATAGAGAGAATCCTTCCTTTTCCTCCACGCGAGGCCTTCCTCTGATCTTGCGCTCTGGCCCATACGGACTGCTACCTGTGAAAGAGATAAATTCAGCAATCCGTGCCTTGAGAAATCCCAACTCCAGATCATTAAGAATCGGCGTCCCGTTGGCCTGCTTATCTTGTTTGTCTTGCTTGTCCTTCCCTTTGTACACGTCGCTGAGATGTGTTTCGATAAAATCCTTATAAACCTGACCAGGAACTGGTGGATCATCTTCTGAAGGAAATGGCAGGTACTTGTCGTCCTCAGCCATCTTTTTATTGGCGATATTTCGCCAGAATTCATATGTCTTTCTCATTTCGGCCATACGCTTATAATGCTGCGCCTTGACCTCTGTATCTCCGCCTGCCAGATCTGGTGGCTGCAGACTCTGTTCATCATTGCGTAGTTGCTCCATTTTTTCTCTATTATATGGTGAAACGTGTATGCATTTATATTGGTGATGGTGTGGAGAAGCTTTTAACAATTTTTTGGTTTGATTCACTGTACAGGTTCTGCGAATGGGTGCAAAGTTTGGGATGGTAGTTCTTTACAATTTACACATTTTGATCCATTTGAACGTACTTCATTTCTTCTTCGTCTTCTATTAATTTAATCTCTCTTCAAGGTTCTCTGTTTTTCGGCATTCTTCACCACCTTCTCATCCACAAACAATCCCTTTCTTCTTCTAATGTTGTTCATGTACTTTCTGGCCACATTCTCTCTTTCAGCAAACGTTCCAAGATCCTCCAACTCTTCCACGGTGTGAGGAACCCAGAAAGGATCGATATCCAACATGTCAAACCCATCGAAAAGCAATTGTGGACTTGCGGCTCCCGATGTCCGTTTTCTGATTTCCTCTGAGAATCCAAATGCCTCCACGACTGGGATACGTGCATTGATGATGAAAAACGGAGTACCTTCATTCATTTCTTCAGATATGATTGTGCCTCCACGCTTCTGCACAACGGCATACACTTTACCCAACACTTCTGGGTACGTTTGGATTTCACAAGTGTACATCGCGAGGAACAACCGTGGAGCATTCTTCAAGAAACCGGCATGCACGAGTTGTTGTGTACGCTTTAACACCCTTCCAGGGAGATTAAGTAAAATCTCTTCGCTTTCTGGGCGGAAAGACTTATGCAACACTGTGATAGTGCCTTGAATGGGTTCCGAGGCAAGGGGCCCCTCGTTCATAGCTAATTGGAAGCCATTAAGCACATTGGATTCGAACTCAAACTTCTCTTCATTCTCGGTCACAAACACTCGGCGAAATTGCTTGTTGTTCTGTGGGTCTTCCACGAAGAAATTGGGTCCCACTCTCTTGGGGCCAAAACTGATGATGTTGTCAACAAAAACATCGATGGATCCGAAAATGCTCATGACCTTAGTGTCAAGGAGGTTTTTCTCGAGCACATCCACCAACTTATCACGGAAAGTCTGCGCAAGTGCCATGGCATCCTCGATGGAATGCTTGAGTCTGAGAGAGACAAATGCATCGATCTCCTCTTCGCTGTCAATCAAAAACTTGGTTACTTCTGGCCGCAATGGAAATGTCTCGATATCCAACTCCACCTCATCCAGTCCAACCTCTGCCTCAACATCTTCAAGCACTTCTTTGGAGTCTGGGGATGGAGGGGCATCAAAGGCGAGACCTTCTCTGAACGGAATAACTGGTTCCTTGACTACCACATCACATCCAGGAGCAAACCTCTTCTCCAAATCCTGCAAGCATCTCTCAAGGTGCAACTCACCAGCGACACATACAATAAGCTCACCGGAGTCATCGTCGACATACCATTCCAAGACAGGATCTGCTTTGGATAATAAGTCCAAGCCCTTCTCCAACTTGAACAACTTGAGTGGATTCTGAGGCTCAATAGCCACTTTCATGATCGGTTTATTGTGAATCAAAGTTGAAGTAGACGCAAGATTGAGGTATGGCTTCTCCTCAGGAACTTCTGACATGATAGTTGCATTCTTAAGAATGATATCACCCAAACCCACCACACCCACAATATTTCCAGCAGGTACCAGGTCGACCCTGACAAACTCTCTGCCCATAATAAGCAAAAGATCCTCAATTTCAATGTCTTCTGTGAGCTGCTCGATGTTGTTAGGGTGATCTTTTGGCAAAGATGGATCATACTTGGGGCCAACAACACAAACAAGTTGGCCGCGAGATAATTCACCTGAATATACACGAGTAAAGGCCACCAAGGTCTCTTTCTCAAGAGGCTTATCATCCTCATCATCTTCGTCCTCTTCGAACTCCCACTGAAACTGATCTGGCTTAGTTTCCAAGTAAATCTCATCACTATCCTGCGAAACCTTCAAGTCAGCCAACGCTGCAGCAGCTTCAGAAGCCTTTTTGGCCTGCTCACGGGCCCTCTTTTGTCTTTCCTCAATCTCTTCCTGGGTGGGTGCTACTGTCACTTCCTTGGGGAGTTCGCTGTCTGGAATCGAGAGCATCTTGGATACATATGCTAAAGTATGATCTTCGGGCAGCGTAGAATCACAGTTGGTAATTGAGTTTTTAAAATCAAGGTCAAGCAAGTCGGCATTATTGACCATTTCATCGCCGATGGCACTGTACAAACATTCATCCAAGATTTTGTCGATTCTTTCCTGCTGAGCAGTCTGTGGGTTAGGCAAGTACTCAATCACCACACCAAGCAAAGCATGACTGAGAGGAATCCACTGGGACATTATTTGGTTGAGTAAGTTCTTGTAGTCATTAGAGCGCAAGTCTCTGGCAGACACCTTGGCACCCAACTTGGCTACAATCTTTTCAATTTTCTCATCGTCACGTTCGAGGACACAAGCGTCATAGATGTTCCAGATCTGCTCCAAGATCAAAGACACAAACAATGGCTTGAGATTGGACTGTGACGGCTTCAACTTGTTGCCTGGAATCACCTTCTTGTTCTTCATATCCAAGTAAAAATCACCCCACAAAGTCTTGGACAACGCTTTATGCGAAAAGCCCAACTTGGCCAGATAAATACGGGCAAATGTGTTAATGGAGAAGGCCCAGCCATCCATGGCTGAGGCAAAAATGACATTGTTTTTCTCAGGTGTGAAATAGAGGTCCAGGTCGGATTTCTCTACGAATTCGCCAGTGGCTCCAGCTTCCCTCCATTTCAAGTCTTCCTCCATTCTGTCGCCGGCAAAAAACGAGCCAATAACTGAATTGACCTGCTCGATAATTCTGGAGATGTGTTGATAAGCTTCAAGAGGCAGAAGTTTCCATTCGGTCACCAAACGGTCGATCTTATTGATCACCAAAAGCGGTTTTAAATTATCCACCCAGCACTGCCTCAACACATTGACTGTCTGCGAACAAACACCTTCCACAACGTCCACTAACACCACTGCTCCATCACACAATCTGGAGGCACTGGAGACCTCCGAGGAAAAGTCAATATGGCCAGGAGAATCGATCAAATTAATCAAATGCTCGTTTGTCTCCACCTCCTCAGTACCCTCCTTACGTCTCATCACTCGGAAATAGAGTGATATTGCCGACGACTCCATGGTGATGCCTCGCAACTGCTCATCTTCTCGAGAGTCCAAGTATCTGACCTTACCAGCCATTCTCTGTGAGATGATACCATTGGTGGCCAACAATGAGTCACTTAGCGATGTTTTGCCATGGTCCACATGTGCCAAAATGCATATGTTTCGGACATTGGCCGTGTTATGTTGGAGATTTTTCACCGTTTCAGGAGAAAGCTTCATGGTGGTAAGTCTTGTATATTAAAGCGATGTGAGGAAGACATTATCTGGAAAGTGCAGATCGAATCAGTTTTTTCAGAATTTTTATTCAGTTTGCTGGGTAATATTGAAAAATATCATAAACAATTTTATCACATAGTTAGATATGACCTGTCCGTTGTGTGGTCTGGAGCTTCGACAGAATCTTCTTCTGACATCGCTAGCCATCACGGTATGCTCTAATGAGCAATGTATCTACCCATTTAACATGTCGATGGAGCAGATACAACAAAAAAGGTTGATGACAAAAACCAGTGAGAGGGAGATAATGGGGAAAATGCTTCCAAAATTGGCAGGGGCGCAAGTGGATGAGAAGGTCGCCTCGTTTATGGTGAAGGAAGACGATCTCATGGAATAGAACAGGGTATGTACGGAAAATAAATAGAATTGGTTTGGGAGTGTAAAGGAGTGGAGATTGTAAATGGATGGGGTGACTTTGCTAATGGAAATGATAGGTTTTTTTATGATTATTTTTTGGTCTTGACCTTTATGATGATTATGATTGTATTTTGGCTTGATTGTTTATGATTGGATGAACTAGAGTGTTTAGTGAGTTAAAATAGAATCTTGGTGAATACTAAAAAGCATGGAAGAGTAAACACTTGAAATGAAGAAGAAATTACAGATGTACGTAAGCAAAAGTAAGTATAAGTGAGAGTGAGTGAGAGTGAGTGAGAGTGAGCGATCAGACTCCGGAGATAGTTTCCTATGGCAAAAGTCATGACCGGAATATCTAAAACGAGCAGCTGACATATTTGACACGATTATATCAGTATTGAGATAATAGTGGCAGCCTTCTTGAACATTAATCTTAAGCATAAGAGAGCAAAATAGACATCCAAGACCACTGGACTTATACAGTTTTACCGGTAGCAGAACTCAATTTGCACTCATGCTGACTTAATTCTAAAATTTGGGCTTAGGGTTTCAGGTGACAGTAGACGAGAAAGAAAGATCGGGCAATTCATTTAGGTGTTCGGTTCTGATACAGAAACTATACTTTCCATTCTTGCAAACACTTTTGATCTTCAAGTACCATAGTCTCAAATTCTTAAATGTCTATCTTTCTATTCTGGACTGTAATCATTGTGTTTGAGTCCAGACTCCTAAAGGTAAGCGATGGTCACATCGTTAGTCATTCTCGTAAATTCATAAATCAATAGTACACAAGCATATTCAAACTACCATAATACAGCCTATGCTAACGAAAATAGTAAACCATAAAATATTGCCACCAGGAATACTTTCTTCGAAGTCCACCAATCAATTTATTATTATTCAATTGCCTTATTCTCCGGTGTAATATGGTTTTCCTCAGTCCTTAATCACATTTCACAGCCAAATGTCAAGATGCGCACATTTCACCAATTCATCCACCTCATACCCCACCAACATCCCCACCAAAATATACAAAAAATTATTAGCAGAACTTCAACTCTCATCCAAACTCCCCCAATTTCTTCTCTTCCTCATTTCAAACCCTCCATCGTAGTCTTCATACTTACCATGTGACCAAAATCGGGTAACGGGCCCCAGGCACGAGTAGTCGTGCGCAAACCATCAAAAAACGAGTCGAAGTTTCGCCCACCTCCAGCTTCCCGCCATTCATTCACCCATTCCAAATTCGTGCTTAACAGCCCCCGCAAATCACCTTCCCTGCTACATTCAATTTTGGCGTCGCCACAAAGTTACCCCAAAACACATTATCAGACAAACCTTCACCTCCGCGTACTACCATCGCTCCCCACAATTGCCATCATTCACCTATCCATCTACACTCCACAATGTCAGACCTGAACTGGAAGGAGTCATTGAACATCCCAGTTAAAGATACCAGAGTGCAAACCGATGATGTGTTGAACACTCAAGGTAAAACATTTGAAGATTTCAACTTGAAAAGAGAGTTGTTGATGGGCATTTTTGAGGCTGGTTTCGAAAAGCCTTCTCCCATCCAAGAAGAATCCATTCCCATGGCTCTTGCCGGCAGAGATATCTTGGCCAGAGCCAAAAATGGAACAGGAAAGACCGCGTCGTTCGTTATCCCCTCGTTGCAACTTGTCAAGCCCAAACTCAATAAGACCCAGGTGTTGATCTTGGTGCCCACCAGAGAATTAGCCTTGCAGACTTCCCAGGTGGTTAGAACCTTGGGAAAACACTTGGGCATCCAATGTATGGTCACCACTGGAGGTACCAGTTTGAAAGACGACATCATGAGATTGCATGATCCTGTGCACGTGTTGGTTGGAACCCCAGGTAGAGTGTTAGATTTGGCTGCTAGACAGATTGCTGATTTCTCCGAATGTCCCCTTTTCGTCATGGACGAGGCCGATAAGATGTTGTCGCGCGAGTTCAAGGGAGTCATCGAGCAGATTTTGTCGTTTTTCCCTCCTGACAGACAGTCGCTACTTTTCTCGGCCACCTTCCCTTACGCCGTCAAATCTTTCATGGACAAACACTTGACCAAACCATACGAAATCAACTTGATGGACGAGTTGACGTTGAGAGGTATCTCGCAGTTCTACGCATTTGTCGAAGAAAAACAAAAGTTACACTGTTTGAACACCTTGTTCTCCAAGTTGCAGATTAACCAGTCGATCATCTTCTGTAATTCCACCAGTCGTGTGGAATTGTTGGCCAAGAAAATCACAGAATTGGGCTATTCGTGCTACTACTCCCATGCCAAGATGCCTCAACAGGCTAGAAACAAGGTTTTCCACGAATTTAGACAAGGAAAAGTGAGAAACTTGGTTTGTTCTGACTTGTTGACCAGAGGTATCGATGTGCAAGCCGTCAACGTTGTCATCAACTTCGATTTCCCCAAGACTGCCGAAACCTACTTGCACAGAATAGGTAGATCTGGTAGATTCGGCCACTTGGGTTTGGCCATCAACTTGATGAGCTGGAACGACAGATACAACTTGTACAAGATCGAGCAGGAGTTGGGCACCGAAATCAAGCCTATTCCTGCTGTAATTGACAAGTCCTTATACGTAAATGAGAATGAGGAGAGTATTCCTCGTCCTTTCAAGCTTGAAGAATTGCCTAAGGGCAAGGAGAGAAGTGCTAATGGATACAACTACCAGGGCCAACCTGAATTGCAACAGACTCCACAGCAAATACAGAGTCAACTTCAAGCTCCTCAATTTCCTCAAGCTCCACATGCTCCACAAGCTCCACAGGCTCCACAGGCTCCACAGGCCCCACAGGCCCCTCAAGCTGCTCTGGCCCCACAGGCCCCACAAGCTCCTCAGGCTCCCCAAGGTGGTCAATATCCATATCCACAGGGAGCACCACAATATGGATACCCTAATCAGTATCCTCCGCAATTCAACGGATACCCACCGCAATTCAACGGGCAGTATTCCGTGCCTCAGCAGCAGTAATGCTGCACGGGAAGTGAACAATATCACGTTCCTTGTTGTTTAAATTATCATCACTAAAATCCAAAAAAAAAAAAAAACACAGAAAAGAAAAGAGAAACATGTTCAAACCAGCATTCATGAGCTTCAAGGCATGAACTTAACGACCGTGTGCTTGAGTGCGACCACGCATCTTGGTCGAGGAAGTGTCATTCCATTCTTTCCCCAATATGCGCCTCTAACGAATTATGATTTCAATTTTTGCTTTGCACTGATGCCTGCCTGGTTTCGATTATAGAATTCTTGGTTTCTTGCTTGTATTTATATGATCTTCACTTCTTTCTAATTTTTTTTTTATTTTTTTTTTTTTCATTTTTTTTAATTTTTTTTATAGTGGATAAGTAACTACTATTACTTGATTGTAAGTACACACGAGAAGCTGCAACAGGGACCTAAAGTCCACTTCGAAGCCAGTAGTTGGCTTCCCCAAAAGTTTTACATGGAGGAGTAACGGTCTAATTAGAACCTTTATCGTCCTGCACACAATCATACTTGACTCTACCTTTTCCCATCAGAAAGTAACCACCATGTCCACCACAAAACCACTCAGACATCATTAGAATAAAAATCCAGTCTAAATCTTCAAATACCCCTCTTCAACCATAGTATAACCCCTATACATCTTCCAGCCGCAGACTGCACCTCATCAGCCCAATACAGTGCTGATAAAATTTTGCGACTCTGACCGCACTATGCGAATCTCATCTACAGATCTTTTCTCTTCTCTTTTTTCTTTTTAATACTCAGTATTCATCGGAGCCCAAGGACCCACAGGGACCTAGTATATTTTCTTACGTTCAGTTCTTGATCTTTCCAACTTTTTAATAAAATGTGTGGTATTCTTGGAGTCGTGTTGGCCAATCAGAAGGCTAATGTTGCCCCAGAACTCTTTGAAGGTGCTATGTTCTTACAGCACAGAGGCCAGGACGCCGCTGGAATCGTCACTTGTGGTGCTAGAGGCAGATTCTACCAGTGCAAGGGTAACGGAATGGCTAGAGACGTTTTCACCCAGTCAAGAATGGCCAATTTGGTCGGAAACATGGGTATCACTCACTTGAGATACCCCACCGCCGGATCTTCTGCTGGAAGTGAAGCTCAGCCATTTTATGTCAACTCGCCATACGGTATCACCATGTCACACAATGGAAACTTGGTGAACTCTGCAGAGTTGCGTGAGTTTTTGGATGAAAACGTCCATCGTCACATCAACACCGACTCTGACTCGGAACTTTTGCTTAACGTGTTTGCTTCCGAATTGGATAAGTTCAACAAGTCGCGTGTTAACAACCTGGACGTCTTCTCTGCTTTGGAGAGCACCATGGAGACCATTCGTGGTGCATACGCTGTTGTGGCCATGCTTGCAGGTTATGGTTTGATTGGTTTCAGAGATCCCAACGGAATCAGACCTTTGTTGTTTGGTGAGAGAGTGCACGAGGATGGCACCAAGGACTACATGCTTGCATCGGAGTCGGTGGTGTTGAAGGCACACGGCTACGACAAGTTTAGAGACATCGGTCCTGGAGAAGCTGTGATCATTCCAAAGGACTGTTTTGGTGAGACTACCTCCGAGCCCGAGTTTAGACAGGTGGTGGAGCCTAAGATTTTCTCGCCAGACATCTTTGAATACGTTTACTTCGCCAGACCTGATTCGGTGTTGGATGGTGTCAGTGTGTACCGCTCCCGTATCGAGATGGGTAACAAGTTGGCAGCTAAGATCAAGAAATCGTTCCCTAACCGCGATGTCTTGGGCGAGATCGATGTTGTCATCCCTGTTCCAGACACCTCCAGAACTTCAGCCTTGCAGTGTTCTGTGTCGTTGAATGTTCCTTACAGAGAAGGTTTCGTCAAGAACAGATACATTGGTAGAACGTTTATCATGCCAAACCAGCAGGAGAGACGCTCCAGTGTGAGAAGAAAGTTGAACGCCATGGAGTCAGAATTCAAGGGCAGAAACGTTTTGTTGGTGGACGACTCCATTGTGCGTGGTACCACTTCCAAGGAGATTGTGGCCATGGCCAAGGAGGCTGGAGCCAAGAAGGTGTTCTTTGCCTCGTGTGCTCCACCAATCAGATTCAACCACATCTATGGTATTGACTTGGCTGACACCAAGGCACTTGTTGGCTTCAACAGAACCGAGGAGCAGATCGCCGACGTGATTGGCGCAGACAAGGTATTTTATCAGGACTTGGAGGATTTGGTTGAGTGTTGTAGTGGACCTGTTGCTCACGAGTTTGAGGTGGGTGTGTTCACCGGTAAGTACATCACTGGTATTGAGGACAACTATATCCAAGAGTTGGAGAAGATCAGAGCACAGAACCAGAGAATCAAGGAGTTTGGGGCTAAGGGCTTGAGTGTGGATGCCTGTATTGATTCGTCTGATTTCTTGGATGTTAAGGCTGAAGTGGATATTTCCATCTACAATACTGGAGATTATAACCCTTGAACGATATGCATAGATAATTAATAGAGCGGGTTGAGGATAAGAAGTAGAGAATGAAGTAAATTGCTAGGATTAGTTACGGCTGATTGAACATCACCATTGCATTTGATGAAGTATCTTATAATAGGTTAGATACAAGTAATAGATACTTGCGCAGGAGGGGACGTAAAAAGTAACGAAAGGTTACTAAAAAACTGACAGGTCATATCCAGAACAGAAGATTGTAATTCACATTAGCTACACAATCAGCAACATAATAGCATCAAATTAACTATAGTTGTGGCTTTATGCTAATCGAGAAAGACTATATACTTATATATACCAGCAACCACCACGTAACAACCACCAATTGGCTACCTCTAAAAGGTATTTAAGTTACAACCGATGAAGAATCTAGAATTGAAGAACATTAAATATCAGCAATGCAAGCAACATATTACTAGTACAATCGATATTGACGGGAACTACTACAAGTACAACTGGTGGAGGGATAGATACAAACTGTGATAGAAATGGACAGAAAACCGCATAGATTGAATTTACACAGACGGATCGACAAACCAACATCCATAACCTCCACATTCTGTCCAACACCATTCAAAAAAATCTACACTCAGTCAACATGCCATGGATCATTAAGGTATGTACATTTACTCGACATCGTCAAACTTCTCACCAGCAACCAAGTCTGGGATGTCCTCATCTCCAGCAGCATCGGCGTTCAACTCAGATGGAGCCTTACCAGCCTGGATCTGCTCAGCCAATTGCTTCAAGGCGTTCAAGTTGTCAGCACCCAAGTGAGGCAAGATGTTTGGAATCAACTGGGTGATGTCCTTCTCCTGAGGGTAACCAGTGAAAGCAAAGGTGTTGGACTGGTGAGCAGCCTGGACACCAACACGTGGGAAGTGCAAGACCTTGCCGTTGTCCTTGAAGAAGTTGGCCTCCTCGACGTTCTCAACCTTGACGGCCTTCAACTTAGCCAAGGACTCCATCAACTTGACATCGTCAGCCTCGGACTTAACCTTCTTGGCCTTGACTCTGGCACCACCGACCTTCTTTGGGCCGGCCTTTTGCAACTTAGCTAACTTTTCTGGGTCAATTGGCATTTTGGGGGAGTAATGTTGGTGGGAATTTGGTGAAAAAAATGTCGACAAGTAGGCCCAGGCGCACGACCACTGGATCGAGGTCACGTGGTGTGGGGGGGGGTGAGAAGGTAATGGATATTTGATGAGATAAATTAAGGGCAATTTTCTTGAAAAGTTGGGAGAACAAGGGTCTTGGAGTACAATTTTGGAAGTGAAACTTATGATTTCTTTTTGTAGACTTTCATATGGCAGTGAATGGGAATGCGTGAGACGAAATATATAGGATTGACGAGGTAGGTAGAGTAGACTGCGAATAGACAGAGAACTCGGTAGAGAATAGAGAGTCTGATGAGAATACTGTAGATAGATATAGACTGTAGACAGTAGGAAGCACACATGCTAGAGAATCAGAAGTACTGTTCGATATTATGACTAATTGAGGGTAATAACATACATTTCATGCATTTTTTTATCGTCATATTTTCACTTCTAATCTCATTAAATTTTCATAATTTTCAACTTAATTCTATTTTTTTGTTGTAGATAGACAAGAGAAGTAAATTGTTCATTCTTGTGCCCCACAGTGATCTGTTTTACTCTCTACTGCGGATTTGCTCAGCGGATTTGTTCAATACATCTGCTGAATCCGTTCATACATACTCATTCCATAAGTAGCGAAAATCACTAAAGCATCCCAAAATTTCTTTTCAAATACAAATTTGCAAATCTCTCTCTCTTCTTTTATATGTTTCCTCCTCGGAGGATTTCCCCAAGCTTCCGATATCTCTTACACAGTTCGCAACCATTTATATGGCCAACGGCAACCACCTAATATTTTGTTTCTACCTCCAACTTTTTTCCAAACACCTACCCCTTTCTCTCCAACTTCTTTCCATGTTGGACGCTTACCTTCCTCGTACAGACAGGTGGCGTATTTTGGCGGCCACTGTCCCCGTCGCTCTTTCATCTGGTACATTATTTGTCTATTCCGTATATGGAACCCAGCTTGCTGATAAGTGCGGCCTTGACTCATCCCTGGCAGCAAATTTGAACATCAGTGCCACTGTAGGCACATCTGTGGGTGGTCTACTTGGTGGATATATCACCGATATGTATGGAACACAGATTCCTGTGTTCTCGTCACTTGTGTTCGTTGGTTTGGGTTACAAGTGGCTTCACTGGCTCTATGGCCAAGGTATGGACGCTCCCGCATGGCAGTTGATTGTGGCCATGTTTCTTGTGGGTATAGGCTCGACGTCCAGTTACTTTGCATCCATTAAGGCGGTCACAGTGATGTTTCCACAGTACAAAGGCTCTGCGCAGAGTGTCACCATAGCGTCATTTGCTATTTCCAGTTTGCTCTACTCTTTTGTTTACAGTAGCGTGTTCAAGGGCGACGTCAGCAGGTTTTTGCTCTTCTTGTCGCTCTCGTCGCTAGTGATGCAGTTTATCGGTGTTCTTTTCGTCAGAGTCGATGGCCACAAGACAGATAGACCAGATGTGCAAGGTCCAGAGCTCAATCACGGCCCCGAATTCGACCACCTCATCCACGAGCGCCTGCCTTTAGTGCTGGCGTCGTCCAGTTCCGTCAATTTACCATCTCTTGCCGAGGACGACAAGCCAGACGGATTGACGTTAAAGCTGCTCGACGTGAAGCACTCGTTGGTGCATCCAATCTTCATCTTCCATTTTGTTGTCATGGCCATTATGCAAGGAATAGGCCAGATGTATATCTACTCGGTTGGATTTGTGATCAAGGCTCTCCACTACGAGTTCTCTCATTTACCGGAAGCTCAAGGAGTGCCATCGTTACATTCCATCCAAGCTCTCCATGTTTCGCTCATAGCCATATTCTCCTTCGTGGGTCGTCTTGCCTCGGGTCCATTGGCAGATACCATTGTGAACAGATTCAAGGGGCACAGACAATGGGTGACCATCTTGGGCGCTCTCATCATGTTCTTGGGCCAATTTGCTTTATCTTTCCCCATCGATAAGTGGAGCAACCAATTGTCCACCGTCAATACGATTCTCTCAGTGATTTCGTGCTTCATTGGTTTTGCTTACGGTTTGACCTTCACCACCTTCCCAGGAATTGTCGCCGACTTGTTTTCCTTGAAGATCTACTCTCTCATCTGGGGAATCATGTATTCCAGTACAGTGCCAGGCTTGACCATTTTTACTAAGGTGTTTGGCTACATCTACGATGAAAACAGTGTTTTTGTGGGAGGCGATCTTGTCTGTGCCAAGGGTTCTAGATGCTATCTGGAGACCTTTGAGTTGACCTCAAGTCTCTGTGTGGTTGTGGCTGGATCTCTTCTTGTCTACTTATATATTGCTTCGCGGAAGAAAGGGAATTAGCTTTAATGGCCAACCACAATTATGATAGAATATATAGACTCAAAATAGACCCAGAATAGACTCATTGTAGGCTATACTTGATATAATAAGCACAAAGGATTCTAATTATTCCGAAGAATTATGGAAGTTTAGGTACCCTCAGAATACTGATAGTCCCAACTACTTATTATCCTATGTGCACATCAAGTCATCTTCATGTCCAGACCAGTATCTGTAGAAGACCTAATACTGCAAAACTTGGAGGCTGCCAAACCCAAGTTTGTAAGCAGAAAACAACGAAACCTTCGAAAAGAAGCATCCAAGTCGGCTAAGTCCACCAACCAGCTCGATTCTTCTGTCCCAAACAAAAGATCTCAAGAAGATGATCAACCTCAGAAAGTCCTGGAGCCTGCCAAAAAAAAGTCTCTGCGTAAGTACGCCTTTGACTGGGACTTAGAAGACGACACCAGCTCGGAGTATGCTCCACTTGTCACCGTTGATGTCTCCAAACCAAGAAACCAAGTGTTGAAGTCTGAAAAACACTGGAGCCAGAAGCCATTGGATCAAATGACGGCACGAGACTGGCGTATTTTCAAGGACGACTACAACATCACGTCCAAAGGTGGCGACTTGCCCAACCCGCTACGTCTGTGGGAGGAGCACCCTCAACTTCCAGCCAAACTTGTTGATATTCTCAAAAACACGCTAAATTACCAGGAACCAACCCCTATTCAAAGAGCAGCCATCCCATTGGCATTGGAGCACAGAGACGTGGTTGGAATTGCTGAAACTGGTTCGGGAAAGACGTTGGCGTTCTTGCTCCCGTTGCTCACTTACATCACCAGCATCGAGCCTGAGTACATGAAATACGAACATTCTCAGGAGATTAACAGCAACAAGACATTGGGGCTCATCTTGGCACCTACAAGAGAATTGGCCCTTCAAATCTCTGCGGAATGTCAGAAATTTACCAAACCTTTGGGATTATCGGTGGTCACCATCATTGGTGGACATCAATACGAAGAAACCGTGCATTCGCTACAGAATGGCGTCCATATAGTGGTGGCCACGCCGGGAAGATTAATTGACTCTTTGGAAAGAGGCCTTATTAGTCTAGAAAAGTGTTATCATTTGATTATGGACGAGGCAGACAAGATGATTGACATGGGATTCGAGAAGTCCTTGCAGCAGATCCTCGGGTACTTGCCCACATCAGACCACCTTCTTTCGTCTTTGGATACACGGATTTTCCGTATCAAGAAGAGAACGACATTGATGTTTACCGCCACCATCACTCCTGCCATCGAAAAGATCACGAAGAATTATTTGGTGGACCCAGGATATCTATACATTGGAAATGCCAACGAGCTGGTGGACAACATCGAACAGAAATTCGAGTATCTTGGCGAAACTCCAGGAGACAAGCAGACGGTGGACCCCAAAAGGCTAAGGCGTTTGGTTAATGTGTTGGAGCAGCACAAGAAGAAAGGTGCGTTCTCCGTCATTATCTTTGCAAATTACAGAAACGTCGTGGAACAGTTGGCAGACGAATTGGCCGAAAAGAACTTTGGCGGCGTTGCTGTCATACACGGCTCCAAAAACCAAGAAGCGAGAGAACGTGCGATCAAGAGCTTCAGAGCCAAAGAATCATCGGTACTTATTGCAACCGATGTTGCTGCCAGAGGTATTGACGTTCCTCATGTGTCCATGGTTGTGAACTTCCAGATGAGCAACAAATTCGAGGAATATATCCACCGAATTGGAAGAACAGGACGTGCCGGCCAACAAGGCGAGAGTTTCACATTCATAGACGATGGAGACAGCGAAACGTTCCAAGGACTCAAAAAGTTCTTGAGCCGGGGTGGATATAAGATTCCTGAATGGTTGTATAGTGCAACAAGGATATAGGTAATAGAATTAGTCGTCATCGCTGGCGTACTCTGCAAGAATAGGCTTCTGGATTGTCGTGAACACCGGAAGTGGTTTTGGAATTCTGATCTTTTTCAATGCTGCGAGTCTGGATGCGTCTAGAATTTCGATGGATTCGGGGTGGGAGATGTTAGAGAGATGCACAGTTTCCAGATCTAGGTATTCCAGGTTCAGAGAAGTCAGATCTTTAGGGCCCTTAACACTCAGACCCTTCAAGCCCTTCATACCCTTCAGACCTAGATCTTTGTCTCTCAGAGAATCCGGCTTCATTTTTTTATTCCCAAGCAAACTCTTCACCGTCTCCATGGCTGCCTCCTCCAAAATCCTCTTCGCATCTTCTTGAGCATTGGGATTAGGATCTTCGTTGGCCCATTTCACGCTCAACACATCATTTTCGCCTAGACCCTGTGCATCCATGGCCTCCTTAGCAAACTGTGCTTCGGCCTCCAAGCGGTAGCTGACAAATGCACAGCCTTTTCCGTGAAGAACCTTGATCTTATCAATGGAGCCAAACTCCAGAAAATTGGACGACAAAATCTCCTCAATGTGGTCGTTCATGTGTATTCCACTCACATATAATGTTCTATTGGGTCTAGCCAACAGCCCTACACCGCCCATATCGTCTCTGTAGTCGGCAGTCTTGTCTCTTCCAAAACAGTCTTGTGTTGGGATTCTCTGGTCTCTGTCGCTGGGGAGACGGTGGAGATACGGACATTTCTTGCCTCTGTAGCAACATCCACGGGCGAAAAAGAGACAGATGGGACTCTGGTGCTCTACGCCCTTGGTGTAGCCAGAATCACGCTTGACATCTAGTCTGAACTTCAGTCTGACATAATTCTTAGTTGACGAATCACCTCCTGCCCATTTCAAGTACCAGATGTTAAAGGTGTGTCCGGATTGCGGAGGTCTATCGTCATCAGGAATAGAATCCGGATCGACTTGGAGTCGAGCAGGCTTTCCTGACATGAAGAAGATGTGAAAGTAGTGCAGGTTGAATCAGAGATGAACTGGTGCAGGTAGATGTAGTGGAGGGGTGCAGGTTGTTGCAAGAGCGTATGGTTGTGAAATGAAGGACACAGACGATGCGGAGAACTTGGGACTCGGGGGACTTCTTTCAAGGGGCAACAAAAGGTGCTAAAGACACAAGGTAATTATGATATGTATAGCATATGGAAATAATCGCTGATTGAAGACTTCCGAAGTGAGTAATACCTGGATCGACCAATGGTGCAAATCAGTGCATGTTGAAACTAAGGATACTTGTGCTGCCAGTCCAATAGATATAAATTGAAACAGCCAGCAATCCTTTTAAATTTTACAACAGTTTTAGACTGATGACATGGTAGTCGGTATCATCAAAAAAAATGAAGCAAGTCGTAGCTATTACCATTCATGAGGGGGACTATATCGCCAAGCCTGAGGTTGGTCGTCACCGCATTATGTGCACCGATAATTGGGCTGCAGAATCAGCATCAGCGCCCAGGTTTTCAAGTTTTTATCTTGCTGGAGGGTTACAAAACATAGGACATCCGCAGTGGATGCAATTGCCCCAAGCCATTACCTGGAGATTGTAGATCGCACCATTGGCGACTTGCACTGGGATATCACAGTCTACACTAGGGGATTTCAAGCATTATATAGAATTGTATACTAACAGAAACAAAGAACTTACAAAAGATTGAGCAAGAAAGAGAAACCAACCATCCCAGCTACGGCAAAGCCCTTCTTCCAGTTGGAACCATCGATCGCACCTGGCGCGGCAGCACCGCTAGTGGAAGCCGAAGAAGCAGCTGAAGACCCAGCAGCAGAGGTTGATCCGGTGACCGAAGCACCTGATTGAGCACCAGAAGTTGCCTGGCTAACAGCAGAATGGGCACCAGAAGTAGCATGACTAACAACAGAATGAGCACTAGAAGTAGCGATGGAAAAGTTGACATTAAATGAGGAACCAAAAACACCACCACCTCCTTGTGGGTATTGCGTCGAAGCCATTGTGAGTGTCTCTATTTCGTAGGTACAGAAAAAGATCAGGCGTACTTTGGGTGTCTTTTATAATCTACAAATGATGAAGTTAGGTTGGTATCCATGGTCAGGATTATGCATAGCAACCAAACGGCCCCGAGTGTGGTTAAAACCAGAATTAGCCAAGAGTACTTTGCATCTGTACGATAGGGTACACTCAAATCTCAACACCAAAATAAATTTGTTCAGAAACGTTTAGCGCATTGAGAACTATTTGGGTGCAAATTACGAGATTCGTGCAAATCAAGTTTTGGGCAATGGCGTTGAGATCTTATCTTATATCAACAATTTTATTCTCCCAACAATAAATACTGTGCATCGCGCTGTAAGTTCGGATAATCAAAGACGACAGTGAATGGTATCATTCTTAACAAGTTTAGCCACATGCTGGTTTTGGGCATCTCGTGGGCCATAGTTCGCAGCCTACACTTAGCGGACAATTTACAGTTAGACCATGTTCGCAGCCTAAAGTTAGCAGTCCAAATTAAAGTCCTACAATAGCATTTCCACCATCATTAAATCATATTTTCTAAAACATATATTTTGAGACATTATCATTACAAAAGGTTGAACAAGAAAGAGAAGCCAACCATACCGGCCACAGCAACACCCTTCTTCCAGTTGGAACCATCCATTGCACCTGGGACGGCAGCATTGGTACCCGAAGAAGCAGCAGAAGAGGCAGAACCAGCAGCAGAAGATGCGGCGCTCGAAGCACTAGAAAGGATCGATGACAATTGAGAGCCAGAAGCAGTAGCAGATGCGTTCGAAGCAACGGAGGAAGCAGAAGAAGCAGCAGAAGAGGCACCAGACAGCGCAGAGGCAGCAACGGATGAGGCATGGCTAGAGAGCGAACTCAAGTGGGCAGCGGAACTTGCATGGCTAGCAGCAGATCCAGCACCGGAAGTAGCATGGCTTGCAGCAGATCCAGCACCAGAGGTGGCAGCACCAGCAAGAGAACCGATACCAGAGGTAATATCAGAGACAGCGTAGTTAATAGCGTTGAAACCCATTGTGAATAATTATAAATTTATGGTGGAGAAGAAATATGAACGTACCTTGAGTGCCTTTTATATTCACCATATGCTGGCTTTGGTTGCTTGCCATGGTGGAAATTATGTGCACCGGCCACACCACTGTGATCGAGAGAATGCGCTTGAAACCTAGAGGTGAAGGGTACCTGCATCTGTATTATGGGGTAGACTCGATAGACAGGAAGTCTAAACAGAGTGCTGGGTGGAAGTCTGAGGGAATTGACAACACGGAGAGAGCATGATAGGGTTATCTAAAGTTTTGTAAACTGATAAAAATACTTAGGGAGGCCGAAAAATTTCTGGCATTCCTCCTGCCCGACCCCACATTGAAAATTTACATTTGGAGTCGCCTTGGTCTCCACACAGCAATTAATGTGGCTCCCCGAAGGGGTTAAATGGCTTCCGGGCGACTGTGCCTTGACAGGCCAAAAAAGTGGGCTGGTGCCGAAGGAGAATAGCCGCTGGAAATAGCAATAGTAGAATAGGAGACTTCTGAAAAGAAACGAGAAGTGTGTATGAGAAGTTTCCAAAAATAAGATTAAAATGGGGAAGCATCAAATCAACGATTTCATGGATCTTGAATTGCTAAGAAATAATGGAAACCCAGAAAATATGGGCAAATTCTTGACTATGAAGTGAACCCTACAACGTGACAAATGTGTGAATGGGCAGATCATTTGGATGTAGATAATAATATGTCAAATTTGACATGAAACATTCCGAAATTCGCAACAGGTATTCAATAGACACTTTTTGCAAGACCATGTGATGGTACACGAAACGTGATCTGTGGATGCTTGATCGGGAAATTTGATTCCTCAATGCAATTCTTTCTTCCCATTTCTTCCCATTTCTTGTTGGTTGCTACTCTAGATGCACTCTGAAGTACATTCCATGGAAGAAACACCCAATTGATGCAGCCACATACTTTCCACACGGTCGTGTCTTTAAGAATGTGCAGGGCCACCGAATGATGACGACAATGTGCTGGTTGCCAAAAACTGTGTCGGAAGTTGACGACGAAGACAAGTGTGGGATTGGTCAAATTCTTCAGCTTCGGTGATCTCACTCTGTGCATCAAATGAACTTCGTTTACTGGGGGCTGTAGTCTTGTCTTGTTGGAGGCGCAATGCTCGGCGGAGTCGGAAATCCGTTGGGGTAAAACTTTGGAATGGGGTGGCTTGTAGATTGAATAGTGAACTCAAGTTTGATGCATTATTTAGTTCTCCTTGGTTGTATGGTTCAATCCTTATGATTGATAACTTTAAAAAGCAACCTCCTCCGTTGGATGTTAACGACATGTAATGTTTCTTTCGTTTGATGGTTGCCAAGTTCATTGCATAATTAGTGATTTCCTCATTTCAATCAGTCGTCAATTGCATGATAAACCCTGATTGATAGCTATCGACCAATTGATACGATTGCGATTGTACTTCTTAATCATCAGAAAAGAAGGATATCTCTAATAACCAAGATAGATGGTGTTATGGACGTTGCTAAATGGTTGCGAAAGTGAGATGTTCCATGCTGGAGATCGAGAAAAGAAAGAGATCTAGTGATTTGGGAATTGATATGAGATATAGTAGGATTCTTCGTAGAAAACATTTGCTCTAGTATGAGCGATCTTTGCTTGGAACACAATTGAGGAATCAACAGAGTACAGATAATTGTCAGGGGCACAGTCAGGTAATATTTGAGGCAGGCTCAGAGACATTGCAAGCACACTTTCAGGTTCCCAATCACGATATCAATTTCCAATGCTACTGATTTAACATTCGTCATCAGAAATTGTCAATGAGTCTTCTCTCCCTAAAATGCTCGCTGGATTGGCAGCCATTGTACGGATGGTCTAAAGTTGGGCTGATAACTAAGATTAGGCGACAGAAAAGGGATAATTCAATAGTACTTCCCTTTTTCTGCTTAACCGTTTATTTCATATATACTTGAATACATCTTTCTCTAAAGAACGTTCACCATGAAAGATACACCCACCAACGCAGCAACGGCCACAGACTTCTTCCATGACAAACTTCCAAAAGTATGCACTGCATCATTTGACGGAGTACTTGAGGAGGTGGAAGATGCCAGTCCCGAAGCAGCAGCAGCAGCAGAAGTCGAGCTAGTTGCTGAGGTTGATCCCCTGTTTCCTGTTCCCGAGGAACTTGGAGATCTTGAGGATGTTCCAGAAGCTTCAGAAGAACCAGAAGAACCAGAGGTTTCAGTTGCGGATATCTCAGATGATGAGGCCGTTCTGGTGGCATTATCACCAAATGATGCAGCGTTCGATGTCACAGAGTCAAATCCAGCCACTGCTCCAGATGTGACGGTGGTGTAGACTCCACCAGCATCAGAGGTCACTATAGTAAATGCACTCACAGCTCCCGAGGCAACATTGGTTCCAATATTCACGGCATCAGAAGCAATGTTGGTGCCGGCACTTACTGCACCAGTTGCGATAGCGGTTCCAATGTTCACGGCATCAGAAGCGATGTTTGTGCCGAGGTTGACGGCAGCAGTAGCAATGCCAGTGCCAGCATTGACTGCAGCAGAGACGATATCCATTGTGGTGGCAGGCAAACACGGGTGTCCGTATGCCTTTTATATGCTTGTCCAAGCATTGGCCAGAGGCTGTGATATTCACGCTGAAGTGACCCCATTGAAGACCCAAACCTGGAACAATAGAATATACTGTACACTAAGAAGTCCAAATAATTGAAAAGGTAAGTATTGCGAGGGAGCAAGAATTGGTGATAGTGGAAAAAGTAGACCTGGCCACTACGCTATTTGCATTGAACTGTAGACGTTGACTTCCATTTGCGAACAATCATTCTTTCTATTGAGGTTCAGGAGGTTCCTTCTTTTATTTTTTGTTTTATTTTATTGGTATCCTGCTTGCTGTGCCTCTGCTTGGCACAGACACAAGTTCTAGTATGAGGCAAGGGAAGCCAGAGGGAATAACCATTGAAGAAATACTCGAGCAATTACTACTTGTTTAGGAATGAGGTCGCCATGACACCATGACCCTTTTAAGAAGGGATTGAGAAGGAAGTAACAAAGTTCGATAAGCGAGTTACATCAAAATTACTAGATTAGACTTGCTGTGTATTGTATAAAACTATAAGACTGAATGTGAACACTTGCTGTGTGAAGTTACTTCTTTACTGGGAATTGCAAGCAAACTTTAATACATATTGGTATATTTTCCAGGGCCAAGGCCGAGCCTTGAGGTTTATTGCTATTTGAAGATTCCAGAATCCTTTTATATGACGTTGACCATGAACGTGACACCAATCAATGCAGCAACGGCAGCAGATTTCTTCCAAGAACTTGTAGATTGAGAGGCACCACTTGAGGAACCAGAAGATGAAGAAGATGAAGAAGAAGTAGACGACAGGCTTGCCTTTGTAGTGGAAGAAACTAACGTAGAAGGAGTGACTGTTGCGTCAGAACCAGAAGCAGAAGCAATAGAAACCGATGCCTCCGAAGCTCTAGAACTGACCGAGCTCTTCAAGCTCTGAATGTCGCTACTGATCGCACTAAGCTTGCTCGATGCATCGGACGCAAGCGAGGAACCTTCGGTTGAAGCCCTTGATCTAATCGAGGACAATTCGCTGGCACCTGCAGAAGTAAGAGATTTTAAAGCAGCATCTGCACCAGATGTGGCCGTGGAAAAAGCCCCAACCGCATCAGAAGTAATAGTAGTGAACACTCCATCAGCGTCTGATGTCACGATGGTGAAGTAACTGGCAGCATGGGTTGCAATGTCAGTTCCAACGTGTGCTGCATCAGAAGTGACAGTAGTGAGAACTCCGGCGGCATCAGAGGTCACAATGGTGAAAACACTGGCCGCATGTGAGGCGATGTTGTTGCCAATACTGGCAGCATCAGAGGTCAAGGTGTGGAGAGCACCCACAGCAGAAGTTAAAGTGTCAAAGCCACCAGCCACAGCAGAAACGATATTCATATTGATATTGATAAGATGAAAAGATGTGGATGAGAAATTCGGGCAAATTTATATTATTGGGTCTATAACCCGCATGGTCCGAAATTGGCGCAGGCGAGTGGTGACTTCGGGCTGTGATCTTGCACAAGGCTTAATGTCAAAAATGTCAAAATGTATTTATAGTGCGTGACAGGATATTGGTTTGATACACATGGTGAGAAGAAATCGGCATTTGAAGTGAAGCGTGTATGAGATGTAGCGTAGGAATAACGATTGACGAGGAGGAATAAATAAAAAGAATCGTTTGGAATAGAAATATTGATAGTGTCCAATACATCAAGTGAAGGCGGAGGCAAGGTAATTCCTCAATGGGGATTAGTCGCGGTAACGCGAGTGAATTGGAACAATTGGTCACGAATGAGGGCAGTTCGTAAATAATGAGGCGGGACCCTGATGCCATTTTCCAGAAATGGTTTAAACTGGAAGTCTCTTAAGCAACGGTGATGTTGACGTGTGACATCCGTACGAACCGAAATTGAGGTTATTGTGCAAAGTAATAGGGGTATATACAAGTTAAGAATTCGTAAATGTAGAAGCATTTAACGTCTGATATTTTGTTAGACTTCTGGGTCTTAAGATTTGAGAAGGTATTTGGAGGGGTTTCAAAGTAGCGTGATTTATGAAAGAACGTGCTTCAATATGAATGAATGTTTTAATACAAGAAAATTTTGTTACAGGAAAGTTTCGAGGAGAAGCATTTCAACTTGACCAGTTATCAATTGTGTATTTTAGAGTTCATATTGTGATGATGTCTTTCGGGAAGGATAACTGAATTCGTTGCTTGGTATTAAACTTTCTGTCCATTACAGTCCTTTGTAAAATTGATAGGATAGGGAGAAGCGTAATTGATTTATGCTAGTCTACGAAGATAATGGGAAAAGTGGGATTTACTACTGAATTGTGGACTATATCTGAGGCTGTTGGCAACTAATGGAAATGATTCAGACTTAGGCAAAGTCATACTCATAACTAGAATACTAAATCAGTATATTCTAAGCTGGGTTAACTCGCAAAGTTTAATCAGTACCCTTTATTGAAGCGATTACAGTCCACTGACTTACCGAATGGAAATTGTCGTTTGGAGTCTTAGTCATCTGAAACCCGTAATATGGGAGTTTTCAAAAAGATATGAAGCCAGTAGACTATTCAATGCACTTTCTACTCGTTGATGGGGTAATTGTTACATGTTAAATAGGTAGTGGGTTTGGTACCCGTGATAACTATCTAAGCACTAATGGAACCCTTTTCCCAAAAGTTTGTGGTCACTGTGTTCAACTTATATCCCATGAGTAACATGGAGGACCACCCAATAACTCATTTTCCTGTTGCTAAGTAACACAGAACGTATAAAGAGGGATATTAATATGGGTTTGAGAAGAAATGAGTTATGATAGATTATTACGGAATAGTTTAAGTCTGTCAATGATTATATGTTTCGATGTTTTCATGATTCGAAAGTTTTATGATACTCTCAATTGATCACTACATAATTCGATCATTCTTTCAAATTATCAATAGGATCATTCTTTCATCTTAACTTTTCATCATTCAAAGATGTTCAGAGGAAATAAATGTGGAAATTGGACACCTCGATGTTTCGCAGCCAAGGAAACCAAAGTTCCACCAATACCACCAATATGTCTCCTCATTCAAATCCTAATTCCAGTCATGATCTACGATCCCAGTCTACCAATCCCATCCCGTATTCACCACCTGATAGTCGTCTCACACACACACATGTACATACTTTTTATATCTCAAATCTCTAGCTTTCTAATCTCTATCTTTCAATCACCGTTATCTACATAATATAAATCTACTTTCCAAGTATCTTGTCTGATTCACTCCACTCACCCCACATTTCGCTATCACTATCTTCCCTAGGTTGGCCGTATTGGCGCAAGTCCCAATCGAGAACTCGATCGCGCAGAGATTCCGCGCAAGAACTTTCCCGTTCGGGTATGACGATCCGGTACCCGCTTATCTTATATAAGTAGCGACGCTCGCATGGTTTTTTTCCAATCTTTATCATGTCTTGTTGCTCCAAAAAGTCTGCTCCAGCACCAGCCCCAATTGTGCCAAACCCTACTGCCGCTAAGTCTTCTCCTAAGGCTGGCTGTTGCGGCTCTGGCAGTGTTTGCAAGTGTGGTTCTGGCTGTCAGTGTCCATCTTGTAACACCACCAGACTTTAGGCACATATATAGAATCGGATTTTGAATACATAGGAATATTGGAATGGTGTAGATGATGATAAAGAAATAGGAAAATAAGTAAGATGGAGAAATGCTGAGGTTGAGCTAGTAGTAGGAAGATAGTTTTCAATCGAGTAGAGAAAGCAACATGTCATTTAGAGGATGTCCTTTACCGCAGAGTTTCACTGATCCAATAAGTTCATACCCATTTGTAATATCACTAAGATTCTTTTCTAGTTCTTCTCTCATGGTCCTCTGCTTCCGATCTACTCTTCATCCTACTCTCTACACATGATCTTTTCTCATATCTTCCATTACTTTCACTACTTACGTGGAGACAACTCAAGAACCTCCTTCTTGATGTTCTCGCTCAACTCACTGCTAACATTGGCAAAGTACTTGAACACTCTGTCCTGAATGTCAGTGTTGGCAGCCAGAACATGCACAGCAATGTTGTGGGCCAAGTTTTTCTGCTGGTTGGGGTATTTAGCCAAAACCTTGTACAACTCTTGGGCCTGCTTGTAGTCGGCGGAAGTGGCCTTCCAGTGGAATGGACATGCGGCTCCTGTCCACACTTCCTGCTCCTCCTGAAGGCTGAACTGCTTGAATTCAACTGGGTGAGATGAGGAGATGTAGTTTGGTGCACTGCCAAGGTTGCCGTTGACGTTCATGGCTCCGTCTCTCATGTGTGGGTTGTACACAGCACCAGTCACTGGACAGTTGACTGGAATCTGGGTGTAGTTGGTGCCCAATCTGTGTCTGTGTGTGTCGGCGTAAGAGAACAATCTCGACTGCAACACTGGGTCGGCAGAAGCCTCCATGTATGGCACGGTGTGCGATGGAGCAAATGCAGCCTGCTCAACCTCGGCAAAGTAGTTCTTTGGGTTCTCGTTCAATGTGAACTTACCAAATCTTCTCATTGGGTACTTCTTGTGTGGCCAAACCTTGGTCAAGTCAAACACAGAGAAGTCAGCCTCCTTAGCCTGCTCCTGGGTCATGGTCTGGACGTAACAAGTCCACGATGGGAAGTTACCCTTGGCAATGTTCTTAAACAAGTCCTCCTGAGCGTAATCTGGATTAGAGCCAGCCAATTCACCGGCCTCCTCGTTGTTGAGGGTCTTGATACCCTGATCGGTGATGAAGTGGACCTGAACGTAGAACCACTTACCGTCCTTGGTGGACCACTTGTAGGTGTGACCAGAGTAACCGTTCATTTCTCTGTAGGAGGCTGGAGTACCACGGTCTGAGAACAAAGTCACAACCTGGTGGATAGACTCCTCATTGTTGGTCAAGTAGTCCCAGAACATGTTGGCGTCCTTCAAGTGGGTTTCTGGGTTTCTCTTTTGGGTGTGGATAAAGTGAGGGAACTTGGATGGGTCTCTGATGAAGAAAACCGGCGTGTTGTTGTACACGAGATCCAAGTTACCATCCTCAGTGTAGAACTTGGTAGCAAAACCTCTTGGATCTCTGGCAGTGTCGGCAGAACCCAGCTCACCACCCACAGTGGAGAATCTCGTGAAAATCTTGGTCTTCTTACCGACAGTGTCCAAGAACTTGGCGGAACAAATGTCGGTGATATCGTCAGTGACCTCAAAGACACCGTAAGCACCGGAACCCTTAGCGTGGACCACTCTCTCGGGAATTCTTTCTCTGTCGAAATGAGCCAAAGAATCAATCAAGTTGAAGTCCTGCAACAAGAGAGGACCATGCTGGCCAATTCTCTGTGTGGCAAAAGGCTCTGGGATAGGACATCCATTGGAGTTTGTGTATGTAGGTGCCATTGCAATTAATTAGGAATTTACAATTGGCTACGACATCGGGGGGCTGGAGGTGGCTCTTTATATATGGGAACATTAATGCATGCATGAGGTAGATTGCGGGGTGACCCAGACTTGCCCTTGTTAGTAATCCGCGGTCTAGCCAATGAATGCCAGGGCTTTACTCAGAGACATTAGAGAGGAGAAAAAAGTCTAGGGATTTCTGGAAATTTAGACTTATTACAAATACTAGAGGTAGACGATGGGATGAAATTGTATCTTTTCAATTTTAGAATTTTGATGGTGGCATTTGTTTAATCTGTTCATCGGATACTTTTACCAATTTGAATAGCTATCTGTCAAGAGGTTTCCACATGCGCGCAACCTTCCTCGGTGTCACCACGGAAGTGCGGGCCAAGGGCTCATTTTGCGGAGAAGGCCTGACGGTTGACCAATGTAGACGATGGAATTATTAACATGGATGGATAGAACGGTGCTTCTAGACATGTTGAAGAGGACTTTGGCCAAGTTTATGAATAATGGAGAGTGTTGGATATGTATAGGCGGATCTAGTTGCCTAGTTGGATCACGGTAATAGCCGAGGAAGTCCGTGGATATATGAATGAAATATTCAGGTCTGAGAGATGAGGTAGATTGATGAGAAGTTAATTAGGATGTTGGAATTACTAAAGATTGATATAGGTATTAAAAATTTGTTTTAGAATATTTATGAGATTGGAAGGTCACGGAAGGTTTTTTTTCAAGTTTGTATTGTGGTTGGATTTGAGGTTTATGAGGTGAAAGTGTGGGACAATGTTCATTAGGAACAATGTGAGGTTCTTGTAAATGTATTTGATTTTTTCATGTGACGATCAAGTATACTCTTCTTGATGTCTAGGTTCATTCTGCTATCGATGATGTTTCTATATCTCATCTGGCTATTGATTTTTGATCTTTTTCATTTTTGTTATTATTATTTTTGTTGATTTTGACTATTGATTTTTTCTAGGTGAATAATTCTAGTTGCTATGCACTATGCTTGCTCAATAATCAAATCTCACCTAACATTCCCAAAACCTTTCTGGCCGGTCCAATCTGTTCACTTTAATGTCTGATTTATTCCATGACAGTCAATTTCTTTCTTTCCTTTTTCATTTTACTTCCTTACAATCTCTCAATTCTCTACCCTTTATCTCATCTCTCTACCCCTCCTGCCTGTCATGTCTCAGATCTTTCTCCTCCGCATTTTGCACCCAGACCTAGACCTAGACCTTACGTCATGTTAATTGTAAGCGTACCAAGTATAGGCAAGGTAATTGTAAGCATGATAATTGTAAGCATATTGACACATCAGCTGAGGCTCCAAGGACAACGTGTAATTGCTCTAAGCCTCAATTAAAGCCTCAATTGCTCTTGCTTCAACTCTTGGTTGCTCGCTCGTCATTGCTTCCCTTGCTCTTCTCTATTATTCAAAAATTTCCAATCCATTCTATTGCTATTGACGTATTTATTGCTTTTGCATTTCTTTTGCTTGTTTTGCTTTTTAAACATTTTAGTCAGATCTTCGTCAATCACCGACTCGCCTATTTCCACTCGCTCATTATCCACCTTACTTCAACTGGTCTCTCCAAACCTTGAACTCCTCCGTCAAAATGCCTCCGTTCCGAAGCTCCTTACTTTCATCACCAATACATTCAGTCAACAGAAAGGTTCTCGATCCAGGATCATAGGTGATCTTGTAAGCCTTTTGCTCATCAGTCACATCAATGTTGCGATGGAGCCACTCCAACACCGCTCCGTACCACTTCAATGCATTCACACACACTATCTTGGGGCCCTTCGACGGAAGATTGCTGTCCTTGATCAAAACTGGCACCTCCTCCGTATTGTACACCTCCATGTCCTTCAAGATATGGTTTTCATCTCTGAATCCGTACACAATGCGCTTGATTCCGAGTAAAAAGCACTGTGCCCATGTGCGGAACAACTTCTTCTCGAAATCGCCTCCCTGGTTGGGCCGTGTGATTGTTCGACTGGTTTTAAGCTCTACGTAGTGGCTGAGGATATCATCATGCTTGTCCTCAGGAACATAATCCCACACACAATCCACCTCGCCTGCCAATAGCGTCTTAACCTTTCCAATTCCAGTGCGTACAACGCTAATGTACTGTTCGTAGTTATTCACTACCTTCTTGTTTCTGTTTTCAATGGTCTTTCGAGAACATTCTGCCCATGGTTTGGGAAGTGTCACGAGAGTCTCAAACTTATAACCTCCATATTCACAAACCTTCATGTATCTGGCCTGCTCATCGTTGTTTTTCGCTTCTTCCTCTGCACGGACCTTCAAGTCCAGCTCGTCGTCGTTCTTGATAAAGAGTTGACCGTCAAAAGCTATCGCATAAAGCTGAAATGGTTTGTTCAAGTTGTATGGAAGCGTGAGCAACTTGGTCATGATGCCTCGGAATGTAATTATATCGGCCTTGACCTTCTTGCCTGTTTTCTGCTCATGTTTCTGGATGGCTTCAAGGTACAGCGGAAAATGTGCCACATTCTGCTGTTCGGGGGTCTTCTGAAACGACTTGAATCCTCCTTGAAGATCATATTGTCTATCTACAAATGAATCTGGAAGGTAAAAGTAGCTGAGGGCTTCGTTCTTCGAAATATGCTCATCGGTGAGCCATTCTCCTTCGATATTTCGGCTATAAGAGAATACTTCCTTGGGCTGTTTCAAGGCCGTGGTCTCTGCTCTTGACAGAATTGGGAATGTCTTGAGCATGACAGGTTGTTCTGGACTTCAATTTTTTTTTTTTGTATATGATGATAGAATGTATGTAGAATACACAGGTCATAAGTATTAGAGGTGAACTAAACATTTCACAAACTGCTGTACCTACGATGTTTCTACGCTGCAGTCTGCTTGTATTTTTAGCTTCGTGTGTGCTTGCAGCCTCTGAATCATTAGAATCAAGTGAAGCAGAGTCGACATTGGCAAGCGAATCACTGGTATTTACAAAGTTCGACAAATCCACACTTGATTTCATCTCGAGTGAATCTCAATTGTCACCTTCGATAGTTAAAGCGAATAATGGTGGACTCAATGAGTCAGAATTGTCTGTTAATGATTCCGGAATCTTCGAATTAAATGGCAGTTTGGATGCGTCCAATTCAAATGTGTCCAGCTCAACCTCTTTAAGTGTGGAGCAGTCCAGTCTTCTGTGTGAAATTCTGGTGCTGGAAATTATGCTGACTGTATCAATTTTGCATGAAACAAATGATGATACGATCAACATTTTGGCCGATCACATGTTACCCAATAATGATGCTACAACTCATCAGATATTGAAAGATTCTAGTGTGTTGAAAACCCTGGAGGAAGTCGAGAAAGTGGATGATATAAACTCACACGAGAAAGTGAAACCTTTAGAGAGTGTGGAAAAAGTCGAGGAGGTAGAAACAGTGAAGACTGAGAATACCAAGACAGCGATGCCTGAAGATATCAAGACTGTGGATTTTCATGAAGAATCGGACATTCTAAACCAAACGGTTCTGGCAGTTCTTAATAAAGAAGTTCTGCTTGATGTAGATGGTGATACAGAGATTATTGTATCCAAGGCATACGAACAGGTTAAACACATCAATCTAACCAACATCTCCAACATTGACCTCAGCGATGAAGATGGAGATGGAACAGCAGACAATACCACCGATGATTGCCGATTCATGTCATTTGAAGAGTGGAAGAAGCAGAAGAACCTTGAGGATCTTGCCAAGGCTAGTTCTGAATCCCAGGACAATACTTTAAAGTCCGTTGTCAATAAGGCTTTGCAAGTTATAGATCTCAACAAACCTGAAGTCAAGCCTGAAGTGCTTGAGGATGAAGGCAGAACATACAAGGATAAATTTAATTATGCCTCTGCTGATTGTGCGGCCACTATTGTCAGCACAAATAGCGATGCCAAAGGGGCGTCCGCCATTCTCAAAGAGATCAAAGACTCCTACTTGTTGAATAAATGCTCGACGCCAAATAAGTTTGTTGTGATAGAGCTATGTCAAGACATTCTAGTTAATCACGTTGTGATGGGCAATTTCGAACTTTTCAGTTCTATGTTCAAATCAGTTAAGTTTTCCGTTTCTGAAAGTTTTCCAGTCACTACCGAGTGGAAAGAGCTTGGTGTTTTTGAAGCAGACAATATTCGAGATCTTCAAACATTCGACATCGAAAATCCACTTATCTGGGCTCGTTACTTAAGAATTGACATCTTGAGTCACTATGGTTCCGAATTCTATTGTCCTATCTCCTTAGTTCGTGTTCATGGAACTTCCATGATAGAAGAATTCAAGGGTGTGAATGGAAACTCACCTTCAGAGGTCGAAGAAAAGCCTATTTCAACAGAGAACTTTCTCAATTACACCTCAGAGTTCTCTCGTGAAGAAGACGAGTGTAGAGTTGTGTTGCCATACCTTGAACTCAATGAATTCTTGAAAGACATCAACGGAACCAATGAATACTGTCTAGTTCCAACCATTGAGGAGTCTACTATGTCCGCTGACTCTACAGGCGTGAAGACAACTCAGGAATCAATTCTCAAGAACATCGTCAATCGATTATCGCTATTAGAGTCGAACGCATCGCTTTCCCTCTTGTACGTTGAAGAGCAAAGCAAATTACTCTCTAATGCATTCACTAATTTGGAAAAGAGGCATGCTTCCAAATTCGATAGTCTCATCCAGAAACTTAACCAAACGGTGGTTGCTCAAGTGGCATTCTTGGAAGCTACTCTTGGAGCCATCAAGTCGGAATCGAAGCAACTTCTACAAAATCACGAATCATGGACCTCCAACCTTCTTTCCAGTGTCGATGACAAAAATTATAGACTAATGAGAGAATTGAGTTTCCAGAGGACAATCATCGCTATTGATACTCTTCTTATATTGGCTTTACTCGCATATGTGATTATTACCAGAGAATTCTTGATCAGTGAGGAAGCCCCACTTGACGTGGACGAAGCTATAACCAAGAGAACAAAACCCATCAAGCAGTTCTTTGTTCATTCTAGCAAGAAACCAAAATCACAGAGAAAACGGAGGGGCCGGTCTTAATGTCTTACCGCAATTAAATCTAGCTAGCTACATCGGGGGGTCCTATTTACAAGCATGCATTCCGTATTTACACATTAGTATCTTTCCTTTCTGCCCCTTCCAGAATTGTCAAATGAGCGCTTCGACTTTCTGTCGTTCTGACTTCTTCTATCATCATTTCCGTAAAAATCCTCTCTGGAGAAATTTCTTCCCCTAGACTGGAAGCCATCATCGTAATTGGAGAATCTCTTTCTATCGTTCAGATCGCGTCTGGTGAAATTACGAGAGTTCTGCCCCCACTGCGACCAAATCTGCTCTGGTTACCCTTGAAGTTTCTGTTGGCTTGAACATTAACGTTGGTCTTGATGTATTCCGGGACAAGAGACGAGAGAACCTTCATGGTGTTGAACAAATGACCAGAAATGAAAAGCGTGGCCGTTGAGTCGCTGATGAACGATCTGTGCATGTTAACCAAGTCTCTCACAATTATCTCCAAGTTGAGGCGGTAGGTTCCCAGAACAGATTGATAGAAGCCGAGCAAGGACTTGGCGTAATCTTCGGCATCCTCAAGAGGCAATTCGAGCTCTTCAAACATTTTGCTATCCTCATTGAAAGTTTCGTATCTGATCTGCTTGGAAAACACAATACCTCTGTTATTCTCCAACGCCTTCTTGTATCTGCCCTCGGCATCGGTCAAGTACAAGGTAGCATTACCAGAGGTACCAGCTCTAGCAGTTCTACCCACCTTGTGGACGTAATCAGCAATTTGGTTACTTGGAGTGATCTGAATCACATCAGACACATTCTTGAAGTCCAAGCCTCTGGCAGCCACATCCGTACAGATCAATAAACCAGTCAGACACTTTCTAAAGTTCTCGGTGGTTCTATCTCTGCTGCCCTGAGACATTCCTCCATTTAACTTGTAAAGCCATCTTCTCTTAAACTTGGGGAAGGTTCTGTTCAACTCGTCCACAACGTCATAGAGGAAGTTGCTTCCGCTGACGGTAGGAACAAACAAAATGGCCTTATAAGAAGGGTCCTCCTCTCTCTTTCTGAAAATATCGCTGATGGCAGCAACATGAGACTCGAAAACATCCTTCGTTTTAACAATAGTTTGGTGAATGTTCTCGTGGGCTTCAGGCTCGTCAGCATTCACACAATTAATGTAAGTGTAGTTCTCGCCGATGGTTTCACTGGCAAAATCTTCCATTCTCTCGTCGATGGTGGCACTGAACAAGACGTTCTTGGTCTTCATACTAGAGTCGGGGGAGTAACGGTTACGGGCATCCTCAAGCATTTCGTCAATCGAGTGCAACGTCTCCTCAAACCCTTGATCCAACAAACGATCTGCTTCATCGTACACCTTGTACTTCAATTGTGACATCATGGCGGCAAATTTCGGGTTTCTAAGATTGGCTTCTAATCTACCTGGGGTAGCCACCACAACAGATGGAGCAAATTTCATGAATGGCTCACGCTTGCCTCCAACAGCAAGATGCACTGTTGCTTTCTTCGCAAGCAGCTTGTTTTTGTCTGTAACCTTAGCAAACTCATCAGCGATCTGGAGAGCCAAGTCTCTGGTAGGTGCAACCACTAATGCCTGAACGTGAGACTCACGAGTGTCACGTCTGACAGCAGAGTACTCAAGACATGTTTGGAGAATAGGGAAAGCGAAAGCCATGGTCTTTCCAGTTCCTGTTTTAGCTCTGCAGACCACACCATCTTCCATCAAGATAGGAAGAATGGATCTGGATTGGACAGGCGTGAGCAGCTTGAAATCGAGCTTGGCAATGGCATTCTTTAATTTTGGCTCGATGAGACTAAGCGACTGTAAGTCTTCTAACGACACTTCACCTTTCTCGACTGCAGCGACCACATCTGCTTTCTTGAATGCATCAGTAATAGGTGCCAGTGAGGGATTCTCTTTGGCGAGAATTGAAACGGTGGAGAAGAGACGACTTCGTAAGAGCGGAGTCACTGTGATCTGACCACAGGTTCTTCCAAGATGACGGAACATTTAATGTTGTGACGAGAAGGATTGGTTTTATTAGGTAACTAAATAAGGTGAGGTGAAAAAATGCGATGAGATTATATGAACCTCGCACTGATGAATGAGTGGAAGATTTACTATTAGAACCTGAAAATGGGAATTTTTGAATTGGAATTATGAAATCTGACTGGTGGAAGAAGATCGAACGTTTAAAGATTGTTCGAGATAAGTTTGGATTGTTGAGAATACTATGGTGAAGAGATGGCGATGATAGTGAGCATAGACAAGACAGGAATGTGTAGGCGGGGAGTGGTATGATTTGGAAGCAAAAATAGGAGGATCCTTCTGAGATGGTTTTTATACGGAGAAAAATAGATTCATGTTGCAGAACGTTTGGCTATACTTGGTATCTTTATGTGGTGTTAGTGTAAGTTGATGTATTGTAGTTGCTAATTAATGGGGAGTCGTCAATCACAGGTCTGATACATTATGCTGTAAAGGTTAAATGTTGAATATAAAGAGAGGTATTCTGAAATTAATATTGTATTTTAAGTTTAAACAAATACTTTTAGTCACCAAAGGTACAACCTAAACAGATTTACTGATGAGTTCAACCTTTATAATAAAAAACCCATGGTGAGCCAATACTTTTCCTGACATTGAGAGTTCCAATATCTTCTCTGAACTAAAGTACACCAATAGTTTCAGCTAAGGTGAGAACAAAAACTACTTAAAGCAATCAAAAAAAAGGCGACAAGATTCTATTTTTCAAGGACGATTCTCCATCTGCATCATAGTAGCAATTTTGCAACCAAAACTTGTGCCTTTCGCACCCGTGCACCCATACATCAACGGTCTGAATCTCTCGTTCAACTTTCGTCCTTCAAGTACCACCATGAGCCAGTTCCAACCTAATGCAGCGCCCGGCCGCTCGTTCATTTCTAAAATAAATCTGAAATTTTCAAACCTTTCCCTTCTGAAGGTCCTGTCTTCATACTCCGACAAAGACGGAAGCACTGACGACGACACCTTGATCCACAATGCTTTTGTTCGTTTCTTCGATGAGCGTGGTGAACCATACCCGGAATGGCTAGGTGTGTCTGTTCCAGCACGTTCTGCTGCTCGCCAGGCACAGACTGCTGCCGGAAACTATTCGACATTCCAGCCCACTTCTGGCTCTCAAGCTACAAGTGCTCTGGCCCAATATCAGCCAGTCCGTGCTTCTTATAACTCAAGCAATTCGGCTTCTACTTACCAACCTCAGCAAACGCACAGTCGTCAGAACTCAAATGCTGATAGCGCAGATGAGGAGCGGGGATACACTCGGAGATCTAACTCCCGATTACAGGAAATGTATAATAAGTCCAGACAGCAAGGTATTCCCGGCGCCGGTTACAATGCTCAGCAGGCTCAACCGTCCACATCCCGTCAAAACCTGACTGCCAGTCTGAGACTTCGAGACCGCATTATGAACGGCTCTCCTACTCAAGCAGGAAGGTACGATTCTCCACCAAGTGGGTCTAGAGCCTCCTGGGGACGCAACCAGTAGACGTGAATGCCATTGAATTATAGTGAAACTTTGGTTTGTGGGGCTCATGTGATACATGGTCGTGAGTTTGATACATATTCGTTGAAAACATCATTTCAACTCATGTGATCACATAACTTGATTTCTCAACATGATCGTACTTGCTAAGATCTCATAGCAACATCTTGCGAACATGATCTTATAAAAGATGTCATATTCTCACATTCTTATCTCAAACTTCTAGGCTATTAATGTGGACATACTACATCCTCCAACCCCTCAGTGTCTGGAACCTGAGTCTATGCTCAATACATGCATTATCTATAACTAACATCAGCCGTACGCTGCTCCCAAAAATCTCTTCCTTTGATAAACCAGTCTGGAAGAAGGTGTTCAGGCGGAAGTCGGAGCCGAATGATGTCCAACCCTGGAACATGGAGACTGTGTGTACTAGGCTTGTAGTACTTGTAGCTGTACTTCTCTTTCAACTTATGAAGCTCTTCCAGGGCCAACCTCTCCTTGTCAAACCGGTAGGTGCGTAAGCTTGTCTCAAACAGGCCACGGTGCTGCGGCGATACCGGCAGCGAGAAGCTCGGGTTCCGGAACCGAGTGTTGTTCTTTTGAATATATCGAGAGTCCACCGAAGATTTCCGCCGCTGCATAGTATTGAACGCTTCCAAGCTGCCATTACGGCTCATGCCAAAACTTCCTCGACGATAGTCTGGCGACGTTCCTGGCGAGTGCTTCTCGTCGATTTTTCTCTGTTCGACTAACTTTAACAAGTTGGCGGGAATCTGCGGCGATGCAGACAACATGTCGTCATCCATATCTTCTTCATAGTCATCAAACGAAAGTGTATCATCCTCATCACACGTTAATGGTCCATCATCAAGTGACGTCCGGCTCTGGACCAGCGGACGGCTGGATTTGATTAAAAGACTATCCAGGATAACATCATCTCCCCTTCTTTTAATGGCCAGATCGAGCTCAGATGGAATCAACTCCGGCTCTACAAGCTCAAGAAACACCTCCATGTTGTAATTGTTCTTGCTAGCGTTACCTGTGAATATTCTGTACTCGTTGACTATCGAGTTGAAGTTCCATTTCTGGATCTTGCGTAGAATGCCCACTAGCGTCAGCGACAGGTCCACCAATAGAAGATTATGCTTGGACTTGTCGAAGAGAATCTCGAACGCTGCTACTATCAAGTTCTTCTCAATTACCATCCACAGATCGTTCTTCTTTTTGGTGTCTAACACCACGATTTCGATTTCGTCATTGTTATGGGGTGTCGTGGTCCCCAGTCCGTCAGATTGCTCGGAAAGAGAATTCTTGGACGACAAACTGCCTGTGTTTTGATGATTGGAGATCTTCATGGCTCCTAAGTTAAAGATTTCCACATGGTTAGCATCAAGAAACGACTTAAGTGTGCGTGGAGGTTTGGCTGCATCGAGGAGAACCAACGTTTTAAGCTGGAGAGTCTCTAGAAAGGGAAAATGGCCCGCCTCGAGCTTGGAACATCGATAGACTCCTGGCTCAACTAAACCGAAGTTGTCTGGTGGAACAAGCATGTGGTATATTGGTGCACTACTTTTCTTTGGGTTGTTAACTTAGATATGCACACTGATCTGGGCAGAGATTGATACGAAAAGAGAGATTGGGATAATTGGCACGTGGCTATGGATATGGACAAAGCTGAAAGGAATTGTTAATATGAATCGGTTCATTAAATGTTTAGTATTCTTATGGTAGATTTTAGGTATTTGTTACTTTAGGTGTTTATAGGTTTTACTTAGAAATGGCTGTTTGGGGCTCAGTTTCGAGAACGTCGCATTTACGAATTTTGAAACTGTTCGTATTTGTATTGAAAGATCTATTATGGATATATTTCCGATAACGGCATTAAGTGAAGTCGTTAACTGACAATGTCCCTATATCTATTGATGGTCAAATTCTCGCGCTTCGTAGCTTTTCCTCTTGTTTCTTACTTCTCTACTTACCTTATTCTTTACCTCACTCATAATATATTGTGCACTTTCTCTAACCTCTGATGAACAAGGTGTCTGGAATACCATCGTACTCGCCATAACCCAATGCCAAGTTGATGTTCTGCAAACACTGGGTAGCAGCACCCTTGAGCAAGTTGTCAATGGTAGCAACCACAACAACTCTATCCTCAGCAGAGTTCACAGCAAATCCTCCCACAACAACACCATGCTTTCCACTGATGTCTCTCACGACTGGAGCCTCGCCGCTGACTCTAATCAATTGCTCACCCTGGTACCTGTCCTGGTAGATGTTACGGATGTCTCTAGATGTCAAGGACTTTGGTTTGAGTGGAATGGACACGGTATTGTTGATACCCTGGAACCACTGAGCGACGTGAGGAATGAAGGCAATAGGCAAGCCAAGCTGCTTGCTCACTTCCTTCTCGTGAATGTGGTCAGTTAAAGAGTATGGAATCAAGTTGTTAGACAAGTTGTTTATGTCGTTCTTTGGAGATGGCTTAGTTCCAGCACCAGAGTATCCAGAAACACCAAACACTGTAGGGATACCCGAGATGTACTCCTTCAATGGTGCAATGGCCACCTGGGCTGCAGTAGCGTAACATCCTGGGTTGGAGATCTTCTTGGCATTGGCAATAGTGTCACGGTCAACCAATTCTGGCAATCCGTAGACCCACTCACCAGTGGTGTCGAATCTGTAGTCAGCAGACAAGTCAATGATCTTGGACTGTGAGCCTTCAACGGATTCGATGGCGTCAACAAATGGCTTACAAACTCCGTTTGGCAAAGCCATGACCCACACATCGACCTCATTGTTCTTCTCCAACTCCAAAATATCTTCAGTCTGCAAGTTCGAGTAAACGATGTTGTCCTTGTTGTAACCAGCCAACTTCTGGCCATTCAATTCACGGGAAGACACAAGCGACAATTCCAAATGTGGATGCTGGTCAATCAAGGAAATCAAGTTTTGGCCGACATATCCTCTAGCACCGATCAAAGCCACCTTTGACTTCTTAGTGGTCTTAGCCTCACGGAGTGGTGGGTTTGGGTTAGTGCCAGTGGAAGGGTTAGAGCGGAATGACGAAGTGTGGAAGCCTCTCTTCTGTTGAGAAGAAGCAAAAACACCAGAGTCAGTGGCTGAAGACAACGAGGAGCCAGCGTTGGCAGCATCAAACTTCTTAATCAACTCAGAAGCTTCAGAAGTGTTCAATCCGTACCAGAACAAGATCTCGCCGTTCTTGGCAAACGAACCGTCGGACTTGGAAAAGTACCACGACACATTGGCGTCGTTCTCGTTGACAACCCAATACAAAGACTTATAGTCCTTCTTAATGGCACTGAAAATGTTGTCAGTGACATTGTTCAACCAACCGGTTCTAGAAGACAAGAACTTGTCCAACTTAGGGATGCTGGTAGTGCTCTTAGCGTTCTCTTCCACAACAATGGCCAAAACCTCCAAAGGAGCGTCACCGTAAGACTTGAACTTGACGGTCTCCAAGTGCTTCAAATAAGAAGCCACTGACAACTTTCCGCTCTTGATGCTTGGGTCTCTCAACAAAGCTGCTCTCAACAAGTCTGGGTTAGAGAACTCGCTCAAGGAGTTACGGTTGATCAACTTGTATCCTCTTCTAATCAAGGTTCCGGCACCGGAGTCGGTGAACAACTCTTTTTGCAAGTCGTTGACGTCGATGATGGCAACAGAAGATGATCTTGGCAAGTGTTGCAACAAGTCGTGGATCTCCTTGATCTTCAACTTGGTTCCGTACTTGACCCATGGCTCCTTCATCAAATCGTCATACTCCTCATCCAAGTTGATGGCACTGATCTTCTCGCCGGTTTGGCCGTGGATAAGACCACCCTTTTCGTTAAGGTAGACAATCTTCAAGGGCTCAAATTCTCTGGCCAATTCAGATGCTGCAACGTCAGCGTTGACGTTCAACAACTGGCCCGAAGGGGTCTCGGCCAAGGAAGTCAAGATTGGCAAGTAACCGGTGTCGATGGCAGCCTCCACAGGTGATTTGTTTACACCATTGATCTTACCAACCAACTGGTACTTGTCCTTGTCCAAGTAGTCGGCCGTAAAAACGCCGGCAGTGATAGGTCTGGCATGCACACCCATCTTTTCCAAGGCAGTAACGAGTCTCAAGTTTTGCTCCAAGAAGCACTTTCTCACTACTTCCATAGTCTTCTCGTTGGTGACACGAATGCCGTCAATATACTCAGGCTCCACGCCCTCGACCTCCAATAATTCGTTGATCTGAGGTCCAGTACCATGCAACACAATAGGGTACAAGCCAACATGATACAAAAAGGCCAAACAAGAGGCCAATTCTGGAAGTTGGTGAGTGATGATGGCTCCTCCCACCTTAATGACAGCGAATTGCTGCGACGACACCGAAGTAAAATACTTGAGGTACTGCTCAACTTCTCTTTTGGAGCCGATGTTGTTCAAAAGCTGGACAACTGTGGATCTGGTAGAGTGTGCTGGAGCAGAAGAATTGAACTTTCTCACCAATGGAACAGATAAGACTGGTAAGCATCTAGCAGCCGACGACGACGCCGACTTGGCTCTGATAACTCTTCTAGCACAAGAGCTAGCCGATTTTCTGAGAGCCAACATTTGAATTCTTTAAGCAGACAAGAAAAAAAGAGAACTGAAAGAAGAGATGTAGGTCAGCTGGCCAAAGAAGAAAATTTTTAATGTGAAGACTGTGGGTATTAGCTTCAAGGGATGTCCGGATGTTCTCCACTTTCGACCAATTAGAGTAATTATTGCGTGTAAGCGCGGTACGAAATCAGTTCAACAAAGTTATTTGTGCAGGCAGCGCCTCAATGAGTCAGACATGGTGGGCTGAATCTAGGCCAATTTTTCCGAGAAAAACCATATAGGAGAAAAAAAAAAATATTTTCCTAGATATTTGAGAAGAAGAAAATTTTTCATTTGCCCTTTTGTTGATTGCGGTGGTGAAATTTGGACCTTTTTTCAAAGTTCTTTTCCATGCAAAAAATCTCTCCATCTCAATACTTGAGCCCTACGTAGACAATATTGGATGGAGTTTCTGACTCACATCTACAGGTCCGAAAAAGCAAATCTCAATTATTCAATCGGGCATCCCAAATCAGAATAGATCCAATTCAAGATCGGCCGATATAATACGTAGAATACCGTGCACATGTTGCCGATGTTTCCATGAATATCTCTCCATTCACCAGCAAAATAGGGAAAATTCTTGTCGAAGAAGTCTTGGGGCCCGCCCGTAGACATCAATGCATCGCGGAGTTTTGTGGTGAAGATATCAAAAACCTTCAGCTTGCGCTCTGATAACTGCAGTAAGGCTTGCACCATATATTTCCATTGAAAATCCGAAAGGTGTTTCTGCATTCCGCTTAAATGTTGGATGGACCATACGTCATCATAATTCTCCGCGAGGCTTCTCAAGGTAAAAGCTTGTTTCTTGCTGAGGTGTAACATCGATGCTAAACATGACAGAAGGAAAAGATCTCTAAATGTAGAAGTTAGAGTTTTTAATTGACTCTGCATCAATGTTAGCAAACTGATTTCGTCAACGTGGTGGTATTCAAATTTCTGTTTGGCTGCAAAATGTAAATCGCTGGAGAGAAAATTGACAATGACAATTGAAAAGAATCGTAATGCTCTCTCGTTTATACTCAGTTGTCTTGGTCTGCTTTTAGTTCCGCCAATAATCATCAATGCTGCTAATCTAGCGTTGCATTTACTTTTGGAATTCATAAAGACAAACTGATAGAACTGCGAAAACCTGAGCTGGGGGAAGTTCGTATTCAAGTTATCTCTATAACAGTTGCTACCTGCCATCTGGTAGAAGTTCTCAAACGTAATGAAGCTGTCAACGTCCCGAATTACGCAATGAGACACCCACTTGGCATTGAGTGATGCCTCAAGGTTCTGATAGAGGAAATCAAAGTTGACCAGTAGGTTGTCTATGCTCTTTTCAATCTCCACAACGAATTCAAGGGCAGCAGAATCATCCACAGATGCGAAATTTAGTAGTTGCATGAGTAACAACATAAATAATTTGAAATACGATTGTGCTTGACCAATCTCAACGGTTTTGATCTCGCTCAAGATGTATAATGAACAGAGTTGGTCGTAATTCTTCCATGTGTCATGAAGGTCATCTGCATCGCCTATATGTTGGCAATATGCATAGTACCTGTTGAAAATGTGACGAAGTTTCCTATCACACCGGGACAAGAACGATTCTCCCTCAGCGAAAGACAACTGTTTAATTGCCGATAACTTTAACACTTCACTCATGCTGAATCCTGATTGCGTCTGCGGTACTGACCGTGATCCTGACCGCATTGAAGAAGGACACCTAGATTGGGAAATATCAAGAAGTTTCTGTTGGTAGTACTCGAAGAAGAATTGTCTCCATGAAGAAATAGCAACGTCTGGAGGAATGGCAAAGTTCACTTCACCTCTTGAGATTGTCACCACCAAATTCAGATGGTTATCGTCAGTAATCAAACTGGCATCATACAGAAGCTCTGGCTCATTCCTTCCTCGTTCGTTCAACTTGTCTAGGTGACTTGCAATTGAAAGAATCTCTTTGGAAAGCCGTCTCTTGTCGCCAATTTCTGCCCAAGAAACAGATTTATATTTAGAGAAGGAAAGCAATTGATTAAAGTTTCCAAAGAGATGAATTCGGTCTCTGAAACTGCGCTCTTCCTTACCCTCTAGAGACCTCATAATTCGCTGCTGGGTGGCTGCAATATCAAGTGCTTCCTCTGCTATGTCCTTCATGGCTTGTGCATGGTTGAATTTGAATAATACAAAGAAATAGTGATATTCTCTCCAATATCGTGCTAATGTAAGTCTTGGGAGGCATATTGCCAGCTTGACCTTCTCAAGTGGCATGTTCTGGATTCGTCTCAACTCGTAAAAGATCCGGGTGGCATAGCGATACAAAACAATAGGAAGAACACTAGTGAGAGTGTTTCTTTTCTTGTTGTTGATGTTCACATTGAAACCAGGGTGAGAGGCCGTTTCTTTCTCGGTGAATTCCTGGAAATCGCTGATAAGAGCAATCGAGTAGAGAAACCACACATACCCATTGACATTGGCCGTATATGGCAATCCTAGAGCCTTCAATAGATTTGAAATGTACTTAGACTGTCGTCCTGTCAATAGTGCTATCGCCTGGCTATATGAAAGCTTGAAATCCATCACACTATTGACGAGAGACTGTGCGGTACGGTCACTCAATGCTTTCTCTAGTATTTTTTTCCGAATTGCTCTTTGTATAGTTCTAGCTGCACTGATCTGGATGCTTGTATACTTTTTCTCATCATCCACAGACGAGTCATTATCTGGAGCCAGTTCCCCGTTGTCAAACGAAACAAATCTGGAATATTCACTTGGATACGGAACACCCGGCAGATCGAAAAGATCTTCACGTTTTCTCCGCCAGTACGACCGCAGTGCTCTTGCTCGTTCACGGATCTGTTCTAAATGACGCCGTCTCCTCTCGTTGGCTTGAGCAAACTGAACCACCATTTGGCTCGCAGCCATGGATTCCAACGCTTCCTGACGTCTTCTCACCTCCAATACCTTTTGCTTCACATCCTCGTTCTTGCGTTTTAAGTTCGCTGCTCGATCACTCAAATGGGCTTGTTTTCGGAGTTGGTTGGGGCTCAAAGGGCTGCTGGCAAGCTCTCGACGGAGCATCATGATGTACCTTGGAGATGGCTCAGTGTCTTGAGGAGATGAAGGGAGACTGTCATCCTCATCGTTATAGTCCGTCATGATCACGGATTAGCAGCAAGATACAGAGCAAATAGCTAGCAAATTGGCCAGTGGCAGGTGTAATTAGCTTGGTAAATGAATAGCAAGGAGTCTGGGGTAGTGCATTTGTGGATGCGGGCCATTAGACCCAAACAGGAAACTGTGATGATAAGGAAAGGAGGAAGGAAGGGAGGAAGGAGTGAAGGGGTGGCAATAGGAATTATGGTTATAGGGGTGATTTCAAGGTTAAGTATGTATTTATTGCATATTTTAGGGCGAGTTTGGACCGTCTAGTGGTGAATTCTTAGGTGTTAAGCAACTTGGCATTGTGGAATACGAGATGAGATGTCGCAGAGATTAGGATACATGGCATATATGAGATATATGAGATGTAGTAGGTATAAATGAGTTGGATAATTATTTGAGATATTGACATGGGAAATTAAGTTCGTAGAGGTAGAATGAGGACGATAAAAGTTCTAGAATGTAGAAATTTTGGCGATGGAAATTTAAGGCGAGGGAAACTCTTAAACCGTGATTATCCATGCTCATGAATTCTAGCAACTGTGGCTACGGAGTAGTATGGAGCTGTAGAAAGCATGGAAGGTAAATGCAATGATTATAAATTAGTAGGAACTCTTTGTTTATTTGGAGTTGTTTTTTTTAAGTTTGAGTCGTCAATGTTATTTTATGTAGATATCTGGCCCATTAAACCTAAACTTACACTTTGCGACATCTAGACATGGTGAAGTAACTACACATCTTAACTGTATGTGATGTTAATCTGATAAGCTACATGACTTTTCCTCTTTCTTAATTCTTATAAGCCCTTCATTTTGCTATGTCTTCTCTTGTTATATTCTCTTGTGGTGCCTCCTCCCAATTATCCCAACACCTTTAACTTCTGACTACTATCATTGTTGGCTACCATTCTCTCAATCCATCTGTACCTATTCCATCGTCTCATATTCTTCTATGTGATATGCATTGTGCCCAAAGACACTCTATAAATGATTCATTTCTTCTTTCGCAAGATCTTGCCCAACAACGACGGGCTACCTTCGTGAACTGTAGATGATGCTCGTGGAATCTCTTGCACGGGCGATTGTGCCTGGGAATTTGCACCCGAGTGTGGAACAGATACCGCTGCTCGCGGAGTACCGCCCGAATGGGTTCGGAAGTGATGCATGAAGCTTGAAATGGACGAGCCCGAACTTGATGTCTCAGAGTTGGTAGATAAATGTGAAAGAAACTTGGATTTGATGCGGCTCTGCGGCAGCGGCGATACCATGGACTTGGTTGACGTTCCAGCATGGTGGTCCCGCAGATCAAAAGGTCTGGCAAGTGGTGATGATGCCTTCATTTGTGGAGATTGGAGATGCTTCTTAGAACTTGGTGATCCGGAGGTCAATGGCGAAGTGAACACCATGGTAGAATCCACAGAGTTCGCCTGGCACGAGCCTTTACACTCGCACATGTTGAACTCTGCCTTCTGGCTCCGGAGGAATAATCTGTATGCGTTCTCTTCTAGTAGTTGAATCACCTCCAATTTAGCTTTGATGAGGACAATGGGGTTATGGGCCAGGCCCTGGATGGAATCTTCGGCCATGATCTCAACTACCGTTTTGCTGCTCAAATTGACCTGCTGTGGGGAGTTCTCTAGAATGAATTCCCTTACAACGTGATTCCACTGGTCAGTGAGCAATCCCTCGGAGTCTAGAGGGGACAGAGTCAAGGAGCTTCGAGACATGCTTTCCTCCTCATCAGATGAGACGTTCTGGTCCTTTAAAGCGTCCCAAGCGTTTGATGAGCTTGGAGGAATATCGTCAAAATCGAAACCTAGCTGGTCAGACAGCAGAAAGCCCGAGATGGAGAGATCGCTATCAGAGGTGCCGACCTTGTGAATTTTGCGCTGCATAGAGCTTGTTGGGTATGGCAAACTGTCGATGAAGTGCTCGAGTGACTGGTTGAGGAAACTCGAGGAGTAATGCGAAGGTGTGTTCGATGCTGAGCGAGCTTTCTGCACTGTGACATTCTCTGGGTAGATCTTATCGAAGAAATACTCGTAGCGAAAGATTTCAATGACAAATGCCAAGTTCTCGTGGGTATGTCTTTCGGTGAGGAAACGATGGAAGTTTTGAACGTAGCGGGCTCTGGTTTCACAGAGACATTTAGGGTCAATGGAGTATTGGAAGCAGTCGTCGAGGAGCTCGTCCAACAGTGCCGGTAGGTTGGAGTCCATTTTAGACATAGGTGAGAACGGCGCCAGTACCAGCGAGTCTACTGGCAGTAGCGCCGGAGAAATCACGGAGTTGGCACCAGATGAAAGCACAGGCAAGTTGGCCTTTCTCGGAAGGGGAGCAGCCACTAGATCGGGCATGGAAGCATGTACTGTGAAATCCGGAGGATGCAAAGGAAAAGAAACCCAAGATGGAGCGGAAACAGAAAAAAAGAATAAAAGAATCCCGTTGTAATAGAGAAACGCAGGACGATATCCCAGTTGGATGATGGTTAGCAATGTAAGACAGAGGCCTGCAGGAGTAAGCAGAGATGGCAGTGCGTGGGAGTCGGTAAATAATATTTCTGGTCCGAGTTTGCGAAAGGAATACGCAAGTGGGTACGGCGGAACGTCTGAACGGCTTAAAAAATTCAGCCTTTTTTGTGACTCAATAAATTATTTTTAAATGTGCTGTACCAAATGTTTCTTTCGGTGGCACCTTTCTCTTTAGAGGATGTTTTTATTTTGGTTGCGAGAAGGGTTGTTTTATGGACATGAGCTCGAGGAAAAAGCAACGGGCGGGATTTTAGACGGTCACTAGGATAAAAGAAAGGGTCGTGGAAAAAGAAATGCGGGTATCGAACGAAGTCATTTTTTTTTTTTTTTTTTTTTTTTTGCGTTCTAGGAGGTTAGGAAAATTTTTATAGCAGGAACAAAAAATTTTCGAGAGGATGCGTCTTGAGAAATTTGAAGATAATTGGGAGGTTACTGGTGGGGGTTACCGGTGGGGGATTTTCGCTTACTAGATCTGAGACATTAGGATGGTGAGATATGGAGACGGAAAGTATTAATAAACAGAACTTCCACCTTTTTCGTAAGTGGTTTAAATTTTTTTTTAGGAGCTTTGTGGCATGTTTTTGCAAACAAAGAAGACAAAGCTGTCATTTAAATAGTGACATTATCTCTGATGGTACATTACGCATCTGACTCCGTTCCCTACAGTCTCGAATGACAAGCTACATATGAGCCACAGTCTCTCGTCTGTTTATATACAGTCTCAAGACTTCTTCCTACCGCCTTCTGCATAGTCTACCTACAGTCCTTTGGGAGTCAACCTACAGTCTTTAGTGCACCTACAGTATTTAGTTCCACAGTCTCACTTTTGACTCTCTGATCTCAATTCTCATCTATGTACAGGATACGTTCACACCCAGACATCCCATACCACACACCCCCATGATCCTTATCATCTATCTTGATCTCATCTATCCTTCCTTATCCTTTCCTCCAAAAAAAACACATTCGCCTCTCCGATCATGGCCGTCAGACTTCTTCTGCGCCACGTGACGCGCCTGTGTCTCCGTATCACCGTCCGTCGCCTGCCTCGCCCCATTCGACTCTCTTCCTATACCCCACCATCTCATACTCTTGCTACCTTTGCAACCTTCAGTGGCAACTCATCCGAGGACATTGACTTGATTTCCCTTCGAAGACGTGTACACAGCACAGACTTGGCTGTTCCCTTCCGAACTTCCCTTGACGCCGCCGCCTCTTTGAATGGCTTGTACGATCCATCTCTGGTGGAACGCGCACTAGTGTCTGTATCTATGAAGTTGGCTTCCGACTCGGGCCCGGCTTCGGATAACCAATCTCATGCCGCCGCAATTGAAGAATTCGTAAGAAGGTTCAATGGTGAATTGACTGTGTTGGCCGACTTCATTCGTTCGTCCTACGCTTCCTCTCTTGGTTCTCTCTCGCAATTGTCTGCGGTAGAACTTTCTAATGTGATCTATATCTTCAGAGATATGTATACGAAGGGGAAAGTTCCCGCAGTGGACCTGAAGAACTTGGCCGCTTACGATGACATGGTGGCTTCGTTCTGGTCTTTGCTTGAACATTCCGGAGATCGTTCCCGCGTACCTTACATTGTGGGCTCGCTCTTGGAAAGCTCCAGGCTGATCTATGTGGACTTGTACACCCTGGGAATTGGCAATTTTCTCTCAGAGCTCCGGGTTTTGGCCACAGAATTCGACTTCACAACTCTTAAATCTTTGGATCCAGTGGTGGCAAAAATTTCGGCCCTTGTATCGGAATTCTCAAGGTACTTACAAGACCATGATTCAACCCACGACTACGATCTGGAGTTTTTCCGCGTGGTAATCTACGTGCTGCGCTATAGAAAGCTCCAGGACATCTTGGTGGCCGTGGGCCAGAAGAACATTTCGCCTCGGGATCTCCTTGCGTTGACCAAAGATCCTTCTGCAGAATCTATTCAACAATTGCTTGGTGCCGAGTCAGGCGAGCCCCAGAAACTTGAGGACTTGTTCTTTGTTCATCATCGCAATTTCTTCAATGTCATATACACTATGGTCGGACTTCCCCAGTTCGATACCATTTTTGCAACCCTTTATCTGGAAGCACAGAAACCAGGGTACACCGAGAGTGAAAAGTCTCAAATGGATAACTTTTTGGAGACATTTTTGCCCTTGGTATGTGGCGGTCTCGTTCCCATTGACGCCTTACAAAATACCAAGTATTCTTGTCTCCCCGTGAGATATAATGGCAAAGTGCTTGCTCCATTTAAAGTTTCGCACAACATATTCGACAATTACGGTTTTTCTTTGGCTGTGCTCTTCGACATTCCGTCCTACTTATATTTGATCGAAACTGCTTCCACCCACCTCAAAAAACCTTTTGAGGCCAGCTCAATTGAAGAGGTCTCTAAAGTTCTTCATTTGGCTGTTAAGGGAAGTTCTCTTATGGAGAATGAAATCAATGCTTTTGTTGCTTCTTTGAAGGAAATGCACCCTTATTGCATTCACAATCTTCGGATTCTTGACCAATTAGTCAGTCAAGCACCATTGATCCGGGCAACCAATGAGAAAGTATCTCATTATGCCTATGTTGCGAAAGTCGACCCTGAGATCGTTGACTTGACCTCTACTATGGCTGCGTCAGGTGGGGCTCATGGCTCCTCACAAAGTTCAATCCGAGTTAACGGTCGGGAATTATCTGATTTTAAGAATGAGCTTGCTGATTTTAAATCCAAGGATTTATGTGAAATACCATATACTTCAATTGGTGATGTGAATGTCATCAAATTGTTATCATCTAGAGTTTCAGATGTCATTTCGAGCGATGTCTCCAAAACAGACTCTGCAGTTAACCCCGAGAATGTCGCTAGCTACGCAACTATTCTCGAGTTGCTAACTGCCACTTTCGACATTAACGGAGGAGATGTCACATTGCTTGAAAGTCTTATCAAGGATGTGAAACCTAAAGAGCTATTCTTCCCTGAAGTGACTACTGAATATTGTCAGATTCCGGAATATCTCAAAATTCATGACTTCACTACCGAGCTTGAAATTCTCAGACTGGATGAGCTCAAGTCTCCATTCAAAGATTATACGCCTGAACAGATCCTTAGATTGATGAAAGACCGCTTTGTTGAGTTCAATGATGGGCTTCCAAACTCGAATCCATCCTCTAGAATGGTTCCAGCTAACTTAGCCAGATTCATGAGATTGTCTGGTCGTTTGAAACAACTTTTTGATCTTAATAATGGAAACACTGAAGTTTTGGACGCTGTCCTAGGATCCCATTCCGAGCTCCAAAAATTGGAAGCTAGACTCGAGACTCAGCGGAAGGAGCGGGAAGTAAAGAAAGAATTCGAGCAAGAAGCAAAGAAAGCTTCGGAACCAGATACAAAAAGTTTGTACGCACCTGGACCCTATCTTCAGATTCCTGATAAAATGCAGTTGCATGAATTTGTAAAAGAATTGGAGATTTTCAGACACGATGATTTGAGATCTTCATTCAAAAATTTTTCAGCTGAAAAGATATTGGGATTGATGCAGAAGAGAATCAAGGAGATATATAATGATTTGCCATGCACTAATCATGCTCTGCGAATGTCTAAAGATAATTTGATTGCGTTCATAAAGTTACATGCGAAACTCGAAAAGTTATTGGCCTGGAATGGAGGAAACACTGGTATATTGGATACCCTTATCCACTCTCAATCCGTTTTCAATGATTTTGAGGATAAGCTCAGCAAGAGAAAGGAAACCAATGACGCAAGAGCATCAAGTTCTGTCACTACTTCAGAGAATAATGTTTATAGGCAGCTCATGGATGATATGATGTTTGAAGAATTTGCGGAAGAGTTGATGGCTATCAAGCAAAAGATTGGAAGAAATTTTAAGTCTTCGACTCCAGATGAGATTTTGACGGCATTGCAAGAGCTAACCGATTCTGAAACAAGTATGGATTCCAAGGTGTTGCTTGGAAAGCTCTCGCGCAATTTGAAGGTTTTGTTCAAACACAACAACGACCAGACATTCGTTTTGGATAATGTATTGTTGAATGTTGAAGCCTTCAAGTCTTTCGAGAAGAATTTAGAAGACAGTAAATCTGCTGATAATAAGTTTGACATGTCTGAATTTTTGAAGGATGAAAAATGTGCTGCATCTCCGGTTGATTATCATAAAGAAGACTATGTGTTATCGTTGCTAAATTCCAACAGCACCCCTGCTGGGTTGGATTTAGAAACTGATGTTACGATTAAAGAAGCAGTCACAAGCGCGTTGAGCAAAGCAGAAAACAAGCTCTTTGAGGAGGACCCAGAAGAGTATGCCGCCATCAATAATTTGACAGCACAGAAAATCAGGGAGTCTTATGCTAAGCATAACATTTCGACTAAGGAATTTAAACGCATTGATAAGGAATCTTTAGAAAAATTTTTGAAGAGCACCAAGGTTGAGAGTGACAAGCAGGCAGAACAAAAGTGGCGTGAAAAGCAAGCTTATGAGTGGAGCAGCACCATGGCCAACAGTCAGCGCTCATTGGAGTCCGGCAATTTCTTTAATTCGCTTTCCCTTAGAAGGAAGTCTAGTGATTTTCCAATGTTTCCTGCTACTGAAATTAAGGAATACTTGGTTTTGACACCCGCTGGACAAACCTTCACATCCAAAGAGAATCCCTTGGGATCCAATCATGTTGCAGAAGATATGTTGGCTATTCTTGATAAGTTCAATGAATCTGAACTCGAGAAATTCTCCAAGAATGTCAAGAAGTTGCAAAAGAAACACTGGAAACTCATCGGCGGTGGGGGTAGCGAGAGAATGTTAGTGTTGAGCAGACCAACGGTGGCTCGTAAGAAGAAGGTTTTGACCAGGATTAAGACTTTGTTGGCGTCAACAGGAAGTGTGTTCTTAGCATTGATTGGCCTCAATATCTGGTTAGATGATATCCAGCAAGACGTTCCTCAGCAAGTTCCAATTACCGAAGATGGGGTGGAGAACCAAGAGGTGGTTGTTGTCAGCGAGCCCCAGCCTGTGCCGGAAGTTGTTTCTACTCCATTACCAAAGTCATCTAGCAAATCTCTCTGGCAGAGATTGATGTGGAAGGACTAGATGAATTTCATTTCAGATTGATTTTGCCTGAATTTAAGATTATTTCACATATTAATTATCATTATAAACTATGTTTTCTAGACCTCCATTGCAACTTCCTTATCGGCTTCCTTGGGGGGTTCCTTGGTGATCAAAGTAAATTTCCACGAAGTGAGCGACCCACTCGTACCGTTCCACCCTCTCAATCTGGTCACTGTTAATTTATCAGAAATGTCTGGGATACTAAACCCAGTCTCAAATATATGCTGATCGTGCTTTCTCTTTTCGATCTGGAGCTGGTGCTTGCTACTTAGAGGTCTGCCAGGTCTACGATCGCTTTCGATCTGAGCCAACTCCTCGTCGTTTCTGCAGATATATTCATTGACAATCTCCCTCATGTCATCTTGAGAGAAAACCTCCTTCTCCTTATCTTCGTTGATCTTCTCCTGGATGTGCAAGTAAACAAGAAGTTCATGGTTCTTCTGCTCAGCGTACTGAAGTTTTTTCTTTTGGAGCTTGTTCTCACGCTCGGTGGCTCTATTAAGTTGTTTAAACTTACGTCCCTTGACGTGAAGCGATCCCGACAGCTGCTTAGAGAGCTTTTTGGACACTTTATGGAGAGATTTGACGAACGGCATGGCTAGTAGATCAATGAGACCATCTCATCTCAAAGATATAGATATATTCTGCACAGAAGCTCGGATATGAAGACATGGAAGATTGTGCCTTTTCTGGAATCCAGCATCTAGAATTTCGGTTTTAATTAATGATTTTCATTTGGAGCTGATTGTGGATATTCAATTTTGTAAATTTTAAGAATATGTGATTTCTGGTATGGGTGGTACTTCTGAACATTTAGCTGTCCGCTACCGAAAATCTAGAAACTTAGAAATTAGAACGACCATTATGATACAGAATACCGGAATCAAGGGAAAACCAAATTATTAAGCAAAAATAAGCGAAGCTCGAGTGCTCAAATACTATAGCAATCTAGAAGAATATACAAATTAAGTTAGCTCTACATGAAAGTTTTATTGACACAATCTCAGGCAAATCCAGCCACATTTTCTAACCAGATAGTCTCACGCGACATATAACCATGACAGAAAAGCCCAAGAAAACCATCCGGACAAGCAAAAATCTACAAAACCAGGAAATTGATTTAAAAGAAAGAATTCAAAGACAAAAAAATCCTAATCCCTTAGCTCTTTCCCTGAACTTTCTATAGCTCAAATGACTGCACAGTCAGTTACCCCAGTCGTCTCGTACCCAAAACCACGAGAATACAGACTCCAGAAAAAATTAGCGAAAAAACCAACCAACTCTATCTCTCTACACAATGGCCAAGTACACAGAAGAACAGTTGTTCGAAGCACAAGAACAAGCATATAACCCTAAGCCAGACGTGTTGGAGGCTTTCAACCAGTTGGTTGAGTCCGTCAGAGAGCATGTGGCCAACGAGAAGAGAAGAGAGAAGTCCAACGGTGACACCTACATAGACGAGCACGGAAACGAGAGATCGTACCACCACTTGAACAGAAGAAGATTGTCTCGTTCAGGCAACAAGCCAAACTTGAGAAAGAAGGCTGTGGAGACCACTGTGGACGAAGATGGATGGGCTACCATGGCTAAGCCAAAGAAGTCTTTCGGTGCTGAGGAGGCTTTGGACGAGAGAGCAAAATTCAGAGAGTCTATCAAAGAGACTACTGTGAAGGTGAGACCAAACAATAAAAATTTGGGTTCGTCCAAGGCGGTGGATCCAAGAGACGCAATTGCTGACAAGCAGACAAACACATTTAATGCTTTCGAGGCATTGGGGGATGACGACGATGATTCAGAGTAATGACAGTCTATAGTAATATACGAGCGTCTTGTGCGCTTGAACGATAAGTGTTGTAGAGGGATTGTGGGTCATTTAGTTTAGTGACGTGACACCTGGTTTTTTGTACAGATTCACCTGACATTCAGTAGTTTACATTACTTGCAGAAATTGAATTTTGATGATTTTATTACATACAAATACACATGAGCTAGACTATGATCTCTTCGTCGTCTTCGCTGTGAAGCCCGTTAAGAATGGACTTAACGTCAGTGGTGTGGATCTGTTTTTGAAGAACAGATCTGGGGATACTAGCTGGTCGGTCGTTAGTGAATGAGAAATGATCGTTTGGTAACTTCGTGCCCAAGACGCTTTGCTTCAAATCAGACACACGCGGCATCAACGAGTGCTTGTAATTGTTAGCTTCGTGAAGATAGTGTGTTCCAATGGTCGGGAGTGTGTCAGAAGTCATTTGAGTAGCATCTGGAGAATGGTATCCGTTTGACTTGAAATTGCTGTTGAACAATCCAGAATGGATTGATGAAATATCGTTGGCCGTGCCCAAGCCATATCCATTGACCAGATTCGATCTCGGAGGTGTTTTGAAGCCCTCATACGCTTCCTCATTTGAATGAGATGATGCAGATTGCAAAAGCTCAGAGATATTGCCGTTTAATAGAGACTCTCCATTACGGAAGTCGGGATGCAAGTTTCTTGACCCAAACTTAGGTAAGCTTGTTTGAGAGAAGAATTCATAGAATGCCTTCTTGTTGACTTCATTGGGTATAGGTTCTCCCATTGCCAACGAGCCTTCGCCGTTAGTACCATCGAGCTCGTTGACCCACACGGCCAATTCTCTGCGTACTGCGATATCTTGAGCAACGTTTTTGGCGAGACTCAGCTGGCTAACATCAAAATGGATGCTGTCACGATACTTCTCATTCAACACCTTCAAAGACTCATTCAATAAGAGATATGCTGTAGTGTCTTTAGCACAATCTGGAAGTTGCTTTGTGACTTCCAGGATTTGCCAGTGAGGAAAAACGGGGAGGAAATTATGAATGAAATTGATTCCCGTGATTCCAAGCAAATTCTTCAATGTGTCCAAGAGCATCCGGGCAACGTACAAGTTGACGGATTGCTCACCAAAAAATGCGTTACAGTGGACAAGTAAATGAGACAAGGCATTCTCACTGTTTTCGATGTAATCGTTGTAGTTTGGAGTTAAAAATTTGCCGTAATTCGTTGAACTGGCAGGAACGTTGACGTCTTCTTCGGATCTTTCATCTCCCTTGATCAATTCCGTAGTCAAAAACTCGTTGAACACAGTAAGATATTTAGTCTGAATATTTGAGATTTGCTCAGGAGTAGCATCTATAGCAAATTCCCTAAATGATTTTGTGAACGTCAACAACAGGAAACTCAGTTCCCAGTTTTCTAAGGTCGCATGGTTGCGAGCGATAGTGCTCAATTTTCTTGACAAAAGGTTCAAGATGGTGGAAATGGTATCAAGAAAGGTTATCACCAAATCATGAGTGATTGTGACATTGGATTTGGACGCAGAAATCATCACGGTGTCAATCTGCAACAAAATGGCTACAATTGAGTCCAGAACTTGGTCGAAATAGTAAATGTGACTGGATAGGTTGCAAATGCACTGAGAAAGTATCTCACTCAAGTTTCGAGTTTGATCGACACTGAGAACATGAGCCAGACCAATGTACAAGTTTGTCTGCAATGAGAGTAATTGTTGAAGGACATCAGTGATAGACAAGCCGATCATGTTGAAGTTAGAGGAGACAAGCCCCAATATACTCTGGGCATAGTGTACCACGTGAGGATAGGTAGCCTTTTGAGAAGGCAATTGTTCAGACACAACGCTCAACTTGTATAAAAGAGTTGATAACGCCACAAATCTCAATTGCACAGGGATCCACGAGGCGCACATCTCCAAAAAAGTCACACCCCAGGGACTCTCCTCGACATTCCCGTCCCTCAAGTTGTTATTCACCACTTCAATAGTGGCCTCACTGATCTGACTCGACAGAGATGTATTGAACAAGGCCTTCAACCCGTTGAGAGCCTCTTCGTTCAATTCGTCCTCAGTTAAAGATTCGTCGTCCACATCGCCATGGGCCACAGAATGTGCAGCAGCAGTGGCCACTCTGCTGACTCTACGGTCATCCTTTTCGACATTCAAGTTGCTGTTCAAACGAGTCAAGAGAGTATCATAAGAAGAGTAGTCACGAACGGTGGCCGTCAAAAGCGGAACACATTTCCCGATAAAGCGATGGCTTACAGCCGCATTGAAGCCCAAGCAGTTGAACACATACCTCGAAGTCAACAACGAAAGCAACAACCACTCACGTTGGTTGGGACCAGGAATTTTCAGTTTGGTCACACCCACGTCAAGCAAGCCATCGGTGAGACGGGAGAAGGACTCAACAAAGTCCTTGTCTCCGGTGAAAAGGCCACCATCCAATTTCGAGCACAAAACGCCGTAGGTGGCTACAAGCGACTTACAGAGAGGCAATTCACCCGTGTTCAACACCGAAGTCAAAATTGAACAAACCTGGAAAGCAAACACGTTCAAGTTGTCTGCACATTTCTCTATAAGCGCCGACACGATGGAAAGGGTAACTTGCAAATTTCCAGACTTACTTCCACGAGAATCTGACTTGGTTTTGTGGTCCAAGTAGTCAATCACCTTCTCCAACTTGACTCGTCTGGTGGAAGCATAGTACAAGAGGTAGGAGAGCTCCAGCGGATTGGGCTTTTTGTCCACGCCTTTTCCAGGCGGGTAGCACTGAAGAATGAGCTTCTGATGTTTGGAGTGTAGCACTCTCATTGGAAAGAGAACAGAACAGGCGATAAATGGAAGAAGAAAAACCGGGGTATGGAACAGTTCAAGTAGGTGGAGAGTTTGGGAGACACGTGATAAGATTTTGGTACCAACTTCATGTGCGAAAACATGAATAATTACTACAATAGGAGCAGGAATCACCGGGGAAGGAAAATATAGCTCATTAACTTGGCGGGAAATATGAAATTGGTTGATAAACTAAAAATTAAGGAATGAAGTAAGTTAGTGACGGAACCTAGGGACAGAACCTGGGGAGCTCCCCAGGTGGGGCATGAAACGCAAAAGTTAGTGGAACATGAATTTGACCAGGATTCCTCAATTAGTAAAACCTTGTGTAGTGACGAGTGAATTCACATTCTAAAGATAGAAGATGCGAAACAATTAAAGCGCAATATAAGCTGCATAACCGGAAGAGATAAGACCTGGAATTTTGGGTAACTCGTCATGGAATGTGTGGGTTGACGATAGCTTGTGAAAGTCAACCAGAGTCACGAGGTGAATTTTTTAAGATAATGCGCATCCATCAGACTTCGATTAGATAAAAGTATCTGGAATGAGGCTTGGTAGGATAAAACCCAAATGTTCTTATAGACTTGCAAACAATGGGATCACAACATAGGGTCACAACAGAGGGATAACAACAGAGGGATCAAAACCGTAGGAAGTCACAAGTATTGGAGTTCTTAAAATACTCGAGTGAAGGGCGCAAGCGGGAGGATTTCGATTTCTTCCATCCGTAAATCTTTCCATTCATAAAACCCCTCCATTCATGAAATCCCCTCCACTAATTGATTCACCTAGCTGAGATCCTGATATCGCACCTTCAAGCAATACGGGCACATCATGTGTCTGCATCGCAGACATGTGAAGCGAGTCGCAGGCTCAATCACCAGGTCGCAGGACCTAGCACCATGCTCAGGTGCTGTTCGGAGTGTACCATAGGTCTTGCCGCAGTCGCAACAGTACCACTGGCAGACACGGGACGCCGCCGACGACGTTTTATGAGACTGCTTCAGGTGGGAGATTGCCACGGTGGGAATGATGAAAAGATCGCCCCGATGATGCGAGGGATGGGATGTCGATGTGGAGGACGGCAACGCCAGAATATTATGGTGGTGCGAGTGAATATTAACGAAATATCGATGCGCAGTAGTGGCAGATGTTCGGTGAGATTAGCGCAGAGGCTGGCACGAACGCTGTAGGACCTTGAGAAGCACGATGGCTGGTAGTAATAAGGAAGACACCAAAAAAGTGGATTGCGTGAAGAGAAGAAAAATGGTTGCAGAATCACATCTTCTAACACCGGGCCGTTTTTTCTATATATTCCATCGTCACCTTGGGGTCCAGACCCCCCGGACCGATTAACCCTCGATGCAGTGCAACCCATCTTTGAGTGATTTTGGCGCCTAATGGGCCTCCAGAATCGGTACACTACTGCACTGACTGCACCGAGTAAAGGGCCCCCAGGCTCTAGGTCTGAGGGGGGCATGTTGGACCATCGAATGTCACATCAGAACCAGTGGGACTAGGTGCAACCAAACGTTGGCCTGGCAACTGTGGCGAAAAACGTGACGCTCCCCACATGGATTATGATAGCGTAAACCTATTTTAATTCTTTTCTTTTGCTAGGTTCCAGTTGGGGGGATTCGCAGCCAATCTGTTTCTAAAAAGGTGTGCGGATGGAGACTCGCGACTTCTAGAGAAAAAAAATCCTTCAGGCTGGAACCTCACCATTCTCAAAAATAGAATGATGTTACGAGCGTGCTCCATTAACATTGGTCACCACCATCCGAATCCCTCGTGACTATTCGGGAAAAGTAGTAGGCAGGGATAACTCCATCGGCGTTGCCTCCGCATAAAATAACCCCGTTCCTACTGCGGTACAACTCATATCCGTTATCAAGTAGTCTGGAAGTATCTATGTAGATGAGGACATCGCAATTGGGTCGGATTCCCAGTTTGCTCCATTCTGCATCCGATGTGAAATGGATATGGTTCCGCTGCATGCGACTGAGGCCCGTTTGCTCAATGGCTGGAAGTTTGCGACGAAACGTACCGTGGTAGACGTTGGCTGGCATGGTTTCCGATGTTAGAAGTTCTAATTCTGGGGTGACAGCCTTGAGCGTATGGCCCTGGTTAGCGCAAATGTAGACGGAGTCATCAACAGACTTAAGTGAGAAGCGTTGCTTGTCGTTCTGTGCCACAATACGCTCGATGTCTGTCACTGAAGCTTTCTGAGATTTGAGTCTATGGTGATTGAGTAGAACATCCAATGCGATCCAGCCCTGAGGGTCGATGGCGAGTTTCTCTTTTTCGGCGCCGTGGCGAAGGAGGTACGAGAGAGATTTTGAGATCTGGACGTCACGTTTGTCGGCCATGGCGAGCTGTTGCAATGAAGTGTGAAGATCAGTAAGAATTTAGTGAATTCTGTAGAGTGAGAATGTGAGAAAATGAAAACGTGAGACGAGGACAATGAGCAGAGGACCTTGAGTAGACTACCCAGAACGTGATTGGTGTACCAAATTAAACAAATCCAGGATTGATAGTTGAGTGTTGCTGAAAGAAATCTGAGTCAAATGTAATCTACTGGATATTTTCTGTTTTCGTATAAGCTAGCAGAAGTTAAACTACATGAAGTGCAATTACACTGAAAAGCACAGAGTGAACCAAAAAAGTGGTGGTTTTTTTTTACCAACGATATAGGAAACTTTTAAAAATCACTTTTCTTTAGTCTTTTCTTCTTCTTCTCTGTTCTTCCCCATCTTCCCTCCATTTCCTTCGCACTTCTATTGGCCAAAGTCACCATTGATCTAGTATCTACCCAATGCTTAACCTTGCTTAAATCTACAGATATTTGACCATTCTCCAAATCTCCAATCGTGTTGCTATGTACATGTCTTAGTTGTCGCTGCACTTTCTGGCCTTGACTCCAGCCAAACTGCCCATGTTGGCTCTGTTGCTTTGCTTGATGCTCTCGTTGCTTCCAAGCTCCGTCTTGTCGTGGAACTTTAAGAAGTATCTTCCGTCCTTCTCTTGTTCACCCTGAACGATGTTCTTGACAAGAAACCGTGCCACTTCATTGAGTTCAGTCACGGCCTTAGTGATCTCGGCCTCATCACTAAGAGCACGGTTGCTTTCGAAACCCTCTCTGACTCTGGTTCTGGCGGCATTTAAAACAACCTGATCTCCATTAAATGCCACTCGGGTGGCCCGGAGAGCATTTCTGTATGCCTGCAAGGCAAGGTTTTTGCTCATGGTTGGAAGAAGAGTTGGTTGAAAAGTGTGCAGGTTGGAGTAGTAACATCACCATTCAGATTGGCTACTTATATTCCATTGAAATTTATTATATTTGAGGTAATCCACTTTTTACGATCCATTTTATCAAATTTTGCACCCTCCTCTTTGTTTTCTTTGTTTTCTTTGTGATTTTCTACTTTTTCTCCAAATTTCTGCTCTACTCTCCGCTCAACCTTAATGGATATGCTATACATGACTCTATAACACCAATTTCTCCCTGGAATATGTGGGGATCTGCTTGGCCAACTCGATGCCCTCATCAACCAACAACTTCGTGTTTGAAGTATTGTTGCTGATGGTCAAAATGGCATCCAACTGCAATCTCTGGTTACTGACCTCATGAATGTTATCCACGACCTTAGGCTCATTCTTTTTGGTATTCTTAGTGGCATTATCGATTGCGATAATTGCCTGGTTCGTCAATGTCAAGTTGTAACTGTTCTGAGTCAAGGCATCGATCTTCGAGTCAATGATCTCGCTAAGTGTAGTGATGGTTGGAATTCTCCAGTTGAAGAGTCCACCAACATCAATAACGGCTTGCACCAACTCCCACGAGTTGCTGGTGTTAATATTGAGGAGAACTGATAACATGCGTTCCAATTTCTTGTTGGCGGTTTCAAACTCCACATTCAAGACCTCCTGAAGCTTGGTGGTGATCTGTGCAATAGAGTAGTCCCTGATTAAACGATCAACGGTGGCCTTCAAGAAAGACAAAATGTACTGAGCCTCATCTTGCTCTTCCAAGTTCATCTCGTCGGTGAGCTCGATTAAGTTGAGGAACTCGGCCATGAGTTCATCGATGGTGATGGCTGCACAGTTGTCGATGGCATGCTTCAACAAAATGGGCTGGTTCAATTGGGAGAAGAGCATGAGCATACCAGCAGCATATTTGCTTGGATACAATGGGTGGGTGAGAAGGTACTTCAAGGAGTACTCGGGCAAGAAAGCTTCATCAATGATCTGGATGTTCTCTTGGTCATCAAACTTGAAGACCAACGACAAAGCCTGTGAAATGAACTTGTCATCGACCACTCTGTCCAGAAGTGGAGAGAACCGGAAAGACTTGACAGTCTTGATTTTATTCTTGGCTTCTTTGAGGTATCCCAACAAGTGTTTGTCGAAGTGCTCGGTGTTCTTAGAAACCTTGTCATGAGCCAAAAGCTTGAGGGTTCGCTCTAACTGTACCAAAGCCTCTTCGTTGGCTTTCTGCAAGTCAGCTTCGGCTAAGTGAGGCATTCCACTCAATTGGACTTCTGTCTGGTCGCGGTAGAGCGACTTACCTAGAGACTCGCTCAAGGTGTTGACACCAACATCCACCAGGATCAGTTTCAACTTGCAAGTCTTTGTTCTGTCCTCAAAATTTAAGTATAATGCAAACGTGGATCTGGATTCGGGAGAGTTTCCAGCCACTGGAAGTCCAAATGCCAAGTACACCTCATTTCCAGAGTTGTTGGTATGGTCTCCCAACAAACTCTCGAACTTGAAGTTGATCAAAAAGACCAGCGATTTAAACGATAAGAGAAGTCTCTCGGATGATACTGCAATGATGGAATACAAGGTGTCCTTGTCGGATCCTTTAACTAGGCTTTCCAACGAGATGGATTTTATGGTTTCCTGGGGCTTCATGAGCCAGCTTGAGGAGAGACTTTTGCTGTCAGTATCGAAGCTGTAAATGACGCCATCAGCGTATGTATAGATGAGGCTGTGCGATTTGTCGTAGTCGATCGAGGTGTCGTAGATGTCGAAGGTTTTAGCTCCGTCCAAGGCAACAAGGTGGTATTTGACAGAGGACGAGCTTTTGGATGTTTCCACAAAAAAAAGCAAGTCATTTTTATGCTTGAAAGTGTGGTTGGAAATGAACGTCTGGTAAACCACCGAGTAGGACTTGGAAGAAGTGGCGATGTTGACAAGGCCGGGACCTTTGGATAATTCGAGCTTCTCTTCGGTAGAATAGTCATAAAGCTCGAGTTTTCCGGTTTTCAAAAGCACATAGATATGGTCGGACAGCGAGAACTTGACAGCTGCAGCAGGAGCCAGCAAGCTGATCTCACTGGTAGTCATGGACTCGTCAGCATGCTTCTGAATCAAGAGAAGCCTGCTCTTCTGTCTCTCAGTCAAACCAACAAGATACAACAGACCGTGGACATCCATAGAGTCTACCACAGTGCTTGGAGACAATGGATATGACCAGACCAATTTGGGGGTTGGCTTCAACACATAGCTGGCGATTATCAGCTTGGAAATACCCAAGTCGATGGTATCTGGGGTGAGATGCTGGAGGGATTTGCGAGACTCAGGGATGGCCACACGCGCAGGAAGCAGCAAGTCAGGGATACGAGGCAACTCTGCTAGCGAGTAGGACTCGCCCAATCCGGGGATAGGAAGCGACATGACAGGTAGAGATGCAAGATGAGTTGGTGATATTTTCCGATGAGACTGTGTAGTGGGAAAAAAACTGCGATGGGGGGAGGTGTGGATGTAGGAAGATGAACGGGAGACAATTATAGAATTAACTTCAGGATGAACATTTTACTGATAATTTTAATTTGGGAATAAGAGAAAATTTTATATTGTAACAATTTTTTTTTTGAATTGCAAAGAATTTTGATTTGATGGTTAATGAAAGGTATCCAAATGGATTTTACAAGTGACAAGTCCAATCTCACTCATTTAGTCTCACTAAATTCGTCTCACAATAATCAATCTCAATGTCCAGCATATAGTTCTTAACATCCATATACCCATACTCTGGTCAAGTACATTCCCAAGATATCATAATCACTGGATATAAAATACAAGCTTGAAGCACTCCTGAACGGTACTTTTTTCCAATTTCTCCCTTCCATATGTTCATTCTCATTATATTTTCTAATCTTTCGATCTATCTGTTTCTCACTAAACTTCTCCCGCCTATCGGTGTACGGGTGCGTCGCCAACTTACAACTGACCTCCATTCTTTACTCTCAGCTCCACCATGTCTCTACCTTCGACCTGGCGACAGTTCCAGCTATTTGACTTTCTTCCTATTCGAGATCCCAAATTCAAGTCGGATGACCCGCTTTTCTCCGACCCAACGCTCTCGGCTATAACGTCAACCCAATCTTATGTTGTATTTGCTGTACAGAATGCTTACATCAAGATTCTCTCCAAGGACAATTTGACATTGGTCAAACAGTTTTGTGCATATGACTTAGACTACCGCATCAGCTACATGCGGCCATTGATGCACTCGAATATCTTGGTGACATTGGCTGAGAAACAAGGCTCTCCGGCACTTATCAAGGTTTTGGACCTCACCAAGATCATGCAATTGGACGACTCGGCTATCCAGTCTGACGACACTATGAAGCACAAGTACGTGACCCAAGTGTCTGTTCACAATGGCGACAACTCCTTCCCCATCAGCTGCTTTGCCTTCAATGAATTCCTCACTTGTATAGCTATCGGCTTCACAAATGGAAAGGTTATTTTGGTTCGAGGGGACATGCTCAAGGATAGAGGGTCCAAACAGCGAGTAGTTTACGAGAGTACTGATCCTATCACGGGTATTCAGTTCAATCGCATGGAGGAAGTGTTGTATCTCACCACTACCTCCAAGATCATGACATTATTGACCACGGGCCGCAACCAGGGTAAGCCTTTAAGAATACTTTCCAACACGCGTGGTGCTGATTTGGACTGCTCAGATTTGGAGGTTAAGACCTCGCGGTTGATTGTAGCTAATCAAGATGGCTTGAATTTTTATAACCATGTCAGCAAGGCACAGGTTGTTAATTTTAATGTGGCGAAGCGCAAAATTCTTCGGGTTTTCAAAGATTATCTTCTTGTTGTGTGTCCACTTGAAGATTCCAATTCGGGGAGTTCCTCGTTGACAAGGTTGCTAGTGCTCGATTTGCATAACATGCACATTTCCTTCAGTTTGACCATTTCCAATCTGACCATTTCGCATGTTTTTGCCTCATATTCCGATAATACCATTTTCTTGCTCTCCACAGACGGTATTCTATACAAACTACATGAAAAACCAATCAACCAACAAGTTGAAATCATCTTGCAAAGAGATCTTTTCTCAATTGCCATGAGTCTAGCAACTCAATACCATCTTGATAATGGGACTTTGTGGAGGATCAACAGATTGCATGGCGACTACCTCTATGAAAAGCTGGACTTTGATGGAGCAATTTCGAAATACATCGACTGTTTGCTGCTATTAAGTGGTAAAACAAAGAATCCTAATTTAAAACCAGAAGACCTCGATGATTTTGTCATAAATGTCATCACTTCCTTCAAAGATATTTCCAAGATCAATAATATCACCAAATTTCTTGCGAAGTTATATGAATTGAACAATGCAGATAGTGATCAAGTTACCTTACTATTGTGTTGCTACTGCAAATTGAGAATGACAACTGAATTGGACACCTTTGTTGACGAACTTGATCTCGAGAGAGATGGCACTGCTAATTCTTCCTCGAAACTTGATCTTTCACTGCTTAATTTCGATCTAATCATCAATTTGTTCAAGGAAAGTGGGTTCTACGCTCAAGTCATTAAATTGTTGGTCAAACTTAACCGTCCAAATCTGATAGTTGAGCTTCAACTCAACGAGTTGCACCAACATCAACAGTGTCTTGATTACATCAAATCGCTTCCCATAGACGAGTTACTTCGTATTCTCATTGACTACCTGAAGGATCTCCTCAAGTGTATGCCAGTGGAAACCACGGAGCTTCTTATTAATGTCTTTACAGGAAAATATAAACCAGATACCACATTTTCTTTGATCGATACCGAAGACATCTCAAAGAAGGATCTGGATCTGGATCTCCCACAGGTTGAGAAAGTCCACATGTCGTCATACACTGCATTTATGAGTTACCTTTCTGGCCGTCTAGGCCACGAAGAGGAACAAGACACAAGTGAAACAATCGAGGAGCCAACGTATCTACCTCCTCGACCCAGCTTAGTATTTCCATGTTTTCTCTACCATCCTGGTGAATTTGTCATCTTTCTAGAAGCTTGCATTGAAACGTTCGATAAGTACCAGGGCAACATCAACGACAAGAAGGTGTTGTTGATGACTTTGTTTGAATTGTATCTTACTCAGTCTGCCGAGCACCCTGAGGAGAAAAGTGATTGGCTTTCAAAGGCAGGAGACTTGCTCCGTAAGCATCCAGACCTCTTAAACAAGTCTAAAGTTTTACTCATTTCTCACATTTACAAGTTTAAAGAAGGGGAAATATTCGCCACTGACAACTTAGGCAATTTTAACGAGGGAATGTTCAGGGCAGCTCAGGTTGCTGGCGATGTCCAAGGTGCGTTGCTGATAACAAAACGCCACGGAGATCAGAAGCCACTTTTGTTCAAGCTCATGCTCAAGTTTCTTGTGTCTTCAGAAGTTGTTTATAAACAGGCTACACCCAAGATCTTCCGTTTCCTCTTGGACAAAATCAAAGAGAACAAGGTTTGCTCACCTTTGGAAATTATCAAAATCTTGAGCTCAAACGACTTCGCTACCGTCGGTATTCTTAAAGACTACTTGATAGACTTTGTGGGGGAAACCAATAAAGATATTTCGAACAACAAGAAATTGCTCCAGTCTTACGAAAACGAATCCACAAAGAACACACTCATGCTAACTGAGCTCACACATAATGCATTCGTGATGCGAAACAACAAGTGTTCCAATTGCGAGATGCGTCTTGAGTTCCCGTTGATCCACTTCAAGTGCAAGCATTCTTACCATCAAAGATGTTTGAACGAAAACACATACATTCCTGGAGTCGCTGATTCGAAGCCGAAATGTCCTCTTTGTATTAACGAATTGCAAGCACTGGAGAATCTCCGGGAGTCCCAGATCCGCACCAGTTATGACTATGACGTGTTTAAAATGAACTTAGATGAGTCTCAGGACCGTTTCAAGGTAATCAGCGATTATCTTGGGAAAGGTGTGATGGAGGATGCTTAGGTGTTTGAATGGTGTCGCGAAGTTCAATGATATATAGTCAAAAGTTCAGCATTTCATAATTTAGACACAATGCATTTGGAAATTCAGTTAGCGGCGTATTACAATGCTCTTGATGATCTTCTCAACCACCAGAGCCAATATGTGAAAGAATTGAATGTGGAGTTTCAGAAAGATTATGAGGTCCGGTGTAGGAGTCAAAGAACAATATACCACCAATACAAAATTGGGCTTGACAAATTCGTCAAGGTTGGCCAGCAAAACTTGGAGCAATTTGATAGAACAGGTGACTTTTCCAAAATACGAGTTTGTATGCTTTTAAATCAGTATGTTCTAGGAGACCAACGAGTGAAGGATGCAGTCAGACTCACATGCCAGCAAACGAATATGGGCTCTTTGGCGACGATAGAAGTCATTTACAAGTTAGTAATGGATAGTTTTAAGCAGCTTAAATGCGACTTATTGGAGGTAAAGAGTGTTTTGCCAAATGGAGCTAAGGATGGAGGGACCATCGATGAGTTTGAGCATTTTGCAACCAATATGGCGGTGATTAAGGTGAATCATTTGATGAACAACGAAGTGAGAGATGGCCATGTCATGCATCGAAATGGCGAGTTTGAGCATCTAATCGACAGTCCCAATGACACCAGGCTTGTTGATATAAGGCTAAGGCAGAGCATCCAAAGGCAGAATATTCAGGTACACAACAATCAAATGCAGAATGAGACAGGGCATGATAGCCAACAGCAGAGCGACGCAGGCCGAAATTTTCGACGGAAATTTATTGGCCGGCAATTCCCGAAGGGAAAAAAAGAGATTGAAACCAACGACAAACCTCAAATTGTTCTTGACAGCTTCCATCGGAAACAACTTAAATATCTCCGGGGCCAAGTTCGAAAGCTAGTGTGCGCACTTGAGGCGTTGGAATCGGCAACCCAAACGATTCTACATCTGAGCGAGCAAACATCGAAGTATTGGTGGAAAATGCTTGGAAATAATGATTACGACTATGGTGTACGATATTACTTGGAAAAAAGTCACGGTCATCAGATATACATTGTGCAACTACTAGAGTATGTCCGAAGTGCCATCATACGGTGGAACAGAGTGGATAGTGCGATGAGCCATTTAAACCGGAAGGTGGAGAGATCTATACGATCACATCGTCAGTCACAACATCAGACACCACATGAAACACAAAGTGCAACTGAATTAACTTGTCAATCTCAATGCCAACCTAATCCTCAATGCCAATGTGATTCTCAGTCACAAAGCCAATGCCAATCACACCGGTGTCTGGTTGAATTTTTCTCCTTATCCAACTGTGGATCAGAGTGCATGCCATTTCGCGACCTCTTGCTCTCCTCCATGCAAATCGAAGCCGTGGCCTGCGTGAACTACAACGCTGACTTGTGGCATCATATGTGCAACAAACTCTCTGAACATCAATGGTCCAAGTATGACCAAATCGTTTACGACTACAATTCATCCGTGACATTCACAGAGTTTACCATTGGCCCCCCACCTTCCAGATCGGGTTAAGACGTCCCTCGGTTTGATGAAATGGCGAGATACAGTAGCAAACCAACGATGGCAACTAAGTGGCGAGGTGAATGGCAACGTAGATGGCAACGTAGATGACAATTGCTAATGATAGTTGGCCAATGATATGGTGAACTAAAAAAATTTTGCCATTGTTTGCAAATCATCCGCAATGCCACGTCGTGAATGCAACCGCAATCTTTTGTCTAGTACTTATCGGGATTAGCGACTGTGCCGAGATTGTCGATAGCATCGAGAAGTGAGAGGTTCTAGCAAACAATCACCCAGAGGAAAAAGTGAAGATTTTTTTAAAAAAAAAATTACGAAATATTCCCTTTCAATTTAAAATGTTATTTCTTTCTTCTATTTATACAAACTTCCTTCATCTTGTCCCCTTATCGTAGCAATCCAAATCATAGCAGTCTTGTGACAGATGCGAAATTTTCGCCAATTTAAGGAGTATTCTCAGCCTGCCTATACTCACCCTGGAAACCACTTTTTTTTTGACGATCTCGTCTCCATCCAATATTCAACAGGATTTTTCTCGTCAGTTTTCAACAATGTCGTCTGATTCTTACGCCGCTGTCCCTCCTGTCTCTTCCGACAGCTTTGCTGCCTCCCAAGGCTCCTCCGCGGGCTCCACCCCAATCACCTCTATCTCGCCATGTGCTTTGCTCACCTGGCAAGATCCAGTCGCCACCGGTAAGGTGTTTGGTGCCCTCATTGGTGCTCTCATCTTGTTCAAAGTCAATGTTGCACCCCTCGTGTTCCATGGATTGTACATTGGCCTTTTGGTTGCCGCTGCTGCCGAGTACGCCGGCAAGTTGTTGACGGGCCAAGGTTTCGTCACCAAGTACCTTGGTAACAGACCAAAGTCCCACTCTCAGACCTTCAGAAAGCAAGTTTTGCCTGCTGTTGGCGATGTTGCTGGTGCTCTTGAGGCTTACGTCCACAAGGTAGCTTTTGCTCAGGACATTGAGTCCACTTTGAAGGCTGCCGGTGTGTCTTACATCCTCTACAAGCTCACCTCGTGGTTTTCCGTGTACTCCCTTTTGATCGTGACTGTGTTGTTGGCCTTCTCGTTCCCTCCTTTCTACCAGGCCAACAAGAAGGAAATTGATGCTGCTGTGGCTCAATACACCAAGATTGTCAAGGACAAGACCTCTGAGTACACTGCTCTTGCCCACAAGAAGGCTGCTCCACATCTCGAGACCTTGTCTAAGAAGTCTGGTCCTCTTGGCTCGTTCATCCAGTCCAAGTTCCCAACCAGAACCGCTGGTTCCACCGTCAACTCTCCAACTGCTGCCACTACTGCCCCAGTTTCCACCTCTGCCACCACTAAGCCTGTCGTCGAGCCTGCCACTGGTGTGTCCACTGGATCTTCTTTCCCTCTGGTTCCTCAGTCTGCTCCTTCTGGCGTTTCTGAGATCATCGAGGATGGTCAGGCTCACGCCACAAAGACCCATGCTCAGTTGTCGGACTTATAAGTGTTGAAATCCTGGTTCCAGTCTAATGTATTTATCAGCTATTTATTGTTCACTCCTCTGGCGTGGCAAGTCTCTCGAAACATGCAATATACTTGGAGCCTTTGTTCCGCTCCACTTTCTGTCCCTCTTCGGTAGAGTTCCACATAAGCTCCACGCACTTGTCCTTATCTTCCCACTCCTTCGACTTTCTCTCGAACAATGGGTGCTCTTCCAAGTGCTTAACCATCCATTCGTGCAAATCCTTGACGTCGGTGATTGTGTAGACGATTCCTCCCTCTTTCAACACGTAGGCATACTCTGAAAGCAAGGTGTTGGTGATGATTCTGGCCTTGTGCTTTCTCTGCTTAAAGTGTGGGTCAGGAAAGCAGAAGAACATTTTGGACAATTGACCCTTGTGGAAGAAGTTTGGGGTGAATTTCATGGCGTTTCCTCTCAAAACAGCCACGTTCTGGTATCCTTCTTGGTCTTTATTATGCTCTCTTAACGCAATGATACGATCTTCGACATATTGGGTGACTTGAACACGGATCTCCATGCCCAAACTCAACTTATCAGGAAACTCGGTACCGAGCTTGATGAGCAAGCCTCCATAACCACATCCAATGTCGGCAAAGTCCACCAGGCGAGTCATCTGTTTATTCTCTTCATCGTAGAAGTGGGGGTACAACTTCAGCCAGTCCATGCTGTCTGGGTCCCTGGGATAATCTAGTCTGTGATCGGAAAATGGGTTCAGATGAGCTCTCTGTCTGTAGAATCTCTTTCTGGGCAAGTCGACGGCATCTGGCTCTGGGGTTGGAGTTTCGATTCTGGCATGTTTGAGTTGCTTTCTTGTTTCCTCCTTGACGGCTCTGTAAGCTTTTCTTTTGGATTCAGCCTCACGCTGTTCTCGCAACTGAGTCTCTTTATCCTTCTGCGGGCCCGGAATGATTTGTTTGGCCATTTTGTGTGATGAAATAGATGGAGAGTTTAGGTGAAAATAAATTTCCGGCATGAGATGAGCATTGGAGAAGCGGTGAGATTGAATACAATAATCATCAACAACTATATTTTATTGAATTTTCAATATTTGTCTTTTCAACTGGCCCTGCTTTTCATTTTCTATTTCTTTTCCCTGTCCCTCTTTTCCGTCCTTCCGTCCTTTTCTTCTCTACACTTTCTCTTTGTAAGTCTATTCTATGTACATGAATGCAGTTACTCGTTCGACTCCTCCGGATCAAGATCCTTCCGTCTCTGGTCCAACGTCAAGTAGAGCAGGGTTCCATTCGACTCCAAAGTTCTGACCAATCCGGCTCCTCCCAACACAGTCAACAACCCGGCCAACTGTCCTTGCAATTGCTCGCGATTAGGCAAAGTCTTGAATTGGTTCACCTCTTCCACGTTGAACACCGATGCCTCGATCTTAGCTCCCACCAAGAAAAGCTTCTCTCCAGACTGCTTCAAGATCTTCAATACCTGCTCCACCACACTAGGCTCGCACTGCGGGACGGTGATTACAGCAGTAGGGCCATTGAGCAAGGGAGACAATGGGTGCACGACGTTTTTGTTGCGGATAGTATTCTTGTGCAAAGCAGGATCCTCCTCATGAGCAGAACGCAAGTACACGTTGTAGAGACTGTTTCTCAAGTAGGTCATCTTGACTCCCAACTTCTGGAACTCATTTCTCACCTTCAAGTTGTCGGCCTTAACCAAGTTGTTATGGTGCACGTACAAGACGATTTCGTTTGTGTCATTCAAGTGCTTGTAGTAGTCGATCAAAAATGTCTTTCTGGATAAGACGTGCTTGGTGGTTTTACGGTCTGGAGACGAGAACTTTTCCCCAGCCTGGCTAATGATAGAACTTGTGGAGAAGAAGTTTGCCGACGCCACGAATGCTGGCAACTGGCGGCTAACCAAGCTTGTAGACACAGCCGGACGGAGAACCGCAGCTAGTGGAGCAAACAATATCCTCATGGTGATGGATGGGTGAAAATCGAAGTTGGTTTTTGATTTTTTTTTTTGGTCGCAACCATTTGCTCACAGCACGACTATGTCAGATTTAATGGTGGGAGTATGGACAACTGAAAAGGTAATATAAAAGTGAGAGTTGGTCAAGGATGCCTAGCTTAGTAATTATTTTGACTATTACTGTGATTTATTGATTTGAAAGGTGTTTCTGTTTTTTTCAACCTTTTCATTTTATTTTTTCTTCTGATGTTTGTTCAATTTGTACTTCCATGCTCATTAATTCTCAAGCATTTGCAGAACTTTCCTTAATCCACAGCAACTGACCATAAATCAGAATACACCAATAAAGAATAAAAAATATAAACACAGAAAAAAAAAGAAGTAACAATATTAGAAGCACAAATCGTATTCACTTACTATATCCCGCATCAGTCTCGTACTTTGAGGAGAAAAGCACTTGCCTAACCCATCCATCTCCACATCTTGCACGTGACTCACAAGGCTATAACCAACCATCTTTTTCTCTTCATCGCCCATCTTAAGATTAATGACTGACGCCGGATTCAATGATTTCCTCTCGTCTTTGAAAGCAGCTGCTGACAGCCAACCTGATGCCTCTCGCCAGATTAAAAAACAAAAGTGTTCCCCAACTCCCGAGTCCAGCAAGTTCGGTTATGCTGACATCAATAAGTTAGAGCATTGCACACGACTGCTTCAGAAAAACATCCGGCAGCTCGTCGAAGAAGCTCCCAGCGTGGAGGAACTCAACAATCTTATCCACGACCCGCTGCTCAGCTCGTTCACGAGGCAGGAGATGCAAGGAAACACACTCTTGCATCTTGCTGCTAAGATCAAGTCTTTGTATGAGGACAGTCAGTTGCCGATATTTGACGAAATCGTCGAAAACAGGGTGGAACATGGTAAGAGAAAGCTTGCAGACAAGTCTAAGATTGTCCAGGTTGACAGCCAGGAATGGGAGGCTGACACAGCATTTTCTAATCCAGATCTTCCGCCTATTCCCAAAATCAAGGATCCAGGACTCAGAAATAGAGTCTTCCAGCACAAGTCTACGTCTGCGAACAAAACGTACCTTGCAGAACAGGAGATTGTTCTTTCACACAACGAGAGACTCGAATTTCTCGGTGATTCGGTTCTTAACACATTGGTGACGATCATCTTGTACGAACGGTTTCCATATGCCAATGAGGGTGTACTTTCTCAAACACGGTCCCTGCTTGTCAATAACAAGACACTTGGGGAGTTTTCTACCGCATACGGATTCGACCAAGTGTTACGGTGCAATGTGGACGAAGAATCTCTTCGCAGTGGGAAGCAGAAAGTCTATGCCGATGTATTCGAGGCGTACTTGGGCGCTTTGGCCATGGAGCGTGGTTACAACCTTTCGGAGATCGAGCAATGGTTAAAGGAGCTCATGCGTCCCAAGATCGAAGAGGCTGATACCGAGATCCGCAAGCTGGTGCCAATCAACAAGGATGCCAAAACAGAGTTGTACTCCCTTGTGGGAACAGCATCTTTTCATCCAACCTACAAGGTCATAGACAATGGCAATGGCGTCAACACGCCCTTTACCGTCCATTGTCTCATGGGTGACGAGGTGATGGGTGTTGGGGCCGCTCCAGGATCCAAGGAGGCCGGTCTCCGTGCAGCCATGGCCGCGTTGAAGAACAGACCACTATTAGAAAAGTATGGGCGGCAAAGGTTGGAAACAGACCGGTCCATTTCTGTTGTTAGGTCAGAAAGCGGAAATGAAGAGAGTGATGGTAATTCCACTTTTCCAATAATGGCAGGCAAGAATACCATTGCCAACAAGTTTGCCAAAAACGAGCTCTATGCATACTTTGGCAAACAGTTTGGGTTGTCGCCCGAGTACTCTGTTGTGGCTGATCCTGACAACAAGCGGTATAAGGTGGAATTGATGATCCGCGACCGGGTGATTGCTATTGCCTATGATATATCCAAAAAGAATGCCATGAGTCGAGCTGCCACTGCTGTTTTGGAGAATAAGGATAAGATGGATGAGTTAATGAAATGGATAGGATAGAAGATTAGTGATGCATTTAATGAATGGATTTCGCAGCCAATGCACATCTTGACACCAGTAGTACTAAGAGCGAATCAAGAGGAAGGGAAACGAAATCAAGAAGTTGACAGGGCGAAAAAAAGAGAATAATGAAATCTTAACCAAATCATAAAGTATGGGCATATTCATATTCTTCACATTACTCAACATTTATGAAATGTACAGATAGTATAATTAACACTATCCCCTTCATCGTCCTGCGCAGTAAAAATTTGATCTCTATACCGGGCGCATCGCATCTCAGCTCCATACTAGAGATTTTTTTCTTACTACAGCCAACAGAAAACCATGCAGTTAGCGGTCAATCAGGAGGACACCAACATCTTGCTTGGTGAGAGAAACACGCTAAGTGAATCTGTCTTAGACAAATACAGAACCGCCGGCCACATCACTCAGACAACTTTGAAGTACATCACCCAACTTATAAATGATTCCTACCACTTGAGCAAGACCCCTAAACCTTACACTGTCCAGGAACTCTGTGTATTGGGTGATTCCATGCTTGTCAAGTTGCTCAGCAACGTTTACAACAACTCCGACAAGGTCAGAGAGAAGGGTATTGCTCACCCTGTCTCCATCGATGTTAATGAGTTTGTTAACAATGTCTCGCCCGAGTTGGACGCAAACTCTCCCGAATACACCCTCCAGCAAGGTGACGTGGCTACTATTACTGTGGGTACCCAGATCGATGGTTACACCGCCTTGTCCTCGCATACTGTTGTCATTTACCCACCAGGAGTGTTGGTGGACAATGAGTTGAAGCCTGCTGGTCCATTATTGGGAGCTAAGGCCGATGCCATGGCTGCCACCTACATTGCTACCGAGGCTGTTGTGGCTCTTTTGGGCCTTGCATTGACCCCAGAAAAAATGGCCTCTGTTCCTGGTTTAGAGAACACTTCTGCCATCACCGGTTCAATCATCAGATCTATGGTGGACAGCATTGCCGAGTCTTTTGGATGTGTGGTGATTCCAGGCTCCAAAGTCAGACGTGTCAGAAGATTTTTGGCTGGTCAGGCTGAGGGTATTGTTGCTGAGCGTGACTTTAAGGGTGTGGTTTGGGATGAGAGCAGCCAGGAGGCTAGCCTTCTTCAAAAATCGACTGGCTCTGACTTGATTGTGCACAGCAACCCCGGTGCCCAGAGTACTAATAACTCCTCTGCTATCCCAACCGATGAGTTTGTTGTGGAGGCCGGAGAGGTCTACAACATTGACTTGAGATTGTGTTCCACTGTAGACTTTGAAGTCAAGGGTTTGATCACTTTGGAGGATGTTCAAGACGTAAAGCCAACTGTATTCATCCGTGATGTTGCCATCACCCACCACTTGAGATTGAAGGGTGCAAGAAAGTTGTTGGGAATTGTGGACAGAGACTTCTCTGTTTATCCATTTAAATTGACCCACACATGTGAGTCTTTCCCAGTCAAGTTTGAGGAAGGCAACGTTAGAGAGCAACTCGAGGCCATTAAGGGCCAAGTAAAGGTACACAAGTTGGGATTGAGTGAGTTGACCAACAGATACTTGGCCAGACCAAAGCCTATCCAGGCCGTCAAGCACATTCCATTTTCCAAGATCTTGACCACTTCTAACCCCACCGGAAAGCATGGCATTGATGCTGCCAAGTTGACATTACCAGGAAAGGAGATTCCTTTACCTCAATTAAACATTAGTGCAGTTAAGTTGAAGTCTCTTTTGAAGTTTGGAGCCAGAGCTCCAGCTGTGGCTAGAGAGTCTACTACTGTTGTATTGAACAACCTCAATAACGAACTTTTGAGATTGACAGGAGGTATTCAGGCCGTAAGACCTTCATGGGTGCACTCCAAGTACCAGCTTTCGGGCCCATATGCTGGCCAGGTTCAGCAGTTGAGTCAGTTGGTGCAAGACCAAAGATTTGGTATCAAGGTGAAGGAGGTGCAGCCATACAAATTGAACACGACAGCATTGAACTTGGAGGAGACCATGCAACTTGATTAATGTACTATAGTTAGAAAATACGATAGAAGACAGAAAGGGAGGTAGATATCGTGAGATGTAAGTAGCATTCTTCGGAACATTAATTTACTGGAATCGCTTTCCTCTGGAAAGATGATCTTTCATTAATCACAAAGAAGAAAGCTGACGGTTTTGGAATGTCGTATTTTTCCCCACTTATTTATGGTGACGCTCGACAATCATTATGACATCAATATCCACTAAATTTACATTCTGGATTTTTGTCAGTGCTCGAGTTGATCAGAACACCCTAGAATAGCATTGTAGTTCAAATGTATCTGACTAAAACAAATCCACTGTAATGGTTTGAGTCCTTAGCACATGGATATTTAGACTCACGCAGTGTGTGCTATTTTATGATAGCTATTCTTGATTGTATGCTCTTAAAGTGATCTAGAATTGCCATCACTGAATCGCCGATAAATCACAATCTCCCGAATGAAATGCGCTAATCATTTCAACACTGAGCCCATGTTAGTGTTGTCAGCCTGTTGATATCCAGAAAAAGTCAACAATATATTAAAACGCATATCGACTCCCTGTACCTGTGAGGCATCAACAACAATGAAAAAGGGTGCGCCTCACCTCAATTGCATCAAAAGGAAAGTGGAGCGCACCAACAACAGAAATAATAGCAATATCGCTGATAACAACTTGTTGGTCTAGTAAAACATCCACAATTCCAACCTCAACCCTCCATAAGGTCCAATCTTAAATAATATCCCAGTAATTGATGCACTAACTAATGGGCAGGAATATGCACTTACGAACCGTGACAAAGCCAATCATAACCGAGGAGATGAACCAAAGAAAAAAAAAAGAAAAAAAAAAGAAAATCAATACATGAGCAGAATCGGTTTGGTCGGTGTAGCAGCAATTCTAGTGTTCACTGACGAAATCATAAACAGCAACTTCTGAAACTTGGGCATATAACCCTATTACAAGGAACAGGTCATGTGATCGCAAACAATGAAGTTGAAAGTGCTAAAAATCTTCAACTCCCACAACAGATGCCCGAGAGGGTAAGTCGAATCACTCTCCCCATGTTTTTGCAAATCTACCGCCGTAAAACAAATTTTCATGGCCCATTCCCCGATAAGTATCTCCCGCCCCTCCCATAGTAAAATGTCGTGGGACCCTCATATGTCAATGTCGCGAGTCCCATTACGTCCCGCTTACATAATACAACCAGCCCCCCGACACCTAAATCACCATACATTTTTTGGACTTTTCTCACTTTCTTTATTCGTCCCCAAAGCACGAACTCAATTCTAAATTTTAATTGCAAGTACGTATCGCATGTTTCGATGTGTAATCACTTCCGCTGAAGGTATCTGTGTTTGTGGTAACATTTGATTGATTTGGATTAGCCGCCCACCCCCGTTGTTGACATTTTGCGTTCCTTGTTGTTGATTCTTGACTCACGGCCCATTTGACCCCGGACAAGCCATCTCCCTATCCCTTGTGTTTACGACCGCAGACTGTAGCGGTGATCTTCTATCTTTCCTGAGTGGTGAAGTGGTTTGTCGCCACCGAAGGGAAAGGGGTGACGGGCGTGCCCAAGAAGGAGACAGCACGGCTTAGTTTTCCGCACTTTAGAGCGAAAAATAGGTGAAGGTGGACAAATTTACAAATGAATTCAATGGGGGTTTAATCAATGGCAGGATGAGGCCGACAATTGTGATGGCAGTGCTTAGGTATCTCTACTACTGGGACCTGGTGGTGTTTGGTCTGGCGTAGAATGGCACGCCCATTTTTTGCGTTGGTTGCGCGCATCCGTGCACCCGACACCGCAAAAGGGACACGACCAGACACCGCTCCGATTGTCGAGATTTTTTCCCGTCACACTTGCCAGCCCCTCCTCTCCACTGATCAATCAATCAATAGCTCAAGTAACATCATACTAACTCAATCGCCAGAAATGCCCTCCCGTGAAGACTCAGTGTACCTCGCTAAGTTGGCTGAACAAGCCGAACGTTATGAAGAGATGGTTGAGAACATGAAGGCCGTTGCCTCCTCCGGTCAGGAATTGTCCGTTGAAGAACGTAACCTTTTGTCTGTTGCCTACAAGAACGTCATTGGTGCCCGCCGTGCGTCCTGGAGAATTGTTTCTTCTATCGAGCAGAAGGAGGAAGTTAAAGGCAACGAGCAGCAGGTTGCTTTGATTAGAGAGTACCGTGCAAAGATTGAGGCCGAATTGACCAAGATCTGTGAAGACATCTTGTCTGTTTTGACCGACCACTTAATTTCTTCCGCTCAGACTGGTGAGTCTAAGGTGTTCTACTACAAAATGAAGGGTGACTACCACCGTTACTTGGCCGAATTTGCTATCTCCGAGAAGAGAAAGGATGCTGCCGACTTGTCTTTGGAGGCCTACAAGGCTGCCTCTGACGTGGCTGTCACTGAGTTGCCACCAACTCACCCAATCAGATTGGGTTTAGCATTGAACTTCTCTGTTTTCTACTACGAGATTTTGAACTCCCCAGACAGAGCTTGTCACTTGGCCAAGCAGGCTTTCGACGATGCTGTTGCTGATTTGGAAACCTTGTCTGAAGACTCTTACAAAGACTCCACTTTGATCATGCAGTTGTTGAGAGATAACTTGACCTTATGGACTGACTTGTCTGAAGCTCCAGCTCAGCCGGAGGAACAGGAAGCACAAACGTCAGAGGCAAAGCCAGAAGAAGAATAGATAACTTAAAGGCGTTAGCTATTAGTTGCCCCAACTTTTGTTGCCCTTGTTCAGTTCTACTTGTCTTTTGTAACTTATACGTCCTATATCTCTCCCTCCCTCACCTCGACCTTTTTCTGCCCCAGCAGCTTCAATGAAGAGTTCCTCGTCTGAGGTGACGACATGAAGAAGCCACATGAGGAAAGTGAATATGAGCGAATGCTAAGAAAAATGAAATAAATGAAGAAATTCGAGTCTCTAGATAGCTTTGTTGTTAAAGAAATTCAATCTGCGAGCGAGCGTAGAAAAGATGCTAAAACAGAAAGCAAAAGCGATAGGAAAACCATAAGATTCAAACTCGAAAACACCGAGTAATAAATTGATCCTGGGGTGTAAATCCGCAGGAATCATTCAAATCATCCTTCTATTATTTATCTCTTCCATGTTCTTCAAATCATAACATTCTGCTACTGCATAGCCTTGTGAAACAAGCTAAAATTGACGGTGGCCCAATGCTCACCACTGAAGATCCCCGAGATACTACCCCTATGAAAGCTGCAAAAATCATCGCCAAAAAGTACATAAACATATGATTTGCCACCTAATGATCTAGGTAACTATTGTGAGAATTTTTTTTAAAGCAAAATCCCATTACTCCTCCCATTTCGTCCACCTCTACTCCTCCAAAGACGCGTACACCAAACCCCAGCCTGCACCACTAATCTTGCGCACACAATTTTCGGGATTGTTGACACCGTTCTTTCTACACCAAAAAAATGCCTGAGCCAGTCGGAATCGCTAACTTGCCCAACCAAAGGTACAAAATCGTGTCCAATCAAGGTGCCACCTTCACGTTGATGGTGGCTGGTGAGTCCGGTTTGGGTAAGACCACGTTTGTCAACACGTTGTTCCAGTCGGCGTTGAAACAGCACGACGACGCTAATGAGAGACACAACAAGTTCACCAACGCCCACCAGACTGTAGATATCTCCATCGTGCGTGCTATCTTGGAGGAGAAAAACTTCAAGATCCGTTTGAACATTATCGATACCCCCGGGTTCGGCAACAACGTCAGCAACCAGGACCTGTGGACGCCAATCATCGACTTTATTGACGACCAACACGAGGCTTACATGAAGCAGGAGAAACAACCTTCTAGAGGTGACAAAAAGGACTTGCGTGTTCATGCGTGTCTTTACTTTATTCGTCCTACTGGTCATTCGTTGAAACCATTGGACATTGAGATCATGAAACGGTTATCCACTAGAGTCAACTTGATCCCTGTGATCGCCAAGGCTGACACGTTGTCGCCAGCAGAGATGGAGACGTTCAAGAGCAGAATCAGAGACGTGATCGAGGCCCAAGACATAAATATATATACACCCCCTATGGATCTCGATGATCCCGCCAGTGCTGAGCACTCCAAGCAGCTCATCGAGTCCATGCCATTTGCGGTGATTGGCTCCGAGGAAGAGGTAGAGATTTCGCCTGGCAATTTCGTCAGGGGCAGAAAGTATCCATGGGGTGTGGTTGAGGTGGAGAACGAGAGACACTGCGACTTCAAGAAGTTGCGGTCGCTCTTGTTGCGCACAAACATGTTGGACTTGACTTTGCTGACCAACGAGATCCACTTTGAGACATTCAGATCGTTGAAATTGGGCAACTTGGGCTCGGAGAAGGGAGACGATGATCTGTCCATCAAGAAGCCTAGAAGATTGCACAACCCCAAGTTCAAGGAAGAGGAAGATGCATTGAAGAAGTTCTTTACTGAGCAAGTGAAGGCTGAGGAACAAAGATTCAGACAGTGGGAGACCAATATTGTCACGGAGAGAAACAGATTGAATCAAGACTTGGAGGAGATGCAAGCCAAGTTGAAGACCTTAGAGGAGCAGGTGAAGAAATTGCAATTGTATAAGAAGTAGCTGGGATAATAATGAAAGAATTTTGAATAGCAGTCGCCACCTATGATATGGATAAGATTATGTATGAAATCGATGATCAAGACATAAACAAGTAGGTGATGAAGTAGGCGATGTGCACTGCAGACAACAACTACTATTAAGGTTACTTCCCCATATCTACTTGGTAAATCAACATGAGCGCAAGCCCGAATGAGGTCCAAGAGCTTTACAGAGCTCACAGTCCCAAAGAAGAAGAGCCCAAAACGGCCAAGAATTTCAAAAGAACTTATATTGCCTGTCTTAATTGCCGAATTCGGAAAGTCAAATGTGATTTGGGGAACTTCAGTCATCCTAAAAGCCGCTGCGCCCGCTGCGAGCGAGAACGTCGTGACTGTGTATTTGTGGAGCTGAAAAAACGAAGTGTGCTGAAGGTTCGGGAGGATAAGTCCAAGGCGTCAAACAATCTTGATCATGAACGTCCTCGAAAGGATGATGAGCCTAAACATTTCCTGAGCATGGAAGGAGCCATGGTGTTTCTAACCAATGCAGCAGGCAAGATTGCTGCAGTGGATGAAAGAGACAATATCAATGCACAGCTCAAACATGAGCAACTCGAGAAAGCTCCTGGCTTCGTGAGAAAAGAAAGTTACTCCAAGAATGAAGCAGGACCTCCAGCTCAGGACTCTGAGTTTCGACGCACGTCTATGAACTCTTCATACACTAGTTTGCTGAATCTGGATGCTCCAACACCACATGAGGCCAATCCGCCTCTCTCAATGGTCTCCCTGATACCTCCCTACATCAACAAACCCATCAATAGAAACACACGGTTGGCCATGCCTCCCGCAGAGAGTGCCTTCTCTGTGCGGCCAAGAGGCTCCAACGCCTTGGATGATATCGATTACATCGGGGAAGACGGCATTTTGACCCAGTCTGAGGCAGAATATTTGATCAACATGTTTTTTTCCACGATGCATCCGTTTTTCCCCCACATCCCCAAGTTTTTGCACCTGCCCAAAGTGCTTTCCGGGTATCCCATCTTGCTTTGTGCTATTCTCACCATTTCGTCTCGATGCCATCCACTAGCGACCCGGAATGCTGAAGGTGTAGCCAAGAACATCGAGATCCACGACCGCCTCTGGCTCTACGTTCAGCGATTGATTTCGCAGACAGTCTGGGCTGAGGCATCTACACGGTCCATTGGCACGGTGTTTGCGTTTTTGCTCTTCACAGAATGGAATCCAAGGGCCATCCATTGGAGATGGTCTGACTACGCCAATAAGGCAGACGATGCCACGGAAACAAGAGCTCCAGACAGTACAGAAACCGGATTTGGCAATGCATCTGGCGGCATCTCAGGAAATTTTGGAGAGCCCGCTGGTTTGGGTGCTATGAGGAGATCGTACAGAATGGCATGGATGCTTATAGGATCCGCGGTGAGACTCGCTCAAGATACTGGGTTCATGGAGCTCAGCCTGAAAACCTTTTTGGCTACACATACTGCGGAGATCAACAGTGTGATGAATATGAGTCGAAGAAGTATGTTGGGCCATTCCCTAGCAGAGGTGGACTTGGATAACGTTGATATCTCCGAGGAGGATATGGAGCAACGTGAAGACAATGAGTACCGTGTCCTCAACATGCTGGAGGACGAACAGAAACGCATCTATGGCGAATATGAGCTCCATTTCACGGAAGCTCAACGAGCACAGATCGAGCTCCTCCAAATCACCTCGTTGGGACACGAATCACTTTATGGATACAAAGCTCAACTCGGATCCCTAAGCCAGCGACAGAATCTTTCGGTGCTCAACATTATGAGTCCAATGATCAATAACTGGGGACGCAAGTATAAGAAGTTTCTTGTTCCGTCTAATGCAAAAATCACCAGAAAGTATACTCCGGAAGCACTCGAGGACCCCGAATCTCCAATATCAACTCAGTTAGCTGCGCTCATTCAGAACGAGTCATTCATTTTGGAATTCAACTATACCAAGTTGTACATTTATTCGTTGGCATTGAGTCCATCGCCAAAGTCTCGAAAATCCTTCAAAGACGGCAAGGTGACTCTCAAATTGGATGAGATCTCAAAAAGCGCAAAGTACATTGAACAGGCTTTCAATGCTGCCAACGATATTTTGTCAATGGCACACAGAGTTCACAAATTGCAAATGTTAAGATATATGCCTGTGAGATGGGTGACTCGAATAGTTAAAGCTGTGGCATTTATTGTGAAATGTTATTTAACAATCACAGCACATAAGTCGTCAGGATTAAAGGCTCCAAGTCTGAGCGTGGATAATTTCGATTCTACAGTCTTGTCTCTTTCGCTTATTTCGGTAGAGGAGATTGCACTGAGTATTCAAAAGGCAGCCATCACATTGCGAGATTGTTCTCCCGACGAACTCCACCTTTGTACCCGGTACTCCAATGTTTTAATGTACCTATTTTCAGAAATGAAGACCAAACTCAAGGGCAACGTCCAGAATGAGCAGTCCAGTGTTGCGGACGAATCCACCACACAAGAAGATAATACAAATAGCCAGCAGTTCCAAAACGGCGACTTCACAAAGGGACCTGCCATGGGAGGTTTCGAAGCGACACCAATTGACCAGGCACCCTCCAACCCGCAATTTATGGGTGACAGTGAGGTTATGGACTGGTTTGCGAATAATTCAAACATAGGTCTTGACTTCGTCGGCCCATGGACAGAATTGATCGAACAACATCTTGAATTCCAACTGTTTTCTTTTGATGACGGCCTTTCATTTAAGTGAGTCTATCGATCAGAAACTCTTTGCCAGTTCTAGGACTGCGTTGCACTAACCCAGCCAATTGCTGCTCATCAATTCTTCCAGTCCCCGAAATGTGAATAGGCAATCCACGGAAGGTGTCCCAATTCTGAATTGTTATAGACATTGCCAATAAAGTAGCTTGCGAATGTTCGGAAAACTCCGAGAATCCGAAATCATCGTACAACAGCCCTGGTAGTTTCGAAACGTCTTTGTACAAATCCAACCCGTCCAATATTCCATCGTCAAATGGGTTGAAGAAATCGTCCAGACCAGCTGTACCATTCAATGGAGGGGTTCGTTTCGTTACAAAGCTCGAAATGTCATTACTCAAGTCTAGCTTGGTACTGACTTCAGGTACTGAGTCAAGAAGCTCTTTCAACTGGGCCACTTTCTCGATCGCATTTCGGGCATTTATATTATCGTTTTCCGCCATGTACTTTAAAAGAGCCACGGCCCTGTTGATTTCGTAGTTAACCTCGGTATTGCCGATGATTGCAGCTGATATAAGCATCAAAAGAGCAGTAAAAAGGTGTTGACTGTCCCAGAATCCAAGTACAAAGAGCTTGTTATGCTCATAGATCTTCATAAGGATCTTTACGGTTCGAACGGCCGCCAAAATAGCAGTACCGAGGGCCCTAACAACAGGAACTTTATCTTGAATATTCGCAGCCGTGGATTTTTTGAAAAGAATCGAAATCAACGGCGCCACCACTAAAATGACTAGCTGATTGTATCTTAAACAGAGATTAGCTAGGTTTCTGTTAGTCAACAGAACAATGCTGACATTCTTATAGGGCAATAGGATGGAGGGCTCGAATTCGCCAAGCATTTCGTTCAAAGACTCTGTGATGTTTTTCAATAAAAGAGACTGATTGAACTTCTCTGTGTTGATGTAGTTCATTGAAAACGTTCTAATATTGGGTCCATAGATTAATGAGTTAAATTTGGCAACGTATTTGACCAATTGAACATTGCTGCTCAAGATAGCGGTATCGAAGCCATCATTCAAGTCGAGAATTGGGCTCTCGTTGGGGAGTGCCACGTCGGTATCTGTGTAGTCAATCGGCACAGGCATATTCATTTTTGCGTGCCAGACCACGTCGATAACCCAAATCGACCACCATAGGCGTTTTGTCTTCTCCTCAAATACCCTGTAACTGCGTAATTGCTCAGGCGTAAGGTGTGGAGGCGTTTCCATTTGGCGGTGGAACCCTTTCGCCACAGAGGACTGTAGAGCCACACTGAAGAAGTTTGTCACGGTATGGTAACGATTAAGATTACAGGCAAAAAGCCCTAGGAGCACGGCATTCTGTATGAATTGCACGTCGATTTCCTCGTGGGCCAAATTGAACAACTTGGTGGCTGTAGTGTAGTAATCAAGACCAGGAACTCGTGGAGCTCCAACGGTGACTTCAGCAATCGATGGCGGAAGACTTTCCAAAGTGTTATTAAACATCTGCTCGCCAAAGGCTAACATGACAAACAAGTGACAAAGAGCCAGGGGTGGAACAACTTGCAACACCTCGACAGAATCAACGTTCTGAAGATCAGTTGTACGGAAGAACTGATAGATTTGCGCCACAAGTGGAGTCAAAGTATCTGCATCCACCAAGTAGAATTCAGAAGAGTACGTTTTACACACCAAGTTCAAGAGCTTCCAAGCGTACACCTCTTCCGGCAATTGGTCTGCGCATAGAAGCAAAAGACGGTAGGGGATTTGCTCATTCTCCGTATCGGAGAGCAAGTATGCGTCCTGGGCTAGCAGCTGTTTGGCCCTTCTATGAACTGTGAAATTTGTTCGTAGTTTGGACAGTTGGACGGTGGAAGGACCCTGTGCACGGATCAAGCCTTCCAAGTGCTCAACACGAGCTTGGAGCTTGTTCAAGTCCAGCTCCATGATCATGATTTTGCGGTCCCGCGTGGGATACTGACAATATTCCTCCTTGTTGACAGACTTGCAATTGGCACAGGCGGGTTTCTCTCCCAGACACTTGATCTTGGAGAGTTTGCACCGAGTGCAAGCGTAGTGGGTCCTGCCAAACACCTTGAGGGGCTTTGGTTTGTCGGACATGCGTGCAGAGTGAAGATAGGGAGATAGGTAGGGTTTCGGGAGAATAGTTCGGCTAGGGAATACTGAGCAAACGTGATAAGGCTGAAGAAATCCAGGCCGTGGAATGGAATGTCTGGAGGTGCAAAATGAGACCAGGTCCAAAACCACAGGCAGATGGGGCCGAGAAGCAGGCAGGAACAAGAGGGCGTCGACCAAATGCGGGCCAAGGGGAGGGAGGGACCCGTTAGGAAGCTAAGAAAATATATATAGAAAAAAAAAAGGGATAATTTCACCAATCGACCAAATGAATACAGGTAAAGTAAAGGTGAAAGTGAAGATGAAAGTCAATGTAAGTTAACCAGAGATAAACAATTAAGGTCATAATCAATAGATGAAACAAACGAAACAGACCAATAACAGAGAAAGATGGAAAAACGGAAAAATGAAGCAAATTTGGGGGGCAAAAAGGGCCAAAACAAACCTCCCTCGCAATGGTTGTTATGACTTCGCAAAATTGGCCGGTGTCCGAACATTTTACGTCTTGGACAATGCGATTGGCGGACATTATGCATCCAACATACTTCGTAAGCAAGACACCAGATCTGGCGCACGAGCGGGCTTTGTCACCACCTCTCCAGCGTGCACTACAAGGTTGAGGAAAAGGCGAATTCACATGGGAGAGTAGGGAGGGCTGGACGTAGGATGAGAAAGGGAAGAGGGCCGAGAGGCAGGTTATTAAGGAGCTCAGAGGATTTTGGTACTTGGTGGAGAAGCGTTGATAAGTTGGTCATTTGAGGTTAAGGGCCCAATTGAGCGGTTCATAGAGGCAGGCATTAGGGGACAGCGGGGCCAGACTCCGAAAAAATATAGGGCCAGATCGGCAGGACATTTTATAGAGGAGGACAGAAAGGAAAAAAATAAATCAAAAGGAGTGTGTCACCATCAGATGTAGAGAACATCACATGAGGCAGAATAGACAAGACAAGACAAAAGGAATGCGAGAGAAAAAAATAAGAAAAAAAGAAGGCAATGCAGAAGAAAAAATGTTGTAGCAAATGGCATGTCGAAGCATTAGAAAAGCGAAATTGAAATAAGAAGTGGTGTGAGAAATAAAATTAAAAATTATACGGGAACGAAACAGAAATGTTGAACGGAATTTGAAGGAAAATAAGATTAATGTTATCAATTTTTTTTTTTTTGCCTATCAACCCTTCCAAGATCTAATCCGGTTATACCATAAACAAATACGATTGGATACATATGTAGTTTCTTGCCTCCAACCAATCAAAGGTGATGGTGTGATGGATTAAGTGGTATTCGGCTAGAAGCTTGAAGCAAAAGTGCACATCAAACAGCAAATCAGGTAAATCTTCATGGAATTTCGGGGCAAATGCCACAACACCGTCCTTCCTGCTCATAACCACAGGGGGGCAGAGGGAGTGCAATTTAGGGAGAGACAGGGCAAGGGATATGCCGAAGAGGACGATGGCATGACGGAAAGAGATAATTTATGAGACAAAGACTGTGTTAATGAATGACACAAAGAATGGGATATGTGAAAACATGAAAATATTCTAAAGAAACGGAACTTCTCGTGACATTAGCCGTAAATGCGCAAATTTTGACATCAAGTAGATTGAAAACCCACAACTTAAGGTTCTTAGTTTCATTGTAGGAATCTCATTACGCCCTGTACAGTGAGTGTGAATGTAGATTTAATCGACAGAAGCGACATTAGGTGCTTCAGACCAACTAATAGGGGCTAGGCAAGAGATAAGTGCGTTAGGTGACGTGACGCCCACGGAACTCTCAAAAGTTTGCCGTGGAATCATGACTGTGCCAAGGGTACCAAGAGGAACACACTTGAAAATATTCAACTGAAATTGAGTTGTTACCAATGAACGTGACTTTGAAGTGAGATTTAGAAATGTGGTGTAGAAAAGTTGTTTCGAAATGTTGGTTTGAAGGTTTGAAATGTGGTTGTGGAAGTTGCTTATATGGTGATTGGAGAAGTCAAACTAAATAAGGGAAAGTGAAACTGTCATTCGCTTGGCACCGAGGACCTATAATGTTGGACCCAAATACCCGTGGAAGTGATTTTGGGCGGGTTTTATGACTTAAGGGCCGGGTCCTGTGCATCAATCAGTACATGAATTAGTAAACTTTAAGAGGGGTGGATCATGGAGAGGAGGAGAAGGCGAGAAGATGAGGCGACTGGGAAGAAATGAGTAAGTGAAAGCGATAATTACGGAAGTGGAACTGACAGGTTTGTCATATAAATCTTGAAATTCCACTTGAAATGGCGTAGATGTAATGGATTTGTCAGTGATGCATTGGAAGCAATTGAACTTGAACAACTTTAATAGTTTCATTTCGATAAATAATTCAATTGGAAGGTAATCTGAAACGGGCTCAATCTTCACTATGTGGGATCTACCTGCCCAATCTAATACGATGAATTGCAATACCAAGACAAATGATAAAAAGACTCAATATTTTTTAGTTTGTAAATATTTTCCGTGTACGCGATCTGTGTGTAAGTAATGCATAATCCACTAAGCTTAGTGGAAGTGCAGAATGACTCAAGAGGCCGAGGGAAATATCACAACAGGGTTCACATACGATTCGTCAACTTGAAGATGACTTTGCTGAGAATCTAATGGGGAATGAGTTCGGTTTTTCGCCTCTCTGAAAGGGGCAGATCGATCACTAATAAATTTTGAATGTTTTCCACATCATCTCACAGGGATTTTCGATGCATTCCGGACACACCCCAATTACTCCGACAAGGATCACTATGAGGAATTTCCTGGTTAATTACTAAATGACTCATCTTGGCAAGCCAATACTATCAACAAAGAGAACAACATCAACGCGAGAACATGAGGACAAGAAATTATCACAATAAGAGTTTGTCCAGTAAATCTACATGCCTTCCCAAAACAGTATTAACATAAATCTATATATTCCATAACCAAACCAAATTTTTCTAAACAGTCACCTAAACCGCGATTCTAAACAGAGAAAACCTCAATTTTGGCAGTAGCTTTGTTTTTGGCAGTTACAACACAGTAGCTGGCCCCGTCGCCCTTGCTAACATTGTCGCTGTTCACTTCGTTCAAACCATTGGAAGATGGATCAATCTCGCACTTCAAGCCATCGCAATCTCCATCATCGCAAGTGATACGAATTCCAAATGAAGGCAAGTCCGAGAATGATTCAATATACTTAGGATTCCATCCAATCTTGACAAAAGTGTCACCGTTGGAGTCCATATTGGCACCTGCAACGTACGGGGCCCAGTTTCCAATAGCCTTGTTGCTGGATCCCCAAGTACAGGCATCATCAGTGGAAATACCTAAGGAGTTGATGTAGTAATGGGCAGAAGTAGAAGCCCAGTAGTTCTCGTCAGGAACAGCCAATGTCTGAGAGTTACCTCCGTCGACGTTGGTGGGAATCAACATGGCCTCGTCACCTGGTAATACAGTCTGGCAGAACGCCACGTTTTTGGAGGCCTTGTTATCAACCTTGACAGTACCAGTGCCATCAACACAGTAGTCTCTATCAAAGGGAGCGGAAACAGACCCGTCGTCGTTACAATATAACCCTCCATTCTGAGACTGTGGGTAAGTGTAAGAGGTGGCTGACTTGTCCCACTGGTTCATCAATTGGCCAGGAGGACAGGCGTAAGGGCAGTACATACCGGCGGTACATTTGGCATCTGGACTCATGGCCCAGCCGGCATTCAGTGACTTGGGAGTGATGGAAACCAAGCCCTTGTCGGAGGGGAAATCACAAGTGTTGGATCTTTTTGTTGGAGCAGCTGCTGCGAGTGCAAGGCAGATAATGGGTGCAAAATACATGTCTGCAGGACGGTAGCACGGATAAAGATTGACAGAACTTTAAAGAATGTAGTTCAAGATTCTCGAGAAAGGTCAGATTTCTAGAGAAACGAAGGTCGGTGAAATCTGTAATTCTATGATAGAGAGTGAATCAAAGAACCAGTTTGAATGTATCCAAGAATGAATGTGATGGGTCGTGGAAAGAGTGACACGAACCTCAATGATTTCTTTGTAGTGAATGTGGGTCTAAGCCTAAAAGGAGTGAAGACTTAGTAGCTGCTCTGAATGAAAGATGTTGGTTAAAGTTATGGAATAACCGCCAATTTATATTGAACTGCTCATTATGGCGAACCTTTCTTTTCCGCCTTTAGTATGGTGAAAATCTTTTCTGGCCCCAGAGCTTCAAACTGCCTGCACGAATCGGAGACCCATTCTAGACTGATCTGTTTCTACACCATCGTTCGTACTAGTAAACCCAGATCGGTGTTCCGCGATGCATATGGGCCTACCTGACAACTTGGAGTTGTGATACTTTCACGAATCATTTGACTTCACAGTGACGTTCAATAGGTGAATTTCAACAGCTTTCTATTATATAATTTTCTTTTAGCCAACTCATTACTGACATTCATTATTTTAAAATTTTATTATTTTCTTCAACTACTTCCATCACCCCCTTCCGTATTTTCATTAGACTTTTCAACTCATCGGTGGTGGCCGACCTTATGAATGCCGGACTAATCTGGTGCCGCATCGCAATGTCTTTACCTCATCGGGTCTACTTGGTTATTGATCAGTGCACGTTATTCCAGTTTGGCTGATGGTCTAGACCAGGGTTCTTCTTTCTCCTTTTTCCGCCACTGCTGCCATGATGGATTCCGCGTGCTGTTTCTGCCTATTATCCTCGGATCCTGCCTCGGAATGTTACTGTCTTTTCTCCTTTAGGCTTTTCTTTGAATAATACCCTACCTGGTACTTATGTCCAGAGGTACGGATCTACCACTCATCTCGCTATTCGATCAACTGACTCTTAATTTTCACCATGGATTTAGCCAGCCAAGTGGCCACAAACCTCGTACACTACAATCTCTGGCACGACGTTAACATTCATTCTCATGATGGTGTCCATGTACTTAGTGGAATTCCTCCCAATAGGCTAGACGAACACGACACTGAAGATCACATCGAGTGGGTCGTGCCCCAGACCATGGATCTGAAGGAAATGTCGATGGATACTATTGGTCGTTGGTTTGATGTGGTGGCAAAAATATCATGTCGCCCCAAACGTGTCACGTTGGCTGCGGTCAACGAGGACAGTACCGTTGTCTACTACTTTGTGCATGATGGAGTGGTGAAACCTCGGCAGAATTAAGTTGGAGTAGAACAATAAAAACTTGCCGAGTTTTACAAATCCAAAATAGTCTCTGCAATTCCCAAAATGGCCAGTGTTGCGGGATTTTAAATTTTCTTGCTACTCGTTACTTTAAGGCTTAACGAATGGTTGTCAAGTCTCGTCGAGGTGGGAAGTCTTAAACGTTATATGCTGGTTTCCTCCATACAGAGCAAGTCGTTCACCGGAACAGTATTCGTTAGTAATATTCCCAGTTACCCCTAATAGGACGCATGCACGAATTTTCCTGATTTGAACGCAGTCTTGCTTGATATCTGGCATGTGTCGTGCTGCTTTGCTTCGAGAGTTGGTTTGGGCCTGTATAACTATGTTCCTCAGAAGATCGAAGGATATGGATGAGTTCTAGACTTTCTTGTGGCGGTGTTCTTTTGGGAGGATGGCAAATTGGGCTGAAGTTTTCGCCTTCATTATGCACCAATCTACTAGAAAGGTATCCAACTTTGCCAATTCAGACTAGAATACTGTACTGCATAATATACTTGTTTAACCTCGTATTAATAATTCCCACATGCAATTATTTGTAAAACCTATTCCCATTATTGATGCGTTGCCATGTTCAGCCTGGGACCCTACTTTAGTGTGTTAACATGGATGACCTCATTAGTACTCTTTTGATTCGTATCATTTGCGCTTGTGTGGTTGCATGGTGAGAAGTAAGCTCTGTGCAACACTGTCGTGTGACTTCATGGTGAGTTCTGATTTACAGACTTTGTTCAATTCCGCTTCATATGATCCAGACCACCGCTAATGTATATGCAATATGCTATTGGCTCCAGTATTACATCCATAGTTCACTCTCAGTTTGTTTTATTTGCCGTATCGCATCTCTCTCAATTTGTCCTGGAATCTAGTCTCATGCTCTCAAATTTGTCTTGGTATCCAACCTTATGTAGCAATGGTGTCATGGTCATCTTCTGAGTCGGTCAAATACCCGCTAGGTGCTCTCAGGGATACTTCACTCGTGTCTCCAAGATGTTGGAAAGACCGATTCAGTCGTCTATACTCTAATCGGTTCTTGATGACAGAGCCACTGGTATTAGACCGGTGCATTGGATTCATTCTAGACCCAATGCTAGTGTCTGATTGTACAGAAGCCATGCTTTGTCTGGTTGAGATCCTGCTCATGGCTGCCGTAGGAGTATATGGAACAATGAGACTCTCAATATCAGCCCTGTAATCTTCATCAAAAATCCCACTGTGCTGTCGGCCACGCCAGTTGTACAACAGTGCATTATCGAGGTTTGAACCTCGGCGAATTGTAAGATGATCATGCAGCATAAAGTTGGAGAGGAACTTCTCCAAAGAAGTCAAAAACACAACTAAGTCGTGTTCGCAAATCAAGTCAGGTCCAAATCTAAACTTCTCGTAGAGTTCAATAGTTTTGCGCACCACCAAAACCATCTCTTGTCGTTGCTGAAGCAGCTCGCCCATTCGATGATACATGTAGATCATGAATTCTCGAAACGTGAATGAGGGAGGCACGCTGTAATTGGTCAAGAGGGCGCCGTCAAACCGCTGTCTTAACGCCAAACTATCTATCACATCTTCGTACGAGCAGTTTGGTGGAAACAGCGTACCTTGGTCAGCATAGCCCATGCGAACATTATGTTCTTGAATATAATCTGGAGGAGACATGCCGGCGTAGTTGAAACACAGAGCTTTGCTATGTAATGGCCCGGCACGAACCTTGATGTCTCCCAAACACTTCTTCAACTGGTCGTCTATGTACTTAAGTACATCATTAGGCAAGTCATTCTCTTCCAAAGGAACGTAAACCGATTTGGATGGGATCTGGTTCACGGAATCCCTGCTATGATACAACCTTGAAAAGTATAAAAGGATCAGCCCAACGAAAAACAAGGCACACGCAGCCATGATGATAAACATCTTGATACCTGTTGATGGGGCACCATATGTCTGCACTGCAATATCTAGAGGAGTTACCACGACAAATCCGGCAGTCAAGATGATGAAAATGATTAATGAAAACGAATAGAGCCACTCGAAGATCCTCTTGGGGAGGCTTGTGGCGAATGACTCGGGTGATTCAGTACGTATTCGCTCTGTCCTAGACGGTTGCCTTATCGATGCCAAAGCAACGTTGTAAAAATCTGTCTGAGGCAGTGTCATTGCATGAACATGAGTACTGTGATGATCGTAGAAGTAAAATCTGAAGATGGAAGAGTCCTGGATATTGGGAGAATGTTATTTTTTTTGGTAATGACTAGAGAGTATAATAAATCAATTGATTCTAATGAAGTATACAAGCGCACTGCACATACCGAAGGAATGGTTATACCATAGCTATTTTTTTTTTTTAGTTATACCTTTCAAAATCATATTTTGGTGCCGTATTAGCTTGCGTAATGAATATATGCCAAAATTTACTTGATCCTCAAAAATATTTTCGATTTGTGGTATTGTATCTCTATAACTTCGTAAATACCTTAATGCGTTAACGTGATTTCGTTCAGAATCCCAAGTTTACACCCACGTAAGTTTTAATTCTCAGGATTCTTGTTGGCCTGTTGTCGATTTCCGCTCCGTGTACTGCTTCCACTTCCGCTTCCGCTTGGGGGTATAGCCATATTGCTCTGCTGGGCCAAGTTGGTGCTACCTAAATTTGGACTCAGTGTGGCATAGTTTGGTGATGAAGCTCCAGAGGGCGAGTACAGCGATATAGGCAGCTGGGTACCTTGTAACATCAACTTTTTTCTTTCCTCGTACTGAAGTTTTGATAATGATGGCGTGTCTGGTTCCTTTCCGCCAACCATTCGTTGTCTCTGCAATTGTGCCAGTCTAGCCAGAATAGCTTGTTGCGACTGATTCCCCGGACGTCCAGATTGTGGCTGTTGCTGTTGTTGTTGCTCCAAGCGGGTCTGTTGTTGTTGCTGAAGATTGGCCAAGTACGAAGCTGCAAGCTTGGTAACCTGTTCCTTGGTCAATTTTGGATTCTTTTGCTGAATAGAATTAATGATGGCCGACACTTGTCCAGGAGCAAATTGAAGACGCTTGGGAGGTGGCCCGGTGGTACGCTTAGCTTGTCCGACGGTTTGCGCCATGGCAGCGGAAGACGAACCAGTCGTCACTCCCGCGCCACCGAAATTCTGTCCCAAACCTACTTGGCCCGTGCCTGCAAGCTTGCGTGCTCCTTGTAATTGCATGTTGGTATTGGTGGAGGCTGGTACCACACCGCCTCCTTTACCGGCCTGGTTCTGCTGTTGCATGATTCTTCTCTGCTTCTGAATCTGTAGAAGTTGTTGTATTTGCTCAACAGTATATGGAGTTCCGTTTGGTGTAGTTGGTCGCTTAATGTTTCCAATAAGGGGCTTGCCTTGCTGCAGTTGCTGAGGTTGGGCTCCAGTCGGTTGTGGACGCTGTAAGGTTGAAGCTGCGGTTCCTGTGAGCTGAGTCCGCCCTGGAATATTGGAAGTTCTTCTCTGCATATCTGGTGCTCCAGGACCAGCATCTGAACTGCCTGAAGTTCCTGAAGGACTACCACTAGATCCAGAACCAGAGTTACTCTTCAGTTGAGAGACGGCTGCCATCATACGTGAACGTGTGGACTGCTGATTCAAGTATGCTTCCTGGATAGTCTTGTCTCTGTCAAATTTCAACTTTGAGAGCTCTCCAGGTGTCGGTATTCTATCGGTAGGACGCTTTACTGCAGTAGTGCCGTTAGGATAAGTTGAGGAGTTGGCCGTTTGTCCAGCAAAATCAGAAGCCAGCGAGGGGGTACTTCTGCGAGTATTTGCCTTCGCAGCTGCTGCTTCACGCTTTCTCATGGTCTTCCTCATTGCGTCAAACATCGATGCCCACCGCAATCTCCTGTGACCTCTTTGGATGGATTCGTTTCCAACACCCAATGGAGAGATTCTTCTCTTGGTAGTCAGCTGAGCTTTGTGAGCTTGTTCGAGCCATTGCTGTGCAAGGTAGGCATTGTGGCCCTTCATATCGGAAAATTGGAATTTCTCATTAAGTTGGATGTATCTTTCAAAACATTGCCAAGGAGTTCTGCGCTCGATATTCGACTCGTACCGCTTTAATGTAGAAGCGTTAGCCACGAGATTCTCGGCGATTAAATCCCAATTGAAACAATATTCGGCAACATAATGGATCAAGTGCTTGTCATCCTGAGGAAGCCAAATCGTAGGTGATCTGAATTCGATGTTCTTAATCAATGGTGGCTTGGGAGGCTTCAAATAGTTGAACCGACGGTGAGAAACTCCAAAAAGTCCCTTTTGGAATTCTGGTGGGCCTGTGATATCTTCAGCGGCAGGCAGCTCTTGCTCGGTGTCTCTAAGAATAATCTTATACCAGTAATCATCTTGATCAAAAGGATATAACATGCGAGAAGCTGGAATGATAGAATTCTCACCTGGTTTGAGTGGGGCATGGTGCATGTTGCTCACAAGATCGTCATCAAAAGCCGTGAACTTGGGCAAGTTGCGAATAATCGATTGGTCAATTTTCTTGATATCGTTAACGTTGACATGCAACTTGAAAGGACTGGACCTTGTAGAGACACCAAGCTTGGCAAGATCCTCAGCAGTGTACTCTGGAAGCTCATGGGGAACAATTTCCTGGGAAGGATCTGGGCGTTCCAAAAGTTTGCTAATGTCGATAGTGTCCTCTGGGATCTCAAGTTCTTGATCTTGATCTTGAGGCTCTGGTTCAGCATCAGCGTCTGGCTCAGTATTTTGGGCCTTATCTTTCTGAATTTCATCTTCTTGAATATCCGCAATATCTTCAGCCGCCGCCTCAGCTTTGACATCTAAGATGTCAAGAGGTTCTGTATCAATTGCAGCGTCAGTCTTTTCCGTTTCGTCCACTTCCATGGCATCTTCAGCAGGTGTTTGCACGGAAGCTTCAGCAGGGTCTGTCAAGTTCAAGAACTCATCAACCACGTCTACCTTTACTTCGCTTTCCTCGGCTGCTTCTTCTGGCAACTCGAGCTCTTCTGGTGAATCTCCAATGTGTCTTATTTTCTTCCTCTTCACGCACATGATCTTACCGTATGACCAATAGTCCTGAACAGCCTGTGCCATCTCAAAACAGCAGGCTCTCTTAAATTTGCTGGACTCTTTGAAATCTGCAGCCATCCACTTGGCCTCACTAAGAAGAGTGTCCCAGTGATAGCTTTTGGCCTTCTTATTCCGCTTGGAGTAGAGAAACGGATCGTAGTAACGAATTGGCTGGCGTAGCGACCACTTTTTCTGGCGCTTCAACTCCTCGATACGTGAGTAGAGCACAGCGATCTTCCCTTCTAGTAGAGCCAGCTCAAAGTCCTCGGTCATGAGGATCTTATGCGAGCCCGGTAAAAGCTTGATGAGTGGAAGTGTTTGAGTGAGGTAATACAACTCAGCCAAGGACGACACATTGTGTACCTCAGTTGGGTAGTGTTCCGGTAGAGACAAGATCTCCAAGTCGCTGATTTGTTTGTTGAGAAAGCTGTTCGTTTCCATCTCAAGAACATCCACTTGCGACATCAACGACGTGACACCAGACGTCTTTTTCTTCTCACCAAATGCTGCAGGCATCAATCGGCTGGGGTAATCTGTTAGAGTGGTTTTGTGTGATTTTGAAGGGCTGTTTCCATTGCCATCATGGGTTCTCTTGGATCCCGATTGGTAGAGTTCCGACTGTACAGTATTGGCTATTTCCCTTTTGAGAGACTCGTAGTCGTGAACTCGGGGTAATGCCGTGATCAGAAGATGATTTCCCAACGAGATGTCATTGGCTTTGAAAAACTGACGAGCTGTTGGCGTATTGAGGGATTTCTTGAAGGAATCCAATGACTGGAGCGGGTTGGAGAAGAGAAAAAAGAGCTCTTTCAACTTCCTTGATCTCTCCTCTTGAATAGATGCTAGGTCTGTGGCCATGGCAGAGGTCTGAAGAGTTGGAGGTTTGGATGGAGTTGTTTACTATGGTGAGAGAACGTGATATGCACGTGACTTTCACGTTACTTTCACGTGGCTAAGTGAAGAGATGGAGGAAAACATCAATGATTTTATTCCTGAATGATGAATCGAATTTATGGATTTTTATAGATGGCTTGAACTTTAATGCCTCTGAAGATACTTTTATAATTTCCTGTTTATTATCATTCCGTGTTTTTCCGTGCTTTCTCGTCATATCTTGGACCATTTCTCAGTCTCCTACACACATCAAGTACCCAGCCCATTCTTCAAGTAATTCCATGGCCCTTTGGGCGTTTCTTTGATGGCTGTAGTGTCCCATCATGATAGTTTGGTAAGTTTTTCGTGCCACTATTCCGTTCCCAGTGGTTCTCATATGAACGCATCTTGTATCTGCACTTTCCAATTCATATCTTATATTCTGAATGTTCATGCCATCTTGTTGCAACGGTGAAGGGTCTTCAAATGAGCTGGCTAGAAGGGCGAATTCTTCATCAGTGAGTTGAAAATCACCTGTTTGTGCCCCTAACTCTCCAAATAAAGAATATATCGCAGCCTTATCTACTATATGAGTAGCCACCAACGCCTCGACGTATTGATCCCACGACATGTAGAATTACTTGAAGTGGAGATGATGAGTCAAACAAGGGTTAGATGTGCTGGGTTAGATATATAGCATTCAAGTTTCAATAGATCCAATTCAACTTTGGTGAACGCCGTCTCAATCCCACTCAATTCAATTTGATAATGGATATTTTCAAGATCACAAAGTTTAACTGCGAAAATCTAAAAAGGAAGCCTTCGATCTTGCCAAAACACTGCGAAATCTACACTTAATAGAAATTAAGATTATTCTAAATAACCCGATCTTGTTATGGCACATCGTAAACGAACCACCACACACAATAAATCAATGATGCTGTTAATCTAATGTACATGCAAATTAATGCCCCACTCTTCCGAGTAACCCTCAATGCAACCGATTTTACAATTCGGTGTTGTCCAAGAAGAAGTAGTTTCCAGCTGCCTTCTGCTCCTTATCCATCTGAGAATCCTTCTTGTTAATTCTTGGTCTGAACGAGTTTGGATCTCTTCTGAACGTCACGTTCAAGTTTTTCAAGAATCGGTTACATCCAGTCAACAACGACTCTGGGGCCTTGGCCAAAGCGTCCTTGGATGGCTGACCTTCAAACACAATCACACGGTCGGCCAAGTAAGTGGCCATCATGAAATCGTGCTCCACAATAAAAGCGGTCTTCTTGGCATGCAAGATGAATCTTCTAATCACCTTGGAACAAACAATACGCTGCTCGGAATCCAAGTATGCAGAAGGCTCATCGATCAAGTAGATGTCTGCTGGGACACCCAATGCCAAGACAAGAGCAACTCTTTGCAACTCACCACCAGACAACACCTGCACCTCCTGGTCAATGATGTTGTCGATCTTCAATGGCTTGACCACATCGGACTGAAACTGTGGGTTTAAGAAAGCAGCCTTGATCTTCTTAAAGAACAATTGTCTCACGGTACCTGGGAACTTTGGTGCGATCTTTTGTGGCTTCATGGAAATGTTCATTCTTGGGAGGTTGGTCTTCTTGTCAGTTTCCAAAGCACCAGCCAAGATCTTACAGAAGGTTGTCTTACCGGTACCGTTTTCACCGAACATAACCAAGATTTCGGAGTTGGTGAAGTCACCCTTCTCGACCTTCAAGTGGAAATCACCCTGGGTCTTCTCCAACTCAGGGTACTCCAAAGAACTGGAGTGATCCAAGATCAAGCCATCAGCAGCATCAGCCAATCTGAACTGCAACGACTCATCTCTGAATCTCATGTTTTCCGTTGGAATGAAACCATCCAAGAAAATGTTGATACCTTCTCTCACAGATGAAGGCAAGGTCACGACACCGTAGACAGATGGAGCACCATACAAAATACAAACAAAGTCCGACAAGTAGTCCAACACAGACAAATCGTGCTCCACACAGATCACATAAGTGGTTGGGTCCAACAAGGATCTGATCATTTCGGCAGCTCTCAATCTTTGCTTGACATCCAAATACGAAGATGGCTCGTCAAACATGTAAACCTGAGCCTTTTGAACACAAGTCATAGCCAAGGCGAATCTCTGCAACTCTCCACCGGACAAGTTAGCCACGTCTCTCTTCATGACAGGCTTCAACTCCAAGATCCTGGCCACATACTCCCAATCTTCCTTTCTCTCCAACTTAGCCTTCAAAATTCCAGCAACATCCTTGACAGCCGACTTGGCCAAGGCTCTAGGAATGTTATCGACGTACTGTGGCTTGATGATGGCCTTAATGTCGTCCTCCAACACCTTGGTAAAAAAGTTCTGCAATTCAGAACCTCTGAAGTACTTCAAGATCTCTTCCCAGTCTGGAGGATCATCGTATCTTCCCAAATTAGGCTTCTGCTTACCGGCCAAAATCTTCAAAGCAGTAGACTTACCGATACCGTTGGTACCCACCAAACCCAAAACCTGGCCTGGTCTAGGAGTAGGCAATCTATGCAACTTGAAAGAGTTAGCAGAGTATCTGTGAGTAGTCTCAGCATCTAAGTTGGTGGGCAAATTGATAATGTTAATGGCATCAAATGGACACTTCTTGACACAAATACCACATCCAACACACAAGGTCTCGGAAATGAAGGCAATCTTGGATGCTGGGGTCACTTCAATACACAATTTTCCCGTTTTCACAACGGGACAGGCCTTACGACACTCTTGTCTGCACTTTTTTGGCTTACATTTGTCGGTAGACACGATGGCAATTCTGGTACCCTTGGATGCCGGAGCATTCTTTTTGGCTCCCTTTCCACTCATTTTGCTTTTCCTGGTAGTAGTTAGTGCACTAGATGGCTAGCTAGACTTTTTTTTTTTTGCTTCCTTCACACAAACTTTTTTTCACTGTTGATGGTCGCGGCTACTTAGTGCTGGGATTTACACCATCGCACCCAAACCCTGCGTTAATTAAGGTCCTGACTAATGGTGCGATATGATTGGACAAGTCTGTAGCGGTGTATTGAGAGGATGTTTATGAATATTGAGACAGTTCGCAATCACAAGACTTGACTCAGAACGATTTCCCGCTTTCAGAATTTCAGATTCACTCCCTCTATGTTCAAATTCATTGTATACCTCTAACCAATGTTTGCTGATGTATGCAGTCCCGAAACAATTAGACATGAACACTAACAGTATGTGAAACATAACATTACGAGATAAATCCAGATAAAACAATTACCTAGACCGCTTCAAACTTATGCTTTAAACACAGGAAGCATTCTTGTAACAAAATTTTCCTTCTCTCGTAACCCCGTTGTTACCCACCCCTAAAGGGCGTGTACTTATCATTTTGCTGGATTCTCGCTCACCTGTCCATCCCCTGATATTGTTTCTTTCACCAACCTTCTTTTTCTACCAAATCAGAAAATCATGTGTTCGAGTACAACATGAAATGCATGATTTTGAAGTAAAATATTGTGCTACGCCCCACAGGCTCTTTACGGTTGTCATGGATGTACAGAATCTCTACTGATGCATGCTGTTTGGAGAGTTTTTGATGTTGTATGTGCCTGGGTAAAGCTCAAGTGTTGACATTGATCAAATGTTCCATATTTGCTGCAAAAACGCGTTGTTTATGGCGCTTCTTGAACAGTTCATCGCGTAGTTGCTGTTTATGTTCATCTGGCGGCTACGGGCTAAAGATTATCAAGCAGAATCAGCTCTGGACTCTCCTTATATACGGAGAACATATCTGACGGACACAATTTGCAGTTCATTAAGATCAAATTCTGCTTCAATAGAGTTTAGAGTGGCCCTCAAAGGCAGCTGTTGGCCTCTTGACAAGAGAGGGAGGATTGCAATGCTTTCTTATATTGTCTTTTGTAAATGGCTAAAGAACGGCTGCAAAGTGGCTGCAAGTCGGAAATGAGATCCAAATCTCCAGAGATAGTTTGGTTTCATTATCCAGCTACGCTGCAGAGCAGATATCCAGTGGCTATCTCCGAACTTCGGTGTCTAGTCTCTAAACTAGAGTCATTCTGAGGGATAGGGTCTATCATACGCGTCGGAGCCCCATCATAATGGCCGATATGTATCAATTGGCAGGCTACTGGAATGTCATTGCCGTGCTGCTGCCAACATGAGTTTGCGTGCGACTCCTGCTGCTCCTTCACCCCTGACTAAGAAGAATATACATAGGTGGTTGGTGATGACGGAAAGTGAAGTCGCCGGCCACACCAAACGATAGTTTGTCAATAATGTCTAATTCACGTCTTCATCCTAATACCAAACATTTGTAGTCTGTTGAGTGTCGTCGGCACATGACAACAGTAACGTGTTATACTCAAAACTTCATGATGTTGTTGGCGCATTAAATTTTGCCCAATTTTTTTCCCCAGTCCTAGTCACTTCTTGGAACCAGAAACTTACCTTGACTACTTGGAATCCCATAAAAAGTTCCAGACCGTCAATCGTTTTGACTTCCTACTGAGGATTCTCATTTGTTATTTTTTCATTCCCTGCCATTGGTGCATAGTTAGGTCCTTGACTAGCATTTGAGTCAAAGTATCCTAATAGTGACCGAATCTTCTGTGACGTTGAAAATCAGCAGCATTTTTAACTATTCACAGCAAATAACATCAAGGCTAGCAGTATTCAAGGGCAAATCCACGCTCTGATTGGTGTTTTTTGGGCTACACCCAGCAACTGACGTAACAAACCTACTATGGTGAGATTGGACGAGGAAATAGAGGCTAACCCAGAGCTTTACGGTCTCAGGCGGTCCAACAGAGAGAGAAGAGCCGTTGACATCGCAGAGGAAAGCGATGATGATGAGTTGGTGGTGCGCAAACGTAAAACTACTTACGAAGAATACGAGGATGAGTCGGAAGAAGACGAGCTGGACGATTTCGACGATGACGACTTTGGCGCCAGCAAGAAACAGAAGCTGAATGCCAAGCGACCCAAACCTACCAGTAGAAGACTGGGTAAGACGTCTGGTGGGCGCAGCAAGACGGCGTCGGCGAAATCGACTCCGACACCTTCCGAAATTCGGTTTCTGACCAGAAACAACGGAACCGTGAACTACGCGGTCGATTATGATGATGATGATGCAGACTTGATGGAAAGTGACGAGGAGGAGAACAATGACTACTACTACTACGAGCAGGCCATGCAAGAGGAGCCTACCAAGGGTATTGACTTGGTGTTGGACCATAAACTCAACGAAGAGAATGCGGCCATCACCAATGAGCCCAAGTTGGACTACTTGTTCAAGGTCAAGTGGACTGGACTGTCTCACTTGCACAATACGTGGGAGTCGTACCTGACGCTTAAGGAGTTCAAGGGTTTCCGTAGAGTGGATAACTACATCAAGCAGTACATCTTGTTGGACCAGGAGATCAGAAACGACCCCATGACCACCAAGGAGGATATCGAGGCCATGGACATTGAAAGGGAGAGGAAACGCGATGAACAGGACGAGTTCACCCACGTTGAGAGAATCGTGGACAGCGACAGAGTTGAACTTGATGATGGAACGTCCCAGCTACAGTATTTGGTCAAGTGGAAGCGACTCTATTACGATGAGTGTTCGTGGGAGAATGCGGCCGTGATTGCCGAGCTTTCACCAGAACTGGTCACCAAATATCAGCAGCGACTCCAGCTGAAGATTCTTCCGAATTTGTCTGCCAACTATCCAATCAACCAAAGACCGCGGTTCGAGAAATTGAATAAACAGCCGCTATTCATCAAGAATGGAGAGTTGCGTGATTTCCAGTTGACCGGTTTGAACTGGATGGCGTTCCTATGGTCCAGAAATGAGAACGGTATTCTTGCCGATGAGATGGGTTTGGGTAAAACTGTCCAGACCATCGCGTTCTTGTCGTGGTTGATTTATGCCAGACGTCAGAACGGTCCTCACTTAGTGGTTGTGCCTTTGAGTACCGTTCCAGCATGGCAGGAGACGTTTGAGAAGTGGGCTCCTGATGTGAATTGCATCTACTATTTGGGTAACACCGAGGCCAGACGCAAGATCAGAGAGTTCGAGCTCTACAACTCCAACAACAAGCCTAAGTTCAACGTTCTCTTGACCACTTACGAGTATATCTTGAAAGACAGAGCCGAGCTTGGCTCATTCAAGTGGCAATTCCTTGCAGTGGACGAAGCCCACAGATTGAAGAATGCCGAGTCCTCATTATATGAGTCCTTGAAGCTGTTTAAGGTTGCCAATAGACTTTTAATCACAGGTACACCATTGCAGAATAATATTAAGGAGTTGGCTGCATTGTGTGACTTTTTGATGCCTGGCAAGTTCAACATTGATCAGGAAATCAATTTCGATGTTCCGGATGATGCTCAAGAAGATTATATCAAGCACTTGCAGCTGAGTATTAAGCCTTTCATTTTGAGAAGATTGAAGAAAGATGTGGAGAAATCGCTTCCTTCAAAGACAGAGCGTATTTTAAGAGTGGAGTTGTCTGATATACAAACTGAGTACTACAGAAACATTATCACCAAGAACTATGCAGCGTTGAATGCTGGTGTCAAAGGTTCTCAGATATCATTGTTGAATGTTATGAGTGAGTTGAAGAAAGCTTCAAATCATCCTTACTTGTTCGACGGTGCTGAAGAACGGGTATTGGCCAAGGCTGGTTCGACATCAAGAGACAATATCTTGAAGGGTATAATCATGTCCTCTGGTAAAATGGTGCTTCTTGAACAGCTCTTAACACGTTTGAAGAAGGAAGGTCATCGTGTGTTGATTTTCTCCCAAATGGTGAGAATCTTGGACATTCTTGGTGATTATCTCTCGATTAAGGGCTACCAATTCCAGAGATTGGACGGTGGTGTGCCTTCTGCGCAAAGAAAGATTTCTATCGACCACTTTAACTCCCCAGACTCCAGAGACTTTGTCTTCTTGCTTTCCACAAGAGCTGGTGGTTTGGGTATCAATTTGATGACTGCTGATACTGTTATCATTTTTGATTCCGATTGGAACCCGCAGGCTGATTTGCAAGCCATGGCAAGAGCTCATAGAATTGGACAAAAGAAGCACGTTTCCGTATACCGTTTCGTCAGTAAGGACACCGTTGAAGAAGAGATTTTGGAGCGTGCAAGAAAAAAGATGATTTTGGAGTATGCCATTATCTCCTTGGGCATGGCAGACGCCAGCACGAATAAGAAAAATAAGAATGAGCCTTCCACAAGTGAGTTGTCCCAAATCTTGAAGTTTGGTGCTGCTAATATGTTTGCCGCCACGGACAATCAAAAGAAGTTGGAGGAATTGAATTTAGATGATGTCTTGAGCCGTGCTGAAGATCACGTCACAACCCCTGAATTAGGAGAGTCAAATCTTGGTTCGGAAGAGTTCTTGAAACAGTTCGAAGTTACAGACTACAAGGCTGACGTGGAATGGGATGATATCATTCCGCAGGAAGAATTGAGTAAGTTAAAGGATGAGGAGAAGAAACGTGCCGAAGAAGATTACTTGAATGAGCAGATCGCGATGTACTCCAGAAGACGTGCTGCTGTCAAGCAACTCCAAGGTGGAACTCCAGACACATCTGGCGTGGAGGATGAAGACGACGAAGAAGGTGGAAGAAGACGTGCAGCAAGAAAGAAGGTTGAAGAGAACCACGAGTTATCTGAGAAGGAGATCAGAGGCATTTACAGGGCCATTTTGAGAGTTGGTGACTTATCTGGCAAGTGGAGTCAACTCGTGGAAGATGGTAGCATTTCCAACAAGAATCCTGTATTGATTAAGCATGCTTACAACGAAATCATCAACATTTCTAAGAAGTTGGTCAGAGAAGAGGAAGCTAGAAGAGCTGAAGCTCTCGCTGAGTTGGAGAGGAAAGCAAAGGATCAGAATGGAAATGTGATTGCCAATGATGGTGAGAGCCCTATGGCCCTATGGATTGCTAAGAAGAAAGAAAAGAAAGCTGTGCTTTTTGAGTATCAAGGAGTCAAGAACATCAATGCCGAATTGGTACTCTCTCGTCCACCTGATATGAAGTTACTTCAGTCGATGATCCCAGAAGATAAGCCAACTTCATTTGAGCTTCCAAGACCTCCTAAGCAGGTTCAAAGTTGGAACTGTGAATGGGATTCCAAAGATGATGCCATGCTTCTAGTCGGTGTTCACAAGTTTGGATACGGGTCGTGGATTCAGATTAGAGATGACCCGTTGCTTGGTTTGCAGAACAAACTTTATCTTGATGGAGCTTCTAAAGTAACAGATAAGAAGGCTGCCCCTGAAGGTGACTCCAAGGAGAAGGAAGTTAGTAAAGCGTCCAACAAAAAGGTTCCAGGAGCTGTTCATTTGGGAAGAAGAGTAGATTATTTGTTCACTCTTTTGAGAGGCGAGGAAGACACCAGCACCCCAAGTGGGACATCAAATGGAACAGCCAAAAAGAGAGTGAGAAAGATTAAGGCTGAACCAGGTGCCGCGAAGGTAAAGAAGAATGGAAAATCCCAATCGCCAGAGGTGCATGCGAAGAAGCCTAAAATAAAGAAGGGATCGAATGTCAATTCGCCAAAATTGGACCAACCATTGAAAATCAAGGAAGAGGCCAATGATGACAATAATGACGAAGGGGATTTCTTGGAGTATGCTAGTATGGATGAGGGCGACTGCAAGAAGTCGTTAGATCCCGTTAAAAAGTCGTTGATGAGGTTGAGGAAAGGAAGCAAGGGCTTGAGTAAGCATGAGTGGGCAACACTTTTGAGAAGTGAGCTTTTGACTGTTGGAGATTACATTGAGAAGTTGCAAAAAGAAAAAGACCAACCCAAATATTCGAAGCACTTGTGGTCTTACGCAAGTCTTTACTGGCCAGCTAAGGTTCCTAGTGCAAAGATTACGGCCATGTACAATAGGATTAAGTCTCAAGCAAACCCAACCTAGGGATGCTAGTTAGTAATATTTAATATAATTGTTATCGAGGGTTGATATTAAAGACATATTCAAAATACACGGGACAACTTGTTCAAGAAAAAGAGAATAAGAAAGCAAAAAGAAATCTCCCGGGGGTGAGTCGAACACCCGATCTCAAGATTACAATACAATTACAGTCTCGCGCCTTAGCCAGCTTGGCCACCGAGAGGATCTCTTGTTGTGTAAAATTTAATACTGAATTATGAGAACAAAAATACACAAAAATTCACAATTTTTGTGTTTTGGATGAATCTCCATGCTTTTGTAACTACTTATTGCCACTTTTCAATTTCAAATCCACTATTTCTATCAATTGCTCATCTTTATACACTTCCTCCCTAATGTACTGTACAGATCTTATCGATCGATAATACTACAGTTGATAAGGCAGAAGACAGCACAATGGCTAAAACCTACAGTCGAGGAGGGTGCACTAGTTGTAAGCTTAAGAAGAAGAAATGTGATGAGGCTCGTCCTCTGTGTGGTATTTGCGCCCGTCTAAACAACAATTGCACTTACAATAATCTGGTGTTTGTATACCAACCTAATGTCAACGCATCAAAAGGAAAGATCTTCAAGAAGGTCAACTTACCTACAAAGCCAAAAGAGCAGCAAGATGGAGTAGATGCAGTTAAGTTGAGTATTGAGGAATTTAGGAAAACTATGAGATGCGAAAGTACTCGCGATGTGGGAATGACAAGTCCTCATATAAACATCAACTCCACATCAAGAGAGGTGGATGAAACTCCAGATGAGGGGTTGGCAGTGCCTGAATTCGTGAAATATTGGAAAGATTTTGATGGCAAGAGACTTGAAGATCTCACTAAGAAGCTCGATCCACTTGCTTTGGATCCTAAAGAAGACTACTATTATGATGAACATAATCAACACGTGCTGGAATATATTTGGCTAATGTTCTACCTGACGAGGGCTTGCAACAATTACTTACTTGTGACAGATCCTGAAAACTATTGTATTCCCAAGTGGCTCTTGCACTTTTGCAAAACGTACCCTGTTATAGGATATGCTATCACTGGTGTATCATCAAACCTAATTGCAGAAAGATGTGCCGATTTGCGCTGGCACAAGATCCGTCAGAGAACAATGGAAACAGGACTTAAAGTGCTAGCACGGACTGTTCAAAAAGGTAACTCGTTTCCAGAAATGGCCATCTGTTTACTATGTGTCATGTTTCTATTTTCTGAAAGGTCTGCTGCTCGCTCGGATGCCTGGAGAGTCCACTTAAAGGGAGCGTTGGCATTAGTGAGAAAATGCGATAAACTCCACTGGCAACTTGTGTCTCGAACTGAATCGGATTTGTCTTTGGACATGCGGTATGCACTCGAGTTGTACTCTTTCACTAAGAACTGGTTTGTTGCCTCAGAAACTATTGCATGTCTTTCCGCGCCCAACGGAGGTGCCATAGTCAATAGGGTAGAGCTCAACCAGCTTCTCCTATACACTAACTTGGATGAGCAGGCGGGGTTTGTCATTGGAGGCTTCAATTTGATGAAAGGTTATTCTCAGCTGTTAACACCAGTTTTCGTCACCTTAAGTGACATCGCATTCCATCTCCGAATGGAAAGGGGCATAAAGTTGAGTGGAAGTACTGGCATCTTGCAGAGCGGAGTGTTTCAGAACGACAAGTTTCACATAGCTGGAGTTTCGGATAGACTTTTAACCCAGATCAATCATGCTGAGGCAGAGATATTTGATCTTCACAAAATTCTGAACCATAAACTTCGTGCATGTATCCGAGGTTGCCATCTAAGTTTCTGTGCTGCGTTACGGGTGTTTATTCTAGTAGTTCTAGAGGATGTTCCCATTTACCACCCTGAGGTGCAAAAGAACGTGCAAAAAATCGAGGAGTTGTTGGTGCCTACTTCATGCATTGAACTAAGTGTACTCTGTGTGCACTGGCCGATATTTATAGGAGCATTGTGCTCTCCACCAGGCTCTCAAAGGGTTGTGTTTTTGGAGCTGCTTAAGACCATAACGAACACGGGAACATATGTGGCCAGAAATTCTATTGACAGAATCAAACGTGCTTGGAAGTGCATGGATTCGGGAGAAATTCTTAACGAAGATGGCTTCGACTGCATTGTTTTATAAAGCTATAGGTAATGGGATGAGTCGAGTTTTGGAAGACACATGAAACTGTTCTTGCTCCAAAAGTGCGTGTCACTCGAACCCATTTGGCACTCATACTTATAATATTGTCTCATCATGGAACCACTTGCCGCCTGGGGGAGAAGTCATAGAGCGAGATTGCCTAGCGTATCGAGGAGAAGCTACAGAGTAAGACAAGCATACAGTCAAGATACAAGTTGCTAAATCTAATCTATATCAATCAGCACATTCCTTGCATCTCTGATCGTGGTCACTCACGCTTTGAATTGTTTGAAGGTTCTGCTCGAAAGTGACCATGAAAAGCACAAGCAAACAAAAGATTTAGTTGTCCTAATCAGCGATGTTAGGGAACAAGCTTCGAGTATATCAAAGTATTCACTTGCGGATGCGATGACCATAAGGCAAGAATTTATTTATTCATCAAAAGTTATATACTCCTCGTGAGTCTATATCAAAAAGAAAGGCAAGGCTCCAAGAACAGCCCCCACAGCCAATAATGGGGCATTGCTGTCCCCAGCGCCACCGCCAGCAGAAGTACTGGATCCTGAGGATGCAGCATTAGAAGTGGATCCAGACCCGGTACTACCTGAACCAGCGGTGGTGGCATCACCCGAGGATGCAGTTTCAGAAGTGACACCAGACCTGGCACTACTTGAACCAGTGGTAGTACTACCTGACCCAGTGGTTGCACCACCCGAAGCCTTGGAAGAATCTGTTTCTGTTTCATTCTCAACATATGTTGTTGCAGGAAGCAACGCAGAAGGATTCAATGAGAAATACCCAAAAATACCAGTACCAGTGTATCCATTCTCACTATAGATAGATAAAATTTGACTCCCATACTTGTGGATAATATAAGCGTCATATGATGTTTGAGCTGGAGAGTCTAATGTAATAGTATCGTAGACAGCAAAGTCAGACAGCACATCAGGTCTGTCAATGAACAGCTCTAACTCTCCAAAGAGTTGAGTGTTATAAAGAAAATCATAATCAGTAGTATCTGCTGCAAGAATTGCTGTAATACCAAGGAGAGAGACGAAAAGAGGACGCATTTTGGAGCAAAAGATAGGAAGCCTGAAAATTAAAAATCAGAAAATCAATCCAGATTTCTTGATGACTTTATATGGTTTGCCTTGTGTAGTCGGTGTGCAATCCTGATTGGGTCATCCTCGTATTGACGATTATAAAGAGAGGGGCTTACGCGCATTGAACATCACATACGGCATTCGGTTTGGACTTTTTTCGTTTAGATTATCTCTGGTACTTGCTGTTATTGGTTGGTCAAATGGCTGCGAAATGAGTTAAACTGCCCCCTCCTGGTTAGGCCGGCCTGCATTACAATAGGCAGTATAAGGTCACGGCAGTTGTAAACCAGTGAAATACGAGGATTCAAAAACTTTTTGAAACTGGCGTCTTTCTCGTAGAATTGACTTCTTGCTGTTAACGTGGAGGAGTAGACTAGATATCTTGGTTCATAAAGTGGCTGAACCAATACAGGGATACTAAAGTAATACTGCCCCAAGACATTCAAGCCCACTCACATTTTGACGACATATCTGTTGACTTAAAAAAATTGAGCTAAGCTGGTCTCTTAGCTATATCATCTAACCTAGAGAGATGTTTAAATCTCTTTTTGTATATTATGGAAACTCTTTATTCTAATTTCTTTAATTTTGTTTGACCTATAATCTGGGCCAGTTTTTAGATGCCATTAACCTTATATATATCCATATCTGGAGCAAGTGATAGTCCTATTTGTTAGCCATGGCAGATGGTAGTAGACAAAATATACATTCTTACTTAGTTTTTGGAACTGTTCAGAGATTCCCTCTCTCTAAACACGGTATCCGTGTTTTCTTCGGTCTTCTCACTTTAACTTTCAAGACCTCCGTGGAATCATGGAAAGAATATTTGGACGAGCCAAAGTCGTAGAACAATCGTTTTTGAAATCTCTTCTAATCTTCTAATATTAATTCTAATTCTATTGTATCCATGTTCAGGGTTTATTACTGGACAGGTGTTACTTAATTCGATACCAGAGTTCCATATTTTCCCGTTTCGAGTGCTTTCCTTGAATTTCTCCAATTTCAATTGTCACCATGATTGAAATTTATTTGGGAATGATCTTCTCTCCTCTTTACGTACTTGTAACTATTAGTAGAAATGGACGCTCCATTCAGAAAAGCTCGACGCCGTTCGTAGCTCTCCAACTACACACATCACTATGAGCGTGCTCCTTATTGCCCAGGAGCATGCTATTTCAAATGAGAGTGGATTGGAAAAGACCAACTACTTTAGGAAACGAGAAATCTATCGTCCAACCCAGCATCGGATTTTCAGATCCACACAACGTTGAAATTCAAGTCATTTAATGAGGGGAGTGTAAGTTTCTATCCATATACTACTAAAGTTAACTGATGATTTGTAACTTTAACTAATACAAACTTATTAAAGTAATAAAACAAATTTTGAGTAAAACAACCTAAAAATCAACGAACTTAGATTCTGTAGTCTCTTGGCCGAAGCCTTTCAAGCACTTCACAACAAAAAGAAAGGCAAGGCTCCAAGAACAGCCCCCACAGCCAATAATGGACGGTTGTGTCCTGCGTCACCTCCAAAAGAAGCACTGGATACTATGGATGCAACATTAGAGGTGGAGCCAGAACCTGCACCACCAGAACCAGCGGTGGTAGCATCAGCCGAACCATTGGAAGCGTGACTAGTGACACCATGGACAGGTGGGTGACCAGAAGCTTCAGAGGGAGCCCCGGAAGCACTTTCAGAACCACCAATAGCACTATCTGCACCAGTGGTGGAGGCATTGCTGGAACCAGTCTTAGAAACACTTCCAGAAGCAGCATTTGAGGCCTGTGCAGATGGCGTGCTCTCTCCACCATCTTGGGTTGTTATAATTGATGCCATTGACAAGATTGAATCGTCTACCGAAAAATAATCGAAAACACCATAGCCAGTGTACCCATTCTCACTGTAAATAGACAAAAGTTCAGGTCCATACTTCTTCACGAGATACACGACGTACGAAGTCTCAGCAGGGGAATCAGCTTCAATGGTCCCATAGACATCAAAGTCAGACAGCACATCTGCTCTAGCAGTGAACAGATCAATTTCTGCAATGAGCTGGCTGTCGGTAAAGAAACCGTCCTCACCCTCATCATAGGATGCTGCGGTGACAACGGAAGCTAAACCAAGGAGAGAGAGAGTTGAGTAACGCATTTTGACTTGTTTAATGAATGTAGAAAGTAAAGAAAACACTTGACAATGCAATCACAAGAATAATTACTTATGAAAAGTATAAAATGAATCTTCAGGCGGAGATACTCATTCTTTTATAGGTTGAACTTTGCTCGTTTGGGGTGTGCAATTTCGATTGGGCCCATTCCTGTTATGAACCTCATACATGTGTTCTTACACGATAAATTATTTACCAAACATGATTTTCAAAATCTGTTTTGCACCCTTGCTTTCGTATGCAAGGTCTTCTCGGGTGCATTCTTGAGAATACCGGCACTTCGGTTGTTTCGCTAAGAAAAATGGCTGCGAAATGTGGTAAATGTAAGTTACAGCCGACGTGCTGGTCATTATGTAGGCCCTTAGTCAGGGATGTTGACAAAATAAAGGACGCTAGAAGTCAACTTTGATCAGCAAAATGAGTATGGTAGTGGTATTATGTATCAATTTAATTCGAAGTAGTTAATGAAATTGAAGAGAAGATCTAGCAACAACTTAGTTGTGACGCCTTCACAAGTGGAACGATACAAAATTGCAGATAGGTAATGACGACATTTGGTCTTGCTGTAGTATGTCGAAATGTTTTCGTGTTCTATGGCATGCTTTTGGAAACCACGTGAAGCTATTCTTGGATGATTTCAATAGGGGTTCATTCTATCATTTGTAAAAGACATTGCAACTAAAGAGAAAACATTTCGTCCTTAGAATGCTACGATTATGGAAATCCGAATATTTGTTTGTTGTGCAAGATGCACAGCAATCGTTGATGTGAAGTCAGAGCCAAATGTCCAAACAGTACAAATTCATTACTAGAACTGGAATATTCCGGTATAACGGAATATGTTGCTCCAGAATATATGACGCTTAGCTTTAATATCCGAGAAACCACGCTGTACCCAAATGATTCAAATTGATCCAGAAGCAGACCAGTGGCATCCGAAATGGGCAATATTACTTAGGTTCGTCGGGAATGTAACGTTTACCGTTGAAAAATCCTTGGGAGCGAGAGTACTATTCTTAGGGTGTGCAAGCCACTCTAACCAAAATACATTTCATTAATACGAAAGTGTCAGTGCTCGAAAATCTAAAAGTAACAACACACGTTTGGGGATGGTACTCCACACAGCACTGTTTCGGAATTGAATAATGCTGTTTAAATATCGCTATGATTGTCAGAAGTTTCTTGTGTTGTTGAGATGATGGTAGAGACCTATGCGAATGCCCTTTTCTGGAAGATTCATCTGGACTACTTGGGTAAGCATTTCATTCTGCGATTTTTACTTGTCGAATTCATTAATGCATCTACATTCCGCTCTTCAGTTTGAGCTCCTGTCCAGGTCATTACCGGGCCCGAATCAAATAATTGCCAATGTTTCGAGCAAACACTAGTTACGACATGTTTCTGGTTAGTGGCCAGGAAAACCTCGTATTCACGGAAATATACAAGACCTTCTCCACTGGTTAAGGCATCTGTACGGCAGTAGGGAAAAATGTGACTTGGACGTACATAATGATTACAAGACGTGCCAAGAGATGGAATAAGAATGGGTGCGTATAGGGTTGCTGTGAGTGAGAGCGTTGATGCCTCTTCCTTTTCTTCTAGAACTTTATGAAGTCAAAGAAAAAGGTACTGGGCAAACCACGGAAGTGTAAAATTGAAGGTAACGAATACCAAACTGAAACTTTTAGTCTTGTTGCTGTTCCCTCCAAAAGATTGTTCAGGATTCAAAATTGAACTAATACTACATATTGCATGGCATTGGAAGTTCGTATTTGGCCGCTCTATGCTAGAAACGAGCAATCCTTGGTGCTCGCCGGTAGATCCATAGCTTATCTTCTAGATGAACATTAGAGTTTAGCGACATGGGACCCCTTTCTTTAGGCCGTTAGCCTTCAGGATTCACTAGAATGGTCCACTTCTCGAAGTAGTTAGTATGTGATATGTCGAACCATGGATATGAGCGTTCTACGGACTATCGTGAAGGCTTAGTTCTTGGAGTTTAGACATTTTCAAATATTGAATGAAATTGAAGAAGGTTTAAACCTCCCTCTAGCACTCCTTCTCTTTTCACACCCGTCAAGCCTTGTTAGAAATCTATTGTAAGGATCTGCGCAATCAGAAAATTAACATCAACTCAAGGACATACCCAATACATTCGACAACAATACAAAACAATCATGAACTAATACAAACTCATACAAAATAACTTGACAAAAATTTCGCATTTGGTAGTCAAACAAGTCAAGAGTGACTTGGCTGCGAAACTTTCAACTCCTTACAACAAAAGGAAAGGCAATCCTCCGAGAATAGCACCCACAGCCAAAAATGGTCTCAGGTGGTCAGCACCACCAGCAGCGGAAGAGCTGGAACCAGAAGAGCTAGCAGCAGAAGCAGAGCCAGAGCCAGAGGCAGCACTAGACGCAGCTTTGGAAGCACTGCCAGAAACACCAGAACTACCAGAGCCAGAAGTTTTTGCTGACTCACTGGCACTGCCTGAACTAGCACGCGATGATGAGGCTGCTGAGCCAGAAGCACTTGATTTTGACGACGCTCCAGACGTGGCAGAAGAAGAATCTGCAGCCGTGGTACTTACGCTGCCGGTGTTGCTGGCAACAGAGAATGCAAAACTACTGGCCGAAGCCAAAAGGTTCGAGTCCACGCTAAAGCCCAGGAAAGCACCAAACGCGGTACTGATCCCGTTGGCTGAGTAGATGGAATTAAGCTCCTGGCCATACTTGGAATAGTAGGAGTTGAACCAAGCGGTATACTTGCCCCAATCTGTTCCCAAGGTCTCGTATACAGACAAGTCAGAGAGCACGTCGCTTCTTTCGTAGAACAGATTGATCTCACTAAAGTACTGCGAGTTGTAGCTGAAGTATGAGCTGAGGCCACTGTAGGCACTTGCCCAGTCAGTGTAGTAATTAGACAACGTTTGGAGGTCCGAAAGGTAAGAGTTGTAGTTGAAGCTGATGGTATCAGCCATGACCACGGCCATTGAAGCGAGAATTGCAATGTAACGCATGAAGAAGAAAAAACAGTTGTTTGAAAGAAACGAGATAAATGTGCCAAACACTGGATTATTTTACCACACTCGTCGAACGGGCTACGAAACTTAATAATTTACCACATGGCCATGATCATTCCCAATTAGGCACCTTAGTGTGGTATTAATGGAGACGTGGCGGGGTGATTGGTCACTTCAAGATATCTTTGTATTCACAATTACGGAGTAGATCAAAGTTTTTTTAAGGTTTCAGTTGATTTTCACCAACTGGTATCCATTTTACGTTGAATCTTAACGATTATGCCAGTGGTACTAACTTTTGGCTGCGAACTGCGAACCTTTCAATTAGTAGCCTGTGGCTTAAAAAGAGGTCCGCCTCTGGTTAGTAGCATCGTCAAGTTCATAACCAAGTTGACGGTTAATCGGGCAATCAGGGGTCACGGCTGAGGAGAAGGCTCCTTTATGCACATGGGGACGTGAGGAATTTGAGTTGGAATTGGGTAAATAATTGGAGAAGTGAGAGGTTAAGAACTACTAATGAGCAAGCAGGATAAAAAAATTGATAAATGTGAGAAATGACAAAAAATTGAATAAGATGGAATTTGTCAATTGAAGTCGGCCAAAAACTGTCAATTCTGGATGAAATGGGACCCCTAAATTGAGAATTCCCTACTTTCATATTGCGATAAACTTTTTAAGGAAAAATCAAACCATTTTCTATTTCGTTACACAATTGGTCTACTGGAGAGTTGTGGCCACTTGGAATCTCTTCGTAGTGTGTTTTTATTGGTTGTTGTGTCCCCACTAACAATTCTGCATTGGGAAGTACTCTTGAACACGGTACAGGATGCCATCCCCCAAAAGTTAGACCTGTTCCTTATGGTCAATATAAATATGCCTTTCGCCGATTGATAAAATCTGATTGAAATTGATTCTCATTCTTTATCCTGTAAAAAAACTTCCTACAAAAGTCCATTCCAAATACAAAATTCGATCTCTTTTATCTATCTTGCCAATCAATCGAACCCAAAAAATGGCCACCACTCATTATCACACCCGTACACCATAAATCTCCCTTAGAAACCCCCAATCAGTGCCCTCCCTACAAGAATAGTACCTTCTACAAACAACTTTGAAGTCTTCTTCGTTATAAATTCACTCAATGGTGCAAGAGGCCAAGCAGTCGGCTTCCCAAAGCGGTAGTGATGAGCGGCCCTCCCGCCGTTCCAAGGCTCCAATTCTCGAATACAAACCTTTCACTAGATTCCAATTATGGGTATATGATTTGGTGTTATGGATGTTCACAGTGATTTTTGACTGCTTTTTCCGTGAGATCAGACCCAGAGGTGCTTTCCGGTTGCCCAAGCTGGGCCCCGTGATTTTCGTGGCTGCTCCACATGCCAATCAGTTTGTGGACCCCATCATTCTCATGAATCAAGTAAGAAGAGAAGCTCAAAGAAGAATCTCGTTCCTCATTGCAACAAAGTCGTACAAGCACTCGGTCATTGGGCCATTGTCGCGTATGCAATTGAGTATTCCGGTTTCCAGAGCTCAGGATACTCTCGTTCCCGGAACAGGAAAGATCACCATCAACTTCGATACCGATGGTCTTCGTGTTTTCGGCAAGGGCACCAAGTTCACCGAGGAATGTATGGTTCGTGGACTTGTGGCTTTGCCCAAGTCTCTTGGAGCATCGGAAATCGCCGAGATTGTCTCTGATACCGAGTTGATCCTCAAGAAGGAATTCAAAAAGTCTGACAAGATCGTGGAGCTTTTAACCAAAGGAACTCCGTTTAAAGTGGCAGACAAAATCGACCAGAAACAGGTGTACAATTTTGTGTTTAATCATTTGAGTAACGATGGGTGCATTGGTATTTTCCCTGAAGGTGGATCACACGATAGAACCGACTTACTTCCTCTTAAAGCAGGTGTGGCAATCATGGCCCTTGGAGCTATGAGTAACGACCCAAATTGCAATGTGAAAATTGTTCCCTGTGGAATGAACTACTTCAACGCCCACAAGTTCCGGTCTAGAGCAGTGATTGAATTCGGCCATCCGATCGAGATATCTCGTGACTTGGTCACTAAGTACAACGACCCCGAAACTAACCGTGACGCAGTCAAGGAGCTCTTGGATACCGTTACTACAGGTTTACGTGCCGTGACTGTCACCTGTGAGGATTACGAGACTTTGATGATGGTCCAGGCTGGAAGAAGATTGTATGCTGGTAACTTTGCTCAGTACTTGCCTTTGCCTATGGTGGTGGAAATGAACCGTCGTTTGGTTCTTGGATACCAGACGTTCAAGGATCGTAAAGAAATGCAGGCTTTGAAGGAGAAGATTTTGCGATACAATCAGTTTTTGAAGCTGATGAATTTACCTGATCACCACGTTGAAGATTGTGACGAGACTCACAAACTCAATTTGCTTCCAATCTTTGTATGGCGTATAATACGTTTGATTTTCTTCTTTGTTTTGGCCCTTCCGGGCGCTGTGTTGTTCTCGCCAGTTTTCATTCTTTCAAAGTATGTTTCCATGCGTAAAAAGCAGACTGCTTTGGCAAACTCAACTGTCAAAATCAAGGCCAACGATGTTGTCGCAACGTGGAAGATTCTCATTAGTATGGGTGCTGCTCCATTACTTTACTCCTTTTACGCTTCTTTGGGCACATGGTACTGTAAGCATCACAACTACCTATCATCGTTTGGTTTGGTTAGTATGTGGTTCGTGTTGTATCTACTTGGAGTCATGGTCACGTATTCCGCTTTGATTACAGGTGAACAGGGTGTGGACTTGATGAAGTCAATTAGGCCCTTATACCTCTCAATTTTCTCTGGGTCTTCCATCACAGAATTGAAGCAATTGAGAAAAGAGCTTAGTGAAGACATTACCGAGGTGGTTAACACTTACGGAATCGAACTCTTCCCAGACGATTTCAACTTACTTGAAGTCAAGGACACTGAAACAAAGGAGAAACTTGTGGACAGTGATGAGGAGGAAGAATTCAAGACCCAAGAACTCCGAAAGAGAAGAAAGGCTAAGAAGAGAGCTCAAAAGGCTAAGCTTCTCAAGGATGATGGTAGTGAACTGACTCCTGGGCACTCTGACAGCGATATGTCTCTTGCGGGCAATATTTCGTCGTCTCTGTCCGATGGAATTTCTCTCATGAATTCGAACCTGAGTTCCTTCACAAACATTCCCCTTTTCTCGGACTACGATTTGCATGCCAATGCAAAGAATTCGCAAATCGACATAAAAGGACTTGCATCTGTTGTTCAATCCGCACTTCCCTCCACTATTTCGATAGCGGATGACTTTAATCATCACAGTCCGTCAACACCAACGCACGACAGGCCCGTGGTCTCCAGAAATAATTCCCACATGGAACTTAATTTTGGTTCTAAGGTGGACGTAAGCAAGTTGAGGCACCCAATCTCTCCTGAAAGCGTGATGCACAGACGTAAGCTCAGTGAGAAGATTAAGAATAAAGTCATGGAGAGCAGAGATTTGAACAACTAACGCTCAGATTATAGTACATAGCTGTATATATTTACATTCATTAGTTAACATTAGCCTGTCTCTCGTAAAATTCAGCCACCTGGCTAGAGCTAGTTGCATCCTCCACACCCTTGTCTTCTCTGATTCTAAGGAATCTTGGAAATCTCAAAGAGATACCTTTTCCGTACTCCTGGTGGCCTGCTTTATAAATAGGACTCAACGAGAGATCTGCAGTAAGGACCTCAAATAGAGTTGTGGGCTCGAGCCAAACATCAGGTACGGCATTTGAGTTCTTCGTATCGTAGACATAAAATGGCTTGGGCTGGGAAATTTCCGTGGGCTTTAGGCGAGTATAAAGGGAAGAAAGATCTTCATCAGAGAAACCCGTACCAATCTTACAGGTGGTTTCGTACTCACCGGTGTCATCGTTGTATGAAGCCAACAAGAAACCACCATATGAACCAGTTCTTTTTCCTTTTCCAACATAGGCACCAACGACCACTAAGTCAAGTGAATCACCAACACCTGCCAAATAATCTTTCTTCAACTTCAACCAGTTTCTGGATCTTTTGGATGGCTCGTAGAAGGATTCAGAACCATGTAACATCTTCACCATGAGTCCTTCACAAGAATCTTTGACAGACTGATCCAAAAAGGCCTGTAGCTCATCCAAGTCCGAGGAGTCTTTGCAAGTAGCAAATTGGAACTTTCCTTCCACAGGTTGAAAGTTTTCATGCAAAGTGGTTCTTCTTTCTTCGAAGGCCCTACCTATTAGGGACTGTCCATTGTAATAGAGCAAGTCGAATGCAAACAAGCAGATATGGACCTTGATATCACTTTCGTTAACGTCCTTACGTTTTCTGGTCGAGAGCACCTGAAATGGAAGAATTTTGCTTTTCTCTCTATCCCATGCTACAGCTTCGCAGTCGAGAATCATCGACTTAGGAGTTCCGCTAGTGCTCAGCTCGTGAGACTCCTTGATGAAATCTTTGACGATCGACACCAAATCAGGGTATCTTTCAGACATGTCTTCAGAGTTTCTAGAGTAGATTCTCACGGTTCCATCGGGAAGCAAATGCACCTGAGCTCTTTCTCCGTCATATTTGTATTCGCAAGTGAATTGTTCGCCTTGAAATCTGTCCAATACCTCGCCGATGGATTTGGTGGGCTTTGCTAGCATGGGCTTTAGTGGGACACCGGGAGTCAATTGACAATGGTCGAGCAAGTTCATGATGCCATGTTCATGTGCATTCTTGATGATAATCTCATAGTTAGGAATCAACGAAAACGCCTCACGTATGATGTCCTCAGCCTTGGTTAGTGAATCGGGCAGAATACGTTTCTTGGTGTTGTTTTCAAAGTTCAAGAATGCTTGGGCTAATGCTACCAAAACCGTCTTTTCCGCCAAACCAATACGCAACTTACCTTCGAGAGAACGAATGAGAAACTTCGCCTCGCTTGTTTTCTGGTCACACGCAGTAAGCATTTTGTTGATAATACCAATCTTTCGTGACTGAGAATCTTTACCTGTAGCCTTTGCGATCTTGGTGAGATTCTCGAACACAGCGTCCACGTCTAACAGGGCAGGCTTGAACATGGTAGGCTGACCGGAGCGAGACTTCTGGGCTACCAGGCCGAGATCTCCCACTTCTTGGTAATCTTTCTTGATTTTTGATGGAGCTCGTCCGTAACATTCACTGATTGCCTTAATAAGCAATGTCTCGCCCAATCCCAACTCCAAGTCGGGCTCGTAGTCAGGACCTAATCTATTGATAAAGAGGTAGACGATACGGACCAACTGTTGAGGGTCAGGGAACTGCTCCAACACTTCTAAGAAGAACTCCGAAACGAGCGCAGTGATCTTGAGACGGCCAGATTCCTTTTCGATCTTATCAAGCACAGCTGTGACCTTTGAATAAGGAATTTTCGTTCCCTTGGTTGCCAATTGTTGGTGTTTGTGATTCTGCTCCGAGAGCTTAATAAGCTGAGAGGCGTCTTCTTCCTTTTCGGGAGTCATGTCTCTGTCGCTATCTGGCTTATCACTGTCCACCTTTTCAGAATCAACCTTAGAATCGATCTCCATTGCAGTCACTGGTTTGGCGACTTTCAGGTCAATTCGAGTTTCTGAATCATCTGTATTTGCCTCTCCTGACTTGGTATTTTCTGTTACGAGACTCACCGTCTTCTCTTCAGACTTTGACTTCTCAGGCTCCTCTATCTTAAGTCTTTTGGCTGGCAACTTCTGAGTATCCAGAGTCCGCTTGGCTGGCGCCTTTGCTGCCGCCTTCAGCCCAAAAAATCGCATAATAGACTGCTGCTCCATACTGATCCGTCTCGACACAATTAATCTGGGGATTCTCGAGATGGGTACGCGTCTGAAGAGAAGCATGGACTGGAATCCTGTCTAGAGAGCCCAGTTGGGTAAGAGGCGAAGGTTGACGGATTGATGATTTTGATGTATGGATCGAAATATATGGCAATGGCACTGATATATAGGTACATGCATTTTACGATTTAATATTTGTTATGTCAATTATTTATTTTTGGATTCCATTGAATCATTCATGGTAAAATCTACCCACTCATTCATTCTACGCACATTGACAAGTCTCTATGCATTTTGTCGAATCTCAGCATTTATGACCATAGACTGATAACTCACTTTGACACACCAAAACATCTTCAAAAAGGAAAATCAAAATTTCAAAACAATAAACCACATTTATATCACGGTAATGTAATTAAAAAATAAAATTCCCTCAAGTAAAACACCAACTACGTACGTCCCGTCTCATTCCCAAAAGGTCGTGTCTCGCCAGGTATCAACTAAAGCCCATTCAACCAACTCACTTCTCACAACACCATCTCCATCACTAAAATGCCTCTCTTCAGAGACGAAAACTTCCTAGTGGTGCATGCAGGCTCGGAGCACACACTATTTCTCTTCGGATTGCTGGATTCGTTGACCACGCCCCATTATAAGATCCCCACTGTGGTGTACTTGGATGCTTCCACCAACCAGTATAAGGGGTCCAATCCAGATGGAACATACTCGGAAATTAGACCCATCCGCGGCTCGCGCATTGTTGATGTGGCTGCCTTCCAGGCATTGTTGAAGTTTATCTTGCAGACCATCATTGCCTCGCACCCAATCCTCACCATCAACCAGGTGCCATTATTGTTGATTATTCCGTCACTTTCTTACTCGAGAGCCGCCGTTGAACTGATCTCCAAGTTTGTGTTTGAAGTGTTGGAGTTCACTGCGTTCAATGTTTTGGATTTGTCCATTGCTGCTTCCATTGGCTTGGGTGCCACGGGCTCATCTTTGGTGGTCAACATTGGCCACGAATCCACCCAGATCATGCCGGTTATTGCTGGAACTTGCATCAAGTACGCTGGTGTGCGCTTGGATGTGGGTGGTAAGACCATTAACGAAGACTTGGCCAACTTGTTGCCCCAGTTGACCCAGGACCAGATTGAAGCCTTAAAGACATCGTCTATCTTCGAAGTTCTCAACGGCCACGAGACGTCTTTCTACTCTAGTGCCGACTTGGCCGAGTCCAAGACGACGTCTGACGATGAGTTTGACGTGGCCAAGATTGTGACTGAGGAGAATGGCGAGAAAAAGCTCTTAGAAGAAGAAGACGAGAAGGTGGAAACCAAGCCAAACAGTGAATTGGAGCGTAACTCTTTTACAGATGCTTCGGGTACAAAGCACTTCATCGGCAAGGAGCGTTTCCAGGGAACCAGCCGACTTGTCGGAGCCCTTTCCGAGGGAATCTTCGAGGCGTTGCAACAGGTTCCAGATGTGGACAAGCGCCAGGAGTGCTATGACAACCTCATTTTCGTGGGCGGAACATCGAACATTGCAGGCTTGAAGCAGGCAGTGGTGATCAAGCTCTGTGAGAACCACTTGACGAAACCTCCACCATCGAAAAAGAAGTCTAAGAACGAGCTGACTGTCAACTCTGCTATTGCTGCATACCAACAAGCTGACGAATCGGGAGATACTAGTGGAGAGCCAAATGGCGTTTTGCAGGTTCCTTCGTCCATTAAATTGGTCAAGCATCCAGAATACTTCCCGGAGTGGAAGAAGCCCAAGGAGAAGGGAGGATCATGGGCCGACGTATACGTATTGGGAGGAGAAATTTACTCCAAGCAGATTTTCGGTGCTAACTCCAATCATGGCGGTGATACCTTCATGGACACAGACGTCTACGAGGAAAAGGGACCCCAAGCTATTTGGGATGTCTCGTACTAATGTAAAATAGAATGTACACTATAAGAGTATGAGAGGCCTGAAAGTTGCCAAAATTCGTCTAATGAGAGATTGCGTGAGAGTATCGTGGCAACTAGGAAATGAAATGTAGTTAAAAGTAGAATGAAAATATATTAAGGAATTAAATAAAGCAGAGGTCATTAATCGTAAGTTAAGGTCTAGTTCTCCACATTCGACAAGAATCTCAGGTAATTTGCTCTAGTACCAAGCACAGACTTCTTGCTCAAGACAGTACCCAGTCGATCCAAATCGTACTGAGGTTCCTGATCCAAGTTCTTCAACTTGACCTCGTGGACCAACGGCAAGTCTGCCTCGTGGTTGATCTCCTTGTTGGGCATCTTGATCACTGGGGGAAGTGGCTTGTAGAACTTAGGAACCCGTGGGTCTCTATACTTGGCACCTTTCAAGTCTCGGTTGTCTCTGTAGTCTCTGTAGTCTCTTTGGTCTCTGTATAAGTCACGGACATCTTTATACGGATCATCTCTCACCCTGATTGAATCTCTGTATCGATCGTCTCTCAATCTGTCCCTGTATGGATCATCTCTCGATCTGTCCCTGTAAGCGTCCCTGTAAGCGTCTCTGTAGACTTCTCTGCCAGGCAAAGATGCAGACGAGTGTCTTCTTTCCTCTGACAAGTACGTGTGAACCTGTCTCGACTTGCGTGACTGCTCTCTGGTGTCAGTGCCAACACGCTGCACTCTGGGCCGTTCCTTGACTCCTGGAGGGCTGTGATGGAACGGAGGGAAAGGAGCAACCTCACATTCGCGGGGATGGATGATGGGTGATCCCATTGGCTCTTCTGAATACGCTCTAGGCTGGACTTTCCGTTCTCTGGTAGGGAGTTCTTCTGATCTGATGGCAATAGGAGATACCTTAGGGGACATTCTCATGGTCGCCACCTTCGCAGTAGGCGAAACTTGTGCAGCCTGTGCAATGGGTGACACTTGTGCTCTCGGCGATTCCTGGCCACCAGGGATGATCTGAATAGGCGAAACCAGTACACGTTCCAGCGCTTCCATTCTGGGGGACGTAGACACCATGGGAACTACAGGCACATCCTCATTAGGGCCACGAGTGGTAAAGAAGCGATATTTAGCTGCGGGCCACTCTGTAAATGTATCCTTCTTGACGACGCCTGCGAACCATAGAACGCCTAGTACGATGGGACCGTAAAAGGCGATAATTTTAGCAGCTTGGGCCACGACACCTCCGCAGTACCAGAGCGTCGACTCCATGGAGTGGAGCACATACATAAACGCCATTCCCAAGAAGAATGGGAAAAGCCTCTGAGAATAATGTTCCAACGGAAGAGCTAGGAGCCAATTGTAATATTGGTTGAACAGCGAGCCCTGGGTATGCGACATGGGCACCAGCAGGTCTGCAATGGACGAGTGGCGGGTCAAGTCGATGGAGCGGCCAGAGTCGAAACTCACGCTGCGTCCGCGACGCATGGGGTTCAGTGCCATGAGGATTGGAGAGCGCGGTGCCAGTTTGGATGTGTAAGTGTGAGATGTGTTTGCAGCAGGTGTGTAGGTGGCTGATTTTGCCGAGTTTACCGTGATCGGAGCAGTGGGGATTTCAGGAATGGTGGCGGGGATTTTTGGTTCAAGGTCGTGTTGATATGTTGCTAGATTAGGCAGGACGTGCACGGGCTCAGGTTCGATTTGTCCACAGTCGATGAGCTCGTTGATAAGCTCGTCCACCAGATGGTGCTCATCAGATACCACCACGGGCTCTTCTGATTTTCTTCTGTAGATGCCGTCGGGGCCACGCACGTAGCGCGCCAGTCTCTTTGTTTTGACAGTCATAGCATGAGGAGGTATGGATGAGTCTTGGAGGGGAGTAGGTGGAGGAGAAGGAAGTGCGAAGGTGGTGCGCAGGTGGGAAAGTGCGAAAGTGGGAAAGCGCGAGGTTAAGTCTTTGGGGGGAATAAAAAAGGGTAAATGGGCAAGAAAAAACGTTGCAAACACCAGCAATGATGGCTAATGTGGGAGGGCGGGGAAGAAGAAAAGGGGAAGGATGGAAAGGATCGAGAATGGAGATTAAAAAACTGGCCCTAAAAGGATGGTGTAGTAGATAAGGGATATGAATGGTTTTTGACGGGAACACCGCACTTTATAGGTGAGGCTGCAATGTCAATGCATGGGGTTTAACCCACTGCACGACGTAGTCAGGAACCAATAACGTACAGGCCAACCCGGTCGAGCAATTGAAGCGAGGTGGGTTAATTGGGATCGGGAAGATGACAAAAAAAATAAGAATTTGAATTAGAATTGAAGGTATGCAGTCAAAGAGCAATAGGTTCCTTTAAGAATTTTTTTTGAAGGGTTTTCAAGGGGCTTGATGAATGGTTAAGGTTGAAAGTCTTGTGACCACGGGAGGTTTTATTCGGTTATGTAGTTCGCACTGAGAAGATTTTTGATTTACTTCTACCATTCATGTTTGTTTTCATTTCACAAAATTTCACTTTCTCCATTTGCTTTAATTGACATCAAGTCTCATTTTATTCAAACCTTATTGTCATTTCATACATTTCGCTTTCTTTTTGTAAGTTAACCGATTTCTCCTATCACACTCCGCTAATCCCTCGTGCGACATGGAGTTGGTAGTTTACCCGGTTGCATTGTACCGTTGTGAATGAATGCAGGTGTTCACTTCACATGGGTCCAATGGGGACTAGACTGGGACATTGGGGGAGTAAGGCATACGGAGATAGGAGTTCCACGGGAGAAACGTATGGGCTGAGTAGATGTTGGAGGTGGTGTAGTGACTTGATGGTTGGCATACCGAATTAGTGGGTGTAGGTTGTGGAAGTTCCAGGTGGTGCTGGGTGTTGTAGATGGTGGTTGTGACTGGTACAGGTAAAAATGATAAGATATGACTGGTGGGAAGAAATGGCTATCGATACGTGCTGCACCACAATTTAACGATTCGTAACTTTACTTTTTCGTTGGTTTTCCCGGTCATGCTGTGGTAAGATGACGAAATCTGGAATTCGATAGCATCGACTTGCTCTGATGTAGGGTGGTTATTGGCATAGGCTCACCACAATTGACCCGATCTTTCCAGTCTCTTAGAAATATAACCCTTCAAAATAAAAGACTCTTTAAAATAAAAGATGATTGAACAAAATCCACCACATTTCTATATCGATGAAATTGCCAAACAAGTAAGAGGTAAATGGGTACACTTAGTTGAAGAGGAAGAGACAGAAATCCGCAATACCTAATGTCTACGTTATGCGGTTATAGTGTCACGAACCGGGTGGTACGATACATGGAATCATTAATGGAACAATTAATGGTATAATCCCAAAGAGATGGCCCTGTGCGCCTGCTAAATATAGTCATGCCCCGGTGTAATTGGAGAGGCCAAAAATGAAAATCTAATCGACCGATCTGGTTCCACCCATGATCATTTTACCCACAATTGACTACAATTAGCAGATGGTACAAGTTGTTAGTAGTTGTTATGTTGTCTATCAAGTTGTTAGTTAAGCAGTACAGTAGTTTGTTGAGTATGTTCAGTAGTTCGTTAGTGATAATAAAATTTAGGCCAGTGATCGGTTAGTAGCAATTTCATAATTTGATCGTTTCTGGCTATAGATTAATCGAGTTTTATAGTCATTTAATTTCCAAGCGTATCTTTTCATGAAGTTGGGGTTCTATGAATCCTTTAATTAACATCTTGTGCATGAATTACGGGAGCAAACTACTCGCTTATTTGAGTTTACAAGTGACAGTGATTCATTCTACACTTATCTATTTCCTAACCACAACTCTGGTCATTGACGTAGTCTCCAATCCACAGCAATCATATTAACACCTTGTACTGGTTCAGCCGTTCATACCCAAGATTACAGAAAATACAAAATTCTGGAGAAAAGTTCCATTTTCTCAAATAATTCTGCCCGCTAGACTATATATTAACATTAAAGGCACAGTACTATCACTTTCCTTCTACAAAATCCTGAAATTCCACAATTCAGAAAGAAAGTCAAGTCAAAAACCTATACAATGTCTTCAAAAGTACTATTGTCTTAAGCCACTCTGGTCCATTGTACCAATATCCATTTGTTTCAGTACTTCAATGCCTCAACATTTAATCACATGAACATCTTTAACTTCAAATTTTTTTTTTATTTTGCTTTTGAAAGTCATTCCCAACGTTTCATCCTATCCCACATTTTTCTAATCCTCCATTCACCTCTTCTTTACTTCTCAATAGCAACTAGCAATGCATGGAAGTTTGTTCCCTGACGTCATGCCACAACCTTGTTAAATTGCCTTCCTGCACAATAGCTAGGTCCCCAGTCCCAATCCGGCAACATCAGGGATAATTCGCCCATAGTTTCACCATATTTCGCACAAAACTCAACCTTCCGTCCACAGCTATATACAGGTCCACAGCCAGCCCTCTCTCACGCTTTAACCTCCTTTCCGATTTTCAACAAAGCAACAATTTCTTTTCCCCTCAATTTATCTTCAATTGGAACTTCCAAACCGCAGAATTTGTTACAAAATCTTCATTTCCAATTGCTGATTTTGTCTGTTCCGTCGGTTCCCCCAGTTTGTTTGTGTTTCCTACTAGTTTCTGGTTCCAGCGTTTGGTGCTATAATTGCTGAAACCGCCATTGAGATAAACCCGGCGAAAAAAAAAAACTGCCAAACATCCCCTACTCCATCTTCAACATGTCCATCTACCAAAGAAACGGTCAGCCGCTCTCCCAGCAGGCTCTATACCAACAGAAATTGAGACAGGGCGTCTACAATTCGCCAGGTAAGCCCATTGTGGGCGTCAACTCCAACGCCTCCGATGCTGCTGCTCTCTTGGCCGCCTCGTCTGATTTGACTGTCAAACCTTCCTACGAGCGCTTGCAGGCTGCCCCCGAGGCCCATAATGCCGCATTGGCTGCCAGAAAGGAGCAAATTAATGCTTGGAAAAGAGAGAAGGAGGACCCCTTGGCTGATGCTGCTGCCGCGTCTGCCAGAACCGCCGAAGCCGTTCCCAGAAAACTGGAGTTGGGTATTCCAGCCTCCTACAATAAGGGTTCAGTGTACAAGGTTGCCACGTCCAACTCCACCTCTACCATGACCTCACGTGTTTCTCCAGAGAAGTCGGTTTCGAAGCACGGCTTGGCCTCCACCTCCACCACCATGACTTCGCAATCGTTAAACATCGGTAAGATCTCACAGATTGCTGATAAGAACTCGCTGCAGTTGCTCAACAACCGGTTTAACCCGGAGAACGACTACAGGTCGGGTATTGCCACTCAGCCAGCTGAATTTTTGACCGCTGACCAGGAGAAGTTGGCTGCGCAATCCGCAGGCCGCTCTTTGACCATGAAGCACGGAGCCGGCTACTCTGACTCAGTATCGCTGCAAAAGAGAACAAAGACCTTTCAGGCTGCAGATGTTGTGGATGCAACCTTGTTGGCTGCTGCCAGTGCAAAAGCAGCCGAGCGTTTGAACTCCATCAAGCTGACTGACCCTTCGAACTTGAGAGAGCAGGCTCAGCTCTACAGTAAGGCATTGGCTACTGCTCAGAAGAACAGCGAGGAGAGATTGAAAAACAATAAGGCTGGTATGATCGATTTGGGTGGTGGCTTGCTGTTACCAATCGCCGAGGTTGACAAGTTGGCCTCTTTGATTGTGCAGCCTGTTTTGAACGATCTCAATGACAAGGCCACTGCTCAACGTGAGTCAGATGCCAAGCAGAAACTGAAACTCGCTGAGTTGCTGCGTTTACATCAAAAGTCTAAGGTTGATGACTTCAACCGTAAGCAGAAGGAGAAGGCTGAAAGAAAGCAGGCCGAGAAGGATCGTATTGAAGCCAATGAGGGCAGAAAGAAGAACGAAGACGAATTGTACGCCACGTACCAGGGTGAGCGTCATACTGAAGTCGACGGCAAGACTGAAGAACTCAAGGAATTGGAAGAGAAGTATGCCGGCGAGAAGGAAGCCTTGTTGACCGAGAAGCAGGAGAACGAAGACGCCATCCATGAGGAGGAGTCTGGCCTCATTGCAGAGCGTAAGGAGGAGTTGGAGAAAATGCAAGCCGAGAGAGACGAAGAGTTGAAGCCAACTCTAGATGAGTTGGAGGTCGAAACCGGCAAGTTGAAGGACTTGACTGACTCCAAGAACCAATTGGAGAGCGAAGTTGCTAGCGGTGAGAAATTACAGGAAGAGTACGAGGCTAAGATTGCGGAATTGAAGGAGAAGTTGGAGCAAACTAAGACTGATATCGAAACTACTACTGCTGAGCTTGAAGAGACCACCGGCAAGCGCGAGAACCTCGACAAGGAGGTTGAGGAGTTGCACACTAACAAGGCTACCGAGGACGAAAATGCTGAGAAAACGCATAAGGAATTGGACGAGCAATTGAACCAGTTGGAGAAGGAGAAAGAAGAGCACACTACCAGCAAGGCTGCGCAGAAGAAGGAGATCTTACTGGAGATCGATGAACAGGTGAAGGATGAACACAAGATCAACAAGGAATTGCCAGAACATTTGCAACTGGAAGTTCCTGAGACAAAATTCCGTGATACCGGCTCTCTTTTCACTGTTGAGCAGAAGCCCGAGAAGATTGTTGAAGAAAAAGCCGTGGAACAACCCAAACCAAAGGAGACTGTTGCTGCCAAGGTCGAGCCAGTTAGTGCCAGCCCTAAGAAAGGTTTCCGTTCCAGAATAAACAGCATCAAAAAGGCATTCAAGACGCCACAATCAGCGCAGCCCGCCGCCAAGCCTGCTCCAGCTACTGTGGCATCTACTCTCAAGAAGAAGGAAGTTGAAGAAGAGCCTAAGAAGCTTGAGAGCAACACATCTGCCAACAAGGAGAAGTCCTCCGAGTTGAGCAACTATGAAGAGGAGATTTCCATCAAGGACGATCGCTCCAAGAAGGGAGGACTTTTCAAGGAGGAGATCTAAAAAACCACCGCCTAATTGCGTCCGCATGCGAATGCATTTTGTTTAGTTCATTTTTGTCATTATCTGTGTATCAGTATGTAACCAAGAAATTGAAAATTGTTTAGATAAGTGTGTGCGCACCAGCGACATTGAATGAGAAGTTCAGTAGTTGTTAGAGCTAAGAAACTGTGCAAACCTTGACCACTTAAATCTGATGTCAGAAACCACGTCTCCAGTGATAGGAGTACTCAAAAAGTACAATTTCAAGCTCGCAGATGCCTCGAGTGAGTATATCGAGAGGAGAAAGAAACAGATGATGCTCTTCATGACAGCAGCAGCAGTGACTATTTTCACCTCTCGATTTGCCTACAAATCAACCATCACCAGACACTTCGTACCTTCTTTATTCCAGGGAAATCACCAACCACCTTTGAGCTACAATTTCACCATGGATGCTGCCGTCGCTGTGGGAACAGGTACAATGCTCTGTGGATCCGTTTCGTCGATGCTTGCATTTGGCACCTGTTGGATTTTGGACGTCTCAAACTTCAAGGAATTTGGATGGAGAATGAAGGCGTTGATGGGAGGAACCGAGAAGGAACAGAAATTGGCAGAGATGCCTATGGATGACGACACTGCGTACATTCAAGACGGGTTGAATGATATTTTGGATGGGAAGGTCGAGTTGAACTTTGATGATGAATAAACATGTATATATAATGAACGGACATGAGAGAGGCGAGTGTAGGATAGGAACATGTGAGTTGATTTCTGAAATGGAAAATGGAAAATGGAAAATGAAGGAGAATGAAGGTTCAGATGGAATTTGAAGAAGATGGCTATTCAAATGGTTCTTAGAGACAAGTTGTTCAAATGCGATTACAGTAAAGAGACATTTAAAGTGAATTTTGAAACTGTTAGATACATCGATATATTCTTAGGTAGATCTATTCTGAATTGTTTTCGTTTGATGATGTTATTTTGATGTGATGGTACATGTATTGTGATGACCTGTAGAGCGAAGGATGAGATGATTGCTGTGAACATGAACAAGAGGTTATGTCAAAGCTAGAAAAGGAGAGATTCCTCGAAATTAGCAGAACAAAGCTGAGTACCACAAACTTTACAAAAATATTTTGGAAGCACGAGTAGACACGAGTACATGAATACTGTCTATCAGCTAATGTATTGATACTACACTTCTTATGTCAAGTATATAGATGACAAGGATTACAAAATGTTTGGACCTATAATCCAAACAGTCTACTACTTTTGTTCCTTCCCTATTTCCAATTGGCCAGGTCCTTAAATTATCAACACCTTCCACTGATTAAAGCTCGTAGTTCATACACTTGAGGTTGAAACTCATGCGATGTGATTCTTTGAGCTCCAACATACTTCACATTCATTTATTCAAAGAAAAGAGCAAAGAAAATCCTCTCGTTTTCAAACTCTGCTCATTGTCAATCTCATCTGTTTCTCCTCAATAGTTATTCTGGGTGCAAAATACCTATCATACTTATCCGCACTCAACAATCTTCTGACATATTTCCCACACCATACCTTCTAACTTCCCACTACCAAGCTTGTCTACCAAGTCAACTTTCCATCAACTTCCATCCCATTCTATCCACTTAAAGTTCACATTCCGCCATCGTTTATCTTTTCCAGCTTTTCACATCCATATCCATTTCTGCTCCTCTCGTTCTCGTGCCTGCCCCGCGTAAACATAGTGCTGGTTGACTGCACGCATGTAATTAAGCCAAAACAGGAAATCATCATCAACTCCATCTTCTCCTATGGCCAGACTTTCCACAAACGCCTCGACGCGACAACCAGCGTCTATACGGCGCCGCACACCAGAAACAGGTGTTCACCGCAATCTACCCGGAGATCCACCCACAGGAGTCAAGAAGAGACGTTACAGACCAGGCACCAATGCGTTGAGGGAGATCCGTCAATTTCAACGGAGCACCGACCTTCTTCTTCGAAAACTTCCATTTGCAAGACTTGTCAAGGAGATCGCTGACCATTACATTGGTGTTGACTATGGAATCCGTTGGCAGTCCAACGCAGTTCTCGCCCTTCAGGAAGCATGTGAGGCATTTCTCATACATTTGCTTGAAGATACTAATCTTTGTGCTATCCATGCCAAACGGGTCACTATCATGCAGAAAGACATTCAGTTGGCAAGAAGAATTCGAGGTCAGCTATAATGGCTCTAGATTTTGTGTTTTGGCTCTGACCGCTCTTGTCTTGTTTTCTCCCTTCGCCCACCCTACATGTACTCTATTCAAAAGGAAATTAACCAGTGTGTATCAATAAATCCAGTATTAAAGTCAATCAAACTAAAGTCGCCCTTTACCCAAATGAGACCGTAAGATTACAGAACAAGTAGAAAAAGAAAATAGAGGAGGAGGAGAAGTAGATGTCATGCTCATTGGGAGTCCTGGCCCGTGCCTTGACCACCATCGGAAGATACACTTTTCTTACGGCCACCGCGGTTGTTTGGGTTGGGGTTGCCGTAAATGATGGTGGTTGTTCCGTTGGCATTGACCTTGAAATGCGTTTTGGAGTGTTGTGCCAAGTTGTCAGACCTCAGAAACTTCTTGTCACAATACTTGCAATGGAAGGGTCGGATGTTCAGATGCACAGACCGAATATGACGTTTCAAGTGCTCCAGACGCTTGAACTGCTTTTCACATTCAGGACAGGGGAAAGGTTTGGGCTCGTCGTCCCCATCAGTAACACTAAGTTGCCGACTTGCTGGTTTCTCAACCATGGGGACAGTGCTTATCGAGCCATATCGAGGAGTCTCTTGTGTTCTAAGAGCCTCATTTGTTCGCTGAAATGCCTCCTCGCTCACTTCATGGCCCAGTACCGGCGACTGGTCTTGTTGCAACTCAGGTTCCATTCCAAACAGATTCATGGACAGAAACTGTGGTGCATAACTTGTACCCGGCAGTTGAGAGTTTTGATACACCTGAGCAGGAACCATATCTTCTGGAATGGAATTGTTGATGGATTTTCTGCGTTTTCGCTTCTGGCTTGGCGGCATTCTCTGTGGAGCCGCCTCGTTGCGATGAGGAAGCACCTGAATGGAATTTCTGCGCTTCCAGTTGGGCTTAACAATGCCCGTGGGGTTGCGCATGGCTGCGCCTTCAGCCCTGTCCAGGATTATGTTATCTGTGTTATTCAACCACGAGGTGATTGCACTGACACATTCGTCATTCATGACATAAGAATTGACGCCAATCACACCATCACCGTTGGCCAGCAAAGGAATCTCTTGCATTTCGGACATGTCTAGCAGGCCTGAAATGCCGTTGGCCACCATTTCCTGGCCCTGGAAGTCCATATCTACCATATCTCCGCCTCTTGAAAAAAACGTCAGAAGTGAGGGAGACAGCACGGACGATGGCAAGATGTAGCGGGATGACGCAGGGACGGTATTCTGGCCAGCAGAAGTAGCGCCCAGCATCCCTCCCAGGTTGATTCCTAAGAGCTGACGTGGGTTAATGGTACGTTCTTCCACAGGATTGGCTGGGTGAGCTAGCACCGGATAAACGTCTGGAGAGGGCAGCTTCAGCTTGTGCTGATGAATAGACATGCGGTTGAGCTGCTCCACAGCCAGTGAGAAGCGCCTGCGGTGGCTGTAGTGAAGGTTAGCGTCGAACTTCTGGGGTGAGGCCAAAGTTAAGTCCGGGGTGGTGATTGTCAGCTGCAACGCATTGTAGGGCAAGGTGGCGATCAGCAGGGTCAGCAGCAGTGCCTCCACATCGTTGGAGATGGCGTAAGTCTCGGTGTATGGGGTGTGGGAAGGCACTGGATTGTAATTGAAGAAGATTTCGTCGTTCAAGTCGATGCCGTCGGAGTTGATAGCGGTGAGCGACGCCGGAGGCGGGATCCAGTCGGGATTGCCCAGGGAGGAGGCCAGTTGACCTTGCAGCATTGGTGGCGGCGCCATGGTGGTACTCAAGTCGAGTATCAGATGGTCAAACCCTAGTTGAGGTTGATTGGACATTACAAATTGATTGTGGATATTGTGTGGCAGCACCAGTCGACGGAGGCGGGTGGAAACGGCGGGAAGGGGAGCAGCAGCACAAGCAAGACGGTACTAGCAGCAGACTGGGCACGCACACTGGAATGAGCAGATTGTGGGCCTCAGTTGAAGAAAGTAGTGACTGTGAATGTTGTCAGACCCAGGTGGTTAGAATCACTTCGAGGTGTCTGCAGGAAGTTGCCCCGATAGATAACGCCCGGTTCGGAACCAAAAAAAAAAAAAAAGGTTTGGGAAGATAAGAGGATGAATGGGGTGTGGAGGGAGGCGAGGAGCGATGAATTGGTGAGTAAAAACAAGTAGGTTCTTTTAAGTTGCAGTGTCTGGATTTTGCAACTTTAACTTATGTTTGGCGTATCGTGATTGGTGTCTCCAAGATTGGATCGTGGAGGGTGTGGGGTGGTGTGGTGCGCATGAGGTGATTTCGTGTACAGGTGGAGTTTGAACTGGTAGAGTAAAAGTGAGAAAGAGAGGAAGAAGAGGGGAGGAGATAGATGATTGGAGTAGGAGATTCTTGGTGGAAATGGAGGGAATTTACGGGAATTGTAACTGACTTGCGATATTTTTTCTTTCGGCGGGACGAGGTGAAGAATGGAAGATTTCTTTTGAGTCTGGAGATAATCGATTGGTGCAGGTGGTGAGGTCAGAGGCTCCAAGTATGGCTTTAGGCAGAACTGGGCATGACAGGCTTAGAAATAGAAAAGCATAACAAATGTCTGGAGACTGGGGGAATAAGATGGCATGAGGGTGGTACTGGCGATTAGAATTTGTAGAACAAATTGTTTTAGTGAATCAAGAAGTTGGTGGAGGGGAGAGGATTGATGTACGATGGCTAATTAGGTAGAGTTTGTATGGTCATATTATGGTCTGGAATCGGAAGTGTAGAGCATATAGAGAAGTATTGGTGTGTAGAAGACATGGAGTAGTGAAAATTGGGTGGGCTTTGGAAGAGAATGTTGGGACTTTGAAATGATAAGACTTTGGAGATGGAGAATGGTGAGATTTTATGTTGTGATTGTGAAATAATCGAATTTGAATGTTAAGTTCATTGTGGGATAAGGAAGGTTCGATGATTTCTTGATAAGATATCGAGAAGAGGCTGAAAATTTATTCGGCTTGATTGAATAGGGAGGACTGACTGAAATGTTTGAAATATTCGAATTGGTTGAATTATACATTGGAAATCACGAGTCTTATTTGCCAAAGTCCCACAATTATAAGCTAATCTCGAACTTCTACTGCTCCTCAATTATTCAACTCAACCTTCTACTCTCAATTACATTTATGACGATTTATATATTAGTGTCATGTCCTCATGATAGATGTGTTTCGATAAATAATTATTGTGGTCTCTCTGCAACGTCCTGAGCATCTCCACGGGTCTCTCCGCTCATCTGGCTGGTGTTGGTGTCCTCATCTTCCGCCTTGACATCCACAGGTCCAGTCTCAACATCTTCCTTGACATCCTCGGCATGAATCCACTTCTTCATGAACTTCACCAACACCTGCGCGGTCATCACCTGCTCTGCTTGGTATAACACCAAAGGAACAAGCAACACTCCCAACTTTGGGTTCCTGGAGCCGTATTGCGAGGAAACAAGCGACACTCCCAAGGCTGCGGTCTTAGCTGGCCCACACAACATCATCGACACCGTATCACGGCGATTGTAATAAAATGGTCTGAAAATCTTGTAACACCAAGTATATGTCTTAGACGACTCGGCCGTAGGCTCCGTTGGGAAAAGCGTCAAGAGAAACCTTGGTCTGGAGTAGAAGTACACAAGCACCGTGAAGAAGAGGTAGATGCCAATGTTGAAGAACACCAAGAAGATGATGGAGGCATGACTGACGGATGTGAAGGCGTCCTGGGCAAAAGCTGTGGAGAACGACTGGAACATGATCAAAAGCAACATAAACGAACCCACTTTGTTCAACTTGAAGGTGGCGAGACACCATTTCACCTGTTTGGGCCATACATTCTGCAACACTTGACCCACGAAGAGAGGAATGAACACGGACAATCCAATTTGCTTCATCACATGACGATATAACTCCAGAACGGACGAGTGGACCGCCTGGTGCACTGGGTTTCCAAAATCCCATCCTCCAGTCATGTACATTTGCACCAAGGCAGGAGTGATGAAGGCTCCAAGAACGTTACCAATAACAACCTCACATGTGGTCAAGATAAAGTTGCCGTCAGCTTGTTTGGTCATGACCACATTGGAAGACACCGTGGTTGGACAAGCATGCGTGACGATAAGACCCACAAGCAACCAGTTATCGATTGCTCCATCTTTGGAGGATTTGATACCTGTTGCAATGCCGTAGATGATGGCCGAAGTGATCAAGAACGAGGATGTCAACACGGTAAAATGGCCTCTCCAGTGAGCGATGTTGGCCAACAAGTCCTTTGTGGCCATGGACAAACCCGAAATCAAGAAGATGACAGCGACTGCTCCATATCCAATAGAATACTCAGCTCTGATGGTTCCACCTTGCTTGGCGAACTCCGGGTATGAGTGGGCCAACGCAACGAAAACTCCCAAAAGCACAAAGAACCACTGGGCGAGCAAGAAATCTAGCACCCATTTGGCCCATTTGTAAGGCTTGGATGCTTTAACCAGTTCTAATGTCATTGTTTGCGAAAAGTCGATGAGACTCTATGATGGAAGTAAAATGCAAGAAAACCGGCGCAGTGGATGAAATTTGGGCCGGTAGCAGAAGGTTTAACACAATTTAGAAAGACTGAACAGGAGTTTTATACTAGAAAAGTTTTTTCTAGTCTGATTGATAACAATTTTAGCCTAGTGACGATTCAAGCGCACGTGACTGTGGAGTTTGCTCGGGATCGGGCCGAAGGGGTTGCAATATACATATTAAGGCTGAGAAAGTTCGGATCGACCACGGGTTTGTCCCGAAAGTGGCTGTTTGGGGCGGACACAACACTATTATCCGGATGTCAGAGCGGAATCATGTACATGGGGCTATATTTTCGGTATTAGGCAAGGAATTGGGGCGGCTTGAACGGTATGGTCAGGTGAAGAAATGACATTGATCATTTTGGTATTTGGAGTGAATTTACCTGAGGAAATTAGTGAGGAAACGACGGTTTTATAGCGTGATATTGTGTGATTCTAAAATAGCTTTATTCGATACTAACGTCTATTCTTCTGGTAGTTGAAGATATACTAATTATGGATGGGAGAATTGAGATTCATCTGCATTCAAAGAATGTCCATACCTATACGGTACAAACATTCTTGCTTAGCCAGTAAAGTTTCAAAGTGCCTTGAATGGAAGTGTTTATGCCTGACGGTGACCTATCATCTTAGGAATTCATGCTTGTCCCTTTGTTGGCAAACTCTTTTTATTGAAGTAATGATGTGGGATACCTGAAGTTTACTACAAACTAAAAAAAAAAAAAAATCCAGAAAAACACGAAAGCCAATTACGGAGCTTAAGTTGGATTTCTCTGAGGACGGGTCTGGTGTAGTTTCCGATGTTGTCACACTAAGATTGATTCGATTTTGGAAACAATTGTGCTGATTATTACGTTGAAGTAGGCTCTGCTTTGGACACAGCTTTATCAAAGGTTTTTCCGTACATCTTATCAACTTATTCTTACTAGAGATCCATTTACCTGAAACAAACCAGCTGGTGGCGTATTGTGCTGGAGAATTATAAGAATCTTAGTGGGAGGTAGTTGATATTGTGAAGTATTGATATTACCATATAGAGTGCTTCTAGGAGAGATACAGCAAGAGACTGGATCTTCAAACACTGTACCTCTTGAACTCGCTCCAGCATAGCTGACTGTACCAGCATTATAGGGTTTCTCCTCTTTTATGAGTTTTCATCCTTAAACTTCATTTTGCAACTTACGTAGACTTTTCGCTGCTACTTACAGCTTGGTAAATTTCACCTCTAGATACTTTAACGATGACTAACTTTGGAGTTACTTTTACCATTCAACCATCTACCTATTAATTTTTACTTGAATCGTGGTATCTTCAATTACTACTTAAAAACCAGCTCTTTGTTGGTTTCTAATTTAGCGTTTGTTCAGTACACGTTTCTGAAAGATGTCCTACTCTCACTATTACAGCTTGCTCACTGGTACAAAGCCATCTCATGCTTCTTGCAACAATGAATACCAGTTCATGTTGCCAGCAGCTAACCGAAGAGTTGTGTCCAAAGATGTTGGTTTCCTCTCCTTTGCCCTGTCCTCTTGGATTTTCCATCCCACTCTTTCGGCACACAGCCTTGCCCCATCTAAGTTGGCAGCTGTTGGACCAATCCTAAGTGATGCATTCTTCCCAACCATATAAAGTGGAAGGTTGTCGTTCCATTGAAGGTGGTCAGTAAGACATGGTAGACCTCCCACAGTGTCTATTGGATACTCTTTCAAAATTTGGCTCATGAACTGTAGACTCTCAAGGTTGGCTCGAATTCCAGTAGCACAGCATATGTAGTCTGCTTTCATCTCTGTTTTGGTGATCTTTTCAATTGGATCAGTTTCCATCTCAGCTTTGTCTTTAGGCTTTTGTGGTGGCTCTCGGGTGCATAACTTCAAATTCCAGCGAGAGTCCTCAATAATACCAGACTCAATCGTTGTGTACTTCAAAATCGTCATACTACCGTTTTGAATGTGTTTGTTCAAGATATTGTAGTACTCTGGATTTACCAGTCCGCCTTCTCTGGCAGCATGGATAAGTTCCAAGCGCTCTTCATCGGTGTCTAACATGTAAAAGCTCGACTTTTTGACATTTTTATACTTCGTGACCCAATCTAAATGGAAGTCAAAGTGCTTGATCTTCATGGGTCCACGAAGAAGCAACGTTACTTTGAATCCTTTCAGACATGCAACATGTGCCAATTGGGCAGATGTCAAACCTCCTCCCACTACCACGATGTGCGAGCTTTTAGGTGAAAGCCTCGGGTGTGGGAAATTAACTTCTCTTCTGAATATGTTGGTGGAATGACAGGCAAAATCCAAAGTAGGATCCGCTGCAGCCAATCCTTTAATAGGGAAGTTCACCTCTCCGCGATGGCCAGAAGCAACAACGCACGTTTTGCTTCCGTAAACGATTCCAGACTGAGTGGTGACAATAAATCCCTTCTCAACCATATTCAAGTCGTAAATATGAATGTCACCGTACCTTATGGACACAACTTCGTCCTTGACCACACTGTTGCTAAGGTTGTACCTCTCCACCAAATCTTGACAGAAGTCCTTAAAGAACTTCGTGGATGGACGATAATAGTCTCTCCAATCTCTCATATTAATATCAATAATTCCCTGTTTGTCATGAGATTTCAATCCATTCACTGGTGCTGGGCACTTGGCACATTGTTTCTTCATAGTGCGTTTGTGTTGATGTTTGGAGTACTCGCGGCCAACGACATTAGGAATTTCCATCAAGTCCTTTTCTCTCTTTTCAATATGTGCATATGTTATCATTGCATCCACATTTACAGGATCAGGATGAAAGAACATTGGTGATCTCAATACTGGAATCTGGCAAGACTGAAACTGGTTGTCCCATTGACCCATAAACTGATCAGCAATCGCATCTAATACTAAAATATTCTGCGCATTGAGTCTCAAAGGCAGCACATACTTTCCGGAAAATTTCATTCCTTTGTTTATCGTGGTGACTTTGTTACCTCTTTTCTTCAACCAATGGAATCTCTGGTGCTCGTCCTCGGTATAAATGGAACCTGGAGTATCCTCACACAACCTTGCAGCCACTGCGAGACCACATGTTCCCCCACCAACGATGATGACCTCAAAAAAATTATCAGAAAGAATATCTGGACAGCCGTCCTCAAATGTTACTACCATTGGAGAATTATCGAATGTTCTACCTGCTTACGAGAAATCATAAAGTGTTTATATATTTTGCACCCAAGTAACCACTAGTCCTGCACCCATAACCACAAATAACCACCACGTTACTGTCTGGTGAATAATCTCTTATTAATTGCCAAAATCCCACAGCCCCTGAGTAGGAATTGCCCCTCTTATTGGAATTTTTAGTTGCTTTTATAGGCTCAACAGCAAAATTTGACATGCATTGGAGCCGTCGCGTCACACGATGTTTTGACTTCGTTTACCACCTTCTCAATTTCTTCCCTGTCAATTAATGTATCAACAAATGGCTGCAAAGCCTCAACCAAAGTTCTTCCCTATTTGCAAGCATTTTTAATACTTTAACAGACTTTGTTAAGTTACTTCATTCATTACTTCAGGATTCAAGGCGACATCCGTATGTAAAATTTCCAGGAACTTCTTCTCTAAGCTTGTAAGATAGATGACATATCTTTCCCCGGAGGTGCCTCCCATGGTGTCTTCAACCAACTCGTCAATTATGCTTAAAATCCATAGGAAACTGATTTTTTAGAGCTTTCATCAGTAAATGAAATGCGCACGTACGGAACCATCGCTTCGGCTCGAAACAGCGATTCATTACTCCAAGGATAGAGTGCTTCGTGCTATAATTACTACAAGGGACATATTACTTTAAAATTATCAAAGCTGAACACGTAATTAAAGAATTGAGGGATAGGTGTCAAGTGCTTCTAAAAGTCTATCGGATATGAACGAAGAACATCCCCTTGTAAGTGAGTCGACGGCATAACTTCTTCAACAACGAAAGAGAATAGCAAAGAGCATGTGAAAATTTTCTGACAGATCTTTGCCAACAGAATTAGACGAAACTCAGCAGGCGAAAGTTGACAAAATAGAGAAAGCTCTACAAATCAAAACCGCTAATACGAGTTCTCTATATTACAGCTTTCATGAAAGAATGAGGTATATTGGGCGGCTTAGTTTGAGAGACCCCTCGTTGAAAATCAAAGTTCAATTTAAGTGCTTGTATATGGCTGATACTAGAAATTTGATTTGTATCAGTGATTTGAGATAGTCCGTTCGCTTGATTGAGAAAAACAGGAGCTGGGTGCCTCATGCCAGTCTCAAGGCAATAGAATGTCCGGTTTTTCTTTCACTTTTTTTTTACGATACTCACCCTGACTTCATCATATCTCTTTGTTCTATTCCGTTTCTCGCTTTGAACTTCATCTTCGTACTTTTTTTGGTTCCTGATTACCTCCGATTTCTCACATCACCCAAGTATATTATCTGGAGTATTATTATTAATTATGTGTCATGTGACCATGCCTAACCTATTTCGCAACCACAACATCTCAAAACTAGGAAAGTGACTACTGCAGCTTTTTTGACATTGACATCTTCTTTTTTTTCTCTTTATCAATAGTCTCTAATTTCTTTTCCCTCTTAAAACCTCCAATCTTCCACTCTTCACTCTTACTCTCCTCATACTTGATCTTCTTTCTCCGTTCACTAGTTTACACTGCTCAGCAAATTGATGTCTTCATAACTTTCACTCCATCATTGCTTACAAGATTTAAACCATCAAACAATAGTCTGTATACCTTCCACATCTCTCCAACCATCTCCTCCCTACATTCCAACCGTTAACCCCCCCCCCTCCGTCTTCCTGCGTGACCAATGGTTGCTCATTTCCTATAACCATTCCGAATTAGGCAAGATATAAACATCGATGATATCCATAACAAATCCGGCTAGTCTTTTACGATACAAGCACCTGTCTCAAAACGCAAACGCAAACACCACTACTCTCTCCTGCTGCAAGCTGCTCGACTCCAAACTGCCACCTTTGCGACGTGCCGACTATGCCAGCAGCAATGATACCAGAACGAGCTTTTGTCAACCAATTCTGGGGCCCCCAGGATGGAGGGTTTGCTGTTGCTCAGGCCAAAATCAAGGACTCCATCGCCATGTTGGAGGAGCTCCTCCACTACTACAGAGAAAGGATAGCCATTGAAAAGGATTACAATAAGAAGTTGGAGAAATTGAATAACCAGGTTTTGGGATCTGGCGAGATCGGAACACTCAAAGTTGCGCTTGACAAGCTCCAAATTGAGAGCAAGAACATGATCTCCAAGCACCACAAGTTCTCCCGTAGTCTCACTCTCCAGAACTACGAAAAGCTCCATAACTTCTACCAGATATATGTTAAGAACACTACGAAGCTTGAGACCCACATGCAGAAGGTTATCTCCAGAAAACATGATTGTTTCAATCGTTTAGAGACTGCCAAGGAGAAATTTCGCATGGAAAGTTCTCAGGTCAAGTCATTGACCTTGTTATGTCAGACTACATGGGGAAAAGAGCTTGATCGCAACACCATGAAGCTTAACAAGCTTAGGATGGAGTTGGAGGGATCAAGACGGGTATACCAGGCAACACTCAAAAGATACAATGATATTCACGAGATTTGGGTTCGAGACTGGGCCATTGCTCTTCTGAACCTTTACCAGCTAGAGATCGAACGTATTCAGATGTGCAAGCTCAACTGCTTCAGCTATTGCAACAACATTGCGCTGCTCTGCGTCGACTTGGACCAATGTGCGGATGTAGCACGTAATTCGTTTGCAAAAGTGGCTGCGCCAAATGACATTCACGATTTTGCAATTACTTATGGTAGTGGCGACAAAATCCCCAATGCGCCAGTGTTCATTGATTTCCTGAATGGAATGGATGAAGATTGCCTTGAAAAGCCTCCATACACCGTGGCAAACTTCAAGGATCCAGATTTCTCTCAGATTTTAACAAGAACTTTCTCGGTTCAATCAGATATGGCTGGGGGCCAACGACAAAGCCCTACTAGACTGAACGTGTCTCCTCAAGCTGACAGCACGCACATCTCTAATGCAATGCTCACCGGAAGTCCTCAGCAAAGGACTCCAACAAGCAAGCAATTACCTCCTATCAAGGAGCCACTCTTATCTAAGCTGCCACCAAAGTTCGACTTGAACAACGAGATGTCGCCAAGCAAACTGCTAGCACAGAGTGTTCAGTTGGGTCCACCAGCAGGGCTGAGTGGCATCTTTAGCAGATTGGCAGACAGAAGTGGTCCAGAACAAGGAAACAACATGATTGGAATTCGAAAGACACCTTCCAGAACCAGTGCATATACTTCTGGTGCCGAAGACCGTGCCGACTTGTTTGATGAAGGAAATAAGCTTCAGAGCTCCAATGGCCTGCTGGAGTATTCCAACCCCACTAATTATACCAGCAACACTGCCAGAAGTTGGTCTTCTCCACGCAGAAAAGACAAACTGGTGCACGATGTTCAAGACCAGATCAATAGAAGACTGAGGGACATGACAGATTTATTTTCTAGCATGGCGTCACATGGCCCTCCGCCAATGCAGAAGCCCGATGTCCCTATAGCGAAAGACTTTTCTATTGACTTCATGGCTAAGGCATTAGAAGATCTTAATGCTGGAGGAGATGGAGATGTGACACAATTCAGAAGGTCTGTGAGAGATGCCAGTGGTATGTTGGGAGCCAGCACATCTACGATAATGCAGAAGCTTCCACCGTCGGACTTTGTGGATGATGAAGACGAAATTGCTACCAGAAGAGATGAAACAAGGAGCACTATTGGTTTGAGAAGTGGCATTGCTCTGAGTGGTGAAAGAAGAGATAACATTGCTACGAGAAATGACAGCATTGCTTTCCGAAGTCCGAGACCCAAGTCCATGGTGGTGGAGGGCCTGAACTTCCAAGAAGAAAACCTGTCGGACACAATTGTCCGGAAGGATATGAGAAGACTGTTGCTGCGGTCACCAACCAAGTCATACACCAATCTCAATTCTTTTGTGGAAAAGATTACCCCGGTAACTCGTCACAAGTTTGAGACCAAGGCGGTTGCTAAGTATACGTACAACGCCCAGGAGAAGGGAGAGTTAGGGTTCCGCAAAGGCTGGCACATGTACGTGATTCACAAGCAAGAGGACAATTGGTATGTGTGTGAATTGGGAGAGAACTGTGGGTCCAGTCGAGGCAACGTGGGGTTGGTTCCGTATAATTATTTGGTGGAGGGAGACGGAGTGTTCTAGTGTATTATAGTTGACACGGGATTATTGTGTCTTGGTTTACATGCTATTTCAATGTAGATTCTGTGACGGTTATGATTATTAAACTTATAATTAAGATCAATTAAAACTAAAAGAAGATCTATTGAATCTGTTGTTATGATCATTTTAATATAAAGTTACGATGATTTGGATCTAAGGTAATAAGATTTGATACAGTAGATGGCATTTTTCATGCCCGATTCAAAAAACAAAAGATCTTTCACGAAAAACTGAGGAGGATAGCAACTCAAAATCCTTGTGGAACTTTTATATGCCAAGAGCAACATTCCCGTCCAGTGGCAAAGCAAATCAATTTGGATCTCTTGTAGTTGAGCCTTGACCATACCACAAGGGATCTGTGAACTGAATTCCGAATATACGATACAAGGAATAGAACTAGAAACACTATAAAAGAAGGCAATTAAACATTCCTTCAATTTTTCCAATTATTTTACTTTATTTTTCCTAGGTATAGCTACTTCCTAGTCCTATATCTCATTCAGCCACACCTGGTGCTCATTGCGCACTTATCACCAAGTCGACATCTTATCTTGAAAAAATCAATGTCTGAACCACGCCAGATTGAAGACCTTCCACCGCTTATTATTGGTGGAGCGGTTTTTAACACTCAATACTCGGAAGATCCAACTAAACTTCCTATCCAGGAAATCATCCTGACGGCATTCTCGAAAGGTATGAATGCCTTGGATACATCGCCTTATTATGGACAATCAGAAGAGCTTATTGGCGATGCGCTTGAGAAAATTGCCGATGAATGGCCAAGAGAATCTTATTTTATCTGTACTAAGGCTGGTCGTATCAAGTTGGACGACTTTGACTACTCCAGAAGTTGGGTGAGAAAGTCGGTGCTTAGATCATTGGAAAGGCTCCACACCTCCTATTTAGATTTGGTGTACATGCACGATATCGAGTTTGTTGAAGATGAAGAGATCTTTGAGGCATTGAAGGAGCTTGTTGCGTTGAAGAAGGAAGGTGTGATCAGAAACTTTGGTATCTCGGCATATCCAGTGGAAATTCTCTTGAAAATAGCCCAGGAGTGCAACACGACTTACAAGTCCGAAATCGGTCCTTTAGACGCAATTTTGTCGTACTCCAACGGATGTATCCAGAACACCAAGTTGCTTAGCTTGTATGACAAGTTTTTTGACACCGGGATTAAAAAGCTTTTGAATGGGTCTATTTTGTCCATGTCAATGCTCCGTTCGGGCAAGACGCATGACTTCCATCCGGCTCCAAAAGAGCTCAAGGAAAAAGTGGACGAGATTGCAAAGGGCTTACAGAAAGAAGACAATGTAGAATTGGCCGATTTGGCTACAAGATTTGCGTTGAAAAGATGGCTTTTCCAAACCGGAGAAGGCAAAAACCCGCAAAATACAGTTACTTACCCATTGGAAAGGAATAAGAAGCTCTCGGTGGTGTTGGGTGTTTCTTCCTTGGACGAATTGGATGTGGCTCTCGAAAGTTACAACACAGTGAAGAATGAACAGGGAGCAAAAGATGAAGAATTATTCACCAAAGTGGAGAAGCAACTTGGGCCTGAACACTACAATGAGACATGGTCTAGCGGCCGCTATTAACTATAGACTAATAGAGATAGATTTAAGCAAAATGGTAGTGTATCTTGGTAGTGTGTGTATAGTGACCAGATCATAAGTTGTTACCGGTATTCTTTAACTGAAATCACAAATAGTCAGTAAGTTATGGCGCCCAAAAGAGCAGCAGAAAGTGAAAGCTCCACAGATTTTTCCAAAGAGTTGGACAAGAAGAAGTCGGTGACCGTGCGCCAGTTCAATGGCATGAATCTTGTGGATATTCGTGAGTTCTACATTGACAAGGTTAGTGGCGAGAAGAAACCAGGTAAAAAAGGTATTGCGCTTTCGGAGAGCGCGTGGAAGGAGTTGGTCAGACTTCTGGATGAGGTGAATGACGCATTGGACGCGTTGAATGGAGGTAAAAGGAAGAAGGTTGAAGAGAAACCTGATCAGAAACCTGATGAGAAGAAAAAAGAGGAAGAAAATGATGAGAAGGAAAAGGATGAAGAGAGGGAAGGAAATATAAAGGAACGTACTGTAAAAACAGAGGAGGAATAAATTAGAGGAATAGACTTGGCGAAACAGAGTTTAAGATAAATGAAGAAGAGAAATGTAAGTTGTATATGGCGCGCGAATAGTATTAAGGTAAGGAAGTTGATATTTGTAAAATAGACGAATCATATGATTCAAAATATTCAATGATCGCTAAATGAACTTCGTTGTCTATTTTCTGGCTTTTCGCATGTTCGGAATTACCCAGATCATCTTATTACGGGGTTCCAGAATTCAGTGCAGCCTTGCGCATAGAAGGTTTGAGGTTCTGCACCAAATGCGACGGGCTTATCAAGCTCATTTTACTCTCCTTTGAAACTTCCTAAAATGCCCACTAAATTAACCTTCAAAATGGTTTCTTAAACTTCTTCTTGTGATCTTGTATCTATTGATCTGCTTCAAGTTCTCAGATCTCAACACTTTGCTTCACCCGACATAAACTATAGTGCTATACTGGTCACGTGACCAGCAATCGCTTACCCAACTAGCATTCCACAAATCTCCATGAAAATAAATCAACCTGAGAGTTCACGAATTTTTTCCTTTTCATATTTTGAGATTCAAGTTTTTCTTTCTGTTGTAAATTTTGATTTCAACCTAGCTTGCTGCTGTCTAAAATTTCACCTGTTGTGCACACCATGGGAAAGAAGAATAGAAGCAGAACAAGAAAGAAGGCTAGTAAAGCCAGACACTCAAGAGTGGACACTACGCAGAATATCAACGACTCGGTTCTTTCTGACGATGACTACGTGCTGTCTCCCCGCCATCTTCACGGTAATCTGTTCGTGGATCGTCGAGGCGACATGAATACCACCATTTCTGGAGTCCATAGAGACTCTCATCGTCACAACAGTCACAGGGGCCTGCTTCCACTTACAGACCGCAACTTACAGACTATGCTTGAACAGAATGGTGCTAATGGGACTGGAGCTCGGTTTGGCCAGGTAGCGTTGGATATGGATCAGTTTGCCCAACAACAGCATCAGCTCCGAGGCTCCTATGGTGGAGGAGACATCGGTGACGGTTACTCGATGTATAGCGACCAGTCTCAGCAGCTGCTGCTTGAGTTTGGCGAGCTGAATCCCTCCCTGGACCATCTGAGTGACCTGACGTCATTGGATGATGTGTGTTTTCCAGATTACTACGAGGGACTCATGGACGCAGACAGTGCTGAGATCGAGAATGTTTGGCCCGATTTGTCTGTTTTGGAAGAGTTCGTTACTGAGGAATTGGAGGAGTTGCACGAAGACACTAATGAGCCTCAAGAGGTCAATTTCCATTATCCAGTAGCAAGAAGAGTATCTGCAGCAGATGGCAGAGATCCAAGGATCGCCAGTAGAATGGACGATGTTCTGCCAACTAATGAGGAGGCTCCATTGTTGCAACTGGTACATGTTGATGAGCGAGTTCTGGTCAAGCTGTCTTCGCTGTCTTTCCGAGTTCGCCCTAAACCTATTCAGCCATGGGAGAAGAGTCAAGCACATATCAATCAGTTCTTGAATAACGCCGGTCAATCGAAGAAAGACTCATTGTGCAGATTCACTTATTTCCGGGAAGACATTGAAGGGACTGTGCATGCAGCCACTCTCCTGGGATTGGTTTCCGATCGTATTACCGAAAAGGACGAGCTGGTCTCCCAAGCCTTGCTGCAGTTGTTTTCTCCATCGCTGTATGCCAAGGATACTCTGACACGCGAGGAGACACCCGTGCCAGACCATGTGGAGATCACCGTAGGAGATTCTCCCAACCCAACTTCAGGACCCACAGGTTTGCAGATCAACAATGCCATTCTGCGCTCCCATGCTCTGAAATTGGCATCTCCCATGCCTGGAGCAAGTATTCCATCAATATCAGGAACGGCACCTGCAACAACTATTAATAGTGTGAGTGTCGGCCATCATCATCATCATGCGCCGCCATTCTGGCTCGATATTTTGGACCCTCTGGAGGAAGAGATGAAGGTGCTTTCCAAGACTTTTGGACTTCATCCCCTCACTACGGAAGATATATTCTTGGGCGAGACTCGTGAGAAAGTGGAATTGTTCCGCCAGTATTACTTTATTTGTTTCACCTCATTCGATATTGTTTATGAGAGACGCAAACAGAGAAAGAAAGAGAATGAGAAAAAGTCCGGTAAAATGCTGGAATACAACAAGTCCGAAGATGAATTCTTTTTTGGTGACCAATCGGGAGGTATCTGGAAGAGAATTAATAAAATGCTTGGAAGAAAAACTCAAGAATACAATGGCCGTTCTTCTGGTCGCAAATCTACCGGTCTGTCTGTTCTCTCCCGAAACAAAAAGGTTAGAAGTGGTGAGTTGTGTCCATTGAACATGTACATGATTATTTTCAAGCATGGCGTTTTGACATTCCACTTCAGCGCCACTCCACATCCAATCAATGTGAGACGTCGTGCAAGAATGCTCAAGGATCACTTAACTGTTTCTACTGACTGGATCTGCTACGCTTTGATTGATGATATCACTGACTCGTTCGCACCAATGATAGACAGCATTGAAGCCGAGGTGTATTTGATCGAGGATGAAATCATGAAGATGCATTCCGGTGATACCGATGACAGCGGAAGTGAGGATGAGTCTCTGGATGAAGAAGAAATCTCCCCAAGAGAACGTGGATTTACTCGCACGCCCACCTCGGATGTTTTCTATCGCCGCCAAAGATCCAAATCGGTCGTGGAGCCTACTGTATCTCGGCCATTTATGCGTAGAAAGAGGGGCTCTCGTGTGGAATACTCCATAGGTTCACGGTCAACCCGTCTGAGCTCGACCCACTCCACACTGTCCAAGATAGTTGCATGGAAACGGAAGGGAGACATGTTAAGAAGAATTGGAGAATGCAGAAAGCGTGTGATGTCGGTCATGCGGCTCTTGGGATCCAAGGCTGATGTGATCAAAGGGTTCAGTAAGCGTTTCAATGAGAATGAAACTATCTCACACGATTCTCCATCTCACAACACCAGGTTGGCGCTGAGACAGGAAATCTTGATGTACTTGGGAGATATTCAGGACCATATTGTGACCATGGTGCAGTCGCTCAACCATTATGAGAAGTTATTGGCACGAAGCCACTCCAACTATTTGGCTCAGATTAACATCGACATGACCAAGGTTAACAACGATATGAATGACGTTTTGGGTAAAATCACCATCTTGGGTACCATCGTCTTACCAATCAATGTTGTCACAGGTTTGTGGGGTATGAACTGTATTGTTCCTGGCCAAGACCACGAAGGGTTGGTGTGGTTTTATGGAATCTTGTTGGGAATCTTCATGTTCAGCTTCATCTCGTATATCTACGCAAAGAAGGTGACAGGACTCTAAATGTCAGGGACCATACTGGGTGCATGATGTCGCCTGCTGCAGCACCCTGCCAGTGGTTAGGGTGGAGCATGCAGAGCCTCCGCGGAACTGCTTTTGCCAAATATTCTTTGACTTTTGCTGACGTATTTGTGCTTCGCACACCCTTAGCAACAGTCTCCTGTATCTTTATTTCTAGAGCCGATTGAAATTTCGCCTCTGTGTTCTTTTACTTTAACAATCACGGCCTCTTCCGTCTGCAATTTCCCTACCATCTCAACATGAGTATCCAGATGACCCTTGTTTTCGGCATTCTTGTCACACAGATGACAGCTTTGCTGTTATTGCTCTTGCCTTTACCTCATGTGGTAAGAATGCGCCTTCTTGACGGCTATGCTGTCCTCAAGCGCAATACCAACGTCAGAGTAGGTGTTGTGTTCACCACAATTCTCTTGGGTCTTCAATTCCTTGACTGTGTCAAGAAAGTCAGAAGATACGCCACCTTGGATAACCCATACTATGCTCAATTCAATGCTGGACAACCGATGGCTTTGCTGCCTGATAAGCTTGCGTCCAAGTTCTACGCACAACGTAACCTCTACATCACAGGTGCCGTGTTATACTTGGAATTGGCCATTCAAACTGTCATCACCATCTTGGATAAGTTGGTACGTAAGGAGAACTCGTACAGAGAGTTAGCCAAGACTAGCAAGAGTACTGAGAGTGAGGATGAGGAGATCCGGTCTTTGCGTGATCAGATTGCGAAGAAAGAGGTAGATATCAAGGCTTTGAAGAAGCAGTTGACTGGCTTGCAGTCAGCATATGATGGATTGAATGAGTCGAAGGTGAATGCAAAGGATGAGTGATGGGCGAATACATATGATACAATAATGGTTGAGCTAGATCTATGGTGTAGCTTATTTGATGTTATAAAGATATGGATAGCGTGATCTGATGCAGTGGACTGGAGGAGCCTGATGGGTAGTGAGTTGAATGGTGGCTTTCAAATGTGATATCAAAGTGGTCATAAGTCGAAATCACACTGACTATTTGGAATGCGTGCATTTACGCAACTCATCAGAGCCACTTTTCAACTATTGTTCTATTTGTAGCCTTTGATATACCCCACATATGCCTGCTTCAAAAGATCTACTCTATACGCGCTCGTATCACGACCACATGGATAAGGTTTCGCCAGCGTGATGTATAAGGGAACGTCACTGTGGGCAGGATTGTTCATCGGTCCATCAGCATGGCGTGAAGGTATGCAAAGCGGGCAAGGCGAGGTGCAGGGAGGTACCGATTGCATTGCTTCCTGATATGTGGATGGGCTGTCATTTATTTTCAGGGGATACAAATGCTACAATGTTGAGGTTTCACTGAAGTTTGGGGAGTATTTACGTTTCTTTATAGGGCAATAACGCGCACATCATCCTTCTGGAATACGTGCTCGCTCATCTTCAGCGAGATGCAACATACTGCGCTAGATGAGCATGATGCATAATAGCACTTCCTTCAGCATTCGTAAACTGTGGTTAACATCGCAGTAGTCTTAGAGTAAATAAGAAGACAAGACGTTTGACCAATTGCGTGCAGATGAACTGGATTTTGCTTGTCAAAAGTGTTCACTTGGTCCACAGTGAAGATTGTAAAGATACGGGGCCAATTTATTTCGCCAGGCGAGCCAAGCCCCCATCGATTATCGCACATGTAAGCCAGATGGCATTCAAGTTAATATTTTTTATGTGATTATTGATTTAAAACTAATTATGTATTGCAGTGGGAAAACCTTACAACACAAATCTATTGATAGCAAATATTAAGTACACTACTGATACAGACGTTGGTCAACAACTCACTTCTTCTCGGAATCCTTTTCCTTCTTAGAAGCTGGAGAGCCGTGCTGCGGCAGCTGGTGCGATTGCAATGGCTGAGGCTGCGACTGCTCGTAAGACTTCTGAGGCTGGCCCTGGGACTGAGGTGCCTGGGAGTAGCCTGCGTAGCCAGAGTACACTGGCGCACCTTGAGAGTACGATGAGTAGCTGTTAGCTCCTGCAGCACCTGAAGTTCCCGATTGGTTGTACGCGTACGACTGATTATAGTACGAAGGCTGAGAGTAGCCGTAAAGTTGCTGTTGTGCGGCCATTTGCTGCTGTTGTTGCAGCTGCGGTTGCTGCTGTTGTTGTTGAGGAGCAGTGGCAGCTCCATCAACAGCGATTCCACCAGAAGTCGTTGGTGAGTACTGCGAAGGATATTGCAGGTAGTAGCTCATGTTTGGGTTGGCCAGAGAAGCAGCGCTGTTGGCTGGGTAGGAGGCACTTGCAGGAATTGGCGCCTTAGCTGCTGTGTTGTTGGAAGTTTGAGAGGAAGGTGTAACTCCTGTCTGAATAACACGCTTGATATCACGCACAAACAAAGGGTATAACAAATCAACAATGTTTTCCCGCTGGGCCATGGCAAGCGCACGCTCAAATGGAATCCACACACCCTTCAAGTGCATAGATCCAATCTTGACGACGTGACGAACCTTCTCCAGCTTCAAAATACCATCACGACGGCCACGTGTCATCTGCGCCACATTTAAGAGTTTTGTACCGTTGATCATGTTGTTGTCAGCACGACGAACCACACTAACATTGTTGGCATCCACCTGGTAACACAAGGTCTTCTCGTCTTCCCACATGGTGGTGGTCACACGAGGACGAATACCAGGGGGTTGGTACTGACCCACAGACGAGTTTCCCCCGCTGCCAGCGGTCTCTGAAGATACGGAACCTTTGGCAGATAAAGGAGGAACAGACAGTGGAGCAGTAGCAGCACTGGTCGACACGGGAGCTCCCGATTGCGAGCTAAGTGCGCCAGCCAGAGATGCAGCAACAGCAGGAGTCTGTTGAGCAGTGGCAGCCTGTTGACCCGGAGCACCATAGATCAGAGCCTGCGGAGCAGCAGTCGAGATGGGTTGAGCATTTTGCTGATACAATGCATACTGATATGGAGCAGCCAGCGAAGTGGACGAACCATAGCCAGCATAGTGAGCAGCATAGTCACCCTGCTGCAGAGTCTGCTGAGGAACTTGAGGTTGCAGGGTCTGCTGTGGTTGTTGGTATTGCTGATACTGCGACTGCTGAGGAGTCTGCTGGGTCTGCAATGGATGCTGGCCCTGTTGCACCTGCTGGTTATTGACCATGTAGTACTGGCCACCATAAGGCTGCTGGTACTGGGCAGATTGAGCCTGCAACAGTTGTTGGGTCAAAGGTTGACTCTGAGATTGTGCCGGCTGTGTTTGAGCCAGCTGCGGTTGGTTACCGTTGATGTACAGCTGGTATGGGTAATGCTCTTGGCCGTAGTAGGAGGCAGGCATCTGGGAGTATTGCTGAGTGGACATTTAGGGTGGCCAATTGACAAGACAAAGAATGGGCGGCTATTTGTTGTTTTTTGTCAATGTTTTGAATGGGCGGCGGCAGTGAAGTCCGGCGCAGCTATTCAATCTTCAAAAGTTTGGTCAACAGCGGCAATGAGACGGAGATTAGAACTAGTTGTGTCGACTTGGGGCACAAATGGATTCAAAAACAAACACGGAGAGATCCGACACGTTTGCTAACGAAACACCGAGGAAAAACGGACAAACTTGAAGGATTCCAAGGGACTGAACTATGCAGATTCAATGAGACGACGGTAACAAGTTACTGTTCGACACGGATCTGGCAACCAACAAGATATTTGGTGACTATCACTGAGAAAGAAGAGGAGTAGTAGGAAAAGAGTATACAAAGAAGCAGCGAAAAATAACCTCGCAGCAAAAGAAACGATTGCACATCAAAACAGCGACCACACATATCACTGCACTAGGCAATCTGTGACAGTGCTTGTGCTGTATGCATACGCACTATGCAACAGCGGCACTCCCTACTTATCCGGGCTTCTATTCTGGTGCATGGTCATGCCTTAGATTATTGGCTGGATCCTCCCACTTACCAATGCATGGCCTGTCTACGCGCGTCCGTCCCCCCGTCATGCCGTCCGAGGCACATTCTGGTGCCCAAGCCTTTCGCTGGCGTTTTACCCCGCTGCATCACCATGCTTTAGATTCTTCTGGTGGGTTGCATCACGCAAACCAAAAGCTAGGTTCTTAGTGTGGTTCACTTAGCGTCTTAACAACCTCCTATATTTTAAATACTCCCTCTCACTGCGGGACCTCATGCGAGAAATTCCGCATAGAGTCTGTCCCTATTGTCTGCCAATCCGTCAACAATACTACAATCGAAATTCAGTATACAATATTGCTGTTTACACTGGTGGGTAGTGATGCGGTGCAATGCAATGTGATCTCTGCTGCAGTATGCCAGTGGAGGCACTGTTGGTTGGCCTATACGCCTTCCAAAGTCTAACCTCAGGTGATTGCTCATCTCCAACAGGGTGACCAAGGATTGCCCCATCCTTCTTTCGTGAAAACGATCGTTGATTACTTGCTTAAAATTCGACCCTATGACACAAACCATATTAATCGTGATTCGCGTGGCTCCCCAATGTCATGCACTTCTCACATCACCCTCGGCTACTTTCAGACACGGTGTGCATGTTGTAGAGCATTAGCCCGCGGTACGCAGTAGGTCATGTGTGATGGCGGCACAACACCACCTTGTGCTCTCTCGACGATATTTTTCTTCGTATTGTTCACTAATTTTTCGAAATATACTTCTCCATGGTGTGAAAGGCTTTCTGTTGCTAAACTCAAACCGTACCAACCAGCCTAATTGAGCTTTCTCCTGTATTCATGATTGCCTTCGTTAATGTTGTTGTTGTTTCATCAAACCTCTCTTGTCTATTAGTAATTCCTGGGCCGTAGTCTGCAGTATTCTGCATGCTCGGTATCAAGTCCGCTTAATGCCGGTGTAAAATGGAAAATATACTCGGGCCGGGATATTTCCAGGCAATTGTTAACTAGTTCACTTTGCTTTGCATGCATCCTCACCAACAAGATAGGTTTTACCATGTGGATCTAAGCGGTGTCAGGAGAGTCGCTTCAGATGCGACAGAGATATACTATCTTGACAAATGCAATGCCCCCTGTGCAACGATGGCGCATGCAAGCAGACCACCTCCCGCCCCAGGGGACACATTCATCGAAGCATTCACATGCGTGATGTTTCAGAGTGGCTCCTGTGCTTCCAATTAACACGGAACCTAACGTCAACCAACTGTCGCCTGGAGAACATCATACATGCTCCGTTGTGGAAGATGTCTTTCAGTCTATAAAAGATCTTCGTGCAATGAGTTTGTCGCGCTAATCATATGGAGCGAAATAAAATCTACAATCACCAATTGTCTTGATATTGGTCCAGGGATATCTCCTATACTGTGAACTCAATGTTAAGTTGATATTTGCACCAAACCCATTGTAGATCTAGTACGCCATGTTCGAATGGCAAACATACACCCTGATTATAAGTCGTGCTTTTGTACCTACATGCATTGGCATCATTTCAAGCGGCGTCCATACAAATGTGCGCCTGCCGCATTGAGACTCATGCAGCTATCGTCGATCGGTGAATCCCACTATAAACGTCTATAGAATGCAGCCTTCAAACTTTGATTGGATAAAATTTCACGCGGATTGGCGCTTGCAGTTATCGTGTAGCTACCCCTGAGTCCGTGTTAGATATGTTAGGATTGTAACTGACCGCGCATAGTATGTACATACTTGCCCCTATTGTGGAACTGTACGATGCCGCGTAAAGCACCACACTGAGCGCGAGCTCCAGTGCGAACATTTTGTATCAACACGCGAAGCAACCTTCCGTGCGTCTACACTACATTAGCCGCCTTCTGATCTTCGATTCGGCTTCGATGCATCCAGTATCTCTCAAATAGACTGTCTGGTACCCTACTAGAGATATGATTGCGCTTATAACAATGCCAGTCGCCATAATTATGATACTGTCCAACGAGCGTTCCGCTATTAGCTCATCTTCAGTTTAATCCACATTTCATCTTTAGTATCTCCTCACAACATTCTCAGCCCCATTCTCAGTCCATTTTCAGTCCATTTTCAGTCCATTCTCAATCCATTCTTAGTATCCGCATGACAAACTTCAAGTCTAAGCATGGACATCTCTATTGTTTGTATGTATCTTGAGTCGTCTGCACAACTCTTTGATCTTCATCTTGCCGTCATCATCTTGAACAATGCCCCCCGCACGCAGTTTAGAGACACTTTACTATTGCCTGAGCTTGTGATTGGGTCATGGAAAAGATCAACAATAGTATCTTCAAGTGTCATTATTCGCAAGGTATCTCTACTTAACGAAAATGTAGAAGACGCTTAATGTGATATTTAAGGTGATATTGGAAATAATGTAACCAGTACAGGCTAGGACCGAAATAAGCATCCAATCAAATTGTTCTGTGTCTATATTTGATGAAATGCAAGGATACCATTAACACTAAGCGTACAGATCAACGGCCTCTCAATTTATCGGGAATGAGCTGCCGTTTGTAACTTTTGAAGACTAGCAAGCAATTGGCAAAAACCATGGATAATTCGGAGATGCTGATGGTATTCCGATCAAGAAAGCGATGTAGCAGCCTTCACCAAGTCAATGGTCCTGTGCGCTGACGATTTTTATGCGGGCAATTCTGGAGTCTTAAAGTTGGATGCTTTAACAGCACTCTACAATCTTGAAATCTTGATCCGTCTTGTGTCTATGAACAGCAAAAAGAGCAGCAGGCTTCTACCTCATTCTTGTTGCTCGCTAACCCCTCTATACAATGCCTTAATGATCTTCTTTCCAATAATGGTTTCCTTAACAATACCCTGAACTCGGTCTGGAAATACTCTTCCATACCAGATTGGCTGAGACGTCTTAGGGAAGTAGATGACATTGCCAGCATATGCATGGCCCCCAATGTGGGAAATTAACCCCACCTTTACGCTGCTACTAAGATTCTCCCTCTCCAACACCCTCTCGAACTCATCTTTCAACAATGGTGCTAGTTCTCCACATCGAATGTCACGTTGGGTGTGTCCACAAATGAGAACGAGATCCATGTCTATATCGGATTCATCAAATAAATCTGGGTGTAGCACTCGTTTATGTGACAGCTGTGGAGTTGAAACAAACGGGTTATACACCTGGGTCGGGCTGGATTCGGGAAGAAGATAATGCTCAATGAATTGAGGGAGATTTTCCATATCAAACGTCACCTGTTTGTGATCTGGGTAGAGAAAAACCTTCTGCTTGCCTCCAAAAGGAATATTCAAGTCCGAAACCAATGCATCTGAAAGGGTCACTGGATGAAGCGGACTCAACATCTTTCGCTTGATCGATTCGAAGTGATTGGCCAATGATCCAGGAACAAGATCAATTTTGGAAGGTAAAGTATGAAAGTCGGTAACTCCATGCAGAAGAACAAGTACATGTTTCCACATGGACGCAGCGGTTCCATTCAAGTCTTTGGCATAGTCAATCTGCTTATCTGGTGGAAAAGTTGGGATCTGACAATGCGTGCAACCGGTGTCGTATGCCGGAGGAGGGCACTTCTCCACGAACTTAGTGGCGTAGTTTCTCGCTAGACGGATCATTTGACACTTAAATGACAAGTTAGAATGCTTCTGTTGGTAGTGGAAGATGACTAATTGTGAAAGGTAAATGGAGGTAACTTACTGAATCTATTGTGCAGGTGCATATCATGACGTCGATGGAAACGCACACCATGCCTGATATTCCGGGGTCTAAACATATTTAGCCAGTGTGGAATTTCTCTTTGAGTTTCCAACCTTTTTCTACCGAATCCCATTCAGCAGCCTCACGGAGAAGTGACCTCACTATAACAAGCTCTTTTTCATTTTTGAGATTGACCGATTTTGGAAGCAGTTGCAAAATCTCGTTGGACTTGCTAAACCCATTAGGCAGCTTCGAAAGAAACTCGATAATTTTAGCCAAAAGCTCCAGTTTATCGTTTTCTGTAGCTTTCTGTGAGTTTCCTTTCTTATTGCCGAAACTGAAACGCGAAGTGTGATCTCCAGCCTTACGCTGACGAAGCTCACTCAAGATTGATGTAGATGTTAATGTGGGCGTTGATGGAGTTGATGATTTTGATTGTAGGACCGGCAGCTGAGACCTAGATATTGTCGTAGAAGGTTTGAACTTCTGCTTGGGTCCAAAGCGTCCTGCTGCACCAAACTTTCCGGTCCAAGTTGGGGTTCCAACAGCAGTTTTACGAGCCAACATTCGAGATTTTTTAAGCGCCTCAGCTGCATCACGAGCCATCCGAGTGGCTTCTTTCTCTACCAATGACAACTCCTGTTGTGACAGATCCATTATCTGGTCATGCTGTAGCATGCTATGCACCACACCAGCATTAGCGAAGAGCCCATCCATAAGCCTTCCCTCGTCTTCTTTACTATCCTCTTCTTCCGCATCTCCAGCAAACTTGTCCAACTTCGATACTCCCATGATGCTTGCAACCTGGTAGAGGTCGTCGTCATTCTTGTGTGCTTTGGAGAGGGTGGTTGATTTGCGGTCTTTCTCACCTCGGAAGGTTTTCTCTGTTCCGCTAAACATATCTCCAGTTTCTGTGCCTTTCTCATCTTGATCTCCAAGTGTAAACAAATCATGGAGGTCATTGAGCTTGAAAAACCGTCTCTGCTTCGGATCCTTTAGAATCTTGTTGGTCAAGAAAGTCTTGAAAATTTGCCGATGGTATATTTTCTCCTCGATTGTTCCAGCAGTCATGAGTCTGTAAATAGTAATGTCTTTTTTCTGGCCCAAACGCCAAGCTCTCTCTCGTGCTTGGATATCCGTCGACGGATTCCAGTCTGGATCGTATATGATCACTCGATCTGCTCCCGTCAAGTTGACACCTAATCCTCCAACTTTGGTTGTGAGAAGGAATACATGGTAGTACTCATTATTATTGAAGGTATCCACCAACTGCTGACGCTTTGCAATCGCTGTCAGACCATCCATACGAAGATAATGAAATTCCTCACCAGTATCATTTCCCTGACCATCCACTCTTTTCAAGTTTGCGAGAAACTTCTCCAAGATATCAAGCATTTGCTTGGTCTGGCAAAATAGTAACGTTCGATGTCCCTGAAACTGCCAAAGCTGCAACAAGTTCTTCACCACTTGCATTTTTCCTGATTTCGATGGATTTCCGTAACTATAACCCTTCCTTCGCAGAAGAACCTCTCTATCAATTAGATCCGGGTGATTGCAAATTTTCCGGAGCATGTCTACTCCCATCAAAACATTCCGCTTTCCTCCAAGAATTGCGTTCACATCTTCACTACCAAGAAACTTCTCATAGAGGTCTTGCTGGTACTGGGTTAACTTGACGAAGAGAACCATTTCATTCTTCTTTGGCAAATCTTGGGCAACATCCACCTTCAATCTTCTGAGCAAATATGGGGAAATTAAATCTCGGAGAATAACAGCGCACTTGTAGCCTGTTTGAACCTGGACATTGGATGCGTTGGCGTAACCTCCCATATTAATTGGAATTGCAAACTGTTGCTCAAACACTGGAAGCGTACCCAATCTTCCAGGGAAAACAAAATCGAATAATGACCAGAGCTCAATTAAATTGTTCTGGATAGGAGTTCCAGATAAGATAATCCTGTTGTATGTCTTGATCCGCTTGCAAGCCAACGAGATCTCTGAATTTGGGTTTCTTATCTTGTGTCCTTCGTCCAACACTGCGTAGCCCCACTCGTGAGGCAAAATGTACTTGGAATAGATGCGGAGGCCAACATACGTGGTAACAAGTACATGGCCTTTTGCCAACACTCTATCAACAATTTCTTTGGCGTTGGCTTGATTATTAGCAGCACGAAGGCTCATGTCAGAATCCCCCTCGCCTTCTTCGGCTTCAAGATGTGCCTCCAATTCCATCTCAGACTTGATTGATGTTTTCGACATTCCAGACCCGATACTATGTAGAATGACGCAACGGAGAGGAGGCCACCATCTGTGAAACTCGTTGACCCATTGATTCATAACGGTAGCAGGAACCACTAGCAAAACAGGCTTATCCAATAGACCTGAGTAGTGAAGACCAGCCAAAAATGAAATTACCTGGATAGTTTTACCAAGACCCATTTCATCACCGATGATTCCTCCAGTTTTCTGGGAATAAAGTTCCCAAAGCCATTGAACACACGTTTTCTGATACTCAAAGAGTGATGGGTAAACGTCTCCGGGCAATCTGTAGTTTGCATCAAGGACAGCGTCCGGAATGGTTGGATGAGGTAAGTTCCACTCTTCCTTACCATTTTCAGATTCATTTTGGGATTTTCCTCGAAGCAGAGATCTTTGTCGAATCCAATTCTGGAGTCTTTGTTGGTAAACAAGCTCATCCCCATCGTCGACATTTCTCATTGTCAGAGTCTCCGGGATGGGAGTTGCCGGGCCACTCTCAAGATCAATTTCTTCATCGACTACATCTTCGCCGTCTGCCTCTTCGTTACTTACAGGCTCCTCTTCGTACTCATCGTCGGATGTCTTCTTGCGCCTTTTCTTAGGTTGAATGTCCTCTTCTTCGTCTTCGTAGTCATCAACCTCTACAATCTCTGGAAGCTCTTCCTCTGTCTTTACCGTAATTTCTTCATCAGCAGGCACCGTTTTATCCGCTGCAATCAACGAGTCTCTCAGCTCTGGTTTCACCTCGCCGATTTGAGAAGTGTTTTCAGGTGCAAATCCTGGAGCTCGAAGATTAACATGAGATTGGGACTCATTGGAAGATGCAAACGCATTTGTGTTTCCGAACGCCGTGATCTTTCCTGTTCTCACAAGATAGTCTCTTTCTGACTCTCCAGGCATCCTCTCACTTGTGGTTTTTCCATCTGAATCTTGCTGTAGTTGTTCCTTGTTCCCTCGAAGTCTTTCAGTAATATCATCCACGTCTTTCTTTAGAGGCGCCAATTCGTTTGCCTCAAACCATGCAATTTCGTCTCTAAGCAGTTTTCTTTGAGAAATCTTTGTCCTGGGGTCATTCAATCGGGCCCGCAACGCTTTGACCTTTCTCTCCACCTTTTGAAGTTCGGAATTGGCCTTGGTGAGTCTCTTTTCGTCGAGCTCGGACTCTTTCGATAAAAGCGCCCGGTTGGCCTTCCTTGTGATGGACGACTCGAGCTCGTCCTGGTCTACCAACTTGACATCAAGCGTATTATCTAGATTTTCCATGGTGGGATTAGTTAGGACCAGATAATAATCAGATTAGTAGTACTTGAGATGGCATCACGTGAACGATAAGGTGGGGGAGATAAGACAACAGTGGGTGAAAGAATGGAATCGGAGATTTGGACAAAAATTATATGAAAAAATTATACTCGATGGAAGTAGTTATGGTACACCTTCGGAGTTATTTAGTTGACATGTTTTGCGGATTTTATATCTCGTGGTTATATTGGGGAGAGTGAGCTCAATATTAATAATATAGGGAAGGAAAAATCAATGGAATTGCTTCAGAATGAAAAAAGGATGATATTGGAAACATGGGAATTTGCAATTGGAGTCATTTTTCTGGATTAAAGCTTGTTTCCTGGGAATATTGTATTACTGTGTAAAGTGTTCCTCTATCCAAACCAATTAACTATTATCTCAAGTACTTTAACATTATCCATTACATTTGAACACATAAACAAATGGCATCTGTGGAGAAGTTGTAGAAAAAAAATCGATTCTAAGTATTTTTATTTGGTTGAAAACTGTTTCGGGTGGTTATTAAGATCTAAAATATGCTCAGCTGAAGAAGTTTATTTAATCCACGTCTAAGTTCTGATCATCCAAGGAATGTCTGAATTCGTTCCAAATTATTGAGACATATTCTTCTCTGCCTTTTATAAAATCATTTATTTTTTCTCTTATTACTCGGGATTCTTCATCTGGTTGGTGAAACCACAATCAGCTTCTTATTAGAAGGTATTGGACAAGTAACCAGGAATCAAAGAGACTAGACATGTCTCGATACACTGACTAGATCCCACTTACACAGTAATACACAGCATGAACTAATATAAATAAATACTTTCAATCTATCAATGAATCCATAATCTATCTGTAACTTATCCATTGTCCGTGCTCTTCAATCCTTGACCATCCTTGACCTATAGCAACTTTCATCCTAAGTGCTCTATTAACCAGAAATGTCACTCCAACCACCAATAAAATCAACAAACCTTCAAATTGATCAAAATACAAAACTATACCCAACGTTGGATATCTCCGTACCATCATTATTGGTGATTTTCCTCATCCTTTCTCCCGGAGTTTCTCCTTGATCCCGAGGTAACTCACTTATCTCACACCTCCACTTTTTGCCAATGCTTCTCCAATTGCTGTAGTTTCTCCAATATCTATATCTCCCAACTTCGAATCCACCATTTTCCCGTCTCCTACTATCTCCGTTCAAAATTGTGGGGGTCTGTTGAGAATCTCCACTCCGGAGTTTGAGACGATTACGTGCTCGTAATCTACAATTACCACCGTTGCTGACCAGATCTTCTTTCTCAATTAGTAATATACTTCTTCATAAATTATTCAATAAATACTATTCATTAGGTGACTAGTCCCTCTTGGCCTGCAAGTCGGGCAATGGAATGGCCTTGACAGGAAGGTACGAGTTCTGAGAGTTGGCAATACCGGCGTAGGCATTATACCAAGCAACAAACGCAGTGATTATTCCAAAGATTCCTCCAGCCTTCTTGATTGGAACATCGCCTCCCTTCAAGTCAGCAATAGCCAAAAGCAAGAATGTGATAGTAAGGAAGAAGAACAACAAGAAGAACGATACTGTGGATTTCAAGGTCATCACCGTTAAGAAAAATGTGAAAATAAACCATCCAACCAAGAATATACCTACCGCATACTCAAATTCATCGCCTCTGTCTGCAGCCACGTAAGCAGCCTTTACACCGAAAGAGTCAACCTGCAAAGCACCCCAGGAACACCAGAAACCAGCGTAAGAAGACAAAGCAACACCACCAAAAGTGTTTCCAACAGCAATTTCAAACATACCAGCCACAAACTGAGCAGCACCTCCGTAGAAGAATGCCAAACCAATAACGATACCTGGCTTAGTGACACCACGAGCCTCAGCATTAATCAACGACAACACAAAAGTGGTCAAGGCGAAGGCAGACAATCCCAAAGGAGCTGGGTTGGCCAAGTTGTGCTTTGGAGGTGGAGCCAAACCTGGGTTAAGGGTACCACCGAAAGCGGTAGCAAGATCCTTTTTCAAGTATCTTTCATTGCCGAAAACAATGTAGTCTTCGTCGTGGACGACTCTGGTGACTTTGTCGGAGTTCTCACCAGCAGCTCCGGGGCCAAGGATGAGGGTGTGGTCTTGAGGTCTTTGGTTTTCCAAGTCAGACATAGTGGAAGTTGTAGCGAATGGAGAAAAAAAACTTACTGGGATGAGCGAGACGGGAGGTATTTATAATTTTGTGGGGTCGATGGGACGATGGTGATGGAGATTAGCACCGGGTGGGGGAGTTTCCGAGTTTCGGGGGCACAAAGTGCCACCACCGGAAGTGAGTGACCCATATTTAAACGATAACCACGTGACTGCTCACGTGGCTATACGGCTTCAAAATTTTCCTTCGTTTTGTCCTAAATTCCTGCTCCGTGCTTGGCCTTATTATTATTGGCTGGAAATTGATTGAATTTACAGTTGAATCAATTTTTTCTTTCTAATAACTTCAATATCCATCGCTTTACTCTTTAAAAGTTCAATCACCACCACCTCTTTCCAATTGTTGCCTGGTCTGCTGGTCAACCTCGGAATCCCCACCCAGCCCTCGGAACTCGGGGCGAAATCCACAAAACTCCGAGCGCCCCGGTTTTTTGTGGGGAACTTCCGTCGTCTCATAAAAGCCAAGACAGGGTGTCTGTTAGTGAGTTTGCAGGAACAGTGGAACGACTGCAAATGTTGCAAACTGTTGTTGGTGGCTTGTTTTTACAATTGCGTTGATTTTTTCTTTTCGTGTTTCGTTTTTTTTCCTCAACATTAGCAAATTTTGGGAGTATAGAAACCCGTACACCCTCACAAAATGATACGGCACTACATCCAACGGAAATTATTTTTTGTGTGGATACCCTTCGGTAACTTTGTTGGCATTTGTGTCCGATCCTGTACATAGAAGAGAAGAAAAATAAAACATGTCCGGTCCCTCAGATAGTTAATATGTGGTGTACGGGTGTGAGACCCACCCTCACCACAATCTGTGGGGCCCAGTGGGGTCGGTCGGAGGAATGGATGGGTGTTGCGGGTGAGGATTTAAGGTGGTGCCATCACCGTGCACCAGCATGACGGACTTTGTGGGGTGCGGGTGTCAAGTGGAGGTGAATTGCAGGGATCTGATTGGGGAAGTGATGTGGATGTAATTCTTGGTGTGGTGATTTTGTTTCAAGACGTTGTGGGGGTTGTTTGAGAGGAGTCTAATGGAATTAAGAGGTGAGGAAATTGAGACGGTGGTTGAAAGAAGAAGTTGAACAAGAAAATAATGGAGGTGAAGAAAACAAATTAAAAATTATTAAGAATTAAGAATTAAGAATGAATGGTCGGTAATATATGAAATGGAATTAGAACGGAATATCCAATTAAGATCCTTGAGTGTGTTCCGTAGTGATCGCGATTTTAGTTAGTGTTGGAGTTAAGGCGTTGATTGGAGTTATCTTGCTGTAGATGGGTTTATATCGACTTTCTCTGTATTTCAATTGATTTTTTGACTGAATTTGGTTTTGTATTCCCTTGAATGGTTTGGGTGCTGGTGCATCTATTCTGGTTAAAGTTGTTATCACCGAGCTCCAGTAGTTCTTTCAATTGAATTAGTATATATATCTTCAGATTGCCATTTTTCGGGTTTTCAATTGCTTGATCCAATTGTCTTATTTGTTTCTCCCCTCTGCTACATTTTGCATTGATTTCAATTGGCTACTGCTCTTGGCTGTGTCTACTTGGCAAGGTCTATGCGTCTACGTTATTGCTCTAGGTTTGATATTGATTGCTCCTTGGCTGCACTTGAAGACCAATGGCTTCTGGTCAATAGTTTCTGGCTTGTTGACGTCGAACTTCCGTTAGTAATCTGCTCATTACTTCCATTGGTCTACCGAGCATTAATGGTGGCTTTACCAACGGTTTCTTCATCATATATGTAACTCAAGCCTTGTCATTACAATTTCGGGTATTGGCTATGTTTACAAATTTCCCCCCATCTAGTTGATGAATGTCCAAATTTACATGAATTCATAAGTTTGTCGAGAGAAGCTTACCACTAACATCTCAACTTTGGTAATTAAGGTGAACAGGTCCTTCTGGTGAAACAATCGGTACAGATATTTCCCTCATTTACACTGTAACTTTGACACCTCCTTTTTCTCATATTCTATTCTGTGCTTCCGGAGGTTATGTTGTGTGACATAAGTGTGGTGTTAAAGCAACTTCACTGCCCTCTCACAACTTCATATATTCAATTTTGAAAAGATAACATTTTGGAGCAGTTTGATATCCCCATGATAGTGGAATAATCAAACTAACTGCAGTGACTATCACAATGGATTTGTTCACGGAAATATTTGCAAAGTTTCCGATGTGATACAAGGACCGAGTAAATGTCTGTCACAAGCCATAAAACTTGCGTTTAAGCTTCTAATGCTATCAAGGATCTCATAGTTTCTACCAGAAAACACAAGAAATTATCAAGGTGAGTCCAATCTCCTTCAATAAGATACTCATTCTCAGCTCAATTATGGTGGTTCCTACTCTTGACAAAGTGTATCACCTTCAATCCATAATCAGTCATACCCAACAATTAACCATGCAATCAAGTGTGTCAAAATAATGGTGATTCAAAAAAAATGTGTTGATTCCTTATAATGGCCAAACGTTCCGAGTATCGTACCATATCATTTCATTGAACCTCATGCATTCAATCCCCCAGGTGCTCCATTGGGGTCAAGTACTGAGAGTGATGAGAATGTTTAAACTATTTGATAATCAGACTTCTACATAAATACCCATTACAGAAAGGCAATTTAAATAGCTATCGATGGATGGCATCGAACCCCTTGGAGGTACTACGCCTCGTCCTTCGAGACCTGCTTCCATATCACGCTAATTCTTGAACCTATCAGTAGAGGTAGGATCTGTATACTTAGTTCAATATTATTAGGCTACAAGAATGGTACTGTTTGTACTTGCCTGAGAACTACGTTAGAGATAAGGACTGGTTCATACACCAAATCCTGACTAAACACTTTATGGCTGCGAATAAACAGATTTCTCTTTCTCTTTAATTCCCCCATCAAATACAAGATTCTGCCACTGTCAAATACATCTACTTCAACTTTCGGATATAAATTTTATTTGCCAAGTCTTGTCATAATTTCTTTAACTCTGACCTTATTTCAGTTTAGCACTGTTCTGACGTTTTACCTTCTTGGCAATTCTCCGGAGAACTGCCCACTGCTTGAAGTGAATCTGAACCCCGAGCTCCACGAGCCACACAGGCAAATACCAGCGAACCCAATGTAAGGTGTAAGCAGCAAAACCACGGTAAATGTTAAACCCAACATCCCTCTTCTTGGTAATCTGTCCAGCAACTTGCTCGGCATATTTTGAAGCCGGAATCGATGTTCTGGGGTTTCTGCTCATTCCTGAAGATGCACGAATACTATCATAAACACCCTCTACATCGTACTTGTCTGAGAGCAAGCATGGTGAGCCGTAAGGATCACAAATGGCAGTGTTAACCCCTCCAGTGATTACACTGTGCACTTTCACACCGAAAGGCTTCATTTCACCTCTGAGAACAAATGCATATTGATCAATGGCAGCCTTCGTAGCACAGTAGGCCGAAACCCAAGAAAGAGGGACTCTGGCTGCAACAGAGCTGGTGAACACAATGGTACCTTTTGCATTGATCACTAGGTCGGAAAAATACTTGGTCATGTACATGTGTCCAAGCACATTGACATTGAAAAGCAACTGCAACTTCAGATCGTCGTACTCAATGGCTGGTCCTCCAATGTTGGAGATTCCTGCGTTGTTGTACAAGATATCAAGCTTTCCCCCGGTGATTTTGGTCACCTCAACTACGGCAGCCTTGATGCCTTCAATATCAGTGATGTCAAGAATAATAGGAATAAGGCCAATTTGTTCCTCCAAAGGTTTCATTCCCCAAGCATCAGCCTCGATGGAAACTCCGAAGATGGTGTAGCCTCTCCTATGGAGGGCAAGAGCCATTTGGTATCCGATCCCTGAAGCAGCACCAGTAATCAATGCATATTTCTCCATGGTGGGACAATTGAGACTTTGTAAAATCGAAGGTTGAACAATGAAATGAAATCAAAATGATAAGTTTCCGAGGTCAAATTGGAAAGTAACAAATTGGTTTCAAGTGATTAACAATGAATTCAATGGACGGGGAATTCATTCTATTTGAATGGCTTCAAGCCATCAATGGAGCTGTCCCAACAAACACGTGAATTGTGGGCACTGTGCATATGAGTTCTCCGCAATCCAGAAATGGCGGGCCATTTTATTGAATGAATAGTTTGATGGAGGAAGAAACGAGGAGGACAAAAATGCTGGCTATTTAAATGAATATTTTTGAAGAATGGTTTGGATTTAAGATGTTTTGATTTAATTTAGGCTTGTGTAACTCGGTGCGTGATAAGAATTAAGACTTAGATGAAAAGCATTGTAATGCGAACATGATAATGACAGGGTCGTATGATATCTGTCAATTATTAAAAAGAATTATGGTCTCGTCCACGAACCACAATTCTACTAACCTTTTTTTCTTCGAATATTCACTTCTATGATTGTTTATGGAAACTTTTGTCTGATTCCAGGTTTCAACAAAATAGCATGGCAAAAGAAGTTACACTATAATCACCCATTACTTCGAGAAACCTGAGAAAAAGAAAGCAAGAGAATCAAACACTTACCTCAAAAAAAAAAAAATTTTGCTTCACAGGACATGATTTACCTCTAGAATAGACTAAATTCAATCATCTCCTCCAAGTTCACTTTTTCAACCGTTACTTACTATTCTTGTAAAGGGCCAGTTCTCATAACTATATCGGCTGTCAATGATGGCAATCTACAACTCTACCAAACTCAGCCAGACCTCAAATTACAAACTTGCTGAGTCATGCATGCTGCAAGCAAGCAAGCAGAATGTTTCATCCTGAGAAGCCCCTGCGAAAACGAGATTCGAATAATCCATTGACGTCAGGACCCTCAGTTACGCATCCACTTCACATCCATGGTACTTCATTCCTCCTTCCATTTTTTTTTTTCTCAAATTACGAGTCCATTAGATCAATCCATAGATGAATTTCCCTAATTTCAATTCCTCACAAATTACAAATTTCATTCAGTGCACCGCTCTTTTTTCCCCATTGGTTCAACTTCCCAATGCAAGGTTTGTTCCAAGCAGAGAAGTGCGCAAGTCATATAACTTCCCGATCTAGCCAGTTTGTAAACACAAATTCCTCCATTCAAATACACCTCTGTTTCCCTGAATCCTGCTCTCACCCCTTCGCTTCTGGTCCACTATATCCCCATCTCCGCCATCCACCCCCGGCGATGTTTCGCACTCCTCGCCACAAAACAGACATCTCTGTTGCAGACATCTCCCAATCGTTGGAGAATGTGTCTTTTCAGTCCAATATGATGGACATCGACAACTCCTATCGGCTGACTCCTAGGAAGCAGCCCTTTGACAAAGAAAATATCACGCCGCTGAACTCGCCAACAAAGCTGGTACTTCACAGCTCCCCCTACCAGAAGAAAACCCAGCCTTTGACTCCACAGGCTCAGAATTTGAAGCTCCACAATAACATCTCGCAGCTCCAGCCTCCCAACTCGTACTTGCCTCCTGATTTCTACACCAAGGCTAACTCCAGCAAAACAAAACGTCTCACTTCTGTGGCTCAGCTTTATTTCCTCGACTACTACTGTGACATGTTTGACTATGTGATTCTGAGACAGGAAAGAAGCAGAATGGTGGAAGCCCGCTTGCTGAGTGATCCAATGTATACTTCCAACCCTGGCAGACAGCAGTTGGAGTGGAAGAACTATGTGGGACGTGAAAGAGCGTTGTTGAGAAAGAGAAGACTCAAGCCGAAGCACAAGGACTTTGAGATGATCACCCAGGTTGGTCAAGGTGGTTACGGTCAGGTGTTCTTGGCTAGAAAGAAAGACACTCGTGAAATGTGTGCGTTGAAGATCTTGAACAAGAAGTTGTTGATGAAACTCGATGAAACTAGACATGTCTTAACCGAGAGAGACATTTTGACCAATACTCGTTCCGAATGGTTGGTCAAGTTGTTGTATGCTTTCCAAGATTCCCAGAAGGTGTACTTGGCCATGGAATTTGTCCCAGGAGGAGACTTCAGAACCTTACTTAACAACACTGGTTACCTTATTCCTCCTCATGCCAGATTTTATGTGGCTGAAATGTTTGCTGCTGTCAACTCTTTGCACGACTTAGGATATACGCATCGTGATTTAAAGCCAGAAAACTTTTTGATCGATTCTAAGGGTCACATTAAACTTACGGATTTTGGTTTAGCTGCTGGAACTGTATCAAACGACAGAATTGAGTCCATGAGAATCAAGTTGGCTAACTTGCAAGACTTGGATAACTATGAAGTTCCTTCTAAACTCATGTATGAGCGTCAAAGGATTTTCAAGCAATCACAAGGTCACCACAACTTGGCCAACTCTATTGTGGGATCTCCTGACTATATGGCACTCGAGGTCTTGGAGGGTAAGAGTTATGATTTCACCATCGACTACTGGTCTCTTGGATGTATGCTCTTTGAGGCACTTTGTGGTTATCCACCATTCAGTGGTTCCAAGCAAGACGAAACTTACTACAACTTAAAGAATTGGAAGACAGCTCTCAGAAGACCTCAAACAAGAGACGGTCGTTATGTTTTCAGTGATCGCACATGGTTGTTGATCACCAAATTGATTGCTTCGCCATCTTCAAGATTACGAAACTTCAAACAAGTAATGGCCCAGTCATACTTCAATGACATTGGAAATTGGGACAGTTTAAGAACAAAGACACCTCCGTTTACTCCTCAGTTGGATAACGAAGAAGACGCTGGCTATTTTGATGATTTTGAAGATGAAGAGAGCATGATGAAGTATAAGGATGTGTTTGCTAGACAAGAGCAGAATGAATCACTCCTAGAAAACTCACATCTCACTGGTAAAAACTTAGCAAACAACAACTTCATTGGCTTCACCTTCAAGCATAAATCAAACCCGAATAACAAGTTCCAAAACGGAGAGGTAAACCTTCTAGGTGGGCCCTCTAACTTCAATGCGAAATCACCATTTGGAGGAAATAGGTTGGATCCTTTGGCGACACTTTACTAGTGGGGACTACTGTTTGGTATACATATTGTTTTAAAGGAATTTTTATTCTTGGGAATCATGGTTTTAGATGGTCGTAGGATAGAGATCCATTGAAACGGAGTTACACGAAAACCGGCTTGACACAAACGCACAAAGTTAAGACCCGTACACCAAAAACTTGAAAAACCCATACACCACATTTTTTAACATCCGTACATTCTTAAAGACCCGTACATCAATTGAAGAAAAACCCATACACCTTTGGTTAAAACAACCGTACACCCGTAGTTAAGGCCCCTTCCAAAAGAATAACCTCTTACCCTAGGTATATCATTTGTTGATTCTCATGTGTGTGTATTAAAGTGTTTGAATGATGCATTTCTAGTTCGACCTCGTTATTTTGCTTTTGCATTGGTCCAAATACTCTATTTGTCAGACCAGATGAAATCCTTCTGGATCTTCTCCTCGATTGTTGGACGCTGGAAAGACTGATGAACCTCTTCACATATCCTGCTTCCCTTCTCCACTACTTTGATTAATTCCAGTTCAGTAAAAGAGCCATCACTCTCAATTAGCAAGATTTTACTTGCTTTCTTATCTCTGATATCAAAGCAAACAACGTGATGACTGGAGGACTTCTGAAGTTCAGAAAGCGACGGAGTAGTCACATAGTTACCGTCCTTGTCGATAACCATCGACACGGCAGCAAAAGAGTTGAATAATGGCACATTTGCGTCTATGAGTGCAAAGTAGGAACAATTTAATGCACAACTGAGTTCGTTGGCAGTATAATCAGCGCCAGCAGCAGCAGTCTCTCCAGATACAATGACAGATCCTTCAGAATCAAGGTCAGTTGCCAAAAACTGCACCACGATCTGGAAAAGTTGTCTAGGGAACTTATATCTCACAATCACCAGCTGCAAGACAGACCTTAGAAGATCCTCTAACACTTTTTCTCTGGTAGAACTAAGGCCTCTGCTTGGTCTGACAACAATTTCCAAACTGGCTTGTGTGGGTAATTCTTGTCTAGGTTTAGATTCTATTGGTCCAGTGACAGAAACAACAACCTTTGTGTTTCCTGCTATGAGACGTGCAGACCCATCCACTTGAGAAAGTGGTGACATCTTAACATCAAAAGGTACCGACATGTTGGACAATTTGAATGTGTTATTTAACCTGTTGTTGGATTCTGATAATTTGAAGGCATCTCTCAGTTAATGAACGTGATTTTTTGTCATGTGCGATTTATCACGTGCACAACCCATCGCCGTTACAACCAGCCATTCCAAGTCTGTATTATCAATAAATACCAATATTCTAAGATGGATTATGAGAAAGAACTAGCGGCAGATTTTGACAGTGACTCTGAGGATTCCATTATTGAAGAATTGCAAGAACCAGTGTCTTCGAACCACAATGAAGGGCCCCAGAATCTCGACCAATTACTCCAAAACCCCAAAATGGCCAGTATTGGAGCCAAACTAGATCACTTTGACGTTACAAAAATGACCGACGTTGACCAAATCTCGGTTATCCATCCACTTATACCGCAAATTCGCATTGATTTGGAGAAGTACGCCGGATCCATTGAAACAGATTACTACGAGCTCTTAGCCAGCATCAACGACGAAAACCAATCGGAAGATTTCCGCTTTTTAATGCAACTCAGTGAACTTCCAACTATAATCAATGACGAAATCGCTCTATTGCATAGATATGTTTCTGTTCACTATATGGTGGTGTTTGCTGAGTTGGAATCGCTTGTCTCAAGTCCAGTTGATTATTGTAGAATTGTCATTGAGATTGGGCAGAAGTTGACGGAAGTTCGTCAGCATGAACAAAACTTGAAGAAAATACTCTCAGGAGATAAAGTTTTGGCTATTGTAATGGCTGCTCTTCAGAATTACGAGAAGCTGTTTGAGCTACGAGAAGAAGACATGGCTAACATCTTGAAGGCGTGTCAATACACAATTGAGCTCTACTCGTTTTTGGGAGAAGTATCTGAATTCATCGCAGACAAAGTCTCCAAGTTTGCACCCAACGTAGCCAATCTTATAGGTGCCGTGGCCACCTCACAGCTTCTTATCAGCATTGGCTCATTGAAACAGCTAGCATTGACACCCGCATGTAATCTTCCGTCTTTTGGAGTTCGGGATCTTCTGTCACAAACACAGACACGCTCTAATTTTATCAGAGCAACGGGATACCTATACTATTGCGAGGTTGTAAAGGGACTCCCTCCAGAAGTTGTCAAACAGGCTTTGCGCATTTTGAGTGGGAAAGTAGTGTTGGCAGCAAGAGTAGATTTGGCTGGCACATACCCTGGTGGTGACTTGGGCACAAAATACCTCCAAGAGGTGCAATCTAAAATCGATAAACTTCTTACTCCACCTGAACACACTGCGCCCAAGGCATTGCCTGTTCCTAAAGAGCAGAAATCCAAGAAAAGAGGTGGACGCAGATTTCGAAAGATGAAGGAGCGGTTTCAGATGTCTGAACTTCGAAAAGCACAGAACAAGATGGAGTTCGGCAAGCAAGAGGATGTGGTCATGGATAGCTTTGGCGAAGAAGTGGGGTTGGGCATGAGCCACCAAATGGAAGGGATTCAAGTCAACAGAAATACCGATGCACGATTATCCAAGGCCATGATTAACAGATTGCAACAGCAGAAAAGAAGAGAAGACTTGGATACGATTGTCATGAATTTTGGAGACCACAAGAAGCAGGAACAGAATGGTCAATGGGGACGCATGAAGAAGCGACGTTTGGACGACGTCGAGTAAAAATCTTTTAGAACACACTCAATAGTATGACTATAGACTAGAATAAAGGTATTGGTTATTTAAAGTTGAGATTCTGTGATGCCTCCATCACTATACTTTCTGTCATAACCTAAATCTGCAGACCAAAAAGAAAAACGGGTTATAAATATGAAGAGATTCCCCAAAAAGAATTTCCAGATCGTCGACATATTAGCTCGGATCGAAAACGTTCATTATGCTCTCCCTCAAATTTTGTGCCATCATCCTCTTGTTCTTTGTCGTAATCGTTTTAGGATGAGACCCAGTTGACGAATTCTCTCACGGTGAGACGATACTCAAAGATGAGCTTAAATTCAAGGGGCATGTACTCCGTGCTTAGAATTTTTGATAACTTCTATGTACATTGTAAGTTCAAGGACATCTAACGTCTATATGAAATTCGGTACACCATGGCTTCGCTCCACTATTGGAGTCTCGTGTGGTTTTGCACCCAAATGAGATGCGACAGGATAACAGCCAGATATCCAAGTATCACGAAGTATATAAAAATGTAAAACACAAAATCTTATAAAGTAGAGAAGCTGTAGAAATTATTGTGTGTAAGATTGGCCCAGTGAAATCCCACATTCATGAATTTCACGTCTCCACAGTGACTCACTAATTACATATTTTTTTTATCTTTCGTAACTAATGGTTGTGTGGTGTACGGGTGTTTTCCCTATGACTAACAAAATTTTCCAATCTGAGCCTTATGGTCTTTAGAAGACTACTTATAAGAAAAGCATACCCCACTACTTGTGTCCGTATCTCAACTTATAGAACTCTCAATTACGTCAGGATGTCGGACCAGGAAAAACTTGCTGCTGCTGCCGCTGCCCCCGCAGGCGCAGAGCCCAAGAAAGAGAAAACTGCTAAAGAATTAGAGAAAGAGAGAAAGAAGGCAGAGAAATTGGCCAAGTTCGAGGCTAAGAAGAAGAAGCAGGCCGAAGACGCCAAGAACAAGCCTGCTGCTGAGAAGAAGCCAAAGAAGGAGAAGAAGGTTGCCGAGCCTGTGCCAGAGTGGACCGATGAGACCAAGCCTGGAGAAAAGAAGGTCATGGCCTCTTTGGAAGACGCTGCTTTCAAGGCTTACAACCCAAAGAATGTGGAAAGTTCGTGGTATTCTTGGTGGGAGAAGCAGGGCTACTTTGAGCCTGAGTTGGACAATGGAGAAATTAAGAAGCAGGGTGTCTTTTCTATTCCAGCACCTCCTCCAAATGTCACTGGTGCTTTGCACATTGGACATGCTTTGACCATTGCTATTCAAGACACCTTGATTCGTTTCAACAGAATGAAGGGCAAGACCACCTTGTTTTTGCCAGGTTTTGACCACGCCGGTATCTCCACCCAATCTGTTGTGGAGAAGCAGGTTTGGAAAACCGAGAAGAAGACCAGACACGATTACGGCCGTGAGAAGTTTGTGGACAAGGTCTGGGAGTGGAAGGAGGAGTACCATGACAGAATTAAGAACCAGGTTAAGAGATTGGGTGCTTCCTACGACTGGTCTAGAGAGGCCTTCACTTTGAACCCAGACTTGTCTGAGGCTGTCACCGAGGCGTTCGTTAGATTGCACGAGGACGGTACCATTTACAGAGCTTCTAGATTGGTCAACTGGTCGACCAAGTTGAACACTGCCATCTCCAACTTGGAGGTGGACAACAAGAACATTGCCGGTAGAACCTTGTTATCTGTTCCAGATTACGACGATAAGATCGAGTTTGGTGTGTTGACCTCTTACTCTTACAGAGTTGTTGACTCCGACGAGAAGATCACTGTGGCCACCACCAGACCTGAGACCTTGTTTGGAGACACTGGTGTGGCTGTTCACCCTAAGGATCCTCGTTACACCCACTTGCACGGCAAGTTCGTTCAGCACCCATTTTTGGACCGTAAGATCCCAATCGTCACTGACGACGAGGCTGTTGACATGGAGTTCGGTACTGGTGCTGTGAAAATCACCCCAGCCCATGACCAGAACGATTACAACACCGGTAAGAGACACAACTTGGAGTTCATCAACATTTTCACAGATGACGGTCTTTTGAACGAGAACTGTGGCCCTGAATGGAAGGGAATCAAGAGATTCGATGCCAGAGTCAAGGTTATCGAAGAGTTGAAGAAGCAAGGCTTGTACGTTGACCAGAAGGACAACGAGATGACCATTCCTCTCTGTTCCAGATCCGGAGATGTCATTGAACCTTTGTTGAAGCCACAATGGTGGGTTAGACAGGACGAGATGGCCAAGGAGGCAATCAAGGTTGTGAAGTCCGGTGAGATCACTATTACTCCAAAGACTTCTGAGAAAGAGTACTTCCACTGGATGGAGAACATCCAGGACTGGTGTATCTCCAGACAGTTGTGGTGGGGCCACAGATGTCCAGTCTACTTCGTCGTCATTGAGGGCGAGGAAGGTGACCGTTTGGACAACAACTACTGGATTGCTGGTAGAACCTACGAGGAAGCCTTGGAGAAGGCTAACAAGAGATTTGCTGGTGTGAAGTTCACCTTGGAACAAGATGAAGATGTGTTGGACACTTGGTTCTCTTCTGGTTTGTGGCCTATTTCCACATTGGGCTGGCCACACAAGACCAGAGACTTGGAACTTTTCAACCCCAACTCCATGTTGGAGACCGGTTGGGATATCTTGTTCTTCTGGGTGTCTCGTATGATCTTGTTGTCGGTTAAATTGACCGGAAAGGTTCCATTCAAGGAAGTGTTCTGTCACTCATTGGTCAGAGACGCTCAGGGTAGAAAGATGTCCAAATCTTTGGGTAACGTGATTGACCCATTGGATGTTATTACCGGTATCTCATTGGAGGACTTGTATGAGAAGTTGAAGATCGGTAACTTGGACCCTAAGGAGATCGAGAAGGCATCTGCTGGTCAAAAGCAGTCGTACCCTAACGGTATTCCAGAGTGTGGTACCGATGCCTTGAGATTTGCCTTGTGTGCTTACACCACTGGTGGAAGAGACATCAACTTGGATATCTTGAGAGTTGAGGGTTACAGAAAGTTCTGTAACAAGATTTACCAGGCTACCAAGTTCGTCTTGGGTAGATTGGGCGACGATTACCAGCCTCCAGCTTCATCTGCCAAATCAGGCAACGAATCGTTGGTTGAGAAGTGGATCTTGCATAAGTTGACCATTGCTACGAAGGACGTCACCACTCACTTGGACAACCGTGAGTTCTCTGAAGCCACTTCGTCTATCTACAACTTCTGGTACGATCTTTGTGATGTCTACATTGAGAACTCTAAGTCCTTGATTCAGGACGGTACTCCAGAACAGAAGAAGTCCGCTCAGGATACTTTGTACACTTGTATTGACGGAGCCTTGAGATTGATTCACCCATTCATGCCATTTGTCACCGAAGAAATGTGGCAGAGATTGCCACGTAGAGCTGGTGATAAGGCTGAATCCATTACTGTCGCTGCTTATCCCGAGTACGAGTCCAGTTTCGACGATGTCGAGTCGTTGGACGCCTACGAATTGGTGTTGAACATCACCAAGGGTGCCAGATCGTTGTTGTCTCAGTACAACATCTTGAAGAACGGCCAGGTTTACATCGAGACCACCGATGACAAGGTCAGAGACATTGTCAAGGATCAGCAAGACTCCATTGTTGCATTGATCAAGGGTGTTGAGAAGATTGACGTGATCGAGGCTGGCCAGACCGTTCCTAGCGGATGTGCATTGAACGGTGTTAGTGCCACTACCACAGTTCACGTGTTGGTCAAGGGCCAGATCGACTTGGACGCCGAAATTGCAAAGGTTAACAAGAAGTTGAGCAACGTTCAAGACTTGCAAAACAAGTTGAGCGATTCTATCTCCAAGTTTACTGATAAGACCAAGCCAGAGGCTAAGGAGGCTGCGTTCAAGAGAGCAGAGAACTTCAAGGCCGAGATTGAAGGCTACGAGCAAACCATTGCTATTTTGGAGAAGTTGAAGCTTTAGGAGAAGAGTTAGACAATTAAAGCATCTCGTTGAGAATTAGAGTTCTATTGTACATAATAAGTAGTATGAGTGAAGATAGAAACGTAGAGAGGCACATGAAATCCGATAGACGGAGCTCACAATGTATCATGCGTTACATTCCCAGACAAGGTATTACGAAAACCACCTGCATGGAGACGATGTCGGCAACTGAATTTGAATACAAACATGAGAAGAGAATTGTCGCAGATAGTGGAGGAGAGATAAGGCGCCAATTTGCAATGATATCTGTTGAGCCATGATTTATAGCCCATTAGCCTCAAGCTGTGCCTCTCAATGCGCCACATGCCAGTGGCACCTCCTGGACCATCAAACCATCCACACCGTTACCAGCCTCCCCGCCGTAACGCTCGCCAAATTCACCCATGGTGTGCATGTGAGTAGGTGATATGTGCATAGAGAATGGTTCGCCTGCATTTTGACAAGGAATCCTGCCCGGTAATCGCGCTCCCTGACATTGATTCGTCGGCTTACGTCACAGTTCTCTGCAGCAGAAGGAAGTCGAGGTGCACCACCGAGGGAGATTTGCACAACCGTGTATAAATTCACCTCGATCCCCAGTGAAATAAAAAGTTATCAATCACAAGACAAATAATACAATGAACTTCAACGACTTGATTAAGAAGGGTGAGGCTGCTCTTGCCGGTAAGGATGGTAAGATTGACTACAAGGACCTCGGTGAGGACGCCCAGTCTGCTTACAAGACCTACAACTCTACTGAGGGAGACTTCTCCAAGAAGGCTCAAGCTGTTTACGCCGGCTACCAGAAGGATGCTGCTGAGGATGCCAAGAAGCTTGAGGAGTCTCAGAAGACCGAGACTTCCGAGGAGAAGAAATAAATTAATATACAAGTGAAGTTAGTTGATAGTGGTGAAATGTAACATGTAGAATAGGGTGAGTGTAGGTAAAAGAATGTGACAAGATGAAATGTAGTAATATTGTGGCACAATTTATAAAAGAGATAATTCAATAGCATATGCTGGTGATAACATATATCAATCAATAGTTAATTTCCAATCGCCAATTGAAGTTTATATCGAGTCAACACGTCCAGGTCTGTATGGTGAACTTCTCAGATGAAACGAGACACTGTGGCCCCTATATTGGTTGAGATTGGGGAACAATCCAGTGAAATGTCTTGTACTTCCGTTTTGAAATATTCTAGTTTTTCATTTAATTCTGATTTGTTTATGTATCCTCCTATTTTGCATGTTTGTTACTTTCTCTGTTTGCTGTTCATTATTATCTGCTCAGTATCATCTCCTCAGTATCATCTGCTCGGTATCATCTACTCAATGGTATCTACTTAATATTATCAACTCGCAACTCTGACTTTCATTCTTACCTTCATAAATCAACTATTGACATACACGAACCAATCTTAATTATCTCAAATCCTATTCTTTGGATTGATTCTCTTTCTTCTTCTCTCAGTGTCATATTTTAGACATAGTCCTTCAATTCTGTTTCTCTTTCTCTGCACAGTCGCGTCTTTCTCCATATTATACAAACCAGGCATTTCCACCTCCATCTTTTCAAATATGCAAAATGGACTTGCTGCCCTGTTTTCTGCTATAGACACAGTTTTGTCTCTCCATTATGCCTCCTCCATCACCACACCCAAGCTAAATGACGTCTGTGCTCGAGCTACCTCCATGTGTGGAAAGCGAATCACCTCATCTACCCTTGAAGCCATTTTGGCGTACTTCCCACAGGCTTACAAGATCATCAGCTACGGCCGTAATTCTTACGATTACGCCATCACGGTGCCTTCAGGAATGCTGGTTATGAAATTTGGAATGCAGTTGCCACTTCGAAGTGCTGAGTTCGATAGGTTACTCAAGAGCACCGAATCTCCAAATCCTGTAACTTTGGCATCCATTGCCATAGTTGAGACCCCTTTGGTTTCTCCAGTGAAGAGTTCAGGTCGATCTTTGAATGCACTGGAAGAGTCCTTGCCGAAATCGTTGATGGGTGAAAATAACGATGACCCTTCTACGAATCCATCATCTCCAACAAAACTAACGCTAAAATCTTCTCCCACGAAGAGATCATCTCCTACAAAAGTCTCAAAGGCTTCTTTGTTGCGGAATGATGCGTCCAAGTTTCAATTTAAAGAGAAAATTGCCGCTGTCGAAGCTTCAAAGTCTGGTCTTTCTCTTTTAGAACGTATCAGGTTGAAGGAGAAACAGCTGAAGAGTCAGGAAACGCCTGAAGCCAGATATCACGACCAGGTTCTTGGGAAAATGCCTGCTGTCTACGATGTAATATATGAACTTGCACCAGTAGCCTCTCTGGGCCCCAAATCTCACAGCTTTTCCTTACCGAAAGTGATATCCATAGTGCAAGATTCGTTTACTTTCAATATCGCTGATACCGAAGTTCTCGATGTGATTCGGGAATTAGAATCTAGGTTGGGGCCAGAAAAATTACATATTTTAGAACGGGGCGGCGTTCACGCCATAAAGGTTTTCCAGTTGGATCGCAATACAGACTTAAGTCTAATTAGATAGCTTAACTTATTAATATTAGCATAGGGCCATGCTCTCTATATAAATCTGACCAACTTAAATTCTTTCGGCGATATCTGCTGCTGCAGAATTCATGAAGAAGTGCTTTAACACAACCTCGACGGCCCAAGTTCCGACCAAATCGAGAACGATACATCCAGTTAATTTCAGCTTGAAAACAATGTCCATAGGGACAAACTGCATGGTTTGGTTCAATTCTGGCATGAATTCAGTGGATCCAGCAATAGCCAATCCGGCAACTCCGAGTAGACCATAGAACATTCCCTTATTGTCCTTGATATCTTCCTTGAATGGCAAACCTATGTAGTTAACTGCAAAGGTCGACACCTGTTGAGCCAACTGAAGCAAGAACATACCGGTATTCAACAAAGATGGTTCAAACTTCTTTTCCAAATCAACTTGGGCTTCTCTTGGCTCCAAGATGTAAATTTCACGAGTGATGTAGATCAAGGTAACAATGTGGATAGCAAACTGACCCAAGATAGATCCCATGATGTAGATGTTGAAAATTCCATCTTGTGGTCTCTCCTTGCTCAACTTCTGAAGAGGCTTACCACGAGAGATACTCAAGAAACAAACAGATAACAAGACACCAGAGACGGTCGATTGACCATCACCAAACTTAATACCAGCCAAGTACAACACAGACAAAGAGTAAGCAGAAATCAAACAGTTCAATGCCAAAATCTTGTACATCTGGATGGTAGAAACCAAAGCACAACGACCTTGACGGACAATATTAGTCACAGCAGAGACATTAGCCAACTTAGAGGTGAAAGGAGCTGCAACGGAAGCGTCACCCAATTTCAAAGTTGGGACTTCGTCATCAGCTCCTTCAATGTCACCCATCGATCCCAAGAAGCTATCAGCGATCTTACCGGCAGTAACCTTTCCCTTGTCATCCTTAACAAATTCCAATGGGAGTTGACCAGATTTGTTGGCCACTTCGACCGACTGGGTAATTTCAGGAGTGATTTCGATACCCTTCTTCTCCAATTGACTCAAGTAGTGAGGATTGTATTTTCCAGGGGGGTACAAGTGAGCAATGAGGGCAGGCACAGGTGGAGGTGGTCTATCCCAGTTAGCCAAAAGCTGGGCTTGTTTCTCATAAACAACTCTGGTGGCTTCGATCTTTCTGTTCTCTGCGATCTTTTTCATACCTTCCTCAGTACCGTTCAACAAAGCGACACCAATGTGGGCCTGCTTCAAAGCACCGACGTCATTGGTTCCGTCACCACACATCAAAGTGTTGTATCCAGCATCCTTCAAGGAGGTAAGAATAAACTCCTTTTGAGAAGGAGAAACTCTGGCGTAAATCCATGTTTTCTTCAAAAGGTCCAAAATCTGAACATGCTCAGACAAGTGTGTCAAAGCGTGACCAGTCATACAGATATCATACTTCTTGAACAAATCCAAATCGATAGATTGCGAGCTGTTAAATGGGATGATGGTGGTCTCGTCCACATTTCTCCAGACCAAGTTCTCTTCCTCGCTGACTTCATAGTGTTCTTCAGGGGCATCCAAAATCAAAACTTCCTTCTCGACAATACCAACTGCCTTTGCGACATGGCATGCAGTTAATGGGTTGTCACCAGTAATCATAACACAACGGTGGGACGACTCATTCAACATCTTGATAGTCTCAATGGCATCATCCTTCAATGGACAGTGGAAAACAATAAAACCAGCGAAGTGCAACTTAGATTCAACGTCATTTCTCTTGACCTTCACGACATTAACATTGGTGTCCAAGTATTTGTAAGCCAATGCCAACACACGGGAACCAGCTCTGGTGAAAGACTTAAAGCACTGCTCGTAGTTCTCAGGAGCGTCAACCAACATCGAACGAATGGTTTCTGGAGCACCCTTCACGGCAACAAAGTTCTTACCTGGCAAAGTGTTAATAGAAGTAATAGCGGATGATCTCTTCAAACTGGACGAGAATTGGAAACGACGCAAAATCTTGATCTTCTCTGTCTTGTTCTTTCCAGGTCTCTCAACAGTGTCATTATATCCAACAGTCCATGCAGCAGCCTTCAAAGTGGCCTGCTCCATAGGATCACCGACAACGTCACCATCGTCTAATTTGACCAAAGCATGGGCAGAACCCAAGACCAACGCAGTGGTCTCGGGGGCTTCTTCACAAGTATAGAGGTGGTGGATGTCATCATTCTTGAAGCCAGCCAAACCCTCAAACACCAAATCTTCAGCAGTCAAAGTACCAGTCTTGTCAAAACAACAAACATCGAGTCTGCCAGCCAATGGAATACGGAATGGCTCAGTACAGTAAATGAAGTATTTCTGCAAGGCAGCCAAGGAAGAATTCACAGCCATGGTCAACTCCATAGGTAACTCAGGTGGAACAACAGATGTAATTACAATAATACAGTCCAAAATCAATTTCGATTGGACTCTTCCCATTCTTGTACCCTCGACCCAGACGTACCAGGAAGCAGCAATGGCAAAAACCAACAAAAACAAAATGAAGAACAAAGCCTCCTTGTTTCCAACAGACACTCTCTCACTGGAGAAAATCATCATTCTCACCAAAGAACCTTGCGAAGTCTCGAAACCAGTCTTACAAACGTAAGCCAAAGCACCATTGTCCGGAGCAAGCGGGACCTGAGGATTCTCAGGCTTTGTCACCTGCAAAGCCATAGTACCACCATGCAACAAAGAGTTCTTGTCCAAGCCCTCAGGCAGCAAGAACTCGTCACCAGGTCTCAATTTAATAGACTCTTTCAACAAAGGAGTAGATTCACCAGACAACATGGCCTCGTTCACAATGGCGGTACCGTCGAGCAACAACAAATCACATGGAAGGGCACTTTCCTCGCTGGTTCTGGTCACAGATACAAGGTCTCCAGGCAACAACTCGTCAGTCTGCAACTCTGCCCACTTGGAGTCTCTGAATGCGAAAATTGTGTAAGGCTTGATACCCATAGACTGGAACTCGTTCATGGTAGTTCTTCTCTGGAAAACTGTAGTCATTTCAAAGGAAACCAACATGAATAAAGAGAACAAAGAGTAATACCACTGCTCGTCCATGCACCACAAGGCCACACAGAAGATCTGGAAAACGAAAAAGGGAGCCACAGCATGTTCCTTGAACAACTCCATGAAAGTAGGGATAGGAATGTCGAACTTGTTCAAGCCAAAGTTTCTGGTGAACTTGGATAAGTCACCCTTCAAACCCTTCCAATTGTGGAAGTATTCCAACTGAGGCAACTCGTCAATCTTAAATTCTGGAGGGGCAAACTTATTAATCTCGGAGTGAAACAAGTGACGTCTCTTCTGGTACAAAAACGACACCTGCTTCTCGCCGTCCGCAAACTGCTCTCTGTTGATGGTACAGATCTCGCCAACACCCGAGTTTGGAGCAGGGGTAATCTTAATATGAGAGGCTTCCGAGATGGAACGCACACCAGTATAGTTAAATTTGGCATCGATGTCGATGTTCCAATGTGGCATCAACCAGAACAACATGTTGAGCGAGCCAATGGCCATCAAATAAACGAAAGTCCATTCCGAGCCACCAATATACGTGTCGTAATGGTTGAAATAGACTTGGAAAAACGCTGGGTAGATGATTCCAAATGGCCACACATACAAACGAGCCAAAAGGGGCTTGGGCACTAGAAGCTCAGCCTTCTGAATCGCTGGGTTATGCACGATATCTGACGACATGGTGAATTTGGTGTAGTACCCAGAGATGTAGATCAAGAAGGCGATTCGTGTCGAGAAATTATTGGCAATCACACCCGTACACCAATTGATATGGATTCTGTGGTTTTTGGAATTATAATATAGGTCCAGGGAAGGAAGAGAAATAAAATTATGATTTATATAGTATTTTTGTATTTATTTACTGTTTTTGATTAATAGATGTATATATTTTCGTTTTTCTGTTTTAAATTACAGTACACTTGCCAGGGAATAGAGATCTTTTTCTAAAGGCTTCCACATACTGTGCAGGGGAGCCGTATAGTGTAGGCATTCTAATTTATGATTATGAAGAAATAGAGAGATCTAAGAGAAAGAGAAAATGAAAAGAGAAACAAATGTCTGTTGAAATTGAAAACTGCAAGTTGCAAGCTCGAATTATAAACTCAAAAGAATCAACATACTTATAATTATCTCTTATGTATAGCAGTTGCACAACCATTTTGTCTATTTCCGATATACCAACTCGCCGTGAGTCATCATCATTAAACCCTCGGAATCTTCCTTCCATTCCTTAAACGTCCTGATGACTCGATCTAGTTGCTCGGGGTTGGACGTGTAATCATACTGTTTTGCCTTGGTGATACGCTTGCAATACATGTTTGCCCAGTCCTCTCTCTCTTTATCGGTGCTGATAGTCCACACCAGAGCCGAGAGGTGGATATTGGCAGCATTGTAGCCAGCAGCCAATGCTCGAGACTTTAACAGGCGGCCCGCAATCGACAGTGTCGTCAGATCTTTCGATTTATGGTGGAAGTAGTCAGCAATGCCTTCGTGGTACTTCTGCGGATACACCACAGTCATTTGCAAGTCAGCATCTTTGACAAGAACGTAGCCTCCAGGCTTGCATACTCGAAGCATCTCCTTCAAAGCTTTTTCGGGTTCACTGAGGTGAATCACCACTTGCAGCGCATGGACAACGTCAAAGGATGCATCCTCAAAGGGTAAGTTATAAGCCAGGCCCAATTGAAACAGAACCAGAGACGGAAGGTCTGGCTGGTTGGAGGAAATTTCAATCAAGTCCGGAATGGTTTCAACACCTACCACCTCGCCAACGTAATTTGCGAAGTCCTTCAGAATCGAGCCTGGTCCCAGACCAACGTCAAGCAACTTATCTGATTTCTTTAAGTATGGAATCACATATGGTACAGCATTGGCAACGGTTCTCCATGCATGAGTATCGGAGATTTCCTTTGAGAAGCCTTTACTGTAGTAAGATTGTTTAGGTACCATAAATACTGTAAAATTTAGTCAATTGAATGGATATGGTTAAAGTTGGAATTGTTTATTGTGAAAAAATGAAGATCAAAGGATATGTGAGGATGGAGATTAGGTCGCCATGACATATGGCGAGACTCCATATAACCACTGAGGTCTATAAAGGTCACGGTAGATCGGTAAAGATCGGAGTAGATCCGATGGATGTGTACAAGTGAAAAACCGGTACAAGAAAGACACATCTTTGATGGAGATTAATGGGATGTAAAGAACATTCAATTGAAGACGATTTTGTGCTGAAGACGAATATGTAATTTTTAATCGACGCGGGGCATTAGTTCTTATATAAAATACATTTTGGCTTACTACTGTATTTTTCAAAGTAAGGTTTCCCATTAAGCCATTAAAAAGTCATTTTTAAAACCGAAGAATGTTTGCTTATATCTTCTCATTCCTAGTTTGTAGTTGATATAGTTTTGATCTTCAACTTTTAAGAAATAGCTGCGAAATTAAATTAAGGATTTGAGTCGAATATCTCACTCTTGATTCTGGGTTTCTACCTTCTTTGGGAAATTACCACCATCCCGCAAAATCCCATCATTGGCTGCAAAATTCAGAACACAACAAAACCACACAACCATCCATTACAATATAACAAAGAAGACCCCAAAACTTTCACAAATCGCTAGGTCTCGCCAACAAGTCAAACCTTAATAACTTGAGTTGAGTAAATGCCGTTCGTTACCTCATCCACAGTGCCTTAAAAGCCTAGGACTTAAAAAAGCTGACCTCATAGAAGAAACACCAAATAATCGAATTTTTCACATTAACAAACATTCTGAGAAAATAAAAAATGTCTCAATTTGCTCAATTCTCTTCTTTTTGTCTGTTTCTCCGTATAAGTTTCTGTCTCCATCCCAAACGGCTCCTGTATGGGATCACATTAATATGAAAACTGTGGCTCAAGTGGAGCCATCGGGCCATTATCGTTGTTCCAAGCTAAAATCTCTTTGCAAAATAAAAATTTTTCACATCACTAAATGTCCTTCAACTCTATTCCTGTCATAGATCTCAGTTTGGCCTTTGACGCCGAAACTAAACCGCAATTTCTTGTGGATCTTCGACATGCATTGATCAATGTGGGGTTCTTGCTTCTTGTCAACTACGAGAAGTACGGGCCAACACCCCAGGATTTTGCAAACATCAAACAACAGGCGCTAGAATTTTTTGCTCTTCCCGATGACGTGAAGCGGGCTTGTGAAATGATCAACTCGCCCCACTTTCTCGGATACACTAGATTGGCCAATGAAATCACCGCTTCTCACACCGATTGGAGGGAACAGATCGATTTGGCCACAGAATTGCCTGGTCCCGCCGATGACGAGCCTATCTATCGTCGAATTGAGGGCCCTAATCTCTGGCCTGACGAGAATGCCATCCCGCACTTCAGAAAAGTGATTACGGAATATATAAGGAAGATGACTAATCTCAGCACCGTATTCAGAAAACTAGTGTGTGAGGCTATTGGCTTGAAGGAAGATGCAATGGACTCGTACTTCAAGGTAAATCAACAGTGCAAAATGAAATTGATCGCATACCCAGACTCCTCGGCCTTGCAGGGCACCAAGTCGCTGGCATTGGAAGATACCCCACAATCTGGCCAGGGTGTTGGACCCCACAGAGACTCCGATCTCTTGACGTATATTTTCCAGGCTACGGAACACAAGAACTCGTTGCAAGTTCAAAATTTCGAGGGTGAGTGGGTAACTGTAGACAATGTGCCCAACTCGTTAGTGGTGAATGCCGGTCAGACGTTGGAGGCAATAACCAACGGGGTTTGTAAGGCAACAATTCATCGTGTGACCATCCCAGAGGCTGGATCGGGAACTCGACTCTCTATTCCGTTCTTCCTGACCATCGACTTGGACTCATATAAGAGCACGGTCTCTGGAATTCCCGAGGAAGTGCTCAAGTTGAAAGAAGAGAGGGACAAGAAGCTTCAGAACTGGGGAAACATCGGTTTCCAATTTATTCCTGATGTGAGCAAATATCCTGTGGGGCATGCTGTGTTTAGAAACAGAATTAAATCTCATCAAGATGTGGCTGCTCGTTGGTATCCAGATGTTCTTAAGGAGGTCCTTCAAGAGTATTCATAAATTGGCATTTGAAGCTAGTAGCTACTAATATAGCGTGTTTAAGTGTTTTTTTGGTGGAGGAGTGCTTTTATATGTTCAGATGGTAACAAGGAGAATTGCCTGTTGCAACCACTATTTCGCAGCCAGGAACTCCAGCCAAAGTGCCAAAAGAAATCTGAGCCTCCAACATTGGAAATGCCGAAAGACATTCAGACCTCTGGACTTAGTGTCCCCAAACAGTATTTAATATGTTGTATTTATCAATTGTTGTGTATCTTTCTTGTTGATTTGATCTTATCGTCTCTCACACCTTCCACTATCTATATCATATCGCCTGCATGGTTAACCTAATGAGCTTATTATCTACTTCCATCTTTCTCTTGGTGATCTTTGAAGTACGCCTCCAATTTCCAAAGCATTTCCCTCCATATGGCACATGTGCCTTCCACGATCTTCCACGATATAGTGGAGACCTCCCGGCTCGGGCAGGACCGGGAATTGATGGCATTGTTACAACACCACACCTCTAATGATTCACCGCTTTATAACGAGGTACAATCGCTTATTGCCGGGCTCAACTTGCAAAAATTTGACTCATTTCCATTTGCAAATCATGAAAAAGATACTCCAGCAGGCTCTGGAGTTCCTCGGAAGCAATTGGCTGACAATTATCCCCATGATATGAAGATAAGTACTCATGAAGTTCCCAAATTGACCAAGACACAGCGGAGAATGTCGTTTGACTTGATGCAGATGCACAATGGAACGCAGCGGTCTCCTCGAGTGCTGCTCAGCAAGCCTCCAGAGGCAGCAATAACCAATGTCAATATTGTGACTAAAGTTACGGATTTAGAGAGTCATGGCTACACCCCTTTACAGACAGAGAAAAAGAACACCCTAAAGGACAAGTTCAGCTCGTACCATAACCGCTTCAAGCTTGTCAATCGCACAAAAAAGGATCCGCCTGGGCAGATTGCCCCAGCTACCAAGAATTCAGCTTCTTCAGGGGCATTTAAAAGACTACAGGCAAATGCGGCTTCGGATAGTAGCGCTGAAACGAGCCAAACACACTCCGTGTGGAATTCGAATTCTCCAAGAAGAATCTCATTGGTGGGTGAAAACCTTCCACCGTACATTAAGAAGCAACTTGGCCATAAGAATGAAGGCGATGGAGCTACAAATCATCCCACGGAAGATCAAAACGTGCCCAAAAATCAAATACACGTAAACAATCTAAGTGATGTTGCTGGTCTGGGGTCGACGTCTCGGTCTGCCACTCACGAGCATAGAGGGCCTGAGGCATCTAGTCATTCTGAATCGGTACCAATAAAGAATAACGACAGCGAAATAACAGATAATTCGTTTGGCCATACCAACAATGAGTCTGCGATCTCTGAGGCTGACAAGGAGTACATTCTGCCCAGTCTGTTCAATCGGTTCTTGGACTATGGAGAGCACGACTCACTGGAAAGTGAATCACATGGATCTGCCAGCGAAGAGGATCAAGAGGACGAAGAAGACGACGAGGACGATTATCTTTTCAACAGTCATGCATTCTGATTATGTGATCTAATATCGATAGATGTGTCTCTGTTGTAATTGTTATTGCAACAAATTCAAAACCAATATCTCTGAAATATTTGTTAAGGTCAAAAAGCCTTTGTCACTTTCTGTGTCGCTCGAAGGGCATACTCATATACTGAGATAGATAATGCACTTGTTGGAGCGGTCTTAAGAAGACTAATGCCGAATCCACGGTAAAACCCGATGACCCCGTGGAGTTTCCAATGAGATACGAGCATTGACCATGCACTGCTGTGAGGCATCACTTGTAAGCGTTTTCTGATTGTATCTAGCGGAAATGTGATGGCCTTAGATGTTGCACCAGCCACAGATCCGCACACTGCCTCCACACCCCAAATTTGGTGATGGTATGCCTTCTCAATGTGTTTGGATAGGTCTCTGGACAAAGAATATGTACAAAAGAAAAAACCTGAATAAGTAACGATGGACAACATGGACGGTTTGATTCCCGCATAAAAGCCCGCAATGCCCTCTAGGTTTAGAATTTCCTTGCAAGTTCTTGTCATGGATAAAAACTCAGAGGAGTCATTTGCTGCAAGACGTGTCCGGAGCAAGTCAAACGGATAAGTAATGAAGGTGCTGAAAACTCCTGACCCACAACCCACGAGAAACAGATGTAACAGTTTCGGAAGAGTGATGTCCATCTTCTCTTGAAGATCCCCGAGATTTTCGTTCAACATGGAATACGACGTGAATTGCGATGCACCGTACAAAATATAGAGGAATTCAGCGGGAACATTGCCCTTCCATAGGGCACCGACACCCTCGCTGCGTAAAATGTTGGCTATCAAGCGAGTTCCAGTAACTGGTTCGGCTTGTAACAGCACCAACTGGAGTCTGATCTTAATGGTGTCTAACGGGGCAGTTACAGCTCTGAGAGGTTAGTATAGGTTAATTTATTTGACTTGGCTATTGTAATTGAATTATTGTAAAGCATTGCAATACGCTAATCGTCACACTACCGATACCTTATCAGTAGTGATGACCTTGACCGAAACATCCAACATACCTAGCCACAGCACCCGATATTGAGCCAGCAATAAGCGACTGGATAGGGGAGACCGAAGAACCCCTCAGAAGGTGGTCTTCGTGCATTTTATAGTAAGTATCCACAGGTTTTCAGTATTAGTTGGTTAAACAGAATGAAGTTGTGCAGGTTGGATGATGAGTGCATCTGGTCAATACTTTTCTGTAATTGTATCAAAGGTTCAAGCGGACAATAGAAGAAAATGGGATGGCTTCAATATCCAAATTGGATGATAGGGTAGCTGTGCAAATTCGGTCACATTTGGTGATCAATTCCGTGGAATGTGTGGTGCGAGAGCTACTAGTTAATGCTCTCGAAGCCAATAGCACTAAAATTATAGCAAAGATTGACTTGGAGACGCTCAGTGTATGTTTCGAAGACAATGGAAATGGTATTTGCAAGGAAGACTTGGAAAGTATATATAAACGATACCATTCGTCAAAAAATCTCGAGAATCGAACCGAGAATGGTGCTCACAGAGGTGAAGCACTCAACTCCATCATAGAATGCAGTGGAAGCACCGTGGTCGAGTCCATGGTGAATGGTCAAGCAACTAGCCAATTTCATATGTCAAAGGCTTCAGATCTGGAGAATATTGTTTCTGTTGTCTCGAATTACTTTGAGACAACAAAAAGAGCAAGACATGGAACAACAATCATGATCACCAGATTATTCAGCAGAAGCCCAGTTAGGTACCAGTACCTAAAGGAGGGTTATAGGGCCAACTGGTTGAAACGGGTATTGAAGCCACTACTTTTTGAGGTTCTACATGAATATCCAAAAGTCAGAGTGGACATCCAAATCAGATCTGGAAGTCATTTTGACAAGGTCTTAACTCTTGAGATCGACAACGCACGAGAGCTTTTCAGTACGTTATTCATACTACCTCTAGACTGCTTGGTGCCAATTAATGGCTCGGATGGTGATTATTGTATTGAGGGGTTTGTCTGTGTGGAGAGTTTCAGATCTAATCTTCAATATGTGTTTTTCAATGGCCAACGAGCCAATCTCAGCCGGGGCCAGAACACAAGATTGTTAAAAATCTTCCAAAATTATGGTAGGTATGCTGGCCGTCAAGGAGTGATCAATAAAGCAATCTCGAAGAGTCCGATATTCTATATAAATGTTCGATATTCCGGCAAAGTCGAGAACCAGAATCATGAATCTAAAGCGTTTGAGTTCGTTAAGCAGTTGTTGGTTTTCTCTTTGGAGAAACTGGGCTATATCCTGCGAACTGAGACTCCACCGTCTAGTCAACGATCTACAACTGAATCACTTGATGCAAGTCGTTCTAATGATTACTCAATTGCAGATAGCGAAACAAGTCATGAAACGGACGGTTCACCAAACTCCTTCCATACCCTGTCAACGCTATCCATGATTCTGTTGGAAGAAGGAAATTTCAAGTTGGTCAAACAGATCCTGGCCCTGGTCATTCTCATCACTACGAATGGATGCCTATATGCCATTGATCAGCACGCCTGTGACGAGCGAATTCAGCTTGAAGATCTTCTTGAGGAGTTCATAGGTAATGTGTTGGATCCACTGTGCGATTTGAGTGTCAAATGTACTGTTCCCATCAGCTTCAGTGTTTCCAGTGAGGACAAGCAAGATTTCGATGAATCCATAGAGACTCTTCTACAGTATGGAATTCGGTATACGATTCAAAACAATACTATTAAGTTGACACATTTGCCACTGGTTATGGCCAAATTCAATGATTCAGAAGCCCTCAAAGAGTGTCTCCTCCAATTCCATGATGACCTAAAAGATAGAAAAAAGGTGCCTATGAGTGCGTGTGACACATGGTTTCTGAAGGTGAAGAACATTCCATCCATGATCTACGAAGCATTTGTCTCCCAGGCATGCAAGCTGAGTGTGAAGTTTGGAGATACACTCACAGACACCGAAATGGAATATCTTGTGGTTAAGTTGGGTCGATGTATATTACCATTCCAGTGTGCACATGGAAGGCCAACCATAGTTGAAGTTGACTTCGAAGAACCAGTTAATTTCACGGAGGACATGGATATAAAATGATGAATCTAAACAGTTGAGAACGTCTAGATGAATAAATTTCTTTATTTTCTTAAATCTTTTTCTGCCACCCGTTCGAATTTTTCTTCCCAAACCAACTAAGCATCACGGTGTCCTGTACCTTAACCGAAGAATCAGAAACCAAACTTGACTTAATTCCGAATACGCTGGCTCAAACATGTTCAAGTCGTCCATTTCCAAGCAATTTTTCTCGGACGATCCATCGTTTGCTGCAGACGCAAACTCCACCATCGAGCAGTTTTCCACGCCACTCAAGAAACTCCCCAATTCCAGCATAAATGACTTCAGAAACGATATACTACATCCACCCACAGAATTCTCCTCCAATATAGCAACAGATAGCCCATTATCGAGTTTATCTGCGAGATCTGCGGAATCTGCACTGTCGGCAGCAGAAAACCAGAGATCACAGCTCTACAAGCTTATTTCAGAAAGCTCCACCATGGGAAGCAAGCCATCGTCCATTTCATCTAGCATACTTCGGTCGGACTTTCCAGTGCATTTAAATGAAAAATATAATTCAAGTACTTCAAGCAGCCTATTTGCCACGAGTAAAGACATGGAATCTAAGGCAAATGGAGCCGTTTTCTACAAACCTCTGTCTATTGAGGGCCCTCTTCTTTCCAAGGATTTCATTCCTCCACCGTTGCAACAGAGTGGTAGAAATCCCATCGTTTCGTCGCTAATCTACCAAACGGTAAATCCAAATGCTGACTTTGAAGATTTGGAGGACGATAACGACGACATCCAAACTTCGCCAACTGGTGAATGGACCAGTCCTGTGGTTATTGAAGCATTGAGAAGACAAGTCAACAAAGAGAGGATTTTCAAGAGGGTACGTGCAAACGTCTTGAGGTTTTTAGGATTCCACTTGGTCCTTCTCTTCGTTGCATACTTTTTCAAACTTTATCAGATCAAGTTCTACGACGAAAACAAACTTTATCGTAACGACTCATGGTCTCAGTTTGAAAGACTGCAATTTGTCCAGACCATTACTGGAGCATTCCATAAAACTGCTGTCTACGTGCATCACGTACAATGGCTTTTTGTTTTACAGATCATCTGGGGGACTATCGAACTCTTAAGACCGCAGGACCAGTGTGCTGACTTACCGTTGACAAACAAACAAAGGAAGTTGATTGGATTGAAGCAGATCAATTTTGGAGAGGACCAAGATGAGTTGAAGGCTGATTTAGTCATCAAAGAAAGATTGTTCGAGAGTAATACCCACAACCCAATCAGGGTGCCCAAGTACCGCCAGCTCAACGAGTTCCAGAAACAACTCCACCGAGACACGAGACCATTACAGGAATCAGAAGAGGATGCGGCAATTGCATTGAGCAACGTGCTTCCAACACGAAGAATTTTTCACTCTGGTCGTCCAATTGATCTTTAGGAATAACGATGAAATGGACCTTGGGATGGAAATATCTTACATAGTTTACATCCTCTACATTCTTTTCATTCTCTCTCTCTATAAGTAGAGTGATTCAATGAAATGTCACTAAAGTGAACTTTACGTTTACCTTCGATTATATAATAAGAAAGTTGGGAATGAGCTCAATACAAACAATTCAGTGCAAATCGTAAGTCAAGTAAATCTGACATGAATGGTACGCCGAAAATCTCAGAATAACAAAAGGACATGATCACCATCTCCCCCGCCTGCCCTTTTTCAGATGCTTCATTGTTCTTTAATTGCTGTCACATTCTATTCTTCTCTCTGCTTTATTTCAATGGAGCAAAACTGTTCTTTGTCCTCTGATTCTGTGCCTAATCTCCATTCACAAATGAGCATGTGCATTTCGGCTGCTGATTCCGTTTTCCGTTTTGCGGGGGTGTTTTGCACCCAACTTGTACACACTGTCACATACTTTCGGATCTGCATCTGATAGAAATAAATCCCGAGAGTACTTGAACTTTTTTAGCGTTTGTTAACATTCTTCAGCTTTTGTAAGCATCTTTTTTCAGATTCAAATATTCTCTCCTTGGTACGTGGACAATCGTCAAGCAATTCTAATCCCACAATGCTGTACAGAGTCCCCAAGATCTCTGGCATGAGCAAGAACACGGACCCAGGCGATATCGAAGACGTTTTGGATATCATCCAGATCGATGAAAATACCTGGGAGGGAAAGTACCCGTTAAGACTCCCTGTTTCAGGTGCTAGAGGTGTCTACGGCGGCCATTTGATTGCTCAGTCGCTCTTGGTATTCATTGACTCGGCTCCCGGCTTCTTACCCCACAGTTTCCACTCTCACTTCCTCAGACCAGGAAATGCTAAGGTGAAATGTCTTTATCAGGTGACGAGATTAAATGATGGCCGCAATTACGCCATGAGGCTGCTCAAGGTATTGCAGAATGACAAAATCGTATTCACGGCGCTCTGTTCATTGGTGAAAAAGGGTGCCGAGGTGACATCCAAAGACATGAACTTGTTGGTTCCTCCTCCTCCACTCCATGCCAAGTATCCCGATCCAAACCAACTTGATCAGCTGATTCACACTGAATTCTGCCAGAACGCATTCTCGGAAGAGTTTTTAGACTACAAGAAGTGCCCTGAAGAGGCGTCTAAGTCACCTTCAGAGCGCTGGATCACCATTTGGAGTAAGCTCCACCAACCAGGGAAGGAGGCCATGAAGGACCCAAAATTCAATTATGTGGCATTGGCAGAGCTTTCAGATTCGGCCATCCTCACCACTTTAGCCAGAGCTTTGCACTTGAATTGGAACCCTACTTTGGACAATCCTTTACAGGAATACGACGATAGCAAAGATGCTAGAAGGATCATCGATCTCTCATTGAATGCGTTGCACATTTTCCATTACGAGGCCATGTCTCTTGACCACCACCTTTACTTCCATACCGACGACTTTGAGAGTTTCAACCCGGTGAAGGATTGGTTGACATTGGCGTACCAGTACAAAATCAGCCGGAACCATCGGTCGTTGGTGAGAGGTTTCTTCTACAATCCTGAGGGAAACTGCGTGGCTACATTTGTTCAAGAGGGTTTGACATACTTGCACCCAGGAGTGCCAGATCAAGCCCATGGCAGGAACTCTTCCAACTTGTAGGTCAGAAATTCATGGGTAATAATACCAATTTGTTGGAAAGTGAAGTGTTGAGCAATACCAGCCACTCTAGGTATGAGGCAGAGTTGAAGGGAGAATAAATGGCTAAATAGAGAGTATACGTAAGGTTAGAAGCTGAATCTATCAAATTAAGTAGATACGACACGTAGGTCTAGATTGAATCATTAATTAGCCACGGTAAAGCAACTTACTTATGTCTCATTCCACATTGGGTCTTCCTCTCTTTCCCTTTCTACTCCAACTACCTACTCCGATTCCTGCATTAGAACCCTGTTATCGCTTATCTCCGTCGATTCTTTTGTCATTCTCTCCATTGACCAAGCATCCTTAATCTTCACCATCAAGTAAATCCTACAAAAATTCACAAGTAGTAACCATACCCAACAAATGATTTTTTTTTATTCAGAGCATGTTAAGCCTCGCTGCTTCCCACAAGTCCTGGACATTGTCTTCTTGCTTCCGAGGCAATTCGCTTTCGCTTGACCTTATTCTATCCACTGATCCTGCACATAACTCCATCATCTTGTGAGAATGTTCCTCGGTACTTTCATGCCACAAGGCCAATCAACCTCTATATAATCCCTATATATAATCGGGTCTGCGCTGAATTCTATAATCTATTCACTTTTATCGGACTTAGTTAATCTTCTTGAACTGATAACTGAAGTATATTTTGGCCACCTTTGTACATTTTTTTCCCCTTTGAATCATCACAATGTCACTGGAAATGACTACCGCTGTTCATCAATCGCGAATCGAAGAGAAGTTTGCTGTGATTAAGAAAAGTGCCACAGAGTTCGTTGGCAAATACCCGCTTGAGGCCTTTTCGGATGCTGCCAGAGGCACCTACGGTGGTGATTTCGTGGCACAGTCGCTTGTGGCCGCGTGGGAAACCGTGGAAGACAAGCTGTTCCATCCCCATTCCTTGCACGCCTACTTCTTGAAGGCTGGCCTGGTTCATTCTGTCATGAGATACGAGGTGGAACCTATGACGGACGGCCGTAACTTCTGCTCGCGTCAGGTGAAATGCTACCAGCTGCACTCAAACCAACTCTGCTTCATTCTCAATGCGTCTTTCACCAAGGACAATTCCATCGCCAGCAGGAAAGAGAAGTTTAGCAAGTTGACCGAGGAAGAGCAGCATCACAAGCACGCCAAGGTTCCTTTGGAGTTCATGCGTAAGCCCAATGCGCTTTTTGACAAGTATATGGACAAAGTGGACACCCTTCCGCAGTTTGAACACACCAATGGAAACATGACACATGCTATTCCACCAGAGACCATGAAGTACAAAACCGATAAGACTACTGAGCCAGGAAGCAAGCTGTTTGGACTTTTTGGCAAGGTGAATGACGATTTGGAGAATGCTAAGGATAGAATCAGTGCCAGCATCATTGACTTTGCTTTCCTCTCGGACTCGTTCTACTTATCTACTTTGGTTAGAGCTATGAATATCAACATGCACGATGAGGATGCCACAAACTTCTTCCGTGTGTCCTTGGATCATGCCATCTTCTTCCATGATGCTGACTTTGACCCCACCGAGTGGATGTTCATAGACTACCTGTTTTCTCGTATGAGCAACAACCGTGCACTTGTAACTGCACAGTTCTACACCAAGGAGAAGAAGTTGGTAGCTACGGTACAGCAGGAAGCGCTTGTATTTATCCCCATGGATGTGGCGAAGAAGACCTCTGGAGGATCTTACAAGCTTTGATGTGGTTTAATTTATTCGGGTTCTTAGGAATATGGTACTATGGTAGATTTTTACAATTGATCTATTTATTATTGAAGTTTGTGTAGATTGAAAATTCCTATACTGGCCAAGTGGTATGAATTTGAAAAAGCACCAAATAATTTAGAATCACTTTGGTGTTTTATCTGATGTCCAGGGTCTTCAATGTCCGGATATTAGAATCGCTTAGTGCCCCACATTTCACTACGCCGGAACCTCTGCCGAGGATATCTCCACAAGGTAATATTAAACTTTGAAAGAAAAAAAAAAAATAATCGAACCATGATCACATTGACATTCGAAAGAATCCGCCAGTGCTATTATCCCTGTTCTTTTCTGTTCCCTCCAACAAAACCCAATGGAAGAGTCGGTGATTTACCCATTGCTGATACCCAAACTGTAGTCTGCAGTGCCGAGGTCTTCACATGGTGGATACTCGGAAGCCCAACTGTGGGGCACGCTATGAATATAAACCTGTAAGCACCGTGACGTTACCAAAGAAAATTACTAGATACCAACAAGTTAGCGGTGATATTTATTCTGTCTTACAAGACTTTGGTGCATTAATTAATATAATAGAGCCCCACTTAGTGCTTTAATACTTCGATAAAGAGTCTTCACTATGTCAACATTTAAAGAAGCTTTTGAGTTGGAAAAAGTTGGGCCCAGCACCTTCAAAGGCATTTACCCACTCAAAAAACCAATTCCTGAAGCACGTGGAGCTTACGGAGGAAACATTGCCGGTCAGGCCGTTCTTGTGGGCATGAGAACTGTGCCAGATGGTTTCTCGCCCAATTCGTTCCACTCGTTATTTGTCAAAGGCGTGCTGGATCAGATTCCTATGGTATGGGAAGTTGAAGAGAACTCAAACGGAAGAAACTTTTGCAGCAGGACTATTCGGGGTATTCAGGACGGAAAAGTAAGGTACATCGTGGAAATTTCCTTCACCAAGAACAATTCGCTCAAGCAGGCAGAAATCAACCATCAAAATTACTTGAACAAGAAGGTGCAGCAGGCTGCTGAACGCAGCGGGAAGGAAGTTGATGACGAAGATGACGATGAATTGGACGATTTGGTTCAGAAACCTTTCTACTTCCTGACACCATACCCTGAATGGCTCAAAGAGGCTACTGAGGATGATCTCATCAGGAAGGAAGATACACCCTTATTTCTTGATCATAAATTTCCACGTCAGTTCGTCTCCCTCAAAGGCACTGAATACGAGGAGGAGATTGCACCCTCAGAAAGAAGAATGTCATATTTTGGACGAATCGGTGATGGAACAACAAAGCTAGAGTCTCCGGACTTACAATATGTGGCTGTGGCCGTTATTAGCGATGCTGTTTTTTTGGCTGAACTTGCTAGAGTGTTTCGTGTGCGCAAAGAGAATCTCAAGCCATATTTTTCCGTCTCTTTGGATCATCACATGTACTTTCACGATACTGATTTTGACTGTACAGACTGGATTGGATTTGCATTTCGGGCGGTACGTTTTGTCAATAACAGAGTGCTTTTAGAGGCAGAAATGTATAATTCCGATGGCCAACACTTTGCCACAATTTTCCAGGAGGGTCTTGTCCACTTGAATGGGTTGTTGGATAGTAAACTTTGAGGATGGTTGAGGGTATTTATGAATGCATAACGTCAAACAGAAGTTCAACAGCAACTCTGACCAAAGAGTTTTGTATGAGTGTAATCTTTTTTTTTTTTCTTCTGCACCATTTTTTCTACTTATGTCTCTTGTTTCTTGAATATCCATGTATTCCAGACATACACCATACTGCAGACACCACTATCAAAAGTTCAAAGTTTGAGCTATCTAATGAACCACCATGTCACGACCAGAATTGGGTAAGAAACTCAATGCTGTTTCGACAGACAACTTACTTGGACTCTTGAAGCGTGTGCCAACTTCCAACAATTTGTTTGTGCCATGCAGAGAGCTCTCACCCCTTCTTAATTATCTCACACCGTTTCTGAATTTGAAGGCTGCCGGTAATTTCGATAAGATCCTCTGGCTAGATGCTCTTGCGGAATCTCAAGATTTACATTCAATAATTGAGTCTTACAGTCTTATAATTCTCATTCGTCCGCACGATCTCGATCTTCTGTTGTTCTCAACTTTGTGGAGCAAAGTAAGACATAACACTCGAATTACCCTCATAGTTCAAAACTTGCAACGTTCTTTCTATTATCAACTTGCGAACCAGACTTTCAACAAGAACTTGCTGCTTGAAAGAATAGCCAATATCGATGAATCTCTGACGACTTTTGACATCTCAAATAATGTTCTCCTAATGAACTGGAAGACGTATCCAATATGCACCCAGGATTTCGTCTTCTCCATTGATATGGACAACGGAGGATTGCCTCTGTATTTCAATAATCCTTTGCAACATGTTTCCAAACTCTCCGATGCTGTGGTCGACATTTTGAGATACACAACCTCGCAAGAGAACATGCTCAAGCTCAAGAATGCATTTGCTAAGGGTGACCACTCGAGTTTGCTTTTGAATAACTTGCTTGAGAACAAAATTCCCGAGATGCTTTCGGAATCTTTAAATTGGGGCGAACAGGAGTTCTACTTGAATGCTCTTAGAGGCAACACCGACCTTGTAGTTTTGGAGAGAAACTTGGATTATTTTCCCCTCTTGTTGAGTCATACGAATTACCTGGGGTTCTTGGACGATATAATTGGAACTAAAGACGAGTTTAACAACGAATTGAATAATAACGTCAAGCTCCAGGATGAAACATACAGCATGCTTAAACATATCAATGTTTCCTCGATAGAATCGCTACTCAAAGATGCTGCCAAGTCCTTGCGCTCCGAAAGAGAGAAACTCGAGGAGAAAAATAAAAAAACTACTCAAACTTCAGATCTCAAAGGTTATCTTAACGACGTCAATGCTCTCGATTCGCGCAATAAGGAGTTTGAAAAGTACATTAATCTTATTGAGGAAGCCTTTGGTAAGTTTGATTCAAACAAGTCTGGAAATGAGAAATACGATATGGCTAAGGAATGGCTTGGTATCCAGAATAATTTGTTTGATAATGACTACAAAAATCGACTTGCCAGTGTGTTTCTCCTCATCAATGAGTTTTCCTCTTTCGAAAGAGTAGTGACTTTGGTTGTTCTTGTATCACTTTCAAGTGATGGAATTTTCCAAAGTGATTTCGACAAGATTGAGCTGGAGATTGCCATCCACTACGGCTTGGAGTCTGCGCTCACTTTGAAGAACTTGAAAGAGTACAATCTTATTCGAGTCAATGAGAACAGTTCTTTTCTTGCCAATTTCCAATTTGGTCGTACAGAAACGGTTTCTACATCAACAGAGGGAACACCAGCAGCACCTGGAGCCATCAATGAAGAGAGAAACTACGACGACATTTCACTTTTAGGGCTTACTGGTGGACAGGACGTATACAAGAGTACGTACACTTATACTCTTATTAGTAAGATGTGGAACTTGCATCCGCCAGACGACAACCAGGTGATTGCTAAGTCAATTGAGGATTATACGCTTCCAAACTTCACGCTTGCGTCTAACACAGTTCCTCTTACTAATCGCATTGTGGAATCTCTCTACTTTCGTGAGTTCTTGACGTACTCTCCAGTGAACAACATATACCGTCGACCCAATTGGAAGAAACTCAACCTAGACACCATGATTAAAGGTCAAACAATAGATGAGAACTTGTGTGACGATCTGGATGACCGCAAATCACTTCTGACTACGGGGCTTAAAGAGGAGTACGTGATTGTTGTCTTAGTAGGAGGAATCACTCGTTCTGAAATCAGCTTGTTCCAGCATCTACAGAACAGGCTCCGGATCAAAAAGAAAACGCTTTTGGTGGTGACAAGTGGGTTGGTAAACAACCGCAAGCTTCTCAGGACCATGAGTACAATTGAATAGGAATAAAAGGGGAGTCATCTCAACCTCCCAATGTGCTACACACCAAGCAATGAATTCTTGTATTGAGCGAATATGCAAATAAGGGTAGCGGCTATACAACCTGCTTAAACAGAGTCCTCTGCCTCCTTCTCAGCCTTCAACTTGGCGTAGAAGGCCTCTCTCTTCTCAACCAATGGCTTGTGCTCGTACTGCCAGTAGAGGCCAGCCAAAACAAAACCACAGCCGAAGCCGATGGAGATGTCGGTGATGATCTTCTTTCTCAACATGCCAGTGATTGGAGCGATGGCAGACATTATGAATATGGTGTTCTGATAAGTAGGTGGTTATTGAATTTTTCCTCTCACTTTCAATACTGAGCTATCTACAGGCGGAAAGGTGGGACAATTCTCAAGTAAGCCAATGAACGGTCGCGAATACTTGATGGCCGGAGGCACGGGTGTGCAGCGAAAACATGGCTCCACTTAACAAAGGGAAAAAAATCCAAGGACTTACCCTCAACAAACTATACTCCACACAATGATTGCCAGAATTGGATTGAGAACCTCCAGAGCCACCAGAGCCACCAGAAACTTCCAGACCTCCTCCAGAGTGTTGCTGGGCAACGTTTACGGCTCTCCTAAGGAGGGTGTTTACTCCAACTTGCCATTCAAGGTCAAGACCAAGGTTGTTCCATTCGGCGTTGGCTGGTGGGGTGTCATGGGTTTCTTCTTTGCCTTCCCATTCTTGACTTCTTACTGGCACATGAAGAAGGCCGGCAACATCTAAATGTCTGCAGCTGCCCGGTCACTTTGCATTACAAATATTCATAGGAATACAAACTTTACAAGAGACATGTAGAATTTTGGGGGTGGAAACGATAATACCTATATGTATAGTTTAATGTGTACCGTCGTTTAAATGGATCTAGATGAAGTGAGTATAACCTCAAAGTTATAAGTTTCTGAATGTCTACCATATATAAGGTCTAGTTCTGGCTAAGTTATCCACCGTATAATCTATTCAATTGCCCTGTTATTGGATAAACCGTTATGATACTAAGTTCATTCTGAATAATTTTATGAGATTGAAATTTCCCGGTTCTACTTGAAGTCCGGCTTCGTTGATATTTGAAGTTGCATTAATAGGAAAGATAGTGCTCCACTCCAATCTAGTCCTTTAATACCCTCGTTTAAAATTTCAGACAGTTGTCTTCTGTCGCTAATTTCAAAATCCATGATACCTTGTATCGATCCTGTAAATGCTATATATGAATGTCTCCATGGTATATGTGATCACTTCCTTAGTCTTGTTAATGCTAGTTCATTCTTCAATCAAATTTTTGTGCTCGAGTATACTAAAATAGACTGATTAGATCACTCTCCAGACCCACTGTCTACTATTCAGTCCGAACAAACTGATATTTCGATTGTATCTGTACACTATAGTCCATCGTTGCAAATGCCCCATTCTTCAATCCTGGCAATAGCTCTCAGTTATTCCAGGGTTGGCAGCAACTTGACCCACCCAATATCTATATTTCAAAACGCACCCTCTTCACAACTCTATCTCTATCTGCAGCCGACCTCTTTAAGCTGGACCTCCCTGTAAATCCAGCACTCGCTGCTGCACTCGAAGGAATAATGCTAGCATTTACGTGCAAATCGTCTTGTAAAAATGATTCTTCGGGATCATACCCATCCCCATCATCATCATCGCTCATGAGCGATGTACCTGAGCTTATATGTGTAATTTCGTTCTTAGGACTTCCCATAAGAGTATCCTGGAAATTGAACGACGCAATATTCAAACCTAGGCTCCCAGCCAAGGATTCACCGTCTTCAGCCACAGCGGATTTCACTGGGGTCGATGGCTCAGCTTCGACTGGAGGTACTATACCATCAACAATTGATTTACCCCATTCAGACACAAACGACTCAAAATTTGCATCCTTTGTGCTTCCAAGTATCATCAGTATATTAACACTCTTGGGCTTCAAGTTGATTTCGATATTAACATCCTTAGATTCAAGCGGAATTTGAGCCTCAGCCAAAGAGTTTCTTCTCTTGACGATTTCTTGTTGTTGAAAACTTTGATCGTCAAGAGCTCGTCGTATCCTTTGAAGATCTGTAGCGTACTGCTCTTTATGTTGTTCGAACTCCTGCTTTTGTTCTATCATCACGGTTTCACTGATAGTATTGATTTCGTAGATGAGATTGTTACGGATATGGTGAAACTTGCTAATAGCGGCCCTTTCGTCCTCTTTCGCCTCTCGATCCGCAAAACTTTCTTCTAGCCCTTCATCCAAAGCAATCACATATTGTAGCAAGTAGTTACCTTCTCGAAGCAAAGTGTCGCGAGTAATTCTCACCTGTTCTGTTGGAGCGGATGTCAAGGATGTAGCCTTGATAATGAACTCTTCGATCTTCTTTAGCACATCGTGTGAAAATAGATCCAGACCCGCACTTGTCTTTCCTGTTAACCAAGTCTTGAATAGATTAATCAAGTTTTGTCTTGTCATAGTGTCGGTCACAATCAAGTATGTCTCGGTGAAGTTCTTGTATAGGTTATTAGTAAACATCAAATTGTAAGGATTTCCAATGTTCTTGACAATCGAATCCATCAAGTAAAAGCTGAAGAGTTTATACTTGGGAAGAATCTTGGCAATTCGGTCTTCAATGAGACCGACAATGGTGTTGGCATCATCAATATATTTTTCTGCCAATCCTGTGAGCTCGGTGATCAACGCTCTCGAATTGAGAGTGAGCGAGTTGAGGAGGTGCTGGAAATAATCCGCACTGAACTCCTCGTCGGTATCCATTTACGGTTGCTTGATGGCTATTCTACGGTATAAGAGAAGAAGTTAGTGTAATTGGTGGATGTATTAGTTGTCTGGCATGTAAGCGGCGATGGTCGAGCATTTTTGCACGTGCTCACTAACGTGATTACAATAATACATGCAGGTTCGATAACGGAGTGATTCTTTGGGAATTAACATGCAGAACCATCTAGTTGTTGGTACACTTAACCTTTCCACAAACACATAGCAATGCACAAACGGCTATCTGGAAACATGCAAGCAATGGCCAGCTCCGTGTAATGAACTAATCGTCTTTGCATTTGCCTATCGTATAGGCAATGTTTGTTGAAGTCTGCCGATTGAATAATAAAATAAGAGTTCTTGCCTAGTCAACGCTCATCAAGAATATGACCCTCGGCAACCTGAGAGCCACCATTCTTTTACCGGCAGGTAGTTCGTAGTTTTTGAATACTTTCCGTTTAAGGCAGCATTCGGCTATCTGCGATTTGTGTAACCGACCGAAAGGGCAAAGCTTAACTGAGAAGTCAAAGTGGTGTGTATTGACCGATCCATAAACCTAATCGACAAGAATGCACGCACATTGCGAACTGTATGAACCAACAGGATAGGAGCTCATGACTATGCTGGAAGTTGGGGTAAGAGAATACACGAGCAATGGAGAATTCTGACTAACCAGCCGCACGTTTGTGACGGACATCGAGAACAATTCCGCTAGAAAATAGCAGACATTGCATGGGATACGGTGGTCCGACTGAGGAGGCCGAGAGGTCTGGGTGTGGGACATGGGAGTTTAAGGATGCTCATGGAGACTAAAGTTTGAAGTGGGTGTGAGTGTAAAGATTGGTGAGTGGGGTTGAAGGGGAGTTGTTGCGTGAAGATAGCAAAAAAAAGTAACAAAAAAACTAATCGATAATCTTTCAGCAAATCAAAAATAAAATAGACATTAAACTAAAAGAAAAATGGGTATGTTATTCCGGACAGCAATAGGAAACTTCATGCATCTGCCACTCTTGACTTCGTTGCTTCCCTTAACGATTCCAGCCGATTTGAAAGTGACGTAGTTCGCTTCGGCCTGTATATTGATCTACGATAGTCGCTAAGCATTGCCGCAGTACATAAACTTTAATTTCGCTCTAATGTGGGCTTCAGTCACCTAGTGTCATCAGTGTTGGGACATCTAAAGCCACATACGCATATATGCTTGTCGACTTAATGTTCTAAACTCCTTGACCGTAATGCCATGTGACGCTGTTCTCGTAACTCAACTGGGTTGGGGAAGTCTAATCTTAGTAGCCCACTTAGGAGACTTTTGGCTCATTTTTCTTGCAATGCAATCAAAAAAATAAAAAAAGAGAAGAGCAACCTACCGATACTACATTGTTGTACGCTTTTCGTGCCATAGCCGGCACATGCGGATCTGAACATTTCCCTGGGGATTATTAGAACATGCAATGCTCGTACGTTTCGCCAGCAAGTGAAGGTCACTGCGACGGATAATAAAGATCATTTTGTTGAGCTTTGGAGTAAACAACCAATGATATGGTGATAATAACAATACCCCAGAGGATCCATCAGGTACCAAAATAATGGCCCGCAGTGGCCCAATGTTTGCCAGTCTTCTGCACAACATACTGCACCAATGTATTGTTGCAAGAAATTCTTCTAAAATTGGTGATCATGGTTAGTTTTAGAAAAGAGCAAAGCTGGAAGTCAATCTTCAACTAGATTTGGGACACTTACATTTTAAGCTTCTTTCTTTCTGTGCACTGGAGGTAGCAGGTCGCTATGGTTTTGATGACAATGAAAACTTGTTCACGAATCATTACGCTTCCATTACTACTAGTGATAAGAGCATTGGGAAGGTGAATGTGATCTTGCCTCCAATTGGGAAATTCAGATTTTTTTTAGTTTCCTATCTAAATCATGCAACCGCTCCTCTATCACTTCGACTCATTGTCTTATCCATTCATCTGATACCGTTGCAAATCTCATTATAAGGTGCGAGAAAGATCATTTCCATGAGATGCAGGTAGTTTGTTCAATTGTTAACCCACAGAATCCAGGGCACTGGCATTACAATACGTAGATGGCCTCATTCTGTTTCTTTTTTTTTTTTATTTTTTTCAGTATACTCTTGTTTTTCTTTCCTTTTGACTATCAACTCATATCTCAAATCAAGTGGGCCTGCTGCATTAAAGTTTTGCTCTTTTGGTTTGCTGGTGGGTTTTCCTGAGTGTTGCCTTGTGGATTTTAGGTCCCAATTATCTCGATTTTAACCTCTCGCATTGTCCAAAACATCTCATACAGATTAGAGCCCTTTCTTATTCTGTTTTTTTTTTTTTTTTTTTTTTTTCAACGACCACTCACCCTTCATTTTGTTTAAATTTCCTACTTATAGAAGCTTTGGTTTCAATAGATGACTATCGCGGTTGACTCATTCTCGCCGAAACCGGCATAGGAGGGCGCACCCCGGCCCGAAAATTTTCTTTAGTTCAGACTGTCGGTCACCTTTAGTATCAAGAAACCTAGACAAAACATGTTGAGAGCTTCGTTCGCCCGCCAGACTTCTGGCCGCTTTTTCTCGTCCAGTTCCGCTTCCTTCGACAAGATCAAGGTCAAGACCCCCATCGTTGAGATGGACGGTGACGAGATGACAAGAATCATTTGGGCCAGAATCAAGGATAAGTTGATCAACCCATACTTGGACGTGGATTTGAAGTACTACGACTTGGGTATTGAAGCCAGAGACAAGACTGATGATCAGATCACAATTGACGCTGCCAATGCCATTAAGGAGTACGGTGTCGGTGTCAAGTGTGCTACCATTACCCCAGACGAAGGTAGAGTCGCTGAATTCAACTTGAAGAAGATGTGGTTGTCTCCAAATGGTACCATCAGAAACATTTTAGGAGGTACTGTTTTCAGAGAGTCCATTATTATTCCAAGAATTCCAAGATTGGTCCCTGGATGGGAAAAGCCAATCGTGATTGGTAGACACGCTCACGGTGATCAGTACAAGGCTACAGACTTGGTCATTGAAGAGCCTGGTAAGTTGGAGCTTGTGTTCACTCCAAAGAACGGCGGTGCCCCAATTACCAAGACCGTGTTCGACTACAAGGACCGTGGTGTCGGTTTAGCCATGTACAACACTGACGAGTCGATCATTGGATTTGCACACTCCTCCTTCAAGATGGCCTTAAGCCAGGACTTGCCATTGTACTTGTCTACCAAGAACACCATCTTGAAGAAGTATGACGGTCGTTTCAAGGACATTTTCCAGGAGATTTACGAGAAAGACTATGCTTCTCAATTTGAGGAGAAGAACTTATGGTACGAGCATAGATTGATTGACGACATGGTCGCCCAGATGGTCAAGTCTAAGGGAGGATTTGTTATGGCTTTGAAGAACTATGACGGTGATGTGCAGTCGGACATCGTTGCCCAAGGTTTCGGATCTTTAGGTCTAATGACTTCGGCCTTGATGACTCCTGATGGAAAGGCATTCGAGAGTGAGGCTGCACACGGCACTGTCACCAGACACTTCAGACAACACCAACAGGGTAAGGAGACATCCACCAACTCTATCGCATCCATTTTTGCCTGGACTCGTGGTATCGCTCAGAGAGGTAGATTGGATAACACCAGCGATGTTGTTGAATTTGCCAATACTTTGGAGAAGGCTACTGTTGACACTGTCCAGCAGGATGGTATTATGACCAAGGACTTGGCTTTGGCCTGTGGTAGAACTGATCGTGAGTCTTACGTCACCACCACTGAATTCTTGGACGCTGTTGCTGACAAGTTGAAGGCATCTGTTTAGATGTACACCATATATGGTATTTTAATGCATCTTTTTGCCAGAATTGTTGTTAATTTCTTTTTCTTGTATGCTGAGCCAGAGCTCGTGAGTTGAAATTGGGAAGTTGAAATTACTGACCTGAAATTGTTGTGTTGAAATTGTTGTGTTAATCCTTGAGAGATGTAATTCGCTTTGATTCGACAGGCAAAACATCAAGCCTGATTATTTTAAAGAAGTCTCTCGAATCAGATCGGTTCAAAAAATAGAAAATCCGATTTCCGAATTATCCATCGAAACATTCTTCACTGCACCAACTAACAAAAACTTAGAACAAAAACTATACTTTTTCTTCTCTAAATCGATGAGTTTCAACTGATTCAACACTAAAAGGATCGAAACTTAAGTTCCGTTTCCGAAAAGGGTTGATAGAAACATTAATACTTCTTCTTGACAACCATGGTCAAAAATTTTTAAAAAATAGTACTCGAATAATGAAAAGAGCCTATATACGGAAAGGTTACTTGCGTCTTAAAGCCTAAAAATACCTATGTCGCATATCACAGAAAATTATCTGATGCTTTGAAATTCAGTTCCATTTACTGAAATTGACTTACGAGAATATTTCTATTCCAACCGCTTGTGGAACGAGGGCTCCATTTGAACAATTCTTCAAGGATTATGCACACGATGACCTAGAATTTACGGTTGTTTGTGCCCAAGCCATGCACATCTCCGATAGAAGGCGTGCCCTGAAAACAAGAAAGTACTTGATGATCGACAGTCTCCAAATCAAGCCGCACGGATTCACTTGAAACAATAGCACAATGCACGATATGTAGGAATGTGCAGAGGCAGAACAAAAGTTTGGATTCTTTCCACCACCATTCCAGATTTGGAAATTGACGAGGGGTTTATAAGACCATCTGTCGAGAACAATTCACGATGAAACAGAACAATAATAGTCAGCTTCCTCAGCTGCTACGCTTTACTTGGTGTTCACAACCGTTTTCTGACATGTTAACTCTTGTAGCTGTACCTAGACATCCTCCACTATTGGGATGGGGAAAACGAAAAGAAAAATAAATAAAACCCTGGTCGATGTCAAGAATAGCCAGCAATGCATAGCGGAATTCATGATAGAAGCCTGGATGACTTCTCACGTTCTGACTATACTCGAAACGTATGCATATGGCAGCGTCAAATGACATTGCATTTCACGTACTCGCGTAGGTGCCGATGCAACTGAAGAAGGATTCTTCAAACTTGCAACAAACATGGAGTGGCAAACTTATGAATGCAACTGCTCCATTAGTCTAACACTGTGTGAAGACGAACGATAAGGGTCACTTAAAATGCAACCATTCAATCAAAAAGAAAGTAACATATCATGCGCTACGAGAAGTCAACCTTGTTGTAGGGACAATGAGCGAAGAGTGAAAAAGAAAGAAGAAAAAATAAAGACAAGAGAAAATATTCACACAGGCCACACAAGTTCCCATGTTGGGAATGCAATGGGCCCCACTCGCCTTATTCGGATCAGGACAAAATCATTCGAGGGTGGGCCATATGCACATCCTCGACATGAAAATTCGACTGGGATTGAGCTTTTTATGTCTTTGTATTTTTGGTATGCACAGAACACGTGAAACTTCGGAAAACTATTTCCGTCACACACCCACGTGGAATGACTTCGATAAACGCGGATCCAGGGACCTATTGTTGGAAGAATAGGAAAATAGTGAAATGAGAAGGTGTCTTGATCTCACCAAGAAACAAAGAGACTAAAGCACTGGAACCTATTATCACCAGGGTTCATAGAGAAGAAGGCGCAGGCTGCGTCACCCTTATGCCGGACCGAAAATCTTGCATTCAACGACTCAGGAGCCCTGTTACACTAACGGCTTCCGACTACACAGGAGAAAAGATCGTGTTCCTGTTTGCTAAGGGAGAGGTGCTCAGGTTGCGTGAAGGAAACTTTAACCTAATCTCGTCACCGCAGCATCCAGATTAACGTAATGCAGCACTGGCTACAGTGTGGCTGTTGGAGGGTTCCGCATCTGTAGGCCCCGTTAGGGCGTCAGGGCATCTGCCCGATCCTTTCGAATGTGGGTTTATATTAGTATCCTGACACCCGCCTTCCTTGCGTCATTGAACAGCTTTTTTATTTTTTAGTATCCCATTGCACCAGTGCCGGAATTCTAGCGATAAGTTACAAACCACCTAGTGACCTCGGACTTTGCCTACCGATATATAAGCGGTATAATATAGAAGACGTATCCTTACGGATTTGTGCTATACCAAATTTTTGGCAAGTGTTCCTTTTTTTTTGTCTAAAATCTCCATATCACTTTTTTTGTGGTATCATTAACTCCAAAAGTGGTTTTTGGTGTCTGCGCTCAAGGTCAACTAGTTAGCCACTTACAACCGATCTTCCAACCTTTCGAATCATACTTTATTTTGAGTTTTCAGTTTCCATTTTACATTGTCAAGATCAGATTTCATCTTCATTTCTATTAATTATTTGATCTCCTCCTACCATTTTATCCCAAATGTCTCAAAATCTCGTCCGGTTACCGTCTATTACTGATTTAACCACGCTGTTGAACAATAAAAGTCCCCATTTCCAGCCTCCCGTGAATCAAATGTGGTTCCAGGGCAAGACGGCTTTTCCCCAGCAGAATTTTACACCGAGCCCAACCTCTCGACTTTATCCTTTGCAGCTGGTTCTGCTGGCAGAAACCATGCATAATGCACCAAGATCCATGGCTGACAACTTCCGGTTCGTTCAGACGCCTTCAAACCACCGCCAGAAGCGAAAAAAAGCAAGAATAGATGTCAACGATCGTGGAAATTCTTCTCATCGTAATGATTCTGCGGCCCTGATTATTAACGATCCAACAGTGAACTTCCCCATCGCGAATCCCGAACTTCCACCAAATGTTATTCCTACTGAGGAGCTTAACAATCTCAAAACTACTGTTTATCCATCAATTGTGACTAAAAAGTATACTGCTCTGGCGTTAGATCCACTGAAATCACATCTCGTGGTCTATGAGTACGCCGTAGGAGCACATTGGGTTATTTGGGACCACGATACTGGGTATGTCCACTTGACAGGACTTTGGAGAGCTGCTCTTCAGGAAAGAGCACTTCAAAAGAATTCTGATGGCATGCACCATGTCAAAGCCAACGCCAAGGCCGATATTGTTAAGCTTTTAGAGCTGACTCCCAAGTCTCTTCATCCCTATATCAAGAGGGTTCGTGGAGGGTTCTTAAAGATTCAGGGAACTTGGGTTCCTTTTCACTTGTGCAGAAAATTAGCCGTTCGATTCTGTTACTATATTCGATATAAATTGGTTCCAATCTTTGGTGCAGAATTCCCCAACCAGTGTCTTCGTCCATCGGATGCTGGTTTTGGAGAGCTTCGCTTCGACGAATCCTCTCCTGACCTATTGCTGCCACAATCATCACCTCATATTCTGAATGAAGGTCAATCACCAATCATCCATCAGCAATACAATCAGACTACTCATCCTGGACAATCCCATTATGGGCATTTGCGAACAAATATTCCAGCGTCTCGAGTTTTACACGGACATTTACATCCATATGAAATCGGTGCAAACAGGGCCCAATTCAGCACCCCGCAATACCAGGAAATGGAACAGAAGCAATTCCCATTCCATGGCTACTATAATACTAATCAGAGACATAGTCTTAGTGGACCTGGACAATTCCCACCACCTGGGGCTGGTCCCATCTCCATTCCAGGTCACAATTTTATTGCGGTACTTGATACACATCCCAACATGAGGCCACATCCACTTCCCACTCCGTTTCATCATAGTCTTCCACAGATTCCGACGGTGCCGAATTTTACAGTTCCGTATACTAATGTTGTTCAAAAGCCGCAGGCTCCGGCTTTGACACCAAAACTAACTGATGCCCCCGAAGAAGTTGCAATAACGCAACACCAGCCTAAAGATAAAACCGATCTGCCCAAAGAAGAGCAGACAGGGATGACTTACACTGATATGGTAGATATTGTGAATGCGTCTAAGTGTCTTCAGAGCTTGAGCAAGCGAGAGTCTATGTCGCTGGAGCTGCTGGCCCATCTGGATAAGATGCGCATCGACCACCTGTTGTCTTAGTATACCATTATGGTCATTTCAGTTGAATACATTTACCGTAAGTTTTGAAGTTGTAGGGTGTAAGATACAAAAATAACTCCGGAGTTTGGAGGTGGCGGTACCCACATGGCGGTGGCCCATTCCACATTCTCTTTGCTCAGGGGCATTCGTTCTTTCTGATAATAGATGCATCGCTGAATTCCACTTTAGGCGCCTTGCGTCTTCTACAATGTACAGTACCGGACATAAATCCAAACTAATAGAAAAGGAGTCAAGCATTTGCGTGGGGCCCCTGCAGAAAGCACACACAAAGTGGCCAACTGATCCAGCCATGCGCCATTAGACGCATGGACCTATTCATAGCAAAACCTGCCGTGTGATGCGGTGGCCCGCATCGCCTGACCATTTGACGGATTGATTTCACGACACAAAGACGACACAGGATGACACAGTGACATATCGAGCACTTACATTCTCGTCCTCGAGGCTGCAACTAACACATGGCTCGCATTCCTATGGGAGCTCCGCCCCCACCTTATCTCATGGTTTGAGCCTTGAGTAGCAACAACTTGAGTAAATGTGAGGTAACTAAACTGAGCGCAGAGGCGGTTAAATCGACATGTATGCTCACCCGTTTGGTTAACGTTTGCGACAAATGCCCGAATTTTATTGTCTGGATTAGAGGTGTGTAAGTGTGACCTGTTTGACACACTTGTCTCCGCCATGTAAATGTGCCGCCAGAGGCATGCAAGTGGAATAGTTGCCCCAACCATTTCTCGGGTGACCACATGATTTTCGCCACCTTGGGCTTCGAGCTTTGACATTGAGATCACACTCAGGGAGGATAGTGTAGGTAAAACAAAATTCACATGTAATTGCGAACGAACGGAAGAAATGTAACTTTAAGCACGAGAATGGACACAGTGTATGAGAGGACAAATTCGTATGAGGGTTAGAAAGTGTAACTAGCAAAAAAATATCTTGTTCAAGGTCTGCAAATCATGGAGAATCATGCATGACGCGGTACAATCTGCGGGTCTCGACGAACAGAAGAGAGGTCGGGAGTGCATGCTACCAAGCTTAACAATAGTGATAGTCGGTTAGCATCAAATGTTTTCGCAAATTTCAAATTTGGGGCTACCTTGTCATCTGCTTCGAGGAGCGAATTTCAACAATTCACCTTCCACGTGAATGACTGCCTAGCTCTCGCTCCGGCTAACCAGAGATTTTCCTCGGTGGAGTTAGCCGTCTCATCCTCTTATTCTTCTGCCCGTAATTAGGATCGCCAGTAAATCTTTGGTAACTTTCGGATCAGTTAGGTACTTTACAGCATGTGTGCCCGGGGAAAATTTTCAAAAGCATGCCTGTCATCTTACACCGTAAAAGGAAGAGTTTGAAAACCTTGCTCGTTTGCCGTGAATGTCCACTTACGTGTTCACTTGTGCATTTTGCATGTTCTCAAAAATTTCGCAAAAAGGGGACACTCTTAGCAAATGACGTCAAGTAACTTAGTACTGAGAACTTACGACCACTAAGACGATATCTGCAAGTGTTTGTGTTGAACAACCAGCAAAGAGTCAATTGTAATCTACCAGTCCACATAATATCATGTTTGTTCCTGTATAATGTATTCTAATAGATACTAATTTTGGGCAAACAAAAAATTGGAAATTGCTGGAAATGGCAACAGGGACATTCTTATGCTGAAAAGAAGTCAATGTTTATTCTGTTTGGAACAACAAAGATGTGCAAAACGGTGTATTCTATGTTCATGGGCCCAATTATTCAGCCTTTTAAAAGCTGCACTACCACGAAACTGAATCAAGTTATATAAAGATCTTTACTTCTAAGTACTCAATAGAGTACATCTGCCCTCTATCGAAATATGCTTTGCTCCAAATTTCTTCTGTCGCTACTGGATTAACGTGGGGAGAATCTACTCTATTTGTGAACCCGTACCTCCTACAATCAACAACATCAATGCTAAACCTGCACTTGCAACTGCCTATTTGTCCAAATAAAACCACCAATGGACTTCGTGGGCTTTGAATCATTCTCAGAAAATGATCTGTTGCCATCACCGCAGCCTTCGTTGTCGCTTCCTCTTAAATCAAACATCGAAAACTTGGGCTTGAAGTTATCTAATTTCAACAATCTTCGAAACCTTCTTAAGCATACAGAGGAAAACTCAACGACTGAGGATGCTGGAGTTCGTTTAGCAGAAAAATTCGCCAATGTCTCGTTACAACTGTTAGATGATTCATCCAGCCTGCCTTCTGCTGTCGAAAATTTGTCGGAAGAAGATGTGGATATAGCAAGAAGTACAACGCTCACCAAAAGATTGGGACGTGCTTTGAACCCCAGTTTATCAGATCAGAAGACTCGGGAACTTTTCACGCGTTTGGAAAGTAAAATTCCTGATATGGACGTGATGGTGGATGCTGGAGTGATCGGAGCCATGACAAGAAAGAACTTGCGTGGGGAAATTGAATCTGATCTCATAAAGAGCCACCTGGCAGTCTTGGCTGATTATGCTAAAACAATCAAAAACTTGAAATATTTGGGTGAACGAGTTGATAGTTTTGATAAGCAGGTGGCGGAAACTAATGAGTTACTTGCTAAAGATCTTTCATTGACAGCAGACTTGTCTGGTAATGTTAAGGAACTAACGGATTCGAAAGTGGCACTTAATTTGAAAAAGGGAATCCTTATGAGTTTCCGTGAGCAATTTACACTCAATGAATATGACAACTATGTGCTTCACTCCAACGAAATCAATGCAGATTTCTTTGCAGCTTTAGCTAAAGCTGAGGCTATCAATTCGCGTTGCCTGGTTCTCCTTGCATTAGACAATCCTGAGCTTGGTCGCAAGGTCATGGCGAAAAATAACGAATTGATAAATCGGACGAGTGAGAAGATCTTGAGTTTTTGCAACCGAACCTTATCGAATTTCTATCTGCTCAATAATCGAGCAAGAATGGAGCAACTACATCTCTCTTTACGCTACTTGAAAGGTAAGCCAGATCAGCTTGAGTCGGTTGTGAACCTGTTTGTAAACTCAAGATCCACAGCATTGGTGGATGAATTCAATTTACAAACCAGCGGGCATGGGGCTGACGATTCAACACATTCGTTATCAGACTCAAGACCGGTCTTCTACTCCTCTCATGATCCAGTGAGATTGATTTCGGATTCGCTCGCGTTTGTCCATTCCTTAGTTGTTAATGAATCGGAAACTGTGGAAAATCTTTTCGGAAATACTCCAGAGTTCTCGGAAACTACCAACGCTATGGTATCGAGAATCTTGAATGCTTTAGCTAAACCAATCAAGTCACAGATTGAACTCTTGATTTCTGTTCAGACAAAGCTTCCTTTAATTTTCCAGATATTCAGCAATTTAGATCTCTATCTGCTCATGTTCCAGAAGATTTCCAACGCTGGTAGCATTACCAGTGCAATCAACGAATGTATTACAATGACGCAAAATAAGGTTGTCACTGTTGTCACAAACAGATTGGCTACGGTTCGCAATTCCAACCTGGCTCAAATCGACCTCTCTTCTGATCTTCAGCCTCCAGAATGGATCATTGACTATTACTCTGATTTGTTGCCCATCTTGGATAATGCAACTACTGAGATGGTGTTTAACTTTACCCAAGAGCAGCAGGATAAGTTTCTCTCGCTTGTGGTCGACGAACCCATATCTATTTTCTACGAGCATCTTTCCCTGGTTTCAAAAACTTTCGGAAAAAGGGACATACTCATTTTCAAGTTGAACTTTTTAGATTTGGTTCTCTCAAAAACTATGCCACTTAGAATTCTAAGCGACAAAGTCTTAGATATCAACCACCAGATCAATGACTACTCGACTGAACTTAAAGAGGTGCAAGTTCAAACTCTCTTGGAAAACTGTCAGCTCACTGATTTCTACAATATTATCAGTATGATCTGTCCAATCGATGTTGAAATGTTGGATCCTGCTATTTATCAGGCAATCACTGAGAATAAACTCTTCAAAAAGGAAGTCATTGTCGAATCTAATGCCAAAATTCAGCTGGCGCTCCCATCGGCACTTATAGACATCCAGTCTGCTCTTATGAAACTCAACAGCCCCATAATTGTCACAGACATTATTACTTCTTCCTCAATTCAATTTGCATATTTCTACAAACTCTTGTCTGAGATTGTTGAGATGTACTTGAAAGAGCAATTATTCTCATGGACCGATCTTGAGGTGGCAACCTTACTTGGTGTTGAACTGGCATACATAGAAGAAATTGGGCAAACGTCTTACGGAACCTAGATAACCGAATGGTTCCAGTGATTCATGCATTAGTATATAGTCTTTAGTCCCTTGACGGAATTTTTCCTCTTCCGTATCCATCCTTATGATAGTAATCCATAGGATAATATTCTTCCTTCCATACGTCCTTCTTGGACATGACCATGGCCTCATAAGGAGTAAGTAATGGCTTCTCAAACGCATATCCCCAATCAATAGACAATCTGGGACATGCAACTTGAACAAATGCATCAATATCATCAAACATAGCAAGCTTCTGTGGGAAAATCTCACTTAAAATGATCTTCACGACTTCGATGCCCGCCTCGTGAAATACCTTCTCAAGCCTATCCAAAGTTTGTGGGTTACCCTGTCTTCCCAATGCACCCAAAATGAGGCCAACTTTCTTTGCATTTCTTGCACAGTTAATTGCATCCTGTCTTACCTTCACCATTTGATCTTGATCATAGTATTCTCTGGTAAATTTCCTAGAGTATGGATCATATCTAAATGCTGGTACATCTGGATTGTGAATCATTGCACTCTCCAAGTGGAAACGGCCGTCTCCCACATATATCATGGCATTTATGTTCTTGTCTAGCCTGGCAGATGTGCATCCCAATACTTCTCCTTTTGACAAAGGGGAAGTCTGTGGAGGGATAATGTAGATGGGCTTGTCTTCGTCATTTTCTAGACGTGCCCGAATGCTATGAATGGTTGGATTGAATTGAATGGTTCCGAAACAAGCAATGTGATCTCCTTGGTTAAAATTTCTCTTCACGGTGTTAATCAAGTGTGTTTCATCGATATTGATAGTTACGAAAACATATAGCACCTTGATTTTAGTAACATCGATAGGCACAAGGCACAGATGAGCATAGTGAATAATGAAATCACAGTCAAGTGCACGAGCTGTATAGTCATCGATGCAGCAAGCTCCATACGACACATCCCCCATTACCACAGTCTCCACTTGACAAAACTGCTCCAAAATGTCCGAAATGATGAGGGAGTAAATGAGCAAACCTTCTGGCATTTGAAGCGCCACACGGCTTGCCTTGTGTTTTCTGATATTCCAGACACATTTATGCACCTCAAAGTTGTAATTGGAAGGTAGAAGCTTTATAGCTTGGTTGAGATCTTCATCGTTAAGAATATCTTCCGGAATTTGATTCATAACTCTACTCAAATGTCTTTTTTGAGTACCAACAACAGCACCGGTCGATCCCAGGCCAGATTTACGGCCCACGAATCTTCTTCTCGGTTTTTCTGTAGACATTTTGTATTCGCTAAAGAATTGGTAATGCATTTTCAACTCATCGCATCATGATGTACAGGTAGGGTGTGGACTTGGCCAACCGTGCGAGGTAGTAATTGTAATCATTACAATCACTTTTACAAATTCGAGGTTCAAGCATAGAACCGTTATTTAACCATGCTAACGCCGTCATTTACAATCACTCAGGATGACGAGTTTGTCTTCATTAAGGTGGAGGTGTCGCACATCAGATTTTCTGCTAAAGCTATAGAGATGGTTGCCAATGGGGACGTTTTCGTTTTCTCACTTCCGCCTTACTACTTGAGACTTAGGCTACCATTTAATGTTATTGATGACGAGAGATCCCATGCAGCATTCGACTCCCAGAATGGCTGCGTGGATATCAAAATTCCAAAAGAGGTTCGTGGACAACATTTCCCAGACTTGGATCTTACGGCAAAGCTTTTGGCCAGAAAGCAGGAAACTCAGCCGGAAGTGAAAAAGCCTCTAATTGAGGAACTTGATGTTACAAATGAAGTCTCCACTGGCAACATTTCACTTCAGGAGGAAGCAGAGGCCCATGACTGGGAAGTTAAACAGGAAGTAGCCCAGGACGATCTCTTGGGGCCCAAGTACGGATTCAATAACGACTATGATAAGATAATTGGCATTTCCGTGTCTAATGGAAACGACATCAATGAGTTGGGAAACCCAGAATCTGCTGCTCCGAATGATAGAATTCTTGAGAGGCTCATTAAAGAGAATATCAAATTCGATCCAGAGTACTATGCTGCTGACTACATAATGGAAAAGTATCCATCGCCTGATGATGACAAAATCTTTTCTGGAATTATGTCGTGGAAGTGTCCATCAACTAAGCAATTCAAGTCCTGGTATAAAGATCAGCAAAAACTCCCAGAGAATGAAAGAGACCAATTCATGCCAGTTGAGTTCAGTAAAGAAGAACAGAACAAAATGCTCCAACTCCCACGAAAGTCATACTTAGTTGAAGAGCTTTACAAGCCACAACTCTATTCTTTTATTGTGTCTTTGCTCTTTGCCTACCACTATGATCTTAGAGAAAATGAAGGTGAGCATAACATTGAAAGTGCATGGACGATAGGCAAACTTGTTCCACAGTTTGCCTTCTTGGACTCTCAGTTGCACATTTCTAGTATGGACTCTAGCAGCATTTTGAACGCAGCTATAATCACGGGAATCCGCCGGGCACTCTCATATCCATTTCACAGAAATTACAAGGTTGCGATGAAATCATGGGAAGATGTTTATTTCACGTTACGAGGAGGAAAGCGTATGGTCATTAAATGCTTGCTTGACTTGAAGGAACTCTTTAGATTTCATGATATCTATTATGTGTACGACAAGATTTGGCTCGAAGATTTGTGCCTGTGGCTCATTAGCGACCTGGTTTCCGAAAATGCCATCAGATTACTCGGTCATGATGTGAAGAGAAGCACGGAATCCATTCAAAAATCACAAATCACGTTTGAAAAGGTGGATGACACTCAAAGTGGAGATGACATGATTGCACTTGATATCGCGGATGTGGAAGCAATGGCGGAGGATTCTTACAATTCATTTATCTCCCAATCATAATCACGAATCCTACTCAGCTCGCATTACCTGATGCAACCAGCAGTTGCTGCTGAATAGACGGTACATAGTAGCAACATGATACAATACGCTGGGCTACATCATATGCTCCTGTGGCCCTGGCTTTATGTTTCTAAACACGTTCTATTTGTTTGCTGGTATTATATTCCCGGTTTTATTTCACCCATCAAGTTACTACACATTTGATGCCCTGAAGTTGGTTTGGTAGCTTTCTAAACCATTCCTAAAAGAAGGATAACATCAGTTAGGCACTAACTTACTAACAATATGTTGTACTGAAATTACAATGGATAGATGTGATCTAAAATTTGAATGCAGAAACTATGTATGAATTCAATTTTGAACAATAGACAAGGCGCATTAAAAACAATGCTTTGCCACTGCTAAAGATTTAACTAATTCTCTGCATAGGCCTAGACATTTTAACGACATGGATTTCACATACCTGAACAATAAGTCATGATATTTTCAAGGAGATGATACTTTCCCGACTTGGTAAAGGTATATTTAGTTTCAGTACAACAATGGAACCTTGGTGCGTTTCTGTCACAATGAAATCAGGGGCGCCTGTAGGGGATGGCTCCATTAACTCACTCACATTCTAGCCGTCTTTGCCGTTGCCGTGCGACTCGACTACGACACTTCATATTACTTCCTTTGTCGTATTTACAACCCTTGTATTATTTAACTAGATGCATCAAGAAATATGCCGCATAAAGTCAGCATTATAGAGAACTGAAAAGATAAGAAACAAAAATGCATGTAAAGTCGCCCTCTTAATTGTTGTCTCACTAGCGATTAGTCAGTAGAATATCATGAGGAAATTTTCCCGTGGAAGTCTGAGAAGGCTCACTGGCGGCCTCTTTCTCAGTAATAGTAACATCACTTGTATCCATTGAGACGTCTGCTTCATGCTCTCGTTTTATTGAAGATGGAGGCATGGCCGACGATCCGATATATTCGTTAGTCAGCAGGAGGTCAACAGACATATCATTAGACTTGTGCCGTTTGTGAGAGAACAGGCCACGAGCCAGAGAACCTGATGAAACAGAGCCAATTTCACTTTCACCGGGATTTTCAGGTTTCCAGTGGTGGAACTGGATAATATGTTGATGCGAAGTCATTGACTCTTGTGATGGAATCTGACTATTCTTCGTCTGCTTGTTGAGAGGTTGTGCCGGCGATGGGCGCACCTGAATCGAAGATGTAGCTCCGAGAGGCGACTGAAGCTGGACATTCTGGGAATTCCGGTTTCTTGTACGTTCCAGAGTCCGTTGTGGTGACGACAGCGTCTCTGCTGGCATAGAGAAATGCCGTTGATGTGTAGGTAGAGTACGCTGCGAAGGCCTGTAAGGAGTTACAGGGTTTGCTAAGTTCGCAACAGCTGCCGCGCCCAATTTTGCTGGCGATAAAGGTCGGCGGTTGTGTGGTGGGGGTGGAGCTTTCGACCCACTTCCAAATCGGTAATTGATCGGCGCAACAGAGCTAGCATTGTCCAGGGTATCATAATTGCGACCAAATGATGGGGAAGGTGCAAGAAATGGAGATTGCTGATGAGGACCAACGCCTGTGGTGGTCACGGTGATATTTGGGGCGCCAGGTTGACGAAGATGATTAGTTTGTGTTGGCTGAACTTGAAGTCCGTGCTGCGGTCCAGCAGTCCCAGGGGGGACTATCATGCCTGGGTTCCCACCAGGGTAGCCCATAGAAATGTTTGAATAGTCACCAGAGGGATAATTGCGTCTTCCCAATTGTGAGTACACGGGCAATTGCGGTGATTGCAGTGAAATGTACCGCTGCGGGATAGCGCCCTCTGGAATAGGTGCAACGCACATGGATGGAATCATATGAGCAGGTACTTCGTGTTCAATGGCCTTGTTAATAATGGCAAGGTTCTTGGAAGCGATCTCGAGACGAATCTGTTCCTGTTTCGTTCGTTCCTCCTCCGCTCGAAGCCGGAGGGCTTCTACGAACGCAGATTCGCTCCAGGGGAATGATGTGATATTGGGACCCAAAAGTGCCAATAGGGCTGGATCTGTGGTCTGTGAAGGGGTGTTGATGGATGGGTTGGGTGGCGCGGTCTGGCTGTGGGTAGACTCTATGTCTGGTCTATTAACATCCTTCAGATGATACTTATCCAATCGTTCCTTGTTAAGCTCCAGCACCGGTGGACCGCTTCGTGAACGGGGTACCACCGGTCTCTCGTCTGTATTGGTGTACTTGTCGATGAGAGAATGTACACTCATTGAACTCATGGTATGAGGACATACGAGAACACCCAAAGGGAAATTCAACAGAGTTTGGTGAGCAGATGCGACTTTTTGAGGTCAGCAAATTAGATGGGGACACCGATGCTGCACAGATAGAGCAATAGTATAAAAATGGGCTAGTTCTATCTGTGAGGACGAAATTGGTGGGACCGGCGTGCATGTAGGCGCGTTCGATTCAACTTGTATGTGACGAACACCGGAAGTCTGGAAGTTTTACATCCCTACGAGATGTGCATGGGCGCGAAAGAAGTTCATAATGAGTTGCGTTTCTTTTTCGTTTGGACTTACTTTTCTGTTCTGGTCTTGCTCGAATTTCCTCACGTAGCTGTCTCCTCCAGATACCTCTTGTGGTCAAGGATTGATGGTCAGTTGTAGTCAGCGAGCCCGAGTCTAGACCACTTTTCCGAACCCAGGTCCCTTTTGCCTATATATAGCCTTTTAGCCAACCAATTTGGGGCGCAACGCGACCCGATCGGGCTGTGCAGTTGCAAACCATTGACGTGGGTGGGTGGGTTGGAGCGAAAGGGTTTGATATTTTTAGATTCTGTACCTCGTATGGTCAATAAAGGATAATACAAGATTCGCTATCATACACGATGTTCTCTCATCATTTACGAACATTTTCCATGCCCAAATCGGCCCAACTGTTACTGCTGGGTGCTGGCCTGTTAAGTGATTTGGTACCTATTGGACGATTGATCTGATATTCTATGTTCCGCTTTTTGTGGAGTGCTCAGTAGTTAACTTATTCTCTATTCTCCTCACGACTCGGTAGCTCTAATCTGTATTGGTGTTGGAAACTGTTCAATGACAATGCTGATTGCTCTTAACTACTTTTTATTATGCTTTCTTAAGTTTCCTATAACTGTTACTCAAGAATATTTGACCTCAATAACTTGTAGGTTCGCAAGTTTTATTGACTTTTAGTCTCCATTTACTCCTATGTACGCGAATTTCTCTTCGCAAATGCAATCCAGCTAGAAAGTAACTAAAACGGCTCCACCTTGAAAACGACCTGCCCATCATGCTTCTTGATTTTATCTACAAAGTTGCGGAAGTTTGTCCGCCAGTCCACAAAGTCTTCAATATGCATCTTTAACTCCCCATTCAACACCAACTGCAAGCCTTCATGTACCCATGTGTTTCGTATCTCCAAATCAAACTTTTCATAGTAATTGTATTTCGTAAGTTGATTTGCAAGATCTGAACTCCATTTCATGGACCATGGATCAAACACACTTTTCAGACTATAATCCACCAACTTATCTATCAGGTAACTTGGCTCTGCAAGAGTGAATTTGCAATATGAAACATACGCCGATCCAAGGTTCTTTGGCTTCAAAATCCGCGTAAACAATGGCTCTTTTCCAACTCCTAGCAAGGACGACGCTTTAAGGCCAGAAGCAATATGTGCTTTGAATGGAAAATTGCCATCATCTAGATCCTTCAAGTCAAACGCCTTTTGGAACATTTTCTTACTTCCAATAATATCAACGAAAAGATCGAGTTTGGCTTCCTTGATATTTGACTTGTTGATTGCATTGAAATCTGTAAAGGGTTCAAACAAACAGTTTAAAACTTCCGATGCAAAAAACTGTGGCTTCTTATAGCACACCGGCAACTTTTCTCCTTTAAGCCTAAGATCTGTGTTTTCAACGTCATAAGAAATAACATGGAACTTTCTCATCCCTCCACTACCTAACCTGGTCACAAGTGCTTCTGTTTTTGCAACTTCGCATTCGGAGACCACTAAAATGATATTGAATGCCTGTAAAGTGTCTCTATAGAGGCTGGAGTTAAGAATCTGAATCAAAGTGTATCCCAAACAGGTATCAGCGCCGTTAATGAGAATATTGGCTTTCCCTTGTCTCTGAAATACACTATCCATGAGGTCGAGGGCCTGTTTGGCTCTGCAAAACTGAGCTGCAAAGACTCCAAATTTGGCAAGTGCGGGAAGTTCACCATCTATTTTGAATGGATCCTGTTTGATTGGCTTTAAAGCTGTAGTCGATACTGGCTTTGGCCCCTCATCTTCCCCATCAGACAGAAACAAATCCGATGAAGAAGTGGACTGAGTGTTGTCCTCATCTATAGAAAATGGTGAGCTCGTCGAAAATACGAGATTGACATCAATGCTTTCCATTTTCTGTAACATTTCAGAGGATATGGGCACAATGATATCATTAGGGTTGATGATAACCAGTGTTTGTAAAGCACCCTTTCTTTCGTATGGATTTGTTACCCCAAATACCGTGGTTCCGATCTTAAAGTCAGGGTGGCCGTCGAAGTTGCTTCCGGTTGCAACAATCTCGCCCACGAAGTCAAAACCCAAGCCAACTCTTGTGTTAGTGAGATTGATCAAGTACTTGCTGAGCTTCGAAATATCAAAACTTGATAGGGCAGCGTACTTCACATCTACTAGTATTCTGTCATTTCCCACTGGAATGCCAATTTCATGGTAGTAGAAGTTCAATGGCGTATTCTTGTTCACAACCGATATCTCCTTGACAGCACGAGTGGGGAGATCTTTCAAATCCTCAAACTTTTTTGTCTTCTTCGGCTTCGTCACCTGGGGGAGGGCCGGCAATGGTTTAGGACCCTCCTGACGAGGTTCAAGATAAGAAAGCTCAGCAGGAATCTTCCAGAATGGATTTGATTTAAGTTTCTCCTTCTTTCGTTCCTCGAGGTATTTATGATGCTCCTTCAAATCTTCCTCTGGTTCTGGGGCGAAGCCCACTGACTTTCTCTTCTTGGGGGGATCGAGCGAAAGATTTGCTAAGTCAGTCACTGCTGTTTCATTGATGGGTTCGCTCATGCTTATGGGAATTAGAGAGACTTCAAGATCAGAGTCACTCGGTGGACCTAATTGAGATGCTCTTCGGCTTTCCTAATGGGCCAATCTGTATGGATATATATCTCACTAGCAAATTGTACCGATCCTTCCGTGTGGAATTTTGATAGGGGAACCAGAACAACCGATAATTATCTCAAACTGACCTGTGGGCCAAAATATAAAAACAAGATTCTAGTTTGTATGTGAAAATAGAAAGCAAGCGAAGATGATGTTCGATATTTTTCTTAGAGACTCCCCCTTGAATTGAACTGATTTGATTTCACCATGATCCATAACCAAGTCGTGTGTACAACATTACCATTCCGTTGCCAAAGTGATCTACTACACTACTGTGTAACCAAACAAACCAATGTGGATTCCTTTGCTCCTATGCTATATTGGTGCTGGAGCGGTGTCGTTGGCATTTCTTCGATTCCACATCAATTTATTCAAGTACCCACTATACTACGTTTTTCCGATCGTACTTGCGGTGTATTTGCCGTTATCAATTACATTTCTATTGCCTACGGATTATGTGTCACATGTATCTGGAAAACCAATCCAAGGGTTCGAAATAAGTGATAATACGACATTGATGATGTGGAAGTCTAATTATTGGTCAACGTTTATTTTGACATGGTTGCTACTACCCGTGCTACAAGAGTATTATCGTGCCGGCAATTATCTGAAGATTATGAAGCTCAAGACTTCATTAAGACAGAATTTGAAATTTCAAGCAATGGTGTTACTTCTCTCGATTGCAGGTGGTGTTTATCTCATACTCGAAAAAGGACTTTCACTTAGCTCTATGAAATCCATGATAATCTCAATGTCACACATCTATGCATTAGTTTTGGCCCTTTGGCTAATGGCTCATGGGCTCATTACGATTCCTCGCAATAGATGGAATGAAGGAAACATATTGCAAAATCTCAATCATTATTATTTGAAGGTACCTAAATTGGTTGATACTCTAGAAGATACCAGAATCTCTTTCAAGGAAGATATCCTCCAAGTTTTGATTTTGAAGAACAACTTCACTTCCAGTGCTGTTGAAGAAAACTTTGCTTATAGGGACTGGATCCTCAATTTGGCGAATCAAGTACCCTCTGAGCTTGAGGAATCCGTGGGTCGACAGTATGTGCATAGTGATGCTAGATCAATTACTAGGGAGCAACTAAATGAAGCTTTCATGAACACATTGACTTACAGCTTTCAAGGTCACATGTATAAACTCCGAGCATATAACTCGGAATATGATACATTACTTGCCAATGTTTCCAGGTTGCAGACACTTTTGGAAGCCAAAGCGACTGAGGACCCTGAGGAAAGGTTGCGAATAATGTCTAGTTTTGGTGGACTTATTTCCCCAAGTGCTAACTTTTATTTGCAATGCTATGCAAAACCAGTTCTTGCTCGGTTACTTTCGATCTTCCTCTTTGTAATTTCCTTTGTCATCATTCAATCGGAATTTTTCCACTCTACGAAATTTTCCATTGTCAATATCATTGTTTTCAAGACCGGCATCCACAATCACAACCTTTTTCAAGCTATCTTCTCGGGAATCTTATTTCTGTACATGTTGTTTTGCTCTCTTAATTCGTTGACCAGATTAAAGATTTTCAACATGTACCATTTGGTGCCGGGACATTCTGATCCAGTTTCAACATGCTTTTATGTTTCCTATATTGCTCGGTTGACCATTCCATTGTCTTACAATTTTTTGACTTTTTTCACTGATAGAAGCTCTATCTTTGAAGATTGGTATGGTAAGTCGATACATTTGACAGGATTGTTTGACTTAATGAATAGCTGGGTACCCCGCCTTTTGTTGATTCCTGTGGTCTTGACAACTTTCAATGTCTACGAGAGATTGAAGAAGAGGATAGGGCTTCATTCCGACATGTATGGAGCTTGGGCCGATTTCGATGATGAGGAGCAGCTCTTAAATGACGAGAACAACATGGACTCGAGAAATAATAGAAGGGAGCTCGTGATTGCTGAAGCCAAACGTACTATCGCTATGGAACTTAATCGCCGCAATCAAACTTCTCGGATACATTTACGCTCATTTGCCTTGCAGAACGCTGCAGATTCAACATATGAGAGAAATATGCAAGATTTTAATCTGTCGTTATTCGGGGGCATTAATAATCGAATTGATACATATCATGATGATAACAGTACTGCGCTGGTTATCAATGCGGATGTTCAAGGACTTTGGAGCAGACTCGGTGGGGCCGTCAATAATTTCAAGGATGCGGTTCAGTCTCGAATTGCCAGAAATTCGTCCTACAGGGATGATCCACTTGATTCTTATGAATATGACGAAGATGCCCAAGAGAATTTGGTGCTTTAATAGAATATATAATGCTGGAAATTTGGTTCTTTGTGCGGTTCTTTAACTTCTGCACCAGTACATCCCATTTACTTCACATTGAGTTAAAATCTTTCAGACTTTAAGAAGACAACAGTAGCATGTCGAACATCACCTTAAAGGTCAGGAAGGCAGTACCTTCAATTGATCCCATTGTTGCTGACTATGCAGTTGGATATATCCAGCATGTTACAAATGCTACAGAAGATTCTGTGTCTGCACAACAACTTGATGTGCCAAAGGAACTTTCTTTCATTGAAGCTCTCCTTATTGACGCCGGAGGTGTCCAAACTCAAGTTCATTCCTTGACCAGTGCCATTACAGAACAACTTAGCAATAAATTGAAGGAGAACATGGCGAAGTTGGAGGTTTCTGGAGATCGTGCGAAGAGACTTTTGGATGTTAATGTCTTGAGACAAAACAACAGCAAGAGAGACATTAATTCATCTTTAGACATGCTTGGGTCTTCTCGTGACATTTCGCATGCTGGAAGACAAGTTGAAAGTAGAGTTGACAAAAAGAAATTGGAGAAGCAGGAGAGAAAGATCGCAAAGAAGGTTGCTAAGAGAAATAATCAGTTTGTGAAATACGAGGCTTCTAAATTATTGAGCGAGAAGAAAAGTGAAGATTACGACTCATTCTACTTGGAAATTAACCCTCTTGATTTCGGCTCTAGTGCAGGTAAGTCGAAAGATATCAAGATCGAGAATTTTGATTTATATGTTGGTGACGGTCAGCGAATCCTTAGTGATGCTGGGTTAACATTGGCTCATGGAAGAAGATACGGTTTGGTTGGTCAGAATGGTATTGGTAAATCTACTTTATTGAGAGCCTTATCAAGAAGAGAATTGAACATCCCCAAGCACATCACCATTTTGCACGTTGAGCAGGAACTCAGAGGAGATGATACCCCTGCATTGCAAGCTGTCTTGGATGCAGATGTATGGCGTAAAACTTTGATTCAAGAAGAACAGAAAATCACTGAGAGAGCTGAAGAAATTGATGCTTTGAGAAAGGAGTTTGAAGAAGGCTCTAATGAAGTGCTTAAATTGGATAATGAGAGGGCCGACTTGGACAAACATTTGCAAGAAATCAGTGAAAAATTATACGAAATGGAGTCTGATAAGGCAGAAAGTCGAGCTGCCTCTATTTTGTTCGGACTTGGTTTCTCGCAAGAATCACAATCGATGCCAACCAACTCCTTTTCTGGTGGTTGGAGAATGAGATTATCCTTGGCCCGTGCCTTGTTCTGCGAGCCCGACTTATTATTGCTTGATGAGCCTTCTAATATGTTGGATGTTCCTTCCATTACGTATCTTGCAAAATACTTACAAACTTATGAGGGAACTGTTTTGGTTGTTTCGCACGATCGTTCATTCTTGAACGAAGTTGCAACTGATATCATCCATCAACACTCTGAGCGTTTGGACTACTACAGAGGTTCCAACTTTGATTCCTTCTATGCCACAAGAGAAGAAAGAATCAAAAACCAACGTCGTGAGTATGAAAACCAGATGGCATACAGACAGCATTTGCAAGCATTTATTGACAAGTTCAGATATAATGCTGCTAAGTCCTCGGAAGCTCAATCTCGTATCAAAAAGTTGGAAAAGTTGCCTGTCTTGGAACCTCCTGAAGATGATAAGGTGATCACATTCAACTTTCCTGATCCAGATGGTCTTTCCCCTCCAATTTTGCAGATGCATGATGTCACATTCGGTTATTCTCCGGATAAGATCATTCTCAAAAATGCAGAACTTGATGTGCAGATGGATTCTCGTATTGCTTTCTGCGGTGGTAATGGTACTGGTAAAACCACCTTGTTGAAGTTGTTGTTAGGTCAATTGTCTCCCCTTGAGGGTCATATTTCAAAGAATGGAAGGTTAAGAATTGGGTATTTTGCCCAGCATCACGTGGATGCAATGGACTTGAACCTTTCAGCTGTTTCTTGGATGGCGCAAGCATTCCCTGGTAAATCTGACGAGGAATACAGACGCCACTTGGGATCCTTTGGTATAACTGGATCCCTTGGTTTGCAGAAGATGCAATTGTTGTCTGGTGGTCAGAAGTCGAGAGTTGCTTTTGCGGCACTTTGTTTGAACCAACCACATATCCTCATTCTAGATGAGCCTTCTAACCACTTGGATACTCAAGGTTTAGATGCACTCGCCGATGCATTGATCAACTTCAAGGGTGGAGTTTTAATGGTTTCGCATGATGTTTCAACAATTGAGCGGGTTTGCAATGAGATTTGGGTTAGCGAGAACTCGACGGTGCAACGTTTCCCAGGAAATATTCACGACTACAAGAAGCATATATTGAAGCAGGCTGATGCTTCTGGTGTGGTAAGAAAACATTAATTAACTACATAGATTCAAGCATCTCCTCAAGAACTTGTCGTCACTTTGATAGTCTGGTAGATGAAGTCGCATTCTCGCGATACTTCTGTACAAATCATAATCTTGTTTACCAGCATAACAAGTGCACATGTCTGCTCCCTTCAAGCTCTCGACAAGAGCAAAAGTTGGTTTAGGACTTCTCATATCGTATACATCCTTTGAGGCATACATGCACATCCGTACTTCTTTATTGATCCGAAATCGTCAGAAACTGCCAGAAACTTTGGAGCAAAATGAGTATAGGAAGTTCGAATCTGCAGTTGTTCTGGGAATGTTTGTTAATCCTTTTGAAGAATATAGGCCGCAGACAGGCTTCGAGTTCTTACTAGTGAGAATAATGGAACTCGTCGAGAGTTTTTATGGCAACAAGATTGAACTTCACGACATGTATCCATCACCAGAAGGAGACTTTGCTGAAGTCGACCACCTTCTCAAGACATTCAAGCCAAACTATGAACTAATGAGACATAATTCCCAGATCTTGCAATTATGCTTCGAAAAGAATGACTTTGCTGATCTTTATAAAACAAAAAAATCCACGATGAACACGAGCGTAAGTGATCAAATGCTCTTCACATGGCTTGGACAATCTTGCTCGTTGGTACAGATCAGTGGTATTAACTTTCTAACTGATCCTATGTTTAGTGATCATCTAATAAGCAAGTCATTTGGGCCAAAGCGTTTGGTTCTGTCACCTATGACTGTGGATGATGTTATGCATGCTACAAAGGACAACCTCAATTTTGTTCTTGTTTCCCATAACCATCCCGATCATCTTGATATGGAAGCAGCAAAACAGATTGGAAATCTGGCTTATTGGATAGTTCCGCTAGGTCTTAAGAAAATTTTGGCTAGAAAGGGCATTTACAAAGTGATAGAAATGGATTGGTGGGAGAAGATCAGCATTAACGGATTCATTAATCAAGAATCTCCTGCGAAATTTCCTGATGATCTCGAAATTGTTTGTGTTCCTGCAATGCATTGGTCAGGAAGACATATTGTGGATTCCAACACTTCATTATGGGGATCATTCATACTTCAACGTAACGGTCAATCTTTGTTGTATCATGCTGGGGATACCGGATACGTCAAAGAATTGTATGAACTTATCGGCTCCAAATTTGGACCTGTTACCCTCAGTTTGTTGCCCATTGGACAGTATTGCCCGTCGTGGCACCAGAAGCCAAGGCATATCTCACCTGCGGAAAGTCTTCGTATTGCGTCCGTTTTAGACTCACGTTATGTCCTCGGCATCCATTTCGGCACTTTCAAGCTCAGCTCTGAGCCAATTCTCGAGCCTAAAAACAAATTATTGGATATGGCGAAGCAAATGGGCAAGTCTGGTTTGTACAAGGTTCCTGAGTTTGGATTGACGTATCTGTATCACCTTGATGATGGTCTGCATTATCCACATTTTCATGTTGGAAAGGGTCCAGCCGAATAGAAACTACGCAACAGTAAATACCACTCCTTATAGATTACCCTATATACATTATTCCTGGTATTCGAAGCTAGCTCTGGAAGCCATAAATCTTTCTCAATCTCTCTCTTTGAGAGTGGAGCATTGCTCTTTCATATGCTTGGTATTCAGTCTCAGATCTGATGACAGAACCGATGGACATGAACAAGCTGAAAGTTGCCACGGAGCCCATGATATATTGTCCTAAAGTTCTCATGACACCATTGGGGCCAGCACCATGTTGCAAAATGGAGAAACCTCCAAACAAAACGCCAACGCAGACACCAACGGTACCGCCCATAACGGCACCCATTTTAAACTTGTCGAAGTTGGAAGGCTGGTGGTATTGGACAGACATAATCGATTACTATTTAATTCAACCAGAAATGCCAATTCAGGTGGAGGAGAATTTGAGTGTCGTGCGAGGATCAATTTCTGCTTTCCCTACGTACTCGAACTAACATGTTATCTCTGTAATCAGTAACAACCATAGGTATCAAAATCATTGGGAGCTAGACTATTGTATAATTTGAATGATTCCTTTCCGTTCTATTGACACGGGTTCACTAGTGTGAGTATTCCAATGAATGCAACAGAAAAGTTGCGTACCTTGAGTCGCTCGAGATACTTATTCAAAGGAGTTTTAAGACTTTTAGCTAAGGTTTTCTGAAGTTATATTTCCAACATTTATGATTTCATAGTTCCAATCCAAATGTCAAGACACATTTATGTTGGTGTCAATTAACACCGGTTCGCGCACGACAATCTGTCCAATAAATACTCTCACTCACAACCTTCCATAGGCTACAACTCAGTGAAATGTAAGTAAGCATCTACTGTGATACACTTGATATTTTCATTTCCGGTGTATATCTCTATATTTTCTATTCAGAACTAACAGGTTAGCATTATGGGATCATCAGTCTCGAAATCAGAAACTAAGGTGTTTACCCCAAAGGCTCCAGTAGACTTTAGTGCTTCATTCTTATCGCACTTGGAGAACTCCCAAGAGTCTGATTATACCAGGTCTCAATATACCGAAAAATATATTCAGGAAAGAGTTGCCTCCGAATTGAAGAATTTGGAGGCCGAGACAGTTGAGAAGTTTCAAGCCACAACTGGTAGTTCATTGTTGAAGGAAGGAGACGACAAACTCTCGGTGAAGTCATCGAATGAAAAGATTTCAAACTTGACTAAGATCTTGCAAGAAAGTGCTAAATTGGTCCAGGTTGAACTCAGTTCCGATATTAAAGATGCAAGACAATCTGTGATTGCTTGTTTGAAAGACAATCAAGGAAAACCATTGAACTGTTGGGACGAAGTTGACCATTTCAAGAGTTTAGTTCATAGCATGTAGAATAGGATTCGAATAAAGGTAATTTTACTCTGTTGCTACATAATTTCTGCTATTTTCGTGTTCTACAACCCCTTAGCTTTGTAAATAAGGATCAAAGCGGAGTCGCTCTCTCCTCCACCGGCCAATTGCTCAATCTTTTCTTTGTTCACGACAGACACTTTTTCATCATTGAACTTCCACCATTTGTCTCCCTCTAAATCGTGTTCATCCTTGATGAATGCTTGGTAATGGCCGGAATCAGCAGAAGAGCCCTGGTGAGTAATTATCGACAGCAATTCATATACTGATGATGGATTCTCTTTTGCTTCCTGGAGGTTGAACCCCTTTGGCAATATGTCCGAGAAATCATCCGCGAATTTCGACTTGATGGAAACCAACTTAAGCTCTTCTTCTTCTTCTTGCTGTTGAGGTGTCAAGGAAGTATCCCTTTTTGCCTTTTTGAAGTCCCTGATGAGTTCAAAATTATCTTTCTCAATCTTTCTCAACTTATCTCTGATGGAAACTTTGTCTGCTTTAATAGAATCGTCAAGCATTTCTGCAACATCCAACTCATACGGAAACTGGACTTTTCTCAAGATTTTCGACTTCTTTTGAGTGTCCCTTCTCCAGAAAAAGCGCACGAAATGAACAGTCAAGTATTTCGGCAATCTTGAGATTGTCTTTGTTGATTCATATTCCGTATTCGAATGCAATTGATCATTGTACTTTTCAAACTTGTCTGTTAATCCATTTAGGATGCCATCTCTCAAGAAATTTGTCTTGATATCAATATGGCAATTGACTTTCGTGGCAAATTCAGTATCAATCTTTGGTGCCTCCTCGGGTAAAGCCAAACACTTAGTAACAACTTTGAACTGAACGCGAAAGTAATCGTCAATGGCAACTGACGAGCCCAATGCGCTCATCAACTGTGAAAATGCTTCTTCTGCATCCTGTTGCTTGTAGAAACCTCTTTCCTGTTCCGCAAACTGGGGGAAAATCTTTCTAAATTGCATGAGAAAGAGTGTAGGATTCACATTCTCTTGCTTTTTATTCATGGATTTGAATAAACTTTTCAAACTGGAGATTAAAGGCTTCAGATTGTCTGAGAATGAGTCAATTTTGTTGGAAACATCCTTCAATGAGAAAATAGTTTGCAAGGAAGAGTTGAGGTAGCAAGTATTTCCTAAGTTCACCAATCCAGACGGATCTTGCGAAACTTTCACCAATTGGTTTTCGTTGAGATCCTCCAAAAATACTTGTGGAGTAGGCTTGCTCGTAGGCAAATCCTTGTCAGGTGTGCCAAGAACCATAATTGGCACTTTAGGATTGATCTTAAGGGATGAAATCAAAGTTTCGTCGGTCAATTTGCCTCCTTTTACCAAAATCTTTTGGCGTGCAACCGGAATCTGGGTTACACCGAAAATTTTCTCCTTAAACTCTAGACCTGTGGTACCATCATTTACTTCGATTTCATGGACCTCGCCGGCATTTTTAATCAAAACTTTGTCAGACATAATTGATAATTACTTCTCACACAGACAGTGATTCAGTATTAGACTCGAGGGTGTATGGATGTTTTGCACTTGATAGATATTTAGTGCCAACAGAGCCCAGACAGAACCACTCAACCAGTGTAAAAGGCTGTTTATCATATTATCCGGGATTTCTGTTTGTTAATCCAGGGAAATAATACAAGAGGCTAACTTCAACTTTCATGATTTACGTGAAATTTGAAAACATCAATAAACAAAATCATATGAAAGTAATTAATTAAATAGCATTTACTACCAGATAAATCAAAGCGCCAACACCAAGCAAACTAGTCCACGAAGACCAGATCAGTCCTGGGCCCCTTATAGCAACGTTGCCAGTACGACTGAACCACACACTACCATTGTACGAGGTTTGTGCTTGAGATACAGCTTTACTCTTCTTCTCGCCGTAAGGGGGGTATCTGACTTTCAAGGCAAAATCCATCTTGAGGTTCTGCTCCATCGTGGTTCTTTCGTGTGTGAAGGCCCTGAAAGAGAAGTAGCCGTGGTAAGCACCTTGGCCGGAAGTTCCAACTCCACCAAAAGGAGCATTGTCCAAACCAACATGTAAAATACTATCGTTGACAATGGTTCCTCCTGATCTGACAGCAGACCGAATGTAGTCAACTTGTGTGTTCTTTGAACGCCGAGTAGAACCCGACGTAAAGATATACAACGCCAATGGTGTGTCATGACGCTTAACCACCTCTTTCACAGCCAGCTTCAAATCGGAGTACGTCAAAATTGGTAACACTGGGCCAAAGATCTCTTGCTGCATGGTTGAGTCTTCCCAGTCGACGTTGTCAATCACTGTTGGAGCTATGTAGCGGTGAGAGCTGTCTGTCTGACCTCCTGCCACTATAGTTCCTTTCGACAGTTCAATCATCTTTTTCAAAGTGTCGAAGGCACGCAGGTGAATAATATGCGTATAAGATGGATCCTTAGAGTCCAATGTTGGGTAAAAATCCTCGTTCACAACTTTCACTATCGCATTTACCAACCTATCCTTCAACTTCTCAGGTACCAACACATAGTCAACAGCAACACATGTTTGGCCGGCATTAGTGAAGCGACCCCAAGCAATTCTTCTTGCCACAGTTGTAATATCTGCATCAGTAACATCATCTAACACGAAGGCTGGGGATTTACCACCCAATTCCAAAAGGACCGGAGTCAAGGTTTCTGCTGCTTTCTTGGCAATGATAGTGCCAACAGGAATTGAACCAGTGTACATGATCTTATCATACTTCTGATCTAAGAGGGCAGTAGACTCTTCAATACCACCATTGACCATTGCAAAAGTAGTTGGATCAAGTGCCTTCACTAGAATAGTTGTCAAAAGTTTTGCAAAGTGGGGAGTAAACTCGGAAACTTTCAAGACAACCGAGTTACCAGCCGCAATTGCAGCGATAAGAGAGGACACCGATAATAGCAATGGATAGTTAAATGGGGAAATGATGAGTACAACACCCAATGGCTCTTTCTCAATGTAGATAGGGTCCATTTTCATGGAGATGGGTAAGTTAGTCACTGGTTCCGGTCTAACCCACTCATGTAAGTGAGCCATGATGTGTACAATTTCCTTCATGAGGGGAGCATACTCCAAGTTAATGGTTTCCGTTGGAGCTCGCCCAAAATCTTTGCGTAAAGCATCGCAAATGTCATCGACGTTGTCTTTTATCGCAAAGTAAATGTTTCTTAATTGATTAAGACGGAATTGGATGGAATGAGATTTAAGCTCAGCATGATAGTTATCTCTCAACTTCTTCACAAGGACAGGGATTTCTTCCTTAGGTGTGTAGTCTAAGATTGTTTTTGGATCTTCTCCACTGCCAACTGGGGAGGAGACCTTATCAGGCTGGGTTGTGAGAGGGGCGCTTTTGGGTACGTTGACCTTGATGGGGTCTGCACCTTTTTTCTCTTTCTCGGATTGTATATTTTTGGAGGGAGCCATAATTCACTGTCTCTTTAGTGTGGAAAATTCGGGAAGGGGTCTATTTAAATTGAATTGTGCAAGACGCATGTGAAGCGTTTCTACTAAATGGTGGGGAAAGAGCCAGCAGTAAATCCGAACCAATTAACCACATTTGGGGATCGGTTTTGTAGACAACCAAGAAGACATACTATGGTATTTGTGTTAATGGCCTCAATTCATAGCTTCTCTATAGTTTGTTGTAGGACGCCAATCACTTGTATCCCTTCTCTCAATTTTGCACTATGTACTTGCCTTCCGGATATAAGGTTTTATCTCCGGTCATGGTACAGCTGTCAACAATCACTTACCTCAAATTTTGTCAAAAGAGCATGAGAAATCGGTTTGGTTACCTAATTACTGCAGATGTTCATTAGCTAAGTTTTCGTCGGAGATGGTCCCGGGGCTATGGAGTGTGTGCCATAGAGAGTGCACTCAAGCCTTCCCCAACTTTTCAATTTTTGGAGTTTTAGACCACTTTAAAGTTACAACTATGCTTAAATTCGATACAGACAGTTTAAAGTTCTCGAAAGAGGAACATGTGATAGGCGGTGTATCAACCTTTGTTTATAATGCCAATATTCTTGAAGATTATGTTAAGAATTTCAAACCCAACGAGCGTCATCATTTAGATATCAACATCAATGTCCTAATTCTCATTCATCATAGAGAGGGAGATTATACTTATACTGAGGCCATTGGTAAGGTAATTCTTGATGAGTTTGCTAAACTTAATTCTGCCCCTTTGATAGCGGTCACCTTTGACGGTAGAAATCACGGTGCAAGAACTGTGGATAAATTTCGGAACTCTAGTTGGGATGAAGGAAACGACGCACACGGAGCTGATATGATCAGTTGCATCCGGGGAAATGATTATGATGTGAAGTTGTGCATCGACTTTCTTCCTTCCTATTTGAACTTGGAGAAGTACATCAATGCCACATGTAAAGCACACGAGGTGAAGATTCGGTATAATTACATTCTAAGTGGATACTCAGTTGGAGGTCACAGTGTCATTCGCATTGCCAATCGCTACCCAGAATTGATTTCCATTATTAACCCGAATGTGGGCTGCTCAGATTTATCAAGTTTGTTAGTGAACAGATTATTTGGCACTGCTAATTACAATCATAAGTACTGTTACTATAATTATGATGAGTTGGGATTAACAGATGAACAAAAGCTTAAGTATCCTGAGTCCTTGCATCGGTTAGTCAGTGCAGAAGATGCTTCTATTTTGAATGACTTTCCCTTTGAGAAGATCAAGATGTTCGCGACCTTCTACAAAGATGATCCCTTAGTCCCTTCAAAAATATCAGAGTTGTGGATCAATATGTACTTGAATTCCAATTCAGACTCCGCCGCCTACTATGAGGACGGGGTGGTACATGACATTACGCCCGCAATGATTATTCAGTTTGCAACGTGGCTTGCAAAACAAATCGAATAATTATTGTTATCAAAGTCAAACCACCGAACACTTCTCATTGGAAGTCCACCGAACACTTCTCATTGGAAGTTCATCTTAGCTTCCTATTAAAAGGAACCAAAATGTATATGGAAAAGAATTGATTTTATTTAAACACAGTGTAAACTACGTTTAAACTGAGTGTAAACTAAAACTGAGTGTAAATTAATTGTAAACTCAGTGTAAACCCAGTATTAAGACAACTGACAAACTCAATTGAACCTTGTTACTTCAGTTTTGAATCTAGCCCAGTTCTCATCGATTCGTAGTTCTGCATCTGCGTTTTCTTGGGAGGTACGGGTTAGACGTGCCAACATGTTCGTGCCATACAATGTCTCCACGACAACATCCCTCAGAAGCAAACCGTGAACCTCACATACACAACCTGACAAATTTTCGGTTAATCAGTGGACATGCTCAAATCTCAGGTAGCAGGTGCAGCTTATATGAACTTTCCCCTGCAGTTTCAAGACACGGGCTCACAGAATGATCCTGACCCCCTCACTAAGTCAGAATCGAATAGAATTGGCTCTTCTACCGTCAACTTTGTCAACTTCAATCAAGACGCATCATGTATCGCAGTTGGTCTTAACAATGGGTATCGAATATACTCTTGCAGACCTTCATTTTCCAAGTGCTACCTGATCAAGAAGGAAGTATCAATTGGACTTGTGGAGATGCTATATTGTACTTCACTTCTTGCCATTGTTGCTCTGGGAGAGGAGCCTGGCTCTCTGCCACGTAAATTGAAGGTTGTCAATACCAAAAGACAAACAGCAATTTGCGATCTAATTTTTCCTACATCTGTATTACTGGTCAAACTTAGCAAATGCAGAATGGTGGTTCTATTGGAAGAGCAAATCTATGTTTACGATATCGCTACGATGAAATTGCTTCACACAATTGAGACAAGTCCCAATAGTAACCGATTATGTGCTGTATCGGATAATACAGACGACGAAGTTGGTTCCAGCTTTTTGGCTTATCCGTCGCCGCCGAAAACAATTGCGCATGACTCGCTTCTTGTTTCGGGTGTCAACACGAATGGTGGTCTCAATTCTGTTCAGAATAACATTCAATCCGTGAGTAATGCTCCAAACAGAGTGGGTGATGTTATAATTTTTGATTTGAAGTCATTGCAACCGCTCGCGGTAATTGAAGCACACAAATCAGCCCTAGCTGCCATGTGCCTCTCTGTCGATGGGTCCCTTTTGGCGACTGCCTCCGATAAAGGAACTATTGTGAGAGTTTTCAATGTGGAAACGGGTCTTAAACTTTACCAATTTAGAAGAGGTACTTATCCTACGAAGATATTCTCGCTCAGTTTTAGCAGGGATAATAAGTACGTTGTAGCCACGAGTTCCAGTGAAACTGTTCACATATTTCGCTTGGGAGAAGAGGAGTTGTTAGCTAACAAACAGAAGCAAAAGAAAGATTCAAAGAAGAAGACAAAATTGAATCCTGATTATGGAACGATTGAAGAAGAAAATGAAAGCATTACTGGTGCTCCGCCGAGACTTGAATTCGATGAGGATGATATCATGGAGGATGATGGTGACGATAGTGATGCTGAGGCGGAAGTAGATGTTGAAGGCGATGGTGATGCGGAATGTGACGACGGTAGTGTTGAATTACCTGTCAAACAAAGGAAACTATCTCAAGGGTCGACCAATTCATTTAAGAGTTTTAATTCGGGTATATCTAACGATGAACTTAAAGATAAGACTGAACCTGTCATTGACCAGAACCGATTGTCGGTTGCCAGGATCATTCGTCGGTCATCTCAAACGCTTGGAAGAAAAGCGGCTCAAAAGATGGGAGACTTTCTTCCATCAAGATTTTCTTCTATATTGGAACCGACGAGACATTTTGCGTCCTTGAAGATTCAAACATTGACGAAAGATGTAAGGTCGATTGCTATGATGAATAATGAAACTCAAGAGGATTTGGTGTCAATCGGAAGTCTACCACTCAGAGAAAGTGGTTCTGAAAATAGTTTGCGTCCCATATCATCCCCAAGTTCTCATCACTCTGCAAAGGAAATACTTGCGGTCAATTTGATTCATATCAATGTTGTCACTTCCGAAGGTTACTATTATACTTATGGTTTGGATCCGGAAAGAGGAGGGGACTGCATTTTATTGCATCAGTACTCACTTCTAGATGATTAAATAACTTGGTAATAAGACGAATCTTGTTAGGAATAATGAAAGAAACAAAAAAACGGGGCGAGCTGGGAATTGAACCCAGGGCCTCTCGCATATTTGGAACAGCTCAGTATACCGAACCATCGCCCAAAGCGAGAATCATACCACTAGACCACACGCCCATTTTGATACTACATTTACTTTGCTTGTACTAGTGAGAATATTTGTTGTAGGAAAACGCCAACAGGGTGTCATAATATAGTACCCAATATACAATTGTTTAAAAAAAAAAAAAAATAGTACCCAGTATTCAATTTTTTTAAAAACAAAATCATAATATGGAAATTACAACTTGCGTAGCCGAATGGCGAGAGCTCTGGTGATGATAGCAGCATTTTAGCAATCTTAGTTTATCTACTCTCAGCGGGGGACTATGACCATGCTTCCCAGAATGGTCCCTGATATAGTACCCAGTACAAAACTGTTCGAAAAAAAAAAAAATCTAGTCGAATGGTGAGAGCTTTGACGAGGATGGCAGCAGTTCCAACGCCGCTATTTCAGCCACTGCACTAACATGACTATGATTACATCAGTAGTCCATGATATAGAACCTAGTATACGTTATTTACAAAGAAAAGAACCTTCTCCCTGATATTTGTTTCAAAAAAAAAAAGATATAGTACCCAATCTACAAATGTTTCAAAAGAAAAGTGACCTGCCTCAAGAACATCATTCCCATACAGCCAAAGGTTCTGTCCCAAATAGGTGATTGCAACACATTTCTGCGAGAGAGGCTCTTCTTTAACATCCAATTGCAAAGTAGTGTAGTTACTGACGTTGGTCTGACGTCTGGTTGTCCTGGAAAAGTTCATTCTGGTGAATGCGTTATGTTCCTCCTAATTTTGAGAGCCTCCGTAATGTGACTGGATTACACAATTGGCTCTCTTAATAGCTCATGCAGCATATGCCCTAATAAAAGAAACTTACCAGACGAATATTAAAAAAAGTATCGGGCTTTCATCGGCAACTGAGAATTTGTATTCTCTATAATCTGGTCGATCACTCCTTGAGAATTGAGGTCCCATGAAGCTCCTGAAATTCTCAGTTAAGATATGCCTTGTGTTCTGCGATGAGATCCTCAAAGCAGTTGCTGTAGTCGTGCATGACGGGGTGTCGTGGTGGTGTTGTTTCAGAAGGTTGGTTATATCCGATACATTGTCCTTCACGTAGAATGGTGGAGTTCACGCACACAAATGTGGATGCCTCTGGACTCTGTGGAGTCTACTATGGCATGCAAAAGAAAATTTATCGTATCAGAAGAGATATCGCCGCTCAATATTGCATTGACGCTCTTAGTAAAGCTCTATCTATCCAACCTGCTAACAAATCAGAGGAGCATTGTCTATATTCTAGTGAAGTATCTTGAGGGAAGACAGTATGACCAAACGAAGGAATTGAAAGTAGCGCCTACGTTATGTGAGTTATGTGAAGCGTTTCTTGAGTGTCAAGTCGATGGGAATTCGACAAGAATGCCACCGCATTCGAACTCCCATGGATTATCAGCCAAATTGGCTATATTCAATCTTTTAGACCTCGCGTGGAGCATTGAAAGCGAAGAGGACATGCATCTCCAGATCAATGAAGCAAATTCATTATTATTGGATCCAAATACGATATCTAGTGGAATCAATATGGCAGCCTCGCCAAGATCAATCATAGGTAGATTCCTTCAAAGGATCGTTGTCGCCGCGAAGCTATTACACTTTGATGAAAGTATGCTTGTCTTCCAATCCTTTTGTCATTTTCGTGAGTCTTCACGAAGTTACTATGAGACATTCAAAATGGATGGCTTTGATCAGTTGGGTACTAATCAAAGGGCCCATTCTGTTGGTTCAACGACAGAGGTTAGAAATCACATGGACGATTTCAACAAAACTAGTGAAGACAATCAGATCCTTGATGCAATGTTGTATAAATCACTCAACGACCAATTGGGTCTGATCACAAGTACAGCTACGCTCCCCGAGGAAGACGTTGTGGTCACGCCCCATACAAAAGCAGAACTCGATTCGTTGATTGATGCTCAAATAAACTTTCTTGAAAGGTATGGCTCTCCGACTTCCCCAGCGTTGCGATCTATAATGGAACAATTAGCGTCTCCTTATCTCGAGTTCTCCACCGTTCATAGAGGCCACAGCGGCCCTTCGCCCTCTATTCACTACCTACGATACCTTGAGCACTTACATGAGGGTAATTACCTCGCTGCGTTTGATTCCCTACATCAATATTTTGATTACATGGTGTCACAAGGATCGAGATACTTCTATCATTTTGCGTTGATTGCAAGAGCATCGCTTCATCAATGTTTTGGTGAGGATCAGAAGGCTCTAGACTCTATTGAAGAGGCCATTTCTGTTGCTAGAGAAAACAAGGATAACGGAACTTTGACTTATGTCTTGTCATGGCTCTTCAACTTCATGAAAGATAAACCAACGTTATGGGTAAGTCAAACTTCATTTCAAAATAATGGTGAACTGCAACTATTAGACTTTTTATCTCGGAAGTCGCAAACTGTGTCATTGCTGTTAGCAGCTGTAAGTTTTTGCTTTGTTACAGAAAGCTACTTATCAAATGGTGATCCTTCCGAGAAACTATGCGAAAGCTTATTCCGAGCCCTATATGTTTCAATCAATGACGGAACTCCCTCGTTTGTGAAATGCTCTGAGCTAGCCAGCCTGGTTTGGTGCAAATTGGGGTACCATACTTAAATGAACTTTATGTGGATACGGGACTAACATACGCATTAAAGTTTGGGTCCAAAAGTGACGTCCTTGATTTATCGTTGAAGAAACAGGTGGGCATTTTCTGGAGGGAAAATCCAGAAAGTGCGATGAATGAACTTAGACAAATGCTGAAAACGTACACAGGTAATGTCGCTCAATATCAGCGATTACAGAAGCAAATACTACTTCTACAGATAGAGTCCAGTTTGAGAAGTGGCAAAGTCCTGTTGGCCAGAGAAAGCATTGACGTCCTTTTGAATTCTGGAGATATGGATGAGGAGTCAAAATTAGATGTGATAAGACTCAATTCAAGTCTCCTTGTCGCAAATGAAAATACGTCTGGTGCGATTCAATGGTTCTCTCGTGAAATTTCAAATTCAACAAAGCGGATAAGACCAAATCTATTCAATTCCATCCGATTGAACTTAATCAAAACGAGGTTACTTATTCACGCTGACGCTAATTCACGAGCGTTATCACTCATCGCACAACATATTAAAATAGCAAAAGGGATTGGATTCGGCGCAGTATTAATGGAAGCTCTTGTACAAATGATCTCACTATTGAACAACATTCAAAGTGTGGATGAAGCAAACAGAATTGGTTTGAGGTTGATACCAGCGGTTACCAGAACCCAGAATCAAAAATTGGTTGCGGCATTATATTTCGAACTTGCTAGATGTAGCTGCGTCTTCCTTGAAACATCAAGTAATCGATTGAATCGCAAGGAGCTGTTCACGAACTTCCTCAGATTTCTTAGCATTGCAATATCTGGGTACAAGAAATCAATGGACTTGAAGCTGCTCGTTGAATGCTTCCGTTTAGAGCAAAGAGTTGCTGTCGCTGGTGCGGACTTCAAGGATGAGATTGCGAACACCATCCCTTTCCAGAACTTCAAGAGTCATTCACAGGCGGGCTTAGAGATTTTACGCAAGAAAGTTAGCGATGAGAGTAACCTTGGCTACCTAAAATCATAATATAAATGGCGCAGACCTGCTGAGCAGCACCACAGACCTTACTGTAAGCTTATTCGCTTCTTAATGACCTTTCTTGAGCATCCATTGATGCCAAGGTGATGGCTGCGTTCTTCATTTGCACCACATTTGCAACTTGTTTAAAGAGCCAAATAGGCGCACTGGTCCACGCGAGCACCGTTCCCAACCAGAAAAAGTTATTATAGTGCAAGTAAAAGGCCATGTAGAACAACTCGTTCACGAGGCACACAAAGAACAACACCTTTCTGTTGTTATAATACAAACTCAAAAGTTTGGACTTTTCATCAACATTTTTGTGCGACGAAGAACCAGAGCACAACATAGCATACATGTGCATGTAGTGAGAAGCCAAGTCTAACGATACTAGCAATTGCCAACCAACACAATATTGTGGATAGATCACACACAAGTAACAGATTAACGAGGAAGTTGCACATCTGTCTGTCACCATATCTAAGACAGCACCAAACCTAGTTCCCTGGTTAAATTTCCTTGCTGCATACCCGTCAAAAGCATCAAGAAACCCGGAAATTCCGTATAGGATGGTAGTCCATATGGGATGATTCTTCATTGTCAAAAACGACAAAATAGCTGTAAGTACTCTTACATATCCAATCAAGTTTGGAATAAATAAAAATACATCATTCATTGTCGTCTTATTCTTCGCCATCGTGAAAGGAATTCAAAGAAACAATTCTAACGGATTGATAGCCATTCAATAATCAAGCCAAGTATGTTTGGTAAAGTTCAATGAGCAACACGCAGAATATTACAAGAACAATTTTCTTGAGTGATCCAATTGTGACAAAATAGACAAGAATGGAAGTTGAATATTGTAGCTTTGATGAGAACAAGACACGAAAAGTGAAAAAGAATTTGTCGCTATGATTCCTTCCGTTAGACAGGCGCACTACTAAAATTTGTCCTTGCGAACATTACACATCGCCAATGGTAGACACACTGCTCAACTTCAATGTAATTCTCTTGAAACTCGTCCTTGCTCGTACAAGCATTTAATTATTTTACCAGGGTAAGCTGCTCTGAGTTGAGTAGTGAATGCTATGGTAATAAATGGGGAACTTAGAAGTAAATAGGTCTGCATAAGATTGATATAATAGTTAAACAATCTCAGTGGCAATAAACTTCAAGCTTAATCACTACAAGATGTTGAAATTTGTGGAACTTGGAGATGACATAGTCGTATCTAATCTCTGTTTGTTTCTAGATCCGACCGATGTCTTTAATTTATCTTTGACTTGCAAACAACTTCAAATTCTCTTAACGAGTAATGAGGCATACCATCAACTATTCTTGTCCAAATTTGGTAGAATCACGCCGCTTAATTTAAAAGAATACAACTGGAAAACCTTGTTCAAGTTAAGGTCATCGAAAGAACTTAATTTTTATACATGGGGCTCCGCAGAGCACGGACGCTTGGGGTATTACTCTCGGGATATTCCCCAGGATCATGTATGCTCTGGTTGGCCAGGGGTCCATACCCCTACAATGGTCCCTAATTTTGCAGATTACAACATTGAATGCGTCCTGACCGGCGGATTTAGTTTTCAATTATTGGTAAATGGTAACATATTTTGTGTGGGAGCCGATTATGCACCCGCAAGGAGGGAAATGGCTACTCCTGGTCCAACTGTGGAGGATTATTCAAGGTTCAATCTAGAAGATTCATTTGGAGTCCCAAGTCCCATCCTCCACAGGTGGGGCAGGTCTAGTAGTGCTTTCAGGAGAACACCCAACCATTTGCGACTACCAGACAGCCCAGAATTAAGAAGGCCGCCAGAGCAACTAGACTTTCCTACCGAGTATATGAGGAATTTGCCTCGGGAATCCCTGTTCGTAACCAGGATGGAACTTCCAAGAGCATCTGTTGATAAGCAGCAGCACAAAATCAAGTCAATCTCGAGTGGGAGACAACACTTCTTGGCTCTCGACGATAGCGGTACCGTATTTACTTGGGACAGTGGAAATTCAGATTGGAAGGTTGGCGTAGCATTGACATTTCCAGGTCTTCTGGGTAAAATTACAAAAATTTTTGCTGGCTGGAATCTTTCTGTCTGTTACATGGTGAGCGTTGGACTTGTGGTCTGGTGTTCCCGTGAACCTGTTACTGAGGAGCAATTCGAAGTCGGTACGAATCAGGCTACAGCGAACTATGTAGTCATACCTGACCTGTGTCTGATTTCTGAATTTATTGCTTTAAGTGACTGTGTTATCTTTCTGCACCAACAAGGGGGCCTTTTCCGTTTTGATATCAATGCTAGTTCTGCTGCAGCAGGTACGTACGAGCTTTCACCGGCCTATCCGATCATCAATTTCAATCGCTGGCTTTCGAGATTCAACAAAGTGAATGATTGTGAGGCTGTGTTCACTAAATTAAGCGGCTGCTACGAATCATTTGCGGTTTTTTCCAATCATGGACTGGTCCTTCTTGGAACTAAGTCAAACTCAGTGGAGGATAGTACAGATCACCCCGTAGTTATTCCTGAATTACAGAATAATGGTGTTATTCAGGTTGTTATAGGAGATTATCACTATATGGCACTAACTGACTCAGGGGAATTATTGAGTTGGGGTTTAGAACTGAAATCTCAAGGCTGCTTAGGTTTGGGTGATCTTTCACATCGGAGCGATGGAAGTGCTGTCCTGGAAGGACATAGTAGTAGGGTTTGTAAACCTGAGCGAGTTCCCAAGCCTTCAGCTAATGGCAAATGGATGGCTGCTGTTGCTGCGGGTTGGCATTCGGGAGGTTTATTTGTTCCTGGAACTGAATAATGCCTATGAATTGCAAAATGAATACGAAGTTCCAAATAGTGTCATTTCCTTTGACTAACATTTAATTAATGAATTGTGGTTTTCACAAATATATTTACTGGGTGTAATTACAATTTCTTGTGACCTGCCTTTTGCTTACTTTTTTCGCAATTGCCTTAAATTTGTAAATGTAGATTTTCTGATTTGGAAAATATTGAACCTGAAGATGAAGATCGAAAGATGACACAATTTGAGGAGATAAGGACACAGATTTCATTTGGAACATTAACTTTCTGTATTATTTAAAATCCCCATATCGTCGTTTAGATGACGATGCACGTGATTAATGAATCCGGGTAACCGTCACTGATCACACTCAGGAAGATGTTGTAGGACGGCAACTACGCTTAACTTTAAGAGACAACCTGAATCGAGCAATCAACACTTGGTCGCAACAGTTTCAATTCAATAACAGAGCTGATTTTGATTTAGATCACTGCAAACAATCTCAACAATGACAAGTCCGAAACGAAACAGTTTGAGCGATAAAGATGGACTCCTTACGCCAACACCCTCTCACAACCATGCGGTCTCGCATCGTCAAAGAAGATCGTCGTCCATCATTCAACATCTTGAGCCTGATACTTTGGACACTAAGATTGATCAATCTTTGAATCCAAATTTGAACGCAGATTGGGTACACTACAAAGGCGCTTGGGTAATCCATATTGTTTTAATCATCTTCCTTAAATTGTTTTTTGATTTCATAACTGTGCTAGACAATGACTGGAAATGGACGTTAACAAATGTGGTTTATAACATTGGCTCTTATATAATGTTTCATCAGGTTAAAGGAACTCCATTTGAATTCAATTCAGGTGCTTACGACAACTTGACTATGTGGGAACAAATTGATAACGGAGATCAGTACACTCCGACAAAGAAGTTTTTAATGATGGTGCCAATCACGCTATTCTTGATTTCAACGCATTATTCGAATTACAACTTATATCTGTTCACTGTGAGCGGTATCAGTTGTTTGTGTGTAGTAGTTCCCAAACTTGCAATTGCTCACAGATTGAGAGTTACGTTATTTTGAATGGCCAGTCTTGCAAATTGTTTACTTATATTTAGCCGGGCTTTTTGACCTTGACACTTCAACAGCAAAGTTCGGTTCTGCATCCGTGCAAGTATCTTTAACCAAATACACAAGCACCTAATGAATTCTTTTTTTGAAGGCTCCACCGATTAATTGAATATCATTTTTATTTTCCTTTCACTCCATTGTATATCAATTGATGGTTTACTACACAGGACTGAAAGTGACTCCGAAGAATAAGATCAGAGTCATTTCACGTGTAATTTCTTATATAATGCACGACACCCCAATAATTTCTTTCAAATCACTTAATTCTTTCTTAACGCAAGCATTTCAATGTCGTACTCTTTATCTGAAACTCACAAGCACTTGGTCGAGGACCGTTTGGCAGATAGCGACCCGGAGGTCGATGGAATTATCAAGGCTGAAGTCGACAGACAAAAGCACTCCATTGTATTGATTGCCAGTGAAAATTTCACCACTAAAGCAGTGTTTGATGCTTTGGGAACCCCCATGTGTAACAAATACTCAGAGGGGTACCCTGGTGCAAGATACTATGGTGGTAATGAGCAAATTGATAAGATGGAAATTTTATGTCAGGAGAGAGCATTGAAGGCTTTCAATGTTACCCCTGATAAGTGGGGTGTAAATGTGCAAACGTTGTCCGGATCTCCAGCAAACTTGCAAGTTTACCAAGCCATCATGAAGCCACATGAAAGATTGATGGGATTGGACTTGCCACATGGAGGTCACTTATCGCATGGTTACCAGACCGATTCTAGAAAGATTTCTGCTGTCTCAACCTACTTTGAGACTATGCCTTACAGAGTGGATTTGGAAACTGGATTGATTGATTACGAAATGTTGGAGAAGACTGCTATCTTGTACAGACCTAAGGTTTTGGTGGCTGGCACTTCCGCTTACTGTCGTTTGATCGATTACAAAAGAATGCGTGAGATTGCTGACAAGGTCGGTGCTTACTTGGTTGTCGACATGGCACATATTTCTGGTTTAGTTGCTGCTGGTGTCATACCCTCTCCATTTGAGTATGCTGATATTGTGACCACTACCACTCACAAGTCCTTGAGAGGCCCAAGAGGAGCAATGATCTTTTTCAGAAGAGGTGTTAGATCTATCAACCCCAAGACAGGACAGGAGGTGTTGTATGATTTGGAAAACCCAATTAACTTTTCTGTTTTTCCTGGACATCAAGGCGGCCCACACAATCACACGATTGCTGCATTGGCTACTGCTCTCAAACAAGCTGCTACCCCCGAGTTCAAGGAATACCAAGAACAAGTGTTGAAGAATGCAAAGGTCTTGGAAGAAGAGTTCATTAAGAAAGGATACAAGTTGGTCTCCAATGGAACTGATTCTCACATGGTTTTGGTTTCTTTGAGAGATAAACAAATCGATGGAGCTAGAGTTGAGACCATCTGTGAACGAATCAACATCGCATTGAACAAGAACTCTATTCCAGGTGATAAGTCTGCTTTGGTTCCAGGAGGTGTCAGAATCGGTGCACCTGCAATGACCACGAGAGGTTTGGGAGAGGAGGATTTCAAGAAGATTGTGGGTTACATCGACTTTGCTGTTAATTACGCTAAAGAAATCCAGTCCAAGTTACCAAAGGAGGCTAACAAATTAAAGGACTTCAAGCAGAAGGTCTTGCACGGTGAAGATGCCAAATTAGATGCCGTGAAATCCGAAATTTCCCAATGGGCTGGTGAATTTCCATTGTCTGTTTAGTTTCGATCGTGATCGATGGTAAATCTTTTGTTAATTGAACATGTAATTATATGATACCCTCAGAAATGAATCTTTGCTTCAAAGTTCCATCCAATTGCCATGCCTTTAAATCAGCCTCAGTTCCCAACATTCTACCATTGAAAAATATCGTCGGTACCCACTTTCTTCCCGAAATCGCAGTAAACTCTGCTTCTAGCCTGACTGCTTCGTTCTGGTTGTCAAATTTGTCCAATTCAATTATGTGAACTTTGTCGCGTAAGCCAAATGAATCCCATATCTTGTACACAAAATGACAATCAGGACACCATGATTTCGAAATCATGAGATACCTGTGCGCATTGATTAACAGCCGTGCATTGCATTCTTTTTCCATGTTGGTTGTGGTATTCATAACTTGAGAACAAATGACCTCCTCATAAAGTTCCACTGTATGCACGATATTTCCATCTCCTATCTCACTTATTCGAACTAAAGAATGCAAACAGAGCTACATGAGAATATATAAAGAAAATAGCTAAATTCAAGTCAAATTTGAAAGGAAAGTGGTTCTATTTGTAAATTATTGGACAGAGGTCCAGTACGGAGTTGCAATAATGAGGGGCTTGTCAACCGCCCCACTTTTCGCGGCACTTCACTCCGTGACCTGACTATAAAGACCGCTAAAACGTAATACTCGTTCTATTGCTACGAAGAATTCATCACCATGGACACAAAATTAAGAGACGCTTTAGACAAAATAGTTGCAGAATTTGCAATTGACAAAGCTTTTCTTTGCAAAGCAACAAACCAATTCCTTGCATCGATGGATGCTGGCTTAGCAAACGATACACCTACCAGAGAGTATATGCCAATGATTCCAACTTATGTGACCTCTATTCCAACTGGAAAGGAAAAGGGATTATTTTTAGCAGCAGATTTGGGTGGCACAAATTTCAGAGTTTGTTCAATTGATTTGAAAGGAGACCATACTTTTGATTTAAAACAATCGAAGTCCCCTGTGCCTCTTGATTTGATGAAAGGTTCAAGTTCCGATAATCTTTTTAGTTTTTTGGCAGAAAAAGTTCAAAATTTCTTAGTGGAACATCACAGTGATTTGAATGACACTGCGAAGTTGAAATTAGGTTTCACTTTCTCATTCCCCGTTGAGCAAACCGCTCTTGACCGCGGTAAATTGATACGTTGGACGAAAGGATTTGACTTACCCGACTGCGTGGGAAGGGATGTTGTCGAAATGTTACAGAAGCACATTGATATCTTGAATATACCTGTGACTATTGTAGCCTTAGCGAATGACACTGTTGGAACATTATTGTCTAGGGCATATGTCAACGACAGCAAGAAGACCAACTCGAATACTGTAATTGGTTGCATTTTCGGAACTGGAACTAACGGTGCTTATTTTGAAAACATTTCAAATATACCAAAGCTTGCTGGTGCTACTTTGCCAAAGGATATCAAGGGAATGGTAATCAACACTGAGTGGGGTTCTTTTGACAATTCATTAGAGATCTTACCGAGAACTAAGTTCGATGATATTGTTGACAAAGAGACAAGCAATAAAGGATATCACCTCTTTGAAAAGAGAATCAGCGGGATGTTTCTTGGAGAATTGCTCAGGGTGACATTAATTGAGCTCTTCAATGAAGGACATATCTTCACGGATTTGTATAAGTCAAGAGGAAATAATTTGCCACATAGACTTACCGAACCATTCTTATTGTCTTCCGAGGTTTTATCATACTTGCAAATTGATGACTCCACTGAACTCAGAATGTCAGAATTAATTCTTGAGAATCAATTAAGATTACCAACTACCACAATTGAACGGCAAGTGATTCAGGAATTGACTCAAGCTATTTCCAATAGGGCAGCACATCTCTCGGCTATTCCCTTGGCTGCCATTGTTATGAGAGTTAAAGACCAATATGCCAGTGATGATAAGGATCTCGAAGTTGGCTGTGATGGCTCTGTCGTGGAATTTTACCCTGGCTTCCAGAAGAAAATCTTAGACGCTCTTCACTTGATTGATCCATTGAAAGGCTCTGAAAAGAGAATTCATTTGAAGATTGCTAAGGATGGCAGTGGAGTTGGAGCCGCTTTGTGTGCAAGCACAGTATGATAGTCGTACAATTGAAAAATCAATAAATGAAAGTATTTGATTAATAATCTGAAAGTATGTGAGTACTCAGATAATGATTCAGAATCATTTTTCGAGATAAAGAACGCACTTTTGAAATGTTTCTCATTGTAATTAGTAATTGAAGCCTTCTCATCTGTAGATATACTAACTACACTCTACCAACAGCTCTAATGGCGTTGAATGTGTCCCATAAACCAAATATTTTGTATAGTTCTTTTTCAAACAATCGTATAATGGGTACTACATCAGGGACTATACTGAGAAGCATGGTCATAGTTCGTTGAGAGTAGATAAACTAAGGTTACTAAAATACTGCTATAATCACCAAAGCTCTCACCATTCGGCTAGGCAAGTTACCACTTCCAGAAAATAACTATCCAGATACAACAATCGACAAGCAGGCATTAACTCGGGTCACTACAGAAAAATTGGAAGTCGGTAAAGAACGTCCCGTGGCCGAAGGAGCAATAGGCTCTTCCAAGTATACTTCTCATCGTAAATCTCAAAAATCAGATGTAAAACATACTTGAGACATATCTGGCTATCATCAGCAGATCAAGACATATGAACGACTATATATCAATTTAGTAGAAGTCCACCTATGAAACATATCCAAATACAAATGAAACCAATTAGTCCATGGCATACAAATTAATTAGCAACAACCCGATGACAACGTTAAATTTATAAAAACTTCTGGTAAACCCATGTGCTTATGTAGCTCACAACCGCATAAAACAATGCTATAAATTCCATCCTATATCATTCTTTAAATGATTCTTTAGTAAATGTATGGTTCGTGAACTAAACTAAAATCACTTCCTAAGTTTATTCAAATCTAACAGTTGTCAGTGTAATAACTGGCAGTAATATTAAGGAACACATATTCTATAACACTAAAGTTAAAAATTCTACTTCGTTCTTACTCTATTGAATCCTACCGTTCATCAACAATTACTGCTATTCTTGTTAGAAAGGCCATTGATATATAAATTATATAATATTGTTGTGTTTACAATATCAAAACAATCTTTCAGACGCTCTTCTGATCTAGCTGAAATTTCAATTGTAGCTTTTGTGGGAGATTCTTACAGAATTAGTCATTTTAATTAATTAATTTAAATATTCTTTTAAAAAATTTATTTAATAATGAGTTAGATTGGAATCGAACTAATATGAATTGCTTAAAGGGCAATTGTCTTAACCATTTGACGATTAACTCTTTTTGCCTTCGGAAAGAATTGAACTTTCATCCACAGAATCGCAATCATCTCAAATACTTTCTCCAAGATTTAGCAAATTTAATACTTTTCAGGTGCTTTTTTATTGGCTATAACTATTGAAACGTAGTTTTGACTCGAACGTTTGTCGTCATGTATCTTTTGTAAAGAGCATTGAATTTCTTTTCATGATATATGAAATCATAGTGCAGAATGAATGATAGTGAACTTCGATAGTCTGTGATAAGCAAGACCCTTGTTTTATTGTAGTTCATGGAACAGATTCCTTCTCTATAAAGTAAGCGCTTGGAATATACATTTAAAAATACGCTGTGTTAATTACAATCGTTGTTGCCCAGTGGGATAGAATATCTTCTTTAATAATTGTGTATTATATTGTGAGTTGAATATATTCATTTTAAAAGAAAAGACATTCATCATCCTTTGGGTAATCATTGTAGATTGGATATTTGTTTTTTGGCAGTCTTTGTTAGATTATCTTATATAAAGATAAATAAAAAAAGGAACATACTCATCTTAAAGCGTAGGAGAAGCAAAGAGATTTTTTTATCAATCACCATAGAATAAAAGTGATGGTATAATAATAACAAATTTACATAAACGAACTATAATATAGTAAACCAAATCCCAAAAGAACGGGAAACATTTTAAATTCCCTTTTTGCAGAAATTTGACTCATTAAATTTTGCAGTTTAATGGGACACTAGATGTGTTAGCAATCTTGAGAGATATAGAAATACAAGAAATCATGTTAATTGTTTTTATCTTGTAGAATTGGTTGTCCTTATTTGCATCACAAATCATAAATCTACAAAAAAAAATGTGATAATCTAATATTGGAAAAATGTAATATAAGTAGCGAATTATTCAATTGGTGCTTTCGTTCACTAAAGAGAAGTTTAGAACTAGCCCACTTGTTCCTTTGTCTATTCCATCAATTCCTCCTGACTTCAATGTCCAATTAAAGTTATTCAAATCATTATTAGCGTAACGAAGGACATTAATATCAAATGTCCGATTTCCAAACGTTGGGATTGCAACGTTGTAATTCGAATCCCCCAAGTGCAAATAATTAGTGTCAAATACAAACAAGTATTCTATTCCTTCTTGGAACTGAAATTGCTTGCAATTCGATAATTTGCAAAAGTGCTTTATCCTCTCATTTCTTTTCCTTGGTATCTTCATGGATTCATTCGATTTCAGAGCTAGATTCTCTTCATCGTTCACGATAAGACTCTCTAAATCTTCTGAGCTATCAGATATTCCGATAGTTGAGAAACTGTTTAAGGCAGGAGCATATATGTATGGAGACTCGCAGTAAATGTCCGCCTGTATCGTTGGATTGATAAACCAAGAAAAGAATTTGAGTCCCGTAGCAAGGAGTGTTGTAGGAACATAATCTCTAATCGGTGTAGTGCAATCATTTCCAAAAAGCAAGTCCAAGCCCGAAATCGTCTGACTTGGCTGAAGTTTTAAAATGATCCGAAGATTGGGTAAACACCCTGACGAATCTTTGCTGCTAATGTTGCTGGCATCACCGTTTAAATATTTGCTGTCACCCGCATTGTAAAGGCTGTTATCTTGATGGAGTTGGCTACCGTCAAAATTGCGAATATACACACTAACCGAAGCAAGACCAATATCAGACTTGATATCTACAAACTTCCCAGTATTAACAGGAACCACCTCATTTTCGGTATCATGGCCAGATGAGACTTTGAGTAATAGCTTCTTCGTAGTAGACATGTTTAAATTTTATCGAAATCCTATTGAGGTGTTAAGTTGCTGTGTGTTCAGTGTGCAGTATTTATGGCTTCCTACATTCTAGTGTACTAGTACCTACCTTTGTAGAGAAAGTTGCAGAATCAACATTTATAAACACGATCAGATGTAAAAAGTGATCTGGCTATTTTTGAATGTAGGCATCTCACTCTTGAAGTCCTCTTGAGCAAAAAGTCTCACGTCATATTTTAAGATTCATGCACTTCTTCGTACTTTATAGTTTATACAATTTAGTAAGGCTGTATTGAAGTAAGACAAAAATGAATCTCGAACCGTTGTTTATGGAATGAGATTGCCAACTTCAAAGATGTCGGTGAGTCTAGGGAATATAGTGTATTCGTAAGCATCAAGTTAGTCGCGACTACTTACTTGAGTTACTTCGCGATTATATTGCCAATTATAGGAGACTTTACACAAGGTAGCCAACTCATCTGTACTAAACAGTATCCTCAGGCTCCATCCATATTTAATCATTATGAATCCGAGCTTACCGAATATCCGAGAGTGTTGAAAATGAGTAAAACCTACACCCGAATATTCCGGAGGAACATTTTCCCGTAGTGGAGACCTTTGCACACTCACATCATGCCAAAAAATGGACTCAACATCATCTGTAATCACTGCCTCCTCTGGTTGTTCTCGTTGTGAAGTTGAGTATTCCCTGCGAGCTATGTGCGGAAAACAACAGTCCAAAATAGATAATTGATGTAAAACTAATTAATATGTAAAACCAAGTATGATACCTAAGGATTCACACCTCCGCTGAATAGTAAATATTGAGGCAGGGATGATTTCTGGTTTAAGATCCAGATTAGCCGCGATTAATAATTGTTGAACTTTTTGCGACTGCAGCGAACGACTATTACCCGTCCATCATATTCACAAGCGGAGTATATAGTGTGTCCGACCCCCACCACCGATCGCGGAGTTTCCTTCACCCATTGAAAAATGTCAAACTCCTTAGAGCAATTGAAAGCAACCGGAACTGTTATCGTCACCGATACTGGTGAATTCGAGTCAATTGCCAAGTACACTCCCCAGGATGCTACTACCAACCCATCCTTGATTTTGGCCGCAGCAAAGAAACCAGAGTATGCCTCCTTGATCGACATCGCAATCAAGTACGCCGATGACAAGGGATCTTCCCCTAAGGAAAAGGCTTCCATCGCGTTGGACAGATTGTTGGTGGAGTTCGGCAAAGAGATTTTGGCTATTGTTCCAGGAAGAGTTTCTACGGAGGTCGACGCTAGATTGTCTTTTGACAAGGATGCTACTATCAAGAAGGCACTTGAGATTATCAAGTTGTATGAATCTATTGGTATCAACAAGGACAGAATCTTGATTAAGATTGCTTCTACTTGGGAAGGTATTCAGGCTGCCAAAGAATTGGAAGAGAAGCACAACATTCACTGTAACTTGACTTTGTTATTCTCATTTGTTCAGGCTGTTGCTTGCGCTGAGGCCAAGGTTACATTGATTTCTCCATTTGTTGGTAGAATCTTGGATTGGTACAAGGCTTCAACTGGAAAGGACTACGACGCCGAGTCCGACCCGGGAGTTGTTTCTGTCAGAAAGATCTTCAACTACTATAAGAAGTTTGGATACAACACCATTGTCATGGGTGCCTCTTTCAGAAATACTGGTGAAATCAAGGCTTTGGCTGGATGTGATTACTTGACTGTTGCTCCAAAGTTGTTGGAGGAATTGCTCAACTCTACTGAAGATGTGCCAAAAGTTTTGGACTCTGAGTCTGCCCAAGCTTTGGAAGACACGAAAGTTTCCTACATTAACGACGAGTCTGAGTTCAGATTTTTGTTGAACGAGGATGCCATGGCCACTGAAAAGTTGGCACAGGGAATCAGAGGTTTCGCTAAAGATGCGGAGACCTTGTTGTCTCAATTGGAGGCAAGATTCTAAGAGCTTAAGTCAGTTTAATGTTTCCTGATTAAATGTTAGTCATTGTAGTATGCAGTCACCGTAATTCTTATAACTACATGTGTGTATTCTCTGAGATTGAGGTAGCATAAATAGAATCAACACCTTTTCAACTATCAGATGAATATTCGACGTCCTATTCCAGAACATATCGAATCTCCTTTCCCAATCTTATGTTCTTCACAAGTTGTGAGTGGGTTTGGAAGGGGATCGGCTGAATTAGGCATTCCAACGGCAAATGTTCCAGTGGATGATCTACTTAATGCTTTGGACACAGGTGTCTACTTTGGGTGGTGCAAGCTCTCTCCCGCTAATACAGACCAACAAATAGAACCCTCCTTACTCTCAAGAAAGCGCGTTGATTTCAATTATGGTTGTGAGTTGTCTGAGGAAGATTTGAATGTTTTGCCTATTGTAATGTCAGTTGGATGGAATCCCTTTTACAACAATACGAAAAAGACAGCTGAAGTCCACGTTATTCATGAATTCACCAAGGACTTTTACGGTGCAAACATCAAGTTGGCCATTCTCGGGTATATTCGACCAGAATTGGATTACACAACCAAAGGTACGTTATTTTCCTCTCGAGAATCGCTTGATGTACATTACTTCTACTAACACAACATAGAGGCCCTAATTGAAGACATAAAGAAAGACATCGAAGTAGCAGACTTAACATTGAAGGATGGTGAATACCAGTCATTCAAGGACAAGTTTGGATGTGAAATGTGATGTTTCGAGATTTCACGCTGCGATTATAGTCGAACAGTACAAGTGGCATTATTTCAGGAACCATCTTGTTACCAACGAAGCAATCACTGTATGCTTAAGTATCTTATACATCGCCGCCTAACGGCAAGGGAAACCTTTCGTCAACTTCAACTTTCAACTTCAGAATAAATTTATAACGACGATTGAGGAGAACATTTACTCATTTGATCTTATGAAGTGGTATAGGTAATTGAATACAAAGACGCTATGTCAAGATCATTCAAGGAAATTTTAAATAGACCCTCGATCTGCAATCTTTATGCTCGGCAATAACAGCAATCGCCAAATAAAGTTTGTGGTTAACATTATATCACTTTTAAGCTAAAAAGATGAGGGTATGTCGCCATTTACTGGGCAAGGTTTATCGCGGCGAGACGACACTTTAGTCCCTGGAAACGATACAAAGTTTGAATGCCAGTTTGAACTTTGGATCTATAACTAAGCAATCCCCGAACAAATCTGAAAGTGTGTATCCAAGCTTGCTGTACTATTTACCTCATTCTCACTTGTCGAGATCAGAAAGTAATACCCACGTTCATCATTGGAAATAAAATGTACATTGGGGTATGTTGGAATCTAGAAAGCTTCAAAAACAGCTTGGCTTGACTTCAATCAAAATAAACTATCTTTAACGGGATTTTACAATTGTTGCTTGGTTACATTAGTCAATATCGTTGCATTTACCACTGCAAAATTGAATAAATACGATTCTGGTTTCATAAAGCTTGAAATCCTATCAAGTTGAGTGTGGCATGAGAAGATACCTAAATGAAAATGGTGCTGATCGCAGCTCGAAATGAGTATTTTAATACTTAAATAAGTAAGTATCAATCAATAAGCACCGAGCTTCCAAACCTTGGGTAGTTCAATTTTACTACGACAAAAGCAAGCCGGTATAGGGCCATACAATCCCCAATTCTTCTCTAGCGCAATCTTGCAAAGTATGTAGGACAGAGTGCGTACAATACAATGTGACTATTGATAGAGGCAATACTTTCTCTTGTCTACTATCGAAATCACAACTGAGTATACAACATGGGAATACAAGATTCTATATGTTCTTGGGATCATTTGCTTAACCAAACTTCATGTGAATATATATCAGACAATTGCAACTCAAAGTTTTTTTTCGTTGCCAAGTCATATTACTGCTCTAACAATGACCCTGGCCTTGGAAGAGCCTTAATATATTCCATTGGGTTGCTATTGATAATTGGAATTTTGATATTGATTTTAAGTTTGATTGTTTCGAATTACTTACTTTATTGTGTGACAAATTTTGCAGACCTTTTTGGAATCAACAAGAAGGTACTAAGCTTCTTCATAATACCCCTCACAAATTCACTACCTGATTTGTTTAACTACCATGTTGCAATGAAGTCCGACTCGGTTGACTTGGTCCTAGGACAAGTCATTGGCGCTAATTTGATAACTTTTACTATAGTCATTGGCCTCATATGCTTTCTTTGCCCATTTTCCGCAAAGGATAATATGGCCATAATTTATGGATTAATTTGGGTAATAGTGATGATTTCAGTACTTGCGTACGTAATGTCAGACAGCCGGGTGAATTTTTTGGAATGCAGTTTGATGTGTATTTTATTTATTATCTACACATGGAGCTTGCACTATTTTAATATTCAAGAGGTAACTGGAAATTTGGGGTCGGAGGCAGACATACCGAATAAGGTAAATGTTAATGACGAGCATACCTACTTGATTCCCCAACCGCTTGCTAATGAAGGAGACTACATTGAAGCCACCTCCAATTATTCTTTATGGGAACGTTTTATTGATGCATTTGATTGCCTTATTTTTGTGTTCATTCCAGTCTCTAGGCGGACATTGATGAGGCTGAAGAAGAGTGAACGTGCTATCTTGCATACTTTATTCACGTCAAGAATTTTTCACCTTTGGATGGTACTAATGAGCTGCATTCTATTAAATTTTAATACCCTTCAGTTAGGTATGGGATATGTCGTGCTCGTTGCAACAACATTTTATCTAACATTCGAGGTTATTAGGAATTATGCAGATGAGACTTGTTGTAATGTACTTGCTGACATCGTGAGCATTTGTAATTCTTTGGGATTCCTTTCTTTCATTACTCAAGAACTCATTCAATTATTGAAGAATTTGGGCACAATCTGGAAAATTTCTGAATACACCATGGGTCTCCTTGTTTTCTCCATAGTGAACTCAATTAACGACATCGTTATGAATATTCTGTTGTCTACTAAGTTGAGCCCCACCTTGGGTGTCAGTTCATGTTTGGGAACTAGTCTTCTTTTAATACTGATTGGTATAGGTTTCAACGGAATTTTGAGGCTCACAAAATGTGGAAACTTTAACCAAGTCTTACATGGAGCATTGAGTTTCACTCTCAGTCCAGAAATTTACATGAGCATGACCTCATTAATTGTGATTGTTCTGATTTACATTTTATATTTGCCGCTCAACCAATGGAAATTTGACCGCCGGTTAGGGGTTTTTAGTATTTGTCTTTGGATGGGAACAATAGTCACGTGCCTAATCATGGACTATGAACTGGACAATTAATCCTTGGAAATACACCTAAGGCGCTGGCCGACTTATTGATTCCAAACTCAAGACTCTGAAGTAGAATTCCTGTAATCGCTCAAACTGTTCTGTATTCATTTGTTTTCCAACATTATTGAACTCTCCATCTTCTGCAAGAAACAGCTTTAGACATTCAACCAAAACAGATGGAACAATCTTATAATTTCTGAGGTTTATCAAGAAGTTGGTTGAATTTGTTGTCAAGACAATTTCAGTTGTTAGTTTGCATAAATAGGTTCCATCATCTCGGGGATTAACCAAAGACTCCAAATGAACTAACTTTTCATAAATCTCAAACGGAATATCATTGTTGAGCTCTAAATTGTTGATAATCAAATCTCTTGCACGGTGAAGATTATTCTTATGTATTTCAAGATCAACAAGGCGGACAAGAGCATCATATTTCTGTCTTGTGGGAACGAATGATGAAATTCGCTCCAACACGCTTCGAGCTTGGCTCCTTTTGTTCAAGAGTAGTAATAAATTGAAATATCGTATAGCAAACTCAGATGACAACGCTGAGACCAAAAGCAATCTCTCATAAACCTGCTGCAAGAAGAGGAAAGGATAATTTTGTTCGATGTAATCGAGGTATAAATGCCATAAATCAACTTCCTCGGAAGTCATTTGCGATGAAGAAAATTGCAAATGCCTACCAAGTTGAGACTCAAATAGATACATCTCATGAATTTTAAATTGAGAGACTTCAAAAGTATTTCGGAAGCACTTATCAAGCTTCTGCGAAATTGTTGAAAAATTGTTATTCTCTTGATCTTTCAACTGCTTCAATTGGTGGTCAGGAAGCAAGAAACCGAGATTGACCTTTCTGATATTCTGGATTGCAATATATTCAAGAAGCTCTTTGAGGAAAATTGCACCATTATAAATTGGAAGCTCGATAACATGGCGTAGCAAAAGGGCATACTTCTCCATGTACCTGTTTTCGTGTGTTGCATAAGACTTAAGGAAAGATAAGTACAATGCATAGTATTCTCCACTAAAGTAGCTATAACCGATTTTATATCTCGCTTCTTCAAATAACTCCAATACTTCTTTTGTATCATCTGTGATGGACTCTGAGATAAAGGTGAGGTAAGTGACCCAATAGTCTATATCAAACGAGACAAACTTCATTCCCTCCATGAATATTTCGGATGCTCGTTCCCTGCTTCCAAGTTTAAACTCCCATTTAGCTAGTGATGACCAATACTTACTGAACAATGGAAATCTGGCTAGGAAGGCTCGGTAAGACTGCCTTATGACAAAAATTCGAGAGAGACCCAGTATAGAGTGGGGAGTCTCTTTTGTCGAACTTTCTGCATCATAAATCAATGTTTGCCACAATTCCAATCTAGAAGGGTCTTTGAGTAGACTTTTGGAGGCTTGTTCCCAATTCATCATCTACTTTTATCTCGATGATTTCCTCAAGCTATTATTATGTATCAAATATAGTCTATATGCAATACAAACTAGTTTTCACGGTATAGGTGGGATGCCGAAGCTTGGTTTGTGGAAAAAACCAAAGTTTCAGCAAGAACAGTATTCTCCTTTCTGGTAAGCGCGAAAACAATGATTTCGGCTATATCAATTGCAACCAACGGCTCGGTTCCTGAGTAGACCGCTTTAGCTTTCTCTAAATCCCCACGAAATCTAACGTTGGAAAATTCAGTTTCAACATTTCCTGGATCAACTTCAATAACCCTGATTTTGGTATTGATCAACTCCTTCCGTAATGCATGGGAGAAAGATTTCACTGCCGCTTTAGTAGGGCAGTATATACCACCTCCAGGGTACGGATCTCTCCCTGCAATCGATCCTAAATTCACAATATCACCAGAATTCTTGGCCTTAAAAACCCCCAATACTTTCTGTGTAAGCATTATTAATGCTAACACATTCGTATCAAACATCTCCCTAATGTCATTCTCATCAATATGACCAACTTCCTCCCTCCCGAGGGCTTTTCCAGCATTATTTATCAAAATATCAATGTCCGAGAACTCCTCTGGCAAATCTTCCACGAATGATTGAATTTGACCCAATTTGGATACATCTAGTTGGACAGCAGCAACTTTAATAGAAGGGTACTTCAGTTCTAACTCTGTTTTCAAACTCTCCAATCTATCCTTCCTTCTTGCGGTTAGAATGAATTTAAGATTTCCTTCTGCAGCCTCTGCAAGTTCCCGGGTGGTAGCTTCGCCAATTCCAGACGAAGCACCAGTAATCAATACTGTTTTTCCCTGCAACCTTTCAAACGCTCTTGCTCCGTAGGACATTGTTGGTATTAGTCGACAACACTTATTAATCTCCTATTAAGAAATATCATGCAGGACGTAGGGCCACAAATTGAACGTTTGAAAAGAATTTCATGTGCTAAAGCAAAATGATTATTCTACAATAAAGTTTATTATGTTTCACATGTATTAGTATAAATGTGGACGATGACACTCATGAGTTCAAAAAACACGAGACGCTTAGTAGAAGGTGGTTGGAGCCTTGAATTGGTACAACTTCTTGGACTTCTGGACTCTGTGTGGCAATGGGAATTTCAAGTTCTTGGTCAAGTACTGCTTGACGTATTGTCTCTTGACGTCTTCAGTCTTCTCCAACTCGACAACCTTCAAGATGTGAATTTGTCTAAATCTAGCTCTGTGTCTAGCGGCCAAATCCTGGTACATGGTCTCAACGGCACCAACTCTGGTAACGTCTCTGTACTCCTTGTACATGTTGTGAATACCGGATCTGGATTCGTATCTAATCCAGATACCGTAAGTCTTGACCTTGGTTGGAGTGGACTCAGAGATAGTGTTGACAGACACAATCTCACCGGAAGCCTTCTTGGCCTTGTACAACTTCTGCAAGAAGTACCAGTATCTGGACTTGGCAACAACGGTGTTTGGGGCAAAGATTCTCATTCTGAACAACTTTGGCTCTGGAACGGCCTCGGTAGGGAGACGACGACCAATAACTTGATATTCGTTCAATCTAGACATCTATAATCGTTAGTATGAGATAATAACTAAATGAATTTCTGTGACTTTCAATGGCTAAACATTTCATTCTTCAATCAGTTGTGATCATCTCTCAAATGTTTTTGCCAGCAACGTTGCAACAGAGACTGAATTCTTTCGAATGTGAGAGTTTGCCAGTGATTCTGGTGAAGGAAATTACATACTTTGTAATCGAGTTGGCTAAGAGAACAAACAGGAAAAAAAAAGCAGAAGAGTCTTCAGCTAAAGTGAGAATGGTGGATGTCGCACAGACTGTGTGAAAAATTTTACACAACCGTGCATATAACGATCAGCCAGAAACGTCTGCAATAAATGTCGTATAATGTCCAGTAATGTCGCAACAAGAGGGAGTCTTTCATTGGCATCACGTGAATCATTAATTCTCAGGGCAAGTGCCCTAAACTTTGAGTGGGTTAAGGAATGACAATACTTGGAAAACATTACAGAAGATTATAAGGGTGTAACACTTAATTCCTATACCATTTTCTAATTATTCTTCTTTGCAACAGCCTCAGCCTTTACTTTGTTTCTATGCTCTCTATGCTTCTTAGCTGTAGGCCCAGACTCAGTATCCAAAAAGTAGTCAAACCAAGTGAAGGAGCTTGCATAATTTCCGATAAAATAGTGATGATGCAAATCATGATGTGCGGCGCCAGCCCAGAATGGAACAAAGTGATGTAATGACCATGGGAAATCATAACCCGAATGGGAATCAACTGCCTGTAATAATCTGAGCACAATCCAGCAAGAAATGGCAAACAAGTGCAATTCTGGAAGCTGCCAGGTTGGGAATGTTTTTGCCAAAAATGCGTAAAGTACGGGGAAGCCCACAGTTCCTACTCCCAATGCCATGACTTCTGCTGGGTGAGCATATTCGGCTGCAAAGCCAAATGGTGCCGCATACTTGTGGTGTTGCTTGTGGATGTTCTTGTAGAACCACCCCCAGTGAAACAATCTATGGAAGTAATAGTGCCACATGTCCTCTAAAAAGAAGAATAAAGCAATTTGCATTCCCATGACCTGCAACGAAGGGAAGGGAACACCAATTGAAATCTTCAAAGTAGAGCATAATGGATGGAAGAGCCAAATTGGCAATGCCTCGACGAGGAAGTGAGACTTCAAAACTGATTTGAAGCACTCCCATTGCTCTCGAGTACTTGGAATCTTATCTGGTTGGATCTTCCATCTGTTAAAGAACGGGATTTGATCAATTATGGCCCACGGTAAACATCTACCGAAATAGGTGATTTCATGAACTGCAAAAAAAAGAAGGCCAGTAGCAAGGACATCATTGTCAATATACAAATACCACGAAGCCCACAACTTTTCAACATAGCTAAGCCGAGCAACGCTTGAGCTCAAATCTGAAGTTGAAAGCTCGTGCAAGTGGTTGAGGATACCTAGATATGACGTCTGGTTGCGTGCGATGTCACTCCCCAATACAGAAGTGAGAGTGGAAGATTTGGTCCATAAATCCATAACGATCTGAATGTTGTTAGAAGAGCATCAATATTCCAAATCGAAATATATTTATACAGATGTTTAGATATTCGTATACGTCGTATAGAGATCGTACAAGCCAGCCACCAAGTTGCGTGATAATCTTTCACACCCAAAAATCGTAAGGTACAACATGCACATCAGGCAACGCGACACACCTATACAGTAGGAAGCAATTTCTAAACGATAGTACTAGCATACTAGCTGGCTCTCAATTATTCGGGTACGAAATAACAGATGATATTTGATGGCATACGAAAATCTTTAAATCCATATATTAAACCAAATCAATAATGTAGTGCGATCTTCAATATTGGTGATCGATAGTTTATAAGCATAATAGTTGGAAAAACTTCTCTCGGTAGTTTCTTATTATCCTCTTTTATTGATAAAAATTAAAGTTATGACATAGAAAGCTAGTCTGGAAACGATAACTAGACAACCCTTTCTTTGGGCAAGATGTCCACCAACAATGAGTCTCTGATGTTCCCCAAGTTCAAACCGTTGTTGCTCTTATAAACATCGATGTTCTTGAAGAATTTGTCAAACAAGTACGAAGTGTCCAATGGTCCTCCCTTAGCCTCTGGATGGAATTGAGTTGAAAAAATTGGACGGGTTTTGTGCTGCATACCTTCATTGGACAAGTCATTCAAGTTCGTAAAGTATGGCATCCAATCTGCACTCAATGTGTCTGCATCTACCGCGTAACCATGATTCTGAGATGTGATGTGACACTTTCCGGAAAGCAAATCCAACGTTGGAATGTTGTGAGCTCTGTTACCGTATTTTAATTTTATTGTCTTTGCTCCTCCAGCTAAAGCCAATAACTGGTGACCAAGGCAAATTCCAAAAATTGGCAATTCTTCGTTCGACTTCATGGTAGCTCTCAAGTTATCCACAGTCTGGGAGCAGTGAGTTGGGTCACCAGGGCCGTTGGAGATGAAGACACCATCGAACTTGTTAGCAATCTTGTGGATTGGGTAATTGTATGGGAATACAGTCAAGGATGCACCTCTCTCAACAAGACACCTTAAAATATTCTCTTTGGCACCACAATCTAAAACTGCAACGTGGTAACCCTTGTCAAACTTCTCTGGACAAGACACGTGAAAGGGTGCCTTAGTAGTTACTTTGTGCACTAAGTTCACTGAACCGGGATCAACAAAAGCTTCGTCTTGTTCTGCATCATACTCTTCACCGATGGTAATCTTAGCCAAAGAAGAACCTTTTTCCCTCAAGTAGCTGACCAATTGTCTGGTATCAACCCCACTGATTGCTGCGACTCCTGATCTTTGGCACCATTGTTGAAGGGATTCAACAGCAGTCCAATGAGAGTATTCCAATGCGACATCAGCTACAACAATACCAATACATTGCACCAGAGCCGATTCCATATACTTCAAAAGGTCAAATTGGTCTTTTTCGGTCGAAGAAGGGACACCGTAATTTCCAATCAAAGGCTGAGTGAAGCACAAAATCTGTCCCTTATAGGAGGGATCAGTCATAGACTCGGGATATCCAACCAAAGAAGTGGTGAAGACAGCTTCACCACTTATGTTTTTATTAGCCCCGAAAGAATAGCCATTGAACACTGGTCCATCTTTCAAAGTAAGAGTAGCTCTGTCCAATTGAGAAGTTTTGGAAAATGGGGCACTTGTTGCCAAACCACGTCTGAACAAAGAAAGATTTTTTCCCAAAGATCTGATCATTGCTTCAGATAGTATGAATTTCGAGTAATGTCAGAAGATGATAACCGATATGGGAAGAAAAAAGAGAAATAGTGAAAATTCTTTATGACTCAAAGATAACCCACCGCGGCATCGACACCCACCTACTCAATTAGGAAGGTGTGTAAAAAATTTCTGTAGCCAATCAATCAGTTTTACTCTAGATTTTTCCAACAAACAGTTTATGCTCATTTCTAAATTTACTGACACACTCGGGTTACGTCAGAGACCATCTAGGTTATCTTACTTGATTTGTTGTCATTATTTTCATTTCTTCTAGTTTGAAACATGCTTTCTAAAAACCGAAATGTCGTGCATATAACGGTGACGTAAGAACCAGTAGTGGTCGCCCCAAAAGCATCACCATCAAAGCTCATGCTTTGGGGATAGGGGTGAGGAATCTAGTCAAAGGAACAAGTTCACCCGATTAAGACAGGAACATCAATTATTAAGGTATTGGCAGGTTCCTCTGCTCCTTTAAGCTTGACAACAAGTTGTAGGCAATAAAGGCGACCCACCAAACAACTCTGAAAACTGGGTGGTAAGGTAATATTATTCTTGTTTATAACTCTCAATGGAACCAGCATTTCTTTGGTCCATCTCAATTTCCCCTTCTCAATTTGATGAGCTATCCAATTGTCCTCACTCAAGATCAGATGATGAGTAGTTGGCAAAATCGTCTGGAAATATTCCTTAATGGAATCTTTCTTCACCCCTAGCTTGCTCAAGCCTTTCAAGTAAGAATATGTGTTCAGTGTAATATAGGTTTTTGACTCCTTTAAGAAGTCAATGTAATTATTAACCAGTTCCTTCAAATTCAGCAAGTTCACCTTCGTGTTCTCAACATCGTCAGCATAAATGATGCAATCTGAATCATTTGGTTTTGTGTAGAAGAAATCATGCTCGAACGAAACTGGAATTGGGTAGTCCGTACGGTAAGACCATGCAACGATGTTGCACTCTATTTGTGAAATACTTGGTGGGCGAGCGGTCTCTTCCAAGTTATCAAACACAATCTCAATCTTCACATTCTTGAGCACTGAATCGTCATCACGATTGTAAAGTTCCTCCATATTACTAAACACAGGGTGAAGAGGAGTGAAAGACTCTCGAGAAGAGCCTGGGGCCTCAGCTTCAGATTTCACACCATCGTTATACTTTTGAATCAATCGAGGAGAGCCGTAGGAAATCAACTTATCAGGTACCTGTGCATATAGAGTTGCAATGCCGATCTTTACCATTGTCAGCAACAATCTTTTTTTCTTCTTTCCAAAAATATCCACTGGTTCATGAATTCCAATCATTTTGCGCTCCATGTAGTAGTTCTGCTGATCTTGAATTTGGGATGTCAGGTGGATGTTGGTGTGAGATGGCCTCAAAAGGACGTTCTCGCTGGAATCATTCAAGTTGTTGAATAGATTCTTCCGCTTGATATCTTGACTTGAATACTCACGTTTGTCTAAAGCATTTTGAATTTCCTGTTCAAGAGTTGAGTTCATAAAATTGATAAAGTTCCAGGTCGACCGTTTAACCAAATTTCTGAAAAGCATGCCATCGATACCAATAGTATCGAAAGTATCATGCCTGAAATTCTTATAGTTTCTACTATAAGTATCCACTTGAGTTTTGATGTCAGGAATAAATCGCAAGAAATATTGCGAGCTCTTGGAAATAATATACTTGGACTCGCTATCAGGGCGATTGATATCATGTGCATGAACAGGAGTTTGTTGATCTTCTGCGTGCTTCTTATCAATAAATTTTGCTTCTATGGTATATGAGACACTAATATCATCGAAAGCATAATCTTTAACTTTAACAGGACTTCCACGGTAGCTCAAAAATCCATATCCCAATGCCTTATTGACAGTGATCGTGCTTGCCCTGTCGAGGAAGGCGGTATTATCAATACCAAACGAAGGGGGTGGCATAGTATGCCTCAAAACGTTGTGCGGGCATGTGTTATCCAAAAGCATCTGGGGGAACTTGAAGGTGATAAACTTTTTGTATCTCAGGTTAGCCTTGAGAATCCTGTCGTTGGGAAGTCCCATGATTGTCCCATCAACTTCGTCCACATCGTCAAGATTGTATTGAATACCTGCGGAGCTAGGAATGGGACCATAATTGTAACTCGCATTGAGGTCATACATCTTCAAAAGTTTCTTGAGAAGAATCCTATGACTTCTTTTGTTTGTAGCCGGATCTGAAGACAGGTAAATCGCCTTGATTGTGCACTCTAAACTGACAGTAAATAAGCCGAAATCAACGTCCCGATCTGAAGTGTTCGATATAATGATATAACCATTAACAACATCACCACATGAATACTCCTTAAGCTTTGTTTCGACTTCGTTGTTGGCATTCGGAATAGGTACATCTTTTGTGACATAGATTTCAATCGTTAATGGTGAAGATCTAGCCTGAGGAAGCTTATCGATGTTGTCGAGAACCGAATGCCCATAACTCTCATGAGTAACAGCACCTCCAGGTTGGCGACTATTACTTCTTGAATTATGTTCAGTATGGTCATTAGATGCTATGCTTCGTAATCTTGGACTTCTTTGTAATCCGTCTTCGGACTCGTTATCCGAGAAAAGATACTGGCCCTCATTCTCATCCTCATCATCTGCAATGTTATACCCCTCGAGGCGACCACTAACGGAATTAAGAATTTGATCAATATTACTTCTTGTGTTAACGGGAGAAAGCTCAGGGGGTGGTGTTGGAGAAGAGGTCGCAGTATCTCCATACTCAGGTGGGCGTCCCAAAGTGTCCTCATCAAATTCATAGTCATTTCTCTTCAAAATGGATTGAAACATCTGAAAGGAAGGAAGAAGATCGAAATACTCGGTTCTTGTTCCAGTTGAAAAAGTAGTCAACGAATTGATGCCGTTTTCACCCAACAGATCAATATATGTTTGTTGTTCCTTCAGTGGTCGATATGGAATGTTCTTCTTTTTTGTAGTTTGCGCAAGTTGCAAGCTTTGAGTAGAAGGAGATCTAATCTTCATGAGTAGTTTCCTAGGATTCTCGGGGCTCTGGACTCGAGAAGGTGACGAAGAACGGGAAGCTTCCGAATCTTCATAAGAAGGTGGCTCCTTAGGTATTGGCGCCTTTAAATCTGGCCTGGGAGCTCGACTCAACGTCATTGAAGGATGGTGGTCGCAATATTTGGAACTAGTATGGGAAAATCAATCGTACGAATTCTGAGGAAGATGATAGTGGCTTTCCGAGAACCGACCTACATCTTACATTTCAGAACGCCGCGCATAAACAGGAATTGCAGATGCACACCAATTGTACTTATCATTTCTAAGGACTTACAAAAAGGGGTAAAATGAATTTCATTTCTGTCTTAATCCGTTCTATAAAAAATGATACTAGATACTTGCTACTTGCCGATCCCGATTGAAAATTTACCAATTTGTCAACTTTTGCTGATATGACAAGTGCCATTCTCAATTACATCTACTGGGTTAGTATCTCATTGTAGTGAACAGGTATAAATCCATAATCAGACTGACATGCAAATCGAATTAAGTTTTTGGAGTCTCATGGATAAATCGAAACAAAAGAAATCATCATATGAATAGGAAATCTAACATACCTATGAGTTAGTAATTTAATCCAATTATGAATTTGAGGGCTTTCAGGAACCACGGCCGGTCAAGGCCGATTATATCATCACGGCAAGGTGATTACAATTCACCAAGCACAGTAGACCGTCGTGATAATGTGGTAAATCATCATATACTTGAAGATTCGTACATACCTTTGAGTGGAGAGAATTCATCTCAATTCCAGCTCCTATTTTCTATGAGAATGTTATCAGACATGAAAATTTTTCATCTCTTAAAGAATCAGACATATGCTTGTCAATAATTTCAATTCATCTTTTAACAGTATCCGCACAGAAAACAGTAGCAAAAATAGAGCTGAATGGCGAAGTATTCTTGCGATATTAACTGAAATGTTAGTCCCATGATCGTAATTCACTAAATAAGACGACTCAGCAATGCATGAATGGTAAAAAAAAAAAAGGTTGTCGTCAACGGGAATCCCGATTCTGACTCGTCATCTAAGAAATCATCATGTTATCTTATCTTCCGAATAATAGATACATACAATCTGTGAGGTTAGCATTAATTTTCAGATCAGACAAAAGAAAATCAGTTTAAGTGGGTTTCTGAGGCCCACAATTATGCGTTGTCACTCATGCAATATCAGTGCCCAGTGCAATAATTCCTCATTTAATACGAATCAACCCAAAACATACCTATATTGTTAGTGAAAAAATCTCAAAATAGAAAATGATACTCAAATTCAGCCAAAGTGCAAAAACTTGTCAATCATAGAGATTCAGTTGGTAATTCCAGCTTTGTTTTTGTTGTCTCATCATTAAGAATATCTTCATTAAGGTGTCAGAACCCATTGTCAAGAAAACATACGTGCTATCGTTCTTAATTGTTAGTAAAGGAAGCATTCTTTCTGGGTAGATTCCATCAGCACTTATAACGTTGTGATCATTCTCAAAAGTCACAAACTCTAGTTTGAAATTGATTATTTTGATCATCCTCGAATCTTGCCCCTGTTTAGTAGTGTTTACATACAAATAAGCAGTCCTATGAAAAGAGTCGTTGTGCAAATTTTTCGCTTCTTAAATTTATATGCATATAAACTGCGATCGGGTAACCCCTAGTTGTAGGGTTCTAGAGGTCTATTCAATACATCACTATGAACTCCTATACTACTTCTTCTCACCATTAGGCATTTGCTGATTGAGACTTGTGTTTGTTGATCCCATTTGTGGCATAAACATTTGTGGCATCCCCATCATCGGAACTCCCATCATGGGAAACGGCATACCTCCAAGCCCAACCATAGGATTCATGTGCTGTCTTTTGATGTCTGACTTCTCCTCGAGGTCTGATGCTGATCGCTTGTTAGAGGATGGATCCACTAGGTCTATGGATGCTTTGTAAGTTTTCAAGTCTTCCTCTAATTTAACATTCTGAACTAGCGAATCAATAAACACATCATCTTTACCACAATTGGGACAGTGAAAGTCGTTTTCAATGAGTGCTTGCTCCAATTCTGTCTGATTATAGTTGAAGTTTTTCAAAAGTTTCAAAGATTCAGAACTCTGACAGCAAGGTGTCATAAATATAGGCGCCTTTAACACTTGAGGCTCTGATGTAAGAGGGTTAAGAAACTCTGTTTTTCCATCAGCAATGACTTTTTTGACAAGCTCACGCTCATATTCTCGTTGTGCTTTCAAAGCCGCACTTTGTTGCTTCTCTTGATAAGTTGCCCAAGTCTTAGAATCTGCGAAGGTCATCACATAATTACCATCCTCAGTAATCATGTAAGTATTTCCTTCAGCATCAATCAAGTCCCCATTCTCATTTGTATGAATCCCACTCTCATTCAATTCCGGGTTCTGCAATCTAAACTCAACTGTTTCCTTGGAAATTGTTTTCATGTAACTCTTAGGGATACCCGTGGTCTTCTTTATCTTCTTTCCTTCAAAGTTCGGATCTGAATTTGTGGGGCAATTTTTAATCCAGTGGTCCTTACCTCCACATCTGTAGCACACATATCCGGGAGGAGGTAGATCTTCAGTCCCTGGTTTATAATGCACCACTTTGTGAGTTGAAAGTTCGTCTTGAGTTTGCGCCCAAACGTTAGATTGATTCTCGAACATCTGCTTAATTCTATCCTCTTCACTTATAGTCTCATCCACTACTGTGTCTTGGTGAACTGCTGCACTTGGTGCCATATTCGCTGAGGGTTTGAATTTAGTGATTCGTGGTCTGCCAGTAACATATCTTGCAGCACTTTGAGAACGGCCATTGTAAACTGAAATAGGCGAACGTCTTGCTAGAACGAAACTTGACCTTGGGATAACATCTTGGTCATTTTCATACTCAAGCTCAGGTTGTTCCGGGTGATAAAGGCGTAGCATAAAGTCTTGACCTTGCCCAAGTTGATTCTGTAGGATTATCTCATGCTTTAAGTCAAAAACATTTATACCAGTTCCATCAAAGTGTATCGTAGATTGCTCCTTTTGGTGTACGAATCTGTAAAATATTGTGGAAGACATCACCACTTCATAGCACATATACCATACTCAGAGGAAATGATGCTGTGAACAATTGTCGTGTGTGAACCATGCATTATTTGCATCTATGATGGAGAAACTTCTTCTCAAATGCAATATATTATTAACTAACGCGAGAAAGAATTATTGTTTCTTTTGGTCCTGATTGAATCTAAATCTATTTAAATTGGTTTTTGTATGTCCCTGTTGTCCACTGCTTTCTTCCTTTTTCAGTCAATAAATCCGTACATCCTCATTGAAGAATTTGAGTGTATTTTGATCATTTTATCGAACCGTTAAGACTTTTCATCATGGCCCTCAGCTATTCCAACATAGTGGGGTATGGGTCTCACTTACTGCTGAAACGTGTCAACTTGCCGTTAAAATATATGAAAGAACAGCAATCAGTTGATTCGGTTGAGTCATTCAAAAGTAAGGTATTTGGCTTTGGTGGGTTTATTGACCTTTCTTCTCAGAAGGGCCATTTCTTCTCTTCTCTCCAGTATGGGGTTGATAATGACATGAAAGTACTTCATCTCACACCAATTTTGACAGATGAGGTAACGTCGCTAAGTGTGCAATTCCAAAGCATCGAAATTCATCTACCACACCCTATCATTGCCAAGGGAATGTGCGAGATTCTCTTTGTGGCGCTGACATCGGATAAGGAGCCATATATTGTAATTGATTTGATTGATGAGAGCTATTTATTGATCACCTTGAAAATTGAGCTCTCAGACTTCCTTGTTGGCAACTTGACCAACAGATTAGTCTTGGATAGTTTCAACGATTGGGTGAACATCTCGGTCCCATACTCATTTGAATTACGTTCATCTCCATTCTTTATGAAATCTCTTGATGAGAAAAACCTCATCATATCTATGAAGGACGGTGGATTGCTTCACTTTTCAAGGATTTCCGCTTTGTCTGCAGTGGATATATTTAACTTCGCAGAATCATCCGCTTTCCTATCTTTGAGTCTTAGTGGTATTCTTGGATTAAACAAAAGTGACATTGTTGTTGATGGAATATCATGTAATGCAGTTGTTGACATCGCGAGAATCAGTAACAATGAATTTGCAACATTGAGTGTGAGCAAAGGATTGAAGGTTTGGAACATCGAAAGCCACAAGCAAGTGCAGAATACTACAGAATTAGAAGGGCCAGACCAAAACTTTTCATGGTTGACTTCGATTCCTTCGAGATACATGCAAGTTCACAATATAGACTCGGCAAGATATTTGTCCGTCGTTTACACGGTGGAAAATGAAGTCGAAACTTCCAGTGGCTATGTTTTCAAATCATTCAAGATCACGGACAGTTATATCTCAGCTTCGGCAAATCTCACTTTCAGTCCAGATAAACCACCCAGTACCTTGAACGGAGGAGTAAATGCGTTCAAGATTCAAGATTTTCATATTCAAGAAGCAGAGGATCGCTCGGTTGTAAAGTACTTTGTTCTCTGGAAATCAGGCTCTTACAGCATTCTAATGCGTTATAACTTCAATACCGTTACTTCGGTCGTCACGGGGGTCTTTCCTTCGATTTCTCAACCAATCTCGCTCTCGGAAGAGCTTAATTTGCGCCGTGGGGACTCATACTTTGAGAACCTTATCTTCAATTCCGGGTCTTTCGATGATAGCATTGTGAAGACTGCATTGACCATCTTCAAAAGCAAATCAGGTCAAAATTGCAGTGGTCTAGGTGACCCTTCACTACGTCAGGAGGTGCGTCGAACAATAAATCATACAAGCAATATGATAGGAGTATCCACCGCTTCGTTATGGTATAAACTCTTCCTCATTTGTGAAGAGTTTCGAAAGATTAGCAGGGAATCACTTGCTCTTCAAGTCACTCCGACGTACGTCTTAACGTGCGAAGTCAATGGTGTTGGAGTATACCGTGAGGCTCACCTTTATGAGGAATTTGGACAAACTACGGAAGCAGATGAATTTGCATCATTTCTTACTTCCTTGTCTTCCGCACTCTCATCTAATACTAAGAAGAAGTTGATGGACGAAATAAGGGGTATTGATAAGGTTGATTCTCAAGTTGCTACTAGACTAGCGTCATGTTACCTTAGCTCAAAAATTCCTGAGGACGAAGTTGCCAAAATTATGGATGAAATGGGTGAGATACCGGATGCAGTGGACACAATCAACAGATTGATTGGTAGAGGCTTTAATGAAGAAGTAATTCTCGATGAGATGTCTGGCGTCAGATCGGGGGAAGGATTCGGCCTTTTCTCAATCTTAATCACTGCCAGTATTTTCAAAAGCATTAAGTCGAGTCACGAGACCATTCTACTCAATCTTTTCATTTTGTTGTTGTTGTGTGAACCAAATGATTCCATTCTAACCTTCCTTGACGCAATTGTTCAAAAGTTTTCAAGATATGCATTATTTGATGTAATTTTTGATGTTTGCTTCAAGAGCTTGAGCTCCAGAAGTGGTATTGAGCAAGATGGAGTGAGCTCGCCAGAAAATTCAATATTCTGGGCAGCTGTGGTCAATAAGTATCCAGAGTTGTTGTGTTTGATAAAAAGAAAAGACTACAATGGAGCTTTTGATTACTATTCTGAAATTGTCTTGAAATCTCATAACGAGCAAATTGTTTTGAACGTGGTTTTGGACTTGCTCAACAGGAATGAAGCCAAGATCATTAATGAGAAGTTTTCCCAGGCATTGCAAATCAGTAATCCCTTGAACAAGTTCTTATCGGGCTTGGTGTGCTTATACGACGACAAGCCTTCACAGTTCTTCACTGAGATGGCAGATTATGAAGCATTCAGAGCCATTGATACTGAAGAGACCAAACAACTCCTCTTGAGTGGTTTACACTCACACCAACAATTGAAGTCATTCTTGTCCTCGATCTTCTCTAGACCTCTGGGTGATATTTTGGCGCACGCGAATTACTTTCACGAACTTGCGCAATTGTCAAAATCTTTCTTCAAGCTTTCTGGCTCCGTCATTGCCAATCCTGACTCTCAACCAAATTTCATCAAAGAATCTTTTAAATTTGAAAAGAAAGCAGTGCAGATTTTGAATGATGCCCCCATCCAAGATACTGGTGTGATTGCACTCAAAACCCTCTTCCTCCGTAACTTGTTTGAAGAGTCTTTAGAAATTCCTGACTTGAGCGAATCTATCAGCAGTTTGGAAAAGTTATCGCCTTTGATTTCGCAGGGAGAGTTGAAGACATTTTTTACTAGTCTCGTGAAAACATTGATCTCAAAAAGGGAGATATCAAGGATATTTAAATTCCGTGAAAATGAGTTGTTTGTGAGACATTATCTTCTTGTGGATGGCATTTTGTTGGAGATCGCTAATAACGACCTAATACTCTCGAATGCTTTGAAATGCTATGAGTTTTTATACTCTTGGAGACTCTTTGGCTCTTCTAATAATGGTTCGTCTGACTCTGGCGATAAGAGGGGCGCGGTTGAATCTCTCTATATCTTCATCACAAGATTTAGATTGGAACAAGAGAATCTTGTACTAGCCTCTGAAGAATCTGAAGACTTCAAACAATTCAAGTTGAAGGTTCTTGAGCTTTACATGGTAATCATTAACTGCTTGAAAACCTTTGAAGATACGGACGACATGTGGTTCATCAAAAGAGACACTTCGGAGAGGCTAGGTGTGATCAAATTGAAGGAATTAACTATTGAGTACTATAAGTGGCTCAAGGAGCTTGAACGAGACTTGGGTAACAGCATAGTTTAGTTTAATAGTATCAAAGCATGTTTAGTTCATCCAATGTTTCCCTTAATATTTCCGCTGCCTTTGGGATTGTCGTCCTTCCAGTCGTCCCAATTCCTCTTCTCAAGCTCTGCATCGCTGTCGTCATCATCACTGGTGTAAACTTGTTGAGAGCTTTCTCCCTTGAGCATCTTTCCGTGAGAAAGTTCGTAATCTAAATACTCTTCCACTGTCATTGATGGTAAAACTTGGCCCGTTCCAAAAACTTGCCTCCTGAGTTCTTGCTTGTTGTTAGTAATTGTGAAAGGTTGAAGAATCTTTCCTTGTTTAGTTAGAATATCCGAAATTCTCTTTGGTCTATTCGGATTAGTCTCCAACCTCGTCGTATAACCCAAGTCATTCGACTCATCTTCCTTAGGTACGCGATCCCTCTGTAATTTTTGCCTTTCAAAAAGTGGTCTATTACCGAGGACTTGCATTTCTAGCGCTATCAGCTCCAAGTTTTCAAAAGCTTTCAAGGCGAAATATTTGAGCTGATCGACGAAGATAGTTCTCACGACCTCCTCATCTAATGACTTGAAGAGGTCTTCTTCCTCGACATCTTCTTCACTTTTTAGATAATATTCGTCCAATAATTCGAGCCTCTGACGAAGTTCTCGTTCAACTTTAAAGTTTGCAATTTTCTCTGCTCTCCTTGAAACTGGATTTCTCAGAAGTCCAGAAATCTCCTCGACAGAAGGGTCGGCAGTATTCTGGAATGTGTTGAGTATAATAGATTGTTTCTTAGATAGAATACTTCCGAAGCTCTCTAAATCTTGCAAAAATTTAGCCAGCATGAGTTTAGCATTTTCCAAGTTTTTTGCTTTGAATTGAAGCATGTCGTTTTTCTCATACAGAAACCCTCCATTACTAAGATCAGCAAGTAGTTTCATTGTCAAACAAGATTCATAGAAGGAAATTGCAATAAATGGTAGGTATGAGGTATTAATCTCCTTGAGCTCTTCATTACTGCTGAACAAAGACAAACTGTCAACAATATTCTGGATGAACATGAACCCCCGCAAATTAGAAGCAACTAACTTCTGATAATCTTCCAGGTCTTGTCTCAGATCTGCACGTTCTATTTGCATGAATCGGTTGACTTCATGTCTAAACCTCTCCCTGACCGTAAGATTCTCCTCATTTGAATTCATTGTGATACAGCTTAGAGCAGAAATATTGTTGGTGGAGTTTCACAGTATGTACTACTATGCGCACTGTACACTCTTGAAAATGGAATGGGTTCTATGAATTCACGTCAATGAGAGGTTCGTTTAATTGTTCTGAGTATGACACTTCCAATAAACATTGAAATGCTGGCGTTGATATGCTTGTATAGACCTCATATGGGCTGAACCTCGGGGAATGATTGTAAAGAAAAACAAGAAGAAAAATGACCTCCAACTTTCCAAAGAAAATCTTAGTTGTTGACAATCAAAGAGTTAGCGGCGATGGATATCTTGATTGAGAACTACATTTCAAGTAATTTATGTACTCACGATAGCCCATGGATAACCGTAAAGCATTAAACTGATGATGTATTGTATATAGTCTTGACATCCGTACCGCTTCAGACAACTAATAATTCTCAAGTGAAAACTAAAGCCACTGATCACATACCTAACATGAGTGCACCGGCTTATTACGAACTCTATAGAAGAAGCACAATTGGCAGCGCCTTGGCGGATGCCTTGGATACGCTCATTAGTGATGAGAAGATCCAGCCCCAGTTGGCTATGCGTATCTTGAACAACTTCGACCGTATCGTTTCGGAGAACTTGAAGGCGGAAAGGGGGTTGTGCAAGTCGAAGTTGACATTCAAGGGTGACTTACACACATATCGTTTCTGTGATGATGTCTGGACTTTCATCATTAAAAATGTGTTGATCAAAATGACGGATATTTCTAATAACGATGTCAACGATAGTGACATCGCCGTGGAGAAATTTAAGATTGTGGCATGCAATTCTAGAAAGGCTGGAGAAATTTAGGAAACAACAACATTAGTCTTTCAACGATATAACTGTCGTTCAAGTATATAACGAATTGGGATTTGAATTGTGGCACTGTTTAGTAGACCTCTCTAAGAAAGAATAACGGTTAATCAACGAATGCTATATTAGGAGTTGCCCTTGCTAGCGGAATTTAGTCTAATCGAGAATGTTTCACTCTTTTGGAAAGCTACTAGCGGAACTTAGTCTAATCGAGAGTGTTTCACTCTTTCGGAAAGCTCATCCTTAAGCTAGTCTTTTCTTATCATTGACGTCATATTCGCTAAACCATTTAGAACTAGATACCAACCCACAACTTTGTTTTCTCAACCTTGAAGTCTTCAAATAACACAATGTCATCAGATGATTTACCAACTTGCACCTCATAGGAACCAGCATCGAGACTCCATTGCTCCTGGTATTCATCCCAGTAGGATGCAGAATCCTTCAAGGAAAGTTCAAAAGAAACAGTAGTCTGCTCACCGGCCTTCAAGGTCACCTTCTCAAAGCCCTTCAACTCCTTGATTGGACGGTCAACTGTCTGCTCCTTTTGAGAAACGTACAACTGGACAGTCTCTGCACCCTCAAGTTTTCCAGTATTCTTAACCTGAACGGAGGCGATTAACTTATCGTTCGTCTCATCAACATTCACCTTCAAGTCAGTGATATCGAAAGACGTGTAAGACAAACCATATCCGAATGGGAAGGCAACACGCTTTTGCAACTTGTCATAGTAACGGTAACCAATATAAATATCCTCACCGTACAAAACTCTACCCTTTACGGTCTTGAAGTTCAAGTAGGCTGGGTTGTCGACGTTCTTAAGTGGCCAGGACAAAGACAACTTACCACTTGGGTTGACATCACCAAACAAAACATTTGCAATAGCATTACCTGCCTCATTACCACCGTACCAAGCCTGAACCAAGGCTTTAGACTTGGACAACCATGGCATCTCCACTGGAGAGCCAGATTGGTTTACAATAACAGTGTTGGGGTTAGCTTCCAAAACTGCCTTGACTAAATCATTAGTCAACAATGGCAAGTCCATATTAGGTCTGTCAAAACCTTCAGACTCCCACTCGAAGTTCAAACCAATCAGCAACACAACTTTGTCAACCGATTTGGCCAAGGCAACGGCCTTCTCGATCTCTTCCTGGTCGTCAATGATCTTAGCCATACCAATACCCAAGGCACCGCCGAAGGTAATAACAGCCTGTCTCGAGAGAGGAGAGGTCTTTGCGGAGCCAAATTCAATTTTGACTTCGTAGCTTTTGCCAGCTTCCATTGGAACAGATCCTTTGACCTCAATGGTACCAGTACCGAAGAAACCATCACCTTGAACCTGGGATGTCTTGTTGTCGATGACCAACTTTCCATCAACGAACAATTGGGCAGTACCTGTGACAATCAAGGAGAACTCATATTCTCCTGATTCCTCCGGTGTTACAATTCCAGTAACATCCATGTAGTAGATCTCATCAGTGATCTTTGGGTGGTTGTAGTCGAACAAAATCATTGGGGACTGACAGATGTTGAACTCATCAAACTGATCCCTCTGAGCAGTACCAGAAGGTTCATTGTAGAACTTACAGTTGATACCCGGTTCGCCGGTGACAGGGTTCTTAGTCAAAGCCGAGATTGCGAAACCTGGAAGAGCCTGGTGAGCGTAACATCCAACAGCGTATTCTGGAGCCTTGCCCAACTTCTCAGTTATAGCATCAAAGGGAGTGGAGGTGGAGTAAGCAAGCAAAGAAGCAGATCCACCACCACAGTATGCGGAGTACTTGGCATTAGGACCAATAACAGCGATCGTCTCATCCTTCTTAAGTGGAAGAATATTGTCCTCGTTCTTCAAAAGAACAATGGACTCGCTTGCGATCTCGTTCAACAAGGCCTTTGTCTCGGGTGTGTCATTGTCTCTATCCTGTGGACCTCTCTCTTCGAGACCAGACTTCGCACACCATTTGATGAGATTCAACACATTACGAACACGATCATCCAAGTATTTAATGTGAAGTTCTCTAGAGCTAATCATGTGAGAGATTGCGGTAGCATTTCTCAAGGCAGATGGACCAGGCATCTCTAAGTCCAAACCGTTCTTGATAGATTCCTTGTCTGTGTATGCACCATACCAGTCAGACATAACCAAACCATCCCAGCCCCATTCCTTTCTAAGGATTTCTTCCAAGAACTTGTGAGATTGTGAGACGTGCTCACCATTGATTTTGTTGTAGGAAGTCATGAAAGCCTTTGGATCTGCATACTTGACGGCCAAACGGAAAGGTTCCAAGTAGATCTCTCTCAAAGCTCTCTCCGTAATGATAGAGTCGGAAGCGTTACGCTCATGCTCCAAGTCGTTACCAACGTAATGCTTGAGAGTAGCTGCGATATCGCTGTCTTGCATACCATTGATGATAGAGGCAGATGCCATACCAGCAAGATGAGGGTCCTCTGAAAAAGATTCGAACGCTCTTCCACCCAATGGACCTCTCTGCATGTTGGTGGTAGGACCCAAGATAACGTGAGCACTTTTGTGCTTGGCCTCCTCAGCCATGAGAGCACCAGCCTTGAAAAGCAAGTCCTTGTTGAAGGTAGCAGCTAAACCAGTGCCACATGGGAAACAGGCTGCTGGAACACCATTCACGAATTGGGTACCTCTAACACCGTTAGGGCCGTCTGAAACACGAATTGATGGAACACCTAATCTTTCAACTTTGTAGGTGTGCCAGAAGTCTGAACCAGAAGTCAAGCCAATCTTCTCGGCAAGAGTCAATTCAGAAAGAACTTTTTCAACGTCAATATCAGCCATTGTAGACAAATGTCAATGATTCTTAGAGGAATTTGGTTTAACGCCTACCTTATATAGTGATTTGTGTGGGGTTGTGGTGTCCGAATTGGGAGGGCGTACGCATTTCCCAAAATGGCAGAACATCCACCGGAACTGCGAATAAAAATTCCGACCCGGTTCACTTTGCGATTCCGAACTACAAAGATACTGTTTAGGACTACAAAGAATAGTCTTGGCGGCGAAGTGGACAATAAATACATTGTCTCGCGATCAAATAAAAAACTGTTCTCATGATACCTCGAGTTATAAAACTTTTACGCTATTGTCACTACTTGCATTGGGTATTTTTTTGCATATAACATTGGGGATCTCACCATAAGTGGGGCGAGAGAGGGGTTAAATATGAGAGATCTTGTACATGCTCGAAGAGATGATAGATGAAGTACCCCTTTTTTTCACATTTTCGAAAAAGTCTTTGTTCCGAGCATAACCACAAATTTGATGTACAATTGAGGCACCGTTTTTAAAAGAATTTTTATCATGTCACTGCTTTCAAATTGAGATATATGCGGGTTGATCAAAATTAATGATAAATTGAAGTAAATCGCATCATTTAGAGACGTAGTATTATCCTAGTTATTTCCAGGAGAGAAGCTAATAACTGCCCATTTTCCAGAAGCGGTCCAAAACTCCCCAATATCATTGCCCATGGCCTTGTACTCTCTAATCAACTTTTCATTGAGTCCCGATGGCAATCCGACCACAACGTCTGCCTTACACGTTCTGAGCGTCAAGATTGGCAATTGAGAAGAGGCCAACTGTTGAATGGCTGTGATGAATGGAGTCGTTGTGTCCCACTCCAAGTCACCCGTCAATTTTCTGTAATTCAAGTCTCCTTTGAAAATGATCAAATCAGACTTCTTCAATTCTTGGTACAAGTCGCTATGTTGTGGAATCTCCCAGTAGTTCTCACAAGAGGTCCAGAATGGATGGTGCTGCGTGGTCAATTGTCCATATGAAACGTAACTTTGTATTTTGGTGAACAAAAACGTAATCGCACTCTTGTCTTCATTGTTACCATAAATCTCAGGGAAAAAAGACAGGTCACTCAATTGTTCAAGCAAGTTCTTGAAATCCTTGGGCATGGTATCGCTTACAAACCAAGGGATCTCCTTGCAATGAAGAACGACTTTGTTGATCAATCTCGAGTCAAGCAAGAACAAAGCCAAGCACAAATCAGCAAACAACTCAAAACCAGAGTTATCCAATACAATGTCAATTCTTCTCTCCGAAGAATGCTTGAGGTGTGTCCACACCTTAGATATGTCGTTGACGATGATCTTTTCCTCATTTTTCTTTCTCACCTCAGCACCCTGAACGCTTTTGATGTCCTCCAAAGTGACATTTCCTGCTAACAAAGACAAATCAGTTGCATTACCCCACAAGGAGATATCGATAAACTCGTTGAATAAAAGTCTCAAAGCCTCTTCATCAACTTCATCGATCACCAATTGCCTGGCAAGAACTTCGTATCTCTTGCAGAGTTCCAACACTCCAAAGGAAGATTGCTTGAAGGTGTTGTTCTTCAATCTTTCGAAGACATCAAAATCAGCCAAGTCCTCTGTCTTCTTGAACCACAAGTCTAAAAGTTGGTATAAGTAGCACTCCAAGTACAACCATGGACCTGTGAGCCAAGTGACTTGCTTCTGTTCATTAAATTTGGCCAACTCCACGTTGTAAATACGAAGTTCGGGCTTTATTTCAACGTCTTCTTCATCGAAAGGATCAACGAGTGCATCTGAACGGAAATCTTCTAACAATTTACGCAAGTTGGCAATGACCGAACCACCAGAGGTTGAGGCTGCTGGATGATCGCTAGTGTATTGGTTAATATCCTCAATTGCGCCCTCCAAAATAGTAGGCCACCTTTTATGGACCGTTGGATATGCGAAAGACCTTTTATTATCGTTATAGGAGGGTGGAGGAAGAGACATACTTGGGTGGTGATACTTCAGAAAGGGTGAGGAACTTATATAAGAAAAACCTGTACATCCGTTAATGGCTGAACTAATGGATAATAAAGTACAACAATAAACAATTTGCAGCTATACAAAACTAACTAACATACGCCATTCACTCCACAGGAATAAACAGCAGAAGATAAGAACACAATATGGTACAAATATTCAGCCACTAGGGCCCCAGAGCTTACTGTCTCTTGGCGTATTCGGCCTTCTCTTTTTCATATCTCTTCTTGTCAGCAGCTGCCTTGTTCTCGTATGGAGTTTTGTCCTCGGTGGAGAGAGCCTTCCACTTCTCACCCAACAATCTACCGACCTGACCAAAGCTGATACCAGGGTTCTCAGCTCTGACAATGTCTCTGTTCTCGTTGGCGAAGAACATGTAAGCCGACAAAGATCTCTTTGGGGCGTTTGGGTCCTTCTTCTTTCTGGTAGTCTTCTTCTTTTCAGTGGACACTGGGTGTTAGTATAATGACACATAAGAGGAACATCAGTAGAATGCAGGTATGGTGTTGTTTACGTTGCTTACTAAAGGCAACACAACGACAACAAGATAGAAATCTCACAAGGTTCTCCCCCAACGAAGTACTAACAACACACACTACCAAAACATCGCGGGTTGTTATGAGGAGAGAGTTTGCTGGTGAGAATAAAACATTTATTTGTCTGCAGTACCAAAATTGTAATTCTCAAGTCTGCTGGCTCGACAGCAACAACATTTGTTCAGGGGCAAAAAAAAAGCCCACAACTAGACAACAGACATATGTCGACCAGCTGACAACCTATTCCGATAGCATTGGTGTTGTGAGTGTGGAAGGTTGCTGAAGAAAGTAGCGTGCGCGCGCCGCGTTTGGTGATAATGATATACGTCAGTTAGTACATACTGTTGGTCTTTACTATGGGAAGAAATTTAGTAGGACTTTTTTTCTATGTGGGAGCAACGGGAGTCACTATATATGGGGGTTCGCGCTTGGAGTGAAGAGTATGACAGAGAATGCGAAGGCTCTGCGTAAATTGTAGCACTGCGGAATGAATGCTTTGGGGGAGTAATTGCGTTTGATCCCGAGTGATGTAGAATATATCTAAATTTAAGATACTAAAACGAGTATATCATCCACCAAGATTACTTCTATCACATTTTCGACCGATTTTATTAGGCCTGAGTTACTTTTCATTGAGTTTTTATTGACAACATTGCGCAAAGCAAACTGCCACGTGACTAGAAAGTGGGGAGAATTTCATTTAGTTTATCTGCAGATCGTGAACGCTCCCATTCCAAGAATACAGCCTATTTCTTAACTATTACATCGAATGTTCAGTGATTCAGTACGGCTTTAGTGCCATACAAACCACATACAAATATTTTTAGATCGCATGTCATTTTATACTCATACAAACATAAACCCAGTATGTGTCCGTTTGCTAACTATGCTACCCATATCGCAGCAACCTTAATACCAGCCACGGTATTGATTGTTGTCCTGGTAGCTGCCGTACTGTGGATACTGCTGGTATCCACCATATTGGGGGATTTGCTGAGGGTACTGAGGAATTCCACTAGGAGGACCTTGTGGGTTGCCTTGTTGACCCTGAGCTTGCTGTTGTTGTTGCTGTTGCGGCTGATCTGCCAGTTCACCCTGCCCTGAGGACTGCGGATATGTCTGGTTGGCTGGAAATCCATTGTATGGATAGCCAACTCTGGAGCCAAATTGGTTTGGTTGAGCGTAGTATTGAGCGTAGTATTGGCCTTGTGCTCCCGCATTCTGTGCGTTGGCATTCTCCCCCTCAACGTTATCATTACCAGCTTGCTGTTGTTGTTGCTGCTGCTGCTGTTGCTGTTGCTGCTGCTGTTGCTGTTGCTGTTGTTGTTGCATACCGTAACCAGTCGAAGTGGCACCCATGGCACCATTACCATAGAATGGGGTGTTGTAAAAGTAGTTGTAGTAGTTAGGAAATCCGTATGGAGCAGCTCCTGGCACTTGAGACTGTTGTGGAGTTTGCAAACCTTGAGCCATGGAGTTTCCTTGCACCAATGGAGATTGGCCAAGATCGTTACTGGCATTTCCGTTGCTGGCATTTGCACCTCCCTTGGCACCGTTGGTTACAGCAGCTGGGTAGTAACCCGGAGAACCAGCTGAACCGAGTCCGCCCTGGCCCAATTGACTGTAAGCAGAATAGTCATAAGATGGGTAACCGTACTGAGCTGGCATGTTACCAACAGCACCTTGCTGTGGGTACTGCTGCTGAGACTGCTGGAATTGCGAGTAGTAGTCATATCCTTGGCTAGAGGCTGGCTTCTGTTCGTATTGTTGCTGGTAGGCTGGTTGCGACTGTTGAGTCTGCTGTTGAGGCTGTTGGCTTTGCTGAGGTTGAGATTGTACTGGTTGGCTCTGTTGGCTGAACTTGGAGTCATTAGAAAACTCAGCTGGAACGGTCGTTGTTTCAGGCACAGCTGCTTCTGTGGCCTTCTCCTCCTCCAAGGACAAAGAGCCGAAAGAGACGCCGATATTGCTGACTTGGTGTGGCAAAACAACCTCAGATTCGGCAATTGGTACGGCAGAATCGGCTGGTACTGAAACTGGGGCGGCTTCTGGAGTGGCCACTGGAGCGCTAGTGACAGGCTCTGGCGCTTGAGCTTCCTCTTCGACTTGTGGTGCAGCTTCCACAGCTACAGCTTCCACAGCTACAGCTGGCTCTGGATTCTCATGTTCAATCTCAGCTTGTTTTTCAACGGCTGGTTCTGGGGCTCTCGCTGGCTCTGGCTTCTTCACTGGAGGCTTGGCTTTAGGCTTAATTGCAGAAGCCCACGATGTGGCTGGCTTGACTTCAGCCTTTCTAGATGGGGTAGTCGTTGCTGGTTGGGTAACCTTTTGAGACTCGGAATCAGCAGATGGCTCAGAAGCTGGTTCTGATACAACCTCTGAAGCTGCTGCAGGCTCGGCTTCAACAGTCTCTTGAGTTGCAGGGGCCTCCGTAGCAGGTTCCTGTGCAGCAGTCTCCAATTTAGGAGCGGCTTTTGGCTTTGGCTTCACGTCCTTGGCCAAAGCAGCAGCCCATGAGCCGGATGGTGCAGGTGCAGAGGAAGTAGATGTGGAGGCAGCAGCAGCAACCTGAGGGGCAGAAACAGATGGTGCAGAGGATGAAGCACTAGTGCTTTCCTTCTTAACAGGAGCTTTCTTCTCTCTGCGCTTGTCAGTCTTGGGCTTTTCCCTCTGGTGCTTTTTCTCTCCATGAGAATTTATTTGGGCAGGGGTAGAATGCAAGTCTTGGGTTATTATGTCGTCTCTTTTCTTAGGCTTGGGCTCCTTCTTGATAGGTTCCCATTTTGAAACCTTATTGTTGACAATCAAATCGATCACCACTTCGACGTCTTGAGAGTGCTCAGCCAATAACGAAGACAAGTCCTCAGATTCCCAATCGGGAAACATCTCGGACAAAGTCTGTAGCTCTTGCTGACCTGTCTGTGTGGAAGACACGGCTGCCTTCTTCAGGCCTCTATGGGTTTTTCGTTGCGACATGGGCAGCTGTGACCAGTCTGTGGTGGAAATATATGGAAAACTGTACGAGGTTCAGCAAGTCTGGATAGTCTGGAAATGGAAGGTCAGACTTTGGGCGACACACGTCTGGGAGGTATGCAATTGATTCGGTACCAAGAGACGTGGGGAGCAAAATCCAAGTTTGGCTGAACGGTGGGGAATATGGAGAGGTGATCTGTCTGGCAAGTTTTTTTTTAGTTGTCGACAGTGGAGGTGGTGCGCGCACGTCTTCACGTGAGTGTTCTCTGTATAGCAGACTGGGGACATCGATAAGTTGGCTGGTATGAGGAGGATGGATATTTGTTGTACTGGAAGTTACTGACTATGCTTCCATCACTTGTAGAATATTTTTGCCATCAAACTTAGAGTTATTCGAGTAAGAGATGACAGAATGAAGTGAGACATTGCTGATCGGTATATAGACGACGTTTTCATTCCCGACACACCAGGAATTCGGGTTGATAAAGGTAAAGCCGTGAGAGAAGTATAGTTTTTTTTATTTATTTTTTCTTTTACTCATAATATCAAGACCTTTCCATTGAACCCGTTTTACACACTTGCAAGCAAGAGTGTTTCCGGTTCACACATTACTCTGGGAATCAAGAAGTTCCACAGTGTTCCTACCTCGTCCCCGGACTGCAATCGGGTTTACTCAAATGCATAGAGTATGTGTGCTTTTGAGTCATAGGAAAGTTTAAGTTACAAGTGTTGTAATGGCTATAGTGAACAAAGCTTGAGACATAGGCCGTTTAGTCACACGACTTGTAGTTAAAGAGCGCTTCCCTCGATGAATTAATGGACACAAAGACATGCAAATCGAATTCGGTGTAATCTCCTAGTCAATTACACAAAAACATCAATTCCAGTTAATTATTTCATTATTGAACTAAAGCGAAGTGACTTAGTGTATCCTTGTTCTTTTTGGTGCCGACAGAAACATCCAAGTGCATTGATAAGTGCAACTGATAAAACCGATTCCTTGCAGGATCTGTCTGACCCCACGGCTTCACAGTTGATCGCAGAAGGAAAAATGAAATACTCAATAGGAAATCACTTACTAATGAAATAGCATGCCAATCGAAACCTTCAATAGCTGAAGCGTTGGAACTACTTCTCAGAGAAGCATAGAGTAGTACCTAGCTCTTCAAGTGATGCATATAAACAAATTGTGGAGTAAGCGAATTAGGCGCCTTACAGGTTATTATTGTGAAATTACATTCTGTTTGAGCGCCAACAGTCTCCTTGAATCAATTTTTCTTATATATACAAACATGAAATAATTTAATGGATCCTCCATCGCATAAGGCACAAATTTTGTATTGAGGGTGCTAATGATTCAGATCAATTTTGGGATTTGCACTGAAATCGGAGTGTATAATGAAAGCTTCCTTGATTTCAAATTCCACCCACAATTTTTCTCTATTACCGATGTTATTCTCCAAATTTGTATTTTTCTTTTTGCTTGGCTTGAATCTCGCCAATGTTGATAATGGTGCAGAAGCAGAAGCTCGTGTTGTTTCAGAGGCCTACCAACCAGATTTGAAAATCCCAGAAGTGGATATCAAAGTAGAAAGCGGCGCGATAGTTGAGGAGGCTCCTGTTGTTGAGGAAATTGTTGTTGAGGGAATTGAGCTTGTTGATGCTGAACCTGCTCAGGATGATTCTGAATCTGACGACGAAAGTCGTCAAGAGGAGGCTGAGACTTCTGAAGTTGCGGTCGAGGAGCCCGAAATTGTCGAGAAGACAGGTGACAGCCCTGCGGAAGAGGAACCTGTCGTCGAAAACCCCATCGTTGAAGAGTTGGTTGCTGAAGAGCATGACGCTAAAGATCCTGAGCCAGTTTCTGAGCCCGAGCCAATCGTGGAAGAAGTTGTTGAAGCTCCAGTTGTTGGCGATCCTGAACCAGTTTCGGAGCCTGAACCAATTGTTGAAGAAAGAACTGAGGAGCCTGTTGTTGAAGATTCCGAGCTGGCAGAGTCAGTTGGAGAGCAATCCAGCACTGCTTCTTTCATCGACTACGTGAACTATGTCAAGCCGGCAAATTTGGAAGATATCAGGGCTTACTTCTACCGTGTCTTGGAGACTGTCAAGCAGAGAGTCACTGACCTCAAAAATTAAGCCAAATTGTATATGTAGTCACATACCATTTAACTAATATGGATATAAATCAGTAGCCCAATAGCTTATAAAACTTCATGAAGCAAGCTTGCTGCTGATTCGGGGGCAGGCAAATCAAACATCTCGCTCACTAACTCAGTTGCAACGGAATTAAAAAGTCCGTCAATAATCGTCTTGAGGTCGTCTCCTGTTTGTTTAAAATCTGGGTACGAGTTGACTTCAAGAAGCTTAACTTCGTAATCAGCATCAACTAAGAAGTCAATACCAAATATTTCAATGGCATTATCCATGGGCTGGAAATTAATTCTGTCCACTGAGGATGCTGCCTTAAACAACTCTCCGGTTATTGCTTTGACTTGATCAAAAATTGCAGCTTTCTTGGGTTCCTCGACACCCCTCAAGGCCCAGAATGGGACAACGACTGGTTGATAGCCTTCTTGGAGACAAGTATTGGTTAAGTGACCAGCCAATTCGATGATTTCATCCTCTTCTGAGTTGCCCGGTTCTATATAAGGAACGCTGGCAAATAACGCCAAAATGTTCTCGTAAACGAATACCTTGAGGTTTCCTTTACAGACAACGTATGTACGCAAATGAAATTTTCTGTTCAAATACTCCAGCAAAAGTAATGGATGACTTTGGTATTCCTGTACCACGAAATGACGTAGTTGGGAGATAATAACTCCATTATTGTCTTCTTCATCTTCACCTTCGATATCAGATTCATCTTGCTCAAATGAATCGAAAATTGCTTGAAGTTGGGGGATAGTCTGGAATATCCTGATTCCTTGACCCTTGTCACTCATACTTGGCTTGAGAATCCATGTCTTCTCACCCAGTTCAATCTCTTCTCTGAGCTCGTAGGCATCATCCAATGCATCATCGAGAAACTCCGCGTAATCAACCTCCAACTGGTAACATTCTGGGAAAGCCTTATGAAGTATCGATTCTGGATTCTTCACAGTATAATGACGAATCGTGTTGGCTAAGAAATGCTTTCTTATTAATGCCTTACGATAAATATACGAAGGAATAAAGTATTGCTGTGGGTGAGATTGCACCAAGTCAAGGTCAATATCTTCGTACTCACAGTAATGGAAAACCTTAAGTGATAAGTTTGCTTTGAGTTCCTCCAATACCAGGAGAGATTTCTCAATCCTGAAACCTAATTTCTTGAAAACGGTAACATATGGCTCATAAATATATGCCAGTTCAGGAATTGTAATCAAAAACACATTATTATGTTCCTTTTTCATGCCCAATTCTTTGACTGATTGATTCAACACGATCTCTCCCTCAAGAGGCTCCACAACAGTAAAGGATGCCTTGAGTGGTGTGACACTGATTCCCTCGTCTAAGAGCACTCTGCTGTCGGAGTGAGTTACATCTTCAAGTCCATCCTTCCACACCTGCTTGAAATCAGGAGCCCAGCCAAATTTCCCATCACCTAAATTAGTGTAGATAGACCCCCAAGTGTTCTTTAGGATTGGAGCGTATTTGATCTTCGTTTTGCCGCTTTCGAGTGATGGAATCAATGGCACATTGATTGAGAAGAGGTCGACCTCGCTCTGTTTCTTCAATTCACCATATAAATGTTCAACAAGGTTGACAGAGATTTTGCTTGCTTCCTTCAAGATCTCAAAATTGTGGTTAATGTCCCTAAACTCGTAGGAGAGAGCTATCGACTTAATGCCGTGCGTCACTGCTTCCATAGCTGCACCCACTGTTCCACTGGCCAAAATGTAAAGGTTTCCTGAGTTTTTTCCAAAATTGGGACCGCTGACCACCAAATCAATTGGTTCTTGATGCTGCTTCAAGTGATGGATTCCAATATCTGTGCAAGCAGCTGGTGTACTGTCTACCAAACACCACTCTTGGTATCCCTTGGAAATAAGTTCTATCGAAGGTGATTCAAACGGTCCCTCAAACTTATTGATATCCGCATTACAGACGTGAGTGCTTTCTTTGGTGTAAATGTACGATGTTGATAGACTTCTACCTGCAAAATGGGCTTTTCCAATCCATGATCTCTGCTGATTCGGAACCACAATCGATACTTTCCAATCGGTCGAACGGTTGATCTCGTCAACAAAATATTTCATATAGGGGCATGCGAGGTCATCGAGGGGACCGTCGTCGTTGGTAAGAAGAACATGCATCGTGTGGTAGTTTCCTATTGGACTATGCAAGAAGATTATATGATGAGGTTTTTTTTTGGCCTGGGTGCAAAATGTCGGCGAAAGGTGTGGACACACTAAGATCTTTTATGAGCAGTCCCTGAAGACCAAAGTTCCCAACGGGGTGAATTGCGATTAGCTCTTTTTGTTCTTGTCGTTATAGGGTTTCTTTTGTTCACTATATCAACCAACTCCTCCTTTGAGGTGCACAAGCAAATCAAGCCCGATTAAATTCTCTGCAGGGATTTTGGTGGAGTTGGTTTCAAATGGCTAACATATATTAAAGGCTGTATTAGAAGTTAATATTCTTAAGTGACGAGATCTTAATCTACGTACAAACATATGGTCATTAAATCAAAATATAACCTCAGTCTTGTAGGTTGTGTTGACAAAATTCATAAAAGAAGTAATGAAGGACTCGGATTCATGACGGTTAAAGTTTCCAGTACTTGGCTTCTCCTTCACCATCAGTATTATAGTGGTACTATTTGCTTGTGTTCTTCAATTTTGAGACTGCCGTATTATGAGTTCAAAACCTATATTGCTCAGATTCTGGTCTCCAACATGGTTCGCAGAATAATAAGTTGTTTGCCGCTTCTGTTCAAAATTCAAAAAACAACAAAGTCAATGCAAAAATCCAATTTTCATCTGAAACACATTCAAAGTTTCGAAAGACCCCTAAAGTACCCAATACCAATTCTGACATTCCTATTGCCCCATAATTTTGCTGTTTATTACTCAGAATTGATGCTTTCTCGTTATTGCAATTCCGCACCTGCATTGTTGTCAGATTTCAGAAGCTGGAGCACCTCTCTCAACATCGTATTTCGATATAACCAAAAATTACAAATGACTTAGGCTTCCTATATTATGAATTGAATCGTACAAAGAAATTAATACCATTTGTAAATTATGACAGAGCTCCCGGTTGTTGAGGTAGCCGACTGGCCATCCACTTCATGGCAAATGGCATCATAGCATTCGTGACAACAATCCAAGCACATAGAATACCGATGTTTCTTCCCATATGGCCCTTGTATGAATTGAAAAATGCAACTTGCATGAGTTGATATGAATTAAACACTGGCATAGCATACCCATAGCGATAAAAGTCCGGACAGAGCACGATAGGCGAGATGGTTGGAGCTAAGTTGACAACTGCAACGAGAAGAAGGACAAGTCCTATCATGGCTGGCTTTAAAATAATGCAAAACAAAACCAAAACTTCAATAAGTGAACCAACAGATGACATTGTCAAAAATGCGAATGCCCAAATGACCAAGAATCCCAGATTGCCGAACGCTTTTGTGAAACTGATTTGAAAAGCAGTATTCAATAACACATAGGCCAACCCAAGAACAACATATGCAGCTTGCGCCGCAAGAATTCTGTAGCCCACGTACCTAAGACCTTTGATCTTGGATGCGATGTACATATGGATTGGGACGGAGAACACAAATTGGAAGAATGTGAAGATACACAAGTAGATAAGTCCAATTTGCAATGGAGCCTGAACAACTTGTTCAGGAACTGGAAGTCTATCATCTACCACAAAGCGAGGATTAGACGTGAAAAGTTGAGGAGCTTGATTGAACACATTATCAACCTGAGTCGAATTTAGTGTCTGCATCATGTATCCAACCCATGGCAGTTTCACCATGAAGCCCGCGAACACCCTCGAAATTTGTTCAGTCAACGTTGAAATGTAGTTGTGAACCGCATTATAGTCACTTCCTGTTTCGTAAACAACGGAAAGTAATTCTGTGGCTGGATTAAAGGTGGTATTTAGCGTCACTAGCGCCTGATACATAGACAATGTTGCGTTTTCATGCACAAAGAATGCAGCCCTATAATGCTGATGGTGCACTTGTCTAAAAACTTCTTCTTGAATAGTGTTGTTGTGCTCCTGAGCCTTTGCAAGTATGCGCTCGTAGGACCATATATGGTAATTGCCCAAAGTTTTCACTAATGGAACATTTTGGAAAAACAGTAGCACAAGGTTACCCAAAATAGGGGGCAATTGTCCCAAGGTTGTATCTCCGATGATGACAGCGAAGGGAACATTCTTATATCTAGTGGAACGTTGGTAGTAAGATCCCCAATAAATGGAAAGTGCAATTGCAAAACCACTCAACAAATACACATAGTTCTTTACCAACGTTCCAGCGATTCGAATTCTCTCAGCAGCAAAGTCCGAATCCCAAAAGCCAAATTTCCGTGATATCGACTGAATTGTCGAAACAATAGTGCTTTCTCTTCTACGGGGCTTCGGTGGATGCGGCTGAAACTCAGTGTTGGATCCTGTAAGCGCAATTGGATCATTCTCATCCTCGCTACTAAACTCCTCCAAGCTGGGAAATTCTTCAATCGGTTCCTTTCTGTTGGTAAGAGAACGATAAATTTGCGAGGAGCCAAACCATTCATCTTCAGTCCGCATACTGGTGAAATTATGGATGCTACTTCCACCAGTCTCACTTCCCACGACGCTAGGCTTCCGTTGGGCTTCGGAATCCGTCAGGATAAAACTAGAGGCAGCAGTGGTGAACCTCTCCAAAAGTGAGGGACGTCTTTCTGTTGGAGGACGCTCTTCCAAAGCCTCTGGCTGGAACGCCTGGACCGACGACTGTCCTGTTGAGATGGTATGGAGAGAATCTGCCATGTCAGAACAGCCAAGTCACAATATCCAAGTACAAGAGGGAAGTAGTTAAGAAGATATTCAACTAAATTAAGGAGATTGTCAACGATGATATGAAATTGCTGTCAAGTCCTAAAAACCATCTTTAGTGTTTGGCAGCACACATCATCCTGCATGTTGAAAATTCCTTCTGCATTCCATTAGGAAGTTATTATGAATTTGATCGACATATGCCTTAAAATAGGATATATGAATGACTTAATGAGAATCAATTGATGAGTCTTGTTCACTTGTATGAATATTTTTTAAGTCTACCGTTAGTGATTTCTTTCTAAACTCAATGTTTTGATCAAGAGAAGTTCTGCATGAAAGTTGGTCCATGCATGTTACTCCTCGTTAGCCCCAGTATTTGGACTTCTTTGAGTTAAGATCGCCCACAAGAGCTCGGCTACATTTCTTGAGTGTTCTAGCTTTAGATTGAAAATAATCACCAGGAATTGAGAATCCTCATCATCCGGTCATCTTCAAAATGTCAGAGTCTGTAGATCCGTTGGACGAATCAATCCTAGATGAGGCCGTTTCCCGCAATGTCACTGGAACCAGGATTACAGGAACAAACACTGAACCTTCGTCGAATTTTTCCCAGCATGACGAGCTGTCAGAAAAAGATGGCCTTGCAGAGAAGAAACCTGAAACCGAAAAACCTTATAGACTTTGGGATGAGAGACGAAAGTTGGCTGTGATGTTTGGCAAAGTCTACATCCTCATAATGGTGGTATTCATCGGCGTCTTGTCTCTTTATTGGGGTTCAATTTATCGTCGTGAATACAGGGTTGCCAATATGAAAATGTTGGTAGTGATTGAAGACAGTCAGGTTCAACTTACGAACTCCACTACTGCTCCGGAGCTACTTGGAGAAGCGGTTAGGGGACTAATCAATGAATCCTCTACTTATGGAGATTTCCGCTTTGCGAATGTGCTGGAACTCAGCGACATTGCTTCCCAACATGATAGAAGTTTGTTTGAAGAGGTGGAGAAACAAGTTCATGAGCAGAAATATTGGGCATGTATCTACGTGAATGCAACTGCATCTCAAATTGTCTACGACTTGCTTTCTTCAGGAAATGCTCTGTCAGTATATGCGTTCCAACTGCAATACATTGTCTCGGCTGTGTACGAATCCGGGCGCCATTTTTCGGCATTGTCCCAGTACGTCACCAAGAATTTGCGCATAATGGAATCCCTTTGGTTATCAAACTTTGCACCTCATGTGTACGCAACTATGGTAGAACACTACCTCACGGATGATCAAAGACAAAACTTGGTCCGTTCTTCTAATTCAACTCAAGTTCCCTCAGTGCTTAGTGTGCTTCCTTCAATTAATATGGTAGATCAGAGACTGAGTCTGTCATCTACAGTTTTGGGACCTTCAGAGCTTGGACTTATCTACGCTCAAATTTTTTCTTTCCACCAGTTTAACTTCTCAGTGGATCTTCACAATAGTGTTAAGGATAAGCTTCAATTCGGGCACTACGTCTTGTACCGTATAATGATTTCCCAATGTAACCACTTTGTTTTGGCATTGGTATATTCTCTTATGACGATAGCGTTCAGGGTTCCCATCGACTCAGCCTTTGGTGGCCCAGGTTTCTTGATTCTTTGGCTCACTATGTTCCTTTTCATTAGCGCTAGTGGAGGTATCAATGAGACCATTGTGTCTTGGATTTTGTACAAAGATAAGAAAGCACTCTTGGCTCCGTTCATGATTTTCTATATCGTCATTAACATTGCACCCACATTTGCGCCGTTAGTGCTCTCACCGGGATTCTATCGGTATGGATATGCTACCCCGATGTATAATGCATACGAGGCCCTAAAAGTCGTGTTTTTCAACACTTGGCGGGGAACCTTGGGCCGAAACTATGGAATTCTTGGTGCCTGGATAGTAGCCTCCAACTTATCATTAATTTTGGTTCTCAAGCGAATTTCAGATGCCACAAAGGAAGAGGTCAACAAAAAGAAGGGTAGATTAAACTCCAAAAGCTGATGAAGTATAAATCTAAAGAATAAGAACTTACATAGCTTCATCTGTAACATCAACTTTCGGTTCCACGGACTTCACGAGGCGGCCATTAAGCATTTCCTTGTAGCAGCTCATGAGAGCTTGTTTCCAAGCTCCCATGTCGACGTTTCTGTACAACAATAAATTCTGCAAAGCCTGTTTCTTCAACTCCCAGATCTCTGGATTCACTATGGCCGGATCCGCTACTATGAGCTGATTAAGGACAAGATAAGGCTGGCGGAAAAGCTGGGTTGCAGAGTAATCATACCTAGTTACTCTCTCAGCGAACTCATAAAGAAGATCATGTGGGAGCTTGATCAAAACTTTTTCTTCTAGCTTAGCGCTGTCGACGAGCATTGCAAATAGCTCCTCATTATCAATCAAATGAATCAAGCAACGAAAATGTGCATACGACAGATTCTGGAACGTCCAACTCGTGAAATTGCTGTCGAAGAATTCGGCCTTCCTGGGTATCACGGACAAGTCAAGTTTGCAAAAGTACCGGACATCTTCAGGGGAGGAGAAGTCAAACCTGGTCAACAGTGGAATCCTTTCGAACTCCAACTTTAAATAGCTCTGGGACTCATTCGAAGCGAGGGACGCCCTCGACAACAAATCCATCAAAGTAGGGTCGACAATAAAATCGAATCTGTCTTCTTGGCGACGTTTAGCGAAGTCTTGAACACACTGATCAACAGGTTTTTGAATCAGATAGAAGGGGACCTTAGTCAACATGAACGAGTAGAATGCAATAAGCATCGATGCCAAAAATGGGTCAGCGGTCTCGGGGTCCTCATTGAGGATTTTTGTCATGTCAAAGTCCGAAAGAAGACGTGCTGTTTCAGAAGAGATTTTGAGCGCTAAAGATTGGATAACCGACAAGTAACGTCCCAAAAGACTTGCATCATTCATGGCACTAGATTTATGCACATCTTCAATGAATTCCCATCCGGCGATGTTGAAGTGTTCCAGCCCTGCAAATATTCGAATGCATTCTTCAGTATCAGACACTATGCGAGTTGGAACATCAACTGAATCCAATAATCTCTTAGTGAGCGATTGCAAGGCTGGAAACTTCACTAAAAATTTGGCAACTTCAACGTCTCCACGGGACAAATTGACCTTCACGACATGAATTGCCATGTAGACAACTGCGTATTGAGAAGAGTTCAAAGCTTCCATTACATTCTCTTCAGAGAAATATTTAGTGACATTTCCAAATGACAATTGTTCCAACATGGCTGTCAACAATTGAACATATATGTCAGCATACAAGTCACAATTTAAGATCCTGGAGAGAAGTGGAACAAAGCTTGTCAAGACAGCACTCGAAAGTATGTCTCCAGGCCCCGCCACCACTGCATGGTCCATTCCAATGAACCTTATGTAGTCAGAAACTATAGATGCATCAGCTTGCTCGTCGCCGTTGACGTAGGACTCCAAGTGATGAAGAACAGCGAGTGATTTAGCATCAAGCTGAGCACGATCACGCATTGAGCCTTAAGTATATAATCAAGATCGTTGAAGTAAGGAAACAAATTTATAGAAAGTGATTACAGAAAAGATCACAAAGTATGATTTTATTGGATAGGGAGACTTCCGCGAATCGAAGATGAAGAGTATATAACTTTGAAGTTAATCGAATTGGCATTAAGGCTTAACTGGAATTACTAACAGGGCAAAAGGAGGTACGGGTGTGGAAAGAGTAGTTGCGAAATTGAACTTACAATGCCAACCCGAAAATTAACAAGGGATTGCATACGATCCAAAGATGGGGAATTCAGAATCAGGATTAACATTCCATAAGTGCAACAAAACGTCAAACCTGCACTGGAATGTTTCCATGGCCAGAATTATCATGCAAGTGAAGCAATTTCAGTTTCCAACCAGATTGACTGAATATTTCCGGCACACTTCAATCTACTTTGGGCATGCATTCCCGACTCCTTGCAGGTATCTGTCAGGTACGACAACAGAATGCTAGCTATATATAACCATTAATCGACAAAAATAGCTCAAGCTCCTATGATTTGTTATATGCAAAGTACAACAGTTTAAGTCTCAGCCTCTCACAGATGCATGTCTCTCCTGATAGAGCCAAGTCGTTGCCTAATCCATCGACTGCGGGTCCAATTGAACACAATAGACTGCAATCTTGTAGTATGGAACTTATCGCATGAGACACCAGTAAGCCTCGTTGCATCGATCTCTATTGGAACGTGGATTGCGAAGCCTCACCACGTTGTGATTCTACAAATTGTGCAAAAGGCTCAGCTGGTACAGGTAACGATTTCTTCTAAAGGTTTCTCTTTTCCCTGAGGTTAAGATAAGATCGTTACCTTGAGGCCAACCTGTGCGATCATTCAATGCAGGGCTGGAGAACGCAGCAGCAAGGTAGGGTTTAGTTATGACCGTAGATTGCACCACACGATAAGACCAGTGAGTACCACAATTTGAAGTAGCCAAAATGCAGCATTGAATGTGAGGAACAAGAGGCACGTACGTAACCACATATCCGCTCAGCCTGAAACATCCTATATTGCAAAACTTGGGCTCCTAATGGCCACAACTCCATCTGGATAGCCAAACAATCCCAGCATGGCCAGACAGGTGGATTGGTAGGCTGGTAGGTTGGCAAAGTGGAAGACCGGCAGATAAGCTCGCTTCAACGGAAAAAAGTAAATTACTAGCGTTGATCTGCAACCTCAACATTAGGCGAGGCAGCGTCTCCAAGTGGAACAAGTAACTACAGACGAACCAACCACACATCTAATAAACTAGACATAAATTTGATAAGATAATTCCGATACAATAGAATAAAAAATTTAGCGTCATTAAATAAAACAGAAATACAGATGATAATAGCATGGGACCGCGGGAAGCCATGAAACGAACATGAAAACAAAGAAAAAGCAACGCCCCGTTGAGCTCTTGAATTCCCAGCTCTTAGTAACTGGACCTCTCGTCAATTCACAATCCCGCTCTATGCCGTCCGGGATCCGCACCTCGCATTGATGTCTGAAACTATACCGTGTTTAAGCTCGGTAGCGACACAGGAATCATCAGGGCATGAAGTCGGGAATAAGCCACGGTCACTTTTATTTCGAGGATTTTAGAATATTTTGCTCACATGAAAGCCTCGAAAATGTAGTTGCTATGACATCGCGGATTTCGTAATTGGAATCTAGTCCCGTCCTGCCTTGAGGGCCTGCTGGGGTCGGAAATATTGTCTTCGAGGCAGGCCGATACGCATTTTTTGCACGTTTGCATGGCTTCCACAACTTCGCGAGGCGCCCTACCGCATTCTTTTATTTTTTTGGAATACCTTCTGGCGTTATGAGTGCGGGGCCCTTTAGTACCTATGTTATCCTTATTTATTTCTATTCTCCTACTACTTATTTTTGCTTCCAACCCTGACTGCAAGAGATGCCCACTTCCGTAATGACTGAAAGTGCTCCTCCGGTCGTGTATCCGGTCGCACACGACGTAGACGCGGCTAATTCTCTCCCAGACTACAACGAATCTCAAAAGTTGAACGGTTCCCCCGTCAAGCAGGGTATGAACAACAAGAACAAGCTGAGCTCCAACTCGGATTCGAGCTCTAAACCCGACGATGAGACACTCACAGGTAATGATAAAGACCTGAACGATGAGCGTGAACAAGCTCCTACAAACGACTTTAGAGACATTGCTGCCAAACTATACAATGAAGAATTTGTGCTGATTAACCCAGCAGAATACACGCAGTTTTTGGCTGCCCCCGATGCCGACAGTGCTCAGATTCGTGAATACTACATGGATATGTTTAAGTGGGATGCCAGCTTGATGACCTCCACCCGTCGCTTGTGCCTGAAGCTCTACTTGAAAGGAGAGTCGCAGGAGATTGACCGTATTCTCTCGGCCTTCACCAAGTCGTACTTGAAACAACACCCCAAGAATGTGTTTTGCACCCAGGACTTTGAGAAGATCTACATTGTGTTGTACAGTTTGATCTTATTGAACACTGCCCTCCACAACTCGGAGCTCAATAAGAAATCTAAGATCTCACAAACAGATTACATTAAGAATACTTTATCCACATTTCTCCAACAGAACAGGAAGGCTCTGAAGTCATTGTCCATCAAACAGAGAATCCAAATCGAGCGTGAGCTCAACATGTACTACGAGGACTTGTCCCACCATGAGCTTTACTTGAAGAAGGGCGACGACAGCACACCAGCAACCCCTAAAAAACAGTCCAACAAGCGTTACTCGATAGCAGAAACCATTCGCTCAAGCTATTCACATGCCGACGAGAACCATCCACATGATAAACTGTTGCCTCAGTTGCCAGCTTCACCCCGTGGACCACAGTCTCCCAATTTCAATGATAATATCAATGAGCTCTCTCGCCAGCCTTCCAACGGTTCCATTTGGTCAGCTGATGCAGATGCCAACAGACGTATGTCACTCACCATGAAGCGTATGACTTCAGGTGCCTCGTCAGTATCGCAGGTGACCGCCACGAACTCCACCTTCTCGCGTCCTAACAAGGACGCAAGATTCGGATTCAACCGTGCACTTATTTCTGATGCTAATGCGCAGAGATCGGCAGCCAATACCTTACGTAACCAGAGATCTTATGACCACATTCGTCATGGGAATCAGCTCACAAGAAGGAATTCCAGAGCTTCAGTTGCTACCAACAATTCCTCAGCTAGAAATGAGGACACAATCTCGTTGGTGGCTGATGACACCAACCTCAATGCTTTGGAAGTTGGAGATCATAGAAAAGAACAGTATCAGTTGGAGGACTTCGACGTTGATGACTTCCAGGATAAGTTTGATTTGAAGTTGGAGTTGCAAGGCTCGCCATATTTGAAGGAAGGTTTACTCAAGTTACGTATCCTCAATAACGATCTGGCGGACACTGTTTTGGGCGAGCCACAGGTGGCTTCTTCTGCAGCTCTGACTGCCTCTTTGAATACGACTCAGAAGCTGGGATTCATGTCGTTTTTTAGCAGATCGTTCTCTAATAGAGAACCAGTTTCCGACTCTACTGTTGGAACGGGAAATAATGGCGTCTTCTCACACAAATTTACAGAATACTTCGTGGTGGTTTCCAAAGGAGAGCTTCGTTTGTACTCTTTCGATCCCAAGGTTATCAAGAAGCAACAAACGAAGATGAAGAAACTCCGCAAGTCCAATGCCTCACTAATGTATGAGCAGGAAGAGGAAAGTAATATCGGGGATGGTAACTGGCTTAAGAATGCTGCAAATGTTGGTAATTACAATTTGTGTTCCACTATTGCTCAAGTTGAGAAGACTTCACACTCCGGCCCTAATTCCAGGATTCACTTCTCTTTGACTTTCCCAAAAGTCACCAAGAAGCAGCCCAAGGTTTTCATTTTCGAAGCTGGTACAATGGAAGTTGCACGGGAGTTCATCAATACGTGTAACTTCTGGGCCTCCAAGATCACAGCAATCCCCACTTTGGAGGAGAGTATGTCTTCTCTTGAGTACGGTTGGACAAACTTGGATTCTCTATTGAATATGGGAGATTCCTTCAAGAAGGCAAAAAATATCAGTAAGTGGGATCAACTTCCGAAAGGAGTCTACCTCAGCAATTATGTTATTGACGAAGATATCGAGGAAGGAAGAGAAAACAATCACGAAGGTATTCTGAAACAGTTTGTTCAGACATTGAAGTATTATAATAACTTAAAGGGTTTGTATAACAACTTCAACCAGGGCAAGACTAAATTCATGAAAGGCTTCCGTAAATATTCTGGCTGTTCAAATTACAAGTTGATCACTTCCAACTACGAAGCCAGACTTGCCGAGTACAAAACTGAGCTCAGCAAGTACAAGAGTTATTTGGTTCTTCTCGCTTATGGCTTAAAATTGAGATTTGATGCTGAAGCGGAGGATAGAGAAGAAGAGAGAATCGAGGAACTCAGGGCCACCGATCCAGACTTGAGTGACGAGAAGATATTGGAAATCGTTCAACAGAGAGCACTTGATGATGCGGATGACGAGCTGGAGTTGACCAAGGTCGTGAAGCTTGAGATTGACAAATTGGTGACTACATCCAATGAGATGCACCTGATCTTAATCAACGACCCGAAATACGCTCTTACGGATGCTCCTAGATCTATACATGAGCTTGAGATGCCAGAGGGCACTTCGTTAGTGAAATCTCCGAAGACCTTCAGTCTCTCAAACTTCAAAGACATTGAGAGTAGCCCAATCAATCAGTTGTTGAACGCTGATGGAAAGCATGTTGCTGTGGACAATGAACAGGCGTTACATCAAGCTAAAAAGGAGCTCATTATGAGCTTCAGCACCAATACCATCAAGGAGGAAGACGAGCCAGAGGATTTAGAGGACTAGAATACTAGTCTGTTGTAACTATATAATGAAATACGGTGGGGATCAATGTATTATGTTTGCTTTTTAATTGAAAGACAATATGCTGCAGACTATTAGGAAAATATGATTGTGAGTGACAGTTTGTAGAACTATGGGATAAGATTTTGATAGTATATCAAGCAGAAGAACGATACAGTCGATTTAGAATGAGTGGAACGAAACTATTCGCGAGTACTTACACGTGATAACGCACGTGACCACTTCCTCAACTGAACAGACGCCACCAACCTCTACCATATCTAGTTAGACTTATACGCTTCTGGCTAATTGCCTTTTAAATCATCCATAAATCAGGGTCTTTAAATAGTACAGAATGTCAGATCCAAGCTCCATTAATGGTATGTTGGAATTCGTGGTGAAAGAGCAATTTGTTCTGAGTTATCGGTTCACGAGCTTTCGGTGTTCTCCAACGGCGACGGCCTTTACAGAACTATCTAGTTAATTCAGATACTGCCAGTTCAACCGAAGAGAGAGATAGTCTAATTTCGAGACATTTTTATCCCAATTTGGTCCCCAATCGGGGTCGCATTCAACATAATACTAACATCCAGGTGGTGCCGCCGTTGCCATGGTAGGCAAAGAATGCATAGCAATTGCATGCGACTTGAGGTTGGGAAACCAGTCGTTAGGATTGTCTAACAACTTCGAAAAAGTATTCCAGTTTGGAGACAAGACGTTTTTGGGGTTGACAGGATTGGCCACCGACGTTCTCACATTGAAGGAGGATTTCCGCTTGAAACACAATTTGTACAAATTGAGAGAGGAGAGAGAAATAGAGCCTAAGACATTGGCAAACTTGGTGAGTTCCTCGTTGTACGAGAGAAGATTTGGACCATACTTCGTTGGACCAATTGTTGCTGGTTTGGAGTCTAAAACCAACAAACCATTTATCTGTGGGTTTGACTTGATTGGATGTATTGATTTTGCGAAGGATTTCATTGTTAGCGGTACTGCTGCTGACCAGTTGTATGGTATGTGTGAGTCGTTATATGAGCCCAACTTGGAGCCAGAAGACTTGTTCGAGACCATCAGTCAGGCGCTATTAAATGCCGTGGACAGAGACGCCTTGTCGGGTTGGGGTGCTGTGGTGTACATTGTGACCAAAGATAAGGTTGTCAAGAGAGTGTTGAAAACTCGTCAAGATTAAACGTAATGACTTCATTAGATATATACAAGTGATTTGTGACAGATGAGGGGACAAGGAAAGCAAATGAAAACCTCGATTCTTAATAAAGTAAAACATTTCAATTCAATTTTTTTCTTCCGCCTGCTCTTCTTTTCCTATAGATTCTATCCTCTGTTTCGTTACTTTTCCTGTCTTTTCTTAGCCTCCATTTCGATGACTTTCTTCAAGTAACCATTCTTACCGTAAGTTTCCTCTTCGATCTTCTTCTGTCTTTCAAGAACTTCTTTCTGTCTCTGTCTACTCAAGCGGATCCGCTCCTTGGAATCTTCCACTCTGGTAAGATGTAAGCACTTACTAAGTTCATCTTTCTCGAAGTTGCACATTCCCAAAGCCTGTTTCAAAAATTCTTTTTTGTGGCACTCTTCAAGAGCGTCCATCAACTTCTCGCAAGTGTCAAATCTGTTTTTGTCCAACTGGGGATGCATAATAGGGATTCTCTGATGAAGTTGATGACTTGCAAATAGTGGGATTGGTTGATTCACCATAAAAACCCATACACCAATCAGACGATAAAGATGGTGATTTCTTTCTACAAATTTGAGTTCAACTGAAAGAAGGCAGGGGGCAGGGGGGGGGGGGGGGATGAGGAAGGGGGATAAGGAGGCTTGACAAGAATTTATTCAAAACTGAAATTTGTAATTTTGAGCATCAGAAGTTTGGCTGGAGAAATTGTAAACGCAATGTAGAAAAGTGACATTGGGATAAGAGTTTGATATGAATCGAAATACGACTATCACTGACCTTGGTGAGGCGATGCAATCTGTTTTAGTTTCGAATGTACTCGTTGCTTCTTCGAAATTTATGGTGTTGGTTCTCCATTGTCTCTTACTCCAAAAGATCAATGGCTGCTAAAACGCGTTAAGGGTTTGATAATTTGACATTTCACTGGGCCGAATAAAAAAGAGATGAAATTTTAAGTAGAAAAGGAGACGGGTTGACGTAATTAAGAGAAGTGTTTCCATTCCGTCGAGTCCTTCTCGACAAAGATCCTGAGTGATTGAATCTGACTGGAACCAAACAACCTTCCATCTCTGATACCTGGTATAATATCAACTGCACTTACAGACCAAGAATAGTACACTAACATATAAAAAAAAAATTGGGAGTTGTTGCTAGAAATTTCAACTGACTCCCAATTTTAGCAAGTATGCCAGCTGTTATTTCTGCTCAACTTGAATAAAGTCTCCCGAATTTCGAGCAAATTATCTAAGAGCTTTTCAAATGCCCGAAAAAAGTTGAACTCCTTGCTAGTCAGGGCAACTTTCAACATCGTCAAAGAATATGTAATTCAGTTACCACAATTGCAAAATGGGAGAGATAAACCACGTCAAATTGAAGCCGTGCATCGCCGGGTATCACGTGTATACATTCACGTGACTACGGAAGTACACCCCCGGCGGAACGCTTCCTCCCGTAGCCTGGTGCGTAAGATGAAAGCTCGAAAAAGAACCTACACCTTTCTAATTTAGCACACTTTTCTTCATCAAACATGCTTCGTACAGGTGCCATTCGCCCATTGCCACGTGTGTTGGCTACTGGAGCCAAAAGATCATTGGCCAGCACTGCCACTGACTTGGTCAAGATTGACTTGCCAGAGTACTCGTTTGAAGGGTACAACCTCGATGTTCCTGAATTGTCATTTGAGACCGAGAAGGAGACCTTGTTGCAGATGTACAAGGACATGATTATCATCAGAAGAATGGAGATGGCTGCCGATGCTTTGTACAAGGCCAAGAAAATCAGAGGTTTCTGTCACTTGTCTGTTGGTCAGGAGGCCATTGCTGTTGGTATTGAGAATGCCATCACCAAGACCGACTCCGTGATCACTTCTTACAGATGTCACGGTTTTGCTTTCATGAGAGGTGCTTCAGTTAAGTCTGTGTTGGGTGAATTGATGGGTAAGAGATCTGGTGTGTCTTACGGAAAGGGTGGTTCTATGCACATGTTTGCTCCAGGCTTCTACGGAGGTAACGGTATCGTGGGTGCTCAGGTGCCATTGGGTGCTGGTTTGGCATTTTCCCACAAGTACAAGGGTGACGGAGGCGCCACCTTCGCTTTGTACGGTGATGGTGCTGCCAACCAGGGTCAGGTGTTTGAGGCCTACAACATGGCTAAGTTGTGGGACTTGCCATGTGTCTTCGCATGTGAGAACAACAAGTACGGTATGGGTACTGCTGCCTCTAGATCCTCTGCTATGACCGAGTACTACAAGAGAGGTCAGTACATTCCAGGTTTGAAGGTCAACGGTATGGACATCTTGGCTTGTTACCAGGCCTCCAAGTTTGCTAAGGACTGGTGTTCCAGCGGCAATGGACCTTTGGTGTTGGAGTACGAGACTTACAGATACGGTGGTCACTCCATGTCCGACCCAGGAACCACTTACAGAACCAGAGAGGAGGTGCAGCACATGAGATCTAGAAACGATCCAATTGCAGGTTTGAAGGCCGTCCTTTTGGACTTGAATGTGGCCAGCGAGGAGGAGATCAAGTCTTACGACAAGGCTGCTAGAAAGTACGTCGATGAGCAGGTCGCTGAGGCTGAGGCTGACTCTCCACCTGAGGCCAAGATGTCCATTTTGTTCGAGGATGTCTATGTCAAGGGTACCGAGGTGCCAGAGTTGAGAGGCAGAATCTCTGACGACACTTGGAACTTCGAGAAGAACGACTTCTCCAACCACGTCTACTAAATGTTATAGATCTGTCATTACTCAATACATATTAAAAGAGTCCACTAGAGTAGAAGCCAAGTTGTCAGAAGGAGAGATTGCCTTCATAAATTGTGCTAATAAGAAGGTCTTTTGTATCATTTTGATAGTTTTTTTTTGTGTAAACCAAAAGTTTCACTATTATCGTACTGCAGAAAACTCATCTATCGTACCAAGTCATCTCATACTACTTGTCACCAGACAGCCATGCCAGAACACATTCCGGATAAGGCGGGGAACAATTCGCCCAAAAATGGTATCAGTACTTCGAACGGCAAAACTGGGACAGACTCACTGGATGCTCGGCCAAACTACAACCCTACTTCTTTGGTTGGTCAAGTATCTGTCAAAGATATGGGAAGCAGAGTCACACATGAAAGCGGAGGAATACTAGTCTCTCAGAGTCGAGACAGTTCCGAAAAAGAGGAATTCAGTACTAAAGAGAATTTCAACGCATTGTCGAATTTGGAATTCGAGAGCATAAACTATAGACCTACCAACAAACAGAATGCTGCCAATTTCGAAAACTTGACGGTAGAAATAAGAAAACATATACCCGATGAGCTGCACAGCGTCATTCTTTCAGCTGCCGATGCCATTCTTGAGTGTCTCAAGAACGAGGAACTTTCTGTCGAAGATAAAAGGACGGAAATCGAAAGTCTTTTATCAACAAAGCTAGATGACATGCAGATGCGTGAGTTGGTGGTGCTAACAAAGGAGATCACCGATTATGATATTCAACTAAACCAAGATATGGAAGCTGGCGAGTCGGAGACTATCGCTGTAGTGTTTGAAGAAGATGAGGTGAATGAACCCACACATACTATCGAGGATCCAGAAGTTACCACTCAACCTGAAGAACCGACAGCGCAAGAGGAAATTCAGGAAGCAGCCAAAACTATAACTCCAGGTGTGAATCTTGAAGCAAACACGATTCTGATTCACGAGGTAAAGAGGGATTTTTACTTTGCAAGATTGTCAGCACTAGAACCAGATACCGACAATAAGGAGATTGTGGAGGTTTGCAAGAAGATTTCCAAGAGTATGGCTAACAAAGACTTGGGCGATCAGGAATTGGAGATGGCTTTATTGGAAACGCTTGATTACAAGCATCTCGAGTTTGTTAAGATGTGTGTTGAAAACAGATGGCAAATTGTATACGGACTTCAATTGCATCAGAATAGAGAAAAAGCACTAGCGGAAATAAGAAGTGAGAATTTGGATTATCTTCTCGATGAATCCAACAAGAGATCTAGAAGTGGCCTGCTTTCAGATAATCAAACCACGAAACGAACCAAGCTTGACCTGGAAATGAAAGAGATCCCTCAAAGAAAACCTAAGATAATTGATCTTGAAGGTCTTGTATTTGACCAGGGTCACCATCTTATGGCAAATTCAAAAATAACTCTTAGCAAAGGTTCTTACCAACAAAACAAAAAGTTGTACGACATTATTAGTGTTCCTGCTCCGCCAGCACCTCCGTCCTTGGAGATTTCCAACGAGAAGCTCGTTGAAATTTCTGAATTGCCTGAATGGGCACAGCCGGCTTTCCCTGTCGGGGAAACTTCAAACTTGAACCGAATTCAATCGAAGGTTTTTCCAAGTGCATTTCTCAGTGATAGCAATATTCTCTTGTGTGCACCAACAGGTGCTGGTAAGACTAACGTTGCAATGCTTACTATATTAAGAATGCTTGGAAATTATCGAGATGACAAAACTGGAAAGTTCGACTTGAAGTCGTTCAAGGCGGTGTATGTGGCACCATTGAAAGCTTTAGTATCTGAGCAGATGAGAGAGTTTCAGAGAAGATTGACCGCCCAATTTGGTGTTGTTGTCAATGAGCTTACTGGTGACCTGTCATTGAGCCAAAAAGAAATCATGGAAACCCAGGTGTTAGTCACGACCCCCGAGAAATGGGATGTTGTCACAAGAAAAGCCACAGAGGAATCATTCACTAGTCTCGTCAAAGTGTTGATTATAGATGAAATTCACCTTTTGCATGATGAGAGAGGCCCAGTCCTCGAGAGTATCATCGTGCGAGCAAAACGGCAACCGGAGACAAGATTAATCGGATTGTCGGCCACCTTACCAAATTACCAAGACGTCGCTCGGTTCTTGGGTGTCGATATCGAGAAAGGACTTTTTTATTTTGATGCGCTGTACAGACCATGTCCCCTTGAGCAGCAGTACATTGGAATCAAAGAGAAGAAAGCTATCAAGAAGGTTGCAGCCATGAATGAAGCCTGCTACGAAAAGCTCGAGGAATGCATTAAAAACAGACACCAACTTATCATCTTCGTTCATTCTAGAAAAGATACAGTTAAGACCGCCAAGTGGCTTCGGGATAAAGCTGCTGAAAATGAGCTTGGAGTCCATCGTTCTGGTGCTGGAACATCGGAGATTTTGAGGCAGGAGGCGGAGAATTCCAGTAATAAAAATCTTTCTGAGATTTTACCATCAGGCTTTGGAATTCACCATGCTGGTCTAAACAAAAGTGATCGTAGCGTGGTGGAAGATTTATTTGCCCAGGGCCACATCCAGGTGTTAGTATCAACGGCAACTTTGGCTTGGGGTGTCAATTTACCGGCGCATACTGTGATTATCAAGGGGACTGACACTTATAATCCCGAAAAGGGTGCGTGGGTCCAGCTTTCACCTCAGGATATTTTGCAAATGTTAGGTCGTGCTGGTCGACCAAGATATGATAGCTCTGGTGAAGGTGTCATCATCACCGCCCAGGAGGAATTACAATACTACTTGGCAATATTGAACCAGCAACTTCCTATCGAGAGTCAGCTCATGAGCAGATTAGCCGATAATCTCAACGCTGAAGTCGTTTTAGGTTCGGTTACTTCTCGTGAGGATGCCATTGAGTGGCTTGGCCAGACATACTTATATATTCGGATGTTGTCTGCACCAAAACTCTATCAGGTGGGTACTGAATACGCTGACGATGGTGCCTTGTACTGGAAACGGGCTGATCTAGTGCATTCTGCCCTAGAGCTACTTCAGCAACATAAGCTTGTGATGTACGATGCGGAAACTGGTGATGTGCAACCAACCGAATTGGGAAAGATAGCGGCACATTTCTATATCAGCTATCCTACCATGGGAGCCTACAATACTGAGCTCAAACTGTGGATGTCTGAAATGGATGTCCTTCGGATATTTGCAGGCTCGGGAGAATTCAAGTACGTTCCAGTCAGACAAGAAGAAAAAATGGAGGTTTCAAAGCTCGCAGATAAATGCCCTATTCCAATCAAAGAAAATGCATCCGATCCTCTTGCCAAAATCAACGTTCTCCTTCAATCCTATATTTCAAGGTTGCGATTAGAAGGTTTTGCTTTGATGGCCGATATGGTTTATGTAACTCAATCCGCTGGTCGTCTTTTACGTGCAATTCACCAAATTTGTCTTAAGAAGAAGTGGGCGAGACTCACTTTGATCACTCTTGAGTTGTGCAAGTTTGTTGAGAGAAGGATGTGGAATACAAACTCACCATTCCGTCAATTCGGAGAGTTGGCATCTGCCGAAATTATCAGAGCTACTGAGGCTTCTCATTTACCATTCATCAGTTATTTCGACTTATCTGGAGCGGAACTTGCAGAAGCAATTAATTTCAAGGGACACAGTCAATTCGCTTTTCAATTGTTATCACAATTTCCAAAATTGATACTTGAATGTCAAGGTCAACCTGTTTCGCCAGATTTAATGAGAGTCCTGGTGGAAGTACAACCATCATGGGATTGGAATAAGAAAGTACACGGAGGCAGCGAGTCATTTTTGTTAACCTTGGAGGATAATGATGGAGAGATTATCCATTATGCAGATAATATGAAGATTACCTCTCAACAAGCCCATAAGACCGTTGAGATCGACTTCTTTGTTCCGATTGCTGATCCTTTGGCACCCGCCTACTATGTGACATTCACCAGTGAGAAATGGTTGAATTCACAATGGAGAATTCCAGTGAAGATGTTCAACATGAAGATCCCTAAGAAACCAAGTTCACCAACGGAACTCCTTGATGTACAAACAGTTCCAATCGAAGCATTGAAAAATGAGGTTATGTCCGCAACTTTTGATTTCTCGTACTTTAATGGATTGCAATCGCAGTGCTTCCGCAGTTTATGGGAAACGAGTCAGAATATCTTTATCGGAGCCCCAAAAGGAAGCGGCAAGACTGCTTGTGCTGAACTTGCTATTTTGAATGCTTGGAGATTAAACAAGCAGCGTATTTTGTACCTCCAACCTTCTCAAGAACTAGTGGATCGCCAATTGAAGATCTGGAAGAGAAAATTTTCCAGTTTGACCGAGCCTGCTAAGGTGATTTCTAAACTAACGGGAGACGCAACTGCGGATGCCAGAATCCTTTCGAGGAGTCACTTGGTCCTTGCGACTCCCTCACAGTTTGACGTCGTCTCTCGTCGTTGGAGACAGAGAAAAGCAATCCAAACCCTTGACTTAATAGTTGCTGACGACTTACAACTTCTTGGGTCTGGATTTTCTGGTGTAGCATATGAGGTCGTTCTCTCGAGATTGAGATTCATTGCTGCGCATCTTGAACGTGAGATTCGTTTTGTAGCACTTTCAATGCCACTCTTGTATGGCCGAGAAATTGGAGAATGGCTTGGCTGCTCAAAGTCTTCAATCTTCAATTTTAATCCATCAAAGCGGATTAGATCAATTCAGGAGATCAGATTACAACCATATTCTGACCTGAAGAATCTTAATACATTGGCACATTCATGTGCCGATTTCTTGAAGACTACAAGCTCGTGTTTAGTGTTCGTACCTACGCGAAACAACGGATTAGAGCTTGCCTCGAGACTTTTAGAACTTTCCAGCGTCAATTTTGTTAAGTATGAGGAGAGATTGGACTTATTGATTGAGAAAGTTGAAGATGCAACCTTAAAGCATACACTTCGGAAGGGTGTTGGCATTTATCAAGAGAATATGTCGATCCGAGATAAATTACTCACAGAGCGTGCATTCGAGCAAGGATTAATTCGTTTGCTAATCGCAACTAGAGCCACTGCAGTCTATGCTCCACATAGTACCAACGTGGTCATTTATGGTACTCAAGGCAATGAGATTCTCCAATCTTCTGACTATTCAATCACTGAGTTACTTGAAATGGTTGGTTGTTGCGAAAATGGAAACGTTTTGGCTTACGTATATGAGCCCAAGATTCCCCTTTACTCGAAATTTTTAAATTCTCCATTACCCTTGGAGAGTAACTTGAGTTTCAGCTTACATGATCCATTCATGCATGAGATAGCCGCCAGAACTTTCCGTTCACAACAAGATTGTGTTGACTGGATCACATTTACTCTCTTTTATCGCAGATTGGCCCAAAATCCGAGCTTCTACAGTCTCGTGGATGTGACTCATCTTGGAATATCGGAATACCTTTCGGACCTAGTGGAGAATACTTTGAACGACTTGAGTGAAGCAGGGCTCATTGAAATTGAGGACGAAAAGGACTCTGAGGAATCAGAGGAATTAGAGGAAGCTATCACCCCACTAAATGGAGCAATGATTTCCAGTCATTACGATGTCACCTACACCAGTATGAAGAACTTTGGCGAGTTGAGTGGCAAAGCGAGATTAAGAAACATTATCGAAGCTGTAACTTCAGCCGGAGAGTTCGATGATTTACCTGCTCGTGTTAATGAGTACAACACTCTTGCTAGCATTGCAAGTAAAGTGCCATTCAAACTTACGAGCGATAGCGATTTTGACTCTCCACACGTTAAAGCATTTTTGCTCTTGCAAGCACACTTGTCGAGAATCCCGGTGAAGGGAAGTTTGGAGAATGACCAACGTAAACTCCTTGGATCAGTGTTGAAACTTGTCAATGCTTGTGTTGATACTCTCTCTAGTGAGGGACACTTGAATGCTTTGACGGCCATGGATTTGTCGCAAATGATTGTACAAGGGATGTGGAACAAGGAAAGTCCTGTGAGACAAATCCCACATGTAAACGAACAGATGCTTCAAAGAGCCAAGAAGTACAATGTGGAGACCATTTATGATATCATGTCTCTTGAAGATGATGAAAGGGATGATTTCCTTCAATTGAGTGAGGTGGAGCTTCATGATGTGGCTGATTTTGTAAACAGTTTCCCCAACATCGATGTGCGTTACGAACTTGATGTGGAAAGCGGAGTTGTGGCCAACGAGCCTAAGTCAATCACGGTAATTATTGACAGAGACGAAGAGATGGATGATTTGACTGTTGCATCACTGCGGTTCCCATTTTCTAAAACAGAAGGATGGTGGATCGTGGTGGGAGACTCTGAGACCCGTCAACTTTATGCCATCAAAAAGACGCAGGTCAAGGATGAGACTCAGAGCATTACTCTAGAGTTTACAATTCCAAACCCTGGACATCATAAAATCACACTTTGGTGTATGTGTGATTCGTACATTGACGCTGACAAGGAAATGGAGTTCGAAGTTGATGTGGGGCCATAGTAAAGGAACGAGAATACATGATATGAAAACTGTAAACCAAAACAGTATTAAATCAACCCGTACAGATCGAGAATATTTCGATAAGAAAATGGAAGTAAAATTGTACAATTAACAATCGACTTTGTTATGTGTTTCGCCAAAGATAGTGAAAGAAGAAAGTTCAAGTTTCCTTCATAAATTGTGATTCACAAGTTAGATGTGTGGAATTTAAGCACCAAACCATAGTAATGTATTAGAACAAATGAACATTGCATTGAAGAAAAATTAAATAGATAAAATTCCACAGTGACTATGGAAGAAAGGAACATAATCAAAACCTCTGACTCACCAATTTATCTCAGCAGAACTTCTTGAGTCATGCAACCTGCCAATTAAGGCAAAACTCAAAACTCAAAAAATAAAACATAAAAAATGAAGTAGAAATAAAACTAAAACGCATTAACAACGCATCGAGATTTGTTTTGAAAAAATCTAAAGAGTTTCATTCTATTGGTTTGACTTTTACCTTCTTCTTCCAATCCAATGATTCATACTTTCCTATACACTACCTCACCTATTTAACTCGCCGAAGCAACTACCATTTCATTATCACTATGTCTACACATAACGTGCTAACGCCGTATATCAAACTGCTCTTCTTGGAGCCGCCAAACCTCACACCAAATGATTTGGCTACGGTCCTACGGTCTATTCTTAAGGGAATTCCCACGGATATCCAAACTGCCGCTTTTCTCACTGCTTTAAGAATGAGAGGTCTCGATCACGACCCTGAATTCATTGCCGCTGCTGTGCTGACTATCTTGGAGTTCTCTGACACAATTCACCCAGCTGGAGTGGATCCCCTGGGATACGTCGACATTGTGGGAACTGGAGGAGATGGCCAGAATACCTTCAACGTTTCGACTTCGGCCGCCATCGTAGCCGCTGGTATGGGCATTAATGTTTGCAAACACGGAGGAAAGGCTTCTACATCCACTTCTGGATCGGGTGACTTGCTCAAATCGCTTGGTGTGGACTTGAGTGTGGTAAATAAGGATACTGCTCCAGAAATCGTCAAGCAGCTGAAATTCTGCTTTCTTTTTGCTCCTGCTTTCCACCCAGGTATGGCAAAAGTGGCACACATCCGTGCTCAACTTGGAATCCCCACGATTTTCAATATTTTGGGCCCTCTCATGAACCCTATTCCTATTAGAGCTAGAATTTTGGGTGTTTACTCTGAAAAGTTGGGAGATGCATATGCTGAGGCTGCCGCTGCATTGGCCAAGCGTTCCACTACACACGAGAGAACCATGGTTGTCTGGGGTGAGATTGGACTTGATGAAATTTCCCCTATCGGTCTGACCAAGTGTTGGATTATTAATGAGGATGGCGAGATCTCCAAATTAACCATTTCTCCTAAAGATTTCAAATTGGCAGAGCACAGTTTAAGTCTTGTGAAGAGCGGAACTCCCGATGAGAATGCCGAGATATTGCTTCATATTTTGCGCCAGGACTCTCCAGAATTTGCTGTTAAACATATTGGCAGTCATCCATTGGTAGACTACATTGTAATGAATGCTGGTGCCTTGGCTGTGGTTGCTGGTCTTTGCAATTCATGGGAAAAGGGTGTGGATTTGGCACGTGAAGCTATCTTATCGGGTCTGGCGTTGAAGGCATTGGAGGATTTCCAGATTGCCACTTCGAATTGCCAGTAAGAGGGAAGTGTCTAAGGATGAGTATAATGGTTCCCAAAATCTGATAATTTGCTCATCTATTTTTATTCTAGGTGTACCTGAGTTTACATTTTAAAACCAGGGAATCGTGTGCCTAATTATCTCTCCACTTAATTTCAACTTGGTGAGTAATGCTGGACTTCCAACTTGGTCTTCGTATTGTTCCCCATCTCAGGTTGATCGCGTCCTGCACAAAACGCAATCTGACCGCGACACAAACAAACATAAATTATACTAGACAAATACATTTATACTGGACAAGTAAAGAAAGAACATCTCAATGTTCGCCTTGAGCAACTTGGTGGGTACTCCCCGACCCAGCGGATCCGCACTCGAGTTCACCCCCATTGGTCGGCGTAGAGACGGTTCCTCGCGGAATAAATCGTCGCCTGTACCTCAAAGAATGACACTCAACAACGAGAAAATCAACAATACGCTAGTGGAGTCTACATTTGATAATACCACAGAACATTTTGACACCTTGCAGTCGCTAGGAAATGAGGGGCTTATAGGCAAAACCCACCAGAACTTCAAAGGATTCGATCTGGGAGGAATGTTCGATAGTACTTTCAAATCACGCCTGGCAATTGTCAACGATGGCTCAAATTCGATCCAAGATCTTCAGAATGAGAATAAAGAACTTCAGGCGGAGAATTACAACTTGAAAATCGAGGTAGCCACGCTAACAAAGTATTTGAAGCAGACTCCAGAGGAAAACAGAAACTTGGCCTACGAGAACGTCGAGTTGAAACAGCAGTTGATGAAGGCTATGAACGAACTCGACGGCAAAGCGTCTTCAACAGCACTGGATCTGGCTGAAAGCTTGAACTCAATGCGTGCGCTGTATAAGGAGATCATAGAAGAAAAGGACCATGACATTCATCAACTTCAGCTAAAAAATTCCGAGTTGATGCAACAAATAAGAAACACTTCTGCAAGTGACGAGCTATTGAATAAAATGGAGTTTTTACAAACTGAAAACCAGACACTTAGACGCAGGTTGGATGATGTATCCAATAATGATGTTGATATGGCTGCTGTCCACGAGGAAAACAATGATTTGAAATCAAAGTTGTCCAATCTTGAGCGCAAGTTAGCCCTGATCCCGCTAGATACTTCTGCAAAAGTGCAGAATTTGAGTGAAGAGAACCAGTTTCTCGAGAAAAAAATCGAATCAATCCAACAAGAACTCAAAGATGCCGAACGCGAGCAAAGTTCTATGGAGTCAGCAATCAGGCAACTACGCTCTGAATTGGAAGATAAAGAGGACGAAGTACTGCGCCTACGCCTGGAATATAAAGACGTCCAAACTCGATCAGTGGACGCTTCAAAGTCGAATTTGAGATTGCAGGAGGCAACACAAGAGTCACTCGAGTTGAAATCCAAGTTGAGACGTCTAGAGACTCAAACCAGAGATGAGCTCGCAGACAAAGAGGCCCAGTTACACAGACTTGAGAATAAGGTCAGATCCCTAACGAAAGAGCTCCACACGAAGGAAAGTTATGAGTCTGAACTTCGAAATCAAGTTCAGTCATTATTGGTGGAAAAAAACTCTGCATTTGACAATCAAAGTCTTCTCAAGCATTATCAATCGCAGATCGAAACATTGCAGAATAAGGAATCGGCATTAACTGATGCCAACAATGAACTTAAAGATGAGATTGCCAAGCTTCAAGATGAACTTTATTCAATGAGCTCAGAATCGGATCGAGCTGCAAAGTTGAAGGAAGAAATTCACGAGTTGGAGAACAAGCTTGATTTCTACGAAAAAGAGTATAGTCTTCTACAAGATGCTTTGGAGAACGCAGAGTTGGAGTCCGAATCGCTTAAAGCGAAGGAAAGAGGGTCTGATAGGAAAGTGCATGATTTGAACAGGGAGATCGACAATTTGACTTCAAAACTTCGGCGAACAGAACTCTCAGAATCTCAAAAATACAATGAGTCGGCATTATTTGAACTTGAGTCAGTTCACAAGAAGCGCGAGGATGCTGAGAGATCGCGTCTCGAACTCCAAATTGATACTTTAAACGAACAAATTCGGAAGCTTCAAGAAGAGCTCCGCCGTTCTAAATCCTCTGAGCCGTCTACTGGTGAGGAGTACCACAAATATCTCAGAGAGCGCAGCAAGTTGCAAATGGAGCTTGATGACAAAGACTTACAACTAGAAGAACAAAGAAGAAAGTACTCTAAACTTGAGAATATGATAAAGGATAAGGACTCTCTCGTTGAAGCATTGGAGTCCAGAATTAGAGACCTCAATAGAGACTACAGGTCTAATGCTTTCACGGAAGATTCAAATAAGTCTGAAATTTACAAGATCAAATCTGATTTTGAGTTCCGCTTACGCACCCTTCAGAATGAGAACGACAAGTTGCAAAGAGACTTAGAAGACCAAATCAGGTACTACCAAACCAAACTTGATGTTTTCATGGAGCGGGAAAGATATGATTCAGTCTCCAACAACTCTTCATCATCAATGGTTGCCTTGCTTGAGAGTCAATTAGAAGAAGTTCGTCGTCTGAATAAAGAACTTTCTGATAAGCTAACACTTGCACAAACATTCAACAAGTCAGAGTCTGATCAATTGCTGAGCGAATACCGAACTAAGCTTCTGGATCTTCAAGCGAAGCTTGTGCAAGCTCAGGCTGACAAACTGCAGCTCCAGGAAACAGTTGACGCTTTGGAATTGGATACTAAGATTCTCAGATCGGATAAGAATAGACTTGAAATGAGATCGAGAAACTTAAACCAGGAACTCAGCAGAGCTTCTAAACATTGCACTAAGCTTGCCAGCAAACTTAATGACATGACCATGATGGAGTCAAAAAATTTAAACAAAAACTCCGACGAAATCTTGCGTTTGAGAAGGGCCAACGTTCAACTTCAAGGTCAGATTGATCAGCTAAATTCCAAGTTGACGTCTGCCAAGTTTGCGTCGCTGGCGAAAGGTGATAATAGATCATCTGCCGAAACCCGACTCTTGAGAAACGAGCTTCACTACTATAAGGCGAAGCTCTTTGATTTGAATATGCGGGCCAATGACTTGGCAGTGATGAACAGTTTTGTGATGTCGTCCATCAAGAACTCTAACCAGATGATCAAGAACGACATTGTGAAGCTCACACAATGTGGAATCTACCCTGATTATGCCGAAATGAAACGCAAGCAAGGAGGAGAGAAAATCACCTTCAAAGTGTTGGCGACGTTTGTGTTGAGTATGGTGCGTCTCAAAAATCGTCTCGAGAAGGCGGAAGACCGGCGTGCCAAGATGCAACATCTCAGGGGAGAAATAGACAGGGATAAAATTACTTTACTAGCAGAGTGAGCACTGCTGATATGTATTATTAATGATATAAGGGATGCGATGGAGTTTGAATGACATTATTTTGTATTCTATCTCACAATTCGAGTAATCGGAGTCTGGAACTTATCCTGAGAGGGTTGGCGAGTTCTTCCAACTCTGGGAGTTTGTATTATCGCCGGGTTCAGCTGGTTGACTTGAGTGGTGCTATTAGAACGTAGCTTTATGTTGCTGAATGTATGATGAGTGGGAAAGTCAGACGAGGTATTGAGCCAATTATCATCATGAGTGAGCGACACTTCTGAAACATCAGGATTTAGTTTTGTCAACTCGGTATTATATCCATTGGAAAGAAAATCTCCAATGCTGACATCGGCATCGTCAACTTGATCGAAATGTAGTGAGTTTAAAATGGTACCATCAGGTAACCTCTTAGTAAGTGGTGAGATTCTCAAGCTATCGACGTTGAGATCACTCCAAGCCTTCAGCTTGAGCGAGTTCTTATTCTTGTACAATCTGGCACCAAAGGTTGACGAGTTGAGGGGTATGGCACCATCTTCATCTTCTTCAAATAGAAATTGAGGGAATACATTGGCTGTGGCCTCCATTAGAGTTGTGGTATCGATATCATCATACAGTATGTAATAATCCTTCCACTCATCTATATACTGGGCCTGGTTGTCGTTGCTAAAGTGAACATATCCGTAGGAAGAGTCAGACATGATGATAAACGATTTTGTAGATTGTGGATACTACCTCTGAGGATGTTGATGTACTGTGTGCGACACTACCAATGAATCTATTATTACAATATTCAAGCGCCCACCTCACACAAATTCTCAAATAATGTGGGTTTTGGCTCCAAATTTTTCTGTTCATACTCAGAAGTCTTCACCATCTTGATTGTTCCGGTACCAATGCTCATGGTCTGTCCCAAAATGATACACTCCGAAACTCCCTCTATCTTATCGTTCTTCATGAAAAATGCGGCGTCGAACAAGTGGTCGGTCGTCTTTTCGAACGATGCAAGCTGCAACACCGAATCTCTCATTTTACTCAAACCAAATCTGGTGATTCCAAGTACTTCTCCCTTATAAGTCATCACGTCTCCCAATAGCTGGATATGACGAGGATCCACACTCATTCCGTGCTTACTCATGGTGTAGTCAATTTCTCCAATGATCGATGATCTAGCGGCTTCAATACCCAACACCTGGTACACTTCGAGAATGTGGTTAGTGCTGGTCTTAGTGCCCACCACACCATCAGTGCTCATGACTTCCTTTAATCCGTATCCTTCTACCAATAATTCCTTCTTGTTGTCATCTCTGATGTTAATAACTGCTCTTGAAATGTTTGGAAGACCCTTGATCACGACATCAGGCAATGACCGCTTCAAGTGTTGCATTCTAAAGAACAAAGCGTTGTTAGTATCACTCAGTTTATAGTCTGAAGCAGCAGTACGAGCCAAACTCTCTGATTTTGTCTCCCTCAAAGTCACCAAAACATTGACACGGTCTCTGCCATAAACAGATACTTCATTGTTTAAAATCTTCAACTTAGGTGCGTTAGCAATGGCCTGGCGGATGTTGTCCAAAGTCAACTCCAACTGCAATCTCTCAATGGTCCTTAAATCGATCTTGATAGACAAGTAAGCCATGTCGTTCTTATACACATCCTCAATGAAGTATGCAACATCCTTCAACATTGTCTTTTCAATTCTTCCCTTCACCACACGTGCAGCAAGCTCATCTTCATCATTGACCAATACAGAGTTGATGATAGGGGTGGAAATGACCTTCGCAGCATTAATGATTTCCTTGATACGAGGAACACCCAACGTGACATTCATAGAAGCAACACCAGCAAAGTGGAAAGTCTTCAAGGTCATCTGGGTACCTGGTTCACCGATGGAATGAGCACCAATAGCTCCGACAGCAGTTCCTGGCTCGACCTTGGCTCTCAAATACTTGTAGAGACACTGCTCCAAGAACTTGTGAACGGACTTCCTGGAGATTTTCAATAATTGGTTGACAGCATTTTCGCTCAACTCGTCCTCTTCAAGAACCATCCCATCGTCCTCTTCAATCTTAGTGAGATAAGGTCGAAGGTTCCTATTGTTTCTGTAGTTTGCAAGTTGTGTGGCTTTCTTACCAACATAGTCGCGAATCGACTTGTAAAATGCTCTTTCGGCATCCTTCTGGTCAATAAATTCGATTCTGTCTCCCATTTCACCCTCAATAACGTTGCCCAAGTTGTCATATCTGATTAGCTTCTCTTCAAGAGGCTGCAAAACCGATTCCACAACGTCCATAATCTGATATGGATACAAACCTCTATCCTTGATGTTGAATGTGATGTTAAATGCATGATCCCATTGACGGTCAAAGTTAACAGGTTTGGCATCTCCCTCCATATCCAATGGGTCCAACCCATCTCCTCCGTAAGTGAACTGGACAATACCATTGGAAGAGTTTCTAACAGTATTATCGTACAGCGACGACAAATCTTCAAGGGACTTCATAAGACGTCTAGACATGTAACCGGTTTCTGCAGTCTTCACAGCAGTATCAACCAAACCTTCTCTTCCCGAAATAGCGTGGAACAAGAATTCTGGGGGAGTCAAACCACTATAGAAAGAATTTCTGACGAAACCCTTCGACTGTGGTGTCTTGGAATTCTTTGTGAAGTGTGGCAAAGATCTGTCTTGAAATCCATCGGGGACACGATTACCCGAGATAATTTGCTGTCCGACAACTGCCACCATCTGCGACACGTTCAAGGTGGAACCTTTGGAACCACAGGTGGCCATGATCAATGGAGCATTAAGGTTATCTAACTCATTAATACACACATCACCAACTTCTTCTCTGACTTTCGAAAGCAAACCACCAATTTTGGCTTCCAAAGTCTGTTCCTCGTTACAACCTGGTTGAGTTTCCAACCTTCCTCTGTTGTACAAGTCAATCAATTCGTCACACTTTGCGTATGCCGCCTCAACCATCATTTCCTTTTTATTCTTCAAATCGGCACCAGGGGTGACATCATTAATACCAATAGAAAAGCCTCGGTTACCCAAAAATCTAGCACAAAGCTTTGCCATTCTGTTCATGGCAGTAGCTGCCTCATCGGGTCCATAGTCTCGGAGAATAGTATAAAAGACAGAATGTTTCTTACCATCACCTAATGTCGATTTATCCATCACTCCACTCAAAATTTGAGAACCACGAATGATCACAAATCCGTCGTTAGGCGACATCTCATTAGGCAAGCCCTTCGCTGGGGGAGTAAAGGTCTTGTTTTTAGCGTCGACGTTAATGACTACCTTCGATTTCTTGTTTGGCTTTATGAGCAACGAAAACACTTGCTTACCGGTCCACAACATAACTGGCCTGAAAATAGCAGGAGGAGGAATTTCAAATTGCAAATCCGCATCTGACATCATACACAACAACTGGACCAAAGAAGCACGGTCAAAGAAACTGTCTTTGTGGGAAATCAAGTAGGAGCCAGTGATGAAATCCTGGGTGGCAGCAATGATTGGCTCACCAGATTTGGGAGTCAACAAATTATTTTTCACACCCATCAAGTTTATGGCCTCTGCTCTTGCTTCCTCTGTCTGAGGAACATGCAAGTTCATTTCGTCACCGTCGAAATCAGCGTTGTAAGGAGTACAAACACACTCATTAAGTCTGAAGGTTCTCCAAGGTCTGATCTTGGCATAGTGCGATAAGATAGACAATCTGTGCAACGAAGGTTGTCTGTTGAAAAGAACAACATCACCATCCTCAATGTGTCTCTCAACCACATCACCAATGCGCAATGACTTAGCCATTTTCTCTTTATCAGCAAAACGCAAGTTTCTCTTTCCAACTTCGTTTTGTTTGACCACGTAGTTCGCACCTGGATGCTGATCAGGACCATTTAAAATCAATCTCTGAAGTTTCTGACGATTATAACGAGTACACTTTTCTGGGTAGGTCAAGATCTTGGCAACACGGTCAGGCACCGCCACTTCATCAATTTTTAAGTTAGGATCAGGGGAAATGACAGTTCTTCCGGAGAAATCCACTCTCTTACCGGATAAATTACCTCTGAATCGACCCTGTTTACCCTTCAATCTTTGGCAGAAACCTCGAATTGGCTTACTGCTCTTAGAACCTCCACCAGAGCCCATACCTCCCGGAAGAAGCGCTGGGTTGGCAGAATCGGAGTTGATGTACATGGCCACAGATAACTGGAGGTAATCCCATTGTTCCATCATGTTATTCACGGAGATACCCTTCTCGATACCTGCCTTGATAAGTGAGGACGTCCAAACGATTTCCGTCAATTTCACAGTCAAGTCATCTTCATTGGACTGACTATCCATCATCACGGATGGACGGATACAAACAGGGGGTGCTGGTAAATATCTCCAAATGTACATTTCAGGTCTTCCCCCTCTTGCGGCATCAATACCGAACAACTCACAGTCAAGCGGTGAGATTTGGCGAAACAAGTTCAAAACCCTAAGTGGATTCAAGTCCTCGTGAACACGCTTGGCGAACTTTTCGAGCTCTGGGTTTCTTGAGAAGACCTCATCGAACTCTTTTTCCCAGTACTCCTTCTCAGGTGTGGGCTTCTTTCCCACGAAACGAAATGTGTCATGAACAATCTTCAAAGCTGCAGGGCCAGCACCACTAGCCGCCTTTTTGACCACACCGTTCAAGTGATTACATTTGAGACACCTTCTCTGTTTCTTACATTGCTCCACAACTTTCTTTAAGATCTTCATGCGGCGCAAGTTGTCAATGTTTGGTCTTCTTAATTCTGCCAAGAAACTTCTCTTGGTCTGCTCATCTAACAAGAGAGCACCACAGTTCTTACAGATGCACTGGAGAACCAGAATAATTGCCTTGAAGTAACCCACATGAAATACAGGCAACGCCAAACGCACATGGCCAAAGTGACCGTGACATGTAGCCAATGTGCCGTGACAGGTGGAGCACTCCACAGCATTGGAAGAGGTACCCATTTTGGTATCTAAAGCACCACCTTCCCTCACAGCTCTACCTTTCTCCAAGTCATACAAGTCTCGAGTGGTGACCTCGACCTCGGACTGGGCGACGATGTCGCTTGCCGAGAGGGCGCTGAACTCTAGGCCCTTAATGCACTTTGGGGCCACGTCGACAACCACCTCTTTCATGATGATTGGAGAACTTTAGGGTAGTGATGATCTGTGAGAAGAGTAAATTTTTGGATTTGATCACGTGACTTGTAAATATAGACGGATGAGACTTCAGCTATTAATTTGAGGATGATGTAGTATAGTCACTGAGTAGATAGTAGAAACTCATATTATATTTTTTATTAATCTTTTCCTTCTTTCTACTTTTGGTGTGATTACTTATTGTCTACCTTCACATAATGACTCATATGAATACTGGAGAGATCCCAGGGCTGCGACAGACGAAACAAGGATGATTAATTTAAAGGATAGAGGCAATTCAAAAAAAGAAAAAAAAGCAAACGAGCTGTTCAAAGTAGTTATGATTATTCTTAATTTCTAAATTGACGACTTGTATATCATACTTGTTGTCGTATTTGAATGTTTCAATTCATCTTAAGAATGCGCTATGGAGGAACTGAGAACTGATTTACATGTACAGAACATGAAGGCAAACCGAAACTAAAGAAGAAGAAAAAGATAAATACCAGTAAATTGCATTCCTATTTCCTATGGAATCAATTAAAACTTTCCAATCTTCAATTTGCCACTACATTATTCCGATATATAATTCCTTATATGTCCAATTCTTCCTAATATAACCCTCCTGCACACCACCTCCCAAAGGCAAGTTGGCGATCTCCACTAACTACTACTCATAATTTATAATGGCAGAAAAAGAAGAAGACAAGGTAATCAAGACGTTAGAAGAAGACGACGAATTTGAGGACTTCCCTGAAGACTCCAATTGGTCCAACGACTCAAACCTGCAGCAGAACTCTGCACATTTGTGGGAGGAAGATTGGGACGATGACGACGCCAAGGATGAGTTCAGTGAGAAGTTAAGAGAGGAGTTGAAGAAGGCGCAGAAATAGGGCTGGAAATAAAGAGCACATTTGGAATTTGTAGAAGGTTGCGAGTCTGGATGATGGTGATTGGTTGAATCGACAGGTTGAATCAACTACTCAACAACAACGTGTCTGCAAATTCAACGATAATATGGCTGGATGCCCACTGGCTAGATTTTATGATGACGAAGATTTGTTTATTACTTCGTCATTATTCTCATTGATTTGAGCAACCTGTGCTTCTGGCTTTTTCACTTTCCTTACAATCTGCAACTTATATAGATGATACTTTTTTGAAATCATAGAAAATGAAGCAAAAGATAAAAAATAATAGCTGTAGCTGTAAACAAGATACATTACCACGGCCTCCTTGTGTTAATGACGTAGCAAACAATGGTCGGTATCGATTCTACTTGTCCTACACTCACACTGACACTTCATCTACTCATCTATCCACATCCACACCACTCTAACTATGCATAGAAATTCACCGACTTGGACTTCCGGGCTTGCACCTCTCCAATGGCCTCCACAAAGTCTTCATGTTTGATGACAGACTTGCCGTTACGTAACGCAATCATACCAGCCTCGACTGTGACTGCTTTCAACTGTGCACCATTGAACTCATCTGTGGACCGGGCCAACTCACGCCAGTTGATCGACAGGTGGTCACAATTAAGCTTACGGGCATGAATCTTCAACACAGATTCACGGGCCTCTTCAGATGGCAATGGGAACTCGATTTTACGATCCAAACGACCCGAACGCAACAATGCGGGATCTAATGTATCCACACGATTAGTAGCAGCCAAAACTTTCACTCTGTCGTCAGAACCAAAACCGTCAAGCTGGTTCAAAAGCTCAAGCATGGTACGTTGCACCTCACGGTCACCGGACTTGTCCGAGTCGAAACGTTTCGTTCCAATGGCATCCAACTCGTCTATGAAGATGATGGTGGGAGCTTTTTCCTTGGCCAAGGCAAATGCATCTCTCACAAGTTTGGCACCATCTCCGATAAACATCTGAACCAATTGTGGAGCAGCCAACTTTAAGAAAGTAGCACCTGACTGAGCGGCACATGCACGCGCAAGAAGTGTTTTACCCGTACCTGGCGGGCCATACATCAAGGCACCCTTTGGAGGTTTAACACCAAGAGTCTTGAACTTATCTGCCTGTTTCATTGGCAAAACCACCGCTTCAATCAATTCTTCAATCTGTTTATCCAATCCTCCGATATCCGAGTAATTCTCTGTTGGTTTCTCGTCAACTTCCATGGCCTTAACTCTGGAATCGTACTCTGAGGGCAAGGTGTCCAAAATCAAGTACGAATCCTTGTTGACACCAATCAAGTCATTAGGCTTCAATGTAGCCGCGTCCACAAGGCCTATGAGCGGCAAGAAGATAGTCTGGCGGGTCAGGGTCTTAACGACAGCCAGTTTCCCCAGTCTAGCTGCATCGACGTCAACATTGGCTCCTTGTTCTAGCGCATCCTTATCGGCGTCGAAATCCAAGAGTTCCACGACGTTTCCAACCAAATACGGCAATTGTTTATTGTTGTTGATTTTCTCCTGGTTGTCCTTGATGCGTTCGGTCATAACAGCCTTCTCGTGTGAAAGTCGTTGACTTTCCGAGAACATCACTTGGATATCGTTGTGGAGGAGTTTTGTTCTGTTGATGATGTCCTGTGTGGACGACGAGGTGATTTCCTGGTCAATGAGCTCGTCCTGTTCCAATTCTTCTAAAGTTGCCATGGTCAATGTCAAGAAAGGTAGTATGTTGAACTTGCAGATCGAATATGGAGGTGGTTGCCACTGGTGCGCGCACGACTTCTGGGGGTTGAATGATTCAAGTGGGAATCAAGTATATTAAGAGGTATTTGGGAAGAATAATGTGTTGTTATTCTTTCTGTTATTATTTTTGAAGATATTGGTTTAGTTTTGTGTAGTAGGGATGAATCGTTGAGGTTGATTATATGGTTCAGACTAGTGAGATAATGAGGACAGTGAGATTTGGATGCAAAATATTAGATGAGATTGGTCTCAGATATACTTTTAGATTTACTAGATTTTTAAATTTTTTCTGGGTATAGAATTCGACAACATAATAATCGACTTTTTTGCCATCTTTGATACATTTGAGGACGACGAGTTTCCACTTTGGCCATTACCACCAAATGCGCACATGGCATTGACCATCAAACACTAATAGATACCCATATAGAGTTAATGAAAAGGGGCAATTTGTCTCGCCCCCTGAATATGAGATTCCAGATATTAAATTTTCCTGCTCTATTTTCCTCGATCTTCTTTCTGTCACGTCTCTCTTTCTTCCTCTAATACCCGCTGATCCCTGTCACATTCATCTATGTAACACTATCCAACCTTTTACTTTCATGAAACTGCACTTTTTGACCCAATATAAACTTAAGTGGTCAAATTTCCACTTTTACTGCCAGGAACAATAATTTCACTTTTCTTATCACCTTCGTTACTGTCACTTTCTTTCAGTCAGTTGTAGAAACATCATTTCCATATACAGGCAACCTGAAACCACGAGTCAACCACTACTCCAAACATTGACATCGTCCAGATATGTACCTGCCGAGTCAAAATGGCGGCAGTCCGTCCAAGTTCGAGTACAGCGTCAATCTGTCGTTCAATTTTGGCAGCAATTCCTTGCCAAATAATTACAAACCACCGCTAGAAACTATTCCGTCTGAACGAGCAGTTCTGAATCCATTTGTTCCATCGAAAGCGCCAGTAACGCCTCCTCTGTCACCGGTGAATGAGTCTAAATTCCAACAGACTATCCCCGTTTTAGTCTCCTTTCCTTTGTTGGTGTTGGCTGCTGATTTTGCCCTTTCTTCATCTGCAGAATCAGATTGGGCTGCTAGGATCTTGATGCTGACCTTTCAGGCATGTGTGGTCCTTGCCGTTGCCCGTTATGCTACTAAACAAGAGTCGGTAGAGACTTTTAACAGTATGAACTCTTTGAATACTGTGGGAGGCTTGCTCATGTTCTTCGTCGCCTGTCTGCTCTTACCTGCTGCCAGAGTCGCTACAGTCTATTTCTGTCTCTATTTGAATGCTTTCAATCCGTATACTGGTGTTATCTTTCTATGCGACTTATTTTACCACTATGGCGATTCCTGGGTCGACATTTGTGGTGTGTTGGTGGGCTACGTTGCTATTGTTGCTTCATTTTTCGTCTTGAGATTCATGATCGTAACCAAAGGTGCTCTAAAGGCGAATCCGTTTGTCATATATGGAGGAATGGCTCTTACCGGTGTGGTTTTGGTAGCTTGCCGTTGGGACCAGGTCAAGTTGCCACTCTGGGGTATGAATTTAGCCACGGTAGTGCTACTTTTGTTCTCATTACCTGAGGCACATCTCAAATCCCACGTTAACGTGTTTACCGTGTCGCTCTTCACATATTGTCTCCAGACTTTTATTCTCAAGACTCAGTCGTTATCGTTTTTGGATGCTGTGGCTTCCGTGTTGCTTCCTCTCTTCATCAAGATTGACCATTCAGAAGATTTCAAATTTCTTCCCAACGAAGAATCCCATGAGAACCCACGCATCTTCACCGAAGTGATGAAACATTCAGACACTAGAGCAATTTTCAACTTTCTCTTGCTCAATACCTCTTTCATGTTCGTGCAACTTCTTTATTCTTTCCGCTCAAAATCACTTGGTTTACTCTCAGATTCGTTGCACATGGCACTTGATTGTGCATCATTAGCCCTTGGGCTCATTGCCGGTGTATTGCTGAAGCATCCCGTCAATTCCAGTGGAAAGTATCCCTTTGGATTGAGAAATTTCGAGATCTTGGCTGGTTTTGCGAATGGAACTTTACTTGTGGGTATCTCAGGCAGTATCATTTTCGAAGCTTTTGGAAGGTTATTCAATCCAGTTTCTTTGCAGCAGACAACTGAGTTAATTGTTGTTTCCATTTTGGGACTCTTGGTCAACGTGGTGGGAATCTTTGCTTTTAATCATGGCCACTCTCATGGACATTCTCATGGCCATTCCCATGGACACTCGCATTCACATGCGCCAGCAGTTGAAGAGTCACACTCACATAGTCACAGCCACAAAGAAGCAGCTCACAGCCACGCTCACGAGGATGGATCTAGTCACGAACAAGATGAAACCTCTGAAACTAAAAGTCACTCACAAGATTGTGATGAAACCATGAATGACAACATGAGAGGTATCTTCTTGCACATTCTTGCAGATACTTTGGGATCAGTAGGAGTGGTCATTTCGACAATACTTACTAAAGTTTTTGGCTGGCAAGGCTTCGATCCTGTGGCATCTATCATCATTGCTGTATTGATTTTCATGACCGCAATTCCATTGATGAAATCCACAGCTTCCACACTTCTACTCCGCTTGAATTCCACTAAAGAGTCAACTATCAGATCTGCGCTTAACGATATCACTACCATTCGAGGTATTAAGTCGTTCACCACTCCAAGGTTCTGGCCAACAGACAAGACCCTTCGAGGCTACATTCATATTCAAATTTACAGAGGAGAGAATAGTGTTTATCTCAAACGGCAGTGTGAGGATGTTTTCTCCAAACATAATGTCAATGTGACAATACAGATGGAAAATGACTACGATCCATGTTGGTGTCGATCATGAATACATCAATACATGAGTTGGTCAGCACATCAGCCTGGAGCTTGTAGTTTTGTGTATCGCACGACTCATCTACCTCACCTTCATTACTCATGCGATACTCATCACAACTCTCATCCTTCATCAATTATACTCTAACATTAATATGTCACGTGTTGGAGTTCTCGTGTTAGGTCCTGCTGGAGCAGGGAAATCGACTTTTTGCAATTCCATTATTGCACACATGCAGTCGATTGGAAGACGAGCTCACATTGTCAACTTGGATCCTGCTGCTGAACCTACCGAATTTGAGTTCACCATAGATATTCGTGACTTAATCTCTCTTCAGGATGTTATGGAAGAGATGGATTTGGGTCCTAACGGAGCGTTGGTGTACTGCTTTGAGTATCTTTTGAATAATTTGGATTGGCTTGATGAGGAAATCGGAGATTTCAACGATGAGTATTTGATCTTCGATTGCCCTGGTCAAATCGAGTTGTATACGCATGTTCCTGTTTTGCCCACAATTGTTCGTCATTTACAGACTTCGTTGAACTTCAATCTATGTGCCACATATTTGTTAGAGGCTCCATTTGTCGTTGACAGATCAAAATTCTTCAGTGGCGCTTTAAGTGCCATGTCTGCCATGATTTTACTTGAGTTGCCGCACATTAACATTCTCTCCAAGACTGACTTAATCAAGAGTGAAGTTTCTAAAAAGCAGTTGAAGCGGTTCTTGAATCCTGACCCGTTGGTATTGGAATCGGACCCTGACAAGCTGCTTAATCCCCGTTTCACAAAGCTTAACAAGGCAATTGCGCAATTGGTGGACGATTTCGGTATGGTACAGTTCCTACCTCTAGATTGCCTGAAGGACAGCAACTCTGTGGCTACGATTTTGAGTTATATTGATGATGTTACACAATGGTCAGAGAGTCAGGAGCCTAAAGAGCCTGTGGATGAGTTAGAGATAGAGGAGGAGGACTAAGTCAAGAACTGCATAGACTGGTGCCAACCACTTTTCTGTGGATCGTGGTACCTTGAAAAAAATTAGTTCGGTGGAAGTGCGGCTCGAGTTATGCCGGGCGGAAATCGCAAGTTTCTACGCTGAACTACCTATTAGGCGACGTTCCACGAGAAGAACTACCAAACTGGCCGAGGGTTCATTCGAGAGAATGAAAGCCGAAGTATTTACTGTCAAAGAATGCATAGCAGTTGCAGACCCGAGGGGACAATTCATTCATAAATCGCCTTGGTCTTGTGGGCTCGACTCGGCATACCGCTTCAACTCAGTCCTATTCCCCGTTAATTCGCAAGCAGATATGTGATGATAAGAAAGTTATGAGATTTCTCGTCTACGTTTGCGTTTGTTTCGAATTCCAGGTCACATCCTGTTCCGAAAGAACCAGTGCAGTTCTTCTAAGTAACGGGTTACGATGAATACGAGGAAGCACAAACCCCAACATAATCGAGGCTTCTCTGTAACAATTCCGAAGTTCTTTCAGACCATATACGACTCTTTAGTATATATAACGTAATTCGCCATCCATGCAAGAGCCGGAGAGTAGTAGGCGCTATTGCAGTGTCGCGCAGGATACATTGCAGGGAGCCTTCACGTAGAAAATACCGGACAATGCATGATTGTGTATCACAACTCAGTGTTCGGATAATCTCTTAGATTTATACGTAGACCACTAAAGTCAGTGGAGAAACAGAATTCGGGAAAGCTCGCTTCTGACATCACAAGAGGGGGGGAGTTCCGGGCACAGTTGCCTTACATCGAATACTCTTACTATCTTTTGCTGCCCCGCTAATTCCTGTCAATAGTGGTTTCTGCTTTTCAGAAGCACATAACCTTGGGACCCTGTGCCAAACAACCCAACACTAGCAATACACTTTAAACGTTGCGGGATGAAGTGTCAGAGTCACGGGACTCAATTATTTCAAGCACTCGGTGGTAAAACAAAAACAATAGAACATTATCGAGGTGCAGATGTGCTAATCGACTAGCGTGAGTGAAATGAACATCATCTGGATTGGCAAATCTCTTGATATGGTTTCGGACTTCGATTGCTACGTCTTGCTCATGCGAGCGATTCCTTCGGTGCTCTTCAAATGGTAATGCACAACAGGATAAAGTCCTTCGTCTGAACCTCTACACAGTCTTGAACACTGTGATGTCACTCGATCTACCGAGAGATGATGGGCAGTGATCGTCAGAAAATATCTGCAAGGGGATTCTATTTTTTTCTGGATCTGAGCAACAGTTACGCGCATCACCTCCTAAATTATTGCTGCCAGGAAGAGAAAATGCACTTTAGCCTGTGACACCGTCTCCACCTTTTGGCTTATTAGCAACCTGCAACACGAGGAAAAGAAATGAGCATTGGTGCGTTCCACTCAGGTACCATCATGTGAAGTCTAGCCCTGATTGACCTGTTCGTTATAGTTCAAGCCATAAACCTTATTAGCTCCGTCTATACATGATATGGAATTCCGGTTGCAATGAAGCCATGGGGGGTCCTTCCTAATTGGGCTCCTTGCCAGGTACATATTAAGCAAAATGGATTATGAGATCTTTAGTGAAGTCTAACTTGCTATGAAATCAGGCCATTTTGTTGCCTACATCCAACGTAGTTGCCCCTTCACCAATAAACAAAGTAGTATTAGGTTCTGTTAAGTTGATGCGGGGCTGGTGATTTTGCAGGGGACTGACTTTAAGGTCTATGCTAGCTGTTTGCTACGTGCTTCACCTGTGGTCATTCTTGTCGTGTAGTTAATCCAGGGTGTGCTGAGCGCTGTCTAATGTTTCCTAACTAGTTATTGACGTATTTTTTGGCGAAGCCTATCCTGTGATGCAAGTGGTCTGAGGTAGGACCTCCCCCAATGACTTCACCATGACATCTCCGAAGTTAGGGTTTAAATTCACTTAGCAGAGGCTTATCAGCGGTAACCAGTATCTGCAATATTCCCTCAATTGTTAAGCTTAATTTGTCCCGTGATTTTCATATATGTATTGCGATCTCCACATATGACTTTGATGACGTTTCCCAGAAACCTTTATCCCGTAGGACGACTTGTTTACTTTTGAAGTAGGAGTAATTTTTTCTAGACAAGGTTTTTCGATAATCTTGTGATTATTCTTTGAGTAATTTATGAGTTCAAACATGTTGTCCAGCTTTCCGTGAATCTTCGTCGTGAAGATGTATACAAATTTTTATTAACAAAGGCAAATCTGGTGTGATGAAATCTTTCTTATTCCATTTATTGCAATGATCCAAGGGAGTTACTTACTGATTTTATTATTCTCGGGCAGTTCTTCCCCGTTTACCCTGCTGATTCACTCAACTGCGTCTTGTACACGATGGTAATACTTCCATTTACTGTCATTTGCAGAGCTGTTGCTACCATTCAAAGTCGTATATACTACCAGCCCAATCATATCTACTTTCAAGCCGATTTCCGAACTCCTCATGTCAATCTCTTTGATTTCTTCAAATCATTTATCTAATTTCCAATCGCACTGGACATCAACATTGAAAATTCCCTAGCCAAAGTCATCAGATTCGAGAATTTTGGAAGGTCGAAACTAACCTGACTCATCAGAACAAAAATTCACCAGCTTTCCACTTTATTTTATCCATCCAACTCACGGAAATAAATTCCCCAACTGACTCCACCAGTCGCCTACTACTGGATGTGGTGTACGGGTCTTTAAACATCAAAACCTACATCTATCATCACAACGAAAAAACCCATCTCTTATTCTCCACAAATGGTCCAGATCAACGAAGTCAGCGAGTCGCAGACCAGAGAGTCTCGTACTGCCGCACATACTCACATCAGAGGATTGGGGTTGGATGAGCATGGTATCGCAAAAAAAGTTGATGGTGGATTCGTTGGACAAGCTGAGGCAAGAGAAGCATGCGGAATTATTGTTGATTTAATTAAAACAAAGAAAATGAGTGGTAAAGCCATTTTATTGGCTGGTGCTCCAGGAACTGGTAAAACAGCTTTGGCTTTGGCCATCTCCCAGGAGTTGGGACCTAAGGTTCCATTCTGTCCGATTGTTGGTTCAGAGTTGTATAGTACCGAGGTGAAAAAGACTGCTGCGTTAATGGAAAACTTCAGAAAGGCCATTGGCTTGAGAATCAAAGAAACCAAGGAGGTCTATGAAGGAGAAGTGATCGAGTTAACCCCTGAAGAGGCCGAGAACCCATTGGGTGGCTATGGTAAGACCATTTCACATGTTATCGTGGGTTTGAAGACCGCCAAGGGTACCAAAAACTTGCGTTTGGACCCTAGCATCTACGAAAGTATTCAAAAGGAGCGTGTTGTTGTCGGAGATGTGATCTATGTGGAGGCAAACACCGGAGCAGTCAAGAGAGTTGGAAGATCCGATGCATATGCCACTGAGTTCGACTTGGAGGCCGAAGAGTACGTTCCTTTGCCCAAGGGAGAAGTCCACAAGAAGAAGGAGATCGTTCAAGAGGTCACATTGCACGATTTGGATGTAGCCAATGCAAGACCACAGGGTGGACAAGATGTGCTCTCCATGATGGGTCAGTTGTTGAAGCCCAAGAAGACTGAAATCACCGACAAGTTGAGAACCGAGGTCAACAAAGTTGTGGCCAAATACATTGACCAGGGTGTTGCTGAATTGATTCCCGGTGTCTTGTTCATTGACGAGGTCAATATGTTGGACATTGAGATCTTCACTTACTTGAACCGCGCGTTGGAGAGCTCCATGGCTCCGATTGTGGTTTTGGCTTCTAACAGAGGTTTGACCACCATCCGTGGTACCGATGATGACACAAAGTACCCTCACGGCTGTCCTCCAGATTTGATTGACCGTTTGTTGATTGTGAAGACATTGCCATACAACCAGGAGGAGATTCGCGTGATTATCCAGAAACGTGCTGCTTTGGAGGGTTTGGCTGTTTCTGGAGACAGCTTGAACAAGTTGTCAGAGCTTGGTGTGAACAGCTCATTACGTTACGCTTTGCAGTTGTTGGCTCCAGCGGGTATTTTGGCCAAGACCGCTAACCGCACAGAGATCTCTGTCGACGATGTTTCCGAATGTGAACTTTTATTCTTGGACTCGCATCGTTCCATGCAAGTGTTGGAGTCTACAAAGGGCTACCTTTGATGTACCATTAGTAATAGAAAATTGATGACTTACTACTGTATGAAGTGTTTTAATCGCTATGCTTCCAATTTCCCGAGAGTGGAGATTTCGGCTAAGAACTGCTTTGCCGTGACGATATCCGTGCTTCCGTAAACGATCGACTTTGGAGTTCCAGAAGGTTGGTTGGCCCATTCCGTCAAGTTCTGGTACTCCAAGTAATTTCCTCCGCCAACAACGAAAACAACTGCCTCGTCATATGACTGCCTCTTAGGAGGTTTAGCGTGGCCACCACGGGATTTGGGATCCAAATACAAATATTCATCAGTGATTTGCATCAGATTGTTGGACGCATGAGCAGGATCCATGATTGCTTCCACAATGTTGGTAATTGGAAGGTTCTTCTTATCAGGTAAGAGTTTCTTCAAGCCAGTAGCCAATGAGCTGATTCCTTCAGAGATTCTGCCCTCAGTGAAACCATATAATTTGGAAGACAAACCGTTGAAGAGCGCCGAATTATTCTGGTTGAGTGAATGTTTGTTAGTTGCAGCCTGATCATTCAATGTGATGTTCTTCGATAAGTTCAAGATGTGCTTGAACTTCGTAATGTATTTGTAAGCACTCATATCAATCTCGGGGTATTTAGAGGCGAATATCTGCTCACAGTCGGAGGTGAAGCTGGATGGTAAGTCTGACAATAAATTTAAAATCAAGAATGTTCTGAACTTGTCAGCAGCGTTATCTCTCTTGGAGTCAGATTTTAAAAGGTCCAAGAACTCCAGCTGGATCTTTGGGTCATTATAGTTCTGCTCGATTTCAAAGAACTTATCCAACGAACGTGCCTCCAACTCCTTTAGCAAAGAAGCCAAAACATCCATATGCATATCCAAAGTTGTCTTTCTTGCGGTCAACTCGGGCAATGCTTCCACGGCTTGTTGGATAAGGGATGTGTCAGTATTCGCGTTGGGGTCAATATCATTCAACGACGTGATTCCTGTCTTGTGAGTCAACTCTTGTGCCTCTTTCTTGTACAACCCTAATTCCAAATCTGCATTTTCCACCACATCTGGAAACGGTAATTGTGCGTTTTTATTCCAGAAAAAGTCCTTGGGATCCACATCGTAGCTTTTGATCTGGGGCTTATCAGAATCACCGTATTTTGCCACCTTAATAGTGTTACGACGCAACTCAAACACGTCGCTGACCATACACTGATAAATCCAGGAGTGTGAGAACATTGAGGCCAAGTCAATGTTTCTATCCAACAAAATCAAAACCGGTCTTTGCTGAATAGGATGGCTCACGGAGTTACGTGAGTTGCTGATGTAGTCACGCAATTTCAAATCCAACTGTGTGGCAACAAGTTCTGCTGGGCCGTTCTTCGGACACCGAATAATTGGTACGCAGCCCATGGTGATCAAGCTCGCAAGCAATCCATCCGCAATGTCTCTGGCAATGCCATGGATATCATCTTCGCTCGTCAGTGGGTTGTTGAATTTCGTGAAAGTGCTCTGCATGTCAAGTGAAAACAAGTTTGGCTCGGTGACAATAAAATCCAAGTACTGATCGTACACCTGTTTTATTTTGGCACCTTTTCCACATAACGACACCTTTTTGGCAAACTCTTCTAAGAGCTCTCTATTGATGCTCAGGGTGAAGTTAATATAGAAACTTTCGTACTTATCAGCCTGCAAATCGTCGATGATTATCGATACGTTCTCAACAGTTGGCTCCACAAAGTAAATGGCAGGAACATCTGGTAAAGGCGATCTCTGAGCCAGGATCACCGCATGAACGGTGATTCCACATCTTAACAAATCATTCACACGTAAAATAGACGAAATCACCGCCTGTGATGTACGGTCCATCACAAGAACTTTCCATACGATTTCCTCCGACTTGGACGCCAACGTCAAGTCACTAGCACCATCCTTATTGAGGTGGAGCATACGCTCCAATGCATCTGGGGGTTAGTAAATAGGATTGTGAAATGTAGAATATTGTTTTCACATACTGATTTGCCGCTCTCGCAAAGTTACTACTTCCGACATTTACCTTGTATAATAAGATAGTATAGTATGGTAGAGTATGAGGTTAGGTGGTTCGTGGTGTACGGGTGTATTGTTGACTTCGCTTTCTGAACGGGGTAAAGATCCATTAGCATGTTTATGAATGAGATGTACGGATCTTTTATGTTACTGCGCAGGAAGAAGTCCTTCCTAAGCAAAAAAAAAAAAACTTAGGATGTACTGCTCTCAAGAAAACTAGAGCATTCTCACACAGAATTCCTGCAAGCTATGCATCAAAGGACACGCAGTGCAGAAAGCCGCGTCAATAAGGGTACTCCAGGGAGGCTATCCCAAGCAAGGTAGATCTCTGCATCCCCGGTATCATCATCGTGGTCCACTACACTTATTTGATGCATGGTTGATGATAACAGAGCAATTAGCAATCTTAAATGACCTTCATCGCCCGAGACACCAATACAAGAACTTCTTTTTCTGCAGGATTATAGAAATGCAAACCTCAAGACATTCTCCTGCAGAAGTTTGGGGGCACCGTGCCAATTGACCAGCGGGGACTTTAGACCATCGTGCCTCCGACCACATCGAGCCATTTTGATACCACACTAAACATAGTCGCCATGCATTTTCCTCGAGGTGTCCCAGCCTTCATGGTTTCTATGGAGAATGTTAATTGATGAGCGTCGAGAAATTCAGGGTCTCGTAAAATATCTGACCGAATGCTCAAACATTCAGGAGAACAAAATTACTGTGGGTGGTTGTACACCTCAAGTCACCCTGCCGCACTACCGTGATTATTATCACTACAAGGAAAGAACAAATATACGCTGCGTCAGGGTTTGGTGATCTCGCATCGAGCCACGCCTTTTGGCTATTCTGTTCGGATAATTGTCGAGGCTGACCACCGATTCATTTTCTCTTTCAGTGCATATGGAGTTCGAAGCCATGCGCAAACGGCTATTGTTGCGTAATCTAACTAGGGCGGTCATCATCCCTATTGTAAGCGCGAGGCAGCTTGTTGGTCGCATTCAAACAGGCACTAGAACAGGTAGAATTGCTTTGATAACTTCCATTGGGGTTCTGGAAACCGGTTTTGATTTAGGGGGGTGCTTCCAGAAGATTGTGATTTTCTTCTTGTTATAGCATAGCTTTTACATATGCATACCGTCGCCAAAGAAATTGTTTTGAATCCCCCATTAGGGTAAATGATAACTTGAGGGCTTTTCAAATTGCCAGATGGTGTTTTCTTTTAATTACTAAATTCAGCCTTCGTATCATTCCAGTTGGAAAATTCACAGACTGGGGTTGAGCAATTCTTAGGCTACTAGCTACTCGTCTACACAACTTTTTGTTACATATCAAAATTCCTTGCAATCTAGTTGCTTCTGTACTCCACTATCCCTCGAAGAACTTTAATTGGCCCGTAAATATCATGGTCGATCATGTTTTCCTGGTTCTTCACCTCTTTAGGCTTGTTCTTATGTTCAGTGCCTGGTTTTGGCCAATTGCAATTCAATCGGAGACGTTGGCATTCTGAACACTTAGGTCTTGTTTCACAACATCTCTTTTTTCTCAGGCGACATGTTAAACATCCCATACGAGAACGCTTCGTGACCTTTTGAGCTGTGGAATCCAGCCCACTGCGCCCACTTGTACTACTCGTTGAGCCTCTCTGGCTGGAGGTTTCTGAGTCCGCTCCCAGTTCAGATCCACGTTTAGACCACTGCTTCTTAGGAACAGAGGGTTCACCGGAGCCTCCCTGAGGCTGTCCGAGATCAAGGTGGTCCCATTGTTTGGTAGCCACGTAGTTGGAATGGTTAGTGAATTCACCAGGAGGGATTGGGAACTGCTGGTTCGTCATGGATGGATACTGGCCATCAGGGCCAACAGCACGTTGGAGTGGTGGCTGAGAATATGGTAATGCTCCTACTGGAAGCTGATGATGTTCTCCTGGATGTGGCATGGAGTGATTCACATTGGGTGACTGTCTGTTTGGATACTGATGGTCACCAGCCAGGGATGATTCGTATTCGGCCGGCAAGTATGGATGCCGTATATATTTTTGATTGGGCAGGCTATATGGATACAGTTCTGACTTCTCTGGCACAGATCTGGGAAGTGCAGCTGACTGGGGTGGAGGAGGCCAAGACTGATTCTGCCATTGACTCATTATGTGAAGATGCTGATGCTGTTAGCGTGATTCTTGGTAGTTCGTAAGGCGTTTTCTCCATGGACATAGTTAAATTTGGGACCACAAGGTTCAGCCTCCTGCTGAGATAGCAGCTTCTTATATAATCATTTTAATTTATGAATGTTCCAACAAAGAGGTGATTTTATAGTTGCCACGAAAAGCGAGAGCGGAATTCAGACATCATTGTTTGACCGACGAAACCACTCGTGGAACCTTAAATTTGGATTGCACAATAACGCCAAACGAAAGGAAAAAAAAAAAACTTTATAATAAGCTAATCATAGTGAAGATGCAAGCTGGTATAAGGCCTTTGTATGGAAGGAAAGAGTGGAGTGGAGAAAGCGCCATTGATCACGAAGGAAAATACATACTGTTATTCTAGAAGGAGCGACCACAACATCAAGTCGTGGGCCCAGCAACGGATGGGTGGAATGAATGAAAAACTTGTGGATGTGGAGAACGGCGCTGGCAAGGAGACGTTCAGTGGAAAAAAAAAAGTCAAAAATTAGTGGTTGGAAGTGTGGGAATGTAGACAGCTTTAAACCCCGGCAATGAAAGGTCAGTATCCACCATAGCGATCATACTTTAGGTGACAGAAGACTCTCCAAATCATACTACAGGGCTACTCTATACCGAAACTTTAATCGCCGGATGCAAGGAGTGTGTGTGTGTCCCATGCGTCATGCACAGTCGACAATGTCATGGACCTCCTCCCTAGCCGCTGGTGCATGAGTGCGACATTTGAAGGTTTTCTTTATCCATATTCGAGATGTCTTTTAGTTGCTGCCGCATTGGAGCCATCTGGCACCAACATAACCATAGAAGGCGGGCCTCGTCAATTATTATGCACTGCAATTCACCTCCAGTGGAAGCCCCCCACTGCGCCCCATGCTAGTGGCATTCGGATACACCCGAACCGCCTTAGATGGTTCGCAGGCTCTGCTCAACGCACACTTGCACAACGCAAAGGAACGTTGGATTTTCCTCTCCTTTTAATACACTTTTCTCAACTTTATAGTCACTTATATTGCTAGCGGTTGCCAATGCCATCGCATCTTGAGACAATGGTTTCGGTCGGACGTCACTTCTGTCGCACGCAAGGGATCGACCAATCTACCGAACGGGCGCAAATCCCCCTCGGTAGAATGGTCCGCTACCACATTTTCGAAATCCGAACGCGCACTCAACCTATATGTGCTGCCCTCGGATTTCGTAAGGCTTCCTGACACTGAGTACCTTTTTGCTGCAAGGTATTGGGCACTGCTGTGAGGTGTATGCGAGTTGCGTGCTGAAGCTTGACAACTCCTCACGTACTTTGGTTTCTGTTTGAACAGCTTATCTACTGATTTACGGAGCGATTGGGTACTTGTTGTGAAAACTCGACCTATGCGAGACTTGCGCATAGACATGAAACGTGCAGTCCCTTCTCGAGGCAAGACTAAGCAACATTTGAGAATATCCGACATGCTCTAGACAAACCGAGAATGCTCCTTCACATCTGGCTCGAGGCTTTGAGGGGGCAATTTGGATCGGGTATATGTGTGGTGGGCTAATGTAGTTAGCGAGAACAACTAGTAATTATTCTTTTTTGCGATCTGATAACTGGTTATCCCCTACAATGCAAACACTTACAAAGATCATGAACCATCGCCCAAGGCGATTTTGGTGATATTTTGAGTTAAATAAGGGTTCTATCTCCATCAAACTAGGGTCATACCACCCTAGTACATGATCCAACTTTCCATTATATGTGCGAGCGCCACGCTCGTGAAAGGTAGCCATAATTAAAGTTGCCGATTAAAAAAGAGTAGTTCGGCCATTTCCTTCATTCACTTTCCTCTCTTCTTACATCATCCCTGGCATGCCTTGTGGCATACCCTGTGGGGCTCCCTGTGGACCGCCCTGACCCTTCAACGACGACTTTCCTGCTTTCAAGAGCTCGTCACAAAGTAGAAGGTTGGAGGCGATGCCCGTGGCGGCCAGGATGGCGTTTCTCAACACACGATACGAGTCCCAAACACCTTCCAACGAAGGATCCATAGGCTCTCCTGAAGCCAAGTCGATTCCCACGACATGGCCCTCTGCAATCTCGTCCTGACATTCGGAAACGGTCTCCAAAGAGTCAAGACCAGCATTTCCGGATAATGTCTTAGGAACAACAAGTAGAGCCTCAGCGAAAGCCTTTATACCAGGTTTGGAACGTCCCTTTGCTGTTTTAGACTCCAACAACTGATGGTTGCAGCTCAAGAAAAATGCACCTGCTCCAGGAACAATAGACCCATCCTTAAGAACGTTGGCAACTGCTCTCAATCCATCACGCACAGCATCCTTGGTTTGCTGCAAGACATGGTTGGTCAGTCCCTTGATTAGAATAGTGGCTGACTTGGACTCGGGACATTCAGTGATATAAGTGAATTTGTCTTCGCCAATGCTTTCCTCGTACACGTATCCAGCACGACCCAAAATTTCTGGTGACAAGTCGTCCACGGAATTCTGAGCCTCTCCACCAACAATCAACTGCAAACGCTCCATATTTCTTCTCTTTGCTCTTCTCAAGGCTAAAATGTTGTGTTTGGCCAAGACGTCCAACGACATAGGATCAATACCTTTTTGGTTGATGATCACAAAGCCACAGTCACTATCGAGGTCGCAAACCTGGTTCTTCAAGTCCACAATCTTCTTCAACTTGGCGTCCACAAACTGTCTCTCCGAAGCCACCAATTTCTCTCTTTGCTCTGCGGATGAGTAGAAGAAACCCGAGTTGACTTCAGTCTTCTCATACTCCAAAGAGACATTCAAAGTTAAAACATAGGCGTTTTTCACCCGACGAGGCATGTCGGGGTGTCTAGCGCCATGGTCTAGCACCAAACCCTTGATTAAAGAGGTATCCGTGGCATTTCCATGCTGCATGGTCATGATTTCGACCATGTGCAAGTCCAACTGGTTGTTCTCCTCGCCCTTGACGGAGAGAACAGCGTCGGTGACGATTGGTGCCAACACATCTGTGATTTCTGGTGTCACTTTGGTGGCCACTGATGTTCTTGCAACCTGTAGCAAAAATTCTCTGTCGAAACTCTCTGGAATAACACGGAACTTGTCCAAAAACTCTAATGAAGCCTCACGAGCAGTCTCGAAGCCATCCACCAACACACGGGGGTGCACACCCTCGCTAATATAACGTTCAGCCTGCTTCAACAACTCTCCCACCAACAAAACCACCGTCGTGGTTCCATCTCCGGTAATCTCATCCTGAGCAGTGGCAGCACGTGCAATCATAACTGCTGTAGGGTGCTGGATCTGCATTTCCGACAACAACACCTTTCCATCCTTGGTTAACTTCAAGTTTCCTGATCCGTCCACCAAGAGTTTCAAGGTACCTTTAGGACCCAAGTTGGAAGCCAATACCAGCTGCAAGCCTTGAGCAGCGGCAATGTTGACTTGGAGTGCCTGATCACGTCTCAACGACTCTGCCTTTGGGTTTAAAAGCTGGATTGACGACGACATGTTGAAGTTGGAGGAATTCAATTTTTTATCTTTTGATGGTGGAGGTTTTGGCGCGTGATGAAGGTCACGTGTGGGTGAAGCCTAAGAGATGGGAAGGTTGTAGAAGTGTGTGTTTTTTAATTAGTGGATACAATTAGATGCCTAGTTCCATTTTACTTTTGTGGACATTTGTGATTTTTCTTTTGTTTTATTGTTTAGTTTCTGGTTATGGATTCCTATCTCCTGCTGTGGGAGACGTGGTGCGCCATCTGGATTCATGTGGTGGAGAACGTAACGTCTCATGAGGAAGCTGAGAGTGATGTAAAAGAAAGAAATTAAGCTTTAAAAGGCATTCAGATCCAGGACTATTGCTGATGAATCGACTTTTTCATTTTTTTTTTGAAGAGAAATCATGGTTATGGCAGTAGTTGTTCTTGTCTCAGTAAGTGCTCGACCTGAGGTCAACATAGCTTGTGATAATTTCTTAGTTTCTCCCTTTGATTGTAGTTTTCACTTTGAGTGCAACCTCTTTTTTTTTTTTTTTTTTGGTCTTTTTGTCTCTGATCTTCTTCCTGATCTCATATTCTTAAGTATTGTGTATTTCGATTTTTGATGAACTAGGATTATGGCTGCGAAATTTCCTTCCATTAATGCACAACTGAAAGGACGTTTGATAAAAATTATAAATGATACTCTTAAAAATCCAAAACGGAAAATATTAAAGAGCTTGCTCCATATGCTTATGTTCTATTTGTTTCAATATTGGATCAAATAGTTCTTCTTAGTGTATTCAACCTATGCATGGAGATACTCAAGGTTGTCATAGGAATGGTCACCAAGTGGAAACAGGCTCGAAGAAAAGTCAAAAACAGAAAAAATGCAGTGTAAAAAAAACTGAAAGGTAAATTTGAAGCTTTCAGAACCATAGTTGACCCGAATTAAGAGCTTTCAATTAACAATGAACAAAACTGATTAGTAATTTACCCAACATATAACTCACCAATCCATTGCATACTCTTCCAGGAATATTGGTGTTACAAAACCAGAGAGGCTATTTGGAAAGCACAGAAACGATAATAAAAGGCTTACTGTAATTGAAATATACAGAGAGATGAATCGATTTCAGGAGTTGACAACAATGAAGGTTTAATAGGTTAATAGTACCCAGAAAATAAAGTTGATGATTCTCTCTCGATAAACACACAGAAGTGTTTTTCAATTTCTCAATTAGGAAGACTTCAATTCATAGCAAGTTCTCATCTTCAAGAGGAGCTTTACGAAGTGGTTCTTTCTTGGCTGGTAACAAAGAGAATACCTCCGGTGTAGGATATATTTCATATAAAGATATTCATTCAGTGAATTTCCTAACAAATCTACACATAATATCTTTAAAACATTTGTGTATTGGATAGTATATCAGGGACCATATTGAACAGCATGGTCATAGTCCCGTTGAGGGTAATTTTAAGGATACTGGATATTTTTGAAAACTTTAAAACTTTATAATAGAGTCAGGAAAATTACTCAACAAGAAACGGTCCCTTGGCCCAGTTGGTTAAGGCGTGGTGCTAATAACGCCAAGATCAGCAGTTCGATCCTGCTAGGGACCACTTCTTCCAGGGCGTGTGGCGTAGTTGGTAGCGCGTTCGCTTAGCATGCGAAAGGTCTCCGGTTCGACTCCGGACTCGTCCATTCTTTTTAATTGTTTACAATTTTCGGTTTTTTTTTTTCTGCCGTTAACTCATTATCTCCTTCTAAAACCCCATTATTTAATAATGCTATTTGATATCTCTTTGCTATTTAAATTCTCTTCACAGGCCCTCCTGGAGAGTCTGGAAGTCTAGCTGTCAACACCTCCACACCATCTTCAGTAACCAACATCATGTGCTCGAACTGTGCGGAGTACTTACCGTCCCTGGTGGCAGCAGTCCAGTTATCGGGCCATGTCAAGTCCTTATAAGTTCCCAAACAGAGCATAGGCTCAATTGTGAACACCATACCTGGCTTGGCAACACCAATAGCCTTGTTCTTGGCATAGTGAGGAATGTTGGGCTGGCAATGGAACAACGAGTTGGTTCCGTGTCCACAATAAGTACGCACAACTGAGCAGCCGTTTTTCGTAGCATGCTCTTCGATGACATTTCCAAGGTTACGGAAAATCAAACCAGGCTTTACTTGCTGGATTGCTAAGTCTAAGCACTCACGTGTGGTTTCCACTAAACGAACAGTATCTGGGTCACATTTAGACTTGTCTCCAACATAGTAGGTTTCGTTAAGATCCGAGTGGAATCCATTCAAGTAAATGGTCACATCCAAGTTGATGATGTCACCATCCTTCAAAACGGTTTGGTCTGGAATTCCGTGACAGATCACCTCATTCACAGAAGTACACAACGACTTGGGGAAGTTATAGTAATTGAGTGGAGAGGGGTATGCATTGTAGGCAATACATTCCTTGTGCAAGATGGCATCGAGTTCGTCGGTGGTGATACCTGGTTTGACATGTGCAGCAACCTTATCCAAGATTTTTCTGGATGTAAGTCCCACCTTCCTGATCTTCTTGATCTCTGCCTCAGTCAAGATGGTGATCTTACCTGTACGATCATTCTTCAATTCACTCACCGGACGTCCATCCTGAGCATAATCTGGCTTCCTGATTTGCTGGCCCACAGTTCGGCGAGGACTCAATGGGTATGCGGGTCTCAAGTCTCCCGAGTAATCGAAGTTTGGAAATGGGTCAAAAGGCTTGCCATCTTCTGCAGGGTGGATGGATTTATGGACTGTCCAGCCTTTTCTAAAACACGACTGGTCACAAAAAACAGCTGGGGTGCCTGACTTCAAACACACAGGGCACTTAAGAGCCGATTCGGTAATTTTACCACACTGTGGTGCACTACAAACTGACATGATTAATGACCTAGTTAAGTTTTTTCGCTAGATGATGATGTGAGTATTATGAGACTGTATATAAATCATGCCATAAGTCGATACTGCTCAAGGGAACCAATTTTATAGCCATTCAAAACCTTAATTTTATAAACTTGAACACTCAAATGATCACTGGCCAAGGTTTTCAGGTCCAAAACTAAGCGGCAAAAGCTCCTCAAGGGTCCGTACTATGCACTTGTCTCCAGAGGAAGAGTACATGTATACAGGAGCACCCAAATCGAAGAATTCCCGAATCACTTGTCTACAAATTCCACATGGAGAAATTGGCGCCTCCTGATCACTTGAAATGGCAATTGCCTGGAATTTGCGATGACCCAGAGCCACCGAACGTACGATAGCTGTTCTTTCTGCACAAATGGCTCCACCATACAGAGCATTTTCAACATTGGCTCCAGTAATCACGTGACCATCCACCGTAAGAACAGCGGCGCCAACTCTTTGAGGTTAGCATAATCGAAAAACAGAGAGAGGAAAAAACTAGACTGGCAAAGACCTGGACAAGGATCCGTTCAGTCGACATACCTGAATTTTGAATAGGGAGAGTACGAGGACTCGCGTGCTAGATGTTAGCATGAGGGAACGAAGAAACAGTAACATGAACAACACTGAAGTTTCGGAAAGAAATCACGTGACGACTATACTTACCTCTTAGTGCTTCATCTTTGAGGAGTGATATTTGTGCTTCAGTTAGTTCAGACATGACAAACAGAATAAATAGTTGAAGATCTCAAGATAAGGCCAATATGCGAGTTGGCCAACAATAAGACCCGTACATCTCATTTGAAGTCCAACCGTCTCACAGTATTGACATGGTACGGCATATAAACAATACTGTTGACATTTTTTTTTATCTGAACCGACAAAGACCCTAGATGCGCATCCGTACACCAGATGATGATCTTTTCACACCGTTAAAGTTGCGATTGCATGTGATAAACTAAATGAAACGGGGTGCAAACGGAACATTTTAAGGAGTTTAAACGTCATGAGCCATTACTGGATGTGGAAGTCACCCCTCAATTCTTCTCACTTTCCTGCCTCTTTATATACCTGTAAAACAATAGGGATTGTCGTCACTGGACTTACGCACGTGACTTTGCACCTAATATCGGCCCTGGGTTTGATCAGATGACATCATAAGTCTATTTTATACCTTCACCAGAGCCAGCTCGACAAGAAAATACAAAGAAATCATTACCCCCAACTGCTACCCCACAATCGTTTCAATGTCGTGATGGCCGACCTTTTTTTTCTTCGACACGGCCCCAGGGCTGATTTTGCCGCCACAAATGATCCTCCCATTTACCCTGATTATAGGGTTTACGACCCGCTGGTGACCATTTCAACGGTGGGCATGATGAATGACGTTGCTAAGCAGATTCTTCTGTTAGTGGATCTTGAAAAGTCTCCGAAAAAGACCATTTACATCCATTACAGTCCGTATTTAAGGTGCTGTCAAACAGCTGATATCTTGACCACGGCATTGCAGAATGCTATAGCGAAAGTGTCTGGCTTGAAGGTGAAAATTCAATTGCTCGGCGATTTTGCGCTTTCTGAATGGATCCACGACAAAATGAAGAATAAGCCTCCGTTTTCTGACTCCACGGAGGCTTACCAGATGTACACCCCGAATGTTCGACTACTACAAAACAAAAAATTGTGCCTGAATTTCCGGCCCACCACACAACTTGGACCCTGGAACGAGCCGGATTTACTGTTCAAGGATTTTCAGGCCCGATGTCGTCATTATTTTGAGAAGTTGCTAGCTACTTATGATAAGCCTTCCCACCAGAACGATATGGTGATTGTTGTTTCACATGGCTACGTTGTGTCAACATTATTGTCTTATTTTGTCAACCATCCGATTTTTGAGGAAATCCCGGAGGCATCTTTAAATTACGCCCATAGGGAAGATGGGGTGTGGACTTTGAAGAAAGATAGTCTTGGAATTTTGGAGAAAGAGGGTTTGGACGGAGTACTCAATTTGGAAACAGAAATCGTGTACTACAAAACAAATTTCATTAAAAAGGATGCCTTTGACGAAACCCAGCAGTATCCTGCCATAGGGTTTGGGGGTCTTAAGCCCGTTCCTGAAAATGACCCACGACCCTCTTTCAAAGTTCAACTGCAAGATCAGAAACCACTAACACTGAATCCTCTCTGCCCAGGTGCGAAAGATTGGGATCCCCGGCGTTTGAAATCGTTCAGAGTGAAGTCGGAGTTTGCTATAAAAGTTATGAATGATGAAGCATTCAAGAGAGCGTTTGATTTATCAAACCCACCAACTCATCCCGTATCTCCAGAAGTATCACCCGGTTCTGAGCCTACTCGGTCGAACTCTACCATTGACTTGGTGAAGCTTCGCCTGAATGAGGAGATCTTCCATCCATTCAAATTGCGGTATTCTCTGGCATCCGACATTCCAGTCCAATACTTGAATTCAAAGGTCAATTCACATGCCAGTTTGACGCTGTTGCAAAGAAATGCCAATTCTCACAACAATTCATCGCTGGATCTATTGAGATCGACACTTTTTGGTTCCCAGTCGTTTGGCCCCGGAACGATATCGGGTGGCCTGGGATCTCCACGGGACGAAGGCTCCGATCAAGAAACAGCCAATATGAACGATGTCATTCAGAGACTTGCCAGAGTACGGTCACTTCAACGCAGAAGAGCACAATCAACAACGCCCAAGTTTGGAATCATTCCCGAAAGCGAGGAAAGGAAGTTGGCCATTCAGAAGGAAGAGGGAGAGAAAAGACCAGAGAAAAAGAAGGAGGAGAAGAAGTTTACTCTCCACTTTGGCAACGAATCAGCCAACGACACCAGTCCAAGTGGAAGTATACCTTCCAAAAGCCCTCCGCAGAATTCTCATTCTTCTGAGCACGGAATCAGGCGACGCAGGAGTAGTTCCGTCAAGTTCATCCCTTCTGTTTTACAGGATAACCGTACTAAGCTGACACAATCGATTTTCTACAATTTGGAGTCTGGATCAAGCTCAAGTGATGAGGAACACGAAGAATCAGTAGAAACTGAGCAGAAGTACAGGTGGTTCGGGCAGAATATTTGACAGGGAGAAAAGGAAGAGGAGGGAAGTGAGGTTCGAGAGAGAATACAAAAACAGAGGCATGAAGCGATACACCTAGGAAAGAATTGCGTATTCAACTAAATAATACGCCATGATCAATAGTTGATCACGATTTCATTTCCGGTGATATCACGGGTTTACACTCAGGTTCATCATAGAAATCATACATAGTCATGCCCCCGGGCCAACAGTTCATATATAGAAGTTTATTTAACTATAATTGTCAATTGAATAATTTCAAATGAAGGTGAACATTAACTAATAGCATTCTCTCCAGCCTTTCCTGTCTCTCTATCCTTTGTGTGCACGAAGATAACGATTACGTTCACCACTTATACTTTATACTCGCTAAGAAACACACATGCCAACTCTGGAATCAGTGGCTAACATAGGCAGCTTCTCGTCAAGTTCTAACACTGCCAACTTCGGCCTTTCCAAGTATCTCCTGATCCCAATTTCTGTCAAATTATGCTACTTTCAGACCTCCAGTTCCAATACCCATAAGGTGGTGACCAGCTCAGAGAAGTACAAGAACACCCGAGTATTCCAAAAATTGTCCGATATCAGCACCAACTCCGACTTATTCGTTCGGATTCAAGTGCTCGACGGAAACCACAACCCAATTGCCTCCGAAGTTCAAACGCCATACAAAGTCTTCTCCAGCAATAAACGGGTGTGGAATACATACGTCAGGCTTCCAGTGGATTACCACCAAGTGGGATACGGTGCGTACATTCGATTTACTGTGATGGAAATTGTCGAAACGACAGCATCTGTCTATGGAACGGGAACATTGTCTCTTTTCAACCACGAGAACGGAACACTAAGAAAGGGCTCCTACAAGGTTGCAATCGCACCGGGATTAGCTGATGAGAAGGATAAGGTGGTATATGGAGACATAAAGGGCACTTCGGTTATTGAAAAGCATATCATTGACTATGAAGATGGGGAACACCCGAAGATTTCATGGCTTGATAACCTATCACTTCCAGCAGTGGAAAAGCTCAGAGCATCAATGGCTACTTCCGGGGATACAGAAGAAGTACCATATTACTTGTACATGGAACTTCCGAACTTTCTGTTGCCCATAGTGTACCTGGATGTCAACTGTTGGGTGCCTGAAGTTGTTCCCCTGTCAAATTACATGGATGAGGTTGTGGCCAACGAGACCGGGCCACTAGCTGCTGGAATGGTGATAAGATCAATAGAGATTCCAACTACAAAGAGTGAGGACTTGCAATTGGCCAAGATTTACGACCCCAGCTTTCATAAACTGACATTGGACAGCTTCAACAACACTGAGGCCAATGAACCAGGTCAGGTGGGTCTCCAGGGTGTTGTGGCCGGTCAAAACGTGTTGGAAGTGGATCCCATTGAGCAGAAATTCCAAACACTAGCCACGAATGTCAACAATACCTCCCTCCTTGATAAAGAAGTCAAACCTTCTCCTCAAATGCGTGACGAGCTCTGGAAGATCTTGAAGAAACCTTCTAGTGCTGTTCTAAATGACCACGACAAACGTCTCCTTTGGAAATTTCGCTATTACTTTTCGAAAAACTCACTTTCCGATGATGGCACACCAGCAGCAGCTCCTCTGCAATCCACCAAGCAGTTTTTAACCAAATTCCTCAAATGCTTCAATTGGGAGAATGAATACGAGCTTGATCATGCTTTTAAAGAAATCCTTCCTTACTGGTCCGTGGACAAGATAGATATTGGAGATGCCCTCGAGCTTTTAAGTAACAGTTTCAGCCCATATACTCTTACTGCATCTCTTCGCCGAAGAATGATCTCCACGACCAACTCCAATGCCAAGGATATCAACACGAACGAAGAAAAGAAGATAAACAAGATTTACGCCTATGCCAGAAAACTCAGAGTGTTTGCTGTGGATAGACTTCGTCAGGCAAATCCCGATGAACTTCTCTTGTATTTGCTCCAGCTAGTCCAGGCACTCAAGTACGAAAGCGTGCTGACAGAAGGTGGAGATGCTCTTAAGGAGGCGCCGCTTGCCAAATTTTTGATTGAGAAGTCTGTTCAGAATGGTAAACTTGGAAACTTCTTCTACTGGTACGTGAAAGTTGAAAACGAGGACCAACTAAGCAGCTCACAGACGCAAAGCAGCACAATTATTGGCCCATCTCAGAAGGGTGCCAACCATTCTATCTACCAAACAGTTCTCAACACTTATATCGAGCAACTAAAGGAACACTGTCAATTGAGCAGACTGCCGGAATACAAGTACTTGAAGATGCAAATTAACTTCATTAAGAAGCTCACAAGTCTCGTTGAACTTATCCGGACAACCTTCAAGAAAAATGAGGCTACAAGCAAGAAGGTCCAATTTCTTCAAGATTATCTTGCGGACAACTCTAATGAGATGCTCAAGTTTCCTCATCCGTTCCCATTGCCCTTGGATCCATCGGTGATGATCTGTGGATGCTACCCATTGGAATCCTCGGTTTTTAAAAGTTCCCTTTCTCCATTGAAAATCACCTTCAAGACCATAACCAACTACCAAGAGCAGCAGCAACATTCATCACAGATATTCAGCTCCAAGAAGAAAAAGTACGGAAAATACGCTCTCATGTTTAAGATTGGAGATGATCTTCGTCAGGATCAGTTGGTGATACAGATCATTACGTTGATGGACCAACTTTTGAAGAACGAGAATTTGAACTTGAAGCTCACTCCATACAAGATTCTTGCCACGAGTCCTGTGGCAGGCTTAATCCAGTTTGTTCCCAATGAGACCTTGGACTCAGTGCTCTCAAAATCCTATGCTGATGTGTCTGGTGTTGGACAAGTACAGGGAAGTTCAGCATCTGCCCCAACAGGCACTGTGGCTGGCAATGGAATTTTGAGCTATCTCCAGCTACACAGTCGAAAACTACAACACGAAGAGCCAGAGGCAGAAAGTGTTCTTGGAAAAAAGAAGAATTCCGTTCCTACAGAGCAACAGCAGCAAGCTATTACTAGCGATTTAGGAGTTTCCCCTATTGTCATGGACAACTACGTGAAATCATGTGCCGGCTATTGTGTGATTACATATATCTTGGGAGTGGGAGATCGACACCTCGATAATTTGCTCCTTTCTCCCAACGGAAAGTTCTGGCACGCTGACTTTGGTTACATACTCGGTAGGGACCCCAAGCCCTTCCCACCTTTGATGAAACTTCCAATTCAAGTCATCGACGGTATGGGCGGCATGGATCACGAAAATTTTAATATTTTCAAGAGCTACTGCTTCATTACCTACACGACGCTCCGCAGAAACAGCAATTTGATTCTTAATTTATTCCAGTTGATGTTGAACGCGAATATTCCTGATATCCAGATCGACCAAAAGCGAGCCGTTGAGAAGGTCGAAGACAAATTTGCTCTCGAGATGACTGAAGAAGAAGCCATCTTGCATTTCCAGAATCTCATCAGCGATTCCGTGAATGCGTTCTTACCTGTAGTTATTGACGCACTTCATAGTTTGGCTCAGTACTGGAGAGCATAACTTATTTTGACTTTTTGAATTGCGAAACACGACGATAGTCTTGGAAGGCACGATATGCGATGGTGAGCACTGCATTTGCGGCTCCAAATGGAGGGAACAAGTCTGCAACCACCCAAAATTTGGAAGGAATACATTCTTTGGTGACCTCAGTAACCCTTCTATGTAATTCTTCTAGTGTGCCGATGTTCTCAATGACGATATCAGCACGGATGTTGCGCTCTTCTGAGGAGAGCTGGCTGTCAATTCGTTTTCTGCAATCGTCCTCAGATAATTCTGGGTTTCTTTCCAATAGTCTCTTTAATTGGAGGTCTTTCAGACATGAAACAGTCACTGTCGCTCCACAGATGTAGTGGAGACCCGACTCATACAAGAGCGGTACGTCGAGCACCACCAGGCCATGACCTTTTGCGTACAAGGTCAACAACTGTCTTGCAATCTCCTTCTTTACTGCCCCATGGACAATCTTGTTCAAAATGGCCAATTTGTCCTTCTTACCGAAAACAGCACGCCCTAATGCTGGCCTGTTCAAAGTCTTGTCTTCATGAACCAAGTCAGGAACGTCATTCTGGAACGCCTCCACAACTTGTTTGTAGGCTTTCTTGCCTGGTTCTACTACTTCTCTAGCAATGACGTCAGCATCCACTACCAGCAAGCCGAGATTTCTGAAGTCCTTGGAGACAGTGGATTTGCCACTGGCAATTCCTCCGGTGAGTCCGATAACAAGCATGATGAGAGATGTAGATGAATTGATAATAGTGGAGATTGGTAAGTTGGAGGACCTGTATGCAGTTTGGATGGACCTTAGCTAAGTCATGACTTACATACCCTTAGTCAGAGTGATAATAGATCAGTTTGATAATGAGTTATTGATTTCCATTTCATGATACATGACATTGTCTACATTTCTCACTTAAGATCTCTTTGTTCCAATTGTTTCCTAGTGTATCAGCACCATTGATCCTGCATCAAACTGACCTACATCTCTCTCTCTCAACCTCAATCTTCTCCAGATTCGTACTCATGTCTGTATATGTGCTAGGAGCGGGTGCCATGGGCTCCCTAGTAGCACACGAGTTAGCTCTCGGTGGAAAATTGGTACCAACACTTCTCCTCAAGTCGAGAAGGCGTTTGGAAGCTTTTCACAACGAAAATTCTACAATTTCGGTAGTCAGACCTCTGGGATCGGAATCTGTGAGCAGCAAAGTGAAGCTTAATGCACTTGTGGGCCCTCCAGTGGGCAAGGACGGCAAAATTGGACATATCGACAACTTAATTATCTCCACAAAGACTTATGCAACATTCCATGCTCTTCAGCCATACCTTGCTAATATTTCCAAAGATACGAATGTTCTCATTCTCCAAAATGGAATGGGAATGGTTCCCGCATTGAGGAAACGGTTTTGGTCCCAGCCACACCATGTGCCCAACATTTACCAGGCAATTTCAACCCATGGAGCATATAAACTGACACCAACCAGTATACATCATGTTGGGCTTGGATCTCTAGCGATTTCGCATATACCAGACTCATCAAGTCCAGAAATATCGGCTACTGAACACCCGCAGCTTATCCAGGCTGTGTTGGATGCTTCAGCTCTAAATGCTACATATAAACCATACGACGAGTTTCTCTTGATTCAAATGGAAAAATTGGTGGTCAACGCATGCATAAACCCTCTAACGGCAGTGCTAGATTGTTTCAATGGAGAGTTGCTCAATGGGAAACATATCGTTCAAATGATGAAGAGAGTGGTCAAAGAATGTGTGGACTGTTTCCGAGAAGAATACCCACAGTTAGATGATATTCCAACTTCCAGCACATATTTGGACTACGACCGTCTTCTAGCCACAGTATTGGAAATATGCAAGCTTACTAGCCAGAATAGTTCTTCCATGAGAGAAGACTTGCGTAGCCTCAATACTACTGAAATCGACTGGATCAATGGATATATTGTTGGTTTGGGATACAAACACCGAATTCCCACTCCCATGAACAAGACATTGGTGAATTTGGTGACTACGAAGCTTTCAATTGAGAGAAGTCGTGAGAGCTTGGCACTCGAAAAATCTGTCTTCTAGTGGCAAGTTTATTCGTACAAAGCTAGTGAGAAGGTATTGACATCATTATTCCGACAAAGCAATCAGTGAAATTTCCTGGATATCTTTGAATAAAGATTGGACAGCAGTAATTCTTCTCAATGTTTCTTCGTCGTACTCGCCTTGGCTGCTTAGCTTCCTTTCGCTATCATTAATAAGCTTCTGCAATATTTTGCGGAGCAAGTCCCTCAGTCTATGAGAATAAACTTGACCATCTGAAATTCCGTCTATAAATACCTTGAGTCTTCGAGAATCCTGGGGTGAAGTCTCCTGGAGCGTCGCCAACGCAATCTCTGTTCGAAATGACATCCCAGATTTGTTGACAGTGTACTCGCCATAGTAACCCCAGATCTTAAGAAATTCCACGTGTGCTGGCCGAAGCATAGGTATGATGAAATCTGTGATGTCAATATAGTTCCACTTATTCTCAGGCAACATGAAACCGTATTCACAGAGCAAGAATTCGTTGGAGTGAGGGCCATAGCTGAAGTAAAGTTCCTCCCCTGGAAGATACTTGCACGAGGTCATCACATGAAAGCCGAGTGTGTCAATTTTGATTCCGCATTGGTCGTCATTCAGATGGTTAAGGAAATCCACGTAGGGTGCCAACGTGAAATTATCACTTGCATCCTTGGCCTGAGGGATCTCCATATATAAACAACGAGAATTAATACACATCCACGCCCAAAGAAAGTTATTTCTAGATATTTGCTGTCCCACCAGTGGAAGCTTTTGTTGAATCGTCAAGTAGTCTTTGTCAAACCTCGCAACCACAGCTTCAGCATGTTTCCGGGCAGACCGCGGAAGCATCCGCCACAAAAGGTCACAATTGGCCACATCTAACACCTTCCAAATGACGGGAGCCAACCCCAACTCGCTGATTTCTGGTTGCATATCGATGAATGGTTTCCAGTAAGACAGGGTGCCTCTGGAACGTTCGAGAACGAGAAACATGGCAAGAAGCTGGAAGGACAGAAGTTCCAAAAGTGACGAAAGATTCAATTTCGAGTATAATTTGCCAACGGAGTCATCCACGGTTGGAGGCACATAGATATTTGCATAATATGGCTCGGTGAGAGTAATCTCTGGATTATGCTTTGTGATGTGTGCAAGAACAGTGGTAAAGTTCATTAGAAACAGCGGAGGGATCCTCACTAGGCGCTCATTGGCACCAATGGAGTCTGCAGCGTAAAGACCACGACCAGAGTCGTCGGAATGCTTGACTATAAGTTTTGGTGAAATGTATGAGGCATTGGACAGCTTGAGTGATGCATTGTGGGCATTGTTGATCCACTGGATAAGGCTATCCACACGTTCGTTAATGTTGAGCATGGGAAGTCAGTGCTATATAGATCAGTATAGACAGTGGTAAAAGGTCTGTATGTGGAACCAGATCTGTATAAATTGTGGATGTAGATCTGTATGAAATCGATGAGACTTAATAAGGTACTAGTTCAACAATACAGGAAGAGATGGGCATCGCCTATAGATAAGAAACAGAGACAATAATTATTAGAAAGAGGAGACAAGTGCAAAAATCAGAATAATCTTTACATTTAACGAGAAATGATATAAATTTCTTTTACAATTTTATAATTTCACATTTCTAACACTCAACCCCAATCTCAACCACTTCTCCATACTTTCTAACATACACTATCGCGAGATCAAACACCAGGTTACATTAAAGACAACAAAAATCCACCTAAACACACACCACTTCTCCACATGAGAATTCTCTGTGTGGCTGAAAAAAACTCAATTGCCAAGGAAGTGGCGAATGTGCTCTCCGGAGGACGTTCTCGTCCTAGAGACTCCACGTATAAGTTCGTCAAGAACTATGACTTCACTTACAACTTTCCTGGACTCGGAAACTGCGACGTCACTATGACAGCCGTATCAGGACACATTCTAGGAACGGACTTTGGACCCGAATACGCGTGGGGAAAGTGCTTTCCAGGTCGACTATTTGATGCACCGTTCATTACCTCAGTATCCAAAGACAAAGATAAACGAAGTCAGAAAATTCACGACAACATCGTTAAGGAGGCACGTAACGCGGATAGATTGATGATATGGACAGATTGTGATCGTGAGGGTGAGTACATAGGTTGGGAGATCTTGCACGTAGCTCAGCTGAAGAATCGGAACATCACTTTGGGTAATACGTGGAGAGCTCAGTTTTCCCACTTGGAGCCTTCACACGTGGTGTCGGCGGCTAGAAGCCCACAGGCACTCGACATGAAGTTGGTGGAGGCTGTGGAATGTCGAAAAGAATTTGATTTGCGAGTTGGAACGTCCTTCACTAGGTTTCTAACTAATGTCTATAAGAGCAAGAACATGGTAGGCGATAAGGAGGTTGTCTCGTATGGAACATGTCAGTTTCCAACCCTCAGCTTTGTGGTAGACCGCTACGTTCGTGTCAGACGCTTCACACCAGAACCATTTTGGTATATTGACGTGGTTGTAGACCACAAGGGCCAAAAGGTACCTTTTTCGTGGACTCGAGGCCATCTTTTCGACAAGGCGTTTGTCTACTTATTATACTCACAAATTATGCTGGGTAATTCGCCTGCGACCATCTCCAGTGTTTCTACAAAACCTACTCAACATTATCGTCCATTTCCACTAACCACCGTGGAGCTTCAGAAGTGTTGCTCCCGGTTTTTCCGTTTGACAGCAAAACAAGCTTTAGATGCTGCAGAGCTGCTCTACACAGCCGGATTCATCTCGTACCCGAGAACAGAAACGGACAGGTTTCCGGAGTCGATGGATCTCCCTTCGTACATTGCCAAACAAACCCAAGATCCAAGGTGGGGAAGTTATGCACAGAGTTTAACAGGTGGTAACGCGTTCAGAAATCCTCGTGGAGGCAAGCATGACGATAAGGCGCATCCTCCCATTTATCCTGTCAAATATGTGAATATCGACACATTGCGTGGAGATCAGAAAAAGGTGTACGAATTCGTCGCAAGAAGATTCTTAGCATGTTGTTCCGATGATGCTAAAGGTCTCCAAACTAGTGTTGAGTTACAATGGGGAAGCGAGAAGTTTACTGCTGGTGGTGTCCAGGTGACTCAACGTAACTTTCTCGATGTCTATCCTTACTCCGACTGGAAGTCATCAGCGCAGCTTCCTGAATTTCAGCGCAACGAGACCGTTAAAGTGCACAGCGCAAAGTTAAAAGAGGGCAAAACCTCGCCTCCTAACTACATGACTGAAACAGAATTAATTGCATTGATGGATGCCAACGGTATTGGAACAGATGCCACTATCGCAGAACACATTGACAAAATCATTCTGCGAAACTATATTAGTCGGCGGAAATCAGGCAAATCTGAAATCTTCATTCCCACATCACTCGGTATTACATTAATTCAGGCATTTGATGCCATCTTGATAGACCGTATTTCTCTCTCCAAGCCGTTTTTGAGACGGGCTCTTGAGGGGTTTCTCCAAAAAATCTCCAGAGGAGAGATTACAAAGCAGGACGTGATCAACCAACTTCTCCCACTTTACAAAGAGGCATTCATGGAGAGCAACCAGAAGAGCCATGTGATGATCGATACATTCATTGAAACGAACAGAAAACTAGATAGTGGAATGATCTAGCCAACATAGTTTACACTTATTTCGACTATTGCGTCTACTTTTTGTCTCCACTTTGCAACCTCTTAATTTCTGAGTAGATGCTCAAGATGAACAGTTCCTCTACGGGAATATCCACCACTTCCTTTACGGAGGAGCAGATTAACAAAGGTGGATAGTTCTCTGCGATCAACAAATGGATGTATTCAGCCACTGCCACCACATGATCTTCGAGACCACAAACAAGGTATAGTTGCGTAACTATGAAAGGAATGAGATGCAGTTGCACGAGATCTCCTTCCATTTTTTTAAGTTGAAATCTGCTTTGAATATTTCTGATTTCGAATTTTGGGGGCCCATCTTTGGGTGCAAAATGTCTTCGGGCACATCCGTACACCTCTCCAAAACACATTCGAAACTCACCTATACTCTTTCTCAAGTCGCTAACTTCATCATGCCTCCCAAACAACTCTGCAAATTCTACCAAAAAGGTATTTGCCGAAATGGAAACAGATGTAATTTCCTACATGTGGACCCTGATGAGGTGGCACAGCCTAACAGAGTAACTTCTGCCCAACAGTTCATGAATTTGGACCCATCGACCATAGCCAAAGACATCCGAGAGGACCTAGATGAGTACAGGTTGTTCCAGATGAACCCTGCACTCACAGCATACGGAACAGGTGAGTTTGCCATAAACAACTTGATTGCGGGTCGAGATGTTTCACCAGAGGAACTACGCATCCAATACATGGAAGCTCTGATGAACAACAAGGTTGATGACTACAACAAGAACATTGACCTCAAGAAGAGAGACATGGAATTCTGCATAAATGAGGTTCGCAAAAAGGATACACTCGCAGCGCGGTACCAGCAGGTGGGCATCACTCATAGGGATACTATGAAGCCATTTATTGATAAGACTGTCGAGCAGAGCATGGCTGAGTTGCAAAATACCGTGGGAAACAATTCGTTCGGTGGAGGCTCAGGTGCATTTGGGTCTTCTGGATTTGGTCTGGCCTCTAACAGCAACCCATTCGGCACAAATTCCAATCCTTTCGCATCCTCTGCTACTAGTAAGCCTTCAGGTTTTGGCAGTTCAACTTTTGGCAGCACTGGCTTCGGTAGCGCGGGATTTGGCAATTCTGGTTTCGGTAGCAATGGGAGTGGTTCTAACTCAGGAGGAGCTTTTGGTCTGAGTTTCTCAGGTGGAAATACTAATCCCGCACCTTCGGCTTCGACGAGCTCAGGATTCGGGAGTTCTGGGTTTGGTAGTGCTGGCTTTGGATCAAACACCACAGGTGGTGCATTTGGATCTCAGAAAACTTCTTCAGGGTTTGGATCGGCGGGCTTCGGGCAGTCTGGATCCTCAGCTTTCGGATCTGGCCCTGGTGCTTTTGGATTACAATCAAGTAACAATTCGCTGAGTCCTTTCGGATCAAATAACGGTGCTACCGCCACTAACAACTCCAACAGTGGACTCGGAGCTACCGCTTCTAATTCTGCATTTGGAAGTTCAGGTTTTGGGGCTTCAAAACCTAATAATACAAGCGGATTTGGTTCTAGCGGATTTGGGTCTAATGGGTTCGGATCTTCTGGATTTGGCCAGTCCGGATTTGGATCGAGCAACTCCACTGCATCAGGAGCATTTGGGCAGCAGAAAACGGCAACACAGAACCAATTGGCCCCAAACTCTACCTCTACTGGTGCCTTTGGAGCTGCTCCTTCTGCTTTTGGCTCGACACAAAATAATACCTCATCAGCATTTGGTGGCCCCGCCACCAATACTAACCAAAACACTGCGGCCGCGAACCCGTTTGGATCTACGACACAAGGGGCTTTCGGCCAACCCGCTCAAGCTAGCTCAACGGGATTTGGCCAATCCACATCTGCATTTGGTGGTTTTGGCTCAACTCCTCCCGCATCTGGTACAGCGCCAACATCTTCTGGATTTGGAACGACATCAGCAGCATCAGCATTCGGCGCAATTGCTAACTCCGCCAACTCCTCTAGTGCCGGCTTTGGTTCGGTTAGTGCTTCTCAACCATCGGGAGCTGCCGCTGCTTCTCTCGACAAATTTGATCCAGAAGTTGCCAAAGCATTCATGGCAGCCGGATTCGAACTTGGGAAGGTTCCAGAAGTCGCCCCGCCCCCTCAAGTATGCTAAGATTATTTATAGAAGATCACATTTGACAGAATTTATATCATGGACTGCACACCATAGTTCTGTAAATATTAAACAACTACTACTCTCAACGACATCTAGCATGGAATGATCTGTGTGGAATGCACCAATCCAGACATAGAATGTCTCTATTCGGAGTTCAAAAGCAAATACATCAAGCTAACAATCTGTCCTCAATGTGGTAACTTGGCTGATAAGTACATTGAATTTGATAATGTCATGATATTCTTAGATGTATTACTTCTCAAGCCTCAAGCGTACAGACATTTGGCGTATAATGTCGTTGAGGAGGCTGTTTTCGGTGACGCCAGAGGAAAGTCCACGGATTCCAAGAGCTTTCTTGCACGTTACAAGAAACTCATTCGGTATTATATTCTCACCATATTATTTGAAGTTTACCTTACATGGGCATACGAAGAAAAGAGTCAACATCGAGCTATAATCGCTGATAGGGTGTTACTGGCACCTGTCCATTGGCAATATTTCTATTTTATTTGCCAGCAAACAACAGAGCGAGTGACATTTTGCTACCTAATCGATATGTTCTATTGGAAGCTCATGCGCTGGCCGCAGACTACCAACAATAACATGCACAGCCGTTTCCAGCGGGGGTATTTCTCGACTGTACTACTAGTAACCACAAGCATGTCGTTGGCGGTCAAGTGCCTTCCAATTATCATGCTTATTTGGCCATACGACAACATCATAATTGCATCAGCAGCTGTGGATGCATTAGGAGTTTTCAACACCATCGAAGCATTGCGAATTAACACGGGCTCGTCATATCTTGCCACTACACTTATTGTGTTGACAGCCACAGCATTCCTGATGTTGACCAAGTACGTGTCCATGGCACTTTTAGTTGCCTGTTTCTCGCCGGGGATGACTTTCCTTGAGTTATTGAACAACAAGCTCGGCACACAGCTACATGAAACCAAATCGCTCATGTCATTTATCCATTACTCGTTGTCCATAGTATTGGGAAACTCATCCGGTTCATGATTACAAGATCTTAGTCTAAAGAATTGGAATGCTTTTCCTCACTGGTGCACCGTCTGCACTGACGTGGAGGACTTCGTCGTGGTCTACAGCGATCATGGGACCGTTGAGCTCCTCGTACAAGTATGGATACTCATAGCTCTGATTAACCTCTCTTCTTTCGTCCAAGGTTTGCTCTCTGGCGGTTGAATTAGTAGCTGCCGTGAACAATTCTTCCTCGTCGTCACCACGGAATGGAAGCTCATTGTTAACAATCGACCGCAACGCAATAAACGTGGAAAGGGATGTATAGTGCTTGTGATAGTACCAGAACACATAACCTGTGAACAATGGAAGTGGTACTAGCAAAGATGCGCAAAGAATGGCCTTCTCCGAAGCAAGAGTGCCAAACATAGTCATATGGAAAATGAGCAAGCCCAATATGACCCTTCGTACCATTAGGGGCCAAACTTTTCCCGTATTATGTGGTGGATGGATGCATGCATAAAGAAGTTGGTACTTGAAAACAAAGTATCCCACGATGAAATAGATTAGGCCAGCTGTGACGATTTTTGTGGAAATCACCGAGTATGTAATGGTGATAATCAATATTAATATGGGTTGTGGTAATTGCAACCCAAAGTTGAACACAGGTGGCTTGTAGAGGTTCAAGTAGTCCCTGGGCGTTTTACACCAGAATAGGTTCCCGATGGGATACTTGAGAAGATTTCCGAGGAGGAGTAATTTGTAAGGAAATATTCCTATGCCTTGGAGAATGATCAAGTCCACGTAGAACAAACTCAACTTCTTGAGTGACTGTGCCAACTGATAGGCGATCTGGGGAGCGGTGTCACTAAGGGTGACGGTACCAAAAAGGGTAAAAACTAAAAACAAGTTGACAAAAATGTAAAAGAAGTTTTTGGACACTGAGGAGAGCTCCTCATCTCCATGTGAAGTGTATCCTTGTTTCTGAGTGATCCAGATATAAAAGTAAGGCATGACGATGTTAAATATCGTGAAGACATAAGGAGGCAAGATTCCAGTGATCAATGTTTCTGCCCACCTGTGTCCTTTCAAGAATTCTCCAAGCTTAGGTGTAACCTTAGAGATGCTTTTCACATTCAAGAAATTAGACAAAAACCTCACCGGAAAGACCAACAAGATAGAAATCAACCCAATGAATATCATTACCATGGATATGCGGAAGTTTCTTTCTCGCCGAGATAAGCACAAATTGTCCCAGATGATATCATGGGGAGCAGGTGCCAAACTGGTGATCAAGTGGTTCACTTTAGGGTCTAGCACCGCCTGGGCCAACATTTGGGCCTGAGCGACAGATTTCATTGTTAAAATAGCCGTGGAGCTGGGTGGATATTCCCTCAACCGGCTTCTTCGAATTTCTTTATCGAGAACTTCGAGTTGCTCATTATAGTAGTTGATGCTGTCCACATCGGGTCCAAAGAGCCCAAAGAAGCCTTTCCGAAATCGAGGACGATACATATCGTCATCTGTTAACAAAGGAAGGTGGCTAACACTGGTATTCATTCCATAAATAGCGCTGGAATGGTCATCCAAGTGCTCAGATATCTGATCAATAATGGAAGCAGCTGTAGAAGTTGCAGATTCGGGGCTCCCTGGCCTTTCTTGCACACCCAGGTAATCAGAGTCGGTCAAGTGGATGGTGTCGCCGTGGGAAGCGCTGATTCGAGATGTTCTCAAGTCACAAGTGTTGTCTAAACCGTTTTTCTTGAAGTATTCTACCCATTGCACCTCGAGTCTCCTCAAAATACGCTTTCTCATACGAAATAGATCATTGAGTGTATTCCACTCTTTGACAATGACAATTTCATCAACATCTCCCACGCCTAGAGAATTGATATGGCGCTTCAACGCCTCCTCCTCCCGAAGTACAGGCGGAATCCCAGACAACTTTATTGTGCGGTCAGTGATTGAACTTTGCTGACCAAGGTAATTTTGTCTCATGGCAACAATCTTGGTGGTTTGCCGATAGAGGAGATAGAGCACCACAAGCGTGAAGACGTAAGTGAATACAGTATACATCCAAAGGAATGACTCGTAGTCGTCCAGGCCACTGTCCCTGATGAACAGAATAAGCCAGCCTGATATACTTCTTTTCGAAAGTCTTACCAATTTTATCATTGCCGAATCATCATCTCCGTTCTTATCATCATCATCATCATCATCATTCCCATCCGGGAAGTCTACCCGTCCCGTGTACTTGTATCGAACAGGGGATATTATAGTAAACGCGAAAACAACACATACAGCAAGGATTTTGATTGACATCTTGAAAAACCCTAGGAAAACCACAGCATCTAACCCAGCATGCTCAAGTACTTGCTTTTCGTCAATTCGGTACACCACAGGAATCCAACCAAATAAGGTTGACGGCAACTTTGGCAATTTTTGTCTCGAAAAGCTGTGGAAATAATTGATATTCAGCTGGTTGAAGTTAGCGACGTAAATTCGGGGGTATTTCTTTCTAAGAAAGCAAAATACCGTGAATGCCGATAACCCGAGAAACAGTGCAATCAAAATCTGCACTCGTGCAACCCTTGCCCCAGATCTATACCCATTATGGTCTCGTATAGGATCGTAAATGGGATTTGTGCCGTTAGTTGCTGAAAATCGACTCATATCTGGGCAAATATATAAGTTTATCACAGGGTACTAATATTACGATTAAACCTTATCGGTTTGTTTGTACTCACGTGACCATAGTTTGGAAAGAGGGTTTAGTTTTTTAATGAGTTTGAATGATATTTCAAAATTTGAAAAAAAAACTCTTGAACTTCTAAATTCATAATCTACTACGTAACCATTTTCTATGCTATAAAGTTGTGTAATTTTCATGGGTTGATGGACTCCATATCAGATGGTGTACGGGTGTAAGTTCGAACTTAATCCACGCATCTCTAAACTTTTGCAACCAACGCGTTTAACACTCTTTCTTCACCATGAGTTACTTATATATTAAGAATTTCATAGAGGAACAAATCCGGATTCTCAATCAACCGTTGGTAATAGATGATGAGCTCCGTGCAGTGATGAGCAAGAACAATATCAGCGAAGAAACAATGAAGAGCATCCTACTTAAAGCTAACCTTCGTCTTAAACGACATAATCGAGACCGATTCAATCGTCAAGCAGTGCATCAGATTGTGCAGCAGATAGTAAACAATGAAAAGGAAAAGGTGTTTAAGGTGAATGAAGCGTTGGCCAAGATCGAGATAATGATCCAGCCAATTTTGCTACCTGATTTCTCACTGGTTGGAGACGTGGGAGACCGAGTAGGTATGTTCAATGAGTTGGTCAAGGAGCTTCCACAGCCGGAATATTTATTTGCTGCGCATTCTTTTTCAATGGAGACTGAACAGGAAGATCCCGAGGTCATTGAGAGTGGTGGAAAGAAAGATGAGACTGAGACTGAGACAGAGGATGGGAAAGAGGGAGAAGAAGCGAATTTGCTAGTACAAGACGACCAAGAGAGATTTCAAGAGAATAGAAATGATGAAGAGCGTGAGGGGTTAGTCAAGAAGTATCAAGTTGAAGTTGCACAAGAGCTTAAAGATCATATATCGAGCCATCAACAGAAAATTGACACGTTGAAGGAACAGTATACACAGCTACGAGCACTGTTGATTGAGATGAACGAGGAATTAGTGTATAAGATGCAGAAATTCGAGTACCTTCGGCAGTTGAATGGAAAGATGAATTTTCTCCAGAAAGATTCCAATTCCTTGCGTCCAGATAGCGAGGATGAGGACAGTGACGAAGAGGTAGCGAACACTGACTTGAAGATTCAGATGGGTCGATTCCGGATCCTCATGGAGAAGCTTGAGTTTGCCATGAAGTGAGATTGGCACATCAAGTGGAGCAGCTAAGATGATATTGGCATTATATCAACCATAGACAGATATCCCGAGATGAAAGACAGAGAAGAGGTTAATGATAATAAAGGATGATCATGAATATCGTAGACATATCATTATCCGTTCAACACCATAAGCAAATCTTATTGTATGAATTTCATAAGCAGTTGGATGGTTAATGTTTCCACAATTATCAATCTTCTACAATTCCTACGTCATTGTTAGAATGGAGTGTATTATTACAGAAAGTCAACTAGCTGAGACGCTTAGTCGAACAAACCGAAACCCATGTCGTCGTCAGACTCCTCCTTGGCCTCTTCCTCCTTCTCCTCAGCAGCCTCCTCAGCGGCAGCACCGGAAGAAGCAGCAGAGCCAGAAGAAACAGCAGCACCACCAGATGGAACGGAAGCCAACTTGGTGTTACCCTCGGCAACCAAGTCCTCAATGGTCTTGCCCTCCAATTCACCCAACAAGGTGGAGATTCTGGATTCGTCGACTTCGACACCAACAGACTCCAACAAAGAGGAGATGTCCGAGGCGGAAGGAGAGGTGTTACCACCCTGAACCAACAACAAGTAAGCAGCCAAGTACTTCATTTTAGAATAATCAGTTTAAGCGGGAAAAGTGCAGACTATCCTTTGATGAGAAAAGAAAATTTGGTAGTGAGTGGAAAATTTTTTTGGTGGTGGAGGTGATGCGGCGTGGTGTACGGGTGTGACATTAGTGGATATCGATGATACATTAATGGGGATACAGGTATAAGATACGTGGGGTTTAAGTGATATGTAGCAATTTAGACAATTTATAGGGGTAACCTTTGGTAAGATTAAAGGGATGAATACGGATTTTAGCAAGTGTTGAGTGAAGTTGATTTAGTCGTTAAGATTAAGGGTACGGCACGTGACAATGGGAGTTGAAGGTTAATTTTATTGCAATATCTTATCGTGAGACTCCAAGAGAAAACAAATAAAGGGAAATTCATTATGAACCTTTGAAATTGAACTTGATTTACATCATTTTAAAATCTCTCATGAATAAGCTCTGGATCATACTACAAGACATGATTCAAAGATATTGGATACGGATTGTGCATATAGAATACATATCTCTAGTGTGAATTCAGTAAGGTGTAACTAAGTCAGTACTTTGAAAAGGAAAAATGAAAAACTGATCTTCTGGGCAACTTGTTTATTGATAAATTATTTCACACTAACTTTAACTGATATTGAGAACATCCAATGTCACGAAATAAACCTAATGAGGTGCATTGTCAAAAGACAGTCACAACATCACGTGCACCTACTTATCTTATACAATATTTGAAGATAATTCATGACACCACCCGTACACCAAGACATTGAATTGTTCAGCAAAACCCTCACAATTCATCACGTGAATGTCTATAACCTGCAGTCCTCGTCCGCATTCCCCTCTGCACTCCGTTTCGACAAAATTTTCACACTTTTCTGGTTCTAAATTTTTCTTACCACAAGTACCAAGCGAACATCATGGCTGAGACTAGTATGTTGAATCTGCAAACTATGGCGATGGAAACCACAAAACCAACTATGTGTCTGTGATATGCGGATACTCATCCTGTGAGAAGTTTTTGTCCCCTATTTCTTCCAGTTTTCCCTCCTTCACTTCCTGAATCTATATCATCAATGGAACCTACCATCCGATCCACATTCAGACACAGAATTCAGTGTCTAGAACCGATCCATCTTCCTTAGAATGGCATTCCTTGCGGTGTATCCTTATTTCCAGCACTTTTCCCGGTTGTTTCTCGCCCCTTTAATCGTCCTTATTTCCATATACTAACTACATCCAGCTAACCAAAGGAAGAGAACCTTCAAGACCTTCTCCTTCAAGGGTGTTGACCTTGCACAGTTGTTGGAGTTGCAGACCGACGAATTCACCAAGCTTTGCGGTGCCAGAGTCAGAAGAAGATTCTCCAGAGGCTTGGGCTCCAAGCCAATGGGTTTGATTGCCAAGTTGAGAGCTGCTAAGTTGGCTGCTCCAGAGAACGAGAAGCCAGCTGTTGTCAAGACCCACTTGAGAAACATGATTGTCGTTCCAGAGATGATTGGTTCTTTGGTTGGTGTCTACAACGGTAAGGTTTTCAACACCGTCGAGATCAAGCCAGAGATGGTTGGCCACTACTTGGGTGAGTTCTCCATCACTTACACTCCTGTCAGACACGGTAGAGCTGGTAACGCTTCTTCTAGATTCATCCCATTGAGATAAGCGTTTCTCCTGTCCCATATAGTATATTAATCATTGATACGAGAAAGATGTAGACTTTTTACGAATTTGACATTCAACCTTTCTGAGCCCTTTTTTTGAATAAGTTTTTCGATATAGCGTTGTATTCTCCTTTTCCAGGTCCTGCCTTTTTCGTTAGTTTTCGGGCGTTCAGTATTTTGAGATCTGCGCCTCATCGTCTTCGCCTAAACTACATGCTGTGAAAAGTTTAATTCATTTCTATATGTTACGGTGATCTTTGCTTTTCTGGAAAATTTTGGTATTTCTTTACTTAATCTGCACTTGAGCTTTGACTCTTTCTCCTTAATCCACTTTTTGAGTTCCATATAATTGTTTACCATCATATCCTAATTTTCCTTCCATCTCCACATCATCTTGCTAGATCACAAACTTTACCCTTTCTAAATCATGGTTAATGCTGCTAAAGAAATCACCTACGGAGCTATAGCAGGATCATTGGGCAAACTCATCGAGTTTCCCTTCGATACCGTCAAGGTCAGACTTCAATCTTCTCACCATGAGAAGTCCACAACCAAAATTATCAAGGACATCTTCCACAGGGAAGGTATCCTCAATGGGTTCTACAAGGGCATTAGAGCACCCATGGTAGGTGCATGTATGGAGAGTGCTGTGCTTTTTAGTGCTTTCCAGTATGGACAGGTGGGTTTATCCAAAGTCACTGACATTCCTAGTGATTCATTACTCCGAGTGTGTATTGCTGGAGCATTTTCAGGGTTTTCGGCCTCTTTTGTCTTGACTCCAGTTGAGTTGGTCAAGTGTAAACTTCAGGTGGCCAATCTCCAGTCCTCTACGGCCAGCGAATCGTATATGTCCATCATTAAGAAGATTCTTCGCAACGAAGGCACGGTTGGGCTCTGGCATGGGCTCAATCTGACACTTTTAAGAGAGATGGGTGGAACAGCAGTGTGGTTTGCTTCATATGAGGAGAGTTTGAAGACTTTGAATAACAAATTCCCAAAGCAAGAGAATACAAATCTACTAGTAAGTGGAGCTGTGGCAGGATTCATGTTCAACCTCTCCATTTACCCCATCGACACCATCAAATCGAACATTCAGACGTACGACATGACTTCTGGATCCTCCAAGAAGTTGAATTTTGTTACTGCTTTCAAGCATTTGACGAGCAGACCTGGTGGCATGCTCAACTTATACCGTGGTCTCGGAATCACATTGATGAGATCTATTCCAGCAAATGCAGCCATCTTCTACACTTACGAATATTTGAAGAAGAACTTCTAGACTCCAAATGGTTCGACTATTTATTTTGAGACGAGAAAATCTCGACTCTAAGATTAATTAATAATTATTGATTAGAAGATATTTGCGGCAGCTGCCAAATCGTCAGCATTGATGAGATCACATCCCAATCTCCACAAAGTGGTCCAATGACTATCTCTCACATGGATGGGCCAATCCACGCCTCCCCAGATTCTTGTTTTGATGCCATTTTCGTGTGCCACATCGAAGATCTGCTTCAATTTGGCCTGCTGTTCATCGGAAAAGTCTCCTCTCACAGCAGTCTGGTAACTTTCCTTTCCAAGCAATTGCTCCAATGAAGCACTGACAAAGACGCATGTTTTCTTGAATTTCTTCATCTTATCGTCTCCTGCGCCTAGAAATTCGTGAAGTGGACAGTCCGCATAGACATATCTGTTAGTGGTTTCTGTTTCGTTATTTAATACATCCCAGGGAACATTTCCAGTCAAAGTAATGATCACAGGACCCGGCAGCATCGTACCTGTTTCGTGGTCGTAGAATGCCAAGTAGTCCTTGTCGATGAATCTGGACAAGTACTTTTTCAAATGGGCATAGATATCTGTGCCCTCAGTCTTCAAATCTAGCCAGAAGTACAACGGAATCTCGGGAGCATCGTAGAAGAGCCCGAATTTCGCATTGAAGTTCTCAAGGATTGGAACAGAGAACTCCTTGTTGGCACTTTCCAAGAAACTGAACATTGGATCAAAATACACCTTATCGAGAGTATTCTCGGGCTTCAAATAGATCTGATTGTGACCCACATACATTTCATCGGACAAAAACTTCAGTGTGGTTGCGGTAATGGTATCACCAACTGTGTAATCCTCTTTAAAATGCCAGATATCTCCTTCGACGCTAACACAACCATACAGTAAAGCATCTAGTAAGGGTCTTTTACGCCAGTAGTCGTTGTGGGAGTGAATTGGCTTCAAATGAACATCACGTGTTAGACTTTCAACGGTATCCAAGGCACCTGTCGAAGTCTTTGGGTGGTCAAAATGTGGTCTGAACACATTAATCATGGTCACTGGTTGCAGAATAGTAGAAAGGGTCGACAACCGGAGAAGATTTGATGAAAATGAAAGCAAACGACTCACTGGATAAAAGCAGTGAGGCTGAAATAAAGTAGTTTCTCTTTTGGAATAGCAAGTATGATTTTAATGTAGAAGAAGCGAGTATGATTGTCAAGTTCGTAGGCCACGTGAATTTCGGGGACGGTTAATGTTAGGCCGCGAATGTGGGGGAGCGGAATGGTTGCGAAAATCAGTTTACACGTCTGTGTCTACTATCAGTTGAAGATTACAAGAATTGCATTCGGATTTTTAGTTTACCAACACCTCTCTATTTCATGTTCTGAAGTATCTCTTCTAAGTAGTGGCTGACCTTATTGATATTCGTGATAGTATCCTGTTGTAAGCTGCGCATAGTGTCATATTGAGCACGAAATCTGAGAAACTCGGCCACTCTCTCAAAACCTCTGAGAAGAACATCCTTCTGGAAGCCCTTCAAAACCTTGGACGGTACCTCCATAGTAAATGTATACTCGGCATTGCCTCTAAGCATCACGATTTTGGACTTTGAACCGTCAGCTTTGATCTCAAATAAGTTGCGAAGGACAATTAAACTGGGGATAACGCATACTAACAAACTGGCGCTCACGATGCTGAAATCGCACGCTTTGAGCCAGGTGAGCTCACCACTGGTGATGAGTTCTTGCGACGTGAACCAGTCACGCGTGGCATCCAAAGATGTGACTCCATATAATACAGCGAAACGTGGGGTTGTTTCGGATGGAATGATGCCAAGGTGTATGTTGAAAAGATCCAAAGTGCTGATTGTATCCTCAATCAATTCAAGCAAGCAAGTCCACTGAAATTCGTCAATGTCAGCAACACGGGACGGAAGCTCTTCCAAATTGATAAGATTAGTTATGGAAAATGCGCTCAATCTTGGAATGTAGTCTTCCGAATCTCCAGAATCTGCCTTTTGGGAATTGACCTTCATTGTGGAACGCATAAGTGCTTCAAAAGTCAATAAATGCTTGATGAAATGACATCTTTGAATAGAGCTTGCATGTAGAATCAAGTAATTAGCAAACATGTAATGGGCATTCAAAATAATTGTATCTTCACGAACCAAATAGAACTTGTCTCTGAGAAATGTTTTGAACTGTGGATTCAGAACCAAGTTATCTTTGGTCAATTCATTGGAGGCGATTCTGTCCATTACTTGTTGGAGAAGCAGAGCTGCCGTTATCGGTGTGTTGGAGTCTTCACAGAAGCCGCTATTAAGATCGTCCCATGAGCCCCTTCTGGAATCCTGACATTTGACGTAACTTTCATTTTTCACCGGAAGCGGGAATTTTTTGTTGCAGAAATCACTCAAGTTAGCACGCATAATGATATTGTCGTTCCTCATCATGAATAGCTTGGAATACGGACGACCCTGCCTCAAACGGAAAACCTGCGATTCAACCCAATAGATCCAGATCATCCGAATGAGTGCCTCGTTTTCATAGCGTTTTCTCGAATTAAGATTACTTGAAGTTGGCAACACTTCAAGGTAGCGGTTTCCCTGAATAATTTCATACATCTTATCGCTAATGTCAACACTATAGTGAAGATTATCTCTCACCTTTGAAGTATGGTGTATCAATGTATAGCAAAGAAGCATTCCAAAGTCATTCAAGTTGTCCCAAAAGCGTTCCATGTTGCCTAACCAATGGGCCTCACTCTGCTCAAATGGCCAGCTACGCTTCGTGCAAACAACCGCAATAATTGCATGTATGATGGAACTATCAGAATTTAGTGCCAATCTCTTCAAAAAAAAGTTCTTATTGGGTAGCAAGACAAAATTTTGATTGACGTAAGTGAAATAGAAATCAAACACCTCAGACAATACAGACCACTGGGGTAAATTATATTCTCGAAGATCGCGGTCATCAAAGGAATGTCGACTGGATGTCACCTTCTTGTCATCGCGAATAGAAGTAGGAGAATCAGAACCTCCAGCTCTTGCTGGGAATCCAGACTCTGTTATTTGGTCGCTTGCCGCACTTGTTTCCGGTAGACTCATTGACGAGACGGAAGATGTCTCAGTATTTTTATATTTCTTTGAATCGAGGTGAGGAGGAGCAGCCAGTTTCAGCGAAGTGGTTGACGCAGGTGGCGCAGAAGAAACTGGACCAGCTTCCGAACTGGGTTTCAGCCAATGGTTATGAATGCCGCTGTCTTTTCTTGAAGACAATGCATCTCCCTCACGAACATAATAACTAGTGCCTGGGCCTCTGGAAGGGTTCTCGGAAGCCTTGGATTCTGGAAATTCAATTCTTGGGGACACAGACATGGCGTGAGGGGGCGGGAGCCCATAGGCTGGATGCAGAAGGTGATGATGAGGAGGGGGAGGAGGGGGAGGAGGGGGAGGATGATGATGATGATGATGATGGTGTGGAGGAGGTGGGGGAGGTCCGTTATGGAAATGTGGAGGATAGTAGTAATCTCCCATTCTGTACATGTGTGGGGGAGGTGGATGGTGTGCAAAGTGGCCAGGTGGGCCGTGTGGATATGGTGGAGGGTGCATTCCCAAATGTGGAGGAGGATTAAATTGATCTGAACCTCTCTGGTCTCTACCATTAAATTTCTGTGGTGGACCAAAACTGTAAGGACCTGGTGGACCATGCACCAGGCCACCGTAATCGTAGAGATAACCGGAAGATGTATTTTCGCTGGGCTCATACAGTGGCTTGAAAAGTCTGTGTGGACCATCAGAAAATGACAGGTACAGTAATGTTGGTGATGGAAGCTTGAGCTTGCATGGATCATCCAACATGTGACGATGATTTGAGCTGTGGTTAGACGCAATTGAGGGAGCCACGTTGGTCCCACTGGCGGCTTCGGAGTGGAAAGTTCCGGGAGCATCTGGTTGTGTTGACCTGTCCATCTTCACGTGTTTAGATTCGGGTTTAGACATTGTCTTTTCCAGCACCCTCTTGCGTCTACGACCACCTCGCATGCTTTGAACAAACACACAGTCTATGCCTAGAAATCTGCAGTTGGAACAAACGAGTGGGGCATTGGGGGCCTTGATCAGGAGTGATTCACCATCACACTTAATTTTCTTCTCTCGACATGAAAGACATGCTCTGCGGGCCACGGGACGCTTATGGGAGTTGCCCTTGTGCAATTCGCTTGTGTCAGACGTGGTAACTGAGCTTCGGCGGTCCTCTGCTGGTCTGTCTGTGGTGGGCAGGTCCTGTCGGAGTTCCATAATGTTATAATGTGAATGTGAGTGATATGGACGGAATTAACTCAGGCAAATGGCCCATGAAAGTTCAACTTCGGAGACGCGTGGGTTAATTGTTAAGGAATGAAATGTGGAAGCGTCAAAACAAGGAAAGGAGCCGTGAACCACTTCGTTTAAGAGCAATGGAGGCAAGCGGACTTTGCGATGGGAAGTGATGACAGCAAGTCTGGAGTTTGAAACTTTTCAGTCAGCGGTCGAGTTTCGTAAAAGTGGGAAACTGAAACGGTTGGGTAAAAGCAGTCTGCTGCTCTGGGGAATTTCGATATTTGCTTATTAGTGAAGTTGAAGTCACTGGATGGATTCAAGGCCACGAAGCGCAATCACAGTAGCAGGCCTGGGTCCAGACGAACGGAGTTGAACCCACCAGAATTGGAGGAATAAGAAAATAAAAAAAAAAAGGGAAGGAACCCTGGAAGATGTAAATAAAGAAGCAGAAGAGAAGTGAAAAGCACTAACTAGTAAGTGGTGAAGAAAATCTGGCTGGAGGTACATCTTGGATTCTTGTGTATGACAAAAAATGGCTCTGCAGGAGAAGGGCCAGTCAAGCCTGCACCTCGGCAATCCGTCCAAAGGGGACGACGGGGATAAATTTCCACCAGGGATTCTGTGCTAGGGATTAACAGAGATGATTAGACGACGTGGCAAGATTCCAATGGTGGTATCTTCAAATTCATGACGTTGCAACATGGTTATCCCGGGACAATTTTTGAGACAAGCCGTACATGGTGATCGGTAACTACGCAGGACGGAAACGAGGTAGTTGAGTGAGAGAATGAGAAACGAAAAAAAAAAGGAGCTAAAAAAAAAAAAAATCCCCAAAAAATAACTAGAAAAAAAAAAATAACTAACGACCACCGGATTATGAACTTCAAACACTTACGAAGAAAAAAAAAACGAGAATTAATCTCAAGCCCTCGGGAAATCATCCAAAACCTAAAAAGTAAAAATAACTCCCACGGCATAAGAACTCTGTCTCTGGCAATGACGGAATCCAACTTACGAGAACCTACATTTGGCACCATGCGTTCTGGGTTTGATATATTGCAACGGTGGCACTTTCATGGTGCCATTTTGGGATTCACTCACAAAGATATTTTCTCTACCATGGGGCGCAGTGGGTGTCCATCTATTTTTATGACGTCCAATCCTTTGTATTATCTAGACGGCTCTGCGGATGCATGCATTGTGCGCACATGAAGGACCAGTGATTTCGTCTTTGCATCAGACAAGGTTGTCATGTTGGATTTAGAATCTTGCTTTGGCAGATTGTTTTAGGTGTCATCGACCCCTCATTTTTTAATGTTTACTTCAGATTGTGAGCATCGAATGACCCGCCAGCCGAAGATTCTAATGCTTATTGCATATGCGGAGTGACGTATAGAAGTCGCCCGGCCATATTCGGTGATGGTGTTGATCAGTGATCGAATTTCGTGCAGAAGCCGCACTGTCATCATTACAATTGGGGTATCCCGCGCGAATATCTCAAGTGTTTACTTAGGAATAGTGAAATGGAGAAACCGCGGTCAAGAATAGTGAAATGAGGAAAACGAGCTGTCGCATTGGTTAGCGTTTGAAGCTCTGAAATATTGTATGAACGTGGGGGGCATATTGAACTTTTGAATGGTTTAGATGTATTGTTTGTATCCATTGCCGATGGCAAGAAATCACCGCTCTGGGGACCCTAAGTAGACGTTTGTTGAAGTTTTGATGGGCATTCAAAGTGATCGATTAGCTGTTAAAAAGATGAATCTCTCTGAAAGCGGAGTAGCGAGCTAGTAGATCTAAAGTCCGAAGTATTCTTGGGTTTGTTTTGTGTAGGTTGCATAGGCAGACTTTTAGGCATTTCCAATGGTTTTATAACTTGCTTTTCAGCAGGTCTTCAAGATGTTTTCGGGTAGTCCTTAACTGTCTTCAACTGGATTACGAAGGTTTTATTCTTTAAAATTTAAGGATTGTGCTGCTGCTTCCATACTTGGTGCTATTCGTGTGTTGATGGCTCAACACTGTGCCGATACTTTTTAACATCAAGAGTGGCAGTACCCAGGGTTCAAACCTAGAAATTTCGGGACTGTGTGGCACTAAGTTGTATGGTTTATTGAAATGGTAATTCAAACTACGAGGCTATTATTATCTGAACTTTGGAAGACGCCCAAAGACAATGGTCCCCTTTCGAATTTGTTTCTCTCGAATTTTTTTATGCTTCTATAAGTCACTAGTTTTCTGTAAGATTCGTTGCCATAGTCCTTAAAATTGTGCTGACTTCAGTGTAGTGGAATTTCTCGGGCTCACACTCAGCCGACTATCTTACAAAGTGATTTTCAGGTAACGAATGAGATATTTTATCAAATGGTATTTCGAATGAGATATTTTATAAAAGGTATTCCAAATGATTCTAGAATCAGTAGCAGTTGCAAAAAGGAATCCAGAAATGGTAGTCCAATCAGCGAGGGCTGACGCCCTATTTTCAAAACAACCAAAAGTCTTAGCTGTTCACATTACCAGATATGAAGCTTCAGAAACAAAACTATACAATTAAGATGGTCTAAATTTAGTAGTGGATTCGATTTTACCATTTCTTTGTTTCGTCCATTAATATTTCACCTCACTTGAAGCTATAGTCACCTGAGAGTCATCTCAAGAAACCAAAAGCAATCGGGATCAAACACCACCTACATTTCCCTCACTTGTCCAAATATATTTATTCATAACTATTTTATGCTCTAAGCTGCTTCTTCAATTTGGTGCCCTTGAGGATGGCTACAAGTTGAATACTTCCACTCAAAAGCTCTTCCTTGAAGTAAAACAAGAAAGCAGCAGTCGAGATCGACTGGAACAACTTGATGCCCAATCCACGGTATAATCCCTCAAGGCCCTCCTCGGTTACAATCTTCTTGATCTCCTGTACCATGGAAAGTTTGACTTCCTTGGTTGTTGAGTCTTCCAACTTCTTCTTTTTAACATGCATCCGTGACTTCAACGTGATGTAAGGGTAAGTAAGCGTGGTGGCGACTAACTTGCCGAAAGCACCAATAAAAAATGCCTTGATGGCAGTGAATGAGGCAGCACCGTTGCCAGCAATGATCACATTCTTCACCTGCTCAAAGATGGTATATTGAATAATTGGGTTGATGACCAAGACTAACGCTGGAAAGACGCCAGCAAACAACGTTCCTACACCATCGGTCTCGATGATCTCCAAAATGGTCTTCATGGCAGACTGCGAAGAGCCGTTGTGTTCCTTTGCCTTGGTCATCATTCTGGTGTTGGCGACCCAAAATGGGTTTGTTCCCACAACGGTAATGGCACCAGCGATGGCACCAGTGATGATGGACTGCACTGTCGACAACCCGCGAGCCTTTCTACCAGCCGTCTTGTTTGCTCTCAAGAAGACGTTGGACGTGAACTCGTAGAAGTAGTAGTAGATGAAGTTGGACAAGGTAATCCCGTACAAGGCACTTTCAAGTCCCGAGTACAATCCCAAAAAGCCCTTTTCCTTCAAAATTTTCTGTGCAGCTGACGTTGACAGCACCTTTTCTCCATTTTCGTCGCCTTCCTTCTTCTTCTTAGTAGTTTGGGCCAAAGTCGACAATGTCACCAATGGATAGGTCACAATCATCGACAAGGCGCCTCCTCCGGCACCGGAAAGGGCGTGAGCGAGTTCCTCATCACCAGCCATGATTTTTGCTAATGTCTGCTTTCCTAAAGATGGTACTTTCGGTATCTTTCGTTAATTCCAGTACTTGATGTATAGCCAATGATGGTTAACTATATAGAAGACTGGTAATATGAAAGAATATGTTACTTATAGCCTCCGCAAAGCTTGCTGTCTAACTTTTGAAAATAACAAGAGCAAGGACAAAATTGAAGACAGAAAACCCCGAAAACCGTTTTGTTGATTGTTAATTCCACGAAAGTAGAAGAGACCAGGATAATTATAAAGAACGCGGTAGAGATCCGTGGGTACACTATCACATGTTTTGTGGGGTACCGAAACCTACAGGAAGTGATAATAAAAAACACCCGTGCACCACATCAAGATTTCGGCACAAGGAATGGATGGACCGAATGTCTCGGGATTCTAGAGAATATACGATTCAGGTGGGGATCACTGGGTTCATTTGCCGAATTTCACGAAACCCGGGCCTTCTTAAGATATAATGTAGCTAATATTCTTTGAATGGGCACGATTGAAAGCTGACAGGCAACTCAAGAGGTTTGACCTAACGAGTTTATTATAGATTAGATGAGGAATATGTGAATTTATGATCTATTGTGATTTTGACTTATCATCTTAGTGGCTTTTTTTGCTTGAAATCATTGACAGGTCTTGAATTACAGTATTTGGACGGTGGAATTCACGATGGATTCAACCTCGCACGAAATATTGAGTGATTTTGATTATAGTGGTGAAAAGAAAATAGGTTACAAAGAGAAGGGTATGCTGCTTATTGTTTTTTTCTCTTTGCGGATCTTTATACTTACCAATTATGACATCCTATCTTATGGACATCCTCTCCTGTGAATATTATTGTAGGGATCCTCGTAAATACTAACGGTTTTTACTGCCAGAAACTAGTTGCTAAGAATTCTTGGTTTGAATTAATGTCAAGTGTATTGGTGACTTTCAATTATGAAATCTCCACCATAGGGACTTGCTATGAAGTTTGTAGCGAGGGTACAAGGTCAGTGGTGTTTACGTAACGTGATGTGAATGCTACTGTCGAAATAAAAAAAATTGGTTAACGGTAGAGATTTTTGGAATATTAACAAATCCTTGTGATATGAACTATCCCAAACACTACAGGAAACCATTAGTCCATGAAAGTTGTTTTGAAAATTCCAGCAATTAACATCATATCAAAAAGAACAAGATAAAACTCGTCGCTCTATCATTTAATTCGCCGAGTGTTATGATCAAATGTAGAGAAGCTTTAGATATTCTTCTGACTCATCCGGCCAAGGATATTAGTGTAAATCATTGCGACAAAAAGAAACCACCCCTTACATTCTAAAAACGTGTCTTCCTTTGAAGTTCCAGAGACCACACCCATGACTTATTCATTCAAAAATGTGATCCCAAGCACCTTATCGCCCGTGATCCTGGTGCAAATCATGGATTTGCAAAAGTTGCCAATGGAAGTATTCGCACAAATACTTAGTTACTTGCCTCTGGACACCTTGAGGAACCTTTATGACATCCTAGAATTCTCAAACGAATGGAAAGCTCTAGTAGTAGCCGAACTATATGGACACATAAGCACAGATCCTGAGCGGCAAGACGAAAAAAGGTTTAGAGTTGTGTCGCCTACAGAGTTTCATCGACTCGCTTCTGGAAGGATCAATGTTCAAGTACAACACTTAGAGATAATTGAAGAAGACAGTCATTTTGAGGAGTTTTTGAAATTTTATCGTAGCTTCTTGGAAAGAATTCCCAAGATCACTTTTAGTGGAGATGAATTTGGATATAATACCTACGATTCTTTGATCAGAACTCATAACCTAGTTGAAATCGATATCGACATCATTATGGAATGGAGATTTACTTTGAATTCGGGTCAAGAAGTCATTCATTTCAATGAACTTCCCTTTAACTTAGAGATTTTGACGGTTTACCTGGTAGACTCGGATATAACATTGAAGGAATTGCCTGAAACGATTAAGAGCATCAGCGTGATTTGGAAAAACGGATACTCTCTTTCTGATATCATAACAGATGGCAATTCCGAGGACTCCGATGACTCCGATAATGAACATGAGGGATTTCGTGGCACTGTTCTGGATTGGGAGCTTCCTGACAATCTACTGCGTCTATCACTATCTTTATTTTCAAAAGAAGGTTTGAAACTTCCCAGGCGCCTCACTCATTTGTCTTTAAGAGCATGTGGCATCGAAGCAATGGATATTATTGAACTTAAGTTACCCAAGAGTTTGAAAGAATTGGAGTTAGATAATAATCCAATTAAAGATTTGTCTGGAGTCACCTTCCCTCCCCTTCTCGAAATCCTTCTGCTAGAAAACTGTGGGATTGAATCGTTGACATTTACGAAGTTTCCTGAACTGCTCAAATCTCTTAATATTAGTCACAATTCGTTCCAAGGATTGAAAAATGTCACATTTCCCAAGTTGAAGGTTCTCAATATATGGAGTCCTGAGCCCTTTTCTTTGTCAAATGTAAGTTTTCCAGAGACAATTGAAAGGCTTAAAGTGAGATTACCCAATTTTGAATGGAAGGATGCATACCTGCTTGCAAACTTGAAAGCATTGGATGTCAGTCTTGATGAGGGGAGTCTTGTTTTCCCTTCAGATTTAGAGGAGTTGACTTTAAGGTTTGATAAGAAGGTATGTTCTTTAAAGTTACCGCAATCTATTCAGAGGGTATCTGTCTACAAAGGCGAAGTTAGAATCTTCGAGCAAGACCTTTATAGTCTCCAGGAATTGTGCCTTGAGAATTTAAACCAAAATGCAGAAAGCGACGAAGAGGGTAAGGTCAGAGTACCATGATATTGGATGCTAACAACTAAATGATTATACCAATACTTCATTGTCTCCATGATCTTCGTATAACGTATGCTTGAACACTTTGTCAATAAATGAGACCAAATAGAACAAATGAATGGATATCCCAGATTTGAAATCTACCGACATCTCCTTGCCGAACAATTGGTTAAGGTCAATGACATCAATTCCGTCTATAGTCTCTCGAATTGGATCTAATACATCCGTATAACTTTCAATTCCTACAATCTTCACCCTTCGTTCTATGGTATGTTCCTATGTACATTATGCGAGACCGGCCCAGCCCGGTCAGATGTTGCTACCCTTAAGCGTCAGACTTCCTCAGGTTCTGCAAAAGCTCCTCAGTAATAGCCTCAAGCGACGTGCTACCCAGAAGCAACTTTTCCTCTACAAACTGCTCGGCAGCCTTCTTACCATGAACAAACGTCACAGCACCTACCAACGCATACATCATCTGTGCGCTGACCTTCAATTCACCACTCTGCTCGAAGCTCAAGTGCGAGTTGTAAGACTTCCAGAACATAATGGTATTCAACTTCGAGTTCTTTGCAAACACACCTAACGCCATTCTTCCGCCTAACTCCTTAGCCATAGGTGTTCCCAAGACGTCCAAGTTCTTTCCGTTGATCGCGAGCTCGTTAGATGTCTGTTTGCTCACTACGTACTTGGCCAAAGTCAAATTCAACAACTTGGAGCCCATGGTGCTCAACTTCTCATTGTAAGGCTTAATACCGTTACCAAAGGATTTGTGTGTCAAAACTTGTAAAGCCAAGTCATCAGGAATAGCATATTTGTCCAGTAAGAACAGTTTGATGTGTTTCAAGTTTTCTGGGTTAGTACCGTGGAAATGGCCTGAGGCGGTGGTGAAAACCTCGGTAGGGTCTCTACGGATTCCGCCGACTCTCGGACCCGTATGCAAATAAATGTTTCTGGCGAAACGCTTGGAGACTGCCAGTACAGACATTGGAGTAGTCGATATTCAAGTTATATCTGATTTTTCCACAGAGAAAATTCCTCACCAAGGTGGAGGTGGTGTGTGCAGGTGACATCTATAGGTTTTCTGATTGCAAAAATTACTGAGGTCATCTCTAGTACGAAACACTGCGGAAACAATAGCGACTTATAGAAAAAAGGAGAAGAAATGGATATTTTCAAGATTCTTTCTCGTGGAGCTTCGCTCAAGAATAGCAAGCGGACGGCTGCAGACTTCTCGGTGCCCAAACCTGAGAAGCCCATCGCAAAGCCTACAAATGTCAAGGCTCAGGTGGAGAAGGAGACAGACTTTTTCAGAACCAAAGTAGGAAAGAAAAGCGATGAAAATCATGGGGCTACTGAAGAAAATGACGAGAAATCCAACGAAATTGACGAGAACGCCAGCGATGATGAAGAGTCTGAGCCTCTCGTGGTGATTTCCACCCAGACAGAGGCAGATGCATTCAGAAAGAGATCTCGCGCCAAGGTCTCCGGTCACGATGTTCCCTTGCCTATTGGCCTGTTCCAGGATCTTGTATCCCGCTTCAACATGAACAAAAGACTCTTGCACAATCTTCTAGACGCAGAGTTTGTAGAGCCTACACCTATTCAATGTGAGGCAGTTCCTACTACTTTGCACCTGCGAGATGTCATCGCATGTGCCCCCACAGGTTCTGGTAAGACATTGGCATTCTTGATTCCTATGATTCAGCTTCTTTTGGAAGACGCTCCAGCCAAGAACTCCAAGGTTCGTGGACTTATCATTGCACCAACCAATGAATTGGCTCTGCAGATCCACCAACAGCTCCAGACGCTTACCAAGGGCCACAAAAGCCTTCCGAGCGCCATTTTGTCTCGACAGCTCGCCACCAGACTCCTGGACAATCTTGTTTCCGCGTCCAAGTATGCCATTATCGTGTCCACTCCATTGCGTCTAATAGATGTGGTGAAGAACGGTCACATGGATCTTTCCTCAGTGGAACAGTTGGTGATTGATGAGGCCGATAGATTGTTCGACAAGGGTTTCGTCGAGCAAACAGATGCTATTTTGGCGGAGCTCACCTATCCAAAACTCAGAAAGTCCATCTACTCCGCTACAATTCCTGCCGGCGTGGAAGAGTTGGCCAACACCATCATGAAGGACCCAGTAAGAATCATTGTGGGCCATAAGGAAGCAGCATCGTCCAATATTGATCAGAAAATCGTGTTCACAGGAAGTGAAGACGGAAAGTTGGTTGCTGTGCGTCAAATGATCCAACAGGGAGAATTCAAACCCCCCGTGATAATCTTTTTGCAATCGATCACAAGAGCAAAAGCATTGTTTCATGAATTATTATATGACAAGTTGAACGTTGACGTGATCCATGCAGAGAGAACACCAAAACAGAGAGACGATGTGATTAAAAGATTCAAAAATGGAGATATCTGGGTACTTATCACCACCGATGTGCTCGCTCGAGGAGTTGACTTCAAAGGTGTCAATCTTGTGATTAACTACGACGTACCACAAACAGCACAGGCCTATGTTCACAGAATCGGAAGAACCGGTAGAGGAGGGAAAGCCGGTAAAGCAGTCACTTTCTTCACCAAGGAGGATAGTTTGGCCATTAAGCCGATTATCAATGTGATGAAACAATCTGGATGCACTTCGGGCTACAGTGAATGGATGGAGAACATGAGTAAACTCTCAGCACAAGACAAGAAGAATATTAGAAGAAATGAGGCCTCCAGAAAACAGATCAGTACTGTGCCAAAGGTCGTCAAGCAAAAGAGAAAGCAGAGACAAGAGATGATTGCCGCATCGAAGAGGCGGAAGGAACAAGAATAGGGCCTACCAAGGCATGTATTCAATAGAGCAAATAAGCAATGCATTCTACAAAAGTATCCTCAAAATGGCGTTGAATATATATATACCCGGAATCAAACGTCTAGGAGTTAAATCCTCTTTTAATAATGCAAGCAGCATCCACATCTAGTGGTGCTCGGCGTGGCCCACCGATGGGTAGCCAAAGAGAGATCTTCTACCAATGACTTCACCAACAGAGAAGAAAGCCAATGCCTGGACACCGTAGATGGCCACCTTGGCAGCAGTGGCCTTGTTAGCCTCCACAGAGGAGAGCTTCTTAAGCAAAGCCTTTTGTTCAGTTGGAGTCTTCAAAACATTGAACCACGACTGGTAGGTCTTCTGGAACTGAGCCTGGGATGGTGGAGCCAATCCTTCAGCCTTGTAGACAACCTTGACAACCTCGGCACCAACCTTACCCCAGTAGACGGCGCAGTTAGCGAGCTGAGTGGACTTGGCAACAGCAGAGTTCACGAAACCAGTGGCCTTGTTAATAATGGCAGACATAGTGAGTGGTTATTTGAATGTTAAGTACGGATTTTTCCACTAATAGTGCGATTGTGGTTTTTTTTTTCCGGACTGGCTTGACCAATCGAATGGTGAGCTTTGACTATTTGCAGGATGTTCCCGGGGAGGGTAGTTGACGAGTCCAGCAACAATAGGATGTAGTAAAAACGGAATGTGGGGGGGGGAAGACGATAGACAATGTCAATGGTCCCAAATTTTGTTTGTAAATGGTGGTATTTTGGAAGTTTCAGCAAGTTCTGGTATAGTAGAGGTGTTCCGAGGAGAAGAACTTGGGTGCGAAATCATAAACTTAGAATGAATCAATACAATCGAGGATATTTGTAATACCTTGAAATATTTGAAAAGCCCATGAATTGCCCCATGAATTGCTCTAATTTCACGACATTCATTCATTGATTTCCCTCTTTTATTCCTTTTTTGTTGGCATTATTTAAAGCTGCATCACATTGAAGCGATCAGGCCAAATCACAGGAGCAACAAGACTCCATCCATACAACACAAAACACACCCACGAGCTGATGATCTTCACCCAACTGGAGAAATAGGTTCTACCCACCGGAACAAAGTCGCCCACATCATCTTGGTTGACATTGATAGTGAGAAGCGTAGATATGTACTGAGTAGCCAAAAAGAAGATAAGGTGGAACAATGTGTAGTTGTATTTCACCAGCTGATGCTCATCCCCACCAGCTCTTCCATCTTCCTCGTATAAATTGAGCTGGTTAAGTGCACTTTCTGGCAAGGAACCTTCGTCCACGGCTTGTTTGATAGCTTGGTATCTCATTTGGGCTCTTTCGCTTGGTTGTGAACTCACAGAAGTCTCAACAGCGGGAGCTTCTGTTTCAAAGAAGGAAGAATTAGCTGCACGTGTGGTGGTGTAGGCTAATGCCACGAAAGTGAACAATGCACCCATGATCACACTCAAGGTTCTGGTTCCCCTGGAGCGAACAAGGGGGTTGCACATCTTGTCGTCAGGCTCAGATACAACTGCACTGAGAACCAAGTATGTGCAATATAATACCACCATCGACGCCTGTGCCAATCCTGCGTTTGGGTTTGATTCTTGAATGTTCTGGTTAATGGAAATTCCAGATACAATAATGGACAATATCAAGTTAATGGTAATGGCAGACTGGTTCATAGAGCATCCGCTTCCGGCAAAAAACACATACATCAACACCGTCAACACAATGCTGCACACGTACATGGTCAAGGTACCTCCTACAAGCAATTTCTTCCAGAAACCAGCATTGTACTCATCTTCACCAGTCAACTCTTCCAACTCGATCTTCTCCAAGCATGTTTCTGCCCAAGCATGTGCAAAATCCACAAGAAGAATCAAGCCAATTCCAAGGAAGATTGTGGAGAAGATGATGGCGATGTGGTTTCCGTAAAACACAAAGAAGTTGTCAGGAATCACCAAGAAGTTGATGGCCAAAAGTGCCAACCAAGCAAAGATCTTCACTTTCCAGCATCCGTTCTGGATCACTGCACGTGGATTGGACGTCGACCGAACGTTCACAAGTAATCCTGCCAAAACCAAATGAAGAGCACCTAGGGCAAGATTAATTCGGTATACGGAACTAAAACTGATGCAGTTTTTGCCGTCGCCGCACTTGTTATTTATAAGACCAAAGCTCATTTTCGCCAATTTGTTGATGATAAACGGTGAGAGCGCAATCCATGAGAGGAGAGAGTTGATCATCAACAAGAAGGCGTAGGTCAATCTAGTCATAATTGCCGAGGAGAATGTACCTCCAATCGAAGAGCACAATGCAGAACATGCTGCAGCACCACAGCACGATGCAATCCAGCTAGTTCCAGCCAAGGGAATGGAAACAAGGGCTCCCATGATGTAGATTTGAAGGGATTATGATAAGAAATGTGGAGGAGGATGACTGTGCGCAGTGTGTAGGAGAATTGAGAGTAGTAATTTGAGACATCCATGAAATGAGGGTAAAGTTTATAGTCAAATCCACCAGAAAATTTCGTCGATTGAACTTGGTGTTACAGTGATTGAATAAATAACATCTTCTTTCAATCCTTTCTTTTTCATCTCTAAAGTTCAGCGATTTTCAAAATCTGCTTGTCACGACTACTCTAGACCATTGTACTGCATCACGTGTGCAGAACGAAAACGTACTCACTGACGTATTGATCGGATCCAAAACATTGTTACTATCGAAAATCGAAGTTCCAACTACTTAAAATTCCCCGTGAAAGGGTTTACAGGGTAAAATGAAGGTTTTAGATGAAGGTGTACGGGTTTTGTCACCTGGTGTATGGATGTTTTCCTTGGTGTACGGGCTTTTATTTGGCTTTGTGTCTTTGACTTTGTGCAACCGGGTATAGATCATTCCCAATACCGCCAAATTTCCTATAAATGAAAGTCATTTGGTATTAATATATTAACAGCAAATCTCCACCTCACTTTCTAGCCCTCAGAAACAATTTATCGGCACCTTCTGCTTGAAATTCATTACAGCCTCTTTCAACCAGTCGCTTACAACATCTCAGGCTCGAGAAGCTCCAAACTTATATTGGGTCGAAGATTGTACTATTGAGACGTTCGAGTTATTTTCTATTCATTTACCTCTTCATATTGGTTAATCGTTCATCTCTTTGATGATCAAATCCTATACAGTCGTGGGCCCGCGCACCAATTTCTCTATCAGAACCATCAAAGTAGTTACCAACATCCTATAACCATTCGAAATGTCCTTTCGGAAGAGAAATGAACCTCTTACAGGAAACACGCTTACTCCAACCCCGAGAGCCCCAAGTTTGCGTACTCCTGTTAATGGTAGAGTGCCAATAGCTCCAAGAAACCCATTGGCTACTAATGTCGGTCGTGGTCCATCGCCAAGTGTTAACAGGGAAAAAACTCCCGAGGCTGACTCTCTTGCAGCCAATCCAGCAATTAGACCTTCCACTGTTACTTCCCAGCCAACTGTTTCTACTGGCTGCGCAGATTTGGACAAGATTATGATGCACCTGGGACTTCCGCTTGGAACGTCACTTCTCATTGAAGAGACAGGGACCACCGACTTTGCGTCGGTTCTACTTCGTAACTTCGCTGCTCAAGGTGTCATGCATAACCGAATCGAAAAGAATGCTCTTCATTGCCACGTCGTGGTGATTGGTGCACCCTCAGCTTGGGCTAAAGACTTACCAGGAGAATACAAGGGAAGCAGCAAAGACCAGAAGAAAAACAAGATTGCCCAAGATTCTAGCAAGATTAGTGTATCCAATATGGCGGAGAAAGACTTGAAAATCGCCTGGCGATATGGAGTCAATGGCGATAAAACAAAAGAGGCTGACCAGCCATCCAGTTCAGTGAATGAACACTATTTCACCCAGTTTGATATTACTCAACGTCTTGTTCCTGGTCCGAGTGCTCAGGAAATGTCATTTGTTCCAATTGGAACCTCATATGCTACTACAATTGCTCAGATCACCCAGCTCGTGGAGAAACACTCCAAGCAAAACCAGGTGGTGAGAATTGTATTGGCGGGCTTCCTCAACCCTTCGCTATATGCGCCACAGTGCTCGTCGCCAACGTATATCATACCTTTCTTTGTCTCCTTACGAGCACTTTTAGCTAAGTACTCTAATGTTGTGCTAGTGGCATCACTCCCGCTAGATTTGTATCCAAGAGAGAGTCTCCTCACCCATGCATTCGAGGGTTTCGTGGATGGTGTTATCCACTTGCAACCATTTAATCCTGATATGGCCGCCTTGGTGGAGAGAGCGTACAAGAACGAGCCATCGAAGATTCAGCAAGGATTGGTGAATATCATCAAGGTCCCTGTATTATCTGAACGAGGTCTCATGATGGTTCGAAACGGCGAATATGCGTTCCGTAACGGCAGAAGAAAGTTTGAAATCGAGGAATGGGGAATTCCGGTTGAGGAGTCTGAAGAGCCCGAACAGACTACCAAGAACATAGATTTCTAGTCTATTGGTCTATTGGTGTCTGAGATGACATCAATTTCGACATGCTTATCCTCTCTGATCGGTTCTTTTCTAGACTGTTGGACCAATTCCAGAACATCCTTTTGAAGCTGTGCCATTGCAGTTTTCAACTCTTTGATCTCATCTAGTATCGTCTGTTGGAATACCTTTGAATCTCTCAAGGTGGTGGCCGTTAGCGCAAACGTGTTAGCGATTCTGTCGATTGACTCAGTCATGTGGTCCAAATTTGATGGCTCCACAACCGATTGAGCGTCTGAGGTGAATCTTGTGGTTTTCTGGCGTTTCTCAGGTACATTCTCAAGATCGTGGATCTGTTTCCTTCTCAATGGAGACCCGGATCTTCTCACTGGCGAAGGTGGCCGCACCTCTACTTCTGGTGCCGGCAAGCGTGTTGCTGCCACTGCAAATTTCTGATATTTGGCATCTGTACGTGCTGGGGGAGTGGCCATGGTGTAGTGAGTTAAGGTTGTAATAGTTAAGGTTGAAAGTTGAGAGGTACAGGACTACGCGTATGGACCAGAAATAATGTGGAGCATAGAAATAATCGTCCAAAAGGAAATATATCGGTGAACGACGAAAAAAGACAACAAAATAAACAAATATCTTAATCAAATGAAACTCTGCATTTTCTTCTCCCATTTATTTGTAGTTCTATCACCCTTGGTTCTGTTTCAACCTCTTGTTGTCATCTTACTGCATTTGTCTAGTACATAAATCTACAAAATAAAACCTTGTATGATCATCTACAAAAAAATGAAAAAAAAAGAATATTTTGAAGAAATCTACTATCAGAAAAGCACCCATATAAAATTCATCTCACCTTAAAACCCTTCAGTCTCCTTCGTCTCCCTCTTTTCTATTATTCATGGTCCTCTCATCTTCTCCTGCACGCTGCACCCAATTTACCATATCCAGCTTAATGACGCGCATCAACGTCTTCTCTACTACTCTTCACCATGTCTCTGTCGCCAATCCGAAGCCTGGCCCAAGGCAATGCGTCCAACTCACAGTCACAGTCGCAGTCTCAAACTCAGAATCCGGTGCCGTCGTCCCCGCTTTTTTTCGCGTCGTCGTCGTCAAACCCGGGCTCCGATATCAACCCATCATCCAGAAAAGATATCTCGTCACCTCTTCACTACACGTCGTCGAGTCGCCACCATCCTTCCGATGGCTCAAGAGCTCGCTCCGATAACCTCACATCTGATGTGGACAGAATTGTCCGTAGACCCATCCGGTCCGATTTAAACGCCGATGTTCTGTCGTCTCCAATGAGAAGAAGAATGTTTGATGAAAGACAGGGCCACCATCACTCGGGCCACCCATCGCTGGACAGCTCGCAGATTGGATCAGAGATTTTCGATTCAGGAGAGCCTGTGCGTGTCATTTGGGGTACCAATGTGTCGATTCAGGACTGTACCAATGCGTTCCGGGACTTTTTGATGCTGTTCAAGATGAAGTACAGAAGAGCGTTGGATAATCAGCCAGTGGAGCCTGAGGACCTGGAGCTCTACTATGTGGGCCAGTTGAATGCCATGAAGGACTTGGGAACAACCAACTTGAACTTGGATGCTGCCAATTTGTTGGCATATCCTGCCACCAAGAAGTTGTATTACCAACTTATCAACTACCCCCAGGAAGTCATTCCTATCATGGATCAGACCGTCAAAGACTGCTTGGTATCTTTGTTCCTGGACCTGACTGCCGTCCCTGCGTCCATCGACGACATTGAAACTAACATCTACACCATTCGTCCTTACAATCTTAACGCTGTACGTAAAGGCATGCGTGAGTTGAACCCCAACGACATCGACAAGCTCGTGAGCGTCAAGGGTCTTGTTTTGCGTGCTAGTGCTATCATCCCTGATATGAAAGTTGCTTTCTTCAAATGTAATGCTTGTGACCACACCATTGCTGTTGAAATTGACCGTGGTGTGATCTCTGAGCCCACAAAATGTCCCCGTCAAGTGTGTGGACAGGTGAACTCGATGTCCTTAATTCACAACAGATCCTCGTTTGCTGATAAGCAGGTGATCAAGTTACAAGAGACACCAGACTTGGTTCCTGATGGACAGACTCCTCACTCAGTCAACTTGTGTGTCTATGACGAGTTGGTGGACACTTGCAGGGCAGGTGACCGTATTGAGGTGTGTGGAATCTTCAGATCGTTGCCTGTGCGTGTCAATGCCCGTCAAAGAGCCTTGAAGAACTTGTACAAGACGTATCTCGATGTTGTTCATATCAGCAAAATTGACTCTAAGAAACTTGGTGTGGACGCCTCTACTTTACAGCAGCTGGCTACTGAAACTCAGGAAATCGATCAGAAGCGTCAGTTGAGTGCTGATGACATCGAGAAAGTCAAAGAAATTTCTCAGAGAGACGATTTGTATGAGTTGTTGGCACGTTCCCTCGCTCCATCCATTTATGAGATGGATGACGTTAAAAAGGGAATTTTGCTTCAATTGTTCGGAGGTGCCAATAAACAGTTCCAAAAAGGTGGCCGTTACAGAGGTGATATCAACATTTTGCTTTGTGGAGACCCATCTACCTCAAAGTCTCAACTCTTACAATATGTTCACAAGATCTCCCCCAGAGGTATCTACACCTCCGGAAAAGGTTCTTCTGCAGTTGGTTTGACCGCATATATCACTCGTGATATTGACACAAAGCAGCTTGTTTTGGAGTCTGGTGCATTGGTGTTGTCTGATGGAGGTGTTTGTTGTATCGATGAATTTGACAAGATGAGCGACGCCACAAGATCCGTGTTGCACGAAGTTATGGAACAGCAAACCATTTCCATTGCCAAAGCAGGTATCATTACTACTTTGAACGCACGTACTTCGATTTTGGCGTCTGCCAACCCTATCAACTCCCGTTACGACCCAAACTTGCCAGTTACTTCCAACATCGACTTGCCTCCACCTTTGTTGTCTCGGTTCGATCTTGTCTACTTGATTTTGGATAAGATTGATGAGTCTATTGACCGTCACTTGGCTAGGCATATCACTGACATGTACTTGGAAGATGTGCCTGACTCTGTCTCCAACAGCGCTGTTTTGCCTGTTGAAACCTTGAGTACATACATCCAGTATGCCAAGGAGAACATAAATCCAGTTATCACTGCTGAGAGTAAGTCTGAGTTGGTTCGTGCGTACGTGGACATGAGAAAGATGGGAGATGAGTCCAGATCTAGTGAAAAGAGAATCACAGCAACCACCAGACAGCTTGAATCTATGATCCGGTTGGCCGAAGCACATGCCAAGATGAGATTTAGTCAGTATGTGGAGCTTGTTGATGTTAAAGAGGCTGTTAGATTGATCAAATCGGCCATCAAGGATTATGCCACAGATCCTCAAACGGGAAAGATCGATATGGACATGGTCCAAACAGGAACCACTACAGGCCAGAGAAGAATGCAAGAAGACTTGACTCACCAGGTTCTTGAGCTCTTGGACGATGTGACATCCATGAGATTCGTGGACTTGATTAATAAGCTTAACGAGAAGCTGACTGTTCGTGTTGAGAACTTTGAGCTTAATGAGTGTATTCGTCGTTTGCAACAAGAAGGTAAGGTGGTCGAATCAGGCGACAGTCATCGCCGTACTATCAGAAAGCTTCTGGGAATCTAGTGGGTATGGAGGAATAATGTGACGTATGTAAGTGTTAAATTGCTAATGTATACTATAGAAGACTCAAATCATTAGCTATAAGAAAGTTGCACTCTTTTTCTCTTCAGCCAGTGCTCTCTTAGGCTCCATGTCGGCTTGCACAACCTCATCTCCTTCTTCCTCTTCCTCTGCCATCTTCAACATCTCCTCTAACTGATCATCGAGCTCCACATCTGTTACTGAGTTGTACTTGTTCCGTGTGATGGCATTGGCCACCTTGAGCTCCAGTGCCACATCCACGGGTTCTTTGTTTCTGACTCTCGTAGTTATATCTTCCAAAATGCGAAACTTCGTTTCGTATGCTGCACGGAGGGCCTCGATCTCCTTCCTATTCTTGGTGGCATCCACTAACACTGATCCAAATACAATGGTAAGAAATAGTGACTTGGCCACTGGCCCCGAAATCAAGTCCCTGTAAGAAGGCTTGGCCCGTGGCTGTATGGAGTATCTCCTTATATTTTCTACCCTTAGAGGCCGTCTCCACATATTTTAGGTAAAATAGGATGGTAAGTTGGAAGTTGGAGTGCAGGTATCTACATATTGGGTACCTCCACCTAACAGAAAAAAATCACCACTGATTCAGAAGTTACATCGACCAGGCACAGCATGAACGCCGGCAAAGTCGCGTCCATCCTTCTGGTGGCCATTGCCTCCCTCACAATTCTAAATTTTCTCCTAAAATATTACACATACTTTGTTCTTGTGGTGGCTGCCCACAAATCTGCTTCTCAAGACTCCTCGAGTGATGAATCTGGCTCCGTTCCTCATCCACACGAGCTCTATGTGCCATTTCTCACGTTCATTCCCACTGTATCTCCCGTGTTGTTACGACCATGGGTGATTATCACTGCAGGTCTCATTGAGGACTCGCTACTTCTGCTTGGTTTCACGATATTGGCAGTATTCAACTTGGGCAGATTTCTAGAAGGCATGTGGGGCCTGCAAGAGTTATTGCGCTTCATTCTGTTTGTTTTGGTGGCTTCCAACATGTCCTTGTACCTCTACTATTCGTTCAAGACGGCAATATTCGGTGCTGGTACATCTGTTCCTCCCGTCGTGATCTCAAGCATAGCCATTGTCATGGCGCTTCTTGTAGCTGTCAAACAGCGTATTTCCGATCATTACGTGATCCTTTTCCGAGGATCCTTACGTATCAAAGTCACCTACTTACCTTTCATACTTCTTGTGCTGCTGGCATTCTTGAATCTCATCTCAGACTCTTACAAGGTCACTTGGCTCCTTTCTCTGGTGGGATTTGTCCTCAGCTGGGTGTACTTGCGCTACCTCAAGGGTACCTCCAACGAACGCCAGTCATATCTTCTTCCAATTACTGCCAGACGGGTCGCAACACCAGGTCTACCTCCCACACTACTGCAACCTCCAACTATAACCTTCGATAACAACTTATCCAAAGGAGACAGGTCCGATCTGTTTGCTTTGGCTACATTCTTTCCTGGCCCGCTAGGGTCTCTTGTTCTGCTTGTTTGTAACGCTGTATTTAGGTTCATGATCAAGAGGAAATGGGTGGACCCCAAGGATTATACCACTTATGACGGTGAAGGTACTCAGGAGGAATTGGGCTCGGTCCAGTCCAAACTCTTCAGTTTGTCTGCTTTGAAAGGCGCTGAAGATGTATCTCCCATTCCCAATGCTGGCAATGCCTTCAACAAGGTAATGGCATGGTTTACTACGAAGGAGAATGTTGATATCAAGGACAGCATGGATAAGAGACGGAAACTCGCTATCCGAGAACTAGATTAACTCATATTTGCATATTCGCTTTATTTAGGCGCATTCCCTTCTATTTTACAGTATATATAATGCTATTTACGGAATCTACAACCCATTAGATCGTCACTCTCCGATGCTGGCCCTGATAGTAGCCAAAATGAGATCATGTCGGTCGTACCACTCGCCAGTGGTCTCTTTCATGTTGAATTGGAGGACACCATCATCGACAAGACTCTTCACCTGCTGCAGGTTCTCGAGCTTTAACCATTCCCGCATGGATAGAATGTACCACAAGGAACGCTTGCGGAACCTGGTGAGGCCCTTGATGGCATTATCTTTCGGTGGTAAGATCTTCAGTACATTCACATATGTGCCATCTTTTTCTTTCTCCATTTCCTTATTCTCATTTTCTTCCGTTTCGAAAGCCGAGGCTAAAAGGTTGCGGTAACCATAGGGCACGTAAGAAAATTGTCCAATGGAGTAACCAATGCGCTCATAGAGAACTGCCTTAATAGCTTGTGGTCCATTTCCAATGGAGGCCAAATGCGCATCAATTTCCATCATACATTTGAGATAGTAGCTTTCGATAAGATCGCTCCACCACCACGGGATATTAAACATGATGCTCATGTTGAGGAGAAGTTCGGCGACCACCAAATACGACTTGATAGCGTACGTTTTCACATTGAACCGCGACTTGAACGTGTACGACAAATTGTCTATGTATGGTTCGATGATGTCGTGTCTGATTTTCCGGAGGGTGTTCTTGTCTGGAGGTTGTGGTAGCGTGTCTGATGCCAATGGTTGAGTTTGCGCAAGTAGGAGAGAAATGATGCACATTTCCTGGGTTGCTGCAACGTACACCCAGGCTTTGTCATTAGTATAGTCCTTTTTTATAAGATCGTAAGTCGAATAAGCGTACTTGAAGTCTTTGAGCATCAAAGACCAATCTGCAAGTTTTCTGATCGACTGTTCGGGCGACGATCGGTGATAATAGTTATGCACTGAATTATATGACTCCACAGAGTGTGCCTGTGAGACCAGCTCTCCCGAGCTCTTAAAAAGCTTCCTTGACACAGAGAAGAACTGGCTGGCGATGGATTTCTTGGGTGAGAGAATCAGGTCATCCCATGTTCGGATCTTTCGCTCCATATGAGGAATGAGAAACTTTGAAATGTACTCGAAGATGCTGCCTCGGAGAGTTATGTCCAACTCCCTTGGGATTTGAAGATCGTCCTCATCACCTTCCTGTGTCGCTTTTCCTTGCTGGAAAGACATTTTCTGGACCTCACAGTCTATGGTTACATTGTCATAAGCAACGCGGACAAATTGGGTATCTGCTTCAGACAGAGACATTGGCACGGCTGTAGACGTCACCGTGAGATTGGTGCGGATATCGTTCTGAAACTTTGCAACTTCTGACTCGCTGGAAACGTTGGCATTGTACAAGATAAATACATGCACTAGAAGATCGGACATCTGGAAATATTTGGGGAAAGTGAAGTTCCGGAACTCCACGATCATCTGGCGGAGCACTTCGATGGAGTCGTTCTCGAAATCAATGACAAAGATCTGTGAAACAGGATGGTTCAATGTATCAAACAGAACTACCTTGTTTGAGGTGATCACACGACGAAACATGTTCAAGTACAAGTCGGAAAAGGGATTCTTTTGAGAAGCATCTTGTGACTGAGACAATTTCTTAAGGATGAGCTCCAACGATGAGATACTGAATAGTCCCGTGAGCTTTGAATCTGAAGGATTATGCACCGTAAGCAACTCTGGTAACAGGGGCTCAAAGCGTACTGGAAACAGCCCGTACATCCTCGTAATCAATTGGGTATTTGTGAGTTTGTATGCCTGGCCTGTGACGCCGTGTTTGGCATTGTTTCCATAGGGCTGGATCGCCTGAAGCACCAGAATCAGTGAGTTCTGGCATGCCTGCTGGAACATCAAATCGGCATTATGTGTCAGTTGCAAAGATATGAGGGGCAGGAATGTATGCTGAAGAAGAAGTTGCCTAATGGTCGAAGGGTCGACGCCAACAGAAAGAGCCATTGGGTTTCAGTAGATTGTTTGACAGTTGGGTATATGGCTGTGCACCCGTGCCTCCGGAATAGTTTGATAGGAGATACTGGGAGAAAATGGGGGCTTCCTGGACCAATTAGGAATCAATTAGGGATCAGAAGAGATCAGATGTACTTCCAAGCAAATTCTTAATTATCATTTGCTATCGGATTATGAGTCAGTGTAGAAGTTTTTCATTGTGCTACATTGAAGTGTTTATGAGGGTAATGTGAGGACAGCGAGTGATCATAAAATGATTTAAACGAGGGCTAGGCAGAGTATCTGGAATTGACTCCTGGTAGATAATCTTGAGGTGTTTTATAGATCTAATAGTTATTGAAGGGGTTTCGAAGATCATCTCGATTAATTAGAATTTGAGAGTGGGTGCAAAATTGTTAATGTCGATCAGAGCACGATGAGAATAAACGAGATTAAAAATGAATTTAACTAGTTTATGGCTGATATTAGTGATAAGAGGCCTAATAAAGATAGTAATGATACCCTAGTATTAAATGGATCTGTGATATGATACAAGCAGTCTGTGGTGAAAATCTGACCACAACGAATACATCTTATAATAAACTTTTGATCTAGTTTACGTACTTCTTATATTTCTTTTGAGACAGCAAAGAAGTAACACATGAAATGTAATAACACCAAGTTTATTGCTTACTAACAAGTATATGAAATGCGCTGATATGCATTTGAAGTCATGCTGTATCATGCTTGTATCGCTGTTCAATTCATTTTCACGTATTTCAATCTCTTGCATCTTGTTTGAGTACCATTGATTTGACCTTTGAGCTTCGATTCAAGTCTCAATTCAAGATTCTCTACAATTCCTATCTTTAGAGCCACACAAATAGTGGGAAGGGGGGAGGATTCATTCTCGCAAATGGAAAACTCATTCTCCTGATCATTATTGACCTCTCTTCTTACCAAAAAATCAACCAGCGACTAAATTTACTCAAATCAGTTAGTATCTCTACTTTTTCATCAATGCCACTCAATATTCTACATATACTATCTTTTCAGATACTTACACATCCTAGCAGTTGTTCGCAATATTCATAAATTATTATCGCCATGCATCAAAACAAAAAACATAAACACTGCCACCAAAAATTGGTTTCTACATAAAAAGATCTGAAATCAACCTCAATAATTAGTCACCATGTAATTCACACATCTGAATACTTTGATCTCCAAATAACACGTTTATCAAAGAACCACCATCTTTGATTCTTTTATTGCCTCTTGCACCTGCATGTTCCTACAGAAAGTAGCATATCAACCCACCAACGACGAGTCCCAAATGAAAGAAATAAAGTCAAGAATACAATGACTTAGACACAAAATAGAAAACCATCCAAAATCCAATCTCTATCAGTTCTTCTAACTTCAGAATCACCTCCTCTACAAGTTTTATAAATAACCCTATTCTGTTTCAAATCCGTCTACATTCCAGTATCAGGTGCCCTGGAACTGCTCCTCAACGCCCCGTCGTGGGCGAATTCTCCGGCTGGCACAAATCCCAAAATCCAAAAACTTCAGCCATTTCAACAACAATAAACCTATCTCTAATTTTTTTTTACCTATTTTCTGCCATTTTCTTTGTAGCCTCCACCCATCTTGTCGTTATCTCTGTTTTCACACCTACACAGGCCCAGCACTTTATTTACTTTTCTACCATATCTAGAACATGGCACCTAGTAGCATTTTCCACCACGCCAACTCCATCTTTCACCCCATAAAAAACACAGAAAAATAACCGTCTACCATCTACTCCATAGGGCATCTCGCTGCTTTTTATTCTCTCCATATTGAAACATTCTATTCATGCGAAACATAAACATTTGTATCCTTCAACCTGCGTAAAATCATTGTGATATTTTTTTTCTCACACTGGTCTTGACGGTGATTCTGCCAATCCCCAGAGCCAAATCTCCACCTTCTTTTCAGTGAATTTTTCCAATTTTCTTTTCACTTTTCATTTTTTGTTTGTTTCTTTTACCCGATTCTCATCGCTATTCAAATCACCTGTGCTTAGGTCCTTCCACTCGTTGCTTATCCCTTGCTTATCTAGCATGTCGTGGTTTACATCGCTTCTGCTTCTACTACTATTGGCGAATGTGTTCGCTGACTCGCTGGTGGCTCACCCAGGAATCCAGTTCCTGGAACTTGGCGGCCAAATTGGCGTGTTGGGCCTGTTTTCGGGCCTCTCCTTTTACGACTACACGAATGCTTCAGCATTTCTCTCCTCCAGTGATGATTCGCAATCGTTGTACTTGAGAAATACTTCCTCCAACGAGAATGTGAAGATCGCTACTGTGTCTGGTGGCTCTGTTACACAGCTACAGCAGCTCACAGATGACTTGGTGTTGATTGTGGGCGACTTCTCTTCGTTCAATGACGTTTCATACCAGCCTCCTATCATATACAATGTCTCCTCTGGCGATGTGGAGACCATCTTCTCATTGACTCTGAAAAGAGCCGACGAGGTGTCAGGAAATGTGATAACAACCTTTGTAGACGGTGATGTTGTCTACTTGGGTGGTGATTTTGAATACAACGGCACCTATGGTGCTGCAGTGTACAACTTTACCTCCAAGTCGATCTCGTCGCTTCCATTCGAGGGTTTTGGCCAGAATTCTACCGTTAATTCCATCACAAAGTACGACAACGGTGAAGAGGGTTCCATCATTTTTGGAGGCTCCTTCGACACCTTGGGTTTGCCGGAACTTTTGACCCACAACATTACCTTAAACCTGACGTCGCTCAATTCGACAAACTCGACAAATTCCTCACTCATATCTGCTGAACAGGTGGTTTCACTTAAGCACGCTACTATCTCAAACGTTAATGGAGGCTCGGGTTCAGATTCGTCGCTCATTTGTCCTTCCAATGATGTCACTTGGTCAGTTCAAGACGGGGAGGGTGGTCAATGGCTTGCTGAACTTCCGCTCGGTATGCGGGGCATCTCGCCCACGAAGATTAGACTCTATGTTCCTAATGACAGCTCGGATGGTATTCGTCTCTTCCGCTTATATACATACCCCAACAATGGTATCATGAACTTGACCTACGTTGACCCATCCACCAATGAGCTCGCCTACTGTGATGCATGGTGTCCCTTGCTTCTTGGATCAGACTTGCAGGAACACACCGATGACAATATCGACGATGCAGATTTCATCATGGAGGACGATAACATGTTCGTTAATGATGATGGCTCTTTCACAATGTACTATGATTCGTCTACCAAATCCAAGAACTTGGGGTACGGCCGTAACTACCAGGAGTTTGCTCTCATTAACGATGTGGCCATCGACAAGTTGGGTCTTACTGTGACTGCTTGGTACGGGTCCAAGGCAGAGCTTTCAGGTGTTGAATTGTATCTGAACTCCATCCGTGTGTACGGTAACGAAACCTTGAACGACTCCAACTGCGGTGGAGAATCAGAGATTAACTCGGCCGCCATCAACAATGGAACTTGGCAGTCGGTGCAATCTTTGTCTGACTCCGTCTCCAATACCAATTATCTTGTGTCTGTCGTGGACAACAACTCTGCGGCCATCACATTGTACCCTAATATCTCATATGCTGGATATTATTCAATTCTTTTGTACACCCCAGGATGTTCTGCGGATGGATCATGCAGCAACAGATCGATTGTATCTGTCTCGGTGATTGACACCGACGACCAAGTAGTCGCAAGCTCGCAGTTGTACCAAAATAACCTCGACGACAAGTTTGACTTTTTGTTTTATGGTCATCTCAATGGATCTTCGACAAGTGACGGCAAGAATAGAGTAGTTATTCTGTACGAGAGTGCTATTGATCCCTCAGTCGAACGTCCGTGGGTTGTCGTTGATAAAGTGGTGGCTAATATCGTTTCCTTGGACCACTACTACCTGAAGAACACCACTAATACCACCAATTCCAACAACGAGACTGACTCAAAACTTCTCACCGTTTCGTTGAATGGTTTGTTTGAGTATTCCTTGGGTAATTTTACTGACTTCGAAAAAGATCTTGTTTACACCAAGGTCGGAAACAAGACAATTATCAAGGATACAAATTCTTTCGTTGGAAATTCATCAATTAACTTATTGAGCGGTGAATTTTCCCTGGACTCTGTTATCAGGCAGGTCCTCTTGCAAAACTCTTCAGATTCTACCAATTTTTTGTTGCTAGGTGACTTCACTTCGAGCAACAGCTCATTGCTGGACAAATCAATTTTAACTCTCAGTATTGGGGGCTATAATTCCACCTCTAACTCAACAATTGCACAACTTGCGAAGAGGAAACTATTAAAGAGAGCAGATGTGGAGTATTTGGGAGTTCTGTTCAATAACACCATATCGGCTCTACATGATTTCGATGGTGGATTTGTTGTCACTGGTGCATTCTCAGCTTCTTCCAGCGGAAACTCTAGTGCTTTCAAGAACTTGGAAAACAACAATCTGACGACAAGTACTGCCAACAACTTCGCTCTATATTTGGATGGATCATGGTACTCATTTGGAAATAATTTCACCTCTGCAAATTACTCTCGGTTTGTTCAAATCGAAATTGAGGGTAATGAATATTTTGTTTTCTCTACTGATAACAACGAATATGAGGTGTGGGACAACACAAATCATGAATGGGCAACTTCCAGTGGAAATCTCGACATTTCGACGGCAGTTACCCTTGATGGAAGGGACCAGCAAATTATTGGAGGTTCCTCTTTTGGAGTTATGGACTTCTATGGAAACAGTGAAGCCTATTTTAACAACAACACTCAGTTCAATAGTTTTGGCCTCAATGTCACTTCAGGCTCCTTGTTGTCATCATTTTTTGTGAACCCGACTTTGAGCGTGATTGGTGGAAAGTTCAACGCTGAGCAATCTATCTCCAACATTGCATTGCTTCAAAACAACGTCGCTTCCTCACTCAATGGTTCAGCATCCTGGGCAGATAATGCAGCTGTTACCACAATCTACATTGATAACCTGGTGCAATATCTTTTCCTTGGTACCAACGGAAGTGTTCTGACCGGATCAAACAACGTTACAGGGCTTGTCATTTACAACTTGAATAGCAAGTCTTTTTCATCGGTTCAGCCAGCGACACTCTCTACTAATGATAATTCCGACATTGAGGTTAATGCTTTGGTGTACTACGATCAAGGGAAGCAATTGCTAGTTGGTGGTCATTTCGATAACGCAGGTTCATTGGATTGTCCATCGATTTGCATTTACGATGTGCAGAATACTCGATGGACCAATCCTCTCAGCGGTGGCTCGTCGCTGTCAATTGGGGGTAACGTTACTGATGCAAAGTTCTTGAGCTCCAATCAAGTACTTTTGAGCGGAAACTTGACCATCAATGGGACAGATGTGACGTTTGCAGTCTATAACTTTGCAACTGGTTTGTTACTGAGCGCTGGATCTGCATTGAATAATGACATTAATGGACCTCAAAAATACATCATCAATGAAAGATCTAGTGGTGAATTGACAAACAGATTGGCTGCATACGGTGAGGGATTTGTGAAAGGATTCAATGGCTCTAACTGGAACTCAATTGATAGTGGAATTGCTTTCAATTCTAATACCAAGTTCACCGACTTGAAATTGGTCAAATTATCTGAAGCCAATTCCGCAAATCCTTCACAACAATACTTTGACAATGACAAAGTGCTCATGCTTTCTGGAGTTTTTAACTTGACAAATTATGGTTTAGTGAATGCTGCTTTGTTTGATGGTAATTCTTGGATCCCTTATATCTTTTCATCGCTGCTGAGCTCTGGTCTCGGTATGATTAATTCTTTATTATTGGAAGATGTCTACCGTTACCAGTCTTCTAGTGATTTGGAGACCCCAAAGAAGGGACTATCCACTGGAAAGATTGTTGGTATTTCGCTTGCTTGTGCTATTGGGTCAACGGCGCTAATCGGGGCATTGTTCCTCATTCCTATGTTCTTCCTTTTCAAGGACACTAAGAAGAGATCGGATGTGGGTCAAAGGATCCACGAGGATGATATGATGGATGCGGTTAATCCAGAAGAGTTGTTGCATGAGATTGATATTCAAAGAAAATAATAGGGCGAATAGGTCGCCCGAACGGGTATAATAATAAAGAGTATATTGGAGAGTTTGTAATTGTTGAATTGAAGTCTAAGCTTAAAAATAAATTGAACGAAAAAATAATCATAAAAATAATGACTCCGGCGTGATTCGAACACGCGCATCTTACGATAACAGAACTTGAGTCTGCCGCCTTAGACCGCTCGGCCACAGAGCCATTTATATGAAAAGAAATAGCAAACTGCATAAATCAATATTTAACCGCTCTTGGGATGTACGGATGTAAACATTCAAAAGCTTATGGATATGGATTATTAAAAATTTTCATATACCAGAAAGTGATGCGGTGGCTCAATGGCAGAGCTTTTGATTCCAAATCAAAGGGTTGCAGGTTCGATTCCTGTCCGTGTCATCCTTTTTACCTTTTTGCAACTCTATGAGTTTACTAGAATAGTGGGTAATTTTTCTATTAGTACGAGATTAGCATGTAATCTTCAGTCATTCATTGCAACTAAATTCTATTTTATTTTAGACTACTCTAGAGGCTCACCTTCGGTATCTTCTTCAGTCTCGTGGTCTCGATAAGCGGATTGCCCATCATCTGAATGTTCGTCAATATCAAAAAGTCTTGCATCTGCATCGGCAGGCTCGTCAACAAAGTCAGTGAACTCCTCCGGTTCATCCCGAACTTCGAAGTCAACATCAGCTCCATCCTCTAGTTCTTCTTCGTAATCGTGGTCAAAATTGCCAAAAAGTTCGTCTTCATCATCTGGAACACGCACGTAGTTACGTCTTCCAGGACGACGCCCGAAAATTGAAGAAGTCAAGCGTTCCATCAAAGCCCTATCGAATTTTCTTATCGTCTTTAGCAATGCAATAGTGCCCGCAACAATGATAATACCTCCACGAACGACTCTGTTGACAACTACATCCACACTGTTCTCTTCAATGGGGTTGAAGTCATCATCATCATCTAATCTGATCTGTCCCAACTTCGAGAAGCCTCCGTTTCGACGGATACCTCTGTCATAAACAAACCAAGTAGCAACGAAAAATACAAACAATGGAAGAAGGATGACCACGAGGATCTTTCCAGCACCCATATCTCTTCCATAATGCTTTGCAAACTCTTTCTCGTGACCAGGACAAGGACGTGGGTCAAAAGCATCAAATGTTTTTCCTCCAACACAAGTTGACAACGGAAGTTTTCGATATCCCGTTGGCTCAAAGTACTGGAAGGTGTCCGGCAGCGCACACATACTTGCTTTGTGGTCAGCTGGTGATAATCCTTTCACGAGTTTGCAGGTTCCATCAGTATCCCTGTAAAAGTTGTAATCACACTCATAATCATTTCTGGTACAAGAGCAATTTCTCACCTCCTTGTATCCTTGTTCCAAAGGAGCAGAACCGATGAAGCAGTCATCATGCCCCAAAGCACGGCGCAAATACTTTGCCTCGTGTCCAAATAAGCAGCCTTCAGACGATTCTGGTTGCTTTGGAGTCCAATATTCGTAGTCATCTTTGTCCGGATTGTCCAAATCAAGCTGACATTGTCTCTTGAAGAAGTGAGTGAAGTCAATAGAAATCGCTGAAAAGCCATCCTTACTCTCACCATTGCGAGCAAAAATTACAAATTTTCTGGCCGTGTCTGTTGGTATGGTGGCCAAATCTAATACACGGACCTTCTTGTCGGAAAACTTGAACTCCTGCCAGGATTTACCCTCATCAGTCGAGTAAATAATCTTATCCGTCTCATTGATGGCATCCACAAGTACTAAGATTGTTCCTTGGTCTCCATATTCCCACTGATACACACCCTTAGCCACTTCCTTCCATGTAAGTCCACCATCGATTGACAAATATGTTGATGCTTTTTCATAGCTATCCAAGGTTTCTCCAACATTTCCAACTCCAATTAAGAATCCAACTGCAGAGGACGATGAATACGTGTCCCTGTAATCTGGTCTCTCAGTAAAGCCATGCAAGTTGAGAGAACACTTAGAAAGTGACTGCCCTGCGCATGGATATTTTTTACCATCTACGTCAACCAGAGGAGGAGGCAAGAATGACCATTGACTACCATCGTTAAAGGAAATTTGAGTTTTCAATAACTTGGGCTGTGTCGAATCTGGATTGTTAACAGTGTTCGCAATCAAAACGCCTTCGATTGATTCCATTTTGTCATAGTCCACATATCCGGTGCTGTCTCTGTTGACATCGCTCAAGGACAATACATAAGATGTACCGTTTGAATTGGATTTGAGGATTGCGCCACGTTCATGACCACTTTCACTCACTGTGGTGACATGCATGAAAATGGAATGAGCATCTGAATCAAGGATCGCATATGAGGTTTGAGCTTTTACCTTGAAATCGCTTGGGAAGTCGGCTGCGGCAAAGTTAGAACCGTCAACTGTAACTTTTGCTCTCAACTCTTGAAGATCTTCATCAATAGTTGCGACAACAACGAAATTATTTCTCACAGCATACGACACAATGTTGTCAAACAAAACGTTCTGTTGGTTCTCCAAGAACAGATTAGTGGAATAAATAAGTTTTCTTTTATTGCCATCCTGAACAGTGCAGTAAATCAATTCTTGAGAAACCAAACCAAAAACAGTAGAGACAAAGTCACAGGTAACTGCATTATCAACCAACTTCTTGAAAGTCTCTCCAAAATCATCCGATTGGTAAGAAACACAATTGCTTGAACCCGCTTCACCACAGTTTCCAGTAAACCATAGAAAATTCTTAGGTTCTTCAGGATCAAAAGAAACGGGACGAACCTTCAGTGCTGGTGGCCCAGGTGCCTTGCGTGTTGTGAAAGTATTTCCACCATCGTCTGAAATGTAAAACTCTTCGCCAGATGTAAATAAGATCACCACCCCATGGACGGGACCGACCGTAAAGCCAACAATCTTTTCAGAGATGGGGACTCTGACGAAAGAGATGCCACCATTGTTAGATGCGTATGCAATTCCTTGGTCTGTCTGGACAATGATGTTATCAGCCAATTCATTCTCCGTCTTAACATAGGTGTATTGTGCAAGCGAGCCTTCAAGTTCATTTAATTTGGCAACGATTTGGACGCTCTTTTCAGGTGTTTCTCCTTGATCTTTGCACTGGAATTCCTCTGTAGTGATGAAAGGAGCTTTATCTGACTTGCACAAGTTTCCTGCCACCAACTGTTTGTTTGGGATCTTGACACTCTTCGTTTTCACCCGCTGACAAAGCTCAGCAATCTTTGGAGGATCTGGAATACATTCATTCTTGTTAGACAACTTGAAGTAAGGCGAGCATTCAAAATCCTTTTCTGAACAATCACATGGATCTTCAGTGACTTTCATGTCCTCAAATAAGGTACTGACGAAACACTTTGAATCTGGCTTTCTTCTTTTGAAACTCTCAGTGTGTCCATAGATACACAGGGAGCCCGAATCACCTTCTGCAACACGAGCAAACACCTTGTCGAAGTCTTTTTCAGGGTCACACTTGACACCGTCAAAGGCATCAGAGAAGTCGATGGTGAGAAGTACACTATGATACTCATAGTCTTTCGTAGGATGTGAGCCACTGAGAACAAATTTCTTGCCAGTGCCATCAAGTGTGGTAATGAGCTGCATGGGATAAACGGTGGTATCAAGCTTAAATTCAGACCAGGACTTACCTTGGTTTAAAGAGTAAAACAACTTGTCTGAAGGAGTACCCTTCTTACCAGAGAAAGGGAGGGCAACAATGATGTTACCTTGGTCTCCATAGGAGTAGACAGCACCCTGGTTAAGAGCTGATCTCCAGGTCAACCCTCCGTCACGGGAAATGTAAGTTCTGAACTTTCTGAATCGACCAAGATGAGACCCAGTAGTCCCTGATGCAATAAGAATATTTGGGGTTGGACCAGAGACATAGTTGCCGTCCTTCTCGAAGGACCTGATATCAACAACGTGGAGTGAACACCCATCTGCGGCCTTACAGGAGTCATCATCCAAAACAGCCAAATCTTGCCAAGTTCTTCCATCATCAACAGAGATTTTACTGGCACGCTTGTAGTGTCTGCTCCCGAAGAAACTGTCCATCATGTCGTCATCATCGGACTTGTCATGATCCAAAAGAACATTGGTGAGCCACACTCCGTCGACATTTTCAACCTTGGAAGTAGAGCCAATGGCCACATTTTCGATGAGTTTAGTGTATTTCAAGCCTGTGGAGTCGGAGGCGTAGATTGTGGCCAGGGTAATGGCACCGCTTCTCAGACCTTTTCCAACAGACAAGAAGATCGACAGAGGGCTCGAGCGTAAGAATAAAATAGCACCATAGGAAACTTCAAATTCAAGATCAGAGTATTCGAAGTTGATACCATCCTTAGACACAAGAATGGAAACCTGAGACTTTTCATTGAAACGGTCGCTCTGAACAACCGCAAGCAAGAATGACAGTTCAACACGGAGATCGATGATTTTTCCCGAGTTCAATATCGCATGTTCAACTTTTTGCTCAGTAGCGAAGTAATCGGAAGATTTCACCAACAGGGAGTCGAGAACATGGCCGAAAGAATTTGTTTTTATGCGGGAACAGAATACTGTGGATGGCTTATCGGAGGTGGTGAACTCCTTGGAAGCCATTACGTATGTACATGATACAACATTCTCAGACAAAATCTTAGGACCAGATTTAAGGCCATCAACAGTGTAAAAATGGTGATTTGTGCAACTCAGTGGGTTATCGTACCAATCTTCACAAACTCTGAAGTTGAAAATGAGAGCATTAGGGTCAGCCGCGTTGGGGACCACTGTCACCATAGAAACACCCAGCAAAGCATTGCCCTTAGAATCTTTAACAGAGAACTTGGACCATGTCTTACCCTTATCGTTTGTGACGAAGTGATCTCCTCCCGATGTGAACGCAAACGCTCTTTCCTTAATAAATGGATCGAACTTGACACTTCTGACTTCTTTCTTGGCCATTATATCAATATCTGTCCACGTTACACCATCATCATAAGAAGCACCGACAGACTGCTCCCGTAAAGCGATGACATTGGGCGAGTCGTCAAAGTACAAGATATCTTGTACGTATTCCGACTGGGGAATTACATTCACCTTTGGACTAAACGCTGCTGTGTGGGTGAAAAGTGCCAAAAAAGCACATAGCGCCCACGAGAACGATAGGACAGATTTACTCAGATGCTTCATATTGCAATTGGGAGAAGCGACACAAAACAGCAAGGAGTATACGTTGAAGGTAAGTGGAGGCGAAGGTGTCAAAGTTGATAGTGCGAGTGTGCAGGTGTGGAGGAAGATAAGAGTAAGAGTTAGGAATGGGGGAGAGGTGAGAAAATGGGGAAAATAGCCAAAAAATGTTGGTGGAAAACATATGAAAAATCGAGTGAAAGGTGCAGAATTGATAGAAAAGAAGGGAATATACATGTTTATTTGGACTATTGGTAGTGACGTAGTTGAAATCTACCTAGAAAGAACTATTAGTGCGACAATTACTATGGCTAAATGCTAGGTAAGGTGGAGGATGAATTCGACAATAGAACAAAGTATTACGTAGCACTCTGTATTTTGCTTTAATATTGAACTCGTTCACATTTAATGTTGGTAGTGTGTCAGGTATCGCATGAAATATGCTGATGTGGATTCTCTAGTTACTATTCATGTGCTTCTATATGTGAAGGTTCTGTTGCTATCTGGTTGCCATAGGCGAAACCATGCCCAAAAATGCCAGCTGCTCGGCTACAACCACACGTCCGTTCATCGTATACTTCGACCCGAAATAATCACCGAGTCCGAAGCTATAATTGTTGATGCTGGTACAGAAGACGTCAACGTCTTCTTTCTGAATTCGGATGATGCTCTGTAGACCTGGACGGGTCTTTTCGTGTGTCAAGATGTCAAAGTGTCGAGCCTGACCAACCAATCCATAGAAATCAACAAGGGCCGTGCTTACAAGCGACCTCCATGTGAGAAGATCCACCTGGAGTTCTTCATAGAGTGATGGGAGTGACTGGAAGAGCTCTGGGTCTGGTGTTCTAGAGGTTAATATACTCACTTGAAGAAAGTTCAACGATCACATACAGAGCAAGCCGGAGATAGTACCAGTCGGAGACCGGAGAATCATTACTAGGCATTGAAGTCGAAGATGGATGCTCATCTGGGCATACAGGACTTGGTGATAGAGGAGGAAAAATGGGAGAGAGGAATGAAATGGAAGATTCAATTGAGGAAAAAAAAACAGAAAATTTGTTGAGCGGGAGAAGATCAATGAATAGGGAAAGTAGAAAAACTGGGAAAAAGAACGCTTCGAGAACGAAGTTTGGTTCCCCATCTGTCTCAACTCCGACCATTAATGTAAATGCTTATGCTGTCACTGGAACCCAGCTCATCGTCACTCACAGACTTATGGAGAGATTCTGAAGGAGAATGCGGGAGACAGTTTTGTGAGTGACTAGGGGAAATGTACTTTTCGAAATATTGCAAGTACTTAAACTTCTTGTCGTCTGTGGCCCTGTCGTCTGTCATCCAGTAGTCAGGACCAACAGCCTGATAACTTTGACTGTGATTGCTAATTGAGTCCGAGCATAGGTTTCCACCGCTACCGGAGCTCGAATTCCCATACATTGTACCGGGATAATTTCCATACCCAGTAGTTCCGTAGCCAGCTTCATTATATCCAACCTTTCCATGGCTATCTGCACAATAAGAGTTTGCGTATTCTCCCATTCCGTCATCATCAGCGCCCTCATACATTTGAGCACACAAATAAACGACAGTATCACGTCTCACTTCGCCATTGATTTTTACAATATATGAGGACGGAGGAATTAGTCTCAACTTCCCGTGCAATCGTGATGATTTAGGGCAATCACTAGCCCTTGTGTACCGATAAGGCAGTTCATCCAATAGGATCTGCTGATACGGGGGCAAAGGAAGTAGATCCAGTACATCTACTCCGTAAAAAACACATTCATGGCGAAAACATAGTAAATCATTAATCGAGTAAGATACTTTCATGATAATTGGTTGCAAAAAGAATGAACAAAAAAAGAACGACAACTGCAGGATTCGAACCTGCGCGGGCAAAACCCAAAAGATTTCAAGTCTTTCTCCTTAACCGCTCGGACAAGTTGCCTCTTTATATTCAGTATGAAATTTTAGGGAATTATACGATTTCAAATTGTGAAACAGCTTAATTTATCAGAAAAATTTAAAAATATATTATTCAATAGGCTTAGGTATAAAATCAGCCGAAGTTAAGCTTCATGAAGATAAATAAGTTCTTCTCTTCTTCGATATTGGGACATAACTTTGGTAGTTCAGTAGATCTACTGAAATGTATGATTGCTTTATATTCGAATATATTATCATTCCTCAGTGGCACCATAAGATCTCTCATTTCATAAATAAATATTATTAATAGAAATATCCGTTTGACTTGCCCAAATCTCCAAATCTCCAAATCTTCAAACCTTCAAGTTAGTCAAATCTTCGGCAGTGTGCACATACTCTCATCTAGCCTTAGACTTAACATTCTCCTCTACTCCACCATGGGCAACTGGCAAGAGGTTCAAGACGACCAGGGAAGAGTATACTACTACAATTCGGTAACACAGGAAACCAGCTGGGAAAATCCCGAGGCTCTGCTGTCGCTGACGTGGAAAGAATACAAAACTGATGATGGAAAAGAGTACTACTATAATGAAACCACTGGAGAAACCACCTGGGAGCGACCCGTGGACTTTGAGGAGCAGGAGGAGGTCAATGATGTTGTTGAGGCTGCTGCTTCTGAAGAAATAACGGAGGAAAAGCAAAAAACAGCAGAGGTTATAGTTTCCGAACTAGATCAGAAGCTTTCAAAAGAGAATGTGAAAAAGAGCCTCCTAGCGACTCCTCCAACTTATGAAAGCAAAGAGGAAGCTACAGCAGCGTTTTTTGAGATGCTTCAAAGCCAAAATGTTGACTCTACTTGGTCATTTGATCGTGTGATCGAGACCTTTATCCAGAACCCAGTTTACTGGCTGATTGACGATTCGTTACAGCGCAAAACGCTTTATGATGAATACCTTGTTAAAAAGTTGCAGGAGCAGTCACAGAACAAGACTCTGCTAATTGAAAGCTTTCGTAAGAATTTCTTGGACGTATTGGTCACATATAAAAAGGATGGAAAGATTAAGACTACAACGAGATGGTCCACGATAAAGCAACTACTTATCCAGGAGGATAATCCCATTTTTAAGCATGCTATACTTCCTGATTCGGACATTGAGGAGATTTATCACGACTACGTGCGTCTGTTTTCAGAAGAAGAAAAACAGGCCAGATTGGAGACCAAAAAACAAGCATTGGGCGAGCTTGAAGCATACCTAATACAAATAACTCTGAGCGATGACTCGCAAAGTATCACCTGGAAAGAGCTCTATCTGCGTCTACAAAAGGACGAAAGGTTCAAGGCAAATAAGCACTTTCAAATTCTCACCAAGCTAGATATCTTGGAAACATACAAGGACAAGATCTACCCAAGTCTCATTGAAGGAATCAAGAGGAAGATTGAAAAGGCAGAAAAGAGCAACTACACAGCTGACAGACGAGCCAGAGAGGCGTTCAGGGCGTTCTTGACTACCAAGGTGACCATTACAGGTACCACATCATTTAAAGACGTTCTTCCACAAGTTGAAGATGAAGATGCATTCATAGATCTTTGTGGCCGAAATGGATCCACGCCGTTGGAGCTTTTCTGGGATATTGTGGATGAAAAGAAGCAAGCCTTAAAGGTCAAAAAGGATATAGTGGAACACAGTCTCAGAAAACAGGAGGAGACGAACAGTGAGATATTCAGTACCTTTGATAAATTCTTGAGCATCTTGAAGGAAACCAAAGATGAGCGGTTAGCGGTTTTCGACTTCGAATCTGATTCTGAAGAGTTGCAAGAGATATTTGACATCTTGGTTACCGAGCGTCAATTGCAAAAGCAAAAACAGCAAGAGTTATTTGAAAACGACTTGAAGAGCAGATGCAAGAGCTTGGCAGTTTGGCTCTCCAAAAATCATTCTCTTGTGGAGGATGAGATCTTGGAGGTGAGAGTTGTGAACAACGAAGATAAGAAGGAAAACATAAACGTGCCATCGACTGATGAGGTCAAAGCAAGCAAAAATTCAGACTTTACTGACCCTAAGGAGAATCAAGGCACATTGATCGAACTTACAACTCTGGGTCCCATATTGGCATACCACAGGCCACAGGTGGAAGCGTGGGAAAATGTAAAGAGTGAGAACGTAAAATCTTTGAAGGAAGCTATAGATAAGCACTACATAAAAGAGGTGGGGACCGAGAAGGCGTCAGACGCGGCCACAAAAGCTTTCTTACAAGCACTTGAGTCCAGCATTATGCAACTTGTTCCGTTATTAGCGGAAACAAGCAGAAAACGTGGTGCCAGTGAGGAGGTGGTTCTGGAGTCCAAGAAAGTTCGCACTGTTAAAAAGAAGCCAATTCTCATGAACTACTAGAAAAGAAGTGCTAAATTTCACGAATAGTTTTAATTATTGAAAATTACCCATGAATAACCATAGTTTTTTCCCGTAATACATACCCCTTCTCCATTTTCCATATCCTCATGCATTCTTTGATTTTCTTGTTTCTAACTCTTTTCTCGCTCTTTTCACTACAACACCTTATCCTCCTCCTGTACACATCACCACTCACAAATCTTACTGCTCCACTATTACAACCCCCTAGATCTTCTTCGATCATGGTATGTCGAACAAATAGGTGTTATAACAATTACGGAATGACTCCAAAGTACCAGTCCGCAACTTCCCAACGAGTTTTACGTATCCAATTACCCCATTACTAACCTGTTCAGTCCCAGTCGTTGAAACCCTACCTTACCGCCGTCAGAACTTCGTTGACTGCCGCAATTTGCTTGGAAGACTTCTCATCACAGCTAGTGGAGAGACACAACAGGCCGGAGATCGAGGTCGATAACTCGCACAACCCTGAACTCATTTTGAATCCTGTGATTATTGCCAGAAATGAAAATGAGAAGATTTTCATTGAGCCCTCCATCAATTCGGTGAGAGTTTCTATCAAAATCAAGCAGGCTGATGAGATCGAGCAGATTCTAGTCCACCAGTTCACACAGTTTTTGACCCAGAGAGCGGAGAACTTCTTCATTTTAAGAAGGGTGCCAGTGAAAGGCTACGATATTTCATTCTTGATCACCAACTTCCACACGGAACAAATGTTGAAGGACAAGTTAGTAGATTTCATCATTGAGTTTATGGAGGAGGTTGATAAGGAGATCAGTGAGATGAAATTGTTCTTGAATGCCAGAGCGAGAGTCATTGCCGAAGCATACTTGACTCCATTTGATTAGACACCCAGCTGGATACCCAGCTGCTGGCAGTTTCTAGGACGTAAAATAGGAAATATATTAAAACAGAAATAGAAAGAAATGTTTGTGTGTATTCTCGTAAGTCTCAGGCGAGGGTCACCTACCTACCAAATAGTTATTGCTGATGCAGTTGCTGCCTAATAAGCGGCGACCGCATCATCAAAGGACTACTGGCCCTCGACGATTGGTTGTCCTTGTTGGATGCTGAATCTGAATTGTGATTACCTGAGCTGGACCGCCTATCCACTGCCTGCTCATTGGCTCGTGATTGCCCCGACAATGACGACTTCGACTGCCGAACAACTTCTTTCGGAGACAATCCCTGCGTGGATTTGGGTGAGTTCATGCTAGTAGCATGAGTAGTCCTAGTGGTGCCCTGTTGTGAGGTATATGTCTGTGCGCTAAACGACAGAGGCGATCCATATGGGGATTGAGTGTTCTGAGGTCCCACACGGTATTGTTGAGCAGAGCTAGGTCTGGTCAGTTCCATTACTTTTCCAGTATTGCCATTATAGCCAGTAGGGCTAGGGCGATTATTGAGGAATTGTGAATTGTTAGTGGCCCCATATGAATATTTTTGTTGAGGTTGGGGCCGCCCTTGTTGGGGAAGACCAGATCTCTGAGGCTGTTGTGACTGAACATTATGTAACTCACTCTTCTGGTTTTGCTGCAACTGCTGTTGATAAACCTTGTTGTAGTCGATTGTTGGCACGTTGGGCGCCACCATCGGCTGCTCCACACTTTCGTTAAGCAATCCTGGTATGTGACTTAACACGAGATCCATCTTCTGCAATGCATCCCCAACTTGCACGAATCCTTTGGAAGACATTTTGAGAATCCATCTATAGTTGAAGACTTGCTCTTTGTAATAATCCGCCTCGGTGTTCGTGGGAGAGGAGATAAATAAAAGGGCAGCAAAAGTACCAATCAATGTGAAATTAGCCGACGATGAGGAATGCCAAAATGAATGAATGTGCTCTGGTTTGAGATCTCGAACAAACTCAATTGAGGCTAAGAGCCTTGTCCTAGCTGCTGTTCGGCAAACATTTAGAAGCTCCTTATGGATATTAACACCCTCAATGCTCTGCTGATGCAAGATGGTGATGATCTTTCGATGAAGAGTGAGTTCCGCCGCAAAATATGCTAGTTGAAGGTACCCATTTGAGCAAAGTTTGCGAGGCTGTACAGAATTCATTTGCAACTCCACGGGTAGCGAGTGGTACCACGATCTCAAGTTTAATTGCATAGGCTTGGCTAGACGCAACACATCATTTATGTCAGTGATTTCCTTCATGGCTTTCATGGAATAGAAAGAGTCCAAGATCTCTGAGAGCGTTCTTGAAAGACTAATCAAATTCATGAAATTCTTCTTGCCATTATTAATATCTGAGGAGCCTTCCTTGAGATCTCCATCACCATGTTTCTCCGGAAAATCTTCTTCGACCAACAGCAGAACCACCCAATTGTTACTGTTGATATGCGAAGGGCGAGCATTCTTCAAAGCAAGCCACTTATCCTCCATGTATACAGCCCAGGCAAGTCTCTTTCGGAGGCCCCTTTCCCACTTGGGAAGTTTCCATTGATCACAATCAAGGCCCAATCCTAGTTCCTCAGACAAAGCTACCACCTGCGAACATAGAACCCAGTCGTTGTAGTCGGAGTCACTGAAGGATGAGCTAAGCAGTGCAGATGCCAGAGCAGAGTTCGTAGGACTCTCGATGCTAGCTCCTAAATCCCTTACAATATGCTTACACTGTAGAAGAAGCAAGCCAGCCTGTACCGCACTCAACTTAGGTCTTTTGAGAATCTCTGAGAGGTAATTGGTCAATGCAATTCTCAAAATGTGTTCGACATTTGGTTTCGGGAAACGGTTGAGCTGTGGATCATAATCCCACCAATGGATGGCAAGCACATACACTGCTGCTAAGAGTGGAGCGCTAAACTCACGGTGGGTTCTGCTGTACTTCTCCAAAAACACCTTCTTGTGAAGGATAGGATACAGCGGGTGTATAATACGAAAATAGAGATCGATCAAGATCTGGCCATGAGGAGCCACGAATTTCTCGATAGCGTCCACATCATTCAGCATGCTCTGGTACAGCAGCTTCGATTGGTCATCCTTGAGAACGAACTGGGTTCTCTCACCCACCTTTCGGAGTGAAATGGAGTCTGACAAATTGACCTGTTCAATTTTTGAGAGCGCAGACCTTCGGCCCGGACCACTCAGAGCTGAGTCAGTGTTTGAGTTCTGCGCAGTGATTATCACATCTAGGAGATTGTTATCAAAGAGATATGACGTAGGACCCACATAGAACGACGAGCGAGGAAACTGCAACGAGAGGGTTTTTCGCAATAGTGAGTTGCTCATGGCAGAGTAGTCCTGAATTGGCGCAACATCCCGGATTGGCACATTCGGAGGCACAATATCCAGAGACTGACCACCACCATTTTCCAAGTGAGTGGCTTCGGGTCGTTTCACGCGCTTGGCAGCAGACTCCTCTGGATCATCTTTCTTAGCTGCCTGTTGAACATAAGTGCATGTGAGCGATTTCGACTCACACTGGACACAGTTATTGGTTCCAGGAATAATTACACACTTGGTCTTTCTCCTTCGACAGTGGTCGCATGGACGACGCTGGCGTCTCACATCTTGCGTGATTGTGCCTTGAGAAGGGGGCTGGATGCCCAGTTGTGGTTGCTGTTGCTGTTGTTGCGTGTGCATCGGAAGAGATGCGTTATGATCTTGATTGCCGAGACTCAGATGGACATTGGAGGAATTGACAGAGTTGACGCCCGTATAAGCGTGGCCTGGGCTTTGGCCCACAGCAAAACCACTCTCTGGAAATCGCTTTTGATCGTGGACATTGCTTTGGTACTGGATCTTCTGCATGATGGAGCCAGACTCTCCTGTTGGGTTGAAATCAAAAGTACTTAGCAAGTCGGGGTTCAGATCAAGCAAAATGTTGTGATCCCAGTCCAAGTAGTTGGGAGATGCGGAAAAATCTGTCGGATCCTGTTTTTTCACATCAGAGCGGTCGTCGCCGCCCTCCACATAGTTATTCTGTGGTGACTGGTCTGGATTCACAGGTATTCCCTGATTCATGATATTTTGATTGTGAAGGCGCTGGTCCAGACTGCTGGTAGATCCAGCACCGTTCCCAGATGCTCCGTCAGCACCTCCTGCCGAGGTATTGTGCCGCAGGTACTGCTGGCCCTGGATGCCTCCGTTCATTATATTGTCGCCTGGCTATGTGACACGATGTCGATGTTGGAAGCAGACAACGGGTGCAAAATAATGCAAAAGTACTAGGACACTAATGCGTGGAGAAATAGCCTCGATGGCGGTAATTACAGACGGTGGTCAGAGTAGATGGGATAAGACTGGGCTCTAGTTCCTTGAAAGCATAGCATCTGCGAGCGTGCGCAAACCGAAAAGTTGGTTGTGGGGTTGGTAACATTGGAGAAGATGGAGAGGGAAATCCGAAGGTTTATGATGATTTTATGGATTTTAAGATGGTTGTGCGGCAAAAATTGATATTTTCAAGTCTGTCATTTTATGGTGTGGTGGTGATATTCGTGCGTTGGCCATATTGAGCGTATCGCAGAGATAGCGTGTTTCTAGTCTGGTAGTTAAGGTATGAAAGCGAAGAATGTTTAACTTATTAAATATTGCAGCAAGGTATACTTTTGTGAAACCAACTGGTTAGTTGTGAAAGTGGAAATCATAAGGTGACAGTTTTTTTTTTGTGGTATCAAACATTTGAGGATTTCCGGTTATCTTTTCAAGTGCCAAGTAGTTCTTATTGAACAAAACCGTGTAGCTTCTTATTTGTCAGGGAAAGGATCCCAGTTCAAATTTCCGACATTGGAACTTCTTGCCTAGCAGTAAAGTATTCCAATTTTTTAAGGCAATCTCGATCTCAAGTACACCTGATTTATCCTCTTATCGCTTTACGTTCACTACTCATCCATATCTCCATAAGCCACTTTGTATGTCGTCTGGGACACATTCAATTAACAATTTCATGGGATATCTGCCTACCAATACACTACGATTCGAAGTTGAACAATTTCCTCGTAAATTCCACACTTATCAAACATAATTGTGGACTTAAGTATCTCAAATATCTCGATTTCGTCTTTATGTATCGGAACAATGGTTGTGATAACCCTGGCTGTCAGGCCCACGCAGTACCAGCTACTCATCTCTCCATGTATGTCTCGCAAACGACAGCTAGAACTCTCCGATATACAAGATGAAACAGATATATACGACCGCTTGGTGTTGAAGCAGCGCAAGTCGAAAAAGAAATTGCTCCAGCCCGACAAGTCGTCTGTTTTATTATCTGATAAGGTGCGATTAATCGATGAGAAACGGAACCGTCTGAAACGTCGAAATGATTTACCTGTTGCTGATGATGATGTCAATGGGAAGCACACGCCTCTGGATGACGAAATGCCCGTTATCGTAGAGAGCTACCTGCTTCAACAGGAGAGAAACATTCAGTCTATTCCCAATGTCCTGAGGCTATGTAAAGACATGATTGATCACTACGATGAGCTTGCTCTCGGACTGATATTTCCTGAGATTGAACAGAATCATATGTTTAGGCTATTCCTCAGTGCAGCCAGTTTTGGGCTTCTGCATTTGTTACTGTTTCCTCAGGAAGCATTGAACCTTTATGTTTCAGTGTTGCGAGGTATAATCACGAAACAAAACGCAGAGACAGTAATAAAAACTCAATTCTCCAAAGAGTCTCAAATGGAAAAACTTGAACCTGCTCCACCAGTGTCGATTAGGTCATCAAGTTCCCTGCTCAGAACGATAATTCGAACAACTGAACTGTTCAAAGTTCCAAAACGAATCACTCAGCTCTTAGATGAAGCAAATGTCCAGTGACTTGGCGCATCAAAGATGATCAGCCTTATTATAATAGGGCTTAATGAAATTTACGATTCAGGTATACACCTATGATTTTACCTATGTATATGCCATTATCCATGTCTATATAAATATCCTCTCTTTCACATTATTGACAAACCCTCCATCATAAATATTATTCAAATCATTCTCCATCAGCGTGATCTTCAAAAATGTCAAGTCCCCCTTTCCCTTGAATACGACTTGGTCATCATTTAAACGAAGGTAAACCACCTCATATGTTCCATCTGCTTGCCTCATTGATGCCTCTTCCACATAGATATCTCTTTCTACGACATAGAATAGGACGCCCAAAGATACTAGATGCTCGATCTCACCCCATTTTTCCGCCTCATTGGTGGTGACTCCTAAATACAAGTATCGTAAGTGGAGGCAAGTGAAAAGTGAGGTGATGACAGATATTATGGAGGCCAAAAGAAGCAAAATGCCGGATATTCGATTATTCTCCGTGGTGGCAACAATGAGCTTCCACCAGCCATTTGGTGCATTCAGCTGTCTCAACTCCAACCAGCATAAGTACGCTCCATAAACCATCATATTGATGTTCGAAAGCAAGAATGCGATGAACCAACGGTAGTTATTGTATCCAATACAGTTATTGAACCAGATGCAATGATGGTCAAATAAAAGTACACACCTATTACACACGGAGCAATGCTTGGATCTTGCCGGTTTGTGTGTGTGACATGTTGAGCATGTTTTGCCAAAGAAAATGAGGCCGTTATCTTTGAATTTAGCACAAGCAGCGGCAACATTGGCAGAATTCACTGTTCCTGGATCCGAAAACGTGACCAAAGCCGTGGAAAGAAATACACTGGCGATGGTGAATGCAATATAAGCTGAATGAAGTTGAGAATTCAAGATATCAGAGTCTAATGCTGGATATACCCAGGAAAAAAACTCGAAAAGACAGAACAAGACAACCATAACGTAGAATAGCGGCACCAGCCATCTTAGGGCAGCATAAATCTGGTCGTTCGCCATGATTCGGCGAGAAATCGAGGCATTCGTTCGAAGTAAGAAATGATGAAATGACTGGATGGGAGTATTTCTGAAGTTTGGCGAGTCTCCAAAGAGAAGGATCGCTACTACCAATGCAAGGAGTAGTATTAGTAGTAGTATTAGTAACATAGGGAAGGGTGTGTGAACGCAATTGATGTAGATGTTAGCAAGTGGTGAATTAAATGGTCATTAGTCTGGGTGCGCAGTACAACTACAGAGGAGAATAATGTGACAAAGGTATGAACAATAATTGTCGAATTGTTATTCTTTTTGAGTGTTTTATATATTTTCATGGTTAAAAGATATAATTATGTGATAAGGTAAATTAATTTGAGAGGGTACGATCTGGAACAAGAATATTATGTCCACCTACATTTCTATCAAGTTTATTTACTCGTCTCTCAGAAGAGACACTCAACAAAACTTAACACTTAAATTCAAAAGAATCATACTTCTCAATATCCTTTAACAAATCCTTTTGGATAATTTCAAAAACATCCCTTAACGAATTCCTAATTAGCAAATAAACAATTTGTCCTGAACGGTCTCTTTCTCGTCCAAATCTCCAGCCGAGTTTGACGTCCTGCTTCGCTTCTCCATATACTCATAACCCATCGAAAAACAAAAAAAACATACCTGACATATATCCACATCTTACGCCAAACCAACTTCGGAAGAACCTATGGCCGAAATAGTGCTTGAGGAAATCTCGAAGATCTCCAACGTTCTTGATGCGGTACCAATGAAGCCCGGAGTGGAAGCCAAATGCTTCTTTCTTGGAGTCTACAAACTTACCTTCCAGGATGTCAAAAGCTTAGAACTCACAGAGCCTCGGTGGGAACAGCTTCATCCGGTCGCTGTCAACAAGCTCTTGAAGCTCGGAATCTCGTTTGGTAATTTGGTCAAGTCTTTTCTGTTGGAACAATCTGCGTACGAAAGCAAACAGGCCCAAGAATTGAATATGAGAAAGAACTCTCGTCAGGGCGTGGATCCCTTTTTGGAAAACTATCGCCCACCAAAGTTGCCAGTTGCTCCACATTACGTGAATTTTTCCCGGAATTTTTTTCTCTTGTTGAAGAATTTCGATATTGGAACTACACAACAAGTTGAGGTCAAACGGAGCCGAAACTCGCGTGCCAGCTCAGGATTTGGTGATTCAGACACCCAGTCAAATACCGGGTCACAGACAACCACAAGCTCGGGCATGATTGGGCTGCCCATCAAGTTGAATTCTCGCCAGTTGCTTATCGAGAAGTTGGAGATAAACATCAAGCTTGACCCGTTGTTCACCATGAAAATCGTGCTCAAGTTATTGGTGAGCATGTTTACCATAGTGCGGGCGCTGGTGGACAGCATTGCGGCTGATGAGGTGAGTGAGCTTTCTGCCATCAAAGCATACTCGGAAAACTCGTCTATCTTCTCAAATAACTCAAGTACGTCAGGAGGAAATCTGGATCCAATTCTGTCAATGGACGAGTACGTTCGATTGATAAAGGATATCATATTGCGGGTCAATCTGGGGATCGTGGATCCACTCAATAACATGCTACTAGCGGAGATTGTTGAGCCTCGTGTTGTAGCCAGTTTCCTGAGTCTTGCTAATAACATATAGATGCTAAAAAGATTAAGGCTAGATAGACGATTTGAAACATTGGAATATGTGATTATCAGGTATTAGATACTCAAACAAGGAAGAATCTGGTTAGGTCAGAGATAGACAATCAATTGCTATAACAAGACACTTTCTAATGCTCTTTGTCCTAGCTAATAATGGACGATCGGAAATAACACCTACATGAGTCTTTCAGTAAGATCCATTACTATTTATTTTCTCTTCCTAGGCTCAGCCATTAGGTTCTTCCATTAGGCATTGGGTTCCTCTTCCATCCCAAACCGAAACCCATATAGTCCTAAGGTCTTCCATTCCATTAAAAACACCACTCCGTTAAAACCACCACTCTGCAAAGTGTCTCCACACTATATGTGCGGTACGACGCCCAAGCAACTTCCCAATCATGGGAAACAAGACAAAGTTCACAAGGCCGGTGACTTGCTTGATACTCTCCTCCCATTGCTCCTGTGCCGAAAGCTCAAACTCAGAGCCCGAGTCCGAGTAGTAGTCGAACTCAGTGTCGTTATCGTTGATTTCACCTACGTCGAGCTCGTAGAGGTCCTGGGGCTGTATTAGGTTTTCCAAAGACATGTAGATGGTTGGTGGAGATTGGTCAGGTGCAGGGAATCTGGAGGTACGACTCAAAGTGTGAAGCAGAACATTGGGAAAAATGGAGTAATGTTAGGCGAAGTTTTGGAAGTATAAAGTCACTGAAGGAGGGTAATAGTACGATGGGTCGAATTCTACAATTTTTAAAACTGTTCTGAAAATTTTATGAATTCTGGTTTAATGATCTAATACCATGCTTGTCGCAGCCATCTCTGATCACTTCAAGTTAGATTGGATACAAATAAACTTTACGAAAAAGGAGAAAATCTACATGGTCGAAAATTCGAATATTAATTTTATCTATTCTGAAAATCTCTATTATGTAGTTTTTTTCACTTATTCAGAACCTCTACTGACTCTCACTACACTGTAGTTTTCAATATTTTAACTTACTCTGCACAACATCATTACTTCTTCTCCCTGAATTAATTCTACTCAAATTATTTTATTGTTTCAAAATGGTTCCCACTGAAAAATAGTCACCGAATACACCCCACTAGGTCATCTGGACCCAACTGCAAGATCCAAGTCTATCAGCCATCTCATCCCCACACTGCACTGCACAAGTGAGAAAAAATTATGTTCAAGGCATTCATCAGAAACTTCACCAAGTCTGGCCGCATGTCTATTAATATCGAAGATTTCAATGTGGTAAAGGAGGGCCGTGCAACCATCTTGGCCCCAAAGCAGGATAAAGTCTTCTACAACCACATCCAACAGTTCAACAGAGACTTGTCTGTAATGGCCATAAAGGCATGGCTGGAGCAGTATAAGACATCCAAGGAGGGCACCAAGGAGCTCCGGGGAAAGCGGAGAAAGTTGAACAAGGACGAAAGTGGAGAAACCGAGCAAGTTACTGAAGGTTCAAAAGAAGAGTCCAAAGAAGTGTCCAAGAATGAAGTCAGCGATGCACCTAAAGAAACCAAAGATTCTAAAAGTGAACCTTCAAGTGATTCTACACCTTTCATTCGAATCCTCGAGGCTCTTTCAGCCACTGGGCTTCGTGCTATCAGATACGGTCATGAAATCCCTAACGTTTCCCGAATTGTTGCCAATGACTTGCTTGCAGAGGCTGTCAAGTCTATCAACAGAAGCGCAGAGTATAACGGTCTCCAAGAAAAGGTTGTGGGCCATCAGGGAGACGCCATTAAATACATGGGATCCATATCTGATTCAGAGAAGTTTCATGCTATTGATTTGGATCCATATGGCACTGCAGCACCATTCATTGACTCGGCGGTGCAGCTGGTTAAAGACAATGGACTCTTATTGGTGACATGCACAGATGCTGGAGTATTAGCCGGAAATGGCTACCCTGAGAAGTGTTTTGCTCTTTACGGTGGCAACAATTTCGGTAACACCGACATGGGCCTGGAGGCCAACCACGAGGCTGGAATCCGGTTGATCTTGGGTACCATCGCCTCAGCAGCAGCACGTTACAAAAAATGTATTGAGCCAGTATTGAGTTTGAGCATTGACTATTACTTTAGAGTATTTGTTCGCATCACCACCAGCCCCATTGAGGTGAAGAAATTGGCCTCCAACACTATGCTCGCATACCACTGTGTGGGATGTGGCCACACTGTGGACCAACGCCTTGGAAGAATCACCGACAAGAAGTTCCAGACTCCACGGATAGCACAGATTCCGGGCGAGAATTGTACTTATTGTGAGCGACCATACCATCTTGCGGGCCCAATGTGGGGAGGACAGTTGCATGACCAAGAGTTCATCGACTCTGTGTTGGCTATCAACAGCAAGGCTTCGTCGGAGGTTTATGGAACCAGGGAACGAATTAAGGGTATGCTTACGTTGGCAAAAAACGAATTGGAGACACCATTCTACTTCAACTTGAATCAGTTGCTGAGTTTCATGAAGGCTCCACCCATGGCCATTGATGATTTTGCTAAAGCCATTGGAAATTTGGGCTACAAGGTGTCGTTGACGCATGCCAAAAAAAACTGCGTCAAAACCAATGCCCCATGGGAGTCTGTGTTGCAAGTTGCAACCGCATGGTTGAAGAAGAGCAATGAGAAATTGGTAGCTGAGTACCAGAGAAAGATTGAGAAGGAGAATGACGAGGCTAAAAAGGAGAAGTTGAGACAGAAGATCGAGACGTTATCAAAGGATTTGAGCAACAATCCCAATTTGACGAGTGGGATGGTTGGGTACAAGATCTTGGAGACGGTTGCAAAGGCCGACGTTGATTTCGAGACGGTAAATGCCGAGAGCGATAAGATCACGAAGTTGAGGAAGTTGAAGATGGTAAGGTATCAAGAGAATCCTACAAAGAACTGGGGACCCAAGTCACGTCCTAGCAATAAGTAGGGAGACATTTATAGATAAAAGGAACGAAGTAAAGATAGAGGAAGTACATAATATAGAGGAAAACTTATCATAGAGGAATAGGCGAAAGAGAAACGAGGAGGTAAAATGAGCTAATCAAGGGAAGAAAAGAAAACAATACGGTAGTTGAACAAGTGTGGAAACTATATGGAAAATACATAGACTCACATACCCGAGATACCAGACCAAAAAGAAGTTACACAGTTGAGTTGTGAAATTCACAAATGAAGCTATAGAGGTACCACATCGGGCAGGAGACTTTATTTTTAGAAGGAAGAGTGGACGGGGTGCCATAGTTGTGTGTAGATAATTCCCAGATAATACGGGACACAGTGTGGACAGACAATGGATGAGTGTGGAGGGTAGTTTATAGAGGATACGTGATGGGGATCAGGTGACTAAGGGGAATGGGGCAAAAAACCATGAACAAGGATATAGGAAATCCCCCAGTCAATGGAATAGACAAGTAGATTAAATTGTACTTCAGTTAAATACATTAATATAAAAGTTTCTTTAAGTGGAACAGGGTGGATTGGTGAGTGTGTAAGTTAAACACCAATAGGCTAATGGAAAGTTCGGCCCGGAAAACAAAAACGCAACATGGGCAATGCTAGGCGGGAGAAAATCATCTCTTCGGATAAGATGGAAGGATCTCATTATACAACTACAAAAAGCTACAAGTGGGAAACATTTCAGGCTAACGTATTATTATAGGTCTATAAGTACCAGTTGCTTACAACAACATAGCAACACCAGCGGCAGCAACAGCACCGAACAAACCAGCAGAGACTGGAGCGACAGCGTTAGAGCTGGCAGAGGAGGAGGTACCGTTGGTCTTGTTAGTACCGTTGGTAGCGTTAGCAGCAGACACAGCAGAGGCAGCGGTCAAAGCGAGGACGACAGTCTTGAATTGCATTGTAACGAATGAATAGATGTGATCGAACAGAAAAATGTGCGAGCGCGGAGGGTCTTATATATGCGAAAATTTTTGCAGACGACAAATTTCCGTCTGGCGTTCAGCCCCGTGTTGATCGTATTGCCTGCAGGACGGCGCGCTCTCAAATGAGAAAATTTATGCCCGCCTCAAACTCCAATAATAGGTGAGGGGGGACTAGAAGAAATTACCCTTGGAAAACCATATAGAACTGGCGGAAACTTTGGGAGTTTCACCGGTGCGAGAGAAAAATTTCGGAGATTTTTAGCAAATTGTATATGATGAACAGGCGAAGTTCAGATCTAAAAAAGTAGAGGAAAAAGAAAGAAAAGAAAATCAACAAATAGACGATTCTACTTGGGATAGGAGTATTGGTTGCATTGGTGGTCGCCCCCACTTCAACGTCTATGGGAGGAAGGCACACCCACGAAATTGCGCAGAGAGAGCAAAGTGTACGCAGCAATAATGTACTCAATAGGAGAAAAAGATGGAAATTAATGGAATGCACCAGCAATAGTGAAAAAAAGTTGACATAATAAAATCATACACAAAAAAAAAAAGCAAATTAAATTAAAAAAATGGAGCAAGAATATTCAAAACTAAAGGAAAGAAGAGAAGGAAAAAAAAAGAAATAGAATTCAACTCATCGATTACGAAAATCAGCCTACACCGCCACCACGGAAGAACTTTCCTGGCCAAATTCGTGCCATTATGAGTCCCATCTGGCAGAGTCTGGTGACTACTAAGGCCGAGAATGCGCCTTGGGCTGTGTGGTCTGGTGCAAAGAGCAGTGACGATTCGCGCACCGGCCCGAATGTGCCGGTGCACACAGGAAATGGGCAATTGAGACCCAATCTGGATAAATTAGAGGAAGGAGTCGGAAACGGTGGATAAATTTGGACCGTGTATAAGGATATGAAATTCGAAGTGGAGAAGAGAAGGAGGTATAATGGAGTTTTAGGTAGAGACGTGACTGTGGAGATCGATATAGATAGGATTGTGTATGATAAGTGGATAGATTGAGAAATTTATTAACATTGGATTGAAAGTGATGGATTTGAATTTTGGATTGGAAGATGATAGATTCGAATGGAGTGGATGCAATGTGATGTACTATAAATAAATCTATTAGAATACTGGATTGAGAGAAATGGATTTGAGAAATGGATTTGAGAAATGGATTTGAGAAATTGTACAGATATGTATTATCTAGAAATGAGTCGAGTGCGCATATAATCAACATTTTACTCTCGTTGCGTTCATCTCTGATACCAGGGCCCACGTCTATATGTTCGGAACTCCTAGGTTGTTGACGTGGGCTTTCTTTTGAATATAGGCTTGAGATGACTTCTTTTCTCTTCCGTTGCGAATTGCAATTTCTATTTATTCTTGTAAATTTTGTTTTACCATTTTCCTCTGCTTCTAGCTTATACAATTTACCTTTCTCATTCCAGTTTCTTTTCTTTACACTTCTTTTTTTTTTCCTTCCACCTTTGCTTATCTCTTCCTATTTCGGTCCTCAACCCCATCGTTTTTGGCTCATCGCGGTGTCCAAACCCTCATTACAATCCGTCACATACCCAACCTAATCTCATCTCCACACCAAATGGAAAACGATTCTTCTTCATGTATTCATTAACTAACACCGTCCAATTTCTGTTAACTTTTCCTTCACCTTCTCAATTCTTCGATATTTTCATTTTCTATTTTCTTTCCTTTTCTTATCAATTTCACATTCTTTACATTTCACATTCTTTACATTTCACGTTCTTTACATTTCACACTCTTTACATCTCACACTCTCTACATTACATGTCTCTCTAACCTCTCTACATCTCCTCATCTCATGAACACGCTAAAAACAGCCACTCTCAACAGCTTGGCTCTCCATTGCGGCTACCCCACCGCGTCCACCAAGGCTGCTCGTGTCGCTGCAATGGCCAACTACGACGCGTTCTTCTCGTCACTACCGGCCTCTCCCACCATTGTCTCCGTCGACGTGGGAATCAAAAACTTCTCCTACTGTAAAGTGGCGCATTCTGACACCCAAGTATCCATTGTCGATTGGAACCACCTCAATCTCCATGAAAAATACGGGTCGACGTACCGTCCCAGGACCACCGATCCAGACTCCCTCGTGGACTCAAAAGCCTATATGGCCCATATGTCGGTAGGTGTGGTCAATGACATCTTAATGCCACAAGGTCGGTGGCCAGATATCATCACCATTGAAAACCAACGCACTCGCTCAAACGGAAAAACATCAACACTTCCTAATGTGCTACTCAATTTCACCTTGGAGAACATGATTTACGCTGCATGTGAGGCACGAGGTGCGTCGACTCACAGAGTGGCTGTGATGCCCATGAACTCCAACAAAATGGTCAACTTCTGGATCTCGCGCTTCGTCAACAAGTCTAGTGGCATGTCTAGTGCTCATTCCAAGACTCTCAGGACCCAGCTCCTATTTGGTTGGCTTTCTCACCCAAATCATTCTCCATTTGATCTACAATTGCCCTCATTACCCTTGGACTTTGCACAGTTGTCTTATCGAAAGCAGACCTCTGCATTACTCCAACTGTTGAAATTTGAAACTCGTCCCAAGAAGGTCGACGATTTGGTGGATTGCCTTCTCTATAACCTCATGTGTCTGCTCCAGCTTCGCCACCATCGTGAATTAAAACAGGCTCAACAGGATGGTCACGATATCGCCGAATTGGTCCGTCATTGGGACTCATTGCATTGTCGATACTTGCGTCCGCTCCTCGCCTCCACCGAGCTAGAACTTGCGGGTGAGTATAGTAGAGATTAGAGTGAGTGAGTGGACTAGACTAAACTAGATGCTTTTCGAACAACCGCTATCTTACACCACTGTCCGACATTGATTTGAACTGGTGGCTTCAGTAAATTCGGTTTTTCTATTAGAAACAAGATGACCAATTATGAACTAATAACGACGTCTGGAATTACGAGAATAGAAAACGCTTGAAAGAATGAATAGAAAAGGAAACTCAAACCTAAAGTAATCTCCGGAACGAGATGAAATAGATATTATAGAATTGACTAATCCTGTCCAGGAACATGAGCACTTCTTGTCACACCTGAAATTAGTACCTATTAGAAAACATACCTATTGTTCCTTACTTCAACTCCACCATAATGCATGTATTGCTAAATGATTGAGCGAACTTCTTCGCTGAGAGGACTAATGGTTCGCTGGATCTGATTGGCAAGCTCGTCAGGGATAGCCTCCGAGATCTCTTTGTCTGGACTATTCTTGCCTCCAAATTCGTTCTCATCGGGTCTAAATGGTTGTATTGTGCCCACATCTTCCACTTGAGTCTCCCCGTCTGCATCATCGTCATCTTCATCCTCATCGTCATCATCGTCATCATCGTCCTCATCATCGTCATCATCTTCATCATCTTCATCGTCATTCTCTTTATCCTCATCCTCTTCATTTTCTTCTTCAAGGCTCACGTCAAGCTGTTTAGCTTGCTCGGCCCATAGAAATTTGATCTTGCGTCTCAAAATCTCAACAACATCCAGCCACTCTCTCATGCCTCCCATACCAATGTCTCCGCATATGAGCACCTTCTCTACCGGCTTCAAGACCTCAAATCCAAAACCTTCTTCAGAAACACCGAGAATATTTAGGTGCTTTGCGGTTAAAGGATGCGTGTACATGAAAGTGTTCATGGCAGGCGCAACCAAAATGGGCTTCTTCTGAGCCAACTGCCCGTCAGGTCCAGCAGACGTGCTAACAGGGCCCCAGCCACGGACAATCGATGTGAGCAAGTTGTCGGCGATACCATTTGCCAACTTCGCAAGCGTGTTGGCGCTTAGCGGAGCAATAAGCATGATGTCTGCCCATTTTCGCAACTCATTGTGTAACACCATGGTGTCAAGTATGTTCTTATGCTTCTTGACACCCTGTTCTGACGTTGAAGGTGTGGTTGTGACATTTGCATTCCACTCAGTGAAGTTGGCCCACTCGTCTTCGTCACGCCAGATCTTCACATCTTTATGTATCTTCAACCCCTTCAAGAAATGACTGCCACACTTGGTCACCACCAACTGTACAGAAATCTTATTAGTTCCAAATATTTGAAAGAGTTTGTTGATTATGAGTGGAACTTTGATGGTGGCCACACTGCCCGTGCACCCCAATAGAATGTGACATTTCTTGTCATCCTCTTTCGTCAAATATTGCTGGAAAGGCACTGGTGGGCCCACTGGATATGACACCACGGTCTTGTTTGACTTTTTCGTGGAGCTGCGTCTCAGTAGAGAGCTCTGTCTTGTGGGAGCTGGACTGGTCTGAGATCCTCTGCGTGCTGATGCGGCATCTGTTTCATTGACAACAGAGGCAACCAGGGGAGATGCTAAAGGCGATGCCACATGGCCCGCGGATGTGTTTCTGACTGTGGGCGGAGGCGATGGAGTGCCCCTTTGGTCCGACAGTGCCATCAGATTAACACCAGTGTCCACTGAGCATGGGCTATCTACGCGGAAGCCAGAATGGGAAACTGAAGCTCCCGAAGTCGAAATGCCGAGATGTAGCGCGTTGAAGCCGAGGGCCGAGTTGTTCCTACTGGCGGAGGCACTCAGCTCGCCTTGAATAGAGCCCTTACGGGAAGCCATCGGAAGCTGCATAGTCAGTCCATGCCTAGACTGCAGAGTCAAATTGACAGCAGAAGGTTGAGCAGATATGGTGAAACGGCGGCTTCTTTCAACCGGCTCGGTGTCACAGAAGGACACGGACTGACCGCGCGATGTGTGCTCGGAAGATAAGGTGGACGTGGGGCCAGAAGGTCTGGGATGGACCTGAAGAGGTTGTACTTGTGGAGGAGGCGCGTATGGCAAGTTCAGTGATTGATGCAGAAGCTGGGGCTGGTGAGTATTATCCCGTTGTTGACTCAGGGCCAGGCGGACCGTTACTGGGCCACCAAGCGCCAGAAAATTGAACACTGGCTGTGCGTGAGAGTGAGCCTGAGGTTGCTGGTGCTGCTGAGACAGCCATGTATGAGCTTCTTGCGCCAGAACCCCTGGAAGTGGGTGGTCTCCCTTGTGATCATGCAATTTTAGTGACACATCCAACAAGTTCAACGGCACCGGATAGGTGGCGATGTGCGAGTGTGAAGTCGAGGGCGATATGTCCCGCGACAAAGATGCAAATGCCAGTGACTGGTGCGATGTAGGCGATGTGGCGGCCTTGGCCTTATCCTTTTGGCTGGGAGAGGAGGACATTGGATCCTACGTGATGGAAGCCGAGGATGGAAAGTCAAGTGGCAGTGGCAATGGGCGGCTAATGATCAGGCGTCAATAGTGGAGACACAGATGGATTGAATCACGGTTGAGGCGGCGATGGCGGTGATGCAACGGCCTTTCTGGACAGAAGTAGCGAGTAGAAGAGGTGTAAGTTTGAGTGTTTGAAAGGTGAGTGATTCGCAGTCCTGGCTCCAGGCATATATTGCGGTAATTTCCTCGTGCTTGGCCCAGCAAATATAGCAAGGGATAGTGGGAAGGAAAAGGAGTGAAATTAGAGAAAAGGAAAGGGAAGGGGGAAATCAATCTAGAGAAATAAAGTAGTAAAGAAATTTCTTGTGGGTGACAAGTTTGGCAGTTGTTCATGGCAACGAGGATGTGCAGCTGCATAGTCACTTGTGGAGATTGGCCGGAAAAACCAGAAGAGGGACAGGATAATGGAAGGGAGAGAATGGTTGAAAAAAAGAAGAGGATGGAGAAAAATGGAGGGCAATAAAGGAAAAGGGTGATCGTGAATGGCTGGAATGTGGCTGTTAAAGTGACTATTTAAGTGACTGTTAAAGTGACTATTTTAGTAACTGTTGAAGTAACTGTTGACTACTTATGTGACTATTTTAGTCTTAAGCAACAACTTAAATGAGGGATAAATTTGAATGCGAATTTGACATAGAGAATAGACAGATGGAAAAGACACAGAAAATCGAGATTCAACCGAGGTTGAATTAAATTATCATGATGATGTTACAATAGGAGTTGCTAAATGCAATGGGAGTCAAAATGCATTTCGAGAATGGAGATCCCTCAGCTAGGAGATCTCGTAACACATTACAGATTCACATACGTCAGAGTGCTTCGCAGATGATCACGGATCGGTCGGATCATAACCCTATTGCGTGAGTTGACAACAGGTGAGTTTCAAGGAAAAATGTGGAAAGGAGAGAGAAAAAGTAAGAGAAAGGAAAATATTGGAAGATGTAGAGAGAGGAACTATTAAGATGGAGAGGGGTTATTGCTGATGAAGATAATGCATGAGCTAAACAGAATGACAAATGAAAGTGACAAATGAAAGATTGAGTTCTAGATGTAACATCCAGAATGAAATGGGAGATTCAGAAGTGTAAAATGGTGAATGGAAGGACTTGTAAAGGAAACCGACGGTAGACAGTGGAAAAAGTCAGAAACATTGAGGAATAATCAGAAATAGTCAGAAATACTAACAAGAAAATCCACCCCGATTCAGAATCGTTGCAAATCTTAAAAAAAAAATGGCCAATTTCGGATCACTTTGAATCGATTTGGTCTAAGTTGTTTCTCCATTTATCATCTGCATCTTTGTTTATGTTTATTTTCCTTTCTCATTTCACTTCATATCACTTCTACATTTCTGATCGATTCCGCATTATCTCCACGTATACTGTTTATGGCACCAGTACATTCGCATAATTAATGTTCGAGTTTCCATCTACACCATACAATTCATTTTCTCATTTCTATCGTATTATTTTCAAACTATGATTTCTCTCGTTTATTTCATTTAACTCTTCATTTCTAAATCAGTAATTTCCTTTTATTTTATTCATCGACAACCACTTCATTCCATCATTTTGTCTATCCCCATCCTTTTTCCTACCTCACTTTTCCCTGCACGCCATTCTTCGTCAACTACACCATGAATCTCCGCCAGCAATTGTCCCAGCTCCTCACTATTGCCTACGTATTTACGTCCGCGTTTGTCGCATGGAAAACCCTCTCGGTCATCACAAACTCTCATTCGCCCATTGTGGTGGTGTTGTCCGGATCCATGGAGCCTGCATTCCAAAGAGGTGACATCTTGTTCTTATGGAACAGAGATACTCAGGCGAATGTCGGTGACGTCGTTGTGTACGAGATCCAGGGGAAGTCCATTCCTATTGTGCATCGTGTTCTTCGTGAGCACCATAGCGGCGAGAAACAGCTTTTGCTTACGAAAGGTGACAACAACGCGTTGGACGACCTTCTGCTCTACGCCAGAAAGCAGAACTATTTGAACCAGAAAACTGACTTGGTGGGAACAGTCAAGGGCTACTTGCCGAAGGTGGGTTACGTGACCATTTTGCTTACAGAAAACATGTATTTTAGGTACACATTATTGGGACTCATGGGTCTTTCTGCGATATTGTCCAACGAGTAATATACGATTTGCATGGTTTCTATTTGGTATGCCTTGTAGTTAGAACTTTACAATTAACTAGTTTCGTCTTTCACCAGTGGTTACTTTAGATCAACGCTTTTGTTCATCGTAAAAACGATGAGCATCGTCAACACTTAAAGTTCCTTGTTACTCCTAACTAATCCTTCGCCGCTTGAACTCACGTAAGTTCAAAGTTGGAGTCATCCTTTCAACTGTGTAGCATTCGATGAGTTTGGTTACCTCTTCATTGAAATTGCCATGTCGACATGTAATCTGACAATCATCCATTTCGCGAGAGATTGTCATACCCTCCAACCATTGTGCCACTCCAACCCGAATAATTAGTTTACTGACGGACGAAGGTACATTCACTCGACCTTTGATATTAATCAAAGTCAAATTCTGCAAGTCTGGAAGGTTCCAGTCGAACTCAGAGCATTTCCCATTTTCAATATGAAGCTCTTGTAACGTTGCTGGAAGATTGAGTTGAGAAAGCTGACTAGTTCGACCATTCGATAGTATTAGCTTGAGCAACTCCAATTCCGGAGGGAAGGATATATTCTGTGGCTTCCCCTTGACCGATATCTCCAACTCCAACAAGCCTTGGGGAAATTTTGTTTCCAGATAATCTCCGACATGATGTCCATAGGCTCTTAGTGATAAGAGTGTATTCGGAAATTTGGCATTCTTCAAACTCTTGATGCATTGCCCCGCATTTTTAGGTGTTATTTCGATGTCTAGGATTTCCAAATCGGGAAACGTGACCCCATCCAAACTGGTAAGAAGAATGCCGTAAGCATATAGCTCTCGAAGCAGACTAGGAAACTCACAATCATTAAACGAAGTGATCGGGCATCCTGGCACATGTAGTACCTTGAGTGATTGGGGCAAGTTTTCCAACTTCTTGATTCTATTTCCATTCAACTTGAGTTTAATTAGAGATTTGGGAAACTTTAAGACTTCGAGACTCTCAATTTTACAGCTCCTGAGTTCTAGAACTTCGATCGAATCTGGAAACTCGAGATCTGACGCCAAGCCACCAAAGGTGTACGCTAAGCACAACTTTTTCAATTTCGGAGGTAGATTGGCCACTATTCTCTCAACATCAAGACCCTGACAAGCAGAGATTTCCAATTCATGGAGCGATTTCGGAAAGAGAATCAGATTTGGGAACAGCTTTAACCTAGAGAGCTCTAATTTTGCGAGCTTTGGAGGATAAAGTTCCCACAACCCCTTCAGAACTTGACAGGAGAGTTCTCTGAGTCCCTGTGGAAGCTCTATGAGTCCTACATCGTTGTGTCCTTGGATATTTAAGCTAGTCAATGAAGGTGGCCACTCCTTTATCTTCTCTGAACTTTGGTCAAAAAGGAAATTAAGGTCCAACAGCTTCACATTCTGAGGAACACTTGAAGGTTCAAATGATTTCAAGCCATATAAACAGACACGTGAAATGCTTTGAAACGGGATCTCTTTGACTAAAGTGTAGTCACAAGGAAGCAGAGCAAGGATATCAACATTGGATATGTTAGAAGTGAAAGTCGGATTTCCCTTGAAAAATGATAGGAACTCGTCCGTGTAACGCAATTGCATCGTCCCTACGTGAGCATTGTCATTTGCAGCTTCGACTAGTTGGTCCAATGTTGTCACTCTCATATGTTTGTAAATTTCAGAGATTGCATGTTGCCTGAGTACCGAGTCGTTTGATAATCCATCGCAGAGAGTTCTCAATGCTTTCTTTGTCATGAAGAGAAAAATATTACCTACGACATCTAAAGGAAAGATATCAATGAGGACATCCGCCATAGCGTTCAGTTCTTGGCCTGATGTAGGGAAAACTATCGGAGACTCATTTCTCTTCTCCGCAGAATGTCCAATTGGCGCGTCAATAGCCATGAGCGAGACACGCTTTTGTTGATCTTTACAAACTCAATCTCCAATATTAATCCAAAGGAGACAAATGGGGAATTATAGCCACGGTTGACAAATAAGAATCAATAGCTCAACCTGGTTTTTGAGAGATTCTGTTGACAAATACCCAAGTAGGAGACATGTGTAGTACAAGTATACATGATTTACGAATAAAGTCAAAAGAACAGAAAGAGCAATTACAAGCAATGTCAAAGACATTATTGATTTGTAAATTTATACCGAAGAGCTACTATGAGCGATTGTGCTTGAGACATTTGAATCTGTAATTAGTGAACCAGCTTATCGATGGCAATTGCCAAGGTCCTTTCAATTCAAACCATGGTCATTTTGATAGTCCTTCAAATTCTTTATTTCTTCGTTGAAGCTGCCCTTCAGGCAGCAAATGTTGCATACTTCCAATTTCTGAGATACATCTATTCCTTTCAAGAAATGTGCATGTCTAACATCCACTGATAGAATATTCACCGACTGTGGAACCTTCACCAGGCCCTCGAAATCATGTAAGCCCAATCTCTGCAAGAAGGGGAGCCTGCAGTCAAAGTCGATACTTCTCCCATTTTCTATAATAAGCAGTTGTAGTGTTGTGGGAAAATTAAGATGAGAAAGGTTATCATTGAATTCGCCTTCTGCTTTGTCTTTTCCTCTACGTTTGCCCTTGCGTAACGGAACCGTTAGTTTGAAGCTCTGCAAGCTAGGAGGAAGCCGCATACTATGCCAGTTGCCACTGACAGCTACCTCCAATTCTATCAAGCTTGGAGGGAAACGGGATCTCACATAATCGTTGATTACGAGTCCATTAGCTTTCAATACTTTGAGAGTAGAAGGAAGTCTGACATTCCTCATACTAAGTTCATTTGTTGCAGAGAAGGTTGTTAGATCAAGCACCTCCAATTCAGGAAATCTAACACCGGTCAAACTGGTAATAGGATTATATGACAAGTACAATTCTCGAAGCAGACTGGGAAACTCAAAATCATCTAGCGTCGTGATTTCACATTCTTCCAAGTATAGCACCCTCAAGGACTCTGGATACTGCAAGTTTTGCATCTTCTTGACATCGTTGCGATTCAAATTGATTTTTATGAGAGATTTCGGAAATCTGAAGCCTTCAAGACCCAGGAGATTACAGAACTTGAGAGATAAATTCTCAACTGAGTCAGGAAACTCGAGACTTGATATCTTGTCGGCGATATACTCTGAAAAATATATCTTTTTCAATTTTTGAGGTAACCTGGTCACTAACTTCTCGATATCATAGACAGAACATCGAGTAATCCGTAACTCCTCGAGTAACTCTGGAAAGTCAATTCTCTCGAGTGGCAATTCTTTCACATAGTGGAGAGTTAATTTTTCAAGTTTTGAAGGGAACCGGTCCCATGCCTCATACAGATCCTCGCAAGTGAGTTCTCTGAGGGATTCTGGAAGCTCAATGAGACTTAAATTGTTGTAGTTTACGATTTTTAAGGAAGACAACAAAGGTGGCCATCCGTCCATCCTCATGGGAATTGCAGCGGCCAGAAAAGAGAGTTCTATCAGTTTCAAAGTGCGAGGAACCAAAGATGGCTTGAAACTTTTCACTTTAGTGACTTCTAAATGCGAAATGTTCGTAAGTGGGATCTTTTCAAGTATCGTGTAGTCATAAGGAGCCCCGACCTTGAGCTTAACATCGGCAATGTTCGATGCTAATGACGGGTATTCTTTGAAAAATGAAAGGTGTTTCTCTTGATAATTCCAACGCATCGTCCCAATTCTCACATTGGTATTAACTGCTTCAACTAGTTGATCGGGTTCCTCCACTCTTATCTCTTTGTACATTCTGGAAAGCACAAGTTGCCTGAGTTCCGAATCCTGCGATAACCCACTGTAAAAAGTTCTCAAGGCTTTCTTGGACAAGAAAAGAAGAATAGTGTCAATGACTTCAAAGGGAAAGGTATCAACAAGGATTTCAGGCATGGTGTCCCATTTTCTATGAAGCTATGGTATCTATGGATTAATCCACGTGGAATTATTACCTGAATCAATGGTGGGGTTATGGCAACGTGCATACAATGACACTGACCTTCTGTTTGTCGTGAATATACAGATCATGAAGTTCATTGATGGTTGCAAAACGAATGGGTGCAAAAAAGAGAAGTTGACGGAGCCCTGACGTATAGTTCGTCCGAATACTCCCCTTTTGGCGACTTTGTTAGGATCTTTGTGACAATCTGTCCAAACATCTAGTAACGAATAACTATAGAAATTAAGCATTGAGATAATGCCTCGCAGACGTTGACTTTCTATCCTCACAAATAAGATAAAAAGGAAACCACGATCACTAGTATAAACAAATATTGACACTAGTGGAAGATGTCAAAAAATAATGCCTTCAGCCAGATTCGAACTGACGATCTCCTCATTACTAGTGAGGTGCCTTACCAACTTGGCCATAAAGGCAATGAATTTCAAGCGACCCCGGTGAGGATCGAACTCACGATCTCAAGATTAACAGTCTTACGCCTTAACCAGCTTGGCCACGGAGTCTGCTTGTTGGAGAAGAAGAACTTGCAGATCTCCTAGAGATTAGTTTAGAATGAACTTCTTTCGAAAATTTCGTGTTTCTACTTATTTCTCTTTACCAGAGGAAGAAGTTGTTTCTGAATAGTCCTGTTTTTTAATTTTCAGATTTTTGTTTTTGTTTTTCATTTTTTTAGACCTTACTTTCCATTCCTCTCAAGTCCTGCCATTCCCCCACAAAATTCGCAAATACTGCGCAGCAATCAACTTTTCACCTACTAACTCATCTTATCTGTGAGATTGTTTTCGTAAGTATGCTTTCGGGGAGGAATATTTTCATTACTGGTGCATCCAGAGGGATTGGATTAGCATTGAGCAACAAATTGGCCCTGCTAGGCAGCACAATTACCATGGTTGCACGAAATGAAGACTTACTAGTTGATAACATCAGAAAGCTTCCAACTTCTAAGGACCAACAACACAAGTATGTTTCGTATGACCTCATGTCTCTTGCTAGAGGCGTGAAGCCCAACAATCATGGGTTTCTTGTGGAGAATCTCGAGAAGGCTAATATTCTCATCAATTGTGCTGGTTTAGCAACTTACAAGCTCATGCCAAAGCTCACGGATGACGGAATATTGGACGTCGTGGACCTCAATTTGGTGGCTCCTATACTTTTGAGCAAGATGGCTATTCCATCAATGCTTAAGCAAGGAAAAAGAACCCCAGTACCTTCAATCCTCAATATATCTTCATTACTTTCTGCTACGGGTACAGCAGTGTCTGGGACATCAGCTTATGCTGCTCTGAAAGCAGGGCTTTTAGGGTTAACTGAGGCATTGGCCAAAGAATTGAATGGAAAAATACGTGTAAATGCCGTATTGCCGGCCTTGGTACCAGAGACAGACATGGGAAAGAATGCATCTGCCAATCTACCTACTGTCTCCCTTCTGGACGTGGTGGATACTTGCGTGAAGGTTTTGGAGGACGAGAGCGTGAATGGCAAGTTTGTCCCTGCGGATGGTGGAAAATTTCGAACTCTCAATTAGTCGACATCTCTTTAGCTTCCCTTTATAGTCTATCTATTCATACAATATGTAATGTACATGCTCAAGATCACGGCTGGCCTGCCAGGTGTCTTCGGTGTAGAGCTCGTCAAAATAGGCTCGAGCAAGGCGACACATCTCTTCGTCCCCTTGCCCATAAATCCAAAGCAAAAAGTTGGCCACTTCAGCTTCTTCTGTATTTTCGCCCATCAAATCAACGAAAAACTCTGCAAGAGCAACGATATTCTTTCCGTCATTGGAAACGCTGGCCGACTCAAGGAAGTACGACTTCAAAATGCCACACGTAGTCGTCATGATATCCACGTGGTGAAGTAGAAACTTGAACTTATGTAACATCTCCCTCACTTTAGTCAGTCGAGACGCAGTCCAGTTGTCATCCAAATACTTGATGATACGCAAACATTTCATATACGTGTACTTCAACAACAGGAAAATAGCATCAAAAAGGTCGTCGTTTCCACTATCGAGAGAATTGAACAAGCATTGGGGGTTGAATGCTAACCACGCTTGAACTAGCTTTCTAACATTAGCATATGAAGAATAGAGCACAGCATACGTTCGGTGGGAAGACGTTGCAGACCTCAATTCTCCTTTAACCGATGCAATGAGCTCGGAAACAATCGACACAATGATGGTGGTGTTATTAGGATTTTGAACGTTCCTATTGAGCAATTCATAGAGTTCTTCTGCCTTGATATGAGCAAGCAGAAGCCAATTGCTCCGGGCCAAAGAGTCAAGCAATAAACTTTCGTAATTATCGAAACCTTTCATCGTGCCAAACAGCGAGGTGATCCTGAGATCCTTGATCATTTGCTTCCAAAAGCCTATGCGGTGTAGTAACCAAAAAACTGGAAGACTTGGATCATCTGTGGGGTCGATAAGTTCATGGCACAAGCTGTAGACATCCCGATACTCCAGTCTATGGGGCAGAAAGAGCCAATATTCCAGAAAGAGCGTTTTCAGCAAGTTTGCCAACGTCTGGCTCTCCTGTTCCTGAAGCCAATGGACCAAAACTGGAATTAAGAGATAAAGCAAGGTGCGCAGATTGAGAACCAAAAAATGGAGAACATAGCCAATGACGAGATCGTTCCGATGAGTGTACATCACGGCCACAGGCTCCATCTCGAGCCAGTCGTCTATATCGTCAGTGAGTTCATTATGGAACTTCTGGAGATGACGAGGGAAAGTATCGGGCTCAAAGAGCAAAACCTGATTAAGTTTGTAGAAGGTCGATTTAGTTCCAAGTGAGATGGACTTTCCAATATGAAGAGCCGCCAAAGAGGAGAGTTTGGCCATGTTTCCGCCTCTTTCCAGGTCACAAATTGTGCCTACGATGGTTCGAAAAATGGAGAAGATCTCCGTGTACGCCTGGAACATTTCTGGGGAAATGAATGGCTTTAGAGATGCTAATCGGTCGTTAGCTGACGAGGGACGCGTGAATCGTAGATTTCCCCCGTCAACCTTTGCACTTGTGAACAGCTCCATGTCGAAATGGAATTTGGAGGGATACTTGACGTAGAGGTCAGTGAGAACATGGATCTTGGAGATTAGCGGCCGAATGAGTCGTTTACACTTGACCACCGATGGCTGATCGATGAAAGCAGACTTTTTAGCCATGAATGACGAGGGTCAGATATATAGTTGAGATGGTCGAAGATTGGGAGTTTGGTGGTGCCAACGAGAAAGAGAGAAACAGTAGAAACTCTGAAAAAAAAAAAGATCCCACTTTAGGCGATTGAAATGTCGACAGCGGATACCTCTCTTATTGAAATTGGCCACTGTCCGCTACTTCTCCATAGTCTTCCGTAGTTCAACCTGGAAATCTAAAATCAAGAAGGTATGCAGGAGGCAATCAACCATTCTCCATCTATACCAGGTAGCAAACCTAGTCCAAGAGAGTCTACGGGGAGGTAATTTAAGGATAAGTAGATTGGAAAAGCGTATTTGCTGTGATTGATACGGAAATATATACGACTTAGTACACTTGATTCTGAATTGCAGCCATAAATGCTTTACATACCTAGTCTTTTGACTCTAGCCACGATAGTGGCTGGCCACATCATGGGAGTTTCTCCCGAAAACCAGCACTTATATGATGTAAGTGACGATGGAACATGGAGATGTCTTCTGGATCCGTCCATTGTGCTCCAGGCTCACCAGATCAATGACAATTTTTGCGATTGTCCAGATGGATCTGATGAGCCAGGGACCAATGCCTGTGAATTCACAGAGGATGCTCCTCGGTATTTCTATTGTGCCAATGAGGGGTATATACCTAAATACATCGAGAATTTCAAGGTGAACGATGGTGTCTGCGACTACGATGTGTGTTGTGACGGATCTGATGAGTATCTTAGCGGAAAGTGTGAAAATAGATGCGGTGAAGTGATGCAGCAGTACCAAAATTACATAAATGACAAACGTCTGGCCATGGTGAACGCATTAAAGTTCAAGGATGAATTGGTGGCCAAGGCAAGGGTGAATAAAGCCAAATTAGAGGAAAAGGTTGCAAGTATGAAGAGTGAATTGCAATCCAAAACGCAAGACCTCGAAAGTTTGAATCAGCAGTTGAAAGAGGCAGAAGATGAAGAAGCGAACGATGAGAATTTCTCTCAATCAATATTGAATGAGCTTGCTAGCTATGCCGAGCTGATTGAGAACCAGTTCTCACAATTGTTCGCTTCCTCGAACGCACAAAAGGAAAGAGTCGCCCAGCTTGAGCAGTTGCTTGCTGACTTAGTCAAGAACTATAACCCCAACTTCAACGATCTCTCAGTTAAGCAATGTGTAAAGCTGTTTGAGGAGTACATTTCCAACAAGCCTCAGGAAAGCGAAAACCAGCCAACCCTCGAAAAATTCAAGGAGGGCTTTGCATCATTAGCAGAAAAATTGAAGTTGTGGCTGCCTGTCTCCACCCCCGGAATCGCTATTGTACCTAATTTGGGCAATATGATGCATTACTACTACGGTCAACTCATTTCGAACTTCAAGCCAAAAGAACCCACAAATGAGGGTCAGACTCCGAAAAGAAGATTTACGGGATCGTTGTCTAAACTCAAGGAAAAGATATCCTCTGCTGAGAAGGATATCAATGCTCAAATGGCAGACTTTTCGATTCACGACGACAGCCTTCAGAAAAACTACGGACCCAATGAGATTCTCCGGGCTGTGGAGGGTGAATGGGTCAACAAAAAGATCGGCGAGTACACGTATAAGCTTGGATTTTTAGATGCTATTTACCAGGACAACACATTGGTTGGTCGATTTGCCAATTTCGACGGATCTTCGTTACATTACACGCAAGGAAGCAAATGCTGGAATGGTCCACAGCGGTCAGCAGTGGTGCAGATCGTCTGTGGCCCACTGAACGACTTAGTTTCTGTCAGCGAGCCGGAGAAGTGCCAGTACAAATTCATTCTCGAGTCTCCAATCGGATGCTCACAAATGTCCAATGATGAAATTGGCGAATCCTTTAAAGTAGACACGTCTGGCTTCAATTAGCCAAATCTATCTTAATGGAAGTATCAAACTAGCAGTCACTATGTATCTAGTCGAAGGTGATTTTCTTACCCTCGAACTTGACATTCTTCAATTTCTCCTCTGCCCTCTTCTTGGCCTCCCAAGATGGATGCACTGCTGCCGTAGCTGGAGCAGACAGAGACTTACCGGTGCCAAGAGGAACACCATTAGCACCCGAACCCTGTGCGGCCTTAAGTTCTCTCTTGCGCTGTCTCTCTTCGTACTCTTGCTGTCTCTGTTCTCTTTCACTGGCCACTCTGTCTCTTTCCTTCTTGACGTGGTTGGCTCCACTTCCGTATTTCTGTTCCCAGATCTTCTGTCTTGCACGCTGGCCCCTCCTATTTTTCCTGGTGGTTGTGGCAGCCTTGACCACCTTATCGTTGTCCACATCTTCCTCGTCATCTGAACCTCCAGAAAAGTATCCGGTAGCTAACTCTGGTAGTTTATAGGTAACTTTTGTTGTCTTAGACTCCTTCTCAACGCCTTCAAAGAAATCATCTTCGCTCTCTGATTCAGATTGTTCGCTGTCCGATGCCTCTTCATCGGTGATTTCGTTGTAGTTGACGTTTGGATCAGCAACAAACTCTTGCTCTTCGTCAGAGTCTCCAACCATACTATCGAACCCAGCAAACTTATCAAACGCTTCCTCTGCATCCATTGCTTCATGTCCTTCTTCCTCACTACCACTCTCATCATCGCTGTCTTCGCTCTCTTCTTCGTCGTTGTCTTCATTCATCACACTCTTCACCTTCGTGCCAGTAGCCTTTGCACGAGCATCCTTCTCGGCCTCAGACAAGTCACCTCTAATCTTTCTGAAGGACCAGTCGATCTCTCCAAGAAGGGTTTTGATCTCTTTGGCATTCCACAACTTCGATATGTATCCATTGAGAGCTTTGTCATTCTGACAGTAAGTGATGAAGAAGTGCGATGGGTTTGCTGGGTTCTTCTTATCCGTTATTAGAGTCTTCAAGTGGTCTGGAAAATAATCTGGTGGCGAGATCTTCAACTCCTTTGTGGTGAGAATGGCCAGGGTCACCAGCTTAATCAATCTTGACTGGAGGAGCAATTCAACCTTCTTCTCGTTGTTGAAAAACTCACCTAATGACTTCTGGGCATCGGTCCATGACCTCTGGTCCTGCTTGAATCTTCTTTGAACTTCACGAAGCAACTTCTTGTAAGATCCATGGAACTTTTTCTCGAAAAGATCTGATTTCAATGCTAGAATCTGCTTGGAAGCTTCGTCATGGGATCTGGGAAGCTTCTTGAGAAGCTGAGAGTTGTTCTTCGCATTGAGCAACTTTTTCGTATTTGGGAACCGGGGACTGGCCTTTTTGAATTTGACCTCTAGGAGATCGAGTTTCCATAGCTCGTTCTTCTTATTCTTCATTGTAGTTGGTGATGATCATCGCATTTTTTTTTCGCACTTACACTATGGAGGTAGTAGATCTAGAGAAATTACATGTACTAAAACTACTTTATAAACCACTTATTGGATAAACTAGATCTTTTGGATAAATTACATATATTAATCATTTCGAGTTTACAGTGAAAATATATTTACAGGCAGATATGCGAGATATTGCCGGACAAACGGTGGAGGTTCCCCAGAAGAGAAAGTCAGACTTCGTGAGAGACAAGAAGATCAAAAAGGAGAAAAAAGCCAACCCTAATCAATGCGAATATTACTTGGTCCAAAAAAGAAGACGTTGTGCAATGCAACGGAAAAAGGATAGGCGCTACTGCTCGGAACATATAGCACTTGACGATACGGAAGCAGCCACCGAAGTCAAGGAGGAGAGGGTACCATGCCCATTAGATCCCAAACATAGCGTTTGGGCAAAGGATTTGAAATTTCATTTGACTAAGTGCCCTGCCAAACCTGTGGAGAGCACAGATCCATGGTTTGAACGAAACAGAAACAGTCAATTGAGGAACAACAGTGAAGATAAAGATATCTTGGATAATGTAATAGATGGAGGAGTCGAGGTGGAGATACAAGAAAAAAAGGAGAGAGAGGAAGAGGAAGTGGATATCAACCAGTCCCAAATGGCAAAATATATCGATATCCTCCGAAAGTTCAACGATAAAATGTCTCCCATGGACGTCTATGTCAAACACCACCCAGGACTAGACCATTGGCACGAAGAGAAGGCCAACAGAAAACATATCGACCAACAGTCTTCATTGGTGGGACAGCTCAAAGAGGTTAACTTGCTCTCTCCACAATTGTTCTACGTGGAATTTGGATGTGGAAAAGGCGAATTGTCTAGAACAGTGAACAAATGCATTCTTCACGACTACAAGATCTCTCACCAAGAGGACGAAGAAACGCTGACAGTCTACGGATACGGACTCATCGATCGAGGAGTCAACAGAATGAAGATGGACAACAAAATTCTTAAAGATTGCAAGGAGGCTCCCCATCCATTGGATCCTGTCATCAAAAGATCGAGAATAGACATTGAGCATCTTGATCTCGATAAATTCCTCGAATCTGCGGCTCCAAAGGGTGTGGTTGGTATTTCAAAGCATCTTTGTGGAGTAGCTACCGACTTGACGTTGAAACTGATTTTCAATTCGTCGATTCTCGAGTCCAAGTTCCAAGGTCTTGTAGTAGCCATGTGCTGCCGGCACGCATGTAACTACAAACAGCTTTTACCCGAGTCCAAGGCATTCCTTGCACTCAATGGAATTGCCAACGCGCAAGATTTTAAATTCATCAAAATGATAGTGACTTGGGCCGTATGTGGGCCTGGAAATGATAGTAATCACGAAAACCAGAACCACGTCTCTGGACTTACCTACGCAGAAAGAGAGCAAGTTGGCCACATGGCACGAAGACTTATTGACGAGAGCAGGGTTTACGCCGTTAACAAGATGATAGGGGAAAACTTCCATGCACAGATGTATAAGTATGCCGAAAGTTTCACCACTCTAGAGAACAGTTGCTTGAGGATATACCGAAAATAGAATACAAATCGCCACTACGACAACATTCAGAATGAACCTTTAAACTATACCAGCAGAATTAGAATTAGATCTTCTCCTCCTTGACACCGTGCTTCCAGATAGCAACGTATGGAGTGGTACCGTCCTCACGGTAGTTCAACAAGACAATCATGGCATCTGGGTCCATGGACTCACCGGTGTAGAAGTCCCAGTCACCGAAGTTACCAATGATCTTCTTGACGTAAGTCTGAGCACCCTTCTCGAAGGTCTCAACCTGGTCTGGAGCAGTCTCAGCCAAGTGAGCCTTGACCTTCTTCATGTAACCCTTGATGTAGGTCAAGAAGGACTTCTTGTCGAAAGAAGTCTGGGACAATCTGAAAGAGTAGACGACGTTGTTGACGGTCTCAACACCCTCCTCCAACTCCTCATCTCCACCCTCAGCAGATGGGTTTCCACCAATGTCAACCTCACCACCGTTCTTGACCTGGATCATGTTACAGTCGGCCTCGTAAACGACACCGTCAACGAGCTTGACATCGTAAGCATCGGACAACAATTCGTCGCCGGAGATAACGTCAGAGTAAATAATCATTGTTGTTTAGGTGATGAGATAATACGTGGGAAATGCGACAAATATATAGAAAAATTTTCGATGGTAGGCAGGTCTGAGGGATGGCACATAGTAGCCACGTGAGAGATGAGATTACCCGGACGGGATGGAGAGTTGAAGTGACCAATGTTAAAACTTGGAATTGGGAAAAAGGAGATGTTCGAACGAGAAAATGAATACTTTTAATTGGAAAATAGAGAGTATTTTGGGAAAAAAAAATTGCTTGAAGGGAGTGGTAGTTGGATAATAAAATTTCTGATGCTTAAGCAAGAAAAAGACGAGAAGGCTGCGAAAAGTGTAATACCATAGATTCAACAATAGCGATGTGTTTTGTGTGCTTGAAAGGTGAGTGTAGCGATGGCAGATCTGTTTTCTTGATGATTCATAGACACCTCGATTAGGAGAATGTAATTTCAATTCTCTTCAACTCGTCTGTTATGGACTACTATACATGTTTCTCCATTCATTCTGCAAGTACATCTAAATACACTCTCAAGCACGGCTTGGTGATAATTCTCTCCACATTATCTTTTTATCGTTCATCACATTTTTGTTCCACTATTTTTCATGCAACTCGTTTCTTTGCTTCAACTCATTCTCATACAACTACTCCCCAATCCTCTTAGCTATCTTTGGTTATCGTACATATTATACATAATGATTGCTGAATGCATTGCGGAGCCATCCCAAGATACGGTCAAATACAACCGCATTACCGTTGTGGTAACGGATCAGATGGTCAGAGTCGGGGAACACCATGAAATCAAAGTTCTCCACTCCTCCCAAGTTGAACTCGTCCAAAAGTCGCAAACTATTCTGGAAATGCACGTTGTCATCGCCCGAACCGTGCATAATCAAGAACCTAGTCACGTCCTTGAAGTTCTCAGTCTTCTCGATGCTGGCAGTTTGATACCCTTCTGGGTTTTCTTGTGGAGTCCTCAAATATCTCTCGGTGTAGATGGAGTCGTATAACTTCCATTTTGTGACTGGTGCTACGGCGACTCCATATGAAAACACATTCTCTGTATCGGTCTCCAATGTCTTAAGAGTAAGGAACCCTCCGTAGGACCAGCCCCAGATGGCCATTCTTTCTTTGTCCACATATGAACGCTCCGCCCACACCTTAGCGGCAGCAATCTGGTCAATAGGCTCGTAATGTCCCAATTGGTCTCTGACACAGAACTTGAAACGCGACTCAGCATTATGGTTGTTGTACCCAGTTCCACGTCCGTCCACTGTGACAACAATGGCATTGAGCTCCGACGCAACAACTTCGCTAAACCCAACGGCAAATTCCTTTGTGACCATTTGCGAGCCTGGACCTCCATACACATAGAACAAAACGGGATACTTGAGAGAGGAGTTGAATTGAGGAGGGAAGATCTCGACCGAGTTAGCAATGATATCGCCTCCGGTTTCTTTATCGAATCCCAAGTTAACAGTGGAAACAACCTGCTTTGGCAAATCGTATCTTGCAACCGAATCACGAACATCCAAGTTGGTCTCAATAACCTTTACCGTGGTCATAGTGTGCAAGTCAACCAATGTCTGCGCTGGCACGTCCGGACCGAGATAATTCAAAAGCAAGAATCTCGAACCAGAGGAAAATGAGCCTCCGTACCAGGAAGTACCATTTGTGAGCCTCTTAGGCTCCTGGATTGTTGCGGCAGAGAGAGACTCCACCAAATTCACCGAGTAGAAGTGCCTTTGGACAGACAGTTCAAGCGTTGCAGTGAAAATCACTTCGTTCTTCTGGAAGTCAACCTGGTTATGCAACACCTCCCACTGGCCCTTGGTCAACAACTTTCCGTGAGGGTTTTGTGGAGGAGTGAAGTATGCTAAATGGTTGAAACCTTCGTGTACGACCAAATCGATGTAACCATCGGCAAATCTTCCCAAGCTCTCATTCTTAGGTACGAAAACTGCATTGTTGGTGACCTCAAACCATGAGTTCTTTGCATGGTCAGTTCTAATATGCTGAGCCTTAGCATCCACTTCAGTAGACACTAAGAACACCTCCTTGATGTCGCTGGCCCTATTGGTAGCTTTCACCAAAATGTAATCGTCAGACACCCAAAGAACCTCAGTAATGAGCTTGTCTTCAATCTCTTCTGTGTCAAGCAGCGTAGCATGCACAACAGCCTTTGAGCCGGACACATGTGCCACCACCAATTCTACGGTAGGATTTGGGTATCCTGGCTTGGGATACTTGATGGAAACCAACTCTGGATAGTCCTCGTGTCCACTCTGGACGTAGTATGGAATAGTGAACTCTGGAACCGACAGATCGTTGAATTTGAGAAAGGTTATCTTGTCACCTTGAGGAGACCACCACAACACAATATCCGAAGCAAACACTTCCTCCTCGTAAACCCAGTCGGGCTTACCATTGAAAATGTTCTCACTTCCATCATTGGTCACTTGTGTGGTGTGACCCGAGGCCAAGTCTTTGACGAAAACGTCATTCTTGTAGACATATGCAATGCTTGAGGATGTTGGGGCCCACGATGTCACAGAAACCTTATCGTGGACAGATTTCAACGTGTCAATAAGCCCCGTGTGTACGTCGAGCACCCAGTAGAGCGCCTCAGACGAATGTCTCCAACCTTTGGTGGTATTCGTCTTCAAAACGGCCCTACTTAAGTCTGGCGACGCAACCAACGAATCGATGGTGTATTCGATTCCGCCATGCTTAAAAGTACTTTCATTATAGAGGGTGTAGTGGTAGGCCTCATCTAAGATGCTCTTGACCACGTAGTTTGTTTGTCCTTCCACCTTATCCGTTAAAAGATAAGTGCCTTGGTCGTTGGTTACAGATTCCGGGCTGTGGATCCACTGCACCTGCTTGAAGTTGGGACGGAACTTGCCGCTACGAACATCACTGAATGTCAATTTCTCCCGGGAACTTTCCACTTGCAGATGTGGAAACACTCGAAGGTCTTCAAAGAATGAACCTTGCGATGTAAAATGGGCGCCATCCTGGCGAATAAAAAACGAAATTGACAGAACAAGCGCAGCAGAACCCCAAACCAAAATGGCAAGAAGCCCCAAACCAAAGTATGCCGAGCGGTACCGCTGGTTTCTGTCTACCACGCCATTTCTGTCTATCTTTTCATAGACGTTTGACGCCAGGTAGAACGACATGGCGTAAACGTATTCTTTGATGGTGAAGCAGGAAGCTTATGGAGTTAGGTATTTGACCTGGATTTTCTGGGGGTAGTAACAGATGTAAAAAAAAATGGATTTGTATGATAAATTAATTGGTGACAGAAATAGAACAGAAATAGATGCGAGGATGGGCATGTAATTTGACGAATCCTGCACACACTCATGCCGTTTCACATTATTATTTCGTCATACACTGCATGTATAACCCTTTATACTAATATTGTGCTGGTTGCCAAAAGCCACCCATTTAGATCCGAATTTTCTATATGATTTCCTATGCTAATTGTGACTGTACAGTCACGGCCCGATGTAGTGTTATTGTCTCACTAACGTTTTTGAATCTTGGTGTATGGATGGTTAGACATCTCTTAGGAATGGGTACATTCGACGATCTAATCCATAGATTATCTTTATCTCATTATTTGAGGGGTGACATGGGGCTAAACCCAAGCCGCTTCTCCTCGTCATCTGTTCGTGGTGTAGTGACTACCTCACTCAATAGATCAGGACTGAATTTGGTGATAATTTGCCTCAAGTTGGTTCTCTTAATCGGCTTGGAGAGGAATCCTGACATGCCACAGTTTAAACACTCTTTAACATTGCTCTCATCGGCGAAAGCTGTTAATGCAATAATGGGCTTTTTAAACCGTAAGTTGGTCTTGATGAGCTTCGTAGCAGTGAGCCCGTCCATCTTTGGCATTTGAACATCCATAAAGATGATGTCAAACTGCTTGAACGAGTCGTATGCCTTCTGCACTAACTCCACTGCCTCTGCTCCGTTTCCAGCCATGGTAATGTCAGTAAAGCCTTCAAGTCGCAACATTCTCTTAATGACTTCTTGGTTCACCGAATTGTCCTCTGCAACTAAGATCTTGATATGTGACAAGTTAGTAAGGATAGAGTCTCCTGCTGGCAACTGGTTTACGGTACCTGTCGAGGACTCCTGCAAAAGGACTGGCTTGTCTTCAAGATTAAGACGGAGAGTTGGCTTCTTGGGCAGCTTGGGTTTCAAAGATTCAGATGACGGTGTAGAGCCTCCAGTAGCACCAGACAGTTCAGAAGAAAACATTTCTTTCTCTTCCACCTTAGGACTCTCCTCACTGTCTCCCTCTTGTATATCGAAAACAACCTTCCTGTTTACCTTGGACTTTGGATTGAATTCATCGTTGCTGAACTCTTCCATGTCCTGATCGGGAACAACAATTTCACCATTCTGAGGAAGAGGCAATGTGAAAATGAATGAAGATCCCTTTCCGAGAGTCGAACGGAGAGTCAATGTTCCATGCATCATCTTAGCAAGCTGACGGCAGATTGACAATCCCAAACCAGTACCACCATAACTTCTTGAAAGAGTCTGATCACCTTGAATGAAAGGCTCAAATACTTTCTCCTGAAGAGCAGGTTCAATTCCAGATCCAGTGTCTCTGACTTCAATCTGGATAGCCCAAGATTTGGGAACATACAACTTCCGCATCTTATACACCTTGTCGTTTTTGACCAACTCACTATTAGATAGCTGATTAGTAGAGGTGGAGAATCCCGTCTGAGTATCCAGGTAGCTCTTGTGGATTCCGAGGGACGAGGACTTCTCGGGTGGACTTGGGAAGAGCTCCGAAGGCTCAGGCTTCAACACACCATTTTTCTCTTCATGAATTGAAGAAGAGCGAGTCGCATTGGGCGACGTTGGAGGTGAGCTGTGCCTCGAAGTTGGAATTTGAGGAAGAGGCTTGGAATAAACAAACTGATTATTGAACATGTTCCGCTCATATTCACTTGTGGTGATAGTTACCAAACTTTGCGTGTCAATCTCATCATTGGTTGAGTGAACCACCGAGTTTGAATCGCGTGCTGGAGTTAAGTTATTCAACGGAATAGATGCGGAGTTAGATCTCGGCTTGAAAAAACCGTTCTGCGAATTAATACCCGACATCTGGTCTAAGCCATTTTGCTCTGGGTGGTCTTCGTTATCCTCGAGTTCACTGGTATTTTCGTATTCGTCTGCTTTCTTGACCAAAACCTTCTCGTAATCTATGGCCTTCGACGCCTCATGGTCGTATTCTCCAATTAACTTGAAAATTACGTCGACGGAGCCATCCACAGGTGTGAACTTCAAACTATTGGAGACAAGGTTCATGACGACCTGAATAATTCTGTTTGAGTCTCCAAAAAGAATGAGTTTTCTCAATACATTAGGCTTGACAGTTATTCTGAAGTTGACCCGCTGGTCAAGAGCTAGTTTCCCGAAAATAGACCGGACTTGATACACCACTTCGAGGATCTGGAAGTTAGATTTTTCCAACTTGGATCGGTTCAATGTGTTCTTGGAGTATGTCAAAAGCTCGGTCAAAATATGAAGTAACAACTCTCCCGATCTATGAATCAACTTCAAAGAGTCCTGAATCAGCAGATGGTCTGTTTCCTCCATAGCAATAGAGGTCATTCCAAGAATACCGTTAAGCGGAGTACGCAACTCGTGAGAAATGTTGGCAATGAAGACTGTCTTGGCCTCGTTGGCAGCTTCAGCCTCAATTTTGGATGCCTCCAATTCTTTAGTTCTCAACCTGACTCGATCTTCCAAGTGCGTATATTGCTTCTCGAGTTCTTCTGTCATGATGTTAAATGCATCGGAAAGCTCAGTCAATTCGTCTTTGAAGAGTTTCTTCGATTGAGGGATTTTTCCTGGAAGTCTGATACCAGTAGAATATACAGTCGAGCTGCCTGAACTGGCAGTATTCACAGAGTTTCGCTTACTGATGTGTCTGTTGGGCACCTCAGACTCATCCATATGACTCGGCGGAGTAGATATGTTGGAGAAAATCCCTCCACCGCCGCTGCCTCCACTAGGATGATTAATACTGTTTGTATGTGCGGCGTTATCTTTTTCCTTTTTGGATCTTGTGATTGCTTCCGTGGCTTCTTTTAACTTGGTGATAGGATTGACGAACCACACTGCAAGTGGAAACGTTATGAGGCACATGAACGCCCCAATACCAAGCACAACACCGATCATGATATCTCTCAACTTTCGCACGGGTTCCAAGAACGTGCTTCGTCGCTGCTCAATGAGCACACTCCAGAAAGTTGTTTTATCGATCCGTATTCGTGTAAATGCTATGGCTAGCGAAGTTCCAAACATGGATTCGATGTGGGTGGAAGTGCCTGATCCTCGTCGGAGCGCTCGTCGCACAGATGGAGAACTGTCGATTGGATAAAACCTGTTCGGAGTCACCCGAGAGGTGTTTGATATAGGAAATATTAGCTCCCAACCTATCAAGGCGTTGGGATCGCCAGCCATTGTGTTATTAGCGTAGTAACCTTTAATTGCAATAACTCGATAGCTGGAGTCTATTCCTCCGCCCAAGGTCAGATATTCTAGCGCACTCTCAATGGTTTGCGCATTAGCAATGACGGTTAGATAGCCCGAGATGGTGGGTTCATCCAAGATGATGGATGTGTTGGCGTAGACTGGAAGCGTCAAGCCAAAAAAGTAAGTGGAGTTTACGTCCGTGGAGTTGGGTAAGGGCCCCGTGATAAAGCCCGAAGATGCGGCATAGGAAGAATTGGACAGTGTGATGGTAGTGGGCACGGAAATATTCTTCTGTAACGGGTACAACGCATCCTGAGTTGACTGAGACACTCTGATTTGGTCATTACTAGAGTTGGCCACCACATTTAGATCGAGATCATATAGCTTGGCTGATGCAAAAGTCTCGGAAGTGGCTAGAAACAGATCGAGCGCAGTTTGAGCACTGGAGAACACAGAATTGGAGTTGTTGCCCGCACGGTAGTAAGAAAGAGGACTGGTGACGGTGTCACGCAGCGAAAGCCAGTAGACTTGGTAGTAGATGTACTGGATTGATTGTTTGACCTGAGTAGCTTTAAGCTGAGAAACAACCTCAAGACGGTCAGCCTGAAGATTGGAAAGATTCTTCAGGAAATACACACTGGACACGATGGCAAGAATTAATAAGGAGAAGAGCGATGCAAAGCACACCAAAATGATGAGCTGTGGGCGAATGCCCACTTTGAGTCTTCGCTTCTTTCCGTTACGTTTGGGAGCCATGGTCAATGAGTGAGATGACAACAAACGGTCGGGGAAAAGTCTTGCAAACACGGTGAAAAGACGACGTGCGAAGAGACAAGACAGACGACAGCTATAGACCGCTAAGCGGCGAAGCGACAGAAATGTGGGGGATAGTTAAGGGAATAAAGGTGAAAAGTGTAGGTGGAGAGTGAAAATGAGATTTTGAGGTATGGTGAGGATTGCGGGCAGGAAAAGTATAACTTTAGCTTACCAATTCGGAGAGGAGGATGCATAGAAAAAACGGGGAACAGGGGATTTGTTAGTAGAAGAGTGGTGGTGTTGTGAAGGTTAGAGACGACGACAGAAATGGAAAATGAAGGATCCGATGGGACTGGGAGATGGGCACATAGGGAATTTCAAAACAAAAGCCGTTATTTAGTGGGTTTTCTATCGACGTTGAGATGGCCATACAGGAGCCCTGGCATTGCATAGAGTGCCGCAGGCAATTACGACGGGGAAGTGCCCGAGGGAGTTACAGGAGGGAACGAAAAGAACACCGAAAAAAAAAAAAAAAACGGCTCCGAAAGGTGGCCCTTCAAAGGGATCGATTTGGTTCAAAATTGGAGAATTTGCCGCTTGAAGTCGTGGACTTGGTGCCAAATGTTTGCTCCATGCAGAGAAAATGATGAAAATCGGGTGGGAAAAGATCCTGCGCGACCCAAACAAGTCAAAAGGAGAATATATTCAGTTTTAGTGTAAGCTTTTCAGATAATAAAAGAAAACCACAGGGGAAAATTCTATCAAAAATTCTTCTACAAAGTTTTTTCTTTCCTATTTTTTTTTTCTTGAGCTAGACATATTGAGAACTACTGGTGGCTTATTGATAACTTCCTGAAGGACGACTGTACAGTAGGAATTTACGATTGCGAGGTGTGCATTTGACTCTTCACTTTGACAGGTTCCCACCAAATAATTCAGAGTTTTGAGATGTTCTTTTATTTATTTATGCTCCATTTCAAATGCTTTCCTTCTTGTTTTCTCTATTGTTAACAAAAGTCTTTATTCCCTGCTACCATTCCCTTCAGTTTCTCCTCCTTCAATGTTATTTGTGTAAGCCCAGCCCCAGCATCTGTACAATTACGTCATTGACAATAGCCGTTGATATAGTTCTTCAGACTCGGGTGCCTCCCGAAGCCAAAAATAAAAAGTACCCACCCTCTCCGCCTCTCCCCGGTTGTACCGCTCCGCCCCTTACCCCATCGCTAGTTAGTTAACGCACTGTCTGTTCAAAGAAATCCGTTTCTACAGTCAGGCCATTCCTCCAGACTTTTCTCATCACCAAAAAATTCCACGAAGAACCCACTACTTAGAACCAAAAAATACGGTTTCCGTTCTAAGTGGAACCCTCCAAATATACTAATCGGCACTCGTTCAAATCCGCCAACTCTTTCCATAATAAGAAGAAGAAAAAAAAACACCTTTTGAATTCCCCCCCCTTATCCTCAAGGTTTTATCCAAATTATCTTTCCGCACCTTCGCTCGGCCTCAATCCCTCGTGGCTACAAAATCCTCGGGCCCTGCACCACGCCAATATTTTTTTTTTCTCTCCAGCCTACTACTCCATCGTTTTCATCGCCATGCGCTGGCTCACTCTTGCTTCGGTGGCCTCCGCAGCCTCCATGGTCTCTGCGGCGCTGTCGTCATCGTCTACGTCGTCATCAAAAACATCGTCGTCTTCTGCGTCTGCGGCACTGGCCCCATCACTCACTACTTCCCTTACAAACACCTTTATCACTATCCCACTAGCTGTGCCCTCCGATGATGCCTACTACAACGCCCAAGTCACTGACGGCACTGGCAACCAAATGGGCGTCCGCGTGGACTTGCTCCAGCCCGATGTGTGGCTCATGAATGGCTTGGATATCATCGATTGCTCAGTGCTTGTCACATACTTGAAGGAACACTCAGGCGCATCCACTGCGCTGTCGATTTCCTACTCCAATGAGGAGTGGGCCGCATCTGTTTGCCATATGGCAGGCGCATATACTCCGGAGACCGTTATCACAACCACAGAGGCCTCCACAACTTCAACATACACTCTGACGATCAACGTTAACACTGCGGCGCTGACCTCGGTCGGATACCCCAACGGCATCTTTGCTGAAGGTGTGATGTACTACGCTAATCTCTCGCTTGGTACTACTCTCAACAACAAGGTCGATTTGACAGATTTCCGGTTCATTTTGGCCGACGACTCCAACATGTATGCTGGAGGGTTGGGACTCTCCAGACATCCTGATAATCTCGGGTTATTAGGAACTTTGAAGCAACAGGGCCGTATTTTGGGCAGCGGCTACTCATTGTTTCTTTCGGGGTACGAGAATCTCAATTCTACGGGCGGTGAATTGCTTTTGGGTGCGGTCAATAAGAAGTACTTTACTGGCTCATTATACCTGTTCCCATACATACCATATGAGGGTTGGAACACGCAACTGGGGGCCTTTGCTCCCCTCCCAATCATGGCTTTGGAATCCTTGTTCCTCGAAAACATCGACACCGGCGAGCAGGTCACTTTATCATCTGGTGTGCCGCTCCCCTTGGTTTTAGATACAAGGCTTAGCTACTCCTTCTTGCCATTGGACTACATCATTGACTTGGCAATCCAAACAAACGCGTACTACAACTCCGAGTATAGAAGATGGATTGTGCGCTGTCTGGATATCACCAGCAGTAACGCCACTATACACTTTCAATTCGGTCCCCTCGATGTCTCCATTCCTCTTTCTGCATTGATCTATGACGCATATTACGGTGAAAGTTTCTTGTACTTCACCAATGGCGAGCGTGCTTGCTTCTTAAACGTCATGCCCGACACCTTGTTGGGCTACAGCTCGCTTGGGTTGCCCTTCCTCTCGCACGTGTATTTGGCCATGGACAATGAGGCCGGAAACGTGGCTATGGCGGCAGGAAATCCCAACGTGACTGTTAACACACTGAATTTTGACTTCTCTCAATCAGCATCGACGTTTGCATCATACTCAGCGTCTCAGGCAGCTAATGCAACCAATGCGACTGCCGGAACAACCATTGCATACATCCAATCTGGATTCATTCCATTTGCGACGTCAGTTAACTACACGTCAGATAACAGTTACACGATGACATTTTTCTCTGCCAATTCGTCCAATGCTCAAACCATTCCTACTAGATTTACAATGGCTACCATTCAATCAGGCGAAGTATACCTAACAGGAGGCGACGCATCAACCGTTAGCGGCCCCATGGCTAGTGCTAGTGCAGCCAATGCCCACACGCTGAAGTCAGAAGGCTTGTCAGTCAAGTCATACTTTGTTTCTCGGGAAGCTAGCATTATTCCATACGTGCTTTTATTGACAGGCACAGTTATGGCTTTGATGATTGTATAAGGTACGTCATAATACTTGTCAAACTCGTCATAAATTTTGATATAATAGAGTTTAGCTTAAGGTTTTGATTACACTGGGTTTTGTTGGCATAAGGGCCATTTTTAAGGCATAAGGGTGATAGCATAGAGATGTCAGATACGTGACGCAAAGAGGTAACACCAATCGGCAAGGTTTACTATGTTTTGGCATAGGAATCTTCAAAATAAAGAATACAGAATTCAAAAGTTTCTATGCATTGAACAGTTTAGTGTTGTTTTAATTCTATGGCTTCGCCCTGACCCAATTCCTCCTGGTCCGGCAAAGTGGCATATCCCAGTTCGGACTTGTCCTTTTCCGTATACCTGTAATAGTTGTACCAAAGTATGTCTAGGAAAGTAATCACCAATCCCACGCAGTTGATAACGCTCAAGGTATCACCAAAAATCATTGAGCCAAGCATTATAGTGAGTAACTCCTTGAATATGCCCGCAATAGACAAGGTAAGCACCTGTGCCACGGAGAGGAGCTGGAACTCACAAAGAGTCATCATAAATGCAAGAAAACCCGGCACAATCATGAGGCCGATGGTACCCCAATTTCCCTTGACTTCCCAGATTGGCAGGGTCATGAACTCGTCCCAACCTTCGACAAACAAAGCAAACACTAAGAGTACTAGCGTCATGAATGGTGAGATGTAAAAAATGGTCAGCATGGGATGCTTAGTGTACTCGTTCTTTTTAAGTAGAAGTTGGGTGAAAGACCAACGCAAGCCCAGAACCATCGAAGCAGCCAAAATCAACACGATTCCGATAGGTTGATGGTCGTCATCTACCATATTAGCTGAGTCGGATGGTCGGGTCATCATGATGACTGAGCCACTCATAACAATGACAATGACCACAAGACGCCAGTTGAAAACCTCGAGACGGAACAAAAGGCCAAAAATGAGCACGAAAATCAAGCTGGACGTCTTGAGCATGGTATAGAGCGACAAGGAGACGTATTCGAGCGACACATTGCTCAAACCAATATCTCCAGCAGATGCTACAGCACACGGCATGATCTGGCGCAGGTACAGTTTGGCTGAGATAGCTAGGGAGGCCCAGAATCGCAGACCGGCGTTGTTGATGGTGGGACGGAGGTGTGGGCGGAAATATAACACCAAAGTGCTCATGCAGAATAGACAAGTTTGGTGGAACGCGGTGACAAAGAGTGGGAAACGGAAGTTGAGGCCTCTGCCGAACATCCATTTGTTGTACACGGAAATGGACATGGAAAAGAAGTACCACCCGGAGACATAGAGCACCACCAACGCCGAGTTTTGGGTGGGCGGGTCGCCATTGCGGCGTTCCATGGTCGGTAGGGAGTGTGACGTAGTAGTTGAGGTTAGAGGTGTAGGTGGAGGGAATGAAGATTGAGTTTTGGAATGGGTATGTGTAGGACCTGGATGTGGAGTATGGAAATGGCAAGTGAAAATGAACGGGGAGAAGAGAGGGAGGGGATGGAAAAATTGGAGAGATTAAAGAGAGAGAAATGGATAAAGATATATTGTAGAAGAGATGAAAATAAAAAAAAATTGGGAGCAGGAGAGCTTTGGTTGGGGATTTGAGTTATGAATCTGGTTGGTGGAGAGACGTGTATGATAAGTGGACGGGGAAGAAAATAAAGAAGATGAACAAGACGAAAAAGGTGAGAAATAGGAAGAAGAACAAAAAAAAAAAAGAAAGTAAGAGGAATATAAAAGGAAATTGAGTGGAGTATATATGTAAGCAAGTTATAGCATTGGATTGGGTAAACGTTGGTTATGGCAAGGTTAAAATGTCAAGGAGAAGAGACATCTGGTGCTACTTCAAGATTTATCTCTAATTCGAAAAAGTAATGCAATGTAACCAGGAAAAGTTGGCGAGTAAAGGAAATTAAGGCTTTCAGAACACAGTACTGCTCAGCAGAGCTATGTCGACATTGTGAACTCTTCATTATAATAGGTATTGGACACATTAGGTAGATCAAGCCAGATAAGAGGAGGAAAAGGTGCATTGGATTTAATAGATATGAATATGCTTGATCCGTCGGAATGAAGAATAAGACTAAGAGAAATCAGAGTCATCAGCTCAAGGGGATGAAATCAATAGCGATCACCTGAAGAGCCACCACTAACAACAACCCAGAAATTTTCATTATTAAACACGAGAACAATAAGAAATTGCTCATAATCTTTGAGTTACTGGAGCCTCAAAGATCCGTCAGTGCTGCCAAATGTCATAAAGACAAGAGAAGAACTGATAATTGATTCATTTTTAGAACTTTTGTAATAATTGTCATGTTTGTGCCATGAGTTAATAATACATTACATCTCCACCAAACAGACACATCCAACTTAATAACATGCAATAGAAAAAGTAAGTTTTTCTATTTATTACCTCATCCATGCTTTAACGATTATACACCAAAATCAAATAAATCATTATCTAATCAATGCGCAGAATTAATGTCGACTCGCATATGAACAAAACTTCACATTCACCCTTAAAGAAAGGCAACGTAAAAAAATAAATGTCACCGAAAAAGAAAAAAATCAAAGACAGTTCAGACCCACTAACTTCACCTACCACGAAATCAATCCATCTAATCCACAAAACAATCCGAAATCATTAAAAACCCAACCGTTCCTAATCTACTTGGTCCACCTACTACTTCTTCCACATGCACACCTTCGGTCTCGCAATTGTCACCAACTACTAATGAAGAAAGACCCCCTGTCGCTCTTCCAGCTCCAGGCTAACTACCTCCTAGACAAGATCAAGCTGGTCGCACAGCCTCCCGGTCTCTATGCGTTGGTTGTGGACCGTAAAACCGAGACGGTGCTCTTTCTGGTGATCCCCAAACTGACATTGCTACGGGTCGTCACTGCTGTGGAGTCCATCCACCAAAAACGCCCGTTGCAGCCATTTCTTCAAGCTATATACTTGGTGGAGCTGCTGGTGTTCAACTTCAATTGCATTTTGGCTGATGTCAAGTCCAAACGCTACAAGGTGGGCCATGGACTCTTTGTTCCTCTCAGTCAATGGGAGGAAGAGGCATCTCACTTTTTTCATCTGTCCAAATTCTTGCAGAATCCTGACGTTGATGCCTTCTTTGGCCATGGAGCCAACATCGACGTTGTTCATGCTTCTATGGTTCCTGTGGAATCTCGAGTATTTTTGGCTGATCGATTAACTCCTAACTCCATGCCAATTTATTATAACGAAAACTGTGGTGACTTGGTGTTGCCTCAGGTTCGCCGTGCTGCTCGTGCCATTGTGAATGCGGTGGTTGTAGCCGACGAGTATCCGCTTATCCGCTTCTACTCACTGCCAGACTCTACTCACCAAGCTGCCAGATTACCTGAATTGATCGCAGACGAAGTCCAGCGCCAGATCGACGAGTATGCGCGTGCAAACCATAACTACCCACCTCCATCTGCTGGAGATAAGCCACGTGCTATCTTACTTATCTGTGACCGGACCTTGGACTTGTATGCTCCGCTCTTGCATGAGTTTACTTACCAGGCCATGGCTATGGACATTGTGGAGGGATTGGAGAGACAAAACAAGTACGTGTATACCGTGGAGAACGAGCGTGGTGAGGAGCAGAAGATGGAGACTTCACTAGACTCCGAGGATGACGATACTTGGGTTGCATTGCGTCATATGCACATTATCGAGGCTTCGGAATTGATCATTTCAAGAATCAACGACCTTATAAAGAACAATCCATTGATGGTCGATAGATCAAAGGCAAAGACCTCTTCGGACTTGATGTATGTGGTGGCCCACTTGCAGGGCTTTGATGACGAGCGTCGTCAGGTCACCTTGCACAAGACATTGATTGACGAGTGCTTGGATATCAACGCCAGCCGCAAATTGGCCGAGTTCGCCGCAGATTTCGAGCAGACATGCACGGCTGAAGGCACATCGTTCGAAGGCGTCCACAACAAGCGTTTGCACGACGACTTGATTGTGCTCTTGGCTAGAGACGACCTACATGTTAACGACAAGGTGAGACTTGTGTTAATCTACAGTCTTTACAGAGGTGGTCTCGCCGAGAGCGATTTTATCAAGCTCGCCAGGTTCATCGGCGTCAAGGACAATCAAATCATTTCGCTTGTTCTGCGGTGTTTCTTCAATCTCCGCAAGTTAGACTTCCCCATCGTCAAGAAGTCCGTCAAGGACAAAAAGGTACTGCGCCAGACATTTCATACCATAAACAATGATGGAACTTACAACACTTCCAGGTTTGCGCCGGGCCTCAAGCGAGTCCTCTACAACGCCGCTAAGTACGAATTGGACGAGGAGTGGTTCCCATACTTCCGCGACAAGCCATTGGAAGACGACGTTCCACGCAAGAGTGGCCTTAATCCAGTGGGTGGTGAGTCAGGCTCCATGAGAAATCCAAGAGTGAAAGCTTCGTGGGCTCCCACCAACACTCGCTCGGGCCCCACGTCCTCCAAGAACAGACAGCGTGTGTTTTGCTTTGTTGCTGGAGGTGTAACACTCTCCGAGGTACGCCTGATATATGAGCTTTCTACATCTCTTAACAAGGACTTTTATTTGGGTTCGGAGTCGTTGTTGAAGCCTCGCGACTTCTTGATCGGACTCCAAAGCATTGACGACGTGAAGACACTCCAATCTCTTGACATTCCGCTCTATCAGGAATTGACTGCCGGCGACAAGGCCCCAGAGTATCTTTTGGAGTTGCCAAAGCCAGTCAACGTTCCATCAGCTCAGGGTAGCCCTCACAGTCAACAGGGCCACCTGCGCTCATCACTGAAATCCGGTACTAACGTCATTAGTGGCGGCTTTGGAACTGCGGTACCAAACCCACAGTTGCCTCAGGGTTCAATCAATCCGAATACACCCAAGCATTACCAAAAGAGAAGCTCACTTACGGGATCTGCTAATGAGAAGGAAAAGAAGCAGTCGAGATTGAAGAGATTGTTTAAGTAAGACAAGCGAATACGATTGACTGGTGTGTCGCAATTGACATTTTTCAGATTTCCGTGTGTCGTTTACCTACGAATTTAATTGGCAATTTCAATTGTCATTTGGTCCACTTTATGTGTTGACTTTTCGACAAATTGTACCATGGTCGATTTTCGAGAGCCTAATTCTTCGTGGTCAATAACGAATTACTGATGGCACATGATGTTCCTGATTGTTTTCATCTTATTTTGGTTAGTTTTCCTGCTTGTGCTCTTCTTGTTCTGCATGTCTTACCTGAAATGTGTTGTACATAGAGTGGACCAGCCGATTGGAGCCGGTATAAAAGGTGAGGGTGGTAATGCGGACTCGGGTTACAAGAATGCCGTTCTGTATAGCAGGAGTAAAGCAAATAGAGTTAAAAAGGGCCAAGAAAAGCTTTACAGTATCGGCACCAACTTCCAGGGTGGAGTGCCCAAAACAAAAAAGAACATAGCCAATAGAATGTCTATCCAAATCGGGGATAAGGCTGACGTCCTTTCATCCTCATCTTCGATAGGTTACGCGTTTGTATACAGGAACAATATCTCATTTGTAAGCCGTTGCCACTAGTAAGGTAAATTTCATCTCACTTGTTTCTTCCATTGGGACTTTTCTACTTTTGCAAGCTGCCATGGAACAAGTAGACACCTTTCTGCCGGGGCTACATATGCTTGACTGGGGCTCTTTCAACCAGGTGCCCTTTTTGGCCAGTGATTTGAATTCGTCCTTATCCAATGCCAATTCTTCAAAACCAATATCACTGCCACAGCCGCTAGGATGGCTTTCGTGCACTTGTGAAGATGGATGGGGCCCACTATCGCCAGTTTACAACGATTTGACTCCATGTTTTTTCTTGGGAATCTTGTTTGCAGCTGCTGGCGTATTGATGGTGTTGACAGGCCTTTACCAAGTGAAGGTGCTCAGAGACCGCAAAGTGAGCGCTGGAAATAGAGTGAGTTGGACATTTTATGTGAAGATTCTTTTGGCGGGTCTTCAGGTGGCATTTTCCGTATTGTTGGCCGTCGTATACCGTGGTTCATTTGATATCTTGAAAACAGCAATCTCCATCAATGTGGCTGCTACGGCAGTTGCGTACGCTATCCACTACCTTGAACAGTTCAAGGCCACTGTATCAAATGGTGTATTGCTATTCTTCTGGCTCTTCCAGGTCATTTTCCACACGACCAGGGTGTTATCGCTCAACTTGAGAGGTGAGGTGAGCTCCCAGCTCTCCACTTTGTCTATTATGTCTGCTGTCAACACATTCATTTTGTTGAGCTTGGAAATTTACTTCCCACCCCGTTCTCTCGCTTCGTTCAGCTCAGAAGCTGCACTTTCGCCTTTTGATAGAGCTAACGTCTTTTCCAGAATCACTTTCAATTGGATGGGTCCATTGATGAAAAAGGGGTTCTACCAGTTTTTGACCGAGAGAGATTTGCCATTTTTGCCACACGAGCTCAAAGCTTCCACCACTGCCTCCACTTTCAACAAGAACTGGTCCCACCAGTCCACCTCTTCTTTGTTTTGGGCAATTTCCAAGTCTTTTGGCTTTCCATTTTTGATTGGAGGTGTTTTCAAGGCTTTGCAAGATTCATTGGCGTTCGTTCAGCCTCAATTACTTCGTTTGTTGATTCGTTTTGTCAACGATTACTCAGATTCCCTCGATAAGGGTGAGCCCATTCCCCTCACGAGAGGATTCATGATCGCCGCTGGAATGTTTGTAGTTTCGGTGGCACAGACTGCTTTCTTGCATCAGTACTTCCAGAGAGCTTTCGAGTTGGGTATGAGAATCAAATCGTCCTTAACCACCGTCATCTACAATAAGTCCTTGGTGTTATCTAATGAAACAAAGCAAGTGTCCAATACTGGAGACATCGTGAACTTAATGTCTGTCGATGTGCAAAGATTACAGGACTTGGTGCAGAACTTGCAGATCATTTGGTCTGGTCCTTTCCAAATTATCTTGTGTTTGTATTCCTTGCACGGATTGTTGGGTAACTCCATGTGGGCCGGTGTGGCAATAATGATTGTCATGATTCCATTGAATGCTGTCATCGCTAGATATCAAAAGAAGTTGCAAAAGACTCAGATGAAGTACAAAGACGAGAGATCCAGATTGATCAGTGAAATCTTAAACAACATTAAGTCTTTGAAGTTGTATGGCTGGGAACATCCATACTTGAAGAAGCTTTACCATGTTAGAAATGATAAGGAGTTGGCAAACTTGAAGCGGATGGGTATTTTCGGTGCTGCTTCCATGTTCTCGTGGAACTTGGCTCCATTTTTGGTCAGCTGTAGCACTTTTGGTCTTTTTGTTTTGACTAACAAGAATGTCAGTTTGTCTACTGATATTGTTTTTCCAGCTTTGTCATTGTTCAACTTGTTGTCATTCCCCTTGGCTGTCGTTCCTATGGTGATCACAAATGTTGTGGAGGCTCAAGTTGCTATTTCTAGATTGAGCAAATTTTTGACTGGTGCCGAGTTGCAAGAAAATGCCGTCATCAGAGCTCCAAAGGTGAGCAACATTGGTGACGTAGCAGTTTCTGTCAAGAATGGTACCTTCTTATGGTCCAAACTGAAGGGCGAAGAAACCTACAAGGTTGCCTTGTCCAACATTAACTTGGATGTCAAGAAGGGAGACTTGGACTGTATTGTGGGAAAAGTTGGTTCCGGAAAGTCTTCAATCATCCAGGCAATCCTAGGTGATCTCTACAAGCTCGATGGAGAGGTTAAAGTTCACGGAAGTATTGCATATGCCTCTCAGGTCCCTTGGATCATTAACGGTACTGTCAGAGAGAACATTTTATTTGGTCACAAGTACGACCCTGAATTTTACCAGCACGTGTTGAAGGCTTGTGCTTTATCTGTTGACTTGAAAGTATTGCCAAAAGGTGACAGGACAGAAGTTGGAGAAAAGGGAATCTCTTTGTCTGGTGGACAGAAGGCCAGACTTGCATTGGCCAGAGCGGTATACGCAAGAGCAGATGTTTACCTTTTCGATGATCCTTTGAGTGCTGTCGATGAGCATGTTGGAAGACATTTGATTGACCATGTCTTGGGTCCAAATGGTATGTTGAAATCCAAGTGTAGAATTTTGGCTACCAATGCTATCCACGTTTTAAATGTGGCGAACAATATCCATATGGTTAAGGACGGAAAAATTGTTGAGCAAGGCTCCCTCTTGGAAGTTATGTCTCAAGACAAGAGTCAATTGCGCCAACTTATTATTGATTTCGGAAAAGGAAAATCTTCATCTACTATGGCTTCTTCCTCTGCTGCTTCCACAAAGGCTGAGAAGGTTGGATCAGATTCAGAAGAGACGAAAGACAACGTGGATTATTCTCAATTGGAGAGTGAGTCTGAAATCGAAGTCAGCAGTTTAAGACGAGCATCGGTGGCTCCACTTTTAACCGATGAAGAACGGTTGATTTTGGAGCAGGAAGAAGAAGAGGATGACGAAGATGCTAAGGCCAGAAAGGAACACTTGGAACAAGGTGAAGTGAAATGGGATGTTTACAAGGAGTATGCGAAAGCCTGTGGTCCATTGAATGTTATGGTCTTCTTGGGTGCAACAGTTACCTCAATGGCTGTGAACGTTTGCTCGAATATTTGGTTGAAGCACTGGTCTGAGGTCAACACGAAGTATGGTTACAACCCTGATGTGCCAAAGTACTTAAGTATCTATTTTGCGTTGGGTATCGGCTATTCGCTTTGTTCTTTGGTTCAAACTTGCTTCATGTGGATCTACTGTACTATTAGGGGATCTACCAAGATGCATAATGGTATGGCCCAGTCTGTGTTGAGAGCTCCAATGTCTTTCTTTGAGACCACGCCAATTGGTCGTATTTTGAACAGATTCTCGAATGACATTTACAAGATTGATGAGATTTTGGGAAGAGTGTTTGGAATGTTCTTCAGTAACGCCACCAAAGTTATGTTTACCATTATCGTTATTTGTTTCTCCACTTGGCAGTTCATTTTCATTGTTGGACCTTTGGGTATCTTGTACGTTTACTATCAGCAGTACTACTTGAGAACCACAAGAGAATTGCGTCGTTTGGATTCCGTTTCCAGATCGCCTATCTTCGCTAACTTCCAGGAATCTTTGAATGGTGTTTCAGTCATCAGAGCTTATGGTCAGGAAGATAGATTCAAACATTTGAACGAAGGAAGAGTTGATAAGAACATGCGTGCTTACTACCCAGCTGTCAATGCTAACAGATGGTTAGCTGTCAGATTGGAGTTCTTGGGTTCGGTCATCATCTTGGGCTCTTCGGGTTTGGCGATTTTGACTTTGAAAACAGGTTCCATTTCCGCCGGTATGGTAGGTTTGTCTGTGTCGTATGCTTTGCAAGTGACTCAGTCATTGAACTGGATTGTTAGAATGACAGTTGAAGTCGAGACTAATATCGTTTCCGTGGAAAGAGTCTTGGAATACTCCAGATTGACTCCTGAAGCTCCAGAGATTATTGAAGATTATAGACCAGCGCTTAATTGGCCAGCCAATGGAGAAGTCAATTTTAAAGACTACTCAACCAGATACAGACCAGAGTTGGATTTGGTGTTGAAGAACGTCAACTTATCGGTCAAGCCCCATGAAAAGATTGGTATTGTTGGAAGAACCGGTGCAGGAAAGTCATCGTTGACTCTCGCCTTGTTCAGAATTATTGAAGCCACCTCTGGTCACATCGAGATTGATAAAGTCGACACGAGCAAGTTAGGATTGGCTGACTTGAGACACAAGTTGTCGATCATTCCACAAGACGCACAAGTCTTTGAGGGAAGTATTAGAAGCAACTTGGATCCAACTGACAGCTTCACGGATGAAAAGATCTGGAAGGCTTTGGAGCTATCTCATTTGAAGGACCATGTTTTAAAGATGTATGAAAACAGGGACCAGAGCGACGAAGAAATCAAGTCAGGATTGGATGTCAGAATGAGTGAGGGTGGATCGAACTTGTCTGTGGGTCAAAGACAATTGATGTGTCTTGCCAGAGCATTGTTGATTCCATCGCATATTTTGGTTCTTGATGAGGCCACCGCTGCTGTTGATGTCGAAACTGACACTGTTATTCAGGAGACAATCAGAACCGAATTCAAGGACAGAACAATTTTGACAATTGCGCACAGATTGAATACGATCCTGGACTCTGATAGAATCATCGTGTTGGAGCAAGGAGAAGTGGCCGAATTTGACACTCCTGAGAACCTTTTGCAGAACAAGGATTCTTTGTACTATGCTCTCTACAAGCAGGGAGGGTTCCTTGAAGAAGAGCAGGACAAGGAACTCACTGAATAGATACTTAATCTAATAAAAAAATAGTTACGTATGCATTTAATGCTCGCTTCTCTTTCTCAACGAGCTGATGTAATACAATGGATAAAAGTCATTACGGGATTCCACTTCACAGTCACTTGCTTGAGAGATCTTCTTGGCCAACTCGTCATCCTTTTTCTCTAGAAGCAAGTCATCATTGAGAGCGTAAATCTCGATCAACTCTCCGTCTTCGCAATCGACTGCTGCAAAAATCGAGTCTTTCACAATAGCAAAATCCACCAATGGCTTGTCGGTTGTGAATGTCTGCTTGTGAACAATAGAGAAATCCTCCTTAACTTCAAATGTCAAAAGACAGTTCGTGTTTTCACATAAGACTATTATCAAGTGAGCACCGTTGTGTGTGAGGGTTTGAACCTTTGTGATGGAGATCTCCTTTGGCGAATCCTCATTCCTAAATCTTTCGGGAGGGTAATGATCCTCTTTCAAGAAAGGCTGGATTAATTCACGGAGCTCCACTTTAGCTAGCTTTTTTGCGTTGAACCAGTCCCACAACATCAAATAATCGTCTCCTCCACCACTAACAAGGATGTCCTTGTTGAAATCACAAAGATTTAAGCAAGAAACGAATTCACGATGACCAAACAACCATTGCTTCACAACATACGACTTGGGAAAGTGAGTAATTTTGATGTGTTCGTCTCTGTCACCTGTCAAGACGTATTGTTTGTTGTCATGCTCAGCCACAAAAACATCACTCAACATGGACACATGTCCCAAAATAGGAACTAGGGCCTTTTCATCGATAATACGTTCATCATTAATTGGAATGCTGTACACGTCACCAAATTTATCGGCAACAATCAAGTCGGCATCATTGATAGAAGTGGAAACAGCACATGGACGTTTCGGGAAGGTTTGACGCTTAACAAGCGCAAGACAATTCTCCTTGGAATAGTCGATCAGGAAGATAACTGCAGCTTTATCGCTGTCGGTAGTGCCGATAATGTGATGCTCATCTCTGGTTAATGTTAACGAGCGAATGTAATTGTAGATCACGGGAGCACCAGGACCTGGAACTGGAACCTTTGGTTCCTTCTTGTTAGTTTTAGCCTTCTTGGATGCTGGCTCTTGCTCCTGTTTCAACTTCTGTGCCTCGTGTCTGGCCTTGAACTTCTGTTCCTGGAAAGTCTGAGTGTCGACGGTATCTGTCCAGGTGCCCACCAAAACACCGTCGGACAAACGGAAGACAAGCAATTTGTTCTTTACAGACACAAACAAGTGCTCGCCCAGCTTGTCGGTGACCAATATTTGGAATGGGTGCTTCATTTCTAATGAGTGATGTTTTGCTAGTTTTCCTGGTTTTTCAATCATCGAGGTCATCGAACTGCATATTACCTCCACACTAATTACCAAATAACAGTTACTTCTTGAACCATCCCCAACCCTTGTTTTTTTCTGTGTCATTCTTTGTGAGAGTTTCTTTCTGTTCAGACTCCGATGATTCTTCAGAAATGAACTTTTGTGGTTTGTGCGCATGGGAAAAGTACTGGTTGGCGCGATCAGTGAGACTGGGAGCAGTTGGAACCTTTTTGAACGACGATAAGAACGACGATAAATTAGATTGAGCGATGTCAGTGAACGTGTAGGCAATGTGGCAAGGTTCGTGAAAGTTAAAGATGAACTCATCACATAGGGCGTCCCAGATTTTGTAGTTGCGAGTCTGGAACCAGGCATTGACGAAATTTTCCCCAAAGCTTTTCAAATTGCCCAAGTTTCGATTTAATTGAACATCAAAGCCTGGCGGGGGACTCTTGAATCTTTCCATATACTGATTCATTCTGGTAGTTGCGAGAAGACTCCGGATGTAGTCTTCAAATTGATAGCGGAAGTGGTCGTCACTACCAACAAACGATTCACCACTTTGATGTGTCGCAAGGAGACTTGTGATGAATTTCTTATCATTAGCAGAGAGAACAAGCTCTTCTGGTTTACCAAGTGGGTATGTGACTTGGGATGTGTCCAAGTTGACCATGACATCGATCTTGAACTGAGTCAGTTGATTGGCAATTAGCAAATTAGAGCAGCCGACCATAAACGTCGTTGCTTTCAACTCATCAAGCTGTTGAAGAGGCAAGTAGGGGTTCCAGAAAGAACCCTTTGTGTTGAAAATTTGCAAAGGCAACCCGAAAAACCTTAGCATAGACTGCCTATCATTAGTCTTCAATGAACTGGGTTTATTAAGTGGAGAGTATTTCTCGGTGTAATCGCTCAATGGACAACCGGATAGCTCTAAATGGTTCAAGAGGTCAGGAATTAATGCGATGAGATTATTCTGGAACTGAGTGAGAAGATCCAAGTTATTGTTGGAATAGATCAACACCTTCTTCTCAAGAAGTAGTGCTTTCAAGATGACGAGAAGGTTAGAGCGGAATTGATGTAAGATATGGCGCAAGTTTAAATTGACGTAGAACTCCTCTTGCTTCTCGTTCTTCTGGTTTTCCAAGAGCATGGTTTCATCTGGGAGTAATGGTCTTTTCAACTTATCGTCATCCTCCACCAACTTGAATGAGTCGTTAAGATTCTCAAATAAGTCCTCGAGCACCTCGAAGTTAGTAAAGTTGACCTGCTGGAAGTAGCTGTGGGTAATAATGGACAATTTCTCCTTTATTTTAGTGAAAATTGGCTGCTTTCGACTTATCACTACAACGGCCTTCTGGACTATAGATCGAGTGATATCTTTGTTGCGCTCAAGCTCCTCACTGGAAAGGTCAGCTGTTTTCACCTGACGGACACACAGACACCCGAAAAGCGTCTCGAGATGGTTCGGGTTACCCTTGAACGTCTCGATATCTACCAGATTGTCCAAGGAAATGCAGTTTTTGAAGTCGTAGACCAAATTAAAATTGCTGAAAGTCTCTTCAAAGAGGTGCGAGCCATCTGGAAGTGCTTGAAACGGCAAATTGCGGAAGAGAACGTCGTCGTGGTCAAAATGCGAATGATAGTTGGACTTCCACCACTGCACTTCGGGCCCACGTACATGGTGAAAGTCCACCAAGCACAAGGCAAATATCATGTCGTCCCACTTGGACAAATCGGCCACTGAAGAGCGACGCGGTGACTGAACAAGAGGTAACTTTTTGATTTTTATAGACAGAACTCGACTGGGCGCTTTGGGCAGCGATATTGGCGTGGACAATTCGCTGGAGCCACTCAAAGACACGCTTTTTTTAACATTTGGCCGAGTATCCCTGGAGTCGGACTTCCTTCGGGCTTGTAGGCTGGACGCCAGACTAAGTCTCATGGGACGACAGACGAACTCATCATTGGGAGGTTTTTGGGGAGTGGAGGTTGCAGTAGAGGAAGACGAGTCGGGTCTCTTTTGGATTCTAAGCGGGCGCAAAGTGAACTCCGAGGATTCGGCAGGTTTCTCCTGGTCCACGAACGGATCGTCGGACGGAGGCATTGATACTTATAGTGGTTGGTATGAGATCAGTTGTAGGTGTGCACAGGACTGCGATAAGATGGATGGAGACCTAGTGATGGGGTGGAGAAATTGAGAGAATGAAGAGAAGGGAGGAAATTGATACAGTTTAAGTGAATTAGAGAACTGGAATGGTATTGCAGAAAATTGAAGCAAATTGAAGAGAAATATGGTAAGAATCGGGGAAGAAACGGAATAATCTAACGAGAGATTGAACACATTTGAGTTATTAAAGATAATCAAAATGTAAAGAAGATCAAGATGTAGAGAGGAAAAAAAAAAAAGAAATAGAGAGAAGAATAGACGGAGAGATCTGATGGAGAAATGGCAGGCATAAATAGTAATTAGCCGGAAAAAGAAAATACATTGGTCTGGATATTTCTCAAAGTTATGTAAATGGCCACGAAGTGCGAATTGGTCAGTGAGTTAAGCCATGATAAAGCCATGGTTAAGGGAATGCGGATGTCCAGATGTGTTAATGAATTAACGTTACAAATGTCGTTTGAAACTTGACTCAAATATCAGTAGATAAGTCGAAAGAGATTTTTGATGAGTACTCATCAAAATGCATGGATCCAAGACACTCAGTCCATGCGCTATCAACTCTAACTCAGTAAAAGGAAATATGCGAATAATCGGCTTCACTGACTTAGCTCAATATTTGCCAATCAATAATTAATATTCAACTCCATTGAAAACTGATTAAAAATAATCTAAAAAAGAAAAGAGCAATCATTTTCCGCCTTTCGAACAATCAATTGTAATCCTCGACTTTCAAAAATTCCATTTTCTTTGTCTATAAATCGTCCTTTGAAAGTACGTCCTAACAATCACCGATAGTAACTTAGAATACTACTCAAGTTTTTTTGCTGGTCACCTCATGACATCACAATAAACAGTTGACAGTGTCAACCAATCCATTGATATCCTTCCATGTATCTCTAAATACTTCCTGTCTTTCCCGATACACAATGTCTGGCTATATTTCGTACTTCCAGATTTGTATGAGTAAGCATGGTCAATACCCACACCGTTCCGGGCTTCCTACTATTAATAATCACCACCGTCATTGTTAGACATCTTTTATTCTAGTGCCATTTGTAATTCAAAGCCTCCCTCCTATCAATTGGTCTCCTATCAATCTCTACCATCATTCTTTTTCCCTTCAACCTTTTCAATCAATCTCTCATCATTCTCTCATCAATCTCTCATCAATCTCTCATCAATCTCATTACTCCTAGGTGCGACTCCCCACACTTCACAGCAACCAACTATAGACTGCTGCCACACTATCCACACAGTAGCAGAATGTTCGGAAAACTCTTATCCACCATAAATAGCCCGATTGGTTCACATAAAATCATCAATTCCATTGTACCTTATCTCATTTTCCGGCTATTTGCTCCGAGCCACATAGATCATGAGTGGGTGGTGGTCACGTGCGCTGGCGTCCTCCAAAACTATATAATAGAGGCCAATTTCCAGTAGGTTTCAATCAGCTACAAAAAGTAAAAACCATCGAAAATGACTCTTTCTCAAGGCCAAAAGTTCCCCTCAGGCGTTAACTTCGCCTACGTGCCAATTGACTTGGCTTCTGTTCTGGAGGAGTCTGCATTGGCGTGCTCCAGACCTCTTCCTTTGAGTTTGGACAAGTTGATTGAACAGAACAAGGGTGGAAACATCTTATTTGTGTCTGTTCCAGGTGCATTCACGCCAACATGTACTGAGAACCACATTCCTCCATACTTGAGCCACTTGAAGGAATTGAAGAACAAGAACATCACCACCGTGGTAGTGTTGAGTGCCAACGATCCATTTGTCATCAACGCATGGGGTAAGTTGTTGTTGAAGGACGCCTCTTTGGGAGATGTTTCCGGCTTGCCTAAGGTGATCTTTGCCTCGGACCCTAACGCAGAGTTCTCGGTTTCCAACGGAGTTTCCTTGGACTTGACCGATAAGGGTCTTGGTGTGAGATCTGCCAGATATGCCTTTGTTGTAAATGCTGACTCTAAGGACGTCAGCTACGTTGGCGTCGAGCAGGGTGGTGACGTTGGTGTTAGTGGCTACGAGGCTGTTTTGGAGGCTAAGTTGTAAGTAATAAGACGAGATTTGAGAATGAAGACTGTAGAATGTAAATCATATGAGATTAGAGGGAAGATTGAAAATTTTACAATAGAACAAAGTGGAACATGTAAATGAGACCGGAAAGTTGGTGAAAAGTCACCAATTGAATGAGTATGTATGTTGTCGTCAGAGATACATAGGATGGACGAGTGAGTTCGAATGTGGAGAACATTATACAAACCACCTCATGTATGCCGGGTATATTGGACTTGCTTTATTGCATAGAGTATGTCATATGATATATTTATGACCATAATTGGGGTGCAATAGAGTTAATTCGGAATACGAGATTGTTGGGAGACAACATTCGATGGAATTTGAGGTCTATGGTAGAGATTGAGGTATTAAGAGTGTCAATCTTCAAGTTTTCAATCTGTGGATTGTGGTCGCCACTCAATTGACTTATCGGAGTTCGGTACCCAGAAGTAGGCTAGTAATTGTCATTCAAGGCATTAAGTACCAGATACACGTTCACATCCTGACATTGCTACATGTGAAACTACACTACAATTCGCAAAACCGTATTTCGTTAAGTTAATTACAACTCACCGCTGGCATCAATGGTGACTCTGGCCTTGGTGGCACCAGAGTTGGAACCAAGAGCCTCAACCTGCTTGACAACATCATAACCGTCAGTGACCTCACCGAAAACGACGTGCTTGCCGTCCAACCAAGAACATGGCACGGTGGTGATGAAGAACTGGGAACCGTTGGTGTTTGGACCAGCGTTGGCCATGGACAACAAACCTGGTCTGTCGTGCTTCTTGATGAAGTTCTCATCCTTGAACTTCTCACCGTAGATGGACTTACCACCGGTACCGTTGCCTCTGGTGAAGTCACCACCCTGCAACATGAACTGAGGAATCACTCTGTGGAAAGCAGAGTTGGCGTAGCCAAATCCCTTCTCACCAGTGCACAAAGCTCTGAAGTTCTCAGCGGTCTGAGGAACGACATCGTTGTACAACTTGAAGGTAACTCTTCCGAGCTTGTTGCCGTTGGCGGAAATATCAAAGTAGACTTGGGACATTGTGTGTAAGTTGGGGAAGGAAAACGTGCGAACCTTCTGGTATTTATAGGTTAGGCATTTTTTTGGGTGAGAAGTCGATGGAAAATATGACGACAGTCCGCCCTGCACATGAGAAGGGGTCGACGGGTCGGAGTGGCCAATTATGGGGTATTATGTGCAGAACGAAAGAAAATCCATTGAGAATCCCTGCCCAGGCAACGATTCTTGTTTTTGGCCCCAGAAAAAACACCCGTACACCGGTACTTTAAAAAATCACGAAGCAATGTCAAACCATTTTGGTGTTACACAAATTGCATTTACAAATATAGAGGTGGTTAATTTCTGGGGGCAAAACCAATGTGTTCAATGCGCCAATTGGTGGTATGGCAGGGGCAATGGGTCTAGGTCCACGTTGCAGTTATATACAGGAAACATACCAAGTAGAAATGTTCCCATTTTGAGAGAGGGGGATCTAATAGAATGAATGGCCCTATTGTGGTGTACAGGTGTGAACTCAAATCCCTCGGGATAGTATGAATGTCGCATGAGGTGGTGTACTGGTGTAAAAGTTGAAGTAGACACTTGGAATGGCATTTCGAAGTAAAGCCTGAAATTCAAAAATTCAAGTTTGACAACAAAAGTTTATAAACTCGTTTCGAATTTTTGTTTCTAGATTCATAATCGTTTCTTCAGCATAAGATTTCAAAATGGGGTTTTCTGGAACCAGTAGAAATTTTGAATGACACTTAACCCTTTTAATCCTGTTGGCACACGTAGAAATGTTAATCATATCCTGATCAAATGTACTAATATCATCCATAGTCACCATCCAAACTTACTTTAATTTCACATCATAGGTTAGAATACACCAATTTTGGTCCTTTCAGACGAATTCAGTGTTCAAAAGGGATGAACTTTTCCATTGTTTGGTATCATTTTCACTCTTGTAGAAATTTGACCATTCTGTGGTTGAGAATAGTGCTGTCGATTCTTTATTTCAAGCTTCTGATTTCAAGCTTTTTATTTCAAGCTTTCGAAATACTAGCCATACGATATCTTCGACTTCGAACTAGATTGGATATCACCATTCAAGACTTCCAGAAAATAGAAGTCATCTTTTGGTAGACCTCCCTCTTCGTTCCAGGTGGATGTTTGAATTTTTCTCAATCGACGCCTTAATTAACCAGGGTAGACCTTGTCAATGATATGAACTTCTCTGACGAGGAGAAGTCTGCCCCCGTTGCTGGTGGTGTTGGTATGGACACCGCTCCTTTTGCCAATAAATTTGCGAGATTAATTCATTTCCTCTGAGACTATTGATTTTCTTTTTAGATTCAAGTTGGGAAGATGAACTCGATGGACTCGTTGTGGACTTGAACCATCAACACCTGGCAATTTGAACATTTCCCATTGTGCGTTCCGGCTTCGCCAGATGGGATACTTTAGCCCTCAAGAAATTTTCGCCATTATTTGTGTAATTTTGAAGGCTTCTGGTCTTTTAACTCTAGACTCTTGAAGTTCGACCGCCAATGGTTGATCTTTGACAAAAAATGGGGAAATTGCCCTCCAAGATCGAATTTAAACTCCAGAACACTACCAATTCCGATTGACTGGAATAATTGCTTTGGTCAACTGCCATTGTTATCCTGATTGCTGTATATGGCATTCTTGAAGTCCCATCATCTGGTCATGTTATGAAGGTGAATCAGTGGAAATAGGAATTCGATAGAACACTCCAAGTGTCAAACTTATAAATCATAGTTTGAATACACTGATTGTCGAATTCATATTACAGACCCAGAATTTTGAGCCTAAAGAAAAATGATGGTCAAGATCAGTATCAAAAGCAATGAAATTTGAATCCCAAATTGCCAAACTGAATTTGAAGGCATTAAACTGGTGGTACAGAACGATGGGGCCATAAGAATCAACAAGTTGATCTTCCTAATGGTCTAACAAATCTAAGAAATAGAAACCCGTCATTCATAAGCATTTAAGTAATCGTCGACCCGCCTCAAGAAAATGTAATTATAGGCCTGGCTTAAAGGAGGCTCATTTGTCAAAGAATACGCAAGCACTAATAACCGAACAGCCAATCAAATATGATCTTTCAAGCTATGAAAGACAAGCCAAAAATGAAAGCCAAAGAAATTTCTAGTCAAGAGGTAACTTCTTGAGTATGACGCTGCCACTAGTTGCCATTGCAAAGTGATTTTCTTATTAATCCAAATACGATTAAGAACAAAGGTGGTTGTCGATCGCCAAGACAGCACCGATCTCAAAGTGCAACATCCAATTTGGGAAAATTCAGGATATTAGGATATTCAGCCTCGACAAGCTATCTACAGACAATAGGGAAAAAAGAAAGGCTATGGCCAATGTCACACGATAGAGACTGAAGTGGGGTTGGGGTTTGACATGTTGCATTGGGGCCGTCTATTTGTTCGCAACATGCGACTTTGAAAATACGATGTCGGCGCAGTACATGAGAGATTTTTAGAATATCAACGACGAGGAGTATTGAAGTAGAACCACGGCATTTTTTTTTTTTTTTTTGACAGGGCTTAGACCTCGAGATTATTAATATTGACACGATTAGTCTAGATGAAGTTAGATGAAGCCCAGTCGGATCGAACGTTCCGGTGCAAAGAATTAGTCCATGACGCATGGGTGCATGAGGCTGGAGCTGGCTTGCAGGAGAATGTACATACTCAGGGAGGTTAGAAGGGCCAAGACTGAGTAACTAATGTGTCTAGTGAAATATTGAAACTCGTCTTTTGAAACTTATTTGACTGGCTGGGGTGAGGAAAGGATAATACTAGAAATAGAAAAAAAAACATCTACCAAATTGTAAAAATCAACACGAATAACCATACAAAAATAGTCAGATAAAGGAATAAGGGAGGATAAGAATAGATTTTGAGCAAGGAAAGTTGGAACCACGAACAAAAAAAACCTCAGAGGAGGTTCAACAATGGCTTGAATAGCTTGTGTGTCAGATTTCTCCGGAGCTAAAAAGCCTCTATAATGGGCCCGGCTGTGCTTTTAAAGCGCTCAAATATCAACACCATGCACTACATTAGCCGGCGAGCATGAAACCCTCCGACACGACCAAGCAGTGAATTCCAACTTCACACGTTGATAAATAAATCAAATGATGAAATCGGATTTATAAACATCCGGGGGATGCAGTCATAGCGTTTGTCATCAATCCCAAATTTGCTCACTCGCATGGGGCCAAATCCCTGCCGGGATGCTTGCCGGATTGATAGACCGCCATTACGCAATGTGGAATGCCGGTCCGGCATACTGCAACAAAGATTTTCTACCTGACGCATTGTCTCGGGAGAATTTCGGTCCAATTTGTGACATTTCTAAATAGACAGAATTAACTGTGGCAAGATATTAGGAAAAGAGGCATACCTCGTCGTGAAGTGTAATTGAAAATTGTATTTTTATGTGATATGCTTAAAATTCTCTGTTTCCTCTCACTTCTCCTGTGATTATCGATTATATCATGCTTTCCTTTGAAGTGGTTTTACGATGTGCCTGCACATACCCCACATTGCACATATTAATTTCCTACAACCAAGCCCGCCCTTCACTATATATAGCGCAGTTCTGCTAGGGTCGCCAGCCCATAGTCTTTTCCTAGACATCAATTTGTCACTTATTGTCGTCTTCCTGATCTACACTCTCAATTTTACGATATCCATCCATTGCGAACAAGACCTTAATCTCCTAAACTTCCGGACCCTGATTGTTCCTTTTCAAATTGCATAGATCCTGCAGAAGTCCCACACGTGGCTACCTACACTTGACCCAACTTGCTTCAGACATTCCCCTTCATACCACCTTCTTTCTGCCATTTGAATCTTCAGTCAAATTCAACAACGCGAATTTGTGGTTTCTAGACCTGTCAAGTTTTTTTTTAACGTTCTACTTACTTGTTAATTTCGCACATCTGCATCATCATGACTGATTTATTAGATCAGGTCTCCGGCAAAGTGGCTAAGGCTGCCTATTTCATTGATGTAGTGTTGTGTTCATGGATCCACAACCCATTTGTCTTATCAGCGCTTGTGCTCACAGGGTCGATGCTACTCCTGGCGATGCTGTTCACGGTCCCCATGCCAGATACGTTTGCGAATGTGGAGTTTAATGACTACTTGCTAGACTTTTTGCACAATGCAATCAACCTCATATTTATTGTCCGCTTCCCAGCGTCGTCATCCAGGGGCTTGACCATTTTGTCTTCCACCTTGGCGGAGCTGCTCTTGCTTGCCATCCAAAATGTGGGATGTGCTGTGCTACTCTTTTCGTCAGAATATTCGCTTTTGTATTCCAACATGCATCCCATCCTTAGAATGTTCATGTTGTGGCAAATTGTGTGTCCTTACTTGATTTTCTTATTACATCTATTAGAAAATTGGTGGAGGGCCAGAAATCCTGTTTCCACTTCGGAAAAGCGAACTATACTGGCTCCAAAGTTGCTGACGGGGTCGCTCCTAGTGGATACAAACAACAACTTCTTGCCTGTTTTCATGGCGCATTCGTTCGCCTCTATTAACTTTAATTACCCCTTGGCAGGCGCATACTGGGTAGTTTTGGTATACAAATTGGCATGTTTCTCATTCAAGTTCTACTTGATCAACAGATATGTGCTTTATGAGTTAGTGATGGTGATTAGTGACGTCTCTGACTTGAACAGCTACGCAGAGCTCTACACTCCCGTGCTGATAGGTGGGAAGAAAAAGAGTGTATTGTCATTGTTTTCTCGCCACGCCACACTGTTTCTCATAGCATTCTGTGTGGTTCTCATGGGAATTGATGGTGGCTTCATGGCTATCGCATTTATGAAGTAAAATGATTGCATAAAATTGAACAAGAGTATCTTTAGAAAATCTTACTTCTCTACCCTGTAACGAAGCTCTCTGTGCTTAGTTTCACTCGTTTGTATGTTCAGTTATGTGATTATGCCGAAAAATAACTCAGCAAGTATTGTGTGGACTCAGGGTAAACGTGATTTCAGACTTCATGCGCATCGGCCTACGACCTAACGCCCAACTTCCCATTTCAAAACCTACGGCTCGTCAGCAATTTCAACTCTTATTTATAAAATATAACCAAGTTGTTATGGCGTTTTTTGGGTTAAATGTTGAAAATGGACAATTGTAATCTATGAAGATGACAATCTGAGAGTGTAAATGACACCTGAGATGTCACTTTGCACTTCTAGAACGCCAAGGAACGGGCAACGTATCTGCCATGTAAGGTAGGTGCCAATGCAACCTTGAAAACAGAATTCGGAAGTGATTACTGATCAAAAAGGATATTATTTTTTGGCTATTTTTGGTGGTATCATGCTAGGAAGGTTATTCTGAGAAGGTTAGGTGAGTTCCAGATCTGCACAATTTGCAAAGGCGGTGTCGATCTCATCTTATCCCTCTGTCTACAGATGAATCCTTGCCCAATTCAATGTGCCAAGTCGCTTGCGTAACTAAATATGCATTGTTAATTGCTCCGGATATGTCTAATATTTGGCGTATGTTTTATTCCAAGATCTGCGAAGGTGGCCGTCGCAAAAGTTGTCCATGTCTGTAGAGCCCCACATATCTTTAAAGAATGTGGGCTGTGGCGACTCCTCAAATGTAGGAGGTTGAAGCTTCCGTCTTTTGATGTCTGTGCGTCGAGTCTCCAAACTGTGTAGCAGGGCATCTTTTCTAGCGTCGTATGCCTCGAGGGTCTTTGTTTCCTTGAGAAAAAGTAGCTCTTCCACCAAGGCATCTTCGGGAAATTTGTTTGTTCGTCCTATTGGAGGTAGGCTGTGAACGGAGGGAGGCTGGGTTTGTCTATATTGCTCAGTTCCGTTTTGTTCGAGTCCATCGAGATGATTTGGTAAGTGCCCAGCATCGTTTCTATCATCGTCTTGCTCACATTCCGAAAGAACTGGTGCTTTTTGTTTGCCATTTGAATGTTGCTGTTCGGATTCTTCAAGTTCTTCGCTTTCTTCGTCTTCTTCACTTAATTTGTCTTCACTTTCTTCTTCTTCCTCCTCCTCTTCTTGTTCTTCTTCCTCCTCCTCGTCTTCATCTTCCTCCTGGTCTTCTTCCGGTTCATCAAATTCACTTTCCCAATCACTATCCTCATTTTTGATACGGAATTCGTCTGGAGACTCCAGAACGGCTTCTTCCAGTTTTTCCGGTTCTTCCAGTTCTCTGCATCTTTTCAGGTTTTTGAATTTTTCTAGCTTGTCCAGTTCTGCCGGTTCTTCCTGTTCTTCCTGCTTGTTCAGTTCCTCCTGTTTTTCCTGTTCTTCCAATTCTTCCTGCTCTTCCAGATCTTCCAGTTCCTCGATTTCCTCAAGTTGTTCAGACTCCGGAGCTCTCGAGCTATCCAAGTTCTCCGGTTCACTATAATAACCTAGTGCACTGAAATCCACCACCTCTTCATGGTACTCCCATTCTTTGTCCTCATCCCCTTCCAAAAAAGCATCAGTTTCCTCATACTCCCGAATATGGGGCTTATAATATTGCCAATTAAATCCCTCACGTATCAGCAGCACATTGTCCTTGACGTTCAACTGCAACGACTTTTGAATGTTTGACCAATACGTGTCTATCACTGGTGACTTTCCATCCCTGTTTTTCGACTTGTAACCCGTTACCGGTGCCTCAAATAACTTTAACTTCTCGATGGCTTTATACATGTCGGCTCTTGAGACTACTGTCTGTAAATGCTGATCAAATTCCTTCTTCAAATCACCATTTTCGGAGAAATCAAATTCAGGCTGTGCTAGAGACGCTCCTTCGAGTCCTCGGTTGACAACTAGCGTCCCCAATATGTCCTTCACTCTCTGGCGAATCAACTCATCCAAAAACGTTGTAGTATCAAACCGGAATACTCGAGGTTGTATGTTTCCGACCTCTTGGGCAAATTTGCTGGCCCGGTACAATTTCTGGATATTGAGAAGGCCCCTGGAGTGGAGAATTCCATATTCGTGGGTGTCAAGAGGTCCTCCCACTGCATGGCCGTACTTAAGCACCATATTTTTGCGTCGAGCCTTCTCGTTGGTCAATTCCTGATTGTATTCTCGCAGACAAATACGGAAGCTCTGCTCTTCCTCGTATCTGAGCCATTCCTGGCTCAGTTCACATGCAATTGGGATTTCCGAGTAGGATGCACCGTCCTCGAATGTATGGGAGACATAACAGTACTGAACTCTAAGGTTAGGTGGTGTGTCGGCATCTTTGAAAACCACATCGTGCGTTTTATAAGTTTCCAAGCGCCGTAGCTCCCGTTTTAGAAGCATATAATATTGTGAAATTTCTGAGACAGACTTTCCAGGAAGATGCGGGATGAAGTTGTCGATGTTGTGAATGGAGTAACGGGCGAGGCATCTGAAGAAGATTTCTTTCTCTTTTGCAGTCCATAGTGATCCTGGAAGATCGTCAAGTGGTGTTCTGTCGCAGACATCGTTGGAAGTATCATTGGAGATTTCATTGCCGATATTATTGGAAGTATCATTCGAGATATCACCAAATTCACCATTAGTGCTACCATTGGAAGCCTCCCAAGAGACATCTTCGGTTATTCGAGTAGCATTAGAGATATAATTTAGCCCTCTTTTGCTAGTTCCATTGGAGTTTGCACTAGAATTTTTGCTCCTATTCAAATGACTATTCAGTAGAGACTCATTGTGTCCATTCAGATCTTCACTATCCTCTCTCTCGGAGAAATTGTCGTTTTCCACATCCTCTTCAACAGTCTCTTCTCTTCTATCTTCAGCTTCCTGAGGGCCATAGTACGCCCTGTCGATGGTGATTCGACTTGGATAAAGTTGATGGCTAGCGTTTGTCTCGTAATCGAGATCAAAGAATGCTTCAACATAGTGATTTAGCAAGTCAATATAAGCGGAGTCGGGAAAGTCATTGACGTCAATCTCTATAGATGCCGGAGACGGGCCCGACTCATCTGTCTCCATGGTGAAGTTGAAGATGGAGATCAAAGTACTGCAGAGATGGAGATGGCCAGGAATTAGGAAGACTGGAGTTGTAATACGAATAGGGGTGTGATTCTGGTTGCTTTGGGTATCAGATGTGATTTGTTGACATTTCTAGTGTATCTAGTTAATTTTAATGTGTGGTCAAAGATGTGAACCTGAGAAGGGTTCACTTGAAACCATTGGAAGTGCACCACAGAAGACCATATTTGAAACCAAATGGGAATGAAACCCAGGATAAAATCTCAGAAAGAAATTCGAAAGTCTTAATCCAGGACTTTTGCAGAGTTTTTGGGCAAAAGTCATCCTTTTCAACTTCTAATTTTCGAGCTTTAGAGCATAAATCTTAAGTAGTATCAGGCACAACAAGATGATAATCAACTATCGTGTCGAATGACCACAATTCAAAAAAAAAAAAACTACCTATCATCTTCCGTTGCTTGAATTTTATCGTCAGTATATTATCCGGACCCGAACAATGAGCTAAGCTCTGTTCAACTGTTTATCCTCTACTTATCCACTTTTACTTCCCTCTCCTCTTTTCGGTATCTCTTTCTCAATTATCTTCCTTTGTCTTTCTTTTTATCTTATTCTCTTTCTCCTCTATGACTTCTCGCTAATGGAGGTCTCGCCCATCGCCTTATCTACCAGATGTAGAGAATGCTCGTCTTCGGTGTCCTCCCATTCGCTCTCGCCTTGGATCTCCTGCAAAAGCCGAGGAACAAATGGCTTGGGTTCATCGTTGTCGTCACCATAGAATATCTCCACATACTCCTCTGGAACAAGCCCATTCTCACCAGAATCTGGATCCTCGGCAACGAGCCAGCCTTGGCCGTGTCGATACGAAATCCATATCACCTGGCCCTCGCGTAGTGCCACCTCGTTGTCATTCTCAGGAAGAAAATCGAAAAGAGCCACCGCTCGCCTGTTGATTTCGTCGGAAGAATATGTGGCAAACGAATCGTTGTCGTTGTGGTAGTAATCGTCGTCGTCACTTTCATGGTCGGTATCGCTCAACAGGCCACGCCTGCTGGTCGGAAAGTTGGTATATCTGAGGGGATGAGATTCTGGGTACGCATAATCAGTGGATTGTGTAGCCGGCGGACAAAGGCCATGGGGACTCATTAGAAGAGTGGTGGGGATGATGAAGATAGTCCACGCGACCTGTAACACAGGAGGCAGGAGAGGCTGAAGGAGGGCTGGGAGACAGATCGGAAGGAGGGCTTGGGAATTTTAGAATAAGAATTGAATAGAGGGAATTGGGTGGCATTAATGTCTTTTATATATTTTTGTGGTGGTAAGGGGGTTAACGGTCGTAGATGGTGGGAGGTGTGGCTATTTATAGAGGTGACCTGGTATGTAGGTGATTCGAATGGAGATGGATGAAAGTGGTGAGATAGAGTCAAAGAGGGGTATAGAGAAATCGATAGAAATTGCTCAGAGATGGGGAGGGAAGTCGACTTCAGAAGTGAATTGTGGACTGAATGAGGTTTACGAAGATTTTCAGGAGGTTGTAGTTCATGGTGGGAGTGAATTGATTTTTGGTGAGGCTGTAGTTTACGATGATGAATTACAAAAGTATCCATAACTGTTAGAAAGTGGGAATCAGGGTATCGTTGGATTAATGACGTTTCATTGCTTGATGTCATTGCTTGGATTCATTGCTTGGTGTCAGTGCTTTTGTTAATGTTTTTTGGATGGTGAACATCACATTCCTTGTCTCACTGGGCACTAATATAAATGAGGGTACGTTAAAGTCAATCCCACTAACCTATTCACCCTCATTTGATTTTCTGTAGTATTGAGAGGATATTTACTGTTAAACGAAGTCTGGAGATGTTGCTGTTCGTAAAGTTACCCAGTTTGATCTGTTCATTTTTCTTTCCCCATAGGAGTTTCTCTGGTACTCGATCTGAATTTCTTGTTCACCAGTCTCAATAATGTAGAGATCGTTGTGTCCTGCTTTATCTTCTCACCTTTTATTCTTATTATTCATAGTGTTGAATTCAAATATAAAAATGGCATTCCTTCGTATTTCATCCACTAAGATTAATGATTCCTATAACATATTCATCATAGCACTCATGCATCCAAAATGCTCATCGTTCCACCATAGAATTAATCTTTCCTATACGTACTACTAAATATAATCATTTGGATTATTTACTTTCTGATTTTCAATTTTTCTTAACTTTTTGAATCTCTTCCATTTTCTCACTCTCCGCTCTCCTCCCTTCCTTTTACAATTCATTCTGTTCATCAGTTCTCATTCCGCAGCCATTTCTGCTTGATCATCTCATATATCCAAATCACCCACACCACCAAATAATCTCCAAAATCATTAAATCCTAAATAAACAGCCCAAAAAGCATTCAAAATTCCAATTTCCACATTCATACCTTTCCACAACCCTTCCCACCCAATACCTCTTCATTCACCATCTACTACTCATTTGTCCTCTACACAATACGCAAACTTTCTCCACCAACTCTATGGATCCATTGGAAGAACAGCAGCAGGAGATCGAGGTGCTCCAGTCCATCTATCCCGATGAACTCGAATTGATTTCTCCTACTCACTTCACCATTTTCATTGCACTAGATGCGGCCAGTGACAGAAAGCACCTGGCTCTTCTAGATGTGAGATACCCTCCAAATTATCCAGAAGAGGTGCCCAAACTAGATATCCTGACATCTGTGGAGGAGGAATCTGAGGACGAAGCCCTGGACTCTGAAGATGAATCGGAGAAATTTGTCAGTTTGTCCGAGCAAATTGTATTCGATAGGGACGACATCGGAGTGTTGCTCACCAAATTGAATGAAGAAGCAGAGATGAACATTGGAATGCCATCGATTTTTGCATTGGCCGCATTACTCAAGGATGAGGCTGAGTTGCTATTTCAGGCCAAGTTGGACGCTGCACAGGCTCAGTACGACAAGGAGCTTTTGGCTCGTGAAGCTGAAGAGCAAAAGAAATTCCATGGAACCAAGGTAACCAAGCAGTCATATGCGGAGTGGAGAGAGAAATTCCGGGTAGAAATGCAGGTGGAGAAGAAGGATTTGGAGAGGTTTGAACGCATGCACAATGGCAAGATGACAGGCCGAGAGATATTCGAGAAGGGTTTGGCGGAGGAAAGCGACGACGAGTTGGCCGACGTGACCGACTCGGTTGCAAAGGTAGCTGTTTAATTACTATATACTTGAATGAGAAGGCAATGATGTAGAGCTTGTTCTGACTGGGAATCAACAATGAAATAAGAATGCAATATACTCACCACTTCATTGCATTCACTCAATAATCGAGATCCATTCCCAAACCTTCATCACCTCGCCGTGGATCTCTATTAATTGGTGCGAGACATTAGTGTTGCGGTCCACTTTGCGACTAACGGCTTCCCAGAGTCTCATCTTGCGTGCAAGATTGGTCTCGTCGCTAAGTATAAGATCTCGAAGCTGGATGGACCCAATGTAACCAGGAAGCTCACTGGACTCTCGTGCCAACCGGGCCTGTCTTTGAAGTTTGCTCAACACCTCCCTGTAGAGAGTGTCAAGTTGTTGATGGTGCAATTTGTACCTGTCATACTTAACTTTTGCAACGAGTAAGGTCACTACACCAAGCAAAAAGATAGCAAGAGTCAATCTAAACTTCAATACGAGTGAGACCATTGTGTTTGACAATTGACACTTCAAGCTAACGTGCGATAAGGACGTTGATCGAAAAACTTTGTGCGTGGTTTCCGTCTCTGTAACAGTGTTGTTAGTGTCAATTGTGGAACCAACGTGATCAACGATTCCGACCTGTTCTTTGTTAGTAATTGGTTGATAAATTTGTAAAAAACGGGTAACTTGCCTTACAATTATTTCGGGCTCCTTCTCCAACTCCACCACCGAACGCCTCCACAACTCCTCAAACTCTTCTAAGGTGATGTATGGTGCCTTCATGGCCAACAAGAGGTCATGTAAGTCATTCATCTCAATGCCCGCGGAAACATCATCCTCCGGCAATCTTCCACAGTTCTTGTGAGCATTTCTAGCTCTTAATAGGTCAAGAGCAACATCAATCATGATCTCAATCTTTTCTGCTCTCTTGGTGTCAGGAATACACTTCTTCAATGTTGGGTCCACAACTGGCATGTATGGGAAGTACCATGGGGCGAACTCTACAAAGTCATCGTAACATCCCATCTCTAGATTTGGGAAGCACCGAGCATGTTGAGGACAGTCCACACATTGTGGTCTGAAGTGTTCGTCCAAGTATGCACCTGCCTCGACTAGGAAACCTGGGGTATCTGGAGTATCTGGAATAGTTGTAGTGTAAATCTCCTGGCCACAATAACCAACTAAAAATGTTTGCTCACGGTACCAGTATGCAAAGAGGGTAAAGGCAGCCAAAAGTGTCCACGAGAGCAAGGAGAGGAAAAACCAAAAGAAGGACTTGCGAAACGATGATTTGGTCGAATGCGTTCCCAGTACCTTTGATCTGGATTGTGTTTTTGACTTGGTTTTTTCGCCATTGATCTGACTTTTCTTTCTATCGGTGTCATTGAGGTCGTCGGTATCACTTTCTTCATGTTCGTCCTCTCCTTCACTTTCTGATTTCCTCTCCTCATGTTCGTCTCTCAGTTCACTTTCTGTTTCGCTCTGCTCATTCTCATCTTCACTCTCTTCGTCAGTGACATCCTCATCACTTACAACGTTTTCCTTCTCCTCCTCGTTCCCGCTTAAAGTCTCAGAATAAGCCAAACGCTTCTTCTGAATAATTATTGGGTTTCTTGGACTGATGACTCTTCTTCCCTTGGGCTTTGGTTTGACACTATGAAGGTCCACACCAAGAAGCTTCGCTAAATCAGCATCAGTAGTATCCTTTCGGGAATGATCGTGTCTAGAAGTGTCTCTGGAGATGTTGCTGAGCAGGGCCACGGTGTCGTTGAAGTGTTCGTCTTCTTGTTTCAACTTCTTGAGTGCCAGATCAAAGCCGGTAGCATTATCGGAAACATCTGAAAGTTGAGTAGCAGTCTGAAAGGATGGCAGTGAGTGTGCCAGATAGACATCTTTCGCGGACCAAGAAACAGGAGACCTAGAAACGATTTTCGGAGACTCGGTCTTTGGTTTCACAGTTTGTGGAGACTTGCGGGTGCTTGCAACGGGAGTCCCTGTGGTTGACTCAGACAAGTGTTCGTGCTCGGAACCAGAACCAGGTTCCAATTTCACAGTTCCCGATGGCGATGCAGTTGACTTCGCCAGAGCTGATTTCACTGGGGTCACAGCAGATTTCGCAGCCTTGGATGGTGTCACAATAGCTTTAGAGGATTTGGATGGTGTTGAAGCTCTACTTCTGTTTGAAGAGTTCACTTTGGGTGGAACAACCTTCGATGGAGTCTCTTCAGGTGATTTGACTATTGGGGATTTCACTCTTGGCGACTTTGCCTTCTTCTTGGTCTCCGTTTGCGGCGTAGACGCCCTACTCGTCTTAGATCTCTTCTTGGGCGAAAGAATCTCCGACTCCGAGTCTGTGTCGATCTCAAACACGTTTCCCTTAGTAGGAGAGTCGGAGAACTTGAGTTCCAGTCCGGAGTACATGGATTTTCTCTTCTTTCCCTTGGCAGACTCCGAAATCGAAGTGTTTGCCGCTGTTTCTGGGGAAGTAGTCATATCTTCATTTTCATCCTCTATTTCAATGGATTTCAACGGTGGAGCGTCCAAAATCACAAGATCGCGAGCCTTGGACTTTTTCTTGGGTTTGACGGCACCGCCACCGATATTTTCGTGGAAAAGGTGGACTAATTCTTTCTTTTTGGCATTAGAGGGAAACTCCACTTCATTGTCAAACAAAATGCCACGCAATTGGGCCACTTTCAACGACGACGGGTCAAAGTCTGGCATTAGTACGTAATATTGAGTAGGAATTTCGAAATACTTACCCTCGTCAAGGTATTCTTTAGGGTCCATGGAAAGAGTGGTACAGTTTTTGTTTTGTTTTCGCAACGTGTATAGAGAGATGTTAGATGATGAAGAGTATGAAGGACAGAAGTATGTAGGAAATTCTTTTGGCAATGAAATGAAGAAGACAGAATAGAGAAGGAAAAGACCGAGAGGACGAAGGTGGAATCTACAAATTTACGTGACTGTCAGAGCCATACTATGTAAGTTTTGATGTCATATTGTTATAGAACGGAACGAGATCTCACTGAGATCGTAAAACAATCATGTCTTGAAGACAATTTTAAAAGAGCCAGAGACAAAAGAGGCGACAAAACCTCTAAAGATGCTAAACCTAAACCGTAGGATTCGGTATCAAACAATGACAGGATCCTTGTTCACTCACGGGATTCAGGAGAGAATCTAAATAATTCCCTTCAAGTAACTGAACGACAGCTCTAACATCTTCAACTGAACTTGATCAGCATATACATCCTCCTCACTGGGTCTTTTGCCTTCAATATTCAACACAACAGGCAACTCTTCGATCAACTCCAAGCGAGGGTCGTCGTGAAGGTAGTTGATGTGTAAGTTGAGTGTCGCACTCTTGCAAAGGTTCCAGTTCAACTGATTTAAAAGACCCACAACAGCCATAAGTCGCACGGAATTGTGGAGATCGTCTTCATTGTCTGCGTGATAGGTAATGGAGAAAGATTCCAAGGGGAGACTCAGCAAGTTGCAGAGCTTGATGAGCTGGTAAAGACGCATCAACTCGTGTTGATCATCTACCGCTTCTTCGATTATCAAATGAAGCTCACGGAGGTGGAGTTGACTCATTTTGGCAAATACTTGCTGCAAGTCGTTTGTGGAACGGATGGTGAGGGTTAACTTGGCCAAACTGGCGCAGTTTTGCTCCATCAAATCGGCAGCATTTTTGCAAGGTTCAGCATTCTTGTATGGCTCAGGAGCATGGAGCACCGATAAATGAGAAAGAGCCATAGATGACTGGGGAGTTGGCAACCAGGCAGTGGATAAAAAGGGGGCGAGGTGCTAAGATAAACTGAGGTTGAAGTAAACTGACTAAGCAGGGACAAACTGAGGTTCCTAGCAAAGGAAAAAATACACTCAAGAATGTCTGGAAATGACAAACGGTTTCAAAACACTCGGTGATAGTCCGAGATGGTCTGCTAGCAGACAGCGGGTATTGAAGGAATAAAAATTCTCAGGGGTAAAAGCTGGGATGCTTGGGCGGGAAAAAAAGGGACAAAATTGCGATGTCAGTAGTTCAAGAAACTGATGGATACCTTGTTGGCGAGGACGATGAACGCGGTCATGTAGGGGTTTTAGGGAAGAACAGAGTTGTTGTGAATGAAAGGATGAAATGAGAGATTGAAGATGGGGCGGGTCGATACTCACGTGACCTTAAATCACGTGAATTGAACTGATCTTTAAGAGAATTATATTTTGTGGCGAGCTATAGCCAATCTAGACCCCTTAGACTTTTCAAGTTTTACCTTACAGATGTACGGATGTTGAGATGTACGGATGCAGAGATGTACGGGTGTTTATCTTTTAAGGAAATATCTGGGTGTCAGCTTCCTTACCTTTTCAGAGGTAAGGAGGCGCCGTTCATCTGTCCCCCCACAGGTGCACATTTACCAAAGCGCACGTGAAGTTCACTGGTTAACTATCCTGTTCACGTGATGTAGACAGTTCCCCAATTTCTTCCAAATCCGTAGCCAATCACGACCACACGTTGGACCCGCACAAGCCCGCCTCAGATAAGCGAGTATCGGTTACCGCATTGTATGTTGCATTCACATTGTCAGGCATGCAGATTCATGGAGACGTCACTGGTAATAATCAATTAATGACCATGGGTGGCAAGCGATAAGCCGCGGGATGTCGATGTCGTTTTGTAAAATTTTCGGATGGATAGGTTTGCGTTTCGTATATTGAGCATTGCGCATCGCATGCGTGGCACAAGGTACCTTCTGCACACGTGACCTATAGTTCCCCTGTTTCACGCCGTCATTGAGTTATGTCCCATCCGATTCAATGCGACATCATTCCAATCCAGCATATGCATCCTTACACAGTAAGCCAACTGCGCATGAAGAAACTTCCCACCACCAGAGGTTTCGAGTAGAAATGCGGGTTGTGTGACAAAAATTATGGGCCAGTAAAGGTTACAGAAATGGGCAACATAGTCCCAGTGAGATTCAGTGAGGGGGCTTCTCTATGGCTAGGAGCCCGTTGCAGTTTATTGTTTAATGACCAGAGTATCGTCTCAGGGTATTATTTCAAATGCAGAGCATTGTTCCCAAATGCCAGGAAAATCAGAGCCAACAAAGACCTGCGAAATGAACGACGCAAGGGATTGTGCTTTAGGGGTCAGATCCAATCGATGAAAACGATGGTACATACGGTGGAATCAAAACCCGACTTAATCTAAGATTTAAGGGACTCTGATTGTGGCCGTCCCTGGAAAGTGATCGTCTGGCAAGCGATTTCCACTAGCGATCATCTTTGGCGTAACCTACGGATATTTATAGCGATATTTTTCTGAATCCAGTTGTATTTTTTTGGTGAATTCAATCATGATACCACCTGTCAAGGAAATGGGGAGAAAATGCTGAAATGGGAAATGCGGAAACTGGAAATGTTGAAATGAGAATCCCGAAATGGGAAATCTTAAAATGGCGGAAATCTTGAGATTGTGGGCAATCTTGGATATGTAGGCAATCTTGAAATTGTAGACAATCTTGGAGTGCTGTCGCCAGATGATATCATGAAGTGCCACGAGCTAATAACCATGGTTAACCACATTCTCAAACCCTAAACCCCTCTCAATTCTTCTCGCTGTCAGCCACTATACCATACTTATTGCATGACCTTGCACATTGTGATTATCGCAAGGTTTCATATTACTATGATTGGGACCAAGTTTGGGATCTGCAAACTCTAGCGATCTTCCCTACACATTCTTCGCTGCTGCATGCCAATATTCTCTACTAGTTTCGAGGCTGTCCTATGCTTATTCCTGATTGCTGCTTTTAGAGGTTGCCCGTCACTGCATTTGCAGGTGGCAGAGTGTTCGCGTCTGCTTCGTCGATGGCTCCCTATCCTTCGTCGAACCCAGATACGCTTCAGCCGTTACGAGCGTGACCTGCAGGATAATAGGTAAGCTACAGATTTTCGCCTGTAATCGCTCGGTTATTGATTCCCGTATTGATTGTGTCCATCTTTAATGTCTGCAGGTTGCATATGTGACTTGCTCAACTCCGACGCCCTGAGTAACATACTGGGTAAGAGAAATATTTTTTTGCCCAATCCCTGCCACCATGGTGTGGTCTTGGTGCGAGTGGGTCCACGCGTCCACATGTTGCAAAACATTCGATATACATCCTACACTGACGAAGGTGTTGAGTTTTTGGCCGCACCAAAACTGACCCTACATGTACGATTATTCGTAGATTATTGTTCTCTTTGATTTTTTTTTTTTGGTGAAATTCCTTCTAATTGCCGCTTGATGTAAATCTACTAAACAAGCATTCGCCTAATCTGTTCGTTGAAAGCACCGCTGATCCTTATATTACTGAAGGAAATAGCAATCTAAAATCATGCGTCGGTTTTTCTATTTTTTTCGTTGCCCTCTCTCTTAAAGTTACTGACATTTTGCAGGCCAACGCACCATGCCAATGATGCCGGAAAGGCAAGTTCAAACGGCTCCCCCACGTATACTTCTTCTTGCAGAAAGTCGCATAAAAACCCAAATGATCAGTCCTCATCCTCCGGGCTATGTTGCAATAAAGTCACCAAATTGGGCAATGCGTATAAGTCGCATGTATGGAACACTCTGCAACCCTGCCAAAAGATTCCAAGATTACGAGTCATCCCAGCGACATTCATTTGTGGAACTCAGATCGAGACCAGAGTGTGCATGAGGATCAGCGGCGCAGTGGGGACGTTTGCCGAAGGATCAACTTAGAGGAATCATGTGTGACTACTGTGCATCGTGCATGTGTGTCTTCAGATGAGCCCTGTGCACTCCCCACTCTACTAATGTGGGTGGAAATGTCGCAAATTTTGCCCGCTACACAAACTTTACTAAACTTTACCTAATGCCGTACGCAACCCTTGCACAAACGGGCTTTCTTGTCAGGCGCCGAAAAGTGGAGACCTGGTGCTACTAATCGTGTCCTTTCACTTTGTCTCTCTTAGATAGGGTGTCCATTGAGATCTCTCACTACATTATCCATTCAGAATACTCCCCTGTAAGTTGTAATGTGGTCGCATAGTGGTTCATCTCAATCCTACACCTGGTAAAATTTATCTACTAAATTACCTCGGTTACGTGTACAACCTGGTGTATATTTTTTTCTATTCTTTGCGAGCCTAATGTCGTGTCGCAAGGATTTCTTAATTTGTCGTAGGGCAACTATACTTCACTCGCTTCCAAATTATTTTAGTGCAGAATATAGAATTGGCTATGCTTCTAAGCCTTGTCTACTACCCCTTCCGAAGTTTGGAGATCGGTTAGACAGAACCATGGAAATGATAGTAACCAGTGCCTGCGGCGCCAAAGCCCTGTCGCGTATTGAAAGGGTTTAGATCGCTGGGAGAAAAGGGCCGGGGTCTTTTCGTAAACGAGATCCTGATCAGGGGAATTGTAAGATTGGAAATAGAACACATCGAACATCATTGTGGATGAACCTGACATTCATGACCAGATGGACATGTCATCGTAAAGATGATAATATGTGATGTCAGTGGGGGGCGATCGTTTGAGGCTAGAAGGTTTGGATATGACACCACATTGTTTCATCTTCAAACGCGAAGCAGTTCGGGCCTAGATTTTTTCTTCTGCAATTTTAGTCATGAGGTTAATTTTCGCCCATATATTTCTTTTGCGAAATCTTTCCATTGATAGTCCTCACGAAATGATAGATCTCATTGGGTGACAAAAATCAGAAAAGCGTGAACACCTAAATTGGTCAAATGGACAGATGGCTGGCGGGCAGGTTATGAAGACAACCGAATCCGCGACATTTCGCTGGGCTTGCTGCAACTTACCTGCCGCTGGTGCAAAAATGCCATGCAGACGCACCCTGCGCATCCTGCAGACATTACACAGGGTTGGAATCAACTTCGTTAGTCAAGATTGCATGTCTGATCCCCTGGAGGATCTTTTCTTTTGATATAAGACACTAACCTCCTCCCTGATTTTCTTTCTGGTGCTTTGCACTTTTGTCCCTAACTTTTTCGCGATTGTCTTTTCACTTCCATCATTCATTACACATTGTTTCTAAATGCTTACCTACTGAGATCATCGACCAAAATTTCCTCCAACCTAGTTAACCGTCTCGACTCCCTTCTGGAATCCAGTTTATCTCAATTCAACTCCTTGCATCGCTCATGCCGCAACTTCCATCTGTGTCTGAGCTCATGGTGGGTGCCCACATAACATTTTTTGGCAACTCACCACACAACTCGCTGCTGCCTCATCACCGGTTGTCAGGTCCTTCTGACACCACGCCTCGTCGTCTGGAGTCGTATATGCTGCCGCTGCTGCTGCTGCTGGTGAAGCTGGACGCATCCACTCTGCCTCAACTGAATTCCGTCAATTTGCAGCCCATACCCGCCAATATAGGCTCGGTACCTCGTCTTAATCTGACCAACCTACCGCATCTTCATCGACTTTCTGGCCACATTACGCCGCCAGCACCTTCGGGCCAAAATGCGCTGAGCGTGTCGCCCCATGGTAACACCGTAATGTCGCAACCTGTGAGTGGAGCATACGCCATGGCGTCGGTGCCATCGATTTCCGTTGCATCTGCCAATGCGTCTGTCCGTACAACCCCGTCATCTGCCCTTCCGCACACTGCTCCCCCAACCGCGGTGTCCGGGCAGGCCAATTCAGGGCCAGAGGGAGCTGCAAATACCGTCGCTGCAACTTCTGGTACTTTTAGTGCTCCATCGTACATGCCTGCGTCAGATTACTTCAGCTACCGTGCCACAGGCAACGCATCTGCCCACACAGCAACCGCAACCAATGTGCCTCCGTTGCCTTACAACATTTACAAACGCACCAACCTGATTCTGCTGCTGCTTGACTCTATTCTGCGTATGCTGCTGGCGACCAACATCGTCCAGCACGCTGAACAGTCGCCTGTTCCCCAACAGAATAATCGCCTGAGTCTGTTCTCTCACGAGTCGGCAAATCATGCTGTGCCCATGTCTGCCTACCCTACGTCCATGGGCCCCATTTTGTATACCCACAGCGGTGCACCCCTCGGATACCCATCGCACATGGCTCCACAGGCGGCCGTGCGTGGTGCTACGTCTACGGGCATGGCGGGCATTACACCAGTTACATTTGGCATCCCACCTTTGGGCCAAGCTGTTTTATAGCCCTACGGAATTCTGATTGCATCACCTTACGGACAAATGATGGTGGGACCGGGAGTGGGCGCTGGCGCAGGCGCTATTCAAGAACAGATCCCATCGAAGCTTGTGACCGACCAAAACTATGCGTTGATGAACAAACGCCGAGTCATTAAGAGGAGAACCCGCACGGGCTGTCTTACGTGTCGCAAGCGCCGCATTAAGTGCGATGAGCGCAAGCCCCACTGCTTTAACTGTGAGCGTCTGAAGAAGTTATGTCTTGGATATGAGGTACTTCCGACGTCTGCGAAGCGCTGCGACGCTGAGAATGTCGGAAAACACGAAAACGCCTCTCACAGATCTTCCGTGCACGATCTTCTTTAAAATAAAAAAGTATTTTTTTTGACGCATTGGCGACATGACGACGTTCACCATGTGGTCACTTGGTTTCTGCTGCGACAAGACTTCATGACCATCGAAGACAATAGCCACAATGTCTCCAGGCTCCACACCATAACGCACCCAACAATATGGTGCCAGGGCCCGATGCCTCCTGTTATTTTATATATTTTTTTTTATTATTGTTGTTGGTGGTGTCGCTGGCGACATTTGTATGTACTATTACAACTGGGGGTAACGAAATCAAAACTGAATAAAACATCATCGCTAAAATCTATTTGCAGATAGTGTAGTGGTTCACCGAAGTGCGCCTTTTGGTTGCCGTGATACAAGGAAGAGAAATATCGCTTGCCTTAGAAAAAAAGTCGCCCTGCAGAAGTTACGAGCTCGCACATATACCAGATATGATTGCATGAATTTCACCTCGCCGATTCACACCAAATGCAGGAAAGGGTCTTGCGTCCTCAATCTGGCAGAACGCACGCTACCTGACATCATGAAGAGTTACGCATTTGTTCTTCTTCTCGGCGAATATTCACTGAAGAGTATAATGCACGGTTAGTCAGATACTAATTCGTTGACCACTTTCTACGATCAATGCACTCCGGCTATCCTGCCAGTTTGAGGATGTCCAAGTTGCAACGTGCAACGTGCAAAGAGCAAAGAGACAAACGCCAGCTGAGGCATTTTTGAGTTTACCGTGCTCTAACACCCCCAAATTGTCAAGATGCACCATGCCGCTTTGATGGCAGTCTGCTAGGCACGGTTTTGCATCGACATGGACCGAACCTAATGGGATATTTTTTCGGTTCTTATGTCGGGGGCGAATCGTACCTACATAACCGCATCTTGTTCGTAACCACGTTCATGCGGCTTCATGCAGATATTCGGATCTGTGCCAGTTTAGCTCTTGTTCACTAATGAATTGGTTGCTGCGTGTGGGGGTTGGGTGTTAGGAGAGGTCTAATGGTTACGGAGGCAGACATTTAGTATACATGGGCAGGTTTTTAGTATGGCTTTTTATCCATTGGTGCTCTGCACATGTTTTGGTCATGTAAACCATTATCCATGGCTAACGCGCATGGAATTCATATTAGACCAGAAAGTATATCAGGGTCCCCCACCCCCATTGTAACTTTCCCACATCTTGATATTGACAGCTCCACTGACCTCTAACGGAGTTGACTGTACACACAAGAGCAAGACCGGATATTCTCACCACATGAGCATGGTTGGGAGTACTGGTCAGGAATGGCACCTTCCAACGGGATGCTCCGCGAATTGTTGGGTGTGATGCGTGTCCACCAGAATTGGAGCTTTGGCCCTTTCACGATCCACACCTAAGCACTCCTAAATCCAGGCACAAAGTTAAATCCGGATTTTTACTGCAGGGACGGCGAAATGAAGGGAAGGGAACGGTAAAAAAGAAAGGGTAATAGTAGAAATCGGGAAAATGGTAAATATTTAGAATGAAGGGATTGATCCGCGGGAGAATGTGGCTTATGTGGTGGAGTTCAAGAGCTTCCAAAAATGTAGTTACGAGTTGGAAAGGAAGAGTTAAGGGTTGAGTGGGGAGCGCAATTTGGCCCGGTGTAGGAAGGTTCCGTAATTGACAATCAGTAAATGTCCTAAGCCCGAAAGAAGCAATCCGGAAGTCCAGAAATATGGCCAGATTCCAGAATATCCAGGACTGAATATTCCGAATGATCGAACGATGCAAAAATTTAGTCATGGAGCTGATCGGAAAGATTTGGATGGAAAAATTCTGATACGAACCATTTGGTTTTCAAGATCTGGAAGATTTTCAATTTCTTAGTCCAAAAGTTTTCATTTACTAAGATTCTGGTGTTGCATGTCGAAGCGAGAAGAACAAAATTTAGCTTGCATGATTTCTTGCTGATCCCAAAGTAAGTCAAGTCAAGTCGAATTTCGTAATTGTTGAACAAACTCCAAAAATTCCAAAAAATTCCACATTTCTCTCTTGAAAGGAGTTGTCAAGTACCCAGATTTCAATTTTTTGAATGTTTGAGTTACTGTGGAATCCATGAATTAATCCAATAATTAATTCACCGTTCTATCCCATTTCAGCTTCTACCTTCCCAATCCTTCCACTGTCAATATTATTATATCCCTAGTTGATTCTAATCTACCATTTTTCTAGTTGACTCTCTCCATCTCTTGCACAGCATAGTCCAACATGTACGACTCCTCAAGTAAGTCGTCCAACCTCTGGTAATGCCTCTCGTTATATGGAATAATGGCCTCGACAATCTTACGAACCTCTGGAACATCTAAATTCAATTGGTCCACCACCACCGCCAACACCTTCTGAGCAATCTCAAAGTGCTTGAAGTTGATGTTCCAGTCTCTGACTCTCTTCAAAAGCGACGCCATTTGCGTATCGTCAAGCTCCTTGATGGTATTCTCGAGCTTTGTGCTGCCCACTGCCAGCTCGGAATCCTCATTGGCCTCAATCAGCGCCTTGACCACGTTATAAACTCTCATCAGATGCTCAAGGGTCAACGCTAGCAAGAATGCATTGCTCCAGTCGTTGGAGCTGATGTAGTTGCTCAACAGCTGCTCCTGCTCAACCTTCTGCTTTTCCTTTTCTTGCTGCTCCAAAAGCAACTGCTCCGTGTTGTCGGTCCAGAAGTTCATGTTTCCATCCGCATCTGCACTGACCATGGTAAGTCCATCGTCCTTAACATCAAGGGCCCAAATACGGTTGCCATGGTTGTCTAACGTGGCTACACATTCGCTCTCCTTGATATCCCACACCTTAACAAGTCCATCTGCTCCAGACGTAACCAATTGCTTGTTCTTGTTCATGAAACGACATCTCTGCACAGCATTGGTGTGGCCCTCCAACGTCTTTGTACATGTGTAGTCAGTCAACAGCCAGATTTTGGCTGTCTTATCTCCTGAACTTGTAGCAATCAACTTGTCATATTGACAGAAGTTAATGTCCCAAAGTCCTCTCTTGTGGCCACGGAGAATTCCAACCGTTTCACCGGTGTCCAAGTTCCAGATCTTTGCCAATTTGTCGAAAGAAGCAGTAGCAAAGAACTCATCGTTAGGTGCAACTGCCAACGCATTTATCTCTTTATCATGTGCTCTTCTGGTATACTCACTGGACTTGACATGTTCGCCAGCATGCTTGGGCACCTTCCATCTCTTGACTGTTAAATCTGCAGATGCCGTGACGACGAATTTGGGATATTGGTCGATGTTTTTGGACAATCCACATGCGGTCACAGCACCAGCATGTCCAACAAACGTGGAATAGACTTCAAACGTCTCAGAGTCGTCATTCCATCTCCATAAACGGGCCTCGTTATCCTTTCCTCCAGTAAGAATCCACAAACCGTCTTCAGAAACATCTAAGCAGTTGAGCAAGTCAGTGTGGCCTTCGAGAAGTTGCACATCGAACTTGGAAAGAGGATTGATGATTCTCAAGGCAGGGGCGTTGGTTGCCATGGCCACAAGAGACAAATTGGGGCCAGCGTAACGAAGATCCGAAATGATGCCGTGGTTTCCCGCAATCGTACGCACAATAGGGATCTCAATACCGTTTTCATTGACGCTAGCCTCATCGATAGCCAATTCTTCGAGTGTCTGGTCGCTGAGCACCATCCAGATACTCGTCTCGGAGTCTGTCTTGAAAACGTCAATCACCATTAACTCTTCCAGCGTTTCGAGTGGCTTGGTGGAGCCTCCAAGAGGCTTTCCTGATGCAAGGTCCCAGAGTCTAAGCTGGCAGCCCAGTCCGGCCGTGTAGAACACCGGAGTGTCCTGGAAAGGAAGAAATCCACACGTTTCGACTTGATGTCTCACAGCAAATGTGTTGACTACCTTGCGGAGATTATCTGTGTGATATATCACCACCACCTCGTCTCTTCCTGCGGTCATGAAGTACTCTCCATCATCCAGAAAGGCGAGGCCCCTGACAGCACCAGTGTGCTCAGTGGCGGTGGCAATGCATTTTCTTTTGACCAAGTTCCATACCTTGCTGGTTCCCATGGTATCTCCCAGCGCTAGCATCCAGTTAGCTGAGTGAAGCTCACCGTAGAATTTGAGCGAGCAAATGGTGGTTCCATGACCCTTGAGTGAGTGCGTGACGTATCCATCTTGGGCGTCCCAGACAGTGACAACACCATCAGTGGCTCCAAATGCAAAAAGCGTCGACGTGGCGTCGGCGGTGGCAATGTATGCTGGGGCAGCCAACTTATGCTGCTTGATGATCTCTCCAGTTTCAACGTCGTATACTCGGAGCTGCTGACTCTGAGACACAACCGCCAACTTGGAACCATCGGGGGTCATTGCTAATGCAGTGACGACCTCTCCATCTCCTTCCAACTTGTGCAATGTAGAGTTTGTTGAAATGTCAGTGATCACCACATCTTCGTTGACTGGAGTAGCTATGAGAGAGCCATCCTTAGAAAAAGTAGCTGATGTTGATCCAACATAGAAAGGCTCCAACTCCTGGGAATTGTAGGCACATTTGATGGGTTCGGCCATTGTTTACTAGGAGGTAGAATTAGGAGATGCATGTATGGTGAAATTTTAGATGAGGTTGTAAACTATATGCAGGATGGTGATGGAGAAGACCATGTAGGAAGAATCTACGTCGATGTAAATTTGAAAATGGTGCAGTAGAACGGTGTATTATTTATATAATATTTTCAAGATTCACAATGCTATATATAAGGTGAATATTTGGGTAATGTAATCTTGAAAAAATGTATTATCTAAATGTTCAATCATATGACCCCTCCCTGATGTTACATTCCATCCACAATCTCAATTCCCAAACTCTTCGCTGTGTCTCTCATGTACTTCTCGATGTAGTCTTCCATACCTTCACCCTTCCCTCCGTACCGGTCACCTGTCAATATTTGGCGGAGACGGAATGTCCAGAATACCAAGTCACTGAAGAAAAGCGATACTCTCACTTGAATCAACAGAAACCAGTCCCGCAAACTTCTATGTGTCCAAGGATCATTCGAAAGCAGCTGGATCGCCGATTTGGTGAAGATGTTAATTCTGTTAACAGGGCTGCCCATGGACTGATTCAAGTTCTGGATCATCCGCATGGTCCTCAGAACAAAGAGAAGCTGGAGTGGGAAGCGGGACTCGTCACCCAAAAACGACTTAATAAGTTCATACGAGCTGCGGCTCTTGTTGATATCGGCGTCCTTGGGTGGTCTAAGCTGAACCACAGCAGTCAAAAGATCGGTAGACCCAATGCCCCATTCTTGGGAGATTTTCTCCACCGCATCGGTGTTGAAGTTGAAAAGAGATTTCCAGATCTCGCAGTACTCCATTCTAAATTTCCGAGGCAAGGCCACATAAAGTCCGTGGTCCAAGATCACCAACTGCTGCTTACCTTTGTAAAGACGGACCAAGAGATTGCCAGGATGCGGATCTGAATGAACAAACCCATACTCGAACATCTGTCTTCCAAAGACGGTAATGTATTGCTTCATGATCTTGGAGATGTCCATCTTGGAATTGATAAGCCGTTGTTTGTCTGTGAGTGAGATACCCTCGATCCATTCCGTAACTAACACCTGTCTGCCTGAGTATTTGTCATAATTATTAGGAACGTAAATATCCATGCCATTCATAGCCGGATCGTGGGCCAATAATGATGCAAGTTGTTTGGCATTGGAGTTCTCGATTCGGAAATCTGCTTCTTTCTCCAATTGGTCTGCCACGTACTTGGTAAAGAACGATAACGGCAAGTCAAACGCCTTTGAGTATACCCATGACATAAAGCGATAGACCATTAAGTCTACGCTGATCTGTTTTTCAATGTACGGATGCTGGACCTTGACTGCAACGTCAGTAGAGGTATTCTTAAGTCGAGCCTTATGAACCTGAGCGATCAGAGCCGACGCAACAGGGTTGTGCTCGATATATTCAAATACTTCTTTCTCGTAGTTTTTACCCAATTGTCGCTTGAGAATGCGGTCAATCAGCTGCCACGAGTCCTTGGGAGCAGCATCATAAAGAGTCACGAACCGGCGCTGGAATGCCACAGGAAACACCGAACCCTGATTGGCTATGGCCTGGCCTTGCTTGATATACAAGCCTCTATTAGTTTCAAGCATGCTAAACAACTTTTCGGCGGCGATTTCGTGCAAATCATCGATAGATTCGTACGAGTCGATATTACGGGTGTATTCGTAAGCTATCCACAGCAAAACATAGAGAGCACGAACAGACCGTTGAACGAGTGACTCGTAGTAGTACTCATCCACAGCATAACCTGCAGCAGCGACGGCACTTACGACAATCAACCGTTGAACATAGCTTGCTTTTGGTTTTGGAGGTGATTTGACTCCATGGGAAGCGTTTGCGAGGGTGGATGCTGATCTGAGGTTATTAAGCAGGGGATACAATCGCAAAGCTTTACCTGGAAACGCTCGAGAGCATAATCTGGAGAGCAACATGTTCTTTGGAATTAACATGGTAATCATTCGTTTGGATCTTGACTGATTTAGGTGCCGGATATGGTGGATGTGGAGGCAAGAAGTCAGAGAAAATGGATATGGAGATAAGAAAGACGAGATGGGAGAGGAGAAATGCTAAAGAGATTGGAGTTGGAAGGATAAAAATACAAGTAGATAATTTGAAAGAAAAAGGAGAATGGGATAACGAGTAGAGTGAGCTATTAGTTGTAGTGAAGTTTCGCAGCAAACTAGTTTATTGCAACAAGAGGAAGGTAACGGAAGGTATAGACAATAGAGATACTAGATTTAAAATGAGATATAATTGAAATTTGAAGGAAATGTATTGGAAGTATGGTGAACGTATATAAAGTGAACATTTTGAGCTTTTGTTTGGGGTATGGTGTCTTGAGAAGAAGTTATAGTCTATGTTAAATTGGTACAGTAAAGACAAAGAGACCCAACGATTTAATGGTGTAAGAATTCGAAATTGACTTCTTAATTCAACTGCTTAATCCACTTTTGCAATGTCTCTTACCCAATCATCACGTTTTTTACTTTCCTGTGACTTGATCCTTAAACTTTGAGTAATGAGGGTTACAATTTTTTAATTCGAAAGCAATACTCCAAGCTTCTGACCGCTTCATTCGAATTATCCTCTTCATTTCCACCGATGATCAAATCATTTTGTCTAGTCCAGATCTCACCTTTGTATTCTCACATTACTATCCACGATTATCTCCATAACTTTACATTGATACATGAAAAAAAGGCACATAAAAAAATTAGGTGGATAGAATGGAATTCTGATTAAAGCATAACCCAATTGATCACCAATTCATAGCGTAAGCTTCTCATGCCCTTTCCCATTCCATATTCATCTTCCCCATCCTATCACTGGATTTTCCTACCAATGAAGACACCATGCCGGTCGCGAAATCCTCCGGGAAATCAAAATTTATACTACCCCAATCATGTTCCAATTGGCTACGCAAACCTCTCGCCAGGCCCTTCGCTCGGCCGTCCGTTCCTACTCCACAGTCACTGCTGCTCCTAAAAAAGTTGGCGCCTTCAGAGGTGGATTGGTGGGCTTTTTGTTGGGTGTCACTGTCACGGGTGGTGCCTCCTACTACTACTTGTTGGATGAATATACCAAAGCCAACAATGCCCTTTTAGTCGACCTTTTCAGTTTGAAAGAGACCGTCGAGAACTTGGAGACCCATGTCAAGAAGTTGGAGTCGCAGAAGTAGTTTCTATGTACAAATTTTATAACTTATTGATGAACTCCTCACTGTAGTCGAGCAACTTATCGAAGTTAGCTCTGTCAAGCCCTGATGCGCCTATAAAGCGGATCTCAAGTCTCCGTCCACCTAATCGGCCACCGTCAATCACTCCAAGCTGAACAGCAACGTTGTTTTCGCCGCGGAGTGTAAGCTCTCGTCTGTAGCTGGTGTTCAAGTAGTCGTAGCGAACTTTCTGGCCATTGACGTCGAGCACAATCCATGGATGAATGGATGTGGGGTTCTTTCCGGAAAAGTCCAATGCTGACATTTGCAAGAACTCTACTACGCCGCTCTGTCTACTGAATCGAGCGTAGTTGGAGGTGGGAGCATTGAGCAAGGATTTTATATCGAGAGCCGTGTCTGACTCCACAGTATCTGCACTATCGTCATCAAGCAACCTTCCGGTGACCTGACACCCGATTCGCATGTCAGTGGCAGCACTAGGGAAGCACATGAATGCGTTGTTCTCTGCTTCCACGGTGACAATCTGTAATGTTTCGAGATCTGGAATTGATTGCGAATTGAGCTGAACCCACATCTCCACAGGTGGATATTTGATCTGGTCTTGCAAGGACCGCTGGAGTGTTTTATCGTGGAGGTTCTCCACAAATGGCGAGGGCACAAACTTGAGCTGCAAGCTGTAAACATGAGGATCTTCGTCGAATGACCCAGACTCGTGCTGGTTAATGGTGGATGCGAGAGCATGATCAAAGGCTAACGTAACATTTGTGTTAAAAATGTGGGGACAAGACTCCACGGACTCCACCGATGGCGACTCGATACCCAATCTGGAGCCCTTGACCACTTTTGCAAACAAGACGTCGCCGAGTGTCACGGTAAAGACTGGATCTTCGAGGTGCGAGTCTGCTACTCCATTCAAGTCCTTGCTGTAGGAGAAATCGGTCAATTCCTCGTAAATCTGATCTCTTTGTCTTTCAGACAATTGGATTTCCTTTGGAATGGAAACCGAAGTTGTTGAAGATCCTGAATCTGTTTGGAATTTAGGATTGATGGAGACTTCCTCGTTGTGACTCGTCACCTCCGTATTAGTCTCCATATCCTTCTCCAAATCGTCCTCCAAAAGTCCAATACTTTCTAAAAGTTCATAAGTTTCCTTGGTCATTTCTCGGCCATTAACCTTTCCAAAGTCATAACCGGTGTTCAAAGCCTTAGCCTCCATATGGCTCAAATTCTCGTCGCTAAACCTTTCAAGATCTTCCTTCAACATCTCGCTCGCAGTGGGCGATCCCTCCGTCTTCAACTTATAGTAGTGCAAGCCTCTTTCCTTCCAGCTCACAGAGTAGTCGTTCGTGTAGGGCAAAAGACTTGACGCAGCCAACACGGCAGGAGAAGGAAGATGCAATTGCTCCTTTCTGTGGAGATTGTAACCCAAGTGCCAAAGAAAGAGTCTTCTGATTCTCTTGATCTGGTTAGGATTGAGAGACGCCCATTCGTACCTGTCGTCTTCCAAATGGGTGAAGTACACCTCAGTGAACTTGCCCACGGCCTTGACGGAGAATGTACCAAACTTCTCTTCGTACAATTTGCGCAATGAGGAGAGGTCCACTTCTTCTCTGTAACAGTTATCTACACAAGAAGAAATCAAGACTTTGGCATTTTCGATCTGACTTTCAGACCCCACCAATTTCAACAGCTGCTTGTCGGAGGTGAATTTCACACTTGACAATGTGCTCTTGACATCCTTCCAGAGCTTTCCCTCCTGAGACAAGAGCAAAAATATCTCAAACTTCGACACCGGAAGAATCTCCTCCTTGAGAATCTGGTTTTCGTGCTTGCGCAACTCCTTTTTATACTTTTTGTTCTTCAAAGGAACTTTATACTTCCAGATTTTCCGGACAATGACCTCTGCAATCTGCAGCTTCGTCTTACGGGGCATGGGCATATCATGGCTACGAACGTATGCCAATAGTTGATCTTTTTTGAAAGACGTCACCAACGTATCGATCAATGTATGTGCTTTGAAAGAGCTGATGACATTCTCAGTTGGCTTGAACTGATCTATATTCTCTTCAATGGCTTCTGCAACGTTTTCCCGCGGCTTATCATAAACGTTACCTTCCACAAGTTGCAGAATCTGCTTGGGCATATTCTTTCTCCTCACAGAACGGCTCATGTTCTCCACATATCTGGAAAGTGTTTTGTCTTTGGTTTCTTCAGGTGATAGAATTAAGATTCTCTCTTTGGATTTGGATGGTTTTCGTCGGGTCTGCGTTGGCTTTTTCTCGTAGAGTTGAGCACTGACCGTCAATGCCCTTCTACCGGAACATAATAAGATCCGTGCTCCGAGAAACCTCTGTGATAGCATGTTGAAGTGGTAGATGAAGATTGAGTGTATGTAGGACGATGAGGTTTTGGAATTGATGATTCGAACAAGACTAATGTACGGAATTGAAAATTAGAAACTTAATTCGGTTTGATTGGTGTAAGAGTCAGGTAGTTCTTGAAGAGCTATAAACATTTACTTAAAAATATTATTTGGATCTTTCAAGTATGAGAAAGTTTAGTAATTTGATTAATGTCAATAGTATAAAGAGAAACAAAACTTTTTTTTGATCTTCTTCACGTGATCTATCACGTGGAATTATACTAATAAATTGTTATCGTCAACACTATTAAGAATATATGTTGATGACCATCAATCATGCGTTTTCATTATAGCTGACCCAGCAAAGTTGACAGTTTCTTGGATACGTCGTTGCAAGCTATTCCAATCCTTCCTGTACATCCTTTAATTCTATAAAGTCTCCCGTGCTCGTGCCATGAGCCTAAATACTTATCAATACTACCACAAACCTGTTCCAATTTTTTTTGCACACTGGTTATTTTCTCTCTTAGTTGTTTTTAGGTGCTCCTATCAATACTATGAGCCCTATACAGAAAACTGTCATCGTTATTGAACGGTACTGCAGATAAACACCAATGACCTCTAGTCATCAATCGTCTTTGACAATACGAAAATCCAAACATTCCAAAGGGTAGCAAGAGAATCCCGAGCCGAACGGGTATTAGTGACCTCCTTGTATTTCTTCATTTTTGTTTTCTTATTACGTTTTCCCCAATCAATAGACTTTATAACATATTAGGCAACCCTTCGCGAGGCTAAAACTGCTTCTTGATTCAGAGTTTTCAAAAATTATATTATCCACCTCAGTTGGATAACTACTAACATCGATGGCTTAAAGAAACACTCCACAATTGCAGTATTGTTTTTATGACAGATCCGAAAAGGGATATACACGTAAAGGGGAAGTTACCACGAATAAACTGTACCCTCGCGTGATTAAAATCACGTGAAAGAATCCATTTCAGGCAGTTTTATCTCTATGTCCTCGTTCGCACCTTCTTTTCGCTGACCTCTCGCTATAAACTGCTTCCCCGCGCGCCTCGCTAACAACAACCCATTCCGTTTATCGCTATCACATCCCACATTTCGCCGAGCACTGCCATCCATAGTTGTGACCATACAATATATAAAACGCATGGTCTACCCTAAATTCGTAGCATCAACTAACTATCTATTTTTTTAATTCGTGCGATGTATAGACCTGTCCTTCGCTCGGCCAAATTCGTCTCGGCTGGCTTACCTACCCCTACTAGATCGCTCTTGGCTGCTAAAATGGCTGCCACTAACCTCTCTCTGGGTTACCGAATGTTCCAAACTTCTCCCACAAAGACAAACTCAGCATCAGTCATCCATGACGTCCGCGAAGCTGCTGGAGCCACTGGAGCTGGCTCTCCACACCTTCCTAACTCGAATTCGCAACCGTTTGACTCTTCTTACTTGAAGGATTTCACAGCCAGTGAACTATTCTCTTTTATGATTATTGGCATGGCTACTTCTAACAAAACTTTGTTGAATATCTGCATCAAAATGTTTCCTTACACACCACTTTTCGTGATCAAGGCGCTCGTTTACAAGATCTATTGTGGTGGAGAGACCATCGAGCAAGTCAAGGCTACGGGCCAGAGATTGACCACTCGTGGAATTCACAACATGATGATTTCCTTGACTATTGAAGCTTGCAATGGTAATGACAACATCGATCCCGAGTACATTGTTACTGAGACTCAGAAGTCCGTCAACGAAATCTTAATTCCCCACACTCTCTCTGTCATTGAACAGGCTCAAGACATCAACTCCATTCCTGCTGGGTACGTGGCCTTGAAGCCTACTGGTTTCGTTAAAAATGCTGCTGCTGTGTTGAGACACTATAATGAGCCAGAGTATAAGGAGGACTTTGACCAGTTGGTGTCCAAGGCTGCCATTGTGTGTAGAACTATTTTTGAGGCCAACCAGAGTTTAGCCAAGCAGTACCCAGAGAGAGTGTCGCCATTTGTTGTTGGAGTAATTGACGCTGAGAAGTATGAGCTTCAAGAAGGTGTCTACGAGTTGCAGAGAAGATTGTACCAGCAGTTTAACCCTATGGGATCTCCAGTGAGCGTGGTTGGTACTTTGCAAATGTACTTGTCAGGATCTGCCGATTTGTTGGCTTTGGAAGAGAAGTTGGCCAAAGAAAACAACTATAGATTGGGCTTGAAGTTGGTGAGAGGTGCTTATCTCCACTCGGAGAAGGACCGTAATGTTATTCACAAGACTAAGGAGGACACTGACAAGAACTATAACCAAGGTATCACCTACTGTATTGAGTCAGTGTTGGCTGACGCAAGTAACACTTCTGCCGTGGGCCACTTGGTGGTTGCATCTCACAACGCTGAGTCATTGCAATTAGCCACACAAAAGACCTACAAGGGTGAATTATCTCAGGGCAACAGAAATAAATCCAACATCTGCTTGGGCCAGTTGTTGGGAATGGCCGACTCGATCACTTCTAATTTGATCAAGAATGAGAAAGTTAGCAACGTCATCAAGTATGTTCCTTGGGGTCCACCATTGGAGACCAAAGAATACTTGTTGAGAAGATTGGAGGAGAACGGAGATGCCGTTAAGAATGACAACGGTTTCCCATTGGTGAAAGCTGCTGCCTCCATGATGATGAAGAAGTTGTTCGCATGAACAACATGAATGTATGATACTTATAGACTAATGAAAAATAGAATGATTGAATTTGTAATGTGAAGTAATCCAAAGTATTGCAATGCCAATATCTAGAAATCTTTCACTTTCGCCTATAATGCGATTGTCGTACTTGGCTGCCATACATATCCACTGATAACGCATTGAACCACCCACTCCCAGTCTATAATTCCAATAGTGGTGTGCTTCAGTTTCTGGGACCGCCGTACTGTCTTTTTTGTCTGTGATGCAGTGTACTCTTTGGCGGCGTTGTCATAAACCAAAATGTTCTTAAGATTCCGATTTTGAACAACGCTTTTGATCTCCAGTACATTCAGACACTCTTTGAGGGACTGAGCTCCATAGGCATGAAAAATAAACCCACACATATCAAGAGTTCTGGCATCTTGTTTTTTGTTCAAGACCACCAAGTTATATGATGCCAACAAGTGTAAGTTGTTGCCAAGCTGGCTATTCATAGAGATTTCCTTAGCACAATTCATGCGGAAGTCGAATATCTCCAAACTCTTGACTCCGTTCGTGAAAAGAGACTGTCCAGCAGGAAGGAGATAAACTTGCCAATTGTCAAGCATGTCAGGATTGCTGATAGCTTGCTCAATAAAACTCTCGGCCAAGATTGGCCAGCCCAATGCTAATGCCTGGAGATATTTAGCACTCCGAGAATACCCATCTGCGAGAAGTGCACCAAAGTGAAAGCCGTCAAACTTCGTCAGAGAAAGCAGAAGTCTCCCATCTGCAGACCTCTCTAACATGGTGTAGTGCTTGATTTCGTCATCGATGAATACACCACCATTGGTGGTGATCACCTCAGCCAATTTGTCTTTTCTTTCACCTTCAATAGATGTGACAAAAAACACCATTCCTTGAAAAAGATTTGACCGCAATGACTTCCCATTAGCGTCCGTGAGCTTTTTGGGACTAGTTTTCACACAAAGAGGGTAATCCTGAACTTCATGAGGTGTACCAATAAGACCTTTCACCACGCCGAAGTTCTCCAGGATTAGATCGATCTGTTCATGGAAAATATGGTGCTTTTGCTGGTGACTAGCCCATTCGCCGACCTCCATGTAAACATCGGATATCGGCACCTGGACTTCCTTTCCAGCATTATGGCGACCTTTTTTTGTAACATACACAGTGTCGTAACCTCTTATGCACCGAAAATCAGCATCTGGGTACACTTCTGCCAATCCAGTGACAATATATTCACCAAAGTTTTGAATCAAATGGACGACATCGCCTACTCGCAAGTCCATGAGATATATGTCTGTGTTTTTCATTTCCACTTGAGCGAGGTCTGCAAACTCGATAAGTGACATCGTTTCTCCAGCTTCTAGTACTCTCGCTGGGTAATGTTTGAACTGTGAGAAGGCCCATACTGCCTTAGGGTTTTGGATGGCTTGAAGATCCAAAGTGTCCAGATATTCTTCTCTTAGGTCCATTTTTGAAGTGTGCGTCTTCGCCTCAACCTCTGACAGGCTTTTTTCTTGCTGACTTCTCTCCAAATGACTGATCTGTGACTGACTTTTCTGCGACTGAGTAGCCGGAATCTCATTACGTCTACGCTTGGTAGGGACAAGTATTTTGTCGTTGCTCTCATCGTAATCTTCCATATTAGTGAACGCATTGAGATCGAGGTCTTGCACATCATGACTAACATCTTCCAATTCTGAAGACGACTGGCTCCAGGCCAATTTATGAGCCGTAGGTTTCTCTTGAAATTCTTCGTTAATACTATCATGAATCTCAGGAGTGGGGGATTTCATATTGTCTCCATGACCTTCTTCGTCATTAATGTAGGTTTCCAGCTCCGACTCCATGCGTCTTCGTTTCCTTTTGTGTTGAAATACACTATCTTCGTATAGCATATTATTCTCTTCAAGGCGCATGTCTTCGTCGTTACTGACTATGCTGAGCTGCGATTGGAGCTTTTCCTCGTTCTGACCACTGGAGTAAACAGGTTTATGGCCAAGATCCACCTCAGAAATCTCATCGAAGAGGTCTTCTTGAGTGTTGAGCACTTGTGTTGTCGGTTCATCCAAGGGTCTAGCTGGGGATAGGAGAAGCGTGGTATCAGGCTCGAACTCTGAAACTTTGGTTGGTGACGATACCACCTGGGTAATCGTGTCTGGATGAAGATCTGGAAGTTGAGTAATTGGCTGGGTATGTTTCCATAAAGCCGAAGAATCCTCCAGAGAGTTCTTTGGCGTGTCAATCACAGTGGTATCTGGATTGGATGCCTTTGAGTCTCCACTGCGAGATTCTGAGGAGGGTTTCAGCATGATCTCCTTTTCCAGAGATTTCTGTATGATTTGAGTGTCTGACAGGTCCTTTTGTATAACTTGAGTGTCTGAAGGGCCGTTTTGTATACTTTGAGTGTTCGGTAAGCCTTTCTGAACTATTTGAGTGTCTGAAAGTTGTCTCTGAATGACCTGAGTATCTGACAGAGCTTTTAGTATAATTTGGGAATCGGAAGGTCTTCTCTGTATAATCTGAGTATCAGTGGGAAACCTGGGAATATGTGCTTCTGTAATCGGTATGAGTTGTGTGTCAGAGTTTCCTTGTTGGTGAATGACCAGATTATCGGTCCCGGCTTGAATGATCTGAGTATCTGCAATGTTATCAACCTCAGCTTGAGTCTCGGGTACTGGCATCTCTTCTTCAATGTTCTTTTCTTTTTGAATGGATATCTGGTTCACAATTAATGTGTCCTTCGCAATGTTCGTATTGTGCTCAATCCGAGGTTCCCTCTCAATGACTTGCGTGTCTGCATCTATTAAAGACCTTACAGACAAAGCTTTACGGCGTCTTTCCGGGATCACTTGAGTGTCTTTATAATTCAATTGCTCCTCCAGACGCCTTTGTGGGTCTCGTTCATGTTCAAAGTCTTCACGACCTTCTAGAGACGCTAGAGCTGGTCCAGACGCGGTGCTGATAGTGCCATCTGTATCCTCGTCGCCCAAGGCATGTTGTGGAATGGTTGAAAGAGACAAATCGTTCTCATCCGACGAAGAATAGCTCCGTTCTCGAAACACTGGGCTAGTACTTTGATCGATTTGAGTAGGCTCAAAAGTCCTCTCTGAAATGGGAGAAAAATTGGACGTGTCTGGTATTTCGGCGCCACTAGCATGTTTGGAACCCCATCTGGTGTCGTCTGCAAACACCAAGCTATCGTCCTGGGTCGGAGAAGCCATATGTGGAGAAAGTTAGATATGAGAAGCTACGCGAGGTTATCAGACAGTACAACATGAAGAACAATATATTAGACAATTTTACACCACTAAAAAAAACGAAAAAACGCACCTAACAAATAGATCAATTGATCAAATAACAAGGGAAACTCAAGTATCAAAGGATATATTATAGCGAGAGATTCAAGTCATAATCTCAGTAGATCTTTATACCCAAAGATCGCATTGTCACCTACTAAGTACGCATTCACGTAACTCATTAATTATAAACATGCAGATGGCCATCCCCGGCCTAATGATACCCAGGCATTTGATTATTTTGAAGCAAGCTTAGCAACGCTTGCGGGTTGTGCTGTACATGGGGGTTTTGGTTCACCAACTCTGATAAAAATTGTAATTGGTCTGCAGTCAACTCCAGTGGAAGTTGCTGGGACTGAGAGTATGCTGTAACTTGAGGCGTTGGTTGATGGAGTTCAGCAGCAGGAGTTCCCGCCAACTTCGAGAGAATGGAATCCAAGTTGCTGTTATGCTGGGGAGCTGCTGGCTGTGGAGGCAGCGACTTCTTCAATATGCTCTTTCCAACAGGCACGTAGTCCTTTTTAACAACGAACACAGCATACAAGCCTCTGGCAATGGGGCCCAAGTTGAGGTAACCCGGAGCATCGTTATCCAATGCATAAAGATAAGCATCCTTGACACACGGAGCCCGGCCTGAAAGTACTCCGACCTTCGATCTGGAGTAAAGATACTCAAACAACTTCTCGAAATCTTTGTTGTCGTCGGTAGCCTCTATCTCAACCACATACAAGTCTCTGGACGAGGTGATCTTGTCCACGTATGGGTCCGCACGCTTGCGATCCAACCGACCTTCGATGGAGTAACGTGGTTTCTCCAAAAGTTCCTTGCACACTCTGATGGCCCTATTATGAAAGCTGGCAGTGGTGACATCCTTCGGTTTTTCGTAGTTAGTACAGCCAACAAATGTAGCTCTGGCTCCAAACTGGACAAAATCAGGGAATACAATATCGCCAGACCAAAACCGGTTCGACATGGTAGGTGGAAGTTTGATTGGTGCTGGAGGTTTGGAAACTTTGGGCGATGCAGCTGGTGACTTCTTTTCCGGACTTTTGGATCCTAAAATAAAGTCAAGCTCCTCATCTGAATCGGTGCCATCGTGGGGTTCTCTCTCTCCATCGGCATCCGGTTTTTTCTCAGTATCGTCCTCTTCGTCATCATCGGCGATTTGGTACAAGTTTGGTCCTGTCAGCAGGCCAATAACGTTGTCTCGAGTAGGTGTGACCTCTCGGAACACACGGTGGTCGATATTTCTGGCAGCGATATTGACATTGACCTCGTCGTCGTTGGTTGAGGTTTCCACAATTTCTTCACCTTTATGGGTTCGTCTGATTCGCTTGCTCAGCTCATCCTCAACCGTCAACACCGAGCGACGAATCAGTTCCTGGCGGACCTTCTCTGCGTAATCCTTCAACTCGTCGTCTATCTCCTCGGGAGGAAGTACAATCAAGTCATGTACGCTTACGGCGCCGTCGACCACTCGCTGGAACACGTTGGCCTTTTTGACAAGCGCCATTACGCTCCTACTCTTGTCTATATACTTTTTATCTGTGGTACCCGACCACGCGTGTATTCCCAACTCCATCTGCGATGCCCAGTGTTGGGCCTTCTGGTCGTCCACGGTTGTGTGCTTGAGAAGCACATTTGCCAAGGCCTTGATCACGCTCTGCCGCGTCTTGTTGGCGGGCAATTTGGTTCCTGTGGAGGCAGCTGCTGTTGCCACCGTCTTTTCCTTTGAAATCTCAGCTTTCTTCGTCACCTGTGGTGGTTTCTCTGCTGGAGCAAACTTAACATTTCCAGTTTCAAGCTCGGACTTGTCTAGCGTCCCACAACGGTTGCACATGTATTGCTTTGGAATGGCCCGTTTGGTCTTATAACCCATACAGCGGGCGTGCTGCCACGTCCCACATGCATCACATTCGATCATCATTCCTCCCTCATCGTTTTCTTCGTCGTAGTTGTCCTGGGTGGTTCCGCAGGGGTCACACCGCACGTCTCCCGCCAGGCTTCTGTTGATTTGGGTAGCATTATTCTGTTTAGAGAAGTTAATGGTAGAGCTTTCTGTTACGGTGGCTTCTGGTTCAAAGTCCTCGTCTGTTCTTCTTCTTTTGACCTCGGGCTCGTCTTCATATTTATAGTATACGTCCAGGACGTCACGTCCAGAATGGGTTCCCTTATTGGCTCGTGATGAGCGGCGTGGTTCGGCACTCATAGTTGGAGTAGTAATGTTTGAATGATTTTTCGAGTGGGTTTGACTTTGAAGGGATGGCGTGCAGGTGTGTGGTGTATATAGGGCATCGGTTGAAGAAGTAGGAGCTGGACGAAATGGAGGATATTGAAGCCTAAGAGATTATTGAAGGATATGTTTAGAATTGTCAAGGTCGAAATAGGGATATTAGAAGGTCTAGATGTTTTTTTCCTTCTGGTGTGGGTTATTCAGTCTGTTATTATCAAGATAAGTGCCAGTAGGAAATGAGAGACTGATTTCAAACGAAATAAAAATGAACATTGTGTGGTTGCAAATAGGAACGTTTATTTCAAAGGAAATGACTGGATTGTTTTTTTAATGATCTTTAATGATTTTTGTCTGTTTCTGGCTCGGTGAAATATGTCAGTTCATGATTTAATCAACACTCCTCACTAAGTAAGTGCGTAGATTAAAGGAATAGTCGACCAAACGCAGTCAGGTTGAAGTTTTATTCGGAAATTTCTTGAATTCTTTTGCAATGTTGAAATGAAAATATCAATATACTGAGCTGGAATCACATCCCATCAGTCTACTATTTGAGATGCTAATTCTCACCAAGGTTACAGATAACCAATAACCATACCTTCGAACCAGACTTCAAAAGAAATCAGGTATTCTCAAACGTCTGATCTTCTTCATTCACCTCGCCTCATATTCACCTAATATCTATGAATTATTCAGCTTCTTCCGTTCTTTTCGCATGTTACAACCACCAAGGTCTTGCTCACTACACCACAACTAAGTAACAGTCAATTTCCTATAAACCCTTAATCAATGCCATGAAATCTCGGTCGTCGCCCAAGACCTCTTCAACGTCTGCCAACACATTCTCACTGAATAATCCGGACTTGGTCGGCCGGTAACCTTCTGAGACAGCATCGGCAATTGACTGACGTCTTCTCCTCTGCTTGGAAGAAATCGGAGAATCTTTCACTGCGGTTGGAAGCACAGCCTTTTGAACAGGTTTCTTGACCCGATTTTCACTCTGTGAGTTCTTTCTGGTGTTGAAGTCTGTGTTCATTTTGGAAGTGCTGAAGCCAGCCATTGGCTCTGGCACAACCACCGGATGACTGATATGGAGCTTGTTTCTGAACGCTCCAAGAGGTACATGCTTCTTGTTGTTGTTGAAGTCTCGCCAGATCCGAATATCGTTCTCGTCATCGTTGTCCAACTCACTGATGTTGAGCAACTCATCCAACTCAATAGCGGAGTCCTCTGAATCCGGCTTGATACTGAAGTTCCTCCATCCCTTACGTGGATTCTTTGTTTGGTTCAACGTGCGCGTTGAAAGTCCGTCAATGATGCCAAATGGTTTACAATCTACAGCAACCCAAGTGCCCAACACTGGTGGACGATAGTCTGCTGTTTTTGACGATAACACCTCTTTGGCAACCTTGGAACCGGCTTGGTTGTTTCCAGAAGAAGAAGGAAGAGACAAGTCCACGTCGGTGGATTCTCCTGAATCATACTCGTGATCACTTTCAACCGGTTCAAGACTGGACTCGCGAGCACCGTCCTGAGAAAATTCTTTCAGGTTGCCGTTCTTGGCGTTCAAATCCTGTTTGAAGATCTGCTCCAACATGAATTGCTCCTCAAGATCGTAAGTCTCGGGCTCAGATTCATTTTCGGAGTCTGCATCGGAACTGAAGAAATAATTCCACAAGTACGAATCGTCGTCATCTTCGCTATCCAATGGACCCTTACGCTTGTGAGATTTGGCAAGATGCTTCTTCTTCTTGGACTTCTGACTTTGGCTCTGAATGGGAGCATGGTCGTCCAGCTTCTCGGGCTTTTTATCGTAGATTGGCGTGTCAAAATCGATGAGGTCGATGTAATCATTGCCGTCATCTTCATCGAAAGTCTGTTTTGTTTCATCTTCGAGATCGCTGCCAAACTGACTGTCGTCACTCGAACTGGCATACTGGAGAACCTGCTTTTTCTGCGAGTTGGTGTCTTTGAACGAGTCCATGACTTTGGCGGTGGCAACGATATCGTCGTCCTCATCATCAAAACCATTGAACTCAAATTCGTTGACCAAGTACTTTTCTTCTTCTCGAAGAAATGGGTCCTCCGTGTCGTCCTCGTTCAACGAGTTCATGGAGCTCAACGAGCCCTGTCTGGTGCGGGGTTCCTCTGGTTTCACATCAGTGATGAACTCGTCGATGTCATTATCCGCCTGTAATGTTGCAAGCAAGTCGTTGTCGTCAAACTCGTACTCTTCTTCTGAGTTGAACTCGTCATCCTTGAACTTTGGAACGTCCATTGTGGGTTCTGTGAAATGAAAGTCAAAGTTGTAATCATGCCCATTGGCGTCGACTTCCTCTCCGAGATCTTCTTCTTCTGATTTTGGTTTGGAAGTTTCAAGTGCATCTTCGTCTTCTTCGTTGATCACCGCAGAACTATCATCGAACTCAAACTTGAAGTTAATGCCCTCAGGAAGTGCCACTTCCGACCGCCGACGGTAAGTTGAGCTCTTGCGACGCTTGGCGACTTTATCTTGCTTTTCTTGTTTGTTCTGTTCAATCGGAGCTGGTGGTTTAGGTAAGCCCTTAATTGCCCTGAGCGACTTCATAGACTTTGCTCTCCGCTCGGCCTGCAATTGCACAAAATCCACCTCGGAGTCGTCTGAGGACGAGTAGTCATTATCTACGTCTGGAGAGTCCTGTGAAGAACTCAGATCGGTGGAGCTCCGTCTACTGTAGTCCACCATGGAGTATATGGCACCGAGACCTTCGGCCTCTTCATCGTTGTCATCCACAAGATAGTCCATGACTGCGACATTGTTATCGTCATCATCTTCTTCAACTTCGTCGTCATCGTTGTCATCGTCGTCGTCAGACGATTCAGATGCCTGGGTCTTATACATCTTGGTGGATACTTTCTTTCGTGCATGTTTTGGGGGTCTAGTTGGGGGCCTCGTTTTCTTCAGTTTGGCCAGCCGAAGTGGTCCTACAGACTCACCATCAAAGAAAACGGAGCCCTTTCTGCTGGCAGCCGTCTCATCGTCTTCAGACATAGCCGTAAGAGAAGACTCAGACTCAGATCCCGTCGAATACTTTCGGGATAGCCCAGCGATCTCATCGGAGCCTTCAGAGGAGATCGAATCTGCAATGCTCAAGCGGCGGTTGCGCTTGGCCTGGAAATTGTAGTTGTGGAAAGACTTGCCTCCTTTTCCTCCATATCTGGGGGTCTTGTACAGCTTTGGATTCAGCTTTTGCGAGTAAGACGTCTTGTTAGCCGAGACTTTTCTCGGACTTTTCGCCATCTTATAGGTTTAATGGTGTATAGGGATTTTCAAATATGTGTGTGTATAGCTTGCTAGCATAGTAGTCACCAAGTGCTGGAACCTGAGTAGGTGCAAAGATGATCAAAAAGGATGAGAATCCGGCTATGAGACGAAATTGAAGTAACTAGCGGATTGTGGTTAAGAAAATTGGCCGCGGACTATGCTTGGAAATATGGAGCGGCTTTGATGATTTGATAATGCTAAGGATCCAGAGTTGTGGAGTTGGAAGATCGAGATGTGGAATTAGCGAAATAGGAAGCGATGAGATACAAATTTCATCATATCGTTTTTTTCTGCAGGACGGCTTTTCCGGATAGTGTGGCTGTAGGAAGTTGAGAATGTTGTAAATTTTGCAATTGGGAAGGAAGATTGAGGATTATGAGAATAAGAAGGTCTTGGGATCTCAGAATTTTTGAACATTTCTAGGGTTTTGGACTTTTCTGAGGTTTTTGGAGGGTAGGTTCATGGGTGGAGATATCATGGGTAATCGTTTGTAGGTAGGTACATTACTGCGAGGATAAGAAGAGCAAGAGGATATGAGAAAAATTGGGAAAGACGCAATTTTATGTAGATGTGATTTGGATTTTAGAGTTGATTTGTTGAAATGGGAAAGTTTCGACTTTCATTTATGGACGATGACAGGTTCTAGGTGGGAGTTCACCTTGATTTTGAGTGTTTTCTTAGATATGGACATACTCTAGGTAGGTTATATAAAAATGATACATCTAGTCGAAAATTCACAAATGAGACTGGTAATATGAATGATGAGATTTCTTTTTTTTTTTTCTCTTTTGTTCGTTCAAAACTTCAATATTCTATTGTAGATCCAATTTAACTGTCTAGCAACGCAATTTACTGAAGTATATGGAAATTGCGAGATTTCCCCTAACCTTCACAAAACTTCACCATGTCAATCAATAATCTAATGATTAGAGGCATTCTCGCAGACACAAAAAACGAAAAAGATAAACAAACAAAGAAAAAAATGAAAAGACCAATTTCTTTTATTATCACAAGAACATATACTTTACAGTGATTAACAGATACTGATAGCCCATGGCACAATATTAAAAGCTTAGAACATTCCTAATCATCTATCCTCAGCCTACCTGCACTCTAGAGATAGCATGCACCACTGATAAATCCCATGATGATTGTAGTAAAATGCACCAAAATGTTAAAATGGACCATTATATCAAGAAAAAAAGAATAATTTCTCAAATCTACAAATCCGTATCTGCCTATTTCTCTCATAAATCTCCCCGTTCCAATTTCTCTCTCTCTCCCAAATTCTCTCTGAAACCCGGAATTCCCTGCTTACAACACTATCGTGGCCTGCACTTACGCGACGCGAAAAAGCACCAAAATCTCATCAGATCTCTTTTCTTCAACTCATCATGTTGAATACCAGAAATATTCGAGTGGTGGTGGCAGCTTTTGTGCTCTTCACCGTGGTGGGCTACTTTGCCTTCTCGTCGAGCTCGTTTACCGAGTCCGTAAACCGTGTGAAGCCTCCTGCATCGCCAGATTTTGTTCTTGAAGAAGGAAACACCTTACAGGGTTCTTCCCACCAGGGTTCTGAGGCTCCTTACAAGGCTTCAAATAATCTTGCAGACAAGCTTGGTAGTTCTAAGCCTGGATTGGATGATGATAAGGAAACTACTGATTCGAAGGCTGATTCTAAGGCTGGATATGATGCTGATGTTGACTCTAAAGTTGGTTCTAAGGTTAATCCTGAAGATAGTCCCGATGCTGATTCCAAGGTTGACTCTAAGGTTGGAAGTACCGCAAAAACTGGCTCCAAAGGTTCCGAGTCCGAGTCCGACTCTACTCAACCTCTTAAGGAAGTCAAGACAGCAGGCGAAAAGTGTGAGAAGACAGACTACGTGGTGATGATCGATGCTGGATCCAGCGGCTCGCGTGTCCACGTCTACTCTTTCGACACATGTGTGTCGCCACCACTCTTATTGAACGAAGAATTCAAGATGTTGAATCCTGGGTTGTCGTCGTTCGATGCCGACACCGTTGGTGCAGCCAAGTCGTTGGATCCATTGTTGGAAGTTGCCCTCAAAACTGTGCCAAAGGACAAACAAGGATGTACTCCTGTCGCTGTCAAGGCAACTGCTGGCTTACGTTTGTTGGGTAAGGAAAAGAGTGACGCCATTTTGGCCGAGGTCCGTAAGCATTTGGAGACTAACTATCCATTTGCTGTGGTCAAGGGAGACGGTGTCTCCATCATGGAAGGTAAGGATGAGGGTGTTTATGCGTGGATCACCACAAACTACCTTTTGGGCAACATTGGCGTGGAAGAGAAGCTCCCCACCGCTGCTGTCTTTGACTTGGGTGGAGGTTCTACTCAGATTGTGTTCGAGCCAGAATTCCCGGATAACGAAGTTATGGCTGAGGGTGAACATAAGTACGAGTTCACGTTTGGCTCGCGCAAGTTCACCTTGTACCAATTCAGTCACTTGGGCTACGGCTTGATGGAGGGAAGAAACAAGGTCAACTCTTTAGTGGTCAATAACCACATCAAGAACAAGAAGGCAGAGTTGACCAAGTACACCACCAAGGCCGAGGCCAAGGATGCTAAGGCCACCGTGACCATAGTCAACCCATGCTTCCCTCCTGATGTGGAGGCAGAGAATGTCCAGGTCAAGATTTCGGACGATGAGATCTACGTGGTTAACTTCAAGGGTCCTTCCGATGTCACCGGACCTCAATGTAGACATCTTGCCGAGCAGGTCTTGAACAAGAAGGCCGAGTGTAAGACTCTTCCATGTTCGTTCAACGGAGCTTACCAACCATCGTTGGTCAGAGCTTTCCACAGAGACTCTGACATGTGGGTGTTTTCCTTTTTCTACGACAGAACCAACCCATTGGGATTCCCTGGCTCTTTTAAGATGGACGAATTAATGGACTTGACCAAGACCGTGTGCTCGGGCCTGAACTTGTGGGAAGATGTGTTGTTGGGCGACGGAGCTTCGCAATTGAAGAAGGAGCCAAGCTGGTGTCTTGACTTGTCGTTCATCAGTGCCATGCTCCACACAGGCTACAACATTCCATTGAGCAGAGAGTTGAAGACTGCTAAGACTATTGCTGACAATGAGTTGGGCTGGTGTCTTGGTGCTTCGTTACCATTGTTAGACGCTAAGGCAGGCAACTGGCAGTGCAGAGTCGACCAGGTCGAATAGAGGATACGTAGATTAATATACCGAGAAAGTACGAATTCTTAAAAAAGCAAACCTTTTTAAAAAAGCTAATCAACATACAAGTGTCCATGACTCCAAATTAGGAAATGGACACCCGAATTCAGATGATTAATCCTTGGTCTACTTTATGGTGGATATTCAGAACTCCGATATGACCCCGGAAGTCATCTAGGTCCTGCAGAAGGCAAGCTCGGAGTCTAACCGGACTAACAAGAATAGTCTACCCCGGCCAAATGACTCCCAGAGTCCATAAAAGAATTTTAAAAAGTACATATAAATAGAGAGTCATCCACTCAGACCGTTCCTATTTTATTATTTTTTTCAGATTGCTCCGTTTTGTCAACGTTTGCTCCCCCACCCTCACCCCCACGTCCCTCACCCCGGAAATCAAAGTGTCTAATTTTTTCCCTCAAGATAGTGGCCAATATAAACCTGGTAGCTATCTTTCTCCAAACAGGACTTTCTCTCCTTCTGTTGCTTAATACAGCCAATCATTTGACCAGTTTTTCATTATTGACCTCTTGGCCAATTAGCAAGACGCCCTCAGCTTACTTAGAGGAATCTGGTCCGTGACTCAACTAACACATGTCTCTGGTTCCCAAATCCAACTCTCAACTGCCACTATTCGGTGCAATCTCCAGGAAGTCATCTGGATCAAAACATGGAGATTCCAAACCGGCTCCTTCTCGGATGTTGAAGAAATTGAATAAGGATGACTTGAAAACCGTACGTTCACATACAGAGTTGGCCAAAACTGCCAACGGTGTGAGAATGCTAACGAAAAACCTCGCCATGGCCACAATCCAGCTCCATGTGAGAGCAATCATGATCGTCACCAAGGCTCGTGATAACTCATTGATTTATTTGACGCGAGAGATTGTCGAATGGATCTTGAACAGACCAGATGACATCACCATATACGTGGACTACAACTTGCGGAAACTGAAAAGATTTGATGTTCCAACCATTATCGAAAATCATGAAAAAGCTCAACATCTCTTGAAGTTCTGGAAAAAAGATCACGCTGCACAACATCCGGAAGACTTCGACTTGGTGGTGACGCTTGGAGGTGATGGTACCGTCCTCTATGTACTGAATCTCTTCCAGAGAGTGGTTCCGCCAGTGATGTCATTTGCACTTGGATCGCTTGGCTTTCTCACCAATTTCCGTTTCGAACAGTTCCGGAAGAGAATGACCTCCGTACTTGACACTGGAGTCAAGGCATATATGAGAATGAGATTCACATGTCGAGTCCACGACAGCCACGGGAAGCTTATTTGCGAGCAGCAGGTTCTCAATGAGTTGGTGGTGGATCGTGGACCAAGTCCATATGTTACAAACTTGGAGCTTTACGGCGATGGTTCACTTCTTACTGTTGCACAAGCAGATGGGTTGATTATCGCTACTCCTACAGGGTCTACGGCATACTCGCTTTCTGCTGGAGGTTCGTTGGTACATCCTGGAGTCAGTGCTATCAGTGTGACTCCAATTTGTCCACATACGCTCTCGTTCAGACCGATTTTGTTACCAGACGGAATGTTCTTGAAGGTGAAAGTACCATCTGTCAGTCGGGCCACCGCATGGGCATCATTTGATGGAAAGGTACGCACTGAGCTTAGAAAGGGTTACTATGTAACGGTGCAAGCCAGCCCTTTCCCATTCCCCACAGTTCGTTCGTCCAAGACTGAATACTTTGACTCTGTGAGTCGCAACTTGAACTGGAATGCTAGAGAACAGCAGAAACCTTTCAGCCACTTCTTGACCGGAACCACTAAGTCTGCATTTGAGCTGTCTCATAATGGCGATGAGCTCGAACGGAAGTTGGCCGATTTACACGTCGAGGAGGACTTCGACATTGACTACAGTGACAAGTCAGACACATCCAGTGAAGCCTGTTTAGACCACGATGATGCAGTATGTTTGGACTATGATCATGTGGGGCCATTCATTCCACTGCCAGGAAGCGGAATCAACACTCCACCGAACCATTACAGTCATATTGATAACCGGACGTGTTATGCGCATCCGAATGCTGTTATTCTGCTTCTTGGTGACTCTAGTAACTCAGACGAGACGGAGACAGATAGCCTGTCGCGGTTGGAAATGTAGGTGGGAATAATAGCCAATATTTTATGAAAAGATCCAGAGGTTTACAGGGTCTATATTGGTTTCGCCACGGCGATACCGGGAAAGAGCAAAGATTACAATCAAATCGAGAAAATTGAACATGTTAAAACTTAGTTATACATCAGCGAACGTATGTTGAACGATCAAGCCTATGGTAGAGATGTGATATAGAGTTGCAACGTAATTACTCTGGATGGATTGAGTGTGGAAATCTTCGGATACTCAGTTCAATACGTAGGAGTTGTTATAATGAAGAAACTAAGTGTTGGTGACTGCATTTGGAGTTTATTGAATATCTATGAGTTCACCAACGTTATGCCTACGTGAAATTCTCTAAATGAAAAGAAGCTGTTCAAATTTGGAATTGAGAATCATATTTGCTTGTTCGTCTCGCTGGTTCCACCCTTCCACTATTGGGGGGCACATAGCCATCATATACAAAACATCATAAACAAAAAGAGGAAAAAAAAAAATAATAATATGTACCTACCTGACTATCTAGTAATTTCAACCCTCCATCTTCTTATGCGTATCCGGATTTCCAAACTGATATCCCTCAGAAATTCCCTAATAACCGATAACAATGTCTTCTACAGGTTATTGGACACTTTCAATATCTTCTTCATCTTTTATTTTATTACCCTAATGCAAAAGACATCTCCACCTTCCATAATGTACTGCAGGTGTAATGTTTGGTGTCCTTTTATGCTCACAAATTCACGGCTTAGCGAAAATGATAAATACACACAATAGTCAAGTACCCTTCACTTGGAAACTTTGTAATAATACCAAATCCCCACCACCAATAAAAATAGGAAATAGGTTCAGTAGAATTTAACGCCGGAAATGTATTGTTCTATGCATACCCAAAAAGAGTCTAGCCGTTTGATGACCATGTAGATGTGAAGTATAATGATCCTTGTCAAGTGTAAATGCTCATGCATGATTCTAAATTAAGTGAATGTCAAAATAGACCAGTTTGCTGAGGTGGACAGGTACATTGGGTATTAATCTGGGAGAGAAAGTTTGCTTTGGATTAATCTGAGCAAGCGAGTATTTCTATTAATTTATGAATTGGATTGATGATCTCATTTGAAGATATTCCAGTGCCATCGATAATGTATAAAGCATAGTGTCTGACTACAAGTTGAAAATGATAAGGAAGATATTCTGAGATGAGTCCAATGCTCAGAATAGGAATGATGATATCCAGTATAGAAAGTACGATATCCTGTTATGCTTGACATGCTTGACATGCTTAACATGTTTCAAATACATCCCCACCTCATTCCTACAAACCATCAAACATTCTACTCTACAATCATTATCTAATCTTGTGTATTGCGCTAGACGCCTCACCCAAGCAAACTTACCACTTTGGGGCATCCTTGTGGGAAATAACATTCTCCTCGCCCTTGGCAGAAATGATGGAAATGATCACGTCCTTTCCGTCGTCAAAGTCAGACTGGATCTTCTCTCCCAAATCTCCATCGGGGACCTTGACATCGTCCTTGATATAACCGTCAGCGGTAATCAAAAACAAGAAACCGTCCTCAATGTCCAACAACTGATACTCAGCTCTGGTGACGTTTGACAACTCCATGTTGTGGGTAGATGGAGACAAGCCCTCCAATCCAACCAATTGCTCTATATTCATTCACTGAACTGATCATGAAAGGTCCAGATCCTGTCACGTGCAAATCTCCCACGCATATGCCTACCTCATGACTGCCCATGGGGTCATTACAATACATAATTTAATAGGTTGATGACAAAGTCAATAATAGGGGATTTTCTGGAAGATTCAGAGATTTCATGATATGATTGAATCTTACAAATATTTTTATTCTGATTAAAGTCTCTGATGATCAAAACTTCAATTGACTTACTAAGGTTGGTTATGCTATTGGTTATGCTACTGGTTTTAGATCACGTGATCTCTTTGAAAAAGAAAGCAAAAAAGACCAAAAAAAAAAAAAAATTCTCGAAAAGAAATCTGCAGGGCTATTTAAGAAAAAAATTCCTACACCTCTTCTTCTTAACAAAAATCCAAAGAAAGAATGACTGATTTGGCTCAGCAAATGAACAACCTTTCGGTGAACGGATCGGACTCTCAGGCCCAGACTACGAAGGCCCAGTACGTCCCTCCTCACCTCAGAAACAGACAAGGCGGAGCTTCTGGAAACAGAGACTCAGACTTTGGCGGCAACCGCAGATCAAACTTTGGCGGTAGCGGCAACAGTGGCTTTGGTGGCAGCAGCGGCTTTGGCGGCGGCAGTCGTCGTGGTGGCAGCAGCTTCGGCGGCTACAACAATAACAGAGGCTCTGGTGGCTTCGGTAACAACAGGGGCTCACGCGTGGGTGTTGGCCGTTGGGTCGACGGCAAGCACGAGCCTGCTCCTCCTAACGAGAAGATGGAGCTCGAGTTGTTCGGCACTCCCGATGACTCCTCGTTCCAATCCTCGGGTATTAACTTCGACAACTATGATGATATCCCAGTCGAGGCATCTGGTGACGATGTGCCAGATGCTATCACCTCCTTCGAGTCCCCTCCATTGGATGAGTTGTTGGTGCTGAACATCAGATTATCCAGATTCACCAAGCCTACCCCCGTTCAGAAGTACTCTGTTCCTATCGTGTCCAAGGGCAGAGACTTGATGGCCTGTGCTCAAACCGGTTCCGGTAAGACTGGTGGTTTCTTGTTCCCAGTGTTGTCCGAGTGCTTCTTGAACGGCCCAGAACCAACCCCAGACAACGCTGGCTCCTTCTCCGGCAACAAGGTCTACCCAACGGTTTTGATCATGGCCCCAACCAGAGAGTTGGTGTCGCAGATTTTTGACGAGGCCAAGAAGTATTGTTACAGATCTTGGGTGCGCCCTGCCGTCGCCTACGGTGGTGTTGATATTGGTCAGCAGATCAGAACCTTGCAGAGAGGCTGTGACCTCTTGGTGGCCGCTCCAGGTCGTTTGACCGATATGTTGGAGAGAGGCCGTGTTTCCTTATGCAACGTCAAGTACTTGGTGTTGGATGAAGCCGACAGAATGTTGGATATGGGATTCGAGCCTCAAATCAGACGTATTGTCCAAGAGTGTGACATGCCTGATGTTCAAGACAGACAGACTCTCATGTTCTCCGCCACCTTCCCAAGAAACATCCAGATGTTGGCTAGAGACTTCTTGAAAGACTACGTCTTCTTGTCAGTTGGCCGTGTTGGCTCTACTTCGGCTAACATCACACAGAAGATCTTGTTGGTCGAGGATGACGAGAAGCGCTCTGTTATCTTGGACTTGTTGAGTGCCACCGAGAACAGCTTGACCATTGTATTTACCGAGACCAAGAGAATGGCTGACTACTTGGCCGATTTCTTATATGACCAGGGCTTCCCAGCCACCGCCATTCACGGTAACAGAACTCAGTACGAGAGAGAGAAGGCTTTGGCTGCCTTCAAGAATGGTACTGCTCCAATCTTGGTTGCAACTGCAGTTGCTGCCAGAGGTTTGGATATTCCAAATGTTCAGCATGTGATCAACTACGACTTGCCAAATGACATTGATGACTATGTGCACAGAATTGGTCGTACCGGTCGTGCTGGTAACGTTGGTATTGCCACTTCCTTCTTCAACAGAAACAACAAGAACATTGTGAAGGACATGATTGCCTTGTTGACCGAAGCCAACCAGGAAATTCCAGATTTCTTGGTTAGAATGAGCAGAGAATCCTCATTCGGCCGCGGTGGAGGACGTGGTGGAGGACGTGGAGTCTTGGGAGGTGGCAGAGGTGGCGGAGCTTCCAGAGACTTCAGAAGACAAGGAGGCGGAGGCTACGGTGGCTCTTCGGCAAGTTCTTGGGGAAGCAGTGCAAGCAACAACTGGGGCTCCTCCTCAAACTACGACAAGGGTGCCAGCTCTAACAGCGGCTACTCTTCGAACTACGGTAACCAATCTCAGAACACCTCTTGGTGGTGAGTGGTTTCCTAGTCGTTGTATGTTTGTTTTTGTCTTGTTCTTATAAAATATTGCCTTTTGTTACAATAATTGGTCTTGCGGAATGCTTGACGAAAAGAGGGATGTCTTCGTCGGTAAGCATTCAAATTTGATTTTGATGATGTCTGAATCGTTTTAAGTGGAAGGAATGAGGAAAGTTGATCTACGATTATCAGCTGCATAATTATTCAGGTTCTTTCTTTTTCATGGTTGGACCCCTTCAGTTGCGGGTTCGCGGTTACGGTTTTTTTTTTGTCTTGTTTGTCTTTTGTTCACTTCATGTTCTTTTATCGTGAGGGACGAGGCCACAGAAGCCTTTAGGTCCAAAATTTGCGAGAGGACGTGTATTATTATTGTTTTTACGAAAGAAAAATGGGATAAAGAAAAGGGAAAAAGGAAAAGACTACAATCGTGGGAAACTTTCACCACATATTATTATTATAGAGGCCGCGTTGCGGTGCTTATTTATTCTTTCCGGTTGAATGGTCGTTGGTGTTTTTTTATTTGATTTGGATTTAGACATTGGGGTACTCTATAGAGATGTATTATTTTAATGAAAGCATTAATTGAAAAGTATAGGGACAGGTAGAAGGAAACAACTAATTCCTATGTATTTAAGCTGAACCCATGAGGAACAAGTAGCATCTTTACATTAATCGTCATACTAGAGACAAAGCACTCCAAATTCCTCGCGAGAGTACAAAGAATACTCTGGTCCAAAATCGAATTGTGCCTCTTGCGAATGTCCAGTCAATTCCAAAACCGTCCAACTCGTATTTAACAATAGAACTCAGGTACACACGTCGTGTTTCCCATTCGAGACCATGATCTACACCCGTACACCAAGTCGACGGTTTAAAGAGTGAATCTTCACGTATCAAAATTCACAAATATTCCACATCATTCATGATTAAAGTCATCGGTATCAAGCAGAAATGGCGTACGGTGGCGCTAGCGGTTATGCTACTATATATTATGATGACTCTTGTGCGGTCATCGTCGGTTCCTAAACATACTCCTCAGACTGAGTTAAAATCAGATAAACTAGCACTCCAGCGGGAACTCGAGAAGCATTCCAACTGGCGGGAGCTTGGTATGGATATGCATACCAGTAAGAGTCCACAGTTGCCGCTCCTCTCTACAGTAAGACAGCAACTCAGCTTCCAGTTTCCTTATGAGCCAAAGAAGGGTTTTCAAAAGAACATTTGGCAAACGTGGAAGGTGGGCACCGAAAGTGCAGACTTCCCTCAACAGTACCGACAGTTTACCAATTCGTGGACGTCTCAAAACCCCACTTATAAGCACAACGTCATTTCTGATGCCCAATGTGACGCCTTAGTCAAGGACTTGTATGGATCGATTCCTGACGTGGCTGAAGCATGGAACTCGATGCCCAAGAGCATTTTGAAGGCGGATTTCTTTAGGTACCTCATTCTTTTTGCTCGTGGAGGTGTTTATTCTGATATTGATACCTCCGGATTGAAGCCCGTGGACGATTGGATCTCTAATGAGAGTACCATTGACGACAAAACCAATCAAGCAGGGCTCGTGGTGGGCATTGAGGCTGACCCTGACAGACCCGACTGGGCAGAGTGGTATGCTCGACGGATTCAGTTCTGTCAGTGGACCATCCAGGCGAAAAAGGGCCATCCAATGTTGAGAGAGTTAATTGCCAAGATCACTGAGTTGACATTGGATAGAAAGAAGAAGGGCCAATTGAAGAAGGTTTTGGGTAAGGACGTTGGTGGCGATATCATGAATTGGACAGGGCCAGGAATCTGGACAGACATGGTGTTCGAATATATGAACAACATCATGCAGCCTGAGCAGAACTTCAAGACTAGGCAGTACGATGAGATCGTCACTTGGAAGATGTTTACGGGTCTCGAGAAGCCCATGGTAGTGGATGATGTTCTTATCTTGCCCATCACGTCGTTTTCACCGGATGTGGGGCAAATGGGAGCGCAGTCGTCGTCTCATCCTTTAGCTTACGCCAAACACATGTTTCTGGGTAGCTGGAAGCAAGGAGATCGAGCAACGGAGTAGAGTCATAGTGAGAAAGTGGAACGAATGAATGAGAGGGGATATTGGAGTGGGGAGGAAGAAGGGGAAACAGACCTAGAGATAAGCAGTGATAGTGGAGAAGTGAAGAAGAGGTAGTACAGGCGAGTGAAGTGAACGAGAAGTACTGGACAATTGCAGATTAGAGAAGTGAAACAATGAAGGAGTAACTGATATGGTGAGGTAAAATCAGGTTAGTTGGGTTACATGGAAACATTCAGTGGTGAAGTTACTGTTCGGATAGCTCGAATTAAAAGTCATTGCTGACATGAATCTGAGAGTACGAGCTGGAAGCATGTTAACCATCTTTCTTGATTTAACTACGACCACTGAGAGCATACAGATTGCTGACTTAAGGGACACAGATTCTAAAGAGTCGAGAACATTAAGGTTGCTAAGTTGCTGCGAATTCGATTACTTGCGTACATTATGTTCATTACGATAATTGGGTTTACTGCGATATTTCCGATCATTCACCACCTTTAACCATCTCCGAGGCAATTCTCACCGAGTGAGACCATTTCCTAGTTTCCCCGGAACCCCGGGTATTTGCAAAGTGCAATCAGTAAGTGTCCCTGCCCAAAAAAGCTTCTACGCAGTGGTTCCACATAACACTTGAGCCCATACACTAGCAACTGACCATTTCGCAGCAAGGCAAAGACCAACCTTTAACAATAAATATCGAGGACCGAATTTGAATCGACAGATCATCGAAACATTAATTTTCTCTCGTGTGAAGCTTGAGATTTTTCCCCAACTTTTTTCTTTTCGTTGAGCCCGTTTTATTTCAACCGACCTTTCAAATCTTCAGATCCTAATCCCAGGCCCCAGACACACATCCCCAGATCCATGCACTCCAGTAATATATAAGGATCAGGTTGCACTATTTTACTAATCAAGAAAAAATGCTTAAGGTAGCTTTGGTTGTCATTGATCTCCAGGAAGACTTTCTTCCTCCCGATGGTTCCCTTGCTGTGGCCGATGGCCGCTCCATTGTGCCTGCCATTTCCGACTTGCTTAACACTGAAAAGTATCCATGGCTGGCTGTTATCGTTACCCAAGACTGGCATCCTGCCAACCATTGTCTGTTTGCATCTCAGCACGGAGTGCAGCCATACACGGAGTTAGAGTTCGAACATCCGTTGGGTGAGAAGAACTGTGTCACAGGGGAGATCAAGAAGCAGAAACAGTTTGTGTGGCCGGATCATTGCGTCCAGGAGTCGTTCGGTGCCACGGTGGAGTCTCTGTTCCTCGAAAAATTTGAGCAGTTGAATGGGAAGCTTCCCACAGCACTCGTCAAGAAAGGATACTTACAAGACAGAGAGTACTACCTGTGTTTCACAGATTGCTGGAAGTTGCACAAGACCGAGATGGAGGAGGTCCTCCAAACCAATGGTATCACGGACGTTGTATTTGTGGGGTTGGCCTACGACTTCTGTGTGTTGAACTCGGCAGTCGACTGTCTGGACTCGGGCTTCAACACGTTTGTCATTCGGAGCTGTAGCAAGAGTGTGTATCCAGACAAGGTCGACGAAACGGAAAAATTGTATAGGGATGCTGGCGTCCATATTGTGGAGACCGTGGAGGACTTGATGAAACATTACACGTGAGAGAATCGGTGTGGAGACAGCATAATGGAATGTAAGTTTGATATGAGTGTTTTAGAGAGTGAGAGAGTTACCACGTAAGGAAGGATGTGGACAAATCTCTTTCACAAATTAAAAGATAGTAAGCTTAAGTTCCAAACATTTTCCTCAGATTATCTATAATTTGACATCCTCTATATGTCCTTGTCTATTAGACCTAATGTATACTCTTGAAACTCAATTTAAAGCTCAAGTTGTGCAAGTAGTTCTGCTCTCTTCTTCTCCACCAACCACTTCTCCACATCTGCACTAGTCGGTAGCTTTTCTTTGTTATCTTTTCTTACCACAAACGGTGCTGGAAGAATCTTTTCTCCAAGTGCAGTGTTAATTTCTGCCATGACGTTAATCTTATCATGGTCAATAGGGACATTCCAGCTAGCGGAGCCATATGGGCCATCACCTTCAGCATCGTCGAGGTCATCGTATATTCCATAATATTCCAAAGCTGGATTCCATTTCTTTGTTTCAACTCTCTCGTTCTTGCCTTCTTCTCTTCCTTTACTCATCTTCACCTCTTCGAGTTCTCGTGCTCGTCCATAATACCTTGTTCCCTTGACGTTTATACCTTGCACCTGACTTCCGTAGCTGATGTAGTCGTTACCTCCAAGATTCTTGATATGATACTCCCATGCTCTCTTTTCTCTATGGAGTTTATTGAGTGAATCATTGAGTTCTCGGATCTCAGAAGTAGGACATGTTGGATCGTTGATTTTGGTGAGTTTGACGGATATCTCCGTGACAATGGTCTGACGCCATTTCTCTGCCTGCGGTAGTGATTCCACTGACTGGACGTATTTGGGACGTTGGCTAGGATCAGATTCGAGCACTCCAGCTTCTTTGCTGACTTGAGCCTGATATCTGTTGAGTGCCGATTGGGCTTTTTCTTTATTTCGGGACATTTGCTAGGACACAAGATGTGTGCATGTGACGATTAGACTTCTTTCAGGTGCCCAGAATCATGTAATGAGCTCAATATGCTGAGGTGAGTTCAAAATATTGTGATGAGTATTAAGTAAGGCATAGTAGTATGGGTCACATCAACACTCTACATCTCCAATAATACAAAAAAAAAGTATAACTACGCGTGTATTCAATTTTTTTTCTTAACTAAACTCTCTCTTTCAATTTCACTTTAGCTTCTTTAGAGTTGCACACTTGAAGGTTGTGCTATTCTTACAAATTATTGCTCGTCATTATAATACACCATTTACTATTCTTATAAATGCATTCAGTACATCTCCATACCTCTAGTTATCCCCTACATACCACGGAACTGGTTCTTTGATGCACTTCTTCTGCCTGCAAACCGCTGCTTGGTTCTTCCATGCTTCTGTGTTGACTCTTCGTCTTCAGACTCAATCTCGTCTGATCTGAATTTGACCTTCTTCTCTTGCCTCTTTGGTTGGAACGTAAGCTCCATCTCTCCCTTGCCATGGCGACGCAATCTGGAGTTATGACGGTCCTCGTCTCTGGCCTTGGCAACCTTATTAAGTGCTTTGACCTTCTTACCAAATGTGTCGTTCTGCTTAGCTTGCGTCTCGTCCTCAGTCACTGCTCTCATCTCGTTCATGAACTTGTTGGCTTCTTCTTGCTTCTTCTTTCTCTCTCTCAACTTATCCAATCCCTTTTGGATCTTCTGTCTATGCAACTCTTCCTTCTCTTCCTCGTCGCTCTCAGACTCTGACTCGGAGTTAGATTCATTCTTGTCTCCATTCAAACGTTCCTCGTCTGACTCCTCTGCAGCAGTCAAGCCACGAGGACGCTCGGTGATTGTCACATCCTTCGTAGCACGCACAGGATTAAGTTGTCTATATTCGTGAGATTCTTCATCCACTGCAAAGTCAGGATTCTCGAACAACTCCGCGAAACGATCATCGTTAACGACATCTTCCAGCTTGTCTTGCAACTTGCTGGCCAAGTCCTGGTTGACCTTGATCTTGGATTTCGTAACAGCACCTGTGCTTCTGATTCTAGACTCTCTTTCTTGCTCAATCTTCTTTCTGATTTCTCTCTCCCTCTGGTCTTTATAAGAGTTGGGGTTAGCAATCAAGTTGACCTTATCGTACAACTCGTTGTTAATAAAATAACCATGCATGTACGAACGCATCACGTTCGAGCCGATCAAGTGTGTCAAATTCAATTTAGCAACCTCATCTCTGGTGATAAATCTGAAGTTCGAGTACACCGTATCGGTTGGCTTTTCCTCCAATTCTTCAGTGATGTTGTCCAAGAACGAGCACCATTTTGGTGCTGGACCCAAGTTAGGGATGTAGTATGCATGCATTGGAATACCTTCGTTGGCAGTGAAGAACATTCCGCTGTCCTTGACGTAAGCAATGTCATTGATATCCACACTTGGTTCCATCGAGGTGAATGGCTTGCCGTCAAATCTGTTCCAGACCTTAGCAATACGTTTGTCGGAAGTCATAATCTTATTGGCGTCAGCAGAGTTTTCATCGATCCAAAGAATCTTTTTGACTTCAAAGCCATAACCTTGGTCTTTTACAATGGATGGGGTGGAAGTTCTTAAGTCATATAGAAGCGACTTTCCGTTGGACGTACCACATGCAAAATTCAAACCATCATTTCTGAAAGTAGTAGCTGTGACTTGGAGACTCTCTCCGAGTTGGTCGGCCACAAACAACTTGGCTGCTCTTTGTCTACTTCTTGGATCCCAAAACTCGACTGTTCCATCCTCTAAACCAGCACAGAGCAAACCGTGCACGGGATTGAGCTCTACTGAGTTGACTCCCTCGGTGGTATCTAGCACGTATGGGTTGAGGAAACGACCTTGTTCCAAGTTTAATCTGTACAATTCGTTTCCAGAGGCACCAACCATCAAATCACAGTTGGTGGCATTGAAAGCCAAGCTTCTGCCAAACTTTGGAATTCTGGTTTTGTAATGGATACCTCCTTTAGTGTGGAATTCAATAGTTCTGTCATTCTGTAAATGCACCGATTTTGTCCAGTCATCAGACAAGATTTGGAAGTCCACATTCTCGCTGTCGGTATGACGGTCGAACTTGAGAGACAAGTTGGAGAAATCATAAACATGGATTTGTGGCTTGTAGGTTCCTGTTGCCATGGCAAACTGTCCATCTGGAGACACTTTGATTTTGTTGGATGCTTCACTGAACTCAAAATCTTGAATCAATTCAACTCTGTTCATATAGTCTGCATCATGCTTCAACTCCTTTCTTCTCTTTCTGGCGATCCAGTCTGGCAAGGACCGAGACACATTGGAACCAGCAACCTGGTAGACAGAAACATCACCAGCTGATGTAGATTTTAACACCATGATGGATTATTTCTCAGATATTTCAAGAGATGATCATCTCGCTAATGTAAAAAAAAAAAGTGCGACACCTACAGCTACATCTGCATACAGTGCTACTCCACCACCATCACTCTCCAGATAACATTCTCATTACTTTCCAAACTTATTGTTAGCCCTTTGTCTCGAAGATGCAACAGAACTAGCTGTTGTTGGTAGATTCCTTATATTATCTCCTTCAGAGGTATTCTTCTTAATTTGTTGGGTTGCGTAAATCAACCTGTACTCTGAACTATCCACCTCCACATTCTCCATATTGGTAGGATCCGCATTGGAGTACTTAGAGATGCCTGGCCGATCTTTCACGTCAGTTGAAAAGGTTGTCACAAACAACAGAATTCCACATTCTACCAATTCTAAGTTGCTGGTGATGTTTGTCTTCGAAAGGATGCCATCAATCAACTCCTCAAACACCTCAACTAGCCGCATGTCTGCATAACAAGCATCATTAGCAAAATTGAACAAGGTGATCCAAATAAATGGCTCCTTTTCTGCGAAGATAATGATTCTTTCAACAACAAGACCACAAAGAACAGAAATCAAAGGCGGTGTTGATGGCAAATCACCTTGCGATGCCAGTTTCTCAAATCGCAAACAGCAGGAAGTTGCAGCAACTAGCAAGCCATAGATTTGTTCTATGGCTTTCATAATTAACTTCTTGGCGATTTCAGGAGGAGCTGCAGTCTCCTTTGTAGCTGCCAATTCGTCATCGATCACATTAAGTAGGGTCTTCATCACAAGGGTGACTCCCAGCATTAAATCAGCGTAGGCATCGACAGTTTGAATCATGTCAACAGTTTCATCTTGACAAGAAAACTCGGCATTAACCAGAAAGTAGTCCGGTTTGGCAATAGGAGGAAGCGCTTTTGGAACAAAGATCTCGTTGATTGGCGCGACGATCAGCATGTCTTGGCCACTCCAAGAGAGCATGATTTGGGAGACCAAGAAACCAAACTCGCATAACACCGCAATTAGGTTCTGGGTATGGCAATGGCGATTGAAGTCGTCATACATTTCTACCTTGTTCCCGGACGATCCAGACCATTGCTCCAATTTTGCAGCCACCACATGGATGCAGGGAACAATAATGGATTTGCGATGCAACTTCAAGCTGCGGCCCTGGTTCAACATATCTACAATTAATCGGAACGGCGAAGTTGCTGCCAACTGTAAGGCATTAATCTGCTCCTTAGTGTAGGCTTTTTGCACCTCAGCAGCTTCCGATAATTGCAATAGGTGGAGCGAAACGGTTGTCCATGCCGCCCGAGCGATAAACATGCCCTGCAATAAATCCACACATCTGGCTATAACTTTGGAATCAGACTTTGTGGGTGCATCACGGAGTTGGGCGTAAATTTTGGGCATTTGAAACACCACGACCATGACCATGTCACGGTGTGGTGCACTCGTCGACAAGATATTTACTAAAGACATGTAAGGCATATGCGGCTGGGATAAGGGGTTGGGACGAGAGATGGCAGCGATCGCATTCAAGACGACTACCGCCAGACGAGCCAATTCTGTGAGTGCTTGCAACGAAGCTTCTTCACCCAGACAAACAACGAAGTCCCAGAAGGACGAATATGAATGAACATAGGCTGATGCAATGGGTGGGTTTGCAGCACCGTTGCAGTGAGTGGCATTTGCGACGTTTGGAGCATTGCAACTCACATTACCAACAGGAACAATAGTGTTTGCAACCCCATCTCCACTTGCATCAAGTTGACAGGGCCACCATTTAGGGAGGGCATAGGGCATGGAGATGTCGTTGGTAGATACAGCCGATTCAAAAATAGGGAAAAGCAGTTTTCTTGTCCACGCAGCGACTACAACTTGGCAGAAAGAGGTGGAAACTTGGGGCAGGTTAGTAAGTGAGACCAAGCAAGCGAGCGACTGCAAAAGCCCATCTGGGATGACGGAAGTGGAGGTAGAAACAATATCATGCAATAACGGGCCAAGATTGTTTGCATCGGTTACGAGAGTGGGGTTTCCAGGCGAGACGGCCAAGCGGTCAACCAAGGTTTGGAGATGGGAGTGTGCCGATGCAAGAGAGAGATCCATGGCAATCAATACGGGATGGCAAATTCTATGGTGACTTGGTTATGGGATAAATTGCTGGAAGAAGTATTGGAATTGATGGATTCTGAAACAGATGTGTTACCGGCCAGTTTTGCAGTAGGTAAGTCGAGGAAACGACGATGAGACAAGGTAGAAGACAAGATAGACAAGACAGAAGGCAATGTTATCAAGGTAGACAGGGTCAAGGGTTAAGGTAGATAAAGTTGAAGGTAAGGTAGACGGGATTGAAAGTTAGCTTTCAAAGTTAGACAAGACAGTGACTTGTTCAACTAGAACAGGAGCAGTTTGAACCGCACACAATTAATAGAGGTCGATGAGCAGTGAACGTAGTCAAAAAAAAAAAAGTTGTGAATTAAGGTGAATAGTCAGTGGCAAATTCACCGTATATCTTTCTTAAAGTAGGCGAGGAAAATTCAAGGTTTCAAAAAGAAAAAGTAGTAAGAAAACCTTACGAAATGCAAGGTGGTGTGGGCTTATTTATTTAGTGCAGGCAAATTAGGACAGTAGATACGAACCGAGAGGGCCGAGACGGATAATGATAAGTGCGAATGATTCAAGCCCCCTCGCTTGACACACAGATATAGGTCCAGCTACCTAGCAAATACAGGATACAAATATAAGCAACTTCGATGAATAAACAGAATATAGTCTTGTCATTGATTAAAATTGACGCTCAATCATCCTGTAATTGAAGTTAGAGTTTAGCCTGGCACTTAGTCCTGACAACCTGGACCTGGCAACCTGGATCTAGCAATTTGGACCTGGACCTGGGGAAGGACTCAAATAATATTATGGTGCGAAAGGTTCTACCAAACGCACTTCATAATCTTTGGTGTGCACTCAAGGTAGTGATAGTGCTGCTCCTACAGTCCGCAATATCCATTTAACCCTCTGGACTCATTCGTCATGACCTCCCTTTACCCCAATTTCCATCTCTACGTAGCGACCCAGGAGGACCAGAAGAGACCAGGAGACATGAGCGAGACATGCAACACATCAATCAAAGGTTCTGTATGTGCACTGTTAAGCAAGCAACGCACTTCAGTTGACCAGGATCTGGGCCACAATAATGGGCAGTGATCAGCGCCGATCGCTCATAGTTTGCATGATCGGCCACCTCGACCTGCCGTTTCTTGCGGCGGGCCATAATCTCCACTCTGAGTCTACAGTGCTAACCAGGGCCCTCTTGCATGGAACTCGTATACCCCCCAATTGGAAGCTAAATTAGCGGCCAATTTTGGAGGCCAGAGATTAGGTATCCTGTGTGGGTGCGGGGCCAATACACACAAGCCATGGGCCCTGGCGTGGAAGCTTTGGGCCAATATGCAAACAAACCCTAGGGCCAGGATCTTCCAGGGCAGAAGTAACGAGAGAGGCACATTATTTTTTGAGGCCGACATGTGGAGATCACAGTTTTTTTTTGAAGTATGGTCGGTGAAGTTTTTTTTTTGTTGATGGCCTGAGAACGATATTTTTAATTTTATGTTGCATTTATCCTTCGTAATTTTATGTTTTTTTTTCAGCGATTTTTGATGTCTATAATTTTACACCTAAAGCTTTAATACTTCGGACTTCTTCATCTACTGCTCTTTCTATCCTTCCCTTATTAGTTCCTCTGGCTTACAATTTTATGTTCACCTCGTCTCCCACATTCCCCGTATATAGTCTACTGCACCCGGCTGCATCACGCTTATGCACTGGCGCTTCCTAATGCATCCATCTGGGGCCACCAGGGCTCATCGTTTCCCTATATAAATGTTCACTTCCTTTGAAGTGTACTTGGTCGCATTTTGAGTGACTGGTATCTGCCATGAACTTTGATTACTCGCTTGAAGCTTCTTTCGTCTCTGCTCGCAAAAAGTCCGATGCTACACAGTCGCTGGCTTCTACAGAGAAAAAGGTTGAGTATCCCAAATTAGACTTGAACGATATCACGCGAGAGTACGAGAGATATAAACGGAAGCTCTCGGATGAGAGATTGATGGATTTACGTGAGATGCTCCAACTGTGAAATGTTCCAACTGTGAAATGTTCCAACTGTGAGAAGCTGACGTTATGTCTATGTCGCTGTATGTTTCCATGTCTCAGTCCGACTCGCACTTTATAGTGAGGGTCATAGCAGCACTCTATAATTTCTGAGCTGCCTTGATATTCACTCCCTTAACTCTGGGCCCGGAGCCCACCGAGTATGTCGATTACTGGGTTGAAGTGTTTCTGGTTTCTCTTGTTTTTCCTATTGCATTTATGTCGTCCCATTTTCTCTACTCGTTTACACTTTACTTCTAATGGTTAATAAAATATTGACGGATACACTGTAGCACTAAATAAGCTGAGAAGCCAAGTTGTTCAACTGCTTCAAAACCGCAGACTTTGCCGTTCCTCCTGTGGCAGTTCTTCTCTCCACACTAACCTCAAAGTCAAACACATCGGTAACGTCGCTGGCGAATCTGGAGTCGATCTTCTGGAACTGCTCGAAGGTCAACTGGTCAATACCTGACAACTTCAACTCCTCAGCAGTTCTTACACATTCTCCGGAAATGTGGTGGGTTTCTCTGAATGGAACTCCCTTTCTGACCAAGTAGTCTGCCAAATCAGTGGCCAACATGTCCATAGTCAAAGCACCCTCCATCTTCTCCTTTCTGATGGCCAAGGTGGAGATCACTCCCGTAGCAATCAAGATTGAGTGCTCAACAGTGGTCAAGGCATCGAAGAGTGGCTCCTTGTCCTCCTGCATGTCTTTGTTGTAAGTGGAAGGAATCGACTTCAACGACATCATGAATCCGGCCATAGAGCCGAAAACACGACCAGACTTTCCTCTCAAAAGCTCAAGAGAATCTGGGTTCTTCTTCTGTGGCATCAATGAAGATCCAGTCGAGTATGCGTCGGCTAATTGAACAAAGCCAAACTCAGCAGAAGAGTAGAGAATCAAATCCTCCGAAAATCTAGAGATGTGGTTCATGAATAACGATGACCAGAACAAAGTCTCCACCACAAAGTCACGGTCGGAAACAGCAGCCAACGAGTTACCAATGACACCGTTGAAACCCAATCCCTCGGCAAGGAATTCTCTGTCGATTCCATACGGATGACCAGCCAAAGCTCCAGCACCCAAAGGCGACTGGTTGAGTCTTTCCAAGATTTGCTTCAAACGCTTGTAGTCTTCAGTGAAGTAAGTGGCGTAAGATGACAACCAATGAGCCCATCTGATAGGCTGGGCTCTCTGCAAGTGGGTGTAGCCAGGCATCAAGACGTCAATCTCGGTCTCTGCTCTGTTCAAGATGCTCTTGATGAATCCAGCCAAGTACTCCACCAACTGCTTCAACGTCTCACGAACGTAAATTCTCATGTCGGTAGCCACCTGGTCGTTTCTGGAACGTCCAGTGTGGACTTTACCAGCGATGTGCTTGCCAATAATCTCACCCAATCTTCTCTCGTTAGCGGTGTGGATGTCCTCATCTCCGGCCTTTTCCTCAAACTTTCCGTCCTTCCACTCCTGTCTGATAACCTCCAAGCCCTCGTGGATCTTCTCCAACTCCTCGTCGGTGATCAATTTGAGCTTGTTCAAGCCTTGAGTGTACACCTTGGTACCCGTCAAGTCTGCGTCGTACATGATCTTGTCATAAGGGAGGGATGCATTGTAGAGGTCCATCAATGGGTCGGTGGCTCCGGTGAATCTGCCACCCCACAATTTGCTCTCAGTTGGCTTGGACATGATGAGAAGAAGTAGTAGTGAAATATTTAATATTGGAGGCTATAACATGTAGGACTGGGGAGGAAAATATACGATGAGGCTAAACAAAGAAATTGAGAGATTTTGGGGTTTTTGACAATTCAACATGATTTTTGTGTTTTAAATTTAGTATTGAAATAACTTTAAATTCTCTTAACTCATTAATATCAATCTATATCTTTTTAGTGATGGTTCAATGGTATCGGAATTTTACGATAAGCCAGCCAGAATTTTTCGCACTATGACTCAACTTAGATTCATGAAAAGATTAAATGGAAGTCTTCTGTGAAGTTTATACAGTATTGGTGAACTGAGGCCAGGTTAGTTTTCATTGTTCATCTAAATTCTTTTCAATATTCAATGTTATGAAAAAGGGCCGTTGGTATCTTTCTCCTCTTCACATCAAACTGATTACTCTCAAGAATCTTCTACATCGCACGCCGTTCGTCATTCTCGATTCGTCTATAAAACTATGGCTTACATCTGCCAGTGAATCTAGGGTACAAGGAGCACTCTCTGACGGTGAATCTGTCACACAACCAAGCCAAGATTCTCTCAGTACCCAAACCGTAACCTCCGTGTGGACAGGTTCCGTACTTTCTCTGGTCAACAAACCAGTAGTATGCGTCCAAGTCAAGGCCCTCTCTCTTAAGTGCAGCAACCAACTCGTCATAGTCATCAATTCTCATGGAACCACCAGTGACCTCTCCGACGTTTGGCATCAAAACATCCACGGACTCAGTAACCAATGGGTCGTCCTCGCACTTCTTCATGTAGAAAGACTTGATCTCCACCGGGAAGCGAGTCAACAAGATTGGAACGTTCAAGGTGTCAGTCATCTTACGCTCGGCAGCCTCAGCAATGTCGTCACCAAACTTAAATTTCTCACCTTCCTCGTTAGGGATGCCATGCTCGTTCAACCACTCCAAAGCCTCGCGGTAGGTCATTCTCTTGAATGGAGCAGTTGGGGCTTTGAAGTTAGGGTTCAACTTCTCAACCAATGGACCAGCAACTGGGTCTTCCAACACATATTGGATTACAGTGGTGAAAACCTTCTCCAAGTGATCCAACAAGTCGTTGAAAGTCAAGAATGCCAACTCAGCCTCTACGTGAGTGTACTCAGACAAGTGTCTTCTGGTGTGAGACTTCTCAGCACGGAAAGACTCCTGGACACAGAAAACGTCTCCCAATGCTGGCAAACAGGTCTCCAAGTACAACTGAGAGGACTGGGTCAAGTAAGCCTCCTCGCCGTAGTAATCCAACTTGAACAACGTGGAACCTCCCTCCACTTGGGTCTGGACCATACATGGAGGAGTCACCTCGACAATACCTTGCTCTTCATAGAATCTTCTCAAAGCACCCAACAAAACGGCTCTGACCTTCAACACAGAAGACAAGGTCTCACCTCTCATGGTCAAGTGACGCTGGTCCAACAACAAAGATGGGTCGGCGTTCTCCTGGACTTTGTTGGAGAAAGAATCATCTCCAGCAGGAGCCAAACCAACAACTTCGTAGTAGTCAGCCTTCAATTCAACACCACCTGGAGCAGTCTTACCTTCAGGCAATTTCTCAATGACACCCTTGATCTGGACAGTGGACTCCAATGTCAATTCTTGAGTGATTCTGGCCTTGGCCAAGTCACCAGTCAAAACAGTCTGGATGTAGCCAGTTCCGTCTCTCAATGTGAGGAAAGCAACTCCTTTCTGAGTTCTCAAACGGTGGACCCAACCCTGGACCAAAACACGAGAGCCAATGTTTTCCTGAATCGATCTCAACTTGATCTTCTTGGCTTCTGGCAACGACTTGTCCTCTTCAACCTTGATCAAGTCCAATTCTGCCAACTTCTTGGAAGCTTCTTCCTGCTTCTTCTTCTGCTCCTCTGCCTGCTTGGCCTGCTTCTCAAGCTTCTTCTTCAAGCCGTCAGCACCCTTCTTGGCCTTCTTCAATGCCGAGGCAGAAATTTCAGCATACTCCCACTCCTCTGAGTCTTCCTTTTGCTTGTACACGAACAATTTGGCATCTGGCTGCACAAACAAGGCGTAGGCTGCGGACTGGAAAGGCTGTTGCTCGGAGCCGACCACCTCGCTGGCGTCAGCTCCCGATTTTTCGTTGACATATACTTGAGCCATACTGAATTATCTAGTTAGGGCTTGATAGATGAATTTTTTTCGATAGATAGTCGCGGTCGTGTGGGCACTCATTCACTGACTGGGGCCAGGTTTTAAATGTCAATAATAAAGAAAAAATAATTATTGATTAAAAAGAGAAGTGGATATGGACGTTATATATAATGCTTTTGGCATGTTGGGAACGTTGGTAACGTCTGCAATGTAGGGCTTGACATGATGTTTTGGTGACTCATGATTGGTTACGAACCTTCATAGACGAGAGAAGAATTATGGATTGTAAGTAACTGAAGGGGTGTTGTAAGGCAAATGTAGGGGTAAATAGAAAACAAAGTATAGAAAGGCATAGGAATGAGAGAAAAGAAATTAGTATAAAGCCTTTACGGTGGTGATATGAATTTCTAGGTTAAAGTACTAGACGTTGGTGAAGTTGAGTCTTTGAATCATGTTGAGTCATCGCTAACTATGAGGCTCGAAACAGTCACAAAGTAAAAATTGGAAGAAGAGAGCGAGATTAAAGCCTTCGTTTTGAAGGAAGATTAAGTTCTCAAGAAATATATTGTTTTCCTTTTTTTGTATAATCGTTGTGTTTGCTTTTGTTTTATATTAGTGCTCCACATGTCCACCTTGAACCACTGAAATTCACTGATAATGTTACTCAAAATACTTGCAATTAATGCCATCAGCGTGAAAAATTGAAAGAAAAATGACTAACAAAAATCACAAGTAGACAGTTCAACCATCTAAACTTCCAAATAATGTCTTCGACTCTGCATACTTTCTGAACTACCTTTATCTCTCATTTCTCAGTGGCCTTTGCAAGCCCTGATTAGCACCCAATGTAAACCACATATACTCGTGAGTGCATATCCTAATTTAATTCAATAGTCTAGAATACACGCATGTCCAAGTAAGCATATATATAAAAACCTCTTACAATTTAGTTTCACTCTTCCTTTCTTCATTCCCATCCCCAATCTTCCCTCTCTGTTTCTTTCCTACTGCCGTACTGCCTATTCGCGACATCCAAAATTTTTTATCAACCAAACCTAACCCATCCCCAATGGCCCTCGAACAATCATTGGCTGCGCTCTCGTTGACCACTGTTAGTGCTGAAAATGCACTCGCCACCAAAACCTTGATCTTCAAGCCAAAAACTGCAAAGACAGCTACTCCGGTCCCCGTGGTGGTGTTTGCCTTACAGTCTACCAACACTCCATCGGGTTTGGTGGCTAAGGCCGCCGGCGTCAAGGAACCCAGATTGGCCAAGGACGACTTGATCATCGAGTTCTTTTCCACTTCTTCAAAGGAGGTTTCTGTGGCCAACTTGAGCGCCGGTTTGGCCGGTAAAGTCAAGTTGGTTGTCGATTCCAAAATCACCAACGCTACTGACGACGTTGTCTTGGAATTGGCCACTGAGCTGGCAAAGGTTGCACTTTCTGCTGCTACTATTAATGGCTATTTGGCCTCCACCGGTATCGAGTTGGTGACTGTGGACTTTGAGGCTGAGGCTTCTGCTGCGTCTGCTGCTCCAGCTCCAGCCAAGGACTCTGGAAAGAAGGAAGCATTGAAGAAGGAGAAGGATGCCGCCAAGTTGGAGGACGCCAAGTTGATCGGTATCACCGTGGACAAGACCAAGGATTTCTCGCTGTGGTACTCCCAGGTCGTGGTGAAGGGTGAGATGTTGGACTACTACGATGTGTCTGGATGTTACATCTTGAGACCTAACTCATACTTCGTCTGGGAGGAGATCCAGAACTGGTTCAACAAGAATATCAAGAAGTTGGGTGTTAAGAACTCGTACTTCCCTATGTTCGTGTCGTCCAGAGTGTTAGAGAAGGAGAAGGACCACGTTGAAGGTTTCGCTCCTGAAGTTGCCTGGGTTACTCGTGCTGGTTCCTCGGAATTGGAGGAACATATCGCCATCAGACCAACTTCTGAGACCGTCATGTACCCATACTATGCCAAGTGGATCAGATCTCACCGTGACTTGCCTTTGAGATTGAACCAATGGAACTCGGTGGTCAGATGGGAATTCAAGCACCCACAGCCATTCTTGAGAACCAGAGAGTTCTTGTGGCAAGAGGGCCATACCGCCCACTTGACCCGTGAGGGTGCTGGTGAAGAGGTGGAGCAGATATTGAACTTCTACAAGGGTATCTACGAGGAGTTGTTGGCTGTCCCTGTCATCAAGGGTAGAAAGACCGAGAACGAGAAGTTTGCTGGTGCTGACTATACCACCACCTGTGAAGGTTTCATTGCTGCTACCGGTAGAGGTATTCAGGGTGCCACCTCGCACCACTTGGGCCAAAACTTCTCCAAGATGTTCAACATCTCTGTGGAGAACCCAGATGGACCAGATCAGGAGAGAGTATTTGCTTTCCAGAACTCTTGGGGTTTGTCGACTCGTGTCATTGGTGTCATGATCATGACTCACTCTGACAACAAGGGTTTGGTGTTGCCACCAAGAGTTGCTCAGAATCAGGTTGTGGTTATCCCAGTTGGTTTAACCTCCAAGTCATCCGCTGAGCAGAGAGAGGCTGTCAATTCTGGAGCTAAGAAGGTTGAAGATGCTTTGCTCGGAGTTAATATTAGAGCTGTGGGTGACTACAGAGACAACTACACTCCAGGTTGGAAGTTTGCCGAGTGGGAGTTGAAGGGTGTGCCATTGCGTGTGGAATTCGGCCCTAAGGACTTGGCTGCTGGCCAGGTGACTGCTGTGAGACGTGATAACGGAGAGAAGTTTGTTGTTAAGTTGGACGAGGTTGAGACCAAGATCCCTGAGCTTTTGGAGCAGATTCAAGTTGGTTTGTTGGAGAAGGCCAGAAAGGATTTCGACGAGCACCGTGTTGTTGTTGAGGACTGGAAGGACTTCGTTCCAACCTTGAATGCTAAGAACGTTATTTTGGCTCCATGGTGTGGTATCCCAGAGTGTGAGGATGAGATCAAAGACGCTTCTGCCAAGAAGGATGACGGAGAAGATGAGGAGTATGATGAGAGAGCTCCATCGATGGGTGCCAAGTCCTTGTGTATTCCATACGACCAGCCTGAGTTGAAGCCAGGCCAGAAGTGTGTGAGATGTGACCACAAGGCTGTCAACTACACTATGTTTGGAAGATCTTACTAAGCTGGCGCCCCTTGATCTGACTAGACTAGTCTTGTATAAATGAATATCTATTAATTGTATTGTTGCCAGAATGGCGATTTAGACAAGGTGCTCACTTCCTTCTTTGCTACAACCGTCTTCCCCAACTCGTTTAGGTCCAAATGGTAGATGTGCTCCAACTTCAACTCGTTAATCACATAGTCCCACACTTTATGGTAATTGAGACCAACTTGAGCATATGTATGAGCATCGTCAGAGAGACAAAACTTTCCGCCAGCTACAATGATGGCATCGCTGATATCTTTACGTGGATAAGGCGAAGACCAACCTTTTCTAATAGCAGCGGAGTTAAGTTCAAAGAGGCCACCATATGATGATGCATATTCAATATTTCTAGTGATTGCCAGCCAGACATCGGGCCAATCGTTTTGAATATCAATTTCCTGGACGTTCTTGCCAGTCGAAGGATCAACCTCATCGATTTGGAAGAGACGAATTAAGTCAAAGTGGCCAATGACTTGTGGGTTGAGTGTGGTTAAAACCTCATATTGCAAGTCAAAGTAGTCTTTATAGAGTTGTCTGGTTGAGCCTGAAACATCTCGCGCGGCTATCCACTTCTCGACGTCGAAATCAATAGGGATTCCATGGACGTAATGAACAGATCCAATGCACATGTCACAAATCTCAGCTATCTTTTTGGCTGCTTGGATATGGGCAGTGTCGAGACCTTCAACCTCGAACCCGACCAAGATAGTCATTTTCTTCTGGGTGTTGACAATTGTTTTGATCTCATTTGCATGTTTGAGGTATTTGGTGAACACTTCGTCCAAGTTCTTGATAGTGTACTGCTTCTCTAGTTCTTCTGGATAGAGATAAGCATTGTCCAATCGGGGCATGTGTTCCGTGAGACATACATGGGTAAACTGCTTTTCCTGGGCAGTTTTCACCATTTGTTCCAAGGTTCCAGTAGCATGAGAGACGTAGTCTCCACTATGGGAGTGGTGGGTATGCATTGGTGGATAGTGGTAACTACTGGTGCAGGTTGATAGGTTTGATTGAGGAACGGAAAAATTTAGAGGTTATGAAGGAGAAAAAGAAGATTGGTGATGATTGTGAGTGTGAATTTTATTAATAAATATAAAATATCGTAGACTTCTCTAGCAGTTTTTAGTTAAATAAATCAGCCGCAATGATTTTTTAATTAATGTATTATAGAGTCTAGTTTTTCAAGGGCCAACTATAGTGTCTATTAATTGACAACTTCTCAATTTTTATGAATAGTGAAGGAAATATGATAACTCCACTAGCCAAAAAAATTAATCAGAGTAAGAATATAGCACTTCTCCGTATTAGCAAATTCCCCATCTATCATAATCAAGCGAATCTTTAATTAAGGCATCTCAAGTTTCCTTACATATCTTCCAAATGTCCACCTTATCTTACTGCACTGTGACTCGCACTCTCCAATCACCAAACAAATCTCTTCATCACCATCAAATGCTACGATTCGTTGGCATTTCACTCCGACAAAGAGCTCATCTCTCGTGTCTAGCACCCACAATTGGGGAAATCTTTACTCATCCTCCAAAAGTCGACTCGCAAGTCATTGCTCGTGGCCATATCAAGTCTATTCGCTCATTCAAGAACATTGGTTTCATAGATATTTCTGACGGGTCATCATTTCTGACGCTAAACGTGGTTTTCCTGGATCCAGACCACGTGTTTGAACAGAGCAAATTCAAGGTCGGCCAGAGTGTCGTTGTGAAGGGAAAATGGATCGAGTCTCAGGGTAAACAAAACTACGAGCTCCAATATGACAGAAATGATCCCTCTCACGAAATTCTGGTACTTGGAGACGTTCCCGATAACTACGCTATTCAGAAGAAACACCAAACACTTCAGTATTTGCGTGGAGTACCTACTCTCCGCCATAGAACTGGTACATTGGCCTCGGTGATGAGATTCAGATCCAACGTGGAACTGGCCATTATGAAATACTTTTCCACCAACGACTTTGTCAAAGTTTCTCCACCGATGGTGACATCTTCTGACTGTGAAGGTGCTGGCGAGATGTTTGTTGTAACACCTTTGAACAACAACTCTAAGGAGGTAAATGAAAAGTTCTTTGGAAAGGATGCATACTTGACAGTGTCCACACAACTCCATTTGGAAGTGCTAGCACTTTCGCTCAATCGAGTATGGTCTTTGAGTCCATGTTTTCGGGCGGAAGACTCGAACACCAATAGGCATTTAAGTGAGTTCTGGATGTTGGAAGCCGAAATGTGCTACATTGAGAAGGTGCATCAATTGACCGATTTCGTTGAGAACATGATTCGTCTGGTGGTTCAGCATATACAAGACGATACGTCACAATACAAACTCGGAGGAGTGGAAGATTTGCACAAGTCACGCTACTCAAAAGAAGAAGTGGACAAAATGACCACCAGATGGAACACCATCCTTTCAGAAAAGCCATGGCCATCCATCACCTACACTGAAGCCATTGATTTGATTAATAAAATCAAAAATAAGGGCCGCCTGAAAGGTAGAGTGGCGTGGGGAGATTCAATTCTGACAGAACACGAGAAGTGGTTGGCAGGTAGTCATTTCCAATCGCCAGTGTTCATCACAGATTATCCCGCCGATCAGAAACCATTTTACATGCCACCTTCAGATGCAAGTGTTTTTGATCCAGAAAGGCCTACTGTCGCTTGTTTCGATTTGGTTGTTCCAGATATTGGTGAGTTGATTGGAGGCTCAGTGAGAGAGCATAGGTACGAGCCACTAGTGGCAGAAATTGAAAAGCGAGGAATGGTGGCGGAGACTTTGGACTGGTACCTCTCGACTAGAACTAACGGAAGTGTTCCACATGGAGGATTTGGCATGGGTTTCGAAAGATTGATTGCCTATCTCGCAGCCATGGAGAACATCAAGGATGTGACAGCTTTTCCTCGAGCACCACAGGTTTGCGCCTGTTAATGTAAATAGAAATTTATAAATGTAAACAAAGAAAAATATAGACTCGACAAAAAATAGAAAATTATGACATTCTACTGCTTCTACATCTTTTGCAACCGTATACCCCAGAATGTCGTGCATGCACCACCTGAAAAGTTTTTAAGTGAGAGCAAGGTAAGAACAGATTGCCATCCACAACCTTATCGAAAAACTAACAAAATGGACCAGTTAAACGTCAAAGAACAGCAGGAGTTCCAGCAGATTGTCGAGCAGAAGCAGATGAAGGACTTCATGAGATTGTACTCAAACTTGGTCTCTAGATGTTTCGATGACTGTGTCAACGATTTCACCTCGGCCAACTTGACCAACAAGGAGACTTCTTGTATTGCCAAGTGTTCTGAGAAGTTCTTGAAGCACAGTGAGAGGGTAGGCCAGAGATTCCAGGAGCAAAAGTATGTATAACCAGAGAAAAATGTGATCGTTCTTTATACTAACCAATCAGCGCTATGTTGATGCAAAACATGCAGAGAAAGTAAATAACCAATGGGCCAACAGGCTTTACACGGATGGGCATTTTGCCGTCTGCTTAGGGAAAATGGTTTTTTGTACATATTGGGCACTTGTTGCAATACATGATCCTATGAGCAAGTTGTAGCAATTTGGAAGAGAAGATGTTCGTAAACATAATATGGAGATATAGTCAATTTGGTAATAAAAAAAAAGTAGACTTATCGGTTTTTTTTTACCATTTGTAGATCAAAGCTCACTGGCTAGTTATCGATTATCAAGGTTGTGATACTCTTTGCAAATCTCCACCAGTCATTCGTGCAGGTTGTTGAAACTCAACTATCAAGCCAACATGAGCTCCAACTCAGCGGCAGAGATGTACCATATCCTAGTGGCGCACGTGCTCAACGACAGCATTGACGTTAGTTCGCTCACCGAACACCATGTGGTTGAGCTTGAACTTGGCCAATTTTTGGACAAAATCAACCACCTAGCCAGAGAATACAGAAAAACCTTCCAGTACCCTAATGACAACGCGGACGTAGATAGCGATTTCGTCAAGAAGTTGGTACAATTCAGCGAATTTAGCCGATTTGTCTCGTTTGACGATGAGAAACTTAAGGTGGAGTTGACTCCCCTGAAGTTTCAGGCTCTACTTACTGGAATCTTGGTGGATTCCTCCATTCGCTACAGCAAGATGTTAGCGAGAGAGGTGAATGACCTCACAGAGAAGTATCACGAACTCAAACCACCTGTGCTGGCTATTGATGTTTCACCGGTTGGAACAGCATCTATTAGCAACGAGAAGCCACTAAGGAAGGAAATCGAGTCATCTGCGAAGGTTTCCCTCGACTCTGCAGAAATTATGGATATAATCCACGAACCAATAGCAAAGAACGAGGAGGAGGAGCAGAAGAAGCTAGGGGCCACACAAGAGGCGGAGAATACTGGATTATCCGAAAAAGATGATGAACATCAAAATGAAGAAGTTGACTCTGAAGAAGCGCAAGAGGCAGCAACAACGGAGGCTCAGGATGATGCCAAAGATGAAGTGACTGGAAATTACCTGGAATCTGATGGTAAGAAGAATGCAGTTGAGGTAATAGATAAGGAGGTGCTGAAAGAAGAAAGGGGTGAAGATGAAGAACAAGATGAAGAGGATGAGAAGGGTTTAGGAGACGAAAAGAGTGTACAAGATGAGAAGAATGTCCAAGATGTAGAGATGGAGGACGCTGAGGAATTGGAAGCTGAAAGCAATAAGACAAGAATGTCTGTATCAGAAGAAGCAAGCCCGGCAATTGAGGATGTGCAGCTGGATGTTAAGAAAGACGATGCTGAGGCAGCGGAGTCTGTAAACATCCGGGAGAAAGAAACTACGGTTCTTGAGGGAGAACAGGGTTCTGAAGTCGAAGACGAAACCAATGAGGACGTAGAGCCTCACGAAAACGAACTACCAGAAGTGGAACAACGACCCAATGAGGTTACACCAGCAAAAGAAGACAATGAAACCAAGGTAGATAAAACCAAGGCGAATACAGCCAAGGCAGACAGTATGAAGTTGGAAGATTCAACAAAATCAGCACCATCTGAATTCCTCAATGATAGGCCTTCCAAACGGTCACTCTCACCACTGGTGACATCTCAGAAACACAAAAGATTTCAGAATATCGCCATTAATTTGGTCAAGACAATCGAGGAACATCGCTTTCTGTCTCCGTTCTTGCTTCCTGTGGTAGCCGACCAATACGAGGAGGTTGTTTACGATCCAAAGGACTTGAAGAGCATACTCAAAGCTATTAAACAAAAGGATGAACCTGCTGCTTATGAAACTGTCAAGGAATTGGAAAGAGACATAATGTTAATGTTTGCCAATTGTGTGATGTATAACAAGTCTAACGCTCATTTGGTAGATATGGCTAAGCAGATGAGAGATGATGTCCGAAATACTTTCAAGATGTTTGAGGATGCGGAATCGGAGATTGCATGACTGGAGGGTTCAAGTGTTGCAAAAGTTGCAGTTGTATATAAGATCTGTATATTAATGTCATGAGTATAGAAGACATATCGGTGTAATGAGTTCGAGCCTTTTTCTGGGATATGCTTTTTAGATTTTTCGGAAAAGTAATCGCAGCCCGGTAGCTGAAGAAACACCATAGTCTTTGCAAGAAAATAGAAGGAAGGTTCATACGGGTAGGTAACGTTCGAATAATACAATTTTTTGTGGTCCTTAGGTTGACAATGCAACAGCAATTTCTCAGTGGTTCCTTCGTACTTAAAGGTGGGAGCAATAGATGTTATATTTGAATGAAGTAAAACAGTGGTTTCATGAACTCATCTACAAAAATGGAGTCTAATATAAAACAATAGTATTGCAACGAATATGAAGTCAAAGAAAGTGGTATTAACGGACGTGATGTAGTGAGCGAATGAAATGACCAAATTTGAAGAAAGTTGAAAAAGTCCAATTTATGAAAGCGGAAGTGAAGAAGGGACTTAGAGCATAATCAAGGTCAACATAGTTGCAAGCAAAACTGAAGTTGAGATCTTGACAGCAGTAGCCAGTCCAGTAGCAATAACGGAAGGAGAAGATTCTGATCCAGAGCCAGAGCCAGAGACAGAGCCAGATCCAGAGCCAGAGCCAGATCCAGAGCCCGAGCCAGATCCAGATCCAGAGCCAGAGCCAGAGCCAGAGCCAGATCCAGAGCCCGAGCCAGATCCAGAGCCAGAGCCAGAGCCAGAGCCATTGCCAGAGCCAGAACCAGATCCAGAGCCCGAGCCAGAGCCAGAGCCAGAACCAGAGCCAGAACCAGATCCAGATCCAGAACCGGAACCATTGCCTGAGCCAGATCCAGAACCATTGCCAGAGCCAGAGCCAGAACCAGAGCCAGAACCAGAGCCAGAACCATTAGTACTAGTTGATGTTGAGCTGGTTGTAGTTGGTTGGCCTCCGGTGTTGGTGTTAGTGCTACCTCCAGTGTTGGTATTGGTGCTGCCTCCGGTGTTGGTGTTAGTGTTGCCTCCAGTGTTGGTGTTGGTGTTGCCTCCGGTGTTGGTGTTGGTGTTGCCTCCGGTGTTGGTGTTGGTGTTGCCTCCGGTGTTGGTGTTAGTGCTGCCTCCAGTGTTGGTGTTAGTGCTGCCTCCGGTGTTGGTGTTGGTGCTGCCTCCGGTGTTGGTGTTGGTGCTGCCTCCAGTGTTGGTGTTGGTGCTGCCTCCGGTGTTGGTGTTGGTGTTGCCTCCGGTGTTGGTGTTAGTGCTGCCTCCAGTGTTGGTGTTAGTGCTGCCTCCGGTGTTGGTGTTGGTGCTGCCTCCAGTGTTGGTGTTGGTGCTGCCTCCGGTGTTGGTGTTGGTGTTGCCTCCGGTGTTGGTGTTAGTGCTGCCTCCAGTGTTGGTGTTAGTGCTGCCTCCGGTGTTGGTGTTGGTGCTGCCTCCAGTGTTGGTGTTGGTGCTGCCTCCGGTGTTGGTGTTGGTGTTACCACCGGTGTAGGTACTATTGTTCCATCCAGTGTAAGTGTCCGAGCTGCTTCCAGTCGTAATATAACTACCCGTTGTGGTCAGGCTCGTATCACTGCCTCCGGTTTGAGAGCTACCCCCAGTCAGAACGCTACCAGATCCAGTATTGGACTCACTGCTACTAGCTTCTGATGTGTTACCAGATTCTGAAGCACTGCTAGTTCCTGAAGCACTGGAAGTGGCCAGAGTGTTGGTAGACTCAGAAGTGTTGCTCGACTCAGAAGTGTTGGACGACTCAGAGGTGTTGCTAGAAGTGTTGGTAGACTCAGAGGTGTTAGACGACTCAGCAGTGTTGCTGGATTCAGAGGTGTTGGACGACTCAGAAGTGTTGGACGACTCAGAAGTGTTGGACGACTCAGAAGTGTTGGACGACTCAGAAGTGTTGGACGACTCAGAAGTGTTAGACGACTCAGCAGTATTGCTGGATTCAGAGGTGTTGGACGACTCAGAAGTGTTAGACGACTCAGCAGTGTTGCTGGATTCAGAGGTGTTGGACGACTCAGAAGTGTTGGACGACTCAGAAGTGTTGGACGACTCAGAAGTGTTGGACGACTCAGAAGTGTTGGACGACTCAGAAGTGTTAGACGACTCAGCAGTATTGCTGGATTCAGAGGTGTTGGACGACTCAGAGGTGTTGGACGACTCAGAAGTGTTAGACGACTCAGCAGTGTTGCTGGATTCAGAGGTGTTGGACGACTCAGAAGTGTTGGACGACTCAGAAGTGTTGGACGACTCAGAAGTGTTGGACGACTCAGAAGTGTTGGACGACTCAGAAGTGTTAGACGACTCAGCAGTATTGCTGGATTCAGAGGTGTTGGACGACTCAGAAGTGTTGGACGACTCAGAAGTGTTAGACGACTCAGCAGTATTGCTGGATTCAGAGGTGTTGGACGACTCAGAAGTGTTGGACGACTCAGAAGTGTTAGACGACTCAGAAGTGTTGGACGACTCAGAAGTGTTAGACGACTCAGCAGTGTTGCTGGATTCAGAGGTGTTGGACGACTCAGAAGTGCTGCTAGATTCAGAAGTGCTGCTAGATTCAGAAGTGCTGCTAGATTCAGAAGTGCTGCTAGATTCAGAAGTGCTGCTAGACTCAGAAGTGCTGCTAGACTCAGAAGTGCTGCTAGACTCAGAAGTGCTGCTAGACTCAGAAGTGCTGCTAGACTCAGAAGTGCTGCTCGAGGCGCTGCTTGATGTCGATGTCGGTGGAACAGGGAAGTCCTCACACAAGCAGACGCTTGGAATGGAATTAGTATCTGGTGGTGATTGGGTAGTCCATATCTGTGTTGAAAGTCCGAGAATACCGTTGTACCTGAAATTGCTTGGATTGTAGCCAGGTCCAATGTCAAATCTCACTTGCAACAATGGAGTAAGACTCAAAGTTAAGATACCGGTGTTTGGGTTGTAACCGGTTCCAATGAACACCAAGTTGATACTAATCTTGTTACCATTGCCGAAACCATACACCTTAATGACTGGAATACCAGTAAGTGAAAGAGATAATCCTAAAACATTCAAGGTTGAAGAGGCAGTTTCAAGATAAACTGATTGTGCTTCATCGAAATTAAACACGAGATCCCCAACATTAAGGGCCAACTGCACAGTTCCACGATTACGAGCAACAAAGCATCCTCCACCTACAACACTGGTTGTTTGGAGGTAATATGTGTTTTCCAAGCAGATTGTTCCCTCGTTAGTAATGGTAAGAAGTCCGTCATTAATGGCAGAAGTAAGTGCAACCAAGGATGGATTACCAGCAGCTTGCTTAAAATACATCAAACCTGTGTTTTCCCAACCAAGAACTGATGTAACGGTGAATGGTGTAGCTGGAGACAATAATCCAAAAGCAGAACCGAAAAACATTGATCCAGAGTTGACGAATTCTCCAATACTAGCGAAGTCAAATGTTGAAGCAACATTTGCGCCCAAAGCATCGAAGGCAATCAATCCCGTATTATGGATGGTTCCACTTACGGCCGCGACAGCAGAAGCAAGACCGTTGGTGCTGGTGACATAAAACGAACCTTCGATATCAAGGTTTCCTCCAATAACTGTTGCCAAATTATTAACGATAGAAAAGTAGACGTTGGGATGAACATGAAGCGCTCCAATTTGGACAGCGAGTGGACCATACTCTATGGTATCACTGGTGATTTCCAATCCGAAGACAGAGGTTGTCAGGAGTAATCCTACGGCCAACTTTGCTACGGAAAGCTTCATCTGTGGCAATTGATAATTGGGACAGTAAAAGTGAAGTGAAATAATTTCGGGTATTTATACTCCAGTCGAAACTGTGAATCCGGCTGCCATGGTTGTTCATTCACCTTTCTAAGAATTGCAATAGTTGAACAACTCTCTCATGCAGCCATTTCAGGCTAAGCATGTCCAGTACAGGAGTAGCTAACCGTAGTGCAGTACATTACATTGCATAATTCTAGACGGCTCACAGATAACTTCCACCCTTGGTCAGAGTTGTTGCAATGTGATCATATAGAGGTAAGTGTAATGTTTTTGAGACAATCCCTGAAGAAGTAAAAAGACCTGTTCACCCGTACGTATGCCATGATGGTAACGATCAAGGCCGTCTGAACAAAACTCTGACTCGAAGATGAACATACTGAACATTAGTTGAACGCATTAGTTATTTTTTGATGTTTTGGTTATGAAGTTGAGGATAATATGCATGTATAACTGATTTTCCTTTTGCCCGCATTCTCAAAAATTCCTGGAAGTCCACAAGTTGCAAATTTTGGATATAAGAAAGTAGTAGATTCATTGGTCCACGGCTTCTGGGTGATTTTGCACTCAATCATTCCTTTCACATTTTGAAGCTGAGTCTTCGTTCGATTTACAAGATCTGCCCCGTGCAGATTAATCTTGGTCTATAGTTGCTTATATGCAGAGAGAATAAAATGCCTAAAAAAGATGATGAAGGTTAGTTCCTACACAGTCCACAAGCATCAAAGGGCATGCCAAGTTCGGGTCCTATGTGCGGTAAGAACTGAGAGAAGAGAAAATACGTTATATACCTTAGCAAGGAATAATATTTTCTTCCTTCAGCACATTCAGAGAAATTCTTCTCTTAGAAATAAAATACAATTGATTATTGAGAACGAAACAACTCAATATGTTATTCCTTGGCCACAACCAATGTGTAAGAGACTTCAAAACCACTGGAAAGCGTAACATTTTGAGATAGAAGTGTAGCTCACCAGCACATGCAAGTCATCCTATCCAGTCAATTATGGAGGTACAGACTGCCTACCATCTAGAATTATTTTTGAAAGTTTGGTTCAGAATAATGTTGCAGCAAAAACTTTCTGCATCCTAGCACTAAGTATATCTCCTGAATTATCGCCGTTCACAAACGGGGGATATTGTAGCAGTAAACACTTCACGTGTTAATATTCTCATCTCATTACTTTTTAATTTCAAATTTTCTATCTCAATTGATTCCCCTCCGGTGTTTACCTACTGTTGTCCCGGCTTCACATAAAGATACAAAAGGGTTCACGATTCTTTGCTTTATTAAAAAGCTCGAGCATCTTTCCTAAATTTGGAAATTTCTTTACTAATGTTTCTAGAATACATTGCACCGTGCCCCAAGCTCACGATTTGCCCGGAATGTGATCACTAACCTCACAGAAATCTCGCGAAATTGACACCGTGAAACAAGGAAGTTCGTAAATAAAGCTTTTCATGCACAAAGTAACAAAACCTTCTGACGCTAATGCTACTGCATCAAGCATGTTCACCGCGATTTTACACATGGAGTAACATTTTGTCCAACTTGGGTAATTCTCTTCATGAGCGTTGAATCGTGTCTGACAGCTCCCCTCTACCAAGCAGTTTGCGAGGGCAAGTATAACCATGTGAATATCGAAAAAATGTAATATTGTCAGCTCTCAGGATTGTTGGATCCACTCGTCCCCCGTATCCCATGTGGTCCTATTTGTAACTGTACCTGTTTTCAATACAGTTACACTTTGCCTTTGGCTTTATAGTATTAGAGGGTGTGATTATAATAAAGATATTTGATGGTGTTAGAAACCTTGAAAAATTACACTGGTTACATAGAATCAATCGTTGAAAGCTCCCTCCATTAAAATGACTCCCCTTGTCTTCCAACTGTTCAGTTTTCCCTCTCATTTGGTGAGATATTGGCCGCAATAACCACTTAACTTACTACTCGGAAAGATTCGTATTAGACTCCACACCAACCTTCACGTATTTGTCCTTCATGATAGCTTCTTTTCATTATCCCCAGCGAATTATTTTCTATACTCCTTGGTATTCGGCAGATGAATATGCCTCGTGTTGGGCGACCCTGATTTTAGCCGGCTAATCGAGTTTCGTTCCTTCCAATAGCAAGCGTCTTAACTACCTTACTCTATTGTTTCACGTATATGGCTTTGAAAATATTCTACAGTTAGTTGGCTTGTATTCACTACTTGCAGGATATTTGCAGACGTATTTAAATTGCGTCAATGTGTCAATCTCCCAAGTAGTCTGCATTTCAATATTTTTTAGTCGTTTATTTGGGCTGCGTGATGTTTATTTTATGAAGTAATCTTGGCTTTCCTCTTGGTTTAGCCACTCGTGCATCTCGGAAGCATGGTTTGTGAAAGCGTTTCCGCGGGTTACTTGAATGGATGGAACTATATGAAATGATGCTTAACCCCAAACTTGAAATACGAGAAAAGCATAACAGCTGAATATCCATCAATTCCTTTTGAATACATTTTTTTAGTCGAGAATTTTTAATCCATCCAATTGAAGTGGAAATGATATCCACTGAATTGTGAAAACCAGCTCTTCGTTCTCTGCGACGAAAGTAATTTATCTTAGGGAGAGATTCGATGCATATGGAGATAGAAGAGAACTCTTATACTAAGCTCGACCCTTGAGCTTTGTGGTCCAAAAATTAAATAAGTGGTAGTAGTGCGTGTATATATTTGAAATGTCTGGACCACGTATGGAAAGTGTGGATACATAAAGCAAGTCATTTAATGTTGTATATTATTCTTTGCAAAGCCATACAATAACTACAAGCTTTTATTTACATTGAAGAGGGCTGCTAGCTTCAAGTTCAGAAGTTTATGGCAACTCAGTGCGCAAATCTGAAGTTGCAGAGGATAACGTCGCTCGTAATTTACGAGCACCTGCATAAGCTATTTGGAAATTTAAAACCAACAACATTGTCGACCATGGAAGGTGATTTGTTAAAAGTTGAGTAGCTTTAAATATCTCTCAAAATATCAGCTTCAATACGTAGAATTTTGGTATAATGGGGTTCATGTGGGGATTTATAAACTCCAAGAGGGCACTAAAAACGAAACATACTTTCATGCAAAGTATAATTTTTTTTTATTGGATAAAAGATAAGTAGGAAGTTACTGCCATCCGACAGAAATACTCTACCTTAAAAGCAGTCGTCACTCAAGTATCATATTTTTTTTTGAAGTGATTGAATTTTGTATTCATTACATTATAGTTACTTCTTACTGGTGGATGCCGCGATTTCCGGGTTCTTCCAACTTTAACTGGCCAGTTCCCTTTTCATTTGATCATTCATCAATATTATAATTCTTTGATCCTTTCATGTTCAAAAATCCATTTCCAACTTATGGGCTCGTTGAACTTTCTGCATTTTCAATATCATCCTTCATTGTTGCCAAGGGTCATATTTAAGTTTCCAGTCGGGCCACAGGTCAAGTGCTTTGAAGACAGGGATTTTGATGGTTTGAATAACTTCCATTTCCAAGATTCACAGTTAAAATTATGCGAGTGTCATGCAACAAACTTTCCCGGGGGACCCAGCACTAGCATATAGGTTCTCTCAATAAATTCCCATATGCTAAGCGAGAACTTTATGAATTAAACAAAACTGCTGCGGGCTACGGACAACGACAGCCTCTTTCTTGCTTACAGAATTGCCGTCAGGTTGACCCCAAGTCATTTTCCATTTCAGGACTTCACTTTTGGTCAGCCTTCAATTCATCTCCAAAGGAATACTGTGCTGCTATACTAGGTGAACTTTGGATCCATACAATTTACAAAAGTATCATTAACTCAGGGGTTTAAGCAAGATATGCTCCAGAGTATATTGGAGTTGTTATTTTGCCGACTACTTCATCAGTTTGGTACTCAGCCATCCGTCTATTTTAAGGCTCACTGATTCTCCTGTTGCGGAGACCCAGACATTACCTGATTACCATTAGATTACATAATATACATATTTGAGTCTTGAAGCTGCTCTCAAGGATAAGAGAAATATCATAGATATATCTGCTCCTCTCAGACAACTAGCTTCTCAGTCTTTGTTCAGATATTTGATATTTTCCCCGAAGGAGGAAACGAGGTGTTCAATTTATCGGAGAAAGCCAAAATGGTCCTGACCTATTTTCCTAGGTCCATTCTTTGAAAAGTCGGCTGTTTATCCTATAGATACGGCGTTTGTGAATAGATGCTGGTTGTGTTACCTTCAGATGATGGCAAAGAATTAATTTTGATACTGTGGTGTTACATCGTTTATTGAACAAAAGATATTCAATAAGAAATCGATGAATGTAATACTGTGAAAGTGGGATTTAGTCAGAAACGTGTATTGAACAAACGCTGATTAATAAATCGACGGAAAACTGGTGATTTTAGTAGTAATTGAAAACAATAGGATCCAGCGCGAATGCTCTATCGGACGGTTAGACGATAAGACAGTTAGACGGTAACAGTGACACCACAGAAAGTCGTGGTGTAGAGTTCTAGATTGGTCATCTTACTTAGTTGTAAGTAGGACCAAGGATTCAGCAGTAGAATATGGTATATCCTTTCTTCAGGCAGACTACATTACAGAGAAATTAGCTTATAGTAGTGAATGCAGAGACTGTGAGGCAGAATGATCGACATTAAGGATATCTGGGTAGTTGAGTCACCGTACATAACAGTGACTACGACCTAGCTTTCCGCAATATAAAATCTTTACTAATTTGTTTCTTTACATAGATGACACAGCAATTAATATTATTAAATGTTTATCAGAAGCATTTTTAACACCTTTAAAGAATTCTTAACCATTTCAACCCGGCAAGGAAGATTTTCAGAAACAAAACGAAAGCGATCACAGTAAACTTTAATTTTCACTAATCAAACCTACTCTTAATAATTTGACGTGGTTTGAAGGATTTAAATGAAAGAGCATACATCATCAGTTTAGTTACCTTTCAAAATCAGGAGTTTATTTGGTTGTGTCTCCTGTGTCCTCTCCTTAGCTCGCCTCTTTAAGAAGGTAGAAATGGCGATTCCTACGTAGAAGAACTTATACTTACAACCCTTTGACTGAAAGAGAACTTGAAAATTCTCGCCTACTTTATGCTTAGAATAGTTCAATAACACACGCCTTTAATGACTCTTAAAAAGGATTTCGGCGCAATTAAGAATCAAAGTTTATTAGAAAATTTCTTGCAAAACCCGTCTGCTTGTCAATGATCACAGATAAAAGTGCAACAGTTAGTGAAACGAGAATGTATGAGGAAGTGAGGGATTCCGAGCTTGTCAGTGCCTCCCCTTGAAAATGAAACAAACTCTTACGAATTACAAGTGAAGGCAATGAAAGCTGAAGTACTACGAATTAAAAGGATAATCTGCACGTAAACGGTACTTGCAGATTCCCGTTCCTAAGTTGAAAAATTTGTCTAGTTAGTGACATCAAGCAACCAGCATTTCTTTGTTATTATAGAAGAGAGCACAATCACACCTAAACCAAGACTTTATTTCAACCATACTTATATATTTTGGAGCTGCAAATTATGGAGCATCTGAATGTATGGTTATTTATCATCAGAGCAGCAGATGACAGATGTTCTCATTGCTGAGTCCAGAGTAGCGAATATGCTCACAAGTACAGTCATTTTGTGCGCGATACTTAGGGAAAGTTAGAAATTCTCAACTGACGCTGTGCTGTTAGACTCATAAGTAAGTACTTGTAGTGGTTTAAACGGAATTATTATGTGATTTTAGCACGAATACGTAATAATGTGAATTGACTAAGTTCTGAGATAAGTGGTTCAGGACATGTCGCAACACCAGTTACTCGAATTAAAGATTATTACCAATGAACATCAACGAATAAATAAGCATATAAAGATCCTTCTTTTTTTGGATCTCATGCACCCTTCATTTGTTATTTTGCCAAAAAAAGTAGTGAATCACGCAGTTTGTCCTAGTTTCCGATATAGTAAGAACAGCCTTGGTTAGTGAACAGAGAGAGAATGAGAAATCAAGCCACTGAATTTTGGAAAGATGAAACTGTAAATATGGGGTTTTCATAGTATTTACGAGAATATCAACCAGTCAATTAACCAGACGAGTAACTAAAACAATTGATGATCTCTAAGGAGCCTCAACCCAATATAAGTTGGCAATTTATGAATGGAGTTATCCTTTAAAGATTAGAATGTACATTAAAATTAGTGAGTATGGACAGGTAGTTTGAAAAGCATTAGGCCACTTGCTTAGACTTCTTTCCGAAGATACCTCTGAAGAAGTCAGCCACTGGATCGTGATCGTAGTTGTTAACAACCACAGTATCGTTGATGGCGGCCTTGTCACCATGAACACCCTCAGTGTGAGAGTGAGACTCATCCAAGGACTGGACGGTGTCTAAGTAATGATTTCTCAAGAAGAGCGACGCCGTCAACAATGGAACACACAAACAGAGACCAGTAATGCATAACTTCTTCTGAATCTCAGCATAAGCCAACACAACAGCAATTCTTTCAGGTGTTCCCCACACATATGTTATAATGAAAGTGTATGGAGCACCATAAGCATCTGCAGCTAAAGCAGTGTCGACACCAAGCTGTTGCATCTTCTTGAAAATGCGTTCGTACATGAGCTGGTTCCAGATGGCACCCGAAACAGAAGCACCCAAAGCAGATCCAATGTTGTAGGAAGCCAAATACAAGGAAAGAACAACAGCCATGTACTCGTGGTTGGTACAAGTCTCGATAGAGACCTGAGTAACGTAGGTGAAGAAACCAGCACCGAAACCCATAACACACAATCCAGCAGTGACACCATTAAGGTACTTCTGCGATTCAATACCATCATTATCTCCTCTGAAGTGGACAAAGAGACCCAAAGCAACGAACCAGACGGCACATCCGAAGATAATGAATGGCTTAGTATATCTGACTCTGGTGAGCACGAGACCTAAGAGTGGACCAACAATGACAGATACAAATGAATACAACGAAGTGATACGAGAAGCAGCCTTGACGGATGCACGCATACCGACAATCAACACCGTGTACATGAAGTCATTAGGCATGTAGTAGACGAAGTTGACGAAACAAGCAATGATGAGGGCAGCCCATACACCACGGTCTTTCAAAAGTGGGACTGGAACAATAGGGAACTTGGCAAATTTGTATTCCCACAACACAAAAAATGGAATAAGCACAAATCCAATGACCAAGGGAGCGATGGTAGAACCTTTCTTCCATTGGGACGAAGTACCACCTGCAATAGTAAAAGGCACCAAGATGAATCCGAACACACAGATGATGAAAAGAATACCAATGACATCAAGTTTCCAGAACAAGTCAATGAAGTAGTGTCCCCAGCCCTTAAATTCAGCTCTTTCTTCTTCCTTGATCTGTGCCCACTCTGGAGTCTTGCGAGCCAAGTATCTCATGTGGAAATAGCAGAAGAAAATTGGTACACAAGATAATGGGAAAATAAAAGCCCAGATACCAATACTGTAGTTCCAAGAGTGCTTAGAGATCAAAGAATCACTGACATTTCCACTGACCCAGGTGTTGATGATGAATGGAAGAGCGGGAATGAAAGAAGCAAACAATCTCCAATTCAATGTAGACATATCAGCCAACGAAACCTGCAAAATCAACATCACACCGGAGTATCCAATCTGATACAACACAGCACCTCCAGCAAAACGGTTGATGTCGTATGCCTGAGACTCAATGACGGTACCAACAGCATAGAAGATCACAGACACAATGAACAACTCCAAACGACCAAATTTATCAGACAATCTGGCGTAAGTTGGTTGAGAAGCAGCAGCCACAACAGCTCTAATAACATTGACCGTGGCATAAAGCGAGTGGGTGTTGTAAGAGCTAGTAGCGTATGTCTGGAAGAAGTATCTAAGCGTTCCATCCAATCCATAACAGTAAGCGCAACAGAAGGCAGAGACAAAGAAGAGGGTTTTGTAGAATGGCGACTCATATTGAGCGGACAAAATCTCTGCTTTCCGAACACCAAACGACTTTGCTGTTGAGGCCAAGTTAGTATAGTGGGGTGGAGCAGGGTTTGGGTGCTCATCGACAAAATTGGTGGAGTCCGAATGGTTTCCTGTTACAGGGATGTTCGATTTCCCTTCGGAAGAGCTCGATTTGCGGTCAAACTGCTCAGACATAATAGTTACAAAGAGTTAAAAAAAAAAAAAAGAAGAGAATTGGGGAGCAAAATTTTACTGATTTAATAGATTTGATAGATTAGATAATCACCTGTCACATTCCGCGCCTCCGCAACCAGCTTTAGCTTGGCTACCACCAAGTCGCATCTCACAGGCATAAAGGAAGGCTTCGCTAGTGCATAGAAAGCTAATTCAGAGCAATGTGAAGGAAAAGCTACCGACATCGGGGGAAGGTGAGCCTATGAGAAGCCATTGCCAAGTAGGCAGAGCCCTCTAACCTGTGGGTGATGTCAGAGTTTCACCGAACATCAAACCGACAGGACGTCAAAGTAGCATATACGGAAGGTAGGAAGTCGTTGAAATGGCATTTCACAGGACCAGATTGTATACAGTGGCATGGCATGCAGCGAATGTCAACTCCTAGTGGTCGCTTACAAACTACATTGGGCATTGTGACCAATTAATGACAATTGTATTGCGGTCAGATTCAGGGTAAAGAAAATTTCCTCCGGTGGATCTTCCCCTTCCTCCACGCTGACAATGCATGATTGTTATGCACAGGCTCTTTACGACACTCCACACTATGTAACCAGCGAGATGAGCAACCGAGACACCGGAAGGCTTGCGGTGGGGGGTTGATTTCGATTTTGCAAATGTTTGATTTCATGGTATCTCATTACATGTTTCAAATGAGTTTTGTGGCTGCGATTTTACTATTTACTTTCTTCGGCACTTTCGGCATCTTGTGCTTAATTCAATGTTGAAGCGCAAATCTTGGCTGGTTCCAGGCAGGAGAGAGCAGAAAACGGTTGACTTATTAGGAATACCTGGTACAAAAGCTATTATGGGCAAAGCACTACACACGGCATTTTGAATCTCACTGAGCTTGGGTGTGGCGAAAACTTAGGCGGATTCCACAGAGTTTGTGGCCCGTGGGAATGGTCATTAGTAAAATAGTTCTAAACGGTTGACGAAGTAAATTAGGATGAAAGTACCGGATATGTTGGATAATTACTGGTATCGGCCTGCCAAGTGAAACCGAGCAAGTGTGTAGTCTATTGTAGTGAAGAAAGTTCACTTAGTTAAGAAAAGTGTAAATTGTAAATTTCATAGAAGACCCTGGGTCGGCAAAATATGATTGTATGCCAACATCAATGCATTTCTGCAGTATATTTCCGATTGTTGCTTTAAAAGTATTTTTTGACTGTTTTCTTGACTTTCTTTTCTCCTTCTTCTTCATTCGTCAATGCTGTTTCATTCCTCTGTGGAAGCCATTTTACACTTTCGTCAAATCACAACAGCCTAAATGCCACTTACTTAGTGTCTCAAAGGACGTGCTTCTATAGGTGGCGTGCTGCTCAGTGGTTACAATTAGATCTTCTTGGCTTCTGTTCTTACTTTTCGTCTCTTCGCTCATCTTTTGTACATTTCTCGAATGTCAAGTGGAGTTTTTTCGTTGCTGGATACTTTACGATCTGAGTGTCAAGTAATTATTTTTCTCTAGAAAGATACTCACACCTATAGTCTTTGGACACCCAACTCTATCAGCTTTTTCTTACCTCTACAATACTATCAATGTCTAAAATATTGTGAGCCTTCAACAATACCAATCTTTCGTCATATATTGATTTCGTTGATAATTCTTTTGATTGCCTGTGCTTGTATTTGTTCAACACAATTTTATTTTTCAATCTTCATTACGGGGTATACACTACGACGCCAAACAACATCTGTCATACTACACTCACCAGCATAACTTAGCTCATTTTCAATACCTCCCAGATTTATAAAATCTTCACCCGCTATAAATCTCCAGTAGCTATAAATCTTCAGCTTAAAACTATCGGTCGCACTCTCTCCAGATGTTACTCACTCCAGGTAAAGCTCATCTCCTCCACTTACAACTCACCGGCAGCCTTCAAGTCAGCCTCAACTTCTTTCACACTCTTCACCAAAGTCTCAGCAATAAACTGCACATCTTCATCCTTCAAAATGAACGTAGGCGCAACGGTGAGGTGATCTCCACGCTTTCCTTCGACGGTTCCACCCATTCCCATGCTGGTCATACCATTCTCGAGACACTTGGCTGACAACTTAGCACCCAATCCCAAAGATGTAGGGAAGGTCTCCTTTGTTTCCTTGTCTTTGACCAATTCCACCGACCAGAACGATCCCATCCCTCTGACATCACCAATGATCTCGGTGGTGGCAGCCAACTCCTTGAGTAACTTCCCGAGCATCTCACCCTTCTCAAAAGCATTCTTTCTCAAGTCTAAACGGTCAATCTTCTTCTGCACGGCCAATGCAACTCTGCAGTTGAAGGCGTGTTGGTGGTAGGTCTGAGCTCCAGGAATGTAGTTTGTACCTTCAACAAACGCCTTTTTAACCTTGGGTGACACCAAAAGTCCGGCAATGGTGACATATCCAGATCCTAAAGTCTTTCCGATGGATTGCATGTCGGGACCCTTAAAATCTGGGAAAGATTCCCAACAGTTCAAGCCGCCAGTGGCAGAAGCACGGCCCGTTCCACACATGACCTCGTCCAACCACATCAAGATACCATACTTGTCACAGATAGCTCTGACTCCCAGCAAATAACCAGGAATAGCTGGCGAAGTACCAAACGTGGAACCAGAAAGGGTCTCACACAAAATTGCACAAACCTTGTTGGGTCCAGCAGCAATCACAGTGTCCTCAATCTCTTGCAACAATCTTGCACAATACTCCTCTACGGTCTCATCAGCCTTCTGGTCTCTGTATGGGTAACATGGCGACACCTTGGGCACATGTTCATCAGACAATGTGATTGGTCTAAAGGCATCCTTTCTGATGGTCTCACTCAAGGCAAGACACCCAATGGTGTAACCGTGGTAGGACTGTTTTCTGGAGATGAAAATGGTACGTTCAGGCTCCCCTTTCTCCAAGTAGTACTGACGTGCAACTTTCATTCCATTTTCGTTGGACTCGGAGCCGGAACATGTAAAAAGAGCACCGGCAAATACACCTTTTGGTGACTTCTCAATGTAGAAGTTAGCCAATTCCTCAGCATAGTAGTTGGTCATGCTGGCACAGAAACTATAGCTACACTCCTTCGCTGCAGCAGCCATTTCAGCGATGATTTCCTCGTCTCCATGGCCCAATGCACAAACAGCAGCACCTCCCATTGCATCAAACACTTCTCTTCTTTTGTGAGTAAGGGCATCTTCAACAACTAAATAGTTCCCTTTACCTCCCACCACCATGGGCAAATGGTCGCTAACTTTACCAGAGAAGAGAGAAGAAGACTTAACTGTCATAATTGGTTTTCGAATAAATATGGAATACGTCAAATCCAGGCGATTTTCTCCCCTTGTTATACCATCTTATCGGCCGTGGACAGGAGCGCATCTCAGTCGGACTTCCTAGATTAGTAGATGGCTCGCGTACCCGATAAGGCGGACAAACTCCATCAACTACGCGAGAGCTATATATTGGCCACCAATATTGTCAATTAAAGTTCCTTGAAGTAATATTTCGAGTTTCTTTGTGATATCATGCTCTTCCGCTTTCCCATTGAGCAAGATATCCAGATCGGAATTGCCATACTGTTCAAGGAAAATGGTGTTTCGCAGCCAACGATTCCTAGGGCCAATGTCTCTGCTTTGCATATAATCTGTCGCCTCTTACTTAATTAGGCACATCGGATAAGCACATCCAGGCATGGAAACAACTTCCCGAATCAAACGATAGGGGTTGGAAACCTGACCAATGAATATCACCAGTCAGAATGGAACGATGACTCATTGTTGGAGAAATTTAATAAGCACATAGATCGTGGGGAATGATTGCATTGTTTAAAATATCCTTGATTTGGTAAGTTACAAGCGGATTTGACGATATTTCACAGATTTCAATACGATCATGTAAATCCCCCACAATTGATTGACTGATTTCACACATAAATAATATTTCTCAAATCTGCTCATTATCCATACTTGTACGTTGTTCCTCGCCTTCGCTATAACATCTATCTCATGTATTACTTCTAAACATTCTCATCAATTCATTTGTGTTCTCTTCCACTTTAGTCCTTCCAAGGGGGAGGAGTCATATCTTGGTAATTGGTGTCGTAGAGCCTATTCTTAATAGTTGGATTTCGAAACTTCAAACTGGATGAGTCAATGAAGCTCTCGTCCAATTCACTAATGTTTCGTGCTCCAAGCAACACCATATTGTTACGTACCTCTCCCTTCAATATCTTAATGGCATGAACAACGCCCTCCTCACCATAGCCAGCCATGGCGTATAGCATTGGTCTGCCGAGTCCGACCCCTTTTGCACCTAAACATAATGCCTTGACGATATCGGATCCACGACGTATTCCTCCATCCACATATATTTCGATGTCATTTTCCAAACCTTTCTCTTTAAGCATTTGACGAGCCTCTGCCAAAACTTCTAACGGGGGCCTGGAAAAGTCAAGCTGACGGCCGCCGTGGTTGGAGAGAACCACTGCCTTGACTCCCATCTCGGCTGCCTGAACAACATCTTCACCTCTCTGTATACCTTTAAGTCCAATAGGTAAAGATGACTTTTGCACTAATTTCTTGACATGATCCCAAGTGAATGTGGTACAATATCTGGCGGCCCCATTATTAGCCATCTCCTTCAAGTCATCCACCAGGTCTTCGAATTGGGCCCTGATTTTTGTGTCCTTTTCTCTGTTTCCCAAATCAGCTACATCGACATTGAAGAATATTGCTTTGAGGGTAGGCTGGGCTTCAAATTTGGCAAGATATGTATCCATATCCTCCATTTCCTGGGTGGTGTAAAAATGCATTTGAGCCCATTGTTGCTGATCTTTTGGAACACCAGCAAAGAATTCTTCCCATTCAATTGAATTTTGTCGAGGCACCATTTGGACGATTTTCTCTTTATATGCTGCTCGTTGTAAATTCCACTCAGCATCTTCGTGGGCTAAACATGATCCAGCAAAACCAGAAATATAGAGAGGAAGCTCCGAATCAATGCCGAGCATATTAGTAGAGGTAGTTACGTGCTCAACGTTTCTCAATGCCTTTGGTCTAAAAAACACTCTCAGATAGGAATAGTGGTTTTCTCTAAGAGAATACTCGTCTGAGGAGCCAGTAGCGTAATAAGTAAATGTTGTCTGGGGAAGGACTCTCTTTGCCACGGACTCAAAGTCCAGCAAATTGAAAATATGCGACAATGATGGTTTCGAATCAACATCAAAGGTGGGTTCAGTAGCAAAAGTCTCTTTGAGAGCGAACTGACCCTCTCCTAAGGGACCCAAGTATGTGATCTCATCTTTCATGGTGTTAAGTACCAGTTTCGTGTGGATCTGCCGAAACGCAGACGTGGCATCACTTCCAGCATAACGAAAGATACGAGCAGCACCTCCTGGATGTTTCCGGAGAAATGTACTGACATCATACACTTGGCCCTCGATGGCTATCCAACAATCCTCCAAGGTGTTGTGTCTCATCACCTCAGCTACTGGAAACACTGGGGTGATGATGTCCGATTTGACCGCAGGGTCTGTGGTCGATCTGAACCAAAAGTAGGAACCAGTACCTACTGCCAATGCACCACCAAGGATGAAGGTTTTGTTGAAAGAAGGCTTTCTGTGGGTAGACACTGTGGAATAGGATCGACCACGCAATGCTCTGAAAGTTCTAGTGAACAACATTGACAAATGCTATGAGATTCCCAAAATGATAGATAGAGAGATAAAGAGAGATCTAGAGATAGTGATACAGCAATGAGACGCCACGAATTAAATAATTGGAGGTGATATCCGATCACCGATGGCAGACGGAGAAGTTCCGATGAGGAGATAAGATTGATGCGGCTTATCTGTAACTACTGCTTTAGGCTCACAAGTAGAAAAATTACCTTCAATGAGATTGATGGATATCCGATGTGAAGAGGGCGCTTGGTGATTCGCTAAGTACCCAACTGGCATTGGTATCCATGGAATACGAAGATTGCATGTTATCAGTGTGGTGCGTACTTGAAGTGGATGCCCATGTTATCTGTGATAAGGGCCAGGAAGAGAAAGTGAGGAAAGGAAAAGAAACAAAAGGCAGAAAAGTTATTGAAGAGGATAGGGAAGTCAGAAAACTGTTGTAACGAATTTGCCAATGTACTGATTCCAGCCCCAACTAATGAATCCAGTCGCTACAAGTCACATCAATTCCGCACGTTATGAACCTTAACACCGAAATAGGTATCCATTCCCGACATTCCAGAACTGAAGAAATTCGATGTCATTCAATTTTAAGCTATTTCAGCCCCTCCTATATGGCATTGCAATTCCGCAACTTTGTGAAGAGGATGTGCCGTTCCAAAAACCAAGAACATTCATTCTTTTCTTGTCACGGGAAAATCAACCAAGTCTTGGTTGCTTTCGCAGAAACCTTCCCATTTTGCTGCCATATGGCATTTTCTTTCCAAGACAACGATTGTCCGATAAATCTTATCCTGTCTAGTGATTCTCTTAGGTAATCCGAGCCATGGCCGTTTTCTTTATCTTGATAACAATCATGTATACTCGGTCCTGTCGGAAAAAGTCCGACAGACTTAATGATGCTCGCGTGGGGTACAACCTCCAAACTTCTGCCCCAAGTTTTGTACCCCAAATCCTATTGTCCACATTCGGCCCCGAATTCCAGCCCCACTACCTTCGACAAGATGGATGACCGCGCTAGGTGGGGTACTGACATGGGCTAGCAACCCCCTTGCATTCTTGACTCGGATGTTGAGATATTTCTTCTCTAATGTGCATTCTCTGTGGAATAAGGTAACCTGGAGTGCATGGAAGATGTAGATAGCAGTATCTTGGAGTAAATGCCACTTTAGTACCCCAGATAAGGGCTCAGTTGGGAAATTGTAGCTGGGCATTCACTATATAAGTATCCGCCATGCACGTTTGTGGACATCAAGTCCATCGATTTTTTCAACGCCATGACGAAGTCGAAGGAAACCACTCAGGTCCAGGTTGAGCCTATGGACGAAAGAAAAGTGGGTATTAATGATTCACTTTCAGCAACCCTGTCGAGATTCAGAGATTTGGACGATGGTCCAGGCACTCGTAGAGGCTTGAAATCTAGACATATTCAGTTGATCGCTTTGGGAGGAGCCATTGGAACTGGTCTTTTCGTTGGTTCTGGTGGAGGTTTGGCAACCTCAGGTCCAGCAGGCTTACTTGTTGGATACTTGGTGGTTGCACTTTTCGTGTGGTTTATCATGAACATGATGAGTGAGATGGTGACATTGCTTCCCCTTCCTGGTGAAGGAACTTTATATGCTATGTCCAGAAGATACGTTGGCAGGTCCTTCTCGTTCACCACTGGCTGGAACATCTACTACGCACAAGCCATGATTCCTCCCACGGAAATCACTGCCTGTGCGTTTGTTATTGAGTATTGGAGTAGTGCCAACCCAGCAATCTGGATCTCTATCTTCTTGGTCATCACCATCTTGATCAACGTGTTGCCGGTCAACTTTTTCGGAGAATCAGAATTCTACGTGTGTATCATCAAGATTCTCTGTATCACCGGTTTGATCATCTTGGGTATTGTGATTTTCTTTGGTGGAGGTCCTAAGCAGCACGGAGTGTTGGGATTCAAGTACTGGAAGGACCCAGGTGCGTTCGTCGACCACTTGGTTCCTGGCAGCACCGGTAAGTTCTTAGCTTGTTGGACTGGTATTATCAAGGCAGGATTTGCTTTCATTTTGAGTCCAGAGTTGATTACCTCTTGTTCTCTGGAGGCCGAGTATCCAAGAAGAAACTTGCCCATCGTTTGCAGAAGATTCATCTACCGTTTATTTGTTTTTTACATTTTGGGTGTATTGGTGATTGGTGTCATTGTCGCATCAGATGACGATGGTTTGATGGGAGCCATCAAGTCGGGCTCCTCCTCTGCCAAGGCCTCGCCATTTGTCATTGGAATGACGAATGTTGGTATTCACACCTTGCCTCACATCATTAACGCTTGTATCTTGACCTCTGCATACTCTTGTGGTGCCGGAATGCTTTATGGTGCTTCGCGTGGTTTGTACTCGATGGCTTTGCAAGGTGATGCTCCCAAGGTGTTTGCTAAGACCAACCGTTGGGGTGTGCCTATCTATGCTGTCGCTGTGAGTGCGTTGTTTAACTTTTTGGCCTACCTCAACTGCTCTAACTCTGCATCTCAGGTGTTCTCGTGGCTCTCTAACATTGCCACAATTGCTGGATTCATTTCGTGGATGTTCGTTGCCATTACCTACATCAGATACAGAAAGGTCATTGAGTACCACAATTTGACCGACAGAGTGCCTTACAGACCACCATTGCAGATGATTGGAGCATACAGTGCTGCAATTTTCTTCTTTATCTTGACATTGACCAACGGTTACGCTGTGTTCATCAAGGGCAACTGGGACACCTCGAACTTCTTCTCCTCGTACATTACTTTGCTTGTGGTTGTGGTGATTTACATCATTAGTCTTACATTGTTCAAGGAGTGGGGTAAGTGGCAGAAACATCCTAGTGAAGTTTACATGTTGGATGTTCTTGAGCTTGCTGATGCCGAGGAGGAAGAACACAAGGCTGAGTTTGATGCCAAGATGGAGACCCGCAATGGTTTCGGGTGGAAGATCTTCTATTCTATCTTGTGATTTTATTTCAATTCTACTAAGTGTACTAAGGCTAGACAATATACGTTATTTTGTGACCATTACAACGACACTTTTACACCAGTATACATAAAAATGGGCAAAAATTTTCCCCACCGTAATTTTCTCATTGGGTTGTTTAGATTGAAAGAGGAATATCTACTATTTCGCTTGCTATTTTTTTCTCATTGATTACGGTATTCATTAGTCCAACTGTCTCTCGCCGATTTCTTCAACGAATGACATGCACCCCACAGAGTGGAGCTTCTAAATTCATTGCTCCCCACACAAAAAGAATGCCGTAGTGAACTGCACAACCTGGTAAATCTACTCCCCACCAAAAATTGTCTAACATTCATCCCACCTTCTCCACTGCAGAACTGTTCCATGTAATCAGCACCCCGCTTCGTCGGAAGTTTTCCACTGGAGTTGTACTTCTGCAGGTGGTTTTCTCATACGATAAATTCCGTTATAAGTAGATTTGCGCATTTCAGATTTTCTGTCGATCTTAATGACATATTACAAAACTTAGTCATATTGAGTTGCTGTTTTGACCACATTGGGCTCATTCCAAACTCTTCCTTGACTAATAGTTCAATAGGAAGATAATATTTTTCATGATTTTTCACACGAGAAGTTTCTGTGACCATCTTTTTCTCGGAACTTATTCTGAATGTTGTTCACCATGTACTCTCCAACTACTGATTCCCATTATATAGTCTACCTCAAAATATGAATAAGCTCTATTATTACACAGGGTAATCTACTGATATCCATACCAGTGTTCTATACGTCTCCAATGTATAATGTAAGTTCCTCACAAGAGGAATCATGATCCTTCCAAAACGAAGGAATCACCTGGAAGTGGCCTGTCTTTGGGCACCTCAATGGCACCTTTAGCCTCCTTTGTTCTTAACTGAATCACCTTGAGTAAATTATAGATCATAGTCAAAACGGGAGCGTCCACGCCGTTTTTCTGTGCAATTCGAACCGGATTTCCATTAATAACCTCCAACTCCACGTAGTTACCCTTTCTTAAGTCAACTAGCATTGACGGAGAGTAATAAACGCCATCATCCGACCTGATCATGAATTCCATGATACTCTCATCTAAGGTCACTCCGTCAGACTTAGCAATTGCGAGAACCTCTCTCATGGCAGGACGTACCATCAGCTCCACGCCGCCAAACATTTCCAATCGGCCCACATCCACATTTGTAAGTGTGCAAATTGGATTCAACGTTGCGTTGTATACCAACTTTCTCCAGCGTGTGTACTTAACGTCCTCGTCGTAGAGACATTCGTTCTTGCCGTTGTGGTAGAGGTCCACGAAGTCCTTAGCACGCTTTTCCTGAAATTCAAGAGGCAACTTTGTGTTTTCAAAGTATCCAACCTTGAGGAAATCGTGACCCTCATGGTCAATGACTCCATCACCATAGTTCGTGGAAGAGATCATGGAAACTCCACTCAACACAACGTTCTTAGGGTACTTGGCTATGACCGGAGCACCGATGTCAATTCCGTTTTGAAGAAGTACAATCGCACTGACTTCTTCTGTAACCACAGGCTCAATCAAATTCTCCACCTTAGTGATGTCTGGAGTGTTTTTAGTAGACACCACCACATAGTCAAATGGTCCGTATTGCCTGGCGTCCTCGAGCGTTTTCACTATGTTGGTAGGGTGGTACTTAACGTCTCCGTAGTCAACTGATTTGATCTTGTACCCGTTCTCCTTCACGGCATCGTAGTCAGATCTGATGACAGTAGTCACGGTAGTGTCATCATGGGAATCCAATGCGTACGCAGCCATTGAGCCCACTCCACCGGAGCCGAGAATTAACACCGAGACCATATTATAATTTTCTTTTCAAAATGTTACCTTGAAAGTGCTCAAAAGAAAGGTAGCAGAAAGTAGAAGATGGAGACGATTTTGTCTTGTTGAAGGTGTGGAACTTTAGAATTGTCCCAATCAGGAAGTAGCCGCTACCTCCACATTCCACCCTACACAGGAATTCCGTACCTATCACTTATCTATCAAATACAAAATTTGACTTAGGCTTCTGTGATAGGCTCCTTCCCAGACTTCAAAGTGCCTGGACATAATGTACCACACGCTTGATGGGGACAGTTTGAAGTTGGTCGAAAAAAAGGGGGTGCCCGTAACGGTTCAGCTACCTCTGGCCAAACATACTAGATTCTATGGAGCCAGAGCCAGATCCACCGCAGGATGCTTGACCTGTCGAAAACGAAAGTATGTGAATACAATCTGGTATTTTGAGCTACCCCACTAACCATTCTAAAGGAAGAAATGTGACGAAGCGTACCCCGTGTGCCTTCGATGTAAAGAACGGAAAAATGAATGTACATGGCCCATTCGTAAGAAATCGAGATCAGAAAGCGATGAGGTGTTGATGCTGACCAATCCTGCTCGTATACGACGTACCCTGTCTGAGCTGGGAAAAATTCCGTCAAAGATGGCTGCTACTCCCATGTCTGATCAGTCGTCATCTATGGCTACTTCCGTTACTAGATCCAGCCTTCTGCCTACTTCACTCGAGTTCTTAGAGAGCCTCGAGATGATTGATTTTGCTGCTGTAGACTTAGAAGCTGTGGAAAGTGACCTTATGGGCTTCAAGCAGGACTTGACCACTTTTCAAATGGAATTACAGGAACAGAAGCAAACAGAATTGCTGGATGAGCAACTCGCTGAACTCCAAAAGGAGTTCGAAATTTCTCCTACCATTGACAGCACCTTCTACTCAGTGTACATGTCGAACTTGGGCGATGAGGGCTTGCGGTATTTGGAGATGTATAAGGAATATTGTACGTTTATTACAATCTCCGAAGATTCACTGAATTACTTTCGCAAGACATTCATGGGTTTAGCTACTCGAAGCGAACCCATCCTTTATGCTGTGACTGCCTGGGGTGGCTTTTATCATGAACTTGGAAAGAACAAGGGTGATTTTTCCAAGCCATGGCTGTACATGCAAAAGGCAGCCAAGCTGATGTGCAACCTCATTGGTGATAATTTGAAACCCAACAACAAGGAAGACTTCTTTGTCCTATTTGCATTTTACTTGATATTTATTGGCATAGAGGTCTGCACTGGTGATGTACGTAACTGGGGTGGCTTCCTCGGCCTGTGTTCGCAGTTAATAAAATCGTTTGGGGGCCTGGCTCGAGTCTCTGAGATCTTTAATCATTCTAATGACATTCAGTGGCTCCTTTCCGATTTCCAATTCCATGATATCCTCTCGTCACATGCTTTACTCAAAGGCACCTTGTTTCCCGTTGAGGAGTATCGAGCAGTTCTTCGAATGGACATGAGTTATGGAATCGACCCATTGCAGGGAATTAATGCTCCTATTTTCTATCTTATTGCCGAGATCGGAAACAAAAAGGTCGAGCTACGCAAAAAATGGGCCCTGATAGAGGAACACATTCGAAATGGTGATGAAAATGCCCTAAGAATGAGGTTGCAATATTATGAGGAAATGGAACAGTCAGCGGACTATTTCACAAAACAAATTGATGCTGTCACTCCACGGAGTAGTATGATCGAGTTGATTAAACAGGACAAGCGTGAGTACAAGATTCACAAGAGTCTCTTCGACTTGTATGTTATCATTGCCCGTATGCAATTGGGCACTAGCATTAAGCAACTTCCCCCTTCATCAGCGCACCAGCAACTCCTACTCATGAAGGCTATTCAGCTTGTGGACTTCCTTATACCCTCCAAAGCTAAGGTGGCTCTCTCATTGCTGCTTCTTATTTGTGGAATGACATGTGTTGTCCAGCACGACAGGGACGAGATGATTCAGAGATTCAGAAAGCATCTGAAACAGTATGAAATTGGTAACTTTCAACGTGTGGAGGAGCTAGTGGAGTATGCATGGACCCGTAACCCATATGGTCATGAGTGCATTGATTGGGCACAGTTAGGGAACGAGAAAGGCTGGAACTTAAACGTGGCATAGCATATTTGAACTTCGAATTATAGAGTAGCTAATTTATGAATTTTCGCTCGTTGGTCAAGCAGTCAAGTGCAGTGAAGAACTCGTTAAGATGTTCTCCAGGAATCTCTCTGAACTTCTTGAATATCTTGTAATTTCTGTTCACATCGTGCTCCAGTTCGATCATTTGACCCTTTGACTTTTCATTGGCTACTGGGCCAAACACCATGACTGCTTTCCTGTCGAGGTATGGCTCCCATGGCTGTTCTCCGTTGGCAAAGTTGATGACACGAGTCATATAATCACTGACCAAGTGCTTCTGAGAGTCGTTCATATCACTTCTATTTCCGAATAGATACAACAAATCAATGGCATGATTCGATTTGCCTTTCAATGGGCCATCGATCGTTGATGGCTCATCGAAGTGATACCAATAAGCAGTTGTCTTGGACTTGGCACATACTTCAAGTAATTGGTAGTTAGGAAATATGAATGTTATATCACCCATAAGTCTAGTCATATTCCAGTTGATATCTTCCATAGAGCTGTCAGCGGTCATATCATACCATGAAAGTATAGCCTCACTCACAGAGCTAGGCACAAATTTGTCACAGTGTTCAAGAAGCTTCTCGTACGTGAGTCCCGTGTAGCACGGGAAGAACATGATGCCTTCATCTTTAGTATTACCTAAGATAAGACTATCTAGCCATTCAGGAGGTTCCACAAAGTTAGTAAAGTTGAGATTGTAATCTAAGTACCAGCCATCAATACATGGGTTTCCTGTGGTTGGTACTTTTGTTTCTTGAATTTCACTGGTAGCCATAGCCATATCCTTTTCAGGAATTTTTCTCAAGTTATCTAACGCATTTTCATCGTTGGCGATATCATAGTACTTGAGAAGCCGTTGGAATTGCTTTTCGTGATAAGATTTTGAATATGCTGGAATGGTCCCACTGAGCCCGGACATGGCCATTGCTCGCTTGAATTTGGGGTTGATATTGCTGAAGATTTGATTACTGACCGAACAAGACCCGGCACTCTCTCCACATAAGGTGATGTTCTCGGCATCTCCACCAAACAAATGGATGTTCTGGTACACCCAGTCCACGGCCAAAGCTTGGTCAGTGAGGCCGAAATTTCCATTTCCGTTGAAGCCATCTTGCTTCAATTCCTTCTCAATGAGGTCACTGGCCAAGAATCCACTGATTCCACACCGGTAGTTAAACGTGACAACAATGATAGGTTTGTTTTCAGCGATAGACTTTTGCACAAGCTTCACCCCATCAAAAATACTCAAGTTACTTGTTCCAGTCATCCATGAACCCCCATGTATAAATACAAACACTGGAATCTTCTTCTCTTCAGACATTGGCCCGGTTACAACGTTCAATACTAGAGCATTCCGCTCGTCGGTGACGAATGGTCCCTTGTAGTGATCAAACTGGTACACTGGAGTGAAAAAATCGCCGCTTTCCATTCCACCAAAATGTGGAACAGGAGTGCAAGGTCCTAATACAGTTCCATCATGAAATCCGTCTTTCCAACTAGTCAGCAACGTTGCTCGGGTCCATCTCTTTGTAAGTTCACCATATGGGATACCCATGAACTGACAAACTCCACCATCGAAGGTATTTCCCTTCAATTTTCCGAAGCCAGGAATCTCACGCTCAACTTGACCGCGTAAAGAACCCATTGGCGTGAAAGATAAAATTATTTTGTCATTTTGCAATGCGGAGGATTGACTTGAATATATATGTGGGTCTCCACTTCAGATTAGTTTAGTGCGCATAATTATGCGCCAGATGCGCCGTTTGTTAGGCGCGGTCAGGGCATTTGGCTACGATGAACGATTATTCAAGCGATTGTGATATTGTCTTTTTTACGGGGAACTGGCAGCGGCAAGATATTTTATGCCTTTCGAAATTGCGGACAATATCTTGTTCTTGTGACTCTCAACTTTTTGACAAATCCTTACCATATCAACGTAATCTACTGGTGTTGTGGATTATGTGATGCATTTGAAGACGATGACCGTTGGCCAGATCATTCGAACAACCATGAAAGACAACAAATAGAGATAAAGTAAGTCATCTTAAGCTGTGGGGCATTCAGGTTATACGCTTGTAATGAGAAGTGATCTTTACTGACGTTGGATTACTTGGCGAATGAACTTTATTTTGGAATATGTTTCGAGCCTCCAAATCAAGAAGTCCTTTGTCATATCCTTCCAGTTTACGCTATCTTGCAACCGTTGTTTCTGGGTTCATTCTCGGAGTTCGCAACAACCATTCCGTGGGTGCGAAAATTATCAGGGCGAGTACACCAATGTCAATAAACACGACAGTATATCTAACGATTCCAAGTAATCATCATATTTGGTTACCTTCGATCATTTGAATTGATAATTAACGCCTGGCTCAGGTCACCCCAACAATCTCATGGAGTTCATAGACAAATTGCTCTTCATGCAAACATTCAAGGCCCTTACCGGCCCTCCAAGACTGCTCTATGAGCTGTAACATGATATCCAGGAAATATATCGCCGGATTCAAATTCCCATTCTTCACAATCTGCCGCATTTGTTGTTTTTCCTCCTCCAGCACAATACAGACGCCACAAATAAAGTATGCCCATACGATGACGAAGTCAGCCTCCTCAGCCTTCAACTCCTGCAAGTATGCAAGGCATTTTTTGGTAAACTGGGCTTTCTGAATATCCACCTCGTCTTGCCGACGATGGAGGATGTTGAGGATGAGCATTTCCGCAGATTTCAACAATACCTCCTGGTGCTGTGACATTTTTGTTAGAAGCGTTTTATCAATCTCGGCCTTCAACAGATATGCTAACGCTCGCCTCTCGACGATATTGTTTCGAAATATATAACAGGCCCGGTTAATAAACGAGATTGCTGGGAATTTGTTGCCCAAAATCGGATTCAGCTCATAATCATGAACATTGTCCATATGAAGAGCTTTCCATATGGTGTTGACATTGTATACATTGGGTAGCCGTTCCGCTTCACCCTTAGAGGAACAAAGCAACACCAAGCCGTAGTTGTAGTAGAAGCTGTCGGCACAAGCCCGGAAAATCGTGGTTTCTAAATAAGTTCCATCGGCGATAATGTTGCACATAATCTGGAAGATGGTCTCCATGTGTAAAACGACTTTGTGGAGCAGCCTGTTAGCTCCTGTCAACTCTAGAAAGTTTAAGAACGACACGCTGTGCAACGTGTCCAAGTTGAGCATGCCGTTGCTTCCTGAATTGGCGAGCTTTAATCGGAACGATTCAAGTGCATTTTGCAAGAGCTGCTCATGACCAACTGTTCCAAAAGTTGGGTTATGGAAATTGCCTAAACAAATTGATACTTTGCGAAACACTTCATCTCGTAGTAGCTGCTCCTCGATGTGTTCTCGGATCTTATCGGCAGCAGGAGTAGGACACATCAATTTAACAAAAGGTCCAAGAATGTATTCCAAACATAATTTTTCTTGAGAAGAAATATCAAGCTCTGTGAGTTGCGAGGGTGACTGGGGCGATAGTTGCTGTAGCACCTGGCGAGGGACACTTTTAAGAGTGTGGTTTCTGAAGTCTCTCAACGTCTGATTGTGATACATTGGCCAATCGCACGCGAAGTTATTTCTGATACAGCCAGAGCATGACGGCCGTTTTTCGTCACATTTCTTTCTTCGGGCTCGACACGTGAAACAGCCGCTTTTGGAACGAGTAGCCTTTTGTTTGGCGTTCTCTGTAGCCTTTTCTTCCTTCATTAATGATATGAACAAGTCTCGCAATGGTCAAATATATGCGCGGTGCACGGATGTGTGATGCAGATATGGAGAGATAAGGTGGGGTAATTGAAGATTCAGTACTTATTGACGGGAAGAATTTGAACGAAAAAAAAGAATAGAAAAAGAGAGTAAAAGAGTGGAAAGGTAAGTGGGGAAAATCAGGATGACATCATTGACGTGATTATACGTTTGCCCAAGTTGGAACTACTCAATTTTGCAATTGCTAAAGTCATGAATGCTTTGATGAAGTCAGTCCTAAAATCAGAAAATTCAAGCAAACAGATGATTTGTCATCATCATCAATTAAATCATTTTTCAAACGATAGTATCTTTCAATTTTAAATTTATGAAATGAATGATTCAATGGATCAAAGATAACCACCATTGAATAGCATCATTTTCAGAGTGCCAGTGAAAAATATTGGTTCCACACACAACATCAATGACCAATAGATTATGTAGGTACTGATTTATCGAAGCCCTGGTAATATTACTTTCTTTAGGTAAAGCATCCATTACGAAGCATAGCCTCACAAATTCATACCATTATATTGTGACATATGCTTCTCATTTTATTGTCAATCTTCTCAACGACCTCTCTCCATAGTGATTTTCAGTTCCCTTTCCAGATTTCCTATTTTCCCCCTGATCCTTTTCCTAGCCGTCCATTCTTGTGGCTTATCTTTTCTCCGTCATTCAATGTCATGTCTAACTCTCGGCCCGATATGCCCACTGCCGAGCCTTGAGGTGTGCAGTACACGTGACGTTGAATATGCCAAGCCACATGCCAAACCATTCAGGGCTGCGATTTTCAATACTAACCTCCAGGTTCCCAGAGTCTTAATTTAACGCTCACGTCTAAACCTGCCCCGTTTGGGAACGCAATAGTCACCAATTTGGCTCCTTCAGCCAATCATTGCTATTACACCCCACTCCAGGCAATTACATCCGTACCTCCCTTATCCCCGTCGTATCATGGTGCCAATCATACATCTCTAAACAACCTGTGCATAATGCATGGTGTATACAGACCTCAGCCGTGACTAGTGCACTTACTGACATTTGCCTTGGTATATAAATCAGCCCTTTCCCCAACTTTTCATTTTCTCATCTTCACGCAATGAGCACTCAATTCGACAACACCCATACAAATTTTTACAACGAGGATACTCCTCCGCATGGCCAAGTGGTGTCCAACGACTCCATTGTTAAGGAAAATGATGCTTACTTCAAGCCAGAGATGGTTGCAAAGGACTTTGCTAAAACGTACGCGACTCCTCCTCCCAATGGTTACCAAAACTTTATTGCAGGATTAGGTAAGGTTTTCGGACTTTGTGGAATGTTCTGTTGCTGTTGCGACAACCCTTACCAGACTGTTAACCAGGGAGAGGTTGGATTGGTGCAGACATTTGGTGCACTTTCCAGAACCGTGGAACCAGGACTTTCTTATGTTAACACTTGGTCTGAGAAGTTGTTCCGGGTGAACATCAAGATCAATACCAAGGAATTGCCGCCACAATCGTGCTTCACCAGAGACAATTTATCTGTGTCCATCACATCAGTGGTTTACTACAACATCATCGACCCACAAAAGGCCATCTTCTCCATCTCTGACATTCACAGTGCCATAATGGAGAGAACTCAGAACACCATGAGAGATGTCGTGGGAAGCCGTGTTTTGCAGGACGTGGTGGAGAAGCGAGACGAGATCGCCGAGTCTATCGCCGAGATCATCTCAAAGACCGCATACACTTGGGGTGTCCACATTGAGTCCATTTTAATTAAGGACTTGACGTTGCCACAATCGGTGCGTGATTCGTTTGCAAAGGCTGCCGAGGCCAAGAGAATCGGAGAGGCCAAGATCATTAACGCCAAGGCAGAGGTGGAAAGTGCCAAGCAGATGAGAAAGGCCTCGGACATTTTGAGTTCTCCAGCAGCCTTGCAAATTCGGTACCTTGATGCTTTGCAGAACATGAGTAGAAACCCTGGAACAAGGGTGATTTTCATGCCTAGTGCAGACCTGATTGAGAAGATTGTTCATCTGCAAGGTGCCCATCAAGGTATGAACAGTATTCCGGAAGAGGTGACTCCCGATAACACCGGACGCCAGATCGCCAACACTATTCTGATGCAAGAGGCCATGAGAGAGTAAGCGGTGAATACAAAAATTCAGAAATTGAAGATTTTGATTCAGAGAGACTTGAGATTGTGGTAGTAAGGATGTTATGATTCTTACTAAGTGCTCAATGCACTGAGCAGCAAATCAGTGATTTGTTCGACTTCCAAGGCCAGGTGCCTGTATTATTGATTTAATAGCGTAATTTATAATGTTAACTAATGTGGTGAGACTCAACTGGTTTGACTGACTCAATACAGACTAAACGGTTGTTGGTAAAGGGACACGGCTCGAGTGCTTAGATAAGGATTCAAAATCGAAGCAATGTGTTCCTTAAGCAGACCAATCATAACTTACATCTTGGAATGTTTGTATTGGTAATCATATTACCAAATATTTCAGTTTCAAGCGATCCGTACTTATTGAGCAATCAAGAGCCTGCGTATCAAAAAGAGAAGTAAATTTAGGACCACGAGACTCAGATTTGAGATTAAATGCCAAAATATTGTTTCATAAATATAGGAGCATAATCGTCAAGAAACACAAGAACAGTTGACAACAATCCCAAGTATTTTTAGAATTCTATTCGGCAATGCAAATTGACCCATTGGATTCCTCAACACCCGACATCAGCCACAAAACACCAGCCACTGACCGCTAACCACAAATACAAAATAATCATCAACAAAACACCATTTTTCTCTCGGAAAAACTAAGCCAATCACCATATTTTGTCAACAAAAATGATGAATACATAACCTTCCAATATACCTACATCGATCTATTCATTTTTTGGTTCCACAACCTCCTAACATACCCGTTAACATACTCCTGCAGACACCACTACATCCAGTCTCAGAAAGACAAACACCCTGATACCAATCCAGACCACGTAACTACCTTCCAATTGCTCCTACAACGCCCCAAATAGGCCACATCATCATCTAGTGCATCTCAAAGCGTCTACACAACCATTAGTGCCGCTTCTTTCCGTGCACATCAAAGCCGTTTCGTCGTTGTCCATCCCCACACGAGATCCCACTCATGGATTCTCGGTACTCCTGGTTGGATTCGGTGCCTCAGGCCCACACTCCGCCAGTGCAAGGCATGGCCCCGCCACCTGTATCGTTCGGCTCGTCTTCCAACACAGAGTTAGCCTCGCACCAGGAACACTACAAGTTCACCAATGCATCCGCAGACAACATCCTGGAGTCAGTGGCCGCCTCTCAAAATTACTCTCCTGATAGCATCCCATTGTCGCTCACCGCTCAAGAGCTCTCACTCGAAGAGTCTAAGACTTATATGCGGTGGTACTCGGATATCTTAGCTCGCACCAACCAGCGAACTATTTCAATGGCTGACGTGTACCAGTTCTTGAGTAACTTCCGGCTTCTGCCCGAGACAAAGGAGAAAATTAATCATTTATTTTCGAAGATTCTCTCGCTGATAAATATCGGTGAGTTTTTTGCCTTGTTGCGCGTGGTATCGCATACTCTCCAAGGTAAAGAACCTTCCCGTGCCTTAATCAAGGTTCGAGCATCGGTGCCGGTTCCGCCGCTGATTTTGTCTAAAAAACGTCAGAACGACGATCACGATGACGACTTCAAGGACGAGAGCCCCGCTCCGCAGCCATCGGCGCCAGCTGTCCCATTGGATTTGGATCTGTTCACCCAGTTCATGCTTACCGGCGAACGGCCCGAAGAAAGAGCACCGAAAAAACGCCTGAAAAAACTCAAGTCGGTCAAGTTTTCTGACCAGATCGTGACAGATGTCCACGACATCACGCCGGACAGGGCGGCTTCGACCTCACTGCAGCCACTTGACTATTCACTACCCATGGACCAGCTTCTAAACCGCATCAGTTCAGCCAAGCATTTGACTGTTCCCAACATTCCCCAGCCTGTAGCATCGCCTGATCCTGAAGAAAAACAGATCTTGCGTGATATGGAGGGGCAAATCAACCATTTTCAAAACTTGCACTCCGTGGACACCATGCTGATTGATGGAGTACCTTCCAACATTCATGTCCACCATGGTTCGGACTTTTCGCTGCCTCGTCTGTCGCTGCCGCAGCCACAGCTTCTTCGGCCGAATATGACAGGACCAGCGCAGATGGCCCAGATGTTCTCTAATCAACAATCAGACTACTCAGCCAGTGAATACCAACCCAACGAGTATCCGTCTAATGATTTCCCAGTTAGCGGCCAGGGCCAACTTCGTCCTAACATTACTGGCCCAGCGGATATGCAGCGCCACTTCTCACCGTCTGGTGATGACGGGCCGCCTCCATCCATCTCGCTACAGTCATTTACCTCTCAGATGACTGGAGACACATGGGCCAACACAAATCAGAACGCAAACATTGGCCATGAGAAGCAGTTGCCTCCTCCTCCAGTACCAGCGAACCGTCGGACGCGCTCTTACTCTCAACCCAGCCCAATTCACATCGATTGGGAATCTGAAAGCAGAAAAGTCCTTCTGAATCAAAATGCATCGCCAGCGAATGATCACTCAACCAATGGGCTCATGGTGCCTCCCACACAGCGTTACCGTTCTGCATCATCATCTCCTGGCCCTCCTGTTCCTCCAAGATCTCCTCTCGGAATGTCTCGACCAGTACCACCTCCACCTCCACCTTCTAGACGGACAATGTCTGTTTCAAAGTCTCCTTCTCCTTTAGCAGTACAATCGATCGACCAAATCATTGGAGACACTCCACCACCTTTACCAGATAAGATTCCGAATGGCTTTTACCAAAATGGGGACGGGTCCTCGAGTACTGCCAATATTCTTGATGATCTCAAAGCATTGCAAGAGGAGGTTGACAAGATAAGAGATATGACTGGCGGCTTTTAAATATTTCATAGACAAAGGATTCACGGACACCACCATTTATTAGGATTATTAACACTACAAGCTCGAATTAAAAACTCATACTCAATCATCTAAGCTTTCGTTGGCCTTCTTCATTCTAGCAATTTTAACCAACGGGGCCAATGACGATACATGATCACTCTCAAGAATAAAATTATCCTCAAGAAGCTTTTCGGCAGTTGCTCTCATAGAAGGTTCGACTTGCAAGCAGCGAGACAAAAATTTCTTGATATCATTGCTCAATGCCTCGGGCTCCTTCAATCTTGGAGTTCCGTTGGTAGCAATCAAGTACAACGCTCTCAATGGAGTCTCATTCAAGTAGGGAGGCTCACCTTCAATCATTTCAATTACCATGATACCTAACGACCAAATATCAACCTTTGGTCCATACTCCTTTCTAGACACAACTTCAGGAGCCATCCAGTAAGGGGTACCGACCATGGTTGTTCTCTTCAAGTTGAGTTCGTTAATTTGAGCACAGAACCCAAAATCTGTCATCTTGATCATTCCTTCAGTGTTAAGTAAGATGTTGTCTGACTTAATATCTCTGTGAATGACACCCTTGCTATGCAAGAATTTCAAACCCTTAAGTGTTTCACGACAAACTGCACCAATTTGCCCCTCTGTCATGACACTATGTGTGACAATTTCTGTCAAGGAACCACCTTCCATGTATTCCATGACAACCCATAGTTCACCTTTAAGTAAATAGGAATCAATGTAGTTGACAATGTTGGGGTGCTTACTACCCTTCATGACTAGAATTTCATTGATGATGAGTTCCTTCTTAGGTTGCTGTTCAAGATTCATTTGCTTAATCGCAACGACCATAGTAGGAGCATTAACGGTGTGAGCGATGTAAACACCACCGGAGGCTCCCTGGCCAATCTTCTTCAAGTCTCTGTAATAATCGTTTGGATTGCCCTCGGTACAAATATTTTGCAATTTCGAGATAATTTGTTGATTCTTACGCTTCTTCTCTTCCCGTTTCTTCTGAGCCAAAAGTGCAGCCTTCTTAGCATCACGAACAGGTTGCAGATTGCGGTTTTGACGCTCAGAGGTTACTCCTGCGGACTCATCCACTTGTGGGCGATATTCTTTATCGGAGGTGACCTCTTCCAAAGCTTGTGCTGGTGTCTTTCCTTGCGACAGAGGAGGAGGAGGTGGTGGAGGAGCCCGATGGCTTTTGAATTCTTCCCTCGTTCTATTGTAGTCCGAGGCCTCAAACCTTGGGACTGGAGCGACGGGCGCTGTAGTTGGGTGACGATTTTCTGGTTGTACCTGCGACGCAAGGGAATAGTTGTGCGATTTTGATTTTGGAATCTTACCCAGAGGTTGTGGGGGTGGTGCACGCAATGGAGCACTAACATTAGTTGGCAATGGTGGAGCGGAAATTAAGTCACCGGCATTCTTGGCATTCTTTATCAGTTTCAAAGATTTGCTGGAGATGGACCGCCTTCCCATGAAAGAACCTTTGCGACCGGCGCTAGTTGGAGTTTGAGAAGTCTCGGGTGCTGTGGCACTTGGGGTCGAAGGTGGTTTTGGAGCCGGCCTGCTTGGAATGAATTGACCCTCGTAAGAATTTGGTGTTTTCACATTCTGCAAAGGTGTGCTGGTTTGTGCTGGAGTGGTTGTAGGAGTTTGGTGGTATTGTTGAGGTGTGATAGGGATCTGATCAAACAGTTCAGAGCTATGAGGCATCGTCGGCGTTGAGGGTGGCGAAGAATGTGCAAGAGAGGCGGAAGAATCATTTGTGGTCTTCGAAAGGGAAGTTGAGGAGACATTTCCATAATTCGTCTGCTTAAATTTCTTGAAGGCGTTGTCATCGGCATTCTCATTTGAATCTTGATAGAAAGCCACAATATCCATGACAGCCTGTGGATGCTGTTCCTGTTCTTTCTTGGATATACCACTTGCACTCAATAACCTTTCCCATTCAATAGGCAAGCCCGTATAAGAACCATCATCGTCAATGCCAACGTGTGCAACATGTTTAGCATTGAACGGCGTACTAATTTTCATGCTCAATTCTGGCGATGTTGCAGGGTTGATGTTGTCTTTTCCTCCACTCAGTCTGTGTTTTCCGAACATGGATGAAAATACACCCTTAACTCTGCTACCATTCTTTCTTGGCTTGGAACTTCCATTGACCTGAAATTTCTGAGCCGGTGAATTAAGACCCAGTGTTAGCATAGGAGACTTCTGTACTGGCGATTGATAAAGGAACGTGCTGGTAGTCTGAGAAGCTGGGGTAGTGGATTGAGCGAAAGTGGAGCCAATAGTTGGATTAGGGAAGGGAGATGTTGGGTGTGCAGAATTGATCTTGGGAGGTTGGGACATTGGAGGTGGTGGTGGAGGGCTTCTCAACACTGTCAGGGTCGAGAATGAACGCGTTCCCCCGTCAAAAAGATTGCGGATATTGAGACCTCCGAGGGGCTCCTCTAACGCAGTGGAATGACTCATATCTCCCATGTCTTTATCATCATCATCATCAACACTATCATGGACTGTTCTGATCTTGCCCAAAGCGCCAGAGTCATTAATGTTTGGCTTTACATCGTCTCCTGATGAAGTCGTTGAGCGCAACGAATCCGAATCCCTGTCTAGCGGGTCGTAAGGACGCTTTAGAATTTCTTCGTAGCTTCCAAAACCAGCCTTAGGCTTGCCTGGATCAAGCATTGGCTTGTAAGAAGCGAGTTCAGGGGAATCAAGATATGGACTTCTGGAGATTGACACATCACCTTTCAACAAATCACCACGCACTGGCACATCAAGAGAATTAACGTCTAGGTTGTCGCTGCGATGGAGCACCTGCGGGCTGATCTCCAGGCGAGCACTTAGAGTGCCGGGGGACTGCTGTACAGGCCGTGAAAGGGATCTCTCTGGCACATCTTGGAGACTCTTGTTAGCTTCCAGAGCAGAGAGAGAAGCAGAACCTGCGTAAGACAGCTCGGGATGTACATCACTGGCTACAATCTCCTGAGTTTTGTCGCCTTCTTCAGACTGGTTAGATACTGCAGATGCCACGAGGGGAATGGTTACCTGGTCTGCCTGATCTTCTGGTTTAGGAGTACTCAGGGCGAAGACGAGGTCTTCGGCCTGATCAAGCCCATCCGTAGCTGATTTCAAGGACACAGAACTGTCATCTTCACAAACGGGTGAAGAGGCCACGAGCTTTTCGGTCGAGGATGCCGCTTGTGAAGGCTGCTTCACAGGCACATCGTCATCACGCGTCAATTCACCAGTTTCGACACTGGAGTTGCCTCCGAGCGAGAGACGATCATGTGAATTGGTCATAGGGCTGCCATCTACGGCTGGACGCTTTTCCAGGTTCAATTTGTCAGTCAAGTTATCGTACAGCTCGTTTGTTTCGGACTTCAAGCCAGTGAAGTCATAGATGCCAGGCATGCGAGGCAACAGACTGATCAGGTCTTCGTGGTCATCGGAGGGATCTGGAGGGTGCACATCTGCGGGAATATCAGTAGCAGACGAGTTTGTGGGCGCTGTTGGTGCCGTGGTGGAGGTGTGGAAGAGTTCGTCGTGGTTGGGCGGCGGCCTGGAGGCATTTTCAAATGCCAGTGTGAGTTCAATGACAGGCAGGCGAGGAATCAGCGTGGGCGCCGAGTCCGGCGTCTGTGCACGAGGCACGGGGTCGTCGGACGATAGGTGGGAGGACATTGGAGGCAGCAAAAGGTGTCGGGTAAGTTTTCACGACAAACTGGAAAATGGACGGGTATGATAAGCGGGGGAAGGGCGTTACGAGCGCGAAAAAGGAACGGCGGTACGCAGCAGAAAGACAGCAGCGGACAAGAAACTAACGAGATTGGAGGCACTCAGCACACCACATAGACTGGGGGGTGAAAAAGAGAAATGGTATTTGTTGTTAGAGGGAGTTGGTATTTTTTTTTGAGGATGGTTACCTGCAGTACGACAGGTTGTTACCCAGTCGCACTGGATTCGCGGTGAGGCTTGCAAGACAGAAAAGGGGAACAAATGATGGAAAGAATAATAGGGGAAATTCTGCAGAGAAAGTTTGATGGCATCGAAGAAGTAAGAGGGTTTATATATTGTGGGTGGAAGTATATGTCCGGAGCCTTAGGGAGGTTTTTTTTTGCAGCCATGTTCAACATCAAGGCTTGAGTCTTGTTGGTGCAGTTGGCAGCCCGGGCCATGCGAACGCTCGATGCGGGAAATATTGCGTCTGATACTAAGGCTGGGATCTGCATTCTATGGTGCAACAGGGGAGGAATCATTGTGAACAATTAGAACCATATAAAGTTAGACATGGAAAAGACTGGTAATTATGGTGAAAATCTAGGATTTAGGAGTTAGAAAGGACTTCAGTATATATGTTTTGAAGATAATTACCATAAGAAACACCTGGAGACAGACCCTAAAAGTCGAGATTCCTTCATATTTGTTTACACCCTTTTGTTTTAGGCTCCTACATGGAGCTTCGTCAGTTGGGAGATCGACTCTAATGTAGGATATATTTTTTGACCAAAGTTTGGTTTTCATAGATGTCGATGCTGTTTGCGGAAGTTTGTGAAATGTTTCTGGAATTCTGCTTTTAATTTCTTTCATGTTTTCTTTAATTTTTCCCCCAAATTGCTTCTTTTTCACTAAGGCGACGTCTTACAGGTTTGGCGTTGTTAAAATGTGGTGAGAGTTAAATTCTGTACACGATTCAAGGCTTCGAGTTGCTTTGTCAGGTCTGCTTATAGACCTTATGGAAATGTTTTCTGTTCTTATTGGACCATTCGTTTCAAATCTGCTCACTGTGACTTTGAATGTGGTCTCAATTACTTTCCAGAGACCTCGATTAGGTTCCAGGGGCCCCGGTTAGGATCCAGAGACCTCAGTTACATGTCAGTGACTTGTAGAATTTGATTTCAATTTTCAATATTATTGTTACCTTATTCTTTATTCCTTCCGATTGCTTCTCCGTTTATTCCATGAATTTCTCCGCAATTTATAGGTAACAAGCTCCATTACCCCTTTCAGCATTGCAAATCACTGGGAGTCATGTATGTTTTTTGCATTGTGTACATGTCAATGTGATATCTCGATTTCGATTGAGTTGAAGAATTGTGAGTTGAAGAACTGACCTCAAAGTTGTTCCAGGAAGTACCATAAAAACATTTTTTAACCCATTTAAGTTATTATATCAGGCGTTCATAGGTAATTGGTATACCCACCGATCCTCTTACCTTCAACAAACCTGGAAGTTCCTACTGATCTCTAATTAGTGTTTTTAAACATGGAGATAAGATCCATAGTAAACATTCAAGGTTGACTTTATAATAGTGTCAATATCTAAGGGTGATCGATATTCTCAATTGTACTTTTACTTGGTGCTTTTCAACAGGCAAAACCTGATTCTGATGAAAGTTTGGACTGCCTCATAGCAAAAAGATTACTTTTTCAGAGACGCTTGACCGAGAGAAGCAACATGTGATAGGGCTCCATGCTTGCGTACTTGGCCAACAAAAGCTTCTTGGGGATTTCTTTATCTGTTGCGAGGATGTACAGTCAGTCCTGTGACTTGTTACCACGAAATAGTCATGTGAAGTACCATGAAATAGAACTTATGCTTGTACTGTGTAATGCACCGCTTACTTTCACATTCCATCTTAATCTTTTCTTCTTTTTATTCATATAAATAACCCCCACCATTAATTCACATCTATTTACTTCCATTGCAGAATTCGTCCTACTTCCTACTCCTTATTCTTCCACATTCTTAATTGTCATTGATAATTGGTGTCCTGTACATACCATCATCCAACCAAATTCGAGCCTGAAAAACACCGACCTAAAACTAGCAATTACTAGAATTCGATCGTATGTTGACGCCGCCAATGGCGGGCTCGAGCCATGATGCCGCCGTTATCGTGAAAGTGCATCGCTACTTTGCCCATTATACACCGCTAGATACCCAACATGTGGTAGCACCATGTTTTTCCGTTCACCACTAACTTCCAGACAAAAATGGCCGACCAGGTACAAGAAATCACTCCCACGTCGCAGAACTTGTTGAACGATAAGGTATGTTGAATTTATTTATTATTGTGGATTTCAGAGTTTTCCAAAATTGAATGGTGAATTGTTTGTTGAGTGAGTCGAGAAGCTGACACAATGGTTTATGATGTTTCTATCTTCAAATGTGTCCGATTCATGATCAAAATTGTCACTGATACACCATAGGCGTGTGTTCTGTATTCCGCCAATTTTCCTTTTGTTAATTTATTGCCTCCATCGGCAGTTTCCAACGATTTATTAGTACATTTGTTGATTGTTGGTCGTTCATTTGTCCAGTAATCCATTCATACATTTGTTCTTCGTCCATTCACAAATTCGTCCATTTAACACCTAAGCATTCCCTTATTGTCGAACAATCGATTATCCATTGGTATACACTTCCGCTCACCTTTCTACTCATATACTAACTTCCAGTGGGACCTCGTCTTATCCAACACGTTGATCAAGACCGGCTTGGGCTTCGGCGGCGGTGTTTTGGCATCCATCTTGTTCTTCAAGAGAAGAACCTTTCCAGTGTGGATTGGTGTTGGATTCGGGTTGGGAAGAGGCTACTCCGAGGGAGATGCCATTTTCAGATCAGACTACGGCATCAGAAGCTACAAGGCCTGATCATTGCATGACTGTTAATACAGGTCCAGATATTCCGTGATGTAAGATGTAGAAGGTGCAAGCCTAATTGTATTTGATGTTTTATTTTTCTTACTCAGCCTTTGTATGGTTTAGTCAAGTAGAAATTTGAAGAGTTATGAGAAAAGTTCCAACTATTTCTTACACTTTCCAATAAGATGGCCTACTATAGATATAAGGTACATCTCGCTCGATATCAGACAGCTTTCCAAAAATGAAAGTTCAACTCTCTATTGACAATCCTATTCTAATATTAGTTGGCCCCACTTGGAGTATTGGCCGCGTAACCAAGAAGAAATGGACCCACCTCTCTTATCAGGACATTATTCATCAATAATCCATTAATAACCCAAGTGACAACCAAATGACACCGAAGTTCGGAAAGTCTACCTTTGGCTTTACGACAGGATGTTTCATTCTGCCATTGGATCCCTTTAAAGTTCCACGTCCAGATTTTCCATTCACATGCCAAACATGGTGGCTTTATTCGCAATGTATCTCGGAATGTGAGAAATCGTTATCTGACACGGAATAAGTTCACTGTGGACTGTGATAACAACAAAAAAAAACCGAAAATGAAAACAAGAATGAAGAAAACACCACAGAAAGAGAAGCTCCAAATCGGAAATACAAAGTCAGCATCTCCACGTCCTCCACACGCTCTCTCCATTACCATTTCTTAAAGTTCCTTCTATTGTTCTCACAATATATTCGCATGACGTCGTAGTACATTACTCACCAGATATTGTTTACGACACCTTTCATACTTCTTTGAACTTTCAGTAAGAAAACAAGAAAAAATACTATAATCCCATTCTTTCATTTCAAGAATTTTTATTTCCATCTATACAATTCGCATATCAAGATTTTTCTGCGCCTTTGTCTTTTCTCCATTTTAATCTTACCTTTTCCTATCTGATATCACCGTGTCGTCCGGATAAGACGGGTGCACCACCTACATCAGTGGCTTCTCCCCCAGATTTCGTCTTCAAGCATTCCCAACCACTTTCTTTCTGAAATGCCAGACTCGAAGGCACAGAGGCCGCCCCTCCCTCTGTTTGCCACCCCCAAATCGGCCGATACGCCGCTCTTGCTGCTTCCTGGTCCCGATCTACGCAATGCCATCACGCTTCCTAACTCTCCACTCCGAATCGTGGAAAACTCCAAGCCCAAACACAAGTCCAAGGTCGAGGTGGCGCCCGATCGTCAGGCTCAAATAGCTCGCATTAAATCCCTCGGCAAAATGGACATCCGGTCGCCGGTGCTCCCCAAACAACCAGGATCCTTTGGACTCTCTCCACATGTTACTCGAGACGACCAAATCTCGCTCTACACTACTCGAACCAACCGCACCATTGCGCTGCGGCTTTTATCGTTTGTGCCTACGTCTGCTCGTGCTGCACGCACCTACTATGACGATTTCACGACCATCGACTGGGCAAACGCATACATGCTGTCCAATAAGTTCGCGTACGAGGTGCATCATGGAATCCATGCCGACGTGGAGAAGCATCCGGATTTAGATTCGGATGAAGATGGTCCTAGATCATTTCTGTTCCTACAAAGAGCATATTATGATCTTTCCAAATGGCTCTTGATTGTGGTGGTTGCATTTTTCTTCTCCATCATCGCCTACACCATCGACAAGTTCGAGATCATGTTGGTTGGATTGAAATATGGCTATTGTAGAACAAACTGGTTTGCTAGCATGGTGACTTGCTGTGCTAAGACGGCCAAAACCAAACTGGTTGGTTCCCGAATGTCCTCGCGTGTCTCTGCTTTTGCAACTGATGAGTGTCCAGATTGGATCTCATGGTCCTCATACTTTGATAGCAACATTCATGTTCATTTCCGCGTGGATTACTTCATCTACGTAGTGCTTACAGTGCTGTTAGCGCTCATGGCGGGCCGCATTACCCTCACTACCAAGATTCCATCCAGGTTCCCTGCTGTGAAACGCAAGGTATTCGAACTGATGAACAACGATGACGGATCTCTCGAGTCTGACGAAGAAGACTTCTCCTCGCCAAATGAATCGACATCCTCACCAAATGAATCAGCTTCTTCCCCTGAAGAAACAGAAACAGAAACTACCACGTTGCAACCGCAGCAGAAGCCATTAGTATTATTCACTGCTGCAGGTTCCGGCGTTCCTGAGGTAAAAACAATCTTGTCTGGGTTTGTCTTGCGGCGCTTTTTGGGAACATACACCTTATTTGCCAAGACAGCAGCATTGATTCTTGCCATTGCCTCAGGTATGGCACTTGGCAAAGAGGGCCCCTATGTCCATTTAGCCACCTGTGTGGGAAACATTTGTACCAGATGGTTTCCCTATATCAACAACAACGAGTATCTCAAGAAGGAGATTTTGTCTGCTAGTGCATCCTCCGGTGTTGCGTTGGCGTTCGGCTCTCCTTTGGGTGGCGTCTTGTTTATCTTGGAGGAAATCAACAACTACCTTCCCTCCAATCAATTGTTTCTTATCTTTTTTTGTGCAATCACCTCCACGCTTTTCTTGAAGTTCTTGAATCCATACGGAACGAATAAGACGGTGCTTTTTGAGTTGAACTACACCCTGGACTGGCGTATCGGTGAGCTTCCGTTCTTCGTAATCATTGGCATAGCTGGAGGCATTTTTGGTGCTGCGTTCATTAAGTTCACCAAATGGTGGCCCAAATTTTTCCGCCAAAGAAAACTCATCAAGGATCACCCCTTGGTTGAGATTGCATGTGTCAGTTTACTCACAGGTTTAGTAACCTTCTGGAATCCATACACCAAACAGAACGCTGCCGAGTTGGTTCTTGACTTAGCAACTTCGTGCACAGCAAGTGAGATGGACGGCTCCTTGTGTCCACAAGACAATGGTCAGTTTCTCCTGGAAATTTATCGTCTTTTCATTGCATTAGTGATCAAAATCGTGCTCACCTTCATTACTTTTGGAATCAAGGTGCCCTGTGGCATCTATGTACCTTCGATGGTCGCTGGGGCACTCTTCGGAAGATTGTTTGCTATGATTATCAGATTAATTGGTAATGAGTTCAAAAACAACCCATCTCTGGCTGTTATCTGCTCAAGTGAGTCCACACTGTGTGTTGATCTCGGCATTTATTCCATGATAAGTGCTGGCGCTTTCATGGCTGGAGTGACCCGCATGAATATCACTTTGGCGACTATCTTGTTTGAACTCACAAGCTCGTACACCTACGTATTGCCAATTGCTATTGCTATCGCTGTGGCCAACTGGATGGGTAGACTTCTTGAAGAGAACTCCTTGTACGAATGCTTGTTGATTGCCAACGACTATCCATTCATGTCACCAGAGAAGGATGCTGTGGACCCTTTCACCACAGCAAAAGACCTTCTTTCCAAGCCAACTTCCTTTTCGGACAGAACATCCCCGAAAGAGAGTTTGGCATCGTCACAGCTGAATATGCGGCCTGAACGCCTTGATAGTCTTGAGCAAATGCAAGCTACTGCTGCTGATGTCCTTGGGCAACGAACTCCTGATTTTGATAGACTCTACATTGACATATCACATTCCCCATATGTCTCATGCTCTAAACTCCAAGGAAAGCTTAGGCTTTTAGCCAAACACTCATTACTTGATGGATGTATTGCATTAGTGAGAAACTCTATTTGTGTGGGTACCATTTACTTTTCAAATCTCGAGTTCTGCCTCGATAAGGTTCAGCTGTTCTCACTCGAATGTGACTTGAACGAAGAACTCTATTGTAAAGTGTACAGCACCAGCGATTACGGAGAAAGGCTCTGGGAATCGCATGACAGACATAATAAATTGGTGCTAGAAGAGGCATTGGAGTTGAGAAGATTGGCGGACTCTAGTTTGGGTAATAACCTGAATGATTATTTCAACTACGGGTCAAACTCAGAATACTTGGGGTTCGAAATGGAGAAGTTGGCCCTCAGCCAACAAATGAGAGACTTGTGTGATATCTCCGAGTACGTCAACACGACACCTATATTCCTCACTCATGACTCTCCACTTCCTCTAGTGCATTTGATTTTTGATCGCATCGGGACTCGTACAGTCATACTTCAACGTAACGGTAAGTATTACGGCTTACTTCATAAAAAGGCATTCATCGACTTCTGCAGACGAAGTGAGGATTGAGAGGTTGATTCCATATGGATTCTTACCTCCGGTGAATGGACCACTGGAGGATTCATCTCAGGTGGCTTTATTACGAGATCTCTTGTTGATTCATTTCTCTATACTTTTTCTTAGATCTTAACACAGCATGAGAGAAGGCAATAATTCTCTCGAGTAAGTCGATATTTTGTTTGGCCCCTACCCAATTGTAGGGATCGTTTAAATCAATTCCATCCTTTCCAGCTAAGAGACAATTTCGAAAAGCCTCCATATCTAAGCTTTCAATCACTTCTCTTAAACATGAGAAAATTTCGACAGAAACGGAGCTGCTGTGTAAAAAATCGAAAACCACAAGTTCCGAAATACACATGGTCAAACACTTGTTGACTAGACACGAGTTCAGAAAGAAACTTCTCAAGCTTTTCAATAAAAACAGTGGAATAGCCTTTTGGTAATCCAATTGAATGGATTGTGGAATCACATCATCGTTTTGATTTCTCAACTTCTCGTAGTAGTCCACTTCTTTGGCAACAAATCTGGGTAGGTTATACAAATATTGTTCCACCGTATCATGAAAGAACTGGAGACTCTCAAAATCCTCCAGTGAAATATCGTCCTTGTAAAGGAGGTTAATTGTCACAAAGTAGTTGTTGATATCGAACAATTTGGCCACGTTAGTCATAATCCCCAACAAATCGAACTCTTCAATGGTTCCTAGGGGCAGTTGTGGAGACAAAAGCAGTAGTCGGTGTTCCAAAACCGCAACCACCTCCATTTCTACCGCCTTAGAATCAACAGTCTCAAGAAGGCAAAAACAAACACGAAATAGCGACTTGCACTCTTTTACCAGAAGTAGAAACTGGTGTAGGTACTCTGTGTAGTGATTTGGTACATTCTCTAGCAGCATCAACTCTTCGAAGAATTGAATCTTCCAGTAGGAAGATAAGACTTCATGTTCATCAGCACTTTTCCAAGCAGTTTTCATAAGCATGACTCGACACCTTTCATCCATATCTTCTGAAGCAGGAAATTGCTGACTGAAATGGAAGCATTGAGCCACCTCATGTGGAAACACTTCAAAGTTGTCTAAGAAGAAATCCATAGGTACAAACAGTCGAGGACGAAGAAACCAGCTATTAAGAAGTTCTGGGTATCTTTCCAAAAGACAAACGAAATCTCTTCCAATCTTCTGGTTTTCGAGTTGGACTAGTGGAGGTTTAGTGTTGCAAAATGAATCACCAAACATTTGGTAGTAGAAGTCTACCACTAGTTGGTTAGATTGAATGATTCCACGAGCGTACCCAGATGAAAATGGGCCAATTTCATCTACTAAAGCATCAGAGACTGTTCGAATAAACTCCAGGATTGTATCCACAAGCTGTTTGGACGCTGAATGGGAGTTCCAGGTTGATAGTATCAATTCTTGCATCTCTGATTCGAAGATATTAGGCAACTGTGCTTGGCCAAGGAGTTTTGTGTTAAGTTCACGTATTAGAAGGGAAAGAGAAGAGTCGTTACTGGGATTTTGAAGCCATAGCTTCAAATCAAGCTTGACCGTTTTCACTAGAACACTGAGAGAAGATTGAGACATGGTGTGGGTGCAAAAAGAAGAGGCGTGAGAGATGACTGTTTTAGCAGAAAAGTGATTACTTTTAAAAAATGTTGTTCTTTTCAAGCATAGATGTTTGACTTAATGATGGGTCTATCTAATAGGGACTTTTTTCATCATTTCAGGTATATCAATGTACTGGTTTCAAGTGAGTTGTTCAATTTATGGTTGGTGAGCACCAGGGAATGGACGGAAAGTGTAAATCATCAACAAAAGAAGTCAAGAAAGCATGTTACATGAAAAGTGCCGTGAACACAAAAAAGAAGCTTGTAAGCGATAAGTATTGTATGTTAAATTCTTTTTTTTTTACGAATTCTGGAAATACAAGTTACTTTCGTGTTTGAATTAACTCAGAGTGGGTTTCATTATAAACAGCCTCATATCTTCTCAAACCAGGTTGGTAACATAAAACTAAATTAGAGACGTTTCGAATTGTCCATCTTGGTTTCAAGTTTTTGAAACGAGTATAAGACGTTCCTCAGATTTATCAGATTTTTTTAGATATATTCCTTGTTATATCATTCCTTCCACTCCTCTAAGGTTTCAGACTGTGTATACCTTGCCTCACCCTGAAACCTGATTATTTGCAGCCATTATTATTCCTATATAATCATCCTTACAGCCCACTTTTTATTCCGAACAACCTCCTTTTTAAATGTACTCCTATTCCAAATACGGCACCCGCTCGTCTTCCTCTACCACTCCCACCATCAAACCGTCTGCGTTCCCCAAGGGTCCTGCCGCTACCCAGAAACCTAATGCCAAGAAGCCTCGTGTGGTTGAAAACGACTTCTCCAACCAGTACGTCCATGCTCGCCAGTTATCTACAAATTACATCCGTAACGTTGATCTTCCTATGGATGGTTACCCCAAGCTTCAGAAATTGAAAGAGTTGAAGGCGACGCAGGTCTCCAAACACGCCTGTAAACCGTATGGTGTCCGTGTAGATACCCAGCTGATTGTACCTACATTGAACAAATGGGTTAACAACTTCTCGTTGCAATTTGATGTCATAATGATCGGGGCACTTGTGGAGAATCAATTCATTCTTCCACTTTTGAATCTGATGCCTCTCTATAAGCTCTGCGCCAAGCCAGGGTTTCTCTTCATTTGGACCACCACTTCCAACATTAAACAGCTTACGTACTTGCTTAATGGCGATAAGTGGAACAAGAAGTTTCGTCGTTCTGAGGAGCTTGTATTTGTGCCGGTTGACGAAAACAGTCCCTATTTTCCAGGGGACGTAAACGATGGCTTCTATGGCAATGCCGCTAACGGGAATGGCGAGTCGCTTTTGCGGCGTAAGCAATGGCACTGCTGGATGTGCATTACTGGTACGGTACGGAGATCAACCGACGCAGACATGATCCATTGTAACGTAGACACAGACTTGCAAATAGAGCATAGAGATGTACCCTCTCCTATGCAAGGTTATAACAACGCAGTGCCAGAAGCGATTTACACAGTGGCTGAAAACTTCTCCAATTCCAATCGAAGATTGCACATCATTCCGTGCAGAACAGGCTATAAGTTGCCTATCAAGATGAGAAAGGGATGGGTGATTATGCTGCCAGATGTTCTCGTGGATAACTTTGATCCAATTGAATATGAGGCGCAGATTTACGTCAAGTCTCAAGTAAAGTACAAGAATACTACTACGAATGGCCAACACAAACAGATTGCACAGTATTTGGTGCCTCAGACCGGAGATATAGAGGCATTGAGACCCAAGAGTCCAGTTTAATAAAAATTTCGATTTCAAGCTGAATTGTTAGTACTTTGTTGAGGAGACTAGTCCGTTGTCAGAAAATAAGTTGGATTAGGAAAAGATTATCAGCATCGCCAGAGACTCTGAGTGAGCTGAGTAAGGTTTTCATCATAACATGGACACCATGTGTACATACTGGTTGTTGATTGTTAGTTGTTGAAAAGTTTTCCTTAGAATAATTTTTTATAGGAGTCTGCGCGAATGGTATGTGCCGGGTAACTCTGAAGACAGCGAGGGCAGGAGAAGGTCGGAAATATTCCTTCAAAAAGCGGTGTGCATGTTGCAACGGTTAGAGCCCGGCCATTCACGGAAATGATGCGTCAAACAAGTCGAATCCGCGGGAATTAGGAGGTTCACTATGGATCAGACCATCACCTGCGTCGAGTGGACACTTCAAAAGATTGGATTAGCGGCATGCTTCCCGATTGGGATATGGAGAGCTTTGATTTTATGCGACTTTTAACCTGTAACGTGAACTTCAATAACTCAGGCCCATGGAGCCAATTATAGGGAAGACAAATACTGTTACGCAAAGCAATTGTTAACAAAGGCGGAACTTGCAAATGATGGAAGCCACCGAATTAGGTGGTCACCAATCCTGAATCAAGTGGAGAAAAATTTCCACAAAGGCGAAAGAAATTTCTTTGTGGAAAAGCGGTTAGCCGTGGGGTTAAGTACGAATGATGGTGGAAATCGACATTGGCTTTCTATCAACCAGATAAGCGACCAATTGAATCATTTTTGTGCACATTGACAATAACATTTGTTGAGATAGAATGTTGGATGTTCGGCACCGAACTTCACCGAGGTCCGAGTATTAATCTGATGACAAATGTATGTCGCCGGTTCCACCCTACAATTTCCGGATGGATTACGACTTCATCATATCCTGTAGGGGTACCTGCAGTATAGAGTGGGGCAAGCGAAGGCTCCGAATCCGAATTTCCAACGAACGAAGCGACGTCTTGACCAAACAGCACTAGTAATGGCACAGCCATTGACTTTCGTGCTTCTTATGAGATTAAGGTTCTCGGAGGTTTCCCAGGCTCCTAAATCGGAACCTCTTATGTCGGGAAACTGTCGGATTTTTCCAGCCATAGATCTTCTGCAGGACTTATCCACCTCCACAATATCCCCCGGAGTTTCTTGGGAATATAAAGAGTGGAGAATTCGCACCCCACAAGATCAGAAAATTTCCTATTTCCACCCTTTTATCGCAAAAAATCATGGTAGCTAAGATCGTCGTTAAGAATCCCATCGTCGAGATGGACGGAGATGAGATGACCAGAATCATCTGGCAATTCATCAAAGACAAGCTCATCTTGCCATACTTGGAAGTGGACTTGAAGTATTATGACTTGGGTATTGAGTACAGAGATGAGACTGACGACAAAGTTACCACAGATGCTGCTGAGGCTATCTTGAAGTACGGCGTCGGTGTCAAGTGTGCCACCATTACCCCAGATGAGGCCAGAGTGAAGGAATTCAACTTGAAGAAGATGTGGTTGTCTCCAAACGGTACCTTGAGAAACATTTTGGGTGGTACTGTTTTCAGAGAGCCTATCGTCATTGAGAACATTCCAAGAATCGTTCCAACTTGGAAGAAGCCAATCATCATTGGTAGACATGCATTCGGTGACCAGTACAAGGCCACTGACATTGTTGTGCCAAAGGCCGGTCAGTTGCTGTTGGTCTTCAAGCCAGATGATGGATCTGACACTCAAGAATTCGAGGTGTTCCACTACGAGAACCCTGGTGTGGCTTTGTCAATGTACAACACCGATGCCTCCATTACGGACTTCGCCGAGTCTTCGTTCAGAATGGCTTTGGACAGAAAGATGAACTTGTTCTCTTCCACCAAGAATACCATCTTGAAGAAGTACGACGGTAGATTCAAGGACATCTTTGAGGAGTTGTACGAGTCCAAGTTCAAGGAGCAGTTTGAGGCTGCTGGTATCTGGTACGAGCACAGATTGATCGACGACATGGTGGCTCAGATGTTGAAGTCCAGCGGAGGCTACATCATTGCCATGAAGAACTACGATGGTGATGTGCAATCTGACATTGTTGCCCAGGGTTTCGGTTCTTTGGGTCTTATGACCTCTGTTCTTGTTACCCCAGATGGAAAGGCTTTCGAGGCCGAGGCTGCCCACGGTACTGTCACTAGACACTACAGACAGCACCAGCAGGGTAAGGAGACCTCTACCAACTCTATTGCATCGATCTTTGCCTGGACCAGAGGTTTGATCCAGAGAGGAAAGTTGGACAACACTCCAGAGGTTGTAGAGTTTGGCCAGAACTTGGAGAAGGCCGTTATTGACACTGTGGCACTTGACAACGTGATGACCAAGGACTTGGCATTGACCCAGGGCAAGACCGACAGATCATCTTATGTGACCACCGAGGAGTTCATTGACGCAGTCCAGGTCAGATTAAACAAGAACTTGGGCTACTAAGCGGTGTTGACCACCTGAATAATTTATTGCACGCGATTGAGCCAAAGAGTATACTGCCGCTCTCAAGTCGAGCATCAAACTATATATAAGTAGCTCCTTTTAGCACGTCTTTTCATATTCATATTCATTCATTTCAGACATTTGTAGGAAGTACAGGATTGGCGGTCTCAGTTCGTTCCATTCTCACATCCGTACACCAAGTCAAACAACTCCATCACCGTTACTTCATCACCAATAATAATCCAATGAACGTCGGATCCATTCTCAACGGCGATTCGCCTCCGGATAATGATGACTCAATCACCTTCCCAGGTCAAGACTCAAAGCAGCCGCCCCTCCATTCGCGTCAGTCTATCAATGACCTACTCAACGATTCTCCTGCTGGAGGTCGACCACTGAACCAAGTCCAGAAACATCATAAAGTGGAGGCAAATTTGGGTGCCAGTGCATCAGACACATCGAAATTCCACTCTTCCGATATGCTGAATGGTCCAAGCCTTGCAAGTTCCAACGAGGATGAGTTAGAGAGCGTGGAGAAGGTAGAGACAGTAAAACAAGAAAGAAGCGACGACAATATAGGGGCTAAGAACGGAGGAAAACCTCCGGTAAAGGGAAATCAGCTCGTAGAGTCTGAGCTCGAACGTATAAACAAACTCAAGCTGACATCTAAGAAGCCCCACCGCTATACGACTCCACCAATTTGGGCGCAAGAATGGATACCTCCATCGCAGAGTGGAAGACGAGATGCTGGCGTTGTCTTTGCTGCTCCCACCCAAGAGACAGGCGCTAGCGCAACACTCAGTCAGAAACCTGTTTTCGACCGTAGCACCACGGTATCCGCAGATCTCGAATGTCTGATAACTGGGGTGATTCCTCCGCAATCGGTGGTGCGCACCATTGCTGAGTGGATTTATGCCAACTTCGTGGAGATTGCCGTTGAAAATAGGCCATATGTGGAGCTTGAACTCAAATTCGGCACCATTGTGGACCAAGTGTCGGGGCACCGCATAGACATTGGAGTTTCCACTGAATGTATTTATACACGGGGAGCGGAGGCCCGGTTTGAAATGGGCGTACATGAGGTGGGATGGAACGACATGAAGACGTTTTTGGGCGAGTTGGAGAAGAGCTACCAGGATGAAAATCGCAAGAACCCCACGAAGCCCAGACAGAAGTTCTCGGTGCTTGAAACAGATAATACTGACTACTTCTTCCTGAACACCGAGCGCAATGAGATGCCCAAAAAGATCCGTATCACAAAGGATAACTCCTTGAGTCCGCCACGGTATACGGGAATTCTGAAAAAACGGTTGTCTGACCTCTACATCCACAATCCGTCGTCAATGTACGATTTACGTCTCTCACTCTCGTTGGAATTTCCTATTGATGAGAGCAGTGTGGAGCCTATCATGAGGAAGAACAAGCCCACACTCACACGAATCAAGCGGCGCACGTCTTGGAGACACCCTCCCACGGTGACGCAGTTTGACTTCACCATGGTGCTGCTGCCCAAGACCACTCGCAACAAGCTGGGCAAGAATGTGACGGAGCACGAAAACACACATGAGTTGGAGTTGGAGATTGATACTAAAGAGATCTTCAAGGGATTCGACAAGATCCGCGATGGATCCGATACTATTCGGTTCGAGGAGTTGGTGGAAGTGTTTTTGAATAATGCTCGGTGTCTCAACAACCGAGTGACCAAGCTTGCTTCGAAGTAATGTAACATAGATGAGTAGAAATGGATGTGATAGGTTAGTGGACATATGAAAGGTAGTACTTGGGAAAACTGGAGGGAAGTGTGAGAGGAAGATTGTAGGACGGGATGCTGTATGGAGGTGAGCAGTGGAGCAGAAATGAAACCGGAAGTATATTGGATGCGATAGAGGACAGAATAGGGAACGTTCACCAATGGAGACCTTCTTAGAATTGATTTAGAGGAGAGGATGATATGATGAAGAGGGTAGAGGTATATGCTATGGGTAGCCATAAACTGAAAAAGGTAGACTTCTGTATAATAGGATGACAAGTTAATCAGAAAAGATCGATATATGGTGAATTTGAGCGAAATCATATCAAATGGAAAATTTATATCAAAACTCAACATACTTCTGTCGCAAGTAGAAATTATACTGAAGGTAGTCAAGCTATATCTCTAAAAATCCAACTGCTGTAACAATCCAATGTTGGACTAAAACTATAACGAAAATGATTCTGAAATCATGAAATCAATAAAATTAACAATAGTCAAGTTTGGAATATTTTTGCAAAAGTATATATTCCTCAGCCATCCAACTTTTTGCTAATTTAAGGCAGATTTGACAGAAGTGCGGGAATGTCGATCTTCCACTTAGATAAATCCTGTCATTAAAATTCTTTCAACCTAAACTACAAAATCCAAAAACCAAAAACCATCAAAAAGAAAAAAAAAAGAAAAAACATTTGCTAACATGATCACCAACTCTCTCTTTTCAAATTTTTAATGCCCTTGGTCTCTTTTCTTTTTTAGTTACCTCGAGGTTGACACCGCGTGTGTACTGCACATAACATGGGCAAACTATAACCAAAGGTTCACCTAATAGATTTGATCAAACCACGGTGTTATCAAATCATGTCGTGGCCAGTTTATGTCGCTTCAGCGGTCGCTACGCTTCTAGCGCTCGTCTATGGAGCTATCATTCTCTTCTCTCACCAGCCACGTCTCCCTACGCCGTCAGAACTGAAGTATTCCACAAACGATGCAAAAGGTCCAGTTCATGACTTACCGCCTCGACTCTCGTCAGGTAAAATCTCCGATTCGTCTTTAACGCTATCAGTAGTCGTGCCATGCTACAATGAGACCGCCCGCTTGGGCAAGATGCTTGATGAGGCCGTACAATATTTACAAGAGAATCATCCAAATGACTATGAGATTCTTATTGTGGACGATGGAAGTAGCGACGGCACCGCCGACTACGCGTTGGAGCAGGCGTCAACGTTGGGTCTTGCACCGCATGCGCTTAAGGTGGTGAAGTTGGCCAAGAACAGAGGTAAAGGAGGTGCTGTAACCCATGGCATTTTGCATGGATCAGGTAAGTACTTGCTCTTTGCTGATGCTGACGGAGCCTCCAAATTCAGCGATATGAGTAAGCTTCTCGAGTACTTGCGCTCACAGCCCGCTGACAAGGCTGCTATTGCTATTGGTCTGAGAGCACATATGGTCAACACCGATGCCGTGGTCAAGAGACTGTTCATTCGTAATTTCTTGATGTACGGCTTACACACATTGGTTTACATTTTTGGCATCCGAAAGGTCCAGGATACCCAGTGTGGGTTCAAGATGTTCAACAGAACTGCGGTGGCTAATATATTCCCACACATGCATACCGAGCGTTGGATCTTTGATGTGGAGATCTTACTTTTGGGCGAGCTTCAGGGCATGGCTATGAAGGAAGTTCCTGTCAATTGGCAAGAAATCGATGGTTCAAAGGTCGATTTAGCCAAGGATTCCATTCAGATGGCCATTGACCTTGTGGTTACACGCATGGCATACATTTTTGGCATCTACGGGTTGGACGAGTGTGGAAGAAAGTAAGGCCCTTATATTTGCAGTGTACCCATTTTGGTGACCATTAGCACGATATCCAGGACAACTCGGGCAGAGAATACTACACTCGGGCAAGGATAAGTACATTCGGGCAGGGAGAACCACTTCCGGGCATATCGACTACCTTTCATGGTCATTCCCACAACACATCTCATAGACTTATACAATGGAAAATGAAGCAATTTCCACCTACCAGTCATTTTACGAAAAATCCTCAAAGAGAGAAGTCTGTTCCACATACACCTCTTATTGGAAATAACCCATGTACAGGTCATCAACCAGAAACATTATTTACATTCTTATTCGAAATTTTCGAAGCGCCCCTTGCACCAAATCCACAACCAATTTTGCCCACATATCATAAATGTCTTTCATGAAAAACCCCTGCCTACATTTCGAAACCATTTGCAGCCCTTCCGCTAGCTCTTCCACTGCCTTTGTTGACGAAACCTGTCTCTGTCATAAAATATGTCGATTCATGCATATAGCAGTTGTCTAGATCAACTACTCAAGGCAAGGCTTAGTACTAGCAAGTCCCAATCCCCATTGCGTACTTCTGAACCTCAAAAAATTTCCTTAGGTATTCAGAGATTCATAAAATTGCCTATATTTATGAACTATATACTTCCCCGAAGATGGGTGATGGCTATAGTAGCATTGGTAGTGGTAATCAACCTATTGTTCTACTACCAATACACTGTTGAAATTATCGAATTGTTTCCAGAAACTCTAGTGACGGGAGTGTGGAAATTCGACCATGACCACAAATACTACGTGGTGGACTCCGAATTGGTTGCTGACTCTAATCTACGCTCTGTCCTCGAGAAAGCAGAGGCTCTTCCCTTACCCGGGAGAGAAGTTAAGAAAGTGATCGTGGAGAAGTTCACGGCCAACGATGGTGCAAAGCTAAAGAAGATAGAAAAAGAGGTGCATGAAAAGTACTTGGATGAATTCACAAAAGAGTTTCGCAAAGTTGTTCTAGAAGATGTGCGTGGCCAGATGTCCAGAGATTACGCTTCGGTGTTCTTTATGAACATGGTTAAGTCCTACGAGGTGTTAGACCAGCAGAGAGCGGAATATCTCAAGACGAACGAAGAAAAGATTTTGAATGGGGTTTTGCATGGTCTTTTGGTCGGAACTTCTGACCAGGAGCTCAAGTCCAAGATCGATGCCTTGGACCGGCTTCTGGTCGACAGAACAAATTATTTCCATTTTTTGATCGATGATGTGATCTTAAAACACGCTCCTCGGGAGCCACAGCTTACTACGTTGTCTAAAGGCAAGGAAATTGGAGGAAATATGCTTAATGAGTTGGGACTTACGTACTCTCGAAACTTTCTCACCGACAAAAGAACGAAACTTAATGAGATTCAGTTTAAAGAACTCCAAGAACGCCACGATGAGATTGTCAGAGACCTCCGATCAATGAGTATGCCTCCACCTGAAATATATGCTGGTGAGGGCATAGTGATTGTATCTGACAAAGTGTCCATACCCGCAGCGATTGGATTGGTCGTTCAGCTTCGTGAAGTCAAGTCCGAGTTGCCTGTGGAGGTTGTGATTAACTCGGAGGAAGACTACAACTCTCAAGTATGTGAGGAAACCTTGCCCAAGTTCAATGCTAAGTGTAAGGTGATAGAGAGGGAGTTGACCTCGGAAAAGTATAGCAAGCTCGGCCTTAAGCACTTCCAGATGAAAATGATGGCCATTTTGGTGTCGTCTTTTGATCATACAATTGTTTTGGACGCCGACAACTGGCCCACTAAAAGTCCTGATTTCCTTTTTTCTACCGAACCATACAGAGAGACAAGATTCATTTTATGGCCCGATGCTTGGCACAAAGGAACGTCTCCACTCTACTATGACATTGCCCGCTTCGAGGTGGGCGAGATTGTCCATCGAAATGGATGGAGTAATGAAAAGCCTTTCTCCGAGTATATTGTAAAGGATGTTGACAAGGAAGTGATGTTCCACGATTTTGATGGACTTCCACCATTCAGAGGGGTGGAATCGGGACAAATCGTTGTGTCCAAAAGAGAGCATTTCAGAAGTTTATTCCTAGCGGCATACTATAATTTCTACGGGCCCCAGTTCTACTATCCATTACTCTACCAAGGTACATTTGGTTCCGGCGATAGAGAAACGTACATTCCGGCCCTTCATGTTATGAACGAGCCTTATAACTTGTGTGACTATGAAATGACATTTGTGGGAGTAGATAGGAAGGATTTTAAGGGTGAAAATTCATACATGGACGAAAGTACCATGGTTCAAAGAGATCCACAGCAGTCGCTTCGATATATACGAGCTTGGAGAGGGTGGTTAAAATCGAAGGGTCTTGATTCTCGGTTGGATCCATTCCAGGGAAATAAGTATACTGAGGATTTACGGACGCAGTTTGTTAGGGAAACAAGCACGGAGATACCTGAGGCACTCTTCATGCATGTTCACGATCCCAAAATTAATGCACTTTACAATGAGCAAAGTGAAAAGACGAGATATGATTACAAGTCACGATATATTCGGGAGATTGGAAAATTTGACGAGATTTTGGGCAGTACCGATTGGGAGCTCAAGTTCCAGACTATCAACATGTGGGTGACGTGTGAAGCATTAAAGCGTAATGAGATTTGGAAATCGTTTTTGATCGACCAAGAAGCTACATGTCAAAAGATGATGGATTATGTAAGTTACTTGGCTGAGACGTCTAATGACGTGACGTCGGGAGACATTAGAGCGGTTGACGTATTAAGTGGACATTTAAAGCAGTCTGAAAACTCTGGACAGGATAGGGCATCAGTCCCAATGGCAGCTGAAAAAGAGGGCAAGGAAAAGGACGAAGAGAGGGCTGAAGTTCAACCACAGGGAGACATTGAAGTGGGGAAAAAGCTTGAAGAAAACGCCGATTTGCAAGCACAACCTGAAAGTTAGCCGAAGGAAACAGTTGAAGAAAGTACTGAAGTAAAGAATGAATTGCAAGTGCAAGCTGGAAGCGATGCGGAAGTAGACGTCGCAAAAAAGGCGGAGGTCCAAGCACAAGCTGGAAGTAGGGCGGAGATAAAAGACGAAGCACAGCTGAAGTAAAGGCTGGTGAAAAAGCAGGGGATGCTGAAGCACAATTTGCAGATGGAATACAACCCGAAGCTCAAAGACATAGGCAAAGACAAGGTCAGGAACCGGGATGCTCAGGATAAAGAGCACAACAGAAACTTCATGAGGGATGAATCGCAAATGCTAGTGATAAACAGATTCCGGGTGAGTCAAAGTGTTTAGAAATGAACAAGAGATGACAGATTACGAGCTGTCAGATGAATGACATGTACTAAATTCAAAATACCGATAACGGTCAACGACATAACAAAATACCTAGACAAAGGCTCATTGAGATTTTACATGACCTTTGCATCCATTTAAGTCAGCTACCAGCGATATGGGCGAATAGTCAACATTTCGAATGACTGGTGTGAATACACGGAGTTTTGAGTCATCTTCCATTAGTAATCGGAGCATACGGAAACAAGTTCAAAGTTCCCACAACTCGAGAAACTTATCTATCAAGTGAGCCTTGGTCCTGGTGTTCCATCGAGCCCTTCTACAGAACCTAATAATCCCACCCAATAATTTTTTTATTCCGCAAATCTACAGCGGTGGACATTTCTCCATTTTGCAACCAGGTTTCGCATCCATCTACTCCACTTGGGTCCACGTGACTTGACTCCACCTCGACCTCCGAAGTTTACCAGTAATCACCACCAAAATACCCCAAAACACCCCGAACCAGATCCAAACCGCCGTAAATGACTCCAAACGCATAAATCTCCGTCATCCAGCCTATTTCCACGCCATTTATGTCCGCCACCTTCCGTTGGTCATCTTCGGAGCATACGTGCCCGGCCAATGCGACCCTAAATATGCCGGGCTCTGTCCTCCATACAAAAGCAAGCTTCGGTGCGATCAATCAAACTCTCTAAAAAAAATTACCATCCACTACTCATTCCCCCATGTTGAGATCCAGTGTAAGACAATTTGTCAGATTTAACTCGTCCAAGGCCGGCCATTACGATGCCGTGGTCATTGGTGGAGGTCCAGGTGGCTACATCCATGCCATCAAGTTGGCCCAGCTCAACTACAAGACCGCATGTATTGAGTCCCGTGGCTCCCTTGGAGGTACCTGTTTGAACGTGGGATGTATTCCTTCCAAGGCCTTGTTGAACAACTCGCACTTGTACCACCAAATTAAGCACGATTCCGCCAACAGAGGTATTGAGATTGCTGGCGATGTTTCTGTCAATGTGGAGAAATTGCAGGCTGCTAAGGAGAAGGCTGTCAATGGCTTGACTTCCGGTATTGAGATGCTTTTCAAGAAGAATGGTGTCACCTACTTGAAGGGTCACGGCTCTTTTGTGGACGACAACACCGTTTCTGTTAAGCCAATTGACGGTTCCGAAGAGTACAAGGTCACTGCAGACAACATCACCATTGCTACCGGATCCGAGCCTACTCCATTCCCTGGCATTGAGATTGACGAGGAGAGAATCGTTTCTTCTACCGGAGCTTTGGCTTTGAAGGAGGTTCCAAAGAAGATGGCCATCATCGGTGGTGGTATCATTGGTTTGGAGATGGCCTCAGTGTGGTCCAGATTGGGCTCTGAGGTTACCATCATCGAGTTCCAGAACGCCATCGGTGCTGGTATGGACGGTGAGGTTGCTAAGTCCACCCAGAAGTTGTTGGCTAAGCAGGGCTTGAAGTTCAAGTTGGGCACGAAGGTCACCAAGGGTGTTAGAGAGGGCGACAACGTCAAGGTCGGAATTGAGGACGTCAAGTCCGGTAAGACCGAAGAGATCGACGCCGACGTGTTGTTGGTTGCCATTGGTAGAAGACCATACACCAAGGGTTTGAACTTCGAAGCCATTGGTTTGGAGGCCGACGACAAGGGAAGATTGGTCATTGACTCTCAGTACAGAACTGCCAAGCCACACATCAGAGTCATCGGAGACGTGACTTTTGGTGCCATGTTGGCCCACAAGGCCGAAGAGGAGGGTGTTGCTGCTGCTGAGTTCATCAAGACCGGTCACGGCCATGTCAACTACGGTAACATTCCTTCTGTTATGTACACTCACCCAGAGGTGGCTTGGGTTGGTGCCACCGAGGAGCAGTTGAAGGAGCAGGGTATCAAGTACAAGGTTGGTAAGTTCCCATTCATTGCCAACTCCAGAGCCAAGACCAACTTGGACACTGACGGATTTGTTAAGTTCCTCGCTGATGCCGAGACCCAGAGAGTCTTGGGATGCCACATTATTGGACCAAACGCTGGAGAAATGATTGCTGAGGCCGGTTTGGCTTTGGAGTACGGAGCATCCACTGACGACATTGCCAGAGTGTGCCATGCTCACCCAACTTTGTCTGAGGCATTCAAGGAGGCTGCCATGGGTACTTTTGGTAAGACTCTTAACTTCTAAGTCAACCAAGGAAACTAGTAAAATACAGATTACATATAGAGTACTGTAGGGTGTGAGATGGAGGTGTGTTAGTCATTTGAATACAATGGTTCTAAAGGATACTTCGGAAACGGATAGGATGGATGTACCGAACACACAGGCAAGACATTACCAACAAATTGAGCATTGAATCGATAGCATTGAAGGTATTGAAAAATTGAATACATTGATAGTATTGATGTCACTTATATATGTGGTCGGTGGAAGCAATAAAAATTCGATCTATAATTTCACCAATGCATTTCCTATGGTTGCATATGATTGCTCGAAGTAAACAGATTGCTCAGAGTAGACAGCAACACCATTCAACAACACCTAAACTTCTACAAATTGATAATATTGTATTATAACATGTTTATTAGTACACAATGGCTTGGAACAGCCCGCTCAGCCTGTTAACCCTGTCAACAGTAGACGTCTATCGAGTAGAAATAATGTACACAGCGTGAATGATACCTGGAATGTAACCAAGAATAGTCAAAAGAATGTTCAAGAAGAAGGCACCAGAGCAGCCAACCTCAAGGAAAACACCCAATGGAGGCAAGATGATGGCAATAATGATCTTAAAGATGTCACCGCAAGTCATTGTATAATTATTTGAATTATTTGATGGTGATAACCAACGGGCATTTCCCCCACTATATATACCGTTCCCCAAGCAGCAATGTTGCTAAGCCGCACATCATTCATTTCATTAATAGACCCACCGGGCCCCTGTCATACAGGTTATGAATTCCTAATTTCTTGTATGTGGTCATGACAATGTTTACAAGTGCTATGTACCTTAAATAGTATAGCAATGCTTGCGCCTACTATTTTCTTCGTGGCTTGGACTCCTTGTATTTATGATGAAGCACTTCCTAATTTGGAGATTGAGTTGCCAGATAGACGAGCACACATGACCTGTAGGTAGAGGTTGCTAGCAACGGCAGAAATAGCAAAAAACAGGAACATGACAAGAGCAAAAAAAAAAAATGTGACTTTGGTATGAGTCCATGACATGAGGCCAATTTCGGAAATAACCCCAGTTACGTCGCCAGATGAGATCTTTGCAAAAAGAGTCGTGGTGGTAAAACCTGAGGTTGTGTGTGCTAGGATTTACGCGTGAGCGGGCTCCAATGCACCATCACCAGCGTAATCCACCGCACAATGAAAAAAAAAGAGTCAGATTAACCACCTACTAAATCAACCATTTCGACACCAAAAAACTCACCATGTCTGATTTGTCGTTGAAGTTGTTGCAGGCTGTCGACCAGCACTCTGGTATTTCCAACACCTTGGAACTTGACGAGTTCAAACTGATCGATGCTAATACTTTACAGGCTTCGTTGACCTCATTGTGGGCCAAAGAAATGATCACTTTCAATAAGATCGAGACAGACTTATGGGTGTTGACCGATGAGGCTAAGCAGTTCTTGCAGTCTGGATCTCATGAGATCCGTGTGTTGGATGAGGTGCTCAAGTCCTTGGATGGTTTGAAAATCGCAGATGTCAACACCAAATTGGGTCTGGTAGGAAAGTTGGGTCAAGGTAAGGCTTTCAAGAACGGCTGGATCGCAAAGGATGGTGACAAGTTGGTGGCAAAGGTACTGAGCTTGCCTGAAGACACGGTGGTGACTCAATTGAAGGAAATTGAGAAATCCGGATCTTTGCCAGACAAGAAAGAGTTGGCCGAGTTGAAGAAGAGAAAGTTGGTCACCATGACCAAGATCATCGGCTACAAGGTCGACAAGGCTGCCAAGTTTGCCTTGACTATTACCAATTACGAGACAGACATCACCTCCGATATGATTACCACCGGTAGCTGGAAAGACGCCGATTTCAAACCATACAACTTCAATTCCGAGGGTGTTTATCCATCCAGTGGAGCTTTGCACCCTTTGATGAAGGTCAGAGAGGAGTTCAGACAGATTTTCTTCTCGATGGGTTTCACTGAGATGCCTGCTAACCAGTACGTGGAGTCTGGTTTCTGGAACTTCGACACATTGTTCGTTCCTCAACAGCATCCTGCCAGAGACTTGCAGGACACCTTCTACTTGAAGGACCCAGCTGTGGCTAAGAAGCCAGAGGATGACCAGTACCTCAAAGACATTCAAGCCGTGCACCAAGACGGAAAGTTCGGCTCCATCGGCTACAGATACCCATGGAGAGAGGAGGAGTCGCTCCGGATGGTTTTGAGAACCCACACCACCGCCATTTCCGCTGCCATGTTGAAGAAGTTGGCAGAAGATCCTAAGCCTACCAGATTGTTCTCTATTGACAGAGTGTTCCGTAATGAGGCTGTGGATGCCACTCATTTGGCCGAGTTCCATCAGGTGGAAGGTGTTCTTGCCGGTTATGACATCACCTTGGGTGACTTGATTGGTTTCATGGAAGATTTCTTCTCTAAAATGGGCGTGGACGGTTTGAGATTTAAGGCTGCCTACAACCCATACACTGAGCCATCCATGGAGATCTTTGCCTTCCACAAGGGATTGGGCAAGTGGGTCGAGATTGGAAACTCCGGTATGTTTAGACCAGAGATGTTGGAGCCTATGGGATTGCCAAAGAACTTGAGAGTGTTGGGATGGGGTCTCTCGCTTGAAAGACCTACTATGATCAAGTACGGAGTGTCGAACATCAGAGAGTTGTTGGGCCACAAGGTGTCGTTGGACTTCATAGAGACGAATCCTGCTGCCAGATTGGATGAAGATTTGGTCGGTTGATAGATAATGGAAACGAGAGAGAGAGACAGAAGAGTAGTGATGATATGTAAATATAAGTAGTGGAATTCGAGCCATATTTTAAGACCCAAATTAGGAGTTTCGAGGATAAATAGAAACTTCAAATACCCAATCTTTCTGTTTTATCTAATAAATTTTTGATTCGTAAGGCATTCAAATTGACATGGCAAATTTAAGATCCAGAATCTAAATACTCATTTGACTAACTACAGTCTTGTATCCAGTCGCATAAATTTCATTATCACCAACACCTTCCAACTTCTCCACATCCAAAATGTCGCCAGACACGTCGCTGCTACCTGCCTCGGCAGAGTCCAAGGCACCACTTACAAAGAAGACCAAGAAGGCTCCTGAAGAGGAACATCTATGTCGCTGGATCGGATGTCTGGCGTCCAAATTCCCTTCGTTGGCTTCCTTGGTAACTCACGTTAGTAATCGCCACTTGCTGCAGATGTCGCACATGCCAGTCACCACTCCGGCTGCTCCTATTCGTTACTCTTGTCAATGGGAGGGTTGTTCAAGATTTGATGTGGAACAGCCGTCGAGGTTTGCTCTCATTTCGCATTGTCGAACTCACACGGGTGAAAAGCCGTATTTTTGCCCCATTCCCGAGTGTGAAAAGCATTTCACTCGTTCGGACGCTTTGGCCAAACACGTTAAAGGTGTCCATGACTTACACCAGCACAGAGACGCCATAGGACTCATGAGATACCGAGCAGATAAAGGAAAGTCTGAGTTTCCGGCAGATTTCAACTTGGACGAGTTAACGGACGAGAAGTATGCTGCTCTTTTGAATAGGGATTATGAGCTCCGCATGCCGTGGTGGTACCTGAAACGGTTTGCGGATGCAGTGGCTGAGGATTCTCATACTTTGAAAGACTTGTATGATCAACCAGTAGACACAAGACAATACGATCTTGCCAATGTCCGATACAAAAAGTACTTGGCAAACCCCGAGGACGAACTAATTGGAGCTCACGAAGTGGAAAACAACGGGCAATTGGCAGAACTAAGTCAAGAGACCAAGCTGGTGGTGAATGAGTACGTTGAGTCGCCAGACATCCCTAATGGATCCACATTGGCTGAGCTTCGCCATGCATACGATAGACTACTGCTGATATATTCCACTGCCAACCGTGTGAATAAAATCTTGACTAAAAAGTTGGCATCTGCCACCAAGGAAAAAAGAAGGCTCTGGGCAGTGAACCAAATACTCTTGGACGCCAATGTGGAGGCTGGACTCCCACCACGGACGGGAGAACCTGTTACTCGAGATGCATTGGACGAAAACTTGATGAAAGAAGGAATTGAATAGACGAATGAAGATTTTGCAACGATCGACATGGAACCACTGTATGCTTCTGTATAATCTGAACCTACACTTACATACTTGGGTACTTAAAATCTCTTCCCATCCACCTCTTTGTTCTCCTCTACCTTTAGTTTTAATAAATGACGTCTTGAAACTTCCTCTCTAACTCGTGATATCTATTTCCTATGGTACATGCTAACCTCTTCTCTGCTTCTTGTGCTTCTTCTCAATGGACTTTCCACTGGCTCCAATGGTGATATTCACCTTAGGAGGAACGTCAAATCCGAACGACTTGGCCACCTTGACCAAATCCAACTTGTCAATCTGGTACACCGTCTTCAAGTGGTGTGATGCGTATGCTTGCAAGTACGATCTGTATCCGTCTTTGGCCGACTGGTGCAACCAGAAGTTGCTCTTGATCAACTTGGACAACTGGCTTTGGACATTAGCGATCTTGTTGGTTGGGAATTCGTACTCGTTAAGCGGAACATTGGCTGCCTTCAAGTATCTCAAGAATCCCAACTCAGAGGGTGTCAAGAACATCAATGACTTACCCTTACCTTGAGTACCTCTGGCAGTTCTTCCGACTCTGTGAATGTAGTCTCTTGGATCATCAGGAGGATCGAACTGGACAATCCAGTCCACGGCAGGAATATCCAAGCCTCTGGCAGCCACATCAGTACAGATCAAGATTCCTTGCTTGGCGTTACAGAACTCAAAGAACGTGTTGGTACGTTTGGCCTGCTTTTGCTTTCCATGCAAGTCCAAAACTGGCAAATCGATATAGTTCAACAACTCTCCAAAATACTTGACACAGTTACACGAGGAAAGGAACACAATGATCTTCTTCTTTGCGTTTCTCTTCAAGAACGAGAACAAAAGCAAGAAACGCTTGTCACTCTCGCATACAACGTATCCCTGTTCTAAACCGTCAGCAGTGGAAGCAGCGGACTCAGGAACGACGTTAATATACAAAGGTCCGGGTCTCAAGGACATTCTGGCCAAATCCTCCACCTTAGTGGTCTGAGTAGCCGAGAACAACATGGATTGTCTATCTTCGTTGGGCAAGATCTTGATGATCTGCTTCATCTCCTCCTCGAATCCAATCTCCAAGATTCTGTCAGCCTCGTCAATGACAAGTGCCTTCAAATTCTTGAAAACAAAGCCCTGTGTATTTTGCAAGTGATCCAACAAACGTCCGGGAGTGGCAATCAAGAGATTGACACCCTTAGCCAACTTGTCGGCTTCCTGTCTTCTGTTGGCACCTCCAATGACAATACCGAATGTCTGAGTGTGATGCTCCATCAACTCACGGGCTACTCCAAAGATTTGAAGGGCCAACTCTCTTGTGGGCGAGATAATAACCACACCGGTACCGTTTCTGGGCTTGAACTTCAACGAGTATAAGAGCTCAATGGCTGGAATTAAAAATGCTAACGTCTTACCAGATCCCGTCTTAGCTGCTCCCAAAACGTCTCTTCCTGCCAACAATGGTGGAATAGTCTTGGCCTGGACTTTGGTCATCTTAGTGAAGCCCATCTGATTGATAGCCTTCATGGTTGGCTCGGAGAATCCAGCCTTTTGGAAATCATAGTTGTCATCGTCATCATCGGCACTTTCAGCTAGGGCCTGGGCCTGGGGCTTAAGAGCCTTGTTTTGTGTTTCTTCCTCATCGGCATGCTTTTTCTGCTTCTTTTCCTGCTTGGCAGACTTAGCTTCTGGGTCCTTGATGTCTTCTCCAAGAAGTTGAGCTACCTCATCGAAATCTTCATCTAGTTCTTCAACCAACTTTTCCGAGTCGGACACCTCGACGTCCAGAGCGTCATCTTGGTGCGATCTCTTCTTGGATTCCTTCCGAGGCTCGCTTTTCTTGCCAGATTTGGATTTTTTGGCCATGATAGATATTGAGATGGAGTTTTTTTTTTTGGAGCGAGATGAGCATAGTTATCATCGCGAACTGCAGACAGGAAGGGTCAATCTCTGGAAGTGAAAATGTGGAGACGTTGACAATAGCAGAAAACATTTCATTTACAAAAAGATAGAACTTACTTTTAAACGAAGGAGATTATCTTTAATTGATTTTTGGGGGGAGAATTTTGCTTTGTGTTGCGAACCGACAGATGTTAGACATCATGTGTTCTTGTCAGACTGATTAGTACATGAAATCACCAAAAGTTATACACATGATCCAAAGGAGCAATAGTCTTGCCAGGATACCTAATTGTTCCCATTTTGAAGATTCCCCTAACTCATTTTCCCCATTTCATACATCATATCCAAAAATGGAACTCTGAGTCAGCACCCACCTACCTGCAGTACCAACCATTCCCAATACTTAACTAAGCATCATCTTCAACTATTCATACACCAATCGAAAATGGCTCAGTATACTGTGTCTTCGACAAAATCATACATGCAGGCCATGGCTCCAATGTTGGACCTCTTGGCCTCGCTAGATTTCCCAAAAGAGACCAAAATACCTAAGATTGACTCGGAGAACCTTCCTCAGGCTCAATTGGATCTGATTTTACAATCTTTCAGTACAGTTTCCGTTGATATTCTCGATCAGATTTCAGATAGCTCCACTGCACGTGCTGCGGCTGTGGAAGAAATCGTCAGAGAGTGCAAAAGAGTTAGTAGTGACAGACAAGAAGATGAGAATGTTGTTCTCGACATTGTCAGAGGAATCGTCAGGGATAATTCTGGCGATGAAGAAGTCCAATCAGCATTATTTGATGTTCTAGGATTCGAGGAGTTTGAGCTTATATCCAAGATTGTCCAGAATCGTGGGTTACTTCTTGATGAACCTCCTCAGAGAGATCCATCAACGTTTACTCCCGAAGAACGTATTCAGCAGCTTATGATCAACCAAGAAAAGCGTAAAAACGAAAAATTGGCTCCTCGAGCCGCTGGACCCGGCCAATATCCACATGTTTTTAAGAAGCAAGATGTGGGTAACGTCATTGCAATTACTGGTAAACTGTATCTGTTGCCAAGTGGAACAACTAGAGAGAGCTATCCTACTCATGAGGAATTGATCATTCCATATCCACAAAACATTACCAACAAATATATAACTGATTCGCAGTTGGTCAAAGTGAGTCAGTTGGATTTTTTGTGTCAGGGAACATTCAAGAACTACAAGACTTTGAACAAAATGCAAAGTTTAGTGTATCCAGTAGCTTACAACACCAACGAGAATATGTTAGTGTGTGCTCCCACAGGTGCCGGTAAGACCGACGTGGCTTTATTGACTATTCTTCATACCATTGGACAATTTGTGACTGAAGCAGAGGAGGGAGTGATCGACGTAGACTACGATGAGTTCAAGATTATTTACGTCGCACCCCTTAAAGCTCTTGCGGCTGAAATTGTGGAAAAGTATGCCCAAAAACTCAAGTGGCTAGGCATAAATGTTCGAGAATTGACTGGTGACATGCAACTAACGAGAGCGGAGATCATGACAACGCAAGTGATAGTTACCACTCCTGAAAAGTGGGATGTGGTAACCAGAAAGCTGAATGGCGATAACGAACTTGTGGCCAAGGTGAAGTTGCTAATCATCGATGAGGTGCACTTGCTTCACGAAGATAGAGGTTCTGTCATTGAGACATTGGTAGCTAGAACATTGAGACAAGTGGAAAGTACACAGCTGATGATCAGAGTAGTTGGCCTCTCGGCCACTCTTCCGAACTACATGGACGTGGCCGACTTTCTTGGCGTCAACAGAAATATTGGAATGTTTTATTTTGACCAACTGTTCAGACCATGCCCATTGAAGCAAGAGCTCATTGGAGTACGAGGAAAGGCAGGGTCGAAAACCGCCCGAGAGAATATTGACAGGGTTTCGTATGATAAACTCGTGGAGAATATCCGAAACGGTGCTCAGGTCATGGTTTTCGTTCACTCTAGAAAAGATACCGTTAAAACAGCCAGAACCTTTATATCCATGGCTCAAGGTAATGGAGAATTGGGTGATTTTGACTGCTCAGAATCCTGTGATACTTTCGATAGGTACAAGAGAGAAATGGGAGGAAAAAACAGAAACAAGGACATGCGTGAGTTATTCCAATATGGTTTTGGAGTTCATCATGCTGGTTTGCTAAGAACTGACAGAAACCTCACGGAGAAAATGTTTTTAAGCGGTGCAATTAGAGTTCTCTGCTGTACAGCTACCTTGGCCTGGGGTGTGAACTTGCCTGCTGCAGTTGTCATCGTTAAAGGGACACAAGTGTATGATGCCAAGCAAGGTGGATTTGTTGACTTGGGAATCTCAGATGTCATCCAAATCTTTGGTCGTGCTGGACGTCCCCAATTCGAGAGTTTCGGAACGGGTATCTTGTGTACCACCAGCGACAGGCTTGACCACTACGTGTCTTTGATCACTCAGCAACACCCAATCGAGTCCAAGCTTCTGGCTAAGCTCATCGACAACTTGAACGCTGAAATCTCCCTCGGTACGGTCACCACCATTGATGAAGGTATTCAGTGGCTTGGTTACACATACATGTACGTAAGAATGAGGCAGAATCCATTTGCATATGCCATTGATTGGAAAGAGCTTCAAGAGGATCCATCTCTCACTATTCGAAGACGGAATATGATTGTCGATGCTGCTAGAAGATTGCACCTGCTCCAAATGATTGTATTCGATGAGAATGCCGGTGCATTCATTCCAAAAGATTTAGGAAGAACAGCATCAGACTTCTACTTGCTCAATAATTCCATTGAGATCTTTAACCAGATGCTCAACCCAAGAGCGACTGAGGCCGATGTGTTGGCTATGATCAGTATGAGTAGTGAGTTTGACAGCATCAAATTCAGAGAGGAGGAAAAGAAGGAACTCACCGACCTTGCAGACAATAATACTCCTTGCCAAGTTGCTGGAGATCCGGAGTCTAATCAGTGGAAGACTAATATTTTACTCCAAGCATTTGTTTCACAAATTTCTCTCAAGGATTCAGCATTGGTTTCAGATTGTAACTATGTTGCCCAAAATTCAGCAAGAATCTGTCGTGCATTATTCTTGATTGGAATTAACAGAAGATGGGGTGCATTCTCGAAGATTATGCTCTCCATTTGCAAACTGATTGATCGGAGAATGTGGGCTTTTGATCACCCACTCTCTCAATTTGATCTCTCCGATTCTATTTTACGCAATCTTCGAGCCAAAAACCCTTCTATGGAGCAATTGAGAGATCTTTCAGCTGGAGAACTTGGAGATCTTGTTCACAACCAAGGCTCCGGAAAGACCTTGTATCGGTTAATTAGCAGGTTTCCATACTTGGAAATCGATGCTGAAATTTTCCCAATCACAAGCAATGTTATACGTATGCATGTGGTTCTTGAGCCAGATTTTGTGTGGGATGATCGATACCATGGAAATGCCCAGTTTTTCTGGATTACTGTCGAAGAGTCTGGTGACACTAAGATTTTACACGTTGAGAAGTTCATTTTGAGAAGAAATCTGATGAAAACTCCTCATGAACTTGACTTTATGATCCCGTTATCTGACCCAGCTCCAGCTCAGATTGTTGTCCGTGCATTGTCTGATTCGTGGATTGGCTCTGAAACAGTACACACTGTCTCCTTCCAACATGTTATTAAGCCCACGAATGACACTGTTAGAACCAATCTTCTCAGATTGCAACCACTTCCCGTCGCAGCATTGCACAACAAGGACTATGAGTCCATCTATGAGCCTAAGTTCCGTTACTTCAATCCGATGCAGACAATGACCTTCCACTCTCTCTACAACAGCAACTCTAATATTTTTGTCGGATCTCCGACTGGATCTGGTAAGACGGTGGTTGCTGAACTTGCAATCTGGCATGCATTCAATGAATTTCCCACATCTAAAGTGGTATATATTGCGCCTATGAAAGCATTGGTCCGCGAAAGAGTTGACGACTGGAGATCTCGAATTTGCAAGCCGACTAAGAGAAAACTTGTGGAAATGACCGGAGATTCCTTGCCTGAAGCTAGAGAGGTAAGAGAGGCTGACATCATCATTACAACTCCAGAAAAGTTCGATGGTATCTCCCGTAACTGGCAAACTAGAAAGTTTGTGCAAGAAGTTTCTTTGGTGATCATGGACGAGATCCATCTCTTAGCCAGTGATAGAGGTCCAATTTTGGAGATGATTGTCAGCCGTATGAACTACATTTCTTCCCAGACGAAAAAGCCTATTAGGCTTTTGGGATTGTCGACTGCAGTGTCAAATGCCATTGATATGGCAGGCTGGTTGCGTGTCAAGGAAGGACTTTTCAATTTCCCACAATCTGTCCGTCCTGTTCCTTTGCAGATGTATATTGATGGCTTCCCAGATAATTTGGCGTTCTGTCCTTTGATGAAGACCATGAACAAGCCGGCATTTATGGCCATTAAGCAGCACTCTCCTTCAAAGCCAGTGTTGATTTTTGTGGCTTCTCGTCGACAAACTCGTCTTACTGCACTCGATTTGATTCATTTATGTGGTATGGAACTGAACCCAAGAAGATTCATGAGAATGGAAGATTTCGAACTACAAAAGATCTTGGAAACCGTGAAAGATGAAACCCTCAGATTATCGTTGCAATTTGGAATGGGATTACATCATGCTGGTTTGGTTGATTCCGACAGACAGATTGCTCACAAACTCTTTGAAGCCGGAAAGATCCAGATCTTGATCGCTACTTCTACCTTGGCTTGGGGAGTGAATTTACCAGCACACTTGGTTATCATCAAGGGCACGCAGTTCTTTGATTCCAAGATCGAAGACTACCGCGATATGGACTTGACTGATATCTTGCAGATGATGGGAAGAGCTGGACGTCCAGCTTTTGACACAAGTGGTATTGCAATTGTCTATACCAAAGAATCCAAGAAGGTTTTCTATAAACATTTCTTAAACATTGGTTTCCCAGTTGAATCCTCGTTGCACAAGGTACTTGACAACCATATAGGTGCGGAAATCGCCAGTGGAACCATTAAGTCTCGCCAGGAAGCATTGGACTTCTTGACTTGGACTTTCTTGTACAGACGTGCTCATAATAATCCAACTTACTATGGAATCGAAGACTTAAGTCCCGTTGGAATTTCGAAGTACTTGGGAGGACTCATCGATAATGCCATTGAGAATCTTGAAGAGTCACTGTGCGTCAGAATTGGGGCTAGGGACGAGCTCATTGCTTCTCCGTTCTTGCAGATTTCATCTTTCTATTACCTCTCGCACAATACTGTTCGTACTGTTCTTGGACAACTTAGCAAGGAGTCTGGATTCAGAGAATGCTTGAAGATGTTGTGTCTTGCTGCAGAGTACGATGAGTTAGCAACAAGACACGGAGAAGAGTTGATAAACATGGAGATGTCCCAGGCCATGCGCTACCAGGCCGAAGATTTGGAATGTGAGTTCATCTGGGATCCCCATGTCAAGGCGTATTTATTGATTCAGGCATTCATGAGTAGGGTCGAGCTTCCAATTGCTGATTATGCTCAGGATACCGTTTCTGTTTTGGATCAAGCATTGCGTATCTTGCAGGCATACATTGATGTTGCTGCTGAGTTGGGATATTTGAAGGTTGTTTTGACACTCATTGAGTTGATGCAGTCGATCAAACAGAGACTTTGGTATGATGAGGGTCCTGTCAATGCACTTCCTGGAATGGATGGTAAACAAATCAGTGATAAGAGTCTCACTTTGAAGGCATTGGGTTCATACAACCAAGGAAAGCTTTACCAAATTGCCGAAAGATTCGGATTGGAGAATGAAGTAAAGAAGAACTTCGTGACTATTTCCTCGCATTTGCCAGTAGGTAAATTTGTTGCCGAACAGCAAGACTCCACCAGTCTTAGTGTCACATTAGTACACTCCAACAGTCCATTAAATAAGGATTTTAAGATGTATGCTCCGAGCTTCCCGAAACAACAGAGAGAATCATGGTTTGCGATTATATGTGACAAGGATGAGACAGAACTTCTTCTATTGAAAAGAGCATCGCCAAAGATGGCTGGAAAGATGGGTAAAGTGCTGTGCACGTTTGAACTTTTCGAAGAATTCAGAGGTAAGGAAGTAAAGGTCAAATTCGTGAACGATGCCATGAAAATCAGCTACGACAGCTTGGTTCAGCTTCAATGATGTTGACTATTGTACAAATGCATTTATGAATTACTCGAAGAAATCGTCCTCGTCCAGCTTGTTGTTCTGTTCCTGTGGAGCATCCACCTCCTCTTCTGGTTCAGGCAATCTATCTTCATCAACCTGGATGGTCTTTCCTGCCAACGCATCCTCGAAAGTAAATGGCAACTTATCGGAGTCAATAAGCTCCTCCATTTTCTTTCTATACTGCTGTCTCTTCTCGTCAGTGATTTGCATGCCCTTCTTGACATTAGAATCCTTTAACATCTCAGGCAGAGGCTCATTTGGATATAGAGCAATATACTTCTCGGACTTTGGGAACATGTAGACATAGGCCACATCTATTTGGGCGTGCTTTAACACTTTTCTGGCCTTCTTGATGTCTTTTCTAACGTCAGCATCGACAGCCTCATCATGAGCTTTGGTAGCCTGCTTCAACTTTCTCAATGCCTTCTTTCTTTCGAAGAAGCGAAGCATATGGTACTTTTTGGCCCTCTCTTTTGTTTTCAAATTGAAACGAGTGTTTTTCAAGTCCTGTTGCAATGCTTTCAATGCTCTTTCCTTCTCAATTCGAATATCTGCTGGTAAGGTCTCCTTACTGAGCAAATTTTGAATAGATTTTATCTTTTTCTTAACACGGACAGTAGATCCAAGCACATCACTGAGATCGGTATTGTAGCGGTCGTACTGACCGTTTGCTTTAGGCATGGTATTCTTGGTAGTAGTAGGTTTGCGAAGAGATGAGCCTAGTGTGTATATACAGAGAAGACTAGGAAATGGGAGTGTAACAAAAATGGGAAATGGAGGTCAAAATGAGGAAGCTGGATTTTACTCTATGTCGTAGTCTGCTGTGGCCTGTAGAATAAGGTTTCTTTTTTTTTTTTCGTTCTTCCGGAAGATTTATTGATCATTTGCCAATTGTTAACTTTCACCTCTTTCGCAACCACTTTAATCTTCACCAGTTGAGTGGAAAATCTCCCGAAATGCCCAATATTTTAAAATCTTGATATTCTCCATGGAAATTAAGACAGTCTTATTTGCTGATCATTTTGTTTTAAGAAAGTATACCCATCTCCCTTCTCTATAAAACCTCCAATCTTTAACTACCCAATTTCGAAGGTGTACGGGTGCAAACTCTGCTATCCTACCTCCATTTCTCCAAATGTTCAATTCTTCATTTCTCCAGTTCTAAGCACCATGGGTATTCTCGAAAAGATCGCCCAGATCCAGGAGGAACTCTCCAAAACACAGAAAAATAAAGCTACCGAATACCATATTGGTCTCTTGAAAGGAAAACTTGCAAGATACAGAAGGGAACTTCTAGAACCTCAGCCAGGACAAGGATCTTCAGGAGGTGGCCAGGGTTTTGAAATTGCTAAAGCAGGAGATGCCAGAGTGTCACTTATTGGATTCCCATCTGTGGGTAAGTCGTCGTTTTTGTCCAAAGTGACCAACACAAAGTCGGAAGCCGCCAACTACGAGTTTACCACATTGACTTCCGTCGGAGGTATTTTGGAGTACAATGGTGCTGAAGTGCAGATTGTGGACTTGCCAGGTATTATCAAGGCTGCTGCACAGGGTAAAGGTAGAGGACGTCAGGTGATTGCCGTTTCGAGAACGTCAGACTTAATTTTGATGGTGCTAGATGCCACTAAAGGTGGAGAACAAAGACAAATCTTAGAGAACGAGTTGGAGACTATGGGAATTCGCCTTAACAAGGAAAGGCCCAATATTTCTCTCAAAATCAAGAAAACTGGCGGTGTCAAGTTGAATCTGATCACACCTCCTAAGTATTTGGACGAGAAGATCGTCAGTGCACTTTTGAAAGATTACAAGATCCATAATGCTGACGTGCTTGTGCGAGACGAAAACTGTACCATTGAGGACTTCATTGACATTATCAACGACCAGCACATGTCGTACATCAAGTGTTTGTACGTTTACAACAAGGCTGATGCTGTTTCCTTGGAAGAGGTGGACAGACTTGCCCGCGAACCCAACACTATGGTAATTTCATGTGAAGAAGACCTCGGCATTGACGACTTGAAGGAGGAGATCTGGAGACAGCTTGATCTTGTGAGGTTATACACCAAGAGAAGAGGAATTCAGCCCAATTTCGACGATCCCATGGTTGTGAGATCGCAGTCGACGATTTTGCAAGTGTGTGATGCAATTCACAGAGACATGAAGAACCAGTTCAAGTATGCGTTGGTTTGGGGTTCCAGTGCTAAGCATTCTCCACAGAAGTGTGGGTTACAGCATCCTGTTCACGATGAAGATGTTGTTCAAATCATTACGAAGTAGAGAGAGAAGAGGTGAAAGAAATGAGGTGAAAGAGACTAGTTTAAGTGGAGATGGAGTAAAGATAAGGAGAGGTAAAGTATATAATTCGATACTACATACATTTACATTATATTTATCTGTATAGACACGTCATGGTTGGATTCATCATCTGGATATAAGGTGCGAATCATCTACACGTCTAACTCTTGTACACTATAGCATTCCTGACGTAAATAGTCATTGACTGTCACTCATTGTCATTGAAATATCAAAACAGGCAGTCCAAATACTCGCCCAAATACTTTCCTGCCTCATATACGGTGGAATTGAACGGCACAAACACAGAATCTGCAGAAACACTCAATTCAATTGCACAATGAGCAAAGAACAAGATCCAAAAGAATGGGACACGGTCGACACGGGCCCCGAGGTATTCGAGACATCAGATGTGGAGTCTGTAGAGGTTTTAGATCCTCCTGAAGAGCAGTCGACCGATGTGGACAAAAGTGTGTTGCATCCATCATCAGCTAAAGAGCATTTCGAGCATAGTGTCATTACAGACAAGAACGAAGTGGTGGATTTTCTGGGGAGTCTAATTAGTATCCATGGCAACTCTGGTTACAATGTACGGAGGGTCTACGAAATGCCGGCGCAGAAATTGGCCCGAATTCAAGCCGAGTTGGAGGAGTTGAAGACACAGAAGATCCATGAAAACGAGGTGGACAAATTAACAGAAGATCTTGAAAAACTTCTAGGAACAGAGGATTTGGATGTCGGGATCCATGAACAGAAACTTCGAACTGTTTTCGAGCAAATTAGTCAAAGACTAACTGGACTTGATGAATCTTCCATTCCACCGTCTGGTGACCGGAAAAGATCAGAAGCTGAGGTTCTTGAATTGGAAAAAAGGCTTCACGAACTTGAAGAAATCGTCGGTGTTGAGGACTTTGAATCATCAAAAAGTGTCAGAAATCATGTTGACGATTTGGGACGCAAGTTAGAGGTTCTCTACGACCCCGAGTACGATATGGGTCACCTAAAAGGAGAAATTAAGCGTGTCGCCAAGGAAATGGACGAATTGAATGCCAAAAGGCGCATGGCACAGATTGCCCACGGTGACTTAGCGGTGAAGCCATCGACGCCGTTTGACACCAAGGTCGACTCGATTTACGAGATTCTTCCTGAGATGGAGAAAGCCATGGCGGTTGTTCCTAATTTGGTCTCCCGTCTTAAGTCTTTACATCATGTTCACGCTGAGATTGGTCATTCTGTTAGTGCCATTTCGGATATCGACAAAACAATACAGAGTTTACACTTGGAGATGAAGACCTGGAATGAAAATCTCGACCAAGTGAACTTGGCCATCGACACACACACAAAGAAGTTTGAAGCGAATCGAGAAGGTGTTGAAGCTCGTATCGAAGGGTTCGAGAAGAGATTGGCGGAGATAAATAGGATTGAATGAGCTGCAGCAAATCAACACTTGAATTGGATTGATTGCCCAATGACCGCGGAGATTCGCCTTGCAACGGAAAAGAAGTTTGCTTATTTAATCAAGGTCGAAGCTCTTTTGAAGAGTTGTAGTGTTGACTCTATCAGATACATGCTTAATGATGCTTGGATTAATTGAGGTTCACTTAACTTGTGGACATATGGGTTCGAGGCTGCTGAATGTTTTGGTTGAGAATTGAAATTTCACTGCTCGAGTAGAAATTTTGTTACCATTTCATATTCTGTGGTTCCTTGAATGGTTTACAGGGCTTTCAACATCTGATGCAAGGGATACCCCCATACTCTTCAAGGTGTCTAGAGTTGAAATGGAGGTAACTTCTTGACCGATTAAAATACGTTGGGCATGTGGAGGATTCAACTTGTTAATTTAGACTTTGAAGCTTACAACTCCATACTCACAGATAGATAGGATGATTTACTCAATACTTTTCAAACGTCTGTTCCATCTAAATTTTAACCATCCACATTTCGAACTCAAAAATCATACTCATAAGTCAAAATTCAAAGTTGAAAAAAAAGAAGAAAGGGCACATTTCTAACAAATCACACCTCATTTTTATCTCTCCAACACTGAACAAATCCCAATTTCGTTTCAAATGTCTTAGAGTCACCTCGCTATAACGTGCCGTTTGTAGCTGGTGATTCATTTTTACACCCGTACACCAAACCACTCACTCGCCGCGCAATGCCCCTCGCGATAACCTTCCCGTTCCCACCATCGCTGTCTCTTGCCTATAGGGACGAGATGGGATGATATATAATGCGGGGGTTCCGCCAGTTTCAAATTCCAACTACTAACAGTCAGAAAAAGTATGTTGAGATCCATCCGTTCTTGTCGCTCTGTCTGGGCTGTCAGAGCTTCGCGTTTGAGACTTCCTGCCGTTGCCGTGGGATCTGCTCATTTTGTTAGATCGGCTTCCCAGTTGGCTCATGTTAAGGTTCCATCTTCACTTGCCAATGAACCAGTCAAGGAATTTTCTTTCAACCATCAAAAAGACTGGGATCTTTTGCGTGCATCCATTACAAAGTTCACCGATAATGGCCCCTTGGATATTCCTTTGGTTATTGGAGGAAAGCGTATTTTGGATAGACCCACCTTCACTCAGGTGAATCCAGCCAAGCATTCCCAGCAATTGGCAATTGCTCGTCAAGCCACAGTGGAAGACGTCAAGAATGCAATTGCAGCCTCCAAGGAGGCCAAGGCTAAATGGGCCAGCATGCCCTGGACAGACCGTGCTGCCGTGTTCTTAAAGGCTGCAGACTTGATCTCCACCAAATATAGGTACGACATGTTGGCTGCCACCATGTTGGGCCAGGGCAAGAACGTGTATCAAGCCGAGATCGATAGTGTGGCCGAATTGGCTGACTTCTTCAGGTATAACGTGAAGTACGCAGAAGAGCTCTATCAGGAACAGCCTCTCGAGTCTGCACCAGGTGTGTGGAACCGAGCTGAGTACAGACCTTTGGAAGGTTTTGTTTATGCGGTGACTCCCTTCAATTTCACTGCCATTGCCGGAAACTTGGTGGGAGCACCCGCCTTGATGGGTAACACCGTGGTGTGGAAACCTTCGGCCACTGCTGTGCTCTCTAACTACTTCTTGTTGAGTATCTTGGAAGAGGCTGGCTTGCCTGCTGGTGTGATCAACTTCATTACTGGAGATCCAGTGCAGATCACCGATGTGGTTGTCAATGACCCTGACTTTGCTTCGTTGCACTTCACCGGATCCACCGACGTGTTCAAGTCGTTGTATGGCACAATCGCTTCCAACTTGGCCAAAGACGTTTACAGAGACTATCCTAGAGTTGTCGGAGAGACCGGAGGTAAGAATTTCCACTTGATCCATCCTTCTGCATCGGTCTTCCACGCTGCATTGTCCACTTTGAGAGGAGCTTTCGAGTACCAAGGACAGAAATGTTCAGCCACCTCCAGAGTGTATGTTGCTGAGTCTGTGTGGCCAGAATTTGAGGCTGCCCTCACGCTGGCCATGGACGGAATCACCATTGGCGACACCACTGACCCTTCCAACCTTCATGATTTCATGGGACCGGTTATTCATGAGGCATCGTACGACAAGTTGGCTGGTGTGATTGAGCAGGCCGAAAAGGACCCAGAGTTGACTATTCTTAAGGGTGGCAAGACCGACAAGGCTACTGGATTTTTTATTCAGCCTACATTGATCCAGACTTCCAACCCGGACCACGAATTCTTGTCCAAAGAGTTCTTTGGTCCAGTTCTCACCGCTTACGTCTACCCAGATGCTGAGTATGAAGCTATCATGAAGAAGATTGACACTAGTACCAAGTATGGATTGACAGGTTCTGTGTTTGCCAGCGACCGTGAAGCCATCCAGTTGGCAGAGCAGAACTTGAGGTACGCTGCTGGCAACTTCTACATTAACGATAAGTCCACTGGAGCTGTGGTTGCCCAGCAGTGGTTTGGAGGTGCCAGAATGTCGGGAACCAACGATAAGGCTGGATCAGGTAACATCTTGAACCGTTTTGTTTCTGTTAGAAACATCAAGGAGAACTTCTATGAGTTGACTGACTTCAAGTACCCATCCAACTACGAATAGTTCATAAAAAATTGCATTAATGAATTTCCTTATTGTCTTCCTTGTATCAATATTAGTGACAGATCAAGATAGATGATGTTTCTGGGTAAGAATATGGCATTATACAAACGATTCTTTACAAATACTGGTGAAAGGGCCTGGTGAATAGATCTCCAACCCAGAATTGTTATCGTACATCACCATTGTCTGTTCATCAAGGTATTGACACGGAAATGGAGATACCCTTCCATTCGGCTATAAGTCCCCTTCAATCCACATATGTCACTCCAATTAGTAGCTTCTCATATTAATATTGATTACACACTTGACCGCCCATTTACAATTGTAAGCTGCAAGTGTCTCTTAGTCTTAACGATAGTAACCAGACTGCTGCGGAGGTCCACTATTGAGTAATCTACCCAAACCTCCGCAAACGGGACATAAATCACGATCCAACAAGAAATAAACCTGACCTGAGCCACGGCAGTTTCCACATAGCTGGCCTCCAAGTCTAGGATCTCCTGGAGGCACTCTCATTGGGACTCCGCCTCCTGGAGGGAGGTAATTTGATACCGGTGAAACGAAGTCCATGAAGCCAAGTCCAGACAGTTGGACCTGATAATTGTTTCTTGGAGCAAACCTTGCATAGCAATCCTGACACGTAAGTCCGTTCTTACGTTTAGTTCCCGTATTATGACATTTTTCACAGATAAACCTCTTCGGATACCGGAAGGGAAGACTGGGGTTAGGATTGTAAGCATGTGTGTTCAAATAAAGCAGTCCCCAGCAGTCCATGCACGGCTTACCGTTTTTTTGCTTGAATCCGGTGTTCTGACACTTGCGGCAGTAGTGGCCCCGGGGGTAAGTGAAGGGTAGATTAGGGTTGTTGGAGTATAAATTTGTAGATCCGGATCCCGAATTGGTTTGCAGACTGTAGCTTGTTCTACCAGTGGAAGATGATCCTTGATATGAATAATTTGACGGCTGCAGCCCCGTTCCTGAAGGTTGATACCCTGACAGCGGTCTTGAAGGCACAGAAGGCGGGATTGAAGAATTTGGGGTGAATTGACCCAGATTCTGCTGGCTGTTTGGTGGTGGCCCCAATGGTCTGTTGGGAAGGACCGGAGGGGCATTGAGGGCCTCCGAGTAGGATGGTGGAGGTTCTGAGGGGGTTATATCGTCGTCGTAGCCATTATTGACAGGTTTAGACATCTTGATGAAAAGAAGATTGATAAGATGATTCTGGGGTATGGCTGCACGTGATTCACCAAACAAGGACAAGGAGGAGGTGACAGTTACTTTACTTTGGGATGGTGATAATGATGGGTAGTAGAAAAAAAATCAAAAAGAGAATTTGAACTGATATATATGAGTGATTTGCTTGAGAATTTATTGTTCTCAATGTACTAGGATTGGAAAGCTATGATTTCGCTGGATAAACTGGAGATTTTGAGGTGTAGGGATAGTGGCATTTGGGATTAGAATAGCTATTTAATATGAACTAACTTCTTCTCATTATATTCGGTCCATGATATATAACAGGCAGGTCTAATTTCATTCCAGTTTGGATTATCAAATCAGGGGCAGTATCCATTAAACAAGATATAGAAAAACAGCGGAATGCCTTATTAGGAACATCAATAAATACATCATGAGATTCATAGGGACAATTGAAGATCATAGTACAGGTGATTTAACCCAAATTTTATTTCTTGTTTCTCTAATTCAAGTGGTGGAACGTTTAGTTGCGTCTAAGTCCACTTTCGAAATAATTGGGGTATGGGCAGAGGGTATTTATTCGGTGCACATAATGAGTTCTCGAAATTTCATAAAAATGAAACATCAACGCTGGAAACTTAAATGAAACTATAATCAGAAGAAACAGAGGAAAATGACCAGGAAGAACAAATTAAACACATACTTGTAGGAAATTGAAAACAGTATCTGAAATTAGAACGTCACATGGGAACATTCAATTGAGGCCGATTTCTATCGCCTCAGAAGCCTTAGCTACTGACGACTACGTAAAAGCATCAAATCGACCATAATTCGGGAAAAAAAAAGGCTATCACAGAATTTCAATTCTGAAAAGTAGTTCAATTAATCCAATGGAGTCCACACAAAACCTAATAAAGCCAGTAATACTCCAATACGTTTTATCTGGAGTCCACAATTCTATCAACCTACATACCGAATCCGTGTGCGACCTGCGAATCTCATCTAACACCTATGCTCTTCGATTCCACATTATGGCTCACTGAGCGACAGAGTATGTATCTCTACGCGACTTCTTTAAGCATCACTAACATTCAGAATACGGAGTGGCGTCCACTGCCGCAGGAGTGGTGTTTTTCGTCCTCGGCATCATGACATTCTTCGATTCCAGTCTACTTGCCATAGGAAACATCCTCTTTGTCATTGGCGTTGTTTTAATCATTGGGCCATCGCGTGCCATCTACTTCTTTGCTAGGCCCACCAAGATCAAGCCGACTCTTTTTTTCTTTGGAGGCATCGCGTTGATCTTGACCAAGCACTCATTCATAGGTTTTATTATCGAGAGCATTGGAATCATGTTCCTCTTTGGTGATTTCTTCGGAACCATCGTGCTGTTTTTGCGGGCCTTCCCTATTATTGGGCCTATTTTGAAGCATCCGATGGTGGAGCCCTGGGTGAATCGTGTTGCTGGCTTGGATACTTTACCTGTGTGAATAGAATGGACCATGCAGAATGAATTTAGCAGACGTGTAAAGGGTTGTAGAAGCTGCAGAGATTGTAGAGATTGTGTGATTGTAGTTGTCGTGTTGTTGTAATGGTAGTAGGGACACTCTCTCCAGGTGTCACTAAATTTCAAATTGGTGATGAAGATATCTGACATTAGCGGAACAATAAAAGGTTGCTGTCAAAGCCGATGAGGTGTTAAGTCTAGATTATACCGATCAAACATGTTGTCCACGACTCCAAGCACAAAGTCACATGTCTTTAATCCATATAGAAGATCGTGTCGCGAAGCAAACGTCTCCTCATGTAAATTAAGGTTGAGGGGATTCACTGAAACAGACACTATGCGGCTATCTAGATGCACTTGTTGGAGAAAAATGGGCTCGCTGAACATTCCAGCAGCGCCTTTGAAGAGTGGAAGCCAGAGAACAGCATTTGGAAGTGCACGATTAATGTCAAAAGACAATCCACCTGTTCTTTGCCATGAATTAGATGAATGTTCTCCGTTTTTGAGGGCTAGACCACATAAGGTAGAGTTCGCCAAAATATCCAAATTGGAAGATCGATTATTGACGTCACCAGCGCCAAAATGGAGCCAGATATCTGGCGAACCAGCGCCAGTGTTGCCTGACATGGAGCGAATCACCGATGGGATATTCTGATGGCTCTGAACCGATAAGAACGACACGTTGGGACTTTCTGCCAAAAACACGGCCAAGGTCCGCTCGAGAAGCTGTGGCAGGTAGAAAAGGGCAAGAAACCGTTCGGGATTACCTCCCAGAGCAACCACCGTCAGGTACTGCGCCCAAATGGGTTTATCTGGAGATAGTCGAGGAGGACCAGTTTCATGCACATGAACAGACTCAGCAAAAAGGAGCAGCGGCGCTAATACCTGCGCCAATAGCATCTTATGAAGAAATGACCATCGTGCCAACCGTAGGTTGGACACGGTGCTGGTTCCACAGTATGGTCTATTGTCTGTAGGTGTCGACTTGTCGAAGAGTTCTACAATGACGATGCGAAGAGTGCGATGGCGGAAGTGGAGTTTTAGAGCTGCCGCCACAAGGTATGCCACTAGGGCCGAGCGATGCGACACAAAGATGGTCGTCATTGCCCTGAAAGGTTGGAATCAATTAGATTAGATTCTGTGTGGGACAAAGGGAGAGTGGGAGGTACGGGTGCACAGATAGATTATTGGAAAAGATAGTGGGAGAGATGAAAGTTATCGGAAAAATGCCGATCTCATGTAACGGGGAGACCCGGATAAGGCCCATGTAAAGGGAGAAATAAAAGAATATGGATTATCGAAGATCCAGATAACAAAAAATAAAGAAAAATAGGTAAATCGTTTGATGAGATATACGGACTACGACTGATCATTCATGGAGGAGAATAAAGAAGACATGACCAAGGTGATCTTGGCAATCCAGAACAATTATTGATTTATTGCGAACGATACCAGCGGGGAACACTTTATTCGATGGCGGAACACTTAGCGCCATACGGCTAGAACCAGAAAATATCTAACAATAAACTGAAAAGGAAAGAAAAAGCGTTAGTGTCACAAGGAAACATAACGGAAGAAGTAACACGCAAAGCGGTAAAAAGCGGCGGTGAAAATAGAGCGGAATAAATATGGTGCGCCAATGATAATTAGTGCAACGATATACTTCCAACCGAATAAGGGGAGCGCGTACTCGGAACGGTTACATGGCTGGATCTCAGCATCGCCTGATGCATGATGCACATCGTAAATGGATCCACATCGCCTTGTGCACGGCGTGCCGTACAGGTGCGTCTACCAGTGTTTGATGCAAGTGCAAACAATATGGCGCAAAAATTTCCAAATTCACTCTAAACAGAGCGCCGGTTACGAATATGCAAGAAACTTGTTAATAACCGACTTACATGTCTAGTTTACCACCCTAGGGGATCTTGTCCTTGCCAGGAAAGCAATATGCGACGAGTAAGGTCAGATGTTGGAATTGACCTGACGCACATAAGGACGCCTGTGGCCCGCCTAATTGTAAATCTCTGGAATGTCTCACTTGGAATTATGTCGGCTGGCCGATCACATTTGCGGTTAAAACCACCCCATCCATCTAGCCGATCACCTTCGATTTACTCTCAACAGTCCATGCAGATCAAAGAAGGTCAATATTGGCTGGACTGAACAATAAGCTAGATGAACTCAGAATTAAAAATTATTGATATATCGACTGATTAGGGAATATATATCCCATTGAAATTCAACATGGGATCCGCGTGAATCTTTTGTCTATGATTGGAAGCTTAGTGTGTCCTGAGAGCATTGCTAAGTCTTGACCACAACATTTAATACATCCCACAACATTTAAGACATCCACATGTCGGAATACCGATCGTCGTCACGTCTTGAAATAAGATTTAAAATTGATTCGTTGGTGAAAATCAATCAAAGATCTGGTAAATTAATTATTAACATCATGTAGTGTCAAATTTTTGGTGCACTCTGAAACCTTCCCTCTTCTATGTATTACTTAAATTCTTCTGTTTCTTCTTCTTCTTGTTCTTCTTGTTCTTGTTCTCTCTTCATCTTCTTCTGTTTTTTCTTCTGTTTTTTCTTCTGTTTTTTCTTCTGTTTCTTCTTCTTGCTCTCCTTTTGCTTCCGCCTCTCCTTCTCTTCTGCTTCTTATGTCCCCTTTTCCACTTCCATCACTAGAATCTTCCCTTCAACCCTCTTTCTGCAAGATGTTCCCCCACATGCTGAAATCTACCATACAGCAACAAAATGAACCAGGCACAATCACCTCCCCGGACATAGTTGAGGTAAATCTCACCCCGATAAGCACAGAGGTCTATTCTTTGTCGGCCACAACCTTCCCCTTTTGGAATCCATGTCTCATGCATGCATTGTTAGTTCCCATTCCACACTTCTTCTCTCCTACAGAACATATTACACAGTCTAATTATTGCGATACCAGGAAATATCAATTATGTAGTTGCTTGGTACATATTTCCTGAATAATAGGACTGTAAGGCATTGTGGTGGAAATTCCATAGGCCAATTTGGGTTGTCAGAGATAACAGCGAGCCGCAACCCAACAAATGCAGTTGTTTCGGTTTCTTTACCACATTTGTTTTTGTATTGTTCCCTAAGTTTAGATCATGACAAAACGTTTGAGGGTATTGTTAGGATCTAACTAGTTGAGTAGCTTTTGCTCTTCATTTGCACCGAGATTGTAGCAATGTGGAGGTTGTTGAGCATTATGATGTGTAGCAGTAGTCACATTGCAACGAATTTTCCCCTTTATGGAGTCCAGCCGGTATCATGTGTCAATGCTGGTACTGTGGAGGTACATATGTAAGGTAAGTTGTTGTTGAGGGGACTGATATGCCCCAAGTTTTCAGAATGATTCAAAAATTTTGATAATGAAAATCTTGTGTTTTGTTATAGTTTTGGATTCATAGAGAGCAGGGAAACTTTAATCAGAGAGAACAAATCTAATATTGTTTGACTTACTATAAATGGTTTGGAGTCATAAAATCTTGTTGCAAGTCTATTAGAATATATATTATTGTGTCTTTGAGTGCTGCTATATTAGTTTGTGTGGATAATCGGAGTTGAATAACCGACTTTAACCTAGTTATGAAACCGCAATCAGGATTGATTAGTCAATGCTAAAGACGTTGGATGTACAAATTTGGCGATATTATTGTTGAACTTTGTGAAGTGAAGATACTTGTTTTTCTTTCTGGTGATATAAGCTCGTCGATCAAACAAATAATCACTCGACTAAATTCATGACATTATGCCATTCGTGATGCAGTTAGATATATAAAAAGAGCTATTAATGATGAATGTTGTATCGATTACATTAAAGTAAGACAAAAGCAAAGAGTTTTATGGTAGCATCTTTTCTTATGTATCATGTACCTCATTTCATCATCACTCAAAACTGCCAAAGAAAGTAGCCAGATAATCGAGCAATGGGAATTCTATCTAAACCATGCAAATTATTGATTCGAGATGTTTATCTATGTTATTCTTCTTTCCAACCAATGTAGCACTCGATCCTTACAACCATGAAGAATCAAATAATAATGATAAAAAAAAAACAGTACTATATGAACATGTAGAACTAAGGCAGGATTTCTCACTAAAGTAGCAATCATCTGCAAAGATTGGCATTAGTGGGGATTATGTCGAGACGTTTCCCGATTACAACCAAGTTCCTAATTTCTCGTACACAAACTTGCTTATCTGACATATTTCTTTTAACAAAGTTAATAAAATGTGTTTTAGGGATACTCTACAACCGAATTTTCTTAATATTCGAAAATTGGTTATGAAAATTGACGACCATAATTAGCTTTCCAAATTGTTCTCCATCTCAATCCGAGATAGTTTAGTGGCTAGAATTACCGCTTGTCGCGTGGTAGACCGGGGTTCAATTCCCCGTCTCGGAGCATTTTTTTTCTCACAAGCATTACTTACCTCTTCCCTTCACTGCGAGTTACCATCACTTTTCTTTTTGCCTTGTAATTTTTCCTCTACTAGATGTCCAAAGTCAACCGACGCAAAGAAATAAAAGAGAAAGAGGCTCTACAGTTGAAGTTCCAACTTGCGCTTTCACAAAACACTAAAAATGTCTTGAATTGGCTACCGACGCTCCAAAGCGCCAAGAATGACCACAACGACGTATTAACCGCCGACCGCCAACTTTTTCTAGATTTGCCAATCGTTGCCAGTGGTACGGGACTCTCGGACCTTGAGAAATCTGACCAGAACAGTACTGTAGGCGACTTTTTGGGGTCTGACGGAACACCGAAGAATGTCAAGCCCGAGAGCCGAAAGGATATTCGTAATGGGTCGAAAGCCATGGCGGCATTGATGAACCGTATGAGATCAGACAGCAGAAAACAGGTTCGGGAGTACGGACAAGACAGGGTTCACAAGAACAAGCTGAGACTCTTAGAGGAAGTTAAGAAAAATCAAGCAAACATGAAAAGAACAAAACAAGTAGAGGAGGAAGATTCGGACGAAGAACAACTGAAGCAGTCTCAGATCGGTGCCAAGAAGACAGCACGGATGGAGTTCGGAAAGGGTAAAAAACGGCCATTCTAGTGGATGTAAAAGTTATAGATTGCAAATATATATTTGAGATTCTATCTATCAGAAGCTATAGTACACTACATCGGAGATGTGAAGGTGAAAATTGGAGAAAAGGTCGTAAATCATTGAAGATAGTGAGTCTTGAGCAGAATCAATCTCGTTCTGTTGAATTTTAGTAGATATCATCCTTACTAAGATGACTGCAGCGTTTCAATTCTCTGCCGTTTCAGATCACTCTCTTGCTTTGGTTCGGGCGTTTCAAGGAGGTACTCCACTTTAGCCTTGTGGAGAGGGGTTGACGGCTTTGTTCCATCAGCGGGAGTTTCGGAGTCACTGCGCAATTCAAGTTTGGGAACCAGATTGCTCTCCTCCTTGATTGTAGACACCCTGGAAAGTACTTGAGGGGAAACTGGATTCTGTTCATGGGGGCCAATGCTATTGTTCTTCTCGGACACAATAATATGCGACACTGAACCAAATGAGGACGAACGCCCAGATGAGTTAGACAGAATAGATGACATGCCAGAGAATACTGACAGAGAATGGGAACCAATGGAGTCAGAGGGGCCCGCTGGTTTGCCAGAAATGGAACCTGGCGCCGAAACAGTGCCTGAGTTTCCATGAGGGAAGTGAAGTTCAATGAGTGAAGGACGAAGCTTGTCGAAGGCAGATTTGCTTATTGGTATCAGGGAAGGCTTCGTCTGCCATTGCAGGGATGCAAGAGGGAAGTGAGGAACCAGAGCTCTTTGCAAGGATGACTGGGGCAGAGTCCGCACAAGAGGAATGGACGAAGTTGCTTTAGGTGCTGATGGCTTCGTCAAATTCTTTGGTGATGGCAGAGCAGGCCGACCCAATGGTGGGAGCTTGATCACATCAGGCCTTGGCGAATTGTTCTCTGAAACCAGTGATGTTACCGAGGCCGAGTTTTGTGTATCATTGGATACGGGAGCCAAAGGATCGTAAAGCAATGACGGATTCCGAGGTCTTTCGACCAGCAGTTCCCACGGCTTCCGGAAATTGAGGGGGGAATCTTCCTGTGATCTTAAAGGTTCAAGAGTGGAGGATACTGGATAAAACTGGGCGTAAACCGGAGCTCCTTGCTGCCACAGAACCTGACAAACTCGATCTGGAGGAGGTGGTGGAAGCATCATACCTTGTGGGTGATAAGGTGTAGCATAAGCGGGGGCATGGTGGATATGATGCAGTGGAGGCAAATGCATGGTGTGTGGTGAATGTGTTAGAGGAGTGGGATGAGCTCTCGAAGCATTATGTGAGCCAGAGAGCTTGGCACCAGCAGAAGTAGCGGCGGAAGAGGGAGGGCCAGAAGCAGAAAGTGACGAGGCAGAAGCGACGGTGGTGGTGGCTCGGTTGTTGGGGCCAGGAATCTGCTCTTTATAATTGTAATGATTAGTATAGTGAACGGGAACGTAAACGCCTTGAACACCCTGGACAGGTGGAACAGCCACTGATGACGGATAGGGTTGCTGTGGCTGATAGGTTTCGTAGGCCACCGGCAGGGGAGTGGACGTTGGTCTATTCTGGTCGCTTTCTACCACCAGATTCCGCAGCAGATTCAGCAGCAGTCGTCTTTTGATGTATACCAAGGACTTCTCATCGTTCTTCTTAAATTTGCCAGAGGAATGGCGGAATTCCCAGATGGGGCTATCCTTGACGTTCTGGACAGAGCTCTGGGGCTCCAGCACTTTGTGAAATCCGTACATATGAAGCTGGCGCACAAATGAAGCGACGTTGCCGTGTTTGAAGTAGCCGCTGAGAGCATCGGCAAACTCCTTCGACGGATAGAGAGCAAACGTGTTCGCCTCTGGAGTTTCAGTCCACCAAATCAAGTGGGCGAGCTTTGGATTGCTTAGCATAGAGTAAAGTTTATGCACAAAGGCGTTTTTTTTAACCCCCGGATCACCTTTGGGGAGCGTCAGTGTCATAATGGGCATTTAGAAGCGGCACTACGATGCACAAGGGAGGGGCACAGACGGCAATTTCGGGTGGTGCTAACGCTCTTGATGCCTGTGGAGTGGCTGGAGGAGGGAGTTAAATGGCACTTGGAAACGAGAAACAAGACTCCAGGGAAAAAACGGTGACAGTTAGCGGAGAAAATTCGATGTGGGATGGCGATGAGGGAATAGACCGAGGGAGAATTGGTCAAAGGAGGAAGGAAGTGAAGGAAAACCGAGCGGATTCGGGAGGTGAAAAGTTTAAAAAAATCGGAGGTTTCTAGGAAAGAAGTCGTGACAGAATGAATAAGTAGCACTAATTTTTTCTGAGAGTTCCTAACCAGTCGGTCGTTAAAGGAATAGGCGTTACGCAGGTTGCGGTGGACATGCAGGCCGATACCGTTGACAGACTAGTTAGGAGAGGTGAGGCGCCCGTGAAGGAAAGAACGGATGTTGGGAGAATGGGGGAATAGAAATGGCTATAGGGCGAGGGGAAGCAGAGTGATTGGTGCCGTCTGGTGCCGTCTGGTATCAGAGAAAGACATGCAAGGTAATGCAAATGGAGGAAGAAATTCCCGAGGTTGAACCTATGACAGAACCGTTACAGAACAAAAACTTGGCTGATTTTCTATAGAACAGCTTCGGTGGCGGATCGAAAATCCACGGTTAGTTTGACCCGAACACACCACATTTCCGGCATGCTCGGCAGCAGTGCGTGGTAACGTGCAGATGACGGCAAGGCAGTGCATAATACAGACCAATCATTAATGTGGAGGAGCATTGTTTGATCACCAAAGCGGGGAGCTAAAAGCAGATCGAAGATCGAAGAAAAATAGATGCGACGATGGCTTTATTCGGTAGATTTTAATCCGGTACCACCGGACAATGCTCGGGGGGCCGAAAATAGATACTCCAGGTAAACCAATATAGAATTATTTGAAACCTTTACATTTAGAGGGATTAAAAGTTGCCAGTGGAAGTGGGCATAGATGTCACTTGCAGTCAATTAGACACCCGCTAGTAAGCAGTATATGCAATAGTAAAAATGGTGCACGAACAGGTTAGATGCGAGGTAGCATGAACTACTAGCGGGTAGGTGCTGTAGGAAGCTGCAAATGCAAACTGTCAGGCACGTACAAGCAAGCATCCTTCATTTGGCGGTGTGGGGGATATTTGTGGTCGCATTATCACCCCTATGGATCTCAAGTAGCACATGCAAGCCAAGGACACCAGACTTACAGAAAGATGCGGGCTTCGTAACCTGCGGCTGGCACCACATATACACTAATGCATCCTGCAGGCGTTTCACTCTATGCATACACGTCGCATCGGCATATGGCCTATGACGATTCTTTACGGGTGCATCTGACTTAATCCATCGTTGTTCGTTGCATTGCTGCGCCGACCTTCACTGTTCGCAAGATAATCCCCAACAAGGCAAGTTTGGTCCGGATTTCCGTGCCATGCACTTTTTTGCCTCCCACATTTGGCAAATTCCTGTCCATTCAATTCCGATGAAGGATGAAACTGATTTTGCGTTGTTTCTGTTTTTTTTGCTATAAGCGTTGTGCTTCGGAAGATTTTCTTCTCCTTAACATCACCTTTCCGAACTCCACATTGGTGTGTACATAATTATTTTTTTTCCCTCGCTTTCTTCAGGCACACCTCAACTGTTTGACCTGCATCGAACTGTACAGCCTCTTATATCGTGTAAGTATCCAACTTTAGGGTCGCAGCAAATGTCACTCTGGCGTCCCTTGCAACGGCGCTGCTGCCAGCCGCTCTCATGAGAATCCTGTCATGTCCCTGTAGTTGTACATGTCAGGGTGCTTCCCTATGAACCCTCTAGCAAGTGCCTGACTTCCCGGAAGGACTTTCTGCGATACTCCTGACGTAGCTGTTTGATGCACTCCCACCACTCGGCGACAGATCACTAGCGAAAAAACATTGCGGAATTCAACTTGGAAGCATCCGATGGCAGATAGAGGCCGGCCAACAATATGCCAGTGTTACTATTCCTGAACCTTGTTGTTATCCTTCTGGCTTAATCTTCTAGATGCACTCTCTTTTGGTGGGGCAATTCCTCACCACCCCAATGTTAAGAAATCTCGCAACAATAGTGGATCTCCAAATGTTTTGCGTGGCGGACAAGTTGCTGTTTTGGGTGAGGGCTGTGTCTTCCACTGACGTCGCCCCTAGTACTGTCGTCTAAAGCTTAATGTCAAGTCCGTTCGGCAAAATGCCATCGTCACCGTAACTGTTGTCGACGTACCCATACACTTCATGAATCCCTGCATCTGATCTTGAAGTCGACGTATCTATCTATTGTCTTCCTGTATTTTCCCTGTATCTGCCTGGAAGCATAGAGACATATTTACTGGGTCTGTATCTGCACGACGTTCGACATCTCTACGTCATGGCTATTCAACATTGGTTCCTTGCGTTAATGTAAGGGAAGTAGACCTAGCGTATTGGATATCAACGAGAATGTTCCACGTTCTTATCGCAACCACGTAATGCAGCTCTCGTATAAGCATTTGTTGCTGTTCCATGTTGGAAGGTTTGGCCATTTGCAGGGTCAGAGTTACGATCACTAATCTTTTTTCCGCCTTTAATCCACCTAACACGTTTACGAAAAAACTTTTACGTTATCTCTTTCTCCTACTTCTTCTCCGCGTCGTCTTTCCCATTTTTTTCTGTTTGCTTTAATTCCTCGTTTTCCCTGACATCTTCCCAGCGTCCCGGCTGCCTGGCGACCGTTATTCGTGCATGTGTGTGCGGGACACTCAACTTTCCTGTGATTTCATGCAATATTTCCCTTCATACATGTCGCCGTACGAAACCATGATTCTTCCGTGTTTCACACAATTGTTGTAATCTTATTGCATCCTCACATCATTCGTTCAGACGCATCTTTTTTTCGTCATTGTTAAGATGTTCGGTCATTTATCGTATGTGATCACTAGTTAGGGCTTGCATGGCTGGCATGGACTGATCTTCGCCCTTAGTTGGAAGCACTGGCCCTGTGGATCTTGCTGCCAGTTTATTTCTAACCGCTGTAAGCGCGATGCGGCGCATCTAGTATTAGCAACATTCTTCTCCGCTGAAATTATTTTTTTTATTTCTTATTTGACAGGCTACACTGGCGACGGTTTCGCAATTTATGTTCTTCGTGAAATTTGCTCTCTAGCTTTCGTCTACTGCTCCGGTACTTACACTCCCCTACTGCTTGCGGCGCTCTCTCAACAATAACCGCCCACTCAACAAGTCTCCAACTTCGGTGAGTCTGGACCAATGGATTGTGCGGCCCTTTCTTAAGGATACATCAGCGTCCTTCTCATATAAGGCATTGATGTCAGAAAACTTCAACTGTGCTCCTTGGATGCCAATCACCACCGAGGACTCCTCCTTCTTATTCATCAAATCAATCATCTTAATGTTGTTGACGGAGTGGTGAAGGGAATTGTGGTGCACAGAGTTAAACACACGCTTGCTCCATCTCTCAATGTACTTCACAGACTCTACAGCGAAACGCACAGCGTAAACTCTATCCATAGAACTAGGCGTGTAGCCCTGCTGGACGTGACCTGGCACTGCAGTTCTGGTTTCAAATCTGTTCTTGGCGTCCTCACGGAAAATGTCTGCCAACAATTCGGTAGAATACACTGGTGATGCATGCTCGTTTCTAATAAGAATTTTACCGTTCTTGTCTTCTCCACGGTCGTTCTTGAAAACATTGAACAACAAGTCAATATCTTCTCTTATGCTCTTCAAAGTAATCTTCAGCTCTGGTGTATAGACGGCCATGGCTCCAATAACCAATCCGGCATAAGATGCAACATAACCAGTGTTTCCACCTTGCACCTCCACCACAAACACTCTTCTTCTGGTGGCCGATGCAGATTGTTTAACGGCATCACAATAGTTGACCAATTGGTTCAAACAAGTGTCCGATCCCAACGAGTATTCGGTACCTGGAACGTTATTGGAAACAGTGGCAGGAATGACAACCTTTGGAATGTTGAAGATTGGATATTCGTGCTTGTGTGCCTCTAACTCGTGCAATGCAGTGAAGGCCTCAAATCCACCAACGATCATCAATCCGTTCAATTGATATCTTTGCATGTAGAAGGCGACGTTACCGAAGTTTTCACTTGGCAACGACCTATTGGTTCCAATTTCCGATCCACCTTTATTGTGCCAGCCGTCAACATCCATCCATTTAAGCTCCTTGAGGTCACCGTTGTGAATCAATCCTGTGAAACCATTTTGAACTGCGAAAAGCTTGTGGCCCTTTGACAAACAGTATAATGCAGCAGCTCTGGTGGCGGCATTCAAAGCAGATGACGAAGCTCCAACTTGGACAATACCAATGTTCAATCTTTCGGACTCTGGCAAAAGCTGAGATCCGTCATCGTGGAGCGAAATCAGTTGGTACGTCAGGTATGCACTGGCGAATGTAGAGTCACGCAAGCTCATAGCCCTGTCGAAGTCCTTGGCTTCAATGGCCTCTGCAACCTGTTTGGTATTACGAACAGAGTCAACCAATGGTTGTCTGACGAGATGGTTCTCCAAGATACTAATAACTGGAGACGGAGTCTCTGGGGTGCTTTCCAAGACGGCTCTGACGGCCTCGACACCTTGTAAGGTGGCCAACAAACGGTCATAAGCAACGGCAGTTCCACCTCTCTGCACGTGGCCCAAAGTGGTGATTCTTGTGTCGAGACCCAACTCCACAAGGACGTTCTTGACGTGTTCAGCAGTGATGGGCTCCAATTCGTCATCAATAGCACCCTCTGCAATAATCACAGTGGTGTTTCTCTTGCCATAGCCTCTGTGACGAGAGCAAACTTTCTTGAGATCATCTTGCCATTGACCATGCTTTGGAGGTCTCTCGGGAATAAAGATGTAATCTGCACCGGTGGACAAACCAGACATCAAACCAAGCCATCCACAGTGACGGCCCATGACTTCAACTACGAAAGCACGCGAGTGCGATGCGGCAGTTTCATCAATGTAGTCCACCATCTCGGAAATTCTCTCCAAAGATGAGTATGCACCAATGGTGGCATCGGTTCCGGCCATATCGTTGTCGATGGAGCCCACCAAACCCACAATGGTTAAATGACGGAATGGTGCCACCTCTTCATTTGTCAATCTACCGGTGTCAACCAACTCATCGATCAAGGATGGCCATTCTTCACGGAACAAGTCTGCTCCCGTCAAAGAACCGTCTCCTCCACAGACAATCAATGCATCAATACCATTGACCACCATGTTGTATGCACCATCCAACCGTCCGGAACGTTCGCGGAACTTAGCACACCGGGCCGTACCGATATTGGTACCACCAAACGAGAGGAATCCTCTAACATCTCCCCATTGCATCTGCTTCAACAAGTCACCTCCACGCACCAATCCTTCGTAACCTTCGTAAACAGCAAACATATCACAGCCATAGTAAATACCGGAACGAATCACGGCACGCACAGCGGGGTTCATACCTGGCGAGTCTCCTCCTGAGGTCATCACGGCAATCTTCTTCTTCTTCTTTTTCTCTTCCACGGATACCTCCAGCAAGTCCTTGGCGGGTTTATCAGATTCCAAGGACTTCAAAAGGTCTTGCGTGCGGAAGTCCAAATAGCTCTCAGGAGAGTCAAACTTAAGGTCCGAGAGATCGGTTTCCTGGTTCGTGAATGTCAATGAATTGCCCAATGGATCCGAGGTAGTGATCTTACCGTTGTTGGACTCGTAGGTCACCTGCAACGATTTCAACGACGCTTCCAAAAGAGCCAACTGAGTCAGGAAAAACTCAATCAGCTCACAAATTGGTTTGTCGCTCTCCAAACTAGACAATCTGATCTTGATCACCGTGCTCTGTCCCAATTGTGCCGTTTTGTCTCCATCATAGAAGTCCAACTCCTGCCAGGGAATGATATTGCCGGCCGAGTCGACGTTCTGCAAGGGAAACGATTCCAACCACACCTCCTTCAACGAGTCATTGGCAATTCCCAACTGCAAATGAGGTTTGTTAGCCGCTGATGCTGCTCCGTTGCTGGAGATTTTGGAGTAGTTCTTGACCAACTTGAAACCCAATTTAAGGTAAAAGTCGATAGTGTTGCGGAACTTCTGCGAGTCCGGCGTGACGAGCGAGATGAAGCTAACTCCTTGTACGCCCATCTTCGCTATAAATGAGAAACTTGGTAACTTTTTGCTAAAGAAATGTGATAGCACGAATCAGAAGGTTTTAGTGGGCAGAAGGCTACTTAAGAGGGTGGTGAGCCTTGTGCAGGCCGGACGTCATCTGATAGCAGTTCGGACTTTGTGGGGCCGGCACTCATTGGTTAGCTGATGGAATGCAATTAGAATTTTTTTGGAGCAAAAGGTTTATCTGACATTTTTTGGTTATTGGGAAGGTAATTTTTTCTCTTTGTGATTAATTTGGATTGATGTTTATAGGCTCAATTGGTCAATTTGGGTTATTCGCTAACAGGGCAATAGGTTGTGTAGTCACGTGCCGCGAGGGTCAGATGGTCAGATGGGTGAGACTCAAAAAGTCAGAAGGTTTCAATCACCAGAGCCACCAAGTTGCATACAGGAATTAGAAGCAGCGGAAGTAATGATGGTGAATTAGAACGAGAAGGTCTGGGATTGCGAGAATGTTCTGTTTTATTATTTCGATTAATTTGATCTTTTTCATCTTTATGTTTTCCCCATGGCTTTCTTCTTCTTCTTCTTTTCTTCTTTCCTCTTTTTCTTCGTTTCCTTCTTTCTCTTTCTTTTCTTGCTCTTTTCCAGCAGCTTTATACATATCTCCCAGATAATTGACCACTAGCATATTACGCACATCCATACTATATGGAACTTGCTCGTAATCGGTGAGGCCGCCTGCCCATTGAATGGTTCCAGGCTTATTTTCGGGGTCGCCGCCTGCCCAAATACTTATGTATACCTTTTGAGGTGAAGTAGGAAATCCATGAGGATTATCTCTACCTACCCTTCTCACTACATTATTATCCACTAACCAGATCATTTCGTGTGGGGTCCATTCGAGACCATACTTGTGGAAATTTATATGTGGTGATGAGGGGAGATGATGCGAGAATCCCCGTTCATAATTTGAAACATTGCCCTTGACAAAGTAGTTGGTCTGATATGCATCATGGTATGAACCTGTGAGTTCCACTACATCGATCTCATCTAAATCGTCGCTCTGTAAGTAAAGCGAAGAAATCACGCCGCGTGCAGCCAGCCCCATAATTTCTGCCTCAACTTTCCCGTACATGATGTAACCAAGCGATACGACTTGTGGGTTGTCGAAACGATGAAGAATTGAAAGGTGAAGGCCGTTTTGTCCATACTCCACCTGCGGGGGTCCGGAGGAGTTAGAGAAGAGCCTGCAGGGAGCAGAAAACTGGTCGAAATGGGTGGCTGGAAACAGCTGGAGTGAATTGGATTGGAAAATTGGGATATCACAGCTTGCAGCTGCAACAACGAGAAGAAGAAGGGGAAGAAGCATTTAGTATTTAGTTGGTTTTCGCAGCCACAGAGATGTGGCAATGTGCACAGGAATACTTTGGAAGATCTTCATCAAATGTATTGGATGTGCGGGAAGAAATGAATAAGCAAATACAGCAAAATATTGCTTCTTCAACGGTTAAATAAAGGATTCAACTTCCATGAAGGCCCTTTCGTATAAAAGAGATATAAACTTTTGGAGAATTGTGGTCACGTGTACGCAATCACGTGTGTTTAACCTTCAAGTTTCCATCCATTCTTTCATGTCAGAAGGTAAATGGCTTCTTCCATCACAGAGTGTCATCGTGTCCTTCTCACGTTCATTCGCACGCGTAAGATTGTTCTGGAGGATGAAATGGACACCAAGTTCCCTATCCTAATTTCCCATTTTGGTCTCGACAGCGAGAACCCTTCTTTACTACGAGAGTACATCTCAACCATTAATGTGGCTCTTGAGAAACATGCGTTCAAGATTGAGACCATCAGAGATCAGGAATCCAGAAAACTCCAGTATGTGTTTATAAATACGCGTTTTGACGACGTAATCCAAGGCTGTACGCCGTATACGCCTCCAGAACTTGATGCCATCAAACAGGTGATAGATGAGATCATCAATGCCAGCAATTTCAGCTTTTGCTTTCCACAAGGTAACGCGAAACAGTTGGTGGGATCCACGTTGAAGCAGAGAGCTAGCGATGCTACCTATTTCGTGGCCAGATTGGTTGATGACGGATGGATAGAAATCACCCAGCTGAATAGACTAGTTCTTGCTCCAGCATCTTTGGCTGAGCTAAAGGAATACCTAGCCGATCGATTTGGTTACTTTCTGGTCGATGATTTGCTGGGCAAGTTGCTCGTTTGCCATACGTGTGGTGATTTGGTGACTTTGGGTGTCAAATGTAAGTCGCGTGATTGTGGAAGCAGCTTTCACAAAAAATGTGCTGAAGTATACATGAGAAGCAACGATGGGTGTCCGAGCTCCAGTTGCTCAGATACTCTTGAGGACATGGTGAAGGTGGGTCCTTGAAGTCTGTGAAACGCCTTAGTCCACTCAACACACTAAGACTATTCAAAGCTGTCTAAATATTGTGCCTCCACCTCATCGAGGATATCCCAGTACACGTCCTCGGCGATTTTCACAGCGTAATTCTCGCTCAATGGCAGCGCACCTGAAGGAATGTCATATTTGAAGGCAGGGCCGGCGTTGAGCTTGACGATTCCGCTCAGATAGACTGACATCATGGGATAGTAGCCTAGCGACCCATCGTCAGTGTTTCTGTAGGACGGATTCAGCAGCTGCTTTGTGTTAGCATCTGCTGCAGAGGCATCTTCGTTGGCGTTCAATGGAAGAAACAGATACAAATCCTCAAACATGGTGCCCACACATACTCCATTCTTATACACCGTGATCTTGGAGTTGGGAATGGTAGGAATGGCAGGTTTCGTATCGTTGTTCTTCTCCAAAACTGCTCGTTCGCCAAACACTGTAACAGGATTGAGAAGATGGTCCATCTGCTTGGTAGTAGTGTACTCAAATTGCTCGAAATATAGTCCGTTCTTATACTTGATAGGAACTTGGTCACGTACAACGTTACTGTAGAGGTTAAGCTTGCGTTCTTCGTCGTCGGCGGCCAAATGTCCTCCTCTTCTCTTCTTCTTCCTTGAATTTTGGAATTCTCGAGCAAATTCCGCACATTGAGCTCTTTGAACTTCCAATGGTGGAAGCTCTACTAGCATGCCGATTGTGTCTCCTGACGAAAATCCGTTCATACTTTCAGGCATAAACGGTTTGGGCCGACTCAAGGTGATCTTTTGGCCTGTCAAGTCACGCAATCCGTAGCCGTAGCCATCGAATCCTACCGGAGCCTCTAGTGCAGCTTCCTTACGAGCTATTCCAACCCTCACATGACTCTTGTCAGACTCATTGTTGGCATTAACGATATCGAACTCAAAGTAGTGCTTTCCTTCACGAATACCGATATTGCTCCGGGCAGAGAGCCACCCATGTTGCGTAGTCACGGCAGACATATCTTCACTGCAAGCCACGCCTGGAGATCGGTCGAAATAGTCTGCCCTAACGGTGTATGGTGCATAATCGCCCGTCAGGTATAAATTGGACGTGAATTGACCATTGGCTCGACAAGGTTTATACTTGTAGCCTCTTCTGTTGAGTGGTAAGTCGTCGTACACGTAAAAGTTCTGCTCTTTGACAGTGTACAGCAGTGTCGCCGATGGTTCTAGGTCAATAAGGTCCGATTGGAACAAGGTGGGTTTCAAACGCAGATGCAACACTACATTGGCTGCTTTCTGCTTCAATTGCAGTGCCGTGAGTTGTTCAGACTTCGCTTTCAGACGAGTCTGGTGGTTTTCCTTTGGTTCCTCGGCCACTGGAGCAGCAGAGAGTGGCTGAATGACGTTCTCGGCTACTTCAGTAGGTGCTGGAGGTGCTGGAGGTGCAGACGGAGCCGCGGGTTCGTGAATCAATGAGGGTGCCTCTTGTTTTATGGAGATGGCTGGATCCATAGTAGATGAATTTTGTAAAGTTTGTATAGAGGATGTGAGATATGGTGATAATGGAGGCTAGTGGGAAGAAGAACCAAAGGTTGATTTTGGGAGTATTGTCTTTTTCGGTATTTTATTGATTTAACAGAATTTGTTTCGGTTCAATGAGGTTTTTCAGCATGTCAATTTATGATGTCTCTCGTTTATCTGCTGAATGTTTCAATGTCTTATTTTGACAGTCGTTTACTATGGACATTACCTTCGACAAGTAGCAGTTACAGGGACACGTGTCAATTCTTGAATAGTTGGAGATTTCAAATTAGATCAAATTACTTTGGTTGATTGCATTTCCTTAAGTTTCCTATTGTTCAAAGTTGATGTTGCCTGGATGTCAGGTTCTCAACTTTTGCAACCACCTTCACAATTTGAGAAAAATGCGAGAACACACAAATGTACACCATAAATTAAACCCCGAATTGAACTATCCATTTCTTGTTTGAAGGATCTTTGAATATATGTCTTAAAAAGTCATCAAATTCAAACATAAAAAAAATCAGTGATTTGCATTATTCAATCACCAACCATGAATTCTAACCTCTGACGAACCTGAATAAAATTTGAGTGACACCAGTTACCTGAATTTGACAAATGTCAACATTTAAGCTCCACGTCGTATGTGTCTGGGAACCTCCTTGTTATTTCACCAAATAAACTTTGAGGAATTATCACTTCTTTGAAGATTCGATTGGCAACTTATCATGCCAATTGCTACCACTTTTTTTACCCCTACAACTTTCTCCCTTCTTCAAACCCTCTGGCAACCCCACACCAACTCTGCATCAGTTAAACTTTTAGTCCTTGTTGGCTCGTAATGCTTGCTAATAATGCTTGCTCGTATAGTCCCGGCTATTCTGTATACTCAATAATGTCGTGTATGAAAGATAAAAGTTACAAAATCTAGTTATTAATAAAAATCGACCCAGTCTGTGAGAATTAAAATCTTACTTCTTCATGCCAAGCTTCTGCAAGAACGACTTCTTCTTTTTTGGCTTCTTGTCATCGGCTGACGCCAGTGTGTTCACTGATCCACGCGAGACAGACTTCTTCAATTTCTTTTCGTTGATCATCTTCTCATTCTTCTTCTCTTCCTCTTCACTGTAAGAAATCAAACTCTTCACCTTATATGCTTTGCCTGATGCTCCATTGGAATGCGACTTGGACAACGATTTGCCCGTGCCAATGCTGGAGTACACCTGATGCACCTTGCTGTTTAACAACCTAGGAGAAAGCTTCTCAATGGTATCGTCATGCACAACATTGAGATAATATTTCAGATGCGCTAATGAATATTGGGAAATGCTGTCGAGCATTGTTGCAAACCGGTCCGGACTTTGTGACTTCAAGAGTGTATTTACAGACTGCTGAAGTTCCTCTGGTGTTTCCAACGATGAAAAACTTTGACTATCGCCATTTCCATTAAATGATTCAATGGAGATATCCGAGGCATTAGAGTTCTTGCGTTCCGGCTCGAGAATGCTCCGCGGCGCTTGCGGCGGCTTGCTATCGGAAAATGTCACAGCAGTATTATGCTTGAACTCTGTCTTATGGTGAAAAACCGTAGAATTTCCAACCATAATCAAAGGAACTGTCAGGTACTTGATCAAAAATGACGAGAGCTTGATGAGATAGGCATCAGGTCCGTTATCGCTAGACAGCGTTGATGCCAGCGGAATCTTGGCCAAACCAGGCAAGCCAGGCAAACCAGGGTTGGTGGGTGCAGTGACAGTAGATCTCTGTCTCCTCTTTCTAATGGGGTACTTGAAATTGAGGTTCGTAGACTTGTTTCCGACTATCACTAGTGTAGGCTGGTATTGCTTGAAGAGGTGTTCCAACATGAAACGAGTTCCCGTGTGTTGATTTTTCTTATAGTTGGGCGACAAGGGGTCCGATGGGGGAATATCTAGAACAAACTCCACTGTGATCTTGAGCCTGAGCAGTGGATCAGGCAAGTTCTCCAAAACGTAGTTGAGCAAGTTGTTGCACTTCTGGTAGAGCTTGTCGTCGAGACTATGCTGCTTCCGAATGGTTTCGGCTCCATCCATGAACTTGAGAGGAACTAAGCCAGCAATCACCAAGCAGTCCCCATTTTGTAAGAAGGAAGTGGTTCTTGGCAAGCCGTTCTCAGTGAGAAGGAGCCAGTCCAATGAGTTCCACGTGTGCTTACGACCGGAAATAACCGTTAAGAGCGTCCTAGAAGCTTCTGAGTCGACGTCGTAGTCCTCATGTCTCACGGTTAAGGACATCGACTTGTAGTTGTTCTCATTCAGCGAGGGATACACAATCTGCTTGGACACTGCTTGAGAAGGAATGGCGGCACTTCCTGTGGAAGCCCGGCGGGCAGTACTGTAGTACGTCGTGGAAGAGTCGAATTTGAAGTTGTCAATGCTGGAGGTTCTGGGCTTCGCAAATTGCGGGTCTAGAGCCATGAGCTCCTCGTCAGTCATCTGAGAGTACAGCTTGCGGCGAGCGGTAGGTTGCGGTGGTGGGGAGCCGACGTCCTCATCGTCATCGGAGTCTGAGGCGTCTGCTTCAAGAACCACTCCGTCAGCCTCCAGATGCACAGTGCCATCGTGTTCATTCTTAACTAAATCGTTCAAGTCGCCGTGGTAGCTCACACCCAACAGTTTGGCATGCAGCAAGTTGGCCAGGAGCTGTGTGGGGGTCAACTTGTTCTTGAGAATCAGCTTGGAAGGAGGATCCGGAAGACGCACACGTTTTCGGGACACCGTGGGAGCCACGGGTCCCATGGTGTAGTTTCCAAACAATTTATTGACCTCTAGCACATTAGACCGAGTTGAGGCCTGCTCGTCAACATTGTAGGAGTAAAATTTGGATGTTCCAGATTCCAAGTCGTCCGGATGAAGGTTATTGAAAGACACTCGGCGGGCATAGGGGCCATCGGGCGGCAGCGACACCTGAGCCATAGGTAAATAGTTGAAGTAGCGGATGCAAAGTCAAAAGAAAATAAAACCAAAAGAATTTGGTGAAATTTGATGGAGTTTTGTGCTAGCACTGATCAATGTTAGGCAATGTCGACTCACTGTGGAGTAGTGACCAAAACCTGGGGTAGAGTACGCGAGTGGAAGAGAGGGAGCAGAAACGACACCAAGTAGCTTGAATTGAGGTGACGGTGACAAGCTTGCAATAGAAAAACAGAAAAAAAGCAAAGCACAAAAAGAGGAAAAAGCTGCGGTATTTTGAGATTATCGCTACTCCATATACCTTAGCCCAGCGAGTCACACTATTACCCACAGGGAAATGAGCGAGCTATGAGAGAAAACTCTCGGCACCTGCACACAACGACAGCAAAGTGCCTTCCGCACACGGAGCCTCCTAGTCCCCCTCTAGTGATGGCAGGCATAAAAGTTCCATGCGTCTGAGGGGAATGCTGGAAGAAGCACTGTTGTGAGAGGGAACATTGAGCCTACCAAAAAGAGAAGAGCCAAAGCAATTCTACAGAGCGATAGCCAAATGAAATTATAGAGAACAACCCTTGTCTCTGTTGGTTTTCGATCGTCGCCGAGGCTGTGTTGAAGCCTGGTTTTTTTTTTTGCCAAGTTGGGCCCACGTGATGCGATAACCGGCCAAAAGTGCAGCCTCGTGACGGGATCAATACGGTTTCAGCATGGTCATAGTTATTACTCCACAGTTTCAAGTTGGTTCGGGTACAGCTCACAGTGTTATTTGGAGTTTGTACCTCTTGTCCCAAGTGTAGGTTTGAGGATGTAGTGTTCGAAACATTGTTCCTCCGTGCTGAGTTTTTAAGTATTCATCCTGAAAGCTGATGTCATCATTTGAGAATCTTAAAATCTCGAATTTCTCACCTCAAAACCTCGCACTAAAAAACTCGAATTTCTCGTACAAAGTTGCGAATTTCTCGCATCTCGCAATAGTCACTTTCCCTTTTCCCTCCCATCCAATTGTCGCCGAGTGGTATTTGGCCCACAAAATTCCTTGTATGTCTGTCATCCCTCCATAATCCTCATCCAAGTCTTCGTATCTACACTGTACCTCGTGTCATCCATTCCCTATCTCTAACTCCGCTCTTCTCCACTTTTGCTAGCTATCCTTATCATCAAGCCGCATCCTCCATACTATGCCACCACCTATTGTTGGTAGCCATTTACTTCCCTCTAGGATGTAATCTCCGTTGACACTTAGTGTCTCAGAACAGTTGCAAGTTGCTTCCGCAGACCTTGACGGAAAAAATCCCGTAAATTTTTACTCTTTTACAATTAGCCGCTATCCATGTATGTGGATTCAAAGAAAGGGCGACTTGGATATGAAATAGATAGACCCGTACCTCTCGCACTAATTATTTTCCTTCTCGAAAAGTTATTCTTGCTGTTTCTCGTGGAAAGCCTACTGCAGACAAACATCCAAGCATGTGTTCGTCGCAGCCTGAAACCACGTCACCACTTAAAGTTTCAATGCTGGCAAAAATCTCCAATAGCGTGTTTTGAAAACAGAAAAAAAAAACAAAGGACGATTTCTTCCACATCCAAATTACATCGGCTATTAATCTTTCAAAATTTTTCTGGGCATGACCATTCGAATGCGCTGGCCGTCGCGCGGGTTATCTCCCCCATCTCCGGTAGATGGCCCTCATTAGCTTTGCTACTGTTGCGGTGCATTGTGCAGGGCTGACCATCTAATCTCTTGTTACAGGCTGGTTGTCATTTTCATCTTTTCTTCACAATGACTTCTCCAGATTGGTTTACCCCTGTGCCCATTGACGACTTCGAGGCGCTCCACAAAAAGCAAGTGGAGGACCCTGTGCCAGAGGAATGCCCCGAAACTCCGGCAATCGAAGGCTTGGAAGTGCATTGCGGTCCCATTCTTAAACTTTGTGGAACATTGGAAAACGGTCTGGACAGTTACAGAGCTTCCATTATGCTTGTTGTTAAGGGTGCAGTGCCCAAGATAACATACCAAATTGGACCTGTGGTGGAAGGTCCTGGAAAAGTCTCCGATGGTGAGTTTCCTGGTAAAGTCTACTATGAGCTGTCTGGAGGCTTGCAATTCTACAGATTTAACATTGCCTTGAAGCTTGCGGAATACCAGCAAAAAGTACGCTACACCATCAACGGCTTGTTCAATCCTGCTCATCAATTTTTTCTTCCCGCAGCGCTGGAATCCATGAACGTGGTTTCTTACTCATGTAATGGATTTTCTCTTGCTACTGACACCTCAGATTACCAGCTGTCACTTTGGTTGGATGTATTGCGAAAGCACTCATCTCAGAACTACCATGTGATGTTGGGAGGAGGTGACCAGATCTACTGTGACCTGATCAAAGTCCATTGTAAGGGACTCGAGCCGTGGCTTAATTTGGAGTCTTCAAGCAAAAAAAGAGAGGTGAAAGTGACTCCAGATTTGCTTGAGGAATTCGAGCAATACTATTTGAATGCATACCTTCAATGGTTTGGAAAAGGTTGGTGGAAGGGTAAAAACGGTGCTACCCTTCAGACCATGTTTCCTTTGGCTATGGCTCAGATTCCTACGGTAAGCATTTATGATGATCATGACATAATTGACGGATTCGGCTCGTACAAAGATAAAACAATGGGCCAGAATGTGTTTTCCACCATCGGAAACGTCGCCTACAAGTATTATATGCTTTTCCAGCATCAGATACTGATTGATGAGCCCGAGTACTTGGATGATCCACTGTGGGTTTTGTCTAAAGGGAATGGTCCATGGATTAAACAACCAAGTCACTCTGTTTTCATGCGTTTGGGTCAGGAGATTTCTTTGGTAGGTATTGATTGTCGTACTGAACGTAAGCTTTCCCAAGTTGTCTCAAATTCAACATACAACATCATTTTCTCTCGCTTACAGGCCGAGATTGACCGGGCGCCAGAGACCAAGCATTTGTTGGTGATGTTGGGTGTTCCAATCATGTACCCTAGACTTGTGTGGCTTGAGTTGATTTTGAACTCCACTGTGCTCAAACCTGTCAAAAAATTGGCTACCAAGGGTATCATTAGCAAGGGCTTGGTCAATGAGTTTGATGGAAGCGTTGAAGTTTTGGACGATTTGAATGATCATTGGTGTTCGAAGCATCACAAGCGTGAGCGAAACTTCCTTTTGAAGTCTTTGACTGAATTTGGTGCCAAGAACGGTGTCAGAATCACTATCTTGTCTGGTGATGTTCACTTGTGCTGTTTCGGAAGATTCAAGACAAAGATCCATCACCATCCTCATGCACACCTTCTTCAGGGCCACGAGGCCATCGAGGAGAAGAACAAGGATGTCACTCTTCATCCGGAAACCGATCCCAGACTTGTGTTCAATGTGATTTCGTCCGCCATCGTCAACGCACCCCCTCCAGACCCAATGGCCACTTTGCTCGGCAAGCGTTCCAAAGTGCACCACTACGATCTCTACACAGATGAGGACATCTTGCCGATATTTTCCTGTAATCCGGACGGATCTCAGAGAGATAATAATTCGTTCTTGAACAAAAGAAATTGGAACGATCTCGTTTTGGCCAAGCAGTCTGTAACTTACAAGGGTCGCGCAGAAGAGTGGAAATTTCCGGGACCATTGGTGGAGGAGTATGCCACTAAAATGGCCAAAAATGAAATTTCTGCCAGCTATATCAAGTATCCATTACTTCCTGACTCGTTGGTTACCACCATTTGGGTGGAGAAGGATGGAAACGACGTAAAAGCCTCAACCACAGGGTATGAAGTTTTAATTCCTAATTTAGAGGGTAAGTACGAATTGGAACAGACCAAAATCAAACACTTGTGATTGGACCGTGATACGATTTTACGTACAAGTTGTTTGTTCATTAAGTCAAATCGTTAATTGTGCAAGATGTCTAGGTTGCTGAAAGAATTCAAAGTTGGAGGATGTTAATTATTGAATGTGAGATGATTCTTCTCACTCATTATTGATTGCTTTTAGTGTACCAAATGGTTGCAAATACCTCCTCAACCAAATGGTCATCGCTTTAATTCGTTGTATTATTGTAATAAATATGCCTTCCATGTCCGTTTCCATTTCCATGTCCTGCACCCCTGTTATCATATTCCAATAAAATAACACCACCTGCATACAAACCGAACTATCCGACAGATAACACTTGCGCTTCTTATCGCTCCAGCCACAAGCGATTTTCAATTTAGCGAAATTTTTATCGCAATCTCCATTGAAATCTTCATCGGTTTCCCCAACAGAATATTCCTTCCATCATGACAGCGGAGGATGGTCGCCAAGACATAAAAAGACAAAAAGTTAGTCCGCCGCTGGGGATCTCGCGTTCCATAGCTGCATGTCGACGTTGTCGAGTCAAGAAGATCAAATGTGACCAGGAATTCCCCAAGTGCACCAGATGTGCCAAAGCAGGACTGGAATGTGTAAGTGTGGATCCTTCCACAGGTCGAGAGGTTGCACGGTCATATGTTTTTCACCTTGAGGAGAAAGTACTGCTCTTAGAAGGGAAGTTGAAAATGCATGGAATTAACCTAGACCTGGATACTCCCCAGCCAAATCTCCGTCTTGATCCGGACGAGTTGCCAATTTTGCCATCATCAGTGATGACAGCTTCAGTGCTGACCACAACGGAAAATTCCCATGTGGAGCCCGTCACCGGTCAACCATACCTAGGAGCATCTCTGGGAGTCAGTTTTGCTAAATTGATGATGACAGCAGTGAAAATGAACCACTCATTGCTGACCATGCGCCAGGAGCCGCTGAACTCGACCATTGATGGTGCTAGCAACATCCGACCCGCGGTGTTACCGCCGAAATCTACCGCCCAGGAGTTTATTCGCATCTACTTTGCTCAGTCCAATGCTCAACTACCGGTTTTACACCGAGAATCGTTTCTTAAATGGGTGTTTGAGCCCGTTTATGGCCCTTGGGACATGCGTGTGCCGTTGGCTTCCAAATATACCGCCATTAACATGGACACCTATGGTCCCTCGCCGATGGCCGAGGAAGCTACTTGGTTTTACCAATATAAGCAAATCATGGCGGAACGATTGGCTGCTGTGGGCGGCGACAATGACGTTGCAGCAGAACTTTCCGAGCAAATTGAGGTGCCTGAGCAGTTCCACCGGCCCATGTTCTTTCTCAACATTGTGTTCGCCATTGCATCGTCAGTATACCATCTCCAATACTTAGCCACCATTTCCGAGCAGTTCAAGAAGGCGGCCCTCAAGTACGTGGACTCGACTTACCAGACCAGTGATCCGCTTGAACAACTCGAGGCAGTTTTGCTCCTATCAGTGTATTCGATCATGAGACCAAGTGTTCCTGGTGTATGGTACGTTTTGGGCACAGCCCTTCGAATCTGCGTGGATCTTGGATTGCATAGCGATGGAGTGGGAAAAAGCAACAAGTTTGATGCTTTCACGAAGGATAGGCGACGTCGCTTGTTCTGGTGTCTGTACTCCCTCGACAGACAAATCTGTTTCTATTTGGGTCGCCCCATCGGCATTCCAGACGAGTCCATCACCACCAGATTCCCCTCTGAGTTGGACGATGCTCTAATTATCGAGGGCGAGACAAAAGATATCGACTATTCTGATGAGGCAAGTGGCATGCCCAGCTACAAGTCTATCTCGCTTTGTTTTTTCCGTATCCGGAAGATCCAGCTGGAAGTCCAACGCATCCTTTATGAAAACGGCGAGCTTCCTCGAAAGTTCGACAATTTGGGACAATGGCGTCGCCACATACATCAAGAGCTCGAACATTGGCGTAACCTGACGCCCAAAACCAACCGCAAAATGAATTGCGACTTCAACGTTGAGTTCTTCACTCTCAATTACAATCATACGTTACTTTCGCTAAACGGACTCTCGCCAAAGACATTCAAACTCTCTTCTGATGCCTACCACAAGGTGCTGGAGGCCCTGAAGAATTTGATGTCTTGCTATAGGCATCTTCATAACAAAAAGGCCATCAACTATACTTGGGCAGCTGTTCACAACTTGTTCATAGCTGGAACGTCCTATTTGTTTTCGCTCTACAATTCAGCTGAGGTCCGGAAGCATAATAGTTTGTACGAAGTGAAGAAAATCACTGAAGAATGTATTTCAGTCCTTAAGCTGTTGATAGCTACTTGTGATGCAGCAAAGAGTTGCGCAGACACTTTCCAGATGCTTACTGCTGCCGTGATGAAACTTCGCTACGATGAAGAGGTGGAGGGTACTCTCCTCGGCCAGCAGAACATGGTGGAACCTCCCAATGCGGTCAAGCAGCTGCTTGATGGAAGAGTGAACGCCAACTTAGCTAGCCTTGTTGAAGCATTGGTTGAAGAAAGCTCAGATGACAATTTCAATCTGCCCCGATTTGAGTGGATTTCACGTAAAGACAGCTCTTCCAGCGGAGGAGATTACAATGTCGCTGTCACCACGCCGTTGTTTGCCGAAGCTCCGAATCTCGACATGTTTTTCCTGGAATTGGCCAATCTCCTGCCTGTTTCTTCTGTTCCAGACAATTCCGAGGCACTGTCAGTACCTGCTTACGGTTTGGATATCATGGAGAAAGATAAGCATGTGCCATCTAAAGATGGAAAACGAGTATTCGAAATGATTCAGCAGATGCCTACGGAAGCAATCTGGGACCAGTTTTTCACTACTCTGAAGACCGTTGGATCTGGAGCCATGATTTCTGCATCACCCGTGATCAAATCTGAGCCTACATCTCCGCATGCTTGATTTTGAAAAGGAACAGATCAAAACAATAAATTTGAGAGGATGAAAAATCGTGATCAATAATAGAGAAATAGAAGAACTACGGAATCAAAAGTATTCAAAACAAAACCCAACATTCATTAAATTACCCAAAATACCAATGTCTATATTTCTGTCAAAATAGACATTTCAGCCAACACGGAAACAGACCCTCCTAGTAATTCCTGGCCATTGACTCCACTACATTCAACTGCTCTAACGACGTTCCCATCATACATGCCCCAAATACTAACAACTACACCCTCCGCTGTAGTTTGTGGCCCTAGCAGGTACATCACGTCCGTGACATCTACACAAACGCTCGAATTCGTGTCTTCTTCGTCTTCATCTAGTGATATGTGTACATGAACTGGTGCTAGGTTGGCTACACGGCCCACATGGAGAATTGCAGTAGTTTCGTCATAGGTGAACACCTGGCCAATGATTCGAATCTTCTGAGGGTATGCAGGCGACGCTTTCGGAAAGAGAAGCGATAAACCTCCAGGGTCTAGACATAGTCTTGTCATGGGGTAGTAGTACCTGTATGGAAGAATTGATTCATTAAAGACACAAGGTGAGTTTCGTTGATGACAAAATATTTTCTACTGGTTCATTGGTATCGGAGAATAAATTAAAATTTTCCAAGTTACCCGAGAAACATATCTTGTCTATATGTAAAAACTATCGTGATGACTTTCTTGTGTAGTTATTGGCTCTTTATACGATGAGTGAGACGCGTCAGCACTACTTTAGAAATCCTCCAACAAGTTAAAAATTGAAATCAGTTTTACTGACAGAGATTTAAAGTCTATCAAAAATGCTTTTACGAGAATAATTCTTTTCTAATCACGTCAATCTGCTCAAAAATGTACACTGTTCTTTCAGATAATTGTCACGTGACCTTAGATCAATAAACTCATCCTTCATCATCGAACTCACTTTACAATTCATCATGGAGACTCAAATCAACCGGAATCTTGGTTCAGGCAGTGTCAGCCGTGCCTCGAGCGCTTTCTCAACGGATTTTGAAAAGCAGAATGCTTTCTCTCTCGCAGACTCGGAGAGAAAGTATTCCAGACAGTTCTTCGCCATGTACCAGCATAGATTGGCCATGTTGAAGCCCAGAGTTGAGCGGGAAGCCATGAGAAAATGGGGCCACAATACGCGTAATGTTAACGGCCAGAAGATCCAGCACAAGGATAAGATTTTGGATATAGTCTCAGGAGAATTATGCTGGGTACTGGGAACAGTATTCTCAGATATGAAGCATAAGCTCAATATTCTCCAGGATGTGGAGAAAGGTGTGGACGATGTGATGCCCGCCATGCCCGAGCTGTATGTTGACAGCCAAAATGGTGCGGTTGTAATGTTGGAAGACGAAAGTGGTCGGGCAATCTTGCACAACGAAGACCTACTTCGAACTACTGGTTTAGTGACTGGTTGCTTTGTGGCCGTGTTGGGAATTGAGATCCAAGCGGGAATTTTTGAGATTATGGAGGTGACATACCCAGTTCCAGCTCCACAGAATGCATTGCCTGCTCCAACTTCAGAGAAGCACTACTTGGCGTTGGTGTCAGGTCTCAATTTCAGCACATCTACGGAGTGTGATCTCCGCACAACCTTATTACAGCAGTGGCTAGCAGGTGAAATTGGTAGTGTGGAAGACCAGAAGGAGTCGAGTAGCGTTTGCCGGGTGATAATAGCTGGTGATTCCGTGGAAGAAGTTGTCTCTGAGACGAATAACGACTTCAAGAGCTCCAACAACTTTGGATCTAAGAACACCTCCAATTTTCTGGCCGAATCTCTTCAGTTACTTGGTTCTTGGCTTTCCGAGGTAGTATCGACCGTTCCCGTGACGGTAATGGCTGGTGATTCGGATCCAGCAGAAGTGTGCTTGCCTCAGCAACCATTGCACAAATCGCTTTTGGGAAGAAACGCGAGACTCGCCGGAAATGACAACCTGCCTATCCATACGACCACCAACCCTGCGTGGATGGAGTTGGAGAACGGTCTACGCATTTTGGGTACGTCCGGGCAGAATATCAGCGATATACTCAAGTATCTGACCAGCAGCCACCTGAAGGAAGATATTTTGAACACCATGGAACGTACTATCAGGTGGCAGAATATCGTTCCTACGGCACCGGATACTCTTTACTGCTACCCGTTTGATGATAAGGATCCGTTTACCTTGGATGAGACTCCACATTTGTATTTTGTCGGTAACCAGACCCATGGAGGATTTAAAAAGGTTAAGGTGAAAGATACAGAGGTGACAATGGTAAGCATTCCTAAGTTCAGTGAGTCTGGGGAAATTGTTTTGGTGGAGTGCAGCACATTGGAAACTAAGACAGTGAGGTTTGCGGTATAGGCAATTTGGTCACGAAGACTAATTAGACTTACGCAATTGGGCCAAACAATTGAGTCAGTAACGCCTAAAAAGTAGACAAAGCACTTGCGGAGTAACTTTTGGCCACTCATATAAGAAAACTCCATGAGAGCCTAACAATACCGAAGGTTTGAGATGGCAAAAAAAAAAAAGAAGAAAAGAAAGAACTCAGCCAGTTCCTACTATGAGATGCAAGCACGATGAAAAAAGAAGATCCAAGTGCTAGCTCTCCGGTTAAGTGTTCTGACTTGTCGCCATGGCTATTACAGTCCTACTCCATTTACCACCCTGTGCGTCTGAAGCACTTCACAACCACCGCAACACCACTATACTACTAATTAATCCAGACTATTTCAGCGCTTTACTAAATCAACCCCTGGATTCGATCATCTATGAATGGACAGTGGCGTGACAGTTCCATTGGACTTCGCTTATCGGAGAATACGGAACAGGCTAAGCCTTCATGAGATATACTGTTCTGACTGCACCAAATCCTTCCGGACCGAAAGTACGGACGTGACTCCAAGTTTGATATTTACAGTCTTAACTAATGGCAGTTTGCTGTTGGCAAGTCAACTCTTATCAGTAAGTGTTCTGAAACTTATGAGTTTCGATGCGACCCATTTTAGTGGTGGTACTGCTCGCATGGGCATTATACAGACACCTTAAGGCCGGGAGATCAAACGACGGAGCTTCTAATCCTGAATAGAGCAAGAACCTCACACCAAGAATTCATGCGTTGCCAGGGGTATGGGAAGGCCAACTATACAAGCCCAACCCCACACTACCCAATGACACCCTGGCAAACACTTAACCTTCAGCTAATACCACTGTTGTCAACCCGATTCTTTTCTCGCTTTAAGTCACTGCGCGGTACGTGGTGTGGCATACATTCGCCTGAAGGGACAGAGCAGACCCAGAGAAATGACCTGCGCGAGGAAAAATCATTGAGGGCACAGCCCGAAGAACCAAAGGTTAAAAAACAAAAATAGTGACGAAATTCAAATCAACAAAAATTATCAAACGACCAAAATTGACGAATTGTCTATTCTACAGCTCCCAGCTCACAGAAACCCTCCACATTGTGCAAATCTTGCATGGTTGCTGCCAATTAACCAAAAAGTTTCCGTCATAAAAGAGAACATGAAGGAAGGTGCCTGGCGCATTGTCTGCAGTACCCATTTCAAGAACTGATCGAAAACCCATTCATCGAAGTCAAGCCAGACGGTAAATTCCCCGTCAAAACCTCAGATCTACCCAACTCATCCTGCTTTCAATTTCTTAATGCCATCGAATCTGCCCTCAAAAAATAATTAACAACCCCTACCCCGCTGCTGCTGCTAAAACTGTTCTTGTAAGCAACAGTGTGTGTCTAGAGGCAGGTAGTGAGAAATGAGAAAAACCACTCGAAAAAATAGTCAGGGGAATCGTGAAACAGCCACTTCTTTTTCCTTCCACTAGCCAGCGGTTCCCGGATTTTCCCTCTATTTTCCGTCCTGTCTGACTTTATTCTCCCTTCTTCTCATTTGGTGACCCCGCTCCTTCGCCACCGCTGTCGTTGATTGATTTCTTGCCGTCAGTTTCTGGAAGTTCTTGCCTCCATCCAAAAGGTTGAGACGGTGCTACGGTAGTCTCTACATCGCCACTCGTCCAGAAACTGCAATCAATTTGCCATCAAATCTTCTTCCCACGGCTCGCTTCACTCTCTACCACCCCAAATGAGTGACAATCCGCCAGATGCTGCCGGCTCTCGCTCGCGCAAGCCCAAGAACCTCTACATTGCTCACCGCCGGTCTCCCAGTGAGTTGACCACACTCATGGTGGAGCAATATAATCTCCAGCGGCAATTGGAAGCTGTGCAATCGCAACAGAAGCAGATTTTGCAACAACAAGCCCAGCTGCTGCTGCAAGAGTCTCAACTGTACAAATCGCACTCCAGATCCCCTTCTTACAATGGCCAACAAGGTCACCGCCGAACAGGCTCTCTGGGCGGCAACAACAACAACCATGGTCACTCCCGCAGACATTCATTGGGGCTCAATGAGGCAATAAAGGCTGCAGCTCTGCAACGTGTGTCCAACTTAGCGTCGCTTTCGGGCTCCACTTCCCAAAACACTCAAAACGACCGCTCCCCCGGCCTGGACACGGCTCTGCCAACATTGGGTCCCATGGCCGACAACTTGGGTGGCTTTCGATTTCCCAATAACAACGCTGATTCCGATCGTGAGCTGTCCCCCAACCATAACCGGTCACGCTCCTTGGCATATGGTCAACAGTCGTTTAAATTCCCACCGGACAACAGCTCCTTGCTTCCACCTGTGCCTAACTTTGGCAACCAGTCACCTGAGCGTGGCCACCAGAGACGTAGCTCTCATTACCGTTCAGGCTCGCGCAACTTCGATTCGGGATCCAACATCAACTCTAATTGGCGCACACAGCAGTCGAACCACCAGCGCAACAGCCTGAACTCAAATACTCTTGAACCTCCCAACTTTTTTGTTCCAGGCCACAAGAATAAGAGCAGTTCTTTTGGCGGGGGCAATTCGTCCATCTCGTCAATGAACCTGTTCAACCCCAACAATAACAATAATAACGGCGTCAACAACGTTAACGGACGCAAGTCTCTTTTCGCTCCCTACTTGCCCCAGTCGTCGTTACCCGAATTAATTAATGAGGGTCGTCTTGTTACTGGAATTTTGCGTGTGAACAAGAAGAACCGTTCTGACGCATATGTATCCACCGATGGTCTTTTGGAGGCTGACATTTTTATTTGTGGCTCAAAGGATAGAAACCGTGCTTTGGAAGGTGACTTGGTTGCTGTGGAGTTGCTTGTTGTAGATGAAGTTTGGGATTCCAAGAAAGAAAAAGAAGAGAAAAAGAGAAGAAAAGATAATACCTTGGGCAAATCCAATACTTCCTCCATTCTCAATGATGATATTCACAATGACGCGACTTCGACTCTGACTAATGATAACGATGGAAAGCTGGAGGCAGAGGGTGAAGGTTTGGGTAGAAGAGGTTCCTTGAAACAAAGACCAACCATGAAGAAAAATGATGATGTTGAAGTTGAGGGGCAAGCATTGCTATTGGTTGAAGAGGAGGAGATCAACGACGAAGTTAAGCCATTATACGCTGGCCATGTTGTTGCTGTTGTTGATCGTATTCCTGGCCAGATTTTCGCCGGAACTCTAGGATTGCTCAGACCTGCCCAAGCTGCCCAAGCTGCCATTGACAAGAAAAGTGGAAAGGAGTCATCTGTACACACTCCGAAGGCCCCGAAGATCGTCTGGTTCAAGCCTACTGACAAGCGTGTGCCACTAATTGCTATCCCTACCGAACAAGCACCAAGAGACTTTGTTGACAAGCACGAGAAATATGCCGACCAATTGTTCATTGCATCCATCAAGAGGTGGCCAATTACCTCTTTGCACCCATTCGGAACCTTAGTGACCAAATTGGGCCCCATTGATGACCCTAATATTGAGGTCGATTCGATTTTGCGCGATAATAACTTCTTGTGCGATGAATACCCTGCTAATCCTGATGCAGATGACACTTATCTCGCATCGTTCTTTGGTCCTATTCCGAATGTCGCAGTAGAGCTCCAAAGTCCTAACAGAATTGAGTACATCAGCGATTACGTCATTGCTTTCACTGCCAATAAGCAGTTTTCTGAGGTTGCTTTACATGTGAAGAGGCTCAGCAATACAATTATTGAGTTGGGTTTCCATTCTGTTGATGTTTCTCATTATGTTCAACAGAGCTCGACCTTGGAAAGAAAGGCTAAGAAGAGATCCTCCTCCGTCTTCTTACCACAGAAAGTGTCTCACTTGTACCCAGTAGAACTTAACGACGAAGCATCTTTCGAAGAAAACATGAAAAGCTTGGCCATTTCCGTTGTTTTCGAGATTGACACTACTAACTTCGAAGTGGAGGACGTTCATATCCATGAATCAGTTGTGATTCCTAAGTCCTTGGTGACTTTCGATGAGGTTGATGATATTTTGAATAACAACCCTCCTGAATCAATTACATCTGCTACCTCGGACTACATCAAAACTTTTGCTTTAATTGCAAAAGAGTTCCGTCGCCAACGGTTGGAAGACAGAAGTCTCAGTCTTAGCCCAAGTTTGACTCTTTTAGATCAGTTGGATGACGAGAAGGTCAGATTGCATTTAAACATCTTCGATTCCACTCCTGCAGCGCTGGTTGTAGCTGAGATCAGTCATAAGGTCAATGCCACGGTGGCTTCGAAAATTCATGCCAAATTGGGTGATGAAGCTTTCTTGCGTCGCCAGGCTTTGCCAACATTGCAAAAGTTGGAGGGCTTTTCAAGAAAAGCCGCAAACTTGGGTGTCAGAATTGATACCAGCACAGCCGCTTCCTTGGAAAAATCCATTTTGAGCATTCAGGATCCAGTTAAGAGGCAATGTATTGAGACGTTGTTGTACAAGTGCTTGCCACGACCAAAGTATTACATTGCTGGTAAGCAAGACCCTGATAATTATTCTCATTACTATTTGAACTTGCCTCTCTACACTCATTTCACAGCTCCTTTGAGAAGATTTTCCGATTTGATTGTGCACAGGCAAGTCAAGGCAGTGATTTACGATCGCCCAGCAGAAACACCAACTGACTTGGATGCTTTGAAAGCCATTGCTGATTATTGTAACTTCAAGAAGGACTGCGCAGCCAATGCTCAAGAACAAGCTATTCATTTGTTGTTATCACAAACTATTAATGAGATGAGTGAACATGCTGGACAACTTTTGGTGATGGGAACTGTTGTGCAAGTATACGAGTCTTCGTTTGATGTCTTTATTCCTGAGTTCGGAATAGAGAAGAGAGTTCATGGCGACCAGTTGCCTCTTGTGAAGGCAGAATTCGACAAAACGAATAGGATTCTTGAGTTGTATTGGGAAAAGGGCGTCGATTCCGCTACGTATATCCCTCCAGATGAGCGTTCGTCGTTGAGTTATAGATCCTCGATCAAGAACAAATACCGCACGTCTGCATCCGAAGCTGCTAAGATTCAAAGCAAAAATATGGCTCAAAAGGAGACCATTGCGACGGAAAGCATTCTTTCGAAGCTTGCAGAGTTGGATATCAACGCACCCAAGGTTGTTGCACCAGTTGCCAAGATGTGGCCCTCTGTGAGACCAGGTATCCTGCAAGGATTAGCTCCTTATTTGCAAGATGCTATAACACGGGTGGAAGGTAACTCCTACATTCAGGAGATTCGAGAGTTCAAGCCCGTTGCAGTTTTGTTGCGGGCTGAGATTGGCATGGCATTGCCATGTTTGACTGTACGGATCTTGAATCCATTTGCTGACATCTGAACCTGAACCCCACATTTCTACGAGCTATGAACATTTTCATAATATTATATTTTCTTGATATATCTAGAGCCTCGTCGGTCTAGAAATACCCCGGATCAGCCCAATTGAAGTATTTCATATCCTGCTCCTCTCGCATGAATGTCAAATAATTTAGTGGACCACCTCCTCGCGATCAGCGTTTGGTTCACTTTTGGTTCCTACACTCTAGTCACTTAAAAATTTTCCCAAACTTGACTTTCTTCTCCACTATGTCTGACTCTGCCCAAGACTCCAAAGCTGGCCCCAACGGCGTTAACCACCCCAAGCCCGTGGCAGCTACCAAAAAATCCAAATTGTCAGGTACCGGTGAGTTCATTGTGAGAGAATATGGCACTCCTCTACAAACCAGAGTAGCCTCTCCATGCACATTGAACCCACCAATTGATAGTGACGGATTGTCATGGCCCCTGCAAGGTGCAAGAGCTAGAATTGAACTGACTCCCGAAGAGGCTAAGGCCCGTGAGCTCAGAATTGCTGGTGCCGTCAAGACCATTCTCACTGAACTTGGTGAAGATGTCGACAGAGAAGGTCTTTTGGAGACACCAGAACGTTACGCTAGAGCCATGTTGTATTTTACCAAGGGCTATGAGGACAATATCCGTGATGTGATCAAGCGGGCCGTTTTCGAGGAAGATCATGACGAAATGGTGATCGTGAGAGATATTGAGATTTACTCATTATGTGAACACCACTTGGTGCCATTTTTCGGTAAAGCACATATAGCATACATCCCCAACAAGCGTGTGGTGGGACTTTCCAAGCTTGCACGGTTGGCTGAGATGTATGCCCGCCGTTTCCAGGTCCAAGAGAGATTGACTAAGCAGATTGCCATGGCACTCAGTGAGATCCTCAAGCCTAGAGGAGTGGCTGTGGTGATTGAAGCCACCCACATGTGCATGGTAAGCAGAGGCGTGCAAAAGACAGGGTCTTCCACCACGACCAGCTGTATGTTGGGATGCTTCCGTGTGCAACAGAAGACACGGGATGAATTCTTGACGCTCTTGGGCAGGCGTTAGGTATTTCACGATTCATGATCTTCATTTCTTGTAATAGACACTTGAACCATTAATATAGAGCTTTTCAAGCGACTATGCCAGCTTATCACTTCCATTCTCCAATTCTTCAATCAAATCTGTGACTACGGAAAATTCTCTAGGCGCTCATTCTATTGATCATCTATTTACAAGCTGTATTCATTTTCTTTCCACGATTTCTGCTGCCTCCAATACTTTCATATCATCACCAAATTGTCCCATGATCTGGACTCCGAAATCTTTATCTTCACATGGAACAGAAATCGAGGGTAAACCTGCCATCGACCCTGGGATCGTCAATACATCGTTGATGTATCCATTGAGAAAATTCGACTGGGTGTCGCTTTCGAACTCCTCCAATAATGGTGCACGGCCAAATGCGGTGGGAGAAATGAGTAAGTCACATCCACCCGGGTTTCCAGCTTCTCCAGTAAGTGGGTTGGCCATAATGAAAATGTCGTTGAGTTCCTGAACTAGTTGTCTGCGGACTCGAGTTGCCCGCAAAAAGTAGTCGCCTGATTCTGACGAGAGGGTGTAATTTCCCAAGACAATCCGTCGCTGAACTTCAGCACCAAACCCTACACTTCTATTGTGAGCGATTCTGTCCATTCCACTGGAAAAGTCTGAGTCAGACCCATAAACGATTCCATCAAATCTCGACAAGTTTGATGCTGCCTCAGCCGTGGCAAGTGTGTAGTACGCCGAAAGCAGCTTGCCAATTGAAGGAATCGAGACTGGTTTAATGGTATGACCCAAATCCATGAGTCTGGTGAGGACCTTCTCAAATTGAACCGTCACATCTTCGCTTATCTCGGCCAAAAGCAATTCCTTCGGTACTCCTATTACTAACGAGGTCGTATCCCTCTTGTTGCTGGTAATCTGGTCTCTTATAGACTGAGGAAGAGACGTGATATCCTTCTCGTCGTATTTGTTCAAAACTTTGAACACTCGTTCGGCAGTGGCTACTTCACGAGCCAAAATTCCCACCGTATCGAAGCCCTGAGCATATGCAACCACTCCATATCTTGATATACGCCCATAAGTCGGCTTAAAACCGACAATTCCACAGTAACTTGCCGGTTGGCGAACCGAGCCACCTGTGTCTGTTCCTAAGGCGAAATCGGCCAATTCGGCAGCTACCGCGGCTGCTGAGCCTCCTGATGATCCTCCACAAACTCTTTTCTCGGAGTATCTAGGATTTATCGTAGGTCCATGAACTGAAAACGTGGTGCCAGAACCCATACCAAATTCGTCCAAATTACTTTTGCCAGCCATGGTCAGACCTGCATCCTCTAGAAGCTTAACGACAGAGGCATTGAAGGGACTCACATATTCCTTAAGCATCGGCGACCCACAACTGGTAGGCTCATCGGTTGTGGAAATGTTGTCTTTGACAATGAAAGCGGTATTCGCCAAAGCTCCCAGACTGTTGAACACAGCCAGTCGAGACACAATGATACTGTTGTATGCGTCACGTGACGTCTGGGTTAGTAGCCGAGAAGTTTTACGTAGCATAATGATAATATTCTAAAAGAGTCTTTGATCTGGTGAAGGTGTTGTATGTGCGTACTGTATATAGTGTGTTTATAACCTCTAGGGAACACTCACCTGGACTCAAAATTATTGATTTCAAACTACATGAACGTAATTGGCACAATCTAAAGATTACATAATTGGCACTCTAATCCCACACTTTACACATTAAACCCATTTTCATCATGGGGTCATCAACCTGAGGTATACTGGTGTACGGGTGTGACTCTGTCCCCCACCCCCACTAACATTGAAAAAAATCCACAGTCAAGACTTTAACCATGTCGTTCTCTCTTGCTGCCGACAAAGGCAAGACCAACCTTGCGTTGGTCAATAACTTGAAAGTGAGTGTTGCTGCTGCCAAATTCCAGCCTAAATTGGAAATCACTGTGTCCGATGACTCTGGCCTTCTCTTGAAAGACAAAAAGTCTGCATTCGAATTAGTTGAGGCCAATGCTATTGTCAAGTATTTGAGCGGTGACTTTGCTGCTAGTGATTTATTTTCTGTCGATGAAGTTGCCGTTTATGACGCTCTTAAGTCCGGATCCTCCCAGAAAGCCGTCGAAGCCTTGGATTCTGTGACTGTTCCATCCAACAATGACTTTTCTGCCGCCAACATCGTTCTTTTCGGTGCTGCCTATCCCTTTTTAAAGGACTTGAAGGCTTTGGCTACTTGGGTTCAATCGTTCGCTGCCTTGCCTGAAGTTTCTCAGGGTATTAAGAATGCACAAGCTGTCACTACCGTCGAGAGGCAGGTGGCTTCTGCTACCGGCGCTGTCAACGTTAAGACTGGATTTTTGGTGAAGCCTCAGGACGACAGTATTTTGCCCAAGGACGGTGAGAGAAATATTTTGATCACCTCTGCTTTGCCATACGTCAACAACGTCCCACATTTGGGTAACATTATTGGTTCTGTCTTGTCTGCCGACATCTACGCCAGATACGCCAAGAACAGAAACTACAACACCTTGTTTGTGTGTGGAACTGACGAGTATGGTACCGCCACCGAGACCAAGGCTTTGGAGGAGAAAGTCACGCCTCAGCAGTTATGTGACAAGTACCATGTTCTCCACAAGGAGGTGTACGACTGGTTTGACATTGACTTTGATTACTTCGGTAGAACAACCACGCCTTTGCAGACGGAAATTGCTCAGGACATCTTTATGAAGTTGTATGACAACGGCTACTTGGAGGAGCAGACCACCGAACAGTTGTACTGTGAGACTCACAAGTCGTTTTTGGCTGACAGATTCGTGGAAGGAACCTGTCCAAAGTGTGGCTACGATGATGCCAGAGGTGACCAATGTGATAAGTGTGGTAACTTGTTGGATCCTTTGGAATTGATCAATCCACGTTGTAAGCTTGATGATGCTAAGCCGGTGCCTAAGAACTCCACGCACGTCTACCTTAAATTGGGTGACTTGGAGCCAGAGTTGCAGCAGTGGTTCATCGAGGCATCCGAAAAGGGTGCTTGGTCTAAGAACAGTAAGACTATTACCAACTCGTGGTTGAAGCAAGGTTTGGACTCCAGATGTATCACCAGAGACTTGGTGTGGGGCACTCCTGTGCCTTTGGAGAAGTTCAAGGATAAGGTGTTGTATGTGTGGTTTGATGCCACTATTGGTTATGTTTCCATCACCGCCAACTACTTTAAGGACTCCAAAGATATTGCCGGGTGGGAAAAATGGTGGAGAGATCCCGAGAACGTACAGTTGTACCAGTTCATGGGTAAAGACAACGTTCCATTCCACACCGTTGTGTTCCCAGCAACTCAGATCGGTACCAAGGACCCATGGACTAAGTTGCATCACTTGAATACTACTGAGTACTTGCAGTATGAGGGAGGTAAGTTCTCGAAGTCTAGAGGTGTTGGTGTTTTCGGTAACAACGCCAAGGACACTGGTATTTCCCCATCTGTGTGGAGATACTACTTGGCTTCTGTTAGACCAGAGTCTTCTGACTCCCACTTCTCGTGGAAAGAATTTGTCACCAAGAACAACTCCGAGCTTTTGGCTAACTTGGGTAATTTCGTTAACAGATTGGTCAAGTTTGTAATTGCCAAGTACAACGGAGTCATTCCAGCTTACAACCCTGAGCAAATTCCTAATTACTCCGCATTTGAGCTGGAAGTTAATGGCTTGTTGGCATCTTACATTGAGAGCATGGAAGCTGTCAGCTTAAGACGTGGTTTGGAACTTGCCATGGCCATCTCTTCTCGTGGCAACCAGTTCTTGCAAGACAACAAGTTGGACAACTCGTTGTTTAACAACTCTCCAGACTTGTCCGATGCTGTTGTTGGTGTTGGCTTGAACTTGATCTACTTGGTTTCCGCCGTGATTTCTCCATTCATGCCCGAAACCCGTACTCAGATCTCTGAGATCTTGAACGCTCCACCATTGTCTATTACCGACAAGTTCGAGTTGGTGTTGGAGGCTGGTCACAACATCGGAAAGGCCCAATACTTGTTCAAGAGAATTGACGAGAAGAAGATCGAGGAGTGGAAGGCATTGTACGGTGGTGCCCAGAAGAAATAGAATTTTACGAATCTGTCCTAGTTGACCAATTTAATGACAACTAGCAATATCATGAACTTGTGTAGAGATCGGTTACATGCTCCGAGGAAGTCCGGGACCAGTTTCCTGTACTGGAGTAAAAAATATTTGACACTTTGCGTATTTGGTTTTCATTTCAACTACCGCTAACATCAGCCCAGAGGCTCGGCTTGAAATCACTACCTACAGAAATAACAAACTCTACAAAAATAAAATCTAGATGGTCATAAGCATTCATTTCTCCAAGAGATATTGTGGTAGTAGTATCCCGAAACAAAATATCTGTGTGCAGTACCTATCTTGTTAAGATACTCCGGGGTAAATATTTAAACTCGGAGTTCCCAGCAAATGATCCATGCCTAATTATTTATTACATGTCATTTGCAGGAAAACAAATAGTTGGTCTCGTCACTGGTTTGGCAGTCCCTCCAATAATTACCAAGTTTATTTTGCATCCAGTCCTCGTGGAGTCCAAGTATAACGAAGTGGATTCTCTTAAACATGATCTCGACTATTTGGGATGGAATGTCAGATTGAGAGAGCAGGAGTACGGAGTTGCATCTGAGGCCCTCTATGTGCCCACTAGTTACTTTCAGGGTCGTTACTAGGTAGTCAATAATATACGAATTCGGAAATGCCTGTAGGATTATTCTGAATCAATCAGATCTTCGTCGTTCGAGTCTTTAAGTTCCTCATACAAATCCGACTCATTATCCATGTCATCGTCAATAATAAATTCTTTCAAGTTTTTATGTCCAAGCTTGATCTTATTGCTTTCCCACGTGTTGAGATCATTGACATTTCCTCCAGTAATAGCTCTTATCAAACTCAACTTGAACCCCTTGGATTGCTTACTGAAATCAATATGTTCACGCTTATGTTGAGGAACATCTGGACGGTGTCCGATACTTTGACCAACTCTCACAAGAGTCTCAACACATGTCTTAGAGTTGTCAATCAAATCAGAATCAAAACAGAACAGATCTTTCTCGAATAGCAAGAGGACGGTAGACCCACCAAACTTGAAGTACCCAATTTCATCACCTCTTTTCACTTTCTGGCCCTCCTTCACTGTAATAATTGTAGATCCCACCATCATGGCTCCCACACCTACCAAAATGATAGTTCCAAATTTCTCTGTGTGAATCGGAACAATAACTCTGACATTCTCTCCATAGACATCCAAATCTGATCTAATGGCCATGGGGTTTACAGTGTAATACTCTCCCTCGATGTACTTCATGGGGCCGATTGTTCCTGACACTGGAGAGTGGAATCTGTGGTAATCTTGTGGTGCCAATCTGAAAATACCAACACTGCAGTTCTTGGGGTCGTAAAGATTGGTCTTTTCAAAGTTGTTGAAATTTCCATTGAACAATTTTGCTAATGTAAAATTGCGTCCCTTGATCCAGAGCTCGGTGGCACTGTCAACTGTGACAAAAGTTGTACATCTGCAATCCGCTGGAGAGACAGCAATTCCCTCCTCATCTGGAGCCTCGATTGGTCTTGCTCCCACGTCAAGTTTTCTGTAGAAGAATTCGTTGAAAGTTGGAAATCTGGATGGATCCTTAATCTGGCACTCGGAAAGATCAAGCTTATGGAATTGAATGAATGAAGCAATGTCTCGAGCCAGCAGAGGACTGTCGAATTTGATGCCTTGCTTAATACTGAGCTTTCGAAGTAATGATCGAATTCGCTTCGTTTTTGCTTTATCCAAGCCTTTATAAAGAAGTCGAATTCCCAATCTAACAGTAACACTCATCTTCTCCTCCATCACTATACCAGTTGATCTATCTTGCACAAAAATATTGGCTGAGTTGCTGCCAAGCTGATATTTTCCATACGTCAACTTGATTAAAAACTTGGAATACCATCTTCTCGACGCACCTTGACCTGTTGCGTAACTGGATGTCAACATTTTGTTGACAATACTCCAGTCTTTGGAAGCACAAATAGCGACATGAGTCACAATATCTAGATCTCCTTTCTTTGTGAATCTCCTCTCATGACACACGGGACAACTGTCAATCTCGAAAATCTTGTCCTCGGGATTTGATTTTTCCCGAGCAATGTAGCTCTCCAAAAATTCAACAACCTCGTCAAACGTTACGACATCCCCACCCCACATTGATCGATCCAATTGCTTGTAGAAATCTGTCACAATTTCGTCACTATTATGAGATCCGAGCGCGTCCAAGAAAGATATCATCTCAATAGAATCCATTTCTGTAGAGGTCTCGTTCACATTGTACTGTTCCAACAAAATACGCCAGAAGTCCTTGCGGAGATTTTCGTAAGTGAGGAAACGTGCCCTGACTTTCAATGTTGGATTATGCTTCAGGGCCAATTTCTGGTCATGAAGAGTCAACTTAAGATCCAAAGTCTTGAAAAGCGATGTGTCAACGTACAGAACTGTGTAACTGCTTCTCTTAAACTTTTTTTTTTTTCTTGTCTTAACCATGTTCCCATCCTCAGCTATCTGGATTGCTTGGTGGCTATGCGCGTCCGATAAAGAAGCCAAAGAACTCGTAGATTGGTTTCGGCTCTTTTCTTCGAGAGAATTGTCAGCTTTAAAAACTGCCACAGGTGGACTATCGGAACTGGGATCTTCCGCTGTTCTATCGTCAAGACCTTCAGCGGCGCTTTGGGAACAAGGCTCAGAAGCAATTTCAACAAGGCTTTGGATAGGAATTGAAACATCGGCAACTTGGTCGTGAAACAGAAAATGGTCTTTGTCTAGAACAGAGAATTGGACATTGAAATTGCTTTCGTGGTCCATCACCTCGAACGCAAGTCTTTCATTGTAAACGGGATTCAAATTGTGTCTTTGCCAGCTTGTTCGGAACGTCATCTTACCAAATGTCACCACAACAAATGGATCCATATCGAAACTTGTACGTGTGAAGTTTTTGATCGGAGGCAAGTCTGAACACGAGAGGATCTCAAGAAACATTACACCCTTCATATTTCGATGGCGGAACTCGTATTTGGCATCGTTCTCCTTTCTTCTCCGGAAGCGTCTTTTCTTCACCTTCTCCGTACCGGAAGCACTCAAACCTGAGTCGCTGCCATAGAAGCCGTCACTGTTGTAGGATCCAATAGACAGAACATCTGACGCAGACAGGTAATCTGTACGAGAGTCATCAGAATCTGGAAATACCTTAAGGAATCCTGAGCCTGATTTTGTCAACTCCGACTCAAGCATTTGACTTTGGGACTTTTGTAGGAATTTGAGAGGACCTGACGAAGACTTTCTGCTTGGTTTCTTGACATACTCATCAATTGACTCAACATCAGATACTTCGCTAATGCCACTGACTTCTACGGACTCATTCAAGTCATTATAAAAGCCTTGCTCGTTCGGCAAAAGTATGTGGACGCCAGGTTCAGTATTAACCAAGGAGTTTGTCCAAGCTTTAAACTTCTGTAACAAAGAGTCTTCAGAAAGACTTAAGTTTTCAACAGAAAGATTAGGGGCTGTTGGAGGGCTCACTAAGAGATGTGGACCACTGCTGCGCATGGAGGAGTCCGTGGATTCCTTAGCCCCGTCTTCCTTATTGGAATCCAGAAGCAGAAACAGAAGCAATACCGAACCAGTGACATAACAATGGTCGCTCTCGTTCAGGTAGAGCTTGTACCATTGAGGCAGTGTCTTGAACGAAGCGTTGTCACCATCAAAAATATCCAGCACTTTGAGCCGAACCTCCCCGAGGTAACTTCTCGTACGTGGAGTCCGATTCCACACGGCTAACACCAATACTTGAGAAAAGTCGCCAGTTTTGAGAGGTATAATGAAATGATCGTCCCAGGACGGATGAGCTGTGTTGAGCTTTCGCTTACTACGTTTTTTGTAGCCATTAAGACGAGCTACAATAGCCGCATTAATTGTCTTGGACCTCAGCTTCTTATCCAGTAAAAACAAGTCGGCAGCTCTGTATGCATCCACGCGCAAGTAGATTGGAGCATGCGACCGTTTGCGGATTCTCATGGTGTCAATTGGAGAAAAACTGGGTTGGGAAGTATATATTCTAATTGGGTTACCTGTAATTTCGACGGTTTACGGCTCAGGGCCTGACTTGGCTATGTTAATGGGTGCAGGCTTGGACAACAGGATACCGGAAGAAGGTGCCATATCACTGCATATAGGTTAATTCTGGGGAACAGTGAGAACAAATGAGTGGTATGATTGTTGAACAAACGGGAAAGTTTAGCATGAAAATATTATAGGCATAGCATGACTTTTAGGGCAAATTTAACGTAGGTTGGCAATAAATCTGATATATTAGCTTGAGTCAGCCTTGGGTTGGCAATATTTGACGTGTTGGATGGATCTGTAATCATGATTATAACTCGAATGTTTTAAAGCTAGATCCACTGCGAGGGCACTGTCGTTCAGTGTGTCATTTAATGTGTGAAAAATTGAGTTCGGTATGGCTAGCTTTGCCCTTTAGTTGGAACAACTAGCTTGTGAGCATCTCAACAACTCTCTTTACACTCAATTTCTTAATATCTGTGTAGGTCTGGCCAGTTCCCACAAACAAAATAGGGACCTTCGTGGCCATCACCATGTTGATCATGGCTCCCACGAGATCTCCCACCGTATCCACCTTGGAAATGATGAAAAAGTTGAGGCCCCTGCGGTTGCCGAAAGCATTGTTGAAGTTGATTGCTTGTTCCACGGAATCTGTACCCACAAGTGCCTCTCCCACCATGATGATTTTGTCTGGGTTGGCTGCGTCTCCGAACTTCTTAAGAGGAGCCATCAACTTGGCGTTAGAATGCGTACGTCCTGCCGTATCAATAAGCACAATATCGTAGCCCTCTTCCCCAGCAAACTGGATAGCCAGCTTGGCGGTGTTCACCACATGATCACCACCTCCGTAACCTCTCTCAAAAAGATTAATCTTAGTAGGGGTCTCAGCATTGCTGTTGAGACGCTGAAGGTTATTTACATGCACCTTCAATTGCTCCACAGCTCCTGATCTGAAAGTATCGCATGCACAGATGAGAACATTGAAATTGTTTTGAAGAAACCAGTATGCGAGCTTGGCAAGGTTGGTTGACTTTCCCACACCGTTCACACCAACCACAGAAATCACATAAGGTCTCAGTTTGCTGGCGGAGTTCTTCTTAATTTCATAAAGTAAGTCTGTCGACACATTGGGTGTAAGAATCTTGGTGAGTTCTTCGGTAAGTGCCTGCTTGAACACTGGCACCGTCACCGTCTTGGACTCTAGTCTGGTTTTAATCTTTTCGATGATGGCTTTGGCGGTAGGAGGTGCAATGTTCTTGGAAATGAGTTGGTCGTTAAACTTCTTGGCCACCTCATCGATATCTGCGGAGGCGCCGAAGTAGGAGGAAATTTTCGAGAAAAATCCACTTCTTTCACTACTGCCATCCTTCTCATCGTCAAGTGTATCGTCTTCGCCCAAAATATCGTTCAATTCTCTGACGAGCACCAAATCGTCTTGCTTGCTGAAAGCAGACCGATCCACCACGAGATCATCGACTGATTCCGGTACGGCACTTCCTTCCTTGCTTTCTGAGTAGTCCAATGACTCGTCATTGCCAACAGTCTCCACCATTTCTCCATTAATCCACTTTCTCATGGCCTTCTTGGTCTGAGTCTTCTTCTTCGGCGTGGAGACAGCTGGACTGCCCGATCTGACCGGTGTAGAGGCCAGCTCAATGCTCTTTTCAATCTTGAGCCGTATCAAGTCGTTAACCTGATACTCGATCAACTTGTGCAACTTCGCTGGGTCCTCCTCTTCGTCTGTGAGTTTGACGTAGGTTCTGAGCACATCGGAGAGCGTCTGGCGGATTTTTTCGCTGTCAATAGTAGTCACAATGTCAAAGTAAATAGCGGCATAGAGATCGTCACGTTTGAGACCGTAGAATCGCTTTTGGGCAGACCCTCCACTGGTGGTGTAGAAGTTAGAGTCCAATTCTGTGCATGACTCGTTGACAATGCTGAAGATCAAGTCGTTGAATGGCGAGATCTTGTTGTTGCTTTGATAGAGCACACGACCAGAGGCCTGGAAGATAATCAATGACTGGGACATTTTGGCGATGTCCTATCTATTTCAGGTTTTTGGTTAATTTCTGACAGTGGTTTAGGTACTCCGAATGTACAGTATGAGGATCGGACTTCGCACTACAATCAAATGGTCTGGGTAAATGGAAAGGAACGAGGCGAGGGAAAACTATGAGGGAAACTATTTAAAAACGCTCAAAAAAGAATTAAATACAACTGAGCTGGATTAATGGAACTGACAAGTAAAAAAAAAAATTGACGTCACAGACAGGATTCGAACCTGCGCAGGCAATGCCCAACACCTGAGCTGCTAATAGCAGGGTGTCGCCTTAACCACTCGGCCACTGTAACTGAGCGAAATGAAAATAATTTTGAGTCTAATATAAGGTTATTCTCAAACACCTATTTGCCATTTTTGAAGCAAATAGCCTTTATCAAAAGATGCAAGAACTTATTTTGACATTATTGGTTTGATTGAGTTTCAATAATTCTCTTGAAATTAGAAAATCTGACCATTTTACTTGTAATTGTGAGGATCTTGTCATTAGCACTATTTGAATTCAAATTAGCGGACCTGGAGATTATTTTATATTATATTGCTGAACTCTTGTTTAGCGTCTTTCTGTTCGAGATGACGAAAACATGAATGCAGTTCAGTGGTATGTCTTAACCCACTTATAGAGAGACCTTTGGGTTTCTTACAGCTACCTGGAAGTTACATCATGGAATCAGCGATTTGAAGTTGTCCTTTTGAAGATTGAAACACAAATTCAACTAATGAATTTGAAGTACTGATTCACTGCCGAATAGAGGCGAGTTATTTGAAAAAGATTTGTAATCCACCGGACCATCTGAGCATTATGGCATCGATCGCTACTGGATTCGTCGGAGCAACTGTCATTGTCTCTTAGGTGCTTAGAGCAGTTCCAAGTGCTAAACAAACCTAATTCGGTCCTTCACCGATCTCTATTCATCCTCTAGAATGTAGATATCATATCTAATCACTTTTTCACCACAAATTAAAGAGCTTGAGCGATGGATTTTTGGAAGATTCTTTATTTTCAGAACTTAAGAGGACATTCGTAGATTGAACTTACTCTTGCCGTCGAAACGTTTGAGCAAGTTCCAACACATATCAACACAGCTACATAATCTCACTTTCTTTTTTAGAGTAATTTTGAACCTTTAAACTATCAATTTGAACTTGTAGTCTTTGATTTCAATATGCTAAGTTAGGGACAAGCTTCTTTTGTGTATTGAAGAGAAATTATCAACCACAATTCTAAATCCAATGATTCTTTGAGATATTTATGATTTGAAGCTAACAATTTGATTATCTATCGGTTATGTTCCAATGTAGAATGCTACGGGCTCTATACCAAGCCATTTGATCATGGAGTAGAATGGTTAAAAAAATCAATGCTTCATGCATCCGTTTATATGTTTACTTGGACAACTGGTTTGCTAAAATCTGGATATGAGTGGTAATTAGTTAAAGTCAATTTTCAGGTTGCCTTCGTTCAATTCAATTATCTTCCTTCTAAATATTTTGCTTTCATGGTTTTTAATAACTTTACCTTTTTGTCAAGTTTCGCTGTCAAGTGGCATAATGGTGAAATAAAGTAAACAATTATAGCCATTCGTCGATAATCCAAAAAAAACAATCACACATTCCTCTAGAGACATCAATTTTAATGAATAGCAAGGAATTTATCAGGATTCAATGAGTTTTTTACTGATGTTGTTCATCCTTCTTTCATAGCGCTCTCAATAATTTACATTTCGACTTTTCGTTCATACTTCAGCCAACTAACTCAACTTCAAAATTATGGGAAAGAAAACTGAATAGAAACCTTCAACATTATACATAATATAATTAGTTATACCTTCATACACCAAATCACCACCCACTCCCCAAACTTTATAGCCAACATATATTCACGTCTCGTCGTGCACATACTCTCGCGATTCAAGCAACATTTACCTCATTTACTTCATTACTTCCATATTCACCGCCAATGGCTTATTACCAGCAAAACGACGCTAACGCCGGCTTCTACCAGTCCAATTACGGTCAGTCGTATGGTCAGCCCGGCTTGGACACCAACATGGGCTCCATGAACGCCTCTTTTGGCGCCAGTTTCGATGTAAGCGGCGACATGGGAGGAGGAGAGTTGACCCCAGGTCTTTTGGCAGCATTCAGCACTTCCGGATACCCTGGAGAGCCTCCACTTTTGGAAGAGCTCGGCATTAACTTCAATCACATCAAGGGCAAGACATTAGCTGTGTTGAATCCTCTCCAGAAAGACATAAACCCAGACATCATGACGGACCTGGACTTGGCTGGTCCCATTTTATTTGTGTTGCTCTTTGGTACGTTGCTACTATTGTCAGGAAAAGTGCAATTTGGCTATATCTATGGTGTGGGACTTTTTGGCGTGGTGAGTTTACATTACCTTTTCCGTCTCATGAGCGTGGATGTGCAAATCGACTTGACACGGTCGGCGTCGATAATTGGCTACTGTTTGTTGCCTCTAGTGTTACTATGTGCTGTAGGGTTGGTTATTTCGCTCGATTCGATGTTTGGCTACTTTTTGAGTGTGGTTTCGGTGTTTTGGTGCACGTACGCTGCATCAGGGTTGTTTGTCACGGTGCTCAAGCTTCACAACGTGCGTCCATTGATTGCGTATCCGTTATGTTTGTTTTACTTTGTCTTTGCGTTGATGGCTATTTTTGTTGAGAACAAGATGGGAGCTTGAGCTAGAAATTGAAAGAGAATTGGAAAAGGTGAGAAAGGAGAGGACGAGAGAGATCGGTCAATTTTGAGATTGACAGACTTCGAAAAGAAAACGAGAGATGAGAGATTTCACAGGAGAGAGTCGAGTGCCGATAAGATGATATAAAATAGATTGTGGACTTTCAAGTACCACTTCACGAATCAACAGCATCATCGATAACAAATCAATATCCATCGATGACTCCAACAATGGAAACAACAATGGAAATATCAAGGAATCATTAATGGAATCTATGTCCATATCAATGGAAATACGATAGAAATCCCAAAATACATATCTTACTGGTGTCCCCCGTAGTTTATCCTATACCTGCACAAATCTTTCAACATTTAACTTCACTAATGAAACCACCAGTGTTGTTGGCGTTCAAGCGATGTTTATCGCAGAAGCCGTTTTATGTGACAACGCCAATCTTCTACGTCAATGCAAAACCGCATTTGGGTCATCTTTATTCCATGCTCCTCGCAGACACCAGAAACAGATGGGAGCTACTCAAACCTGGAGCCAAAACATTCTTCTTGACGGGAACAGATGAGCATGGCCTTAAAATCCAGACAGTGGCAGAAAAAGAAGGCATAGAGCCCAAGGTTTTGGTGGATAGAGTTTCACAGAACTTTGTGGAGTTGGCCACTAAGTTCAATGTTCGTTATGATAGATTCATGAGAACCACCGATGAAGATCACCTTCGTGCAGTCAAACATTTTTGGAATGTGGCCATGGAGAAGGGTCTTTTGTATAAAGGTGCACACCGGGGCTGGTACAGTGTGAGTGACGAGGCGTTTTATCCGGAAACTCAGATCCAAGATGTTTTGGATCCCAAGACTGGAAAGTCCAAGAAAGTGTCCATTGAGACAAACAACGAGGTGGTGTATCATGAGGAAGAAAATTACTTTTTTAAGCTTTCAGTATTCCAGGATAAGCTCATTGAGTTTCTTGAGGCCAACCCTCAATTTGTCATTCCTTCTAAGAAACACTCCGAGGTGATGGCAGAACTTCGTCTCGAACCCTTGTCAGATCTTTCCGTATCTAGACCATCTTCTAGACTCAAGTGGGGCATTGAGGTCCCTAATGACGATAGCCAGAAGATCTACGTGTGGTTTGATGCATTGATCAACTACATTACCGCAGGAGGATACCCACATAAGTCAACAGAGGATATGATCTGGCCTGCCACTCATGTGGTTGGCAAAGATATCATGCGTTTCCACTGCATTTACTGGCCAATTTTTCTTATGGCTTGTGATCTTGAGCTTCCTACTCAGGTGATTGTTCACAGTCATTGGCTCAGTGAGGGAGTGAAAATGAGCAAGAGTTTAGGGAACGTAGTGGATCCAATGAATTTGGCAGATGTTTATGACGTGGAGCCTTTGCGGTTCTACTTGATGGAGCAGTCCAATCTTGGAGTGGACTGCAAGTTCAGCGAGGGAGCTTTACAGAACCACAGATCGGTGGTGATCAACAAATGGGCCAACCTCATTTCGCGAATTGGAGGAGACAAATTCAACGTTGCTCAAAGTGTTCAAGACTTCCACCAAGGAAAATTTGCCCAATTTGACCATGATTATCCTGTTGAAGAGGCAGAAATTAGAGACAAGTTGGTGGCCAGCGTTAACAGTCTTCACGCAGACATGAATGCACAGATGGTTGAATTCGGCCACATGAAAGCGCTTCAAAGATGGTGGGAGACTGTGGAGCTTGCCAATGTGTTTTTCCAGGAAAGTCAGCCATGGGCATATAAGAAGAAGATCGACGCTGCTGGGCCCAACGAGGCTGAGGTCTTGGCACTCAAGAGAAGCTATATCATATTTTTGACTGCGGAGGCATCCCGAATCGCCTCTACTTGCTTGCTACCTTTCATGCCAAATACAGCTGGAGCTTTCTTGGACAGATTGGGTGTTGGAGCTGAATTTCGGAACAGTGGTTGTGCCAGCGTTGGAGCGGTTCAGAATTATGGGGAAGGAACGAACAGTGGAAAGCCCAAACCACTCATGAGAAAGCTTGATTTATAGAAGGGTTGACTTATGAGATAGTTGATTAACAATAAGGGTGAAAATTGTACATAGAACCATAGAATGGAAATAACCTTAGATAGAGGGTAAGAGAATAACATTAGAGTATTGAATTAGTAGAATGTAAACACTTCCTCAAATTTAAAGAAGAAGGTCAAATCAAGAATCAAAAAACCTAATCATACAAAGCAATTTCTCAGTCTTTAATCGATCATTGCCATGCATGTAGTCATGTAAATATACTTCAACATTGGCATACTTTTTGTTGATTACTTGAATAATACAGTGTATCTGCTAGGGGTACCAAACTTTTATTCAATCAAAACACTATTGTTAACAAACAGAATTAATTGATGACATCTCGTCACACAATACTGAACAAATGACGGCATATGAATCTAAGTTGGAAAACCCCCACCCACAACTTGGGTAACCTGCACAACACTGGTAAACTTAAGGACCATCACATCACCACCATGAACAGAAACAGGAAAATTGATAATGCTCAAATGAACAAAATTTTTCAAATTGCTGACTCCTTCCTAATGTCAAAATTATAACTCAACTTACTTCTCCAACCATCCCTAAATATATCCCCTAGAAGAACGTACCTGCAGGACACCATCTTCAGGTCCCATCTGTCAATGTCAAATTACCATAACCAGATAACCACAAATGATTCATAAATTCGTATCTTGTCGTCTACGACTTGTGCTATTAGTATATAGAAGTCGGGAAAAAAACGCCGCACGGAGCTGCGCACACGACCTGGACGGGAAAAGTGTGAAATTGACACCATAGACTATTTTCCAACTCCTGACAAATTCTCTCATATTCGTAATGCTCGTAAATGTCGGGAAATCATCAACACTTCAGCATGGTTGGGAGATACTACTAATACTGTTAGTATGGGTAGTCTCTTTTTTTCCTGCAGGTCACGTGACTACTATCCAACCTCCTCCCACCGAATTTTAACACTTCCCCAACATTCATACAGGTAAATCCAAGGCTACCTTTGGCCACTTGCACCATTTCTTTCTTCGTAACCTTCTCCTATTCCGTTGAATCGTACCTCGAAATGGCACGCTCTTCCAGAAGGTCTGCGCGTCTCCTGGATGATGACAATTCCAGAAGATCCAGAAGAAATGTGAGCTATCTTGAAGATAGCGACGCCGATGCTGCCGATGATGTTGCAGATGATGACATTGGGTCATCTAAGGATGTGAAAGGCGAATCGGACATTGACGATGAACCCGAAAGTCCTCCATCCAATAATGACAATGATAAGGAAGACAATAATTATGATGATTACTCAGACGAAGACGAGGAGGTTATGCCGTCGAGAAAACGCAGAAAGCGTGTTCCCAGAGAAAAGAAAGAGCATGACGACTCGGACTTCGAGGATGAAGGTGGATCTGCCACTGAGGAAGACGGGTCGGAAGCTTATGATGAAGACGACGCATTTCTTGAAAAGCTACGAGAAAAGCAGTTTGTGGCATCGGACGATGATGACGCCGCTGGAAACGATTACTATACGTACAAAAAAGCAAAAAAGACAAAGTCCCGGCTGCGTTCGGCAGAGCCACGAAGTAAAAGACGACTTCTGGTTTTGGACGACGATGAGATGGACGAAGTCAACGAAGATGACAGTATTCAGCAAGAGATAAGGGAATTGTACGACTCACTGCCGGACGAGAGTCCTGTGAAGCACAAGCTTCGAGAACGGGAAAAGGTCAACTATACTATCCCTCCGCCAATCACCAATGATAACATGAACGAACTCTACACCACGGCACCACTGTCACAGCTGTTTCGGTCGCGTGGACGAAAGAACGCCAATAAGAGCGATTTTCGTAAACTCCTCTTCCCAACGGCTGGACCCTTCGGTGGCAGTGACGTATTATCAGTTTTGGGCCAGAACATTCCTCCAGGAGGCATTCCTATTCCCGGAATGGCCGCTGGAATCGGTGAAACTATGGGCTTGGGTGACTCTGGTGACTTGGACTCTTCAGATGACGAGCTAGTGCCATCAAAAGACTCCTATGGGCTTCCACAAGCAAAGCCCACCCCTCTACTTGCCAATAACAAAGTCTTGAACCACACCAAGATCATTGGTGCACAGTCAACTACAGATGGCAAAAAGAAGAATAGCTTGAGCGATACAGACCCTCTTGGCGTGGACATGAATATCGATTTCTCTGCTGTTGGAGGCTTGGATGGCTACATTGATCAATTGAAAGAGATGGTGGCTTTGCCCCTCTTGTACCCCGAACTTTACCAGAATTTCTCCATCACTCCTCCTCGAGGGGTCTTATTCCACGGACCTCCTGGTACTGGTAAGACGCTCATGGCTAGAGCTTTAGCAGCGAGTTGCTCCACTCCGACAAGAAAAATCACTTTCTTCATGCGTAAAGGAGCTGACTGTCTCAGTAAGTGGGTGGGTGAGGCTGAAAGACAATTGCGTTTATTATTTGAAGAGGCTAAAAACCAGCAGCCTTCCATTATTTTCTTTGATGAAATTGACGGTTTGGCCCCCGTTCGTTCTTCCAAGCAAGAACAGATCCATGCAAGCATTGTGTCTACTTTGCTTGCTTTGATGGATGGTATGGATAACAGAGGTCAGGTGATTGTTATTGGTGCTACCAACAGGCCGGACTCGGTGGATCCAGCATTGAGAAGACCTGGCCGTTTTGATAGGGAGTTTTACTTCCCATTGCCTGACATCTCAGCCAGAAAGCAGATTTTAAAGATTCACACCAAAAAGTGGAGCCCGCCATTGTCACCAGTTTTCATCGATAAAGTTGCAAGCTTAACTAAAGGATATGGAGGTGCAGACTTGAGGGCTCTTTGCACAGAGGCCGCTCTTAACTCGATCCAACGTAAATATCCTCAGATTTACCTGTCCACTGATAAGTTAATCGTTGATCCTACAAAAGTAAAAGTGGTTGCTAAAGACTTCATGCGTGCCATTGACAAAATCGTACCTTCGAGTGCAAGATCAGCTTCTACCAGCTCTTCTCCATTGTCAGAACGTCTTCAACCTTTGCTTCAAGACTCTTTAGACAGAATTGTTGTCAAGCTCAATGATCTTTTGCCGGACTCTGTTGGAATCGGGGGAAAGAAAAAGCTCACGAATCTCCAAGAAGCCATGTACTTGGATCCAACCATAAAGGACGATGATGGAGGCTTTGCCAAACACGAACTTCTCAAAACGTTAGAAAGCTCTAGAATTTGCAAACCTCATCTTTTGATTTGTGGTGAAAGAGGTTCTGGCCAGCAGTATCTAGGTGCAGCCATCTTGAACCTCCTTGAAGGATTCCAAGTGCAAAATCTTGATTTGGCTACAATGTTTGGCGATGTGACACGAACTCCAGAACTGTGCATAGTGCAAACCTTTATCGAGGCCAGAAGACATCAACCTTCAATCATTTTCATTCCTAATATTGATACATGGTTTGATGTGATGCCACATTCTGCAAAAGCAGTTCTTTCGGGTTTGCTTCGAAATCTTAGAAGCAATGAGAAAATCTTGCTCTTGGGTATTGCAGAGAGAACTTACGATGAATTGGATACAGAAATCAAGTTGACTTTGGGCTTTCTGGGCGAACTGAACATCGCTACGTTATCAAATCCATCCCTTGAAGCAAGAAGGAAGTTTTTCGTCGCCATCGAAAAAGCTTTGATGATGAAACCATACGAATTTTTGAATGATTTGCACAACAGACCTAAAAGAAAACTCAAGAATTTGCCCATTATGCCACAGGGAAAGACTGAAACGGATAGCACCAAGAAGGCTCTCAAACAGCAGGAATACGAGGACAAGAAATTGAAGAATCTCCTCAAAATCAAGCTCGCCGGGTTAATGGACCTTTTTAAGAACAGATATAAGCGATTCAAGAAGCCAATTATCGACGACAGCTTCTTACACCATCTTTTTGAACCTTCGGTACTAGAAAATCCATTGATTCCATATGAAGTTGCATACATAGTTGCTAAGGACCTGGAGCACCACAATATGATCCAAGAACTTGCTACCGGTAAGTACTTCTTCAACATGGATTTAGATACCATCGAGGAACGAATCTGGAATGGTTACTACTCAGAGGCTAAACAGTTTTTGAAGGATATCAAAATGATTGTTCGTGACTCCATCACCTCTGGAGACAGGGAGAGGATCTTGAAGGCCAATGAGATGTTAACCAATGCGCACTTTGGAATTGATGACTTCAACAATGCGGAGTTCGCCCGCTCATGCAAGGAGATGAGAGCTAGAGAGATTGAGAAGCAAGCAAAGTTGTTGGAGGATCACAAGAGATTGCAAGAGGAATTCGCAAAGAAACAGGAAATTAATCTCCAGCAACTCAATGAAGACCCTTCGTTGCTCAATGGACACGGTTCACCATCGGTAGAACTTCTCGAAGGACCTGAGGTGCATAGCAACTTAGAAGGAGGAAATGGCACAAAAGTGGATCATATGTCTATCATTGAAGAGGGTGATGAGTCCAAGTTTGAGGTGCCAGTACCCAAAGAACAAGAACCAGAATCGAAGGCTGATGAATCAGAGTCCAAGCCTAACGTACAAGAAAATCCTGAATCAGATATTCACAGCGCAGTTGATGGCTTTGAAAAGCCTAACGGAGATGGTGGTGAGATAAAACCAATTCATAAAGAGCAATCAGCTAGAAGTGTTGCCAATGGATATGGCCAGGTTTTGGAAATTGCTCAAGAACCAAGCGGAGTTGTGGAGTCCACTATATTGCAAGACATGGAAGTTGATGATGAACCTGACAGTGAGTCGGAAGCCGAGGAAGACCTTGTAATCGACACTAGTCGGCAACTTATTCTTCCTCCCATCACGAAGGAGCTTTTCGAGGTGGAGATGGTGAAGATTACGGAGAGCTACACGGTGGAGAAGTTGGAGTATTTTGTGGCGCTGCTCATGGAAATCATTTGGGCAGACCGCGGTGAGTGGGATAAAACTGCTACAGTGGCTAAGTTGCAAGAGGTGACAAAGCACCTCAACATTTAGTTATCTAAAATACATGTATGATACACAGGTACTCCGAGACGGAAAGTCCGACTGTAAGCACCAAATGACACTTTTCATAGTGGCCAATAGGCCTAGTCCTCGGCACTGCCGTCTCTGGGTCTGTAACTAATATTCTGTTCCTCCAAGTCACTAACGATGTGTGGAGGCAACTTACCGTTGACTTTCACCGCATACAAACCGGCTACAAACGAGTCGATACGGAGCCAACGAGCCACCCAGGATGCCTTGTTGTCGTCGCCCAAGGCTACCAAACCTTCAAAAGATGGCGACGTGCAATCTTGGATCTGGCCGTCTTCATTGTCTGCGTAATGCAACACAGACTCACAGTTGGGACATCCCAGCTCAAGAAAACGTCTGTATGGCTGGATTATACCGCAGAGCATGCATGCTCTTTCGGTTTTGGACGACATGGTGTTGGAAATTGGAGGTTGAAGGTCGAAAGTTGAATGAGATTTCCATTTGGTGAAGGTGGTGCAGGAATGGACCTCTGGGTGGTGGAATGATAGAACGATGTATGTGGAAATCGCACGTATTAATTGGGTGAATTATAGGTAACAGTTGATTTTAACAGTTGATTCCATTTCTGTCTTATTGATCCTTTTCGTGGTATAATTTGGTTAAGTGCTGCTATACTGAGCATGACTGAACTGCGAGAACAAAAGATTGGACAACAGGCAATATATGAGAAAATGAGGAAATTAAACGTAACAAGTTGACTAATAGACAGTGTTCACATAGTTATCAAGACTATTTCGTACTAGCTCGATATTTCTAAAGTTTGGGTTAAAACGATTGACAAGGTCAGATGTTTCATAGACTTTATGATATTACAATACGAGAAATTTTAAATTTGATTCAATGGTGATCTGAACGGGCAAAAATTGTTAGGATTATAAGATTTCAATTGCTCTAATAATTGATATTTGTAACTTTTTTTTCGTATCCTCCATCATTTTAACTTTCTACGATAGTACCTAGCATTCCACAAATGTAGGATCTCTCCAGTTCCTTTCAGTGTTCATCCACCACAGAGAACTCGAACAACAAAAAACGTAACAAAAAAACATAACCACAGTTTATAACTTTTCAATCTCTCATCTTTCCAATCGTCTCTTCCAACTCTCCTAATTCTTGTCCTCATATCCCCCACCATCCATTGCCAAACCTCAATTGTCTTCCATCCCAACCTCCTGCACATCTTAAACCTATCTGACCACCATCTTGACTTTACATCCAGCATGCTACGAACTCCTATGCTGTTGGTAAGATGCCTGCTTCTACATAGCAGAAGTCCCCTTCTAGCTGGAACTAGCTCGAATGTCTGTCGAAGTTCTCAAAAGAGAGCCTTCTCGCTTGAGCCTACGACCATAGTTACGGCTTTAACCGACTCTCTTGAAGCAGCTCACGCCTACACGGGCCTTCCTTGGTGGGCGCTCATTCCACTCACTACCTTCGGACTCAGATCTGTGTGGACACTCCCGTTGGCCGTAATGCAACGGCTCCGGATCCAGAAACAGAGTGCTTTACGCCCTATCATTGCTGCCACAGGTCCAGTTCTTCGCTTGAACTTGGCCAAAAAGGCCCTGCGTGCTGCCAAGTCCCAGGACACGTCTGTGGCTTCCATTGTGTCGCCGTTACGTAACATCAAGTACGAGGAAATTATGGTTTTGTCTACCAAAGAGACACGGAAAAGACAGAAGAAGTTGTTCAAGGATCACAACGTGCAGCTTTACAAAAACGTGCTCTTGCCGGCTGCTCAGATCCCACTATGGGTATGTATGTCTCTCACTTTCCGTAACTTGAGCGGATGGTCTACCTGGGACAGCTTGCTGAACAAACCAATGGATCCGTCATTGTATTACGAAGGACTACTTTGGTTTGGAGACCTTACGGCATTAGATCCATTCCATATATTCCCCATGGCCATTGGAATTGTTGCTTTAGTCAACGTGGAATGGACATTTCGGACATTGGCATTGATGAGAGCATCCGCCTCTCGTCGTAAATTATTCCGTCCTACCCTCACAGACTCCATGGCAAATGTTTCTAGAATGGCGGTAGTGTTTCTCATGGCTATTTCCCTACATGCTCCGACCGCACTTACCCTTTATTGGCTCAGTTCTCAGGTGTTCTCCTTGGTGCAGAATGTGTTCTTGGACTTGGTCCTTCCCATCAGCTATACACCCAACAAGCGCTTTGATGTGGTCAAACTGACTGTTACCGATGCGGTTGGAGTGGTTAAAACTCCTGAATGATCTTGTATATATCAATTCTACAATCTATGTATTTGTTCTGTATATCCTTTGTATTTCTTCATTGGTGTGTATAGTGAAGGAAATTTGGAGGATCTGGAGAAACCACTTCAGCACTTCAACTATGTCGAAGTCTCCCTTGGATGTCATAGACAAGGCAGCAGAAGAAATTTATGCAGTAATTACTGCTGAATTGTCGGAGCAGGTTACAAAAAAGTACAATGAAGGTCAATGGACTTTGCTAGAGCTAGATGAATGGAGAAATGGTGAGTTACCTGAACTTATCCAGAAACGTGGTAAGGAAAAGGACTACCACATAACCAAAGATGAATTGGTTTTGATCATGGACTGGAAATTGGCCAAAGGTAAGTTTCGCCCTACTCTTCCCAAGCTCATCAAGTCGAATCTGCAAGAAGATGTTGTGTCCGTAACTAAAGCTGGCTTTACTATGTTCATGGATTTTGCACAACTGACAAAAGGAAAATGGAATGATATAGCGCTACGTGACTACCAGGTCGCTGTCAAAGCCAGCTTGAAGAAATTGTGTGAATTAAAAGGTGTGGGGCCTGCCACGGGCAGCTTGCTATTATCGTTATTGAGCAAGTCCACCCATTTTGCTGCGCCATTTTTCAGCGATGAGGCATTCATATACTACATCCAGCAGCCTCTCCGTCCAGGCTCTCCCATAAAGTACAACGTGAAGGAATACGTTGATGAGTTTGTGGGTGTGCTTTTCAATATTGTGTCTGACAGACCATCAACGTCAATGGATAAACTTGAGAAGGGCGCATGGGCGCTTAAGATGTATGACACTTACCGCATTACCAAGCTTGCCAGCTGTAAGTTGCCATTTGACGTTGAAGACAGCTTGCTTGAGAAGTTTCCAGACACTCAAAAGTATCAACCAGAACCAGATGCAAAGAAGCGGAAGTCGGAGCTCACAAAGCCTGCCAAAAGGGCTAAGACTGCCAAAACGAATAAAAATTAATGACCAAGCTAAATATCAATGTAATCCTTCTCATAGTTAATCATCTTGAACGGATCATCGTTATCAGCGCAAAGCGTGCTAATATTTCTGCCCACACTGTGAATCATATTCTCTAATCTGGATTCGGAGTGAAAATTCTTCAGTTCTAAAATAGCCAAGTTCACTCGATTTGCCAACTCCCCAAGCTCACGACCAAAGTTATCTAAATATTTTTTGGCGTTCGTAAGCTCTGCTAAATCCTCCTTCTCGTGGACCAACAAGACGCCCGAAAGCTCTGAAAGTGCCTGCTTGAGAGAACGAGCTTCTGGGTTGTTTAATAGATTCCTTCCGTATTCGAATGCCTCTGTGAATAACTTTTGCGTCTCGTTTGCTCCGCCATCTCCAAAGACAAACTCATTTCCGACTTTCACATCGATGAAACGTTTGAGAAGGTGTACATAGTGCATAACCTGAAGGTCAAAAATGCATCTTTTCATCAGAGCAAGCTTGGGGTAATTCTCTTGCAAGAAATCAGCGGCTTTCTTGAACTCACCCTCGAATATGAGTGTTCTCAATGTGTGTCTGTTGACTGCATCAGATTCTTTGATCAAAGACTCAGCATCTTTGTTATTTTGCAGGTCATTTGCCAGCACATCGCCATTTGCTTTATATGAAGTGTTCTCTGCCAAATCCGTAAGGTCATCTTTGAAAGACTCAAGTGTATCCAAGTATCCTTCTTGCACAAGATATCCTTTTACGAAATCATTCAAGAGAGTTGGATCGTCCTTGAAATTTTTAACGGATTTCTCAAAAGATTCCTCTGGTAAGCCGGTCACGATCGAGGATGCTAACGTCAAATTGCGCAACTCTTCGGCTATAGTACTATTCAATTCTGTTTCCTGCTCAGATTTGAACTCTTTGACATAATGATTAATATTAAAAAGGAACTCCTTTTGTCCAAAATTGGTGATGATCTTTGATTCCGGTAAGTCACCTTCACCAATTGTGGCCGGGACGTCTGAAAGTTGGAAACCAATCATCGGGAACAAAGACACTGGCTTTGAAGACGACACGAATATCGAATCCTTGTGTCTGTTGGTATTAATTATCTCATTGTGGCTGATCGTTTTCACTAAAATACCGTTGAGTGTAATGAACAACGTTTTACTGATGAAATTCACCCCACAGCCAACAGTATCCGTGCAGAGAATCTTGTTGCCTTGCATAGAGGGTTTTGCATGTGTTGTGAATGGTACCTCAACATCCAAACGGCTTGTGTCCAGCTCATTCGCCGCTTGTCTATTCAATTGCGAAAATCTTCTGTTCATATTGAGAGACGATGTACGGTAGCTGTTATCGCCATTTTTAATGGATGCATACGAGCACGAATTGTTGAAGCTTAAAGCAAAACTTCCCTCAAATGAAATTCCCGGTTCTGCTCCAAGGAATGTTAAGGTGTCGTCGTCCAAATTTGAAGTGTATGCCTCTTGGTTATAAAATGCAATCTCATTTTGTATATCTTTCAAATCAATGCTCTCGGTAGTGGTTGTGCTTCCAGACGTAGATGGCATGGTGTCATAGCGGACGTGCCTTTTAGTGAATCCCACGCTAAACAATAACGAAGACCCTGACGAAAGTGATGAATCATTGGCCAGGAGAATGGGCCGGTGATTCGTTGCTGGCGTGGTCTTCTGCTCCACCAGTACCTCATAGTAGAAGACTCCTGTACGATCATCCACCTCGTTGTTGGCAATGAAATTGTAATAACGTTTTCTGCGCATGGTATCCTCAAAGTTGAAGTCCAACTTGTTGAGCTTGAACTCTAGAATCGAATAGCCATTCTCAAGACTTACGGACATTCCGTAGAGCACATCGAGCTGCTCTAATTGTTTATCTATCGACAACAGAGTCCAGTACATTGGTAATGGCGAGAGAAACGTCCGTTGGTTATTGACCATTAGGTAAGGCAAAAAAGAGTACTTATGTCCATTGTTATCTCTAGCCAGCCTCATAAGTTCAGACAAGCTGGCCACCATATTTTTAAGGCCCTCGGGGCTCACACCTCTTGAATTTGCGATTTCCTTAATGACTTCGGGCCCAAAACGAAACTCCCCAAGATTCGGGAACTCAAATACAGATTGTTTTTTCTTTGGCAATGCATCAGTGTGTGGTGCCATGCTGGAAGCTACTGCAAGGGCCAGAATTCCGTTCTCCGGGGTTTCCTTCGTATCTGCTCGGCTCTTAGGGCCCTCTGTCCGTAATCTGGACTTGAAGATCTCGTATAGCTCAAAGAGGTATTCTTCTGATATCTTTTGCGGTGGAGAATCGCCCAAAATTCCAGCTACAGCAAACTTCTCTCTGAGTTTCTCTTTTAGGGCATCATTGACACTCTTATCCTCGCAAAAGGCATCCTGCTTGCGTGGCAAGTTCTTTGGCTGACGAAAGTGACATGAAGGCGACGAGACAAAGGCGTTTTTAGCACCCAATTCCGGATTGGCCCAGAATAGCTCCCTCTGTAGTTCCAAACCTAAACATGTATTGAGAAGGTAGGGCGGTATCACGTGGATTAAGTTATTATCGGACATGATTATGGTATTTTTAAGTTAATAAAGGTGGGTTTAAGTGGGGAGAGCTCGGTCACGTGAGGGGCCAAAGTGGAGATAGTATATAAAGACTGGAAAGAAGAAGGGTGATGATTATTATGAAAATCAGTGGATGTATCTTCTTTGAACTTTCAATTTTATTCCGAAGTGCAATTTTTCTATAACTCTTGTTTGGTATCATTGTTCCTGTCAAGTCTCAACTCAACACTAACCTCACCTACTTAAGTCTATATACCTGACTCATCAACTACGGACTTACTTCCTATGACTGACGCCATTCTAGGCCAGATAGAGGGCTTAATCCCCAATATTCCACTTACGGTGGTTTCTCAAGGTGCTGAGGCTCTAGTTCTATCCACGGATGTTCATCCTTATATTCCTAAAAAGTCCAAGTTGGTGGTGAAGTTCAGACCTTCAAAACCTTATCGTCATCCCAAGATTGATGCCATGATCACAAAGTCAAGAACGATTGGAGAGGCTAAGTTTATGGCTAAGTTGGCACGTGTATCTATTCCAGCCCCTGCTCTTGTACTGTTGGACGCACCTAATGGAATTATCTGGATGGAAAGTATTGGAGATGAGCTAGCCAACGGCACTATCTCTTCATTGAAGAACTGGTTGTGGCACCTTGAAAAGTCCGGAGAAGACTGTATCAGTGATCATGTGCAAGCTTTATTGCAGAATACTGGACTGGTGATTGGAAAACTCCATATGAATGACATGATTCATGGAGACTTGACCACTTCCAACATTATCCTACAAGGTGGGCAGGCGTACCTTATTGACTTTGGACTTTCGTCTTATTCTACGCTAGCTGAGGATAAAGCAGTGGATTTATATGTGATGGAGCGTGCAGTGGATAGTACCCACTCAGATTTTGCAGAGAAGTACAATGGGTGGCTTTTAGATGGATATAAGCAGACGTTGTGTGGAGAGTACGGAGGCAAGGGAGGCAAGAAGAAGTATGCGGATACTATTAAGAAGTTGGAGGACGTTAGACTCCGAGGCAGAAAGCGGTCGATGTTGGGTTGAACACCAAATATTTCAGCTTCTTTACTTTGGACAGGCAAAAACTATGAAGCTATTGACGTTATTTGGAATTCAAAAGGCAATTATGGTCCTATTTAGAGCTCACGGATCAGTTTCTTCTGTAACTACATCCGGTAAATTAATCATCTTTCATGAAGTTCGTATCCTATTTACACTTTCAGACTCTCTGGCTTCTCCGCTTTAGGTTCTCTGGTATTCTTGCTTCTAGGCCACATCGACGGAAGCTTAATCACTTGAAACTTGGGTTCAATACATCTATCTGTAAACCAGCTCCTCAATTTGCTCTCAATAAGCTCGGAAATTTTGGGGATATCCTGGAGTTTGGCACGAGATCCAATGAGGGACTTGACAGAGAATTCAAGACGGTAATCAGGGGAGAACGAAAACATAAGCGCGGTTCCACCTTGGTCTTCCAACTTGGGATTTTTACTTGGATCGTTATTGGCCAAAGACACCGTCAAGCAGCCAGAAAATCGAACCAAAGACACTGAGAGCTGCACGGGCAATGCTGCAGTAAATGGACGTGGCTGGTTCAAGAGGAGACGAGTGTCGATGCCTAGTGTCAAGGTGTCGGAGAGATCCACATCGATCTTGGCCTCAAGTCTCCCGGTGCCGTCTGCACTGTGTTTGATTCTACAGTTGGAGAAGATGGGGAAATCGTCACCGATATCGATTTCCGTCAATTCGATCTTGTCCAAAAAATCCGGAAGCTCCAGTTTCGACAAGACTTCATTTAATGAATGGTAAATGTTGTCGGAGAGCAATGCTTCACTACGAAATTGTGAAATGGTCTGGGCAACCAAAACATTGAACCAGTCCAACGACTCTGGTGTGTGGTTATCAACATCGTAATAAGTTTTCTCCAAAATAGCAGCTAATATAGATGAGTCTTCGTCATCATTAGCCTCTCCGTTCTCCTTCTTCTGTCTGTTGACCACCACTCCAGAAGCTTCTCTCTTCTTCCGTTTTCCTGTGCTAGGCGAGGACTCGGAGAAGACGAAAAACTTCAAGAACATGAATAGCACCGCCATTGAGATCACCTGGCCGAATATGAGCCCCTGGGCAAAGCTCCACAGTGTGTTTACGGGCACCTGGATAATTTCAACCTGTCGTTCCACTCTCTCTGGGAGCCAAGTATCTTGAGATTCTGACATGGCGGATTCCAACAGTTAGGTATATTTGCAATAATGTAAATCTAAATCAAGTTGGGATAATCAAGAAGCTGTAGGGGTAAATTAGCGGACGATTTTAGAGTAGTCAGTTGGGTTTTACGTGTGGTGAAGTTAGTTGATGCGACTCTCATTGCACAGGTCAGAAAGTGGAGAACTACAATCAAAGTAGAAAATCGAAAATGCAGAAAATAATGCTTCGGGCCATAAACCTATTAAAATCATGAACAGCTCCATCGTATGTATCTTTGTTGCTTTCCCATTTCTTATCATCTTCAAAACCATTTCTTTTGAATTTCCTACTCCTCTCACATTTCACTTCGCATCATCCATGTATTCGTATCTTTCACAACTTCCATATATTTCACAACTTCCATATATTTCATATATTCACTTCCCTCAATCCCGTTACATTTCCTTTTTCCGTCTGGGCTTTGCAATCTTCCTAGCCTTCTTGGGAGACACCGGCTCCTTCTGGGGCAGAGAACTGTTGGACTGTGACCGCGTGCGACGAATGGGCTCCTCGTTAGTCAGATCCTCATCGTGCGAATCGTCCATACCGATCCAGTCCTTGAAGTTGCCAATGATGGTCCGGATAGGCCTCTCGTTTTTGTTGCCAATGTACTTGGAAGCAAACTCCGTCAATGGACTTGCTGCGCGTGAGACATCCTCCAGATCGCTCTGGAACGTAGTGGTACTGCCACTGGGTGTCAATGAGCCGTCAGACTTCTTGCCTCGCAAGTACTCGCGCACCTCAAAGTACAAGTCCTTCGAAACATTGTTAAAGTTGGTTCTGTTGCGCATCCAGTAAGTACGGAAGTCGTTGATGTGCTTCTTAAACTCCAACTCATTTTTCTTGAGCCATGAAACATTCAACTCCTTACGGGTAGCTCCACGGGCAAAGTTTCTCATCAAGTACTTGTCATAATCGCGAATCACCTTAGTGATGATGTCCGAAGTCGAAATACCTTCCGTTCTCTGTGTAGTCAAAAACATTCCCTTCTTCTTGATGGGCATGTAGATATCATCAGAGTCTGCCGATGCATACGGAAGATCGTCATGGGCTACGTAATCGATGTTGTGCTCGTGGAGAAAGTCTGTTGTGACACACCACGGAGCATTGGGGATCACTTCGTCCACCCATTTGCAGTGTAACAACGTGTCGCATCTCTGCTTGTCCGTAAGAACAGTCAATCCCTTACGTTTGTGTGTTTCCTTGTCTGAAGGGATACCACAAACCAATTCCACATTAGGGAATGACTTCTTAGCCTGTTCCAATTGCCTCATGTGACCTAAATGGAACAAGTCAAACACTCCGTCAGCGTAGATCCGGATAGGTCTATCTTGAGGGGGGAGATTGAATCTGAAGCCTCTGGGACGGAATTTTCTATACTCTTCTGGGAGCTCAGCATCCAACTCCTTTTCACGAGCCTCGAACTCCTCCTGCTCCTTCGTATCGATCTTTCTCTTCTTCTGTACGGTGCCATTAGATTCGTCGTCTGATTTCAGGTCATCAGAGTCATTGGGCGAACGAGTAGCTGGTGTAGATACACCAGAATCGTCTCTTTTTCTCTTGCGAAAGAGCGACGTCAATTTGGGGCCAATCAGGTCCACGGAAAGCGTTCTGGAGAGCGGAATCCCGTTTCTTGCTTCGGTCGAGTCTCGGTCCTGTTTGGACATGTTGATTTCACAGAATCTGGAGAGAAAGCTCTGGTATTCAATCTGTTGGTTAGTTGAACTTAGGCGGTCACGCGGTACCTGCAGGACGCTAATATCAGATGACGATCTGGGGAAGTTTGCTGGGTTATTGGGACGTTTTGGAGATGAAAAAAAAACTGAATGGTATGGCTGAATGGTGTGTTGAGAGATTTGCTGAAGATTTAGGTTTTTTTTATCAATAATTTTGAGAATTGGGGCGCAGATTTAATTTCCATACATTTTGATTCCCATGTGGTAAATTATGCGAATTGCTATCGTAGGTTGTGGAACTTATAGTTATTAACTAGCTTGCTGGCGATGAATACACCCCTTCAATTCAATACTTGCTCATATGTACATGACCCAATAGAAATTTGAGAATCGTTAATTTTTACATTCTTTATCGTATGGCATTAAGACCTCGTATACGTATAATCAGTAATTATAAAGCCACAGAGGCTTAGCATTGGATGCTCGTTTATGCATAGTCCAAACCTGTTCAATATTACACGTTCTATTCTCTATTTAACCTAAAGGAGCCAGCCCAAGGTCTTATCCACCACAGTCTTCTTCTTTCCCTCTCCACCTTCGGCAGCATAAATCTCATATTCATGCTCCTCTATCTCTGCCAATCCAGTCTGAAGATCTGCGTCTTCTGGCTTGATCATCTTTGTCTTCTTGACGAACTTCCATGTGAGGAAGACGGCAATGGCAATGAACAACATGATATAGTTGTACAAGAAAGAGTCAACAGTCCAATTTCCTGGCATGAAGACAGTGTAACCCAAAATACCAACCACAAGGTACAAGATCACCGTAGCAAAGATGGCAGTGTATGGCTGGTACCAACTTCGATAGGTGAATTGGCTTCTGTCAATACCCTGTGCCTTGCATGCTCTGTAGAAGAACAAGTATGTAGTTCCCATGAACGCATAGTTGAGCACTTGCGAACCAGTACACAACGACACCATGTAGTTTAACACCTTGGTACCGGAACTGCCCAATTGCAACAACGACAAGAAAGAAAATGCAATGGAAACACACACACAGTAAATAGGAACACCACTCTTGGTACAGAAGCGGAAAATCTTGGGAACAAAGCCCTTGAGAGAAAGTGAATAGAGCACTCTCGAGGAACAATAAACGTATGAGTTACCAGCAGAAAAAGCCGAAGTCACGATAATGGCATTCACCAAGTCTGGAAGTACCTTAATCCCCAAGTTCTTCATAGCATACACATATGGAGAGGCAGCAGCGTTAGAACTCTCGGAAGTAGCCACCAAATAGCCTGGATCATTGTAGGCAATCAAGATTCCAACAGAAAGTGCACCTCCAATGTAGAATACAATCAAACGAGCCAAAACTGTTCTAAAAGCAGAGGCCATGGTTTTTCTGGGATTTTTGGCCTCACCAGCAGTCATACTAAGATATTCAGCAGATACCACCACAAAGCAGGCCGAGAATATACCAGCCAAAAACCCGTGAAAACGACCCATGGAGCCGGTGGTAAGGTGCTCGGCAATAGGTCCACCCTTTGCACCCCAGTTACTAAAGCCAAATGCGTCATGCTTAGGGTTACCTCCACTCATTGTGATGAGAGTGAAGAACAAAAGACCAATACATAAAATCAACTTTCCAATAGAAAGCCAAAACTCCGATTCACCATATGCCTTCACAGCAAATATATTGAGCATTGCATAAATGAAGATTTGGATACAGAAAGTGATGGCAGGGGAGTAATCGTCTCTCCAGTAGTGGATCATGCTGTTGACAGCGGTGATCTCGAACGGAATATACAAACTTTCCATCAACCAGAAATTGATGGAGGCAGCACATTCAAACGCGGGGTCCACCACACGGCCAGACATGGTGAGAAATGGCGAGTCAAGTGGCAAGTAGCACACCATTTCTCCAACAGATGCCGTTAACATCAAGATCACAGTGGTCCAGAACAAGTATGCCAAGAGCAACCCTAAAGGACCAGCGGTGGTCAAACCTCCAGATCCGATGGTGATGAAGAGACCCGTTCCAATAGCTCCACCAATAGCTATGAGGTTAATATGTCTTCTTTCAAGAGTCCGGTGAGTATGTTCTGGACGATTGAATTGTTCTCCGAACGAAGATGCCTGGTCGACTTCTTGTACATCGTAGGCAACCGTGACCTTCTTGTGATTCGATGCCTTTTCTATATCAGACATGGTAGATAGGTCGAAATGAATTTTCTCCAATCCGTTGGAGTCTAGTCCACTTTATACAACTTTGCAACCATTGATTCCAAGTGCAGATAACATTGCAACCAGTGCTCAAGATAATGCACTGATAACGACTGTATGGCATCCAGATATACTGTATTGGGTATCACCCGCAGCACAAAAGCTTCATTCGTGGCCCAAAAAGGCGATGTGATCCCGGTAGAAGGTTGGCGATTGTGGAGGAGTCAGAGAAGAGTCAATAGCCAAGGAGTCATTCGTGGAGCAGTCAAGTTGTGGATGGAGACTCCATATTTGGTCCAGAATGCCGACTCAATCATATACCAAGTGATTCTACAATGTTTTAGCCACCAGTTCATGCAGGGTTGGGGAGGTTGATAGAAGCCAGAGGTGGATAGATATTCGGAATGTGTTACGTTATGAGAATACCCAATACGAAAACGTATAAGAAATCCGGTGCCACTCTGTTGAGGTCACTTCTTTTGCCTAGTAGATAGATGAATCGGATGAATTGAAAATGAAGAGAGATTGGGAAGATTGGAGGATGCGACTTTTGAAAAGTACTGTTGGGAGAATAGACGTCAGGTTTATCTTTCGATCGTCGAATTTTTAATGCGAGTGTTGAATGTATAATGCGGAATCCATGCGGAATCTATGCGTGGGCCCGCAACACTCACCAATAAGCTGCCATATACTTATCTGGTGGGTCGATCCCGTCCCTTAGATAACATGAAGTTGGCCTGTTACTGAAGTTAGCGACGATGAAAACTCGTATATTTGAGCATCAAGAGTTTTCCGCGGATTTTAACTGATCTCATGGTGTTTCAGACCCAGCGTTCGTTAACTGAATTTGTCCTTTATAGATTATGAACAATTGAAAACATAAAGAGATAAGTGGCATCAAGGAGCTACTTCCAGGGTGAAATGCCCGCCTCGATTATGTCCACTGAGTCAGTCAAGTGGTGTCAAACGTTATGTAGATCGCCCTAATTTGATTCGTCACCAGGAGTGTCAATTTTTCTTAACAATTTCGTGATTAGGACAATTACGTTCTAAATTTGTATTGCTAGAAGCTCCTTGGTTAGGAAATGAACCTGAAAGTGGAAGAAGGCATTATCAGACTTGGTGGTGACTCCCTTAGTAGTATTTTCAGGTTTCTGAGCTGATCAATATGCTTCTGCCATTATTATTTCAAAAGTCTTAAATCAAATTGTAGCCACTTTGTTGGCCGCCTTTGCTCCAGTTACAAACACTTGGTTTCGTTGATTTAACTAATAAGTGGATCTATCCGACACAGTAACCAGGTGAACAGTGGATAAGTTACTACTCCACTTTTGTATCGCGTTTTGAATTATAGTTATCAGAATTAACCCAAATATCCAGAATCTCGCACTATCATGTTTCTACACCGAATGGAACCATTCCTACATACTTCAACTACATATCGATGAAGCAATATTCACTTTCAGATCTCCAATTTGTACATTCCAAAACTCTCCGCCAATGGCTCGGCTCTGGATCTCCTACTGGATCAGGTAAACTAGCCATCGTGGACGTCAGAGACTCAGACTATGTAGGTGGACACATCAAAGGTTGCTGGCACTATCCAGCAGGAAATTTCCACGAGACACTTCCACAACTTCGCCAACGTCTAGTTGAAAATGAAATTGACGACGTTGTCTTCCATTGTGCGTTATCTCAGGTACGTGGACCAAAATCTGCCCTCCGCTTCTTGAGATCCTTGGAATCCGCCAACGACTCTCAATTGGATTTGATGAAAGTTTGGGTTTTACAAGGAGGCTTTACCAGTTGGCAGGGACACTATGGAGAAGATGCTACGGTGACTGAGGACTACGCCAAGGACTTATGGCAGTGATGCTAGGTTGTAGAATTCGTTTATGAGACGTCATTTTCACCAGCTTGACTTGAGCTCATCGTTGAGATGCTTGACCAGTTGGACATCGCATCCATCAAATCAAACTGGGTCCATTGTATAAGGAGTACAGCAGTTGTGTTTGCTGATACACTTGCTGTGGAGCTTGCTGCTGTTGCGGCCACTGCTGCTGGCCCCATTGTTGCTGCTGATGTCCTGTAGCTTGTTGTTGCAAGTTAAACTTGGCTTGATCAAGGTAGGCGTTGCGCATCTGCTCCTGCTGCGTCTGTGGGAACACAGGAATCGTAGGTAAGTTTTCCAACCCTCCAGCAGTAGCTTGTGGCTTCAACGGCGTCTGCTGAGCTTGTTTCTGCACAGCAGAATTAAATACATTAGTAGTACTCTGAGACACATTAAACGGATTGTTACCTGTAGCAGTGACCGACACTTTCTCTGGTGTCAGGTCTTTTTGGAACGAGTATGCTGTGGTGCTGGAGTTGGCGAACCGAGTGTTACCAAATGGGTTCGAGGGATTCACCTGCGGCGTAGTACCCGTACCATTGGCAGTCATCAGAGCAAAAGGATTAGTGTTGGCTCTGGCCAATGGTGGTGGTGCCTGTTGGGGCTGTGATTGGAACTGCTGAGTTTGGAACTGCTGCTGCGTTGGCTGGCTACTTATACCACCAGTGAATTGAGTGGTGACACTAGCAAATCCATTTTGGGGCTGTTGCTGAAGGAAAGGATTAGATCCGGTCTGTTGTACCGATTGTGGAACCGATTGTGAAGTTCCTGGACTAGCCTGCTGACCATAGCCACCAAATCCAGCGCCAGTGAATGTAGGGTTCACTTGTTGCGGCTGAATAGCCACCTGGGTCCCCCAAGGATTAAAGGTAGACTGCTGAGTCAACTGAGCATTGTAGACCAGACCTGGCTGTGCGAGCTGCTGCTGTTGAATCTGCTGAGTCTGCTGCTGCTGGTACTGCTGAAATTGTTGCTGTTGTTGCTGCTGTTCCTGAGCCCGCTGCTGCGTAAGCTGCTGAGCTTGTTGTTGTAGAGCCTGCTGAAACTGTTGCAGTTGCTGCTGAGCCAACTGGGCCTGCTGAGCCTCAAACTGCTGTTGTTGCTGTTGGGTTTGAGCTTGTATTTGTGCCTGACGTGTATCGGCGTGGTTCAGAATTCCGTCTTTGGCCAGCCTGTCGCTTAAATACTGACGACGGTTTTCTTCGAAATTTGGATCGTTCAAGTACTCCTCTAAAGACGAGGTAAGCGCCGTAGGGGCGTGTTTGATGGTGGGAACATGCAACTTGGTGGCATATTCCAAGTGCTTCGCCACACGCAAAAAGTCAATGACATACTTTGTCTGATCAACAAACTTCTTGTAAACTGACAAGGCTCTGTCTGCATCGTTGCGGAACATTTCAAAGTAGTGCTCCAAAATATTGATTACACCCTCGTTCAACTCCTGGAAAAGCGCCAAAAGATCATTGACCAAGAGGCGGAACGCCGTCAAAATCACATCGTTCTTGATCTCACCCTCCAAAAACGAGTTCTTCAATAACGAATCAATCTGTTTCTGCACACTCTCACATTCTCGGAGCAACCCTTTGTCCACGGGTAAGTTCCTCAACCGACCACCCTGTTGATTGGTCAGGTTATTGACCCGTTCGTCCCTTACATAGTCAATGTGAGTTTCGGCAAAGTGGCGAACACGAGTCTGCAAGTATTTTGCATATTTCATCACATAGCGTACATCGGAATTGAAGGTCAGATTCTTCAGAATGTTCAGGTGAGACAAGTTGAGCATTCCAGGCTGCTTGGTGGCCAAATACTCAAGGGTGACATCACGATCACCCTCTCTGATCATGATGTGGATGACAATGAGCGACTTGTACACCACACTCCACGACAGATCTTGGAGTCGGTGGTTTAAACATCTCATGATGGTGGTGAAGTTTTCCGCCAGCACCTGGTGGTCCATGGACGTGGCCATAAGAATTGGCTCGATGTACTTGGACTTCGGTGCCGCCACCTTGAGTTTGGTGGCGCCCTTGACGATTTTCTCGTAGGTAGTCATGGCGAAAATACTAGGGGTGGTAGGTTGTTTTTGAGTTGTGGAAAGCCTGCAGAAAGTTGGCGATAGTGGATAGGAGGTAGAATGGTAGAGGATGGAAAGGGAAAGAAAAGATGCAATGACAATGTTGGGAATGGGGGTTCAATTGAGAGGATTAAATAAACTTAATATGCTGTAAAAATTTTGAGTTCGGTGGTGAATAGTCATGTTCCGGCGAAATACACTGGATGAAGGTTGTAATTGAGATAAGATTGTATAGAGAGCTGGAAGATTCGGTGAGTTGGGCAAATTGAGTGAATTTTCCTTCAAGTTTGACGAAAATGATCTATTACATAGAAATTGTTGGAAGGCGCTTAGTGAATTGGGATAGTTCCGTACATCGTGGAATCTAGAGGTTTGTAGTTACCAAATCCGGAGTAGCACTCAGCCTGCGACGGCAGTGATTCACAGCCCGGAATTTATTTTCAGGTTGGAAAGTGATGTGACAGCAATGTTCCGAGTTTTTATTTATTTATTATAGTTGATAGTGACTATCAGTTTCTATATTTTCTTTCTAATTCTTTTTTTGTGAAGGTCTTAAAGTCTTGGAGCATATAATGTAAGGGTTCATTATCATGACTACGGAAGTTCTGCATTATGGAAGTCCCAGAAAATCACTTGTGTTCTTAGGATTACAATATGGATATTATTGATGTTTCATCGAAGATTTCCGGAATCTTTCGATCTACAAGTAAACTTTCATTTAATGATCATTATCATTTTATCGAGTACAAGCCCAGCTTCAGTTTTTGATACCTTCATAGGAGAATTCTCAAATGCTTGAAATCTTGCCTATTTAGTCATCCTCATATTTCGAGCCCATCTAGCCATTCCCATGTAGTCATTCCATCTCATCAATCCCATCTAATCGAACACCATCATTTCTCCATTCTCGAACCAGATGCATTATATATACAAGCCTACTTATCCTTCATACCTCCTCTCTTCTCCAAAAAGTCTTTGGCCTCATTCACTTTAGTGGCCAAAAGAGAAGAACCTCCTTTATCCGGGTGGTTGGCCATCATCAATTTACGGTGCTGTTCCTTCAACTTGGCCTTGGACAACGTCGACTCCTTCAAGCTCAAGATCTGAAGAGCCTCCTTGGCCGACATCTTCTGGCCAAAAGAGCCCTTAATGAACGCCTTACCGTTGAGACCTGGCTGGTTCGTCTTTACGAACCCGGCCGCAAAATACGCAAGCCCAAACACTCCAATACCTGTGATCCATGGATGGTCACCCATCCAGTCGCATGTTCTGTCAAAGTACCATTCGGCAGAGCCTTCAGGAGCCTGTTTTCTCTGCAACTGACCGGAGTAAACATGTTGCTGCTCTTGCTGTTGAGCAGACTCGCCAGGGATTTTTAGCGTAGGAGCCTCCATTGATGTTTCTGTAGAGATTTGGTTAGTCTGACAATGGAAAAATTTGTGATTGAGAGTGTGAGAAAGTCACGTGACATTATCAAGAAATTCTGTGCCACCGCCACCGATCAATAACTACAAAGAAAGGTGATTTCTAGATATTTGAAGGTACAAAAAGAATGAATTTTGATTCTACTTCTATTCCATGTTTCCAAATTTCTTTTTTTTTCCTCCTCATTATGACCATCTAACTCATCGGATCATCACACCCGTACACCATGATCATTACCAAAGTGCGGCTCCCCATTTTTTTTTTTTAGGAACATCTCATCTAATCATCTCCATTTTATAGCATCGCCATGAGAATTTACTCGTGCCATTTCTGCTCGTCGCCGGTCTATCCGAGTAAAGGCATTATGTTCGTCAGAAATGACGCCAAAGAGTTCCGTTTCTGCCGGTCTAAGTGTCACAAGGCATTCAAGCAGAGAAGAAACCCAAGAAAGTTGAGATGGACTAAAGCATTCAGAAAGGCCGCCGGCAAGGAGTTGGTGGTGGACTCCACGTTGACATTTGCTGCCAGAAGAAACGTGCCTGTCAGATACAACAGAGAGTTGGTGGCCACCACATTGAAGGCCATGTCCAGAATCGAGGAAATCAGACAAAAGAGAGAGAGAGCCTTCTACAAGAACAGAATGAGAGGCAACAAGGAGAGACAGATGGCTGCCGACCGTAAGTTGGTGGAGGAGAACCCTGAGTTGTTGAGAATGAGAGACGTGGAATTGAGAAGAAAGGCCGAGAAGTTGGAGAAGAAGCAGCAGAGCGAGGAACAGAGCGAGCAGAGCGAGAGCGACGACGAGATGGACGTGGAGTCCGAGTCCGAGTCCGAGGACGAGGCTGTCAAGCAGAAGGTTGTATTGAAGGCCAGAAGAAAGGCCAGAGCTTAGTGTACATTAAATCGGAATTAGCATTGAGACCCATGGTGTAGAGATTAATAATTGGAGCATGATCTTGCTTCACATTCTATGATTCTAGTTGACTCTATGTAGTTTTCGCTCGGACAATCTGAGGCCAGAACGGTTTTTGGTGTGATGTGGCAGGCTCATTAGTATCCTGAGCTTCCTCTTCGATCTTAGGAAACGTTTTCTGTCGCCTCAGAGCCTCCATCATCATGCTGACAGTGGAAATATGTGCTTCTGAATGTATCTGGGCCATTTGTGCTCGTTTTGGAGTATCTTCGCCGAGTTCGTCTCGACATCTCTTTCGACTTGGAGAGGACCAGGAGTTTGAATCAATCATATAAATTGGTGATGTGTGGAAGTCTGGAGGAGAGCTTGTTGAGTAAGCAATTTCTGGATTCTGAATAATTACACTTTGTACAATTGAAAATGCATAGAAAAATCACTGGAGTTAAAGAGTCAATTTGGGAATGGAATGGGCGTGGACAATCTGTAAATGTTGAAGTACTTTATGTGACTGAATGCACGCGTATACTATAAGAGAGCCATGGCCAGTTGAATATGTGGGAAAAAAATGTTGAAAATTCCTTTTCGTATGTGAAATCTGCTTTTCCCACTCCTCCGGCTTTCAGTTTTCCTTCTTATCGCCATTTACACTTTTTTTCATACTTTTCTACATCCACGCTCTCCATGTACTCAACCCATCTCATCTTCCCTGCACCTTCCAACTACCACAACCATGACAATCATCAAACACAGCCCTAACACGGCCATATCAAATCAAATCGAAAAGGAGACGACGTTTCTTGTCAAGGCAGCCACACCATATATGTCTGCAATCAAGCGAATTGACCGTATTCTTGCCAAATTCGACCCCACCAGCATTGACCATAAAAAGTTCCAACGAGGTCAGTACAAGAAGATCCAGTACATTCGTGTTAAGGGCATGGGCCGTGCTATCGATAAGACGACATCTATTGGCTTACACTATATGAAAAATGCATACAAGGTAGACATTTACACGGGCACCGTTGAGGTTGTGGATGAGATCAGTACCGAGAGTTATAAGACGAAAGATGGTGAAAGTGATAGCGAAAGTACTTTTAGAAAGCGGAATGCCAGCTGCGTGGAGGTTAAGATCTGGCTCAAAAGGCAATAGAGAAAGACAGAGAGGTGATACAGACAAGGGTGTTATAGACAGCAAGAAAGAAAGAGAGAAAGAGAAATGGAAACTTTAAAGCATTCTGGAACGGCAATACTGATGCATACCCTCATGCATTCACAACTAAATGGTTGGTGAAAGTCTGAAAACACAGGGTCTACTAATTCGATTAAGGTATCGTCGTTCATATCTACTCTGGTCATAGTCATTAGTGCATTATTATTATATTTGGGCCATTCTCCGAAGACACGCCTCCTTGATGTGGAGAAGTTCAACCACATGGCGTTCCACCTTCGAACTTTTCTTGGTTTTCCTTCCCAGGTTCGCAAATTCCTCCTTTAAGTTATCGTTGGCATTGTCGTCTTCCAATTCCACTCCGAAGAGTTTTTCTGCTACCAGAATGAGCTCAAGACACTTTGCGTAGTCTCTGCAGAAATAAGCCTTTTCACAGGCATGCAAGATGTGAACACGGTCCACTTTTTTAGTGGAGTCAAGCTTTTCTAGCACTTCGGAGTCGTAGAGCCAGTCTGATGTGTTGATTCTAGGCCCACTGGCCTGAAACTGGTGTTTCTGAAGATTGAATTCCTGCTCCGTTTGTGCTTTACGCACCTTTGGTTTCTTTTCTAGGCTGAGACCTTCAACGGCCTGTGTTGCCTGGTCAACATTGGAGGGTTCTGGCATTAAATGGTGAAAGATTTTAGTGCAGGTGCGATGCCGAGATACGTAGTTAAGATGGGGTAGATTTAATGAGAAAAAGAACAAGCAAAGAATTTGCATTGCAATAGACGCAACTATGGTAAATACTCCAACCTATCGATATCTCGGCTTTATCGCAATGTCATTTTTTTTTTTTTTTTTTTTTTGAGGTCCCTCTTTTATTCCAAGAATGTAAATGCCATGACAGTCCACTATATATATGCCATTATCCACCACTAATATTTTCCGGTATGGATCTTATCTACCAGGGTACTTGCCCCGTGGGTCCAGATACTGCCTGCTTGCTCCCATAGAAATATAAACAATTAACCAACCTAACCAACTTATCCTACTCTACAAATTCTGACTATATTTTCCAAATTTCAATCTTTGTTGGAATCACCACCTCCACCATAAACTTTGTCGGAATCTGCCGCGACATTTTTATCTTATCAACTACTCTTGATGTCTGAGTCCCAGCCACTTCTCCTTGATCCAGAGGACCCCCACTTTCACGATAATGTGGTGGAGGCCCTGAGATCACTGTATCAAGAAAGTCGAAAGCATTGGAAGCTCCGCTTCATTTTGCTCGCAGTGTTGGGAACAACCCTCACTATCCATCTAATTCTTTTGATTTCCCTGATCAGACACAGTTTCACGTACCATTACGTGTATTTGGGTAAATCGCCTTCGAAGCTTACCACTTCTGAAGCTGAGAGCGAATTCATTCGTGTTCTCAACCATTCAAACTATGCCCGCAACTGGTCGTACCATTACACTCAACAGCAGCACTTGCTGGGCCAGAACATGGAGCTCGTGGATTGGACAAAACTGAAATTCAAGGAGTTTGGCTTAGTAGACACTAAGGTTGAAACATACGATGTGTATTTGAACAGCCCAGTTGACCATGCCTTGAAGTTAGTGTCCAAGAAAGGAAAGGTACTTTACTCGGCTTCTTTGAAAGAGGACGCTTTGCCAGAAGATCCCACGTCACAGAACGACACCGTGCCAACTTTTCACGGCTACTCGGCTAATGGTAATGTCACGGCCGCGTATTTCTATGCCAACTACGGAAGAAAACTGGATTTTGACACTTTGGTTAAACTTGGCGTCAACATGACAGGTAAGATTGCCATTGTGCGTTACGGCGCGATCTACAGAGGTTTGAAGGTCAAATTTGCTCAGGAAGTTGGTGCTTCCGGTGTGGTGATGTACTCGGACCCAGGAGATGATGGGGAATTCATTCCCCAGAATGGCTACAAACAGTACCCTCATGGACCTGCCAGGAACGAGGCCAGTGTTCAACGTGGCTCGGTCATGTACCTTTCATATGGTCCGGGAGATCCTACTACACCTGGCTACGCATCCAAAGGAAAAGTAAAGAGAGAAGATCCATATAAAACCACCCCTAAGATCCCCAGTTTGCCAGTCAGCTATCGTGATATCACCCCCATTTTGGTGGAGTTGAATGGGAAAGGTGTTTCTGGTCTGAAGTTGGGCCCAGATTGGGTAGGTAAGTTAGAGGGTTTTGACTATAGTGTTGGTCTTTCACCTGCCGAAGAAGTAGTAACTCCACTCCTCAACTTGTACAATGAGCAGGAATATTCCATCGTTCCCATTCACAATGTGTTTGGCACCATCAAGGGCGTCAATGAAGATGAAGTTATTGTTGTGGGAAACCACCGAGATGCATGGATCAGAGGTGGAGCAGGTGATCCCAACTCAGGATCTGCTGCCATGCTTGAGATTCTTCGCGGTTTGCAAGAAGCGTGCGAGTTGGGCTTCAAGCCTTACAGAAGTATCCTTTTTGCTTCGTGGGATGGCGAGGAGCCGGGTCTTTTAGGATCTACGGAATGGGCTGAAGATCACGCAAGTTGGATCTCCAAGAAGGTGGTGGCTTATTTGAATGTTGACAGTGCTGTGACTGGAAACACGTTACTACTCGAATCTTCGCCTGTGTTGAAGAATTTACTATTGAATGTTGCAAAAGAAGTGGAGTATCCTAAGGGTGGAACTTTGCATGAGCATTATATGACATCCATTTTCAAGGGCCATGTCCCCATATTGGGCAGTGGATCTGACTACACGGTGTTCTTGGACCACTTGGGAATACCCTCTTTTGATTTAGGATTTGCCTGTAATCCGGAGACGGATCCAATTTACCAGTACCATCTGAACTATGATTCTTTCTACTGGATGGAAACATTCACGGACCCTGGTTTTGTGTACCACAATGTTGTGAGCAAGTATTTGGGAAAGATAATTTTGCGACTTAGTGGGCCAGAATTGTTGCAGTTAGACATGCTGCAGTCTGCAGTTGACATTCAGAGCTATTTTGATGACGTGCTTAAGGACATTCCCCAGGAATGGTATCATTACAAGGGTCGTGAACCTCATAACTACAAGCCCTTTGGTGATTTGATGGCTTTCCGTGACTTGCAGGCATCTGCTGAGAAACCACACTTCGAGTTTGTCAACGAATTCACCGAGGCAGTCAAGATGGTGAAGAATGCGCTCAAGTTATTTGAGAAGAATACCCTTGCTCTTGATGAGCTGAGAAGGGCATTACAGGCGGATTTATACAAGCCCAAGACCTTCTGGCAACGGTCTAAAACTGTGCCCAAGGTGGTGTTCACCAACTTGAAGTTGGGACTTTTAGAAAAAGCCTTCTTGTACGCTGATGGATTGAACGATCGACCATGGTTCAAGCACACAATATTTGCAAGTGGTAGGTATACTGGTTATGCTGGCCAGTCGTTACCAGGATTGAGAGAGGCCATCGAGGACAACGACGTCGAAAGTGGTCTTAAGTGGATGAATGTGCACTGGCAGTCCATCTACGTTGGTGCTATTTTAGCTTCCATTGGTATGTGACCATGGAAAGCGGGAATGCCTTTGCGCAAGAATTATATTTTTTCACCATGACAGTCTACTTCTTTCATTTTATAGATTTCAACTGATTACTCATATGATATACACGTTATGCGCACTGGGTTGCAATCTATTTAAGAGTCACAGTTTCCATTCACAATTATCAACTCCATCGTTACAATGACTATTCAAAAAACCATGCACAAGGTGACCACCAAAGAGCAAGCCATCGAGCTCCTTGATTCCTACGATTCGTTCCTTTTCGACTGCGACGGAGTCATCTGGCTCGACAACGACTTGATTCCAGGTGTGCTGGAACTTATAGACCATCTTAAAACCACCAAGAAGAAATACGCCTTTGTCACCAATAACTCGTCTAGATCCAGAGAAAACTATCTTTCAAAATTTGCCAAACTTGGCTTTTCCGATGTGTCGAAAAACATGATTTTTCCCACTTGCTACTCAGCAGCACTCGTGCTTAGAGAACGGTTCCAAATTCCTGAGGGTTCCAAGGTTTGGGTTCTTGGAGACGGTGGAATTGAAGAAGAACTTCGTGAATGTGGGTACATTCCCGTTGGAGGCACCGATAGCCGTTTGGATGACGAGTGGGACCCCGATCACGAACTTCTAGACGTGGACCCAGAAGTCAAGGCTGTGGTGGTGGGATCTACCAAGAAACTCAATTACTTACGTATTGCCACTACTGTTCAGTACCTTCTTCATGACCACAAGGCTCTTCCTTTCATCGGAACGAATATTGATCGCACGTATCCTGGACCCAAAGGACGAATCTTGCCAGCTGGAGGTTCGGTGGTCTTGTTCATGAAATACACTTGCGACAGGGACTTTGTTGATGTTGGCAAGCCTAGCCGTGTACTTTTGGACGCAATTTTGGAGCTGACGAATTTTGAGAGGGACCTGACATTGATGGTTGGTGATACTTTGTACACTGATATCAAATTTGGTAATGATGGAGAGTTGGGCGGAGATGCTGGAGGAACATTGTTGGTTTTGAGTGGAGGAACTAAGGCCAGAGATTTGGAGAGCCTTGACGATAGCGATGTTTCGTTACAGCCGTCGTATTATATTGAATCTTTGGGTCACTTGGTGGAGTTGATGAGACTGTGAGTTCTTTAAGTGCGAGATACAACTATTAGAGATGATTTAGACAGACTTGAACATTCAAGTAGTTAGAAACTTCGATCCTTTATAAAATTTTAATGATTCTGGTACAAAACTCGAAACAGAGTCATAACTTTTTAAATATTTCGCAGAGAAGTCCATTAACTGATAAATGAAGATAAGTGAACGTTAAACTTCTAAAGCAAAAAGAAGAGTATAAAATTAAAAGCAAAGTATGATACATTGCTCTATGATCATATTGAACATAAGAAGTATTAATAACAATAAGCTAATCAATAAGTTACCTAATCCTATCACCTATCACCACTCCAGACTATAATCTCTGCACACAGGCTATCGAAACTCCATCCTACTACTACCTACCCATGCTAAATTTCACCGGCTCATCCAAGAAAAGAGTGGTCAATCTCGGTGAAAAGAGATCTACACGTGGCAAAAACTACCTAGAACAAGCCAGGCTTGACCGGATCCAACGAGAGGAATCCAGATTACGTGAAAAATGTGCTCAGGTGCTCCAGTCATACATCCGGAGACGCCTCGATTTGATGATTCGGGCTGATGATTTCAAAGAACAATGGCCAGAACATACTGAGGTGTTCAACTGGGACATCTGGGCTGCACAGTTTGTATTTGTTTGCAGATTCGGCAGAAGAAAGGATGCACAAGACCTTTTGCCTCGATTGAAGGAACAAATCGCTCAGCTGCGTGACAACTTGAATGCTAGAGCTCAGGCTCGTCTCATAGGAGGATTGTTTCGGCTCTTGGACCATAGTGTAAGTCCCCAAATGGTGTTGTCTTGTCTTTCAGATATCATTTCCATACATGGAGTTCCAGTGGAAGGTAGTGCGGAATGGACGGGAATCATTAAAAAATTACTGGCATTCATGGGTCTGGACAACCAGAAGCAAGCTTTGGACCTTATTTTTGCCTTCAACCGCTCCGACAGCTTGCAGGCATTTCTTAACTTCGTGGCCAACGTGCCTCCAGAATACTTGGAGAATTCACATCAGTATTCTCAGGTTTTCCGCAACGTTTTCTCACTGGAATGTGTTGAAGTGATCCTGAGGTTCACGGATATACAGAAAACTCAGTTGTTGGTGAATGTGTTGAATGTGGGAGGGCCCGACTATTCAAATGTGGACTATTTAGTCCATGCTAGTATCATTTCCACCATGAACTTCTCCGTGAAGGTACAATCGGACAACGATGAAGAAGACCTAGTTCAAGAAAGTCGGGTCGATGCCGAGGTCTATGGCCGTGGAGTGACCGTATCCGAAAAAGCTGCACACGTACTTCTGGTGCTTTACTCGTCAAGCTATATTACTCATGCAATTGGCCAGCTCCAGCATTCTGGAACGGACACGAAGTTGGCCGTTCTGTTCATCTCACTGCTTATGTATCTATTCCCGGAGTCCAGAACTAAATTGTGTATGATGATGACTATTATGCCAGGACTAGATCATTGGATGTTTGTCGAGTTGTCTACACATCCAGCTTTTGTTGAGTTCAAGAAACAGGAAAAGGACACGGATGCTATGTCCATGGAAATGCTCTGGAAGATTTTTGCTCTTGAAGATGTCACATTATTCTTGAATTTGTTACATACGTATGAGCAATTGCTCTCGTACTGGTTGATTGTTGCCAATGATCTCGAGTCGTTCAATGGAGACAGGTTCACTCGCAATGACATGTATGCCTTTGCTGAATTCTTGAAGATACTATGTCTTACACTCATTTTCCGGACAAATGACAACATGTCAAATTTGCCTCAGGAATTCACCCGACTTAAGGATATCTCCATATCTTTGCTCAACCAATTCTACATCAGGAATTTACGGTTGAAATACCTTCCCACCAACTTCTGGACTCTCAAATCGCTTAAGTTTGAAACGGACAGCATGATTCAAATTGTCTTGGACTACGAGGAACTACGTAAAGAAATGGAGGATTTTTCATCGGATGAAGAATCTGAACGCCGCCCTTCTATCTCTAAATCGAGACACAGAACTCCCGATATGGCATCTAAGTTGGAAGTACTCAATAAGGTTCCCTTCTTCGTCAATTTTACCGACAGAGTAAGAGTGCTTCAAAGTCTCATTGACGCTGAACTGCTGCTGTTGGAAGCCAGTCAGCCATGGCTGTTTTTCGACGGCCCACATAGCACTAAGTTGGCGGCAGACATTTACAGAGAGAATCTTTTAGAGAGTTCATTTGAAAGATTCAACAAGGTAGGTGCGCAGTTCAAGAACAAACTCCAGATCACTTTCCACAATGAGCATGGAGTAGAAGCTGGAATCGATGGTGGAGGACTTACTAAGGAGTTTTTGACGTCGGTTGTGACTGATGCATTCAGCACGAACAATGCTTTGAAACTTTTTCGAGAAACTGAGGCCGATAACGATCTTTACCCCAACCACGATATCTATCTCAAGATTCTGAAACGTATTGACTTGCCTGAACAGCAGACCCGCTTGCAATACATGCGATTTCTCGGGATGATCGTTGGCAAATGTCTCTATGAACATGTTTTGATCGATGTTGCGTTTGCACCTTTCTTCTTGGCCAAATGGAGGGTGGCGCAGAACTCCATGAAGAATTCTATTAACGACTTGAAATTCCTCGATAGAGATTTGTACCAAAACCTCAACAAACTTCTCGAAATGAGTGAGGAACAGATCCAGCAGCTTGACCTTGACTTCACCATAAATGAGCACGTCGACTCCGACACTTTGCAATATGATTTGCAACCACCTCATGGAGAAACCATAAAGGTCACCTCTAGCAACCGTCTTAATTACATCCATCAGATTGCCAACTTCAAATTAAATCAATCACTCCATATCCAGACCAAGTACTTCTTAGAAGGTTTGTTTGAGTTGATCAATGCTACATGGCTTAATATGTTCGATCCTTACGAGCTTCAGATGCTCATTTCTGGAGGAAATGATGTCAACATCAAGGACTGGAAAGAAAACGTTCTGTACGGAGGCTACTTCGATGATGACGTCACCGTGGTGCTCTTTTGGCAGGTTGTGGAAGAAATGTCGCCACAGGAGCGCTGTGATCTTATCAAATTTGTCACGTCGGTATCTAGAGCTCCGCTACTTGGTTTTGGTGCACTTTCGCCCAAATTCGGTATTCATAACAGTGGACCATCCAATCGTTTGCCAACGGCATCGACGTGTGTGAATTTGCTCAAGTTACCAGATTATAAAGACAAAGATGTTATTAGACAGAAATTGCTCTACTCCATTTCTGCCAACTCAGGGTTCGACTTATCGTAATCCTGCAGATACATCGAACCACATACCTTCTCCAGGCACCTAAGCCCACTCTATCTACTATCAAAATATCTGATGTTTACGAGGGCAATATTGCGGCAATCGGCGATTAGACCACGAATTGCAGTGCTTTTGTTTACACGGAATCTCCAAGTATCTTTACCTCGCCGCATTGTGAATCCACTTCTACCTTTTGACGTGTTGGAGGAGCTTGAGAATGACGAGGTGGATGAAGAGAACAAGAAGTTGCTGAAGGATAAAAAGAAGCTTTTGCGACAAAAAAAGGCCATGACGAAGAAATTGAAAGAGGAGCGTGGTGAATCAAGCTCTAAAGATGGAGAAAAGACCAAGGAGGGAAACTCAAATCATCGTGACGACAACTCGAAGAAAGAACAGTCCAAGGATTCGCAAAATGCATCAACAGACAAAGAGGAGCCTATTCCAAAAAGCAAAGCAGTCACTACGGAGGTTAAGCCTGTGTCTGTCGTCAAGGATGCTTCATCAGAATCTAATCAAGATCCCTCTCATTCAAGTACATCAAAAGACGAAGCCAAGGAAGCTACTAGTGAGGGAACTCAGAACCATGACGCGCGCAAAGAGGATACTCGACTGGCGAACAGTAAGGACTCTGAGGCTGAAGCTTCCAAAAATAGAGAATCAGGTGAACATGAGGAAGTTCAACTGAGTTCAAGTGGTGGAGGTGATGTGGGGGATGGGAATGGAGGTGGAGGAAGCGGGGGAGGAGGAAATGGACCTCCTGAGAAAAATGACAAAGACAAGGAGGAGAAAGAAAAGGATGAAGACAAGAAAATCGAGGAGGAAATTGAGGAAGAAGAGGAGTACGAAGAAGAGCCAGAAGAGAAACCTTCGAAGCTCAAGGAAATCTTCGACCGCTTCGCTAAATTTCTCTTCAAATGCTTGGAAACAATTGGTATCACCTTGAGTTCCGTTGGAGTATTGGGTCTTTCAGGACTTTTGTACCACCGTTTTTACAACATCCATGTTTTGGATAAAATGGATACTGCTTTCCAAAAGGGCGATCCGGCTTACCAACTCGCCATGCATAAGAAAACCAACAAGCGCAGTGATGATGAAGACGAGTTGCTAGTACCAAAGGACAGCGAAGATTTGACCCATTTCTGGGTGACGCGGCCACAACAACAATTATTAGATGATATTGTCAACGGAAAACTAAAGGGCCGCTATTACTTGCTTGTTGGAGAAAAAGGTACTGGGAAAACCACATTAATCATGGAAGCCATGAAGAAAATTGATGGACATAACGTGGCAATTTTTGACGCCCACGCCGACCCAGAAATCTTCCGTATTCGTCTTGGTCGGGCATTGAATTTTGCCTATAACGAAGACTATATTGGCTCGTTGTTCAGCATCCGTGGACCTAGAGACACCACGGCGTTACTAGACATTGAAAGAGCATTCAACAAACTTGAGCAGTTGGCCATTCTGCGTCGTATGAGCGGCAAGGACGATAAGCCACTCATTCTAATCATTAACAATGCCCACTTGATCAAAGAAAATGAAGAGGGCGTGCAACTTTTGGAGTTACTACAACAAAAAGCAGAAAGTTTGAGTGGTAGCGAGCTTGTGACCATGTTGTTCAATAGTGACGACTATTGGATTTATGAAAAGTTGAAACGATTGGGTACCCGGTTGGAATTAATTCATGTTCGAGACTTCAACAGAAAGGAAACTATCAATGTGCTCCAGTTTATTCGTCGGAAATTCTACCCACCCAATAAATTCCCCGAGCTTCAATTTGACAATGGCATGTGCAATGAAATTTACGACTTGATTGGCGGGAGACCACAACATATCAGTCAAGTCGCCCGTCACACGAATACGCTCAAAGCATGTCATGAGATTATTGACCGTGAGAAAACCTGGTTCTTGAATCAGTGTGGATTATTAGGAGAGGAAATGGACGACGACGTTATGGAATTTGGAAAATTCTCATCAAGTGCCATGTTGCTCATGCGGGAGTTTGTTGAAATGGACAGAAAACGCATGAACACGCTAATCTCCAAAGTACTGCCAGATGCCAAGGACTCGCAGAAAGACCATCATCTACCCGAACTTCCACTTTGGAGAGCCCGACAGGTCATGACTCGACCTGACTACATCCAGCAGTACGACAATTTGAACATTTTCACAGTGGATTCAGACTCGCGAGTGAGAGCAGATTCTGTGCCTATGATGAGGGCATTCCATGAGATTGCATCGCAGCCGCATTTTGATTTGTTACTAGATGAAACTGTTGAGAGGGTTGCGGGTATTGAGTCTTTAGGCAGAACCCGAGAAATTGTCATGAAAGATTTAACATTGGGCGATACTTACGAAGTGATTCCTAAGGAAGGGAAATTTATCATGGAAATGGCTAAGAAAGCTACCGACGAAGATGATAACGACCAGCAACTTTTGATGGAAGAAATCAGTAAGTCCGATCACCGTAAGAAGTGGTGGGAGAGGCGCATGGGTCGGTTCGATCAGTCTTATTTGCCCAAAACTGACGAGATCGATCTGAGACCGTAGATACGCTGATCTTCCTGCACCAGACGAGGAACTGAGAGAGACGCAGACTGACACATTCTAGCAAGAAAGGAAGTATTACCCACGAAGATGCGTCGCCCCCGACACAGAATTTCTCCAAGCGATGCGAATGAAACTAATGTATAATGCAGATTGAGTAGTGAAAAGGAGATTGCAAGGCGTCTGTTACTTTCTTGACAAAGAATGTCTGTCGCGCAGATAGGCTGCACGTACAGGAGAATATTGTCGGCCAAGGCTTGCCAGATAATCCAGGTACCTCTTGGTGTGCTTCTTTATGAATGCCGATTGACACTCCTTCTGTATCCTCATGTCAAGGCCGCATCTTTTATGCGGGTGAGATGCCTAACATCTGCACTGACCCTTTTACGTGTATATAAGCCAATGTGCTTTCACCATGCATTGAAAAGGGCATAGCTTTTGGAGGTTTCAGGGGTAAATGCAAATCGATAATGACGCATGATCATGACCCCCATGACTTTGGTCGTATTTCACAGATAAACACGACATTCCAAGCCAAGAGCTATGACTAAAATACTACAAAGATAAAGTTGTTGCAAACCACAATTTTAGAAACATCGCTGCTAGAGTAATAAGGATACTTTCACGGACAATAGATATGCAGTCGCGGTGCATATTTGAATTGAGCATTCTCAGTGAATCATGCACAGCTTGCATCGTGTAAAAATCAGAGCCAAATGAGAATGGGCATTGGTGATGAAAATGTCGAAAGATTTACATCTTTATGAAATAAATTTAAACTAAATATAAAAAATAATGGGGTACCACTGGTGCCAAGAATTCAGAAGAAACTGAGGCCTGAAAGGGCTCGGAGAAAATTACGATCCTAACCGATCAGGCATGGAGTCAACAAAGTCTCACCTAAAAATGAAACTTTTTGTGTCACGTATGAAGGGCAAGGCTAAGGTCAAAGTTAAAACATTTGCTCATCAGCCACGCAGCACACTCATGCAACGCAGGCAGACTGTGGGCCGCTGTGTGCCGCAGAGGTGAGTACGCCCACGGCCATGCATGCACCACAAAGAGGCCGCAAGCAGCAGCACCTCTAACACAGACACTTGTTTCAGTGCAAGAAGATGCACCACTTGCATGACGACTTAGGAAGAAGATAAATACCAGGAACCAAATCCACCCCAAAAAAAGCAACACGTGCCTTGCGACCTGTTTTAGAGCCCGCGCCCTCCCTCGGGTTGTAGTTGCCTCCCCCTCTCGCAATCACGACAGCCGATTTAACCAACTTATGACCCAAGTCGTTGCCTTGCATCAATAAGGAATCTCAAATGCGTATACTTGTACGTGTGTCTATGCACCAGTCAGTTGACAGGTTACACCTCCAGTGAATGTGGTAACGAACAGGAGAAGGCTTTCCCAATTAATGAAGCGAGGCTGACTTCAACGGTTCACAATTTTCTTACAATACTGACTTTTTAGCAGTTTGTGCATTACTGCACACGATGGCGCTCGTAGCATCATGTATCCGCGGGGTCACAATATTAGAAAGGACAACAACCCGCAAATCTACCATTTACCTCCCCCGTAGGAAGTCCACCGCGACAAAGGATGCCAGCAGCCTAAGCAGATGCAGCAGTGGTATGCGAGATTTCCGTATGATGATACACATGGCGCCCACATGATAGCATTAGTGCCTTGCACATGTCGTGCGTGACGAGCACTTTAGTGGCCATCTGGCACTTCTTCGCTAATAACGCAGCGCTCGTAATTGTGCCTGGAACACGAACTCTTATGGGAGAGAATTACGAAAAATTCACAAATTCACACCCTCTCAAAATATTTAATTAAACTTCTCTGGCCATAATGCATACCTGTCTGTGGTATTCAACGAGCCGTACAATTTTAGTCTGACAGTTGCACTTTCCGATCTACTGCAGTGGCGCAATTCCACCGTAAAACGAACCGTAAACTGGGCTGTCTACTAACGAAATTGGCAGATTTGTGCGCACGCAATACCGCCTAGTAGCTGCCCGCCCTCCTCCTCGCTCCCAATAGGTCATTAGGGCAATATCAATACGAAGTGGAAAGTGGCTTCCCTATCCCGCCTTAACCCCCAGAAGTCTCCACGCACACCTTCTATCTATATGTCGTGGAGCCCAAACACCGACACCTACAGAACCATCCTGCGCCAGGTGTGAGGATCCCCTCTTCGTAAATCCCCGTAGGCCCCACCTGCACCTGCTCGTTTTTTTTCTCTGGCCCTGTGCGGGTTGCATGGGATGTTCGTGCATTGTAATGCTTTGGTCTTAATGCATCCGCGGGTCCAGGTGATTTTTACTCACCTCCAACTAGTTTTCTTTATCGCAAAGGTGGCCCTAGTGTGATCCTGCTGTTTCGCTTTTTCTTCTTCCGTTGTTTTCCCTTTTTGTTTTCGACTGGACTCTGCCCGATCTTGACCCGTCCGTCTCGGTTTTCGTTATTATTATATTGTTTTTTTGTTCTTGGTGATTGAATTTCATCAAATTTGCTGGCCTATACACTGCTTATATCGTTTCCACCTCCTTGAACGTGCACGTTTGCTCCAATCCATTCACTCCTATAACTTGCCGCCCTCGATAGCCGCAGTCATCCCACAGCCTTCTGCTACTTGCCTCCAAATTGCCTCCATAGGTTGGCGTTGTTCTCCACACTCCGGGTTTCATTTACCATAACTGTCCAATTCCTTCCTCGGCAGCTTCCCAAGCCTACCGTCCATCACGAACGCCACCGTCCATCATCGGCGCCGTTGCCCATCCCCTCCAATTACCTTGCACGCTGCTCCTCCAATTCCCCCCACCATGGACGTTTTCAATTCTGCTCTCAGAAACCCGCTACCTCCCCTGCGCAAGAAACTGGAAAGACGAAGGTCTGGCGACTCCGACCTGCTGCCCGTGGTGCCACCCGTCGAGGTCAACCATATTGAAGACGACCGCCGCAAGAAAAAGAACTCTCGCCGCAAACACCGCAACTCCCATTTGGGATGTGGCACATGCAAGAAAAGACGGATCAAGTGTGACGAAAACCTACCGCAATGCTTCAATTGCGTCAAGGGAAAGCTCCACTGTGCTTATTTGAACTTGGATGCACCCGCACGCAATGCCTTGCGAATGGCCCAGTACAATCAGAACTTGCGCCAGGACAGAAATGATGATCCCGCAAACAAGTCGGCCAAAGATGTCGAGTCCGGCGATGAATCTCTTAGGGAGCCTGCTATGCAAGGTCCAGTTGTTCATGTTGAACCTTACTATCAGGGCTATACTCCGTACCAGATGGTGCCTCAAGGAGCAGCGGCTCCGCCTGCTGGAGCTGCCAATGGCGCTCCGGTGGCCATTACGACTGGCGCAATTGCTACGCCTGTCCAACCTCCAAGTCTGGTAGTGCAACATCCTGGCGCTCCTCATCAGCCTCTTGGCGCTCCCGCCGGCCCCGCTTACATTCAATCGCCCTACGCTTCGATGGTCCAGTTTCAGTCCGTGCCTTCCATTCCTGGTTATCCTCCAGTGGCTGTACAGGTAGTTCAAGCACCGCTGGGCCACCAGGTAGTCTATCAAAACCCCGAACAGTTGCCATTTTCACCCCAGGTCCACATGACGCCGGCAAATATCGACGGTCAGCCGGTCCTTCTAATGCAAAATGCCCAAATCGACCGCAATGTCTCGTACGAGTCGGCTCTTGCAGCGCAGCAACAAGGTTATGGCCAACCACCAATCCAGATATCGCAGGTTCCACAGGCTCATCCACATTCAGCTCCAGCGATGTCAGTTCCACCTGTCTATATGGCTTCTGCTGGTCAATATCTGACTTCCATGCCACTTCCTCCTCCTCCTCCACCGGCAACTGTGGGTCCTCCAAACATTGCTTCTGCACCAGCGTCCAACAAGGACCTCTTGCCTCGAATTGGAGCACTTTCCAATACGTCATCTATAAAGACAAGTCCCCAGTTGCCAGTGATCCGGTCCGTTCTGTCTACGCATTTAGCTAACTCAGACTACGAGCCGAAAACAGAGAATACTGATTTTAAGCTTCCACCTATCAAAGCGGACGCTAATTCCGCGTCCAATTCAACATCGGTCTCCCCAAAAGTGGCCGATAAAGTGCTGTCCATTCTGAAGCTTATCTCGTAAAGAGGTACCCGAGCACTCTGAATCGTCAACAATTGTCCAACACTACAGACGCTTCTTGCATTTTTGTATTATATTCTACCGATCGCCAGTTTTAGCCGACTGCTACATTTGTTTATTTTCATGGAGTGTTGAACTAATATGGGTGGTATTGTTCCCCCAATTCTATTGATATCGGGCAAGTCCAGACAGGTTAGGCATGACATCTGCGGAAAAGAAGTGGCATGGAAATTTCATAATATTGTAAAATTCTCCTTGAAATTTCAATGTGAAATGTTACACTACGGAAAAGTTTTCTGTGATATTCCACTGAATGTTCGTATTAATCCATCTCACTGACATCAGCTTTGTTTCCACCATCCGATTCTCTCGCCTGATTTGCCTCGTATCTAGTGGTATTGCAAACAGAATATCTCCGCACTTCAAGACAGTACCTGCTGCGCCAGTGTCATACATACATAACCGAGAGGTGCGCCCTGTGCCAATCAATATATACACCGACAGAAACATCGTAGATGATCTAAGACGCTTTTTCTTATTGAATAGCCTGCGTTGATTTCCACACTGGTTCAATTTTCAAAAATATATTCCTTCCATCATGCAGAACCTGGCCAATTACTACTCAGACTCCCTTCTAAGTTCCTATCTCAATGATTCAAAGGACACTTTGCCTACACAACCAGACCCCAAGGGTACAATGGCTAGTCCAAAGCGGGCAAATTATACCCATGGTGCTGGAGATAACGATACGAATGAGAACCTGCCGCCTAGGCTTCCAGAAATTGCAATCAATCCGGTTGATGCACTGGAGAACAATTTCAATTCCACATCGCTGAACTTTCAGGCCCCACCATCGCAGAATCTGAAATTTCAACTGCAAAAATTGACTACTAATCAAAATGTTAACCTGAGAAACTCCATGGCCTCGCTAGCAACTTCCTACAACACGTTATATTCATCTGTATCAGACGATACAGATGATTTGGATTTACAGAGTGTCAGGCTCCAATTGGATAAAGTCGAGGAGCAGAAAAAGTCTCGGATTGGCAAATTTAAACGTCTTCTCCGTCGTAATGAGCCGGAGCCTGAAGAAATGGACGAAAACGCAAAGTTCATGGCGTACGTGTTCCAGAAACTTCAAAATAACTATTATTTCTATGAGAAAACCTCTACATTGAACGTTCCATGGGAAGATGCTGTCGAGGTGTTCTTCTTTGGCGATACTTTGGATAATCTCTTTGAGTCTCTGCGTGGCTTACTAAATTACGTGATCCAAAGCTCGTTGGAATTGGGAGAGCCTCGTTTTTCGAACTTGAACAGGTTCCATACGGGATCAGAAACAAACCCCACAGACCTTGTGGTTCAGCTTGTTCCAAATTTGGAGAAGTTCAACAGTGTGCTTGATCTTTATGCTGAATCTGAGTCCAACATTGCTCGACCAGAGCTTTTCGAACTATTTTCGAGTTTTACCAATCTCTCGCACGGACTATGTCTCCCGTTAGCCATTGCCATGTTTGGCCGGTGGCTTTTAGCCTATAACCGAGATTCGGCCGTGCAGAGCAACTACCAGAACTCTTTAATCTTGAATTATTTCCGCAAAGCTGCACGCATGGCCTTAGCAGTGGAAAAGGTCAAGCATTTCTTTCAATATGACCATTTGGAACAGAATACGCGGTTGGCAGTGAATCGTTACTTCAATAAGGACAACAAAAATGCACTTTCCATTAGTCTCCAAAGTCTAGGCGAATACTTTCAATACGAGCATGATCACAATACTTCAGTCACGCTATGGGAGCTCAATTGTCACCTAACCAAAGACCTGGAAAGTGGCAACTTGGCGATTTTGGGACTAACCGATGGATACGGTTACGGTAACCATATCAAGGAACACAACCACATGGGTAAGCGATCGAAGACGAACAAATTCAACACTAAGCGCAGAATTGCGCATTTGTATCGTATTCTCATGAAACAGCCAGGGTTTGACGAATACGGTGTGTCGTGGGCAGAGAAGGAGAAGTACGACTAGACTAGCTTGTATTGTTTTAGGCTTTACAGTTGCGTTCCAGATGGAACAAAAGTCTTTCTTGACGCAAGATATGGATATGTTTACTCTCCAAACCACGTCTCCGGCAAAACTTGCGCTTCATAGTCAATACATCAATTGTTACGTTGTTCCATGGTTTCGTCTATTGGATTCATTCAATTCTCGTAACCGATGATTGGCACCGTAGACGAGATATTTATAGCTTGGTAACTGGCAATAAAAATCGGACTTAGCCTCGATAAGGGCCACTACTGGTGTTGCCAGCGTTGCGCCTAAATTGCAGTCAATTTATTAGTAATTAGTAATGGTGTTATGTTTCAATGGATCTCAGTGACATGACCGTGGTCTCTATTGACGATGTCTGGCGTTGCCGATGCATGGAAGATCCTTTTGGAAAGTTCAATTCACTTTCTTCTTTGAGTTAAACAAATTGTACGAGGTCTCATTATTTCACTCGTATAAATTCATTCATCTGTAGGTTCATTCTACTCTACGGCTCGCTCCAGTCAATCTTCCTATTAGTTCAGCTCACTCCATCAATTCACTCCATACCATCAATTCACTCCATAGAACCACCTATGTCTTATAACTACCATACTCATCCTCATCACTTAATCTACCAACTCATTACGTTCATTCCTAATTAGCAGCAGCAGCAGTTTCGGCCTTCTTCTTCTTCTTATCGTCAACCTGCTCCACCTTCACTTCATTCAATCCCTGCTCCTCCAACAACTTCTCAATGTATGCCTTTGCATCGTCACTGACATCTCCCTGAACCAAGATTTCCTCCTTCTTCTCGGCGTTCTTGGTTACCGAAGCACCAGTAGCAAACTTCAGCGCAAAAGTTTTGGCTAATTTTTTCATATCGATGTTGAAAACCTCCAATCCACTGATTGAAATGATGTGCTTTCTCTTGTTTCTTTCGATTCTCTTGATTACAACCTTGGACGAAAGTTTCTTCTGCAATTCTCTCTCTTGTTTGGCCTCTTCACGTGCCTGCTTCTTTTCCAACTCCTTGTGGATCTTCTCCTCCTTCTCAACTGACAAAGTGGAGGTGGCATTTGCCAAAGCTTCATCACTGTAGAGATTCTCAAAGAGCTCCGGCTTGTTGTCAGCGAGCCACTCCTTGCATCTCTTGAAGGAAACTCCAAATTCACAGTATTCGGGAGGATACGTACAAACTCCACAGTAAACCACTTGTTTGGCTGCTACTTCGGCCATTTTTGATTTGTAGTAGATTAGGTTACCTGTATGAATGAAGATATCGACATCGGACTCGAAGTTGGTAATCACACATTATTGGGAATGGGGCTCGATTTTTGATATGAAGCTCTTGCAATGTAAGATGTCTCGTTTATTAATACTACTTTAATACATGGCAGTCTCGTTTAAAAATTAGCAATGTTGATATTTGTCTGTTCACTTAGTAGAAGTCATCGCACACAGCATATGAGCGAACTGGTCTGGTGGTCTCCAACTCTACGCACTTCCATAATGCCTTCTTGTACAATACCTTATCGTCAAACTTCTCGTAGATGGTGCTCAAATAGTACCACAATTCTGGACTATTGGCTCCGTACGGCCAGCAGAGACTATATTGCTCCAAATAGTTTTTCAATCGGATCAATCCCGCGTCACGGTCTTTGGATGAAATGAAGAGCGAGTTGTCAATCTGGTCGTCCGTAATGAATAACTTGCACATTCCCAAGAGCGTTGTACCATAAGCCTTCTTGTTGTATCTCTCCTGTAAAGTGTGGAACACCTCAAGAGACCTCTCGTATTCTTGAAGCGATAAGAATTTCCTACTCTTCGACGTCAAAAGTCCCAAGTACGTGAATGTTTTCACATTGGGTTTCTGCACCGTCTCAGCCTCCACTATGCACTGCTCGGCCTCTTCGAGCAACCCAAGTTTCAAGTATATCGATGCCGTCCACAACCAAATCTCTTGCAAGATGAGTTCTTCATCTTGTTTGGATGCGACCGCTGCGGCAGTCTTAGGAGCCCGCAACACCTTTGATGGTGTTCTATGAAGCTTGCCGCTTGACTCCTGTGCCACCTGGGAGAGTCTCAGAATCCTCTGCTTTGCAAGTGTCTTGTCCTTGGGCTTGTCCTTAGATGCCATCACGGACACGTCAGCCGGATCCATGACACTTGGACGATGGGACCATCGCCCCTCAGCACGAGAAATACCCGAGAATGTGCGGTTGAAACCCGAGTCTTCAATGCTCTCCTGAAATAGTTCACGATACAACGCAAATATCTCAACCACTGACTCCAATATGTACTCCACACCCTGATTGGCTTCCCAGACGGCTAGTTCGGTCATCTTCAATTGCAAAATCTCGTATTTGGCCTGGAAAGTCAATGCAACACCATTTTGTCTATTCTTCACCATGTAGAGTCCAGCAATATTTAATGCATCCTCAATGAATTTCTCCAGCTGGGTAGTTGCAACATGCGTTGCTTTGTCTTTGTCTTGCTCACCTTTAGATTTCTCCTCATCAACCAAAGAATCCAAGATAGTTGATCTATCAAAGTTTTTGGCGGTCGACTCTTGAGACGAAGCCTCCTGTTCCAAAGCAGAACTCACTAAGACCAACAAATTCCAAGTCTTAAAGGATTCTGGGTATCTTTTCAAAATGAATTTACACAACCTCACAGCGGGATTTAAAGCCTGGGTTTGCGCAAGAGCCCATGCATAGTTGAACAAGTAAAGTGGGCTACCAGTGGAATTAATGATAAGACAGTTCTTGTAATAAAGCACCACCCTCGAGATGTTCGCTTGCAAGATACCAGCATCAGCAGACCCATAAATTGTTAAGTAGTGGTAGAACTGGCCCAAGGAAAACCAGGCCTTAGATAATATACGCACGATTTTCGACTTGTCGCTGGGGAGAAAGTTCGTATTATAGCGGTGAAACAAGAACGAGAGTGGGTTGTCAGCAAAAGTTCCAAGCTCGGCGTCATAGCTCAATTCTGCTATCGACGTGAATTTCTGTAGGTACGCTATCAAGCTTTTGGCAAACAAGTTTAAATCATCCACAACACTTTCCAGAGTGTTATACTTGAATTTTTTGCTTTCCGAGTTCGAGTCTGGAATGATGGACCGCAAAGGATTGAAATCGTAGAGACACGTAGCGTAGACATCAATTACTTCAAGAATATTAGGTGTTTGACCGTTGTTCTGTTGTGCGTCCTTTTCCACGTAAGTGGCATAGGTTTTGAATGCACCCATGGCCTCGTCAAACTCGTTGGCATCAATTAAAGTACGCACCAAGTTCAGAAGGACAATTTGACTTTGGTATGTCTTTTCCGTCATATTGATCAAAAACTTCTTGGACAAAGAAGGTTTCAAGAAGTAAGTGATCACTGGCCTGTGTGAAGAAATGTCATTTAACGACTCATACAAGGACTCCACAAACTCGAGGTCTAATTTATCGTCTGATGACGCATTTGGAAACTCAACAGCCTGTTTAATCTTGTTGGTCAATAGTTCTGCCAAAAACGAAATGTAATCGACTCTAAACTCTTTGAGAATGTACTTCTCGTTCTCGGGTCTCATGGCGAAATTGGCCATGGCCACCAAGCTGCAAGCGTTGTCACTAAAAATCTGACTGAGTAAGTCCCGAAATCGCAAGGGACTAGATCCATTCGAGCTCAAAAGTACAAGCATGTTCTTGAAAATCACGTCGTTCCAGTCATTAGCTGCGACCATGCTTTTGCTTCCATATTGCTTTAAATTTACGAGATAATCAATCCAACTCGAATAAGAGTCGCTTGAAGAGCCACCTCGTAATGCGTGGTATCTAGCCGTCACGTAGGCAATGAAATCTGCCTGGTTTTGCGAGTCAAACTCCTTGACATTGAACTTGATGCTCCGAAGCGTCTCTTGACAGCCCTCAGAATCTGAGCTAAGATGGTACAAGTGTGCTAGCACTACGACAAAGTAGAGCTTCTCGTAACTGCTCTTGTTGGCCGAAGAGTAATTGGCGTCGACGGATTGAGCATAGGTGATAAGGTCTGAAATTTTCTCCATCGTGATTTCCGGGGTTCGTGAAGGCGACGACCGAGCAAAGATCTTACCGCTGAACTCGTGCTGGATGATTAGCATGAGCTGGTAGTCCACAAATATGATTTGTTGGAAGAAAACTTGGGATTCTTGGAAGTCCAACACATTCTTGGGGAAACTGGACAAACTGAGAACGCCCATATACTTATCATGGGGCGAGGATTCAATAAACATGATCAATGGGAATGTTTTGTGGTTTCTGCTAAGCTCATTCACTGGACCATAAGTTTATCAAGGAAGGAATCGAAGTTAGAGATTTTATACTGAAAGCAGTATTGAGCGCATGCTAAATCCGGTAATACATGTGAATTTGAGATGCACGGGTTTGGATTCCAACTAGCACATGGGAAACAGCAGACGAAAAAGATAATGAAATTTTATGTCTGAATTTCAGCTTGTCATTTTTTATTCTTTTATTTTCTTATTTTGGAAATTTTCAATCGAATTTTAATTCTCAACATCTTTCAAATACGCGGTAAAGTCCTGGGAGGTCGGCTACCTGTACGACTTCCAGAGCTAAAGCTTTGGGTGCCAAAAAGTGTTTGCGGATGCCGGGAAACACGAAACTCTCCAAAATGTAGTTGATGTGGTCCCGAGACACATCGCCGTCCACATCATCTGCCACGCGATCAGGGATATAAAGTAAAGCAATCTGGTGCAAAATATCGTGTAAGCATTGTTTTTCGTCCGTGTAGTTGACCTTTGTACCCAATCTATAGATGAAATAAGGCAATTTAGCAGCAGACGGTGTCACATTGGAGAGAAGTAGCGGAAGCTGGCAGAGCGTTTCGTTGGAAAAGTCAAGCTGGAAATAGTCAAGGAACATAGCCTCCATGGACATAATATTTTTGACCACTCTTTCAATGTCCTCCAAGTTGGGATGGGCATCGTACAACGGCTCCAAAAGCTGGCGAAGCGGCATGGGATCCAATGTATACTCGCCAAAATTGGCAAAATGAATAAGCCCAAGCTGATAATAGAAATGAGACAAAACGGCTCCGTAATCGCAGAGAAAGAGCTTGACATCATACTGGAAACAGCAGAGTCGCTTGCGTGGATCCACAATGCCCACATATACCAGGTTGTTGAACACGTTTGTCAAAGACCTGTCAATACAGTCTTTTATGCTTTGGCGTAGTTCGGAGATGCTGTCCAAGTTAATATCAGTGTGATCTCTATTACTAATGGTCATAGACTTTATCACAGAATTAATGGGTTGGCTAGGACTTCCATGTTTAGACGTTTCGGGATTATCATCGATATCCATATGAACGTCAATACTTTCATTATTTTCGATTTGAGCCTTCCTCTCATCAGTGTTATCCTCCATATCATTGTCTTCCATAATATCATTCTCCGTGTAATTCTTTTCCTTGTTATTCCTCTCCGTGTCATTGTCCCTCTCTTCCTCCACATCCTCCTTCATCGCTGCTCCTTTAAGAATCGACTGAAAATCCGTCCGTGCAAAAGCGCTAATTTTAGGCTGTTTTACATCGACCCGAACAAGTTTATTCTCCTGGCGATACTTCTTAACGTTTGTAACCACCTCATCAACAGCCTGCTCGTTGTCTCTTTTTAAAGTGCTCTGCTTAAATGTTCGTGCGTTGTCCTTGTTGGCTAACACTTCATGAATATGGCCGCATACCCACTCGATGATCTCGTCTTCGTGAAGAAATCTGACCTCCTTCTTGGTAGGATGCACATTCACATCAAGGTTCTGCGGCGCAATACGTAGGCTAAGGTAAACAAACGGATGGTTCCCTTTTGGCAAAAACACTTGAAACACTGACGACATGGCACGTCGCAATGGATCGCACGAAACCAATCTGTTGTTGATAAAGAAAACGGGGGCCGTTTTTCGCTTGTTGTTGTAATTGAATCCAGACACTGCACCTCGGAGTTCAGAAACGCCATAGTCTTCGCCTTCAAAGCGGAACTCGATCAACTCACTAGCCACCTGGGTTCCAAATATAGTCCGTATTCTCTCTTTGAGCGAAGCCTGTGGTCTTGTGGTAATGGCAGCAAAAGATTCTCCGAACTTCTTACATGAGAAGCCTACACCGTCAGTGTGAACAGCGTAGCGACCCACCACGTCGAGGATTTTGGCCCATTCATCACTCTTGGATCGGATTGTTCGTAGCCTGGAAGGGAAATTGTAGAAGAGATCCTCCACCGAAATAACAGTGCCATCTTTTCCAGCCTGCGGTTTAGGCTCACAGGAACCAGCAACTTTGAAATGGGAGTTGGCCAATTTTCCTGCTACATAGTAAGCCTTGTACGCCAAAGGAGAGTTTCGTGACTTGGTCACCACTGAGAGCCGTCCAATGTGAGAGATACTGGCCATGGCTTCACCTCGAAATCCGTATGTTTCAATCAGCGAAAGATCGTCGAACTTGACGATTTTGGATGTGGCAAATCGCTCACAGAGAAGTTTCAAGTCCTCCCGAGCGATTCCGTCTCCATTGTCTGCAACTTGGAGAAGTTTGAGTCCTCCGTCCTTGATCAACACGTCCACCATGGTTGAACCCGCATCTATGGAGTTTTCAAGCATCTCCTTGATGGCATTAGCGGGATGTATGATGATCTCGCCTGCAGCTATGCGATTCACGACTGACTCGTCAAGTTTGCGGATCCTGGCCACGCTTGTCGCGTGTGGATCCATGATGAACTCTGAAGGATTAGGTTAAGTTGCGTAGAATCGAAATGAAAAAAGCAGATGGAGGTGAAAGAAACAGAATTCAGGGGTAGTAACAGGTGATGAATGACGTGATCTATTTGAAAAATCACAAAAATTAGCGCCTTTCGTCTAGATTTCTCTAACCCCACGTCTTTATTAGTAGTTGATGCAGTGACTTGAATCCAGTCGCACATCTGATCTTCAACTCTTAACTAGAATTATTACAATAACTAGTGATCCACGAAAGTAAGGAGAAAATAGAGAAATTTAAAAAAATTTTGGAAAGATAAATTTCATCTAAGAAGCAACTTTTGAAATCAATACAATGTCCGACGAAATTACTCAACGAATCAGTGAAATCAACTCGCATTACGAAAACTATGGTATTGGAGGACTAGCTCAAGCTTATGAGGAATTCAAGAAGGAAGTGGCTCGTGCTGAGGCTGCAGCTTACAAAGGAGAGGCTGGAAGACTTGTTTTAGAGCGAATCAAAGACTTAGAGAAGCTTTTTGCGACGGTCACTGGCAACGAAGTTAAGGAGCTCTCGATGTTTATGAAAGATTCTGAGGCATTGAAGCGAACGGCGGAGTTTGCATCATTGAACGCAGAACATCTACGTTTTGGTGACTTGGGAGGCGCTCTCACTCAGAAAGAGTTGGTGACGGCGTTGAAGAACTTCATGAATCCGGATTCAGTGTACTTACAAGGCCAGCAGACTGAGACACAAGGTTCTGGCCAAGAAAATGCCACGGAGACGTTCAATTCATTCAACTGGGAGAAGCTAGGTGCTCAGTTCTATCTGCATTCAAAAACGGTGGTTCCGTCATACTTTTTATATGGACCATTGGCTACTAAACGCAGAAAGCAAGCTCCTCGAGCCAGAACCGTGGACGATACGGTTTCTAGAGACAAAACTACGGCCCAGAAGGTGTCGACGACAGATATCCAGGAAGATCCGGAGCAGAGCACCTCACATATGGTGAGAACGGTGTACGGGGTATTGAATGATGCAGACGACGAGAAGGTCAACTTATTCAAGTTCTTCATCAATCCAAAGTCGTTTGCGCAATCGGTAGAGAATTTGTTCTACACTAGTTTCCTAGTTCGAGATGGAAAGGTGAAAATTGACGTGGATGAACTGGGGGTTCCTTATGTCGAAATTCCCGATGAGAGCACCGACGTGGAGGTAGAGTCTGCTCCTGTTTCCCACCATATAGCTACGTTTGATGTCCCAACGTGGAGGGCCCTTATTGAGCGCTTCAAAATCACGGAACTGCTTATACCACACCGAGATATAGAGGAGGACACATTTGAGGAATGATGGAGCCATCTACCATCGTTACACACCTCAGTAACCCTAGTGATTGTCAGATACTATTTACATGGTTTCATGCCTGTCACGTGTTGAAATTCTTCATCCGTCACTGTCTCCCATCCATCAACATCCAATAACTTGTCCATGGGCCATTTTCGAATTGGCAAGATATCCAAATTTGATTTGACCCTCAACGTCTCGAAGATATGGATCCCAGCGTTTCCTATCATGGTGGCGTTATCAGTGCACAACCTCAAATCTGGAAAATGGAATCTGAGAGGCTCCTCTGATTTCAAGTTGTGGAAAAGCTTCTGGCGCAACACTTTGTTCGCTGCAACTCCTCCAGAACACACAAAGTCTTGCACACCTTCGAAAATGTTGTCGCCCTGCAACCCGTGCTTAAAAAATGCAACATTTATACGATTGACAATATGGTCAAAGAGCACATCTTGAAGCTTATATGCCAAAAATTGTCTCGTGTGCTCGTCTATTGGCCCATTTCCAAAATGTGAATCCTTGTACCCTGAAATTGAACTGAGAAACGATGCAAAGCCAAACTCGATGGTGTCGGGAACTTTCTTATGTTTGGGCCCCCTCATGGGCATTCGGAGTCTTAAGCCAAACTTATTTCCGCTCGTGTTGGTGTTTATGGACTCAAACTCGGACCTATCAGAGTCGCTAATGTTTCCCACATACTTTTCAAGCTCTGGGCCAAGCATATTGCCAACCATCCCCAACTCTCGCGCACATTTATCGATGGAGTCACCTGCAGCAATATCTGAAGTGTTGATTATCACACGGTGATCCGTCAATGATCTCAGAAGAACAAGCATGGTGTGTCCACCACTACATAGAAGACTGAGAAACGGATAGTTTGGAATTGTGGCAGTTGGGCGCTCCTTAGAAGGTAGCATAGCCGTGAGAAGGTGGCCAAGCATATGGTGGACGCCGATTAGCGGCGTGTTCCATGCCACAGCCAACCCTTTGGCAAATTGCATACTTGCACTGAGCGATCCAACCATACCCGGGCCTCTTGTGACGCAGATCAAGTCCACTGAATCACCGGTCAAATCGTGTTTACGGCAGAATCTTCCAACGAGATTTGCTATACTGGTCTGGTGGAACTCGTGTGCTGCTGTGGGGATAATACCTCCCACATGAGCAGAGTTGAGAGTGAGTTTCTCTTCATCGATGATTTGGGGGGCCGAATTCAAGTTTTTTCTATCCAAAAGAGCTACACATGAGTCATCACACGATGACTCGATGGCTAGCACGTGATATAGTCTACGAGATGTCTTGTTCGGCAGCCAGACTCTTCGTAGCATGGAGTTAACAGTGTTGATGTTTGTTACTAGGTGCAGTACGTGATGATAAAAGAATAAGATTACCAGATGTGAATTACAAAATTGCTCCAGAAATCGAAGTTGTGAAATTCCATCATGTGTGTGGGTGATGGACTGTGACAATTTTCATTTTGCTCATTTCGGCATAACTGTTTGACAATCTTGGATACGATATACATGGAGGGAGATTACATCTTTCACATGAAGCTGAACACACAGGACATGCTCCTAAAGATCTCGGAATATCATAATATTTGACTCCAATGACATTCAATTCTTAACCTCGTCAGAAGATCAAAACTCTCCTCTTACATTATTTATATCTCCAAATTCTATTGCCATTGACCCGGAAGGTTTCGGCCATTTCGCGCCAACCAGTGATCTTCACCAGCATTGTGAAAACGCATGCAATCAACGAAATTGCCGAGAAACCTTTACTCCAGAATTCATCAAATTCTAATAATTTTCCCTGTTGCAATCCAGATCTCGCTTTCCAAATAACTGCCAAAGCACACCGCCATCGGCAGCGATAATTCGAGATGTACGGGTGTTGTTGTCAAATTTCTCAACCTCCGGGCCCATTCAATATCAAAAAAGCAGCTGCCACCACCGCCAAAGCTGCAAATTCTCCTTCTTCTGCGAAGGCATTCACGGACGTGAAATAAAGCTGTGTTAATTAATCAAATCTCAAGTTTCAGCACTATAGACTCTCTCTGATCCACGTCCATGTCTCAGATGCTCACAACGTCGGCGATACCGACTCCATTCCAACCACATCGAGAATCCCTAAGCCATTTAGAAGGCAGCAAGAGTTCCCAGAAGTCGGCTGCAGCTCATGGTGGCGAGTCCGAGTCTAGCCTGCCAATCATATTCTGTATGGTCGCCGGAGCATTCGGTGGAGCCGTCGGCGATAGTGCCATGCATTCTTTGGATACCGTAAAGACGAGACAGCAAGGCTTGCTGTTCAATCCAAAATATCGTCATATGTTGCTGGCATACACCACTATTCTCAAGGAAGAGGGGTTTTTCCGAGGTTTATACGGAGGCTACACTCCGGCCATTTTGGGGTCTATCCCATCCACAGCAGCATTCTTCGGAACTTACGAATACTCTAAGCGATACATGATCAACCAGATTGGCATAAACGACACGGTTGCGTATTTTTTTGCAGGTATTTTGGGTGATATGGCACTGAGTGTGTTTTACGTTCCTCTGGAAGTGTTGAAAACCAGATTGCAATTGCAAGGAAGATACAACAACCCATACACAAAAGGTTGCGGCTACAACTATAGAGGTTTGGGAGATGCTGTCAGATCTATTGCCAAAACCGAAGGTGTATCAGCATTAACATATGGATATAAGGAAACATTGTTCCGTGACTTGCCGTTTAGTGCATTACAGTTTGCCTTCTACGAGAAATTTCGGAAATGGGCCATTGCATACAACGGTGAATCGGATGACTTGCCTGTGCTATTGGAGCTTTTTACAGGTGCAGCAGCTGGAGGATTGGCTGGAACACTCACTACACCTCTTGACGTGATTAAAACACGTATTCAAACGGCAACCATCGACACTGCTGGCCCACACAAGCACCTTACACGTGAATCGACCACGGGGTCTGTTGGGAAGATGATGCATCGGTTTTCCACGCTCGGGGCTTTGCACTCTATTTATTCAAACGAAGGTATCTTGGGAGTATTCTCTGGAGTGGGTCCGCGACTCATATGGACCGGAATCCAAAGCTCCATCATGTTACTTCTTTACCAGGTTGCGTTGAAGAACCTCGAGGCGTCGATGGGTTCTGGGGAGTCACTCGCATAGCACCTGCCATTGTATATAATCCAGGCAGGTTGTAGAATAGAATGGGTATGAACTGTATAGATAATCGTATACAATCATAGATGAGACGGTGTGTGTAACGATAGTACACTATTGTTCCAGTGATGGACAAGGTTCTTTAAATGAAACTTGGTAAGAAAGTATCTGAAAATTTCAGATTCCAGGAGTAGTTTTTTCGAATTAATCAACCTAAAAAACCTCTGAATATGCCTTAAACGGTGACATTGTCCAGAAAGGCTCTCCACAAATTTCATAGAATGGAACTTGTGTCATACCTAGCCATTGATAGATATTGCGACTACTAGTTGGTGTTCAGACCAGATACCTCAAGGTATTTCTAGGGTTGGATTTCTAAGTCAAGGAAATTCCCGAATTGGAAAATGAAGGTATGCACCGCGCGTGATACATTCGATAAATGGGTAGTTCCAATTGGAATTTGAGATTCGCAATGCGTATTAGAGTAGTCATTTCATTTCCGCATTCGGCAAGATTCGCGTCGATTTAATCTTCTCTGCATCAACTCATGTACAATTCTATCAACCTAACCTAACTTTCCCCAAAGTAGGAATTCTGGCCCCACATGCCAACTGGTACCTGTAAATCCCCCGCTGGATTTATTCACCAAATCCCGAGGGAGAAATGTCTATAAATACTGGTTCCTCACCTTCCTTAGCCAAGAAGTAACATGAAGAAATTCTTCCTTGTGTGGTTCATATGGCTCTATGCCGTTAGTGCGCTCTATGTTAAGCCCAAACTTGCCCTGGAAGACGATTTCTACATTGCTCCTGACAATATAGACGACTACTCAGAGGGAGACGTGATCCGTCACCGGCCTGCTCCAGGAATGATTCGGTCCATTTATTACCCTATTGAGATTAAGAATGCCTGGCAGTTCTTAGTGCGTTCCACCGATTCTCGAGGAAATGCCACGGCCATTGTCACCACAGTTCTCGAACCATTTGATGCTGACCCCACCAAGTTGTTGTCCTACCAGTTTGCCGAAGATTCGGCATCGATAGACTGCTCTCCCTCATATTCTATTCTTTTTGGAGCCAAGATGGATACAGTGGTTCTTCAGGCAGAAATGATCCTATTGACAACTGGATTGTCGCGTGGATGGTTCGTGGTTGCTCCAGACTATGAAGGGCCCCAAGGTGCCTTCACGGCGGGTCGCCAGGCAGGTCATGCCACGTTGGACTCAATTCGTGCCGTTTTGAATACTCAAAACATCACTCGTATTGATCCCGATGCTAAGGTTGCAATGTGGGGATATTCTGGAGGAACTATTGCATCGGGATGGGCTGCACAACTCCAGCCGAAATATGCACCAGAACTAAAAGATAATTTGATCGGTGTAGCTGTTGGTGGCTGGGTCACCAATATCACATTGACTGCGCAAGCTACTGACCAGACAATTTTTGCCGGATTGATTCCAAACTGCATCAATGGAATCATTCTGGAATTTCCATATTTGAAAGATACCGTGTACAACTCCTTAAACGAAGATAGAAGAGATTGGTTTTTCCGGGCTAAAGACCAGTGTCTCTTGAATTCTATCTTCAAATACGCATTCCACAACTTCTTCAGTGGATTGCATCCATACTTCAAAGATGGGTGGTCATTCTTCCAGATGGAAGAAATTAAAGAAATTGTTGATTATAACACTTTGGCCTTGACCGAAGATCAAGGGTACCCGGAGATTCCTATGTTTGTCTTCCATAGCACTGCTGATGAAGTTGTACCCTTCCCGGGTGCCCAGCGAGCCTATGAGAACTACTGTGATTGGGGAATTGACTCACTTGAATTTGCCGTTTCCAACTCTACTGGCCATGTTCTTGAGGTTGTGGAGGGAAGTGGTGCAGCCATAAAATGGCTATCCGATCGTTTTGAAGGTAAAGACCCTGTCAAAGGCTGCAAGAAAACGGTTCGGAGAACTAATTTAGAATATCCTGGAGCAGACTTGTCGTACTACCAGATTGCAAGAACGCTTTATACATCATTCAGTGGAGAAATCGGGGTTTCATACCCTAGAAACACAACTAGTACCGAAGCATTTGACGATAAGTATGAATGGGTAGTCGAGCAGCTTACGAAGATTGGGCCAATTCCTTTCAAGAAGCGTGCTGATCAATACTTGATAGAATAGAGAAGGAAAGATAAATAGAATGCACAGAATGAAGATAGAGTAGTTAGGGATAAAAATTTCGACATGCACTTTGAGGAAAACATTTACATACTTAAGGATAAGGATTTAAAGATGAATTCTGTAAATGAAAGAATGAACTTTCAGCCTTGATATCCAAACCAATTGAATTATCCTCTCAAACGCAAGTAGCCTATATGCTCGTATTTAACCGTCAGTCCTACATACGCGAACACTTTGTTTTGCCTTGTTGCAGGCATTTTCTTCCTAAAATCAACAACTTTCTTTTCCTCTATAAACCAAAAACCTCTAATAGCCCAGAACCTACTTCATTCATCGATATTAAAGATATGGCAGAAGTTACCGAGTTTGCAATTGTACGAGCCTCTCAGCTCACAACCCCAAATAAAGATTGGACCCATTACCGCCTGGGTTTGAAACTCCGTTGTACGAAGAGCACTCCTGGCGTTTCTTTAGCAATACTATCTCAAGGACGGTCAATTGTATGAGAAATCAAATTCTAGTGTCTTGTTTTTTCACTAACTTTATAGGATAATAGTTTTTTAACTTCCGCCAATGTGAGATTTCTCGTTAAAGCGCCCATAGTGGGGATCAAAGTATTCGATGGCGATACTTTGAAGAAACGACTCCAACTAACCTTCGAGTCCGAAGGTAATTTCAACATGTTTTCTAATAAGGTCCGCCAATGGTTAGGAGTAAATTTCGAAGGGTGTTCAGGCGGAACACTAGTGAGCTCGCAATTGGGAGATTTTCATTTGTCGGGAAATGCACTGAATTACCTGCTTGTGGGTCCTCTGAGTCAGAATATTGGATTGGAAAAGAATAATGTCAATTCTAGAAGCCAGCCTGAGCTCACCAATTTTAGCGACACAGTGGATAACTTAAGTCACCCAGCTGAGATTATGAGCCAGCCAGAATCAAATACGACCCATTCGGCAATTATGAGCCAACCGGTTGCAAGATCTTTAAGCATGCTTAGTCCTCATCTAACCCAAACATTGAGTCAATTATCTAGCCAGCCCATTGAAGCAACGACACAACTTAAATCCATCAGCCAACTGATGGGCCCGGCCGTGAGTCAGTCTTGGGATCAAGACTCCGAATCACATAATCCGAGCAATTCTGTTCTTGCTGCTCGTTTGATAACTGAATTCTCTGAAGCATTGAACCAAACGGCGTTGAATCAAGCAGAGTCACAGTCCTGTAGAGACTTATTGTCCTACCCAAGCTATGCAAATCCCCTTTCACTTTTGATAGGGGCTACGGAGATGCAAAATGAGATTGACACCCAATGCAGCCAACAGGACTCAATGTTTCAGTCAACTCAGATCGGTTTCAGTAATTCTCAAACATCTATTATCTCACCAGAGTTACCAAAGGCTGCAAATCCTCGGTCTTCTGCAGCAGCTATTACCCGAGAAGAAATCGAAGACGCTTTGGCAAACAGCTCCATCTCTAAACACCGCTCCCAAAAGAGAGAACGCGATTCCTGTAAAGCAAGCAAATTTGAGTCAAAAATTGCTGGCGCCATAAAGGAGGTCATAAGAATCGATGATTCTATTTACGATTTGAGCGACCAACAGCTATCTTTAAAAATTTGCCGAGTAATGAAGAGCAGAAGCTTTCTCCGCTTGGTCAAAAGGGTTGACACTCTTATAAAATCACTACCAGAACAACATGAATGAGATCTATCAATTTATACTATATCAGAATCTTGGAACATGCACTTTCTGCCAAACCTTATATTTTAACCCATCATCATGTTGCATCTCCTCGGAAACAAGATCGTATCCTCCGAAATATGGCCCAACGACAAACATACATGCCCAGTAAAGCATGCAAAGAAACAAGCAGAAAAGTCCAAGATATGTGTATGGGATCCAAGACTCCATTCCTGGTGGGTTCGGATTCTTGCCGATCAACGGGGTAATAACAAGATAAAACGAGATGATAATCACCATGAGAGTTCCAACAAGCGGTGATCTGATTGGTGCACTGATATTAGGATGTCTTTTGTGGATAACGAAGATTCCGATACCACAAAGACCAATAAAAATCTGCTGTGGGTAACTTTCTAAACTGACCACATAACTGTACACATCGCCATCCGGACAAGCTACTATAACCAAGGTAGAGAGAGCGCAACTCAATAATAGAGTGGGAAGAGGTGCATCTGTCGGCCAGTTCGATGCCATGAACAGTGAGAAAGGCAAGTATCCCTCCCGAAACACCTCTTGACTAACACGAGAAATGGTGTAAATGACAACAAACACATTCCCACCTGCGCAGAGAGCAGCAGACATGGTAAGAAGCTGCCTTCCAATATGGTATCCGAACATCCTCTCAAAGAGGAGAGATCCAACCAACTGGCCACCGTTGACGATGTCTTCGCCAGGAATTACCACCAAGTATGCCAAATTGATGGTGACATATGTGACAGTAATAATCGTCAAGGATACCGGCCCAGCAATTTTGAGGGTACGAACAGGATCTTTGATCTCGTTGGTAACTGTGTGAATGGAGTTCCATCCTCCATAAGCAAATGTACCTCTAATTACTGCATTTGAAAAAGACGTCACAGTGATGGACGTTTTAACAGGGAAGAACGTCTCCATTGGCATATTATTATCAATATGGGTGATCGACGAGGGGAAAATGATGGCGTACGAGCAAGTCACCACAATAACGAGTGCCAAAAGCAACTTTAAGGCACCAACAAAGTTCTGGACTTTCACTCCATGATGCACACTCAACCCGTGAATGGCACAAGTGATATACAAGAAAATCAAACCAGTCGCTCTTGTTCTGAATTCTGTTGGCTCGATGCCTAAGGCGTGCAAAAAGTATTCCCCGAAAACAAATAAGTTCAGGAGAGTGAAACCAAACATAATCGAGTAAAGCGAGAATACCACGCTCACGAACATGTATGGCCTGTCATAAATGTACTCAAGAAAGACTTTGGTTCCACCAGAACGTGGGATCAAAGAGCCTAGCTCTAGGAACACATAGAGTCCTGAGTAAGCTAATAATGCCGCCACGATCCACGAGAGAATGAAAAAAAATGGGGATTGACCGCACTCGATATACATCCCACTAGCATTTGCCAAAAATCCAGATCCAAGTATTCTACTCACAAACAAAATGATTGAGGAGAAAAGGCCCAAGTGTCGACCCTGTGGAGCATCTTCTGGTTCTTGAAGGTAGGTAATCTGTCCCGGATTCGGTAGAATGTTTGAAGATGAATGAGTCAGATCCAGTTCAGACGCACTATGGATGGACACAGTGTCCAGAATTTTCTTATAAGACATGTTACAAGAAGAAGTGACAGAAACTTGAAGGAGTTTTCCTAATGTGTACCTAGAAGTTGTGGTTGATAAGGAATGTGCAGGGAGAACACCGGATAGTTGTTACGTTGATGCCGAGGCTGCGAATACATGCAAAGATCGGAGCTACGATACTTCGGGTCAAAATGACAAACCGTGTATTAATGTATGGGTGAACACGACGAATTAGATGCAAATTTATCACTTGGAGCTGTTCTTCTTCTTCACATAAGACTCCTTGGCAAGCTTGGTGAGAACATCCAACTCTCCACTATTCTCACACATACTGTAGAATAAGGTCTCCTTGTTGGCGATCAACACGTATGGATCGTCATACTCTACAACCTTACCAGCATCCATGACCAAAATCTTATCATAGTCAATGATGGATCTCAATCTATGAGCGATAGTCAAGATGGTAGAGTTGGAAAACTCATCTCTAATTGTTTGCTGGATCAAGGCATCAGACTTATAGTCGATGGAAGCAGTAGCTTCGTCTAGTAAGATAACCTTGGGACTCTTAAGTAAGGATCTAGCAAGACACATCAATTGTCTTTGACCCTGAGACAAGTTGTTTCCTCCCTCAGTGATTGCTGATTCAATTTCCAAGAATTTGTTCTGATTATCACCAGTCTGATCGGCAGGAGATGATTCCCTTTCTCCTGGTGCAATCAAGTTGACTCTAGTCAAAGCTTCGAAAATCTGCTCATCGTCGTACTCATTGAATGGATCCAAGTTGGTTCTGATGGTTCCAGTAAACAAGGTTGGATCCTGAGGAATAATTGTGAGGGCTTGACGCAAGTTACGCAATCCGATCTTTGAAATGTCGACGCCATCAATAAAAATAGATCCGGTTTCTGGATCCAAGAATCTGAAAAATGCCGTGATAATGGTGGACTTACCAGCACCTGTACGGCCCACGATACCAATCTTGTTGCAGGGCTTCACATGGAATGTCACATTCTTAATGACCCTAGGCAAGTCAGGAGCGTATCTTAAGGAAACATCCTTCACATCGATTTCACCCTTCTCTGGCCAAGAGGCTCTTGGCTCAGTCTCAGGGATAGATGCTGGAGGTTCCTGTTCAACATCCAAGTACTCTTGCAACCTCTCTACAGAGTTCATGTTCATTTCAATGTTCGAATAAAGACGAACAATCCACAAAGCATTCTCCGAGAACGAAATGGCGTAAGACAACGACAAACCAGCCAATCCAGCGTCGATCGCACCGACAGAGAGTATTACGAAGACACCGGCGAACAACATCACCAATGAACCAACCAAATCAATACGCCACGACAACCATCTGTTGGCAACCCACATGTAGAAGAAAGGTCTGTTATTGTTGTCGATTGCGGTCAAGTTTTGTTTCATGAACTTGGTTTCAACACCGTATGCTCTGATAGTTGCCACACCAACCAAAGACTCAGAGAAGTGCTGGTGAATTGGCGACTTCGTGATGGAATCGAATCTCTTTAACTCCCTGGAGAGAGAAATGTAGTAAGAACCAACCAAGTAGTAAAAGTATGCAATGATGACAGCAAAGAACAAAAACCCTGGAGTGATGGCAGTAATAAGAATCAAAATGGAAACACAAGAAACAAGACAGGCGAAGGTGGCTTCTGCAAATGGAGTCAACTCTTGATCCACAGATTCAATGTCCTTCGAGAATCTGTTCATGATACGACCAAGTGGAGTCTTGTCAAAGAATCTCAACCTGGCAGTCAAGATGGTAGTCAAAACGTGCTTGAAGATTCTATTGGAAGCTCTGATACCGGTGAGGAAAGTCAAGAAGACTCTGAAAGTGGCAAGCAAAGAGTAAGCAAGACCAATTCCTCCGTAGATGAGGATGTAATACATAGTGGAGTGGTTTTCCTTCACAGCCTGGGCAGTTGCAACAATGGAAGAGGAAGCACGAGCAAACGAGCCGATCACCATCTGAGCACATGAGAGGAAAGCATTAACAACAGCGGGCCTCGATTCAACAGCAGAGTTGCTGTTAGTCAATCCAGCCACAGTCATGATGTTGGAAGTGACTTGAGTTCCAGTTTGGGCCCATTCCTTCAACCAAATCGATTGCAGAATATAAATAATCTGTGGAAGTACGAACACAAGGACGATCAAAGTCCAAGTGGGCCATCCACCGAATTCCTTGAGATAGCCGGAGTAGACACTCCAATCCACCACACCTTCGGACTTTGATTCTTCATCAACAAGCTTACCATCAGATTTAATGATTTCTTCTTCATCTTCACCGGCAAGCTTCTTCAACTTATCCTCGATAGCAGCAGCCTTGACTTTCATATCTGCGTTTTTGGAGTCCAATGATTGCAAGTTGGTGGTCGATTGAGAACGAGAGTTTAAAACCGAGGTTTGGACCAACTCGTCGTCACCCAACTTACCATCTGCCAACAATTTTTCCGGAAGACCCTGAGCATCAATAACACCGTTGTGCATTACAACAACCCATGCGGCGTTCTGAACAGTCAATGCAACATTATGAGAAACCAAGATACAAGTTCTGTTGGCCATCAAAGGACCAGAAATACAGTTCTCGTAAATCCACAAGGCAGTGTGCGAGTCGACAGCAGACAAGCAGTCGTCCAAAAGAACATGCCTGGAGTTAGAATACAAGGCTCTAGCCAATGAAACTCTCTGCTTCTGGCCACCAGACAATGCAATACCCTTTTCACCGATTTCAGTCTGGTCACCGGCAGCCAAAATCTGGAGATCACGGGTCAAACCACAGGCATCAACTACTTTATCGTAACGGTCCTGGTTGAAAGGAGAAGCGAAAATAATATTGTTCTTGATTGTGTCATTCAACAACCAGGCAGATTGTGAGCAGTAGGCGACAGATTCAGTCAAGCCAGTTCTTGGGTCGACCACCAAATCATCTCTGGGGATAGCACCAGGCAAGAAAACTTTACCAGCAGTCAATTCCATCTCTCCCAACAAAGCGAGAAGCAAGGAAGTCTTACCGGCACCAGTAGGGCCAATGACAACATTCAACTTGCCGGCCTTGAAAGAAATGTTCAAATCCTTCAACTTAAAGTCCTTAGCTGAGGCGGAGTTCCATGAGAAGGAAGCGTTTTCAAAGCCGATCAATGGAGAGTTAGGTCCTGGAGTTTGGTCCAACTGCTCATACTTGGAAGTTTCAGGCTCCTCCAAAAAGTCGCTAACTCTGTCAAGGGAAACCTTGGACTGGATGACAATTGCTGTCATATCAGCCAACTGATCCAATGGAGATCTCAACAAGGTGAATAGAGACAAGGCAGTAAAGGCAATTGGAGCAGTCATAGGCTTACCTTCGATGATGGTGTAACAGTAGAAAGAAAGAACAGTAACCAAAGTTGGAATGACAAACCAGACCATGGCCTGAGTGCCCCATAACAAGGTTCTCAATTTCAAGTAATGCAACTCCTCATGTCTAATTTTCATGATTGCGTTATAGAAGTTGTCTTCCCATGCGAAAAACTTGATAATTCGAATACTCAGGAAGGTCTCGTTCATCTTTTGGATTCTCTTGTCGGTGACACTCAACATGGTTTTCTGAGCTTCACCCACCCACTGCGAGAACTTGTAGTTGACAGGCAAAAGAACCACAATTGCGGCAGCACCTGCGAAGGCACTCCAACCCAACAACTTGTACAACAAACCGATACAAATAATAAGCATCAAGATGGCACCCACAAAAAAGTGTAAGTAACCACAAATTTCCGACACTTTGAAAGCATCAATGGCCATCAAGTTGATGATTGCTCCCAACTCGGCAGTCTTGCTTCCCTCCTTGGAATCTTTGGTGTCTTTATCCTTAGAATCCTTTGACTTGGATTCCTTTGTCTTAGAATCCGTATTCGACTCAGAACCATCTACGGTAGTCTTGGATTCGTCGCCCTCAACCTCTTGAGCAGTAATCTTTCTACGCAAGGCCTTGGCATAAACCTGACCAATGATGATGGCTCTCATGCGGACACAAACACGTCTTCCAAGAAACAAAGAAAAGCCAGAAGATGTTGAGTCAGCCATTTTGGAAATTGGCATGAGCAAAACAAGACACCAGGCCATACTCTTAGTGGTGACAGATGGGTCGGCCACATACTCCAAGACTTTCTTCAAGAGAACGGTTGGCAAGAATACAAGGAAAGATTCCAAGAGTGCCCAGAGTGCCTGGAGAGCAAACATTACCTTGAAGTGGGCAAACAATTTGTACGTGAAACGAGCTCTTTTCTTCGATTTCTCAAACAGTTTGAGAATGTACATGGCATAGTCATCTTCACGCAAGCCCCAGATATCGTCCTTGGCCAAAGGCGTCTTGTGAGCCTTCCAAATCATGGGGTCGATCCACGAGTAAGTGGAGAAAGACCAGAGACTGGAGATGTTTTCAGGCGATGGCTTGACACCATCGGAAGTCACATAGATTTTAGCCGGTTTGTCGCCAACATTGGCAGTAACATTCAAGAAAACCAACAACAGGGTGAGAATAAAATCTGCCTCATAGAAAACAGTAACTGGTTTGCTCTTAATGTGACCGATGATGGCGGATCTGAAGAAAACCACACTAGACATGAAATGGAATAAGTATAACGCCGTAGAATGGGCCCACAAAGAAGGCAAGCGCACACGAACCTTCAGGATGTTTGCCACTCTCACACTACACAAGGCGAACGCGTAAGTCCAGTAGAATACCACGGTAAGAGCCACGAATGGAGATTTCCACTCTTTGGAAAAGTCACGAATGAAGAGGGTGGCGATTGCCATCACCAACTGCAATGAAACCGCCACGTATTCAAGAGATACACGGATTCTGTCGCCGAGCTTCTTGGGAACCTCTTCAACTATTCCGTGAGGAGTACCATCGTCGTTTGTGTCGACCAAATTCGACAAGTCAAAATGTCTTTCTTTCAAGGATAATTTCAGCGCTTCCACGGAGGAGTCTCCACCAATGGCACCGTAGGCATCGGGAGATGCAAGTAACGGTCTGTTTTCGTTGTCGGAGGCGGAGTCTAGATGAACCGACTTTGATTTCACAAGCGAAGTACCTTTCTTCACCAAGAGAATTGCCAACGACGCAGCAGCCACACTGAGCGTGTAGTGGTAAGTAACTGACTCACGCATGCAACGAGGCACGTCGTCATAATCCCACAAAGTGCACGGCATGAACGAAGAAGATACAGTGAAGAAAGAAGGAAAAAAAAAAAATTGCTATAGGTAAGGGAAGAGAAGGCAGATAGGTTCCATGCAGGTGTGCCGTGCTGTGCATGGCCTCCCAAAGAAGAAATCTTCGAGGAGTATAAAAGAGGAGTCAAAGTTCGGGGGAAAAAAATATCAGGAATGGAAAAAGTGGAAAATACATTCTTACAGAAACTTTCTCGGGTGTTTTCCTCCATTTGAAAGGTGATTTATAAAGAAGATGTTATTGAAAATGGTAAAGTGTGGAGGAGCGATTAGGCTGCGAAATGGCATATAACGTTTGACAGCAAAATTGGTTTGAAATGAGAGAAATGAGGGGGTACGTTGCAGGTGGAAAAAGGGAAGGGAATTGAAAAAAAATTGGATAGTTTGAATCTCAAGATCCTGCTGAACTTGATGGACTGACTGTTTTCACAAAAATTACCATTATGATTCTGATTCGATTTGATAGAACTGCTTACCTCTACGAGAACCGAGATGAACAATGTGTTATGTGCAGGAATGATAAGCTGGTTAGTATAGACAACCTCCCCAGATTGGACATATGAGTCATGATGAAGTAAGAGGAGTGAGGAGAAAATGATTCAAAAAGAAATGGTAGACGAATGAATGTTAAAATAAATGGAATGTGAAAAACACAATAGCAAAGCAAAAATTTGGAATTAAATGGTGTTAAGTTTACATTTGTAAAAAGACATAAGAACAGAAGAACTTACTGTGGATTGAGATTTGCAATAATGTAGATCGTAGGTTAGAGACTGTTGGCCGAAAAAGGACGAGAAAATATGGTGTTAAACTCATTGTGCTGGTTCTTCCATGCAAATTCTAGCGTCATTCACATTCTCGTTTCTCCAGATATTATGGAGATACGTATAGAGTCTTAGAATCTTATTGGATAACCCAGTGCTGCCTACATAATAAACACCTTGTAGTTCCCTCAGCCACATCATTAATGTGCTCTCATTATCTCCGCATGTCAAAGTTTCTTCATTGGTCGCTTCACACGGTATTCGCTACTAAAACGCATAGAATCTACTTCTTCTACACTTTATTCCATCGTTCTGTATTAATGCACAACTAATCCTGGGTCTTCTGGGTACCTCTCAACAAACCAGTTCTTCTGGCAGCAATCAAACCAGCCTTTTGACCTGGAACAGCACCTCTGGAGATAGTAGAAGCCTTACCAATATGTTGATGGTTACCACCACCATGAGGGTGATCAACTGGGTTCATAGCCACACCTCTAGTTCTTGGCCAGGAGTTTCTCTTGACCTTGTACTTGTGGAAAGCTCTACCAGCCTTCAACAATGGCTTGTCGATTCTTCCACCACCAGCAACGACACCAATAACACCTCTAGCATCAGAAGAGATGACCTTCTTGGCACCAGATGGCAACTTGACTCTGGTCTTACCCTCATCTGGGTTGTGTCCGATGATGATGACGTAGTTACCAGAGGTTCTACCCAAAGCACCTCTGTCACCAGCCTTCTCCTCAACGTTGGACACAATGGTACCCTCAGGACAAGAGCCCAATGGCAAGACGTTACCGACGTTCAAAGAGGCCTTCTTACCACAGTACACGAACTGACCGGTGTAGACACCCTCGTTAGCGATGAAGATCTCCTCTCTCAACTTGTATCTGTATGGGTCTCTGAAGGCAACCTTGGCCAATGGAGCACCTCTACCTGGGTCGTGGATGATCTGCTTGACGATACCACGGATGTAACCGTGACGTTCAGCGTAGTCCAAGGTTCTCAACTTGGCTGCACCCTTTCTCAATCTCGTGTGAGAGGTGAAGATGGAGCCAGCACCCTTTCTCTGGTTACGAATAACTCTACCTATAACTGTTAGTATGCCAATTTGAAGGACAAAAGCCTTTAATATGTCGATGAGTGCTTGGGACTGATTGAGCGTAAATGGTTGACAAATAGACGTTGTGGGCCCTTGAAACTAGGGATTTTCGCTATTAGAGCAATGCGAATATCATTAGCAGGTTGAAAAATATGAGGATTCATGGCTGGAATTCATTGCATGGTGATTTTTGAAAGTGAATGATAGGATGGAAAAGTCATTATTGGACACGGAGAATAACGGGGAAGCCAGCCCTTTTTGACCACCGAAAAGGCAAATGGCAGTCTCTTGGTATGGGGAAAGCACGAATATGACGACAGATAAAGGATACGGTTGGGGTGTACATACCCATTTTGTGTTGGTTTCAGCTAGGGAAGTAGAAAAAAATATCGAGAGAAATTTTCACTGGGTAGGAGTGCGGGTCTCACGTGACATGGGTCAGTGGGATAAGTTAGAAGGTTAATAAATGGGTTTGCAGATACAGCATCCTGCAGTTTGTGTCACGTGCGAGCGCTCAGGGCTAGGGCTTTAATTATGGGAATGCTATCAACTTTTATTATCTAGGAATCCTGGCCCTCGACTTTTGCAGCCGTGCTATCAGCATCTTCAGCTGCTTCAGGGACAGTTTTGCTTTCGGATGCTTCTCCTTCTGCTTCTTCAGCGGCATCCGGAGTGTGCTCGGTAACACCCTCAGGCACCACTCTGTCTACGGCAACCTCAACAATGATCTTGCGCCCGTCCACTTCATGGCCATTGAATTGCTCAATGGCCTTCAATTGCACCTCCTCGCTAGGGAATTTCGCAAATGCAATTCCCTTGTTGAAAATGGGCCTCTGCTGTGCCTGGTACCTTTTCAAGACATGGTATGGCATTCTTCTTGGTGGAATGTGCACCCACTTTGGCTTCAACTCCTTGAACAAGCTGTTCAATGCTTTGATATTGGTTTTGTAATCCAAGTTGGTGATGAACACAGTGTCCTTGGACTTACTACCCGCCGGCGTCTTTGACGCATCCTGAGTCTTCTTGGCAGACGACTCTTTGGAAGGTTTGGGCGAGGCGGCACCATTTGCAGCTTTTGAAGGCTTGGTTCCGTTTGCACCCGTTAGTTTACCTTCGGCGGTTGACTTGCCACCGTCTTGATCTTCAGCACTCACTTTACCCTCATCAGCCGTGGTTTCTGCTTTCGCCTTGGCCTTAGTATCATCCTTCTTCTTCTTATCGGCCTTGGCTCTCAATTCCTTCTGTTTGGCAAAGTATGCCTCTGTCTTCTTTTTCTTCTCCTCTCCCGTCACAGGTGGCACGGCTTTCTTGGCGTGGATGTGGCGGCTCTTGAATTCCTTGCCGTTGTACTCCTCAATGGCCCGGTCGGCCTCCTCCTTGGACGAGAACAGCACAAATGCGAACCCTAGGCGCTTGACGAAGGTCTTTTTACCGCGGGTGATGGTTTTGGAAGGTATTTCCACTGCAGTGACATTCGAGCTGCCAAAAAAGTCCTTAAGCTCATCCTCGGTGGCGGTAAAGTCAACGTTGCCCAAGTAGATTCTCTCTTCGATTACGTTAGTTTCAGACATGACGGCAGTAGATATATGGATGTTCAATGCTCGAGCTCGGGATTATGTTCCTTCTTTAAGTGCTTTTGAGGGCTATATTTTCCACTAGGTAGTTGTGGGCGGGTCGGTGGTGGTGGGTAGATGATCTTGAGTGACTCCAACATCTACACTTTTCTACTGGTGGGCGGCAGTGTGCAGGAAATCACGAGACGGAGTCGGTTATTGGTGGTGTCAACAAAGATGTGATAAATGGCATTGAAGGGGCGAATAAAGCGATTTTTGAAGGAGGGCGTGAGATGAAAAAAAGAGCCCAGAATCGTTTTTGATGTTGACTAGTTAATGACGGCGTGGGGCGAAATTGGAAGTTGTTGGGCTAGACTCATAACTCCAGTTTATTAAAGTGTGGGGATTGGCAAGAATTGAGGAACAATAATGATGGCAAAGAGCGATTGAAATTGGAAAGTGTATGACGATTGGTGTTTAACGTCAAAATAAAACCGTTATATAGGTTATGGATAGAAAGGTATGGGGAAGCTAGGTTATTGGGGGCCGGAGGTTTTGTGGGGTAGAGAACATTTGAAATGGAGGTCCAAGTTGCTCCGGGATTGTGAAAGAATAATCAGATAGTGATGATAGTCGCTGGTAAATATTAAGCGAGTTCAGATACTAATAGGGAAGTGGTCTAAATGAGAAAGACAGAACAAATGAAGAGCCAAGATCATGAGCCAAAGACTTCTATTATGCTTCCCGTATGCATAAATAGTGGAAGTCTATTTCTAGACTTATTACTATGTCGTTTGACGACACCTTAAAGTGTTTCAGAATCCCTAAATCTTTGAGCTTCCGTTTTGAGGTCTGAATTAGCGCTCTTGTGGCCAAAACCATCACGGGGATTTGACTGCTTAACGAATATAAGTGCTTACCAGAAGTAGTCAACGAAAACAGCATGGATTGTCAGTAATTGTTAAGATAGGCATATACATGAGCATTTAACTAGGCACTTGGGTGACTCTTGTTTATCTAATCACTCGAATGTCTGGGTTCTACGATAGCTGGTATCCCCAGTTGCATTGCATTGGGGTTTACTTGCGAATGTGATAACTTGGAGAACCTAGACATTGACTGGCATAGTATATCCAATGGACTTGTCCAACAATTCATGATCGTTACTATCTCCCTCCATAACTAATAACCTCACCAGAAATTAATTCCACTCCTTCATCAACGTATGTATTAAATAGTTATCTATTTGGATGCAGTTATTTTAATTTGTAGAACAATTTTGGAGCAGCGCAGTCGTTGACACAGTGCTGGAGGTGGAAGAACTCTTCCACACAATCCTCCTTGTATGCCTTGTGTGCGTAGTCCTCTTCCTCCATCTCGGCGGTGACTCTCTCCACACATTCGTGGAAGTGGTGGACGTATGGAGCACAAGCGGCGGTCTTGGTACATTCCTCTTTCAACTCGTCGAATGGGTCAGTGCCCTCTTCTTCATCCTCATCGTCGTCCTCATCCTCATCTTCGTCCTCCTCTTCTTCTTCGTCTTTCTCGGCCTCGATATCCTCGGCCTCGGTCACCTCCTCCTGAACCTCTGGGGTCTCAACCTCTGGCTGTGATGTTAGTATTTACATGTTGTGAATGGTAGAAGGAGAGAGAGTCCATGTCATGTATAGTCATGGTCACATATTCATAGTCACACCGTAATGTCTTTATAGTCATAATCACATAGTCATAATCACGGAGTGGTAACTAGAAATTCATGCCCACATATTCGACCACATATTCATGACCATTTTGCTAATGGCGCCCTTGTAACCTCTGGATATGTGCCATGGTGTAACTCCCAATATCTTGTCAATGTTTCTCTATCTTAGTCGATGAAGCGCCTAGTCTCATTGGTCATCGTGGAAGGATTCTCTCTGGCTCCAAATTTACATAATCTCTAACATACCTCCTCGGCGTAAGCCACGGGAAATGCGGATTCGATCAAGTCTTTCAAAAAGGACATTTTGTCTCGATAGCTTCTATAGTAAACGAGAGAACTTGATTTTTGGAAAACGGCCCATGCAGGGTGTAAATCGTGCGACTGGCGATTGGTCAGAATATGATATGGGTTACCCGGCGATGGTATTAAAGGTGAGGTGTACGGGGGTTTGTTCGAGTCTGGGGTGTCGGATAAAATGTTCTGAACGGAATTTGATAGGAACAAATGGTTAAATGGAAATCAGAGAGGAATCTTGGGTTGAAAATGTGATCATGTAACGAAAAGCAGTGAGTTGTGGAATTTTTGGTCTGATCCAATCACTATCGATCAATACTGAATTACATGGGTTTGTGCAGGATGGTTGCGATTCAACAAGAATCACTGGAGGTGGGATGTAAAATATCAGTTGAAGGGCAATTCGAAAGGAAAAATAAAGTAGATGGATAGATGTCACCTTTAGAGTATTGAATGATTTTTTTGGGCCAGCTCATCTTGACCGGGAACAGATTGCGTCAATGGAAGAACGACTGCTTGTGGCATGATAACCACCAACAACGAAGGTTTCAATGGGATTTTTCTCAATATAAGGAAGATTTAGATGAGATACGGATGTCGTAGGGGTGCTAAGAATGTTCAATTGTTTGCGTAGTCCAATTTTCTCTTTGAGTCTTGAACATCCAGTGGTATTTAAGTATAATAACCAATGACCCTGCGGTTTTCTAAACCTGTCATTCTTCTTTTTTAAACAACTTCTCCACTCTCGATGTTATTCCGAGTCTTGAAATGATATTCAATCAGATCACTTTTATTATTGTAAATGATCATTTTTTGGTAAATGGTAGCTTTCGCACACTCTATTGTTCAACTGGCATGAACAACATATTCCAATTCATTACAGATCGATACACACTCTGAAATTTTTTGAAGAGTATGGAGATTCATTTGCAGTAATGCAAACTAAGGAATTTATCATATCTAAGAGTTGAGTGAATCTTTTGAAGTTTCCAGTGTGGCTCTTAATATTAAAATTTGATGATAAATCTGTGGCCCACATGTCCATGAATTTTAGTATTCCGTCGCAATATGTACGAAATTAGTACAATGTGGTTATAAGAAAAAAGAAGATTAAAAGTGTGCTGAAAAAACCTCGGGTTGGAAAGTATGTGTAGACTCCATACTTACCATTTCAACCCCACAATGTGCTGTGATTTCACTTCCCCATCGAATAATACCAGCAGACCTTCTCCTCTATTACCTCTGATTTCTCGCTCATTTCCGTTCCTATATCCTACTGCACCCACCATGCAAATCATGGACGACTTCCGAGGGCTCTCTGTATCTGACCCGAGTGCCGTATGGACATACAGGCTCTGTGTGGGTCATTCTTCGATGCATTAGACGGGCAGAATTGCGAGTCGGATATTGGACGAAGAATTGAGAAGTTCATCTTGATATTTTGTTTTGGAATATTGTTTTGGAATGCTAGTTGGAAAACTGTGAGAAGTTGAGTAGTTGAGTAAGTGTTCTTGGAAAGCTGATGTATATGATTTGAATTAAACATTGTTTTTTTCTTTTCATCCATGACACGGAATTTTTGTCAGATCTACAACATTCCGATTACCCCAAGGGTGGGCCCTTCTAATTATGGCAAGGTCGATCGCGGACCACGGATCTCGGATGTGTGGGTTACTGGATTTCAACACACTTTTTTTGAAATTTGATAAGAAAACGGAAGGAGGTGTTCCTGCTACGAATGAGGACAATAATTATGTTTCGGGCAACATAATGGCGCTTAGACCATTGTGGGTGACATTGTGTTTCTAGTAAGTCACGTAAAATATGCTATTGTCCAAATTGGTAGTCTATTTCGGCTAACATTGGCTCTGGGGTTCTAGATTTCGACAACGAAATGATTCGTCAAAAGTATATCATGAATGTCTCTGATGTCTATGATCGTGTCATAGGTCTATGATGTAGTCATGTCTACCACAATTCGTTCTAAACTTAAATAGGAAGCACACCGGGTGCTGATGCCTTCCCCCACTTACTTGAATTGGTTCCAGCATAACAATATAAGTGTAGACAACGGAGATTACATTAAATCTAGTCTTTGGAAATTTTATTAATTTGAGTCAGATCAGGATTCTTGGAATCACTTGTAAGGAGATTTCACTTATTAGGGCATCTAGTGAGTTTTCAACAACTACTAATGGCTAATGACAAGATTTTGACCATAGTCTTCCATCTAATGACCATCTAATGACCATCTTTTAGTGACATTTACAAGAATCTGCTAATGACTAGAATATACTAATGACTTGCCTAGAGACTGCTTTATCATTAACGAATGTCCGATTGCGAAATTCTCTAGCACATATCAGCATATTCTCATTCACACGGCCCATCTTCAACAAATATGAGCATATTCAGTACTTTGGTTATCAAGATTGTGGTTAATCTTTGTAGTACATCGTCCGTCCTTAGTCTTAAACGTTCACTTGTCCAACCTTTAGTGGATATTGATTCATTTAGATCTGTATCAGTAATGTTGGTCAGAAGCCTAAATTGAACAAACGATAATGAATAAAACGAAAAAGTATTTATATAATAATTAAAGGAAGTCCAAAATTGTTTAGTTGATTTGACAAGGGGTAGTAGGAGTAATATCATAGCTAGTTATTGTATAGTGTCTCTAGTTGAGTAGCCATACCTAATACTAAGTAGGACATAGAGCTTCACCAGGAAACAGTCTTAACGTGACTTGTATATCATTTGTGTTAAGTTCAGCATGTCAGGCAGAGTCCATATATCTGACAACTAGTTGATGTTAAGAGTTATGCATTCTATGATGAATATTTCATGTTAGAATGTTCCTTACATATATAAATAGGGGTTTTCCTCTCGGATACAAGAGATACAGAGAAGTAATTTTCTTATACAAGTTTCATCTAACCCTTAAAATTCTCCACTTTGTACACAACGTGTGGTTAGTCGATTGTGTAATTTAGTATTCCTTGGAGCGATTTTAGCTTGCGCTACCCGCGATTTGAGTGGAATTAATGTATATATTCTTAGCACTCCTATCGGTTGTTGGAAACGCAGTTGCAACATACACTTTCGGTAACTTGGGCAATCACAATGAGCTGGAAATTCTGAGTTGTTTGGAGTCTTGCGGCATAGATTGTGATGTGTATGTGCATGTTGACGACGTGCTATTCAAGGACCACATATCAATAGTGACTTTATACTCATGTATTGAAGACCATAACAGGGCAGATAAGTGTTTTTCTCAATGCTTATTTGGTGAGTATGATATCAGGCGTCTGAGTCTCTTGACTGATGAAGCCTATATGCGTGTGGTGGGTTATGACAGTGCGCTGTATGGATTACGTGCGATTGGTTCGGATATTGATCATTACACACCTTGGCCCGACACGGATGATGAGGAATGGGAGGGCGGCGAAGATGCTGTTTCAGATGGCATAAGCGGGTAACTACTCAAATAGCCGTGATGAAGAAATCGGGTTGAATCTGGTACGCCCTCCATGTATTACTGCGAGAGTGAGATGTTAGCCAGTAACATATATTGAACAAACGCTAATGAATAGAACGAACAGGTATTTAAGTAGTAATTGAAGGACGTCCAATTGACGACGGTTAGTTGATTTTACCTAATACTAAGTAGGGTAGAGTGTTTCAGCAGCAAAGTGATGTCCTTCTTTTAGACATGCAATATTACAGTATCATTAAGAATATTGTAACTCATTTAACTTCTGCTCTTATATTGAGTCTAAACTTTCTCATATTGATCTCATATGTATCTTCGCTCATATTAGTATAGAGTGGCTGTGAAATTTATGGGTATACTCAACATTCAAAACTCAATATGGTTCACATACCCAAGATTCACATATCTACAACATATAACCACTTGATTACCTATTGCATCTCCCAAAGATTGAAGATAATGAAAAATGAAAGAATCTCAAACAGTCATTTTGAAAATCCATCATTAACTGTCCCTATCTTTAACTACTCACAACACATCTACATCGCCTACTCCCTTCTAGTTATCAAACACTTTATTAATACATGCTTAAGCAGCAACATCAGACTGCTTGGCCTTCTTGGCCTTCTTGTCGTTGTGCTTAGAACCCATGACACCTCCACCCCAGTGCTTTCTGTTCTCCTCGTACTTCTCGATGTAGTTAGAGTTGATGGTAGAAACCAACTTGGCCAACTCAGCCTCATCCTCAGCAGCAACCTCGGTCAAGGCAGCGACAGAAGAGGTCTTCTTGTGAACCAAAGTACCCAATCTAGCCTTACCCTTCACAATAGCGTATGGAACACCCATCTTTCTGCACAAAGCTGGCAAGAAGATGACCAACTCAATTGGGTCAACGTCGTTGGCAATCAAAACCAACTTAGCCTTCTTGTTCTCAATGAGGCCGACAACGTGGTTCAAACCGTACTTGACAACAACTGGCTTAGAAGAAACGTCGAAAGCCTTCTTGCCCTCAGCAATAGCAGCGGCCTCCTTGGTCAATCTCTCCTTCTTCTCAGCAGCAGTCTCTGGTCTGTACTTGTTGAACAACTTGATGGTCTGGGTAGCAGTGTTCTTGTCCAAGACATCCTGGAACTGAGCAATAGCAGGTGGGACCTTCAATCTCATGGACAAGATCTTCTTTTGTCTCTGCAACTTAACGAACTGAGGCCACTTGACGAATCTGGACAAGTTTCTCTTTGGCTGGACAGACTGGCCAATACCGAAGTTCTTTGGAGAAGCCTCGATAAGAGGGTTCTTTGGGGCCTTGGTAGCCTGGGCCTTAGCGGCCAATGGAGCTGGAGCAACTTTCTTTCCCTTTGGAGCCATTTTGGATATTAGGTAGGTGATAGAAATTTTCAGGAAATTTTTCTGATGAGTGGAGCGGTTTGCCTGGTGTACGGGTGTGCGACCGAGGAGGATGAGGAAAATAATGGTTATGTATTGCGGTGTACGGGTGTAAATGATGAGAACTCAACCGGTGCGACTGTAAAATGAGAGTGAATCACGTGATGACTTGTGACTGTCAAATGTTCATATCTTCTTATCTGTAGGTAGGATATCCGATAGGAATAACTGTATAGCGAACGGTTAGGCTCTTTAAACCCTCCTGCACCTACGACTCAAATTCTATATCTTATCCCAAATTATTACCTAGAACTAAATTAATTGCAAGTCCAACGCTCATTGCACCACCCCTTGATGGTGTACTGCGTAGCGGTCACACCCCCCATGGGTGTCTTGCTCGTGTGAGGCTTGCTCGTGGCCAACACTCCTGCCGGACGGAGTGACGTCCGGTGGGTGGCCCAGGGAATATACTTGCTGTGTTTAGACACTACCGAAGGCCCAGACCCCAAAGGCTCATCCCCACCTACGTAAGAGTACTTTGAGTAGTCAATTGCCCCTTGGGGATGCAAATCGGATCTCGGAGGCAAGATGACGGAGTCCCAGAGCTTCTCGCGGGAAATGTTTGAGATTGTTCGAAGCCCATACCGAGAATTGAACCACCGGAGGGCAGGATCTTGCATGAGTTGCTCTACTTCCTCTGGTGACGTTGTGATGGGGAGTTTTCTGTTTTGCCTGGCGCAAAAATCTAAAGCGTAGCATTTGAGGAAATCGCAGTTGATGCGGAAATCCCGATTTCTAACCTTGCTGTATTTCAACTCCAAGGAGGCAGGGTTTGGACTGATAGTAGCAAACGTGACTAGCTCTCGCTCATCATCGTAGTTGCCCAAGTTGTTGATGTAGTTAATGCTGTTAACCCCGTTGATGCTGATGGTGTTTGTGGTTTTGATCTCCACGTCTATTGGGACTGTGTCATCAGTACTGCGAGGCGAGAAGGGTATCATGGCAAAAGTCATGACACTCAACAGAAAGGACCGCCACCGCAGCATGCGGTCGATGGAATGCAGATTGCTCTTTTCGTTGATAGTGGAGATTTTCTCCTTGCGCTCGTCATGGCGCTTCATGAGCCCCAGAAGTTTACTATACGATGAAGTAGCCCGGAGTTCTGAGCAACGAGTAGTTACTAAAGGGGTCAGCACCACCGCAGGTGTTGCGACCGTCCTCTTTGTGGCACAGCATGATGAGAGTGGCAGCACTGAATAGGCGCCATTAGAGTCTAAAGATGTCACGGACAGAATAGACTCGTTGTATGAGCTATCTAGAACGGATTCAACATCGGAATCCCAGGAGTCATCGCGCGGAGAATCAAGTGGGTGTGAAAACGATGCCAGTCGAGGAGAACGCTTGATTTTGAAGGACCGTCGTTTGGTTTTAGGGGGCATCATTATGGGTGCAACAGTTGTCATGACTTGGTTGTTGCAACAGATAATAGGAATGTTGGGTAATCACCTGGCGGAAGAACAGGCCAAGGAGTTGATTGTGTGAATATTATGGAGAAACCTATTGAAAAGGAAAATTCAAGAAAGTGACAAAAAACTGAGGTATTGTCGAAATGACAAGTTGACAGTTTTAAATAATTGGGAAACAACCATCGGGGAGCCGCTTACTAGAAGGCGAGCGCAAATGGCAATCCGGGGTGCGACTAAAGGAAGGTGAAATCGGGGCCAGGGAATCCGAGGGGGGGCATTTCCGAGGGTCCGCGGAGGGCGATAAAACTATTTCCGAGCTATATCACGTGATTCGGTGCTCTAGATAAGCGCGCGGACTCATCGGGCCGGAGGTGGGTTGCTCAATTATGCGATGGGGCCACTAACCGCGTGCCACACCAAACCGAACCGAATCAAGGAAAATCAAGCGAGCAGATCTTTCTCCGCGAAGGAAAACAAGTTCCTGGTGAGTTCCAGAAACCCCTCGGATCAAAAATGACATGTTGTCGAAAATGATAGTATTTTGTTCCTCACCACAGTTTACATTTTGATGTTCACTTTTTGCCTTCTGTTTTTCCTTTTCTTTTCTTTTCTCAAGCTTTTCTTTTTTTCTCCACTTCGAGCCCTACCGTCGCAATTATGTTCTTCCAGATGGTCTGTACGATGGTGTAAATTTTGCCGTGACAAGATACCTATTTGTTGTCTTGGATGAGTGCACTGTGCGTGGGGTTATGAAGCGCCATGCCATCATCTGAGTCTCTGGTGTAAACTACTGCACAGAACCACACTTCCGGATGGCTCCTTTTGATCGTTACCTATTGGATACAGCCGTCCGGCACCGCGGCAAGTGGGATGAGTGGGAGGGTTGGAAAGGAAGACTGGCGGGATGTCAAAAAAAAGGAAATAAGTCAGTTGAGGCGAATTAGTAGTTGTAGGTGGTTCGGCAGTGGCAGTTTGTTGATTGCTAGTGGATGGCCAGTGTGACCAGGTTGGTGTGACCAGGCTAGTGTGACCAGGCTAGTGTGACCAGGCTAGTTTGGCCGGGCTAGTGTGACCGGGCGATAGGATTTCTATTTTCTCTAAACTTGTGTCGATCACTCCTAATTACTGGCTTGTCTTGCAGGTTTGGCAACCAGTGCCAACTCGTAGTCAAAATCATCCAACTCTATGGCTTGCTCGCCGACTTGGCTGTACCCAGGCTTGCTGGCTCCGTAGTATTCGTCAAACAACCGGTCAATGTCCTCCAATTCAATTCCTTTGGTTTCCGGGTAAAAATATATCACCGTGGCTACGGAAAGCACACAGCTGGAGGCAGGAAACAAGTACATCACCCATCCAATACGTTCTTGGAGAATTGGAGTAAGTTGTCCCACAATGTAATTTGCAAACCAGTTCGTGGCGGTGGAGAGCGAGACTCCTTTGGATCTCACCGCAAGCGGGTAAACCTCAGGTGGAATCAAAAATCCAATGGGGCCCCATGAGTAGCCGAATGATGCATTGTAGATGATCACCAATAACGCCACGAGCAGAGGTGTGGACGGCATATCCATCCATAAAACAACGGCAATAAGCCCCAAGCATGTGCCCATAGATAGACCTCCACTAATTAAAATGGGTTTTCTTCCCCACCGGTCAGCTAAGAACCATGGTGGAATTGTGCTGATCAAGTACACGGTGGCGTTGACCCCAGTCATCAAGAGAGCTTTGGAATTATTGAACCCCGCTTGTTCAAATACCATAGGTGCATAGTACGAAATGATGTTGATACCATTGAATTGGGCGAATGCTAACGCAGAGCATGCAATGAAGATTCGGAGTCTGTAATGGCGGAACATGTGACGCCAGGTGCGTTCGTGCTTTGGGGTTTTAACACGCTCTTCGAGAATGCTATTCTTGATGAGGAAAAACTCGTGGACGGCCTTTTCACTCAGTGGATCGTCATCATAGAGGAGACATAAAACGTGGAACCCACGTTGGTCATCATCGACGTCTAATAGCCATCTGGGGCTCTCTACAATGAAAAAGCCACCAATTAAGAGAATCACTGCAAGTATCACCTGGATAAATAACGGCAATCTCCACGATAAATGTGCCGCAAACGTCTTAGGGTTTGTTCTGGCATCACCAATGTCTTGGATGAAGTAGCAGAAGTAATCTACCCAAACGCTCAAGAAGTATCCGGTGATATTACCTGTGAACTCTCCACATACCAACTTTCCTCTTTCTTCTGATGGAGAGATCTCGCACTGGTACAGCGGCACCATAGTCGAAAGAATACCCACACCGAGACCACTGAACACCCTTCCGACACCAAACACCCAAAGATTGGAAGCAAACGATTGAAGACTACCTCCAACCATAAATATGACGGTTCCGAGCAAGATGGTGCGCTTACGACCCATTTGATCAGAGATCCGAGACACCAAGAGCGACGAGATCATAGCTCCAATTTCCAAAATGGAAATAACCACGCCAATTTCGGTTGCTGTTGGATTTTTGAAGTACAGATTGAACGTCACAAATGTCAAGATTCCCGAGCACACACCTTGCTCGTATCCAAACAATGACACGAAGAGTGACACGAACGCAGACGTGAAGTACACGAGCCTCTGGCCCTTGAATCGTAGCTTGCCTGTGTATCTCTTTGCATCGAAATCCACGTGCTCGTACAGATTTCCAAAGTTATCCACATGCGCCAGAATTCCCAGTGCCGTCAGACCCTGTCTTAGTCTGGCATGCTCGGATTCATCTATAGCGTCCCAATCACCAAAATCATCTTCATCTTCACCTTCTTCCAACTGGGTACCATCCCCGTTATTTCTCTCGGATTTATTCACGTTGCTTGTGAGTTGAATAGGATCATCTTCATCTTCACTGTCGCCAGACAGGTGGTGGTTAGAGGTCTTTTCATACGACTCAAGGTGGCCGAGATTGCTCCCACGACGCTTATCTGTCAGAGCAATAGTCGATGCATGCGACTGCTGAAGCGAACCAATGCCCGAATTGGACGCGGAATCCAATACGTGGTAGTCGCCCATATTCAAAATCAGTTAATTTGTATATGTTGAACCAAGAAGAATGCGTGTATTGGTATGGCAGCCTGTATGGTCTAGACTATGGGGGATAAATCGCATTACGTCATGTACAGAGTGGGGTGCGACCTCATGGCTGCAAATGTACTGCCGATCTTAAAGTGCAACATATTTAAAGAGAGCTTCGGCGGCATAGAAATTCGCAGAGATAAGAAAAAAAAGTACTTAGGGATTGCCCTAGACGGGCAATCGTCCTACTTATGTAAATATGAATGTTCTGGTGCACGGGTGTATTCTTGCCCTATAATATATACTTGGTGTCCATGCAAATAAGGACTTTTTGAATCATTTGAGTTTAGTTGGCCTTTCTCTTAATATAACTCTCGATATAAAAGGCAGCAAACAACATGGTCAATGGCGTCAAGTAGGCCACGTTGATCACCAAAGGTAAAAGCTGGTCTGGAGTAGCGATACAGCTGGTATGAGTGTTGTCGGTGAAGTCCTCGTACATCACGAAAGCGTGGAAAACAGCCAACGAACCACCAATGACAAACTGGGAAATTTGCATCGAGGTCAATACTCTCTTTACAATGACAGGAACCCTGATCTTCAAGCAGGCCAAGGAGAAGTAAAAGTACATCAACGAGTGGATGAACGAGTTGAACACAACAAAAATCCAGATTGGAGGACTCTGGTAACGGATTCCAGACCACATGCACATCATGGCTCCAGCGTGATGGTAACTCTGCAAAAGGCTCAGAGGTCTGCCCTTCAACAAGATGATAACAGTGTCAAGCACTTCATAGAATTTCAGGATGTAGAACCACCAGCCGAAAATGGTCAAGTTGTGGTCACGAGTGTTCTGCTGAAAGACACCCTCCTCAATGTCACACACGGCATAGATAAAATTCAGCAAGAATGCATCGGACTGGGTCTTAAGCTTCATCTTTAAGATGTAACGACCAAAGCTAGACAACATACCAAAGAACGTCCACATGGAGTAAGCACAGAGGAACACATTGTGCAAAAGGACGAACAACTTGAACAACGGGTACTTTGCAATCTTGTATGGAGCAGGCTTCAATCTCTTAAGCTCTTTTTCGGTCATTTTGTCGGCGTCCTTCTCCAGGATCTTGGCCTGTCTGATCTGTCTCCTCAATACGATCGGGTTGATGAAATGAACTAATGAGAAATAGACAATGGCTATAGTCAACGGCGTGGACACCTTCATGGAGGCATCGAATACGGCAGTCAACCAAGACCATTCGAAAGGCGATGGAGGTGCTGGAGTATCTCCCTTGGGAAGACCCCACAGCGACATGTCAGGAAGACCAAAAGCGAAAGACATGGTGGTAGAAACTTAAACTTATCTTGGAGGAGAAATCTCAACGTCGGACGAGGTTCTTTTCGGTATTTAAGGTGAAAGTCTGCCTCGGTACAATTCTGCACACGACCAAGGCTTTTCGGCAATAGAAAAAGCGGGTTTAAATCTGGGGAAATTTTTGGGTTTTTATGATTCAGACCTTGTCTGGTTGAAGCTGCTACACCGAAGTTCTCATTTATACCGCATTCAAGGATCTGCTGTCGAGGTAAATAGAACCTCATGAAGCTTACGTTGCTAGGTTGAGATGCGTTGGGTGGATTTTTGTTGGGTGCGAAAAAAATGCGACTAATGTCCATGAGGTGCGCAACGTGTAGCTTTCTCCATTGTATGTCACTGTGGCTGGTAATTTCGGGATCCTTATCGACCGAGGCTCCAGGTAATGTGCTTGTTCTGTTTGATTGTTCTGGAGATCGGGGGTGGCTGTACGTTGGGGGTGATGTGGAACTTGTGGAGGTGCGCATTGATGCGTTCAACAGTGCATCGGGTTTCCGGTAGGTGCGTCCGATTGTAACCCGCCATTGGCCGTTATTACGGACATTACGAACATTTATGCACTTCGTTTATTGTTTACGCAATAGGGTAATGGGCCCCATCAGCGTCAGTGGGGGTGTTACCATCCGAAATTGGGGATGGTTAATGCTGGAAATGGTGTCAGACCAATCAATGGGACATTCTTCTTGTTGTTCACGCCGGAATTGTTAGTGATGGTTTGCAAGGGCTGTTTTGATGGCGACTTGGTGGGTGATTTAGCAGGTGACCGCGTAGGAGACTGAGTTGATCTTGTGGGAGATCTTGTAGGCGATCTGTTGTTGAACTTCGTTGGTGAAGCATTTCTCACAGGAGATAGAGGTACTTTGGATGGTGAGTAAACCTCATTCTGGATTGTGATGGGCTCAAAATCCATGTCCTTCTTATCAAGAATCAAGAATCTCTTTTCCCGGAGATAAGATGTTAACTCCGAAACAGCCTTCCTCAAATTGCCGTCATCGTAAGAACTCAAGATGATCTGGTGATACGAACTAGCTTGCAGGACGACCAGTCCAGCAACCAAGTTAGTGACAATTTCCGTATTTAAAAGGAGCCTGAAAGGAATGACTACCTTCTCTCTGAAGGTAGGGTTGTGCTCATTTATGAGCTCATCAAACTTGCCAGGACAGTAAGTCAATTGGAATTCGTAAGATTTAGGAATCATCTCAGCAAGTTTCTGCGCACATTGCTTAGTCTTGTAGTCATTTCCCTTTATGGTGACATTACGAGAGCTCGATTGGAAATCTTGCAAAGACATGGGGAAGTCAATGTAAGTGTTATATTCTGCCTCTAAGTCGCTGACAAAGCTGAGGTCAAAATTGTTCTTCTTGTTGAGCAATAAGTAGTGACTTTTGAGCAACTTGAAGTCGGCGGTGTTGTATGTAGCAGCAATTCCGTTCAGAGAGGGACATTTGTTCTGGCAACACTGACTTACCAACTGGTCGAGCTCGTACTTGACAAACAAGATGCTCTTCAGGTTCTTCATAGGACACTTGATCAACACGTTATTGTTCCTCTTGAACATATACAACATTCTTTCCTTCTCGACGTCATCGGGTTTCTTTTTGGTAGAATGTGATGAGCTGGAGAATTTGATGAAAACGTTGTACTTCTTCATGATGGATTGGATTATTTGGCCTCCATTACCAATAATACTTTTGTGGAAAACCTCAGGGATATTGAATTGCATTTCGGCAGGCAATTCCAATTCAACCAAGTTGACACTCTTCACGAGAAGATCAAAGATAGACAGAATATGCTTATTCTTAACTCCAGTTCCTCCAACCTTGATGCTAGTGTTGATCAAGAAGTTGTAGTTGTTTAAGTACTTGAACTTAATGGTAGGTATATGGTTCAACTGGTTCAAGATCTTGATGATCTTGCCATTCTTCTTTCCAGAGAAAAACTCCTTGTGGTGGTTACCAAGCTCCATTCCCAACACCATTTGGAACTTCGTATTGCATTCGTTCATGAAGTCCGTAAAGTACATGCTGGATTGTAAATCGGAAACCAAGTGGTCGAGCAAGATTTTGATATCGTTTTTGCTTCCCACGATGTTCATACCGTTGCCATTGTATGTAAGTACGCATGTTTTCTTGAGGTTGATGAGATTGATCAAGTAGTACTCAAAATCTGCGGAAGTGGGGCCCTTCAGGAACTTGATATCCAAGCTATAGAAACGAGTGCCTAAGCCACTCACTTCCATGGCTGTTTCCCATACTGCCTCTTTGCTCTGACCTTGGACGATGATTTTGTTGTTCCTGGCCTCTCCAAGGCTGGGAATTTGGATGAAAGTTCCGTACTTGAGCATAATACTCAAAACGTCATTTTGGTGATACAAGGATATTAAATCAAGTTTTTCTTTGGAAAGCTCAATTTCTTGGGTGAATAACTTTGTCTCCGCGTTTGCTCTTGGATCCACGGCAGCAATCAAGCTGGTGATGATATTCTTAGAGAAGAGAATCTCTGGGATGCTCTTGCTGGTTAGCCAAATAGACATGTTGTCGTTATCGTCAAGTGTTGCAGAGTGAGACACATGTGGCATGAGATATGGTAAGTAAATGTTGATGTTCAGCTGGTTGGCGATCTCAGAGAAGTTGGCCAATTTAGAGCCTCCCAAGCTAGGAATAAGCGACAAGGGAAGGGTGATACGGTCCACGAAACATTCATCAAGCATCAGGTCAACCAATACTCTCACTTCTGTCTCGGCCAAGTTTAAGTCATCGGTGGCTCCCAAAACAAAAATGGAAGTTATAGGGCTTCTCTGGGCCGGGCCATTGAAGTCCGTGTCAATGTTGTCGATGAGAATCTCAACATTGCGTCTTTTGGCAATGATATCGAGCTTCTGAAGAAATATTGGATCTGTACGCTCAACCATGGAAGCAGTCAAGGAGATCTGTCTGAAGTTCACCTGGTGGTAAGCCTTCAAAATCTCTGTGCGAGAGTTGTTAATGAATGTCTCATTTCCGTTGATACTCACCGTTATGAGCTGGTTGTTGAGTTGCGGTTCGATGAGCTTGATGTGGTTTTCTGCACCGATGCCATTATGGTTCAACATCATGGTGGTTTCTCTCAACTTCACCATGTTATCAATGATGTGGATATCCAGACGATGTTTACTCAAGATAGAGTAAGGAAGAAGAGTCTGCGAACACTCATTATGGTTCTGCCAGAGACCAGTTTGAGAGTTGTGCAAAGCTACCAGCGAGCTGATCAAGTAGGAGTATTGCAAGGTGAGGATGACGACGTTCAGGTCCATTGAATGTACTCTTTTTTTTAATGCTTGTGGATCCCTGGAATTAAACAAAAACAAGGACTCCTGAAGTGAACAGTTGCGGGATGTGGGGGAGTATGTCGGGAATTATATAATTGTAGAACAAGGGATGACTAGAGGATCGATTCTTGACCATGTCTATTAGATTACTCTATTAGGCGATTGCGAAAACAGTCATTGCGACCTACTTGCCTGATCTGGAAATGATATTGGACCAAGTGCAGGGAAAAATCGTATGCCTGCTGCTTCACTTTGGTGATGTACAGGAAGCTTGTTGGGTATTGCTCAAGGGTTCGTTTGACTAGTGAATGGGAAACATTCGATGGAAGCCCCAACAATCAGGAGCACTCGCCACAACGAACTCGCTAGTGGTATAGACTGCATGGTTTAGCTAGGGGTTCCACGATTTCCCGATTTCCCGTAAGGAGTCATCCTGTACTATGACATGTACAGTGAAGATCAATGAGATCATATTTTGGAGAGTGCTTAGGAATCACCAACAACACTCTGGGAATCAAGCGAAACTCACACACATCCAGAAACTCGGCAACATCTCCTCTATCATTCTTCGTATATCTTTTATGGTCGCATATTCTTAAACCCTCTTCGTATCCCACACATAAACCATCTCGTCCCATCCTGTAGTGGCGGCCCACCCTGGCTCTCCCCACAAACTGTAGTCACAGCCAATGACAAACTCGCGATGATTTCTCATAACTGCCTTGCACCCTCCGTTGCCATTGTTGAGGAAACGGGCTCTTTCATTTGACAGATCGATCCACACTCTTGCTGTCATGTCGTAGGAGGCACTCAAGAGTTCCTGGCCATTATGAGGTGACCACACCACCTTTCGCACAGCGAACTCGTGGCCCAAAAGCTCATTGAGTGGAGTGGGGCCCCGGATGTGGTACGCTGGCATAGGCAGATGCAGATTGGGCGAGTCAAGCTTGGTGATCATTCGTAAGTCCCAAACTCTCACTGACTTGTCTGTGCCCGCAGATGCCACAATAGTGGGCTTGTACTTGTTCCAGTCACACGACAATGCCTCAAGGCCGCCATGGGCCACGTAGTCCAACTGGAGTGGTTTGGGGGCACGAATGTCCCAAATATGAACATGCGAGGCACCAGTGCAACTGATGATGGTGGACGGCGAATGCGGAGAGAACGCTGCGTTATAAATGCAATTAACGGTGTTAAAGTTGGCAGGCGTCTGTTTATGAGAGATGGGTGGTCTTGCTGTATTGGCCACTGGAGATGTTTTGGTGGTGAAATCCACCTCCGGACTTAGCGTGAGCAACGATTGCTGGCGGCTAGGCGTCCACAACTTAATAGTTCCATCCCATGACAGTGTGACGAAGTTGACTTTGTCGACGTAATTCCAGTTGACAGAGAATACCTCCCGCGTATGTTCTTTGAAGTTCATCACAGGAAATTCGGGTACCTTCATGTCGAATATCTTCACCAGGCCATCTCCAGACACTGCTGTGAGTTGGTTTTCATGCACTTCACTCCAAGCAACATCAAAAAGTCCATCTTGAGTCTCCCAGGCCACTTCTGGTCTGATTTCTCCATTATTGTCGATGGTGAGAACAAATAACTTACCATTGCCTACGAGTCCGTAGTTAGCGGCGGTGGCAACCGCCAATTTGTTGTCAAAGAACGGCGAGTAGCGAGTTCCGTAGCCGTTGTAGCCAACGGTTCTGTAAGAAAGCATAGTGACAGTGTGGAGAATGGAGATTGGAGATTGGCTCTGGAGATATGGTCACTGGGTATGTGCACTACTCGTCATCAAGGATTGTGGAGATTCCATATGATATATGGATAATTTAGTAAGACCTTTGTTGTTGTTTCTTTTTGAGTTCAATTGAATTACATTTGGTTATACAATTGCTTGTTTGCCACCTGTATTTCTCCATTTTATGAATTTCAATTAAGTTTTCAAGTATTTCCTCACACTCACTAAATCTACGCTTCTCACAACAATTGATTATGATCTCAATTACTCTAGATTAATCTTTGAATTACAATTCATAGGCCTGAGAGTCCAAGAACTTGATAATATTGTGGTACTCGGGAGCCACGTCGGAGATGCTGAGAAATCCAAACGAAATCATGTCTCCTATGACAAGGGCAGACTTCTGCTGAGTATATTTCAAATAGTCGAAATCATCGTCACTCGAGGAAATTCCCTCCTCCTCCAAAATAGGGTTGCCGTCGAGATTCACAGCGTCCAATCCTTCAGTGATGTTATATGTGGAAGTGATACCCTGCTCCTCTGTTCTGGAAGAAAGCAGATCAACTGGATCTTTCTTTGTAATGGGCCCATGTTGGATCAATCCCCAAATCAACCAGAAAATCTGCACCGTGGCCCTCCAGTAGATGATCTCGTTGTACATCTTCTTAACCTCGTACTCTATCAAAGCAGTGGCATCAGTTTCGGCAACCGATGGTGCACTTGACGTTTGCAAGTTGGAAGATGGAAACTGGAAGTCATACTCAATGTACGACTTGATCAAGTTCAACTGCTCGAGCTTCGTGGGGTATTTGTCCTCGTGAATGTAGTACGACTTCTCTGGGTCATGATAGTCAGCCATCCACTCGGAGAAGTGATCGGCAATGTCAAAGGCAGGGAAGTTAGCACCAGAGTACTCGAAATCAATAACCGCCAAGTCTTTGTCACGTCTGTTACTGGTGTTAGGCAACACAGAGTTGGACTCCTGAATGACATCCTTGGAATCGAACGTACTCTTCAAGAGCAAGTTGCCGTACTGAGTGTCGTTGTGGCAGAAATGGTAATTAGAAGCAAAATTACGACCGTCGTATTTGCTGAATAGCCAGTTCTTGTAAGTAAACACCAATTCACGGAATTGATTCCAAGGAAGAAGTAGTACGTCCTCGACTGCCTTCTGGTCTGCGTACGTGGGCAACAATTCTGTTTCAAAAAGATTGAGCCACTTCAAAATCTGAATCCAGGCCACAGGAAACTCGAGTTCCTTGTCTGAGTCGTCCAACTCGATCTTGTAGTGCAAATCTTTCATTCTTCTACCAATCATTTGCGAAATGACAGCGTCCCTAATTTCCTCCTTGCCCATGGTGATAAAGCCCTCCAAAAACTGTTCGAAACGACCGTTCGCAAAGATTCCCAACATCTTTGGGCCGATTTTTTTGGCGGAGAGCTTGATGAGAATCTTCAACTCGGAATCTCTATCGATAAGCTCGTCCACATTCTTTCCATACACACGCAAGAGCAACGAGGGGCACGGTACTGGCAGATCTGGGTCATTATACTCGAGTTTATAGATTGAGTTGGTCAAGGCACCCAGAATACGAGAAACCAGCATGTTGGCAACACACAACTGTCTCTTGTGCCATTTGCTGATTCTGAGTGCCTTAATGAGGCCAATGAGCTCCTGCTTGAAGAAATCCAAGGGTAAAGAGTTGTCAAGAGTAGCAGAAACGCTTGGGATGGACCGATCTTTGGACAACTCCACGGCAGTAGAGCTGAATTGCAACTTGTTCAACGAGGACGACGATAACGACCGGATAGATCCACTGAGCAGCGGTCTTCGCGTTGCAGACGTCGATCTCGAGTTGGCAGTAGAGTTTCTAGTTCTAGAACGCGAGCGGGAGCGCAGTCTATGTGCCTGGGAAGGGGTGATGTCCATTTTGGCAACAAAAAATTGAAAAGTAGAGGGAAGGTAAATTTGGAAGGTTAACTGTCACGAGCCAGTTGAGATTCTGTGGTGTACGGGTGTTTGATGGGGAGTGTGACTAGTCATTTATTTATGGGGATCTACTCGTAAATAGGAGTTATGTAAAGGAAGGGAGGAAGATGTTTTGGAGGGGATCGGGATGATTGTAGAGTTATTCATGGAAAACATAGAAGATTTCCTCGGTAAAAGAGCAGTCACGAAGGTTGTGGTAGTGAAGATTTATTTCTGCATATCAGCGATTGGATCAGCGATACTGATAAGGCTGTATGGAGGCACGGGGAATGACAAAAGAGTATGACAAATTTTTGTCTACAATTGATTGAATTTGAATTTAAACAGTACGTATGAGTTTTGAAATTTATGAGTTCTCATATACTTTGGGGATTCTGGTAGGACAAGTAGATGGCTTGCCTAAATTCCAGTTGATGGTTGCTAGCAACACTCCATGGTTGCCAGTAATGCTGCAAGGTCATAATGATTCTCTTCTTTTCAGATTATTTCAGCAGGTTATTTCGAGTTTCACCAATAATGTACTATGCAATTTTCAATTTCCAGTTCTTTCTAGCTTTATTTCTCCTTTGCTTTTATTTTGCTTGCACAATTCTGTTGATTAATTGTACTTTTTAGGCAAATTCTATTTGAAAACGCGAATCTGTTACTTGGTTCCCAAAGTAACCATTAATTGAGCCCAATCAAGTACACATATTAAAGGATCCATTAATAGGCAAGTTTTCACGTAAATCCACAAACGATCTCTGTATTTTCATTCTTCCTTTCAATTCTCCTCAATAATGATTCCCTCCACTCAATACGCTTCAATTAATTCAATGCACTTTGATTCATCTCAATACTAACATCTTTCTACAGGATTCTCTCATTCACGCCATTCTTCCTCCCATGGCGTTCGTGGCACTTTTTGCATTGGCAGGATGGCTTGTGTCTTTTGTGCTTTACCGTCTCTTTTCGGAAAAACTGGCGGAGGTGAATAAATCTGCTGCCATAACCAAAAGAGTCAAGGAACTAGAAAAACTGATTTCCACGGGTGATTCCACCATACAAAAGCTCACATCGGAATCTCTGCTATACAAGGAACGGAACTCCAACCAGGAGAAGCAAATCTCCGCATTGAAATCAAACCTAGCGTCTCTTAATGCGCAGTATTCATCGTTGTCGTCGACTTCTGACGCTCTGAAAAAGGAAAATGAGAAGCTAAAGGCTGAAATTCAAACGAGCAAGACCCGAATTGCACAAATGGAGAAGGAGGTTGCAGATTCATTGACTCGAGAGAAGGAGATCAAACAGTCTTATAAGTTCAAGTTCAATTCGGATGTGGCCAACATTGTAGCCGAGAAGGACTTGGTCATTGCACGTGTGAGTGACGAGGCAAGAACAGCGGCCACCAGGGCTGATGCACTCAAGGCTGAAGTGATCTCTAGTAGCGAGAAGATCGCGAAGCTTTCGGAGGAATTACAATCTCAGGAGAAGGAGTCTAAGGAGAAGATTGACTCCGGGGCAAAACAGTTGAGAGTTTTCTACGAGGAGAAGATCTCGTCGCTTGAGAGCAGACTCAATGATTCCAAGAAGACATTATCCGACCTAAAGGAGGAACACATTACCTTAGAGGAGAAGTTGGAGGAGTCTGAAAGGGAGATAAAGGAGGTTACAGCAAATCTCACCAAGAAAGAAGACGAAATCTCCAAACTAAAGAGCGATAAGGATACACTCCAGAAGCAGTTAAGAAAATGTGAGATCCACTTAAAGACTGAGGGTGAGAAGGTTATCCATCACTTGGATTCGTTGCAGAAGACAGAGAAGTTGCTCGAGGAGGAGAGACTGAAGACATCTGATGTCGAAGAAAAGCTGGAAAATTTGAAGAGAGAAAATATGACACTCAAAAAGGAGTTGGAGCATGTGGAGTCGCAGTGGAAGGCGGAAGAGGAGAGATCAGGAAAACTATCTGAGGAGAATGAAAAGGTTCTAGAGAAGTCAGACATGCTTAGTCAAGGTAATGAGTTGCTTGAGGAGAAAGTTGAAAAGCTCAATGAGGACAACAAGAAATTAGAGGAAAAGATAAACAGGATTGCAGAAGACAACAAGGAACTTGAGGACAATTTTGAAAGGCTCTCTGATGACTACAAGAAAAAGGAGGAGGAATCAGATAAGCTCTCTGAGGATTACGAGAAACTCGAGGAGGAATCAGATAAGCTATCCGAGGATTACAAGAAACTCGAGGAGAAAACAGAGAAGCTTAATGACAAGACAAAGGAACTTGAGGAGAAATTAGAAAAGTTTACTAAAGATAATGATAAACTCGAGGAGAAATCAAAGCATCTCACCAAAGAAAATGAGAAACTTGAGAATACACTAGGAAAGCTTTCTGGAGATAACGAGAGATTGAAGCAAGAATTAGAAGAGCTTACTGATGATAACAGTAAACTCAAGGCGAAGGAGGAAGAGCTTAATGAAGACAACAAAAAACTCAAGGAGAAGGAGGAAGAGCTTACTGGATCGTTGAAGAGCATCAAAGACGAGCTTTCCACCGTCAATCAACAACTTGAGAAGCAGAGAGAGGAGACAGAAGAAGTGAAAAAGGGCAAGGAAAGGGATATCCAACATCTCACCGACGAGTTGAAGAAGAATCAGGAGGATCTTACTGCAGTCAAGGAAGAGTATCTGAGCTTTCAGAGGATCGCTGAAAAGAGGAATAAAATACAGGGGGACATCCAGGCTCAATTGAAGAAGAAGTTACAAGAAGCGCAAGAGAGTTTGAAGTGACCAAAGTGACAGAGGTATAGCATAGGTATGTAGAATGTTGAAGGAGCAAGAGCATATAGTTATTATGGAGAGTAAAATAATGAATAGAAAAAGTGAAGCTTGTATGGAAGTGCAATTTTGCAACTTGGAGCGAAGGGATTAGAGCGTTGAAGATGTCATCCACTTCTGGGGGTATGGAGGTCCGCCGTAACAGGTTCTACTTACTTGTCGAGTTTACATCAGGGTTGTACTCTGTAATAAAAAAATACAATGTTTGAAAAAAAGTTATAATTAGCTTGATAGAGTCGAATTGAATTATCTGGAATTAGGGTGGTTGCCCTTCTGATTGAGAATCTACAGAAATTGTGAACAGCGCTAAAATAGGAAATATGGGCCGGACTATTTTCGCTAGCATTGACGATTTGATTGATCACTTCAACACTAGCCGTCTATCTTTACTTTTAGCTTCTTGAACTTTAACTCAGCCTTGTGGCTTTAACAATTACGTTGTTTGACACAGGACTGAGGCCGACTGAGAAAGGTAAAGTATATGCTCTCGAGAGATTACGAAACCCTTACAGGTCATGGATATGATAATCAATTTGACGAGCCAATTTTATCAGCTACGTCAACCAGCCAAAAAAAAAAGAAAGAAAGATGAACATTCTGTCGTTTGAATGGCGTGAGCAGCCCGAAACATGTCAGAATGCTCCAAAGCTTAAATGCGCCAAAACGAGAAGTGGAACACCCCAAAACAGAAAGCACTTGAGCGTGGGGCAGACCACATCAGATAGTGAATCCAAAGCCTCTCCGGCCTGCAATCAACCCTACCATGAAATGGTATTGGAAATAAAGACAAATATCAAGATGATTTTGTGTTTCCTGGCAATGTTGGTGGAACCCGGATGGCCCGGTAGAGGTAGTGCCAAATTTGTGGCTAGAATAGAGTGTGCGGTGACAGGAAATGAGACAAAAGCAGGAACAATGCACTGAGCATGCAGAAGAAAAACAAGGGTAAAGTTGGCATGAAAGTGGCAACCAGACTACCGAGAAAACACAAGAATCAAAGTTTAAACCAATGTACATTTTGAAAACCCAAATTCATCACTCAACTATAATTTCCATACCGCAAGTGTTGGATATTGAGCGAGGGTTTCTGGCCCCGATGGGCTCACAACGATGCAGACCAGATTTTCCGAGCCGGAATGCCATGGACTGTGGAAGCCCGCATTTCAAGGAAAATCTTAATGCATTCAAGAGCCAGAACTTTTTTCAGAAAAAAAAAGGAAGTTGTCTTCTAGATGGAATGCTATTGTTACAAAGCTCTCGAAACTTCTGTTTCCCCTAGATCTCCTTTCTTTACTCTATTTCTCTTTGGTGCTACTTTGCTCAGTTCCACTCTTTTTTTTTATTAGAAACTTTTCTTTTCCACATATCTTTTTTATGCCCTTCCCTCATTCCTTACTCCCTCATTTTCTTCGATAAGATTGCTTCTCCTGCGTGGACACACCTAGAACATGTACAGAGTAGCAAAAGATACAAATTTCAGCTAGCATCAGTCCACCAAATGCCAACCGAATGGCCACCATGCTAAGGGCACGAATTGTTGCCAACTATGTTGCAAATCTCGCTGCTCCTTCCTTCTCGTACTCTTCCTCCTCTTTGTTTCCCTCCTGTCTATCTGCCTGCACTGGGCACACAACACTTAAGCCACCAAATACCTATCAAGCAACGTTGCCCATCCTTGACCTCATTTCACCTCTTTTTCTTCATCCCCTACGCTGGTGCCGCCGTTCGTTTGTGCTTTACCTCTGTCTCCGCCCGCGTACTGCTTCTGTCTCTGCCGCCCCGTCCTGCCCGTTCTGCCCGGCTTCCTGTCTTTCGTTCTCATGGCCTACTGACTGACCTGAAATCTTTACCATGGCCATTCGTAAGGCCACCTCCTCCCGCCGCAAGTCCATTCTCAGCGTCCGCTCGACGTCTTCGTCTTCAACGTCGCTTGCTGCCCAGTTGTCGCCTAGACCCTCCGAAATGACACTGTCTCTCGATAATGACCGCCTCGTCAAACTGATGTTGAAACATTTCAAGAAACTTGAGTTGGCCTTGACTAAATTCAACTCCAAACATGCCGGTATCACTAAAGCAAACATCCTTCGGACGCTGCTCCTCCCGTTCTTGCGTCTGCTGCCTTCACTCGAAGCCACATTTGTTCCGCTGTCCAAAATCTACTTGAGCTTTGTATCACTCTCTACTACCGTGTTGGGTGAATGGTGGCGCCTGCTCTTGGTGCTGTTAAATGCCTCCACTGCCACCTCGAACGGTATTGTCTCCTCCACGGACCGGAGTGCCTACTTGGAGTGTGTATCCCGTATAATGGGAAGACCCGAATGGGCCCATGCCGACCCTGTTTATTGCCGTTTGTACAAGCAATACTTGACCGATACTCTCGATTACTGTATCAACCGTCTTCTGCTGACCAAGGTAATCTCCATCTCGTTATCTGCTTTTGTTGGCAAGGTTTTTGCCTACGCATACTTCCATCTTCCCAACGTTTGCAATGCGTTGCTCTTCCTTTTGAACGTCAAACAAGCCATGGTGGATGCTCACTTGGCAGGTGTGCCTCGTGTAGCTGCTGCTGACTTCAAGGATGCAGCTCGCGTGTTTCCAGTCCACTTGTCTCACTTGATCGATTATAGAGGTTTGGCCAAGTTGGATCGCCTAAAGCGGTCGCTGATCAACTCAATTCCACCACCGAAACATCCTGTGGCTGGTATCAGGGAACCAGGAGGATCATGGGTGCGTCGTTGGTGTTCCAGCGATAGCGACATCTTCAACTCGTTCTTCAGACACTACGTCTCCATTGTGGACAATCTTATAATTTCCTGTCCCAGCCTCGTGCCTGACTCGTTTCCGGGCTTCCACATCATCACCAGTCACATTTACCAGATCTTTCTGGTGTCCATCCATCGCATTCTGATGGTCATGGCCAAGCCGGCTTTGTCGGCGAAGAATTCTTCTGCATCTTCAATTTCATCTTCGGCATCGTCGTCGTCGTCATCATCATCATCTACTTCATCCTCCCCATCATCATCTTCTTCATCATCACCATCTTCTACTTCACTGAACAAGTTCATTTCGTCGGACGGGACAGCACCTCTACCGACCACCTTCCCCTATAAACAGAACGATACCAATTACACCAGCATCATGAAACTTTTCAAGACTGTGAGAGATATTGATTATTCCTCTGTGGTGTTCTCAAACTATTTGACTCGCTACATCGATGGACTCTTGATCAAGGTGGCCAAGACCATCAGTGTCTTCGACTTCAACAAGAACGGCCTTCTCTTGAATCTTGTGTACGAATACTCCAACCATGTCCTTGACGCCACCAATATTAACTGGGAGTTTTGGTTGGGTTGCAACTACTTGATGTTGACCGCCACGGAACATATTCAGACTATATTACGAAGTTTTGCGTTCTTGTTCAATGTGTGGGACAAGATCCCTGCATTATTGACTAGACACGAGTTCCCACAGTCGGTTTCATATCTCAAAGGCTGGCTATTCGACCCCAACGAGAGTTATAAGCTGAACTTCTCCGATTGGTTGACTTCCAACGACGTGTGGCTGGTATACTTCACTCACTGGAACTGTCTAGTTCGTGGTTACTACTCCCGTCTTTTGGTGTGGAGAATCATGGGTGTCAACAACTACCAGTCGTCTGTTTCGATCAAGACAACCAGACGAGCAAAGTATAAGTTGGATTTCATTTACGAAAGTATCCGTAGCCTCTTATCGTCCAGAGGCTTGACAGCTCAGTTAGCCAACTTAAACTTCTCGGCTGAACTCCCCATGCTGAACAGGAAGCTAAGCATTCTTCCCATCAACTCCAAGTTTGCCTACTCGAATGACCTACTCACCCTCACGGCTGTGTCAGCTATCTCAAAGACGAGTGAGTTGCGCAAAACCCACCCTTATGAGATCTTTGATGAAGCCATTTATACGTGCACTTCATTGCCTAGTTCTCCAGGCGATCCCAATGCCACGATGCTTGGCGCAACTCTGCCCTCCCAGAAAGTGCCACGCAACCATTCTTTGATCAATCTGTTGAGTAAATTCTTCAAGATGTTGTCCACAGACGATCCTGGAGACAACAATTCGTTCTCGATGGTGCCGCCTAATTACATCCTAGGTGACCGTGGTGAGAAGGGCCGCCAATTGAACAAGACCCGGCTTTCGAAGTCGATGACCTCGCTTTCTAACTACTCCATGAAATCTCGATCATCAAGTCCCAGTATGATTTCGTTTCAATCATCTCCTAATTCTAACACTGACGGGTCCACAGACTCCAGTTTGAAGTCCGACCTGGATAATTCTAGTTTGTTGTCAGATTACCTTGGCAGTTCGTCCTCCTCATCCTACTCAGCATCATCACAGCAGCCTTCTCAGCCTCCTGAACTCTTCAAGATTCCTCCAGAGATTGTGCGTCCAATATTTAAGTTTGACATTGTGCTCGACCACGAATCTGTGGGAGAAAAGTTTATGTTGATGCAGAGGGCCAATACAGACCGCATGAGCCATCGATTCTTTGAGAACTTGTCACCAAATCTCTCATTTGCTACCATGCCCAAGCAGCCCGTTATTCCTTCTGTGTCAATTTACCTCAATTCAGATATGTATAACAAGTTCTACATCACCAGAGAGGACTACTTGCTCGACGACGATGCTATGTCGGATGTTGACATGACCGATCTACAGAAGTTCAGCAAGAAATTGGCTCAGAGCCTTCACACCCCAACAGACTTGATGGCCATGGGTAGATCATTGAACGAATGGAACAAAATCGTCCAAGAGTTTGAATTCTACCTTTTCAACAAGGTGGAGACTGATCAGGCCAATTACTTCCCTGTGTCTACCAATGACGACTCGGACGTTCTGCTGACTATTGTCGAGATCAACGAGGGAGATTACTTCAAGCGAATCATTCCGTTCTTGTCCATCGACACCTTCTCCGAAGTGAAGTCGTTGAACGCAGCGTAATTTACACTCATCAGCCAAGAATGATGCTGGAGATTACCCAAAGATGCTTTTTTTTAGGAGACGCTGCCTAGCAGCTTGCATATTTACTTCGTATTTACCTCCCTATCGACCTTCCTGTCGATTGTTTTAACGCTGGTTTTCTCTTCCGTATCACGGAGAATGTAGCTCAGAAAAACGAGACTAGTAAGTAAACATACCCACGAAGTTAAGAGCCAGAACCCGCCAGCTCCTACAAAAAGACTCGTTAAGTAGTAATTAGTCATGTAGAAACGAATTCCGTCCCACTCCACCACGAAATCAATGGTTGTGTGCCTCGAATCGATGATTATAGGAATATTCTCAATGAACTCAAATACTGGGGTCAGCTTTTGCATCAAATCTATGATTTCCGACCCTGACATGTACACAAGTGGCCAATCAACTTCCACTGTCTTGAATATATCCACCAAAATAGGCGGAACCCAGTATCGCAAGTTATATGGCACCCAAGAGTTCTTCTCGACATAAATGTACCTCAGATCACAGTTGATGATCATTTCGTCCACAATCTTCTTGCACCCAATCTGGAAGTTGTATTTTAGAACATGAAATTGCTTTTCATAGCGACAAATGGCCTCGAGATTGAGCCGAACCAGATAATCGAGGTCTGGTTGTATATATGGTAATATATTCCGTGATTCGACCTTTGTAGCTTTTGAAACGGAATCGTTTAGCTCAATTGTTGGGTCTGCAAAGTTTGTAAGTGCCTGTATTCTTTCGGACGGAATTAGCATCTTGTAGAAGTTTAGATATGTGACTATAGATGTTGGTAGCAATACAAGAAATATAGCAACGAAGATGATTACACCATAAAGTGCTTGCCTTGTTAAAAAAAGCGGGAATCTCACCATACCATTAACAGCTTTCATATTGGATAATCACTAAAATGAGGTGAAGAGGTGGTGACGATAAGTTGCTGGTGGTTAGAGTTGGTGATGTTGGAGGGTTGTGTATGTAGTATGGGGAGATATCTAATCAATATATTTCTATGAACGAACAGGCAGCTGCCGATTCATTGATGCAGAGAACCCAAGTTATTACCAAATTATAGACCAAACCGTATGGTAAATATATAGAACAAAAAACTCCGCACAGACCAAGTAATGCAAAGGTGGGACAGGCAGGGACTGCCACCAAAGAAAAAAATCTAGTGAGTGGTGTGGCCACGGTGATACTTCAACCCATTCAAATTCTTGTAACGCTTTCCGCATACTTCACACCGGTAAGGCTTGTCCTTCTCCATGCCAGCGCCGTCAAGGTACGGCGTGTTCGATTCGGGGTCGATGATAGAGAAAGTGCCGTCATCATTCTCTTTGAGTGTCTGGTTCTGGTGTCCGTGCAAACGGTGGTACTTCAAACCGTTCTGATTCTTGTAGGTCTTTTCACATCCAATAACTGGACACTTGAACGGCTTGTACTCCTCGTTCTCCATTACGTATAAGTGACGGGCTGGATCGTCAATGTACATGCTGTCGCCATCGTCCATGTTGCGGTCGGAGTTTCCCCTTCTCGCACTGCCAGCTTGCTGGGGGTTGGCCATTTGGGGGGCTACGCCCTCAGGCTGCACTTGCACTGGGTGCATAGTATGATGTTCTGGCTGGTTGATTGCCAGCTGGGGCAGGATGGTCTGGGCCAACGCACCCAGGTTGATGGTCTGCAGCTGGATGTTAAAATGGGACGCCGGGAGGTGCAAGTTGCCCTGTTGAGCGGCCTGGGTGTGATGATGATTATTGAGGAACACATCGTTGGTCAGCACGGTTTCCATGACGTTGTGGACATTGTTCAAGTTATTCCGGTTACGGTGAGCGTTGAGCATATGAGTGTTAGGTTCATGAGGGGGCAGCAGGGTAATGTGGGCCTCTTCATAATGCCTTAGCAAGTCATGCAACGTTGGAAGAAGTTGACCACAACACAGGTAGTCCTTACAATAGTCGGCCTCCAAGTTAGGAAGGTAACTTGTTGTGTTTGGCGGCGACATCAGCACCATGTTCTGGTTCGGCTGCACCGACAGGTTGTTGGCGCCCTGGAGGCGGAACAGGCCACGTCTAGGGTTTATGAGGTTGTGCTGGTGGTTCTGTGATTGGTTGTGGTGATTCTGAGCACCATACATCATTACCTCGTCCTTAAGCCACGAGCCGATAGTGACAGAACCCCACAGCACACCACCCATACCTTGCGAGTGTGCTATAGACTCTCTGCGAAACCTCTGGTTGTTAAATATCAGCGGCTGTCGCTGATAAGTGATATCGATGGGTTGTGGCACATTGAGGAACGTATCGGGATTTTCCAGGGTACCTGAGCCGTTGTCAAATATGGACGTATTAAACATCGCTGATTGGTAGTAAGATTGGAAATTTCAAACTGATGTGACAAAATGCAACGAAAATGTGTTATGTGCTTGATTTCGGTCTAGGATTTCGGAAATTTAGGTCGATGATTGTTGGTGGCGAAATGTTGCTAAGCAGCTAGTATGTTCAGGGGCCAGGCGGAACCAGAGATACAAACGGCAATGGAAGCGCACCGAAGCGGGAAATTTCAAAGGTCGAGGAACCAGTGGGGTAGATTCAAGTCTAAATTGCGTCCACGAATGATGTTGGTGGATATCCGAGGTAATGGGAACGTACAAACGATAGCGCCAATTCGAGTGGAAAAGTTGAGGGGGCGGCTACGAATGGACGGTTGGAAATTTCGGGAAAGTTCGGGGGAACGGAAGACCAGCAAAATTTCCAGGCACAAAGTGTCAAGGGATACAAAAGCGCAGAATTGACGACTATAGTCCTTAGACCTGATGGATTAACAGATTTCCTGGAAAGGTGGCTTGCGAACCTATTAGAGGGTAGACGTTTTTGAGACGAGGCTCATTTCTTTTTTTTTGGTTTGCGCACGATCAACTCTCCCACTGGGAGTTGGTCCTGCACATCTCTCTAGATTTTTTTTCCCATGGACGATGACGGCGGTGAACTAAGCCGACATGCGTCATTACGAGGTGGCAGGCGGCATTGAGAGGGGAGATGAGGGATCTGACTATATTGGAATGGCGATGTAAATTGGGGATTTTTATGGTGGTGTTGACAGAGGATCTGGTGGGGTGATAAATGGGCTAAAATTGACTTACAAATGAGATTCTGGTCACGTGTTTATACATTCTAAAGATCAGTCCGCATGGCCGGGATACCTTGACACATACTAGAGGGATTGATCGGAGAGGCAAGGATTTTTGTCACAAGCTGGCAATCTGGAACGAGAGGTATGCCGCCATACAGTTACGTGTCCTGCATTCCAAAGGAGAAAACCTGTATGAGCAGTGCAATGTAGGGTATAGTGAGATGATGGAAGGGATAGGTGCAAGTATCTGGTCACGTGCCCCGATGATGAAATTGAGGGTTGCAAGGTAGAAAATGGTCGGAAGTGCATTAATGATCAGGGCCAATGTCCAGATTGGAGTGTCTTGAGGAATATTGCGATGGAAAATAGCGAAAAATATCCAGGAGTGGTAAAGTGGAGGGGATCATGCCTCGAGGTTACTTACTACCAATAATGTTGAGATTGCGTCACATTGCCATGGGGAATTCATAAGTTGGGAAAGGAACTATAGACCTTTTGAGAATGCAAGTATCTTATTGGTGTGTTATGGCAGTTTGATCCAATATGTAATTTCGTACTTCTTCGGACTGGTTTGTAAAATGTTTCGTATACGAGCTGGTAATAGTGACTTATGCTTGTTGGGTAATGATGGTCATGATCTTGGTACTCATTCTACTCTTCGTTCTGTTTCATGGTGTATATAACCCATATACATTCTTATTCATTTTAACAATAATACGATAGTAATTTTGTCATTTTCATCTTCCTTTTTTTATTTTGAATATTCTGATTATTACTATTTTCATTATTCTGGATGTTTTTTTTTGTTCACCTCAACTTTTTGTTCGCATGTGTCTTTTTTATACTTGTTGTCCTCTAAATCATCTCAAATATTCGTTTGAAGCGTGTTCATCCTTGAACGCACATGTAGATCGACCCAAATTTGTCAGTGATTTGGTGCTCCATCATGCCACTATCTATTGGCCTTAAAGTATTTCCATTTACGTTTGCCTTCCGTTTACTACTCCCCTCTTCTTCGCACTTTCCCATGTTCCTCTTGCTTCTCTTCCATTGCTTCTCTGCTAGTTTCTTTTCTATTGTACACCTCCTATCCACTTCTCCTGCACACCTCCGAAACTTTGCATCTCACAACGGTCAATTCACTTTCGTCCACAGTTTCTCCACTGTCAATCTTGATTATTTCCGTTTCCTTCTCTAGAACTTTCCAAAAAGTCATCCCATAAATCCACTCCGGTTTAAATAATCATAATTTCATCTCCAAGAAAAGAAAGATAACTTCCCACAACCTCTCATATCCTCCCCCCGGGGCGCCGCCTCGAAACGTTAGTCACAAGACACGTGACTACCCCAGAGCCGAGTCCGGATTCAACCCAATTTTGCACCCAATAAATGTCAACATGCCAACCTCGTTGTCCGAAGCTCGCCTACTTTTATATATGTGGCGTTTTCCCTTCTAACTCTTCCCTACATACCTGTTCATCATGTTTTGTGACCTTCCTGACGACGTGATACTCCATACTTGTCGCTGGCTACCTCAAGGTGATCTACTCAACTTGGCTCTCTCTAGTTCTCATTATTACGAGGTTATCCATGCCAAATTGTACGAGATAGTGGTGATAGATTCTTCTAGAAGACAGTTTGACGATGTTTTTGACGAGAAATCTCGGCTTTATTGGTTTTCTTCCCACGCATTCGCCAGTGAACCCACGGTGATCCGCTCTCTCTACGCGTTAAAGACATTCTTCCGAAACTTAATGAAGAATCCACAATACGGCCGTCATGTCCGGCAGTTGGTGGTTCATGATGAATTTCCCGATATCCCAGAGCTCGAGTTGGCTGGCTACTTATGCCTGGTGTTGCCTTCTTTGGTCAATTTACTGGTGTTGAACTGGTATGCTGTTAGCCAGCCTCTCAATGCCAAACTCGTCAAATTGCTTCCTCACCCCGAGAACTTGGTGAGTCTTTGCGGCAACTTCCAATTTGTGGCATCTGAGCTTCCCTCTGATAGATTCCCATGCTTGGGCCACTTGGATCTCTCCAATGTCTCTTCCCATAAGGCACTTAGAAACATCGATATGGATAGATTCCCCAACTTGCATTCATTGACTTTGGCCAAGAAACCTTCCAATAACATGCTTCAATTCACCTCACGTGTATCAAATTGTTGTCAAAGTGCTCTCAATACTTCAGTGGAGTCTCTTCCTTACGGAGACCCAGCATCCTACATTTCATGTTTATTTTCCACAATTAACCCATCGAGGCTCCAGCTTTCATCTTTGATTCTCAAGGATATCTCGCTCTCTGCAAAAGATGGGTATCTACTTCTAGAAAACATCGAGGTACCCCATTTGCAGAAGTTGTCCCTTGATAATTGTGGAGAAGCCCTCTTCGAGTCAACATACAATGAAATTCCGGTTCGAAGAAGAACTCCTCCTCCAGAATTGTTCTTGGATGTACTCGCCAAACATCTTTCGCATCTAGAGTCTTTGAACTTGAACTTAAGCAACGAGCTATGCTATAATAGAAGCACATTCAGTGCCATTAAAACCGTTCTGCCATTGAAACGTCTTGGAGTTCACATTAAGGTTTTCAAGAGTGACGAGGCCATCAATTTAGCTCCATTGGTGGACTCACTTCAGTCTCATTGCGACAGCTTAGAGTATTTGAACTTGTGTTGCGATGTGGTGGAGTCCTCGGTATCCATCTGTCCCAAGAAGAACAATAGGTACTCGCTCAAGTCAGTGATTGGACTTTCCAACCTTCGCAAGTTGAAGGTGTTGAAGTTGCCGCTTTCGTATTCCCAGATTGCAGAAGTTGCCAATGTGCTTTCTCCATTGACTAACTTGCATCTTCTCCAGTTGGGAATCACCGATGGTCCATGTAAAGCTTCTAAGGCCGCTTGCAGCACTTGTAATGAGACGCTCATTTATGCTCTCTACAACACCAATTGCCTCATCTCACAAGACTATTTTAATTGCCCTAGCTCATTCATCAGCAATATTGAGCAGAACAAGACACAAGAATATGTCAACTTTTCCAAAAAATTTAGATCCATTTTCAAACTGCTCCAGTATATGCGGTTTGACTTGAAGAATCAGTCGCTACTTTATGATTGCCAGGATGCCTCTAATATCATTGCTAAGGACACCAGTTTGGTGGACTCTTACGATTCTTTGGTTCACAGGCACATATGATCATGACTTCCAAAAGTTAGGTTTGTTTTAATAATGCATGTTACGTTAAAATTAGTTGCACAATACCTCATTTAATCTAAAAACTTCTTTATATCTCAGGACACTTCTTTCAAAGCTTCCTTTCCTTTAGCCATCGCTTCCTTGTACCTCTCCAATGCCCTTTCTCTACAAGCCTTGTGTTCAACAATTGGGGTGGGATAACCTTCCACATCTGAGTTAGAGCTATGTGGGTTGTGAATGGCTTTCCCTTTGAGATTTGCAAGTTCAGGTACCCATTTCCTGATGAAATTGCCTTCCGGATCAAACTTTTCTGATTGAGTCCACGGATTGAATATACGGAAGTATGGCTGCGGGTCTACACCGGTGCTAGCAGCAAAGCCCCAACCCCCATTATTGGAAGCCAAGTCTCCATCCACTAACTTGGACATGAAGTACTGCTCACCATATCGCCAGTCAATCAATAAATCTTTAGCAAGAAAGCAGGCCACGATGAGCCTACCACGGTTGTTCAAGTACCCTGTTTCGTTCAAGCATCTCATACATGCATCAACTACCGGAAATCCAGTGGCTCCTTCACACCACAGTAAGAAGTGGTCGTTGTTGTATTCCCAATGCAAATCGGAAAGTTCCAACTGGAAGGGCTTATACATACAAATGTAGGGCCAGTTGCACATGATGTGCTTGTAAAAATCTCTCCATGAAGCCTGGCGTACCCATTCGCTAACTCCGTTGTAGCTACTCAGCTTGGACTTGAGCATCTTGGCATTGAAGAGCTCTTGCAATATTGTACGTGTACTCAACGTTCCCGAGGAGATATGGATACTGAGCTGCGAAGGAGCGTCTTCATCCAAGAAATCTCTATCCTCGTCGTATTTCTTAATTTGCTCTGAATTGATATAGTTGGTCAACGCTTCACGAGCACCATCTTCTCCAACCAACTTCCAGTATTTCTCAAACCGATCAGTGTCGACATTTCCAACATCAAAATCTGTAGTTTCGTCTACTTCAATTGTCGACTCGACCTTCTGGATGTCTGGATACACAAAATTTTTCTCCGAGAAGTAGTTGTCATTGACAAATTTGACCCAAGCCTTGTACCAAGGCGTGAAAACAGCAAATTGTGTGCCTTTAGACTTTGTCTTAAGCTCTCCAGGCTCGACAACACAACTATCATGGTATGGCATCAATGCCGTGTTGGATTTTAATAAATTGTCATGAGCAGATGTGAAAAGACGCAATTCATCCACCTCATACTCGAGATTTGCGAACAAATGAGACACATCATACTTGGTGCAGAACGATTGAATAGCAGGAACAATATCTTTCTTCTCGTCTGCTTCCACAGTCACGAGTGTAATGTTCAATTTGGCCAATTTGCTGTGCACTTGCTGTAAACTGAGCGAACGATAGTACTTTTTGAATTCGCTGTCGCCATGTGCCTCGCTCAACTTTGGACACTTGACCCAGAATGCAACCAAAGGCAATTTATTTTTCGCTGCCATTTCGTAGGCCTTGCTCAATCCATGGTTATCTGAAATTCTAAAATCTCTCACAAACCAGTGGGCAATTACCTTCCTGGGTTTGATGGAGTTTCGTTTGGTTTCACTTTCTGCTAACTTCTTGTTCAAAACATTGTATGGCTTCTTTTGGTCGTTCTTGTACTGAGCAGCAGCTTGTAAAGACAATTCTGATGGATACAACAGATTGGAGAAGCTAGGAAGCTTTTCGATCTTTTGACGCTTCATTTTCAATAAGAAAGAATGGTTGCTAAATGTCCAAAGGAGTGTGCAGGTGACAGTTGCTGTCTTAATGATGCATGTAGGCTTTTAGTGAGATTTGTCATGACGAGTTTATGACTTGTGCATAATCATAAACAAGTTAGCCTTATTATCTGGTAGGGAAGTTTTTATTTCTTTTAACAACTATCATTGACTTCCGAAAGATTCTGAGTGAGATAAATGTCATGTATTCAAAGTAAATGTTGTCATTTTCTATGTTCTCTGGAACAGCATCAATTCCGAAAAGACAACAGGTACGAACCAAAAGTCCTGCCGTTTTTTTTGTTTTCTAAGTCCCCTTTAGGAGAAGCAATGATCAAAATGGGCAAAGGCATATTTCATGTGAACAACAATTTTTAACAGAGGGAAAATAGTTCTTGCTGAGTCTAATACTCTCATGGTAACAAATAACTTCAAAATATTATGGCGCTTAGGAAAGATTGGACAGCAGATTGTGAACAATTTATTCTCTTTCAGAATAATTAATTTAGCTCCTTCAGGTCGAGTAACCACAGGATAACCACGAACTTCTCTTGAACCTGGGCTCGTTAGCAGAAGTTGGCACCATCAAGTCAATGCGAGATAAGTGAACCCTTTCTTTATGCTCCTAAACATCAATACGTCAAAAGCTCGAGAATGACGGTAAATTTCATAATTATATTCCCATTTGAGTCTGACCACTTCTGATACTTTCAGAAACCGTTAGATACTATGCACGGCAGTTACGTGCATGGATTCTATACCATACTTCATGTGTACAAGACGATCGTGTCACTTGTTGTGACATTTTTCTTTCTAATCCTGTCATTTAATTTCCTCATATACATTTGCTTTTAATCATGTTCATTATTTACCGTCTTACATCCCAAATTCCCAAATTCTCCACTCTTCTCAATCTCTCGGAACCCTCACACTTACCGCTAGCACCTGTACATCTCCACACTTAACACCTTGTCCGGTCTCCATTCCACCATCATGAAATCTAAAACTCGTCTTTTCGTGCTGGTGGCTGTGGTTGTCACATGCTTTGCTTATATACTCTGGCCCAATACCTCGTTGCAGAACTTCCTGTTTAACGATGTCTCCAGCAGTGCGCAGTTAAGTTTTGAACCAGAAAAGTTGGAAAGAAATTGCAAGGCCTACTTCAATGCCTTGGAAAGTAAGACGAGCTCCAGAGCAACTACTTCTAGATACTTGCTTTCCCACCAAATCTCGAACCACATTGCACATTTGCGGGTCTTTTGTGAGTGCTATGTCCAGAATGCAAACGAAGTTCCAGCTTCAATCTCATATGAAGAAATCCAGCCCATGTTCTCTGGTCTTTTGCCAGTTATGAAAGGAAAGCATCCTGCGTCAGAAGTTAAACTACCATCGAGGTCTTACTGGAGGAATTACTTGGATGCTCTGAGTGGAAAAGGTATCGTGATCGGTATCCACGACAAGGAAGTAGATTATGCCACCCGACTATTGAGAGTGCTCAACCACTTGGGAAATGAATTGCCTATTCAATTTGTGCATGAGGGCGACTTGCTGCCCGAGTCTGTCTTCACTCTTCTCGAAGCAGCCAAACTGACCGAAGGTTCAATATCTCAGAATATTGACTTCATTTCCATACGACCTGCCATCACCGCCGGGTACCAATCGATTTTCAAGGGCTACAACAATAAGTGGTTTGCAGCACTTTTCACTACTTTCGAAGAAATCATCCTCATGGATGCAGACGCGGTGCCATTCGTCAAACCTTCGTCATTCTTTGAATTAGAAGGCTACAAAAAGACGGGTGCATACTTTTTCAGAGACAGAGAGCTTTCAGAAGCGCTCAAGCAGGACCAGGTGGATTTTTTCCTGGGAATGATTCCAGCCGATGGGTCTGTCTTTGAATACAAGATCGACCCAGCGCAGCTTCAAAATAACTTCTTCAAATACAATTCTAAGCATGTGATGGAGAGTGGTGTGGTGGTGATGAATCGTCTGTCGCATATGCTGGGGCTTTTGGTGTCGTTGTCGTTGCAATATTGGTTCCAGAGTGGGCGTATTATGTATGGGGACAAGGATTTGTTCTGGTTAGGCCAATTGATCAGTGGAAACTCCAACTACTATTTTAATGAGTATGCTGCTGCTGCTATTGGTGAGTTGGAAGGGGAGCTGGATCTCTGCTCTGCTCAGCTTGGCCATTTGAGTAAAGACAAGAAGCTTCTATGGACAAATGGAACCTTACTCAAATGCAAAAAGAACACCTGGTTGGCTGACTTCTTCAAGTACCCAGCACTCCGGCAGAAATGCGGAAATTCCATGGCTAAAATGAAGGAGGCCTATAGTAGCGCAATAACTATCAGCGAGTGCATTTTGCCTGCTTCTATTCCAGAAATTAATGGGCTGAACAAGCGCAAAGTTACTGGCAATTTCAACAAAAACTATAATCGTGGATGCGGTGGAATCTACTACTGTGCTACCAGCAAAGATGGAGGAGAGGTCGTACGCTTCACAGAAGAGGAGAAGAAGCACTACAATAAGATTGTCAGTATATGGAATTCGTCCATATAAGAAATGAGTTTGAACTGAAGCATAACTCTCGAAAATCTCACAATTCCACCTGATAAAAGTCATTTGCTTATTAACCAGACATGTTATTACATGAGATAAATCAATTCTTCAGCCGCATATCCTAAGCATTGTTGCTCAGTTCGTACCTCCCAATTTGTCCGACAATTCTTGTCGAGTTGATAGAATCGACCATATGCAACATTTCGACATTCCAAAGCCAGGTTCATATTTAAGTAATCATAGCTATCAAATTGTCAATATTCACTCGTACTTATTATTTTTCTCCTCCACTTTCAAATTCTCCCAACTACTGTTTCCTTTCTATGGTTTTAGCACGTGATCCATTTCCCCATATTGCTGAACACTGCCTACCATTTTTAGTCAGCCATGAGTTCAGTATCTCCCTCAGATAGCGATCTCTGGCAGTCAGGATCGTGCATTTCATCGATCTGGCTGCCCACAGGCTCGGAATGCACTCCGTCATCAATGATTTGTACCGGCAGTTCCAAAGATCTTCAGGTTCGACCTTCTAAGAGGCGGTCGAGAGGTGGATGTCAGTCGTGTCGTCTGCGTAGACAGAAATGCGACGAGTCGAAGCCCTCGTGTCTGCGGTGTGTTTCTCGAGGCCTCAAATGTACATATAAAGTGTCACTTTCGTTTAGAGACGAATATGAGAAAAATGGAAAGTCTTTTGGAAGAGAGGGTGTGTGGACCAAGCAGGGAACACAAGGCAACGGGTCCAGTGGCCCTAGCAACCTCATGAAAAAGCTCCAGGGTGTGAAGTTTCAGGAAATCCGAAATGTTCAAGCGTTGAACTTCATCAACTATAAGTTGGGTGTCTTCAATAGAACTCTACGACCTTCCTACCGTTTTCCCACCATCCAGATCCCAGAATCGCTTCTTGCTGATCTGTCAGATACCGCATTTGCATTGAACTACTACTTGGACTTTATATCGCCCATTTTAAATCCCGTAGGGTTTGCATCTCGAAATTCGAAGTTACGACTCGAAAATGCAGTGGTGGAGCTAGAGCCAGGACTAGATATCTCCGATATGATCCAGTACTCGCAGCAACATACCCACGTATTCCAGATGATGTTGGCTCTTGGGGCCATGTACTTGTCAAAGTTGGACAACAGCTCGTATGACTGGCTTTCAAAATCTAGAGAGTTCAGGCGAGAGGGTTTAAAGAGCATAGAAACCGTCTTTGGCGCAAATACTGGACCCGAAGCAAGATATACGACTGACCAGCTACTCTCACTCGTTCTTCTCATGTTTTACGAGTTGGCCGAGGATGATAACGAGAATTGGGCGGATTATCTCCATGCATCTGGACGTTTATTCTTTTCGCCATCGTTTGCAACGCCACAAAGTGATGTTGAGAGGACACTTTTGAAGTTTTCCTTAGAGCTTCTCAATTACCAGGAGACCATGGGTCGCACAGCATGTAAGGCGAGAAGCAACTTCTTCATTTCTCCTGATGATGATGGATCCTACTTAACACCTAGTGAACAAACGAATGACCAGTTGATTCATGTATCATGGATGGGCTGTGATAAAGACCTTATCTTCATCATCTCCGATATTACCGAACTAACATTCGAGAGAAATTCAAGTATTTCGGAGCAAGCGTATCTCACTAAATGTCACAGTTTGCGTCACAAACTCGACTCAATGGAACTTTCAGGTTTGTCTGCTGAGATGGAAGAGCAGTTGGCAGGAAACGGAGACATGGCGACTTTTGAGCCAATCAAAATCACCGTTGTGGATGTCGGTTCCAATGTCGAGGTGGTATGCTACCTTTTGGCTTGTGAGGCGAAGAGAATCGCTACAGTTATCTACCTTGAGTGTAGCTTGCTCAACAAAACACCTAAGGACGCCGAGATTCAGTCGCTAGTGATGAGAGTGTACCGTATTCTTGAGTTCGTGGTGATGCAGCACTCGTTCAAGTGGTTCTCGACTCTCCTTTGGACCATTTTCGTTGCAAGCTCTGAAATTGCTCCGGAGCACGTCACATCGGAAGAACTTCGCTATTTGACACTTTCAATTCTCAAGCGAATCGAGAGTCGCAGCTTGGGTAATGTGGCCATGACCATTGACCTTGTTGTGGGCATATGGAAGAACCGAGATCTTGCGGAAGGTGGAGTCGTGAAGAAGACTCATAATAGTATAATCGGCTTTAAGAATGACTGGGATGTGTATGTTGCAGACGAATCCTATAGGGTGTCCCTAGCTTAATCGATTAATGTTTCATGAATAACGATATCAATATCTAACCAAATCATTTAGTTTCACACAAGAGAGCTCTAACGGAATCCGATATCGCTCACCATCATACTCCAAGTATTTGCCATTCCCGTTACTTCCCCAACCCAATGGACTTGGACCCCAGGTTGGAACGTAGCAGACTTCGTCCCAGCCGCACATGGAGGAACAGCGTGCAAAAAGTGGCCATTCAAGAACCCTCATAAGATTGTCTAGCAACTCCTTCTGCTTCAAAATGTCCTTTGTGATCCTTTTGTAGTTGGCTTCAGTAGGATCCACATAAAAATCAGGAATTGCCAGGCGAGCTAAAAAGAAAAGATCCCGAACAAAGCTTAAGATCTCAACTGTGGTGCGGTAAATTGACGAGTAGATCAAGATGTCCAGTTGGGTGTTTAAGTCGAATGTGTGAAAGATGTAGTCACTAACCGCCGCTTGTAGGAATTTTTCCTTCTTTTCCTCCCAGATATCCAAATCGGTATCCGAATATCTTCTGAAGAAATTGAATAAAGTCAACGTAACGTTAGTTACTGTATCTTCAATTGCAGATCCCAAATTATCCCCTTGACTCTCAATCTCGAACACCAGAAGAGTATTATTCAATGCAATCAAAATGGGGGCAAACTTGTCAGTGATTGTCTCTGTCACAGACTGCCAATTCGTTTTATGGAATGGATCAACGGGATTCACCAAAAATTTCTCAAGCAGATGGATAATGTCTTCCTTATGAGCCTCCGCTAAATGGTTGATTCTGCGCTTGTAGGGGTCTCTATCAATGTAAGTCTTGTTCAAAGGTGTCACCATTCCCGAAAAATCGAGCAAGATTCTATGTTCTCCCTCGTTCGCCCTTGATCCAGCAGCCAACCAATCGTAGCCTGCCATCAGCTCCCACAAATCCATCAACTGCATTCTCTTTTTCTCCAATTCTGTTTTGGCAAATTGTGGTTCGTTGGGGAGATTTCCCACTTGGGTAGCATTGCTCAACGTGATATTTGACACGATCTCGATATTATCAAAGAAATCACATAAAATAATCTCAAAACCGATTTCCATACGAACTATTCCTTGGAGTCCAAACAGCTTACCCCATTCGCAGATCTTCTGGGCGGCTAATCTTTCCAGAACTCTGGCATCTGCATCCAGTTGGCGACTGAGAATCAACTGTTGATCCATTTCGCCCGTTGTAGTTTTGGCTGCAGAAGCACCATCTAAATAAATTAGCTTGTCGAGAGGTTTGGTGTTTCTCAACGTATACAAGTAGCTTGAGCCAGAAAATGGGAGGCCAGGGGGTAATTTCCGAGGCTCGTCCATCAAGGATTGGCTCTTCTGGGGCTCATTTAGTATATTCTGCCCTTCTTGTTCATTAGGACCCCGCTCGTTTGGTCCCCGAGGTGGCGGACGTCTTTCTCTGAATTTTCCTCTAGCAAAATGAGCGAAGTTGTAACTAAACTCATAATCCATTGCAATCCACTCAAACAGGTCAGGAAGATACGCATTCAGGGTCGAATGGTACATCAACGTATTTGGAGGAAGATACGCCGGAATGAATGATAAGCCCACAGGATTCATATTGGCATCTTTCTGTTTGAGTGCACCATTGACAGAATTAAAGACTGCTGTGGCATTTTCTAGGTCAATCGGATACTTCTTGTTTATCTCCGCTGGATCAAGACGAACCAGGGAACTGTTAGTCTGTGGATTGAACTGAAAGTCATGAAATTTGAATAAAGCCCAAATTGCAATGAGAATATTCAACGATAGCAAGAAAAAGAACTTGGTATCTGATGAGCTTATGCTCAATTGAGAAGAAGAGTGGTTCATTACGCCAATTTATGATCAAGTCCGGAGTCGGACTGATAAGACCCTGCAGGAGGGTGGGGGATCGAGAAATATCATTGTGGGATTGAAAGGGTCGGGTCGTTAGATGAAAGCTTGAAATTATTTCGGCCGTGTAACTATGATCTATCAAGTGCTAACTGAATGTACGGAGGCTCAAATTGGCGAAGCGGTGGTAGATGATACTAAGTCAGATTTATGTTTATCTTTTTAATGATTGTGGCTGCATTCGATGATCCAAATTGGTGTTTCGAAGTATTGAATACAGAAAGTGACTGTATTATTAGTTTTATGGTAGAGTCTATTAGACGTTGAGTTAATTGAAGATCATTCAATTTATTTGAATAAATGAGGTTTTGAGTTTCTAGATTTTGTAGGGATTGTTTTCAAGTATTCACATTTTCGCAGCCATTTGTCAATACTTCATAATCACATAAAACGACATTAAAAATCGACAATGCAAGTAATCCCATTAAAAATGAATTTGGTAAGCTCAAAAACCTACAACTAATAAGTTCCACTAAACCTTAGCAGTCAAAAGTTCTGATTTCCATGATATAATGTGCATTATCCATTACCTACACCGTTCTTTTTCACTCACTATAAGATCTCACTTAATGAGATATCCTAAACAGCCACCTTTTCTCTCCAGTCAGCTCCCCTACAGTCTCTTATCATGACATTCATCAGCGCATAATCCACACCTTCTTTTGCGTCGGGTCTCTTGTTGTCTCCCAACACGATCTTCTCATACGCGTGAAATCCAAATCGATTGTAGATGCCAATATTACTGGGGGCCGAACTTTCCAAATATGCAATGTTGTTCGTTCCTGGCACATCAATATAATTTTCAAACATGAAATCAAACATCGCTCTGACATTTCCCTTTCCGCGTGCACATTCTAATGATCCCAAGTAAACCAATGTATACAAACCTTTATCGTGAAATCTGGGGTCAGTGGTTAATATTCTGTGCGACACAGTATCAAGAAGTGGGAGCAAGCCTTTGAATACTTTGTCTCTACCTTCTGGCCCAATCAAATGCCAGTATCTATCAAATCCAGCTTCCATGTAATCCTGGAAGGTTTCCAAGCCTATGTCATAAGATTTGGGTGCGGACCACACTGCGACCGTTTCAAAGCCAGTCTGCGTCTCACCTACACCAACACACAAACCTTTATCGATATGCTGTCTCAAATAACACTCATACATTACTTTATTGATATGGGTCCTTTCTTCCTGAGAAGAGATATGTTTGGTCAAGTAGATAGAGAGCGTATCATTTTGAAAGGCTTCGCAAAGTGTTAATGCTGCCTTGGAGACATCTTGTAGAGTTAAAAGACGAACATTCGGAGTTGAGGACGATGAGGAATTAAGTGTATTGACGACGCTTGGCATTTTTACCGAGCTTGGCGACATTAGTGGTTTTTTTTTGACAGTCTCTTCACAAGTTGAAGATACCATCCGGTCCTGCATTTCTGTATTACCCAAACCAGTAGGTGCAGCCGACAAAGGGGAAGGAGCGGCCACCAGAGGCTCGAATGGCACCCAATGAGAAAGACAGATAACTTCAAAAATTTGAAAAAAGAAACGGATATTTTTAGTTTCAGTAATGGTGCTTGGGTATCCAAGAGAACTCGGAGTTAAAATTTTCCTCTTGACAATAGATGTCGGAGAGAGGTACACATTATTAGAGACGACTATTGGATTGTATGTGGAACAGTGTCGATGTTGTCATCAATGTTTGTCTGTGCATGAACCAGTGATATTAGCAAATGAAGAAAAATAATCGGATTCTGACAAAAAATATCGAAGCGAGAACCTACCCCAACACTCAAATACACACCACACATGAGAAAAAGTTAATAGGAACACTCCCACCATTAGGTAAAGCTGCCCGGTGCCAGAGTCATACTTACGACAAGTGCCAACACTTCCGAGAATAGCCCGAACCCCTCGAAACTCTTTTCTTATTGTTCTGCACCGATACAACAATGCTTAATCAACTTGCTTATTGACAATACTCGCTTGGCTGATATCCTTCACGAAAAATTAACCGAGAGAACAAAATCAAGGGACAACAAACAAACAACGCCCTCTTATAAAATAATCTCCCCATAAATTTCCTCATAAGACCACTTGGAATCGCAAGATGCGCGTCTCTTGATTAGAGTTTGACATCTTTAGCCGTAAATGCTTGACATCATTCAGTGAGTCAGGGCTACTACGCCATAGGCGGGGGGTTGCTGCTGTGACGGGCGTCCATACCGAGGAAAGCACAGGAACCAGCAGTCACCAGTGAATGACTTGAACACCCCTCGAAGGAAACGGAAATGAGAGCAGAAGAGAGAGAAAGCACAAGAATAGCACTTTAGTTATAAAGAACCATCCCCTAAGGGTATAGAAAATAGCAACTTCCTTGGTGAATTGGAGAAATTCTCCTAATCTCAAATTGTGGCTACAAAGCAGAATTACGGCGAAAAGAACGGTTATGATTTTGAAGATACCTGAATTAAACTATATTGGATGGAGAGTATCCGACTTGCAATTTACTCTTTACGAGATGAGAGATTTTCCTTGTTAGAATGAAAACAAGGACGATCCGAGATGGCTCCATACAAGGACCCTCGCTTTAAAATAAGATTTGCGATCCTAGTTATTGGTATCCAATATTTTCAAAGCACCACCCCAACGAAATTCAACTTTGCTAGTTTAACGCGACCATGTACTCCGGCAATATGACTCGCCCGCCTATATTGTAAGGTTCGTCAAGTAAGCTCATCGCTTAAGCTTAATGGGCAGAATCCCGCCATATGCGTTGAACCTTCTCCTGAAGGCTGTTACCTGCAGCTGAAGTGTTTCCCGTCTTTGACCTCTTCTTATTTCCTTGTCATACAGGGCATTATATTGACCATATCTCTGGCAATACGCATTTCGTCACCTCAGCTTTTGAGGCATAATTTGGATAAGTGAGGTTGCATGCAACAGACAGGAGCTTTTTGAACTTACGGGTATTTCAGCGAGCAAGTATCTTTTTTTAGCCCATACCACACCAGCTCAATTGGAAATTTCTTATATATCGATGCAGCAAGGGTGCATGGTCTCAAATAGGAGTACGCACCAGAGGAGAGAGGGGTGAACCCAGTTAGCGTACTAGTAATTGGTCTGGACATGCCAAGCCAAGTATTGGCGAATTCTCTCCTCGAGGATCAAGCATGATCTACAGTGATCAACATTATCGCCAACTTCTATCTGCAGATAGGCTGGGCCCTTTCTCGGAGAAAATGAGTAATGTTTGAGAATATGTAGCCCTAGGCTGTTTACATTCCGTTCGAACGATCGCCGATCTCCATTTTGCACATTCGGCTAGTTACAGATAGCCGCAGCATACGAACAGAACCTGCCCTAAACCACATGTTCACATGCCAGTGGATGGAGGGCCAGGCTTAGTGGTTAACCTTGCAGGGTCCTGAAATATTCCAAGCGTCATCAAAGGCACCGATGTGCCAGACGGAAATTGAAGTAGGCGAGACCCTGCACATTTATATCACCATTGGCTTCTAGAAAGCAATTTTCCTGTAGTAGAGTCGTGCTCATGCAGGGTATGCAAATCAGACGCCTCGAAATACGAAGCTTACTGATGTGGGATGTAATAATGCATGGAACCTCGCTTAATTTTTTGTGTCGTTAACCGCCCAGGGTCAACTACTGAGTAAATTTGTCAATATATATACATGTATAAATCACTTTCCCTGCCCTAGTTTCTCCTGTTAGGTATCCAATGGTTTTTTTTGTGATATTGCTCTTCGCAGCTCTTGCAGCGGCTGCGTCGATCAATTGCGAGCCTGACGCTGTCATCGGCTCTGGCTGGAATGCTCAATTTTACAGATATGACTATATGAGTTACGCTGGATGGGACGATCCAACGTTTTTCCTGAGCGGTTACAAAGTCAATGGAACGCTTGGTAGCGTGACTGGAGTTAGCAAGGGTAACTTTGGCGGCAATCTCGATGTCGGAATTCGCACCGGCTCCATTTACGGTTACCCTATTACCACCTCTAACTACACGGTAGTGTTGACTGGTTTTTTCCAGGCTCCAACTACTGGTACTTACAAATTGATCCTTAATTCTGACAATGGTGCTTCGGTGCAGTTTGGTGCTGGCCAGTCGTGCTGTAACGATCCTGGAGGAAGTGTGGGGGGAAACTTCAATCTCAATGTGCGTGGTCCCAGAGGTGGAGGAGGAGATCTTGTACTCAACTTAGCCACCGCCTCCTTCGATTTGGTGGCCGGTAGATACTACCCTGTCAAGATTGTCACCTACAATTGGTACAGTAATTATGGTCTCAACTTTTCGTACTACGATCCCGCAGGAGCTTGGGTGCCAGAGATGGGAGCTCACATTAAGCAGTTGAAATTCAACAACGCTGTATGCTACACCACTGTGACCCTGACATGGGGCCAGTCTGTCACCTCACTCACCACTGCTACTGGTGTTTCCACTAATACTGTGATTGTTCAAGTGCCAACACCAACTGTTACCGTGACTTCCAATTGGGGTCAATCTTACACAAGCTCCACCACAGTTACTGCGACCAAGGGTGGGACCAACACCCTCGTCGTAGAGGTTCCCTACTCTACTGCCACCACGATAGGTCCAACATCTGGAACACAGACAGTGACTAGTGGAAGTACTACCTATGTCAGAGTCACTAGCGTGCCATCCACATCAACCACGCTTGGACCTACTGCAGGAACTGAGACCGTGACAACTGGAAGTACTACTTATGTTAGAGTCACCAGCGTGCCATCCACATCAACCACGCTTGGACCTACTGCAGGAACTGAGACCGTGACGACTGGAAGTACTACTTATGTCAGAGTCACCAGTGTTCCATCTACGTCCACAACCATTGGACCACACTCTGGTACTGAGACTGTGACTGAAAGTGGAACCACGTATGTTGTCGTTACTGATGTTCTTTCTACATCAACTACTGTTGGACCACAATCTGGTACTACTACTGTGACCGAGAGCGGAACTACCTATGTTGTCGTTACTGATGTTCTTTCTACATCTACTACTGTTGGACCACAATCTGGTACTACAACTGTGACCGAGAGCGGAACTACCTACGTTGTCGTTACTGATGTTCTTTCTACATCAACTACTGTTGGACCACAATCTGGTACTACTACTGTGACCGAGAGCGGAACTACCTATGTTGTCGTTACTGATGTTCTTTCTACATCTACTACTGTTGGACCACAATCTGGCACTACTACTGTGACCGAGAGCGGAACTACCTACGTTGTCGTTACTGATGTTCTTTCTACATCAACTACTGTTGGACCACAATCTGGCACTACTACTGTGACCGAGAGCGGAACTACCTACGTTGTCGTTACTGATGTTCTTTCTACATCAACCACTGTTGGACCACAATCTGGTACTACAACTGTGACCGAGAGCGGAACTACCTACGTTGTCGTTACTGATGTTCTTTCTACATCAACCACTGTTGGACCACAATCTGGTACTACTACTGTGACCGAGAGTGGAACCACATATGTTGTCGTTACTGATGTTCTTTCTACATCAACCACTGTTGGACCACAATCTGGCACTACTACTGTGACCGAGAGTGGAACCACATATGTTGTCGTTACTGATGTTCTTTCTACATCAACCACTGTTGGACCACAATCTGGTACTACTACTGTGACCGAGAGCGGAACTACCTATGTTGTCGTTACTGATGTTCTTTCTACATCAACCACTGTTGGACCACAATCTGGTACTACTACTGTGACCGAGAGTGGAACCACATATGTTGTCGTTACTGATGTTCTTTCTACATCAACCACTGTTGGACCACAATCTGGCACTACTACTGTGACCGAGAGCGGAACTACCTATGTTGTCGTTACTGATGTTCTTTCTACATCTACTACTGTTGGACCACAATCTGGTACTACTACTGTGACCGAGAGCGGAACTACCTATGTTGTCGTTACTGATGTTCTTTCTACATCAACCACTGTTGGACCACAATCTGGTACTACTACTGTGACCGAGAGTGGAACCACATATGTTGTTGTTACTGATGTTCTTTCTACATCAACCACTGTTGGACCACAATCTGGTACTACTACTGTGACCGAGAGCGGAACTACCTATGTTGTCGTTACTGATGTTCTTTCTACATCTACTACTGTTGGACCACAATCTGGTACTACTACTGTGACCGAGAGTGGAACCACATATGTTGTCGTTACTGATGTTCTTTCTACATCAACCACTGTTGGACCACAATCTGGCACTACTACTGTGACCGAGAGCGGAACTACCTATGTTGTCGTTACTGATGTTCTTTCTACATCAACCACTGTTGGACCACAATCTGGCACTACTACTGTGACCGAGAGCGGAACTACCTACGTTGTCGTTACTGATGTTCTTTCTACATCAACTACTGTTGGACCACAATCTGGCACTACTACTGTGACCGAGAGCGGAACTACCTACGTTGTCGTTACTGATGTTCTTTCTACATCAACCACTGTTGGACCACAATCTGGTACTACAACTGTGACCGAGAGCGGAACCACATATGTTGTCGTTACTGATGTTCTTTCTACATCTACTACTGTTGGACCAGTTGAAGGTACTACTACGACAACTGCAAGTGACACTACGTACGTGATTGTCACTGAGACTACACTGCTGTCTGTTGTTCTTTCGACTTCCACTACGACTGGACCAGTTGAAGGTACTACTACGACAACTGCAAGTGACACTACGTACGTGATTGTCACTGAGACTCCACTGCTGTCTGTTGTTCTTTCGACTTCCACTACGACTGGACCAGTTGAAGGTACTACTACGACAACTGCAAGTGACACTACGTACGTGATTGTCACTGAGACTCCACTGCTGTCTGTTGTTCTTTCGACTTCCACTACGACTGGACCAGTTGAAGGTACTACTACGACAACTGCAAGTGACACTACGTACGTGATTGTCACTGAGACTCCACTGCTGTCTGTTGTTCTTTCGACTTCCACTACGACTGGACCAGTTGAAGGTACTACTACGACAACTGCAAGTGACACTACTTACGTGATTGTTACCGAGACGCTTTCCTCTCTGAGTCAGCTTCTGTTCACAAATTCTTGGGGATGGAACACGTCGTACGTACCACCAAATTCAGAGTCGAGCAAATCCTTGACGATGCACAGTTCGGATATCTTAACTGATTCATCAATTACTGAAACTGGAAGCAGTGCAACTAGCCTTGATAGCGATTCAACTCTGTCAGCAACTCCTAAAGAACTGACTAATGTGGTTTCGGACACTAGCAGTAAAACCGGGACTCTCTGTCCGGAATGTACTCATGTTTCATCGTCTGAGACTGGGACTTCAGAGATTTCTTCTAACACCGGAACGTCCAACACTGGAGCATCTGAGACAGGAGCTTCTGAGACAGGAACTTCGAAGTCCGCTTCCAACTCAGGAGCATCTAGCCCCGGAACTTCCAACACTGGAGCATCTGAGACAGGAGCTTCTGAGACAGGACCTTCGAAGTCCGCTTCCAACTCAGGAGCATCTAGCCCCGGAGCTTCCAACACTGGAGCATCTGAGACAGGAGCTTCTGAGACAGGAACTTCGAAGTCCGCTTCCAACTCAGGAGCATCTAGCCCCGGAACTTCCAACACTGGAGCATCTGAGACAGGAGCTTCTGAGACAGGACCTTCGAAGTCCGCTTCCAACTCAGGAGCATCTAGCCCCGGAGCTTCCAACACTGGAGCATCTGAGACAGGAGCTTCTGAGACAGGAACTTCGAAGTCCGCTTCCAACTCAGGAGCATCTAGCCCCGGAACTTCCAACACTGGAGCATCTAGCCCCGGAACTTCCAACACTGGAGCATCTGAGACAGGAGCTTCTGAGACTGGAACATCTGAGACAAAAATTTCGAAGACGGTTTCTACTGCAACTTCTGATTGTCCCGAATGTACTGATAACGGCAAGGGAACTTTGGAAAGCACTACGCAGCATAGTGAGACTACCACTGCATTCAATTCACAAAAGACTACCGAGGGCCATGCTACCTCAACGTCAACTATTCATGGCCAAACCAAGGTCAAGACTGTTGAAACCTCCGAGTCTACTGGCCATGGAGGCATTGAGCCTCTGGCCACCAAGAGTCGTCAACCTGATACCAAATCTTCGCCCACAACAACAACTGATGCGGAGATCGGAGATTCAACTGCCGCAAACTCAATGCAGAGCAACACTGCCGCTGTTCAAAAATCTGCAGGGACCAACGCGCCAGATCACACGACCATTACTAACTCTGCGATATTCGATTCTCTGACGTTCCCAGTGTATTCGCGGACAACTATCTATACGACTGGCGAGACATCGCAAGCTGTGACGGTTCCTGGTGAGCTGGCTTCAGCTACTAATACTTCTGGTTCGTCAGCTGGATCGAACTCTGCTACTCCGACTGTGACATACGCTGGATTTGCTCCTAAAACAGCCAAAATCTCTATTGTGGCCATAATTTTATCGGTATTTGTGCTGCTTTAGGAAGTTTGGGATTGAATGCCATACCTGCTCTCCAGAAGCAATAACCGTTTTTCTGGGTAAATTTACATTTCTTTTGCATATAATGTGTTATATTGGGCTACTTATTATAATAGAAACATTTTGGGATTTTGAACAATTTTGTAGGAGCTGTTGTTGCAGAGAAATTCAAATGAAGCTTACAGTACTCACATTGCGGTGAGAAAGAATACTGACAGAAAAAATTTCTAACTCTATCAATCATCTTGAGCCACACAGCTATACTCTCGGTTAATATTCATAACATGACTTAATGAGACATGGTGAGTCATAAGAGCACAGAGCACAAAATAATGTTGGAGATAATATCAGCAGGTGGTAAGTGTTCTCATAAATATTCAAGTAGCCAATAGCATAGGGAGGGGTGAGCAATAATTTTTCATAGGTAAACACGAGATTGGATTGGTTGTAAAATAGCCATCCAAGAAATGATGATCAGGGTATCTATAATGGAAGAGGTCCGATCTTATTGAGTTTTTGGATGATCCAGCTCAATTCAGCCTCAAATTTCGCAGTTACTGTAGCATTCCTTGGATAGGAGGCCCCAATCTCTCCGCCAGGGATAGATGTGAAAAGAGTTCTCACCAATTGGTAATATGCCAAGTCGGCACCAGGATATTCTAAGTTGGTGCTACGAACTGTACGCTTGCATCCCTGAACGACAGGCTTACCACTGAATCTGTCTTCTAGCCACTTAATAGCTGCTGCACTTCCCTCGACAACTTCAAGAATATGACCTGTGGTATTCGCGACTGCGAATTCGAGTGAATCAATGCCCCAATCGCAGTAGTTTTCATATGCTCTTTGAGCACCTGAGAAGGGAACAATTTCATCCTCAGTGCCATGGAAAACAAACATGGGAATCTCCGGGACGCCTTCGTCCTCCGTCAATGCCAATGTGTTATAGTCCACAATGTTTTTCACCACATCTAAATTGAAAATATCCCATCCTATCTTAGAGTACGCATTGTGACCACTGAAGAAGTTGTGGAAGGCATAACTTAAAATGGAAGGCAAGAGACATTTGTTAGCAGCTTCAAAAAACCAATCCTTTCTGTCTTCTCTAATATATTCGTTTAAAGTCAGTCTCATTTCAGGATACTCCTGAACAATTCCGTTAATAGCGTTGGGAATCAAACCAGCATAAAGTGTTCCATCAGTTGCTTGTGCAGTCAAGGTAATGTTAGTAACCCAGCCACCAACGGCCACGCCAATCAAGTTGTCTTTGAGCTCTGGAGCATACTTTGGCTGGAGCTGAGCAGCCCAACCTGAAGCAATAGTGCCTCCAGAGTATCCCCACATTGCAACCTTAGCATCTGGATCAATACCAGTCGTGTTCTGTGTGGTCAAAACCGCTTTAATTGAATCTAACGTAGCATGACCGGCTTGTCTTCCGACAGTGAATGCACTTTGTACACCTTCGTAATCAGGTGCAACTACATACCAACCTCTGGACAAGCCAGTCGAAAGGAGAATCATCTCAGCTTGTGCAATGACGGTGTCCATGTTTGCACCAAAAAGAATAGAATATGAAGGCGAGCAATTTGGAGAAGCCGAGTCTTCTGCGAATTGATATGATAATAACTTGGTTGGGTCTGCATCATATGGTTCAAGCACAGTGGTAACAATAGCAGTAGCATTTCCTCTGGAGTCAGTTGACCGCACTAAGAACTGCCAGGCATTTTTGACATTAACGGGATAGTAAATCGAACGAATCATCAGCGGTGCATTTCTCCAGCGAATAATGTCACCTTCCGCATAATCATCAACGTTATCAGGCTTGTTATAAAAGTCATCTTCCAGAGGAAGTGTTGGCTTCAAATAGAGAGCATTAGTCAAAGTACAGAGCCAAAGGAAGAAGGCAAATAGAAAGGATTGTCTCATGGGCCACCAAGTTTTTGAGCTTAATCATATTGGATACCTACTACTTAAAAGTGAGAATTAGTGACTTACCAAGATTCTATTTTTTGAAAGGAATTTGGAATGTATAGCATGTGGATGCAAAGAAACTTCCTAGTCTGGAGAACTGATTGTAGAAGTGGGGTGTGCGTTCATAACCGCGAGGGGAGGTCAGTTTGCCAAATGAAGCAAAAACAGAAGCTTATATGGGAGTAATTAGCAATAGAAGCACAAACTTCAATTACTGCTTTTGGCTACAGTAGAAGGAAGTTCACAAAAATGGGATTTCCTGTGGTCCAGTTAGACGATTCCAGGAGAACAACGCAAGGCGTCAATAGATGAGGGAATCTACAATTTTGCTTTATGAATACTACATATTTTGTAATTCAATGTTAGCAACAGAGATTGAGCGAAGAATTGGTTACCTATGAACGATTTTACTTTTGAAGTTAATGATTCAAGTTAAGGGCAATACTTGATACTGTTTCTCTACCTGCCGTGACTTCGACTCATAACCATCTGTTGATAAATAGCATTCTTGATAATATTGATGAATATGAGGGGTGGCATGGAACTGGGAGTTATTACAAGGCTCCTAATGATTGGATTCAAAAACCGAGGTTATTCGGTTTGTCACACCCAAGAACTTCCCAGTTCGGGGTAGCCTGGGGAAATAGAGTTATGCTTTTTACTGACAGACGAGTACGACAAGGTCTCCTTTTATTGTTGAATGCATATGGGCAAGAATGTCATTTTGACAGAGTATTTTAACAGCCGATTTTAGACTTGAATTACGTGTGACTGATAATAAGCACGATAGTGATTGGTATACTCCTCCAAGCCTATTATTGGATGATTGGATATGTGTCTGTGCGTCTGATCCCATTATCAAAATTTCTCTTACTGAGCTGGAAATGCTCTTTATAAGGTCATATCTATAGGCGGATATATAAACTGAAATATTGATGAGAAGTGCAGTGATTGTGAAGGTGTTAACGTCTGTTACCTAGTCCAAAATTTACATGATTTGAGCAAGATTGACATCAATAGAACTCGAAAGGAATGTTTCAGATAAGGTTCATAATAGTAACAGCAAACGATTGAAATCAAAGGAATTAATAGTACATTCGACTCTCTTGAGACTTGTAGCATAAAATCTTTGGATTTACAGGTGATCTTAAAGTGTCGCCTGTAAGTATTACTTCAGTTCATGCACACGGTCCGTATACTCTTGTCACTATAAATGTGCCAAGCATTCCTATTGATAGTAGAATTGAAACCGAACAAAGGTTGAATACTCAAAGAATAGAAAAAAGCTAAGCAAAAAGAACTCCGATACGGGGAATCGAACCCCGATCTGCTCGGTGAGAGCGAACCGTGATAGCCATTACACTATATCGGACTTTGTTGACTTTAATTATCTCCTGTATAATATAAGCTACTCTACAAGAGTAAGATTTCCCAATTATCTACTGTTAACGGTCCTATATTGGTATCGACAACTTAAATAACCAATTTGACTATTTGAGACGAAAGCGGACACTCAAACCCACACTTTACACATGTTTATTACTATGCTTTTGCAGCATTGCCCCCGATAAAAACCTGAAACACGTTACTCTGCAAAAAAAAAGCGCACTGATTTGTTCTAGAGGGACAGAACGCTCTTGAAAATAAGAGATTCGACAAGGATTACGCTTCAGTCTTCTACCAACACCTTTCTCAGACCCCGAAGTGAAGGGTAGTCTCCGTGGAAACAAGTATTAATTATTCGACAGGCCAATTTTAGGCCCTCCTTTGAATTTGGATACAGTTATGGTCCAAATCACTTCCAATGGTATTCAGAATTTTCGTTTGTAGATAAGACCGAATGTGCGACGTCATTCATACTATAGAAAACAAGTGCTACTGAGGACGTGAATTGCATGCTAAGAGAAGACAGGGACAGAAATTTATATATCACCCAATGGTGATTATTCAAATTAAGCTTGTAGCACACAAGTTTTTTTCCAGGAAGTTTGTAATCCGTTCGTTTAAGGGGAGGGGCCTTACTCTCTGGCCTGGAGACAGGTCTTCCAAAACTAATGAAGAATCGAAAAAATATTCAACCTTGACAAATTCATAGTGAACAAGACAGTGAGTAAATAAACGGCCAATTGGAACTGAGATTCTCGGAGAATTACCAACTTCCCGAGAAGAGAAAAAAGGAAATGGTTCACTCGCAATGCTTTCATCTTCTTGGGACACCCCAAAGCGAAAGAGTGCCAGGAATAAGAAAAAAAGAATGCGCAAGCCCGGAATCGAACCGGGGGCCCAACGATGGCAACGTTGGATTTTACCACTAAACCACTTGCGCTGAAGATGCTCCGAGACGGGGAATTGAACCCCGGTCTACCACGCGACAAGCGGTAATTCTAGCCACTAAACTATCTCGGATTTTCTTGTTTCTTTCCGAAAGCTATTTGTAATATTGAGGTTTTAAAGTGTTTTTTCACAATTTCCCTCTTTTCCCTCCCAAATAATGATGTCTATATGGATTAATGTAATGAAACAGAGAAACTAAGTGTTTGTTCCTTGTCGTGGTATACAAAACAAATTGTTAATTTCAACTCGCAAGAAGAGTCCATCCTGGACTATCTACCTGATTATTATTGTCAGATCATGAGATACTATGGGGTTATCTTCAAAGACACGGACTCCTCTTCGAATATCAACATTGTATGCTGAAAGTACTCAAAGGGTGGTGAAGTATTAGCCTACACTGTGTAGTTATCAAACTTGCCAGGTAGTTCTTCTTTCTTACTAAAAACCAATCAATATGAATCACCTGATGAGAGATATACTCAATTGAACGAAAGATTTATCAAGTTAAACTCAGTAGTGTATTTTATATGATCTATATCTAGTCAAAGAGGGATGTTAACACCTTCTCAGCTGTTCTATACTGTTGATACGAAGCGTCATAGTCAATGGAGAATACAGAGACAGATATCTGACACAGCTCCTTGTAGTAAATGGTTGACTCAGAAGGAAGGTCGCAATCGCCAAAAATGCACTTCGTCGTTGGATCGTAGTGGACATCAAGCCAATCAAACAATCCCAGGGTTTCGTTATAAGATATACCTGCTGACACAGATTGTTGTCCCGACAAACGAGTGAGGGCCCACTCTGGGTCCATACAGTCTTCATTAATCAGAGGCAAGTTCACATTGAGACCTGTAGTATAAGGTAACAAGTAGGGGTAGTTGTTTTGTGAAGTAAACAAAGTGTTAACAATTTCAACTACCTTTCGAGCATAAACGTTCGCGTAAAACGAGTCGTCGTCTTCCTTTTCAATATCATCTTGGTAGAAAGAATTATTCTCCAACCTTCCTGAGAAAGCAATGGCAGGTAACCCTCTTCCTACCGCAGAATAGGTAGCACCAATAGTTCCTGACAAAGTGAACATACCTGGAGAGATGTTAGTGCCTTCATTTGGACCAGCAATGACCAAGTCAACAGATTTATTGTGGAAATGCTTTGGAATAAGATAGTCCATTCCAAATGAAACGCACGAAGCAGGCGTACCATCGAAGTACCATACATTGATGTCATCTTCTTCATGACCCCAGGATGGAGACCCTTTGGCGGGATAGCCAAACTCACCTTCTTCTGTCAAGTTGACACTGGTAGGGAGGTCAAACAGACCACCAAATCCGGATTTCTGGGAGGCAGGTGCAACCAATAGAACATCATAGCCAGCAGACTTCAACTCTCTATAAGTGGCACGAATGTTGGTAGATGCCCAGCCATCATCATTGGTGAGCAAAATGGTTTTGTTAGTTGGAGTACTTTCAGAACCGTCTCTCTTTGAGATCAGTGTAGGAAAGGCAGAAACCCCCGAACTTAAAAGGGCAAGAGTAGCAGCGATAGAGAAAAACTTCATTATTTGATGACAAGACATAGGAAATATGTGGTCAATTTATACTCTCTAAAACCGAAGGTTTCGATAGCACATTTCATTTTACTCATCTATTCAAATGGCTCAATTTTTCTTTGAAGCATAATTACATGCTTTATGCATTTAAGAATCATTCAATAATGTGTTAAACGATAAATTCTCATGTGGGTTTGCAAAATACTCAGTTTCTTACGATTGAAACATAAAACCGAGAGTGGTAACCTTGAACTTTTGTTGAATTATTGCTCTTGATTTGGTACCCGCTTCCAAACTGGATGTAACTTGTAGCGATTTTTGCTTAAATGTTCGGTGGGGTTCAATCACTGACACTTTTGTGACGTAAATATACTCAATGCGCTTAAAGAGTTTTTCGTTGCGTCAATTCATGGCAAATTATTTTTTGGGTGCGGCTTAATCTAAGCAATAAAATTAGGTAAGTGAAAACTTCTTGAACTGAAGGAAATCATATGCATTTTAAAGGATAGCCCGGAAGTGCTCCATCTTAAGGAAGGATTGCAAGTTCAGCCTGCTCCGTTTCTTGGAATTGAATCTTTTGGAGGCAATCAATTAGTTTCCAATTTTAGTTTCGCAACCCCACATACTGCCTTATCGGAACAGTCAGTGTGTCCCCGGTCTCCTAAGATTTTTCTACATAATGTTCTTAAAAATGAAGCAGAAACAATGAATATCTACGCATTTCGAGCAAGTAGTACAAACTGTATTTTATTAATTATCGATTGTTCAGCAATTTGTATATCTCTACTATCCCCGCAATTCAAGGAATAATTGTATGTGTGCAGTTACTATAATCAACATGCGCTTAAGGAACCTTGGTATGAGATAATTACCAATCAATTTGAGTGGCAATGTAACCACTATGTTCAACCATAGGTACACACTTAGTGTTCATGCTCTAATGAAACCTCAAGGTGCGAGAATAACCCTCAAGTTTGCTGTATAAATTGACTGGATTTTGCAACTATTTCTTTCTGTTATTAACAAACTTCACAATGACTGAGAAAGTATCTTTCTTGCTTAACTGGCAGCCTACACCTTACCACATTCCGATCTACATTGCTCAACAAAAGGGCTACTTCAAGGAGGAAGGTGTGGATGTCTCCATCTTGGAACCTTCGAACCCTTCCGATGTGACTGAGTTGATCGGATCTGGTAAGGTGGACATGGGTCTCAAGGCAATGGTACACACTCTTGCTGCCAAAGCCCGTGGTTTCCCAGTCACTTCTGTTGGCTCTTTGTTGGACGAACCATTTACTGGTATCTTGTACTTGGAAGGTAGCGGAATTACTTCTGACTTCACCTCCTTGAAGGGAAAGCGCATTGGATATGTCGGTGAATTCGGTAAGATTCAGGTTGATGAGTTGACTAAGCACTACGGAATGACGCCTTCTGACTACACTGCTGTCAGATGCGGCATGAATGTTGCAAAGTACATTATCGAGGGAAAGATCGATGCTGGTATTGGTATTGAATGTATTCAACAGGTGGAGTTGGAGCAATATTTGGAGGAACAAGGCCGTCCAATTACTGATGCCAAGATGCTCAGAATTGATCAATTGGCTGAATTGGGCTGTTGCTGCTTCTGCACTATTCTCTATATTGTCAACGACAAGTTCTTGGCAGAAAACCCAGAGAAGGTTCGCAACATCATGAAAGCACTCAAGAGGGCTACTGACTACGTTCTTGCAAATCCAGAGCAGGCATGGTCGGAGTATTCTGACTTTAAGCCACAAATGACCTCAAAGTTGAACACTGCCATGTTCGCCAGATGTTTCGCCTACTTCTCTGATTCCTTGTTCAACGTGCATCGTGACTGGAAGAAGGTCAATGCATATGGAAAGAGATTGGAAATCTTACCTGCTGATTATAAGCCCAACTACACGAACGAATTTCTTTCATGGGCTGCTCCTGAAGAAGTTGAGGACCCATTAGAGGCTCAACGTTTGATTGGAGAGCTTCAGAATGAATGCAGACGCTGTGGAGGTGGGTTTAGACGTTTGAAAATTTCTGCTTAAATCAATTTTTTTACTTCAAAGGCCCAATCTTGTTAACGCTTGTTCTTATTCTACATAAAAAATTCAGAGTCTTGAGTAAATGATAAAAGTGCTGGTAATAGTGCTGACCTTTAGACAATAAATTTACACCTTGAAAAAAGGTCGAACCACCTTTTCAAGAAATGAATATGAATTGGCGAAGGAGGTTATCATTTCATTCACAATTTCAAGGACACTTTAGCAACAAAGGAAGTGTTTCTAGTGATTATTTTTTCTTTTTGCTTCATTAGTAATTATCTGTATCCAAAACTAGTCGTATTGCAAAATGCTTGATTCCTGTGATGAGGAGCAATCCAAGAATGAGTTCGGCTCTGATGTTTATTGTTAACTTGACGTATGTCCAGAATAGGCTAATCGCATGTCAAGATCTACACCGCGACACAGAAGATTCATTTCTATAGATATTTCCACCACCTTTATCAACTTCAAGATTAGCAACAAAAATCAAAAATAATAAAAAACCAAAATTGTGAATAGAGCAAGTATTCTTCTCCTCTTAGGCTTTCTCATTGCTACCTTTACACCCCATTCTCCTATCTCCACTTCATTACCAACTATATACAAGAACCTAATCAAGTCATTCAGTCGATACTTATGGGGAGGAGAAAACTCTCCCGAAAAGGATGTGCAAGCTGCAAGCGGCTCAGAATCAAAGTATGTGCTCCCTCTTCTTCGTTCTTGGTATCTCTACTAACCGCAGTGCGATGAGGCAAAGCCAGCTTGTGAGTATTGTGTAGCCACCAATCGCCATTGTGAGTATCTTACCGATAGTACACCAACAGAAGCTCATGAGCAATTCACTGGCACTGCAAGTGGGATCAATGGATCAAATCTTGACTCTGTATCTTCGCAGAAGTTATCATTGACTGGTGCAGCGGTCTTTCTGTACAATTCTCTAGCAACACAGATGAACTTGACTCGATTCGAGTATCGTCTCCTACGATTCTTCAACGACGCTTGCATACCTCTTTTCTCTTTCGATGTGAATAAGGAAGTAGATAATATCTGGCGATGTTTGCTTCCAAAGGAATTCAGTTCGCTGGATGTGGTCAGACAGTCTGTTTTTGCTTTTGCATGCCTCAACCTCTGGGATTACTCAAATGTTGATGAAGTTCTTGACCTGGACAAAATAGAATGGTCAAGTGAGGAATCTGAACTTAGCAGCAATAATTGGCACGCTTTTGAAAATCTGGCAGTGGTCGATAGCGGCCCAGATAATATCTATTCAAAAACCGCCTCCTACTTTTCAAAAACAGTGGAGCATTCCAGCAATCTGTGTTTGCTACTGGAACAGCTGTTTTTCTTCTCTGGTTCGCTTATTTTTGCATTTTTGGGACTTCATCCGCATCTGATCATGCCTGTGGTAGATTTTGAAAGTGATCCACCACTGGACATATTGAGCTTTGCAGGAAGTATAAAAAAGCTAATAGACGAACAAAAATACCAGTTTACTCTGTTGGGCCTCTTAATTGGGAATTTGACACTGGGTATCTTTGGAACTCCTGTGTTCCGGAGTGCCATCGTGGGTCAATTGAGGTTGGAGCTACATGATTATTATTTCGAAGATGGAGGATTTGCGGAAATAAATTCGAAAACAAGCCACGAAAATGAAATATTTGAAGAGTTCCTCACGATGATGGAGAACTGCTTCAGCTTTGCCATTTATAAAGGCTACCCTATACCCATCTTCCGAATGCTCTACACTGTGCCATTAGAATATGCAATTCTTGTGAGAGCTCGTCATCCTTTTGCGTTACGTACTATCTTCGTCTATTGCTGTATTTGCATCTTTGGTGGATTCTATATGCTGAGGAATTCAAACATGTGGATGGATTATATCAGATTTCACCTTGTACACTTTGGCCCCCTTGGCGCCTTGGAAAACTCGGTCTATTACTATATGGAGAACAAGAGGCGGGTTAATTTCGATAATTTTGCTGCCTCCATGCAAGAATTTGACTCCATGGTTGCTTACATGGCTCAACATGACGAGATTCGTGTCTGAATTCAAGCATACGTGCTGGTTTCCTTTGAACTTCCCTTGGGCCCGGTAATGAGATACCGGTCACTTTCTGGGAATGAGTACCATTTTTTGGATAACAATCTGCTTCTGCTTCCAAGAGCTGTCAATTGCTTGCTAACAGTTTCCTTGGACAATATAGGGGCTCCAGAGACAATGTATAGAACTTGAGGGATACTTCTGACGGGAATGATTCACGAGGACGGCTTTGCTTCTACAAACACCCATAATAACACGTGGAATTGAGCTAATGTATGCTCTACACTCTCAGTCGGATGGTCCTCTAGCTCGTCAAACGTATCGAGATCAACCAAAGCGAAATTCTAGCATGCGCAAACATAATGCCTATTTTCAAAAAGGTGCATTGAAGCGGTCGGACACTGGGGAGACTTAAGTTCACCTCGTCAACCTCTATGCTTTTGTGAGAAAAACAACCTACAGTGCTCCGATAACTTCCATGGACATCAGAAACACACGAGAGACGTGGACATCTCCAGCTGGGAAAGAAGGTCTAGATTCAATAGTATCCATATCAGCAATAACTGGAATTCTCGGCGACCTATGTAAGAGCTATTTGTATGAAATCAATATTCTCGTTCTTCATGACTAAGGAATAGTATCTCAGGGCCTCAAAACTTATGCACATTTTTCTTGGTGTATCCTAATTCAGACAAAATCCCCCCAATTCTACCTTGCAAAATCGGATTAGGTTTACCTCCACAAATCGTTTCATAAAATCCTGGTGGTCCACAAACAAAGACCATTACATCGTCCGAAGGAGAAGGCAAATTCTCCTGCAAAAATTGCTTATCAATTCGGCCACGGAGACCTTTCCAGTCCTTTTTGGCTTCACTCACGAAATAATGAACCTGGGCCTTGTCAGAAGACTTCACCAAATCATCTATCTCATCACGCAACATTATATCATCGGAACTTGATGAATATATCAAGTCTACTTTGGTAGAGTCGTTGGGATTTTTCACAATGGCTTTGAGTAGCTGGTACAATGGCGTAATTCCAGCACCTCCTCCAATGAGATAGACTTGTTTATACTCATTGGGCTTCCACAGGAAAGACGAGATCGGACCTTTGAATGAAACTTCATCCCCAGGTTCTAAGGTTGACAAAAATTTGGACAGCTTCCCCTTTTCATATGTCTTTATTGCAAATTCTATTTCGCCTTTCTGGTCAACATCAGAAATTGGAGTATAGGGCCGAAGCACTGTTCCCTCTGGTGTCTTGACTCTTGCCACCACAAATGATCCTACAGTAATTCCAGACGAAACTTCTGGGTCGTTGAGCTCGAAGACGTACTTTTTAGCATCCTTGGTTATTTGGTTGGACTTCTTTAGTTTGAGGTTTGTCCACCCTAATATTCCAGGGAGGCCAGCGTGTGAAGGGGAATAGAACTTGGTGTAGTAGATACCAGCAGCTCCCAAGCCAATAATGGCACCAGTTATCAACCTCATTTACCGATAACCTTAGGGAGGATGATTGACGGATTGTAAACTTTATAAGCACTAATTGTTTAAAAGAATGGGGTCATGAAGACACTTGAAATACAGGATTGAAACAAGGGTCCAACCCCACACATAATAAGCGACTTACTTTTCGTTAGAGGTGGCTAGTTAGTATTTTGGGAGGTAAAGGTTTCTCCTGAAAGGTGCCACTAATAGAGGCTACAAAATAATCGGCTTAGTCTACCAAATAAATAGGTTTAATAGGCAATTAATATTGTGAATATCATTACTAATATGGCCGGGCGTGAAGTAGTATTGTCATGCTGATAACCAATCAAGAAGGCAGCATCACGTTTCATCCGAACTGTGCTCTTTAGACGAGATGGGAATGAAACTAGCAGGTACTATTTTTTTGGTAAGATCAGATGTTTGGATATCGCATGTTGTGGGAATTGATCCGTTCATCCATCTCAAGCTTGGAATTGGCTGCAAATCCAGGGATATGCTGCGTACGGTAAATCTCATAAACTGATTTGTGGGGGATCTCTGCAGTATGACGCGATGCGTAGATTTACGCACAGGCCCTGCTTTACGCTGTGGTTCAACCCAAATTCAATTCATCCGTCGAATGGTCTTTAAAACTTGCTCCTAATATCTCCTCTGTCCATACCTGGTAGAAGAAGCAGCAAGGTGATCATAATCTGCAAAATATTTGATTTCTCTTCTTTTGTTGATTTTTGCACAGTAGTGGTAATTATTGCGATTTTGTTTCTTGTAGTATTGTATGTGATACACCATATGTCTACTCCGGACTTCTGAAAATGTATTGTATTGTATTTCCTAGCAAACAAAATCTTCTGAAAAGTGGATCTGTATTTTTATGCCATACATGTTTTCCGTATTCACCACTTTTGGATCCTAAGTTGGAGGATCTTAGGTTGTAATTTCGGCGTATATTGCGGGACGGAGTGAAAGTTGCATTATTCTCTTGAAAAACTGTTGTAGCTGCGTGTTTACAAAAAGCTATTTTCCAAATGCTGTGAATGCCACTAGTGAAAGTGTCATTTTGTGAACTGCTGCATCATTTTTTTGGGGTTCATTTTTATCTGTACTTTCACAGGGACACCAGGTTACAGTTTGGAAGACGTGAACATGGCGAAAATAAATCAAAAGAGCACTTAAGATTGAGAAGCAAGTAGAGAAACTCAATCATTACTCGCTTGGTGCCTCAAGTTTTCATGTCTACAGTACTGTTGAAGAGTACTACCGAGCTTAGTCTACTATGTGGTTGATGTTGCAATCTAAAGATTCTGGAGACAAAGAAACATACTGGAATTGGTAGCTCACTTTAGGTTTTGTACCCTGATAAGTAATATCTGGTCTCTTCTTACTCACCCAAATAAAATAGGGAATAATCCTGAGTAGAGCTTTTGTACTACAGAAGCGGAAAAAGAGAAATTCATCAAAATGGTCCAAGAACACCACGAGACGATCAATCGAGCAGAACTCGTCATATCCATCAACTGATCGAACAAATGAGAGATTTTGCGGGTTACTGCTATTTACATGTTGGAGATCTCTACAGCTGATTGAGCTGACTCGCTACCTCCGTCATTCTCGGCACCAAGGTGGCCCTGTATCCATTTCTACATGTTTATACATAAGTCAAAGGTAAACGGGGCTACCATACGAGTTGCGTAATCCATTACTCATTGGGATAAATCAAGCGGATGCTAATACGAGGTGACACGAAGACTCCCTTTCAGAATGGTACAATGTGGTACACCTTGAGGGTGTATAGTCGTGGAAGGCGATCTTTAGGAACTGCGACGTCTCTGAGCAAAGAATTTAAGTTCTTGTCGGTTCCAACTACGCTGTATGTCTCGTATCAGCACTTTGATAAATTTGCATTTGGATGCACTGTAACATATTGGCTTGTTATCAGCCCACAACAGCATCCCTCTAATCATTCGACTGTATTTTTAAAGTGCACTTTCAAAGTGGCTTACTTTTCAAGTGTCTGAGAATGGACAGGTTTACGTATGGGTTGGCAATTTTCTCATGATAAGGAATTTACTTCGTCTCGAAGGATATTCCCACGCACATATCATTATCTTCGATTATTGGTTATCGAAACATCGAAAAAGAACCACTTCCTCCTGTCAAGAACTCAAACTCTTTTCACTACCGTCATTCGTTCAGTTTCAGGAGAAAGAGGTGCCTCGGATTTTCTGGCAGTAGTCATACTAAGGGTTCTTGAAGTTAAAATACTAACAAGGGTTAGTGGAAGTTCGGAAAAGATGGCAAATGAAGGGAAATAGCACCACAAGCACGGAATTGCAAGTCAGGTCTCCACTTATGCGCAACACTTGCTTGTATCTGCTCGTTACGGGCCAGGTGCCTTTTGTCCTCTTGTTATGCACTTAGGATTTATCACGCGATGCGACCTCTAACGCGTCCGCTACATAACTACAAGAACAATCTTACTAATGCGCATCCTCAGTTTTATTGCATTGAGATGCATTTGGCTATTGTTTTGGGGTCGTGGTACCAGCTAAACCTTTCGCTATCCTCCGATGATTTGGATTTTTCAGACAAGATTCGGAACGTATACGAAATTTCGATATTTCGTTTCTCAGATGTTTCGAACTATTTTGGCTGACCTTGCGAGCATTCAAGCATTCAAGCATTCTAAGTACATTTGCAGCTCGGAATTCATTTTTCTCCAAGATTGCCGGCCTTCGTGGGGAGCTTGGATTTGTGTCCATCGTACCCTGAACCAGCAAAAATCAAGAAGTTTAGGGTCACAGAAGGGACAGTAGAGATAGTATGTGCGGACAGGACTTTCAGGAGCGTAATGGCTGTAGAGACCACTACTACTGGCTGCATCTTCATCAATGCTGTGCCAATATAGCTAGCTGAAATTGACTCCAATTCTGCTAATCCGGAGGGGGTGGAGTTAGTCGACTCAATCAAGATGATTTCCGAAGACTATACAAAAATGTACTGCACAAATACTTATTTTTTGAGCATTACCAATTTTGCAGAAACTGGCAAGTTAGAGACCTGATGGACTTCGATCCTTTAAATCATCTCCTATTGAGTTAGTAAATCCCATTAAAACAGTATACGACCACCTAATTGTAAAATTTAAAGGGTTACACTTCCTTCTCTCAAAAATGGACTGTTTTCCCTGTTATGTTTGTCCATGCACGAGGTGCATATTCATGCGCGCAATCAGTGCAGTGCCCGTTTTATTTCATTTTGGCACCCTTTTGAAATTGTAATATAAGACCTGATGTTCTCCAAGTGATGTGAGCGCTATCAAAAACTTATACCCAAAAATGAAGGTCGCTTTGGCAATTGCTGTGTTCGCCCAGCTAGCACTGAGTGATGCTTTGGCACTCATCAGTATCCTTCGAGGAAGAGATACCGAATCTCCAGAACCCGAGGTTCCACGACTACACCTATTCAAACCTCGTGGGTTCACAAATGAAACCTCTGAAACCCAGAGTGCACAACCCACCTTTCTGTGGAGTAACTCTACCTACAGTGGAGTCAGTATAACTCCAACTTCAGATCTGTCATTCTCGCTGTCCACAACTCTTTTGGGCGAATCGACTTCCAGTGCAGGCACCATCCCCCAAACTTCTATCGAGACGCCGGCCGAAAGTTCATCAGACAGTTCACCAGAATCCTCGTTAAATGAATCGGCTACATCTTTATCTGAAACGTCGTCAGAAACCTCTTCAGAGAATTCAACTGAGAGTTTGTCAGTAACCTCCTCACAAACTTCGTCAGAAGGGTCGTCAGCAACTTCATCTGAGAGTTATTCAGCAACTTCATCAGGAAGTTCGCCAGGCAGTTCATCTGAATACTCATCTCAGACATCCTCTGAGTTTTCATTTGAGAGTTCATCTGAGACTTCCTCTGTGACTTCATCTGAGAGTTCGTTTGTGACTTCATCTGAGAGTTCGTCTGAGAGTTCGTCTGAGAGTTCGTCTGAGACTTCGTCTGAGACTTCGTCTGAGACTTCGTCTGAGACTTCATCTGAGACTTCCTCTGAGACTTCCTCTGAGAGTTCGTCTGAGAGTTCGTCTGAGAGTTCCTCTGTGACTTCGTCTGAGAGTTCATCTGAGACTTCCTCTGAGAGTTCGTCTGTGACTTCGTCTGAGAGTTCGTTTGTGACTTCATCTGAGACTTCCTCTGAGACTTCCTCTGAGAGTTCGTCTGAGAGTTCGTCTGTGACTTCATCTGAGACTTCCTCTGAGAGTTCCTCTGTGACTTCGTCTGAGAGTTCGTCTGAGAGTTCATCTGAGACTTCATCTGAGACTTCCTCTGAGAGTTCGTCTGTGACTTCGTTTGTGACTTCATCTGAGACTTCCTCTGAGAGTTCATCTGAGAGTTCATCTGAGACTTCCTCTGAGAGTTCCTCTGTGACTTCGTCTGAGAGTTCATCTGAGAGTTCATCTGAGACTTCCTCTGAGAGTTCATCTGAGAGTTCATCTGAGAGTTCATCTGAGAGTTCATCTGAGAGTTCATCTGAGAGTTCGTCTGAGAGTTCCTCTAAGAGTTCATCTGTGACATCATCTGAGAGTTCATCTGAGAGTTCGTTTGTGACTTCATCTGAGACTTCATCTGAGACTTCATCTGAGAGTTCCTCTGTGACTTCATCTGAGAGTTCATCTGAGAGTTCGTCTGTGACTTCCTCTGTGACTTCATCTGAGAGTTCGTCTGAGAGTTCCTCTAAGAGTTCATCTGTGACATCATCTGAGAGTTCATCTGAGAGTTCGTTTGTGACTTCATCTGAGAGTTCATCTGAGACTTCATCTGAGAGTTCCTCTGTGACTTCGTCTGAGAGTTCATCTGAGAGTTCATCTGAGAGTTCATCTGAGAGTTCCTCTGTGACTTCATCTGAGAGTTCGTCTGAGAGTTCCTCTAAGAGTTCATCTGTGACATCATCTGAGAGTTCATCTGAGAGTTCGTTTGTGACTTCATCTGAGAGTTCATCTGAGAGTTCATCTGAGACTTCCTCTGAGAGTTCCTCTGTGACTTCGTCTGAGAGTTCATCTGAGAGTTCCTCTGTGACTTCGTCTGAGAGTTCATCTGAGAGTTCATCTGAGACTTCGTCTGAGAGTTCGTCTGAGAGTTCCTCTGTGACTTCGTCTGAGAGTTCATCTGAGAGTTCGTCTGTGACTTCGTCTGAGACTTCCTCTGAGACTTCCTCTGAGAGTTCGTCTGTGACTTCGTCTGAGAGTTCGTTTGTGACTTCATCTGAGACTTCCTCTGAGACTTCCTCTGAGAGTTCGTCTGAGAGTTCGTCTGAGAGTTCCTCTGTGACTTCGTCTGAGAGTTCATCTGAGAGTTCCTCTGAGACTTCATCTGAGAGTTCATCTGAGACTTCGTCTGAGAGTTCGTCTGAGAGTTCGTTTGTGACTTCATCTGAGACTTCCTCTGAGACTTCCTCTGAGAGTTCGTCTGTGACTTCGTCTGAGAGTTCGTTTGTGACTTCATCTGAGACTTCCTCTGAGACTTCCTCTGAGAGTTCGTCTGTGACTTCGTCTGAGACTTCATCTGAGAGTTCGTCTGAGAGTTCGTCTGAGAGTTCGTTTGTGACTTCATCTGAGACTTCGTCTGAGAGTTCATCTGAGAGTTCATCTGAGACTTCCTCTGAGAGTTCCTCTGTGACTTCATCTGAGAGTTCGTCTGTGACTTCCTCTGTGACTTCATCTGAGAGTTCGTCTGAGAGTTCCTCTAAGAGTTCATCTGTGACATCATCTGAGAGTTCATCTGAGAGTTCGTTTGTGACTTCATCTGAGAGTTCATCTGAGAGTTCGTCTGAGAGTTCGTTTGTGACTTCATCTGAGAGTTCATCTGAGAGTTCATCTGAGACTTCATCTGAGAGTTCCTCTGTGACTTCGTCTGAGAGTTCATCTGAGAGTTCATCTGAGAGTTCATCTGAGACTTCATCTGAGAGTTCCTCTGTGACTTCGTCTGAGAGTTCGTCTGAGACTTCGTCTGAGACTTCGTCTGAGACTTCATCTGAGACTTCATCTGAGACTTCATCTGAGAGTTCATCTGAGAGTTCGTTTGTGACTTCATCTGAGAGTTCGTCTGAGAGTTCATCTGAGAGTTCCTCTGAGCTGCTCACATTGTTGTCCTTGTCCTCATCCTCGACGACGTTTGAACCTATCAGAACAACCAAAGCCACTTCTGTCTCTTTGCGAACAGCACTGCCTATTGGAAATCCTGTCCAGCCAACGGGTATTGATGTTGTACAGAGCTTGTCTTTCGTTGATACCAGTTCTAAATCTCTGAAGGCAAGTGCAGATAGTATTTTCGCTATCACTGTGGTCTTACATTCTGATGATCCTCCAACAGAGGGAGCAACTTCTCAATTCACAATTCCTACTGTTTTGTACGGTTTTGTCTCACCATTGGACATAACCGTTGGTGGAGTTAAAGCGGCCACTGTGACTGGTACCTCTGAAAATGTTTTCACGATCTCGTTTACCGACTATTTCTTTAATGAAGGGAAACCTTTGGATGGTCAGTTTTTCTTCTTGGTGAACTTGAGAAGCTCACTGCTGCCACTTAGAAAGCGTGAAGAACAGGTGGATCTTTCCACTCCAACAGTGCAGCCCTTCGTTTTCTCTACTCCAAATGGGGACTTCACCTTTGACTTGAATTTCACTCCTCAGCCTGCCATTTATCCATTTGAAAAGTTTAGTGGTGATCCACTTTCTTGGGAACTTTATGTTCCTGGTCCATTTGCTCTGGTTGCAATCTCCACTGACTCAGGATCAAACTACGACCTCGATTGCGGCAGTGTTAGCGCAATCGTTGGTAACCAGTATGATTCATTTAATGTTCTTGTGGGAGGATCTCTGATCTCTACGGTTAACGTTTGCTCAGCCTTTTCCCTCACTTCCACTTATCAGACTGCCATTTCCCAGGACGACACCTTCAAGATCACTATATTGGGATCCATTACCGACTCAAGTAATGCCGTTTATGCTAACTCCTTAACTGTCACTATTGTCTCCGTCTCCGGGGTATCTACCACATACACATTCTCTTCATCCGCATTGGGACCCAATTTCGTTGCACAAAATGCACAACTTCTTCAGGTTGGAGAAGATCCGCTCCCTACAAATACCAATAATGTTCCTGATGACAACCAAGGGGCTTCTGAAACCCAGTCTGCTACCGTCTCTTCTGAGGCAACATCAGAGGCTTCTTCAACCTTTGAGACTTCTGAAACCAGTTTTGGTGAGACTTCATCTGAGACATCTGCAACCAGCTCTGGTGAGTCCTCTGGTGAGACATCTGCAACTAGCTCTGGTGAGTCCTCTGGTGAGACATCTGCAACTAGCTCTGGTGAGTCCTCTGGTGAGACATCTGCAACCAGCTCTGGTGAGTCCTCTGGTGAGACATCTGCAACCAGCTCTGGTGAGTCCTCTGGTGAGACATCTGCAACTAGCTCTGGTGAGTCCTCTGGTAAGGCATCTGCATCCAGTTTTGGTGAGACTTCATCTGAGACATCTGCAACTAGCTCTGGTGAGTCCTCTGGTGAGACATCTGCAACCAGTTTTGGTGAGACTTCATCTGAGACATCTGCAACTAGCTCTGGTGAGTCCTCTGGTGAGACATCTGCAACCAGCTCTGGTGAGACTTCATCTGAGACATCTGCAACTAGCTCTGGTGAGTCCTCTGGTGAGACATCTGCAACCAGCTCTGGTGAGTCCTCTGGTAAGGCATCTGCAACCAGTTTTGGTGAGACTTCATCTGAGACATCTGCAACTAGCTCTCTTGAGACATCTTCTGAAACTTCGAGCAGAACATTTGGCGAGACTTCTTTAACCAGTTCTGATGAGACTTCTGGCATTACTTCTAGCAGTCCAGCGATCCCCACCAGTGTAAGCACTTTATTGTTGCCAACTGCAGCCCCAATCTCTAACACAGCAGTTCCAACTGGTCAAAGCATTATTCTGAAAGTTGCTGCACATAACAATGCAACCAATGGACAAACTTTCATTAAGAACAATCTTCTTACTCTCGCTGTTACCATTGAAAGTGATGGCGTTCTTGGTCAGGGCACCCTGGCTCAGTTTACTCTTCCTCCAGCATTGTACGGCTATTTGTCCTCATTTGACCTTTACAGTGCTGATGGAAGCATCGTTGGTACAATATCAGGTTCTAATGGAGTGTTCACAGTTACGTTCACAGGTGACTACATCGCAACACATAAAGACTTGAGTGGTACTTTCACCTTCAACACTCGTATTGCGTACCTGTTCTCAGCTCTTCCTAAGCGTGCAGATGATGTCATTGATCTCAGCGTCCCTGTTGTCCAGCCTATAATTATCAACGTTCCAAGTAATCTGTTCACTGTGGAATTGGTTTACGAAGATGTCACATCCATCGGATCAATCGAAGAAGTTAAGATTGGTGACGTCTATGTATTTGTCGGAGAATCAATTGCATCCTCGAGCGTTACATCATCAGCAACAGGAATCGAAAGTAGTACTGCAGCATCTGAAAGTATTACTGCAATATCTGGAGGTAATACCGAGACTTCTGGAGGTAATACCGAGACTTCTGGAGGTAATACCGAGACTTCTGGAGGTAATACTGAGACTTCTGGAGGTAATACCGAGACTTCTGGAGGTAATACCGAGACTTCTGGAGGTAATACCGAGACTTCTGGAGATAATACCGAGACTTCTGGAGGTAGTACTGTGACATCTGGAAGTAGAGGTGAAACTTCTGGAGTCGAAACGGAGACAGTCACTGATACACTGAAAGTCCTCATCACTGTCACTTCGTGCTCCAACAAGAAATGTACTGCTGTCCCAACCATAGCAATTGAGTCGAAGTACACCACAATTTTGTTCGGAACTGAGGTGATTTACACAACGTACTGTCCATTGCCAACAGAAAGCGAGGATAAAGTTATAACCGTAACTGTTACTTCATGCTCAGAGAATATGTGTTCCTCGAAGTTATCTCTTGCAATTGAGTCCATCGCAACAGTAACAAAGGAGGGAACCATTACAACCTACACCACTTTCTGTCCAATTAGTTCCGCTACATCTGGCTCTGGTAACTCAGGAACTTCAGGAGGATATGGTAGCTCTGGTAGCTCTGGATCTTCAGGAGGATATGGTAGTTCTGGAAGCTCTGGTAACTCAGGAACTTCAGGAGGATATGGTAGCTCTGGTAACTCAGGAACTTCAGGAGGATATGGTAGTTCTGGAAGCTCTGGTAACTCAGGAACTTCAGGAGGATATGGTAGCTCTGGTAGCTCTGGATCTTCAGGAGGATATGGTAGTTCTGGAAGCTCTGGTAACTCAGGAGGATATGGTAGTTCTGGAAGCTCAGGAACTTCAGGAGGATATGGTAGCTCTGGAAGCTCTGGTAACTCAGGAGGATATGGTAGTTCTGGAAGCTCAGGAACTTCAGGAGGATATGGTAGCTCTGGTAGCTCCGGTAGCTCAGGTTCCAGTGGAACTGCTACTACTTCCGCTCCCGAACCATTAGACACTGTTAATGAAGGCTCTGCTTCAATTCAAAAGAGCCCCTTGATTGGATTGCTCTTCGTCTTTGCGATATTAAGCGTTTTCTAATCAATAAGAATATCTTCAAGACGTTCTGACCCAACAGGTATTGTGACAATCAATTATTCGCATTCGGTGTATCATTTTTTGTTGCTTTATCTCCAGGATTTGAAATGGATCAGCCTTTTAGGATAATGGTATTGGGGATCACATTTTTACATGTACCAGCTTAAAAGTATTATTGTAGTCGAAAGTACATTCCATGCACCTCACAAACTTACAAATCTAGAAAGCTGTCTTTTGCAACCAGTATTATTTTTGCAACTTAGATATAAAACACCATTTAAGCCTCTGGTACAAACTCTGAAAGCCGTTTGTGAACTTCGATACTTGCTCTCCTATTTGGAGAAGATGCTACGTTGATGTGCGGTGAGCGGGGACATTTGAGTAGTAATTGTACTATTAAATAAGATTGTACATATAACGAAGAAAACCAAGGCTAAACTTGTCCATCATCAGAAAAGCAGTTAGAGTTCGATTTTATGTCCCTAGCAAATGATTTCAAATTAGACATTTTGCCTGACTATAGTAGGAACATCAAAAAGGTTTCTTACTTCTTGAACCTTGAAATACTATAATCAACTTTATTCTCTAGGAAAGGCTACTTTGAGTTCAAATATGTCGTCAGATTGGCCAATTGAGTTGGAAAATATTTGAGCAACATTAGTTGACAACGCTTATAATTTGAGAATCAATATTGGGCAAAAAGATGCTAATTGAAAGTCTTGAGTTAGAAGGACTAGATAATACGGAGTTAAGAAATTCCAAGTACCGGAGCTCTTTGGCTACATCAACAGAGGAAAAAGAAATAAAAATGAGTTCGGGTTCCGATGCTATTTAGCACTTCAACCGATATACTAGAAATAATCAAATAGAAGAGGAGAATGAAATGAGAGTAAAAGTTGGAGATAGTGTTTAAACGCTACAGAGCACTAAGTGGTAGTTTAGAAGAGCAACAAAGAATAGTAAGACGTTGTCTGGCAGGTTGTCTCAGGAGAGTGACCGATTGTTCTACAACTTGAGTGGGCTTGAAAAAAGCATATTGATATGGACCACGAACTACAAACTTTTTTTTTTGGAAGTTTATTATTTTAACCTATTTATCTTCAGGAAACATACCCTGATCATTCTGAATGGTCGTACAGATTCTCAGTGTTCCTCACCACATTTCATTAAAACTTAGTAGTTTTTACTTGAGCTTTAAATAATCTTTTTATTTCTTCATTTTTTGATTCTTCAATATTTTCTATGTATTCTTCACATCTTTCTTGATTTTCAAGTTCTATTGAAAATTTTATATCTAAAGCAGTTGTTTTTACTTTATTTTTATAAATGAAAAAGTTAAATGTTTCAGTGTTTGCTTTCATCTGCTCTCTATAAGCTTCTTCCTCACTACCATCTTTATAAATTACTGGTTCATCTACAAATTCACCTAAATCTTTTTCAGTTTCACCTAAATATTCTCCTTCATAAAATCCCACTACTTTGTAATAAATAACATTATTTGCTATTTCCCACATTTTATTTATCTCGCAATATCTATAGATACTGGTGTTTAAACATTTCATTTTTTTCATTTTTTTAGTTATTTCAAAATATAAATCTTCATATTCATACGCTTTTACATTTTCTAATTTTTTTAAAATTTCTTCATATTTTTTACATTTTACTATTTCAATATAATTGAATAAATTTGCGTCTCTGGTTTCATCCCATAAATCATCTTCTGTTATTTCTAGATCGCAGTCTAACAAGAAAATAAGTATTTTATTCATTATCTTAATATGTGTTGCATTGTTAGGTTCTTGTATCCTGTGAATCCTTCAGGTACCAAATGCACTCTCCCGAGAGCTTATCAGGTGCGGGCGAATTACTTCTGTTCTCTATTCCGCGAAAATGTCCATTCGAGAAAGCCGTTCGTACGCTTGCAATTTGGTCTCCAATTCGACCAGAACTTTGCAATTCGACTTGAAGAGTACCAGAAGGCGCCTGCGTTGCGGAACCTGGGAACTTTAAATTGTGGATTGCCCATATGAATTTTTCGGCGAAGAACTAACGTGGACTGACACGCGAGATTGAGATTTAAAAAATTCTGAGTTATACGCGAATAACTTTCAAGAATGCCATTTGGCTCATTGAAACAGGCCACCGCGGAGATAGAACACGATACTTAGCAAAAATTACGAAAGAGTGACACTGAACTTCAAGTCTCTAGTAAGGGTTCAAGATCTCTATACATCAAATCTCACTTTCTCAATGCACTTAGCAGCAATAAGTCTAGCTTGAGTATCAATGTAGCAATAAATGTATACTTACCTAATGATACTAATCTTAATGACATTCAACAGATCATCTTTCAACATCATAGGCAGTACTTATTGTTGACACTCAATATTGTTAGGTTAGTAACGTTGAAACTCTGAGTGAGGCAATACACCAATTCGCTACAAATGCCGGCTTGAACGCCTCAAGGCAAAGCTAACTGAGGGATGGAAATGAAAAATCAACTAAAATCGTTACAAGAATTAAATGAGCTCAAAACGGACTATTGTGTTTCAGGTTCAGTTCGCAATTTGTTCTCGCCAACATTCGACGTGAATACCAGAACTGAGACAGGTTCATGATAATCCACTAGTACTATGTGGCTTAGTCTAAGTTTCAAATTTAAGTACATAACTCTTTCATTAGTGTATTGATGCTAGATTAGCTTCAAGGTACAGTTAAACAACAGATTATTAATTAAATATTATTTCCATGTCGAAAAAGATTCAAATTTCTAGGGTAAAGCATCATTAACCAAGATGATTCCCGATCCGCAGATATAATGGACATTTTTGATATGTGATCAGTACAATAACTCGCTCTTGTTTCGCTTCTTGTAGTTCTTTTTATAGGTGGATAAAACTATATTTCGAAAGGGGAAGAAGGTCAAGGCTCTACTCTCAATGAAAGCAGACTAGCGCAGGTGGCTTTATTGCGAGATCAAAGGAAGCTAAAGAAGAAAAGTAGATATTTATAATAC